CCCACTTCGTTTTTGGAGAGCTGAAGATCGCGGGATTGGATCCGTGGTTTCAAGTGTGCTCCATTTGGAATCAGGATTGTGGACGCATGCATGTGAAGCTGTGAATGATTGTGGTTGCTGTGTGGACTCATCACCTGGCGGTCTGCAGATAGACTACTGTGTGTAAGGAAGTAGTTGCCTGGCGAGGTGGATGCATGGGTTTGTGGTGAGGGATACATAATACCGGGGGGTCACTGATGATGTCTTGAAGAATGATAATGTCAGGATTCTGTAGGAATGGAGGTTCGGATGATGAACCTCGGATGTGCAGAGAGAGAATGGTGTACTCCATCCTGGAGAAAGTGTAGATAACCACCCGCACAGGCACAGGCACAATAATAATAGGAAACAAACAGAAGGCTGGGAACCCCCAAAGCGGCAAGGCGTAAACAACCCCGTGACAAGGAGCGGTCTTATTTGTATCTCCTCATCGTCCTCACTCTCACCATCTTCTCCCTCCTCCTCCCCTTTTCTTTTCCTTCCCATTCCATTCTCCCTTATCGTCCTTAAGCATATCTCACATTCCTCTATTATACCCCCACATTCCTAGATCTGGAGATCAAGTCGGATTTGATCCCATCTAGCTCCTCTCACCCTCTCTCTTCCACGAGAAAGACTTCCCCGTGAACAAAGTCTTTTCTTGTCTAGCCTTTCGAGTTGTTTCCAACAGTTCGAAAGGCATTCGAGAAGAGACGCCCAAAGGACAGCCAATCTGGACTTTGACGCCCGCGTCCCCATCCCCTTCAGTGTCTTCCCGTCGTCGTACCGGAGTGACGCTGTTCCTGAGACTACTCTTACTGCCACTGAAAGAGTAGAGGGAGAAGTCAATCTCGATCGCACTTCGCACGTCGAACGGGAAGATACTCGAACCTCTGCTCGGCTTCCGGATCCCCGTGTCTACGGCAAGGAAGAAGTCGATATCCACATTGAGCGCGATTCTCGCCGTCCCCTTCCCCAGCACGACCAGCAGTTTGCCTACTCCCAGGAGCGTGTGCAGTCTGCCCGTTACCCCGAAGTAGACCTTGCTCGTGAGCGGTAAGTTCCGTTCCTTTTTTTACCGTCTGGTTACCGTTTGTTTTCCTTTTGTTTTCCGGTTTGTTTTGATTTCCACGCGGTGTGGAGACGACAAACTGGCGGTGTCACTCGGTGGCTTCAGCTCGCTCCGGGACTAGAGGGATCTAGTCCTCCGCTAAATTACGTGGCACCAAAACAAACCAAATCAAAACAAAACAATAACAATAACACCGGCTTATCCCACGGGGAGGCTGGTGGGTGCATGGGTCTTCTCCGTCCATCACGATCCGATCGGCCCCAATTTTTCTCTTTCTCTCTTCCATTCCTCTCCCCCTGACACACTCCCATATACTTTCTCTCCCACATTCCTCTCCCTCACTTCAATATACCTTACCCAATCACCTTATCTTTTACTTGATCCCTTTGATCAATTCCCCTCTAACGCTCTGCAGTTACCGCGAGCCTTCTGTCCGTGTCCACGACCGTCAGCAAGTCTACGACCAGGCTCTTGAGTCCCAGCTTGACGTCACTGAGCGTGAATATCGTCGTCGTGTCAACCAGCCGACCTACGACGTCAACACCTACGACCGCTCCTACCAGGCTCCTGTAGAGTACGCCAGCGCTCGTCAGTACACCGCCGACGTCTACGGTTCCCCCAAGGCCGATCTCGACGTCTCCTACGACCGCGCCTACCAGCCCCAGCCCGTCGAAGCTTACCGCGGATCCGCCCCCCGTTCCCTCAACGTCGAGCCAGTGAGCCCGGCCACCTCCAACGTCAAGGTCCTTAAGACTTCTACTGTAGTTGATCAACCCCCCGCTCGCAAGATGGGTTACTACGACGACGACGGTAACTACCACTCCTTCCGTCGTGGCGTGGAACGCGCTGCCGACCGCATCCTTCACCCCTTCGATCACCAGCACCATCATCACCACCACTCGGACCGTGAAGAAGTTGTCGTCGCTGACGAACGCGGTCCAGTTCGTTACCGGGACGGTGTCCGCGAGGATGTCCGCATCGTTGAGCCCCGTGGTGGCGCCACCGCCGAGACGGTCCCCATCCCCTGCCACTTTGTTCGCATCGGCGACATCCTGATCCTCCAGGGCCGCCCCTGCCAGGTCATCCGGATCTCCGTGTCGCCCCAGACCGGCCAGCACCGCTACCTGGGTGTCGACCTCTTCACCCGCCAGCTGCAGGAGGAGTCCAGCTTTGTCTCCAACCCCTCGCCCTCTGTCGTCGTCCAGACCATGCTGGGCCCTGTCTACAAGACCTACCGCATCCTCGACCTCCGCGATGACGGTAAGATCGTCGCCATGACCGAGACCGGCGATGTCAAGCAGGGTCTTCCCGTCGTCCCTCAGGGCCACCTCTTCCGTCGCATCCGCGAGGCCTTCGAGGAGGGTCGCGGCAGCGTGCGCGCTCTCGTCATCAACGACGGCGGTCGCGAGCTCGTCGTCGACTACAAGGTGATCCACGCTTCCCGTCTGTAAACACCACTATTCCGTGTTCGGTTTAGTACGCGGAGATGCAACCGGTCTTGCACGATTAAGTTTCGGTCTCCCGTTCCTGGTCCCAGGTTCTCGGCCAATCAACCATGGTTCGCTCTGGTGTCATCGTGCAAGCGCCTTTCTTCTCCGCTGATGATCTCGATGTGATGGATTCAATTTGGACGGATTATTGGAATGACCCTTGAGAAAACGTCTTTGTTTTGTTGCTTTGATTGACAATATGTATGATGCACACCTTGTACTTAGCTCGTAATTGATGAGATATGCTACCCTTAAGTGTTGTAGTTTGTTGAGTAGATCACGCTTTCAAGTTGCAACGTAATTTGACCTTTGCTTTCCATCACACCTGCATTGGATCTTGTGATAAATATTTCAATCGTCTCCATCGTTGACTAGGTGCTACATATAATACATACCTTGGCTGGTCAGGCCTACGACTGTTGCGTTATATATCTAGATCACTATGAGCTGACTCTCCTACATAGTTGCGAAAGGTATATATCTGAGCATTCAGATTCAGAAATAGCCACATCTACTACTACACACAAAGAAAACACTAGATTCAGACAGCTGGAGACATTCAACAACCAAAAGAACAGGGAGTGTACGCCAACACCGGGTCCATGTCGCGCCTGGATGAGGAAATAGAAACCAAAGACAAGAGCAAGCCAGTCAATGAACAAAGGAAATATACCGTCCGAGTAAACACCCATCCATATCCACCGTGCAATATACCGCAGCGAACCTGACCCATAGGACAGAAGAAAGAAAGCATCAACACCATGTCTGGGACACCCAGAAAATGTCACATTAAATCAACACACAGAACAAGGTACTTAAATGAGAGTCGTCAGTTTCCCAGAACGCCGCGACCGATTTCCAATCCAAGCATCAACGCTGCTCCGGTAGCCATAGCCATATTATACATAATCACATGCTGAGAAGAGACGAACAGGGTATCGTGCGCATCAAAAAGGCTTCCTGGTCCAACTCGGGTTCCCCAGGAGCATCGAACAAATTTCAATGGGAGAGTTGAGACGGCAAAGACAGGTCGAAAAGATTGGCACCCTGTCACCTCTCACCAAATTTACCATACTCCTGTTGCCATTTGAGGAGATGACGCGTCAGCACGTCCATCATCTCAACACTGCTCAGGTCTTTAAAGTCCTTTTCAGTTGAGGGTGGTTGCACCGCACCACCAGTTTCACCATCCGTGGCCGTGGCACCGGATTCTGCCTCACTGGTCGTTGATGGCGCATTAACCTCTAGCAGTTCGTTCACGACTTTCATCGGGATGCCGTTTGGCTGATCCCCGTTCGGGGGGCTCGTGGAGCTTTCACCCGCAACCGCCATCTCGACCTGCATCCTGGATATAAATTCCAGAATTCCCGCGACCCGTCGCTTCATCTCGTTCATCGTGGTCCGCTGGTTCACGTAACGCGGCCGACTGGGTTTCCCGGTATCACCCCCGTTGATATGTGCGCCATTGGGACCGCCGATCCTCGGAGAGTCCCCACCAGTATCATGCGACTGCCCTCGACGCGGCGAATTGGCCATGTTGTACTCCCCGCCATTTGTATGGGAGTCCCGGTCCCGCGTGTATTGGTTGCGTCCGACCCGGCCACCGCGACGCGCAGGCGGCCGACCAGATTTGCGCGTGGACGGACGAGATGGCGGAGCCTCCTGGGCAGGCGCAGGCGTGTCGGGGCTTGGTTGAGAGGGTTCCGGTTCTGTTGTAGCGGGCTTGACCGGTGACTCTGCCTCATGACCAGACTCGGGGTCTGAATTTTTAGTTAGCGCTCACGAAAAAACAAAAGTTAGCGGTTTGGGTATAAAGACATACCATCCCCTTTCCGCTTATCATTCTTCCCCTTCTTTCGATTGGCCTCGGATTGTTCACCCTCGGGCTCTTCAGGCTCCTTGGCATCCTTATCGCGCTGACTACGCGATGCAGCCCGCTGCCTCCGCGCACCGTTGGTAGGAGCTTTCGTCTTTTCCTCATCTTCCGATGCTGGCTGAGATGGAGGGTTGCTTTGTTTCGATATGGCCCCGGGGGATGGAGAACTTGTGCGTTGTCGTTTGGTCGCTTGCTTATTGCTAGATAATCGATCTGTTAGTATAAACTTCTTGTCTACCGCCACGGGTGGCCGGCGCACGGCCGAGTGCAAACTTACGCTTCGCTATCGCTTCGACTTCGCTTGCCTCTCCGCATTGCAATATCGTCCCCGATAGATTTTGTGTCCTCCTTACTTTCCTCGATGGCCCGACGAAGCTGTTCTTCTTCGTCATAAGCGGCATCGCGACTATTCATGGTCGACCGGCGTTTCGGGTTGGAGAGGGAATCGGCCGGACGAGATTTTGTGTCTTTCGCACGTTTGGAGTCATCTTGGGACGATGCGCGGGAGGAGGCTGCGGAGGGGGGAGCAACTGGGAGATACTGGGAGGAGTGTTGACTGGATAATCGTAAGTGTGTGTCCCGGATTATCAGATAGAAGCGGTGGTAATCGGGGATCGCGAAGTATGTGACGGAATTGAATGGAAAGAGGATGTGGAATGGGCCGTCGCTCTGCACCAGCGCACGGGAAACGAAAAAAAAAAAAAATCGTTCGGATAACAAAATCAGAATTGAAGGAAGAATCTTACCCATTTGGTTCATTTCGAATTCTATGAAGATCCTTGCGGCACTCTTCACAGAAATACTCGTCGGGGCTCATCGCCTCATCCATGATGCCCACGCAGCCACCATGCTGCCACACTTTGCATTTATCACATTGGATAAACATACTGCCGATGTCATCGGACATCAAGTCCGACGAGTCTGCGGATAAGTTCATGGCGGACTCATCCTTGATTCTGGGATGGACCCCATTGCGACCGAGAGCCTCCCGCCGAGAAGGGGGAAGACCAGGGTAGTCCTGCTGGCCACAGAGACACCGGGTCACCTCTTCCTCTTCGTCCTCTTCCTCATCCTCAGGATCTTCCTCCTCTCCGTTGCCCAGTCCGTCATTGTCATCGTCCCCTCGAGTGCGCTGGCGCTGGCGGGTGTGTGGGAGGTCGTTCTTCGAGGCCGCGTCGGCATCGTCGATGGACTGGGACCGGTGGGTCGAGGATCTCTGAGGAGAAGAAATCTTGTGATTCGAGCGAGTACTTCGCTCGCGAGTCAATGAATTCGAGGAACTCGACGAGTTTGTGTGTTGGAGGAGGGCCGGGGACGGCTGGGAGGTGCGGGCACGGGAGGAGCGGCGAGGCGTCATGGTGAACGTTATTGCGGTGGGCTTCGGATAATGAGAGGAAGCAGAGAAAGACAGGAGGAGAATTAAGCTGCAGAACTTCGATCACCGATGGCGTAGAGCGAGCGCTAGCCCGTAGGCGAGCTGTCGCACGCGGATGGAGGAGAGAAAAGCTGGAGCAGAATTCGTAGCGGTTGAAGGGGAGGAGGAAAACGCAGAGGGGAAAAACGGGCGAAGGGAAGGAAATGGAAGACAGCAATTGAGACGAAAGAGTGGGAGGAAACAAAAATCGCGTCCAAGAGCTCGAAGGAGAGCCGGGACACTACATAGTCTTGGAGGAACTGGTGGTGGTGGTGAGAGGGTGGGGAGAAAAGAGCGAGCGAGCGAGCGAGCGAAGGAAAAGAAGAGCGGCAGAGGAGGAGTTGCCGGCTGTTGCTGCTTTGGGTCTGTTCCCGTCAACTGGTTGGGGATCGTCCGCCTTTTTTCCCCGCTCTGCTTCCCTCTCTCCTCCTCTCCCATTACCCTCTCCCACAATTCCCTCTTCCGACGTTGTGAGAACGTCCCATAAAATAGGTGACGATATTTTGCTCTCCCGTTGAAATTTCTCTCGTGAAAATATCTGACCGATTCCAGATTGCATTCGGTGGTTGTTGCAATGATCCGATTCCCGCAAACCCCGCTTACCACGACACCCTGGTCCTCTGCATCCCTCCCACCTTTCCCGCTCAAGCCGAAGTGACAGTCCTAAACCTGAAGTACAGTTCCTTATTCACAAATGCAATTTCCACTTCTTTATCACAATGCGCTGCATTGCGAAACCAGAGTCGCGACGATCAGGCCCTCCGACGAGACCGATGTCCTTCCACAGTGGTTCAGTCAGCATACTTCAGCTAAATCAGCGGGGGAATGTCGCCAGAGACAAGAACAGCGGTAGGACTGTCCAAAGTTGCGACGCATATTATGGTCCTTGGGAGAAGTTGGGCTGGAGCATCACCCCAGCTGCAGTAGTAGACAGCTTCTCGGGACGAAGCTATCTCCCAGGATCAATCGTTGCGTCATGACCAGCGAGGTTCATCTGGCAGCGTCTGGTCTTGAACCCCTTCTCGCTGGGTTTCCGTCGTCCTACCGCTGTGTTTTTGAGCCCTGGCTTGGTGGGTTCACTCTGGAAAGGAACATGAAACGTAAAAGAGGATGAACGCCGCGGATGGACAGGATCTAGAGAGCTCCTGATGTAAATTCTATTACCGGCAGATTGCTGGGACGATCTACGCAAGGTGGTCCGGGAGCTGCTGAACTTGCAGGAACTGAATTGCCGAGGAGTGAAATAGAAGGATGTAGACTCCTAGAGCGGTTGGGGGAGTTGAAGCAAGACAAGATAGACAAGATCAAGCTCTGCAAAAGAATAGAAAAATTGATCAGCATTTAGAACGACATAGGTAGCTTACCGAGTTCCTCCTGTGATTATGATGAGTATTCCGCATATTGCGCATAGTGAATAACTGTCTTAAGCAGACATGACTAAGCCATACGGCAGTGTGATTAATCGGGATTATTATTTGGTGAGAGAGGCAGTCCGTGACCCCTCCGCCTTTCCTTCTCCCCTATACCGCTATCCCCCTCTTATTCTTCTCCTTCTCCTGTTCGATCCCCTTGGATTTGGTCCTTGGATTTCTTCGCCTTTGTTTCTTTTGGCCCCCTTGGACTTCTTTTCCTACCCATCCCTTCATTTCGTTCGTTGTGTGCGAGTCCGGTTCGGCTTGGCCCGTTCCCTTCCCGACAACTCATTGGGCTACTTGGTCAAAAAGTCTGCGTTGGTAGACTGGGCCGGTTAGTCTCCGCAGTGAAGGTCTTCTCGTTGCTCTTTTCTCCGGTGTTCTCAGGTGTGCTCTGGACGTTCTTTGGGTTGGATTCTTGTCGTCTCCCTCCTGGTCGGTGTGGTGTGTGGCTCTGAGTACCCGATGGCCGCATTGACAATTATGACAGACGGACTAACCGATACTGCGGTTTTCAGGACCACCTCCGTATCCCGTCTTTTCTTTCGCACAGCAACCCTTCCTCGCTATTCTCTCGGACATATTCGCGAAAGATATCCGGAATCGCTGGAACTCAGAAACAAGAAGAAAAGAGGGAGAGGTCGACGAAAATTCAACGACAACCTGAAGGAGACATTTTGCCGTGACAAAAAAAGCCAAGACGTACCTTCCACATCACGATCGAGCTGGGTAACCACCGCTTGGATAGCCGGTCGGCTGTGGTCGTGGAGGTTGAGAGTGCCGATAATTTTGCATAATGACCGCTACGTTGAGTATGTCCTTCTCACCGAGGATTGTTCTCCTGTCTGGCTGCGGTCCGGTCGGATAAAGGCAGCCTCTCCTGATGGAGGTATCTGCTGGTTGCTCAGTTACTGATGCTGTCACCCGCAGATGGGATGTATAACTCGGCCCCAGATACTCCGTCCCCTGTCTACCCGGATAGGTTGATTCGTCCCCTTCCCAAGCGTACTCTTCGCTCGCGACTGTCCTCCGACGCCGCAGACACGATCCTCTACCCTCCGGCGCCTCCGGCGACCCAACTCTTCTACGGGTCCTGTGCTGATAATGGAGATGCTGTGAACGAGTCCAAGGTGTATGTGCAGCAGAGTGAAGGTCCGGAACAACCCTTGGATGCCGATGTGCATTACGAGAACGGGGTTGACCTGGAGAGCGGTGACGAGGATGGTCCTGTCGTAGTTCGACGTAGTGCCGGGTTCAGGGGATCATCGCTGTCACCGGCTCCCTCCAGCGCACCGCATCTGAGCAACGGGGACGGGTCTCAGGCCAAGTCATCTGCGGCCGGGCCCGACGGATATGATGCCTTCGAAAACACCAACAACAAGAAGAAGCGCAAAATCCCTACTCCCGGAAACCTGGGGGGTCACCACTCCACTCTGTCACCTGAATTCTCCACCATGGGCTTGGCCAACTCGGCTCAGAGCCCTTCAGCAGCGGGTGACGGAAGTCATGTAAGTACGTTCTACGGTACGGGGAGTCCAGCATCTCCAGTGGCTAGTGGCATGTCCGGTGCTGGAAGAGGCCGTCTAGGACGTAACACAGCTCGCAACAGCTCAGGGCGGGGACCGTTGTCGGTTCAGACCCAGTTCGGTTGGTCCCATGGCAGACAGGCGGGTCGTCGTGAAGCCGGACCAGGTATGTCACATTTTGGTCTCGTCTCCTTTCGTGCGGCAAGCTCATTCGTTTCAGGTGACTCTCCTGGAAAATCTGACCAGGGGATTATCTCCGCCGCCATCGCCAATGCTGCTGCATCCGCGTTCACGTCACCGCCTCCGGCCTCGGGGAGCGTCAGTATGCTCGACCAACAACCAACCACTCCCACCAAGACACAGTTTACCTTCACGTGCGAATCGGACTCGTCGAAAGGCATGGCATTGCAGGCGCAGACCGCATACTCGTCTCACCACCGCGCGAACCGCTATGGGTCACAGGCGAGGGAAATGAGTCCCGGTTCACCTTTGAGCCCGCAGGGCCATCCGTCCCAGAACCGAGCCGCCGCCACGATGACCACAAACACAGCAACGAACTCGTTGGGGAATGTCGGGAACACGACGGCGACAGGAGGTACGAATGCGGCAGCGGTGAATGGCGCAGATGCGCCGACAGGCCGTAAAAAGAAGCGTTCGCCAGGAAGTATCTACACGTTAGCTGCACGTCAGCGCAAGATCCAACAACAATACGCAAATCTACATCACCCGCCGAGCATGGAGGACATCTGGATTTGCGAGTTCTGCGAGTATGAGAGCATCTTTGGACACCCCCCGGAGGCCCTCATCCGACAATACGAGATCAAAGACCGCAAAGAGCGCAAGCGACTAGCGGAGAAGAAACGACTGTTGGAGAAAGCGAAGATGAAGGGCCGCAAGAACAAGAAAGCGACGAAGAACGCATCGAAGCACGCGGCGGCTCACCCAACGGCATATGACCAGGGCTATGATCGGGCGTCTGTTGATCAGGCTTCAGCCGTGCATGACGATGAGTACCTGGCGCACGAGTACGAGGAAGAGGAGCCTGACTCGGCGCCCCCATCTGCACCCCCCGCGGCCTTCAAACCTCCGTTGCCGCCGGGAAGCCAGCCAACAGCAGCGGCGCATCCGGGGGGCGCCAAAGGAGCCACCGACCGAGGCGTGAACCGCCCGCCCTGAGAGTGGTCCACGGCTAGCATAGGGGGTCGTCTCCCACCGCGGGATGACGATCCCTGTCTATGCCGTGGACTCAGCTTTCTCCAGTTTCCTTTGTTCTGCGTTGTTTGTTTGTTCTTGGTGTTGCATGGACCCCGTATTTAGCCATTGTTTCGCCGGTTGCATCAGTGAATCCCCACTCCGATTTGACGAGCATCATGTCCGCATTACGCATTGTTCCTTGGTTAGGATGGTATCAGACGGATCGCATAGGTATGGAACGGGTAGCATGATATTTTGCATGGGATGGAGAGTCGTACAATGTTGATAGTGTGGAAATGTACTGGATGAGACGCATGGACACGTACATAGCTACACTAACTAGGTTGCCGGTAGGTCAGGAACGAAGAATGAATGACAACCAATGAGTCTAGGAGTCTGCATCCTTTGACGTTTAAAATAGATGTTGCAGAACGAGACGTGCGTCGGCGCCTGCTGAATCATCGACGCATACGCGCGCGCCGAGAGCGTTTCATTGTCGACCCCGCAAGAGGGATGATTGGCTCCGGCGTCTTTGAAGTAAGTATACACCGGCGGCTCTTTATTTATAGACTACAATGCAGTTTGTAGAACACAAGATAAGATATAAAGCAGAGTCGTCGGCTGGATTCTCATCCTCATCATCCATTCCCTTCCATTCATTCTTTTCTCTTCTCTGTTTATCTATCTATACCTTCAGACTTGCGCTGGCGCAACTACCTTACCTTCTACTACATCCAACCAAACACCACACCACCCACTCCCAACAAAAACCTCGCATAAATGTGGTTCCTCCTGCTGAAAGTCTTCCGCATTGGCGTAAAACAAGCCAAAAAGCACAAGGCCAACAAAGCCGCCGCCGCCGCCTGGCCCGAAGCGCACCCCGACGCCAACAACGCCTACCGCTACCCGGCAGCCGAGCAGCCCCCGATCCCGATGCCACCCCCACCAGCCCCAAAACACAGCACGCCCAAGACCCTGGCGCAGCTGCTCCTGCGCCTTGTCCAGTTCGCGCTGGGGATGGCAATCATCGGGCTGTACGGCGGGGCGGTGAACACCGCGCGCGAGAAGCACGCCGCAGCGCCGGCAAAATGGGTGTACGCCGTGGTGGTGGGGTTCCTGACGGGGACGACGGCGCTGGTGCAGCTGGGCGTGCTGGGGATGGCGGTGAAGCGCGGCGGGGTGCCGGTGACGAGTCGGGTGAACCTGGCACTGCCGATTTGCGCGTGGGAGAGTATCCTGTGTGTGTTGCTGCTGGTGCTGTTTGGGATCTTTGGGGAGATGTTTATTGGGGTCTACGGGGAGCGGGAGGGGGTGGATGTGACCAAGATGCGGAGGGCGGTTTGGGTGGATTTGACGACGCTGCTGTTGTGGATAGGGACGGCGGCGTGGGCGGGGCTGCGGTGGTGGAGGGGGAATCGGAGTGATCGGGCTGTGGAGGGATTGGAGATGGGGGAGAAGGTCTAGATGGCTACTGGTGGGTCTATAGACTTGGGGTTTAAGTTGTGTTGGTGGGAGGTATTACGGACTATAGTGGTGGACACTGGTGTGGTTGGTGTGATGTTATGTTATTGTACGGTCTCACAGCTAATGCTACTTTTCTTCGGTATCCAAGTCCTTTTCGTCCTTCTTCCGACTCTCCTCGATGAGAAGACTGAGCTGACTGCGGCCTCGTGAGAGAGAAAACGGCGTTAACGGCAACACGCTGGCCCGCCGCGAGCACGGGGACGAGCTGTCGATGCGCGAGGGCGTCATGATAGGCACGCTCGTCGCCGTGGTGGAAGTCTCCACCTCCGCAATATGAGACTCCGTTTTCAAGGGCGAGGGCGCAGCGTCCGCCGTGCGACTGCTCCCAGCCGACGTTGCCTCAAGATACTCTGCGAGATTCATGCCGGCGGCGTTGGCAGCGGCCAGCGAAGACGAGTAGAACTCCTGCTCCTGGTGAAGACGCTCGGAGAAGCGCGAGCGGAAGCCCTTGTCGATGAGGGACTGTGCTGACGGCTGCTCATAGTTCTCGGGACATACGTAGCGCACGTCGTAATGGGTCCAGTCGTCGGTGGTAACGAAGCCCCATTTTGAGGGTGTGGATTTGGCGCTGTGTGGTGGCGAGGATTTTTTTTTACGGAGAATAGTTTTGAGCTCAGAGAGAAAGGCTGGTGGGAGCTGGATTGGTTTGTTGTCCAGGTCATCGTCCGCTTCGACGGGAGGGTTGATTTCCGCAGCTGTGGATATCGCCGGTATCAGGACTTCGGCAGGTGCAGGTTCTGGCGTGGGTATGAGAGTTTCTAGCACGGGGACATTAGCGCCTGGCATGTGGCTGCGGGTGTAGTCTCACCTTCAACAGGTTCTTCGAACACACTAGTTTGTCCCTGAAAAGGGGGAGGCGACTCTGCTGTCAACGGTGAGAGCTGAGGACTGTGGTTGCGGGTGCTTGCGGCGGAGTTTTGCGACGACTTGCGGCGCATCACCACCGGCCGACGCTTGATGTTCCTGGTTTTCGGCGCGACATAATGCGATTTCTTCGGAGTAGGACGATTCTGAGTAGCTGCGGTGAACAGCGGCGGGGGAACCGGAGTGGGAGGGTTATCTGGCTTGCGGGTGATACTCTGACCTTCCTGGCCGGTGAGGAGCAAGCGGGTGGTCTTATGAGATTCTCCAGAGGTGCTTGATTTCTTCAGAATAGGATGAAGTGGCGCGCGGCTGGAGGTGGGAGCATGGGCAGGGGGTTGTTCTTGTTCCTGCGGTTTCGCGTCCGGTTGCTTCTTAGACCGCGTGGACTTCTTCTTTCGAGACTAGCGATGGTTATGTCCACTTATCGCTGGGCCACGTCAAAGGCTCTACACACCTTGAATTGCTGCATGGAGAACGGAGTGGGCTCCGAGATGCGCATGAACAAGCTGGCGAGTCTGGAACCTCCTATGGAACCGCGCAGTTGCTCACTGCTCCAAGTGCGCCAGAAGAAGTTCTCGAGCCGATGGCCAGTGTGGCCTTCATGCACGGAAGGGTTGGCGTTGTAAACTGTAGAAGGACAGATCAGAAGCTGCTGGATGGAGCGAAACAGACGAGAACGAACTCTTCCAGAGTTGGATGATTTGCGCCAGGTCAATGACGTCCAAGGAATCCAGCTCCGAGGACACCTGAGTTGCAGTCGCCAAGAGACCCTTGGGAAGATCTTCCATGCTGAGAGACAGGCGAATAGGAGCTTCAGACGAGGATGGTTGTGGAACACTACATGGTCGAGGAAGAGGTGAGAGGCGACGAGGGAAACCAAGAGAGGGTGAGAGGAAAAGAGAAGGAAAAAGGGTGAGAGTGGGACAGTGAGCGAGAGAGTGAAGGAGGGAATCACTCCGAATGATGCGACTAGCGGTGAATGAACAACATCAGCCCTTCAAGGAAGAAGGGCGTCTGCGGTCATTGGTCGGACAGGCAAACAATCGAGGGACCATACAAGTCTTCAGGAGGGCATCCCCACGAGGGTGGACCTTGAGGAATCCGGGGAAAAGAATGAAAGACGGCGGATGGGGGGATGGAGGGAGAACGGCGATGAAAGAGAAGAGAAAAGTATAATGCCCTTACTCGTCATCATCAATCACACGGACTGGCCGCAGCAGTGAATCCACCGTAACAGACCGGGGATGGAGATTCCCTCGACTCCTACTGGTTCCGCGGGGAGCCCACGGGGCACAAAGGGTGGCCTCAAAGGGGGGACCGATCATCCTCCAGAGGGAGAGTGGGTGTGGCATGCGGTGTCTTCATCTTGATTGCAGCCTGGGCTGGGGGGATTGAGTATCTTTCAACGGATCGCCATGGAGATTCTGCAAAGACAGCGAGACGCAAGCGGGGGGAGGGAAGAGAGAGGTTGGGGAAATGCAGAAGATGGATGGAGAGAGAAAAGAAAGAGAGACAGACAGACAGAGAGAGAGATCTGGTGCAGAATGCCACCTGCATACCACACTAGATCCTTGCCGGAAATACATCATCAGCCCCATCCTGCCGAGTCACGCTCCCTTCCAGAAGATTAATCCAGAAAAAGCAACCATTGCGCAGGCGGCAACATCGGCTGTCCATAATTCCGCAATAAGTACCTGAGATAGTTATACCTGGTAATGAGATTGATGTGGGATCAGTCCGTGGAATAGATGTTCATCAATGGTGAATAGTGACAGATCCACTCCAGTCTATACTCGCGGCAACAAATACACTTCGCTCGCTTTTAAACAGTCCCAGCAGCAGAATCAACAAGCTCGTCAGAATGCAGCTCAAATCAACACAGCCCAGAATTAAAGGCAACAGAAAAAAAAAGCCCGATCTATGCCAAATAAGCCCCGTACATCATGCCACATATTAAAAAGGTACAACTTTTGCTCGATTAGGTCAGGGTGTAGCCGCCATCCACCCGCAGGTCCGCGCCGGTGATGTACTTGGCGGCATCACTGAGCAGGAAGGTAACGGCGCCCATGAGATCCTCCGGCGTTCCCATCTTACCGGCGGGGATCAGGGAGATCCACTTGTCCCGCAATTCCGGGTTCTCCTCGAGGATCTTGCGGGTCCTGGACGTCAACCATTAGCAAGAAGTTCCATTGCAAGCAAAACCCACACTTACAAGGCCGTCAGCATGTATCCAGGACTAATGCAGTTCACCCGGATGTCGTAACTCGCCCATTCAACCGCGAGAGACGCGGCAAGGTGACGAACGGCCGCCTTAGCAGCGTTGTAGGGCGCCTGGGGCTGCGGGACGTTGACAATTGCACCCGACATGCTACCGATCATAACAATGCTGCCGGGAACCTTGCGCTCCATCAGGTGCTTCGCAACTCCGGTCGCAAAGAGATAGGTGCCGTCCACGTTCACTCCCCACAGCTTCTGCATACGGTCGTAGGGGTAGGAGATGGCGTCAAAGTTCTCGGTAAAACCGGCCGAAGTGACGAGGTTGTCGATCCGACCGTGCTTCGAAATGACCTCCTCCAGGGCGGCATTGACGGAATCAGGGTTCGCGACGTCGGCATAGTGGGCGGTAACATTCGGCATTCTGAATACAACAAGTTAGTATTTTGGCACCGTGCGGGGATTGAGAGACATACTCCTCTAACCCCGGGTTTTCCTTTCGGAACTGCTCCACCAGCTTCTGAGCCTGCTCTTCTGCCTCCGCCTCTATGAGATTGGTCAGTGCTGGTGCTTCAACGCGTCAAGTGATAGCTTGAACCAAAAACGTACTGTTCAAGTCAACAATGGCCAGGTCTGAACCCGAAGCTACCAGAGCCTGGGACATGACCAGACCCAGACCTCGAGCGCCTCCCGTCACCAAGCTGACCTTGTTTTCGAGCGAAAACTGCGCGAGGGTGCGCTTGAAGTGCATTCCACCACGGCCCTGCACGACCGCCGTGCGAGGCATGTGCTCGTCATCGGGGTACTCAATCTGAAGACTCTCATCCGTTCGGGCAAACCGACCTTCCTGTTCACCGAGAGCGCCTTTGGGAGCTTTATCGGTGGCAGCTAGCAGGGGATCCTTCTTGGCCTTATCACTTTCATCGTTGGCACGGGGAGCGGTAGAAGAGAGTCCGCGGAAGGTGGTTCGCGAGGCGGGCGCAACCAATGCCGCGGGACGAGCGGTTTTGTTCAGAGCCTTGACGGCCTGACGAGCGACCGTTGGTCTGAACATGATGAGTGAGACTCGATAAGCCTGGAAATAGATGATAGAAGGGAATTGAGAGGTCCGATCGGGCAATTGAGTCTGTCTCGAGGAGCTCTGATTGAACTGGTAGGTAGCAGCGAGAAGAGGATCAGACGAGGGAGAATGGATGAATCGCAGATAAAGGGGGTGTATAGGGAGGGCCTCGTCTACCTACGTAATTGACAAGGGAGGGGAAGGAGGGAGACAAGAAAATCAAATGGAGTTTGTTGCCCCCGAGCTGGTAGAGGAGAATTAAAAGGACGAGAGGCGGAGGAGTGACCAGGTAAGGTGTCCACACGGCAGCAAAAACAATCAATGACTGCACCCCGTAAAAAAGAAAGAAAGGAAAAAATAATATTATTTCATTAAATATTAAAATCGAATCAAATTAATCAAAGAATTGACCGAAAAAAGAAATATGGGGATGACGGAAGGGTAGCTGGGGAATGTACAACTTGGAGCTAGGAGCAATTGCGGTGAAAATCGCCAAGCACCAGATCTCTGCCAGTCAGAGAGGCAGGATGGACGGTGTGAGCACAGGACTGCTCGCCAGTGCATTCCATTGCCATTGACCAGTGGCCAGTGGCGCTGATCGCGATCATTCGAGAAGGTCCGACTCATCCTCATTGTACTTCCAAGTAGTTTGTACTACTGGGACTCAATCCTGGAGAAGTGACGGAGAAAGAAAGTGATGTCAGGCGGAGGAACACCCTGGCCAGGCCCCAACCGCCATGCAGCGATCTGCCCCCGAGTGGATCCGCTCCCAGCTGGCTTTTTTGCCTCCCGCGTGATCGGGCCAGCGATAAATATCATGGATGCGATCTGTGGTTAGCCAGAGTCACAACCATGGTTGGCATCTATTTTTCTTTATCTTGTTCCTCTCATCCTGTCTTGTTCTATCATCCCAACTGCTAATAATTCCGATTCTTGTAAATGATCATCGAGTTCGGATTATGGTACACTCGATGCAAATCTGCAATAAATCCAGGAATAACCATCTGATCTATAGCAAACCATAAGCCTCCCCCACGGCCATCGGGTCAAGTGACCCTCTAAGTTTTTCCCAGGATAGTGTACCACTATCTATAGCATCTTTCTTTCAATCAAACCATAACTCCATATCAATGACTACAATCTGATCACTTATCATTCTCCCGTTTTCTAGAACCACCCTCCCCCCGACCCTCCACCCAACCCATCATGATTTGACCTGTCTCACGTCGCTGACCTGTCCTGGCTCATGTGATCATCCTGACGACGTATTATCTGAATAATTGCAGTACCTTGCCGCCGACATCCCATCAAACACTTGCATCCCATGCATGCAATCCATGGATGCTCAAATTCAATTCAATTCACTTCACTTCCGGATGGAATCCCACGGACCGCAACCAGCTGCATGTACTTTGTCACCGGCATATAAGATCCAAGAATTCCACCATCCTTCCCCCCTCTTTTCCGCTGCGAAGCTCTGATCGCGCTGATCCCGCAACACTTGTCCTCTGTCGCAGCGACGGAAGAATCCTTTCGCCACTCGTCTCTGACTAATCTCCTAAACAGCTCCTATCACACCTCCGGACTCCGACTCCCGTTTGGGTCTCCGCTCAGTCCGGCCATCCCGTGCGCGGCCGGGGATAAGGGTGGGGCAGCGGAGGAAGCTACGAGATTGGGGCCAACTGTAATCCCACCGGATCCATCCATCCACTTCCCAGACAATAATAGAAATATCTACTTATATGAATTAATACACTCTTTGTAGCTGTCTGCAACGTCACCACTAGAAAGCTTGGACGCCTCCATGAGCTCTGCCCTTATCTTCTTATGTTGAATGCTGTTATCGGTGGATGTAGGACGGTTTTGGTAGCTTCTAACTTCCGATCAGCGTAATGTCATTGCTTGTGAGGCGTGTGGCCCGGAATCAATATTCCTTGCCGACGGACCAGAATCTGAGAAGGATTTGCTTCAGATCTCACTTCTGCCAATATTGATTAGGTGGCTACTGGTAATGTGAGGTCACAAACTACAGTAAGGGTGGGTGAGAGCATGCGGTGTCCCATGGCCGACTTTCGTTGCCTTACGGAGTACTCTAAAATGTATTCGGTGGTTCTCATCCTCCAGCTAAATTACAGCTCGTCTGCTGCCACCATCTGTAATAGCCATGGCACAATTGCATGGACTTCTCTCCTTCGTCCTTCCCCGTCTCTCTATGAATGCATTTTGCTTCTTCCTTTCGGATTTGCTTTTCCCGTTCCGCTGTCTGATACCCTCACTCACTACCCTCTTCGGCAAATTCGACGAGCGGCGTGCCACTTTTGCATTGGTCCTGTAAGGCACATCCAGAGGTTAGTCATCGGCTTTAAAAACATAATTAGTGCGTGCGGATCCTGGGAGCTCAGATGGAAAGCCCGTGGAAGCTCGCCGGTCAGTCCGTGCATGGGACCGCGGCAGCCGGAACTTCAGGCTAGCTAGGCCTCTCGACCCCTGAACGAAACAAGCCTTAAACTGCAGCCAGGGGGTAGAAAGGGCGGTAAGGCCAGCCCGTTTCAGATAGCTCCTCTTGTCCCAGGATCTAGCCGCAATAGCCCCAGAGAATCGGGAAATAAATGGGGTCTGCATCATGCAATTTGACCGGGGTAGGGGGCACATGACTTACTCCTTGTTGGTGGACCACCTTGGCAATCGTCCCCTTCTGTGGGCTGCGGATCACCGTCTCCATCTTCATGCTCTCAATCACCACCAGCGGCTGGTCCTTTTCCACCGCGTCGCCCGCCTGGACTTCCACGCGCAGCACCTTGCACGGCATCGGTGCCAGCACGCTGTTCGTCGCGTCCTTAAGACCCAGCGCTTTCTCCATCCATGGCGCGCGGGGTGTCGTCAAGCGGTATTGCTTGCCCCTTTGGAATGCGATGATCGAGTCCTCGTCGCGAATGACTGTCGTGTCGAGCCGGGTGTGCGGGAAAAAGGAGGTGACAATGTTTGACCCGCGGTCGCTGTGGCTGACCACTTGTTCAAACAATTGTCCGCCAGCTTCGACATTGAACGTGTTGTCTCCGGTTTGCTGGACTCGCACGTTGAATTTAGCCGGCTCCTTAATTCCGGGGGTCGAGTCCGCGAGCGTCATCTGCCGCGCCTGGTAGCTGGGGCTGAATCCTACTGCAGATCCTTCAAAACTGGCCTGATCCCGCGATGAGGATTGGACCGTGTTGTGATGCAGGCAGGCCAACGCCACCTGTGCAAGTAACTCCGGCTCCATTGGCTCCTGTGCGAACAGTTCATCATGGTGTTTCGCGATATACCCCGTCTCGACCTCGCCTGCGATGAAATCCGGGCTTTTGCAGATGGTCTTCAGGAACTCAATATTTGTTATGGGGCCGGCAACTTCATACTCCTCCAGCGCTGTAGCGAGCTTGCGGATTGCGTCTTCGCGAGTCTCGCCACGGACAATAAGTTTTGCAATCATGGGGTCGTAATGTGCCGAGACCTCGTCCCCCTCGATGAAGCCTGCATCAATCCGCGTATCTTCGGTGGCTGCAGGGGTGCGCACATGCAGGAGAGTTCCCGAATCCGGGATGAAGCCCTGGTTGGGATTCTCGGCGTAGATTCGGGCCTCGATTGCATGTCCCCTAGTTTCCATGTGGGTTTCTACCTCCTCTTGAGTCAACGGGAGCTTAGCACCCTCCGCGACCTTGAGCTGCCAGTAAACCAGATCCTGGCCGGTGACCATCTCCGTCACGGGATGCTCCACCTGGAGCCTAGTGTTCATCTCCATGAAGAAGAACTCGCCGGTGTCGTTGTCGAAAATGAACTCGACGGTTCCGGCCCCCTCGTAACCTACGGCTAAGGCAGCAGCTCGAGCTTTGGCCCAGAGATCCTTCCTCGTTGCATCGGGGAGGTGAGGAGCAGGAGATTCCTCGAGGATCTTCTGGTGACGTCGCTGAATACTGCAGTCCCGTTCCCCCAGGGCAACGCAATTGCCATGCTTGTCTGCGAAGACCTGCACCTCGATGTGACGTGGGGTGGTGATGTACTTCTCAACCAGCACATGGTCGTCGCCGAACGAGTTCATAGCCTCCGATTTCGCGGATTGGAGTTGCGCCTGGAACTCCTCCTTGGACTGCGCAATGCGCATGCCCTTGCCACCGCCTCCTTTGATTGCCTTAATAAGAACAGGGTACTTAATTTTGTCGGCCTCGGCCTCGAGAAAGTGGGGATCTTGGTTCTCGCCGTGGTAGCCGGGGACGCAGGGCACGCCCGCCGCAGTCATGATGTGTTTCGACTGGCTACAATGTTTCAGCACTGACACCCCAATTCACACACGACACGACCGTCTTACCTCTTGTCACCCATGTCTTCAATCGCCTTCCAAGGCGGTCCGATGAAGACCAACCCTGCCTCTGTGCATTTCCGCGCAAAGGCGGAATTCTCACTCAACTAAGCAGGAGCAGTATCAGCGTAGCTCTATCAACGGCACGTGGGCAGTCCATACAAAACCATAACCCGGATGAATTCCCTGGCAACCCTCTCGCTTTGCAATCTCGATAATCCGGTCGCCGTCTAGATACGCCGAAACGGAGCCCAAGTTAAAGGCAAAGGGCGAGCTCAGAGCATGCTGCGCGCGGCTATCGGGGTCGGTGTAGAGCGTAGTAACGCGGATGCCGTGCTGAGCGGCGGTGCGTCCAACCCGTCTAGAACAGTAATGACGCCATTAGCAAATGCAACCTCTTGTACAGTGATCGTATCCAACATACAGCGCAATCTCGCCCCGATTCGCAATAAGAATAGAGTCCAGTGACTTCTGAGACTGAGCGGTGTTCCCAGACACCGTCGACGCCGCCCTTCTCGCCCTGCGAGCGGCTGTCGGCCCCAGACGGGCGGAAGTGCGGAGAAGCGATGAGAGAGGCATTGTCACGAACGCCGGCGTAGACAGCCACAAGATTGACTTAACACCGTAGAGGACGCAGATAGGCAGTTTGCATAGTTCTGTTGACGGTAGGTAGAGAGCTCTGGAGAACCTCCGGCCACAGACTGGAAGCCCGACCAGCTACTTTAGAGGCGCCTCCACGCCCCCTTGAGCCGACGCAAAGCGAGGCTGCGGGGAAGCCCCGTGCACGTGCCACCGACGCCTCCGTCGATCACGGGATCTGACGCTCGGATGACTAAGCGCATATCTGGCTCTTTTCTTTCAGCCGCGGTGTTTTGCGCCGGTGCAGTTACAGCGCAGCGCAGCAGCAGCCTCCTCCCATTACCCGATCGGGAGTTTTGTTTCTCAAAGTAAACACTGTCTCACGGCTCTTCTTTGTCTCACTCTTTGCTTTTGCTCCGTTATATACATCTTTCGCTTGCTTCAACGGAGTCCAACTTCCCCAGCTCCATTCACTCTTTTCGCTGGCCTCACCAATTCCGCCATCATGTCGGATGACGAATTCTACGAGGAGTACGACGATGAATATTTCTGGATCGAGGAGCCCGATCCCACCGTCGCCGTAAGCCTTACCACCCCAGACAGCCGTTTGAAGTAATATTCAAACGCAGCAACTAACCCTAGCCCGTAGGATGACCTCGCCGCAACCGCAACTTACGACGCCCTCTTCTTCGACGACCCCTCCCTAGACGTCGAAGACTTCTACAGCGACTGGGACGAGCTCTCCGACGACTACTACGACGAAGACTCAACGGCCGCGCGCCGACAGCGCGTGATGGCCAAATGGCCAAACAAGCGACGCCGGGCCCGACGCCGACGCCGAGCAGCTCGAGCACGAAGCCGAACGAGCCAACCGCGTCCTCTCCACTGCCATCTGCACGAAATTCCACCCGGGCACGGACCTCTCCTCCTTCCGCAGCGTCGTCTGGAAGGACGACGCCGATGAGAGTCGGACCGCGCTCCACAAGCCCGGCGACGGCGAGAAGGTCGCCCTGCTCAAGAACTGGCGCGAGGTGTTCCGCTCTGCGCATCCGGCGACGACGGAGCGGCTGCGCATGCGGAAACTGGCCGCGATCAAGGCTGATGCGGTGGATGGTGTGCATGTGCCGCGCGCGTCGCGCGGCAGGAAGCGCAAAGCGGAGGAGCACGGCTCGGACGTCGTGTCCGAGGTGTCGGCGGTGGATGGGTTGGATGGAGGGGATGCGGGTTCGGCTGAGCAAGTCGCTTCCCCGGTGCATGCGTACAGGGTCGTCAAGTCGCCGGAGGATTTGCCGGTCAACTCCAAGATGGCGGAGCATGAGTACCCGATTGAAGGTCACGAGACGTACGATGATCCGATGGGAGCCTTGGAACATTCCTCGGAGGTGTCGCCTTCCAAGCGACGGACAAGAGCTAATGGCACTGCCGCTGCGTCTCCTGCGAGAGGACGTAAACGCAAGGCCTCTGTTTCAGAAGGGCAACCGGAGGCAAAGCAGAGCAAAAGTAGCGCGAAAACGGCATCTGCATCGAGGTCGAAACGGAGCACCTCAAAGAACTTTGAGGCTTCTGAAGGGCCTCCCGCTGTTCGACGGTCAACAAGAAACAGAAAATAACCGCGCATTTACGAAGGCATGATATGAACAAAATAGTGACCCGAGTTTTGAAATGATATAGATTGTAAATACAATACATGAGACAGCGCTATGCATATTCTTTATTGAACGCACGCCCGATTACCATCCGTCTGATCTCGCTGGTTCCGGCACCGATTTCGTACAACTTCGCATCTCTGAGGAGTCTTCCCGCGGGGATCTCATTGATGTAGCCGTTTCCGCCCATCAGCTGGATGGCATCGAGAGCGCATTCCGTCGCCCTCTCGGCAGCGTACAGGATAGCCCCTGCACAGTCCTGGGTACGGATGACGACTCCGGACGAGGCCGAGTTATCGATTTGGCGCGCTGTAGCATATGTGTATGCCCGCGACGCCGCAAGCTTTGTGTACATGTCTGCCAACTTACCCTGAATCAGCTGGTTATGGGCGATGGGCGTTCCAAACTGCTTGCGAACGTGCGTATAAGGAAGCACGAGATCGAGAGCGGCTTGCATGATTCTGAATTATGTTAGCCTGTGGTCTTTCTTTGAAGAGGACCTGGTACTTACCCCAGTGGACCAGCACTGAGAACCAGACGCTCCAGGTCGAGTCCCTCCATCAAGACCTTGACACCCCGGTTTACTTCTCCGAGAATGTTCTCCTTGGGTACGAACACATTATCAAAGATAAGTTCTCCAGTATTCGAGCCACGCATTCCGAGCTTGTCCAACTTCCGCGCACAGGAGAAGCCGTCGAATGTCTTCTCGACAACAAAGGCGGTGATCCCCTTTGAACCTTTCTCCGGTTCTGTCTTGGCATAGACCACAATGTAATCCGCATCAGGGCCCTGGTGGAATTAGCATCGAGAAGCTTCCTACACTCGAAGATAGAGGTAGACCTACATTCGTAATCCACATCTTTGTCCCGTTCAACACATAGCCCCCATCGACTGCCTTCGCGTTGGTCTTCATACTCACGACATCAGAACCAGCGGAATGCTCCGACATTGCCAGAGCACCAATCTTGTCACCGGATAGAAGGCCAGGGAGGAATCGCGCTTTCTGGTCGGGGGATCCATTGAGGGAAAGTTGATTCACGCAGAGCTGGGAGTGAGCGGCATATGACAATGCTATGCTGCCTAGACAAGACCGTTAGAAAGGACGAGAACTTATGCGAATGTTATGTTTATAACGCAAGGATTACCTGATGCGCGGCTGATCTCCTCCATGACTACACAATGGGCTTGGTAACCCATTCCCAGACCTCCGTACTCCTCATTCGCGGTCACCCCGAGGAACCTAAGCCGGATTAGAGACATTGCGTAGCAAAACATCTACTGGTGGCTGTGAATACCCTGCGTCCCCTAATTTCTTCCACATGTCTGCGGGAAACTCATTCTGGGCGTCTGTGCGGGCAGCGACTTCTTCCGGGATTTCACGTCCTGGATGAAGTAATTGTCAGCGTAACGCACAAACTGATGAGCACATAATTCATCTTCCGGGAAGTGCTGACTGGTAAACTCTTGCACGCGCTCTCGGAGCTCTAGCAGCTCGTCCTCTGTAGGTGGAACGAAGCCATTGGGATGTTTTGTCGCGAGGGTCCGTAATGCGGGGGTGCAGATGAGGGGTTTCCTCACTCCGCCGAGGGTTCTGGGGGCAGAACGAAAGAGTGAAGCCAGACGAGGAAGGTTGGTCGCCATGATGAGTCGCTACACGGGTATTCGAGAAAAAGAGAGTGGACGGAGAGGAAGAGCGGGAGAATGCAGGGAGTTGGAGGTCGATGAGGCTTGGAGGTATCGAGAGTAACCGCCGAGGCAGCGGTTAAACGCGGCAATCACCGCTCTGGGTTCTCCGCAGGGAGCATTCTGGGGATCCCGCACAGGCACCACCACCACCATCATCGTCACTCTCGTTTGCCTTCTGCACTTCTATTTCCCTCACTCAACTCCCACCTCTTCAAGTCTTTCAGTATTATGAATTCCTAGTACGAACCACTCTCTCTGTCTCTCGTCTCGTCAGTCTCGACGTCCCCACGTTCAACCCCCGCAATGCGCGCTCCGTCTCCGCTTATACGGAGCTTGAGCTCCAGACCAACAGCGCTGTCCTGTTCCAGACGGCTCCGACTTGCACAGCGGCCTTCTGTCTCATTGCACGTCAGGACCATCGCCAACTATACCCACCCTCATCATGCCTCTGCTATATCGGTTCTCCCGACGGCGGTGGATACGTCATCGCCGGACTTCAAGGAGAACGCCGAGCAGATGAAGCAACTCGTGGACCGCATGACCACTCTTCACACCACCATTGCACAGGGGGGTCCCCAAAAAGCCAAAGATAAGCACATAGCTCGTGGGAAGATGCTTCCCCGCGACCGCGTTACCGCGCTCATCGACCCGGGCACGTCGTTCCTCGAGCTGTCTCCGCTCGCCGGCCAGGGGGTGTATGAGGAAGACGTGCCCGCCGGAGGCATCATCACCGGCATCGGGACAGTAGAAGGGGTCACCTGCATGATTGTGGCCAACGACAGTACCGTCAAGGGTGGCACGTACTACCCGATCACGGTGAAGAAGCACCTGCGGGCCCAGGCAATCGCCCAAGAGAACAAGCTCCCTTGTCTCTACCTCGTCGACTCCGGCGGCGCAAACCTCCCCCACCAGGCCGACGTCTTCCCGGACAAGGAACACTTCGGCCGTATATTCTTCAACCAGGCGCGGATGAGTTCCCTCGGCATACCCCAGATCTCCGTCGTCATGGGGCCCTGCACCGCGGGAGGCGCCTACGTCCCCGCCATGAGCGACGAGACCATCATCGTCGAGAACCAGGGCACCATCTTCCTTGCGGGCCCGCCGCTCGTCAAGGCAGCTACCGGCGAAGAGGTCTCCGCCGAGGACCTCGGCGGCGGCCAGCTGCACAGCACCATCTCCGGCGTGACGGACTATCTGGCCGTGGACGACGCACACGCCATTATCCTCGCGCGCAGATCCGTCGCCAACCTCAACTACCCGAAGACCAGCGTGCCGCTGCAGCTCTCCGCGGACACCATCAAAGAGCCGCTCTACGACCCGAACGAACTCAACGGCATCGTGGGCACCAACCTCCGCCGACAGATCCCCGTGCACGAAGTCATCGCCCGCATCGTCGACGGCAGCGAGTTCGCCGAGTTCAAGCGCGACTACGGCTCCACGCTGGTGACAGGCTTTGCGCGCATCTTCGGGCACCAGGTGGGCATCGTTGCCAACAACGGCATCCTCTTCTCCGAGTCCTCCCTGAAGGGCGCACACTTTATTGAGCTCTGCGCCCAGCGCAAAATCCCCCTAGTCTTCCTGCAGAACATCTCCGGCTTCATGGTCGGCGCCGACGCCGAAAAGGGCGGCATCGCGAAGAACGGTGCCAAGCTGGTCACGGCGGTGGCGTGCGCCGATGTTCCCAAGTTCACCGTTGTGTTTGGTTCGAGTGCCGGCGCTGGCAACTACGGAATGTGGTAAGTGCTACATTGTGTCAGCTGGAGAGAATACATTTCGCTAATAACTTGGATCACAGTGGCCGTGCGTATTCCCCGCGTCTGCTGTTCATGTGGCCCAACGCCAAAATCGGCGTCATGGGCTCCGAGCAGCTCTCCGCCGTCATGGAGGCGGTTGGACGCACCGCGGACCCCGAGCTGAAGGCTCGGATCGACCGTGAATCAGAGGCGGTCTTCTCGTCGGCTCGTTTGTGGGACGACGGAGTCATCCCGCCGGCGCAGACAAGACAGGTTCTCGGCCTGGGATTGGCGGCGGCCTTGGGTGGAAAGGTAGAAGATGTACAGACGCGCTTTGGAGTGTTCCGGATGTAAGGGGAAAGGAGGATGTTGGTCGTTTACCCGGGTTTGCCTAGTCTGTCATAGATGAAAACCATTAAATAAAACATACAGCAACGTTTAGGGACGGTGTTTCAGTACACAATGGTCATGTGTCGAGACGTACTACAGGCACCGTGGGTCGTTCCAAAAAGCATCTATACCATTGTAACGGATCAGTATACAACAGCTGTCTACCACTTAAAAGGAGCCAATAAACGAATCACTTTTCCGTTCCTTGCCATAGATAACGATTCAGGATGCACCAGAAACCACAAGCAAGCAAGAAAAACACAAGTGGGTAATCGATCAACACATATCTATCGTTGAAGCGTATGGACGTTGAATCGTATGAAGGATGCGACATTAATCTAGCAGATGAAGGGTATGTGCACAGCAGAAAATAATCCTATCCCGAGTCCGACAGACGAGCCCATCCAGAAGGCTATATAATCTTGATTGAGGACAAGAGACACCGGTAGGCAGCGGAGACCGGCATCATCGGAGAGAAAAGATGTGATCGGACGATATCGGTCATTGTCTCATTTTCGTTTGAACTTTTTTTTCTTTCTTTTTGGTTTGGTAAATTTCGTTCGTTCTCGATTCGGTATTCGTAAACGCTATAGGATCACACACGGCCCCTTTCGCCGGGCCTGTCGCCGCTTCTCTTTCTTTCTGTCGAGGCGGGGTTGGGCCTCCGGGGCTTTCGAGCTGCCTTGCGTGTCCTTTCGGATGATCTGGCGGCAGAGATCGATGAAGACCTCGTTCACATTGGCTCGTCGACGAGCCGAGGTCTCGTAGTAAGGGGCGTTGCCCCAGCTCTGGGAGAGGGCGAATGCGCGGGCACGCGGCACGGCACGGTCCTCTTCGAGGTCCGATTTGTTCCCCACGATGACGATGGGGACTTTCTCGTCGTCTTTGATGCGGATGATTTGTTCCCGCAGTTCGGACAATTCGTTCAACGAGGACATGCTAGTGATAGAAAAGACGAGGAGGAATCCCTGGCCTTGTTTCATGTATAATTCTCTGGATAAGGTTAGCTTTGTCATCCAAATGGCTGGCGCGGTGGTCTATTATGGCTGGAAACGCTCCAGCTGGCGTAGGTGAATAGGGGGGTTTACCTCATGGCGGCTGTACAAATGTTAATCAGGGTGCATGGAGCGACGGCTCTGGATGGGCAGACTTACTGAATTGTTCTGTTCCCGCTGTGTCAAGGCTGGAGAACCATATAAGTCAGCTCGAACGCAACTCCAAGAAGATGGAACGAACACACATTTCTAAGATGCATTGTCGGCCCTGTACTGGTCAGCATTCGCTCGCGGAACCCGGAGACGAAATTCATTAACTCACATCTACCTCGATCTGCTTCCGATACGAATCTTCGATCGTCGGGTCGTAACTCTCAATCCAGACATTCTGGACAAATTGAGCTGTGGCGCGTCAGCGACTGGCGCATAGGCCCAATACATCGATCTTGAAGAGTTACCAGTAAGACAGCTCTTTCCCACTCCACCTAATCGCGGGGACAGTGGATGTCAGCGGGGGAGCTTGAAGGCTCTATTGTGACTAGAGAATAATGCCTACCAGCGCCTAAAACGACGATATGGTATTCGCGTCTGGGAAAAAGTCAGTCAGCCGTGTCCGTGAAGCGCCAATGCGGGTTGCATCTGGCGATGGAGATCGACAGCACTTACTGCGGTCGCATTGGAATTGCAGATGGTAGCCTTCTTTCCGGGACTGGTCACGATCTTCTTTGCGACACCGTTTCAATTCCTCTTTGGAGGAAGAGGATCGAATGGGGCGACTGGGTATGGTTTGGTATGGTTTGAGGCTTCCAATGGCACCGATCGTCTGATCTCTCTAGCTCGGGTAGTTCGATGACCGACTTAACTCCGGTCCAATCGTAATCGCTCGTCTTGCAGGGGCAACAAGCGAAATCGGGGTGGCTGGTATATAAAGACTGATTCCTTGGGTCTGTACTGAGCAACGGCTGGTCGTGGGAGGGTGGAGGAACGCGGCGGGGAGGTTTGCGCTGGGAGAGTCAGGGCAGCGACACGCGATCTGTTACATCGGTCTCAATGCCAATTGCCAGCGAGAATCGTCGGGGCGCAATCGGTCAGGGTCGGTTTTGAGGAGGAGGGTCGGAAAGGATCGCAGATGGTCGGGAGGAAGGGAGGAGACGAGGAGGGAAGAAGCGGAGAATTGATGTCAACAGGCGAAGGAAGGGCTAGACTAAAGGTGTCTAGTGACTTTCTTCGCTCGCCGGGTCAGGGCTAGGGGGCAGGCGAGGGAAGAACAAACGAGTCTGAACAAGGAGTGATGGAGAGTAAGGATATTGAGGACTGATGATTGTAGCTCGTGTTGTCGTCCGTCCACTGCGGCGGCGGTGAGTCGGAGAGAAAGAGCGCAGAATTGTTGTGCGGTCTGGTTCTCTCCAGGTTTAGTCGCAGTCCCGATCCGCAGACCACCAAAACCCTTAGCAGGAAACTTAATTCGTCTTAGACTCGAAATCCAAGCGTCGGTCGTGTACGATGTCACGATGGGTGATAGAGTTGGACGTGGAATGCCGGCGACAGCGAGGATGATGATCTGCCTCGTGTAGAATTTATACACGGGGCGCTGGGACAACGACATCATCCCCGGGGCTTGGAATCCGTGCCTGAAACAATCCTCCTTCTTCCTCCCAACCCATCATCACTGCTAGATGATACATGGGTGTGCTTTCGGTCGGGGAATGACGGTATAAGGTCCCCGGCGTCGTGTACTTTGTCCTCGCCTATCATGCAATCCGACTTCTGATAGATCAAGTGTGTTGTGGTCCAGAATCCTCATCGCCGTTACAGATCCCCGGTACCAGTCTTCTCGGATCGAAGAACGACAGTGTCTGGCTGGTTCCGGCAGACTCCTTAGCCATCTACATGTGACGGTCGACCCCTGAGAATTTTCTCGGATGTACAGCGTATGGACAGGTTGAGCTGGACGAATATGACATGACCAGATAGACATATGCATCGCCAGATCGAATGCCGAGGATCTACGGCAGAGAGCGCCCATCTGCAGACCTTGCTGCTTGGACCGTGCATGGATGAACTGTCTGCCAGGTGCCTAACTATATATAGAACTTAGCAAAGAGTCCCCTGGTCAATAACAACATGAATCATTGTCAACGTGGCGTCACGTATGTACACATTATCTAACAACCATTCATCGTGTCATGGTCAACCTGTATCTTCTTCTCGACCGCCGCCGTGGCATCATCCCTGGAGGACCCATACCGTTCCAGGGCCTCAAACACATGGCCGAAAACCAGCTTCTCCACGTCGCTCGCCCACAAGAAATCTAGGTGCTCATATTTGGGGATCTTCTTGGCCGTGGTCCCCCGCGGCAATTCCTTCAGCATGACGTCGATGTCGACCAGACTGTCACTGCCGCCATACAGCAGCACGATAGGCGTTTTGATGTTCTTGGTCGGATACTTGACCGGCTTGTAGAATCGCTCGCTGGCGACCACGCTGAATGGCGCGTGGACCTCGTCATCGTAGAACTGGAAGTTCTTGTGCCGGATGATCTGAAACCAGTGCACTACAGACTTGGTGCTGGTGAAAGAAAACAAATGCAGGTAGCCCGCCAGCTTCTGCCAGCGGCTGATGTTGGCGCACTTCCAGTTGAACAGGATCGAGAGCGACCGGTCGATGATGCGCACAAAGATGGGCGGATAAAGGACGGTCTGCCACATGGTGGTCGAACTCAGAATGCTGCGCCGACCAAAGAGCAGAAACAGGAAATTCGGTGAGGCCTTCATCAGCGAATCGACAAAGTGGTTCGGCAGCCCCGTCGGCGCCATCGCGGGCGCAAGCGCAACAAAGACATCGACTTTCTGGTTCAGGACCGGGTGGATGGAGAGCGTGGCAAAGGCCTGCGCCGTCCCCTGCGAAAACCCGACATACGACAGGGAAGGCTGGCCCGTCACCTCCAGGATGTAGGTAATGCTGTCGGGGATGTCGTGGAAAGCGAATTGATCAATCGAAAAGTCCCAGAACTCATTGGTCGACGGCGACCGTCGCACCGACTTCTTGGAGTATTTGTTGCCGCGATTGTTTCCGAGCCACACATCGTACCCGCGCTCAACCAATTGAAAGGGGAGACAGCGTTGCTCTTCCGTCAAGCACACCCACACCTCGCTGCACATCAGCAGTCCGTGGTGCAGGTACACCACCTTCTTTTGTGTGCTTCCTTTGCCCTGGTTGACCCGTGTTCCCTCCTCCCCTTTCCGGTAGGGCAACCGATGAAGGCCAAGGAGATACCCATCCTTGGTCTGGACGATGTGCTCTTCGGGTTCGTAGCCAAACAACGCGCAGATATCGACAAAGTCCGACGCCTGTGCGACCGAGTTCGCGAACTGCTCCTCTTTACTGCGTTTGCCTGCACTTTCAGGGGAGATGAAAAGGTTGAACAGCGTTTTCGACCGGTCGTAACAGAACCTGATGATTGTCTCGGCTGGTACGAGTCAGTCCATTGCACACTTAACTTGGAAGGAAACAAGCAGATAATCAAATGAACGTCAACTAGCCAAGTATACTCACGTAGACAGAAGGTGATGATATGAATGATCCACTCCAGCAGCACCAGAATCAACGAGGCAAAGAGAGCCAGGTACTCAAACCAGAAGAGTCTCCCGATGACCGGCACGCGCGCCATGATAAGCGTCTATTGATATTGCAGCAGCTTCAACGATCTATAGCAGACGGGGCGAAGTGATATGAAGAGGCGAGAAACGCGCAGCCATGATTGCAGAGCACAGAGCCCCTAAATATTTAGCAGTTGTAGAGCTGTTCCTCAGACGTCATGCGTCCATCGCATTCATGTGATGCTTATCTAATCCGGGGAATCCACGAAGCCTAATTTTTGCCGCAGAACAAGCACTCCGTCTTTCAGCCCGCAGTCTTCTCTGTTAGACGTGTTCAAGATGCCCAGCTCGTGCAATGATATAAGTGAGTACTTTGAATCTCTACATAGACGGGGATTGATCCACTCCGGCCATGGCCGGTTGCCGGACGACCGGTCGCGTCCGGCAACACCCTCACCCATCCCAATGCGGTGCCCCCAGTTCTAACGTTCCGCTCCTCATGCAGGAGACGCGCTGGCGCAATGTCTCCAGGAATCGGACTGTATCATGGTCCAGCGCCATACTCCCCGGGAATGTCTCAGTGCGCCGCTCGTGGATGAGTTACCCATGCGGTGTCAGCAGCTCCGGAAAGGCTTTAGCGAGTGCAAGTGAGTCGACCCAGTACGTTCCAACATACGTACAATACCATTCGTCTAACCTCAAGTCCCCTTTAGACGCGGGATGATCGATATGCGCAAACGATTCCGTGGAAACCAGCCCCTTCAGATGACCAAGGAACTCGACGGGAAGAACACCAAGTCGGAACAGCTCTATGCCGGCAAGCCCGCCTTTGAAACCGTCAAGGAGATCAGCGGCGACGAGGTGAAGATGGACCCGGAGAAGACCCGCGGACTTTGAGAAGGCGCCGGGATCCGCTGCCACATCATATACAAGTGTCATCATCCGCGATGACCGGAGTTTCGAGTCTTTTCCCCTCTTGGCATGGGTCGGAGTTGTTCTAGGGTTCGGGTCAACTACATTGTACATATCGAGGCACTCTCCAGTCAAATCATGCAATGTTACAAAGCTGCACGCAGAGTCACGGGCTGGGCGAAGGACAGTTTCATTCCAAATCATCGATAATACATTATTTACTGCGTCTTCTTGCTGGTGGCCGCCGCAGTCGGAGCGGGCGCCGAGTACAGCCACATGATGACGAACGCCAGGAACCCACCGATCACCGACCACAAACCGGCGATCCACACCCATCCTCCGGTGATCTTCCAGCTGCGAGGGTACTCGTTGTGGGCGTAGTGACGGACCGTCACCTCGTGCTTCTCTTCGATGTTCGTGAGGAAGGGGCGCTTGTAGTTTACACGGAACGAGAAGATACCGTGCTGATCAGGAGTTGTGAATTGAGTGCTGTAGATGGTGCTGTTCTCGGTGCGGCGGGCGGGCTGCAGATCAAGGCGATGGAACGGAGAAAGCATGGTGAATTCGAGCTGAAGAGCGTCGTCGGCGGGGACCTCAAACGGGATCCACTGATCATGGCTGTATTCGGAAACCTCGATACTGAAGACCTACAGAAACAGCGTTAGCAATATATTTCATCGTCCCGCCAGAACGGCTGCCACATACGGTTTCGTTCTTGATCCGGTAGATGGTAGGGTTCAGCTCGACATCAGGAGCCTCGGGCGTAGGAGCCAAATGATGCTCAATCTTGCCAACCTTGAGGACTCCTGTTTCCTTGAAGGCCCACGAGGTGAGCTGCTTGGCGAACTCCCGGTTGGCGGTCGTGGTCTCCTTTCCGCCAGGAGCCTTGACCGTGGCGGAGAACCACTTGTCCTGAAGGGCCTCCACGGAGCCGAGGAGAACAAACCGGGCAGAGTTCCGAGCCTGCATGGCCGAGACAAGGGCCAGCTGGGAGCCAGTCGCTGCAGCATCCTCCACGGACGCAGAGTCCTCCTTGGGGTTATAGCTGTATGCCGTCGCGGGTGCGCGCAGGATGGGCGCCAGGAGAGGGCTGTCATAGCCGAGGGTATGAGGCTCGGCTCTGGGGAAGGCCAGGACGCCTTCACCGCCGAAGAAAGACTTGAGGCCCTTCTTCAGTTGGCCGGGTTGCTGGAGAAGTAGAACGTCATGCTTCTCGGCTGCGGAGATGGTGTCGTAGTTGAAATGGTCAACGGCGACAGAGGAGCGGTCCGGGGAAAGGTGAAAATCGAGCTCTAGAAGGAGGGAGCTGATGGCGCTGGGGGTCGTGGACTTTCCGGAGAGAGCGAGGATGACATTGCCATCCTTGTTGAGGAACTCGATGACATTCTTGGGGCTGAGAGCCGGTCCCAAACCTGTCTCTGGTCAACTCGCCTGTGCAATGGCACTAGATAAACACCGCATTGAAGCCAAACCGCACCTTTTGATCGGGGAGGGAGAATGAGGAGGTGATCGTAAGCCCGTTCTCCGAGCTCGAACAACGAAAGCTGGTCACTCTTGGGCGATTGGAAGTCGAGCGTATAGCCTCGGGCTGGAGAGGAAACCATCAGCATGGATTGGACATCATCGCAAAGCAAATCTACCTTCTAAGTCGCCCCAGAACATCGAATACTCATCCTTCTCGGCGGCGTCCTCGAGGACAACCAACAGACGAGTGCCCGAACTGCTCAGGGCATGCACGGCGGCCAAGAAGCCGAACAGCACGAAGGAAAGCAGCCACCGCATGGTTCGTGTTGTTTTCAAGATTCCGCACAGCGGAGCGGAGGATCAGCGGAAGGTCAATGGGCCGATCCTGAGGAGCAATGAAAGAACGAAACACGCAACGCTGAAAGAGAGATCAGAATGGGGTAATGGTTGGCTCCATACGATGGGGGAAAGACTATAAACGGGCGACGTGTTTGGACGGAGCGCCAAGAAATTGCTCGCCGCTCGGAACGTCACTTCAACTTCCAACCTCGACTCCTCATCTCCCCTCCTCCGTATCCGACCTCATCCCCCGTCGCAACCCACCCTCGGCCTGTCGCCCTCGCTTCCAAACCTCTCCCGCCGGTCCATTGGTCATTGAATTCCGTTCGAACCGTCGCAATTGAACCCGTTCGGACCGTTACTCCCTCGTCCCCCGATCGGATCTCCGGCGAAAAGTTTCTTTGAACCTCCCGCAACCACCCATCCAACATCCATAATGGCTACTCCTCAGTTCTGGTCGACGCCTCTGCGCTACCTGCGCTGGGCTTCCCACGAAAAGCCCGCCATTTTCTACTCCATCATCATTGGCTCTATGGGCCCGGTCTCCCTGGTCGCTCTGCCTCCGATCAGACGGGCTCTCGGCGACGTCGACCCGGAACCCATCCCTCTCACATATCCCAGTAAGACTCTCCCTCTGCATTCGGCATACTGTGTTCGAATCTATATGCCTTTCCGGATCTTGCAGCGCCCTATCCTCGTTATATCTTCTTGACTAACGGTAACTTGATAGTCCCCTCGGGTCCCCGGGTAATTCCGCAAGGCTACGATGACGAGTAAACTCGCCGTGGAATAACGCGAGGAGTTGATTCGTTCTTAGATTTTGTTTCGTCTTGTGTATTTAGCTGGGTTTGTTTGAGACAATTGAAAGCCCCGCCTTTTTCTTCAGGCAGATACGTTCTACGTTCTTGTTCGGAAGGGTAGAGGGTTCTTTTATGGGGCGAATGGTGAATCTGGCTGTTTACATCTCAGATCCAACCGTGGCACAGTCTCCTCCAGCTAGGTGTTTCTATACCCTGGTGGCGTGGTGAGTCTTAAGGGCGTGAGTACAGTGTATTGTATATGGCTAGAGAAGAGCAATGCTTATTCCAACTTTATTCTCCTTACACATAAGGATATGCCGTGGTAAACAGTTACCGAATCAGCATGCTACTGGCTGGCTTACTGATTGCGAAGTGGAATGAATGGAATGAACCTTTGCACAGAACAAACTGACATTACCCCCCATGAAGCAACAGAAAGAGACTTGCAGTGACGTAGAGGGGAGGATATCGACCTCTGGACAACAGAAAACAACAGAACAAGCGAGGCACGTGACAAGCGAAACACATATAAAGGAAACAAACGCACTCACGCCTCACTTTCTTTCTCCTCTCACTCACGCCCCCATCTTCACAGACCATAGCCACTGCCCCCAACCCCCCACCACAGCACAGAGTCGTCTCGGAATCGTCAACGCCCTTCGTCTGCTGAGGTGGTGGAGCCACCAGGCGTCCCCAGATCAATATCTACTCACCAGGCCTGTAAGACAGCGCGGACCACTTCCACGTCCCCCTCAGGAAGCTGATCTGTTGCTTGACTGTCAGGCCTGGTGGTAGTATCGGTCTGGGGCGCCTGGCTGGTCTCCTCCACCGAGGAAGCGACGGGGAGCTCAGCTATCTCTATCGCGTCAGATCACATACTACAGACCAAGCTCAGGGTGAATCTTACCGTGACTGAGGCGAGGCTGCTGGGCACCACGGTCTTCCATACCCCAGTGGTTGACCAGTGCGATGAACTCGGGCAGAAGAGGTCGCAGATCGTCCACTTCGTCCAAGATGGGCACGTCTCCTTCGCTCGAGTCGGGAAACGCGTACCACGGGCAGTCATCCTCCTCCACGCCGGTGAACGTTCCGCGCAGAAGGCTGCGGCGCAAGGTTCTACAGAGGTTGAGAGTGTCCATCGTGACGTCTTGGAGTCTTTCCGCCGGGATGGTCCTCCACTGTTCGACGAGACGGGTCACGGACTCCACAAATACCCATGCAAGGCGCATGTGGCGGCTCAGGATCACCCAGCTCACAGGATCTTCGGAGATGACGCGAGACACGTCCCCCTGTCGCTGTGCGAGGCCGCAGCTGATACACCACGTCACGATCTCTGTCTTGATGCCGAGGTGGCTGGTAATGTTGAGGATGGCCCAGCAGTGGTCGAGAAGTTCCTCATCGTCCAGGGAGCGAAGATCCACGCGGAGGTCGTACACGCACCTAAAGGCATTGCCCCAGGCCTCGCAGGTTGGCTGCGACAGTCCCTCGTCGTCGCTGTCCTCTTCATTGGCACCGTCCTGTTCCTGTTCCTGAGTTGCGTCGTTCTCAGACTCGTGACCCTCGGATCCAGAATCATGAGCAGTCGAAGCCTGGTTCGGTCCGAGTTAGCAATACAACCCCTCACACGATCTCGCCTGAACATACTTGATCCACAACCGCCAAATATCGGACTTCGTCTCTTCTTCCCTGCACGACAACCGCGAGGTGGATATGGTCCTCGGGACTGGTTCTCTCCGATAGCAACGGAGCCAGGAGAAGCTTCATCATCGGGGAGCGGTCCATGAGCAATCCAGCGTGCAGCTGATATTCTTCACCACCCACAGTGATGTGGACGTCTCCATTGGGAAAGATCGGAAACGGGAAAGCCATTTTGTCCCAGGGATGGAGCGATGAGTTTGATATTGCAGAAGAATGGATGCGAAAGTGCGTCTGGTACACGTTTGGTTTGGTTTGTCAAGTTGATATAGGAAATGGAAGTTGCAGATGAGAAGGTTGGGAGATGGATGGGAGAAGGTGGAAGAAAAGATGGGATGGCGAGATCAACAATTTTCTGTTTGAAACACTTCTTGTGTGGTAGACTGGGTGAAGAATGGGCCGGAAACTTCATGTTGATGTCGTTGGCGATGATAGTTGGCGATGAAGGTCCAAAAGTTGGCGGCCAACCTCCTGTGAGTAGCTCGGCGAGCGATGCGATAGCGGGTCTATCGCATCATCATGGTTAGGCAGGACAATGAACCCAGCCGGATTACTGCACGAAGAAACACATTTGCAAATAAACATGTGATGGAGTTCACATTGAACAACTTGGGCCTTGTCTCTTTATGGGCTGTCTGCAACGGCATCCAACACTGATGACTGCACTGTTAGTACGTATGAAGCGGGAATCAAAGGCAAGGCATCCAGATAGTTGAAGAGAAGATGATTCAATTAATAGAACAAGCTTCAACCCACAGCGTTGAGATCAAGTATCCAAATACAACGCCATATATGCTCATATCTACATGTAGGTCATGAACAGCATCACTGTGTATCGCCGACGCTCCTAGCTGATAGCTTCCAAATCAGTTGGATGCTCCCATCGGACTCCGCAAACTGTAAGAAATGATCCAAAATACCTCTTGGGAAGAAAACAGACGATTGCAACGGAAGCAGAATACCACGTCCAGTACACCAAAGCAGTTAGAAACGTCAGAATTTTCCGGCAGAGCAAGCAATGTGATGCAGTGGAACAAAAACCAGGACTCGGCATTACAACAAAAGAACAGAGAAACAAAGAAAGCCAAGTAGCCACCATTGCGTACTCCATCACGAGCTCCAAGATCGTCGGTTCTCAATATCATTAGGTCAAGTCACGTCTCAACAGCCAAGGAGCGCCATCCGGGTCGGGGGATACCGGCGGGGATCCAAGGGAGACATAACCTGGGTTCATTTTTGTGGAATACACATTAATCCAGGCATCTTTGGGTATCATGGAGATTTGCAATTCAGGCTTTCAAATGTAAAGTTCCATCCGTTTCGGTGTCCCATGAGTCTGAGGCGTAGGCGACGACATGAAATTTGGAAAATGTGGTACTGTTCACATTCTCAAGACAAGCAAATTCCACGTTGCGGAGAGGCAAGGATCAACCTTTCATGGTCCACAGGCATTATGCAAAGGTGATTTGAGATAGAAGACTGGCTTCGTTCCTGGCATGCTTTGGTCGCCCTGTTCTTGATTTTTGATTTCCTCTTCACCGGGGTCGACGCGGAGCATCGCCCCGTTCCCTTGTTGGCTGTGGCCTGCCACGGTCCGAGTATGCTGACTCCGGGGTGTATCTTGTATCCATTCCTATCCGCGGGTCTGGGGCGGTAGTGGGGGGGTAGGCTATCCCGGAAGTCACTGGCGAATAATCGGACTCAGGGTCGTAACCCGCGTACCGAGGGGCATTGCTTCTTCCTTCATAACCATAGCCAGGGGTACTGGCGTATGTATAAGTGGGGTGCATGTCCGCCGTCACTGGAGGCTGGCTTGCGCCGGTATAAGGGACCTGAGCGGCGGGATAGGGGTTCTGGCCAGCAAACGGCGAGTGATTGGAAGGGTTAGGAGGGTATGAAGATGGGTTTGGATACGGGGGACTCTGGGTCTGGGAGTACCCCGACTGTGCGTAAGGATCTACCCCATAGGTCTGAGAAGGAGGGGCCGAATAGACCGGTGGGGGAGAAGGTCCTCCTTGTTGCCGTCCTTCATGAATTGACGATGAAGCATAACTGGCTGGAGGCCTGTTAGGTGCATGGGACATTGAGTAGTCGTGAATGTAGCTACCTCTTGGATAACCCTGATTAGCCCGATGTAAAACATCTTGTTCCCATCTTGCAGAGTCGGCCTTGAGATCAGCAATCATTTCCTAATCACATTATCGTTAGCTTCCGCGGGGAGTCCGGTGGGAGGAAAGAAAAACCTACACTGGTGAGGTTCCGATAAGCCCGAATAAAATAGCCCTGGCGACCCTGTTCATGGAAAGTCAGTGACACCGTTTCGCAGGAGGATCTGGTTGATGAATCGCTGGACACTGTCGTGATTTATACACTAAGGAAACATCGGGATACGGACATTATGGTTTCCGGGTCTTACGAGCGCATCATTTCCAAGGTAACGGCATATGTCTGCTTGGATAACTTCCCGGCTGATCCCATCACCGGGAATAAAGTACTCATTCTGCCGCTCCGGGCGTGCATATCCAGTCATTTTTTCCAGGGAAACAGGGAGGTCCGGTATTAAGGTAATTATCACCAACGGGTCCAAGTGGGCTCCAGGGAAAATCCGGTCAAGTTATGGGTAGCCGACGGGTCCAGAAACGGGAGATCAAGGCCGATGAAACCCTTGGGGAGCCGGCTGGGAGAGAGAAGAAAAGTACAGTCAAATCAAACTGTGTCCAAGGGAGAAAAGTCCAAGGCTGATGCGGTGACGGCAGCAAGTCGACCTTCTCTTGTGAGTCACTGGCACCCCACGATGTAAAAAAGGCAATCCCAATAGTTTGTTCTAAATAGGGCCTTTCACGTGGCAATCACCAGTGGAGAATCAATGAATCCGAAATCCTGGGAAAGCAGGTCTTTTTGTCCTGGAGTTGTGCGGGTTTCGAAATCTGGCTCTCCTGAACACGGACTGGTCTTTCCAGTAGAAATCCGAATGGGGAGGAACTGGTGAGATCGTAGGCCGGAGGAATATATAGTTGACAGAGAAGCAGAGGGAGGCGGGAGAGGAAGAGAGAGAGAGAGAGAGAGAGAGAGAAATCGACCAGGATAGAGGATATCGGGAAGAGGTGTTGGGAGACGATCCGCGTCAAGTCTCTCTAGCTGTTGAGGGTCCTCTGTTCAACACGGCTGTAGTGTACCTGGGGGGAAGGATCCTTTATTTGCCTTTGTGCTGGCGAGAAATGCCAGAGTATGGATGGGGGGAAGAAGAGAGAAAGGGAAGAAGAGAGGAGAGAGGGAAGAGGAAGAGGAAGAAGACGGACGAGAGAGCGGGAAGAGGGAGGAAAATAAGAAGCGGAGAGGAGAGTGGGAAGATAAGGCCGAGGGGAGGCAGCAGAAGAAGGAGGAGGGGGGCAAAGAAGCCGCCAGTGATGTTAGTCTGTGGTGTGGGCAGCAGAACGAGGGCTGATTGATTGAATCCACGATTGACAGGCCGAAAGAAGGATGGTGGACTGACGATGAAGGACGGCTGCTGACTGGTATGACCGCGGGGCCTAAAAAAGTTAGCCGGAAAGGAATAATAACAACAATAACGAGCATGGTTGGGCGGTTGGGCCGGGGCCTTTTGGGCTGCTGGTGTTGTCTGGTGCCACGACCAGCATTGACTCCACCGGCCCGGCGATTAGACAGCAGCAGCATGCACCTCCCAGCCAGGTTTAGTGCCTGTCTGTTGCCGCCGGAGAGCTTTCTTTTTCTGTTCTTTTCTTTTCTGTGATAATAATAATATTATTATTGTGGGTTTTTCTTTCGGCTCAGAATTCTCGTCGGTGTTTCTTTTGGGGCCGACAGTGACCGAGAAATATACTACAAGTATATCTACTATATGTGGAGAATTCACAGCAGATCATACGGACAACATGCACCGAGGAGGCCCGAACCAGTAGCTAAGTACCTACAGAGTCACATAAGTCACAGATACTTAGCTATGTACGGAGGAAGGTGACCATCAGGTGGAGAGGTCAGTGGCGGGATGGATCTGCCCATCTATTGCCCTGATGGCGTTTCTGCCTTATGCTGGGAAGATTCTTCACAACTCACCAGACTGAAAGAGATTCACCACCTCATGCGATGACTCAGCCAGAGACTCCGTCATCGGGAACAGGAAGGGGGTGTCGAGTAGGACAAACCCACCAGGAGGTTGAACGGTGGGTGCATGGATGACAGAGAATACGACGATGAGGTTCCTGAAACCCAATCCAGACCTGGACAGAGCCAGTCCCAATTAATTAAGTATACATAAGAAAAATGAAGAAACCCAATCGTCAACAAGAGCACGGAAGACGCAGAAGAATTTTCTACATCTGCAACCTCAACAGAAGGTAACTAACTATTGTAGTTAGTCGGTAAGTCCTTAGGTAACTAAGTAACTAGTTAAGTAGATGGTTGGTACCTGAAGGCAATGGCGGGGCAGCCAAGGAGTGGAGGGGGAACCGATGCAGGTTGGGCAGAAAATCCATTCTGACCTTACGTGGCGGTTTGGGCAGAGAAGCATCCAGCAGTAGTGACTAGTTTTTATTATTTATTTTTTCGTCAAATAGTTACAATGTATATCTCCAAAGCAAATGATCTCCAGTTTCAAGGCTCCAGCCCGCCCCAGCTCCAACCAGACTGCAATGAACCATGGTTGAGAGTGTGATAATGGATGCATGTGCAAAGTGCCCTCAGGATGTATACTCCTTAGATAGTCTCCTGCCAAATCGTTTTTCTCCCCGTGTCTCTGAGGCGTGACTCTCGTCTCTCCAGGGTCCAATCGTCTCATCGTTCGTCCGTCATGCCCCGATGCCCCATCTGCCTGGCAAGATCTCATTCCTCAAGACCGCATCACTAGGCGCTTCCACAGGGCTCGAATGGCGGTCAAGCGCCCCAGGTCTCTGGCGCGTCTGGCGGAGTCTCCATCCCCTACTCGAATGACAGTTGTACAGGTGTCTTCGATGGCGCTGCACCGGCTCCAGTAGAGCTGCAGCCTGCACCTAACATACCCGTCCCTGCTGAAGACTTTCCAAAAATCGATCGGACAACGCTACGAATCTGTACGATTTCCCCCTTGTCAGACGCCTTCCTGTCTGGCCCTCTCTTACTGTAGGAGTAGACTCAACCTGCATTTCGCGCGTACAGGATCGCTCCACGCTGGATGCAGTACCCAGGGTGATCTCATCTCCACAGCTCCGTCTTTGATGCATATGGTTCATTTGGGTCACTGCAGAGCTCCTGAGTCTGAATAGTGGCACCCTATCGTCCATCGATATTCGATCGAATGGCCCTGAACCGGTCTTCTTCAAATTGGCTGTAAGATAGGGTAACATAAGTCTATGTGCTCACTGGTTGTCTTATGTTGCCTCCCCCATTGTGGCCCTTTTCTCACATAATGCCCGGTAAGCCTGTCATTTGGAATTAAACCACCCCTTGCGATGGTTGCATGATAACACCTTTCGGGAGTCAAAGTCAATCCCTGTGCAGCACTGTACAGGTACTCGGTCTGACCAGAGGCATCTCCCCGTCAAACCACTACACTACTCGAAGTCGTATGTCCTTACGACAAGATTGCGTATATCCAGCCTTGCCTACTCGCTACAGCACTGTACACACGAGACCGATGACACGTGTGACCGTCTACGAGCTACGAGAGATGGACGATCACGTCTGGTCGCCGCCCCGACATCATCTCAATGTCCCTTCGCTTCGGAGATAGATCTTCCCTGACCGACTCGACATTCAACACGTATCACGCCTCGAGGTTCTTGTTGCAATGACTGTGAAGAGGGCGTGCGTATTTCAACTCTGGTAGAACGGTGATCGGGGACCAAGTGGCCTGCCGACACTTTCATATCCAGCTTGGGTACCCCATGGCACGTACCCCATGGCACGAATACTTGCGTAGTTTCCTATAGCGAACATAAAGATTGACAGGCTAAATCAAGATCGATTGGACACTCTAGGCTCGGTGTGAATACGTGCAATCCTATATTATTCGTCGAACTTTCTCATGTTTTCCACATCCCCTATATATATATATCTGTACATGGAAATTTACGCAATGGTCTGATCTCTAGCCCGGGATCGACTTGACCACCATGTTACAGTTTCTTTATAATGGCCCAGTGTAACATCGAGTGCATGTTTGCAATAGTCAAGGGTTCTCTTTTTTTTGTCACTGGCAAAAGAGAAGTGTGTTCTGGAGATTCTATGACCCCGCGAAGCTCCTGTTCCACCGCGAATCCGGACGGCTTCTAGAATTACGCTGTCGATGTGTCCAAACACATGGACAAGATGGTGGTCAATCCTCAACTCAAACGTCACTACTATGACTTCCGTCGAACCGCTGGGACTTTGTTTTGCATTATACAAGTACGTCCACAGCACCGGCACAGAATCAATAGAGGAATTTGCTGGTGGTCAGGGTCATTGCAGAATATTTAATCGCTTGGTAGAAGCAAGGTTCATTCCCTCAAATGATGCCTTTGCGTGATATGAAACATTTTCTTCGCGGGAAATTCATAAGATGGAATCGCAAGATGTTTTGGTAGCATTTCAGATTATGTTCGTAATATTTTTCTTATCCAACACTAATTCAGCCAAAAGGCAGTCGAGTCTGGCCCTTCTCTGTTTTGCTGCGATTACCGCGACCCGATCTGCCACGTGAATTGGATGCGCCTGTGTTGTTTAAGGAGCGCTCTGCCAGCTGAGAGCTTCTGACTGCTTGCCTTTCCTCAACCTCAAGGTCTTTCGCAAAGTGCCAGTCATTATGCTCATCTTTTTCATGCGGTGGAAGCAACTTTCCACACCGATCGCACGTGTAATGTTCCAATGCGGCCGGCGACTGAGCGTCCAGTTGAGACTGTTCAGGCAGACTTGCAACGTTTGTGCTGTCCGCAATGGCTTCTTCCGGCGAGACATCTTTCGGTTCATCTTCGCCCGGAGATTTTGTGAAGAACCGGCGTATTCCATCATCGTTTACCTTTCGCCGTTTATCACGAGGCTGTCCTTCTAATGACCCATCAGATTCGAGAGTCCGTGTAGATGCCCCAGAAATCTTGGCCTGCTCGCCTCGCAACAAAAACGCGTCTATTGCTTGATTTTTCCCAGCACCATCTTCAAAACCGCCAACACTCAGGGATAGGTTGGCGCAAGGCCAAGCACGGCCATCTCCCACAACCTGGCGGAGTAGTGTCTTGCCAAGTTCAAAAAGCATCGTCTCATCGATAGGCATTGATCCCGGGATTGGGTGTTGGCGTGAACGGACCTGGGCGTTCTGTCTGTGATGCAAGGCAATTGTTCTTGGACGGCGTCTATTCTCAAGCACGCCATCCTCAACAAGTCGCCCATAGATATCAGCAGCAAAGATACGCAGCCATTTTTCCGCCTGCTCAACTGAATTGATGCTCGGCCGGAATGACTTTGCCGAAAGCATAGATTTGATCTGTGTTCTGGGGTTGACCTCACTTCTGTCCTCTCCGCGGATGATGCCATACAACCACAGAGCGGTGTCATCGTCAAGCTTGGCTCGCAGCTGCTCAAGCGGAACTTGGAGGAGATCCCCCACTTGTTCGGTGCCGAAAAGAGCAGTAACCTGATCGCCCAGCTTACCTCCCAGCATTCTGATTTTGGTAAACTTGAATCCACCGAGGAAGTTTTGGACTGCACGATTCCGTACAATGGTCTGTTTGTTCGGTTTGTTACTCGAGCTCCCCAATTTCGCCATCATTTTGTTCCTCGCGATCCCCGCGGAGCAAGTATATTGGAGTTTATTCCAAAGAGCCGTCCGGAGTGATCGTACCACTTCAGACCCAACGAGCATTGCAATATCATCCCAATCTGGGTCATCGACCTCCGTCTCCGTCTTGTCCAGATCCACCAGGCAGTCTTCGGCGTTCCACTCCAAGGCGGTGGTCGGTGGACGAGGCAGAGATGCAAACTTGTCATCGCCCTGTGGCGCAGCACGCAATTCAGGGTACCGTTGGAGCAAGACACCATAAACCAGGGGTGATAAGTCAATGAAGACCTCGTCAATACTGGCCTTTTCGAGGGCTGCCTGCTCAACCTGGAACTGCGACCCTAGCCCTCGCTCGTCGTCCAGCAGATCCGCATGCCATCTCGACAGCTCCTCTTTCATAACCTGCAGGATCTTCCGAGATTCCATCCGGTACGGGTCCAAACACACCTTATCCGTCCCGATATTCCTGAACGCGTCCTCCCTGTAGGCCCATTTTCCGCCCTCGCCCTCGCGGAAGGTGGCAACGTGCTGTAACACAATCTCGGGACACAGCTTCTTGGCTTCCGCCGCGGTAATCATGCGCGTAATCCCAAAGGCGCGAGCAGGGTAGTTGATGGCGATGAGGGAGTCCCATTGTCGCACCGCCAGCGGCTGTTCCCGCGGCGTCTGCAGCCGCACCATCTCACACTGTGCATAGAAGGCATCAAGATCGATATGGGCAATCACCCGGAGGGGAGAGGCCGTGCTTCCCTGGCGGAGGAGCTGGAATTGGCGGTAGGTGTAGCAGGAGTGGTGCTTCACGGAATCGCTGGGCGACGACGACGCGGCGAACGGTTCTGGGGAGCTCGGCATGTTGAGGGTGTCGGTGATGTCGTCATGGCTGGTTGGGAATACCGCGGGGAACTGGCACAACTTCCCGTCTATTCTTTGATGACATATGCGCGAGGCTGTCTCTGTATTGCCTGTCCTGAGGATCCGTAGGTACTAGGTAGTCTAGCTGGGATGGATATTATCGCATTCACGTGACGTAAACCGAAGCTACTAATTTAGGATTAGCGTGTTCTTCCTGTCTCTGTAGGTATACTATCCAATGCTGCGCTACTTCTGAAGGTTCACATTATGACTAAACTTCACTTTCATGTGATATTTAGAGCGGAGGAGAAAATAGGACGCATTAATCAGATAATTTTATGTCCACGATATCTCCCGGCCGCCAATTATTTACATCCGAGATCATCTTCTCTCCTTCTCCAAGAGAGAAGTAAACCCCAGCCCTTTCGCACGTCTGCTGAAGGCCTGTCCATTGCTTTATGAACGACTGCTGAAGGCTAACAAAGGAATCGTATGGCTCCCTCGACGCAGGAGAGATGAGTAAGGATTGCAAGTTGGGAAATCGTTCCGCCCGCTGAGCAAGCAGATCCTCGAGGTTGGGGACAAGCAAAGCACAGTCGTTCTCGTGACAGTCCGCCAAGTGCAAATGCTTCAAGCTCCGGGGCAGGATATCCTTTAGCATAACGACATCGTCTCTCTCCATGGGCTGGAGGTTGAGGAGGTTTCTCGCGCGAATACGCAAATCCCACAGCTTGGAGAGGTCTGCTAATGAACCGAACCACCGATCATGGGAATTGACATCAGTAATGTCTCTGTAATCGCGGCCGTCTTGGATGGGGATGGAGGCATGACCCAGGTGGTTTAGATGAAGAACTTCCAGGCTGTGCTTCTGCGTCAGGAGTGCTGTGTGGAAACACCAAGGCCGAAAACTGGGGTCTAAATCAGCGAAATGCTGTGCCTCCTCGTTCGATACCCAGATCATGTCGTTGGTGTGCTGGTAAACGAAACACTTGAGGTTGGCGCAAGACGCAATAAAATCGGCCATTCCATATCTTCCGTTACAGAAGTAGTCCAGCACGAGGGACTCGACCGGCGACGTACCAGGGGCGGGGAGGAAGGCTGGATGATCAGCCACTTTGTAGAGCGTTTGAGGTTCCTGCACTGGCCCAAGTCGCAGCGTGCGAAGGGAAGGCAAATGGAAAAAGGGAAGGTATTCACGGTGATTCATAACGACAGAGAGATCGCGCCATGTGAGGTCGAGGCTCTCCAAACGCTGTAAGGCCGAGAGAGTGCTGGTATCAAACGGCGGTTGCTTCCACGCGGTCTTTGCAACAATCCTGCTGATCCAACCTTCAGGGCGATTATGACGCGCCGAAATCGCGGTCAGGCTGGGGAGGAGGGCAAGCAAAAGAGCAATCCACGCCTCGATCCGGTTTCTCGATAACTGGTAGCGCCACGCTTCCCATTCTACCGGCGACTCGCTGAGCAGATCTACGAGGTCCTGGACTGCCGGTCCTAATGCGAATTGTGCATCCAATTGCTTGACTTTCGGCACAGAAATGTCGACTGAAACCTCCCGAATCGAGGACCTTATCGCCAGGTTGGCTATGGCCGCCCCGACTAGACACCGAAGCTGAGACCATGCGATGTGGATCGAGCGGAAAGCAGTCGCAAGGAAAAGTGCACGCCATCGTTGACATACCTGAAGTAGGTGTAGTCGGTCGTGTAAGTCGGGAATCTCATGGATGATGGTAAGAACGATCTCAACTGGCAATCGATCCATTTTGCAAGCCTTGAGCATCTGTAATGGATATTCTGTTTAAGAAAGAGGGTCTACAGTATTGAGATGCAGGACAAGTCTATGCCTAAAGTAGTTAATTACTGCTGCGCCCCTTCAATAGAGAATGTCGCGATGGACGATATCTGGCTCTATCTTCATTGAACAACAATTTTAGCGCTTCAAGGAGAAACTGAGCTCCAGGCTGCCAAAAACCCCTGCCCGGTAGAGTATATAACTCTGACGGATAAATGCCTTCTTGCAGGTGTAGACAAGTTTGTTTGGGGCCCGATATGCGGCGTGACATCAGCAAACACAGCCGCGGGGCTCGTTGTTTTCGCTCTACACGAGCGAGGCGCACTCCGACTTCTTCCTCTTCTTCAGCACAAGGCTGTTCCCCATCTCACATGCGATCCTCTGAATTATTTGAATACTCCAGACCCTTCAGCGCCCAAGTTGCTTCGACTTGGATTTGCCGAGTTTCGCAATATTGAACCACCTCGTTAGACTTGAGATCGACCCCGCAGTGAGTGTAGCAGGCAGAATCTAGGCTTCCAATGCGCACGGCAGGCAATATATCGAGTCTGTCAACGCCATACAGCTCTACGGTGAGCACGGACAGAGCGATCGTTTGTCCACTTTTCGAAAAAGGACAGTCCCAATATGGCCCGGGGAGCCCGCACTCATGACTACGAAGACGAAGATGATATATACAGCGGGGAGCGAGATCCATATCGCTCTCGACCCCGACGCAGTCGCGATCGCCATTATGTGAAAGATCGGAGCTATGTTCGTCGGAATTCGATACCCCCTCCGATAGAAAAGATGGAAAGGCTCCGTGTTCGTGATCACCCGCCGCCTGACAGGACTCGAGACTATCTTGACGACGGACTGGCTGAAACGAGTGAAGTGGACGACATTGAGGTCCCACCTGAGGATTTGCTGAGTGACCTTGAGACTCCCAGAGGCTCTGGCCGCAGATCCTATGCACGACGCCCTCCGCGTGTGGTTGTCCCGGAGGAGGATTTGCTTCCTCCGCAGGATTCAGATGGCAGACTTACAGATACGGGGTCTGAGAGAGACGCACCACCCCGAAGGAGAGATGTGTACACACGGCGCCGCAGACGGACACGAGCACCCAAACATCAAGCAGATGAGATATACTCTGGAGGGGATGAGATGACACCTGAGGGCCATAGACGCGCTCGGAGTGGCCTCCGGTATCCTCCAATCTCGCGAAGACGACCGAAGCCTGGTTATCACACAGACCTTGAAGACGAAGACGACCATGGCATAGCTTTTCCTCCCTCCCGGAGCACGATAGTCAAAGGAAGGGCCGACTTGTGGCCAGGGGACAACAGGACCTTTGGAAATATCGACAGTCCAGAATCAATATCTCGGGGACACAGACGACCGTTTGAAAAACACAGTGATAGATTCGAACCAAGAAACCATGAAGAGCTATCGTCCCCCGAATCTGAAGACTCTGCAGAATTCTCGGGGGCTCCTATGCCCCCTATGCCTCCGGGTCGGAGTTCACAACACTTGCGTGTTCCCGAAGGTAAGTTGTCGTCTACACCTGAGATGATCAGTACGGATACTCATGCACTACAAGCTTTTGCTGCTCCACGACCGCCTCGTGCACCTAGCCCTGAAGTCAGTTTCGAGGGTCCAAGGATACAACTTCGGTAGTCACTCTATGTCGTCGTTTCCGGTCGATAGCAGCGCGTGCTGACATGTCTACAGGAAGGAAAGAGAAGACCTCAAGAGGGAAATACTCATTGAGCCACGGGAAGAGACCGGCATCCCATCTCCACTACGCAACCCATCGCCCGATATCCCCGGCCGTCGAATGAAAGAGAAAATTTCTATACCTCGCTCGAGGGTGGAATCTCCAAGTCGTGGACCCGACACCATGGCTCGGGAGTCCCGGCACAGCGACAATAGCATCGCTGAGCAAATCGCCGACGAGATTACCGCAAAAGAAGCAGCAGATCATTGGGCGATTGTGAACGCTGCGCCAAAATCTCAAAGCTCCGCCAGAGACCGCAGCACCAGCCAGGAAGCTCCACCCTCGCGCCATCGAGAACGGAAGATGAAGTTCACTGCGAACGATGAGCGACACTCGGGAGATGACACGGACTATGGTCGTGCACGAGTAGCGCGCCGATATGTCGGGGTGAAGGAGAAAAAGGAACGGCTCTGGACTGAAATCACGAAAGATTTGGTCGTGAAAGAGGCAATCGAGAGGATGGGGTTTGAGTATGAGGAAACGGTGACCTCTTACTTTATCTTCTCGTACCTTCAATATGTGCGTGCGCCCCCTATTGACTATATCAGTACGGCTGACAATGATGGATAGGACGACGTCTCGGCTTTGGTTGAACTGTCGGAGGATATTCGGGCTGCGCGTCGCCGACGCATTCAAGAACTGGACCGGAGGAGAGGTTCTGTACCTCCGATGCCTCTGCGAGATGAACCGTTAGTATCTATGGAACCTTCTCGGCGCCGACATCGGGATGGAAAGAGGCCGAAGGACCGGGAGATCAGAGATGATAGCCCGGGGAGGCGCGAGTACGAAAGACAGTAAGACTCTGCGAGATGGACACATGCACAATTGGACCCCGACACTAAATCGTTCTTTTCCTTCTGTAATGTGATGGATGTCTGGAGACGAACATGTCGTGACGGAGCATTGATCAAGTACATACATACGTTATGTCACGAATGGAAATACACGCGGAGCACATTACATTATGAGAGCCAAATAGAACAAGGACACAGGCTCAGATCTAAGACATCTGACGAAAGCAATCTAAATGCATGTACTATTTTGCTTCCAGACCTTGGGCCCTAGGTATCAGGGTTGTCAGCTGCGACACGGCCATTGCAACTGTTTCATTCAAGACAAGGATTGTGATCATGTGGCTATCCCTTCATGTTCTATTTACATTCTATCTCTTTCTCTACAGAGCATTGTATTGTTCATAGGAATACCAACCAGTCATATACTCGGGAATTATCTCCACGGCCGAGAACTCAGGTAGACGATAAACTTTGTCCTCGAGACATTCGTCATCAATAAGCCTAGACTTAGGTAGCTTTCAGCAGATGGGGCTGACTGTCCCATGGTACCGTCCATGGGCCATGTCTTTTATACCTTCACAGATCGATACTTCAAGTCAAGCTCGTATAGTCCAAATATAGGAACAATGGAAATTACAACCTCAGCAAAACGCCACAATACAAGTCGGTTCCACTCGGGACGGCAATATATTGCTACTATTTATACCCTCTCCTTTTCCCTTGGGGATGGAGTCACAGTCACATCCTGGAGATGGGACCTAGTAGAGGATCTGTGACTGCGTAAGGACGAGATTTAATAATGATCCCTCCAGTGCAAGGGGTCGTCAGAACCCAGCATGACCTTACTTCGCTTGTGAGACGAGCCACATTAATAATCATCGACAGTTTGGCCTTTGTAATCTTTGTCGCGATTGATGAGGCTTCTGAACAAAAGTAGAACCAAACCTTAGGCATGATTATAAAATAGGGTGTGTAATGTACAATGCGTGTTTATATTCATCCACCGAATGTACTATCTAGGGACCTATATACTAACCGTACTCTGTGGATATTCCATCATGGTAGGATGAGGGTGTAGCAGACGATGGGTAAATCCACTTGCGGGAGTGTCGGGGTCTGAAGCTGAAGCATGATGGCTTTGTGAGCTTTGCAAGGCTCGTTGTCCTTGACGGCATCGTCACTAGAAGTAGCTAGACAACGACAATTAGCTTATGGAAGTGGGAGTGGTATAGGTGCTAACAATAATAGGAGCGTTCGTCAATGGGAAGGTAAGTATGAAGCATTGTGAAGCGAATCACCCAATAGGGATTCTCTTTGCAGTTGTTGATAGCTGCTGATAGATCGACACAATGTCTACCCGCTGGTGATTTAACCTTCCACGGCTTTCGGCAAAAATCCCACTTCCGACCGATTTCTACAATTGTAGTGAAATTTGTGAACGAAGCCAGGGGGTATAGTTTGTACATAGAGAAAACTACCTGGATAAACCCTTGTCGTTATTATCATTCTTGGCCTCGAGGCTGGACCGTTGCGGAGGCTTTCCGCATACCGATCGGCTCAACCGGATATCCGGACGAGCTGTTTGGCTGGTTCACTATTTGGGCCTCTCAGGATAAATACTCCGAAGGTGCTCTCTCCATAATCTCTTCCATGGAATCGAGACGATCAGATTCGCATCCTCGCCCCTTGGTATTGGACAATGGACAATGGTATTGTCCATTTGTCCGGCCGAGCGACGTCCGCTGTCCCCGTCAAACTTGGAACCAGATGGAAAGGCGGGGTTCGCTTCTTTGGCTTGCAAGCTGATTACGCCCGTGTCTTACGGTCGTTGGCGTCACCAGTCTCCGTTCTTTTAGTTCGCAGTTTTGGTCGGCTTTATTGGTCGGAGAGGTTGCAAGTGACCCGGGAAGGTAATCCCCGCGAGCTTAGTTCCTCGCTTTGATGTTTTTATCCAAGGAAGATAGAATAGCGTGCATGTTATCACACCAGCATGTGGGGTACCTATGTTGCTATCGAGTAGCGTCCTGCCACTGACTAGGTAGAGCGGGGATGAAGCGATAGTAAAATGCGACCGTCCAGCATCATGAACCTCTCACTTGGTTCACCGTGGCGCATTCTTTGGCATGGCGTGCGAGCCTACTATGTTGGCTGGACGATGGTTGGACGATGTTCTGCACGTAAGGTCGGTGGGATCAGTAGAGCTGACAAGAAAGGAAATTTGGAAACAAATGCAACGCAGGGACGCGGGTTTGTTGATATAGTCATCGTTCTTTATTACTCGCGAGCCACGCTCTCCCATGGTTCGACATCCACACAACGTCGATCTCGATCGGAGACGAGGTCCCTTGTATTTTACACCCATCTGGCTTCTACTCGGAGTATTTCCCAGACTCCGTTATATTATTGACTGTCGGGTTTTGTACCTGTATAATCAGTGGGGGGACCGGCGACCTCAGCACGGTGATATGTGCGATCGTCACGTCAGTATGATGTACTTCGTCTGGAGATGCCAATCTTGGAAGCGAGCTAGTACCTTAGTGCCGGTCGCACATACTGGCCCTTGTACTATACTCTATGAGCTTGCGAGGGAGACGAATCCATAACCTGGCAGGTGGGCGCCGATAGCTCCGACCATGGGAGCATCCCCAAGACAAAAAGCATGATTTGTCGTGGATCGATTTAGATTTTTTTGTTGCCCGTGGATCCGGTGTGTACCTTAACCTTGGACTAATCAACGGGATGGCCGGGCTGAAACCACCGATCCACCCCGTACGTATGGAGTAGTACGTAACTACGGAGTACTATGTTATCGCAGGTACGGCAAGACCAGATCGAAAGACATGCTGGTTCCGTGGTTAGATGGGACGATATCCGTCTCCATCGCTTCAGCCGCAGCCAAGGAATAATCAACAACACCCCCAAAGAGAAAATAGGACGGATAGCGAAGATTAATCAACATCTTACAAGGACTCCATATTTGCCCTGTGTTTGCGACTCCGTACCCGTCTAGACCCGTCCTTTCCAAGCGAAAGCAGCCGTGTATTCCGCACCGTGTCAACTCCACCCCGAGCCTGGACGGGCCAAGCCAGCCGTTGTCCTGTGCGGTGGCGAGTGCAGCCTGGTGAGGACGGTAATTAAGGATGATCCGTTCAGCCAGAGGCCTTTCATTTCCTCGCCAGCCAAGGCCAATCAAGGGGGTGCGATCTGCGCTGGTGGCCATGTTTCAAACACTGAAATCCTCGGGTATCGAGTGGCTGAAGCCGTACTCCGTAGATCGCTTTTCCCGGGCGTGATTGGCAATCGGGGCTTGTCCAGGGAGGGATTCGGGATTCTGGTGTCCAGCTCTGGCATTTGGTGATGGTGGTAATAATAATAACAATGGTGGATGATACGTACGCTGTAAGTCTGTATGGCGCATGCCCGGCCGTGTTGGTGTCAGACAGAGTGACGCGGTCGATGGGGAGACACCATGGGCTGTTCGTTTGTCGTTTCATGCATAGTATTATTTAGTTAGGTACCTGTCTCTAGAAGCCAGGATCTAGTTCTACCTGGATAGTTAGAGGCGGGAAGAGCTGTGCGATCCTACTTTAACACTGTCCTACTCTGTACTTTCTATCTATGTAGTCCTCCTGTTCTCAGATTGGGGATGTTGGCTGTTGTTTTCTTTTTTCCTTTTCTTTTTTACCTCCCTGTGGTGGCGCCACCCCCGTCAGCAGGCATACGTACTTGGCCCTGCTCCTCGCGTTTGAGTTATTATTGGATCCTGGTATTTCTCGGGGTGAGTGAGGACCGAGGCCCTTTGGGCTTCACAGGATATCCTATGTAAAGACTGGTGTCTCCATGGAATGGACGCTTTTCCGATCCTCTGTCCAACAATTATAATCCGCCGTCACCTGTCAGAGTCCTATGGACTTTTTTGTGACCGTTCAGCAAATCCCGTGGAAATAATAAAACCCATCCCAACGGCTGGTCGTACACGAAAAGGAATCTCCACTTTTCCTCCATCGAGCGGGTATGCCGGTAACCAATTTTCGTTTGTTGTTGTTTTATCGTTAGTAGCAAATCATTTCTATTTGTATCCGACCATTCGACTAGTAATGAAGCAATCCACCCAGCTCGATTTCTTCCGCCGATATTACTATGTACTCCGTATAATACCGGATCCATCGTAACCTCCCTCGTCATTCGTCCCCTCCCAAGAGACACTCGAATTCTTGGTGCATGCTTCTAGAACGGCTACTGGCCGCGGTGGTGGAACAGTGTCGGGTCTAAAACCCGCTCTTTCTTGTTGATACCACCACCTACTCCGTACAACTACCTCCTCTCTCTCTCTCTTCTCTCTTCTCTCTCTCCCTCAAAGATCTCTCCCTCTTCCTCTTCCTCTTCCTCTTCCTCTCCTCCTCCTCCTCCTCCCGGTCGCCCTGGCTCAGTCCAAAGTCTAGAGTCATTCTCTCGGCGTCTTCCCTTTCTCCCGTCTCTTCTCATTCCTTGTCGCCCTCGGCCAAATTCCCATCCCTGCCACCAAATCCTCCCAGCCTCGACTGATGATGCGATCGTAACCTAATTTGATCCATCGTTCCTGAGTGACCGGTCTTGCCTGTATTGGACGTGGTAAGGAATTTAAACTGTTGCTTGTGTATTTGTCCTTTGGGGGTTTACGAGTCGCCTGGTATGTGATACATCATTCCTCTCGCGCTTTGCTCAGTCCAATCCCCCAATTGTAGGACTACAGTCGGGTCCATCGTTGATCGACATCAGCTATCGTCTAACTAACTCGGGCGTTTAGAAGGACCCTCCGCGGGACGCAGAACAACTGTCAATCACCCGACTGTTACCTGGATCGGATCCCAATCGACCCGACGCTACTTCACCACCCATCAATGAATTGACAACCCTCGCAGCCGACTCCTGTACACTTCACCCTCTTCCGACCGGACTTTGGTGGCTCGGGTGGTTGGTCTACAGCGCCGTACTCTCGATACTCTAATTCATACCGCCTGATTGCACGCCTGATCCTGTTACTTGAGCCTGGGCCACCCAGAGACGAACTTAGACGCCGCGACGTTCCATCCACAAACTGACCGCGCTGGATCGGCCTTTCGCCATGAGACTCGAGCTCCCCGTCTCGTTGATTGCCCTGCTGGCATGCTCGACTCCCGTCTTCTCGACCCTCCAGTATTGTTCTACGGTGAACACCGGTTCGAAGAACGCTGGCAGTATGTTACAAGCTGCCTTCGACGAGATTCGATCTGACATTCGTTCTAGACTCTAGTATCTACCAGTCCAACGGTCTCTGCACGACACAATGCTCCTCGGATTATGCATTCGGAATCGTACAGGGAAGCGAATGTTGGTGTTCTAACATTGCTCCAAACAAAGCAACGAATGTCAACATCTCGAAGTGCGACCAGGACTGTCCCGGATATCCGGACGATAGCTGCGGTAGCACAACCGATGGCCTCTATGGTTATATCGCAATGGATGGTCACAACCCTTCCGGCACGGCAACCGCCCCTACGTCCTCCAGTACATCCACCAAAACCTCGGTATGTAATCACGTCAATCCCGTGACACTCGAGTTTGTTTCGCAGGCAGGGTACTGACTCTTGGTAGAAAACCTCCGACAGCTCCACTGGAGATGCTACAACGACCACCACGGGGAAAACCTCCGTTGAAACACACGGCGGCGTGGTGAAAACGATCACTGTTCCAAACTCTCAGCCCACATCATCATCGACCGGATCATCCAACAACGATGATAGCTCAAGCTTAAGTGGAGGAGCCATTGCGGGTGTGGTGGTTGGTTCTGTGGGTGGCTGTGCTGCCATTGCCGCTATTATCTTCCTCGTCATTCTCGCACGACGCCGCCAGCGATCCCCCAGTCCCGACGGGAGCGTCCAAAACATGCTGGTTGACGGCCGGAACAGCAAGAGCTCGCAAATGAGTTTCATGAGGGGCGTCTCGGACAATCACAGCCACACCTTATCGGCAGGGTCATCAATCGGTGGGCGCCTTCCAACGTTCACCGATAACCGCATGAAAACGGACACCGTGCTTTTCCCCACCGGCCGTCGTGCTAGCGACGTATCCCTTCAGGACAACGAAGACTACTCACGACCAGTCCTACGGGTAAGTAATGTCCTGTATCAATCGAACATCTGCCTGTGACTGACACCTAACTAGCTTACAAACCCCGACTAAGTCTACCATCCTGGCCTTTCTTTGCGTCTCGAATCTCCTATGTCTTCTTGATCTGCGCGTTCGGCGATTCTAGCGGTCTTATGATACCCATATCCATTTGTCGCATAATATTCTTTTTCTTACCTTACGCCTCGAGAGACGCGAATTGTCCGGAGGACTCTCAGGACATGCCCTATGCCGACTGAGGCGCACGGTGCTGGGCATATTCAACCGACGTTGCTAGCTCGTGCATTGGTTCCTAGCCTCCATTGGTGGATGGTGTTACATTCACGCTTGTTCACTGCCATCACCCAAGGCAGTTGCGCCATTGGGGTCTCACCAGCTGCGCTGCAGCTCAAGTACATATGTTAGTGTGGTTGTGTGATTGCATCAGGTTTATTTTATTCTAATTGCGAGGGTCATATGATGCATTAAATAGCATGGAATAGATTGGTGACGGATGTTGTCATCAGAAGGGAATTTTCAATCTTTAATTCTATAATGGTGAAATTGATAACATATTGAACAGCAGTGCATTCAAGGGAGGGTTACTGTCTATCATCTACGTGTTAATTAGGCCTCTTTCGAAGTCAATATCATGAAGAGGATTTCATGACATCGTGGTCACACCCATTTTAGTTTCTGATCCATGCTGCAGGACAATGGACGTCCGATCTCATTATGAGAGCAATACAACAATACCCTCACCTGTCAGCATAACGTGCCCCAGCTCTTGAGCTCCAGAAGATAGTATTCGTCTCTTCCATGGCCACCTTCCGGCTGGATCTACAGCGGATATCGGTACCTGACTTTCAGCCAGCGACGCACAATTGAGAGAATGCTTCTATAGACAGCTATTTCATACATACCTAGTAAACATGACAAGGTCTTTGTCCCCGACCTGTACAGCGTCATGCACACAACACCATACTGTTCCACCCAATCGGGCAACCAACCATGCCAGCAGTCACGCTTGACTAAGATCCAGACCATCAAGCGCAGCATACATATGCCAACAGTATCGTTGCAGTAAGGGTGGTAGTTCATATCAACTCCGGCACCGCGCAATATCCGCAGGTGTTCTCTCGTCTGAAAGGCAGACTAGAAACGTAGGCTCTTCCTGGCTGTGGCATCCCATCGGGTCGTTTCAAGGATTTGCGGAAATAGATGTATGAGCCCAAGTCTTTTCAAGTCGTCCTGAGGAAAGCAAACATCCAGGTTGGAACCATCATTTAGCATTTAAGTATGGATAACGGGGTAGTATCCTCGGTTTATGGTAGGAGACACATGACAGCACATGACTTCTGGGACAGTTTTCCCCTTTTGGGTAACGTTCTCTTGTGACACTCTTACCTGTTCGGTCCATGCGATCCCATATCGAGGATCTTGTTTCTCGACATCCGTGAGGGAAGGTGTCCAAGATGACTTGTTCATGGAATAGTTACTTCAGCTCAGGATCTCTTTTCACGTCTCATATGGTGCCTTCTGGTAATTTCGAGGGAGATCTTTCGATCCGTGCAAAGTCACACACTGCAACCCCCGAGCACCCAAGAGAAAGATATCTCCATCGAATGCGATGCGGTTGATTTACAGCCTACCAGGTCTTTTCTTGGATGCCTTTGAAGATCATAACAGCTGCTATGGAACTCTTCCAAATACGTCTGTGTCTCCCAATTGCGGTCTTCGGAAAACCCCAGGGAATGGAGGGACGATCGAGATAACCATGGTTATCATGCCCATATCGCACCCCAGAGATGCGGGGAACGGCTTATCTGTGGTGTCATCTGCAACTGTGCACCGATCAGGTAAAAGCTTTCGAGAGAGGCCTATCTGAGAAGCCAGAACCGAGGCTTGGAGTCATTTGGTGCTTATCCCATCCTCACGCTTTAACGTGGTTGGGGTATTAATTGCGAGGCTGTCTTCTATCCACCCTTTAAAGACTTCCTCCGCACTATGTCCAAGTCAGGGCGGTACACCCTTTCACCCACGCATCATAATAACACGGAATTGATGATGGACACCATATGGCTTTTGGGTCTTTTTGCGGTCGGGCTGAGTGGCCTGTTCATAGTATGGGCTGAACCCCTCCTGCGCAGGCTATACTTCCGAAGTCGCAGGACATCAACAAGCGCGACGCCGCCTCGTTCGTTATCTCCAGAAAAGAGCCCCTGTGGGTATACAGATACCTTACCACCTCCGCGTCGTCAAGCTCTTGCTTCACTGAAGGACGAAGCGTCATGCAGGGACATTCCGGCAAGCCACATTTGCGAGAACATCCTACCAATGACGGCAGATTACAGGACTGCCCAGGATGGGACTTACACTCCGACGGGGTTCTCAGTCGCGGAAATAAAAGATCTAGGTGACTTCCCAGACTATGCAGCGCTCAGTGGAGTCCCACTGCCTCGGGCTTATCATGAATTCGACATCGACAAAGCATTGCCGAGGCCGTATCGGCCCTTCAGATGGTCCTATCACCAGACAATGTGTAAGCTCCGCGCATCACCATACCAGTGGACAGACTAACGCGGGGTCTTTCCAGCCCTTACGAAACTAGAGACAGACTGGTGGATCGAGCTCGAGAATAACTACAAGGAGCGGATCGCACAGCGCAAGGAACTCTATGCGAAGTACGGAAGCGCAGTGCTTGCTTATCTCCCGGGCTCCCAGCTGGCTTGCAAGGAGCTCATGGAAATGGTCATCCAGTTCCTGTGCGCTCGCTATCCTCAATATTTCTCCTTGGCGGATAGATACATCCTCCACAATCGGATCTTGGGAACGGCGGAGGACGTCCGATCGAAACACCCCCTCGAGATTCTCATGGACAATGTGCCGGAGGATTTCGCAATTATGATGCGCGACGACAAGACGGGGTGCTATTTTTTACGCGCGGGGGTGATCTGCTCAGCGTTGGGATGGAACGTTGGCACAAAGATAGGGCTTCAGCTTCATGAAATCCACGAGCCAATCCCGGATTACAAAGAGAAGATGCAATTCTCCATGGATCGGTACGTTTCTTCCTCGGAATACCCGTACAGCACGTCTTACAGACGCATATAGGTTTTTCACGAAGATGCCGTGCGACAAGCCCATCCAGCGCGGATCATGGGGTCTAGAGATCGGGAAGCCCTTGTACATGCCCAAGGGAGATCCCCACGAGACTCTCCGGCTGTCGCAAAACCCCGGTCTTGCGCTGGAAGACTGTCACCTACGAGTGGACTGGCAGACGCTTCGCCGGCTACCCTTATCGGCGGGCATCGTGTTCAATTTCAAGGCGCTTTTCACACCAGTGGCTGAGTTCCGGGACGAGCCGTGTATTCCGGCGTTGCTGGTGAAGATCATGAAAGAGGGGAAGAGGAACTTGATGGAGTACAAGAACACCTGGCATGTGGAACATGTTGTTCTGCCGAATCTAGAGAAATGGGCAAAGGAGCAGGAAGAAAACGGTCTTGTTCCACACGGCTGGGAGGTTGCTACCTTGGATGATTCGCCGTGGTTCAAGAATTGGCAGGAGAAATGGCACCGTCAACAGGGGTTTTAGTGTCATTTGGGTATATTGGCATGATAGTATTCAGTCATGAGTTGTCGCAAATATGTACATAATAAAATCACACATTCCTTGCAGGATACAAGGACGAGGACGACCATGACAGTAGCATCATCCTGAGTTCCGTCTTTATACAGCTCTATACTGCGTTGACGTGTTTTCAGGACGAGACACACTGGCTTCAAATCCGGCGCCGAGGGTATAGGTTCCGGTAGCGCGGCTCGCTAGCCGGACTGGCGGCGGGACGTCCATTTGACAACCGTGAAAAAGTTGACACAAGGGGTCAAGTCAGTGGACTAATCGACCAGATGACCATGGCTGTGATCAGACGACATCCAAGTCGAAAGGGATAGCATGCAGACGGCCTAGATTCAGTCTTCACCCGCACTTCTCGACGACCGAGCCTCACTCGCTCCATCATCATTGTTTCCCTCACTTCCGTTATCGTCATCCATTTCCTCCAGCTCCGCCGCCAACGGACTCACACGCTCATCGAGCAGATCCAGATCCTCCAGCTGTTGCCGCGGAGGCAGCTTCCACAAACTCGTACCACAGACCCGATCCTTCGTCAGGAGATCATCAACAAACTGATCCATATAGGTCAACACGACGGAGTCGCGCACGCGGCGCCTCAATTTCCGATAGTCCAGCAGGAGCGGCTCCAGCGTCTTGTACACGTCGACCGCATCGAAGGTCAACCGCACGTAGAACGCTGCCAGCGCTCGCAAGTATTTGAAGTCGCCCCGCTGCTTGACCACCCCGTTCTGAGCCTGCTCCTCCGCGGTCTGTTCGTCTTCGTCGTCGCTGCCGGGGTCGGTGAAATTCAGGTATTCGAGGATGATTTCACGCTCGGGGTTGAGCTGGAGGAGCTTGAACGCGAGACAGAGGAACGGGGTGGGCTTCTCGGCGACGCCGTAGGTGCCTCCGAGCGCGGTGAGTTCGGCGGCCCGATCGCATAACGTTGCGGCGTTCAAGCCGAAGCATTGTTCCTTCCAGTAGTAGGAGTCTGTGATGCGATCGCGGACTGCTTTTTCGAAGAGCGTGGCTGGGTTGACGCCGCGGACTAGAGGTCCTTTGTACCCTCGATTGTCGAGTAGCGTGCTTGCATCTGCGCGATGGGTGGACATTGTGTCTGACGGAGGATCGCAGTGGTGTGAATGGATACCTGGCCTAGCTGTGGCGGCGGGCTGAAGTCGCGCGAGAAAGAAGTCAAGCTAGGTTCTTGGCGCGATACCAGGTGCCAAGACTTTCTTATCGATAGTCGCACCGACAACCATCTGCAGGTAAACCAAGCAAGCTGAAACGTCATCTTGTCTCCCCTCACAATACATTGTACACTTGTTATGTGAATCCACTTCGGATACTTGTCGATTCTGAGTATATAAAGACAGCAGCTGTGTTGTTAGAGAAGCCTATACATTGCGTGGGGCTCGTGTTTGCATCTGTCCGTCGCAGCGCCAAGGGACCATGCACAGTACACTTCACATACCGGTGCAAAGCTTCAAATGACCTGACAATGGTCCTTCTCACATCCTCCACCGTGTCCGTCATCGTATCCACAAGCGTGGTTGCCCTGTTTACTATTGTCCTCTTCCTATCCGGCTACGTCTTACAACAACAGTCCGTCCGAAACATCCAACATGCACTGCGACCTCAGCACCATGACCCCATCGCAGGGCACGGATCTTCAGGATCGTCACACCAGAAAAGAGATCAAACTCTCCTCTCTGAGATAGTCCCCGATACGCAATCACCCACATCCCAGACAGAAGGGAACTACGCATATCTCCAACTCCTCTCCACCCCAAACCCGTCCGACATCTGCTCAGCGATTCTCTTCTTCAAACAGCTCTCCACCAACGGCACCGCCATCCAAGACCGCCTCTTCATGTACCCGCAAGAATGGGATCTGGTGCCGTCGGAGAAGCTCGCGGAACCCGTTGCCACGGCGCTCGCCTACCTCCGCGCCGCAAGCCTCAAGTACGGCATCTGGCTCCTGCCCATCGACATGACGGCCGCCACCTCCGCCGGCTACGCTCCCACCGACACCAAGCTCCTCCGTCTCGGCCAGATCCAGTTCATGCAGTACGACAGCGTGCTGTATGTGCGCGCCCCCGGGCTCCTGCTGGACACGGGCAAGCTGGACCAGGTGCTTCTCTCCCGTCCGCTGCCAGGGAGACACGACAAGACCAGACCGGAGTCGTTCAATAACGAGGCGTGGATCCCCATGCCACTGAAGCCGGCGCGAGATGCGGACCTCCCGCCTGTCTATCTGATTACCGTTAATAATGTGGAACATGGCCATATCGAAGCGCGCGGTCATATACCCAATGTCGCGGTCCCTGGCTTTGGGGGGCTTGTGACCGGGCCGTGGGGAGTTCCCTCGTCGGAAGCGGGCGATGGGTCCACGGAGCTGCCAGGTTATGTGTATTTTGAGCGTGATGAGGAGGGCCATGTTCGGTGGGCGGATAATCCACTGTTCGGCTCCTGGAGAGCTCAGCAGTATGAAGTATGCGAAGGCCTGGACTTGGATTATGTGACGTATAATGATGTGTAGCGGCTTTTTGTTTTGTTTTGTTTATTTTGGACGGAGTATCCTGGGTATGTATCCGGGTGACTGGTATCAGTGGCGTTAATTGGGCTGGGTGGTTATATTTGCCTATCATGTTGCTTCTGTTCGCGCATATTAGCAATCAGACACTTTTATGAACTCACATATTGTACGCATATATGTCATACGGCTGAACGGTGAAATATGTAGAAGATCTTTAAGAGAAGGCAATCAGTGTGCCAGTAGGGATATCATCCTCAAACATTATCATAAAGCATACAGAGTATTAACCAGCCCCATTAACAGACAACAGACACCGCTCATGCTCCGGGTATAATACACAACGTGCAATGGTTCAACGAGGGACTCCAATCTCATACCCCAGCAACACTTCCGTAGTGTTGCCCTCCCATCCTCGGTTACCACTCGTCGACACCATAAACCGACATGCTTGGTCGACATATAACTGAGAAACCGTGCCGGTTCGATGACCCGGGATAATCAGGAAAGGCACTGTGGAATGGCGCGCATGTTGCTCGTGTTGCAGATCATAAAGCCGAAGGATATCATGAGATGCACTGAAGGACAAATAGGTTAGTCATTGTACAACACGAGTTCACTGCACTGAAACTAGGGAATATTACCAGACAAGATGTCGCCCGTTGGGCATGGCCTTGAGCGCCGTCACAGGCCCACTGCCCTGGGGGAACTTGAAGACTCGTGTGGGATCCCGTAGCCCCTTGTGAAGACTAAACTCTTCAACAGTGCCGTTTCGACGACCAGCATAGATGTAGTTTCCATCTGGGGACCAGCAGGCATTCATGCACCACGGAGGGGAGTTGTACGGTGTGATGCGAGAGACAGGCTCGGGTTGTCGCCGGTCCCATACCCGAATGGTACCATCGATAGACGCAGCGAGAAAAACGTTATCCGAAGAAGTGCTTGACTCAGACTGAGAGGCGTCCTGGTTCTGAATAGGGGGCTCCAATTCTTCAGCATGAGGTAGCCCATTGACGACTGGCTGCGATGTCCCGTTTGGCATCGCCGTTGCTTGTGATTCTGATTGCTGCGTAGCTGCGTTTGCATCCGTATTTGAATCATTGAGATCCATTTGGGACGTGGGGACTTCAGGGATGCCATTCTGCTCGTCCATCGTGTCAGGCTCGCCGGGGGCATCGGCGTCAGGAAGAACACCGTTAGCAAGGGCTTTCCCGAATTCATCGTCTTCATACATGCCAAATTCATTGCCCGCGCCCCCTGCACCATCCCCTCCTGTGCCATCTGCATCTCCAAACAGCGAATCGGCGCCACCAAAAAGCGAGTCCGCCGGCGAGCCCGCTTGTTGGTTGGACGCATCACCAGCGTCGGTTTGGTCGTTTGCGCCGTCCGTAAAGTTAAAGCTGTTGTTGACACTGGCTTGGTTGTTCGACGAATATGTCCCATTAGTTTGTGGGATCTCTGTCGAATCCTTCGGAACCGGTAGACTAGACTCTGGGCGGATCTCCATTGACGAGATTTGGCCGGCACTGCCACCAAACGTTCGTCTCGTCTGGCCCGTGTTCAAATCCCAGTCGAACACCCTCTTATCCCATCCTCCAGATAACAATGTCTTCTCATCCGAGGTCAGACTTAATACGGATACAGCCGACGTATGTTGCTGGAGGAGCGCCAGCTCCCTGCCTTCGTCGTGGCGGACCGATTGTAGACGGATTGCGCCGGATTCCAGGCCAGATAGCAGCCACAGACCCTCGCTGTGGCTCGCGAGCGAGTATACCGGCGATACGGAGTTTCCATCCATATTCTCCCAATAGGTCATCACCACGCCGGCCTTCACAACGCTGTCCACAAACGGGTGTCGCTGGGCCACAGTCAACATCAACTTGCTGTTGATCGAATCCACCCAGTTGAACTTCCGCACGTATCCATCCGAACCTCCGCTGAACACCCATCTCATATCCGCCGTGGCAGTCACAGCGTTGATCGAAGTGCTGTGAGGGGCCGCGGTCGTCGGCACAATGTCATAGGTCGAGGCTGTGAGGCATTCCGGACGCACGGAGGGGTGAAAGGCAGATACCGGATCAGTCGTTGTATTTTCGGGACCTTGGGAGGTCATCTCAACATCGGGATGGGGTTGGGACGCTGCGCCACCGCCCTCGCTGGCGTTCGACTGGCTCTCCGCGTCTGGGTCTCCGTCCGCATCGGCGTCGGCGTCGGCGTCGGCATCGGCATCGGGTTCGTTGTCGTTGCCTCCATCATCCACATCTCGCATCTCGTCTATCTCATTGTCGGAGCTACCATCCTGCGAGCCTGGAAGACAACCCGAGTTCAGCGACCAATGGTTGTATTAGGGTGTTGCGGAAGGGAGCTCACCTGCCAGATCGCGATCGTCGTCTTCTTCAATCGAGGCCATTGCTTAAACGGGGACTGCAATTCAGAGCGCCCGAGTCGCAAAGCACAGTAGTATACAGATTTGATGTGAATATTTATAGCGACAGGTCTGGGTGCCTGGAAGCTGAGGGGTGCGCGACAGGGTCTTAATCCGGACAAGGCACGAACAGCTGCAGCTCACGGATGCATCTCCTGATTAATCATACAGTCATTGACTTCGGGTCGTCGAAGGGCTGGGGGACGGAGCAGCCTGGAACCGTCAGCGCATTGAGTAGATGATCGAGGTCGAGAAACGCAGGCTGCCACCGGTAGGTCTGGAGAAGATCGCAATTCCGACCCCATCGATGCGCTCTATCGTCTTTTCCCCGGGTCACGTTGCCGCCGTTGCAGCCTGAGGCAGCAGCGGATCTCCGGCTGTCCTGATTCGGTTAGCGTCGACTGCACCAAGTATATCAAGCACTGAAAGTGACTTTGATGCCCTCAGATATCATGTTTAATTGAATGAAATGGAAGAAATTGGGAAACTAAAATGTAAGGATGGTATAACCATCGTAATACAAAGCTGAACCTTAGGGACGTCTACCTTCACTATGCCTCCAGGAGTAGAAATAATATGAATGACCGCAACTCACTAAGACGTTGGGTTGTTTATTCTGTCACTCCAGAAATCGGAAACCCACAGGTCTGTTGCTTTTGTTGTTTTTTGTTGTTTCCCTATAGGGACTGCAAACGCCGCCCTCTCTCCTCGTCTTCCCGTTTCCTCTCTTCCACCCACACCCTCTTCTCTCTTCCGTGTCACTCCCCCAGACCACTGACGATTTTCCCTCGAGAGGAAACATGTCGGGGGACTCTAACATAGGCGGCTGGGCTCATGTTGGGGAGTATCAGACCCGGAAGAGAACGGTATCCCTGAATACCGGCCCAATCGCACTGGCAAACAAGGATATTCAAACCTACTACGATCAGCCTGATCTTGAAGCCGTGGAACCATGGGTTCTGAAGCCCGAGATACCATCGGAAGAAGAGATTCTCGGTACTGACTCGGGAGATACTGTTGACCTAGCACCAAACAACATAGACGGCCCTTGGATCTCGAAAGAAGCTTACCTTCGGACGCATTACAATCTACTGAGGGAAGATTCAGTGGCTCCCCTACGCGACGCTGTGGCATATGTGAGAGAGAGACCACACATGATGGATTCGAAAGATGTCTCGATTTATGATAAGGTTCGTTCATATTTCGTCCTGAATATCGAATGCCTTTGGCCATACACTAACGCACCTAAGGTCTACGTTGTAGGACTCACTTTCGCGCAGCAAGGACTGGGTTTTCGCATCCAGTTTTCGACTCAGAGATCGGGTAAACGGATCCTTTGGGAGTACACCAAGCGATTGATTAGTGGGACCGTCGTCGCTCTATCTCCTGCGGCAGATGCCTTTCAGACTAAGTGCGTTCTCGCTCTCGTGGCTGCTAGACCCCTGGAAACTGTACAGCGACAGCCTCCGATGATCGACATTTATTTCGCTCGGCCAGACGAGGCAGATTTCGATCCCCATCAGGAATGGATCATGGTCGAGGCGAAGACCGGCTACTACGAAGCCTCAAGACACACAATGACAGCGCTACAAAAGATGAGTCGAGAAAAGTGAGCTCTCCCTGGGAGCGAAGTTGCTTAGTACTATGCTTCAGGAACACTACTAACTAGTGAGATAGATTCCCTCTTGCTGACAATATTTGCTTTCTCATGCAGAATGTCGAGCCGCCCCCGTACATTCAGCAGAACCCAGTGCTTGAATTACAGTCAGCTATCGATGAGAATGAATTGGATGGCAAGGTCAACGTCTTGGATGGGTGGCCACATTCTCTGACGGGTGACCTCGATAGCACGCAGTGGGAAGCATTGCATCAGGTGCTCACGAAAAGCCTCACTATTGTACAGGGTCCTCCAGGGACCGGAAAGACATTTGTCTCGGTCATGGCCCTCAAAGTCCTGATTGCCAACATGAAGCCAGGTGATCCTCCAATTATCGTATCTTCGCAGACTAACCATGCCCTTGATCAACTTCTGGTCCATATCTCGCGATTCGAGCCCAGTTACATCCGATTGGGTTCGAGAAGCAGTGACCTTGAGGTCAAAAAGCGCACCCTCTTCAATGTGAGGAAGAGTCAACCTACCGTTCCTGTTCATGGGAGCATTCTAGGGTCCGCGCGAGGCAAACAGCGATCCCTTCAACAAAGCATCATGGCGCTCCTTAAGCCTTTTGACTTGAAAAGCTCTAATGCTCCTATCCCTTCTTCTCTTTTCTTCAACTATGGGTTGCTGACGCAGGCCCAATACGACTCCCTTTCCAAAGGAGCAAAAGACTGGATTCGACCGGGTGATCGGGACGATGCTGACCCTATTTCTGCTTGGCTCGGAGACCAGTTAGTGAGGTTCAGAGTCACTTATGCGGCTGATAACTTTGGGTTTGTTGAAGATGAGATCGACCTTGAGTACGAGCAGCTGAAGGAGCTCGAGGCCGAACATGGGGTGGAGGAAGACGACTTCGACACGCTGAGAGGGGACTACATCCACATCGGGGAGGTCTTCCAAGGATTCAGAGGCAACGACAGAGGAGCTCTCGAGTACCACAAATATTCCGACTTGTGGAGAATTCCTGTCAAGGAACGGGGCGCTGTGTACAACGTTCTCCGAAACCTGGCAAAAGAGAGAATCCTAGGCCAGTTTCGGCAATTTGTCTCTGAGTATATGCGAAACTGCAAAAGTATTCAGATTGGAAAGTGGGAAAGAGACAATGTTGTCTTACAAACCGCCAAAGTCATCGGAGTGACTGCAACCGGTCTCAGCAAGTACCGGGGGTTGATCTCCAGTTTGAATCCGAGAATCGTCCTTATTGAAGAGGCTGCGGAAGTTATTGAAGCGCCCATCGCTGCTGCTTGCTTGGAGTCGGTGCAACACATGATCTTGGTAGGCGATCATCAACAGCTCAAAGGACATTGCGCTGTGGAGGAACTGGGTGGTGAGCCCTTTTTCCTTGACATGTCTATGTTCGAGCGCCTTGTACGGAACGGACTTGAATATGTCACCTTGAGGAAACAAAGACGGATGGCTCCTGAGATCAGTCGTCTGTTGACTCCAATCTACAGCGAACTCCAGGACCACGAATCGGTGCACCACCGGCCTGGTATTCCAGGTATGGGAAATGTGCGGTCGTTTTTCTTCTGTCATGACTGGCCCGAGACCAGCGACAGTCTATCATCAAAGATGAATGAGACGGAAGCAGAGATGATTGTCGGGTTCTATATTCACCTCGTGCTCAGTGGCGTTCCTGACAAAGATATCACCATCTTGACCTTTTACAACGGCCAGCGGAAGAAGCTGCTCAAGTTGCTGCGAAGTAATTCATACCTGCAGGGGCAGTATGTGAAAGTGGTTACGGTAGACTCCTACCAGGGGGAAGAGAACGAAATTGTCATCCTTTCGCTAGTGCGGAGTGGCCAGAAGAGCATCGGGTTCCTGGCAGTTGAAAATCGAGTCTGCGTGGCGCTTTCCCGAGCCAGAAGCGGATTTTTCATCTTCGGAAATGCCAGAACGGTGGCGTCTGCGAATCCCTTGTGGCGCGAAGTCCTGAGGCTCTTGGAGTCTCAACGTTCACCGCAGCCTCTAGTATCGACTCAACTACCACTGACCTGCAGTAGCCATGGGAACACTATCTACAAAAAAGACCCGTCGGACTGGTCCGATACGAATGGTGGCTGCAGTGTGCCATGCGAGGAGACCTTGGAGTGCGGCCACCGATGCCCAATGCTTTGTCACGGTTTCTCGCACGATCGGGTCCAGTGCGACAAGAGGTGCGACAGACCGATGCGGTGCGGCCACTTCTGCTCCCAGCCATGTTCCAAAGAGCACACGTGCATCTGCAAGTGTCCTGTTGCCGAGGAGCAAGCGATGGAGTTGATCGAAATCGATCGACTGTTGCTGTACTGAGTCCCGGCGGTCTTCTGGCTCATGGAAGATTCTAGACCCTGAGCAACCCGAGAATGTTAATTGAGTTTGATGGTCGTGACGGATGTTTCTCTCCACCTTGATCCTTTTTCCGAGACGGACAGTCGAACCCAGAGGAATGGGTCAGTGGATCTCTTGCCTAGCTGGGGAGGTCATCGGCAAACCAAAATCCGTTTTTCCGGTGGGAAAAAGACTCCGGGCATTCCAGGGCGACTTTAAGGGTTTGGAAGCGTGGCATCTGGTGGTGGGGGAGATCTGGTTTTTCAGTAGATCAGTGCCTAGGTAGTATCCTGCTCGAGTTGACCAACGAGAGGGCTCCGTGAAGACTTTTCCGACCGGGATTTGCGTCTGGGGCTCACGAAGTGGTTGTTAATCTAAAAATTGAGAATGGCGTTCGCTAAGGTGGATACGTAGGCGAAAGTAGGAGGGAGTAGGGAGAAGAGAAACATGGGCCAGGGGAGCAGAGCGGTTCTCTCTGCCTTGTTTTCTTCCCAGGTACTGGGATCCCATCCCGCCAATAGGAGTGCCGCAAACCACATATAGCTACTTGGGTATGTTTACCACCGCCACCACCTTTCAATCCTCACGAAGTCCCTCCATACTATTCTCTTCCATCGACGTGGGACAGTCGCTTCTCCTCCCCGCCGTCTACTACTACTACTCCTCTGAGTTGTGAAGACGTCTTCTCATCTGTCATATGCGACATCCTGCTTCCGGTTTAGTCCCGTCAGTCTCCATCCTCCCTCCTCCTGGTAGTACCTGGGGTGCTTGGCAATTGCAAGCCACAAATACTACGCACCGCCGACTCACTCGTTCCACTTCACTTTTCACCCCGTGGATGATTCTGGTGGCCATTGCCGCTTCTTTCCATCATGGATTTCATCCGCTCCGAGATCCTAGGCACGAAGTTTGAGACGACCATCAGGTATCTATCCTATGGCGCGTGTTCCTATTCAGACTTGGAGGTAACATCCGTCCAGGTATGCCAACGTACGGCCAGTTGGCCTCGGGGCGTTCGGGCTCGTCTGGTATTCTCTCCCTCATCCCATCACTACGCCGGGAATGACCTGGTTGCGCGAGCTAACCTTTCACCTTAGCTCGGCGTACGATCAGATCACTCAACAATCCGTGGCGATTAAGAAGATGATGAGCCCGTTTGCCTCATCCGCCATAGCGAAACGAACCTACCGAGAAGTCAAGCTGTTGAAGAAACTACGCCACGAGAACGTGCGACCCCGTCAACGTCATCCATTTTGCTGCTCTAGGCTAACGTCAGACAGCTGATTGGATTGTGCGATATCTTCATTTCTCCCCTAGAAGACATGTGTGCATCTCTACATGGCCGCCAGGCCAGGAAAGAAGACACTATCGTGCTAACTTCATCCCAGATATCTGGTGACCGAGCTGTTGGGGACCGATCTCAGCCGTCTCCTCCGATCGAAACCGTTGGAAAACAAATTTGCCCAGTTCTTCATGTATCAGCTGATGGTATGCCGTCTCCTGACGCTGCCCTATGTGTTGGTCTAATTTTGCATAGCGTGGATTGAAGTACATACACTCCGCGGGCGTCATCCACCGAGATCTCAAGCCGAGCAACCTCCTGATTAACGAAAACTGCGACCTGAAGATTTGCGATTTTGGACTGGCGCGTGTGCAGGAACCTCGCATGACCGGATACGTCTCGACCAGATATTATCGAGCCCCGGAGATCATGTTGACATGGCAGAGATACGGCGTCGAGGTGGATATCTGGAGCGCCGGGTGCATCCTCGCGGAGATGCTGCGGGGAGTGCCGTTGTTCCCAGGGAAGGATCATATTAACCAGTTCTATCTCATCACCGACATGATCGGCAATCCTCCCCTGGAGGTTATCGAGAAGATCACGAGCAAGAACACTCGCCATATTGTCGACTCATTACCGCACAAGGAGCCGCGGCAACTCAAGACTATATTCAACGAGGAGGACGCGGAAGCCGTGGATCTTCTAGAAAAGATGCTCCTGTTCGACCAATCTAAGAGAATCTCCGCCGCCGAGTCCCTCGAGCACCCTTATCTGGCTCCATATCACGATCCTACCGATGAGCCGGTAGCCGAAGAGAAATTCGACTGGTCATTCAACGATGCGGATCTTCCCAAGGAATCGTGGAAATACATGATGTAAGCTACTTGCTTCTCTTGCATAGAGCACGCTGACGGGGTCACATTCAGTTATTCCGAAGTCTTAGATTTCCACAGCATGGAGGCCCACTCGTCGGGTTATATGACGCAGGATGACTTCGCCAGTGTCCTGGAGTTTGTTGACCAGAATCAGTTTGCGGAAACTTGAAATAACGAATGACGACTGCTACATACACTTAACAGACGGATACGCGGAATCAGCATGAAGAACGAATGTCAGTCCTGTTCGGGAGAACGGAGCTTTTGGAATCCATCGATGTCGAGGTCAGCGGGCGTATCGTGAATTAGCGACTCTCTTGACTTGCATGTTGAGGTAGACACCCCTTAACGCTCGATAACCAGACAGATCCATAATAAACAAACTTGAGTCAAGGATCCTTGTTTTCCTCGTCCCCTCTCCTCCTTCCCCCACGGTCTTGTCAGGGTAGGCCTTCGATCGATCGACGTTTACCGGGTGAGCTCGCGTTGAAGAACGGGTTGGGTCCGGGAAAAGACAGGTACCGCATGACTTGCTAAACCAGCGGTGGAAATACTAGTAATCGAGATCATCACTGACTCGACAGGGTCGGTCCTACATCCGTCATTTGCCTAATCCTCGAGACTCGGAAACACCCCATTCAACATACACTGAACCGCGAATATGGTCTTCATGCCAACCGTTGTCACTATTATCGCTGTTCTCGCCAGGCTTGTCCACAGCCACCCCTCCTATCAGAAGCAGGCCGATGACTCCGACGCCACCTGGGAATTCTCGCTGTATCAGAACTCGCGTTGCGCTGGAGAGGCCAGTCTATCTTCGGGATCTCACAGCACGAATTGTCAGGATACAATCTACAACGGCGGAGCTCTGGCATATATTCCCAGGGTCGCCGATCCCTATTGCAAGATTCATTTCTTTAGCGATGGACACTGCGCCCCGAACAGCACGATCAGGGCTGTCGGGGCTCAAGCGGAGTCGACTTGTCTTCCCGTGCCGAAGGTCAAGATGGGTGAATATATTCGCAGTTTTTATGTGAGGTGCTGAGTTTCTGGGAGTGAAAGCATTCTCCCCTGTCAACAGATAGACATACTACTGATTTTTGGAATAACAAGTCGTTGATGTTTGTCGTTATCATCAAATGCGTCAGTATATACCCAAAGTGCATAGACTAATCAAACAGAACCGCTATTATCCACACAGGAAAACACCTTATCGATCTTCCCACTCTTATACGCATTCAAGATCTGCACAATCACACCATACGTACCCCCAACCATCATGAAGAACCCCAGCAGAATCTGCAAAACATGCAGCCCATAAACAACGCCACGATATATCCCTCCTCTCCTATACTCCCCATGACTATACACCCACAACAACCCCGGAAAACTAATCGCCAGCGGCGCAAAGCACAAACTCCCCACCAGCGCCAGCACATACGTAAAGATCGGGATAGCAGACGCTAGCACAAACGAAACAGCCGCCAATCCTACCGTACACGCCAACCACGTCCCCCAATGCACGACCGTGTTCGCCTGCAGGTGCTTCGACTCGCGCAGAATCCGCACAAACAGATACTTCGCCGCGACATGCACATACAGCGAACCGCTGATAACCAGCCCCGGCAGCGCGACCCCGTACGACACCCGCTTGACCGTCTCTCCCGCGCTACCCAGCGCCGGCGACGCAATCCACTTCCCGCACCACCGGTAGATCACCAGGCTGAAGGCCAGGTACGACGCCGCCACGAAGCCCATGCTCGTGTACACGGCCTTCGGGTAGTCCCTCGGGCGGCGCATCTCCGAGATCACGGGCAGGAAGGCCGACGTCGCGGAGCTGGAGACGAAGATGGTCGCCGCGGCGGTGATGCCGGCGGCAAAGGTCGGTTTGCCGATTACGCGGTACCCGAGGTCGAAGGGGCCGGTTTGGGGGGCGGCGGCAGGGCGGTCCCGGACTGTGACGCCAATACTATGCATATGGTTTTAGCTGGTATCTACTTGGGGGTTGTGGATGGGGACGCACACTATGATGAAGACGGCGCCAAAAACGCTAACAAATCCCACCCACGTCAGCCAGCCGATGTGGGAGAATTTGCGCACGCTGGCGAACACGGCGATGATGGCGGTTGAAACGATCGACCAGTAGACGGTGCACATGGCGTGCAGGGATAGGGCGTTGAACGCGGCAGACACGCCAATGACGCCGGACGCCGCGGTGATCACGTACGTCACAATGAACATGAACCCGACAATCTCCTTGAAGACGGGGCCGCCGACGACCTGCGCCATGTCTGCGACCGAGTGGCATTGCGGGTGGCGGTTGCGGAAATCTCCCAGGATGAGGGCGCCATAGGCGTTGATGACGCTCCAGCCGACAAGGTTCACGGCGCCTGGGAAGGCGCCCAGGTCGTACATGACGGAGGGGATGGAGAGGATGCCGGTGGCAAACAGCACTGTGGGAGTTAGAGGCGGCGTCTATGAACTCGTCGGTTGATCTGTTGGAGGTACGCACTCTTGAGGAAGATGGCTGACGCCCGAATCCAGCTCACGGTGCGGAAATCAACCTGGCCATCGCCTTTCTTGAAGACCTCGTAGCGATCATCGCCGGCTTTCAGCTCGTGGGCATGGGCGACTCCGATGTCCTCGCTGGACGGTCCGCTGTCACTGATTTTTATGTCTTTGCTCTCGTTGGAATACGATGCCATAGTGGATGGATCCCAATTCTGGGCGTAGAAGGAGGAATCCTTGCGTTTGGAACCCCCGCATGAGTTGCTGGGATGATCGCCTTTTAGGTGACCTGGGGCTCTGTTAATTTCCTACTAAGCCCTTGCATATCCCTGATCTATTTGGCACATATGCAGCGATAATGCATCCTGATAGCGGTCTTGGGTGGATCCACCGCAGTCGATCACAACTGATAACACTGGCACTAGCTCAGTGTTGGAGTACTTAGATTCAAAATGGTGCAGGTCTTGTTCCGTTGGAGGACCCCGACTTGGAGTAGACGTTGTCGTGGTGTTGGAGAGTTGGGGTAGAGATCGGTATATCAGAGGTGGACAAAGAACTTTATGTATATAGCCATGACTATACTAGATGTGTCTGGAGTATATCTGGTATGTTCCGGTGGCTCAGGCGGTTTCTGGTCGAATTGCTTTCGAGTGCCGAACCTTATCAAAAACGCCATTCGGAACATATATCCACCAGCTATCCTACATGGTTGGCAACGTAACAAACCAGAAGATGACGACGCCTCAATCTGTCAATATGTAGAAGATATTGCGGCCATAGCTTTTATCGGGTATCGTTCAGCATCTGCAATGGACAAGAAGTAGGCATGCCGTAAAGGTGTCTATCCGTATCCAGGTTGTGGGTCAAAATTTAGTCATGTCTTATATAGCAAATTAAACCACACCATTTCAACAACCAGGCCTGCTGGCCCAATGGTAAGGCGTCTGACTACGGATCAGAAGATTGCAGGTTCGAATCCTGCGTAGGTCATTTTTTTGTCCTTTTCTTATACTCGACTTGGTCGGGCCTCGAAGATAGTTACTAATTAGTTACTCTCTACACGTTCAAAACTTAATTTTCAGAGATCAGTAGCCGGAGCACAGCCATGGGAACGAGAACCTTGGCAAGTGAAGTTAAGGATCAACAACTAGGATTGAACAGCTCGCCTGCTGAAGAGATGAACAACTACATCTACAAAAGAAATGGATGATGTGCAGGACTCGACAAATCCACAGGCACCCAAAGGTGTTCCGCTACCCTATGGCGTTCACAGGATAGAAATTATGAACCTACCGTCATTGCAGCTAGCCTCATATTCAAACCAGCTCTCGTTCGTCTTTCCCTCGAATTATGATTATAACAGCCAAGTGTCGGCCTGGATAGCGGCCCTTCGAACGAATCCAAACCCCTATCTGTCGTTCGAAGGGCCGCTATCCAGGCCGACACTTGGCTGTTATAATCATCTGGGTACGCAGAAGCTGGAGCAAATCCGTCAATGGCCAGGGGAGAGTCGAGTTCGCATTCGTTTTCATTGTCAGAACAACCTGGATAGTCTCCGCCAGGGGAGGAATCCCAAATGGTGAGATCTTGGCTAGTATCCAGGTAAAAGTTGCTGCCTTTTGAAACAAATGCGGCGAGTGAACCCGGATATGGGGGCCGGGCGATGTCCCATGTAACAATAGGTAGGTGGGGATAGACATTGCCATTTTGCGACATCACGTACTTGGCCAACGCATAATATGCCAGATTGTCGGAGTTTCGCTGAACATAGTATCCGACGGAGCCCACTCCTGTTCCTTCACCTTGCCAACGAGCTAATATTTTCGTAGCAAAAGGACCGTATGCGGGAATCGTTTTTGTTTTGCCTGTAGCACCCAATTTAATGTCGATCTGGAGATCGCTAACACGAGGATTAGGCTTTGGGGAGTCAGCCACCAGATCTAAATGGTACAACTCATGCTGAATCAATTTTCGTTAGTGCAACAGATTTATAGGATCGAGACTCGTGGTCAATCTCACCAAAAATGTTTGTGCTCTGTTATCATAGTTTGCAAGTTTTAAGTTGTTTGGGCTAGCTAGGTCCTTTGCGTATGTGATTGCGTCTGCCAGACTTCTGCGAACAAAAAAGCCGGCGCAAAAATTGATCATCGGATATGCGGAATCATCGGGATCAGGGTCAGAGTTCAACGCATATGCAAGTGGGGTTGGCTTTGGCGGATCGCCTGGATTTGGTGGGCTGCAATAGTCAGTAAAGTCACTTGCTACTCATTCTAAATAACAGAAAGACAGGGTGGCGGTATGTACTTCGGCTGACATGGATCTTGATCGGGCCGATTTTGGCATCTGTTTTTAGGATCATCACATCAGACCTTGATATAATGCGGGAACAAATTTAAGCGGGAGCCATAGATGATCGTTGCCGTATTTGCTAAGACCGCCTGAATCTGAGATTGCTGAGGTTTGTTCAGCCCTGGTACACCCAGAAACTCCAGTGCAGCAGCACTGTTCCAATCGATATCTGATGCTACTCCTGCGGTGCTGGAGAGCAAGTTGATGGAGTCAGTCTATTTCTTCTAGACATGATGATCACGAGCGGTTGACTTACTTGGATATCAGCCATGCATCATAATAGGCGTCGTCAATTTTGCCCTTGGCTCCTTCGCCGAAGTTCTTTTTGCAGCCGTTATAACCATAGAGCCATGTTCCAAGGATATTATCAGGCAACACAGTGCCCGTTGGGATCACTCGGTAAGGAGTCTCGTCGCCTGGAAACCCGGCAGGCGGTGCAGCTGAAGTATAGCGTAGCAGCAAGAATAACGTTATAAGAGCTGCGAGGAACATCATTCTGACGGTGTGTGTAGAGTGAAATCGAGGGCGAAATAAAGAGTGAACTTTGGAGGAAATTTAACAGAAGCAACAATATAATATAACCGACCCCTTATACCTAGGAATCCCGCTGGGTCAATGCTCAAGACGGGCTCAACGCGCAAATAGAGGAAACATCATGACCACAGAAGCCAGGCGCCTAGTCTTGCCCCCGTGGGATATTGTTGAATACTACCTAATACCCTTAATATCTAGATTAAATACCTTTACACACAGTGGCTAGCCACAGTATTGTCTCGAAGGGTTACATCCATTCATATTCAGTCTAACCTGTATAGCCATAGTGTAGTTGGATATTAGAAGTTCTTGGCGATGCTAGCGTGGAACTCCGCTTCGCTTCGGTATGTATATTGCATGTCAAGGTCTAGCTTCAAGGAATGTCGTGTACTAGCAATTAGCGAAAAAGATAGTATAGTACAAGATATAGATTGATATAAAGCACTAACGTACGGTCGACCAATGCCACGAGAATGTCAAGCGGCTACGCTAGGATCAAGCCACGAAATCCACAGAGCCTCGCAAATGGCTGTCGGAAGTTTTCGGCTAATAATTCCCATTTAATGTCGACCCACGTATGGATTTCTAATTTAGCCCCCATATTTATCCATAGTCCTGAACTCGAAGCTCTAAACAAATACGGCTGATATTCGGAAGCCGCCGAAGACCTGCGCGTATAGCAGGCTCCGCACGATCATGTTGACTGCACTTAAACCTACATATTACAGTGGTCACCTGCTTGACCGCGAGGACACGCCCATGAGCTTCGACACCAAGTCACATGATAACCAACATCGGTCTTTCCTGTGTCTTTAGCCTTGCTAAGAGCACGAGGTCTAGCGGCAGGCTCGTCACCATCATCTCTCACTTTCTATCAACCTTCTGCCAAGAAACCATTGGCTGCTGCCTCCCCATCAGCCTCTCCCCGATCTCTCGTCAACGAACAGCCATGGACAACGCGCAGGACTGCTCGTGCCCTACAATACCTCCGGAATCGACGAGTAACCGGACTGAGTTCGGTACCCGAGGATGTCTTGTCTATGGCTACCCCTCCACTGGTGGGGTTCTCGTCAAAGAGGCTGACCTTCTCGACATGCTTTTCCTATCGCTTTCCCGCTCTCATGTATCGCAACGCTCATCTAGTCCCGACGAAGAAGACAGATTCTGTAATCTGCTAAAATGGACTGGTGCGACTTTATGGCCGAGTAAGGAGGATTGGATCGAGGTGCAAATCGGCATGAGAGAGATAACGGAAGAAGAAGAAAAGGTGGTGGTGTTTGGTTGGCCGACAGATGGACTGGGCGTATGGGTGTTGAGGTTTGCGAGTGCTAATCAACTACCAAGGGATTTTGGGAGAATACGTTTAGCGATGAATATGGAGGAGAAAATACAGATAATGAAAGAGTATGGCGCTACGTTTGTGGAAGATGTTACGCAGGTGGAGGAACTTCAGGATACGGTTTGAGAAATACTGGTCTTGAGATGGGTCCGTGTGGAAAAACATTTCTGTACGCTATACGCAGTACTGGATGGAGCTACCGCAGCCCAGTTCACTGAAAGTCATAGCCATTTTGGCCCTTCATGGTGTGGAAGTGAGATTGAATTGATTGCTGTTTGAATTGCTGGGCACGATACGGCCAGATCAGGACTGTAGCAACCTAAGGACTTAAATTCTGAATTAGCAGGTGAACCGACTGTGTTCAAACACTTTTCTGACCGCTCTGTCATGAAGTAGCGCTCTAGTGTTTTTCTTCGTGATTCCACGTCTAAGCGACTGCAAGATATCAGAGCCGAAGTAGACCAACGGTCGGTACCGGGTAAATGGCAAAGTAAATGAGCTGTGCATCTAGTTCAAAGCTAAGTTGTAGCTAATACTCTCGCTTCTAATTCCATGGGCAAAAATACAACGATCTTGGTTCTTAGACAGTTTTTGACCACTCAACCGTTGGCCAGGCCTGCAATTAGCTATTCCCCGTTTCCCCCGATATGGGCGAATGCTGCGAAATTTGCACTCGGCTAGGATTGCTGGATATTCTTGCCTAGTTCCATGGCGCTAGTCTTTCTCAGATATGGGCGACGAGGGTTGCTACACTATCCGGATGACCAGGGTGCGTGTTCCGCGGCACGCAGCGCGGGAACAGGGGCGAAGTCGGTTAGAAATCCTAACCGAATCAGAGTTGTGATGGTCACTACGCGTGCGCTCGGCCAAAGTGGTATGCACCGATAGACCGGGTTATCTTCTCAAATGGACACTGTGGCGCCTTTTCATAATCTCGCTAAGCGACCTTCTCTACACCGGGTATAGGCCTGTGCAGTTCCTAATATCTCGGGACCCCTGGGTCTCGACTGGAAACTATTCAAATCACCTTAAGGGCATAGTGAGCAGTCCTTTGGTGTAAAATCAGCACTTGCTTGCTGCTGCCTAATTATGTTCCTATTTTCTATCACTAATACAGGTAGATGAGAACGTCGAATCTCCCGCACTGGCTGTTTAGCATCGCTAAACGGGGGACAGCAAAAGTCTCTTGTCGGGGTGGCCGTTATGGTCAGAAGACAAGGTTCCTGGGCATAACGATCCTCTATAGTGCCAAAAGAAGACCAGCTCTCGGACGTCGAGTTCCTTGAGGTTGCACCGACTCTTGTCCTCGCGTAAGATCTCCTCGTCGGTATTTACCTTATCGGTGATGTTCTGACTCTTGACATCCTAGAACGGCTGCGCTGTTTTTGTCTACCAGCGCGGCGAGCTACCTGAATCCAAAAAGAAGGAACTAGTGCTTTTGATTGGGGCCTCATTGATGCGACACTGTGTGAGTGGCTTTGTTGTCCACCCGGACGGTAGCTACATAGAGCCAAGGTCACTTGCAATGCCCTTGAAAGCGATTTACATCAACGATGCAGCCCATCGCGTCATTCGCGATTTCAATGGCAGTCAGGTTGATTACCTACCTAGTAGCGGCCGCTGTGACATATTGATAGATTTCCAGATCCCTGCAATGTATCTGGAGAGCGGTATGTGGACTCTCAATGTCGACGTCAGGCTCAAGAGACAACAACAGTTCGTATCTACTTGCCATTGGTGGGGGCGGTTGAGAAATTGGATATTTGGAACAACCTGCAGACTCAATGTCCTCATTGTGTATGTCAGCAAAGCCTTCCAGGTGCCGAGCAAGTGCCTTCAACCAGCTTATATTTAAATCATTGATCTGCTGCAGTTTCGCAGATAGCTCGCCCACTGTGGACCCAGTGTGTGTGCATACTAGGTACTCCAACACCGTCGATAAGGCCTGGCCTTGGCAGTTGGAGAAGACTCGACACAGATGGAGAACATGGAGATCTCACAACTAGATGGAGTGGACCTATCGGGGATTATTCTTATTGAAACGTACCTCTGATTTGTTTTCCATGTAATTGAGCTGTGAGAATTGCGTTGGAACGCTTTCAGCACCAAAATATGCTGTTCTTTCCGAAAATCACATCATTACAATTTACAAGACAAGGATTGTAATAGAAAACGAGTGCAGATACTGCAGTACAATTCAAATTGTACCTATGAAAGTGTAGACACCATTTGAGGTAGTAAAAAGACAGGCCGGAATATGTGGTAGGTGTTTTTGGTTGATATCAAACGATATCGGATTGGTTCCAAGATACGGAGTTTTGTCACTTGCCAGAGACCACAGTGGCCTTCATTTCGCCAGCGTTAATTTATGATGTAGCCCCCGTCCACAACAAGAGCATGGCCCTGCACAAAAGATGCAAATGTAGAACAGAGAAAAAGAACGGTATCGGCAACTTCCTCTGGTTTTCCCATCCTCCGCATCGGAGCAATGTCAATGGCAGGCCGTAATCGTTCACGGACTTCCTCGCTATACGTTGTCATCGGTGTCTCGATAATCCCTGGACAGACACAATTCACTCTTATGCCATCCTTAGAGTAATCTATTGCATCAGAGCGTGTTAAGGCTATGACGGCGGCTTTGGAGCCACAATATGAGGCTGCAAACGTTGTTAGTGTCAGCCACACATACCACCAAGAGGACTTCAGAACATATAACGTACGGGCAGCAGGACGTCCAACAATTCCCAGCTGACTGGCTATATTGACAATTGCCCCTCGCTGGGGTGCGCGATTTGGATCATGACTGGGAAGGGGTTCTTGTTCGAGCATATGTTTTAACTCGGCCCTGGAGCATAGCCAACAACCGCGATAGTTGATGTTATTGATACGGTCAAATGCATCTGTCGTTGTCTCTGTCGATCGGACACCATCCCCGAGCACACCGGCGCAGTTCACGGCATAGTCGATGCGTCCTAGGTCGCGAACTACATGGCCCAAGAACGCTTCGACAAACGGCTCATCTGCGACGTTGCCTGCTTCCGCAACAAGACGAGTTGCAGGGTAGGAGGCAAGAATAGATTTCTTCGTTTCTTCCAGTGAGGTCTGATTGATGTCGGTGATTGCGATTCTCTCACATCCTGCGGCGGCAAATGCCTTGGCGACTGCGGCTCCGATGCCTAGAGTCTGCCGGTTAGTTGTTGACATATGATGGGATGGTCGAGCGGCGCATACCGGTTCCCCCGGCACCAGTGACGAGGGCAACACCGGGGAACGAGTACACACGGGACATGGCGTAGGTGTGAGATGCTATACTACTATACTCTGTCGAGATAATCTGCGGCGGATACTTATACCCGATTTGGAGACGGGAGGTTCTTATCGGCGGAAAAGTGGGGAGATTCCCAAAGTGGCGTTGGGGTCATTTCGGCCGTCTCTCCTCCTTCCCCTCTTTTTCTCTCCGCTCTTCTCTGCATCCACGCCCTCGTCTCCAAATCCCCGGTGGAGCGCATCCATCTGCTCAGCCTCGCATTGACTATTCTCTGTATCGGCCCTTCCCCAAATGTCTTGATGCTGTCCCAATCGTCACACCACCCCCGGAGCAGTCGTCGCTCCAGCGTTGGAGCAAAAGCCCGCGTCTGCGAGCATTGTGGTCGGAGCTTTCGGAGAACGGAGCATTTGGAACGCCATGTCCGCACCCGTGAGTCTTTCTGGAGATCCTGTCCGATTTAGGCCCTTGCGCATGTATACACCATGGTCTTACATGTCGACTCCCCTTACTTCAAGTCAAAGGGCTAAGTGTCTTTCTCAGATACCAAAGAGAAGCCATATGTATGCTTCTGTGGAGCAGCCTTTACCCGGCGCGATCTCCTCAAGCGACATACTCGCATCACCCACGAAAACAATGGCTTGATATCGCCGAATTCTCAGCCCGACCGCGATGGTGCCGACCAGGCTGCGGCGCGGCCGACATCCGACCCAGCGTCAACGTCGCAGCGACGATACGATGTGTCGTCTGCTCCTCGGCCCGAAGTCCCCCTGTCAGTACAGCCGGGTATGGAGCAGTGGACGGGCACGCAACCGGCTCCGTATCTAGAACAGCCCCAACCTTTGCTTAACGCAGCCGACAACAATGCCAATCTACACCCAGCCGTCACACACGATGCAGATATCCTTCAGGCGGCACAGCTCCTTCTCCCTGGTAACTTCCGGGATCCGCAACCACCAGGTATGATCCTGTCGCTATCTCTCCGCAGACTTCGACTAACCTCTCTCTAGCCCAGCCTCTTTCATACCTGCCCGAGGAGCTGAATCATTTCCAAGAGTTCACTCATTTCTTGGATTCCATCGGGTTGCCCTCCGAGTGGGTCCCTGCCGTAGGAGAGGTCTCGCAGGTTCAGAGTGCAGTACCTGCTGATATGACCGAATCTGGGAGAAATGCTCGAGAACAGCAACCGTCCCGTCGTACTCAACCCGAGGGCTCACGGGCAGACTCGCCATTTCGATCCTGGTTACCCTCTGTACCCCCAGGTGACCAGAGTTTAGGGACCGTTTCTGACTATGGTGTGTGATGAATTTGTTTATTTCTAACCTCTGTCTAATACCCTGCCTTAGAACCTCCTCAGATATCGAAGAAGTCGTCGCCGTTGAAGGTTAGTGAAGAACAACGTCTTCGGCTTGCGGCTTCGCTCGAAGAGTTTCGACACCTCATTCCGGACTTTGTTCTCCCTTCCCGACATACATTAACGAGATATCTGACCTCGTTCTTCGACGGATTCCACCCCCATCTCCCTTTCATACATGTTCCAACATTGAGGATCAATGAGCGTGCTCCGGAACTTATCCTAGCTTTCATGACGATAGGAGCCCAGTACCGCTTCGAGCATCATAATGCTGAAAGGCTCTTCCATGCCGCAAAAGCAATCGTCCTTCATCGGCTCTCAAAAGAGACATACCCCCCAATCGCAGCGTACAATTCCATCATTCAGATCCCGATCGATAGCCAGACATCGGCACTTTCGCCATCAGAAAATGCCATAGGAATGAATGCGTGGCGGCAAATCGAGAATATCCGGACACTGCTAACCCTGATGGGCTATGCTACTTGGGAGGGGGCAGAACTGGTTCAGGAAGCCTTTGGGCTTCAGAGCCTTCTGGTGCGATGCTTGCGCGAGTTTGGCTTAACAGAAAACATCGCAGTTGCTCCAAGAAATTCCCCTTTGCAGTGGCACGAGTGGGCAGAAGAGGAATCCATCAGGCGCACAAGATTCATCTCGTTCTGCTTCGTCCATGTCCACAGCATTGCATACAATGTCTATCCCGTGCTTCGCAGCAGTGAAGTCCATCTGCGTCTTCCATGTTCCACCAAGGAGTGGAAGGCAACGACGGCTAGTGAGTGGGAGAGCGCCCAGAGGGAGGTTGGCTCCCAGCAATTGTTCTTCCAGGATGCGCTATCAATCCTCCTCCAGCCTTCTCGAAGCACAGTTCTTCTGGACCCCATCCCGGCGCCGTTAGGGAACTACATCCTTCTCCATGGCCTTCTCCAACGTATCCATCTAGTCAGTGAACTATCTATACCGAATGGGGACCAGTCTCTCTCGCTTCCCACAGAGGAGTTGAATAAACTCGAGTAAGTTTAGCCAAAATTAAGCCTATATCATGCGTCACTAACAAAACAAAAGGCGGGCGCTTCGATCGTGGACTTCTGTTTGGCAACAGGCCCCAGAGTCCAGTCTTGATCCTCACAATGAGAACGGACCAATCCCGTTCACCTCCAGTTCGCTTTTAGGCCTTGCCTACGTTCGCCTATCTCTTAATCTGGGGCCTTATCGCCAGCTGGAGACACGCGATCCTTACCGCATCGCCACCTCATTATACAAGTCACCCCGACCTGGACGGAGTTACCGGCTAACACCAGCGCTGATTTATTCTGCGCACGCGTTGAGTATTCCCGTCCGATTGGGCATCGACCATGTCGCGCGCAGCCAAGCCTTCTTCTGGAGTGTACGTCATTCGATCGCAAGTCTGGAATGCGCGGTCCTTCTGAGCAAATGGCTGCTGTCCCTCGCGGAGGCCGGAAGTAATCAAGCCCTGAGCGGTACGGATCCCCTCTACACACGCACCAATCTACATACTGATTTTTGCATTGTGCAGACAACGAAAGTAGAATACTACACTGGACCCGCTGCATCGTGGAAGAAGCATATTCCTCGATGGACTTGGAGGAAGGCGAATCTCCCCCGGGACTGGATCCCGGCAGTCTTGGGATCGCCGTGATCAAGCTCTGGGCCCGTCTGTTCAAGAAAAATACGCAGTGGCCGTTCATCAACGTGATGGGGGAGAGCTTAGAAAGATACCTGGACATAATCCGATCTAGTTAGAGTAGATGTACATAGTCCGGCGATATGCGCGCATTAATCCTACGAATCGTTACGCACCAGAGGGTCGAGGAATCCAACGCCACCCGTAACCAGAATCGAGTTAAAGACGACATAGGTAGGGTGCAGGTTGCGGTACGGAACGCCCGGAGGGTGACGTTAAGGACTGAGTTTTCCGAATTGAGTTTTTCACCCCCCATCAAGATGTCACTACCATCGCCCCTGTACGTTCCTGCAGGAGATCATCCTACCCGAAGCATCCGCTTAAAGTTTGTACAGAACAGGCATTTGCTGTTCGGGCTCTGCTTGACTCAAACCCCTTTCTACCAAGGAAGAGCGCGGAAGAGGAGGATAGACGTCCAAGACATGGCATTTGTTCAAGGGTCTCAAATTACACTATTAAGCAATCGGCCATTATTAATGATTACAGGAGATGGTCGAAGCAACGAAACCAAACTGGACATGAAAAGGAACGCCTATATTCACCGTAATCTTGCACGCACGGCGCAACCCGCACACCACGCCCGTCCCGGACATTCACAATGGGACGAGCAGCTGCGTGCGAGCGTCCGACACACCCCTACCATCCGCTCTAGTAGAAGAGACGCTTGGCAAAGGCCGTGGCGGTGCCGGAAGGCGACGCGGAGCTGGAGGAGGCGTTGGCGCCGCCGGTGGAGGCGATGAGCGGGCCGAAGGTGAGCTTCTGGCCGCAGGGCGGGGAGGGGGCGGAGACACAGCCGTTGAGGTACTCGCCGAGCTTGCCGGGCTGGTTACCGGACTGGAGGACGTAGTCGGGCGGGTAGGCGGGGATCAGGGAGGAGGAGTTTGTGGGGAAGACGGGCTCCTGGACGTTGCTGGTGATGTAGTAGGCGTGGGCGGAGTGCTGGGCGGCGAGGCGGGCCATGAGGAAGGAGACCTCTGGGGCCTGGGTGTAGGCGGCGAGGCCGATGTAGGCGCCGCAGACGTTCTGCTCGAGCTTCTGGGCGTTCTTGACCCAGGTCTCGCCGTCCTTGGCGTCGGGGAAGGTGAAGTTGCAGCGCGGGGCGGTGAAGCCGGGCACCTTGGAGCCGAGCTGCTGGACGGCGCGCACGCCGAGGCGGTTCTGGCGCTGGATGCCCTGGAAGTTGGTGTAGTAGTTGGCGGTGGAGCTGTTGTCGGCGCTGTTGAGGAAGGTCGAGTTCAGCGGCTGCGACGAGTAGTAGCGCTCCAGTAGGTACTGGAGGGCCCAGCCGAACTCCACGACCTGGGCGTCGCTGGAGCTGGGCGAGCAGCTCTGCGCCGCGGCGGCGCTGACAAGGAGAGCGCTGCTCAGAGCGGAGAAGAAGCGCATGGTTGGGGTGGGGGGTTAAGTGATGAAGTGGAGGATGTATATTCTAGTGGTAGTTGTGCGAGTCGCGGCGGGCTTCTCTTGCTCGTCTAGGCCTGGGTAAGTGGCAGGGGTTGCAGATTGACTATAGATTCAGGAGTACGAGGGGGCCGGGCAACCGGGAGCCAACTCTTATAGCTTTCTATGGACCCGGAGGCAGCAGGCTCAAATCTAGATTGCGGAACAATCATCGGACTACTGCAACCATATGATGAAATGGAAGACCGTGGACAGGGCGTCCAGGATGGAGGGCATCAGAAATCAGGTTGTCTGCCGCTTACAGGCGCGGAAAGCTTATCGCCAACTGCTTTGCATCATGACATGGGGCCCACAAACCCTATTCAAGGTTGCTGCCCGCCGATGGCCGCGCGATTGACTTTGGACAATGAACCTTCTTCGCATGCATGAGGACACCATTGCAGGGGCTTGCACGGCTTTGTCGGTAGTTGAAGGGAGGTGACGAAGATGTCAGGATTTTCAGTCGGTGGCTTCGGTGATATCATGAACCGGTGATGACGATGGCTCCTACTATTTGTAAGACAGGATCGGCCCGGGTGGAGCAGGAGGATGGAGGAGGGCGGGATAAGGGTCGAGCCATCATCTATCCCAGACCATAGTGAGTTATAATTCGTACTAGAGCAGTTCGCCGGAGCGGAAGGAGGACGGATGATAGTCATGTTCATCGAACTAAAAAAAGAAAGCATCAAGAATAAGCTCCCGGATCTCGGCAACAAAAGCTTGGCTGCTGAGTCATCACCACGCCCTGCCGATCCTCATCATGATGTATAGGGACTAACTACTCCGTAGTACTTCCAAGATGATAATAATATCTTCAACATTGAAGAGTCTCCAAAACCCAATCTTGCGCACCCTCGAATACAGCTCATTCAGCAGGAACAGGCGGTCTCCTCACAATGTTGGCATACTTTATTTTCTCATGGGTTGCGGATGGATTTTCTGTGAGGTTATCTCCTTCTGGACCATAGATCGCAGCCCGAGCATCGTTTAGGAGACAATTCACATCGGGAGGGATGCCCCACTGGGCGCAAACGTCCCCTGAAATGTAGGAAGTCGTGTGGAGGACACAAGTTGATGATTCAAGTGCGTACACGCGAGACAGCGCGTGGGAGGCTAGTAAAATCCTGCATGTCAATCGGGCCACTCATCACTCTTCACCTATTCAGGCCAGGTTCTAACATACCCTCGGTTGTTTGGAACCATGGAGCCTTCGTTTGAGGATCATTTTTAAACAGGGGTGCCCAAGTGGATATGTGAAGGTCCTCGCGCTTCTGAATGGTTCGACGCTTGAACACCGGGTCGGCATGTTCATGGCCGCATAACACACCCACGCGCCCGATCCCTGTCGTTTCCACCCTAGAATGAGCAGAAGGCCACCAGTGCAGCTCGGGTACCGGGCAATCCGAGAACTCCGGCATAGGCTGATGCAGAGAGATATTAGTCAACCTCGGTGTGACCAACTTCCTCGCAGCAGAGTGGCTCTTACCTCTCGGCACAGTATATGAATCCCTCCAGACTGTGTGATAAGACATTGTACCATGGAGATCTGCGCGCCCTGCCTCTCCGCGAACCCCAGTATGACGTTTATCTCGGATTGCCGTGCTGCCTCGCGGAGTCTTGCCATCTCCGTAGAGCGGTAGCCGATCGAGTTCATGATAAAACGTTCTTTCAAGTCATCGAAGGTGGTCTTGTTGGGGTAGCTGTCTTCGTTTAGTTACCGTGAATCTCGCTAGCTTTTAGACAGGATACCTTAGCCACAGAGGATGTCCTGGTATCCAGCATACGGGAAATGCGATCAAATGTGCGCCGTTGGCCTTGGCTTCACGGATGAGCTGGACTGTGTTCTCGACGCCCTTCGGCGCGTCAAGCCATGCAGGCTCTGCCTGAACGGCAGCGTCGCGGTAGGACATTCGTTCGCCGTAAATTGGAATCAAATAACGAGAGGATGGGGATAAGAAATGCGATAGAAGGAATGGATGTTGGTCGGAGTTTTGGGGCGGCGTACAGCTGTAGAAAACAACAAGAGACTTGAGTACTGCGAGAATTTCGTAGTTTCTACAATGGGACAAGTTATTTCAGTAGATCTTTCCTAATCTATTGTGCTATCTGAAACGATGGACAACAATGGACCTAGGCAGGAATGACAAGATCTCATCAAAATAAATCAAAAAGCCTTCCAGCGCCGTGTCTTGCAAACATATCTGACAAGAGAGAGGGGCAAAAGCCCCTTGAACTTTTCAACAAAATGACGAGCCAGAGACAGACGTATAGAAGGAAAGAAATAATTAGTAACGAGAATAGTATAGACAGAGTGCGTATGTATAGGTATTAGGAGTCATCCACAAGACGCTTCTGGTCCCAAGCTTTCTTGGCTCCTTCCAGAAGCCCTTCCATATTTCCGCTATTTTCACACATGCTTTGGAAGAGCCCGCCCTCACGCTTAATGAGGGTATAAGGATGATCATACTCAATCACGCGGCCATGGTCCAGTACCAACACCTTGTCATAGTCAATGATGGTTTGCAGGCGGTGAGCGATGGTGATGATGGTGCTTTCTCGCAGTTCTCGCAGCGTTTCCTGGATCTTGCTATCGGTGGTGTAATCGATGGAAGCTGTAGCTTCATCCATAAGCAAGACCTTCGGGTTCTTGAGAAGAGCGCGCGCAAGACACAAGAGTTGTCGTTGGCCCTGGGAGAGGTTGGACCCGGACTCCGAAATCGGCGTATTCAAGTTGAGGAAAATGTTCTTATTGTCCAGAAGGGCTGACCCGTTGATTTCCGGCGTGGACCCTGCCTCAGCAACGGAGAGAGTGCTGCTGGTCATGGGAGTGGCGACTCCAGAGGCCTCCGAGCCGATCAAGTGCACTCGGCGGAGGGCCGTGAAGATCTGCTGGTCACTGAACAAGCTGAACGGATCAAGATTGCTTCGAATAGTTCCGGTAAAGAGGGTAGGATCTTGAGGCACTATTGTGATGGCCTCTCGCAAGTCGCGTAAGCCAATAGTGCCGATATCCACTCCGTCAATGATGATGCGTCCCTTTTCTGCCTCAAGACCGCGGAAGAGAGCCAGAGCCAGCGAGCTCTTTCCGGCTCCAGTCCGACCCACAATACCAACTTTCTCGCCGGGCTGAACGGAGAAAGATACACTGCGGAGAACAGGGTCGAGGTCAGGCCTATAGCGGGTGGTATAGTTGTCGAACTCCACTGCTCCACCGCTAGGCCAATCCGCCGGGGGTCGAGAGTCAGGAATGACCGCGTCTGCCTCCTGCTCAACCTCCAGGTACTCCTTCACACGCTCAACACAGTTCATGTTCTGTTGAACCTCTGAGTAGAGACGGACTAACCACAGAACGTTCTCAGTAAAGGTGACGGCGTAGGTCAACGAAAGTCCAGCTGCACCTGCATCGATTCTGCCAATATTGGTGATGACGAAAACCGCTGTGAAGAAGGACACCAAAGCACCGGTAACGTCAACCCGGAATGCTAGCCATCGATTGCTGGCCCAAAGATAGATGTGGGGACGATTATAGTTATTGATACGACGATGATTGTCCACGATAAATCTTGGTCCGTCGCCATATGCTCGAATCGTGACGATGCCGTTCAGAGTCTCTCCAAACTGCTGGTACAGAGGACTACGTTGCACAGATTCTAGTCTCTTCAGGTCACGCGAAGAATTGAGGTAGACAGCGCCCAAAGCAAAGTATACCAGCGTGATGAAGATGCCTGCAATCAAGAACCCGGGAGTGATCACGGAAATCAGAATCACGATCATCAACACCGAAGCTAAGCAGTGGAGCATGCCAATTGCCACTGGCGCGACCTCTTGGTCGACAGCCTCGACGTCCTTGGAGAACCTGTTCATAAGCTGGCCAAGCGGCGTAGAGTCGAAGAATTTGAACTTCGCGTGCATCACCGCGTTCAGAAGACGTTTATGGATGTTGAAAGAGGCGTGCAGCGATCCCCAGAAAAGGAAACCCTCTCTGATCAACGAAATCAGAATGTAAGCGATGCCTAGGAGAGCATATACACCGAGATAATAGGAGACGTTCACGTCGCTCCCCGCTGAGGTGTTCGCTTGAGTATTGAAGTGAGAAGTGCCAACAGGGGAGGTACGTGGAACACCACCTGCATTGAAGGATGGGAATTTGAGGCCAGTCATCGCAGCGTAGTTACCAACATCATCGGTGCGGACATTTTGGGTCTGATAAGAGTTTGCCCACTGTCTGATCCAAATGTTTGTTGATACGGATCCCAATTGTTGCAGGCAGAAGACAATCAAAGCACCAATCCAGTAATACCAAGACCCCATGGACTTGAGGTACATGATGACCGTCGACCATTTGATGCTGCCGACTGCCTTAGATTCCACCATGTTCGGCCGTACATCTTCCTTTTTATCCTTTGACGTCGAGCCATTCGCCTCACCATTGGGTGTTGGCGTTTCCTCCGGGCCTGGTTTACTACCATCGAAGTCGGACGGCATGCGAGAAGGCCGTTGGGAGCTCGCCCTGGACACTGGCCCTGACTTCAGTAGCTCCTCGCCAAGGAGTCCTGTGACAGCCACATCCGTAGGATGGCCCTGAATAGCAACCTTGCCGTTTTCAAGAACGACGACATGTTTTGCCTGGGGAACGGTCAAAGCAATATTGTGGGTTACCAAAATGCAGGTGCGGTTCATCATGAAGGGACCCGTGAGCGCCTCGCGGAAAATGTGTTTGGCAGTGTGAGAATCCACGGCGCTCAAGCAGTCATCCAACAAAAGGTGCCGAGCTCTGCTGTAAATCGCACGAGCAAGTGAGATGCGCTGCTTTTGTCCACCGGAAAGACTAATGCCTTTTTCTCCAACAAGGGTCTGGTCGCCCGCATCGAGAATCGCCAGATCTCGCTCCAGGGCACAAGCCTTGATGACAGCATCATATCGGCGCTGATCAAAGGGAGAGGCGAAGACGATGTTTTCTTTGACGGTATCATTGACCAGCCACGCTTCTTGCGCACAGTATGCCACACTTTCTATGAGGCCCGTTTGGGGATCCACGGGAAGATCTGACCTGCTCACTGTACCCCCAGGCAAATGTACCCGTCCTTCCAACAGCTTCATTTCACCCAAGAGAGCCATCAAAAGCGACGTTTTGCCCGAACCGGTTGGGCCGGTGATGATGTTCAGCGCCCCGACTTGGAAGGACACATCAATGTTGATGAGGCGGAAGGCATCGGTATCTTTCGAGAGATCATCCTGGTAGCTCCCTTTGGGGCTGCCCCATGCGAGGGTTGCCTTCTCCAGGGCAATTCTGGGTGGCTGTCCATCAGCCTCGCCTGGGTCCAATTGGATATACTTTTCAGTCTCTTCCTCGTTAAGATATTTGTCCACTCGGTCCAGAGAAACTTTCGATTCTTGAACGTGTGCCACCATATCGGCCAGCTGGTCCAGGGGAACTCGAAGAAGCGAAAACATCGACAGGGCAGGGAAAGCAATCGACGGGGTTAATTGCTTTTTCTCGACCACCGTATACAGGAAGAATGAAGCGAACGTGATAAAGATTGGTGTGCCATACCAGACCGTAGCTGCCGTGGACCAAATTATGTAGCGGAAGCGCAAGGCCTTGAGCTCAGCCCTCCGCTTTTCGTTCACAATATCTTGAAAACGATGCTCCCAAGCAAAGTATTTGATGATTCGGATGTTCTGCAGAATCTCATTTGTGGCATGAATTCGAGCATCTGTTCCTTTCAAAATCTGCTTCTGCACCTTGGTGAACTGCTTGGCGATTAAGAGATTCACTGGCAACATAAGAACCATGATGACAATACCAGCAAACGAGCTGAACCCCAATAGACGGTAAAGGAGAGTGACAGCGATAACTATCTGTACGGGCACGCTCGCCCACAGGAAATGGAGATAAGCGCCCACCTCACTAACTTTGAAGGAGTCAATGGCCATGAGGTTGATGATGGTCCCAATGTTCGCCAGCTCGTTAGGATCATCCTCTTCCGCCTTGGTATTGTTCTGGGCAGACTCTGGATCAGCGGAGGGCTTTTGATCCTTCTTCTTGCGACCAAAGGAGAAGAGTTTCTTCTTTTTCTTGGCCTCCGGGGCATCAGCGTTCTTTGCGGTAGAATCCACCGCCGCGCCAGCCTTCCGCCGCAGGGCCTTGGCGTAAATTTCGCCGATGATGATAGCGCGAAGCTTCAGGCCCATTTTTCGGCCAATCCACAGAGCCTGCCCATCGGCGATACCTTGAATAGCGCCCGAGCAGAAGAGCAACGTCGCGTACATCCAAGCAGCGTTTGCTGTGGTTGATCTTGGATCTTCAACATATTGCAAGATCGCTCGGAGGAGAATGGTGGGTAGATACGTGAACATGTTCGAAAAGATGGTCCATGCGCCTTGAAGCAGAATCGTGGGGAAGAAATAGCATCCCAGCCTCCACATGAGGCCGCCTTTGTACCGTCGGCGGCGAAAGTCTTCCAGAACGGCGGCGGCCTTTTGGGAAGAAGTCACATTCCAGACGTCCTCAAGCTCAAGTGGCTGCCTATAGCCCTTGAGGATAAGCGGATCCAGCCAGGAAAAGCTGAGGAGTGAGAATATGCTGGCAGTAGGGTACTTGGCCGGCTGCAATCCATCCTCGTGTGGAACCAACACCGCTTTATTCCCTCTACGGGTGGAGAAAGCGATGAGCACTAGGAGCGACGATAGAGCAAATTCGGTCGCACTGAAAATCATCGCGCGTTTCGATACCGGGTGAATGATGGCAGACCGGAAGACAAAAATGGTAAACAGCCATTGCAACCCATACAAAGCAGCCGTATGGTCCCAGAGTCGCGGAGATGAATGCAGGCCTCGGATGGAAAGAACCAATCGAATTAGAGTCAAGAAGAGAACGTAGCTCCAGGAAATCAGTCTTGCCACCGCCGGAAGGGTCCCTCGGTGACCCCAGCCATCCGTCAAGAGAATCGCAATGAAGATGCCGACTTGGGCGGAGAGAGCGAGGGCTTCCAACTCCACGGTCACAATTTCGCCCCGGGGACGATCGATCTCGAAACGGAGTGATTCGGTTTGGGTGGCTTTCAGCAACATTGGGTCGGTTTCCTCGCCCGGTTGTTCCTCCACGAAGATCGCATTTCTCGTGTCATCTTCGGAGGGGGTGTCCACGAGAATCTGATACGAGGGGTTCTTGCGGGCGACGATAAAGCGGTGGACAAGCCGGGAGATAATCAAGACCAGGGAGATCGCGCATGCTGCAAGCGGGAATATTGTTTGCAGATAACTAGAATTCAGCCAATATCAGTCGGAGTTCTCGCAGATGGAAAATACAAGGACAGTGAGGGTTTCATACTTGCGCTGGAAGCAAATGGAGACATCGTCGACAGCCCAAATCGGGCCATGACACTCCGGTATCATTTCTGATAAGCGGAGTTGAGATACGAGCAGCAGGAATGACAGCTCTCGAACAGCATCCGTCGTTCCGCCACGGTCCGGGGCCCTCGAAGTAAGCTCTTAAGAGGGCGAGGGTGGCTGCAGCAAAAGATTCGCTCCGTCGTTACCGGGAGTCGTCCAGCGCTCGAGCAAAGTTTATGACGAACCTGCCATCGCCCGCCGAGATGGAGCGGGAGAAGGACGCGGGATGATAGAGGCAGGCGGTAAGTAGGTAGGGAATCAGGGATGAATGACGGATCGGTCGAATGAGTCAAAGGGGTGAATATCGTGTAATCCGACGGCGTGAGAAGCTCATCGGAGAGGAAGAAAGAGAAAAGAGGAGAGAGAGAGGAGAGGAGGAGAGGATGGAATACTGGAGAAGAGCAGAAGAAGAGTGGGACTGCGATTACATAGCAGGTTACTACCATGCACGCCTCGCATTTTCCCCCATCGGGACTCCGGCCGCCGTTGCCCACCGCCCTCTCGGTTCCAGAACCACTGGCGCATCCTGCCGCCATCATACTCTGCATCCGGTAAATGTCTGAACCGATTCTGAATCCCACTTGTTGTTTGTGAGACCAGCCATTGTTCTTGAAGTGGCTGTCGCGTCAAGGAGGGAGTACAATAGACATTATTGGCCGCCGCTTCTTCCGTCACTATTCGCCAACAAAACGCTCCCCAAGACGGAGATGAGGAACCGATCTCATTTATCAGATGGCTGCATGACCTCCACGGTGGATGCATGTCAGAACGCTCCTTGCAAACATCTTCACAGATGGCCTGGAATCGTTCTATTCGCACTTTCTACATTCGACAAGCCTGAATAGCACACACTCCGAAAGGCAAAAAGCATGCGTATCTATGGGCAGTACCATCAAAATATTTGGATCAGGGGGCATAGGGAATCCAAATCCCTAGGCACAATAATGTCTTTCCTAACGGATCGGGGAAATCAATGCTGATAAGGCTAGAACACAATCGAAGCAAAGATATCCGACCGCGTCACCAGACGAGCCTGCCAGTCCAGTCACACCGATCCCTGGAGACAGGGATGGCGGAACAGTCACCGCTACTCCCGTAGTCACGAACTTATGGCGACATATTATGACTGCAGTAGCACGGCCCATACATGCTCGGCGCTATGACTCAACCCGTCAGGAAGCGGGACGCATTCGAGACATTGAGGTATCAGACCGCAGTGATCAAGTACATATCAGAGACAACGTCGAAGATAAGAAAAGAGTCATTAGGACGTTGAAAAAGTAGCCCGCCACGATAAGATCCCCACTTGGATACTTATGACGCCCCCACCTTTGCATCTCCAAGTGGATGAAACCATTCAAAGATCGTCGCGAATGCTTGCAGGTGGATATCCATACGCAATGCCCCGTAGATATACTTCTAGTAGAGATGGGGATAGTGGTTTTCAATAGGAAACGGGACATCATTTTCGTGGTAAGTGAAGGTGTCCTGAGATCAGCTAAATTACCATGGGCACTAATGGAAAGGCTAATCTTAGTCAATTTCAGCGCTTTTTTCAATTGAAATATTTTGAACCCCCACTGTGTCCGTGCCAGTGAGCTTAAGCAGTATAGTAAACCACGATGGGCAGTATGCACAACGCCACAAAATCTAGAGTGACTTGTTCCTGGCGACAGCCAAAAACGCCAGAGACCACAGCTGTCTGATATTTGACTCTGAATAGAATAGCGCCCCTCGGGTCAGCGAAGTCCAGAATGATGGACGGACGAACTCACCGGTTCCGCCGCTAACACCAGGAGGAGGCGGCAATGTGCCCAGCGGCGTAGCTTTGAATTTCCCATCCGTGAAAATCCAGGACCACACCTCCATAGACAGGAGGCTTTGATTCTGCTCGATAACATCCCAGAGCAAGTGGTAGGCTTCCCGAGCATTGTTATGGACTACATTGTCCCAGCAAAAGTCTGGAACAGCATCACTTTTAAGCGATCCTTCTGAAGCGCAGCGTCCCAATTGATTCTCTAGTCCTTTAGCCATGAGAGCAAGCTGCCATGACCAAACCACAGTGCCATGATAAGCGCCAGTGGTGAAGTTCCGCGCATAGACGGGATTAGCACCATAGGCGGGATTGGCAACGAGGAGGCCAACATCAGTCATGAGGCCAGCTGGGAAGGTCCGGCGGACGTTGTTTGCAGTCTGGTTGATAAAGGAAGTTAATTGCCCCTGTTCAGTAGTGTTGAGAAGAAAATGGCGAAAGCCATCATCGGTGTTCATAACTTCGACTTTACTGAGGTTATTGTAGCCGTCAAGAGCGAGGGCGTAGAATTGGACGTCCGAGTCTATTGTATTCGTTTGGTTTGGACCGGCAAAGTGCGAGGCTTTGGTGTACTCGTCCACTCGCTTCCTAGCCTCATTTTCGGGCACGGTGACCTGTTGTAATCAAGCGTGGTCAGTATGGAAGACCAAGTGGGATGATTTGCTGTCCCAAACCTGGAAGAATTTCAGAGTCTCGTCTTCCCAGATCTGGGCATATTTGTCGGCAAGTGTCGCCCAGTCCCTCTCTGCAAATACGCGGTTTCGCGCGAGGGCGGCAATTGAGCGCAGAGCAGCCGGCATCAGCGCAGTATTTACATCGAAAGGAATACGACCGCCACCAATACCTTTATACATCTGTTAGCTCCAAGCCAGAATGTTTTGTTTGTATGTGGTAGATGAGACATACCAAATGTGCTGTCCCTCCACTGACCGACAACCTGACCATCGTGAAGGTGAATCAGGTCCTCTTTCCTTCGGTTCTGGACAAATGGAGTAGCCAGGCGTATTACTCGCTCTGCATTTTTAACGCCCAATTGACCCCAGGTGAGGTTTTGATTTGCGGCATTGAACTTTCCTGCGGTTGTGCTGTGAACCCATAGTCAGTTTGATCGTATAGCCATGGCAAAAGATAGAGGGTTAGGACCTCGAGAACGCTTGGTATCTGTGTCTGCCAACAGGATTATCGACAAAGTATTTCTTCATGAGCACGGGGAGGAAATAATCTGAGTCAACCTGGAATCCGTCAGCCTCATATCCTGACCTCCCGTGCCAAAATGCCATACCATATTGTAGTCACAGATCATAGCGGTGCTCGTGATATTCTTCTTCATGTTCGACCAAGTGGCATAATCTCTGTTAAAGTCTCGTCAGTCAGACAGATCGACAGCCACGCAATCCCTACACCCACCCGATGGTCTCCTCATGACAGACACTCCCGTCGGTTCGATTTACTCGTTCCAGCACTGCGCCAATTACCGCTTCCATGGCACTACCATTGCCAACGCTGAGAACAGGCTCTAACAGCAGGGCAGATATCATGGAGTCTCGGCCGAAATATGTTAAGAACCTCCAAGCGCCGGCCAGTAGTTTGTCCTTATAGGACAGGAAGGAGAGGGAATATGCTTGATCAGGCTGCTGAGAAACAATTGCCGAGGAGTTTCCCTTGAACACTTCCGAAGGTGTCAACTGCGTCAGCTGTGGGTAGTTGTACGATGCGGAGAAGACGTAGTCTCCAGCTGTGAAATTCACAGTCTTGCCAGACAGCTTGACCTGACCATTCGAACCGGGAAGTGGTGAAAAAGTGAGATTGGTCGTGGTAACGTTATCCAACCACAACCTCTGTAGCGAAACCCCTCCGGTTGGGAGCTGAGAGTAGAGAATCGCATCCTGAATCTCCGGATAAAGTAAGCTCGGTCCTTCAACAAAGTCCCTGATGGTCCTAATGCTGCCCAAAATGGGAACGGTCAATTCAGCAGAGGAGTTGAAGCGCAACACCCCGGTTACTCCAACTTGAGGTACATTGGAAGCTGAATCTGAAGAAGCGGCGGAGTAGATCGGCGCTAAAGGTTTTCCAAGGGTAGAGTTCACGAGTTCAATCCCGAGAGTCCCGTTGTCTCCATTCTGGGGAGCGAAGTATGTGCAGACCCCACTATTTCCGCTAGGCCAGGCAATTATGAGCCTAGGGCCTATTACAGATAGATCACTGTCAGGGAGAGGAGAGGTAACAACAACCTGAGCATCCACGTTGCAGTCTGAGTAAAAGTAGTTATTATAAGGAGGGTCGCTCAGAGTAAGGGTCCTCTCTCTCCTGGTGCAGACGCCGGTCTCATTGCTACTGGTAGCAGGGACAGATTGGACGTTGGGCAAATGGCCATTAACGGTATTATCATGAACCGCCTAACGGCGTTAGCACTTTGGGATAGATAATGACATATGTGCCTGGAAAAGTAGTAGCTCACCCGGCAAGTCGCGGAGGCCACGAATATAGTCCCGAGGGCGCCGAATAGCGAGGACCGCCGCATGTTGGACTCTGCGGCAAGGAGCTGGATAACGGAAATTGGATGTTGGCAGTCGAGAAATAGGAGAGCTGGGACAGGGATTGAGTCAAGTATTTTATCATGTAACCGCTTCTTAGTGAGCACTGTGGGTTATAAGTAGCTATAACGAAGACGAAGACTCCTGAACGTGGGGGTGGGTCTGCTGCAGGTGATATATACCGAGTATGCGGAGTATAACTAGATGCCGTCCTTGGGTACCTAGCACAACTACGTCGCTCATCCAATTCGGGGCGATCCACGACGTTGATCCAAGTAAGAAAAACCGGTACCAAAGAGTCTTCATCCCGTCGAGCCGATTAGACGTCACAATCCCCAGTGGCGTATACTCCACTCGGTATATGAAAGGGACACAATGCGGGGCTGAAAGTTTAGCGGTCGAGGGACAAAGCTAGGGTTTCGCCGACAACTGCCCGAGCGATCAAAGGCATTGTGCCTGTCTATGTATGCAGCGGTGATGACAGACGTCGACTGGAGGAACTCGTACAGCGTTGGTTTCAATTGTACGTAGTCCTCGCTAGTCTGATCTGCCGATGACTGGGGCCGAAGATTAGCATCCAATACTGGTGGTGGCCAGTCAACCGAATACATGTATAGGTAACCCTCGGAGTCACTTGTTGCTCTCAAGTACCTACTCCGTAAAGACGAGATCAGCACCTTTGCACCAATGGTGCTGCCTGCCTGAGGGCGGGACGGTGTTGACCTCGGCTCCGATATACTAATACTAATACCCCGGAGGCCGTTCATACAACTCCGGATCCGATAACTACCTTCCTAATTGAATACGCCGCCCCCGCTTGGGACGGCGGAATGGACCGTCTTGTCCATCCTTCTAGCACCCGACTGTCGTCGGACCCAGCTTCGTCAAATCAATATTTTGTTGAGGCGATTACCGTGGGATGGGCGAAAGACTTACCACCCTGCAGAGGTGATATGGCACTAGTCGCTGTGGAGGACTCTGTACGGCGGCGAAGACGACGACGACTACGACTGCCCTTGCTCAGGAGCGAGTTTTTCTTCCTATGACGCTTAGTATCCTTATCTACCGTCGCGATAAAGTTAGTCAGTAGATCTCTAAACGCCCGACCGTCAGGATATTGGTACCTCGGATGTGCATTGCCGACACCGTTTCGAACATCGGGTACAGGAAACAGATGAGCGACTATTGGGATCATTCTGGCTGAGGGCGTCGCAACGCACTCGTAGTTGGCGGTATTCGTCACAACTCGAGAACCGTGTCCTCCGTGTGACAAGTGCGCGTTACATGTTATTGTTCCACAAAGTGATGACATGAGGCTGGGGAATACCGCCCTGAAGAAGGGGAGGGGAAGAGAAGTGAAACCAGGCGGCATGCGGGGAGCTCGTAAATCTTGGGTAGGTATCCTGCTAGAACACCGTGTCTCTCACCCTCTTTACCTCAGTTTTCAGCATTCAGCGTCAGTTCTGAGTGACTGAACCCCCTTTCCAGACTCCCTCGATCTCTATGCACTAGCAGGTCGATGAGCTTAAGGAGACCACGGGGTTGGCAGTTTCATAAACAATCCTAAGACATGCAGTCTATATTCTATTAGAATCATTAGTATTGAACTATATTTATCCTATAAGTATATGCTGTGTATGGACAGTATAAGAGCAAAAACACGACGCCACATACGTAATACCTAGGAAGAGAAATTCAACAATATATATAGAGGTCATTCATTGGAGATTCTTTCCATCATCTCTCACTTACACTTGTATACTACTTAGGCGCACGAAGGCAATAAGAATATATAGACTTCAAAGACCCCGATATTCTGGGCCAAGCAGTCCCAGGATGGTCCTTTAGACCAGTAACACTGTCTTGGAGGGCTAACCTGAGATAATCCACGAACCCAATTATTTTACCAACGGATTGCCCTGCATGAAGCTTTTGAGATAAAAGAAAATCGCCAAGAGAACCAATCAATAGGCGCAGTAAAAATTCTCACCAGGAACAGAAAACAGAACAGAGTCCGTCTCCACGTCACCCAACGGTAACCCGAAGTCGCCAGCCGGTCCGATGAAGCGCCACCCCGGAACCTTCCGCGTGGATTGCCACTAGTGTGTTTGCAAGGCGGAATCCACTCGCCCAAGAGGGCGATCAGTCACGCCCATCACCTCATCAGACTTCTCCTCCTCACCCAGGCGCCTTCCACTCCTCTCCAACTCCCGCCTATCTTTATCGCCCCTGTACAGTGTCTCCAGGCTGAGACTGCCTCCTCTCTCCCGACGCCGCACATCCACATCCGCTCACCACTCGCCCCCTCACCATGGCGGAACGCATCCTGCTAAACGAATACAAGAGCCTGGCCAAGGAGCCCTGGGTGAACATCGAGGTATGACCCTCTACGATCCTGCCACCCCGATCTCAGGCCCCAGTTCCTCCAGAAACAGAGCACTTTACTAACCAACCTACCCCAGCTGAACGAAGAAGACATTTTCAACTGGACCATCGGCCTGATCGTCCTCAACCCAGACTCCCTCTACTACGGCGGCTACTTCAAAGCGTCGATGAAGTTCCCAAAGAACTACCCCTATTCGCCTCCTGGTAAGTTCACGCTCAGGGCTCACCGAACCAAGGCTCCAACACCCGCGGGACAGCGCTAGCTAACACCCCTATTCCCCGATAGAGTTCCGCTTCCTGCGCCCCCTCTACCACCCCAACATCTACCAAGACGGCAAACTCTGCATCTCGATCCTGCACGCCCCCGGCGAAGACGAGATGTCCGGCGAGCTTGCCTCGGAGCGCTGGTCGCCCGCGCAGCGCGTCGAGTCCGTCCTCATCTCCATCCTGTCCCTCCTCGATGATGCCGAGGTCTCGTCGCCCGCCAACGTCGACGCCGGCGTCATGCTGCGCAAGGAGCCCGAGCGCTACAAGGCCATCGTGCGCAACAACGTCGAAGAGTCGAAGCGGGATATCCCCGAGGGGTTCGTCATGCCCACCCACCAGTCCACGGCGGCCGTCAAGCCGGTCGAAAAGGACGACTCGGATTTCTGGGCGGAGAGCGATATTGACGACGATGTGTTTGGTGGGAGCGACTCGGACGAGGACTTGAATGTCGACGATCAGGATAGCGGCAGTGATGAGGATGATGACGACGAGAAGGCCTGATGCTGCATCGTCGCGAGACGACGGAACATTTATGCTTTTTCTTTCTTCTTTTTTTATCACGATCTTGGCGCATAGGAGCTCAGCGGCTTACATTCAGGGCATAGCGCAGGCGCATCGGGTGGAAGGCGGCTGAGTGCATACGATCTATCTACCCGCAGTCATTTGGCATTTCTGGCATTACTATTCATGCATTTTGTGTGTATCATTTGTTTATTTGACGAGAATATGGACAGGAATCTCGCGGATGTCGATACTTGGAACGAGCTACTGGCATATTATTTCTAGTCTCGTTGCCCTTGATCAAGCTCGTAAGATGTGTATTAGGATCACCTTGACAGTCCCTCATAGCGGAGCCACCAGGCATGTATCACATCGAGGGGTCGTGTGCCTAGTCCTCGTCCAGATGACTCATGTGGGTTGCGAAAAGAGAGATGATGCGCAACTAGATAGCTGATAGCTTCCACTTCCAGTAACAGCCTAAGAGCATGCGTATTTCTTGTGATCATCGGCCCCTGTCACATGATTTGAGGTCTCTTCAGATGGTTTAGCATAAAACCACATCACATTGACATTCTGATAGTGAACACAAAAGCTTCTAGATAGGATGCTGCCCATTCGTTGAGGATGTATACTACGATATGAATAAACCAATCAAAAACACTAGCAAGATACATGCAATGCAGTCAATGCATTGATTCGCATCTGCAAAGTATCAGTAAAAGCAAAGTCAAACCAGCGCCGATGTCCATCCTCTCATATCCTGTGCCGTGCCATGATAATGAACCTGATCTATGCAACAACAGCATCCTGGATCTCGCTGTAGATAGCGCCGAGCTCCTCAGAAAGCAGCTTCTCAGCCTTGTCCACCAGGCCGTCGAAGCGGTTCTTGATGGAGTCGGAGCCGGCCTTGTAGCCACCGTTGGCGATGATCTCAGAGTAGTTGCCAGAGCCACCACCGTTCCAGGCAAGGAGCTGAAGCTTTCAGTTAGTATCTTTTCTCTTATTGTAGAAGACAGAGGTATGGAGCAGCTTACGTTGGGGGTATCGGCGGGGATGTCAGACAGAGCACCCTGGGTGGCAATAGAGATGATATTCTTCTTGAGCTTGGCGGGAGTAAGCTCAGACACAGCAAAGGCAGAGTCCTGCGAAGGCTGGAGAGACACGAAGTAGGCCAACAAGCCAGCAATGTGAGGAGAGGCCATCGAAGTGCCCGAAATGGTGTTGACGGCATGCTTGCTTCCAATCCAGGTGGACTGGATGTTAAGACCAGGGGCGAAGATGTCGGTGCACTTGCCGTAGTTGGAGAAGTACGCACGCTCATCCGCCAGGGTGGAGGCACCCACGGTCACGGCATTCTCAGCAGCGGCCGGGGAGTAATCGCAAGCGTCAGCGTTGTCATTTCCAGCGGCAACGGCGAAGTGAAGACCGGCTTCCACGCCTGCGTTGACAGCATCCTCGAGGGTCTTGGACTTGCCACCACCGAGACTCATGTTGGCAACACTGCCCTTGAATCCCTTCACCTTGCCGTCCTTAGCATCTTTGGCCTTCTTAAGGTGCGACTGCACGGCCCACTCGACACCCTGAACGACATCGGACATCGTGCCAGAGCCACTGGAGCGGAGAACCTTGACGGCATAGAGGTTGGCCTTCTTGGCGACACCATACTTCTTGCCAGCGATGGTTCCGGAGCAGTGAGTGCCGTGGCCGTTACCATCGGCATCCTCATCATTGCTGGGGATAGTCTTGCCCCAGGTGGCACGACCTTCAAAGTCGACATGGTCGATGTTGATACCAGTATCAATAGTGTAAGCGTCAACACCCTCACCGCCTTCGGAGGCATAGAGGTACTTGTTGAAGGTACCGAAGGAGAGGCTGTCACGGTGCGAGATACGAGCCAGACCCCAAGGGGCGTTCTTCTCGGTGACCTCCTCCATGGTGTGGACTTCGGAGTCCTTCTCGATGTATTCGACCTGGAAGCTGGATGTTAGAGCGATAACGAGGAAACGGATGAGAAGTGGCGTAGTGAGGCACTTACATCAGGATGTCTCCGGACCTGCTCGATCACGTCTTCGTGGAAGTGACCCGAATAACCCATCAACGATCCAGCGATATTGAAAGTGTTCTTGAGGCCGAGGTACATCTCGTCACCCAAGCCAAGGAGCGACCGCTTCTTCAGCTCGGTGCGGGCGAACTGAGAGTCGTGGATGTCCTGCACCCACATGTGATGAGCCGTGGCGGCATCATCCTTGACATGCTTCTTGAAAACGACGATATAGGAGTCGGGAACCTCCTTAGCATTTGCAGCAGAGAGAATAGGGGCTGCTTCATTGTGAATGGAGCCAACGCCGATGGGGTTGGCCGCTGTCAGCAACGGCAACAGGGTGAGGCCGAGGAAGCCCTTCATGCTGGGCAACTAGGGGAGGAACAGGAGAATCGACAGCAAAGAGAGGAAGTAGGTTGATGAAAAGGGGGAAGAGGGATGGAAATATGCAGCGGAGAGAGATGGAAGATGGGAAGATAAGGATGAAGGGAGAGGGGAGGATGGAGGATGAAGAGAAGAGGAGATGAGGAGGAGGAGTGACGAGTACCTTAACTAACCCCAGGAGCAGCAGGCAAGGGCCCAGGAGGATGATGCAACCGGGATACGGTACGATACGGCAGGTGACCATCCGGACCCAGTATGGGGCGATACCTGATACGGGCGGTTACACGTCGGACGGAGCCCTGGCCGTCGATCTATCGAGATTAGCGTGACCTGGGGTATCGGCGGTCAGCGGGACTGGAGGTACGGTATGTTCAGGTCACCATAGCAATTGGGGAGTATATCGAGGAAGATGAATACCTGAGCTAGCTAGTATTCTAGGAGCTTTAGGAAAGTACGTAGATTACTGAGGATATAACATGCTTAGTACCTACCTGGTAGGAGGTACTTGTACATGAGTACACGAATACCGCTTATGACCATGGATGACGGAACCCACCCAGCAAGTATCCCGAGAGGTACCTACACCAAATACCAGGCTATCTTTCAGAATGAGGCGAACCAAGTGGAGACAGATGTGATAGATAGTACACTTGAAGATGGTTTCCCAAAGGGGGTGTGAGTCAACTTGAGTCCAAAAAATAGGCAGTCCTTATCATTGGGAGTGCATTTATCCAGGTACACATGATGAAGCTAGCTTCCTGTTGTTCAACGAAGGTCCCTGGATGGCATGTAACCCGCCACAGGACAGACTCTAGGCACAGGTCAGCTCTCGGGCTGGGAAGCAGGCAACATCAAGTCGCGTGCACCCAAAGGCTGTTCGGCTGACTCCTCGATTACGTGAACACCCCATTTCGGGTAGGGGTGTATGTACGGTATGTAATCCTGATACCGAGAGCTTCTGAAGGATTTCAATGGCCGAGATAAGAGCCTTATCGATACGCCCGGCTGGACCAATGATCGCCGGATCACCTGACATGGCCCAAACAGTTTCCCGTTCCGACCGTCCCCGCTTGCCCGCACAGCCTCAAGTGACGTTCGTTGGCCTGTCAGCTCAGCTGGTGATGGTGTTTTCGACAGACAGAGAGGATCAACACCCCGCACCATTGTTGTCTCTCCCTCCCTCTTCTCTCGTGGACCCTTCCCCCGATCACTCCTTTCCTGAGGCGACCATTCTTCCGGTCAATTGCTGATCTTCGGACCCGGTGTCAAACCCCTCCCCTCACTGTCGAAGCTCTCCCCTCCCATGCCCAAATGTGCGTGGTTGAGCCCTGAGTGCCGCAACTAATCCCCGTCACGCATACCAATGCAGACCGCCTTCACAGTCACGCTAAGAGCTGGTTCATGGTGTCTGGTGGTCCCTGGCCATCAGATAAGGAATCGGAGTTAGGATCCAGCGCCGCAATGAACCGGGCCACCTCCGTCCTCTCGCCCTCCCCATCGTCGTCATCCCAATGGTCGAGCACAGAATTGGCCCCAGTCGTCGAGGATCTGAGATTCATCTGCGAGGAGGATACAATCAACTCCCAGACTGCCCTCACGGCAACGGAGTGTTTGCTCCGTCTTCGTCACACATTCATCGATAGCGACCGTCCGAGCGAGGCCAAAGAGGCCTTCCGACACCTCAATGGCTTCCAGATCCTCCTAGGTCTGCTCCGGAAGATTGCCGATACCTATGAGCCGCGAGATTCCTCAAGGGACGAGAGGAAGTCGCTCTTGGGCCTCCACAAAGACACGCTGGCCGTACTGGCCGAGGGGCTGAAGGGACACTTCGGAAACAAGCGACACTTTGCCAACCGAATTGCAGGTGGAGGTGAACGAGCCTTGGAAGGGGCCTTTTCGATTCTGGCCAAGAAAATAGACGCGATCCAAGCCGATACGGAGCAATTTTACGGTGGCATATTGGCAGCAGCCTTATGCCAGGAGACGATCGCCAATATATTCACCAGCCTGAGCACGAAATATGAAGCTGTACAGGACTTGTCCACCGATGACGTTAGAGCCGAAGTGGATCGATGCGTAGGGACCTCGGAAACTGTTGAGGTACCGGAGCTTCTGGGACCGTTTGTGCGAGTATGGTTGATGCAATCTTCGTCCTCGGAGTTTCATCACAGAGTCCAGAGGCTAGCTCTACCCGCATGCCTCTGTCAGCTTGCTTCGCAGTCTCAAAGAAATGTCACCACCTTGCATGGGACTGGTGTACTCTCCCTGATCTTACCAATTTTGTTTGCCGATGATCGTTCAGAGCCGGAGAGATTGCTCTACCAGGAACTGGCAAAGCTTTTATGCGCCCACGGAATCAGTCATTTAGACGACGCAGTGACGCTCTATCGGAAGGCACACGGTTCGCCCAAGATTCTGCAATTCCTTGTTAGTGTGATGAAGCAATCCAAGGAACCTCCGTCGATCCAATTTGACCTCTCGACGCATGGCTTCTGCTCACTCGAATTCTCGACAATGGGCCGTCCATTTCCGCCAACCACAACGTCCGGATATACTCTAGCTGTATGGGCACGCTTTGATAAATTCGATTCCACCACGCACACAACGATTTTCGGTGCCTTTGATTCCAGCCAGACTTGTTTTCTCTTGGCATATCTGGAAAAAGACACTCGGAATTTTATTTTGCAGTCGTCGATACGGGGTCCTCGTCCAAGTGTTCGCTTCAAGTCTATCGCCTTTGAGCCCGATCGGTGGTATCATATCTGCGTGGTGCATAAAAAGCCGAAACCACCGTCATATGCACGTGCATCGTTATTCATAGATGGCGAATTCGTGGAACAGACGAGGATCGAATATCCTTGCGTGCCGCTTGCAACCACCCCAAACCGTGTTCCTCGGGTCCAAGCTTTTTTCGGCACTCCCCAAGATTTGGCCATGAAACTTGGGAAGGGTGTGTCCATGTCACGGTGGTCATTAGCGAACGCTGTTCTACTGGAAGATGCTCTGAGCGACGATATGATTGCGGTATTCTATAATCTTGGACCGCGATATTATGGTAACTTCCAAGATTGTTTAGGCTCCTTTCAGACCTACAAAGCATCCGCGTCCTTGAACCTACGTAATGAGCACTTGCATCCTGGTAAAGAAGAACAGTCCGACATCGTCACTGCAGTTCGCCGGAAAGCTAGCCTGTTAATTCGCGAAGGCTCTATATTGATTAATGTCTCACCGCTGGCGGTTTTAGACGATGACGATAGTAACAACGTGGACGAGACGAGACTTATCAAGTGTCTTTCGAAACAGGCTGCTAAGAATCTACATCAATTGACAAAGGCTGGGGGCAATGCGATAGCAGTCAATGGAGCAACACCCTCCATCAATGACGCCTTGACCCAGGCGCATGGTATTGGAGTGTTGACCGGTGACCCTGTGGTCACAGTGCCGCATTCGCTCGATGATGTGAGTTGGCGGATTGGCGGTTGCGCAGCGGTGCACCTAAGTTTGGTTCATGCATCTACGACAGCAGAGGCTACGCGACTTGCCGTACTGGCGCTTTACGAGGCTGTCCAGGACAGCTGGCGAAACAGCGAGGCAATGGAGAAAGAAAATGGCTACGGAGTTCTCGCCGCCTTGTTACGTGAAAAGCTTGGGTCGCCTGCCGGAAGCTCGAACGCTGGTTCCAAAACATCAGGCGTTTGTTCTAGCGTTGACGAACGGTCTACGTTGGCACTTGAGCTTCTTCGATCAACGCTTCGATTCGTTGGATATGATTTTGAGCAGCCGAACCGGTCAATCATCACGAACCCGTTGGCCTATCGGGTATTGCTTGTGGATCTAGAGATATGGAGATCCGGAGAGCAACCTCTCCTTGACCTATATTATTCTCAGTTCTGCACGTTTGCAAGTGGAAGCCAGTTTCGCCGGTTTAATGCAAAGCGTCTCGCTCGAATGCGTAAGACTCCAACGATTACACACCTACCACACGTATTTGGATGCAGGTCTGACTGTCAACAGGCGTCAACAAGAAATTACTTGAGGCTCTGAAGGTGGAAGATTTTACCTCAGAAGCCCTACAACTGTTCATAACTGCTTTCAAGTCGCTGATGGAAAGCTGCATGTCGGCAGATTTGCTTCGATCGCTGGCCCTCTTCATCACATATTCAATTCACAAGCCCAAAGAGCCGAGTAGGTTACAGAAAAAGAAGAGCCTCCGGTTCAATACAAATACACTGAACCAGCAAAGCTCTGCGGGCAAGAAGTTTGTGCCCGGCGTGACAATGGCAACGGAAATGCTTCGAATGTATTGTTCGTTGCTCTGTAACCCTCATGATCTTGGACCAATCAAGAAGTTTGCAAAAGCAGTGACAAACAAGGTTGGTTGGAAAACGGACCCCAAAGACGCACTTAATTCCAATACTGACTACTACAAAGTGGCTTCTCTACCTCATGTGTGAGGATGAACCTGAGATTGTTACTATGGCCACCAAGATCCTAGCTCGCTTGATATACACTCATGGCAGCAGCTACAGCAAGAAGCTTCATGACAAGACCGGAGGCTACATCATCATGCGACATTACCTAAAAAGGTGGTGGAACGTTCCCGCTTTATGGCCAATCTGCTTCTCCATATTCTTCGGCATGGACATTGCAAAGATGAAACTCGATAGGGCATTTGATGAACTGGGCCTCCTGGACCTCTTCTGCTCTGGTGGCAGCGCCGATGTTCTGTATCCCGAAATGCTTTCAGTACTCACTGGAATGCTGCAGACTGCGCTGAAGAGAGCAATATTGTGTGATGAATCACTGGAATTCAACGATCAAACCTCCGATGAGATTCGTGATCGATTAAGACAAGCCCCGAAGTCTACCATGGCTTCCCAAGTACCTGTCAGCTCAGCCACCGAAGCAGTGTCATTGTTGGCTGCAGTTATCGATTTCCTGGCGGGGGTCCAAGTGAAATCCCAAACCTTCCGGGAATTCACAATGTGCCCTGAATATGTTCAAGGGTTACTGGCGGTGTTGTTTCCGGTAGTTGTTGGTTCTGATTCTGTTAGCACAGAGGTTGAACTGAACTCCCAATCACGACGTGGTCTTGAGTTCAGTGAACAACACTTGGTGATCCGCCCACGTTCGAGTAGGCCGACAGAATTGAGGACTACTACCGTGGAACAACCGGGCTCTCAGGATGATCGGGGAGATTCGGTCGGTCGTGGGTCCTCATTCGTCTTGGTTTCATCCGATGGGGGAAACCGTTCTCCGTCAACTGCGCGCATACGACATGCTTTTCGACCGAACAATATACAACATCCGGGATCCACAGAATACCCACTCATTACCAGTATCTTGAACTTGGTTCTCCTGGTCTTTTCTGAACAGCTCCTTGAACGAAAAGACTTCACCGGACTGGGTATCTATTGGAAGACGCCACCAGGATTTCCAGAACAACAAGCATACTTTAACTCATGGATACTTCGATGCCTCCTCCCCACGCTGCAGGATGTTCTGTTTTCGAAGATCGAACTTTTAACAGAACCACGCGTGCTTACCAACTTGGGCCGTTTCACAACACACCTAGGAGAAGCAGTCTATGAAGGGTGGTTCATTGATGGTGCGACTGTGGGCCTCGAGTTTGCTGGGACCATCCTGGAATACCTCCAAAGGCCTGACGTGTCACGTCTGAAGAGCACAAGACTTTGTAGCCAGGCGGTTGCAACAGTCCGATCCGTGGTGTTCCGTATGGTTCTTCTCAATTTGTCCGAAGTTGAAGGCGACGAGGCGTTCGCGTTTTTGAGCCGTCTGTCTTATTGGCAAGTCGTCCTTCTCAACCCTAATGAAGCTCAGCCCGACTATCTTCAACTACTATGCTACCTTCTATATACAAAGTTGATCGACACGAATGAAAATGTCCGTCTTGCAGCTGCCAGCTTGTTCCGCGTTTTACTGGTGCAGAAGCCAGTTGAGATGTCTTCAATTCTGGGCCAAGCTACTGTACCCCTGCAACAGCGTCTCCAGGGAGGCTTCGAGACCCTTGTGAGCATGGAAGACGAGGCTTTCTTGCAATGGGTTGACCAGCAATCAGACGACTTGGATGCTTTGTTTTTCGGTGTTCTGTCCAAGACCTGGGAAGCCTTTGTGCACGAAGAGAACTTGAATATCGAAAATACTTGGCGGAGCCGCATCAACAAGCGAAAGGAAAAGCTGAAGCAATGGAGGCAGACGGAAGAAATAGGGGAGGAGGTGTTGCGCAAACACGAGGCCACTTTGCCGCACTGGGTGTCGAATATATCTGCCTCCGAATTTCTGAAGCTTCAGAGAGCCCTCCAAGACCAACAGGATAACTCTGCATTCATGTGGACTGCACTATCTCACCTGACCATGGATCTGCGGCGCTCTGGTGGCATTCTAGCGGAGAACAAGGAGAAAAAATGGGTCCTTGATCAGACGGAAGGCCGAAGTCGCATGCGTCTGCGCATTGTTCCAGATGACTCTGGTGAACGACAGGACTACCAACCGAAGCGAAAGGCGTCGGAGCCCCCCGCGATGAAGATTGACACGCAAGTAGCACCATCTTCCTCCGGGGGTGACCCCGTTGGTCTAACACCTACTGTACCCAACGTTGACGTTCCTGACAACGCCCAAGAAATTCGCCCAGATAGTCGCAGCATGCTTGAAGAGAGCTTTGAGATGATCGACGACCCGAAAGTCGAATTTGAAGACTACGAAGACAAGAACAGAAAGGTTATGAGGAGTCTGCACCGCGGCGATCAGGTGGACAGTGTGTGCAATATGTCTCGTATTATTGGATTGGAGGCAACAGAGGGTCTCTTGATCCTTGGCAAAGACAATATCTATATTCTGGATAACTTCTTCCAGAGATCTGATGGCGAAATCGTCAATGTCTGGCAAGCACCTCCCGAAGAGCGGGACCCCTATGTCCGTATGATTACTGGCAGAGAGTCCAATGAGCGCAAGTCACAGGAACATGAAACCAGAAGCTGGAAGTGGTCCGACCTGATCAGTGTCTCCAAGAGACGATTCCTGTTCCGAGATGTCGCCCTGGAAATCTTCTTCACTGATGGAACAAGCTATCTGTTAACGCTTATATCTTCGCGAGCTCGGGACAATCTCTCGAGTCAGCTCGCTAGCAAGGCGCCCCAGGTTACAGGGAGCGTTGGCCACTCACGTCCCGAGGATATTTGGCGATTTGAGACGCTGCGCAGTCCGGAGGATGCTCCCCAGACTTTAGGGTCTAAATTTGCCAGTGTCTTTGGACATTCGCCCGCTCACCCTGCAACGCGGAAATGGGTCAAAGGCGAGATCTCCAATTTCCATTATTTGATGCTGATCAACACTCTCGCTGGGCGAACATTCAACGATCTGACACAATATCCGGTCTTTCCATGGGTCCTTGCGGATTATACGAGCGATGAGTTGGATCTGACCAACCCAAAGACCTTCCGTGACTTGTCGAGGCCCATGGGCTGTCAGACCCCAGAGCGGGAAGCTGAGCTCCGAGAACGGTATAAGGCCTTTGCTGAGATGGGTGCAGGCGACTCCCCGCCATTCCACTATGGCACTCATTATTCTTCCGCCATGATTGTCAGCTCCTACCTGATTCGCCTGCAGCCGTTCGTCAAGTCATACCTTCTTCTACAAGGAGGGACATTTGACCACGCTGATCGCCTTTTCTACTCCATTGCCAAGGCATGGGAGTCGGCTTCGCGTGGAAACATGTCAGATGTCAGAGAACTGATTCCAGAGTTCTTTTACCTTCCGGAGTTTCTGGTTAATTCAAACAAGTATGACTTTGGGTTCCTTCAGAACATGACCACAGCAATCGATTCGGTTGAGCTCCCACCATGGGCCAAGGGTGACCCGAAGATCTTCATTGCCAAACACCGCGAAGCCCTAGAGAGTCCGTATGTGACGCAGAACTTGCACCATTGGATTGATCTTGTGTTTGGATGCAAACAGAAAGGCGAGGCAGCTGTCGAGGCGGTCAATGTCTTCCATCACCTGTCTTATCAAGGCGCCAAGGATGTCGATACTATCGATGATCCTGTTGAACGCTTAGCTACAATTGGCATCATACACAACTTTGGACAGACGCCCCATCAAATCTTCACCCGCCCTCATGCACAGAGGGAGGATATACGGTACAGGATGCCGAGATTGGATCGGCTCGCTGAGTCGCTCACCCAGCTGCCTCTCTCGCTCCTAGGTGAGCCTTGGACCTCCTATCTCAATTTTTCAGACGTGCGTACAAGCTAACGCGATGACAGATATCGGTGAACAAGTATCTTCATTGTCAATGAAGCAGGATCGGCTACTATGTGCTGCTCCCCTCCGGCTGAACATCCCGCCTACATACGACAAGTACATGGAATGGGGATTTTTCGATGGTAGCGTCCGGTTCTACTCGGCTGATAACCGAAAGGTACAGATGCAATGGTGTTTCCGTTAGTTGAGGTGTACTGACTGATTTGTACAGCTTCTGGGTCACTACGAGCACCTGCATATTGGCCAACTATCCTGCGCGATATTTGCGGACTCCCGAACGCTGGTCACCTCTGGAACTGATTGCACGGTGTCGACATGGCTGTTTACTTCCACCAGCAAGTCTGTGGATCTTCAGCCAGCGGGATCTCTGTTTGGCCATCGGTCCCCCGTGACCGTTCTGGCAGTCTCACGGTCCTTCAGCACGCTTCTCTCTGCATCAACCGATGGACAGATTCTGCTATGGGACCTCAACCGGCAGTGTTTTGTCCGAGAACTCCCGTCCAAGGGGCCGGTGGACGTAAGTTACAGCATCAGCGTAGACTCTTTGACCTTGTACTGATGTGTCTAGTGTGCTCGCATCAACGATGTAACCGGCGAGATCATGGTCTGCCGAGGTAACCGCGTCAGCCTCTTCACGCTGAACGGAGCGCTATTACTGGATCAGGCCGTGTGCGACTCTACAGATGATCAGATCATCTCGTGTGTGTTCTACGAGGGGGTGAGCAATGAGTGGCAGGAGCGGGCGCTCCTCTTCACCGGCCACCGAAGAGGCGTTGTTAATGTAAGTTTGCGATAATTGACCTGAAAGTTTCGTTCCCTTCATCATTGCGATGCTGATGACACTGCAGATATGGAGTAAGATCATCCGGCACGGGCGATTTGAGCTGGAGTTGATTCGCCAACTCCATCATATTGATAATAGCCGTGACAACGGAGCGAACATCTCCGCGGGCATCAGCTGTATTCTGGCACTGCCCCATGTGGTGTACACCGGGGATGAGGCCGGCCGAGTGGTGAGTTCGCACATTGTATAGGATGTTTGAGGCGAAGGCTGACAGGACGTGATAGTATGAATGGAGTTGTGTCCAGCGGCGATGAGGAGTTCTCTACTTTCCACATGAGGACGCGGGAAGGAACCCAGCGTGCGGTTGTTGTGAGTGAGGGGATGGAATAGTGCATCGATGCAACATGAGTAGCGGCTAGGATGCCCCCAACAGGAAGGGGACCGGGTTCCGGTGGGACGAGCCGAGCGATCAGGCTGAGTTCATGGGATCAGGGTCCATGAGGGGTTAAAAAGGATTTTATAAAAAAAAAAATATTGAAACTAACGGAGTCCTCCGGTTCATCGTAAGAAGCATGCCTAGGCCTGACCACGAGAATTGACGGAGCCTGGGGAAGAATTGTTTACAGCTAGATACTCCATAACTGCCCAGCCAGTCGCCCGGTGAAGAGACGGCGATGAAGGCACCGGTGGTGATACGGATCTGATTAGTCCGAAGCTGGGAAAAGTGGGTTGGCGAGGTGCCGGAGCACACTGCACCGGGAGAACCACGGCCCTGGAGCTGGGAGCTCCGGAGGAGCACGAAGGGAGACTGTGATCGATGAGTGCATGGGAGGAAGAGAACAAGAGGTCAGATTGGAAGAGACGGTGAGACGGTATGGGGGAATATCGAGAAGAGTTCCAAGTTATCTATCAGAGTAAAGGTACCAGGCACTCCGGATACTGTAGAATGAGCTCTCGGTGGTGATCGGAAAGGGCTGCTGGACATATAGCGTCATTGGCCCCACCATCCCACCTCCCCTCCTCATCCCACTTTGGGTTGCGCTTCACTGCTTTCTTCCGCCTTCGATCGCCACGTCGTCCTCTTTTAAGTATAATTGCCTTTCCGTCCCGCCTCCTCCTCCTGTCACTCATCATCCATCTCCCCTGATCACTCCTCCTCTTTGGATCTACATCGACATCTATTCTATCCGTCACTCATCTCCATCCATCATGTCTTCCTCTCTCGAGCAGCTCAAGGCCACTGGCACCGTACGTGTTCCCTCATCACCAGAAAAGATTGTTTTCGGGAATGGTTGCTAATCGCATCTAGGTTGTCGTCTGCGACTCTGGTAAGTTCCTGTTTGCCACCATCGCAATCGTGTAGAGGAATCGATCCCGCTGACATTCCTCCGTGTCAAGGTGACTTTGCCAGTATGTGTGCCCCGCCTCCCTGCAGGTATGACAAGCATGGTCAAACGCTAACCCTTCATAGCCATCGGCAAGTACAAGCCTCAGGATGCTACCACCAACCCTTCCCTGATCCTTGCGGCTTCCAAGAAGCCCGAGTATGCCGCCCTCATCGATGCCGCCGTCGCCTACGGCAAGCAGCACGTACGATTCCCTGTCTCGGAGCTTTCGGACTCTCGGATTTCCCAGGGCAATTGCTGATAGTTGTTTGACAACAGGGCAAGACCGTCGATGAGCAGGTTGACGCCACTCTGGACCGTCTCCTTGTCGAGTTCGGCAAGGAGATCCTCAAGATCATCCCCGGCAAGGTCTCCACTGAGGTTGACGCTCGCTTCTCTTTCGATACCCAGGCCTCCATCGACAAGGCCCTTCACATTATCAAGGTATGGTTTTACATCCCTGGCAAATGAGTTGTATGGTCGGAGGTGACTGACGCGCCCTCAGCTCTACGAGGAGATTGGTATCCCCAAGGACCGCATCCTCATCAAGATCGCCTCCACCTGGGAGGGTATCAAGGCCGCCCAGGTCCTCCAGTCCCAGCACGGCATCAACTGCAACCTGACCCTCATGTTCTCCACCGTCCAGGCCATCGCTGCTGCCGAGGCCGGTGCCTACCTCATCTCTCCCTTCGTGGGCCGTATCCTTGACTGGTACAAGGCTGCCCACAAGCGCGACTACACCGCCCAGGAGGACCCCGGTGTCAAGTCCGTGCAGGCCATCTTCAACTACTACAAGAAGTACGGCTACAAGACCATCGTCATGGGCGCCTCTTTCCGTAACACCGGTGAGATCACCGAGCTGGCGGGTTGCGACTACCTGACCATCTCCCCCAACCTCCTGGAGGACCTGTACAACTCGACGGCTGCCGTCCCCAAGAAGCTCGATGCCGCCGCCGCCGCTTCCCAGGACATCCCCAAGCGCAGCTACATCAACGACGAGGCTCTGTTCCGCTTCGACTTCAACGAGGAGGCCATGGCTGTGGAGAAGCTCCGGGAGGGTATCTCCAAGTTCGCCGCGGATGCTGTCACTCTGAAGGACCTGCTCAAGCAGAAGATCCAGGCATAAATGGGAGACTGGTACTCGCATTCGTGTTGGGTCATGGTTTCTTTCGGTTCATGATGAAAATTCCCTATAGTTGTTATTTCATATGTAAGATTGGCGACACGAAAAAAATCGGTTTGGTAGATACGAATCACGAATTGAATTTTTCCTATCCACTCTCTTTTCTTTGTAGCATCCGCAAACCACGAATCATCCGGATGACGTTCATCGGAAGGGTGTTCGGAACGGAGCTGGACGAGGTGATGGTGGGGTCTTGATGTAACCGAGGTTGGACATCTGGTTGGACGTCTGCAACGCTTGCAGACGTTCGATGTCATTCTATCGAATTGCCAGATGCATCAGTACTCAATGCTCAAGTCGACCATAGTACAAGGTAGAAGGCCTGTGAAGGAAATGATCTCCGCCGGATCTGGACCATGATTGCTTAGGAATTGGCGGAGCACGTCGCCCAACATCCGACCAACGTCATTCCGGCCGCCCCGCCAGAGTGGGGGGACTGTACGCCGTAATTACGCTCTCCCAGCTCTGTCCAGCTCTGTCCAGCTCTGCCACAGCCTGCCATCATGGAAAAGTCTGTACGACAGTGGTATTACCCCTCGTTCCCTCGTCTAATGCTGGTAATATATTCCCTCCCTTCTCTCCTCTTCTCCCTCCCTCCATCGTCATAACCCTCTTCTTCTCTGATCTCTCCCATCAATTCAACTGTTGTATCCCATCCTTCCCCAGAATCAATCCATCTCCCGTCACAATGGTTAAGGCTGGTAGGTAGCCCCGTCTCTCCTCGTCTGATACCCATTCCCTCGTGTTATTGGCTCCGGGGTTCCACGATCGACCGTGGCTGGAGGACCTTGAGTGAGCAGATTTGAGCACCTTGTGATTCCCCTCAAGCTACCTGACCTATCACGGCCATTCCGCCCCAGCCTGCGTCCTGGGAACTCACTTTAGATCGAGATCCCTGGACGAAGTTCCTGGGGTTGGATCCATGGGCTGTTGTGGTTTTGCCTGTTTGAGGTTGGTAGCTGGTAGCTGGCTGCTGCCGTCATGTCCATTTCAATGGCCCTGGGGATGATGGATCATCTTCAGAACCTTATTCCATACCTGACTAGATCTTATCATATCGATCTTCACACATGACGTGCTCTGACAGCTAACCAATCTCTCCACAGTCGCTGTCGTCCGTGGTGACTCCAAGGTCTCCGGCACTGTCACCTTCGAGCAGGCCGATGCCAACTCCCTCACCACCATCTCCTGGAACATCACCGGCAACGACCCCAACGCCGAGCGTGGTTTCCATGTCCACCAGTTCGGTGACAACACCAACGGCTGCACCTCCGCCGGCCCTCACTGTAAGCGCTGCCGTCGCCCCCAAGAGCACCCCCAGATACTGACCAAAACAGTCAACCCCTTCTCCAAGACCCACGGTGCCCCTGAGGATGAGGTGCGCCACGTCGGTGACCTCGGTAACTTCAAGACCGATGCAGAGGGCAACGCCGTCGGCTCCAAGCAGGACAAGCTGGTCAAGCTGATCGGTGCCGAGAGCGTTCTGGGCGTAAGTTACCCTCGTCACGGAGAGTGACAAGTTTCCCACTGACATCTTCATCGTCTAGCGTACCCTTGTCGTCCACGCCGGCACTGATGATCTCGGCCGTGGTGGCAACGAGGAGTCCAAGAAGACTGGTAACGCCGGTGCCCGCCCTGCCTGCGGTAAGTGCTGCTGTTGCTGATGGGGATGGAGTAGATGCTGATTACTATTCCAGGTGTCATCGGTATTGCCGCCTAAACTCATTCTTAATATTCCCCGTCTAGGAAGGGAAATTGCCTGGTCAGAGACGGATGGTCTGAAAAGTTCACTGAGAATTAGCGGTACTCTGAAATTGTCTGGAGGATACTATGGATCTGTGGATTCGGGCGGGTGAAGTCCTGACCGAGGTGAATTCTGCTCTAGATAATGTACAAGAATGATGAATGTCTTATGATATGAGCTGTGATGTTGTGCAATGGATGTACTCGTAGTAGTGCTGGTTGTGTATAGGTGCTTGTCCCAGTCTGGCCAGGTCTGGGCGGTGAGCGCTCTGCTGCAGCTGATTGGCTCCCCCACACCATCCCGGCCGCGGTGAATGGCCGGTTCAACCACGTTTCCCATCGACATTCCATTCCTCCATCTCCAGTCATTCACCTTCAGTCTCTCACTCTCTTCCTTCTCTGACCTCTGTTTCTTTGTTCCGGACCTCACTCCCCACTGTCTGTTTGCTTCCGGACCTTCACCACCCCCGTTCACTCTTTATTCCTCTCCCCCTTTTCTTTCTGGCCGCTTCCCAGGATGCCTTTGGAAGCTCGTGTGAAATCTGTCCTGTCCGGCGACACCGTCGTGCTGTCCCACGTCTCCAACCCGGCCCAGGAACGCATTCTCAGCTTGGCTTATGTCTCGGCTCCTAGACTCCGTCGGGAGGAGGAAGAGGTATGTTTCCTACGTCCGTTTGCTCTCCTTCCCCGTCGCTACGTGACACGCTCTGGATAGGTGGCCTCAGCGTTGAGCTCCATTGCTCAGCGAATCATGTCACTTTGGCCTCACCCCTGCGTGCCCCTACTCTAATCTAGCCCCCTCTTTGTGCACCATACTCAATTGACGTTCTCTGTTGCTCCCTTGTATCTAACCGTCTCCAGCCTTACTCCTTCCAATCCCGTGAATTCCTCCGTGAGCTCCTGGTAGGAAAGGTCGTTTACTTCAACGTCCTTTACACAATCCCGACCGGCGCCAAACGCGACTACGGCACCATCAAGCTTCCCACCTTTGACGTCCAATTGCCCGACATCAGCGTCCAGGAAGGATGGACTCGGGTCCGCGAGGAGGCCGGTAAGCGCGCCGACGAATCCGAAGAGACCGCCGCGTATCTCGAACGGCTCCGCGCCTTGGAGGACCATGCCAAGTCGGAGGATAAGGGTATCTGGGCTGGAGCAGAGAAGGGCCGGACAGAGACCAGCTACGAGCTGTCTGACGCCAAGGCCCTGGTAGATGAGTACAAATCGAAGGACCTCGAGGGTATTGTCGAGCGCGTGCTGAATGGAGACCGACTGGTGCTTCGTTTGCTGCTGACTCCCCACGAACATCTCCAAGTGGTTGCCGCACTTGCCGGTGTGCGGGCTCCCGCTGCCCGACGGGTGAATGCTGATGGTAAGGAACAGCCTGCCGAGCCCTACGGTGACGAAGCACAGCAGTTTGTTGAGTCCCGCATCCTGCAACGCAAGGTGCAGGTCTCCCTGCTGGGAGTCACACCACAGGGCCAACTCATCGCCACCGTTCTCCATCCCAACGGCAATGTTGCCAAGTTCCTCCTCGAAGCTGGTCTGGCCCGCTGCCATGACCTCCACTCCGCCCTCCTGGGTGCTAACATGGCTACTTTCCGCCGCGCGGAGAAGGCTGCCAAGGATGCCCGGAACGGTATCTTCACTGGGCTGGTTGCCCCCCAGGGTCCTGCAGGCGGGGCCGAAGACTACATCGTCAGCCGCGTGCTGAACGCGGACACGCTGTTCCTACGCAACAAGGCCGGCGAGGAGAAGAAGATCAGTCTCAGCAGCATCCGTCAGCCCAAGCCGTCAGATCCGAAGCAGGCTCCGTTCGCTGCGGATGCCAAGGAGTTCCTCCGCAAGCGAATTATCGGAAAGCACGTCAAGGTCACCATCAATGGCAAGAAGCCGGCCAACGAGGGCTATGAGGCCAGAGATGTCGCTACAGTCATGCACGGTAACACCAATGTTGCCCTTGCTCTCGTGCAGGCTGGATACGCGTCCGTGATCCGCCACCGTCAGGATGACGACGACCGCTCTCCCGACTACGACAACTTGATGATCGCCGAGGCCGACGCCCAGAAGGACGGCAAAGGAATGTGGTCTCCCAAACCGCCCAAACAGAATCAGTACCAGGATTACTCCGAGAGCGTGCAGAAGGCCAAGATGGCGGTCTCCATCCTTCAGCGTCAGAAGCGGGTTCCTGCCATCGTGGATTTTGTCAAGTCAGGCTCTCGCTTCACCGTCCTTGTTCCCCGTGAAAACGCCAAGTTGACCCTCGTCTTGTCCGGTATTCGTGCTCCGCGGTCTGCCCGCAACCCCGGTGAGGCGTCCGAGCCCTTTGGCCAGGAGGCGCATGACCTGGCGAACCGGCGCTGCATGCAGCGGGACGTCGAAATCGATGTCGAGACGATCGACAAGGTTGGCGGTTTCATCGGTACGCTTTACGTGAATAAGGAGAACTTCACCAAGGTCCTCCTCGAGGAGGGTCTGGCCACCGTTCACGCGTATTCGGCTGAGCAATCGGGACACGCCACCGAGTACTTCGCCGCGGAACAGAGAGCAAAGGAGTCGCGCAAGGGACTGTGGCACGATTGGGACCCCAGCAAGGATGCCGAAGAGGAGGAGAGCGAGGTGGCCAACGGAAACACCGGTGCGGACAATGAGGGAGCTCAGCGTGGCAAGGATTACCGTGACGTGATGGTCACCCACGTTGATCCCAGCAATGGCCGCGTGAGGTTCCAGCAGATTGGCAGAGACAGTTCTGCGCTGATGGAGCTCATGGATGCCTTCCGTTCCTTCCACCTCAACAAGGCCAACGACACCCCTCTGCCCGGACCCCCCAAGGTGGGCGAGCTTGTTGCTGCCAAGTTCACCGAGGACAACGACTGGTACCGCGCTAAGATCCGCCGCAACGATCGGGACAACAAGCAGGCGGAAGTGATGTACATCGACTTTGGTAACTCGGAAGTCCTCCCTTGGTCCCGTCTGCGGCCCTTGACCCAGCCGCAGTTCTCGACCCAGAAGCTGCGCCCGCAGGCGATTGATGCCGTGCTGTCTTTGATCCAGTTCCCAACGACGCCCGACTACCTCCAGGATGCGGTTTCGTTCGTCGAGGAGCAGGTCTACAATCGTGAGCTGGTGGCCAACGTGGACTATGTGTCTCCCGAAGGCACCCTGCACATCACGCTTATGGATCCCACTGAGTCGAAGAACTTGGATCACAGCATCAACGCCGAGATCATCCGCGAGGGATTGGCGATGGTGCCACGGAAGCTGAAGGCCTGGGAGCGGTCTGCGACAGAGACCTTGTCGCACCTGCGGAGCCTGGAGGACGAGGCCAAGCAGGAGCGACGGGGAATGTGGGAGTACGGAGATCTGACTGAGGATTAAAAGGGCGGAGGATGAAAGAAATTGGGCTTTTTCTGTACAGATATATCTTACTTTAGTATCTTATTGATTCCCAACCGCTGCGCAGAGTGATATGGGCAATGGTTGGGTTTTTTAATCTTTTTTGCTTGACATGAGCCGACAGGATCTGGGTTTTTATTGCCACCTAGTCGAATATGATGGGCTGTGAAACATGCTGAGGGCATGAATGCTATCAAGACCACTACCTCTTAGTAGTTAAGTTCATTTGGTGTAGTTGGCAGAGGGCTTACCTGGTCCACTGTGGTTATCCGTCTAGACAAAGAGATAAATATCTCGGGGCTTATCGTGTGCAGCCCTAACTCCGTACCTTCTCCGACAACCCCTCATCGCCTGACCGAAATCTCATATACAATTCCAGTTCATAATTTAGACATCATCATATCATAGGCGAGAGTAACACTATGAAGCGATCAGCTTCACTGGTAACAGGACCTTCGGACAGAATGTCCTCCCAGCAACCTGTCTCATGCCGATTTTGTCGAACACGGAAACTCAAATGCGACAGAGGACGTCCTTGTTTCAACTGTGTGTCGCGGAAACATGAATGTGTCTACGAATCAGGCGAGTCCCTCGACCGAGCACGAAGAGCGGCGGAACTGACAGTCCCACACAGGCCAGAGGCAACCAGCACATACACCTCTCCAAACGGCGGGGAGTCAGCTGACAGACAGTCATGTTTGCACCCTGTATGTGATTGATATCCAGCCGAAAGCATATCGGGCACCCTCAACTGACAGTCAGCTTTTGTCTTTGTTCATCATGATAGACACTGTGTGGAGCTCGTGGAACGGATACAGCGGCTGGAGCGGGCAGTGTTTGCAGCAGGAGAAGCGGAAGTAGCCCACGAGGACTCTCCCACTGGCAGGATGGATCCAGCAACGTCGAATTCGAGGCTGTCCAACCAAGACGAGGAGCAGCAGAGGACGTCGCAATGGCTGGAGGGTCTCTTAACGACGGTATGATGCAGGTCCGGGACCGGCTGCATTTCGCATGACTGACTTCGTTTATTCAGAACGTGACAGCAAAAGCCGCGACGACTTCATTCGAATTGGCGACCATTTTAAGTGCCTTTCCCACCTATAATGACGCAGAAGTGCTCCTCGACTATTTCACGAAAACCATCGATGCAAGTTATCGCACGTTGCACATTCCGACAACATGGCAATCGCTCAGAGAATTCTATAACGATCTTAGCAACAATTGTCCTCCTTCTGTGACTGACATTTCTTTCTTCCTAAGTGTATTCGCAGGCAGTATGTATGTCTCGAAAAACGGCTTTCAGTTTGAGACTGGTTCTCTAGGAAGCTATCCACAACAGGTGCTCGCGGAACGGTGGGTGAAACAGGCAGTCATATTACTGACAAACCCGCCTGTTCCGCCCTCAGTACGAGCGCTACAGACATGCGTGACCCTAGCGCATCTGTGCATCCAGATTGAAGGCTTGAGTGGAAGTTTTGGTCTTCTGAGCGCGACTGGCCTTCGGATGGCAAGGTCCATGAAAATCCACCGGTTGGATTCGGCTCCTTACTGCGAGGAGCGTCGCCAGCACGGCGCAGATATGGTAGAGCTGGAGGTCAAGCGACGGATCTGGTGGCATATGGTCGCCTCCGACTGGTGAGCTTCTAGTTGCCTCTGGGCTGCCGTTCAGGCTCTTCGCCTTCTAACCCACGAGTTGTAGGCTTTTGTCGTACGTCCCCGGTCCAAATGAAGGGACGTATACACTCCATCCCCGACAGATGGAAATCATTCACCCCAGCAACGTCGAGGACAATAAAATCCCTCCAGGCACCTCGCAAATATCGGAAGAATCTTACAGCTTGCCGCTCACCAGTCCGACCTCGATGACATATTTCCTCTGCAGGATTCAAGTGGCCACCCTGGCCCGCGAGGTTGTCGACTGCCTACCCCCGTCATTCTTTGCCTCGCCAGGCACCGAGTGTTGCGACGAGGTGTACAACAAAATCATCACACAGGATCAAAAATATCAGCAATTTCTTCAGTCCCTGCCTCCGTTTTTCCAGCTCACCATTCAGGACCAGATGAGTTACCAAGCTCTTCTTGGAGAACACCCATATCTAGAATGGCAGCGTTACCTCATTAACTTCGTGGTTCATACGCACTTGGCGCGACTCCATCGACCATTCCTAATCCGTGGCTCCATGAAGCAGAAATTCGCGTACTCTCGCAAGCAGTGCATTAAATCCGCAGAGACCGTCATCGAGATCCAGAACCATGCCATAGGCAATCATAGTGTTGGGGCATTTACCTTTGTTCTTCAGCACTTCCTAATGGCGGCTATCATCTTGGCGATGGATGTCTGCTTCAACCCAGACAAGATACAGATTCCCGTTTCCCAGCGCAAGCAATATGTGCTGCAAGCGTGCCGTGCATTGGAAGCAGAGCTGAATGCGAAAACTATCCCACCAAATGATGGAATAACAAACGAAAACACATCTAACGGCCAACTTATGGTGAGATCATTCCAGAGGGCGGTACAGAATCTGCGAGGACTCCTAAGAAAGAGGATGAACGAAGACGAAACAGAGAGTGCAGCGACAATGGAGGCATTAGCGCCAGAGACCGCAATCTCTGGCGGCAAGCGGCGAGGGAGAGCTGGTTCTGCTGCACCGCGCGAAACGTCGTCCAGACAGATGATCGTCAACGAAGCCTTTTGGGCCACCCCGCAGAGACCTGGCTCTGAGCAGGCTCCAGAGGGCGCAAATCAACCGGCTTACAATCAGCAGCTGTCCCGCGAGCTCGAGGAGGCACCCGTTCCTGGTGAGCTTATAGTGGACGAGCTGTGGGACGAGTTCTTTACGGTTGGCTCAACATTCAACGACGCAGACTGGGATACGTTCTTGCTTGATGCAGGAGAACAAATAGGCGGAATCTAGTGATGCCACCGTCTAGGAAATTATACCGATTGAGCGAAGATTTGCATTGAATCCCCAATCCCCAACCCAAGACTTGACCTTATCCCGTTCGCCCTTTTCTTCCAACAAGCTAGCCCTTCGCCATCACCTTCCATCCCACAAGTCTTGCGCGAAGAATGACAATGAAAACCAACGCGAAGAAGTAGCTCACGCCACTGAACACGCACGCGTAGTCAAAGTCACCATTCTTTGTCCTTCCAACGATGGCGCCTCCAATCGGCGGGCTCGTCAAAGCGCCAATGCCTGCAATGGAGAAGATTGTGCCCATCCGATAGCCAACTTCTTTCATCGGAGATATCCCCATGATGAGCACCGGGCCGAGACCAATACCCGCGCCGGAGCCGACGCCAAACAAAGCAGCAAAGACAATCATGGTCGCCGCACTGCGACCCGGCAGCCAGAGCGCGAAAACAAGGATCATACTGAAGAGCAGCATGATGATCATGACGTTGAAGCGGCCGAATCTGTCGGCCACGATGTTGGGGACTGTTCGTCCGAAGAAGCTTTATAGTGTAGTACCATCAGCCAGGGATACATTATCGGCAGGGACGCGGTTCGTTTTCTCACCTTGCCCCGTTCAGAATAGGAATCATATTAAAGGCCATGCTTGTAGACATGCCGTAGTGGATGCCGGCTGAAACGATATAGTCGAAGGGTACGAACATTCCCCCTTGATGGTCAGAATCGAGGCAATCAGATGCAGGGAATTTGACATACAGTAGAAGAAGAAACTGCAAAAGCACATGAGGACATAGTTGGTTTCCTGTAATGGGCCAAGATACTGCGCGATCTTAAACGGTCTTGGGTGGTGGTCCAGATTGGAGGAGATGGTTACGTTGGTGATGAGCAGCAGGCCGAAGATCATAAAAGCACAGACACGCATCGTCCATGGGAAGCCGATCTTGGGAATCAGGCGGACAACCATCAGGGGGAAGATGACGCCGCCGAGGGATGAGCCGGCAATTGTTAAGCCGCCGGCGAGAGCACGCTTCCTGCGGAAAAATGTCATGGGCTATCGATGTAGTCAGTCATTGATATACTTCTACAGATGTGTCGAGATACCACTTACTGCAGTCATACTGGGGGTAAAAACAAGGGAAGCGCCAATACCAGAGCAGACCGACTGGCTCAGTGCAAACTGATAGTACTGCTTGGAGAGGCTGGTCATCAGAAGGCCGAATACGTGCAGAAACGTCCCAATGGCGACGGGCAGCCGAGGGCCGTAGTTATCAAACAGCCTGCCAGCCAGGGGAGATATGAACAACATGAAGAAAACTCGAGACTCGATTAGCTTGTTCACATTGCATCTTAAGAGACAGAAGAGCTGGCTCACACTCCGTCGACGTGATCCAGGAGACCGTCGACTGGTTGTATTGCTTGAGTTGGTTGGTCTCGTACTCGGCCTGGAAGAGCGCAATGCAGTTCACCCAGCCAAAGGACACGAACATGGCGAGCGACGATCCGACGAGACTGAGCCATGCCTTCCGGCCGCCCTCGGGGGGTTCTGGCTCGCGAGCCTTCTGGGTTGTATCGTTTGCCAATGAGTCGCTGGTTTCTTCGGGATTGTGCCCTTTTTCCAGCGTTGAGTCGGTCACGACTTCGTGAGAAACTGCCATGATGTTTGTCTACTGTCCTAGAGCAAAGTGTTCCGAGGCACAATGGTGTGCATGTGTGCATTTCATGGCGAGTAGGGAGAGGTATTTTCATATATAGTTCATACCAGGGGCCCCGCGGAGGGATCCACGGAGGCTCCGTGGAGGGCTCCGCGGCGCTCTCCATGGAAAATGCAGACCAAAAACACTTAAGCACAGTCACAAGTCAGCGGGAACTTGCTACCTTCATTTCCTCCATTCTTTTCTTTCTACTCTAGACTTCATTACCGGCAAGGGATAGAGAACCTATGTCGGAATCGTGGGAGTTCTACGGCAAAGCTCTCCGAGCGATGCTCGGCTTGGGCGTTCAACGAGCGGCACAACAGATCCAAGCAGCCGGCCATCGTTGGACGTGGCGCAACATTGAAAACGCCAAAAACGTGGTGATCATAGGCGGCTCGTACGCGGGAATACACCTCGCTCGGCGACTGAGCGAGACGCTCCCAACGGGCTACCGGGCCGTCCTCGTCGAACGGAACAGCCATTTCAACCATCTGTTCGTCTTTCCTCGATTCGGCGTCGTGCCTGGCCGAGAGCAGACAGCGTTCGTCCCCTACGATGGCATTCCCAGCTTTGGGCCTCGAGGGATCCTCCGCCACGTTCGCGGTTCCGTGAGCAGCCTCACCCCGACGCAGGTACGGCTCGCGTCCGGGGAATCTATCGACTATGAGTACCTTGCCATTGCGACGGGAACGTGGCAGCCACCACCATCGAAGGCATCGTCGACCGAGAAGGCCGAAGCCTGTGCGGAGCTGAGAGGCGCGCAGAAGCGGATCCAGCATGCCAACCGTATCGCCGTGATTGGAGGCGGCCCGGTGGGCATCCAGATCGCAACCGATATTGCGAGTTATTTCCCCGAGAAGTCGGTGACGTTGATCCATTCGCGGGCTCAACTGCTGCCCAACTTCAGTCCCCGGTTGCACGAACATGCATACAAGGCGATGCAGCAGCTTAAGATCAACGTGATTCTGGGGGAACGGCCACAGTTGGACGGCAATGGCGGCGATGCAGGACCGGGAACGCTGTCTTTGAAGGACGGCCGGACGATCCAGTACGATTTAGTGGTGCGTCTTGTTAGTCTCGCGAAGACGACAGAAAAGCTAACCAAGTTCACAGATCCCGTGTACTGGACAACGTCCGAACTCGGGATTGCTCGACGCACTCGTCCCTGCTGCAGTCTGCCCAACCACTCGGCAGATATTAGTACGCCCGACGCTACAGATCGCAGACCCATCCAATCTCAATCCCCGCATCTTCGCCTTGGGGGACGTGGCCAAAACGAATGGCCCCCAGATGGCACGCGCTGCGCGCGCTCAGGCCGATGTTGTAACGTCCAATATCCTGTCTATGATCCATCAGGGGCAGGCATCGACTAGCTATGCTCCGCAGACTTACGAAAGTGCCATCAAGCTGACTCTGGGAAAGGTAAGGAGATCCCCGTATTGTGCGTTTTCCCACTGATTCTGGTCTGCAGAATCGTTGGGTCTTCTACGGCCAGGATGAAAACGGAAAAGAGATGTCGCTGGCGGGGTCTGACCAAGGCGAAAACCTCAAGGTTCAACACATCTGGGAGGAGCTGGGTGTGAAGTTTGAGCCTAACATGGCATAGAGCGTGAGAATCTCCGCCTGTATATGCAAGTCCGTTACTTGTCTTCAATGTCTAATCTGCGAATACGTGTTGTCCGAGGACACGAGGAGATTTGGCTTCAATAACAAAGCTAGTAGGGCAATCGTATAGATGAGCTGCAGTCTGGGAGGGCCATCTCTATATCATGTGGAATCTGGCACGGGCTAGTCCTTCTCATAATTATGCCGACATGTCTCTGGTATACTTCCCTTGTACCTCCGTACTACGTAGTTATTCCGATCGGGTGAGTCAGCCGATGGAAATTTCGATCGGCAGGAGCCGAGCATAAAAATTGTGCAGAATGACATAAGACGACGGGGATTGAAGATTGCTTTCAATCTTATCAACTCATTTTCCATTCATTCCCTCTCCTTTCTCCTCCTACTATTCCTACTGCTGGCGCTCTCTTTTTCTTCCTCTGTACATACCACCATTCCTGTCTTTACACCATCCCATTCTCCCTCTCTCGTTCTCTCTCTACGGTCTAGCGCGCGGGAGTCAGATCGTCCGACAACAACCGCTAATCCCCCACACTCCGGCTTCGACAATCCACGTTCTTTCCCAACCCTAAAGTATAACAAAGAATCATCAACGCTCCTCTTCATCATGCCTTTCTGGCGCTCTGAGCCTCAGCCTGCGGAGCCGGAAAGCGACGCCAAGTCAGTCGCCGAATCTGAACCCAAGAACGATCCCGTGGCATCCGCGTCCCAAGCCGCCGGTACCGCCTGGTTGGCCGGTCATCTGAACCACCTCACTGAGGACCAGGAGAAGAAGCTGGAGGAGTTCAAGAAATTATGCGAGAAGGAAGGTTACTACAAGCCCGAGATCGACGGCCAGAGGCCCTCGCACGATGATGCGACAATGCTGTATGTTTCCTTGTGGTCCCTACTCCCTAACGGCCTCCGACCGGTGCTGATGGATCCGCTACAGGCGTTTCTTGCGCGCGCGCAAGTTCGATATCAATGGCGCATGGGGCCAGTTCAAGGATACGGAGGATTGGCGCAAGGAGAACGCTATCGAAGAACTGTACGAGAATATCGAGGTGGAGTCTTACGACGCCGCTCGGAGGATGGTTAGTCGCACAACCGATATCCAGATTCAGATCCAGATCGTTGGGTCTGCACGGGCCCAGCCAGCTTCAAGCTAACGCGGATCCTAGTACCCCCAATGGACGGGCCGCCGAGACCGCCGCGGTATCCCCGTCTATGTGTTTGAGATCAAACACCTGAACAGCAAGAACATGGCGGCTTACAACTCCACCATGTCCGATTCCGCCGCCACCGCGGAAACGCACCAGTCGTCCAAGGTCCCGCAGCGCCTGCTCCGCCTTTTCGCCCTCTATGAGAACCTCCTCAACTTCGTCATGCCCCTGTGCTCCCTTCTGTCTCGCCCCAATCCCGAGACCCCCATTGTCACCTCCACAAACATCGTCGACGTTAGCGGCGTCGGCCTGAAGCAGTTTTGGAACCTGAAGGGTCACATGCAGGACGCCAGTGTCCTGGCTACCGCTCATTACCCAGAGACCCTGGATCGCATTTTCGTATGTCCCTTCCTCCATCCCGCCAGGGGTTCGGGCCGATATGTAGTCAACTAACTCGGATGCAGATCATCGGCGCACCGGCGTTCTTTCCTACGGTGTGGGGATGGATCAAGCGCTGGTTCGACCCTGTCACCACCTCGAAGATCTTCATCCTCTCCGCCGCAGAGGTGAAGCCCACCCTGACCTCGTTCATGGATCCGTCCAGCATTCCCAAGCAGTACGGCGGCGACCTCGACTGGAAATGGGGTGACATGCCCTTTCTGGACGACGAGGCGCGCAAATTTGTAGGCGCCCTGGAGACTCCACCAGCGGAGGGTGAGACTCGTCCGAGCTTCACCAAGGGTCCGGTCCTGTTCAAGGGCGACAGGATCGAGATCCTCGGCAAGGTCAACGGCGAAAGCAGGAAGAAAAGCATCCCCGTTCCTGCCGTAGGGGAGACCTCTCCTAACGCCGCCGAGGCCACACCTGAGGCCGCGGCTGAGACGGGCTCGTCTTCAGAGGGAACCATGCCCGCTGAGAACGAGAAACTTGAGTTGAACGCTGAGAAGGTAGCCAATGGAGACTCTGCTCCTCAGCAACAGCAGTCTGTGTCTGCTTAGAAAATTCTTGCATTTGCATGTTGACGTCCGTCTCTTGGTTGGTTGATTACTCCATTGTTGAATTGATTTACCTTTCGGATTGATTGCGTTCGAGGGCGCCCTGGTTTAAAAGAGACTAGATAGCATCGCATTGTCACTATTAGATGACATATTCCCCATTTCTTGGTCATTTCGGTTTTGTCAGCTCATTCTCGCAGTTATGTTTGGTCTGCACTAGACCTGTTGTCTTCTTTCATCATCAGGCTTGTTACTTCTATGCTGTTTAGGTGATATATCCAGAGCATACTAATAATACCAATTGTGCATAGATGAGATCGTTGTTTGATATTGTCCATTCGTAGACTATGATCCGGGTCGAAGGGCATACATTTCTTTTACAGCAGAAGTTGCGTACCTCACCAATGCATACAGGTACATTCAGAAAAAAGCCAATTAAACTGATAGATATAACTATACAACAGACAGATCTTGTTTTCTATTGCTAACTTCCCATCCATATAACCCAGTATCGTTTCATCATGCTGATTTCCACAGTTGGTTTACTCGTTTCTTCTGGGCCTGAGTTCGGGTTAGTACGCGTAACACAACATAAGAAGATTGAAGAAAACGGTAGACTTACCATCGGCGACAAAATAACAACTCCCACCGCCAACGCCACAATCGTCAACAACAGCTGCAACTTGGAGAATCCTTTACCGAGGATATCGAATGCCTGGCTGGGTGTTGCACGCGTGGCGAAGACGTCCCCACCAAAGGCGAAGATCAGACTCGTACTCTCTAGCAGAGTCGGAGCGGACAACACGGTGCGGATGCCGGCGACATCCCGCGCGTGCGAGAGGTACCATTTGCCGTCGAATTCGAGGAACGGGTTGTACTTGAAGAGGCCCTCCTCAGCCTCGGTGGCGGTCGCGTCGCGGCCGACGGGGCGGCGGGGGTCCAGAACGGGACGGGGGATGCCAATGAGGGAGTTCGAGGATGGTAGGGTACAGAGGAGTTGTCGGGTGGTGATTCCCTGGCGGGTTTGGGTGACTGCCATGTGGGAGATGGGTTCGGGGATGATGAAGGATTGCGAGACAACGTGCGGGAGAGGCAGCGGGTCGATGCTGGAGTAGTTGGCTGCGGAGTCGAGAGGGCCGCGGTCATTAGGAAGCGGCGACTCGTACAGCTCCGAGACCACGAGTTGGTAACCCTTCGCGTCGGAGGGATCTGCGGCATCGCCCCAGAAGGAATAGGCGAACCAGTTCTCCGAGATGGCGGATGCGATGGGCTGCGTCGTGTCGACGTTCTCCTGTGTGCTGACGTGAAGGATCTTGCCTGATACGGCGTCTAGGAGGTAGAAGCTGGCGGTTTTGTCGCCCACAGCGGTGATCAGGGCGAGGTTGGGGTTCAGATACTTGTACAGCACGGAGCGGTTGCCGAGGACCTTGCCGATAGATGCGACAGGGTCGTGGGAGGGCCGGGCCGTCGCGTGAATGATCTTCTGTCCCGGGGCGGGGAAGAAGTCCCATACAGGGGTCCTGGAGTCTTTCGCGCTCCATCCGAGCACGCGACCATCGTCGCTGAGGGTGACGAAGAATCCTGGCCGGTCGACCGACTCCACTGGAGATCCATCAGGTTTGATGCCGATGGTGATGGGGGATTCGTCGTCGTTGATGACGGCGATGGAACGGATCTGAGTCGTAGCCGGACTGCGCTTGAGGATTGCTCCAGACGTGGTGTTCAAGGTGACCGAGCTGCCATCATCAACGTAGATGGTCGCAGAGCCGGGATGAGGAACAATAGCTTTCACGTTCCACGAGTCCCCCTCCGCGGCCTTCACGCTCCAGGCAACAGTGCCTTGCTTTCCGGTATCGAGCGCGTACACCCGTCCGTTCTTGGTGGCCACGATGACAGGCTTGGAGACACCGAACCCGTCGAGATTAGAGACTTCGTCGGTGAGAAAGCTGGTGGCGATGCGTTTCGGGAGACCCTGAAGCCATTCGGGAAGATGCTGAAGGTCGTTGAGATGACGCTTGACACGATGGACATACGCCTTCAAAAGACTCTCGTGTCCCTCAACCTCCAGCTGATGGGCTAGGTCTTCCTGGTCATCATCTTCCACCCAGTTCGCGGCCAAGACGTCACCAAGGGCTTCGTATCTGGTCCACTCGGTCTGGCCATTACGGATGAGTTGCCAATCACCCGAACTGAGGACAGTGGCCGACCGAACGGCAACGGAATCGCCCTTTGTGACTACCTCCGAAACAGCATGCAGACCGCGCTCGGTGGGAGGTGTCGCAAGAGGCCATCTCCCGAGGACACCGTGGGAGGCAGACGAGACAACGATCATCTCGGACTCGGTGATGCGGGTGAAGTACACATTCGCGTCCTTGGTGCTTGTTGCAAATACAGACCAGCCGCGAATAAAGGGCAGATCATAGGCTTTCGACACTACTCCAGACTTGAGGTCAATATGATACACTTCGGGCCCAGGAGCCGGATTCCGTCTCGTAATGAACCAGGACATGAGGCAGCGAATTAAGCTTCTTCGCGGCGTGGACAGTAATGGAGCGGATATCCTCGCCGCTGGTATTTTCGATGTTGACGCTGCTCACTTGTTTCGTTCCGATCACATTGAACTTCAGAGTCTTGTTTGACTTGTCTGCCCAGACGATCAACGGCGCGGCGGTGTTCGCACCAACGAAAAGGACAGACTCGGGGCCGGACACGTCGCTCTCGGAGTTGAGGATCGATTGGTGGCCTTGTCTTCCAGTGACGGGATCCAGGGAGGTAACCTTGATCTTGTGGCCCTTCAACAGCGCGGGTTGAAGCGAAATGTAGAATACATCTGTGGCAGAGGATGAAACTTGGAACGGAAGGTCGTTGCTGAAAGCGGGATCCCATTAGTTAGCTATGCATCAAAACCGATTGTGAAGCAACTCAAACCTTTCATCCTTATGCTCCCACTTCACATCTCCGGAATCGCCGTCCAACCTGCGCACAACGCCAGTCTTGCCTCCGAAGAGCACAATCGCGTCCTTGGCCGCGGAAGCCGGAGTAGCGGCATCTTCCAGCTCCAGGAGCTCGAGGTCGGCCACGGATCCGCCCGCAAACCAGTTCTCCCAGATCAATTTACCATCTAGCGCACTCCACGACGAGACATAATCGCCTAGACCGCTGACAACGGCGTTTGTTTCGTCGGATGCGCGTAGGATGCCGTCGTGGCCGGAGCTCTGGGCAGCCGGAAGCGAGGAGCGGGACACGTTTTGTCGCCATACTACCGAGCCATCTCGAGGGTTTATGGCGCCAAGGAGGGACTTTTCCGATAGGGTGTAGAGTAAGGAAGCAGGAGACGAGGAAGAGGGCCGAAGGAAGAAGGTCGAGTGAGACGAGGGGACTCCAACAAGGGCATGGTGGAAATCAACGTGGCCGATCTCGTCGGGGTAGATGGCCAATGCCGAGGGAACGCACGAGGCGAGCAGAAGGAGCGTCGCCTGTAGCCGCATGCTTATGAGCTGTATGCTATATCGGTCATGGGGGCGCAAAGGGGTGAAATGAGAGAAGGTCGGAGGACGGTGTTGTTCTGGAGTTGGTGGTTCGGGCGGTGATGGGGTTAGCGCCAAATTGCGGAGAGACTACATCACCAAACATCATCCTCCAATTCTTTACACAACACTGTATCTGCGAGATCCTTTGGCATTGATATGCGAAACGCTATATACTCGATTGAAATTCAATGCTACTTTTAGCTGGTATCCAGAATAGGTCCAAAATGAACAGGAAAGAACAGCGCTTCAAGCCTGTCCGAAGCATGCCTTGTTGGCAGCTTCGACAACCCGTTTTTCACCTTCGCTCATATCCGGAGTGACCTCCCAAAGTTTGCTACCCAAGCCCATGGCGCGCTGGCCATCGGGGTTGATCAAGTTCCAATCCAGCGCCCCCTTGAAGCCAGACTCACCCGGACCACCAGCGCCGGGGAAGTCCCATGGTGGGGAGTACTCCAAGGCGGCTTTACGCTGCTTAATCAGGTACTCGACGTTCATGTCGCACATAGGAGTGGCGGGAATATACAGCACACTCGAGTCGCCCTTGCCCCGGTGCTCCTTGTCGACTGAGTGGAGCGAGTCGCAGTGCCAGGCGACGTAGTCACCTGGCTCAACCTCAGGAACTGATACCATGGTTGTCTCAAGATCCATGTGAGGATGCGTGACGGGATTGTACTCCTGGCAAGTGCCAGGGACGGCGCCAGGGAAGGTGTTGTCAAGAAGAGGCTTCGAGGTCTTGGGGTCAAAGAAGGGGCGCAGGATGGTATACGCCGTACTGTGGATCAGCATGGGGCAAACGTGCAGAGAACCTTCACCAGGAGCAGTATGGGACATCGACATCCAGCCCCTGGAAGAACCTGAGCATGGAGCATGCACCAGCCCCGTTGTACAGGTCCATCTTCGCACTGACCCGATGTTTCGCATCCCAAGGATCGTACTCCTCCCACTTGCCCTCGAGGATCTTCGAATAGACGCGGGAGTACTCAGGGTCTTCCCAGCGCTCGAGCGAACCGCCATCGATATGAGGGCCCAGAGTGAACTTTGCATCACCAGGCTGTCTGATCCGCAGACGATCAGCGTAGGTAAGAGGGTTCCGAGTGGAGATTGCCGTGCGAGGATCGGAGGAGTGCCAGAGACGCTGCAGGAAGCGCTGGGTACCAAGCATGTTGGGATGGGCTCGTGCTTCTGCCTGAGAAGGCGTCCAGTAGAGCTCATACACTGAAGGCGCGTCGGGAGGAAACGCTTTCACACGCTCCTGGTTTGCCGCCACGTACTCCTCGATGCGGTCTTTGTACGCCCTCGCCTCTTTGCGCGGGAGTACATTTCTGATCACCACGGATCCACGGTGACGGACTTCTGCTAGAACTTTATCCGGCACGGTGCCAGCGACAACATCTGAATATTCCACAGATGGGATAATCTATAATAAGTTAGGCTTGAATGTCATAAAACAATGCGCGTTGCGCAACTTACGTCACTTCCTTTCGTCTTGATTTTCTGCACTTCCTCCTCCAAGCTGGGAAGCAGCCGGTTCCAGCTGTCTGTCAGAGCCTTCTCGTGTTTCTCAAAGTACTGCAACTTCAGATCCCTGAACCGAGGAGGCAGAGGCTCTGGCTTGTAATCGGGTCTCAAGCTGGGGAAAACGCTCGAGATATCACCCGCCGCCTTGGTCTGAGTTGCGGAGGAGGTAGAAGCCGCCCGAATGGCTGATTTTGGAAGAAACCGTGACATGGACATATTTGCGGGATTATGTGAGTCTGTTCATATGCGCTAGCTGTCTTCATCTGCAGAATCCAGGGTTTCCTGGCTTTTATATGCGCTGTGATCGTCTCAGATGGGCGCATAGTATGCGGAGACATAGCGGTATTCCCAAAACGGAATGCGGCACGGTTTCCTATAACGGAAAACATCCGCCCGTCCATGGCGGAAGTAGGACGTCACCTGGCATCTGCAGGCTGTCATTATATTTGACGAAGGAGTACCAATCGATGGTTCTCTTTCGGAGACGAGGGCTATGGTCTTTTCGGAAACTGTGGCTAGAGGACATAACTTCTTACCCAGCAAGCCTTTCCCAAGGGACTTGTTCCAGACATTCAGACTATCCCTCAATTTCACAATTCTAGTTGGATTATATTCGTCAGTGATACTTAGCATAGGTCCACGCTGCTCCTGCCTCCCGCTATCAGCCACAGAGAAGATCATTGCGCGGTAACTTCGCATATCTCTGGCGCCATCGGGGTATTGGCTTCCCCGGTTTGGTATCGGGCTTAACGTTGGCCTTCAGTAGATGAGGTGGGTGGCCCATCTGGCCCATATTTCTTTGGTCCTGCACAAATTATAATGCACTGTGATGCATTGGGTCCGTCTGTGGAATTAGGTCGAGACTTCCATCGGCCGCCAATAATCCTCTCGGGATATTACTATGTTGGTTGACCCCGCAAGTATGGGGCCCCGTTCAACATAGGCCACCGACGTGCAAGATCTTTCAGGACAGTTGGAAGCACGACAGAGTGTCTGGAACCGCCTAGGATGTCTGGCCATTGGTAATGTCGTGTCCGGCTGGTGGGTGTAAGACGGCTGGCTCGGTATTCTCCCCGAGAGGACCACATCTTCTCGGTCCAATGCAGCCCCGCGAATCCCCTCATCACTTCCCTATATGGATATTCTAACCACCGATGGCGCAGCAATGTGGCCCGAGGGCCTTCTGCCCTCCCCGAGGGTCCCCGCTATTTCAACTACCGCGTATCCTGTCCCCTGTGAAAAAGATCATTCACTCCCATCTATTCAAAAACCCCCCACCAACCACCATGTCGTTCTCTGTCCAAGGAAGGTCGGCCATCGTGACCGGAGCGGGATCTGGTGCGTTGGCAGTAATGAATGGAAAATCTGTATAGCCTGACTAAAGTCTTTGCTGTAGGGATTAACCTGGCATTTGCCAAACTCTTGTTGGAAAATGGCTGCAATGTTCTGATTGCGGACCTTGCCCTTCGTCCAGAGGCGCAGGTGGTCGTTGACAAATACTCAACTGCATCTAGTCGTCCTCGGGCTGTGTTCCAGAAAACCGATGTGATCGATTGGAAACAGCTAGAGCAGATGTTCGAAGTCGCCGAACGGGAGTTTGGAGAGGTCGACATCGTGTGTCCAGGAGCTGGTATTTACGAACCAGTACGTTTAAATGATCATCATGCACAGACCGTTCATTTTTCTGACCTTGGCAGCATTGGAGCAATTTCTGGCGCCCACCGGGTACTCCAGAGAGTCGAGATGCACAGTATGGCGGTCGGTATGCCTTGCTGGACATCAACTTGACCCATCCGATCCGCACCACGCAGCTGGCCTTGTCCCACTTCCGCAATCGCGGAACGCCTCAACGTCGCAAGCATATCATCCACATCTCCAGTATTGCTGGACAGAACGCGGCTCTAGCCGCACCCATCTACGTGGCCACGAAGCACGCAATTAACGGCCTTGTCCGCTCCATGGCTAAGCTTGACGACAAATTTGGCATCCGTGTAACTGCCGTCGCTCCGGGTGTGATCAAGACGCCGTTGTGGACCGACCACCCCGAGAAGATGAAGATTGTCGACGATAAGGCGGACGAGTGGGTGACGCCGGAAGAAGTCGCCGAGGTGATGCTGGCTTTGATTCAACAGGACTCTGTCGGTGAAATCATCGGTGACAAGTCCGGCAAAGGGCCGCAATTCCGAGTTAGTGGTGGAACTGTTCTAGAGGTATCCAAGACGGTACGCTCTGTCAGTCCATTTAACGACCCAGGGCCATCAAATCGGGCTGGGAACACGGTGTCAGATATGAATGTTCTGGAGGATGAGGTGTATGATCTACTATCGCAGAAGTGGTGGGGAAAGTCTAAGCTATAGGCTCGGGTTTAACGTCTTGCCAGTCATTAAGAAGATCTTATGATGGAGCCTGGCTATTGCACTAGTCCGTATATAGTTTAGTGGTCAGCTGACACACACTGTTACGGAGTAGATTGCGTCCGCGCCGACCTACTCCGTACAACATCCTTCTGTTAGATCAATTTATGGGTCATCATACACCATGTCAGAGCCTCTTTGGAATCCTGCAGAGTATGGGCCGGAGATAAGATACAGTTCTTGTCTCGTATTGGAGAATATTGGCATCCCCTATGTCATCTGGTTTGAAGATGCTCTGGCACACTATGGGGTTCCCACGATAGTCTTCGATTTATATGTCCTTGTCTTAGACATTGATACCGCTGCCGACGCTCTTATTAAAGCTGGATGGGTCGTTGATACCCAAAACCCTCATCGGATTGGGGATTCAGTCGTGACAATTCCGCAAACACCGCTGATCTCCCCCGACCAGAAGACAAAGACAGTCCTTCTCCTCGCCTCAGACTGGAGGTTCCCACTCGCGGCTGACCCACCTCTCGAGAGGGTTCCTGTGAACGACCATTCCCCTTCAAAGCTGTCGTTCCCCCTATTGCCAGGATTACTCGATGCCCTGATTGAAAGCTGGTTGGTTGGTCCCACTGAGGACGACGCATTATTGCTTCGCCTGGCAATTTATTTTAACTATCTGTACGGATACGTGCCAGCACTTAAAGAGCGATCGTTTGCCGACCAGATGAAATATGAGCATCGCCAATTCCATTTCGACGTGCTTGCTGGGATGGCCTCATCAACTTTACCTTTTAGAAACCACCAACGTGGCATTAGAGATGCGCTTTTGCAGGGTCGGTATGAGTTGCAGGAATGCTCGGCGCCTCGCGATAATGAAGCCCTCTTTGATCCCTGGAAAGGAATCCGCCTTCCAGACCCAGTCAACGATGAATCAGTGGAGTAGCTGTGCTGTTTCGATGAAGTGAGTCTGCGCCAGGTTTATGGTATACCAAGAGTCTGAAGCAAGAAGGACTATGGATCAGATACGACCGAACAGTCTTAAGTTCGAAAGGGCTTACGGATATTCAAATATAAAAATCTGGTAGTATAAGTGAAGAATATTCAGGTAGGTGAAAAGCTGCTGGAATTCCCTCAAACAGGGCCTGAAGAGGGCTCTAAAGCGTCCATGAGTCCAGATCGATCTGGGCGAGGCTGTCTTAAATTACTGAAACTGATCCTTAGCACGCTTTACACTTATGATCAAGCCCGAGCCTATGTTGCGGTCTAGCCATGATTGGTGATGGGTTAATCCAGAATGTTGCACAATATCTTGCTGGAACCGTGTCATTGAGGAACAGATGATTAGCTACAATAGATCAGTCGAGATCTAGTCTGGCCATGAAAATCTCCCTTAGCTGTTGGTTCCAAGCTGAGTATAGATCACCAGTTAGGACTAAACCGTTCATATTAGATTAACTTGGTATGTATACTGTATCAGAGAACAGCCAAAGACATTGACTGGCACAAGACTTGGATGTTCTTGATAAAGTTGATATGCCCATTAACCATAGTTCAACAGGCGTTCGTGGCTGTCGGCAAGGCTGGCCAACCAGATCCCATATGTCAGGTGTCCCGGGTCCGATTACCAAAACAGGACTAGTTGCCGCCCACCCCCGGCTGCCTGAGGCTGGCATCATCGGCCGTCGATTTATCGTGATTTCCGCCTCCTCTTTCTGACATCTCCGATCAATTCAACCGCCCTTATCTTCCTCCCACCTTAGTCTCTCGCTTTCTCTCTTTCTCCTCCTCGACTTCTACACCGGCTGCTTCGCTGGCTCGAGTGGCTATTATGCTGGTCACTGTCACCCGAACGACACTGGGTTAAATCACTTTTTTGGGGCCTTTACGAGGTCGTGTGGCCACATCCTTATCTATCCACTCCGTCGGCCAGCGTGCACCCTCACACAATGTTGGACGATGAGGCTTCTATCGGGGTTGGACCCGCTGGCGGTCTTCAAAATGCATCACGAAGGTAATGAAATGCTCTCGACGCTCTCCTGCGCTTTCCTAGGATCCCCTTGGTGTCGCAATGTAACCCTCGGCTGACTCCTGATAACCGCATCAGACGTGGACTGCGAGGAAAACGAGACTCTGGCTTTCATGGACAAGCCACCTGGATTAGCTGTGTGATTAATTTGGTCAATACGAGTAAGCTATGGATCTCATTATTTCGTTTGTCTGCCTAGGTGCATTTCTGACACTATCGTCTTCCGTTAGTCGTTGGCGCCGGAGTCCTTGCCATGCCTTTGGCCATCTCACACATGGGCATCGTCCTAGGTGTGATAGTGATCCTATGGTCCGGAGTGACAGCAGGTTTCGGCCTTTACCTTCAATCTCGCTGCGCGCAGTACCTCGATCGCGGAACTGCTTCCTTCTTCGCCCTTTCGCAATTGACCTACCCTAATGCGGCCGTCGTCTTCGATGCCGCGATCGCGATCAAGTGTTTTGGTGTCGGTGTCAGCTACCTCATTATCATTGGTGACTTGATGCCGGGAGTAGTCCAGGGTTTTGTAGGCGGTTCTCCCGTCTACGACTTCTTGGTTGACAGGCATTTCTGGGTGACTGCGTTCATGTGAGTGATCGCTCCAAGTCGGCTGTGGTGTCGGACCATACTAACGCTGATCTTCTGTCAGGCTGATTGTCATCCCCTTGTCATATCTTCGTCGCTTGGATTCCTTGAAGTATACGAGTATCGCGGCGTTAGTATCCATGGCATATCTGGTGGTTTTGGTGGTATATCATTTCGTGGAGGGGGATACGATGGCCGATCGAGGCCCCATCCGTGTCATCCACTGGGCAGGTCCCGTTCCTACCCTCAGCAGTCTACCAGTTATTGTCTTTGCTTTTACTTGCCATCAAAATGTCCGTTTCCTGCACCCCTCTCCACCTGCTGCTAGCACTAACTACCGAAACAGATGTTCTCTATTCTTAATGAGATTGAAAACAACAGCCATCTCAGGACGACTGCTGTTGTCTTTTCCAGTATCGGAAGCGCAGCGGCGACATACATTCTTGTCGCTATCACCGGGTACCTCTCTTTTGGTAACAATGTTGGCGGAAACATTGTTGGCATGTACCCTCCCGGCCTGTGGGCGACGATCGGACGGGCTGCGATCGTCATCCTGGTGATGTTCTCCTACCCTCTTCAGTGCCATCCTTGTCGTGCCTCCGTTGATGCCGTGCTGCGCTGGAGGCCGAAACCATCTTCCGCCGGCAACGACAATTCGCCCCATCGACACCCTCTACTGGGACCGCGAGGCAGCCGTGCCCCAGAAATGAGTGACCTCCGTTTCTCCGTGATCACCACCACCATCCTGGTGCTTAGCTATATTGTTGCGATGACCGTGTCCTCGCTCGAAGCGGTCCTGGCCTACGTCGGCAGCACCGGAAGCACCAGCATCAGCTTCATCCTTCCCGGTCTTTTTTACTACAAGATCTCCTCCCCCGATTCTCCCACTCATCAGCGTCTGATGAAGGAGGACGATGAAGCGGCCGAGGACATGCTTGCGGATGACAGTAACGATGATGACGACAACGAGGCCTCCCAGTCCCGTCCCTTAACAGAGAGCGGCATTCTTCGGCGCAGCACTCGCCATTGGCGCAGGACCCTGCTGCGGAAGCTCAGTCTGGCCCTTTCGATCTACGGTGTCGTTGTTATGATTGTCTGTTTGGTGACGAATTCTCTGTTCATCGCGTCTCATTAGACATCTTGTCCTAGATCCACATCACATCAGATGGTCGGAGACACCGGACATGTAAGATATATGGTCTAGCCTGACCTTTCATACATCTTCGCTCATTCTAATCTTTCCTTTCATTTATTATGCGTCTTGATTATATCAGGGTCAAGTAGCCCTGATGATGGCGTCTTTCTATACCATTGCACCGGCGTTGGGGATCTGTCGGCTTATTCATGACACCGTTTCTATGTTCAGCTGGTTTACAGACTCTTTTTTCTTTTCGAAGACTTCTCTTGTTTCTCTGCAAATATAATCTTCTGTACAGACCTGTTATTTAAAATTAATATGACCTGCTCACTGGGTGTTTCTTATCATTAAGGCCTAGCGAGTATGAACAGGAGACGATATCGCCATCTTTCTACATAAGCAGGTCTCCACATACCATTCAGACAACTACAGAGCATATCATTTCCAACTGTACAGTCGCATCCAAACGCCGTCAAGACGCATGCTGGATTAATGATGGACGATTCTGACTACACCATGAGTCATTGTGTTTTTGCCTTAAGGACAGACGTTAGGGATGAGTCCATCAGATCCAAATGCAGCCTTGAATACGATAAACACAAACTGGTGGACTAGGAAAAAGAGATACACCAAGTGAGCACGCAAGGAGAAGCCGCCTAGAAGTATCAGAACATTCGCTTTTAGGCACCCGAAGACCAGCTACTTCTTACCACCTAGCCCCAGTGAATCCGACACTGTGCCCAATCCGAACCCTTCGAGCAGCTTGTCAATCCCAAGGCCACCAAGAAGACTATTCAGGAGCCCTCCAAGCCCCAATTGATTCAGGAGGTTACCGACGAGGCCCAGCACGCCGCTAAGCAGAAGGCCGACAGCAGCAATGATTTGGAACAGCGGCTCGGAAAGGAGAGCCCATAGGGGATTGATTTGCTTTCTGGCATGAGGCATGTCCTCTAGCATCTTTCGTCCGTTGTCGATCGTCGTCACAACTGTCTCGGTCAGTTCCTTGAGGAGGTCGGCCAGTTCGTATTCTTCCGGAGTCGCTTCACGGGAGGAACTGTGGGATTTGGCTGTGGAGGCAATCTGTCCATCCGGATCTAAAGACCGCAGTGCGCCCTTGCATTCCTGCAAGTCGCCGCTTGCCTTTTCGATCAAAGGCTTGACGTCCTTCACCAGCTGCTCCTCATCCAGCTCTTCCTTTGGCGTACGGTTGGCCTTTTCGATATTCTGGGGATCCCCATGTACGTTAGTCTTCCGCCGTGTGCGCTGAGGGAGAACGCATTTACTGACCTGTGCAATCTGCCTGCAATCCGCACTGACACTGTCAAGGGTTTGCCGAAGGATGCTGCTCATCTTCTTGGCTATATCTCGCTCTTTTTCTTCCTGTTGTTGCTTTTCAATCTCTTCGGGGGACAACTGGGGCTCTTCGGCCTCCTGTGACTGTTCTTCAGGCCCGCCGCGCTGTGCGCGTCCGATCACGTTGCCTGACTTGTCCAGGATCTCACCGTCTTCATCAACAGCCCGTCCGAGGAGGCGAGTCTCATCGCCTTCCACCAACCGTCCAACGACCTGACCAGTGGAATCGGTAACCGCTCCATCCTTGCTGACAACAAGGCCGTCTAAGCCGAAGAAGGGCCCTTCCGGCTGCTCACGTTCTTCGCTCGGAATGAGCTCAGCCATACCGATCACTTCGCCAGTGTCGTTCCAGACCTGTCCCTTGGCATCCACCTTCTTGCCAGCCATCTTCTTGGGGATTCCGGCGACAATATGGCCGAAAACAGCCCCAGTATCGTCCACCACATTTCCCATCTTGTTCACCACTTTTCCATCAAGAATTGATAGATCTTGATCCTCTTCCTCTTCCTCTCCGTCTTCCTCTTCCGAGCCCGCTCCCCCGGAACTCCTGCTCTCTGATTCATCCATCTCCGAGGGCTGCAATGGCTCAGCTCGACCGATGACGTTACCTCTCTTATCCAGGATGTCTCCATCATCATCGACTGGACGACCAACAAGCTTCTTAGCATCACCTTCAACGATTCTACCCACTCGCTTGCTGTTTTCATCCTGGACATAACCGTCATCGGCAACAATAACCTCCCCGAAGTTAGCGAATGCACCTGCTTCTTCTTGCTCCTCTGGAATCGGTTTGGCTTTCCCAACAAGGCGGCCTCCACTGTCCCAGAACTGTCCTTCGCTGTCCAGCTGCAAACCGTCTCTGCTGAGCTTCTTGGCGTCCCCATCAACGAGCTGGCCAACGGGCAGCCCGTTTTGGTTCACGATGTTGCCAAGCTTGTCACAGGTCAGGCCCTCGAGTGTGGAAACGTCAGGTAATTGTGGAGCAGTGGCTTGTCCAGCTCCGGCTGTCGCTTCATCGCTTTGCTTCTGCAGCTTTTGCGCAGCATCATTAGCGGCTGTGCCGGCAGCCTTGGTTGTATCATCAACCGCGTCGCCTTTTTGCGCTGTCTTTGTAGGCTCTTGTCCGAGCTCGGGGGAAACAACATCGACTTTCCCGATAAGATCACCGTCTTCATCCAGGATCTCTCCACGGCTATCAACGATCTGGCCGACAAGGTCCTGGGGGTCGCCTTCGGTGACCTGGCCGATCTGTCGGCCCATTTTATCCAGGATTTTTCCCCCTTCGGCAACTTTGAGCCCCTCTAGGTTTGATATATCAAGAAAACTATCGTTTAGGTGGGCGTTGACAACGTCCCCAGAGGCCTTTTTTGTGGCCTTCTGTGCTTCATCGCCAATGGACTGGCCACCCGCATCAGCGGCTCCTTTCGCAAGTCCCGAGAGCTTCGAAGCACCTCTCTTTGCTTGGTCAAGGCCCGAGGATACAGGTCCTCCAGATCCCGATGCTTTATCTCCAGCTCGACCCTGAGCAGCACCAACCCTCTGCTCACCAAGTTGTGGGGTGCTCATTTTGCCCGAAGATAATGCCAACAGTGGAGCTTGTCCAGATAGCTGGGAGCTATGCGTCTGAGCTTTGTAATAACCTGTACGCCTGTTAATGAGCATGCCTCATGAATGAGGGAAAGGATGTTGTCTGGCCAACGGGCCTACCTTGAAAGGTACTATGTTTTGTTGCTATGTAACAAGTAGGGAAGTTTCTCCGCAGAACACAATGTTTTCAGGTGATTAGAACAATGGTAGGTGCAGATGAACAGTATAATTATTATGAGATACCTGGACGCCGAACGATCGCAACTATATTGAAGAGCACTACATGAGTGAAGAAATCTCGTCGATCAGTTGACACCTTTCGTCATTCTTGCTACGTCACCATGGACTGGGCGCATACTAAAGCAACGGGAGCTGGACCTTGGAGGTAAAGCTGAGCTGTTGCGGTCCAGGGGTTCTCAGCGACCGAGCCATGGGATGTCTGTCACAAGGGCGAGTTCGAGCCATAGCCAGTCGGCCAGTCGCGTTGCATACCAGATATATATAAACAGGATTCAAGCCATTACCACTCCTTTATATGAGCACAGACCCAGCCAGACGGACAGTAAGTATATTCGCCTCTTTCTAGAATCCAGCTTCACTCTGCATGACTCGGTGGCGGCATTGTTCTGGACTGATTGGCGGGAGGGAGCCCGATATGCTTTTTACCAAAAGATCGATCTGCTCTAAGCGAGACGACCTCTTGCATGAGCAGATGAGAGGTAGTGGACTGACTGAAGCTCCATTGCGGCTCACTTATGAGTTGGAATGTGTTACAAAATGTTATTGATTGTACATTAAAGAGTATCGGGATGCACCTTCGAATTTGGCATATAACGGGAATTTACATAGACAGCATAAGGAGCTTATTACAGTGAGGAGCGTTCTATTGTCGGCGTGTCCATGAAACCTGCCACCCTTTCACTCCTCACTTTCTAAACATAAGTCATCAAGAGCTTCCAAGTCAGATGCATACCACAATTATCAGGGGGAAGCACATACAGCAGAGATAACGTGATGTCTCCGTGGATCTTGGCTTTCAACTCGACTTCCACGTCGAGGTTCAAGTCCAAGCGCAGTTTAAGTCCGGAGTCTTCCTGTTTCTGAACTTGGAGGTCCTCATCCTCGTCGTTCCGACTGACCTCTTCTGTTGAGGGGTCCCTCGTGCGCGATAAATCCCCAGAGTACCTCGTTTGCTCGAGGTCGCCACCCTCATATCGTCGTAGGGCGGTGGATTGGGCTTCATTATCGCGATCCGTCGCTGTGTCGAACTTATTTAACCGACGGTTGACTTGCAGTCGCTGCGGCTGCTTTGCTGTTTCTTCCTGGTTTTGTCGAGGTTCAGGTTCAGGACTGCTCTCGTAGTCGTAGTCTGGAGAACTTGGACGATCCATGCCAACACTGTCCTCAAAACGAGTGCTGCGCTCTTTCGTAGGTGCAGAAGTTGTAGCCATGTCGGGATAAAACTGACATAAAGGCAAAGAAAGAATTATCACATAGTTAATCTTTCTGCAGTTTACATGGACCACTGATTACACCATCCGATACGGCACCGGTGGTAAGGTAGCTTCATATAGACACTACTCTGCGAAGCTTCCTCTCTGATCGCCACCTACGGCATTTGAATGAGCCTGCACAGTCCTACGGGTCAGGCAACGAAGGCCATCAGTGCCTGGACTGCCCTCGCCACATTCAGCCCTGCGTCATCTCAGTATATCTGGTGACCACACGTTCTCTGGGTTCCAGTATCCTCTACTCGGAAGATAAAGCCTACACAGCTAGTGAGGTTGCCACGCTGACATCACAGCAATACCAATATCTTGGGACCTGGTTGCTCGAGGGAAATCCAGGATCCCTTTTCCTCAGTAGTATACTCCCGTGTCTATACATACCTGCCATACGCGAGTTTACGCACTATCCATCAATCAGATACCAGATTTGCTCTCAAGATGGCCGATACCGTGGAGAAAGCTCCGGAGACCGATACAGGCAATAACGACGCTGAACGCACCAAGAGAAGACCGCCCAAGCTGAGAAGGCGCGCGGACCCCGCTACTGAACCCACCGCAGAAAGCAATGAAACAAACAAAGAGCCTACCTATTCCGAGGAATCCCGTGCTCCTGACGGCGATATTTCACCCACTGGCAGCGAATCCGGTGAGGCAGAGAGCTATCATAGTCAGCCCGAGCCTCCAGCATCTGAAGCAGAAGAGGAAGTTGGCCCTCCGAGGACCGAACAGCCTGCCGCGAGGCCGACGTCCGTAATGGATCGACCGAAGACTGCCCCTGTTGGAAACTGGCAAAGGCGGACACGCGGTAGGAGAGGGAACCAGAATCAGGACCTTGTCCCGTTAGGCGGCGTTGGCGAGGTTGGGAAGACCGTGAATGGGGCAGTCGATGCGGCCCAGGACGTGGGTTCGAAAGCAGTTCGTTCCGTTGGGAGTACGCTCGGCAAAGTTACGTCGGATGCGGTGGCATCCCAGGGAGGTGAGGAGAAGGGCAAGGAGGAGCAACTGAGGTTACGGTTGGATTTGAACCTGGATATTGAAGTTCAGCTCAAGGCCAAGATCCACGGTGACCTCACCCTACAGTTGCTGTAAGTGTCAGACTTAGGTGAATGTGAAATCCTGCGTGTTACTGACATGTGGAAATACTAGAAATTAGTACAGTTCCCGGTGGACCATTTACATTAGCTTCTCGCTGTGGGTGTTATATGTGCATGTTAATCTCTTCTTTGAAAAGTACACCCTCCTTTGTCTTGATGAAGACCTCTCGTTGTCGAAGATCTGTTCATTTAACAACGACCAAACTATCATATGACAATTTCGCAGAGTCGAACTGTCCACCCGAAGCTGGATTATTTTCCTGTATTATGTTGAATATGTCCAGTTCATGTGTTTGTGTAACGTGGTCAACCTGTTACTGCAATCAACCACCAGGATCAGCGATATCTTGCCGGTCGTTCATCAAGACTGCTTTGGCTGCTTCGCCGCCGACAATTGGAGTCTTTGCCAGGTTTTCATGTCCTCGGAGGCTTTTGGGATCCAAAAGACCCACCTGAACAAGTACGCTTGCCTGGTCCCAGTAGACGTGCTCAGAATAAAGCAACCCACCGCGTACGCATACGATGTTGATGATGATAATGCGTACTTCTCTATGAGTGGGTGGGATGTGTGGGAGAATCCACGGCATTTCCTGAGTGTGCTTGAAATAAAGGAAGATCTCATCCACCACTCTGTCCGCACCAATGGTACGGGATATTAGCCGCATCTTCATTGACGGGGGCTTTCCTTGAGGGAACGCATTTGCGTAGAACCTGCGGAGGGCTTCTCGGCCAGTGGCCCCTTGCAGTGTTGGGACAAATGTAATCGAAGGAGTCCCTTGTCTCACATAGCTTGCTAGGGGATCCTTCATGCTGGGCGCAAAGTATCTGTCTAATAGCATACGAGTCAGATGTTCTGGCGAGCGTTCTTTTCTAAAAGCGAAGGGGCCCGTTAAGGGGGAGATGATACTTTCTTGGATCTTATCCCACGTTTCTTCCAGGTCGTAATGTTTCCCAAACTCCTCTTGGAGAAGGCCCAGAGTCCTACTCCACGCCAAACTGGCAGAGACGTATTCGTAGCTATCCCGACTTCGCTCCGCGAAGCCTGGGAGAGCCGCAGAGTATACAAACGCGCTATATCGCAGCGGAAGCCGGTCTCCGACGCCTAAGCCAGAGCTCAGATGCTGTATTTCTCGGTGGTGATGCCTCTTGGCACTCTGGCAGTCATGGAAGACGTCGACGTCCTCGTTTGCCAGATGCAGAAGGACGCGCATCGACGATGGATAGCTTAATTCTTGTCCGGGAATACGAGTGGGATAGTAGGCCACAAGGGCGCGTATCTTGCGAGTATTTTGGGGCTTCACATAGTATTCCAAGCAGAAGGCCGCTGCAGCGCCAAAACCTGCAATAATACGTTGGCTGTGAAATTTTTAGAACCACACCACAGTCCATTACTTACCAACTACAGCATATGACTCGCCCGCACCCAGCCCCTGGACGATTTTGTTCAGCTCTTGTACAAACAGTGATGTATCCTTCGTGAAAGGGATGTAGGTGACATCGAAGCCTTCTTCCTCGCAATTACGCAAGAACCCACGGTCACACGCTCCTCTCTCCGAGGTAATGCACAGCCGTGCTGTGTTGGAGGAAAAAGACACAAAGCTAGCCATAAGTCTTCGAATGGTAGACGGTGTGGGGAGTTTTGATGCGTTGCCTGTTTTGGGTAAATCCAAGCGGTGGGTGGTTGACTTATATTACATATGGCTGTAGAATGTTAACAAACATGAGTTCACATAATACTACGGTACTGAGGGGAATCGGTTGCATGGATTTACTTCATTTCTATCATGACGCGTTTCTTATAGCTCGAGTGGAAATAGAATCCCGCTCGGGTGGTCTAGCCAAATACTACCAGGGAAGGAGAAAGCCTATACATGGCTGAGAAAAAGCCACCTGGATAGTCCCATGGAAGCCAGGCTACTAAGCCAACAATATAGTTGGGCTTGAGTATATTGCGAAAGATCGGTCGATTTATTCACCCGCATATATCCATTCGACTTGCATCATTGGTAACAAACTAAACACCATTCTCCTGACATACCATATCGAATAGATCTATTTGCACTTCTGGATACTTCATTCGCGTTGTGTTTCGGGTGACACAGGTGTCTTCTCGCTCTGTTCGTTTTCAGGTGATGGCTCAAGCTCCTCTTTATACTCGTTCAACTGCGAGAGCCAAAATCTCCTCAACATCCCATTGAGGAATATCTTGTCCGTCAGTCGTATGAAACCGTATAGGACCCAACCCCAACCCCAAACGGACACCCCTGTGATGCTCGCAACCAAAAGAATGGGACCAAGTAGCAGAGACGATAGAAGTGCCCATAACAGGATAGCTACGGCCAGAAAAAGGAACGTTCCGGCCAGGAACACAAGTATGGGGACTCCACAGCAGATGAACTGGCAGACAAGGAACGTTGCGGTGATGGGATGCGAAAGTGCAGCCTCATACGCCTGCATCTGACGATGAGGAGGAAAAGTTTGCAAGACAAGTTGTCGGACGCGTGACTCGAATACGTCACCCAATGTAGGCACGGTGCTTTTGGCCCATTTCCAGAGTCGTGATGGGATAGATGACAGCGGTGGGAAGGGGATCTCCTCGTTTTGCTCGTGAGCTGGGGCGCCCTCCCCTGGAAAATCCCCGGGGACGTGTGTATCGACTAGACCAGTGGCTGTTTTATCCAGCCGAGGGTCTAGCTGTTGAGTAGGAAGGTTCCCCTCACCAGGGACTGCTGGGGCATTATCATTGATGGTGCTGTTGACGCCCTCAGAAACTGTATGAAGCGACATCTTATGAGTCTCGGTAAAGCGTAGACTCTCGGGGAATAAGATAAAAATGGTTTAGAACGTGCGGGAGGATATCATGGGCGTTCGACCCCTCGTTCCTTTTAGTATTGTGTCAGGAGAGCATTGCGTTCTGATGACGCGTGGGCTCCCCTGATAACAGCCGTCACGCCTCTTGCCACCCCCGGCTCTGCTTTAATCTGGACACTGCCACATGATTTAACGTGGTTTACTATAGGTTGTGAACCATGTTCAACAATACAAATATCCAAATGATAAGAGCAATTTCATTCGCCTTCAAATGTGACCGGGGTAGTAACTTGTAGCGGGAAGAATCAATATGGCCTTTTCAACGTCATGCATTCGTGATCCACAGAGGTTTTACCCAGGAAATCATATCCTTATAAGTTGAGCGTTACCAAGATGACAAGATCGGCCAGCTAAGCTAAGATCGTTTGAATAGAATGGGCTATCACAAATGTCAAATGTGTTGAAATATCACGTAATTTGAAAATGGTCGATGTTGGGTACCTGTACAGCTCCTAGAGCGCTTTCGGAAAATATAGTGCCCGTTGCAACCTGCGCTGAAAGCAGCTACAACTTATTGTAGCAGTTTCCCACAAAGAGGCTAACAAAGAGGTTACGGCTTGCTCGCCTTGATATACTCTGCAATATTTGGCCGGGCTTCGATAGCATTCTCCAATGCGACAAGGGAGTCTGGAAGCGTGGGCTATCATGACACCGTCAGTACCAGTCGTCACCGTTTACAGACTGCAGGATACTCACAGGCAAAGTCCCAGTTCTCCGGTCATTGTCGATAGACTGATAGATGGCAAAATCAGTATAAGTAATTCGATCGCCCAGCAAATACGGTCCCTCGCGATCAGAATAATATTTCCCGACAAGACGGTAGTACTTCGGGACAAAGTCGTTCTTGTACTCGGGTGTCGCTCCATCGAGGTTGGCGACCCATTTGGACTGCATGGATTAGCACAACCAAGTATGAGTAAAGGGGCCCACGAACCCTCCAGTCAATATAGATATCCGCCACAGCATCGACGATATACTTGTCGTAACTAGTCTCCGCGTCGTACGCATCTAGTTCGCGGGCGAGATAGCGAAGAATAGGGATATGCTAGCGCGCGAGTCAGTGCACTATTCGTCTCCTTACGGAGTAGTATATAGAATATCAGGAAAGCATTGATTGATTACTCACTTGGGTGATAATGGATCCCTTGTATTCTAGAGCAGGTAGTTTACCTGTTCTGGTGATACCTTGCTGCTGTAATTTCTCGCTGGTCTGCTTCCAGGTGTCATCGTAGGGATACCGGACTTCTTTCACATTGATGCCTGCGTCTTTCAATAGTAGGCTTTAGAGTCAGTAATCGTGCAAGAGTTTACTGGGAGATATCAACCTACTTGACGACCTCCCCGCGGCCGAGTCTGCCGAGATCGAAGTAGTGGTACACTACTTGTTGGGTAGACATTGTTCGTAGCTTCTGTTGCACTAGGCTCTGGGAATTGACTGACTCGGGAATTAAATGTTGAAAATAGTGTCGTATCTCAGCGAGCCACTCTAATATACTTTTCAGTCTACTAGGAGACGTGACGTATGCTTATAAATCAGCCTATGTCCGCCAATGTAGCTGGAAATGGAATTACTCCGCGGATCAAGAACCAGAAGCCCTCATTTCATGCTCATACGACCCAGATCCCAATCTCTTATCCCACCTGCAGTAAGATCCACGTATTTAGGATGCAATGATGTTCATGATACAATCGAATGTATTGCCTCTAGTCAGCCTCAAGCTCTGCCATCCCCGTGACCTAGCTCTGGATCCGGATCTCCATGACGTCGTCCCGCATCCTTAAGATTGCTAAACACGAGAGACAATGTAGCAAAGCTGCTGAGAATACAAAAGAATCGTGCGCATTTGTCAGCTCGTGTTGGCCGGGGTTTGACGGGATTTCTACCGACGAATATATAGTTCGCCAAGCAAATCACGAAGTAAAAAGGCCGATAGCAACCCATATAGTCAACGCTACATTGAACAATATCAAGAGCTAAGAAATACAAAAATGCCGATATCCACGCTCCAAGGCTGGCATCCTGGCGAAGTCTCCATCCAACGCCAACTAGGCTACGCTGCTGCCGTGTCCTCCCGCTGGACTGCCGTCGAGAACCAACTCCGCGAACAACATCAGATCTTCCACACTTCGAATCTATCGTTCATTCCACTCACAACGACGGATGACGATGGACGGCCCTGGGCTGGGATCGCAGCCGGCTCAACGGGGCAAGTCGGGTTTGTGGAGAGTCCAGGTCTGAAGACATTGGTTTTCAGGGCAAGATTGTGGGATGGGGACCCGCTGTTAGAGACATTGAGGAAGCGGAAATCCTCTCGGAGTAGTCACGGAGAGACCGCAACAGAGGAGAGGTATCTGACTGCTGGGCTGGGGATTGAGTTCTCGACGAGGAGGAGGAATAAGTTCGCGGGCAGACTCGAGCGGGTCAAGGCCATTACAGAACAGGACTATGTGTTCGAAGTTGGGATTACCGAGGCATTGGGGTGAGTGTGAATCCACACAACAAACGGTCCTCATAACGAGTTCGGTACTAACAGGGGCTACAGGAATTGCCCGAAGTATATTAACGTCCGCCAACTGGAGCCATACCCTTGCACGAAACCACAGATCGCATCCCAGTCGTTGCATATGGCGCCAACAGAAAAGCTACCGGACGAAGTCGTCGACATGATAACGTCCGCCGACACGGCCTTCATAGCATCTATATACATATCAGACCCTGCTACCGCGGCAAAATACCCCCCTCACGCGGGGATGAACGCGCGCAGCGGCTTACCGGGATTTATCCGAGTGAAGCCGTCCGATAGACGAACCATTGTCATCCCTGACTACTCCGGAAACAGATTCATGTCGAGTCTGGGCAATATCGAGTCAAGCGGGTTAGCGGGGCTCACGATCGTCTCGTTCACAACCGGCGACATCGTCTACTTAACCGGTAAAGCGAAGAACCATATCGGGCCATCTGCTTTAGAAATCATGTCTAGACATGCTAGTATTACGGTGTTGGAAACTACGGGCTTCACATTCGTTCGCAACGCGCTTCCTGTGAGACAAACGCCTGGCTCCGAGGTACAGCGGAGCCCTTACAGTCCCAAGATCAAGTATTTGGTCGAAGAAGCAGAGGCCGACACGGGTGGTTCAGATGCGCACAAGGCCGTTCTCGTGACCGGAATCCAGCTTTCTGATGACCTGGCCGTCTTCAGGTTCAATGTCTTGTCCAAAGACGGCGCTCCGCCATTGAAGGTCCGACCAGGTCAAGCACTAGCGCTAGATTTCATGAAGTGGGTAGGTCCGCCAGAGTATCAGCATATGGCGGATTCGGCTCCGGGCTCAATAAATGACGACCGCGTACGAACATGGACGGTATCTAGTGCCCACGAGGGTATAGACATCACATGGTTTGAATTAACAATGCGGAAGATGAAGGGTGGTATAGTGACGGGGGCTCTGTTTAATGCCCTGGAGAAGTCTCGGTCGAATCGACGAGGATGTCCTGTTCAGATTGAAGAGAAGGTCGAAGTCGAGATTGTTGGTGTGACAGGGGACTTCACTTTACCCAGAATGGAGGTTAACACGCTATTTATTGCTGGAGGAATCGGGATTACACCCTTCCTCGCTATGTTGGGTGCACTGAGTGCGCGCAGGGACGCAGCTCGAGGCAACGTCGTACTTGCACTATCAACAAGGGAGCCGGGTATCATGCTCAACCTGGTCAAAAGGGCTCTGGGAAACGTCCCCTCAACCGTCAACTTCCAGCTGGATTTATTCACCAGCCGGTCCACCGAGTTGGATCCCGTCAGATTCAACCAGGAAAACGTACACATCTCGCTATACGAAGGTCGAATTGGGCCGGAGTACTGGAAAACAACCACCAAAGATCAAGACGTGTTTATATGTGGACCAACCTCATTTGGAGATGCGGCCATGGATGGGTTGCGGACTGCTGGCGTCCGACATGAGAAGATTCAGAGGGAGGGGTTCTATTAGTTTACACAAGTTGACGTCCAGGTACTAATCCGTCTGTTTTGACTATAAGCATGCTCGAAGCCAGTTTCCGCTTCTCAGAGACGAGCTTTTTCCGAAGCCGGGAGTCAAGGTTTCATTCCATATTTCGGCTTCTATTTGGCAGCATGGTAACTGAGGGGAACAGAGATAAGCTAGATTTCATGGAGCTGGAGCTAATGATCTGGCCTCATGGAGAAGATATTAATTGGATGCGCTTGCGAATCACAGATATAATCAGAATGAAAGCCAGGCTCTGTCTTGGTCAGAACCACACTGGGCTTCTTGATTATCGCAGACTTGGTATAGGGAAGTTCTAGCAACTGTGTTTAATTTGACGAATAATCAAGAGAATAGACAGAGTACATGCAAGGAAAAGAACTGCAAGACAGATAGCATATCAGGAACGTTTGCAAGGACATGAAACGCACTAAAATCATTCCTTTGCGGACGAATCCCCGGACGAACCGTTCTGACAGCAGACTTAGTTGTTGTTCTGGTTGTTGAGGATGCGCAGGATGGCCAAGAACAAGTTCAGAATGTCAAGGTAGAGCGAGATGGACGCCGCGATCTCCTCCTCGACATGGTAGTGGCGCATGATCAACTGCGTGTCGACGAGAATATACCCAGAGAAGATTAGCGCTGCGACTGCGCCGTAGATGAGCTCGACGGTGCTGCTGCGGGGCATGAAGGCGGCGACGAAGCCGAACAGGATGAGGAACCACAGGGCGCCGAAGAGATACGGCATCCAGTTGGTGAAGTCGTACTTGGTCTGGCAGGCGAAGAGCGTCAGGGCGACAAACATGCCGAGGGTGAGGACGAGGGCCTGGACGACGACGCGGGCGTCGTAGAACGACACGACCACGCTGATGGAGTAGGCCTCCAGGATCGTGAAGGCCGACAGGAAGAGGAGGTTGGCCGGGTAGCTCTTGCGCTTCCAGTAGGTGACGAGCATGAAGCCGAGTGCGCCAAACACGGACACCATCATCAGCCAAAAATTGCCCTGGATCCAGTGGCGGTAGCCCTCGCTGAAGAAGGAGAGGGAGCTCATGACTGTCGTTAGGAGCAGCTGGACCGTGAGGATGGCGTAGACTTTGCGGATGAACTGCATGCGGATCGGCAGTGTGCCTTCGGCGACGGTGCCGCCAAACTTGAAGTCATCGGGGACGTTGTCATCCTCGCTGCGCGGCTGCTGCGACGATTCGGTGGCTTGATAAGACGGCGGGGCCTGGGGGTACGCGGGCTCCTCGAGGGAGTCCCGTTGCGGCGCGGGCTGATATCTGGTATTGGCAGCCATCTGCTCTGATGGTGTGAGAGAGGTCGTAGAGATGCGGGGTGAAGAAATGAAGACTCACTGTCAGGGGAGATGATGAGACGGGATGATCGATGATCGGCGGCGGCTTTAAAAGCTCCGGGGAACGTGACGTCGGCGGGGTCACGTGTGGGGCGCCTCCTCTTTAGGCACTCATCGATGGAACTATATAGAAGCTTGAGCTCAGCCTTGGTCGATTCTACTCCGTAAAGCGCAAACTTTTCGGACCCTCTATTCCACAACTTACATCCTCAATCCATTGTTTGATATCCCGGGCAAGGAATTCGTTGTCGCAGTTTCGCAGCGCAAAGTCAAAGTCTCTTTGTAGCTGGCTTTTGTTGAACACTTCCACCCATCCGGGCTCTATTCGTTTCATCACGTCAATGAACGTGGCACGTAAGATAGTAGCCTCGTACTCCCACACGTGCTCCCAATAAAGCCCGGAGATTTCTCCATTGGCGTCATGATGATAATTGCCAACATCCGGCTTTGAATGGCGTGGCTTTTCCTCTAGGAAGTAAGGGTAGCAACAGGCCTTCCACAGAGGCAAGGCAGAAACACACTCCCAATCTAGGATACCGGTCAAATTTCCGTCTTTACTAACAAGAATGTTATGTCGTGAGAGGTCATCGTGGAATATGACCGACGGTTCTGGCTCGTTGTGACTTGTCGGAAAGACAACAGGAACAAGAGGTTTAAGTTTGGCGATAATCTGCAATGTCTTGTCGCATCGTCAACTTCGCTTCATTATCGCTATCAAGTTCATCTACAGCCGAATATTTGGCCAAGATTGAACGGTTTTCGTTCTCGCTGAGTAGTAGACGAGCCGTGATCCACTCTTTACTTGAACGAAACGGACCGCGATAGATATCTTGGTGGATACGTGACCCCCAGAAGAAACTCCATAGAAACAATCCGGCCCACAGTAGACGAACTCAGTGCTGAATTCCCCGTGTCGGGCGGAGGATGTAGGAAAACAGCTTTCTCCTTGGTTGGTGCAGTATCCCGATCAGACATGGAAGCCCTGGGCAGAACTGACTCCACGGCATCCACCTGCCCTTGAGTTACCGAATCTTCCTCCGTCAACGCAGTGTATTCAGAGGAACACGACATTCTATAAAGGTTCCCAATTCCTCGAACTTGATTTCGAAACACACACGCTGAGTGCACCGCAAGCTCCTTAACCAGACGTGATTTGGTGGAGAGTGGGAGAGACATCCATGTTTTTTTCGGACAAAGGACTCCCAGGCAATTTGGCCATCAGGATCCATTCGAATCCGACCGGGCTGTCTCGGGAAGACTGGTGGGCAACAATAAGGGGAACTGGGATGTTTGTCGTGCGATGCACCCAGTCCAATGTGGCCACTTCACTTGCAGTTTTGTAATATGGGTCGACGGGCAACGAGATTCGCATGACGAGCATTTCATTGTCTATTCGGACGTCATATATCTTGTTGAAAGCGCCCTGTGTGAGGAAAGCTACCTCGATTGTAGCGGATGGTCGAATGGATTGTACTGTCTGTTTGATAGCTTCGATACTAGGTTCAAAGTTCCACCGGGATTCAAGGCTGAAAGATTTTTGGACCCAGGTGAGGCCATACTGGGGATCTTGCGATGAAATATTCGCTGTGGTCGACGAGTTGAGTTGTGATGGGAATGGGGTTGAAATATGTAGATCCCATCGAGAGACTAGTCTGTTTATGGTTAGGCCTAGCCTACTTACTATCCTCTTTCGAGACACCAGTATACTGTATAGTTTTTTGTCTTGAGACGTGTTGATTTATTCATTCCCAGTCCATCTTGTATAGGTGGTAGAGTAGAGAAAATGATCTGATATAGAGCTATAGGCTCCCCATACATGACCATCCCTTACACAATCCACCATCTTCCAGCACGCAGTTTCCTTCCAAAGCACCCGGAGCAGCCCTCTCACCACAATATACACCGCCAGTACTAAATGCAGCCATCTAGTACCTAATCACAACCAACGCCAGGGTCCGCTCTAGATCAAACAAATCAGCCTCTGTCCTCTCTGGATTTCCGCAAAACACTCACCTGGGGCGCCAGCCATCAGAGTCGTCATCCGCACCGCCACCATCACAAGTGTCGACGATGTCCTTGAGCAACTTCTTGCACGTGTCTACATCAAGGACCGCGTCGCCCGACTTCCCATTCTTCATCCGCAGCATGACATTCGGGATGATGTAGTCGACCTCAAGACACTGCTTGACCTGTTGGCCGCCCGAGAATGTGGACGGGGCGATATCATTGCACCAGTCGTCGATCCCATGCGCGGCGGCACTCCTGCCCTCATAATCGCCCCACGGAGCAGAACCTGTGCCGTAGCATTTGACCTCGCCGAAGACAGCGTGAGGCAGGGCCAGCACGGCGGCGAGGACGGGAATGGCTTGGAAACGCATGTTGGGAGTTTGGTTGAAGATGTTCCTTTCGGTATAGAAATGCAGATAAAGACTTTGCCTGTTTTCTAACAGATGAAGAAGTGAGTATGGATGGCAGAGAGTGAGTCTGTAGAGAGGGTTTTATACCGTTCTGTGAGAGCATCAGGCCGCCCTTCCGAGCCACAGCCTCGCTGCGAAGCTAAAAGATCTCGCCTCTATACACACCATTCTATGTCCAACATGAATATGAGCCTTGATCGTCTGCCAAAGAATAGCCTATATCGGCAGGTGATGATCCTGCCAAGGGAGATCGACCGGGGGCCTGATCTCGGCGCAACGACGCGCTTACGTCGGAACAAGGCTGGAATGATTACCTGCATCGATCAACATTGCAGATGCATTAAAATGACTACTTTCGGTAAAAACAATGTTGAGGCTTTGGCGGACAGCGGAGAACCCAAAATATCGCATGCATGCTCGTGGCGGAGCTGGGAAATACAGCAGTCAGGCAACAGCAGCATAGCGTACTGACTAGAGTTCCCACACTGGACTCGTACAGTGCCCCTCGTCTTCTGCAATCAAATCAAATTAGATTGGAATCTCCAAAGCCAGGCGTAAAGGATATTGGTCTTAAAGTTGGTGTGTCAAAAAAGCGAAGATTTTATGCTGGCTAGGTACTCAGCCATGCGGTATTAGGCACCTGAGGTCCATCCACGTCCGAATAAGATGGACTATCTGTACTATAGTAGAATTTGGCTATGTCTCTATATACCTGCGATTGACATCGACATCTAGTCCATACCAACTAGTTTTGTGCTTTGGCGTACTTTTAATAATATTCATGAAAAACCGAACTATTTCTCTCTCGCACCAAGCTTAGAGGGAACTTTCTGAAAGTAAGGGTGCCTAACATGAAGTTGCGGTCAGACACCAGAGTGCTGAAATAGCACATTCAGCAGACGCCCAACGTACGGTCTAGACTATATACTCCGATATATATCTACGCAGCTTTCGAGTGGCGTAAGATGGAATTTAAAAGGAAAAGACATCTTTCTCGTTCCTCTCCCCATCTGCAGCTCACAGGGCCTTCCACAATTTCACATTGCACGTCTTATCATGGAAGTGATTCAGTGTTCTGAATATTTTGGGAAAAGAAATGAGCCCGTTGCATTTCAATACTCGCGAATCATATTCCAACGCGATGGTCTCCTCTATGAAGGTCGTTCAGCCAGTCGGTATCGTTCAAAGTCAGAGATCAAAGAACAGGAACTATATGAAACCACCTCCATTCCAGTTGAAAATCTCCATCCGGATTTTGAAAGCAGCTTCACCAAAGCGTGCAATTATCTAGATCCCATCGAGTGGTACGTCAAGCGCCAGAGCTTATCACATTACGACCCCCAAAACCCGGATCGACTCAAAGATCAGACGATTGAGGAAGTGAAAACCTGTGAATATCTCAAAGAAAGTCCTCACCCTAACATTGCGGTGTATCACGGGTGCGAAGTGAAGGAAGGCAAAATAACAGGGCTTTGCTTTCAAAAATATGGTGAAACCCTGATGGAAAGAGTGAACCCGATGAAACTCAGCAAACAGCTCTTCCCGATGAAAGTAGGTGGTGGTGTCCTCTCGCCGCACACGGAGCGATGGTTCGACAGCATTGAGAGCGGCATCCGGCACCTTCATACGCTCGGAATCGTCCATAATGACATCAATCCCTCCAACATTATGTTCGATGGCGATACCCCGGTTATAATTGATTTCGGCTCCTGCAGGCCGATAGGCCATCATATCGGTATGGTTGGGAGGACATACGAATGGCACGACAGCAACATCATGGAAGCCAAGCCAAGCAATGATTTGGATGCTCTGGAGGAAATGAGGTGCTGGCTACGCGGACGTGTTGAAGGGTTCAGGTTTTAGTGGACCTGGACTATTAGGACGCAATTGACCCAGATTGTCTGCTCGATTTCCTTCGTTTCTTCTCCATCTTACTCTACGATAGTGCGGGTATGAAAAGAGAGAAAACAGCCAGGATCTCAGATAACGGTTCGTAATTAGATTCAGTGAGCAAGATGAGAAACGCCCCATTTACCCACAAGTATGGCAGTCTGCACAAAGCTATACTAACTTACAATAAACAACACAGCTCCAAAAGAAAAAAGACTTCTTTCCATGGCCAATCTGCTCGGAAGAGCTAATCAGAACTTCTCCTGGTTACGCGACACAAACTCCTTCCACTGAACAGGTTTATCATCCGCATCGAGCAACTCATGAGACGGAGCCAGAGACTCTCCCGCGTAGTATCCCGGCTCCTCGAGCAGCAAGATATTCTCAAGCATCTCTTGCGCAACAGGCGGCGGCAAGAACGATTTGAACACCTCCGGGGGCACGTTGACGGCCTGAGCCTTGTATCCAGTAACCTCGGCAAACTCCTCGACAATCCTCCGAGGCGAGTAGTAGTCAGTGGCAGCGAGGATGCGCTGGTTGACAGTCGATGGGTAGTGCTTAATCGCAGCCTTTACGAATTTACCTGTCTGCGCGTCAGTACCTCCCACATTCCTGATCAGCTAGGCAAAAACACATACCAGTATCCTCAGCCACATCGTACAGCGGCGCCTGCGCTTTATCCAGATCCACAGGCCAGGCCAGCGTATACACGCCATCCTGCTTGCTCAGCATCTGGAAGAAATTGCTCATATAGAAGCCCGGCAGCACGAAAGACGCAGGGACGCCACTCGCCCGGATATACTCTTCAATCTCGGCCTTGCCGTCGAAGTGGCTGACGTTCGGCAGCCGGCCATTCGTAATCTCGGTCACATTCCGCAGCGAGGAGAAGACGATGTGTTTCACGCCCGCTTCCTTGCAGGCGTCGGTCACGGCCTTTCCTTGCGCCACTTCGGTCTCCCGGCTCATGCTCTCCCAGAAGTTGGTGACCAGGAACACCGTGTGCGCGCCGGTGACGGCGGGGCGAGCAGCCTCCGCAGAGGACATGTCGGCCTGTAGGGTAGTGTTAGTGGATCTCACTCGTGTACATGACGGAGTGGGCCTGCCTACCGAGACGAGTTCTACGCCCTGCTGCGCTAGTTTCTGGGCAGCGGGCTTGCTGGTGTCGCGCGTGACGCCGCGAATCTTCCATTCCTTTGACAAGACCGGGTCGGCGAGGATGGATTTGATGACGGAGCCGCCCTGGTTGCCTGTGGCTCCGAAGACAGTGAGTATCTTGGACATGATGGATAGTTGCTGGAGATTGGGATGGAGAAAGGATGTAGATTTTTAAGAATGTGACTCTGAAGCTGTTGCTGCTGCTGTGGAAGACGATGATGTTCTTTGAGTTGACCGGGACATGCTTGAGAACATATTTATACCTCTGTTCGTCCACAGCATGTTGAGGTCGGATATACGGAGTACTTACTACATTGTACGTCAGCGGATGGATTATTCAGGCTCGGCCGGGGTGACTAACGTCGGGGTTGCGAAGGGCCGAGCTCTGTAATCAGGATTACCTCGTAACCATGGAGAACATACTCGAAATACTATGCAGAGAAGTAGGTTTGTTTGGGTTTCGCAAAACGATATTATGTATATAGATAGATAGATACATACATAGTTATTTCGTTGGCCTGGCCAAAAAGTATAGAAACAAAAAATAAAGATAAAATAAATAAAGGAGGCAAAATGCATTGACGGGGAATCGAACCCCGCTCTGCCGCTTTCAATTCTTCCGAAATGGAAGGCGGCAATCATAACCACTAGACCATCAATGCCGTTGTTGCGAAATGACTCTGCTTAATAGGATAATGTACCAGCGGCCTAGTCTCGAATGAAGTGGCTACTTAAACGTCAGTAGACAAGTGGGCTGTGTCAATACCTCCCCTCCCATCAAGGCCAATTCAAAATCTAATCTTGGGGTGGAACGAGGAGATCGAAAGTCTTTACCGTCTTCCTGGAATGAAAAACAAACAATATCTTCAATATCAACAACACGATGGTCGTATGTATTCTCTATTAATCAATATGTACATAGCAAAACAAGCAGCAATATATAGCCAAAATATGCCATCCAAAGCGGTATTAATCAGAATTGCTATGCGAATCTCTATACGGGAGCTCTTCATCAATGGCATTATTCGTATCACTGCTGTACCCCCTCGGTACACCAGTGTCATCGTCATCGTCGCTTGAATCATCGGGTGTATCCGTCGGCATCTGCGCGACAGCGCCATTGATCTGACCAGGTTGTTTCCTGCGCTGGAAGTCCTGTGCATGCGCAGCGGCCATGATGTTTCCGACCCGGGACAGACCGCGGGCGCGAAGAGACGCACCAGGTGTGGGAGGCGTGCCGTGTTCGATATCAACCGCGGTGGCCTGAGGTGTGGGGGCCTGTTGGTCTTGCAGCTGTACATCGGCAACGGGGTACTCGGGTTCCATGTGCGGTTCGGAAATGGCATACGGTAGAGGGACATCTCTCGAGGCGCGAAAGAGAAGGACATTTGTACAATGTTCGTTCTCAACCCGGAAAATGGTCCAGATGCCTCGGCGGCAGATCTCCGAGAGCGAAACCACGAAGCTCAACACGGCCGAGTGTTGAATGTCATGGGCGAAGATGGCGTAGAAGATCCAGTTGAAACGCACGACGACATCGATCACCATGGCTGCGTAGTAGACCCAGGCTTTGCGAAAGGCCAGTGCATCGCGGAGAAGGGGATGCTTGGCATAAGGGTTCCCCAGACTCCAGTCCATGGCCAGATCCCACACGGAAGTATAAACCGCGTTCAGTAGGGCGAAGGTGATGAAAGGCGCCTCGAACCGGGTCACGCGGTCGATGCGGTACATACTCAGGGTTGCATAGTACAGCACACCGAACATGTACTTGCCAAAATTCAAGAGATGAGGAAAAACATTCTTCGTGTCTGCGTATCGTCGGATGCACTGCAGCGCTCTCCAAATAGATGGGAGGGTAGTGAAGAACCCTAGAAGCCGGGAATGGGACGAATTGCACTTGGGGCTCTCTGTCCAGTGCTTGGCATAAAGGCAGAAGAACAGCGCGATGTTGCCCATGGCGTATGTCTGGGAACAGTACATATCCCCGAGGAAGAAATCCCGAAATTCAACGGGATACAGTCCCGCCAGCAGGAGACGCCACTGTTTGGGTCAGTAAATCGTTTCAGAAACGGGACAAGATCACCTACATTGGAATAGGCCCACCACTTCCGGCTGCGATGATACAAGACACGGGCCGGGAGAAACAGAATTATCACCGTCAATCCTATCAGGACCACGGGCCAATAAACATACATGGCATTGACCGACAGGAAATTGAGCCACATGAAGAGACCTAATATGAACAAGAAGAAACAAGGGAACTACCCTAGTCAGAGACGACCCTGTGAGTAACAATCAGACTATCACTCACCTCGGTCAACTGCCGGCAGTCCAGGGCATGTCTAGTGTCATATTCAAAAACAAAGATATAGTTTATTTTGGTCTTTGTCCAAACGATGCAGTCCAAGCAAAATAAAAGGAAATGGAACACGATCAAGAAATATCCGCCGTATATCTAGGTCTGTCAGTTACTGTGAGCGAGGAGAGAGAAAGACAAAAACAAACCTGAAGTAGATAGCTGGTATGGACACGTACGGCCGGATCAGGATGATGGAAATGCTGTGCCGCGTAAATCAACGCTTGAATGCCAAAAAGAACGCCAGCCATCAGCAGCAGGCCAGCGCGGAAGGTGTTCTGAGAATAGTCCCCAGACTTGTTGATGGTGTTGCGGAGCTTCGAAACGGCGATCTTGCGGTTTCCCCGTTCGAAATACCGAGCATACAAGTCTTCCGCCGCCGACATCAGGTTCTCGACCACTTCGCTCTGCACGAACCACGCCTTGTTGACCTTCTCGGACATGTACCTCATAGGAGGACGGGCATTGACCACCTTGTCATACTTCTTATTGATCTTTCGAAACGCCGTCCGGTTGAGATAGGCGTACGCCTTGAGCAGTTCCAGCCCGCGGTAAAACTCCTGGAGTGCATGCTTGAGTTTCTTCTTGGCGGAGCGGTACGGCACGTCCGAGTTGGTAGGTTCGTCTGGTCGGCGGCTGAAGTCCCGGCGATTCACGATGTTGGCGTCGTTTCCCTGAGGCGGGCCGGGTGTCCCCAATTGTGCCATCGCCTCGGAGTTCTTTCCGAATCGACGCCCGAGGAACGTCTCCTTCAAACGAGCACCAGTGATCCCACCGAGACCGTCAGTGTGTTGGGACTTTCGGTCCTGCGGACGAAGCTTCTTGCGGCCTATGACCTCCTGGATCCGTTGGTCCCGCATGATGTGTAACTGTTGCCGCAAAACTTTCAACCGCTCGGCGGCTTCCTCCTCTTTCATCTGGTAGAAGGTCTCGATCTTATTGAGTTCGCTGTCGAGAAAAGAAAAGAACTCATCCTGCCGTCGCTCGAATTCCGACAGAGGTTGGGCCGTTGGGTCCCGCTTCTCGGGAGAATCCGCATCCGTGTGCGAGAAGACGCGCTTCAACAGCTGCGAGGTGCGCTTCGTCGACGAACCGGAGATGGTATTCCGTTTGGTTCTCCGGTCTGTATCCGACTGTCTTGATGAGAGACTCCGGTACGGGGTCCCTGGGGGCACCGTTCGTGTGCTGTCCTGCCGGGAAACAACAGGGGAGGGGGTTTGCGGCGCATGGCTCCGCTCAGAGTTGGGGCGGGGGGAGTAGCTTGGGTCTTTCGGGTCAATGGCAGGATCGGGCAGTTGGAGGGATGCCACGTCTGATGAGGCGGGATGACCAGGCGGCGTCGCAACAATGCTCCCGTATGTTCCTACGTTGCTGGCCGAGAACCGAGAACCAGGGACCCGTAATGGTTGGCGTTCGTTGCGCGGGCCCGGAGACGGTGAGGTGAGAGCACGGCTTCTCGGCGGTGTTGATGCATTGTAGGCGGGGTCGGTGGCTTCGAGAGGTTTGCCGGGGGGATGCGAAGGCGGAGATTGAGGACCGTGAAGGGAACTAAACGTCTCGTCTCGTCGAAGCGAGGTATGGCTCGGACTGCGGGTGGATTTCTGAAGTGCGCGTGAAATGGCTTTGAGCTTTTTCTTCCCTTGCTGAGTCGACGGTTAGACGGTTGAGAGAGACAAATGCGACTGGGCTGATAAGGGAGAAAAGTACCTTGTAGTCCAGATACTTTGCACGCCATTCTGGAACCAGGTCGTGTTCCAATTCTCTATGAGGTCGGATGGTTAGAGGCACGTGTGATCGACGGAGATAAGAGAGCCAACTTACTTGGCGAATTTCATCCTGCGGCGGAGGGAACACGAGCCGGCATGACCAGAAGGACGAGATCACAGTGGCGGCCACGCGGAATTCGGCGAGGAGCACATCAGGAGGACAGAGAGAGAATGAATGGGATATAAGAATGCCGGTGGTGGAAGAATACTCCGCGGAGGGTATCGATATGCAGAGGCTGATAAGCACGCGATGCACGGGACTGGGGTGTGATTAGGGGCTGCAGGAAGTCAGCCACGACATGGCTAGTATGGACCGGGGTGTGAAGAAGATGAGAGGCGGATGAAGGAGAAGAAGAACAGGCGGAAGAAAACACTGTAAAACGAGGTCAAAACGAATGAGTCGCAGCGAACTAATAAAAACGCTGGGGGATGCACGTGCGGCCCGAGGAGAGCTCACTGGTTGGGCGACAACCCGCAGGAATTTGCGTCTGCACGACGCCATCGCCAAGAAGTACCACTCCGCCCCGGTTACTATGCACGAGGTACCTCCATGCGATGTATCAAGTTACATATCCTCCATCGACCGATCGATCTCCTGCTCGCGTGAGGCCTTACCAGTTGCTCCCGCCCAAACCCCCGTAGGACAGACGCATACCAGAACACGTATGCCCGACGCAGTCGCCCTGCAGATGATAGTCCGGAGATTTCCTTACAGGGCAGAGGTCACGGAATTCTACATAACTGGGCACCCCCTACATGCGATGGATAGCCTTGCCAAGGAACTGCATGGCGACATCACCACCCCGGTAGGTGACGAACGGGGATTGTTTGTTTTGATCGGGGCTGCAGGACCTCGTGTGGCCTCGTGTGGAATCGGGGGCTCGCATATATCGTGCCTAATGCGGAATACAGTTCCAGGATCAATGATTTCATTGCATATCGTGTCAAGTATAGTCATGTCCAATGGTAGGTACAGAAGATTCCAACCCATCATCCAATACTCGGTTTCTGATCAGAGGATCACAGCACTCTACCAGCGGTTGAAGCTCTCGTGGCGCTCATAGCGGTTGGGGTCGTACTGGTCGGCACCCTGGCCCTCAACGTAGTGCTCGTCGTACATGCGCTCGGCGTTCTTCTTGGCGTGCTCGTGGGCCTTGAACTTGTCGACCTCGTCCAAGCCCTTGGTCTCGGCCAGCTTGTCGACCTCAGCGCCGACAACGGCGGCGAGGGCCTCCTTAGCGAAGGCGTGGCTGACAGGCTTGCCTGATTGCATCAGTCAGCAAGAGTTCGTGTCAGGACCGGAAGCGGATCAAAATGCATACCTTCCTTGCGCTGGTGGTCCTCCCAGGCCTTCATGCCGGCAAAGGACGCAGCACCGGCAACCAGCTCGTGGGAGAGCTTGCTCTCGTGCTTCTCCTGACCGTAAACCTCACGGTGAGCTTCTTCGGATTCGCCTGCATGAGAGGTTAGCCTTGTTCTTGGCATATGCACCGACCCTGCTGGCATCTGCACGGATGTCTGCTGCAGTTGACACCGCACGTGTGCCAGACAGGGATCCCTTCCCTTTGAGATGTAGGGAGGATGATATGAACGAAAGGGGGATACGTACCCCAGCCCCAAGCCATTGTGAAGATATGTGATGAGAAGAGGTAAGAAAGAGAAAGATGAGAGAGTGGTGAAGATGTGTTGAGTGAAGATGAGATGAAGATGAAGATGCTCAATTCAGAGGAGAGGACGACCTTATTATAACCCTTCCAGCACTACCCCTCGGACGACCCCTCGGACAACCCCTCGGTCTACTCCTACCCTCAGCGTCTCCTACCCCTCCATCTACCACACACCATCTGCCCCACCGTCTCATCTCGTGGAATCGCCGGGCCCTGGTCTCTGGCGGTCAGCATCGTCCTCCACCGGCCGAGATGGATCGATTGGCCATGTCATCCCGTGGCTGAGGAGGACTTACCGCCACATTGACCGTAGAGGGCATCGTGTGAAACACGCGCATGGGATGATCACCGGGACCCTCCACCGCGAGCCGGTCTCCCACTCAGCCACGGCTGAAGGAGCGTTAGCTTGAGGGGTCATAATCTGGCGCGGCGTACGCGTTCAGCCACGGCCCAGCGGCAATTGGCTGGGAGTGGCTTGAGCTGAGGATGATACATGGGAGACCGTGCATGAAGACGCAATGCAGCCCGATAATCCCGAGCATCCTACCGAAGAGATTCCGTACTCCCTACACTCCCAACTCCCCACTGCAGCGGATGCCTTCCGATATCTACGAAGTACGGAGTATGTACCTGTACTGAGTACCGCATGGGATGTCCAAAACAGACGGTGAGGATCGGCGGACAACATACGTGTCGACCGTCCGAAGCTCCTGCTGATCGGCTGGGCCGCTAATACTCCGTACTCCGTAAACCCTCCATAATAATAGTTACTAGTAAGTGGATGGGCCTGGGACTCAGCCTTACTGGTTGAGCACGACTCAGCCACTCAGTGCGGGTCGTGGTACTAGCACGATAGGGCCGGCGCAACCGAGGCCAACGCTCGCCAAGCTTCTCTTGTCCAAGGCTTGTCTCTCTGCCCTACGCCCTACGGATCTGCGAGCACATCGCAATGGAAGTGGCGCATAACACACTGAGACCGTCACAATGGAATGTAAGTAAGAGAACGTAGGACTGTGTTAATGGGAACGTACTGCCGAGTCGGAGGTGAGTTCGTCTGGTACGGAGGGACTGGTCTCATTTCTTTACCCAATGTGAATCCGCACCGGGGCCGACTTGCGGTTCTGGTGGAGGTTGTTAGTGCCGTCGATAATCGCACCGTACGGAGTAATCGATAATAATAGACCCCTCATGTGGCGGTGATTAGGCAACCATGTTTTGTAGGAGGATGGAGATGGACTACTCCGGTACGGAGTAGAATACAGTGGCTCACAGCTGAGTACCTGTAGTGGTAGCAGAATATGATCAGACTTGAGTACAGACTACTCCGTATTTGGAGCACCTGTACGGAGTATTGTAGATACTCAAGTTAATACAATGCCATTGTCTTATCCGTGCCTGTCTAGGCATAAATCTTGTGCTGAATATCGTCACAAAGTTATGCCATTATGTAAGCTACCGACATAACTAACTACATCGTACATCTTCTGCACCAGATATGCAGCAATATACATCATTAAACCTCAATCGACCTCAATCGACTCATACTCATCCCAACTCATGGCATAACCAACACAAAATGCCAACGAAACTCCCCTCCCAATCCGACTTCCCCCCCTCTCTCACCCTCACCATCACCCCACCCCAACAACCACCACCACAAAGCCCGCACCGCACCCCACCGAACCTCCTCCTCCTCCTCCACGGCCTCGGCGACACATCCGCCTCCTTCACCTCCTTCGCGCGCGCGCTCAACCTCCCCGAAACCACCGTGCTGACGCTGCAAGCCCCGGCCCCGCTCCCCTTCGACCTCCCCGGCTTCCACTGGGGCGACGATGTGACCTTCGACTCCGCAACGGGCAGCCTCGACATGGACGCCGGGTTCGACCGCGCCGCGCGCCTGCTCGTCGACGAGGTCGTGCGCGGCGTGCTTGTGCGCAAATGCGGGTACGCCCTGCGCGACATCCTCGTCTTCGGGTTCGGGCAGGGCGGCATGGCCGGGTTGGTGTGTGCGCGGGAGCTGGGCACGGCGCAGGAGGATGCCCTGGCCGGGGTGGTGTCGATTGGGGCGCCGTATCCGCTGTCCGGGAAGGTGGTTGGCGGGAAGAATCGCACGCCGGTGCTGCTGGTCGCGGGGCGGGAGTCCCGCGCGGTGAGTGATGCCGCCGTGCGCCGGACGAAGGAGGTGTTTGAGTTTGTCGAGGTGCAGCGGTATGCGCGCCGCGGCGACGGGATGCCGCAGAGTCGCGACGAGATGCTCCCCGTGATGCAGTTCTTTGCGCGGCGGCTGCGCAGTTGGCAGGGTGTGCCGGCGGGGAGTGTGGAGATTACCTAGGTTTTGCATTACGGGTACGGATGGGATAGAAGGATAAAAAAAGAAGGAAAAAGTTGATAATGTACATGTACATGCTGTCTATCTTGGTAGCTAGCTAGCATTCACTTCCTCCAGAGCTTGTCGCGCGCGCTGGACGGTCTGTCGAGCGCTGGTGTCCGACACATCCGTGACGCGTCGGCCGCCGTCCCGCACCACCTGCCGCAGATATGCCTCCGTCTCGAGCAGCGCCATGCGTCCGTCTTCGCGCACCTCGTCTTCCCAGAAGTGACGCGCCGCCTCCCATTTCCGCTGCTGGCGGTGCAGCGAGTAGACCAGTCCCACGGCTGCCACGCTGCACGCCTCGTAGACGGACGCAGACGGGATCGAGACGTACGTCAGTGCTGACAGTGCCCAGGTCAGCGTCGTCGTCGACATGCTGAAGAGAACTAGTCGTTGGGCCAACGCCTGTAGAGAGGGGACCGTCGTTTGGAGAAGCCGGGTGCGACTCGTAGTGATTTGCGTCGGCCACGGGGCTGACTCTGCGGGCTTCTCAGCGTCGTTCGCGGCGGTCTGCTCCGCCGACTCGGGGACAGGCGTCGCCGTCGTGTCCGCAGCCACCGCTGCAGCCGTAGCTTCATTGTTGGTCTTGCCGACGTCAAGCAGGCCGGCTTGCTGGAACCGTCCGGCCGTCCAGACAACCTCCTGCTCCGCCCGACGCAGGTACTTCCGCTCCAGGATCTCCGACGTAATCATCCCGACATCATCAACCCGCCAGAACAGCTTCCACCACGCAAGCCCCCTCCACCGCTTGCTGGCAAAGCCTTCCTCCAGCGCGCCCCGCAGCTCCGTGTGCCCTCTCTCGGCCCACTCGCCCACCATACGACCGAGGTCGTCTCGCACCCGGTCCGGCACAGACTCTTCCTGCACCTCCCGCAACTTCCGTTCCTCCTCCGCGACGACGCCCGTCTCCGCCGCATCAATCAACGACGTGACCAGGCTCCGCAGCGACGGATCCAGGGCACCGTCCTCGGCCCGCGGAGACGCCAACCAGTCTATCACCGGCTGCACGCCGCTGCTATTCCAGCCGCGTTCGTACAACGAGGCATTCTGCACGGACTCACGGAACTTGGCTAGGGCGTTCGCCGCCTGGGCGACGTCCACGAAAGCGATGCGGTCGCTGCGCGTTTTGGTCTCCGACGCGACAGCACCGCCGAGCTCGATTGCGCCGTACACCGACTCCGTCTCGTTCTGCAGGTCCGTCCGCGCCAGGAGACTGCTGTAAGCGAGGAGGTCGTCGACGCCGCGGCCGCAGACGATCGTCTTGTGCACGGGATATCGGACGACGTTGTGGCGGCCTGTGTACGAGGTCTGGATCGTGACCGTCGGGACGAGGAATGTCTCGGCTGTAAATGTGGTAGTTGATGGGATGGATTCGGCGCCTAAACTGGACACGAGGATCTCCAGGTTGCCGTTCTTGAGGACCTGGGACGGGACCGTGATGGTCGGGAGGAGGTCGTTGGGGATCGACTCGGAGGTATCGCCGTATCTGCGGGGTTAGCTATGGCTTTTGATTTGGGGAATGGCGTACTCACCGAATCAGTAGTCCGCGAGAGGTATCTGCGTCGTAGGCTTCTAGCGCATCTTCCCAGGCCTCGCGAGGTGTGAGGGGATCGGCGAGGAGTAAGTGGACGAGCTTGCGCGCGGCCGTCGCGTCATTGAGTCCCAAGACTAAATGAAACGAACGTAGTTAGACAAGCCTGACCTAGGAAAGGAAGCTGTGAGGTGAGCGTACCAGCAACGCGGATGAGAGGGGCCTCCGATTCCAGTCCCCGCAAGGCCAGTTGCAGCCGGCTGAGATTGACCTGCTCCGGCGCCACGTCTTTCACCTGGCCTAAGGCATCGTACAATTCTCGCAGACGAGGCGGTACATGGCGTAATCCGTGGACTACCGACGAGGTTGCGAGGGAGCGATTGGATGTCCACGAGAAGGGCCGTTTTCCGTCTGAGGGAGGGCTCGGACGCGTTGTGAGGGTGCGTCGCCAGATGGCGCAGGATGGGCAGTAGAACACTGCACTGCCGGTGTCCCGGGCGCGCGACAGGCCCTTGGACAGGGAGCCACGCAGTTTGGGAGGCATTGATGAGGATGGCGGGAATGTCGTCGAGAGGGTCAGACTGTTCGGGACGGAGGGACAAGGGCGGAAGTGTTGGATTCTTGGCGCCCGTGACTAGAAGAATACTTGTAGTACCTGGAAGGTATACCTGTACTACCTAGGTAGTATAGAACACTAGAATAAGAGGATATACCCATTGATTCTTTGTTATGTAGTTTGATCTAATTATCCTCATTCCTTGAGCTTCATGTAGAATTTGTTCCAAGGTTAGATTCTATACTACCTCTTTCTTTATAGCCTTTCCGTTGTTTCCCTGCAGGTCTGGCCTATACAACACCATCTTTGATCTTTTATTTGTCCTCGGTTGTCATTAATTGTTTACATGCAGACCTTATACGGTAATACTGTGACAGAGAGATTATCTTCAAGCCCTATTATGGCTGTAGGTCGTACTGATATCCGGTAGGTGATGGCTGCAGACAAGAGCGTTAGGCATAGGATGGTACTAATAGCTAAGAACAAGACATTCCACGAAGCTAGACGTTGACTGTGCAATACATGGGTCGAGAATGACAAGTTCAAGAATCTCCTCATCAATCATCACTTAATAGCCATAATCCATCCATGTCACTGATTTAGTCCATAAGAATTCATCCAGCAGTTTGGTTCCAAACCGTCCATAGCCGCTTCTCTTGACACCTCCGTGAGGAAGAGCTGCCTCATCATGGACAGTCATGGAGTTGATATGCACCGCACTGTGATTGTTCATTAGAACTGACACGGCAAATAAAAGATAGAGCGGGTTACTTACCCAGACTCAATTTGTCCCGCTACATACAACCCTCTCGCCAGGTTTTCGGTGTACACAGCAGCACTCAGGCCGTACTCCGTATCATTAGCAAGCTTGATCGCCTCTTCATCGCTGTCAACCACGAAAAGCGAAGCGGTAGGACCAAACGATTCGTCCTCGTAGATGTCCATGTCCTTGGTCACGTTCTCCACAATGACCGCGCTCATGCGAGTATCGGAAGCCCCCTGGGCATCTGGATCCCCGAGGAGGACTCTGCCACCCTTCGATATTGCGTCTCGAACCAGAGCCTTGTTCTTAGCAATAGCACCGGCATTGATTGCCACCAGCTCAGCGTTCGGCCCGCCAAGAACATTATTTATCGCGGCTTTCAAGGCCTCGCGGAACTTATCAGCGATGCTTCTGTGCACAATAATTCGCTCCGTGCACATGCAGACTTGCCCAGTCTGTATGTATGTTAGCTGTCTGTTCGTCCTGAGAGAGACTGATGGAAGACTGACGTGCATGAATGAGCCAATCGCAGCGCCCAAAGCGGCCTTTTCAATATCGGCGTCGTCAAGAACAACGGTGGGTGCCTTTCCTCCAAGCTCGAGAATCACAGGCTTGATGTAATTTGCGGCAATCTGCGCAACCTTGCGACCAATTGCAGTGCTCCCAGTGAAGCTCAGCTTCTTCACCGCTGGATGAGCTATCAGGGCAGTAGTGACCTCCGCCGCATCCTCAGGACGTGCATAGAGAACATTGAGACAGCCATCTGGAAGTCCGGCTTGGCGAAATGCCTCTCCAATAGCCCAAAAGCATTTCGGAGATAATTCCGAGCCCTTCAGGACGGTGGTGTTGCCTGCTGCAAGGGGAAGTGCTACCGCCCGAGTGCCCAAGATATACGGGGCATTCCTGTTCATGCATTAGCGAACTGATCACGTCTGACACAATGGCCACGTACCATGGTGCAATGCCAAGGACGACTCCATAGGGCTGCTTATAGACCATGGCACTTGTGCCCTCCTGGGCAAGGACAGGAGAAGTAGCTTCGATATTCGATACCTTACCGGCGACGTCCCTCAACAAGTTCACACCAAGCATGAGAATGAAGTCAGCATATGGAACCTGCGCGCCGGTTTCTTCGCACATATAGCCGATGAATTCATCTTTTCGAGCCAAGAAGACGTCGGCTGCCTTCAATAGAATCTCCCTTCGAGCTGCAGGTCTCGTCTTTGACCAAGCAGGGAAAGCCCTTTGAGCCGAATCAACGGCCTGAGTGGCGTCCTCGACAGAGGCAGAGCTGCATTTATGCTCAAGGTAGCTTTTCCCAGGGTTATTCACGTCCAGCGTGGTTGTGGTAGTGATGTCCTTATTGTCAATTATAAGGGGCACCGTCCGACCTGGCACACGAACATCTGATGCAGCTGAAGCCGCCATTTCAAGGAGAATTATGACGCCGAACGAAGAAGATCCGAAGACGAGATCTGTATTATGAAGAGCGGAATGTACTTGAAGAGAGCATTGATCTTTGCGTCTGTTTTATAGTTGATTTGACGATCCATCTGATTATGCCTTTACCGAAAAATTTGCCGAACAATTGGGCCCTGTTCACACACTCAATGCTTACAGCGCCGCAGTATACTCCGTAGATCGAAAGCTGCAGGGGGCAGATCGGGGTACCGAAGCCAAAACCTGGGGATGCGGAGCACGCAGATGCGGAGAAGCGGGGAGGCCCCGAGAAAGACTGCCGACTCGCGATCCCGAGAGCAGATCACGAACGCATCGGCATCTCATAAGTGGCAACGAAGGTTTAACAATAACCGAATAGTCTCAACATTGAGTCCATGGTCAGTAGGGTCTATGAGCACGCGGCAACTTGCAACTCAATCGTCGGTAGGTGCTCTTCCAGTTTCCCGCGATCTCCAAGCCGGGGCTTTAGGACTATACCGACTTGCCGGATCTATAGCTATTGTCCCAGGGACATGTCCAAAGAGTTAAAAGCATGGAAGATTTCCGGTCAGTGAGAACCAACAGCCATATAACTCTGCAACCCTGGCTTCCTCCAAGCTTCCGTAACTGAACATGTCATTCACCACACAAGCTCTTGTCTCAAGAGGGCCCGGCTCGCCTGCGAAGCTGGAAGATATCGTGCTCGATGCTTTACGTGCAGATGAGGTTCTGGTCGAGGTTCATGCCACTGGAGTCTGTCACACAGACTTTTCTTGTATGAACGGAACTATACCGGCGACCTTTCCATGTGTATTTGGACACGAAGGTAGCAATTTCTTTAAGCTCCCTACAAAAGCGTCTACTAATCTGTGAAATAGGCGCGGGGGTGGTCCTCCAAGTCGGGGTAAATGTTCAGCACATTGAGGAGAACGACAAAGTCTTGCTCAGCTTTGATTGTTGCGGCTCCTGCATTCAGTGCACATCCGATCACCCAGCATACTGTGTGGAGTGGACTCGACGGAACTTCGGACAGAAGCGTATGGATGGGAGTCTCTCATTGTCCACAGCAGATGGGACCAAAGTGCACGGTAACTTCTTTGGGCAGAGCTCCTTCGCTCGACATGCTATCGTCAGTGGTAGATCGGTGGTCAAGGTCCTATCAACAACACCTCTGGGTCTTTTCTCTCCCCTCGGGTGTGGCGTTCAAACGGGAGCTGGAGCTATCTTGAATACACTGGACGTGCAGCCGGGAAAGACGGTGGCTATCTTTGGTGTTGGCTCCGTGGGGATGAGTGCAGTGATGGCAGCAAAGATGCGAGGGGCCAGGATTATCATTGCAGTAGATCTGCAGCCTCAAAGATTGGAGTTGGCCAAGAAACTGGGGGCAACTCATGGTGTTATTGGCTCTGACCATGACATCGTTACCCAGATACAAAACATCACTGGAACTAATGGGGTGGACTATTCCGTCGACTGTGCTGGTGTACCTCAGGTGGTTGAAAAGGCACTCGATTGTCTCGGTACGCGTGGAAAGGCAGCCACTGTCGGCGCACCATCACCTGGACAACGTGCAGGAGTGGATGTCTTTTCTCATCTGGTCAACGGGCGTCAGTACATTGGCTGTTGCGAGGGCGACAGTGTTCCTCAGACGGTGAGTATCGTGTCTTTTCTTATACCTAGGTAGCAAACGGCTAATTTTATAGATGCTGCCCTACCTCATTGACCAACATGCCAAAGGCCAATTTCCTCTCGACCAAATAGTTTCATTCTATCCGGTGGATCAATACGAAACCGCTTTCAAGGATGTCAAAGACGGCAAGGCTCTGAAGGCTGTTCTTCTATGGAAATAGGAACAGAAACAGGCACTTTGATTACTGCGGTTAGTTATTTGGATATCATTTCCTATTATCTTTTCTCGACAACTATTCCTGGCTTTTCCTGGTACACTGTATATAAACCCCCTTTTTCTGTTTTCATACCTACAAGCTCTGGACACCTTCTCCAGGTAAGTTCTCTAGCATGGAGGAATGGTGGAGCTCTAGACATTGCAGCATCTGTTATCATTTTGTGTTGTCGCTAGAGTACATACTCCGACCTCTGTACGGCACATATTCGGTAATAGGATGCGTGTATTCTGAGTCGCAACCGACTTCACTAGCGGCTTTAAACCTTTAAATCGCAGGACTTCTATGCCCTAAGCTGCGGCAGTGAAACCCGTTCGGTTGTGAGGCTCGGCAAGAAGTACAAAAGAAAGGTTGTATGCAAGTGATTTCCGCGTTTTAACATAACGTCTGCCGATAGCAGAGGTTCATGAACAAGAGAGAAAATTGTCTGCCTTATGGAGAGGAAAGCCGAGATAGCCTTAGAAGCGGAAGGAGGTCGAGTCCCATAAGATATATAGCGTATAGTACTATGGCATCTCTCTCCCGTCTATTGCACGATGACGTCTCTCGCGTCCAAAGCGCCCTTGAGAATAGAACTGGGTAGTGCAGGATGTGTGTGGTGTAATAAACCAACTTACCAGGGCTCGGTATGATTTTCTTCGTCCCATCCTCCACTTTGGGTTGATCGAGCTCTGAGAAAAAGTTTGTATAGGTATGGCTTAACCCCCGGAAGGACGAGGAACTTACAACCGATTTATATACTATACAACACTTAGTATTTACGGAGCAGATGACGAGGTCGTCACAAACAAAACAAGAATGGGCTCTGTCAATCAGTGAAAAGCTTGTCGAGGAATCTGTGGGCCTTGCTGGGGTTCGAGGCCACCAAGGCAGCTGTCCCTGGTCACTGTTGCCTCTAGCCGGTTCAACGATATCCGAGCCGCTCTCGAGAGATGGTTTACAAAGTGCTGCTGAACCGTTCATGTCAGTATACGGCGAAGTTCCGAATGTTTCCCTGGTGCCCGAATGTGGAGAACACCTGATGGCAGATCAAGTCGATCAGCGCGAGCGCTGAATGCCACGCCGAACACAACGCTTCCACGGACCTGCTGCGTAAATCAACACGCAACGGTCCCTAAAAGCTGTCTGGACGCCAAACGAGAGGAGGTTCATGGTGCCATCTGAGAAAGTTCCATCGATGATTAGCTCTCGGATCAAGCGCATCACCATCAATCCGGTCCGATGCAGTCGAGAAATCCCTAGTCCAAATACCTAATTACCGTACCTCATGCCGGATTTCTCGGGAATTTCATGTCGATCCATGTTACCGTGGGCTGGCATTGAGTTGTCCAGCAAGAGTTGTGGCTAGCTGCTCGGAGTGAAAAAACCACAGGATCTGCAAGACCCGTCCGTTCTCTAGCCCACCGGAAGTTTGGATAGCCTATCTTGGTATGACGATGGACAGCATTGCGTGGGTCATTGCCCCTTAACGTCTTTGACACTATACCGGGCCGGGAAATAGATTTACTCGGACCTCAGATATCCTCGTGGTGTCTCTCCACGCTTCACGGCCCTAGTTTCAGTTGCCGCAGCACTCAATGAGGGAACCAACCTGTAGTTCACTCGGACGACCATTCTTATTTCTGGCAGTGTCCCTGGCTCGTTTTGATATCGAACTCCCTACTTTTCACCTCTCTTGAGGTCTTGTCAGTTGCGAGGATGGAACAAACAAAAGATGGATACCAACTCTCCTACGTCCGACTGGACGACACACCAGCGGCGTCAGAATCAGGGCACAAACGACCACTATCATCGGCCGAACAAGCTCTCTTGCAGTCACAGACGCCGGAGTTCTGGGGAACAAGCTGGACCTTGGAGATCCTGGGATGTCTCACCTCGATTGTCTTCCTCGTTGGTATCATCATGGTACTGTTCTACTACAATGGCAGACCAATGCCCCAATGGCCGTACGGGATCACTCTCAACGCCCTTGTTTCTGTTCTCAGCACGGTCATGAAAGCTGCCATGGTCTTCATCCTGACCGAGTCTCTCTCTCAACTGAAATGGTCCTGGTTTCGCGACGGAAGAAAGCTGAGTGATCTTCCGCTGCTCGATGCTGCCAGTCGCGGCGTCGTGGGTGCTATCGTCGTTCTATTCCGATTCCTACCTCGGTGGGTGCTGCCCCGGTTTCCTCTTTGACCTGACACTGAACCCAGCCTAGCCATCTTGTCTCACTCGGGTGTCTCGTCCTCGTCATCGCAGCCGCGACAGACCCGTTCGTCCAGCAAGTCATCGGCATCTCCATGCGTTCAGTGCACGCCCCAGGCCACTCGTCTGTTCAAGTGTGCAACGCCAGCCTGTACACGGATTACAGTGAGGGCGCAGGCCCGGGAATGAACACGGTGCCGCTGGGAACGGCGGGCGCAATCTATTCGGGCATTTACCAGAACCAAAGTCCCAACAGCAATGCCGTCCTCGCGAGCTGCCCGACGGGGAACTGCACGTTCGCACCGTACCAGTCTCTCGGGTTCTGTAGTCGCTGCAGCAACATCACCGACTCCCTTCAGCTATCCAAATCACCGTTTGGATCATCGACCAAGTATAACTACACGTTACCGAACGGCTTATCATTCATCACCTCCGAGAACATGATGTATTTGATGAACGCCACGACGGGACTGGACTTCATCGACTTGGATGCATCAAACCTACCGCTCATCCTCAACTTCACCGCCATCAGCTCATCCGGCTACGGCACAACCGCGATCAGCGCAACAGAATGCGCGCTTTACTTCTGCGTCCAGACGTACGAGGCGGCCGTGCGAGAAGGTGAATTCTCAGAAAAGCGCACGGCAGTCTCCACTGCCTCTAATTACTCAACCTCCTACATGGCGGTCTTGGAGGACTTTGCCCTTACACCAGATGTCTGCTACGTCAATGGGACCCGCCACGAAAAGCCATACACGAGCCTCGCAAAAGACTGCGTCTACAACGTCAACTGGCTGAGCCGTCTGGCCATGTTGAATTCCCTCTCCCCATTACTCCGAGGCAAAGGCTCTCTCTTCGTCAGCAACCGCCCCAGCTGGAAACCAGAAACCCTCAATGCCGTCTACGGCTTGTCAGGGAACTACACCGATATCGCCTCCATGTTCGACTCGCTCGCATCCTCGCTAACACTCCACGCGCGATCGAAAGTCTGCGGCGCAACCGTTAACGGGACTACCTGGACCGTCCAGTCATATGTGCATGTGCGCTGGCTGTGGTTGATCCTGCCGGGCGGGTTGGTTCTGCTGAGCGGTGCCTTCCTGTTTATTACCATCCTGCACACGCGTCATCAGTATATCTGGAAGTCGTCGCCTTTGGCGCTGTTGTTTTCGGATTTGAATGTTGATGCGCCTGGACCGCTGAAGGCGGCCCCGACGCTGAAGGGGATGGAGGATACGTCGAGGAAGATGGAGGTGTGGTTGGAGACGTCGGCTGAGGGCGTGAGGTTGAAAGCTGTGCCCAGGTAGGCTGGGGAGATTGAATATGTCCATTGTATATTACTTGCATATAGCCAACTGGCACTAATGTTAATGTCTATTCTTGTTTTCACCGTACGGACCGTCTGGTTAATTGAACTATACCCTTGCTTCTCAGTATCTAGCCGTAGGCAGGATTATAGTTATGGCCAAGTCAGATAACTACATATTACTCAAATCCGGCAGTGCTTCCTGGCAACTCGGTTAAAGAGCGACTATAGACCTCGATACATTCAATGCTTGCAACAAAAGAACGACACGACCAAGTTACCCTCGAGGCGTATACCCCGTTACCCCCGGAGATTATTCCTCCAAGCCCATTCAACAGACTAGATCCAGACGCATCCAGTGCCTGCCTGACCACACACCATCTGCACATAAAACAACATTGATCAGCAAACGATCTTCGTCCTCATATGGTCCATGCCACTGGCACGGCAAACACCGACACAGAGACAGCAAAGTCAACTTACAACGTTGGGAGGCCCGCCGGGGCACGACCAGAGATCACATCTCTCCTTCTGGCCCGAGCAACGACAGTTGGTCTGTCCGACGACACGGCCGCCGTTGCAGGCTGGGTGGATCTGCTTGCAGTCCACGCGTGCCTCGAGCATGTTGGGCGATGCTTCAGGCATAGCGACGGCGCTGGTCGCGAGGAGAGCGAGGATGGACACAGTGAAGGACCGCATTTTGTAAGAATTTTTGCACAGATGTTAGAAGTCTCAGATAGTGAGCTTGAGTTGGTGATGAGAGGTGGAAGAGTCCTCGTCTTGGGGGTTTATATAGTCGTCTTGCCGTACCGCGAGCCCGCTTTCTCCGCAGGACTTGGTCTTCGTTCCGGCAGGACCATGGGATCTCCGTTCATGTCTAGACCAATTCCAAATTGGCCATCAATCATATGATGCCACAAGTCGAGCACCCCGCGACAAACATGTTTGTGGCGGCTTATTGTTGGTATACCGGTGCAGGTAGTCCGGTGGACTATGTAGCAACAACAGGAAGCAGAGCCGCTAGACCCTTACATTTACCCCTATGCTGGCCTACTTACCGGAACCTGGCCGAAACCTGGCGATCCAGACCAGGACGGTTACATCTGGAGCATGAGGCGAACCAATGACTCCCCCTGTTGGACCCTTGCCAAGCATGTATAAACGGGCACCGTTCCTCGAAGTAAGCTGCAGGCCGAGGGCTACATTCGGTTGATGGTACATCGACTTGAGGATTCGCACAGAAAGAGAATGGACAATTGGGGACTGTGTGCGGGAAGTGCTCTGAGCGATATGTCAATACAGAAGAGCTGCCCTTCAAGTTGGGGCTCTGTTGTTCTCATACTCTACCGTGTATTCGTGATGCCTGAATCTCCCTTGCTTTATGGCTGAGGGGCTTCAGGACTAGGGTCAGAGACATTCTGACTGCCAAGTATGCATGGTAGTCAACGAGACTTGGGAGTTGTTTCACAGACCGGACTGCTGACGGCCTGTGAGGAGACGCTGACAGGATGTAGTACGTGGTTACTGAAGATTGGAAGGGCGCTGGGAGAGCTATACCAAACCCCTTGCCTGTATATACACACCTGACATCGCCCCCGGTCTGCTGTTGTAGTCTGGCCTGCATCGATGCACCTGGTGGCTTGGTCTCGCGGGGAATAGGCTTACTGCGTCGATCAGGAGACACTGTTAATCATTAATGAGGAGGGAGAATGCATGACGGGGACTACTTACTGAGTAGGCACTAGAGCCAGGGGGTGGTGTCCACCAAAGCGGCGGCGTCCTGGATAAGTCTCCGCGTAGGTACATGTATACAAACTACAGAGATGTACGGAGTAACGCTGGATAATCATGGTGTATCAATTCATCAACTCATGTAGACAGTAAGACGTCGCGGACGTCTCACATTCTGTGCAGGAATTACAGTAAGCCTCCCGGATTGCATCTCCGTTATTCAATACAGTGACGGCGCTTCCCTCCCGACAGCCCGCCTGAGGAAATCGCCGGCTCAATCCGTGTATCGCTGGATTGCTGCATCAGTTATGCCTCCCGAGCTTCACGGGTGGCATCCCGCTGTCGACGAGATTTACCCGAGCCCGCCGACCTGTCCTTTGTTAGCAGCGCCCCTACAATCTGGGGACCGACGCTTACATGCTAATGCGCCGAGCCACGGTAGCCAACCCAGTATCGTTCTCAGCCTCCCGCTGGGCACGTTCCAAAGCAGCCTGTCTTTCTTCCTCGCTCCGACGGTAGACCTCCTCTTGGCTGGGCGGCAGACGCTCATTCTGCAGATCGACCTTGCGTGCATCTTCAAAGTTCGTGATGGCCTGCTTGATGCCCTCGGCGCCCAGCATCAGGGTACCTGCCGGCAGGCGACCTCCGGCGGCGGTCTTGAGTTCGGTGACACGTTCCGACTCTTCACGCAGGACCTGGAACACACGCGAGATACGGCCAATGGCAAGGATCTTGTTCTTGATGGCACGACGCTTGAATTCAGTGCTCTCAACGTCCATGGGCGTCGTGGGAGACGGGCCCGGGGGAGACACCGAGGTGGGGGTCTCTTCTTCGAGCTCTTCCTTGGAGCAGGTGTTGAGGATGGAGATGAGCATATCAGTGATCTTCTCACCAACGAAGGGGAGAGACCAGGTGAACACATCCATGAAATTCGGCAGCCAGTAGGGGTGGGGAGTGCAGTTGAATTGGCGAATGTTCATGACATTGTTTTCGTATTTCAGCACGGCCGCCTTGTTGTTGTACACGTCGAGATAGTTGGGTGCACTGAAGATAGTCATCACACTGGGGAATCCAGTCGTTCTCGTCTTGCGGTACATGCGGTATCCCGCATCCTGCGCCTCGTGGGCACGAATGATGGAGAGCAAGTTGTTCTTCTCCAAGAACGCGCAGGCCGCCGGGTAGGAAAAGAAATACGAGCAGCCTCGAACGCTGTTGTGGACAAAGTAGTCGCCGGTTTTCTCCTGTCCAAACTCCTCCAGCGGATCGGCCCACAGAATGTCACACATGAGACCGTGCGTCGGAGGTTCCCGGAAGCGATCGATCTATTTGCCTGTCAGCCATCGTGCGTGCGATACTCCAACTGTCTATGGAACTACCTACCGCCTTGATATCCTCCAGGGTGTGCAGTTCGGGGCTGAGACCACCGTGGATGCACAGGAACTGTTTGTTCATGACCGCCGCCAACGGCAACGAGCAGAACGACTCGATGCAGGCCTCGTAGATGCGCTCGCTATATTTGTGCTTGCATTCCAGCTTGAAGGTGAAGTAATCCGTGAGATGTCGGCATTCATGGTTGCCCCGCAGCAGCCAGAGAGTGTTCGGGTACCAGATCTTCAGGGACCAGAGATAGAGCACGCACTGGGAGAGTCAGATTCCGCAACGCTGCTGTCCCGTGGGTGTGCGCCATACCTCAATGCTAAAGTAACCGCGATCCACGTAATCGCCCAGAAACAGATACCGAGTCTCGGCGGGATCCCCGCCCACTTCAAAGAGCTTCATCAAGTCATAATACTGGCCGTGGACATCGCCACAAACGGTGATGGGAGCATCCATCTCCAGCAAATTGGGTTCAGACTTGAGGATCTGGGTACCGGCATGTATAATCCATAGTGCTTGGTCTTCGGTCAGGCGGCCTTCGCGATAGAAGTGGTTTTTGAGGAACTGGAGGTTCGGTTTGGAGGGGTCTTCAGGGGACCAGAACTGATCATCCGACGGGGTGTTCAACGCCGGCGCTTGCACCTCTGCGTCGTGGTCAGTCAGACAGAATTTTTCGACGGGAATGTCGCTCGACGCCACTCGTACCTTTGATTACTCGTTCCTGCGTGGACACCTGGGTGCCATCCTCCCATTGTATGTAACGTGAAGTCGATCTCCGGGACCGGCTTCTTATCGGTGACCGCACGCGCTATTGTCCGATCCATCGTGGCAGAGGGCGACCGTGGGATGGGAAGGAGGAGAAGGGGATGGGGGTGAAAAGGGGGAGTGGTGGGAAGGAAAGAGACGTTGAGAACGAGAGGAGAAAACGAGACGGCGCGGAGATGGTTTGTTGGTGGGGTTTAAGCGCGGGAGCGACAAGAGAACAGGCGATGTCACCACCCTTTTCCTTCTCCTTCTATGAGGCTGGATATTTTGCGAGAGATCGACGGAAGAATATTCTGCTGGTGTGGAGAGAGTAAAACAGGGAATCTCTCGTGCAGCGACGGAGAAACGAAGATAACGTGGGGTCGCGTGGGATCTCGGTTCGATCAGGGACAGCGACTTGATCGGTTGACCTTCGATCTAGTCTGGGAGAAGAGACCAACACACGATGAATTGCAGACGAGAAGGAAGTACTTGCAGTACTTGGATAGACAGCTAGGGAAGTAAGGTAGACTAGTAGTTGCGAGATGGAGTTTGCGGCTGAAAGAGCCCAATCGTACCTGAACTGGTAATCAGATCAGATGATTCTACAGATTATCTCAGCATCTTATGTGCCTAGTGAACCTCTACCACTTACTCTTTATACTCTCTACAACACTCATACTCACTCCTCTACTTCACCATGTATGAATCATTCCGTACGTCTCCCCTCTCCCCTGTCTCGTCTCCCCGCTAACTGTACAGGCCCCCATCCCCTCCTCGCCCAGGTCCCTCTCACCGTCTCTCCCTTTATCAATCTCCCCACCTCCGTCACGCTCCCCTACACCTACAAATCTGTCCCCTCCACCCTTCCTCAGTCCGTCACGGTCGACCCCAATAATCCCAGCGTGAAAGCCCGCTACGTCGTCTCCGCCAGTGGCGAACACGCCGCCTCCCCCGAAGAGATCCTCGCGTCCTGCAAGTCCCTCGAGGAACATCTCACCAAGGCCCGCAACGATTCCCTCCAAGCCATCCAAGACTGGGAACGGTCCATCGCCGAACGGGAGCTCGCGGAGAAGCGACGGGTTGCGCCGGGTTGGTTAGATCGCGAAGAGAAGCTCCTCCAGCCGAGTCGAGCCACCACCAGCCCCAGTTCCGGGATGGGATTGGGGGAACCGGCCAGTTTGTTGGACAGCTCTGCGGCCGATTCGGCCGTGTCCAGTTTGCCGTCGATGAAACCGCACGACGAGGGGGAGGAACTGGATCGCGCGTTTGGTGGACTCGATGTGAAATGAGGTTCGAGTGGAGGAAACGGCTTTCATCCATACCTACAGGGTTGCCTGAAGCAGTAACCCGACATGATACCCTACACGACGCGGATGTTGTCAATACATGGGGCCTTGTGGCCTGTGACATTGACACATTGACGGAGAGCGTCCACTCGCGCCACTACACGCACCGAGCTATATAGCTCTGTATACCACACCACGAAGTTACGATAGTAGAATGTTCACCATATTAGTACGAGAAATGAGAATTAAGTCAAATAAATATGATCATAGATTCTCTCAAAATCCCAATCCCTAATTTAGTATGACATATGCTATCAGACTCCCCGCATCGGGAGCTCCGCCGCAGCTCCTCCCGAAAAAAATCCCTGGAACCGCAACAACACCTCATATCCACTCCTCTCGACACTCCCTCCCCTCCTACCTCCCACTCTCTTCTCCAAACACACAGACAACCACCATGGAACCCCTCCGAACAGCCCCCGAATCCTCCTCGTTCGTCCTCCTCGCCGACCACCAGGCGCGCACGCCCGCCTCCTTCCACGACGGTCCCGCCGTGCTCCACTACCACAGCAAGCAATGCAAGCTGTCCATCCTCGAAACCGACCTGGCCGCGTCGCCGCTGAGCGCGCTCCGTCCAGCTACCGCCGCGAACACCGCCAATGGATCCACCGATGATGAGCCCCGCGAGGTGGTCGTCGACGGCGTCGACGTGTGGGTGACATCCGAGTACGTCACCCCCCTCCCAGCCCGCAGTTCGCCCTTCCCCCATCAACAACCAAAACTAATTGATAAACAACAGTAAATTCCTCCTATACAACCCCACCCTCGCTGCTGGCGTCTCCATCCCCTACCCCTCCATCTCCTTGCACGCCATCCAGCGTCTCCGCCTCCCCGACGCCCCGGACACAGAGGTCCAGGGGCTGTACATGCAGATCGCGACGCCCTGCGCGCCCAGCTCAGCCGACGAGGAGGAAGAGTGTCTTACGATGACGGTCGTCCCGCCGCCCGCGCCGGCCGTGGAGGCGACGCCCGCCGACGCCGAAGCCGACGGCGACAAGGAAACCGAATCCCCCACGCAGAAGCTCTACGCCGCCGTGTCTGCCTGCGCGAACCTGCACCCCGACCCCATGTCCGAGGATGAGGACGAGAACGGCGATGCCGGCGACGCGCTCTTCGCGTCTGGTGTTGTCGCTGCGGGTAGTGCGGACGGCGGACTGCCACCGCCGGTGGATGGGAGCTCCGGGTGGATCACGGCGGAGAATATGCATGAATATTTTGATGAGGAGGGGAATTGGATTGCTGGTGGGGAGGAGCCGAGTCTGCCGCTTGGTCCTGGGGCGGGGACCGTGCGGGCTCGCGAGGGAGAGGCTGACGAGGGACAGGAGGATGAAGCTAAGTGGCGGAGGACGGATTGAGTTGTTTTCTAGTTTGGTTGGATTGGGAATGCGCGGTGGTAATAGATAGGCTAGGTATGATCTTACGGATAAAAATCAGTTCACTTTGTTTCATTGTCGGATTACGCGTACATGGATATCAAGCTATAGCCTGTATGCGACAGTAAGGAAAGTCATACGCTGGAGAACAGATACAAAAGAAACGGAGAAGGAAGGGAAAGAAAGAAAGGCCATGGTAAGAAACAGTCAAGAAAAGGAATCAAAGAGTGAATAGACATCCACAGTTATACACACAACGTACACAGCGGCACAGAGTACAAACGATAACTACTCCTTCAAAAACCCATCCACATCATACAAACTCCCCGGCGTGGCAGCCCCAATCCCCAGCCCGATCGCCTTCTTGGGCGTCGTAAACTGCCGCGATTTCCGTGCCGGAGTCCGCTTCTGCTGCACATCGCCCTGGAGCTCCGCAGGCCCGTCCACCTGCGACACAATTGACACCGTCGACTTGGTTGTGGGATGGCGCTCCAGTTTTGCGTCTTCCCAGATCGGCATGATCTTCCGGCTCTGCATGCTGCCGCTGTGCGGATCCCGGGGTTCACCCGGCGCCGTCGACGCTCCGACGGATTTCGCGCGGTGCAGTGAGTCAGTGGACATGCCCGAGACGCGGCTCATGCTCTGGGCGCCGGCGTCTGCGCCCCATGCGCCCCCTGTCGGGGCAGACGACGCCTTGAACCCGTCGTCTGGGGGTATCGAGCGCACGCTACTCCGCGGCGTCGACTTGCCGGGCTGATTGCGCGGGCCCTTGACGGCCGAGCGGCGTGGACTGCCGGGGCTGGCGTTCTCGTAGGTGGTGGGCGAGCTGGCGTAGGTGTTGTTTGGGAGCGGCGGCGGCGGGGCCATCCAGACGGGCGGTTTCTTCTCGGGGGACGGCGTGCTGGACAGGCTGGCGACCGTTGTTGGCGGCAGGCTGGTCAGGAGGTCAGGCAGGGATTTGATGGTGGTGGTACTATGGTGCGGGTTGGTGTTTGTGCTGCTGCGGTTGCTGTTGGGGACTCTGGTTGTACTTGTGGGCATTGCGTCGGCGGACTGCGTGCGGCGGTGTCGACGTTGCGACGAGGGGTTGCGGTACGACGAGGATGGTCGGCTGTTTCTTGCGGCGCGGTGGTGCTGGCCGTACGGCGGGAGGTGGTAGGCGGAGTGACGCTGCTGGCTGGCGTCCTGGTAGCTGTATCGGCCCCCGGAGACGGACGAGACGCTGGAGTTCAAAGGCGAGACGAGCGTGAGGTCGGACCGCCGCACGAGGCTACCCCGGTTTGTCGTGGCGAGCTCCTCCAGCTCCTCGGGCTCCTCGGCCATGGGCGAGAAGGTCGGACCCCCGAAGGTGATGGGTGGGTGGATGGAGATGCGGACGCAATTCTGCCGCCTGTGGCCCTTGCGAGGACCGCTGCCGTTCTTGAGCGCCGACGGCAGAGGCGCCTTGGATAGGCCGTCCTGCACGAGGAAGCCGTTGGATCGTCGGGCTGAGGCCTGCGGATGAGTGAATGTGCCGCCGGAGTAGAAGGGGTCGCCATTACTGCCGTCTCGACGGTGGCTGAAATACACGGAATGCCGCTGCATCTGGCTGAACTGCCGTAGCAACGAGGAGTTACGCCTTGGCACGTTCAACGGCGCAACGTGGATAGGGGGGGAGTCCTGCGTGCTGTATCGGGCGTGTCGTGGGGAGTGACTGGTAGAGAATGACTCGCTGCGACGAGGAGGACTGGCTCGTTCAACAGAGTGCGAAGGGCTGCGTGCTGTCTGACTGCGACGTGGGGAGCCCGCACGATCCCGGTCCTGTCGTTGAGAGTCTCGTGATGGGGATGCTGGGAAGGTAAACGGCGCTGGGAAGGCCGCTGGGGGCGCAAAGCTTCGCCCGTCATACTCGATGCGGCCCACGTCGTTGGCGCTGTAGGGCGTGAACGTGGGACAGGGCGGTAGGGCAGGCGAGGCGAAGACACTCTCTAGCCCCCCTGACGGGTATCTGGTCTCATCTAGGATGGAGCTATCGGCCGTCTCGAGACTTAGTGTGGAGAAGCGCGCGGAGTCGTTTTTAGACAGACGGAAGCGGTTGGGAGGGTAGGCCACCGGTGGAGGCGGAGCAGGCTGTTCTGGCGCAGCCCCCGGGGTTTGCATTGTGATACTCCCTCCTCGAGATCGACGCTCGTCATGTCCCTCGAAGCTGTCTTCGAATAGGGGAAAGAGACCGCTGGAGCGCTCTCGCTTATTATACATCTGGCCATCGGCGGAGATGGGGCGAATGGTGGCATCAACCGCGGGAGTATCATCATCTCGTTCGGGGGTTTGTCGTGGAGTAGTCTCGGTGGGCAACTCGAGCACGCCTTCCACCGCCGACACCGAAACCTCCTCCTTGGGACCGCGGACGCCTGTAGGAGGCACTAGTTCCTTGTTGGACTCCTTTAATGGGGTAAGTGAGCTTCCTCGGCGAGGTCTTTTGGGCTGCCGTTTCGACCGGGACCACGAAAAGGAGCGACGGAGGGCGCGTTTCTCGGAGAGCGGCTCCGATTCAATGGGCGACGGGAGGGTCTCATGCGATGTCAAGAGACCCCATTCGCTTGGATGTCGGCCGTAGGGAAGTTGTCCATGCTGTCGCAGACAGGAACCTTCTTCGCGCGTAAGCGAGGTGAGTGTTCCTGTCGGGAAGTTCTGTAGCCCATGGGCATAGCCCTGTCCGGCGCTGACGACCGCCAGCGAGAGTCGGTCCTGGCGCTTTTTCACATAGACAACGGTGACGATGACGGTTCCGACGATGACGACCACCGCGGCAACCACGGCCACGGCGACGACGGTGCTGAGCGCCACCATCGTTGACTGTGAATGTGGAATACGTTTTCTTCCCCCTGTCGACCCGGATGCAGTTGAGGTCAACGCGTGGGACCCATGCAAACGTGGTGTTTACCGGTGTCTGTCTTGTTGATGTGGTTATCTAGGCTGGGTGAGCGGCGTCAACGTTCACCGTCAAGGGAAGGGTATGCCTCCTCCAAGAACGTGAAACACAACCGCAGCCAAAGATCGTGATGCCAGGTGGGAGGCGCGAAACAAGCGACAAACAAGAGCAAGGAATGGGAAAAGGGGAGGGTGGCCATTTGGAGGAAGAAAGGGCGACAGACTGTTGTTATGAAAGTGGACATTTGAGGCAGCGTTGGAATGTGGGTGCACATTGCGGTGATTACGCGAGGAATGCCACACTGATAACCTCTTTGGAGCAATGTGAAGAAGGAGACATAGAGGAGGATGCAACCCGAGTTGAAATTGCGAGGAAAAGAGTTCCGGTTCCTTGGTGGGAGCAATAGGAGGTTGGAGATACAGCTGACGATGGCGTGGAGGACTCATGATGCTCGGAGTCGTCGGTCATGCCGTGGGGTGGTCACCCGGAGGATCCGGGAAGGATGATAAAGCCGATCGAGCAGAGGAATGGATGATGCCATGATAGTCATTAGAATCGTCAGATGATGGGTGGCAGGTTGATGCTGTTGAAGATCCCCGGCTTTGCGGAGGAATTAGGGCTGGGATGGTCAGTGAGTTTTTGCTAAGGAAATAGGAGTATACTGCACCTAGTAAACTGTGTGTACGTAAAATTATACTCTATCACAAACACCTTTTCATACTCGGTCGACTCAAAAGATTGCCGTATATCGGAATGGGTTGGATCAGGATGTTGATGTTGATGTCGATTTGGACGTCGTTCGATGTTGTAACAATACTTGAATAATTAGTCAGCCTATGATTTATGCCAAGTATATACTGACCCCGCATTGTGCATAACTCATAGTTGGACCTTTTCTACGGCGATTTGGAGACATCACAAACTGCCTGCTCTCTCGATCTACTAATAATCCATCCACTTATGAGTCCAAGAATCCGTGCCCTTTGTTTACTTCATGGGGATCCGCGATGGCGTCGACTGAACCTAGTCGTGTTTCCTCTTCCCCTCCAGACAAAGCATCTTTAACATCCAGGATCGGACTATGGAGCAAAACCCCGCCATGAGGTGCCTATCAGTCCAGTCAGACGGGCCTGATGGGTCCGGCGCAAGTGCAACTCCTATATAAGACGCTGGCACATTCCTCTGTCGTTTCCAACCCTTAACTTATACCCCATCTCCTATCGTCTATTTCCTTTCCTTATTCTCATTCTCCATTTACCCCCGCGCCCGGAACCTTGGAAAGCAAGATGGCAGCCAACCCCGTCAACGAGAGCGGACATTTCGTCCATGGAAACACCACCCCGCCCGCTCATCCCAGCCTGATGAGCATGTTCTCGCTCAAGGGGAAGACCGCCATTGTCACTGGTGCCGGTGCGGGAATCGGTCTGGCTGTCGCTCACGGTCTGGCAGAGGCTGGAGCCAACGTCGCCATGTGGTATAACTCCAACCCCAAGTGTACCGAGCGGGCGGCCGAGATCGCTTCCAAGTATGGCGTTCAGAGTAAGCTCCGGCGCCTCTCTACTTTATTATCGATTCATCCGCTCACCCCTCCCCCACAGCCAAGGCATACAAGGTCAATGTCACCAGCGCCGAAGCCGTCCAACAAGCCGTCGACCAGGCGGTCAAGGACTTCAACGGCCGACTGGACGTCTTCATCGCCAACGCCGGCATCCCCTGGACCGAGGGCCCTATGGTGGACGGCCCGCTCGCCCACTACTCCAGCGTCGTCGACATCGACCTCAACGGCACCTTCTACTGCGCCAAGGCCGCCGCCGCCCACTGGCGCCGCCAGAAGGAGCAGGGCACCGATCTGTCCGGCAAGCCCCTCGACAACTTTACGTATGGGAGCTTTGTGGCGACCGCTTCGATGAGCGGTCACATTGTCAACTTTCCCCAGATGCAGGCCGCCTACAACGCCGCCAAGTCTGGGGTCATCCATCTCTGTATGCGCCCCTTTTCATGATCTATCCCCCTCCTTTGCTGCTGAAGGACGGGCTAACCATGCAGGCAAATCCCTCGCCGTCGAGTGGGTGCGGTTCGCGCGCGCCAACACCATCTCCCCCGGCTACATCGCCACGGAAATCTCCAACTTCGTGCCCGAGGCGACCAAGAACATCTGGCGCGATAAGATCCCCATGGGTCGCGAGGGCCTCGCCGAGGAGCTCAAGGGCGCGTACCTGTATCTGGCGTCGGATGCGTCCAGCTACACGACGGGCGCGGATCTCGTGGTGGACGGTGGATACTGTGCGCCTTAGACGGTTTAGACGTTGATTATGGGATACAAGGTAGACGGAGGATTGGATAAACGGGCGATGCTATACAGATATAGATACATACACCCGATAGACGAATGACGAATCGTGCTCAACCGCTCGCTCACCGTAACTTCCTCCATTCATGACATACATGTTGCAACGTTGAACGACGGCAGACCAACTAGTGGCGCCACGCACCACGTCCCCAGGGTAGGGAGGTAGGTAGGTAGATTTGTTGGCGGCGCAGGCGGATCGAGCGTCTCGAACAGAAGTTGTGACCTGTCATTCGACCTTCATGCAGACGTGCATGCACGTTCCGGGGAACCACACCGCTTATCGGAATCTCCGTTAATAGCAATCCCGTGAGGGACGGGAGGCGCCGGTTCGAACAGGGAATCCAGATCGAGTCCTGTCCAGACCTGGTGCACAGCATATTCCACTAGCGAGTCGATCCAGGATGCGTGGGTGTTTTGGGTTGTTGGCGTTGGCGGGGGATCAACGCATGCGGGGTTCTCCATTCTATACAGAGTATGGGGTATATGTCAGCAGCCGTCATATGGAGATAGATGTAGACAAGAGAACATGAGACGTACGCTGGGATTGATGCAGATTCAATGTCCGAGGGAATTTCCGTATACACCGCGGTCTTGCTGCGAGAGAAGCATTGGAGGAGTCTTCCGCGGTAAAGATACAACATGAGGAGCGCAGAAAAGACAAAGGTGAGGGTCGGAATGAGAGGGACGAGGATTGATTGCGCCATTGCGATAGAAGTCGACTGGACCACATGCATTGGTTGTGGAAGAAATGGAATCCTCCAGACTACTGGCCTGGATATACAATGACCAAACCACAATGAACACGGCTTTCTACAATGATCTTTGTTCATAAGGCACTCTCCTCGATCATTGTCAACCGCCGCACCAGACAAGACAAAGACATCAACAATATATAAGTAAGTAGGTCTCCGAGGCTGTACACAATGGAGCGCATCAACATCAACATCCACAATGGACTCCCACTCCCAAGATCAGGTACGTATATACACACCCAACCACCCGCAAGCAAAGCTAACCACAACCAGAGCGACGCCCTCACAGAAGCCCTATCCTGCACAACCTGCACCCTCACTGACCTCACCCGCGCGACCTACCTCAAACACCTCCAAAACGGCCTCTACGACCCTCTCCAAGACCCACCCTTTACCATCACCAACAACCCTGAGGTTCTCCCCCTCAGCTCCAGCCTCAGCCCCTTCGACGACGACGTCGCCCCAGAAACGATCCCTCCCACTGGTACAACCCCCCATACCCCCGCCAGCTACAGCTCACTCATGACTCCTTCCCAGCTAACCCGCTACCACGCCCAAATAGCCAGCTATGTTTCGCACGACCCAGCCCACGGCGTGGACTTCGCCCGCTACCGCATCGACTACCACATCCACCTGCACTACCTGTGGCGGCGCGGGATGCTATCCCTGTGCCGGAACGCGGACGACCTGCACGAGTTTCGGGAGTGGAAGTGGAGGGTTTTCATTGCGGCGGAGGACCCGGTTGAGGCTCGGTGTCTGCGTCCGCGAAGGTGGGGATGGCCGGGCGATGCTGGGCTGTTCATGCTGTATCAGATGTCGTTGTGGAGACGGGGGTGGGCCGCACGGCGGGAGCGTGTTGAGCAGGCGCGCGTGAAGTGGGCGCTGATTGTGGAGGAGTATCGACGGCGGAGGTGGATTGAAGCTTGGAGGGAAATGTGGGCGATGTAGTATGTAGTGTAGGGATGGGATGGGGTAAGTCTTGTCGAAAGACAGTTACAGAGAACTTTTCATTATGCGCTAGAGCGTCGCGGTATCACTGACAAGACAGATGATCGGGAGTCAACAAGCGGCAACGAGAGACAGTTCAGGTTGAATTGAAAGTTCCGTCAAGTAGTACCATGTGAAACGCCACCTCATTCCCAGGTTAAACAATGCGGATATCAAGAAAACAATCAAATGCTCATGAGAATCAAAGCTGGATAGCACGAACAAGCATGAAAAAGAAATCTGTGAGGTGTGTATGTCAAGGAAAATCAAAGAATGGCGCATCATCTGTCCTCAAACGACAGTATCAAGTTGGTAGATATAACAGACAGACAGCGTATCGAGCCGTCTCAGTACCTGCTGAGCATCTCAACTCATCGTAGCGGCCTCGGCCTAAACCTTCTCGGTCCCAGTCATGGCAACATCTTGAGAAGGCTCCCGGATCGGTTCCTTGATGTCGGCCGGGAATGACCCGTTCGGCCCGTTGGGCGCACCGGGCTGGGCTTCATTCGGGTTCTGCTTCTCGGGTCGCTTCTTCCCCAACCGCTCGCACCAATGTTCGGCACTGACGAGCGTGTCATTGACGACGCCGCTGACCTGCGCCATCATATCCAAACCCTCCTGCGCCAGCACCAGGATGCGATGCGCACCAATCGTAGCATCGGATGACGCCGCGGTGGAATCGGGCGGCGGGTTCGAAGTCGACGCCACCTGGAAGCGGTGAGGTAGCGACGTCAGATGTCGACGGACCAGGTTGCGTGCGTTCTCAGGTAGCGCACCGCCCGCGTACTTGGAGACCACGTCCACCACCTGTTTCAAGGTAGAGAGGACGTCCTCCTTGACGGCCTGGATGCGTTGGAACAGCAACGAGGTATCCTGGCCCGCCCCCTCGCCGTTCTGCTTCTTCGCATTGTCCCACTCCTGTAGGGCCCGCTGCAGGGCGATGATGGCCTTTCCTAGACGTCCATTGGCCCATCGCAGCCAAGTGAGACAATATTGCAAGCTGCGGAGCGATTCCTCACTCATCGCAACGCCAAGCCCAGAGGTAGAGATCATTAATCGACTCTGCCATCCGGCATTCTGACGAGACGAGCCATCGCGTCCGATTTCTTCGTACTTGGGGGATTTATACTCGTCGTAAGGCGGTAGGGGCTCCGTCATGGACAGGTCGGAGGTGCTGCGGGTCCGATGCGGCATCTCCGACTCCACGCCCTTTTCGAGGTCCATATCGGCTGGGTTCGCCTCCCCACTCACTTTACGGCGCTTCGAACGTTTCGCATCGGAATTGGATGTGCGTCGCTGCAGGGCCCAACGAATACCGCTTTCCACACCGGTCTTGCGCCCAACCGTTCCGACGGTGTTGGCCACCGGGGAGCCGATGTTCCGTTCGATAAACTCGGCCCCCGATTTGAAGCGTGGAGAGTATGACTTGGAGTTGGTGTAGGCGGAGACGGAGCCCTGGATGGCGGAGGAGATGAGGGGGTGGGTGGAGGTTAGAAGGGATAGGAGCGGTTCGGGTTGGGGTTTGGAGTCGGCGGAACTAGTGGAGGTGGAGGTTCGTTGGGAGGAGTTGCGAGGCGATTGACCGTATTCTGAGACGTGTTAGTTCTTAATGTCCTTGAGAACGAGAAGCAAAAGCCTACCAGAACGGAGGCCCTCCAAAGCCTGGGCGGCTTCAATGTCGTCCATAGAGAGAACACTGGTGGCTCGACGGGATCGTTCATCCGGCGCAGTATTACTATCCACCTCCATCATAGAGGTCGCAACATGCTGTACGGACGGATAGCTGGGGGGAAGATGAGATGTTGCTGGCGTAGTGGATGTTGAAGTAGTGGACGACGACGAAGAAGAGGAGGAGACGGTGGGTGGATTGGAGGCGGAGACTGACGCTGTCGGAGTGGCGTCTCGGTCAGGAGGATTCTTATGATGAGCGAGCGACGAGGACGTTGGGGCAGCAGAGACGGCGCCTGGACGAGAGTCCATGGCTTTGGCCCGGACAAAGAACGCCGAACGCCGAGTGGTCAGGCTGCAAGAAGGACAGAGAGCGGGAGTAACGACTAAGGGACTAGTACGACGACCTAATTCGAAAAGAGGAAACCGTCAGGGGAGAGTAGGGTGGAGGAATTATGATCTGAGAACCGACGATCACCAGTGACCGGCAAATGAAAGGATGGATTGGGGGGAGATGGAGGAAGAGGAGGGAAGAGAAAAGGAAGACGATGGGGGGAGGCGGTGGTAATTTTTGCACGTGAAAGCGGACCGGCAAAGACGTCGAGGGAAGTTGGGAGTACTGACTATACAAAGTAGGGAATTGAAACGATGATTATTAACCACAATATAGGCTGAATGCCAGATTGACGCTGATGCTGCCCAGCAAACACGAAGGATGCGCCCCCTCCTCATGCTACAAAGGATTGCTATTGCTTGAAGACGCTCTTCACATGTGTTCGGGTAACGCCATCTGCCGCATGGGGGATCCGATGAGGGAATTGGAGATGATGGATCAATCCACGGCTGCAGTTACCGCTCAAGTTCCCTCCCATCTGATCGCGTCGTTCTACCTGGTACTACAGAAAACCCCTCTGCGGCATCAACCGCATCAAGATACATACATAGTTGAGGTAAAAGATGATGATGAAATCCATCACGAGATCCGGATCGGGCAAAGCGTCGTTCCATGGGACGCTAAACTTAATCCGGCCCGCATGACATGTGACGGTGCGTGTCTTTGCCGCCTCACCGCTTTCTCTTTAAAGTCTGCAAACAATGTACCGGATTTGACTCTCTCAGATGCTTCGATCCTTCTATCATATGTTCAGACATGTGGTCGCACATGTGTTACTCAACACTCCACCGATCGTTCGGGTCGAGATACCCTCCTTTCACCCCCGTCCCCTGCGATCCATACCATAATACCGCTTCGATCTCTTCCTGCCCTTCATACTCGCTTTCCGCTTCACTCTCCTCCGCCGCACCGTCAGTAGCAGTCAGCCGGGAAACCGCCTTCGGGTTCACCCGATAAGTCGCTAAGATGTCATGCGTCACCATGCGGTTCGGCAGCGTACTGGTTTTGATCTGACATATCGCTTCTCCATAGGCATGCAGGGCGAGTTTCGAAAACGGGTACTTCTTGTACGCACATGATGCCAGGAGTTGCTTCCAGGTATCGGGTTGATGTTGCCACACATGGATCAACGGGTGATCTCCCGTCGGTGGCGGTATCGCTCTCGCACGCTCAGCCGTCTCCTGGGCCTCGGAAGAGAAGCTTGGAGTTTCATCGGATTTGCCATCGAAGCACCCGCCCCATTGCCGATGGATGTCTTCGATTTGACTTCGGATCTCTTTCAGCACCGTATGGAGCTGTCCACCCACCTCCTTATCCAGGTTGGCCTGCTCCTGTGCCTCGATCCACGGCTGACAGAGATCGTCATCGCGATCACTACTCAGTTGCGGGTAGGCCTTTTCCCACTGTGAGAGGACCGTTCTCTTTTCCTTCTTGACCACTTCAAACAGCAGGTAGTCCACGATGTTCTTGCGTTCGGGTCGCCTCTGGGGATTCTTGTAAGCAGGCAATTCCCGTGCCCGAGGGCTGACTTGCTTGCGAAACTCGTGCCATGCCTGCTCCGAATGGTGCGTGCCAGCTTTTCGGGCATCCACGAGATGACTCAGAAGACTAGCAAGCTTCATGGCATTGGGCGAGCCAATCGACTCATCATATGCCAGCCGTTCGTGCTCGATGGTGCACTTACCCAAGCTGGACAAGGTCAAGTTGTATGTAATTGCACTCTGCAAAAATTCATCCACGGACTGGATGTCCCGCATTGGCACCGAGTGGTTCGTTAGGCCGAAATGCTCTGGTGGATACTCCCGAGGCAGATCAGAGTTCTGGAAGTTCTGCACGATCTCCTGATCCCAACAAACCCACGGCGTATCGCCGTCATAGTCGCCACCCGAGAGCTTGTGTGCCAGGGGCACATCACCCGTAGTGGGGAACACGATCACGTCCTTGAAATGGCGTAGCTCTGGTTTCCATACCGCTCGTACCCGTTGAATGTCCGATGGGAAGTGCGCGGGCACTCGAGCCACCAGGACATCCATCCCGTCCAGTAAATTGTCCTCGAATTGACCCTGCGGATCGCGCCAATTGCTCGAGAATCCGAAGTGAACCTCATCCGGTTTCAGCACGCCGTACGGGTCGGCAATACAGAAAGCATAGGTAGACAAGGGGACCTCAATGTGCAATTCATTCTCGTATCGCTCCAACAACTCGCGAAGGCAATTCCTGAGCCGGTGACGCAGGTATCGAAAACTCCGGGGTTTAAAACCGGCCTCACAAAGCCGGATTACGCATTCAGAGTTACTGGCCGCCCAGTCTTCCATCCGCCGGTCTTGCTCGCCCGGTGGCTTGGTCTTCTGTATAAGACTGCGACAAAGAATAGGGCAGTTTCGTTCGAGTACCTCGGCAAAGTCCTTCCATATGGACTGCATTCCGGCACGAGTGAGCTCGGCGATCCGCTCTCGGACTGGGCCTCCACGCTCCAAAATGGCCAAAAGCTGGATATTCAGACTCACAGGATGAAGTGGCTTCGACCATTTGACCACTTCAAAAGTCAGTTTCTCCGGGTCGATGAGCGTTTTCCACTCGGCGGGATGTGGTTTGATCTTCAGTTGTGAATCCGAGATTTGCAGCCAAATATCCTCCTCGGAGACGTCAGAATCATGCTTGTCAACCATCCAGAGCCCTTTGGCCCCGGCAATCCGTCCTTGGAAGGCACTAGGAATACTCCCGGTGATTCCCAGGATAACACAGATTTTCTTCGCCAACCCACGCGACATAAGTGCGCAACCGTCATTCATCACCGGACGTCCCGGCTCGTCTTTGAGATGGATTATCTGGTTCGGAGTCAACTTAACCGTTTCGAATGTTTTAGACAAGCCTAGTGATGTTCTCTGGAACAGCTTGCAGTTTGACTGTCCCATATTATCATCCAGACACAAATGCCATTCAATAAGCGCCTCGAGGCTCATCTCTGTATGTTTGTCGCTTGCTTGACAGGGCGGTGCGACAAGCGGCGGACGTGGACTACGGTGGTCGAAATCAATCCCATCGATGGCAAAGAAGTCAACTCGAAACCGCGGCTCCCCGGCTTTTTTCTTGTTCTTCGGCTTGGCTTCTTCTACAAAGAAAGGTTTCCACGTGCGACCCAAGCAGCGATGGACTCCCTGAGTCAGCCATATGCCAATGCTCTCGCGCAACAACGTAGGATTTTGGGGGAGTCGGAGATGACGGGGAGGCCGTGTCGGGGCGGGTATCGTCAAACTCAGGAACCGGTCTGATCCAAATCGCCGGTGGAGCCGACAAGTCCTGTCTGTCTTGAGGGGATTGAGCTTCAGCTTTAAGATACCCGGTTCAGGCGGACTGCACCAGTCCAAATCGCCCGTGAGAACAACTACTTCCGAGGTTTTGCTCGTCTTGAACTCTTCCACTGCGGCGTCCCATGCCTTGATAGAAGGCTTCTCCGGTAGCGGTTTCCCATTACGCTGGTTATGGCCCTCTATCCACGTCCAGAATTCGTCACGACTATTAAATCCGATAGTGCTTCCTACCAGCATACGGTTCAAGGGGACATTCCAGGCACGGCCGATCCGCTCCAGCTCGTATCGGTAACGTAGACGCACCGAGCCAGATAAGGAGTGCTCAATGGTGAATGGTCCATGCTGCATCAGCTCATTCATGATCTCACCCTCGACAGAGTAGCGCGCCTCTCCTACCTCTTCGCAGAAGCTTGGTCCATCAAGAATACCATTCACTTCCGGGTTGAGCATATGGGCCGCGATGGATTCGCCGTCCAACGAATCGGTATCTTCCATTGGTTCGGTAAGGTCTGTCACCATCGAGGTGAACGATGTTTCCATTCGGCTGGTACGCGTGTCGAATGAGGTGCTGTCTGATCGGAAGCTGAACTCGGGACGGCTTGATGCAGACGTGACAGATTCGTAGCGCCGAGTGGTGCTCGGGGCAATCAACCTCTCGACGAATTTGGAGTGCGCCTTTACAGGCTCAGCACAGGTTGTCTCTTGACATAACGACGGCTTCCCAAGTAGTCCTGTCATTTTATCTGTCAACTTGGCAGGCGATGGGGGCCCCTTGACACAAGCCTCCTTGACAGGGGATGTAGGCGCAGTATGGAAGCCATCCTCCTCCTCCTCGTCCGAATACGGCCGCTTCAGAGGGCGAGAAAGCTCTGTCGCGTCCTGGACTTGGCGGGCACGAGTACTTTCCGTCAACTTGAAAGACCCATTCGCGAGATACAGCTCGTTGTCCAACAGATCTTTCAGATAGACTAGCCGTTCCTCCTTTTCCGACGAGGAGACGTCATTCCGACCGTCATCCATTAACGCCGCTCTTCGCGCGCCACCCGCGTGGCCAGGCATATGGGGCAGCGCAATCGACCGCGACTGCACCCAGTCGTCGAAGTCGTTGATGACTCTCCCTAGGTCGACATTCCGATTATAGAAAAGCAGCCTCAGGCCCTTATACACGCTCCACCGCGCGGACCCCTCGGCGCGCGGCAGATGGGACGGTGAGGCATTTCGCGGGTTCGGAATGTCCAGCGAGAATTGCTGGTTCAGATTGTCGATTATGAGCTCCAAATCCCTCCCATTCCGGACCGGCGTGCGGGGGGTCGAGATCATGTTGTTTGCCCCTTGGGGCGGGCGACTCTTTGAGGGTTTTGTGAGAATGATGTCTCAAACGTAAGGATGTGCATGTGTGAAAGAAGTTGAAAGTATAGATAGACTTCGAGGGATAGTCTGTATGTACGGTATGCAGAGTGCATGTTCACTTGCAGCCCACTTCGAGTCCATGGTGTGGAGGGGGAGAACAACAAACATATATTTATTGAGAGCCGCGACAACCAGCGAAACGCCCTAAAAGCGCCTCTGCACAGCTCGTCACTGGGAGCAAACAATCACTACCAATCTCTTAGCGCTTGGGTTTCCTTTCTTTTTCTTGTACCAGGGTAGGGCATTTTTGCAGTTTACGGAGTGTTGGATATCGACTTTAGCAGCGGTGTTGCAATGGGATACCGACCGGTGACAGGAGTATTTGCATGGCATGCATGCTCTCAAGTCTCGAGTAGGGTGCGATGTATGTTTTGAAAGTCACAGAGTAACCTAGACGGAACACATACTGTAGTCTGCTTCTGTCAGTCATCAGTCAAACCGCCTTGAGTCCAAGCACGAAGGAAGACCCTGATCCTAGTTGCTATAATACATACATTATTGCGGGGAGGGTATGTAAAAGACTGTACTTTGGTCTCCCTGTCGTGTCATAAACTGCTCTATGAGATCAGAGTGTCCATACGAGAATGATACCTTCAAACATTAGATATTTTTGTTGTATTTAGTTGACCCAGTGACCTTGTGCTCGGCTACCTACTTGATCCCTTACGATGGCCAAATAACATATGAAGTTAGTACTTGACCTTGATCGCCCTAAGCCATGTGCAAAACCGACTCTTACGAAACTTCTCCTGATCAGAAAGCGCCTGTGGTTCCTCCCCTACACCATCCAGCGCCATCGACTCCCGCCCCTCGTCTTCCCTCTTCATGTTCTGCAGATCAACTTCACTGGGCCGTAGGTGCTTGCACCGGGTCGCAATCTTGTATCCCAAGATAAGTGCCAGATACAGTGGTAGCCCGAGGTACGAGGTGAGAAAAGCCCAATAGTTGAACCGGCCAGGATAACCGTCCTGGTCGAAGACGTCGAACGTGCGGACCACGGCGATGAGGATACAAAACGCAAGAGCGACCCATGAACCATAGGGTCCGAATGGCGCTCGGAAGACAAGTGCCTTATCTGGGATCTTCTGAACTCGGCGGGCGCGCACAAATGCCACGTGGATGATGAGGATGGACATCCATGTGAGCAGTCCGAACATCGTCACTAGATTGACAAAGTAGTTAAAGAGAACCTTGGAGTCGGTGGACACGCTGAGGTATGCCAGGGAGGCGAGAAGAGAGCAAAGACCTAGCGCGTAGATTGGGATCCCTCTCTGATCGGTGCGGGACAGAATAGAGGGCGCGTGTTTGTCTACGGCAAGCCGGTAGATGGTGCGGGACGCCGAGCACAAGGCGTAATTTGCCGAAGAGAGCACGAATAGTAGAAGACAGGCGTTCAAGATATGCGGGAGCACCGGCACATTGGCCATCTGAATCGCTAGGATAAAGGCCGACGCCGGGACTCGGTCGGAGCCGTCACTGGGGACATTCAAGATATCGGTATCAAAGGGGACAAGCATCCCTAGCAGCGCGACCGCGACGATGTTGAAAGCCAAGATCCGATAAAAAGTCAGCTTGATCCCGTGGACGGCCGCCTTGCGTGAATTCCGTGTTTGGAGGATATTGATGCCGATAAGTTCGCTGCCCAAATAGGCGAACATCGCCGAGGGAAATGTCCGGCAGATGGCGCGGAGTCGACCAAACGCTGTGGGATCACCGGCAAACGCACCGGGATTGCTCCAGTACTTGAAGCCTTTTCTGTCGTGATCAGGCCCTCCTCCGAGGGCGAGGACGAGCGATAGGATGATAAGCCCCAGCAGGATGATCACCTTGAAGGAAGCCAAAATGAACTCATAGTGACCTAGGAGATGGCTGGTCCAATAGTTGCTTGCAATGATCAAGACCAGAAAGACGGTCATCCAGATTGCTATGTTGGCTGGCCCAGCTTCTAACCAGTATGTGATGACTAGAGCGCCCGCAGTCAGCTGGCTGGGGACTACCACGAGGTATTTGAGCCAGTATCTGAATGAGGACGTTAATACATCGCCAAATAGCAGCTGGACAGCAAAGCGACACCCACATCCATCCCAAGGTGAAACCCAGCGCGGGATCATAGCATCGAGTAGCATGGCACGCAACGGTGGAAGGCTCAGGTAGGGAAGAGGCTTCTTCCCCAAGCGCACAGAGAACCTGGTAGACCAGAATCCCGACAACGGTATACGTGATCAGGATGGAGGCTGGCTGGAAAGGTCAGTACTGAGTGGCGACGCTGTGACTGCGGTCTTACTCCAGCTCTGGTCCTACGTCAACAGCAGATATCGACGACACCTGTGGAAAGGAGACTTACTTCGCGAGGGCATTGCCAGCTCCAATCATCAAACCAGTACTGATGGCTCCTCCGATTGCTAGAACGGTCAGATTGACTCAGCGTAAAGGGAGCGCTTGTCGACTGACCGATCAGAGTAAGCTTGCGGCGTTTGATGGCCCCGTAAGAGCCCAGGATATCTTCACTCGGAGACGAGAACACGCTGGATGTGGCTGGTTGTGGGTGTTGGATTGGAGGAAGCCGAGGTGAATCTGTATTCGGATGACTTGGAGACATCTCTGTTGCGTGAGTGGTCCGGAACAAGCCCGATGGGCGCGGGTTTGTGCATGACGGTGAGGATATCAGGGCCTCCAGAAAATGGACATGGAACGGTAAAAGGAAAGCGCAGCCCGGTGCTTGCCTTTCGGGGACTACGACTGAGTCATCGAGGCAAATCGAATTGAAGAAGCATTTATGGGTATAAACCTCAAGAGAGGAATGGAGAGGAGAGGTAGAAGACAAATGATGGCAGCTTTGCTTCGCAGACCTTTCTATCATGGCCCCGTCCGCCCATTCCCTCAAGCAAATCAATGAAACACGCACACAGAACGCCAACGTCTAAGATATCCCACGCATGACATGTCGAAAGGAAAACCGATAACCAAATGCTGTCGTAAGAAGAATTTCACCGAGACATGTATAGAGAGTCGCTGGATTCGGTTCGGGGGAATATCCGGGTGTACAGCGAGTCGCTCGACTCGCTGCGAGGGAAACTCCGCTGGTACGCCTTGGAGACCATGCGATCGGTGTAGACGCCCTTGGCCGTGCCTCTGACGACAGTTTCGAGGTACTCTCTGAACTGGATGGGTTGGAAATCGGGATAGAGATCCTTTGCGGTGATGTAACCCAGGTACTGGGCGTATTCCGGAGTGTTGTCGCCACGGATGCCCCACGACAACTGGTACTCGGCCAGGTAGCGGGGGATAAATTTCACCGGGTCGAAGGGGTAAGTTTCACTAGACTGTCTGGCCGCAAGGACGCGGGTGTAAACGGTTTCCTCTGGGATCTGCATATGCGGGAAGGCGATGGTCAGCCAATGCGATGCTAGGGATAAGTGACTGATTCCACGTACGTAATTCCGAGGGATTTTCTCCTCGCTGATCTCTTCTAGCAGATCATAAATCTGGTTCTGGGTCGTTACGGTGTTATAGGCGAAGACCATCTTGTTCAGGGTGCGGTCGTCGACAATGATGCGAGCCACATAGCGACCAATGTCGCGGAGATCGGTCAAGGCTATCGGAGTGTTGCCATCGCCGACGATTTCATTGTTGGCGGAGGTCATGGCATAGTCGGCCCGTCCGGAATCCAGACGCGGGTATGAGAGCTGGTACCACCAACCGACGTCGATGATGGTGTAGGGGAGTCGCAGTTGCTTGATATGGTTGTAGACCGTCTCTTTCTGGATGGGTTGAGAGCATCGTCAGCAACTTTTCCTCCCCAACTGTATTCCGCCCGAGAAACCTACCTCGTCTCGCAGCCACATGATCCCACCGGGCGGAGCGACCGTGATGAACGCACATGGCACGAATCGCTGAACTCCCGCCCTCTTGGCGGCTTTGGCGAGGGGGATCTGGTCCTGTTGCTCTGCCGGTCCCACGCAGCTGATGACGACATCGATACCGGTCAGAGCCTCCGCAAGGGTCTCCTCAGGGGCTTTCAGGTCGCATCGGATGATTTTGACGCCTCGTTCCTGCAGAGCGACAATGGAGGGTTTTTGGACCGATCGCAGTCGGACGAGAGCGTGAACTTCCTGCGACGAGGCGGGTTAGTCTCTGGTCGGACCATCATGAGCAGAGACAGAAGGAGGCGAGGAGGGACTTACAAAGATGGGATTCTCAAGGAGACCGTTGGCGATGGAGCCGCCAGTCTCACCACCTGCGCCAACCAGAAGAACCTTGGTCTTGGACATGATGCGTCGGGGCGAGGAGAAGGAGAATGGAAAAAGGTCGTGGTTCTTGAAGAGCTCTTCAATAGATCTTCGGAGGGGTAGGGGTATAGAAGGAAAAGATCGAAGGGAGAGAGAGAGAGGGAGAGAACAAGAGAACAGAAGAAGAGAAGAGAAGAGAAAAGACGGCGAGATGGAAGAGTGACGTACGGGTGAGAAACAGGAAGCGTCGACGTTATAAAGGGCCAGCAAAGTCGTCCCACCCACGGATGGCGACGTGCCCTTACCCACTTTGTCTCCCTCGTCTCTGGTTTGTGTCTTTCTCACGCTCTCCAACCTGGCCTGGTCGCATGGGGTGGGTCGGTGGATCAGGATGTTAAGCGTGCGATGGTCCTGGTAATTGGATGGGCGATGTTCTTGGGCAGAGCAATTACTATAGAGTACGGAGTAGATATAAACAGGTAGTATATTGTTCGTCCTGATTCTACCTGATCCAGTCACTCACTCACTCAATGTACGGAATCGGAGGGTGAAGAATTAGGTGACGGGCCGGTGGTTCGGGAAAAGGATTGCACGGTTTTCCCTTTCGCTGCCCTTACGTCATTCTGCCCACGGCTTCCCGGCCTCTGTCCTTTCTGTCGCCTCATCAGTAGTAGTAGTCTCAGTAGTATTGTACTTCTACCGCATAGTACTACGGAGTATACGGAGTAGTAGTATCTCTTCTTTCCCTCTTCATGATCATGATGTCCGCACGCTACATCACATGAGTCCTATGGTTCGGACCACCCCGTCATCGCCCCATCCCCCATACGGCACGATTGACCACCATCCGGCAGTAGGGCAGCATAACTCCTCCCCGGAATCAACCCAGTCGCCAATGGCTTCCCGGACTGCCAGCCATCATCGTCTCTCATTCCTCCCCCCACGTCAGAGATCTTCGGATCGGCATGGCGGGTGTGCAGAGCCCAGGGCATCCCCTTCATAGGCTCTGCGGTTACAGTGACGCCATTGGGGCTTCAGACCGCAAGGATTTCCCTATCATTCGTCGAGGGCTGTCTGAAAATGGAGTCGGATGGAGCCACCATCGCTGGGAGTGGCCCGACTGCCCATGGTTGTGGTGCATGCGTCCGTTTAATAATCCTGCAGCGGAGAGGGGATGGAAGAGGGACAATGACACCAAACAGATCATTGATACTAAGTAGTACGAAGCACGAAGTACTGGGAATAATATGATCAAGTCAGTTGGTCCGTCCGTATGAGGGCAATCACCCGGTACACGACGATTCTTCAACCAGACGGTCGCTCCGAGACACTTGGATTGACATCATCCTCATTCCCCTTAGGTAAGCCAGGTAACTCAGCCTGCTGTCATCGGGTGGCATCCCAATTTTGGGGAGTGATGAAACCAGCCAACTTTTCCGGCAGGTTTCCCTGGCTCAGCGATAACCTGGGGTCTGGGACTATGACCAAGCAACCTTAGTACGCCGTAAGTACTCCGTAACTATGTTGAGTTCTTGTTGTTCCTGGCGTCGGTCCCGACCACTGAGGTATCGATCCGACGGTGCTCTAGATAACCTAAGATCATAGTTCACCAAGACAAAGCCAATGATCATCTGGATCCGAGAAACTTCGCCCCTTCACGCGCTCTTGACCCCTCTACTCCGGACTGAAAAACAAGCCTTTTCCTGCGCAAGCGAGAATGCCGCCCGTACAAGGGCAGACGGCGGTTTGGGGTGACCAGCCGAAACCGCGGAGGAGATCCGCCCGAAAGGCAGGTTCTCCGAACTGGAGAATTCCAAAAGAACGAGGAATGTGGTTTTGCCATCGCCTCACATGTGAGAGATTCTTGCGCCTTTTTGGCCCCCTCATAGGGGGATCTGATCTGCAGTCCCATCCGAGGGCTCACCACCAATGACGGCCCGATGTGTTGACACCCTCGACGCAGGCGACGGCGATGGTAACGATATTATTATGGAGAAAGTCGGTGTGGTGTCCCTTCGCCCTCGGGTAAACCAGGAACGCATGATCCCTTTTCCCGGGGTAGCTACTAGGTCGAAAATGCCAATCGCTCGTGAAGTCGTGAAGAGATCCAACTATTTCTTCTTCAGACGATCATGATGGTCTTGTATAATATATAGACTCTCAAGAATCATGGCTCGCTACTCCCTTGCATGACCTTTGTGTGGCTCCCCAGGGGTTCATCAGTTGAATCTCCAACATGCTGGTCACGTGTACACATGCTATCAGGTACCTAGGAGGCAAGTTCCTAAACTCCATGTTTTTGTTCGATGAGAACCATCCTTGGTTTCGGCAATTAATCCCGTCCGGGTCGAGGGTTTCGTGGTTGTGTTGCGCCACCGCCACGTGGTACAGCAACGCCTCGAATCATGACAGTACCGGATGCATGCTGTGTGACGGAGGTCGTTGCCGTCCAACCTCCATTGTTATTTAGACCACAGCATCCACATGGAATATGCGCTCTCCGCATAAAGGGTCTCAGTCCAGAAGACATCCTGCGGTCATAATCTGGTCACCGACCTAAGCGAATGTCTTTTGGGGGGGTCTATACCTCACAGTTGTCAGTAAGCGCTCCAGGACTGCAAGCCGATGCACAGTCGACAAATATATGATCAATGGACGTGGACATTATAGGGAGATGGGAAACATTCTTTTGTCATAGCAGAGACGACTGTTCGCTTTCATGTGTGTTGCTTTTGCTATTTGTGACTCAAAGCGCATCGAAGCGAACTGAGCACAGCACCAGATTGGTATACGGTTCCAGGAAGCACACACGTTTCACACATTTCAAGGCGGCGGGATTTCATCGTAATCAGGCTCGTGTGACTGCGTTTGAGTCATCTCGCGAGTCGTGCAGAAGTCTTCAACACTATCCCTGTCCGACTGCATTAATAGTCATCTGTTAAGGCATCATGACAGCCCAATGGGTAGGAGGACATAGAGTAGGCGCGACAGGTCAGATGAAGTAACGGAATCATCCCGCAGAGAATACCATGGAGGTCGTATTCATGTCTTTGAGAAGCTCATGAGAGACCGGCAGAAAGAATCACGATAAGGGCGTAGGGATCGATCGAATGGCCCACCGAGATCAGATATGGACATGGTCGTGTAGACAGGTACCTCTGTACCTAGGTATATATAGGGAGGTACCTTGTCTACGGGCCTAGCGGACACCCCATATCACGATTCATCCTATTGTGGGGAATCTCGTCCACAACAACCTATCTGCAACTCATCCACTACTCCTATGTCGAGCACTTTCACGACACAAAGACGACTATGCAACCCCTGAAATGATTCAAGACTCTTGATTTCTAAGCGACAGCGGATTTCACCCGCACAGGAGTCTTTGTTGAGCCTTTCCACCCCCGTGTTAGTCACAACGAGACTAGCCGTCGGCCTTTACCGCTGAAACGTCGCCATCGTCCATCCTTCCAGCCCTTGGCGTCTCGCCTCCTCGTGATGCGATTCGACCAGCGACGCCGCGCAGATTGGCGGGTCCTACCGAACCGCAGTAGTTTGTCTCGCTGTCTGGGCCCCATACACCACCAAGAAACGACCTCCCGAGGAACAAGAGCCATGGCAAACGAATCACACCGCGTCCTTCGACCTATTTGCTCGTCTTTTAGCCAAATCGGGTGTCCGACGCGGTAGGGCCTGTATGCCCTCGCTCCTTGCGTATACTTCCTGTGAAGCGGGTTTCTATCGCTTGAGATCTATGATGTATCATGCCAATAAAGAACCGCTCCGCCAATCGTCGTCGCTCGCTGTTGAAGAGCCTTCCAAAAGATTCGTTGAGATCTGGGCCTGGACTAAATAGTTTCATTAACCCTCACTAATTTGCGACCCGATCAGGGATGACTCGACTTCTAGACTAACCGGGAAACGGTTCCCCTCCCCGATCGCCGAGTCTTAAATGTTTTTTGCTCACCCCGTCTTCACCATGCCGAGCCCTAAACTTGATCTTACCTGCAGTCTTTGGTTTGGACCATGTCCTAGCTGCCCCCGACCCTGACAAGAAGAAGACCGTGTTTCCCTCATAGTCGGGTTGTGTTTGGCCTGCACAGCCTTAACAGCATCTCGCGGTTCATTTCGCTCGCTTCGACCTAAGGACAGACGACGCAGGTCGTGCGGCGAGCCGGAGAGATTCCGCGGCCATGGACGACAAGCTACCCGCCCCCGATTCCCCTACCAGTTCCGATGCGGACACCTCCTTCACCATTGACAACTATGAACAGGGCCGAGAATGGATCAGAAACTCGAATCCCCAGGGAGTCACATCCCAGCCGTCTGGTGTGGACGTGGAAAAAGCCGAGCACGATTTCTCCGAGTTGAATCGTCAGTTTTCTAGCATCTCCCAGCAGGCGCATAGACTATCGAAGCATGCCTCGCGCGCGTCCAAGACTGCGGACGTGGAAAAATCGGGGACGTCGACCGATTCGGAAGAACCCTGGGATCTCGAGACGGCCCTCCGTGGTAACCAAACCGCAGAGAGGGACGCAGGGATCAAGAACAAGCAGATTGGTACGTCTTTCGACTATATGTGGTAGAGGACCTTCCCCCTAACCAAAAGTGTAGGTGTGTATTGGGATGGGCTGACCGTCCGTGGTATGGGCGGTGTTCGGACTTACATCAAGACCTTCCCCAATGCCATAATCGACTTCCTCAACGTCCCCGGCTTGATTATGGAATGGATAGGATATGGGAAGCAAGGCAAGGAAACGAACATCCTGAAGGGATTCAGAGGTGTCCTCCGACCCGGTGAGATGGTCCTTGTGCTGGGCCGCCCTGGCTCTGGCTGCACAACGTTCCTGAAAACCATTACCAACCAACGCTTCGGCTATACCGGTGTGGACGGGGAGGTCCTGTACGGACCGTTTGACGCGGAAACCTTCGCGAAGCGGTATCGCGGAGAGGCAGTCTACAACCAAGAGGACGATATCCACCAGCCGACCCTCACCGTCAAGCAGACCCTGGGATTCGCCTTGGACACCAAGACTCCGGGAAAACGGCCCATGGGAGTCTCCAAGGCTGAGTTCAAAGAACGCGTGATCAATCTGCTGCTCAAGATGTTCAATATTGAGCACACTGCCAATACGGTTGTCGGAAACCAGTTCATTAGAGGTGTGTCCGGCGGCGAAAAGCGCCGAGTCAGTATTGCTGAGATGATGATTACATCTGCTACAGTGCTGGCGTGGGACAACAGTACTCGTGGACTGGATGCCTCGACGGCGCTGGATTTTGCCAAATCCCTGCGGATTATGACCAATATCTACAAAACCACGACTTTCGTGTCGCTGTACCAGGCCTCAGAGAACATCTACAAGCAGTTTGACAAGGTCCTCGTCATTGACGGAGGCCGTCAAGTCTTCTTTGGCCCAGCGTCCGAGGCACGGGCCTACTTCGAGGGCCTGGGGTTCAAAGAAAAACCTCGACAGACTACTCCCGACTATCTTACCGGCTGTACTGACCCGTTCGAGCGGGAGTTTAAGGATGGCAGAAGCGCAGACGATGTCCCGTCGACTCCCGATGCGCTGGTTGCGGCATTTGAAAAGTCCGTCTATAACGAGAGACTGACGCGGGAAATGCAAGAGTACCGCGACAAAATCCAAGATGAAAAGCATATCTACGACGAGTTTGAAATCGCGAATCGAGAGGCGAAGCGCAAATTCACCCCCAAATCCTCGGTCTACTCCGTCCCATTCTACCTGCAGGTCAGGGCGCTGATGCAGCGCCAGTTCCTGATCAAGTGGCAGGACAAGTTCGCCTTGACGGTATCATGGATCACATCTACCGGTGTTGCCATTATTCTCGGGACTGTGTGGCTGAAGTCCCCCGAGACATCCGCAGGAGCATTCACTCGTGGCGGTCTCCTATTTACCAGCGTTCTGTTCAACGGGTTCCAGGCATTCGCAGAGCTCGCATCAACCATGATGGGGAGATCACTTGTGAATAAACACCGCCAGTTTTGCTTCTACCGCCCAAGCGCACTGTTTATTGCTCAGTTGTTGGTTGACGCCATGTTCGCCATAACACGAATCGTCGTGTTTGCCGCTATCGTGTATTTCATGTGTGGCTTGGTGTTGGATCCCGGCGCCTTCTTCATATACGTCCTGTTCCTATTCCTGGGGTACGTCGACATGACCGTGTTCTTCCGCACCGTGGGCTGCTTGTGCCCTGGATTTGATCACGCTATGAACTTCGTCGCGGTGCTGATCACCCTATTCGTCTTGACATCTGGATACCTCGTTCAATGGGCTGACGGACAGGTGTGGTTGCGATGGATCTTTTATGTCAATCCCTTCGGGCTCGGGTTTTCTAGCTTGATGGTCAATGAGTTCCGAAATCTCCAGCTGACCTGCACTCAGGAATCTCTGGTTCCCAATGGTCCAGGCTATGGCGATATTGCCCATCAGGCATGTACGCTCGCGGGAGGAGAGCCCGGGTCTGCGATTGTCCCAGGAGCAAATTACCTCGCCACTACCTTCAGTTATTATACTGGAGACCTCTGGAGAAACTTTGGTATCATGGTTGCTCTTATTGTCGGGTTCTTGGGTATGAATGTCTACTTTGGCGAAGTGGTCCGTTTTGACGCCGGAGGCAAAACCATCACCTTCTATCAAAAGGAAAATGCGGAGCGGAAAATGTTGAACGAGGATCTTATGAAGAAGCTGGAGGCCCGGCGCTCAAAGAAACAAGAGAACGCAGGATCGGAGATTAACATCTCGTCGCGATCAGTCCTCACCTGGGAAGACGTTTGCTACGATGTCCCTGTGCCGTCGGGTACCCGTCGACTTCTGAAGTCGGTCTATGGGTATGTGCAGCCAGGAAAGCTGACAGCGCTTATGGGTGCGTCTGGAGCAGGTAAAACGACGCTGTTGGACGTCCTTGCCCGGCGGAAGAACATCGGTGTGATCACTGGGGACATCCTGGTAGACGGGGCACCCCCCGGTATGGCGTTTCAGCGTGGCACATCCTATGCGGAGCAGCTGGATGTGCATGAGGAGATGCAGACCGTCAGAGAAGCCCTGCGGTTTTCCGCGGACCTCCGCCAGCCCTATGAGACGCCCCAGAAGGAGAAATATGCTTACGTGGAGGAGATTATCTCGCTTCTTGAGCTGGAGAACCTCGCGGATGCCATCATTGGTGATCATGCCACGGGATTGTCAGTTGAGGAGCGCAAGCGGGTTACGATTGGGGTCGAACTGGCTGCGAAACCGGAGCTTCTGCTGTTCCTGGACGAGCCGACCTCCGGCCTTGACAGCCAATCTGCCTTTAATATCGTGCGCTTCCTACGGAAGCTAGCCGCTGCCGGCCAAGCTATCCTCTGTACTATCCACCAGCCGAACTCCGCTCTGTTCGAGAACTTTGATCGTCTGCTTCTCCTGCAGCGTGGTGGAGAATGTGTCTACTTTGGAGACATTGGGCCCGATTCTAGCGTGTTATTGGATTACTTCCGGCGTAATGGTGCCGATTGCCCACCCGACGCCAACCCAGCAGAATGGATGCTCGACGCCATCGGCGCTGGACAGACCCGGCAGATCGGCGAACGTGACTGGGGCGAGATCTGGAGGACATCGCCCGAGCTCGAGAAAGTCAAGAAGGAGATTGTCGAGCTCAAGGCTAGTCGTGCACAGGCGGTGCAGGAGACCAGCTCACAACACGCCAGCCAGAAGGAATACGCAACCCCGTTGTGGCACCAGATCAAGACCGTCTTCCACCGGACAAATATCGTATTCTGGCGGTCCCGGAGATACGGGTTCACGCGCTGCTTTACTCATTTTGCGATTGCCTTCATCACGGGTCTCGCATTTTTACAGTTGGATAATTCTCGCGCCTCGTTGCAGTACCGGGTGTTCGTCATCTTCAACGTCACCGTCATCCCGATCATCATTATCCAGCAGGTGGAGCCGCGATATGAGATGTCTCGACGAGTATTCTACCGGGAGTCCACGTCGAAGACGTACAGGGAGTTTGCCTTTGCGTTGTCCATGGTCCTAGCGGAGATCCCGTACTGCATTCTCTGTGCCGTGATCTTCTTCCTCCCGCTGTATTATATCCCCGGGTTCCAGGCTGCCACCTCTCGAGCGGGGTACCAGTTCTTCATGGTTCTGATCACCGAAGTCTTCGCCGTGACGCTGGGACAGATGATCCAGGCCCTCTCCCCGGACAGTTACATCGCGTCGCAGATGAACCCGCCCATCACGATTCTGTTCTCGCTCTTCTGCGGCGTGATGGTCCCCAAGCCGCAGATCCCCGGGTTCTGGCGCGCATGGCTATACCAGCTGGATCCGTTCACGCGCATTGTCAGCGGTATGGTCACGACCGAGTTGCATGAGCGCCCCGTAGTGTGTCGCTCGGGCGAGCTCAATCGTTTCGACGCCCCGGCCAACCAGACCTGTGGCGAGTACATGCAGTCGTACTTTGACAAAGGGGGAGCCGGATATCTGGTCGACACTGCCTCGCAGGCGTGCGAGTTTTGTGCGTATAAAGTCGGCGACCAGTTTTATCGCACGTACGGGATGACCTTCGATACACGTTGGCGGGATCTGGGCATCTACTGTGCCTTTATCGGGTCGAACCTGATCATCATCTTCCTGGCGGTAAGTTCAATCGTGTTCGAGCTGATGTTGGCAGCTGGTTGCTAATCATGAGTTTACAGGCCCGCTACCTGATCTTCAATCGCCGCTAGACGGCTTTATGACTACCAATAACCTGCTGTTGGTAGGTTGCTTTGATGCTTTCGACGAGTATGGGGCTAATGACGGAGGTGAGGATATCAAAAGTAGGGGATATAGATATGGCGATGGAGTGTTGTAATTTCCTCAGTTGAATGAATGAGACGATGTATGCAAGCTCTGCCGGGCTATTGCCTTGTATGCCCTAGGCCACATAGGCTATTTCCTCTTGTCTCTCCACGCTGCAGATCGTAAAGATCCCTGGCTACTCCTCTCTTCCCCGCATCCCTTACATCCTTTCAACACCCGAGGCAAGCAGAAGACACCCCCAAGTCAATACTACTCGGTCTTCTCCCGATGCATCGTCCATGCTGGCCAATAACTTCCTTGTGCAACCTAGCTAAGGCTCGATCAGACCAGGCGTGATGGCCTATTCGCCGCCAACCGCCGGTGCAAGTCCGACACAAGCCTTGACCGCAGCCCGTTAGGATATGCTTGTGCCCCCACGCCGCGACGTCTTTTCTCCGCAGTTCCTCCAGTCCATGACCCCAGAGTCCGGGGGTTGGTGGACCAACCGTCCGATCCTCCAGGCTTTCCGCGTGGGGTCAGTGGAGTTCACGAGGGTAATTGATGAGAAGTGCGCTCTGAACATTGTCCTACGCATTGTTGAGCCGTGTGTATCGCCTGATTCGTACTAGTAATCCCCTCTGCGTGTTTATATAAAGACTGTCCTGGTCGAGCCTGGCGATTCACGCGAATCTACAGCGGCTTCTTTTCTACCGATTCAACGCACACCAGCCATCATGGGTCTTGGCTCGCGATTGGGAGCCTTTGCCGGCTCCAAGGACGACGAGGTCACGGAAACGCCGACGGCCTCGCACAGTGAGAATCGCACCGTCGACCCGTCATGGAAGGCGGCCAAGTCCAAGGACGGCGACACCGCCATGGCGCTCTTCGATGACCCCGACGAGCTCCATGAGCCCGTGGACCCTGCCGAAGCGAGGCGCGTTCTGTGGAAAATCGACTTTATGATCCTGCCGTACCTTGCGGTTTGCTATGCGTTCTTTTATATTGATAAGGTGCCGTGCTCGTTCTGGTCGAGGGCCATGGGCTTGTCTAATTGCTGCAGACGACGCTGAGCTATGCGGCGATTTTTGGCATCGTCGAGGACCTCGAGCTCCATGGGACGCAGTATAGCTGGCTGAGTAGTATCTTTTACTTTGGGTTTCTTGTATGTATGCGGAGATAATTTGTGTTGTGGGAAAGTATTGACAGGTCGCAGGCGTGGGCTTTTCCGACCAACTTTATGCTGCAACGGTTTCCAATTGGTATGGCCCGTTTGATGCTATGTACAAGAGTATATCTGATCAACTGCAGGAAAATATCTCGGGATAAACATCTTCATGTGGTATGTACCCCATGTGGACCTCCTGCGCTGCTGACCGCGTACTGACCGAGTAGGGGCGTCTTCCTCATGATCCAAGCAGCCTGCCACAACTTCACTACGTTAGCGGTCCTCCGCGCGCTGGGAGGCGCCGCAGAAGCTTGCGCCGACCCGGCATTCATGCTCATCACGAGTATGTGGTATACCCGGCGCGAACAGCCGGTGCGCATGGGCCTGTGGTACACGGCGAACGGGTTTGGCATCGCCCTGGGCGGATTGCTGGGATACGGCATCGGCCATATCCGGGGCGCCCTTCCGTCGTGGAAGTACGAGTTCATCGTCATGTAAGCCGTCGTTGTCTTTGAAATGGCCTGCTGCTGTATTAACATGTCTGCAGCGGCGCCCTCTGTTCGACCTGGGGTATCGTCATGTTCATCTTCCTCCCCGACTCACCCGTCACAGCCCCCGGCTTGACGAAGAGAGAGCGGCGGATCGCCGTCGAGCGTCTGCGGGAGAACCAGACCGGCGTCGAGAACAAGCATCTGAAGCCGGCGCAGATACTCGAGGCGTTTTGCGACTACAAGCTCTACTTTTTCTTCGTCCTGGGCATGGTTTGCAATATTCCCAACGGTGGTATCTCGAACTTCGGAACCATCATCATCAAGGGCTTCGGATTCTCGACGCTGGTGACTACCCTCATGCAGGTTCCCTACGGGGTCTTGATTGCCATCTCGATCCTGATTTGCGTATACCTGAATGATCGATTCGAGAACAGACGCTGCGTCTTCATTTTGATCTTCCTCCTTCCTAATATTGCCGGGGCGTTTGGCTTGCGCTTCGTCCCGCTGGACCAGAAGGTCGGCCGGTTGATCTGCTACTATCTTACTGGACCTTATAACGCCGCCTTTGTTTTGATCCTGAGTATGCAGGTTGCCAATACGGCTGGTATGTTGCACTCCTTTCTGAGTCTGCAAGTAGACTTCTGATGAACTTGTGTAGGTCACACCAAGAAGGTCGTTACCAACGCAGTCCTCTTCCTGGGATATTGTACCGGGAACATCGCCGGCCCGTTCTTCTACAAAGACGATCAGAAGTGAGTGTGACAGCGTACCAATCCGCGGAGCATGTCTAACGAAGTACAGACCGACTTATAGTCTTGGAATCTGGTCCATGATCGTCTCGCACTTGATCGAGGCCGTTCTCATCAGTGTTCTAGGCTTGTTGCTCCGGTGGGAGAACAAGAAGCGAGACCGCATCCAGTCGCAGATGGAGGGGGGTCTCGAGGGCAGAGATCTGGGGGCGACTGCTTTCATGGATTTGACAGACAGGGAGAATCTGAAGTACGTTTTCACTAGTATATTACCACTTGTTTGTTTTGGTGCTAATTGTCGGCAGTTTTCGGTATATTTATTAGCGGCCAGCACCTTGGGTCACTGTGCTGAGTGCTTCAAAACGTTATGGTGGCATCTTATACGGTTCTATAAACCTAGTGATTACTTCAATATTACTGTTGAACGAGCTGGTTACCACAAACAATCTACTCAACAACGAGAAAGCAAGAGGAACAACCAGCAACACCCAGGCTGACTACCTAGTAATACATAGCCATCATGTTATATCAATTATTCTTGAACGGAAGATTATAAGATTCTAGGCTCCACGGTAAACTATTATACGTATAACACAGGGCGGTTGAAGAAACAAATGCAAGGGATAATGACCCAGTAAGAATCCACCTACCCCGAGTTCTCCTCCTTGATATTATGCTGTCCAACAATCGTGAGGAACACCTGATCCAGCGTCGTCTGACTGACAGAATAATACTGCACACCCAACGCATGCTTGCTCTGCTCCAGTTTCGAGAACAGCTTGCTGACGCTTCCACTACCACCGCTACGAGGCAAACCCCCCGTGTACTCAACAGCGGACTGCATCTTGATCTCGTCCTCCGTAATCGACGACGAGTCGTCGCCTGCAGGCGAAACCCCTGCCGGGACGCTGAATCGCAGCTGTCCGTGATACGTCTTCTGCTCAATGACAGCGCTGGGGAAGCTCTCTGCAACCCAGTGGCGGATACGTTCCATGTCTGCATCGCTTGTGTGTGGCGCCTGCGCATGGACCAGATGAACATGGTACATGTTTCCGTACTTGGAGCGGAGGAAGTCCGTCGTGCCGAGCGCCAGCATCCGCTTGGCCATGATACCAGCGCGGTGGGCGAGGGCGTCGGCTTCCTCCATGGAATGGGTCGTGAGGACGATAGACCGTGAGGATGCGACAGCCGCCAGCGTCCTCCACATGACTCGCTTGGAGGCGGCGTCCATGCCGGAGGAAGGCTCGTCGAGCAGGAGCACGGTAGGGTTGCCCATTAACGCGATGCCGAGGGAGAGCTTGCGTTTGTTGCCGCCGGAGAGCTTGGTGGCCATGCGGTGCTTGAAGGGGATGAGGCCCACGGCGCGCATGACTTCGTTGACGTTGTGAGGCACGTCAGGAACACCCCGGATCCAAGCGTAGAAGGTGAGGTGTTCGAGGACGGTCATCTGGTCCATGGCGTCGAACTGTGGACAGACGCCGAGCCGAGACCGCGCTGACGCACGGTTTCTCAGTACCGATATGTCGTCAACAAAGATGTCGCCTCCATTTCTGGAGGGTCGTATGTCGCCGCGGATAAGAGAAATGGTGGTTGTTTTGCCTGCGCCGTTGGGACCCAAGAGAGCGAACACCTCGCTCTTGCCGACACCAAAGGTGACGTCTTCCACTGCGGTGAATTTCTTGAACGTCTTGGTGAGGTGAATGGCGCGGAGGCCGTCCTCGGAATTAGTGGCGCGGGCGACTTCCGTCGCTATGTCTTTGTCAACGGGATATTTCTCCTCCACGTCGGTTGCTTTAGACCTCAAGCGCAGGAAAGCCAGGACAGGGCCGCTGTCAAACCAGAGAAGTAGTCCGAAGAGAACAAAGGATTGGATAATGAGATACAAGATGGGCCCTCCGTAGAGGGTGATCTCGCCGGGATATGAGGCAACCTCTCTGCCGCGACATAGAATAGAAAACACATTCAGGGAAGTAAACATGGCGCGGAGAAGGTTTCCCGACGGCGCGATGATACCGATAGTAAAATGTGCGATGTTGACATAAGAATCGATTTTGTCCGTGGGAGCGTAGGTCAATACGCACATATATGCAATGAAGTAGATGAGGAACAAGACGCATTGCCCGCCAGCTGCGAACGCAAATGCCGCGAGCTGGGACTTGGAAAACAAGGAGACGAGGTAGGAGACTAATGTCGCGCAGAGCCCATATGTAAAAAATACCACAAAGAGATACCCAGAATGGTACCATATGTCGGACACAGCTCGGAATATGACAATGGCGAGGACACTGGAAGCCAGAACGATACAAAAATCGAATGCTAGATACGCCAACCACAACGATGTGCCCCGTACACCGTTGCTGAAATGCAAGGCCCGCACGTTTCGGAGCCGTTCAACCGTTGGGTATAGAGCAAACATCGCAGGGTAGATTGACATGGCCAACCCAAAGTACACGATCAGCTGGAGAGACTTGCCCGCATCGGGTTGGATTGGGATGTCAAAGTACTGGAATTGCGTGTTGATCGGCATCCCAGTCAGAACACGATTGAGCGCATTCTGTATGATGGCTGCGAGTGGGAAATCGCCATTGTCGCCTAACCAGGCTAATGTAGTGGGAGAAGACGAGTCCCCAATATAGAAGCCACCGGGTGTCACATTGGCGAAGTTGTTTTGTATGTACTGTTCGAACTGGCCCAGGCTGTCCACCGTGTGGAACAGAGCTCGAACATCAATAGACACTCCTTCGTTGGAAGCACTCTGGCCGAGTAAGGAGTTTGCAAAACTCTCGAGTGCAGAAGGTGGCAGCAAATCTGATGGACCAAGCACGATTTGAAGATCATCCAGAGCACCCAGAGAATTAGACCTTGGTGTCCGCGATGTGCTCTCATCAGAACAACCAGCTTTCGTCATATCACGTAGGAACAGGGTGACTAGGCCAGCAGCAATGACAGGAATAATGAGCGCAGCGACGTATGGAAGAGGATTGCGCCGCAGGATGGTCAGCCTCTTGCGGAACAGATACCACGCCTGGAGCGCGAACCCAATCCGTTCACCTGTTAGAAGTTGTAGTGAACCGCTGTCTCCTTTTCCGTCCCAATCACCAGCTCCTTTCGGGTGCATATTGGTTTGATCGTCCTCTGCGCTCTCCTGAGACGCGTTGAGTTCCACTTCTTCGGCCACCTTGAGAAAGACATCCTCAATTGTCGGTCCACTGACACGATACTCTGATATTCCTTCTCGTTCGAGGTTGGCGACAAATCGAGCAGCTTCAGAGGAATCCTGAACAGTAAACACTGTCCCATCAAAATGCACCTCGTGCGGTACATCGTCAAACTGGGAGCTAAACTTTGTCTCGCTTCCTGGGACATTGAGAACATGAATCCTGTATCCGGAGCCTAGTCGGTGTTTCAATTCGACACTTGAGCCCTGCGCCTTGAGAACACCTTTTGAGAGGATAGCAATATGGTCGGCAAGGAGGTCAGCCTCATCCAAGAAATGGGTCGTGAGAAGAATAGTCCTGGATCCTCGCTCGGCCAGAAGAATGTCCCATATCTTCCTGCGTGATATTGGGTCAAGGCCGGATGAGACTTCGTCCACACAGCACACCGATGATCCACCTGTAAACATCATTGCCAGTTGAACTTTGCGTTTCTGTCCTCCGGAAAGTGTTCTGGAAAGCGCGTTGACCTTCGTGCCCAAATCACAGTCATCAATCAGTTTCATGATATCCTCTTGAGTATCCGCTTTGCCCGTGGATTTGAGTCTATTGAAGATCTTCACGTGTTCCTTGACTGTGAGTGTAGGCCAGAGGACGTTCTTTTGAGGGCAGAGGCCAAACTTCCCACCGCCTTCTCCATAGCTGATATCAATCTCTCCTGATGAGATTTTCGTCAACCCGGCGATAGCCTCCAAAGTCGTAGACTTTCCCGATCCATTCGCACCAAGAAGAACCATGATCTGGCCTTTCGTAACATCCATGGAGAGTTTGTCCACTGCGAGAACGGTGCGTCTATTGCTTCCAAGCCGCGAGGCTACATTTCTGTAAAACCAACCGGGCTGGTATAACTTGGTAAACTCTTTCAGGCTAAGAGCCGTAGAAGAGTCGGAAGTTGAGGTTTGGCGGCTCTTTGATGTCGTACCATAGAGGACACGCTCCACAATTGCAGCCAGGATAGGATATGCGATGATTTGAACAATGAGCAAGATCCACAAGACAATCCCCGGAAGGCTCCATGGGTTGTTGGGTGCGGCCTGTGTTAAGTTCGCCGCTAGGTTTTGTCTCTCCCACCGTGCAAGGAAGATGGAAAAGTAAACATAATTCATCGACGGGAACAAGAGTCCAAGAATAGCGACGGAGCCATTGGACGATGCGGGCGCCATCTGTGCGATGACACCCAGGAGCAAACAGGCGATCACCACCGAAATACCACTCAACTGGGCCTTCCTGAAAAAGGAGGCCCCAAAGATAGAGAAGGATGACAGCGCGAGGCCAGCCAGGATGTGATAGACAACCGTAATTCCGGCAGAGGTCTTGCTGTATACTCCATATTTCAGGATCGCGCCAGATACAATCCACCCTATCCCGTAGACCATGTCCAAAGCCAGGTGCGCAGAAATGAAACGAGCAGCTTGGGACTGCCACTGAGAGTTATTCGGCATCATACAGTCGATGAGCTGGCTCATACCCAACTCACGTTCCATCGCAATCAGACCGGTCAAGTGATAGGTTACTCCCACTATTCCAATGAAAATGGCAACGGCGATAATGTCGATGATGGCTCCCATGTATCGCGTCCTAATTTGATCCTGTCGCCCTTTCCGGGTGAGAGATGTAAACGGGTACTCCAAGATCTACATCACGTTAATGGGATACGGTATTCTCAAGGTTCGACAAGTATACCTCACTGGGAAGACGACTATCATCCAGAGATGTGTTGGTTTGTGCAATGGCCCAGTCGATTGAATGTTGGAATGGAAGGAGATAAACCTCCTGCGTGTTGTCATCCTTATCGACATTCACCCCCGACGCCAAAGCCAGATCGGTCCGAATCGAATAGTTCCATACTCCGTGCGGCCCTTCTGTAGGCGACGAGTGGAAGACAGCACCGGCTACACATGTCGATACTCCGAGAAGAGTCGAGCGACATATCTCTCGGAGTTCACTCTCCGACGACACGATGTGGGCTTGTTTCTGGCTCTCTCTGACGGGGTCCGCGACTTGATTGATCACTTGTTCGATAGGACCACCGGTCAGCCCATTATGGACAAAAACAACCTTTTCCCTTGTGGAATCCATGAGGCCCAGCGACTCTGACAACGGTCGCAGTGGATTCGGATCACCGATGCCATATACGGCGGGTTCGATAAACAGATTCCGCGCATAGGAACTGTGCTTGCATTAGACATCATCCGAAGCAAATCTCAAGACTGGAGTAAACTCACATGAATGCAATAAATACCACTGGTAGAAGAAGAGCTCTTAGAAATGTAGTAAGGAATGGACGAACCAGAACCACAAGGAGGTTCTTAACGGTTAACGTCCAGACCTGTCTTAGGAAAAGCACCGTCATCTTTTGGCTGTATGTTGACCCTGGCCCGCGATATAGCAGGAATCGCACTTATTCCATAAGAACCATAACAGACAAAGTAGCTGGGTTAATCTGCTGTGCGACAAGGCATCAGGTCAGACTCAGTGTGTCCCCAACGTGTTGGTACAGCGATACAGCGGAAGGCATCGTGTTTTCTGGAAGGGCCATAAAACACATAAATAGCCCGGCTCCTACGCTGGTGCATTATCCCCCAAGAGATCGATTCCTTTAGCGTGACAGGTAATCAACAAGCGACCAATCACTGCCCCATTGCAGCAGGATTTTTAGGCTGTCCGAGGTTGACTAAGAGCAGAGGGATTGGCGCCCAGACACCATCGCTTCGCACCGCCCCGCTTCTCTCTTTGGGCCTGAAGGGCGCAAGCGATCACTCGTGGATCGGACAAAAGGTCAATAGCCAACGCGTCATGTTGACTGCCCAGGTCGATGGTGGCTAGCGGCGTAGATTAAACATGGCAGACCAGGGTGCGAAGCGAGGTTCGGTTCGGAGACTGGGCCTGGCTTGCATTCTTGGCCATGCGTTGGGGCTTAGACCTTAGATATCAAATCAGTGTCCTTCAGAAGAACAACGATGACAGAGAGGAAGAATGGGAATATGAACACAGAGGGAAATAGTATAAGCCCTGTCGGTTTCTATTGGGGATACATTGAAACACATAGACGTCAAATTCCATATACATAGGATGATAATAATACATTCGCCAAAGATGAATACCAAATGCCTTTGCACCAATTCCGGATTACCGTTTCTGTCCAGGTCTTCTCTGGCCAGTGAGAGCAGACTTCTGCCGGAGGTAGTTGGATACGATGTTCTCCACGCTGCCCATGTCATGCTTGGGCTTCCTAAAGAGTAGCGAAGCGAAGTCAGTTCCATCCGCGGATGCGACAAGAAGTGGATAGGGGAAAGACGCCAGATATGAGGGTTCACGCACCGCATGTAATACAATCTTGCTCTTCTCTTCCGCTTCTCCGTCCTCTGCACGATCTCCACGCTCTCCACGTTCGGGCTGAACACCTTCACCCACATCTCGACACCCACTCGGGTGAGTTCATTCCGCATCAAGAACGCCGTATCAATTCCGCGCAGGCGGATGCTCAGACATACGCCGGAGAAAGGATCTCCGTTCTTGAACGTCACGCGCAAGATGTCGCCAACCTTGACACTGCGGGGGTTTCGTCGGTAGTCGAACAACGCCTTACGTTCACCGGTGGGGTCGAGAGTCGCTAACTGAGCTTCCGTCACTGCTCCCACGGGGTCTTTGCACGTAGAACGGACCGTCGGCGGCGGAGGGTAGACCTTGAGCTTCTTGCGTCCTGTACCATGACGAGTCAGACTCTTGTACCATCCCAAGCAGGACACGATCGACAACATCCAACGTACCATTATTCGGCTGCAGGCGAGACGGTATTTGTGACAGGAACGATTGCGGCAGTCTGGTCGGAAGAGGCGCGGGCTCTGGCTTCGGAGTGTATGCGGTCGAGATGGACCGAGATTGCAGCCAGGGCTGGGGTTTAATCAGCGACCTGAAGCAGCCCAGCTGCCGCATTATCGGGGAGAAGGTCGCCATGACGGGCGGAAAGGAAAGGGAGGGCGTGGACTCGCGACGATTGAGGGTTGAAAGGGTATTGACAAACTTGGAGAAATCATCGGCGGAGAGAGATTCGGACCGGCAGAATTTCCGCCAAGCCTCTACTTACCCGATTAGGACGGGCGTCCAGCATCGGGAACTTTTCTGCTTTCGCGCCTCGTCAACCCCGACGATATTCCGTACGCTGGTCTGTTTGGGCGAGATCTGGGCAATTCACTAAATTACGCATCCTCTCTCCTGTTGGATCCATTCTCTTCCGTCTTCACCTCCGCCCTCGACTCTCCCACACCGTGAGGATGGCGCAAAACGCCGTCGGCAGGCTCTTCCGCGGCCAGAGTTCCTGTACTCTCCGCCAATCCATCGGTTCTCTCACACAGAAGCGCAGCTACTCGAAGAATGGTGCGTCCATAATGCCCTACACCCCCATTGTCACCTATTCGACTAACTGACGCCCTCCAGCAATCCCTAGTTTCTCCCTCACGTCCTCCCCCGAACTGGACCAGGCCCTCAACCGCTTCCGCGAAGAGCTCTTTATACCGTTTGGGCTGGGCACGCCGCAGCGGAAGCTGATGTTCCGACAGAAATACGCCGACCGACTGGACGAAGAGCCCGTCAGCGTGACCATTGGCGAGGATGAGCCGTTCCTCCTGCGGCCCATGGACCCCCAATCGAGACCGACGAAGAAAGAAGCCGTGGACTTGATCGCCCTGATGAAGACGACGAAAGACTGGCAGAACCTCATCCCCTTCCTTTCGGGGCTGCGCATGTCGCATCGCATCCTCAAGTCGGACCGGTGGCAGTGGCTGATCCGCCGGGCGGGTCAGTCCGACGCTCTGGGCGTGGTGCTCGAGTGCGCGAAGCAGGTCGAGCGGACGGGTCTGCGCTTCAACGACGTTGATGTCGTGCAGCGTTATTTCTTTGAACTCCACCGCAAGGCACAACGGGGCGATTTCCAGGACCCGGCCGTCTCCAAGGCGCTGAGCCTGGGAAAGCAGGCTGTCACGCTGATGGAGACGCCTGAGCACGTCGAACATAATATGGAACAAGACCCCAAGCGGAAGCCATTCGTCATCGGCACGTTGCTCGAGCTCAGTGCTGCGCGGGCCCTCAATGTATGTGAAGGAAAGGATGAGACGGGTGATGTTAGCCTCTTTGCTCGGCGCCTCCTCGGCAGCTGGGAGCTGGGCACATTTGATCGCGAGGCCAAGGACTGGGTCAGCATCGACCGCATGCTGCAGGAGAACGTGCCCATCTACAACGGCATGAAGCTGGCCCTGCAAGTCAATGGAATCTCCAATGACAAGTCTATTGCCCCGGGCTTGAAGACCCGTGTAAACGAGCTGGGCATGTTGATCGCAAACCAGAAGAAGGCCGCGCCAGAACGGGCGCAGCAAAACCCAACGCTGGGCTTGGAGCAAAGCCAGCTTTTCCATCAGGGTTAGACTGTTGACTGGTCGACCCCTCTTGTCTATGAATTGTATATTACCATTTAGAATTTTCTGAAGCTGTATGTTATCTGCGTTTTGAGGAATGAACACTATCGTCTTCCCACCACCGCATTCAAAATGAGATCAGCTGAGACGTCCAATCAAGCAACCGTAGCGTGAGCGCCATTTGATTTGCAGATATCCCATCCCAAGATAAAGACACATACACAAACTATACCGAAACAAACGCTAACGACGCTCGGAAGTGTTTTACCAACAGAGGAACTAGCACAATGCAAGTGTGCTATCGTCATTGATGCGGGCCCGTACGGGAATGGTTGTCTTGCCTGAGATAACAGAAGGGCCGGACACCGTGATCTACAGATTATCCATTAGAACGGATCAGGGAAAGGCAAGGGGACTTGTTCACATACCTGGCCTTCCAGATCATTAGCCTCGGAGACATCCGTCAAGACGATCTCAACGCTGCTCAAAGGAGCGCCAAAGTGGCTCTGACCCTTGCTGCGGCGGTAGTCGAAGACATTGGTCTGGGTAATAGCACCGGCGACTCCAGGACCCGTCAAGGCGTAGACCGCTCGAGCGCCCGTGAAGATTCTTAGGTCTGTTAACTGATCATAGGTCAAACAGGCTTCCCGGTTAGCATCAGCGCGGTGTGAGATGCACAGGAGGCGGAGATTATCGAGGGACAGTTCTGCGGTCGGGCCAATGCTCGCAATTTGACTCCAAATGCCATGAGAAGGCATGCGCCCAGCGTCCAGCGTCCGGGCGTGAACCCAGCGAGCAAGGGCGGGGAGCAAACCGGAATGGGGTGCCATGAATTTGTCATGGTAGTTGGTCATGGTGCTAGAAGAGGAGATGATCACAGTGGGAGAAACTCCAACGGTGGCCAGTGCGAAATCCACACCTTCTCCCGCAACAGAATTGAGAGCAACAGACGCATTTGAGTAGAGCGCGGCCATGATCTGACAAAGTGGGTAGGACCGAGAGAGGGAGTCGATCGAGAGGACCAAATCCTTGGGACTGAATCGTTGATTCCGGGGAAGTGAATACATCAAGCCAGCAATACCCGAAACTAGATTCTACTCTGATTGTTAGCTTAGATCACAAATCCAGGGAAGGACACATACCTCCGGTTGGTACTCTACCAATTCACCCTTGCCTGTTGCAGACAGCCACACGGTGCTTACCGATGGAGTGCTCGAAGTCGGATCCCAACTAGGCACATCCAGACCTGCCAGGTCCTTCTTTTCATCGATGAGCTCGTGCCACACGGTCACACTCAAACGCCCCTGAACATCCTGAGGTACGTCATTCCAGTCCATGTGCCGACTGCCGAGTTTGGCCACCCAGATAACTTCAGAGAGTTGCTCATTGTTCTTAGCCACAAAAGACAGATCCAGGGCACCAGCCTCGGCGATGAGGACGTCGGCTTGGGCATCATGCAATAACGACGACAACACCTTCGGTTCGAGGTTATGGGGGATGATGATGATGCGGAAGCCGTAGAAAGCGCCGGCTACACCATGTTGATTAGCAGCAGTCCTACAAAAGGGAGCACGCTAGTCTATAGGCATACCGAAGACAGATGCCAAGTGTTCGACCGAGTCCGTCAGGCAGACAGCAACGGTCTTGGCCTTGGCAGCTTGCAGATGGTGTCCGAGGACGTTGATCTCCTGGGTGACCTGATCCAAGGAATGCTCTATAGCCTTCCTACCAAGGACCGTATAGATCTTGCCTGGTGGCCCAGATGGTTGTCCGTCTTCTCCGAGGGGTCCACGCATCGCAGCTCTCCAGATATCACGCAGGTCACCTCTCCGACCACTAGTCCATTTCGGAGCACCAGCATCCTTGACATTCAATCCCGAGCGAAGCGGGAAACCGTGGGGAGTCTCCAGACTCCGATATGCGGAAGTTTCGCCCGGCTGACGGACGGGGAAGGCAGTGGACTGGCGAGCCAGTAAGAAGGGATGGATATCGGGGTCTTTGGACGTAATGAAGGAGACAATGACAAATGCAACGAGGGCGCCCGCGATCAGGGTGGTATAGGTATTCCAGTCGGCCAAAACATCGCCGATTACGCGGTCGATCTGAGCCAGTACTGACGATTCGGAAGCCATGGCTAGTATACCCGGTCTCTGATGAAGGGTTCCGCTATCTCGTCGTCATGTACCCGGAAAGAAGAAAGAAACTGATCGTCGATGGAAAAGAAATAAGATCGGTCTGTGATGACCAAACCCCGATCGGAAAGATAATCGGATAGTTCAGTGTAGGCTGCTGCGAAGGCACAGGCGACAACAATCGACCAGCTCGAGTGACGTGAGGGGGGCAGTTCGGCTATGTGGGGGCAAGGTCATTGGGAGAGCTTCCGCCTTAGCGGAAAACTTCGCGCCAAAACAAGCGCTGACAACCGCGGTCACTTGTGGTTGCTGTGATCACCCTCGTTGGCGCCTCGGTCACCAAAACAATCAACTCAACTTCCTCTTCCGCTCGTTCAGAGCGTGTCGTCCCCTCTCCCTCCGGACATGGTTTTGTCTGGGAGTTTGTAATACTTCTTTCATCCAGCTTCTCAATCTCTCCAAGGTAAGTCCCACGAAGTTCTTTGTCAAGCGAGGTAAGTCTGTCTCTTCCCAAACCCTGTCCGGTGGGTATGCGACTCGGCCATTTTCTAACCTTTTGAAGTGCTATTCGTCCGATTGTTTCTTTTTCCTTCTGTGTTGTTGTCCCGAGATCATCGTTGTCATTGTCGTTGTCTCAATGGCTCAGTCTCTTCCCTCGACCCCTAAATCGGCCTCTGCGCCCGCCCCCCAGCCCGATGAATCTCGGACACCTGGGAAGTGGCGTCATCCTCAGATGGATGAGATTGTCCGGCGACAGAATGCTGGAACATTCGGCGACCGCAACATCAAGAAATTGGTGTGGAATGGGGGCGCCCTGTTTGCTACTTGGGTGTTTGGAAACTCCTTCAAATCATAGTGAGTGTCGCGGAAGAGAATCCCAAAGGAGACATGCGGGGATCTGTCTAACAGGGACCTATCGTCTGAACAGTTCACTTCGTCTCCAAAAGAGCAGCAAGGTTGCGACCTACCCCGACGTGACGCTGCTCATTCTACAACTCATTTTCGTCATGAACATCGTCATCGCATTGTATCCCCTCTTCCGACCGAAAGACGATCTCTCCGATATCCCTCTGACGCCTACACAACGTTCGCTTCTTGGGCTGGATCCCTCTGTTACCCCTCCGGTCACACCGGGAACGACATACATTACCCCACCGAAGTATCGGTTGTCTGCCTCCCGCACGGCGAGCCCTGCTAGCAAAACCGGCTCCCCTCTGTCCAGAAGCGCCAGCGCTTCCGGGCACCGGTTATCGTCCGGCGGGTCCTTTTCCCCGTCGAGTAGCCCGTTATTTCACAAAGCGATTGCCAACGGAGGAAGAGATAGTGGTCGGAGACCCAGCTTCGGGTCGTCATCGCTGTTCGATCGGAGCTCGCCCTTTCGAGAGTCAAGTATCGGGCCTGCCACTCCATCTCCTATGGGAGGCAAGCGTGTGAGCCTCGGCCTAAGCAACAAGTGGTTGTATGAGCGGAGTCGACGGCTTTCGGCGAGCAATGCTAGTCTTTAAGAATTTTGCCCCTTCTTTTCTCCATATTCATGGTGTTCGGTTGCATTGGTAGTGGGAGATGATTTTTAGGGTGTTTTGTTATTTTTCTACTTGTGATTTTAGCCAGTTTTTCAATTCAGGATGATTCTAGATTTCTTTCAGTTTCCTAGTTTCTAGTCCGTACTAGTCCAGGTGGGCTAATTTCTTTGTGTCCCGCCAAGTCCCCGGGATCTGGATCTTGGTTCTCTCCCCCAACTCTCCGCGGGCCTAGTTCCCGCTATCGTTCAACAACCACAGAACGCCAACATCACCACAAGTCCTCCCTCACCACTGCATCCCTTTCTAGCTGGGCACTTCAGTACTCTTTTGGAAGAGGACGAGATCATCTCGCAGGCTCTGTGCTTGAAGGGTCAGCTCACTTTATGAGGCCGGTAGTCCCGTGAACAGTCCGTGGCTTCACTATGGGAGCTTCCGAGTCAAAGTTGGTGTTCAAGCAAGGAATCTTCCGTCTCTCAGAGGAGAAGGACATTCCTGCAGATGACCCTTACTGGGCGAGAGTCAGTCGCCCCGTTTCTCTTTCTATCGTACAACTGAAGAACCTTGACTGACGCTGTTGGGTTAGTTCTGGGAGCTCCCGGAGACGACAGAAGATGTGTTCAGCTTGTTCACCCCCGCGGATATACGGCGCACGCGCGACCATGCGTTATCAAACTTTGAGACCTTGTTACTCTCGATAACATCACGCTTGACCGTCCTGAAAAATCATCCGTCCTTTCCCGACCCCGAATTGGCCCCCGATCGGGACGCGCTGAACTGCATACGCATTCTCACCCGTGTCCTTCCCTTCATATACGAAGCCGAACACCTGGAGGAATGGGAGGAGAAGTTCTTTTGGGCTCGTCGGAAACGAAAGACAAGAGAAGCCCAAGTGGCTACGGAGGTGTTGTTCGACGAGGCGCAGGCGGAAGGTCGCGACCGAGCCTCACCCCGAGCCAGCGACTACGAGGATGTGAAGCCGTTAGCGGAGGAGTTGATCGACACCCTGCTTGACCTTCTCTTTTTCACGGACTTTACCATTCCGAAACTCCCGACCGCAAAGAGCAAAGTCTCCTACTCAATATGGCAGAGTGGTGTTGGCTGCAACACGTCCATGGGCTCGAATAAGGAGCTGGAGAACAACCGTTGTGAGGTACTTCGGCTGCTGTTGACTCTGACAGGAAAGGCGATGTATATGCCATCGAGTAAGTGCTGCAGCCTATGGATTGGTCGGACTCAGCTGACGGTCACCAGGTCTGCTGCCCGTGCAAGGCGTCAAGGCCATCACTTACATTGCGACATGCCCCGACAAGCAAGCTGTGTTAACGTTGCTGTGCTCTTTGTTAAACACTGTACGTTTGAGAATTGGTCTCAGTCATCGGAACTGATGCTAACCGTCTTCATAGGCTGTGAAATACAATCCCGCTTCTTGGAGGGTACCATACGATCACGTTGTATGGAAGGATCCCAAGCAGATCTTGGTCATCTATTGCTTGCAGTTTTTACTAGTGCTCCTCCTATACCCGGTCCCAGAAGATGGTCGAGGAAGCCCACCGAAGAACTACTACCGCCACTACTTCGGTCGACTACATCGGCCGCAAGACTTTCAATTCTTAGTTGATGGCATGACGAGGATCCTGAATCAGCCGGTATGCCGTCTTTCTTCTTTTGAGTTCCATAATGACCTTTTCTAACGCTCCTACTATCAGATGCAAGCGACAAATACATACCTTCCCGGGAGTCAGAAAACCGTCAAATGGGCGCCGGAGATGCTCATTCTTTTCTGGGAAGCATTGCAATGCAACAAACGATTCCGGTCATTCATCATCGATTCGAACCGCTCACATGATTTTGTGATCCTTTGCATTTTCTACGCCATTGAATACAAGTCCGACCCATCCAAACACGGCCTGGTTAGAATGTGCATCTTCATTTTGCAGACAATCAGCGTGAAGCCCAATTTCGGAAAGAGCTTGAACATGGAATTTGAAGCACAAGATACTCTGCCGCAGAGTATACGCATTCCCGGTTTCAAGGGGTCTTACGCGGATTATCTGATTATGGTACGTCCCCTGGTAAGGTGCAATTACAACACAACTGACGTCCATCTTTAGTCCGTCCACACTCTGATCACATCGAGCAAGGGCACACTAACTGCTGTGTATCCGGCCTTGCTTGCCATCTTGAACAACATAGCAGCTTATGTCGAGCACCTCTCACCAGCTGCATGTTCAAAGATCCTTCAGCTTTTTACCTCAATGTCGGCGCCTAGTTTCCTGCTAGCTAACGAGTCCAACCATCTACTGCTTGCCGCGGTGCTTGACTCTATTAATTCCATCTTGGAACATAGATTCACAGGTACGTCAAGGGCGCCTGGGTATTGGCCATATGTTTTGCTGACAACGGGCAGAAAATCCGTTCCTTGTGTACGTGATCCTGAAGTATCGCAAGCGCTTTGAAGCAGTCCGGGAGTTCACTCTTGAGAGCGGGCAGCAAGAGATCGAGCGACAAAACGAAAGACGAAAGGCCGAAGGTAACTCTCAGGAGTTTGCCTCCAGTCCTGTCTTATCTCCGTCTGAAGAAGACCCTCACGCTTCCTCCGGCGCCCGGTCCCCATTGGGGCGTATCCCAGAAGAGAATAGTCCCTTCTCTATTGGGGGAGACGATTCTGAGGATGAAAGAGAAGAGGAGCAAAAGGCACCTTCACAGGCATCTCAGTCCGTTCAGAGCTCTCGAAGGCCCTCTATGTCATCTATGGTTGATGAGAGTGTGCCCCTTCAGATACGTGGAATGTCTGAGAAAGCACGAGGCAAGATGCCTGCTGGACAGCCTTCGTTCTCCAGGCAAAATAGTATGACAAGTCAAAGCAGCATGTCGGCGGCGCTCTTGACGTCTCCTTCTGGTTTCACGCCAACTGTCGCCTGGGTGAGTACTAAATCAAACTTCCTCACGTCGGCAGTTGACTAACCATGCATACAGCTCGAATCATGGCTCCCGGAGCTACCGTTACACACCATTCTCACGATCATTTCTGCCATCACACCTCATGTTCCTGAGTCCGCCTTCCGAAGCGCGTCTTCGCCTGAAGCGCGCACGTTGATTGCCAACCTTCCCTCCTTCACGGAAGATCCCGCAATACATAACATTATCTCTGAGCCCTCTGCACCCCGAGTGCACTCGTTCGAATGGTCCGCTCTCTCGATGGGCTGGTATGAGTCCTTGCTCTGGGGATTTATCTTCTCTAGTGAGATGGTTGTCGGATCCGCCTCAGGGGCGACACCGGGTACGGTCGGGGTTTGGAATGGAACGGTGGTCAAGCTGTTCAAGGTGCAAGAAGCTGCTGCGCAGGGACCAACGTTACTTGCGCCAAAGGGGGCAGTTGATGCGGTTGGAAGCAACCTAGTGCAACGCATTGGGAATCTGAGCCTACGGCGAACCAGTACACAAGATTCGCAGGGCAGTTCTCGGCCAGCCTCTATTCGGGAGGTGTAATGTCTGTCCATCGTCCGTTAGTGAGCCGGTTCGTTACTCTTACGGTTGTCGCTTTGGCAACACGTTTAGTTTTCTTCACTTGATGTTTAATTAAAGGCTCAGGCTTGATACCCCTAAAGAGGTCGATCCTTAACTAGCATAATTCTCTCGCCTTGTAGTATACGCTTTAGGGTTTGTTTTCGTGGTATATATATTGCCTGGATACGAAGGAGTCGCATCCTGTCCAGACATAGTTTCTAGATTTAATTCCAACATGGTCATTCCAGTTTATCGAGAGAAATTGCCCACTATCATTAAGGATGAACAAAGTACCTTAGGGGTGTACTTTACGACCTACGCTGTCAATGTCAGGTTTACCACGTGAGGCGATTATTGGCTCCCACCGAACTTCGTTTCACGGCATATAAACAGCAACATTGTCGCAGGACACCCCGCCATTCAGTCCTCACATCTCGACCGAAGGTCTTCTGGATATTCAATTGCCTTAGACAGGCCATTTCACGCTTCATTGTTCCTGATGAGCTTACGATCGCTCCTTGTGGTGGCATCCGCCGCATCCCTGGTTTTGCCGGGGACCGCCGCTGGCATGTCGTCCGAGCTCCAGAGTGTTTTGAAGAACACTCACCGCGGCGACGAATATAAGTACCCGACGGATTTTACGCGCGGAATTATGCCAGTGAGTGACAATGAGCTCTCGATGGTCATCTCAGAGTGCCATCCGAGACCTAGTGCGAGTGCTATGGAGTGATCTGACGTTCGTGTGTTAGATACCAGTGCATTCTCACAAGTAAGTTGCCTAATGCATTGTTTCTGAGCTAGATGGCAGATTGAACAAGCGACTGACATTGGGATAGCGATTACTGGCGAGACATTCCGTTCTATACCGGTATGACCTGTAACCTAGGCTTTCCGAACTTTGCTGATCTCGCTCAAGGTCTCTCTAAAGGATGCATTTCCACAGAAGCCGATGTCTGGCTGTATGACGGCACTCTATACGTGAGTACTAAGGCGTCCTCTCCAAAACTGTACTCACCCAACTAGGTTGGCCATGACGAGTCGTCCCTGACTGAAGAGCGGACCCTGGAGTCTCTCTACATCAACCCCATGCTGGATGTCCTCAAATGGCAGAACCCCAAGACGCCCTTTGTCACATCACCTACCAAGAAGTAGGGATCCACGCTTCTTCAATTCCTTCGCTTAAACTGACTTCCACAGCGGTGTCTTCGACACTGACCCTTCTCAAACACTGTACTTTTTCATCGACGCAAAGACCGCAGGACGAGAGACGTTCGAAGCCGTCATTGCGGCCCTACAGCCCCTCCGTGATCACGGCTATCTGACGACGCTGAAAGACAACAAGACAATCACTTACGGTGCCGTGACCGTGATCGGGACGGGAAACACGCCGCTTGAGATGGTTGGGCCGGTCGCAGACCGGGACTACTTTTTCGATGCCCACCTTGATACTCTGGATAACCCAGAGAACTCTGGCATCACATCGCTGATCTCCCCGATTGCGTCTACAAGCTTCACCAGCGCCATTGGCGCAGTGAGGTTGGGTGAAGATGATGATGTCTTGACCGCCAAGCAATTGGACACCCTCCGCTCCCAGATCGAGAACGCAAAGGCAAGAGGAATTGGAGCGCGATACTGGGGGACTCCGTATTATCCGATTCGAACCCGAAATGCCCTTTGGAGGACTCTGCTTCGGGAGGGAGTGACGCTGTTGAATGCCGATGATCTCGAGGCGGCGGCGGATTACTTCTGATCTAGCTGGGCCAATGCGCCTCTATTGGATCATATCAATGGGATTGGTCATATAGTTTTCAAACTACTACTACTCGAGACATGCGATGTGCTTGTTGTTTCTATGTATAATCACGTGATTTACGAAATAGGACGCGACTCCAAGTAAGGCGAAAGAACTTCAACTCCTCAATTGGCCTCGTCCCTTGATCTCACATGAACATAATACCCGCCTCCTCCACAGATCGGAATGTCAAAGACAGACGTTGATCTGGGAGATCTCTTGGCCAGGGTGCTCCCCACCGAGGCCAAGGTCACCATTCGCCATGTCTCGTCAGCTCCGACGCCATGCGGAGCGCTCTTCGCCGCTCCGCCGGGCGAACAGTCCGAGTCCACCTTCTGCGAAAACCACTTTCTCTCGGTGTCAGCGGCGTCAGATGAGCACGATGGGGCTGAGGTGATTGTCTTTGGAATGGAGGTGCTGGTGTACAGCACCACACACCTGACTACGATCTTTGTCTCCAAGGCCGACTCCACCGGCTACCTGCATGTACTCAAGCTGCCCCCGCGAGCGTCGGTCCTCCGCCGCATCTCCGGCACCTTTCTCTCGTATCTGGTGCAGACGCGCCAGCGGCCGGGTGTGCGACTCGTGCTGTCGCTGTTTGCGCGCGCCCAGAACCAGTACCTGTTCCCGGGGAGCATCGAGAACCCGGAGAAACACGTCCTGGACGACCGCGGCCTGATCAAATGGTGGTGTCGCGCCGTCGACCCCATTCTCCGCGAGTACGAGCCGGAGTCGGGCTCGCACGACAAGGGCGCCGCCGACCAGGCCGCCGAGTCCGCGAAGAGCTCCGCCACCGCGTTCCTGATCGTGCCTGGGTGCGATAAGTTCGAGACGCGCGGGTTCTTCCCGCCCTCCGCGAAGACAGACGACAAGGACCGTCCGCGCTGGGTGAATAGCTACCCTGTGCGCCAGCTGTGCGACAACCCGAGCGCGCCACCGCGGTGCCTGATCCCTCGGTTTCCCGATGACCCGAAGACGCGCTTTCTGATCGACCTCGACGATGAGCTGCCCGAGCAGACGGAGTCGAGCGGCGCGACGGAGAACGCGGGCCAGTGGCGCAGTGTGAAGTCTTTGGATCAGTTTTGGGAGATGATGTCCTTTCGCCAGGAGTGTTCGGCCGGTCGGTTAGTGGGATTTTTATGGCTTGTGATTAACCCCCCAGGGCTCGTGAACTCGGTGCAGATGACTAGCTCCAGACCGGCGCCGGCCTCGGCGGTGAAGGAGGCGCTAGGGACGGGGTCGAATGCAGCAGAAGAGCAGAGCGTTGCGACGGAGAAGACACGCTCGACCACAGAACCCAACGACGCGCCCTTACCAGATCAACGTGACGAGGCTTCCTCGCAGGCTCCTTCCAAGTCTCAGCAATCTACAGATTCCAATGCTTTCTTCTGGCCTGATACTGGCCGTGGACACGCGGTCCTCAGTGAGGAGGACTACAAAACCGCGATCAATTTCCTCCTCGAACAGGATTTCGATCACAAGGAAGCTGCAATCTCCAGTACCAAGGGTTGGGGGGAGAAAGTCGCTTCTCTGGCTGACCAGCTCTGGGTCGGTCAGCAAGTGGTCGGAAGTATGGCCAGCGCCGAGTCCGCACCTTCAACTGGAACGACTACAAATCTGATAGACAGCGGACTCGTGCGGAAGAGGAAGAAGGAGACCGAGGAGGGCAGCAGACAGGAAGTGGGCCAGACAAGGTCGGATGCACAGACGCCAGAGCCCAAGCTTTCATCGGCTGAGCCATCGGGGATCAATGTCCTTCAGGCGAATTTGATCCGGAAAAAGAAGAAAACATGACGAGCATGAAATGGGTGGTCTGCTGCACATTGGAGTTGGATGGGATCTTCTTTGCATTTAGCGACTGGGTTGGGATGGCTCTGTAGGTATCGGAATGCCGTCAATCTGAATATTCTATTGTTTTTGGAACCAAAACAACATACTTGGGCAGTTGTATTGTATAGTATACATCGGGTGGAATGTGGCGCGGTGAGGCTGTGCGGTCCTCCACTTCCATTTAGGTAATCCGCGAGTCCGCGACATCCGGATAGAATCAATCAACCCACGGTTCGACCGGAGAGAATGTCCTCGACCACCGTCTCCGTCTTACTGTTCCCCTTTCTCTCCCGCCGTGTCCGCCTATGCTAAAGCTTCAGGCACGTTTGGATTCCCTTGGCTTTGGACCGGCCATTCGCCATGGCGGACTCCAGTGGTCGACCGCGGTGGGTTGGATCTGCTTGATCTGGTATACCACCGTGGTGGCTGTGTGTATTCTGGGATATTTTCAGATGTACGTCCTCGACCCCTTCTGACCTGGAGTGAAAATGACTGGAAATAACCGTCGGCTGGTCTAGATGGCGCTATTTTCTGCAACGACCCCGCAAATCCGTCTCTTCTTCATCTTCCGATGCGCCCCATGTCACCGTGATCCGACCCGTCAAGGGCTTGGAACCGCATCTTTACGAATGTCTGGCCTCGACCTTCTTCCAGGATTACCCGCGCGACAAACTCACCGTCCATTTCTGCGTGGCGTCCCGCACTGATGCAGGCTATCCGACCCTGCAGAGGCTTCTTGCTGACTTTCCCCATGCCAACGCACGTCTGTACATCGAGGAGGACGACCCGCTGCTCCAGGCCGGCAATGAATCCGCCAAACATATGGGACCAAATCCCAAAATCCGCAACATGAGCCGCGCCTACCGCGAGGCCCAGGGCGACATCATCTGGATCATGGACTGCAACGTCTGGGTCGGGAAGGGCGTCTGCGGTCGCATGGTCGACAAGCTCTGCGGGTTCGGCAATGGTTCCGGAAAGAAATACAAGTTCGTGCACCACCTCCCGGTCGCTGTGGATGTGACGGGGGCCGCCAGTCTGCGGGAGGAACGAGAGGCGCTGTTGGATGCGTACACCCACTCGACCTCGGGCACGGCCGCGGCGCGCGACGAGGCTGCCCTCTGGATCAAAGAACAGCACGAGAGCCCGCTGGCGACCGGGGGAGGTCGTCTGGAAGAGTTGTTTCTGTCGTCGTCGCATGCGAAGATGTACACGGCCATCAACACGGTGCTCATCGCCCCGTGCATCGTGGGCAAATCCAACATGTTCCGCCGCTCCCACCTCGACTACCTCACCACTGCATCGCCGCGGGACCCTCACAACTACCGCCCGGGCATCGACTACTTCTCCGACAACATCTGCGAGGACCATCTGATCGGCGATCTCCTGTGGAAGAACCGTGTTCGCGAGGAAAAGGAGCTCGGCGAGCGTCTGGGCAAGCATGCCATGGTCTTTGGCGACCTTGCGTTTCAGCCGGTGGCCAATATGAGCGTGCGGGCATACACGGCGCGCCGGGTGCGGTGGCTGCGGGTTCGCAAGTTCACGGTGCTCCTGGCAACGCTCGTCGAGCCCGGTACCGAGTCCATCGTTTGTTCGTTGTACGGAGCGTACGGCTTCACGACCTCGCTGGCGCAGTATCTCCACGGGAGGGGATGGGGAGTCGCTGAATACATGACATCGTGGTCGGCCTTTTTCGCGTTCTTCGTTCTCAGCATGGTGGCCTGGATCCTGGTCGACTGGACGTTGTATATCAAGCTACATTCGGCCAAGACGGTCGAGCTGGACCAGGACACTCCGGTGTTCGCTCAGCCCCCACGTCGAGGTTCAACGACCCGCCACACGTTCCGCGAGTGGTTTGCGGCGTGGCTGGGGCGCGAGATGCTTGCGTTCCCGATCTGGGCGTGGGCGTTCTACGGCGGCGTGACGGTGACCTGGCGGGACCGACGGTTTCGCGTCGGACTCGACATGAAGGTGCGGGAGATCGACTGCGACAAGACGATCCAGTCGGAGGGGTCTTACTCCCGTGGACTGTCTCAGTTCACGGGCAGTGGTAGCAGACATGAAGATCGGGACAAGGTCCGGCAGGACTAATGCACATATCGAACATACACCTCCTCCGTACACATCATAGACCCATATACACATTGCATGGCGAACATAAAAGCAAGAAACTTTTGTCTAGATACCATCATCCAAATATAGACATAGAACGCAACCTCTATTAATATAAACCATGAAACCCATAAATCATAAACCAACCTCCAGTTCAGCACTTCATTTCCCACCAGCCGCCTCTCCCTCGCCGCTCTCACCCACACCACTCTCCAGCTCCCCTCCCTTCTCCGACCCCAACAGCCACTCCACCACCTGACGACCCTTGGTCACAGGCACAGGGGCATCCGTCGAAGCTTCAGCCTCGACCTCAACCTCCGCCTCCTCCTGGCCCTCCTTCACCTCCTCGGCGGACCAGTCCGCGCGCTCAGCCAGGAACACCGCATCGAGCCCGGCGTCATTCTTGACCGCGATATCAGCGCCGGCCTCCACCAGCACCTTCACACACTCCAGATGCGTGTTCAGCGCCGCCCAATGCAGCGGCGTGTTGCCAGAATGGTTGCGGTGGTTCACCACGGCCGCGACCTGCTCCTGCGACAGCCGCGCCGACGCATCCTTCAGGACGGCGAGCAGGTGCGAGAGGATTTCTGTGGTCGTTAGCACTGGCCGCGCTGCGCGCAACGCCTGCGGACGTTGGATTGGACCTTACCTAGGTTTCCGTTGGCGGCGGGGAAGTGCAGCAGACATGACCCCGTGCCGCCCTCGGCCTCGGGCTCGGCGTCGATGGCCGACGCCACGATCCAGGCCTCTGGGCAGCTGTGCTGGGCGCTCAGGCTGGCCAGGTCGGCCTTGAGGGCATCCAGATCGCCGGCGCGGGCGTCGTAGATCAGGTCGTCGATTGCGTCCGCGGTGAGGGGGACGGGGAACGACATTTTGTTTGTGGGGGTTGAGCCAGTCTTTGTGGACTGGTGGTGATGTGGGTGTGTCTGTGGTGGTTAGTTTTGGTCATATCGAGCGTATGCATTTCATCTATTTCGGTCCATCTTTTTCGTGCCCCTCATTGAGGTCTCCAGATGCCACCCACAGAGACGACAGGTCGTGCAGTAATACAGCAGTATGCGATAGACGCAAGCAAAGAAATCACACTTACTGATATTGACAGTCGAGAGCGAAATGTGCGTGAAGACGTGAGTGCTGTATCTACGATGGTTGGTCGAGAAACTTTGATGCCGCGGAGGTCAGGTGACCCGGTGGACCCCAATCAGTCGCGACATCTACAGACCCCGGTATACAATACCTTCATTTTGAATAAGTTCACCTGTAACAATCACCTGTGTACAGCACCAAACCGGCTTATATTCAAGAACCTGCTATCGCTCTATCAGATGCATCCCAAAGCAATTACAAACGCCCCTTCCCTGTTCAGATGTAACTCAAGAGGTATCACAACGAAAACAAAAGCCCAAACTAGGTACCCAACCCAGCCCATAGTCATCAGTCCCGCAACCAAGCTCGCCGTTTCTCCTCCTTCTTCTCTCGCCGCTTCTCCTTGAACATCTTGACCTCCTTGCGACTGAGTTTCTTGGCACTGCGCTCCGCCCGCAGACTCCGGCCGTCGTGGCTGTTGGCCGCGGCATCCACATCGAAGAACGCATTCATCTGCCGGTATGACTTGTGCGCATCGTCGTGATACTCGGGGTTCTGGTTGCCTGTCTGCCATTTCCCTGTAAATCGGTTGAATGCACCTACTGCTGCGTATGCCGCAGTCGGGTCCATTCCGGGAGGAGGCCCGCCCGCCTCGCCTGGCTGCTCGTACTGCTGGGCGTACGGTGCAGTCGGATCGTAGTCGCCATGGATGGCCGGGTTGTATCCACCAGCAACCACTGCCGGAGCTTTCTCTGCCGACGTGTCCGCAGCCTCCGCCTCTACCCCGCGAGCACTACCCTCCGCCACCGGCGCGTCCGGCACGCGCGGATTCTCCCACTGCGAGACCCCCGTGAAGCGATTGTAGAAGTAGTACGCCTGGGCGTTCGGATCCCAAACGGGTTCCCAGCCGTCATCCTCGCCGGGAGGTGCCTCGTCGGGCAGCGGCGGAGGGACTTCGTCCGGGAGTGGTGGTGCGGACTCGTCCGCTTCTCCTTCTTCCGAACCCTCGTCGCTGGCACCGGGTTTCCGATCGTCTCGGTCGCCGCGGTGCTGTGTCCTGTTCTCTTCCTCCTCTTCTTGTGAGTGTCGGTCGTCGCTGCTGGGCTGGTCGTTGGTCATGGGGGGTTGGAGATCCTCGCGTTGGTCCTGAGCGGGAGCTGGGTGCCGGGGAGATGCGGACGGGCTATCGGCGGCGGCGTCTGTGGGAGGAGCCGTAGCCATTTTCTTTGCAGTAATCAGCGCTGCTTGTTGGGCCTTGTGGAGAGCACGACAGAGAATGGGAGCGCTGGACGCGAAGGAAGGAGGAAGTGGTGGAATCGAATCGATGTAATTTCTCTATCGATAGAAAGAATGGCGGGTGTTGGGCTAACCGTTTTGGGACTAGACGCTCCGCATCCCAAACAGGAAGGTCTCTCGTCTACTTCTACAACCATCCGCCTCTCCATCCACTACAACCCACAGCAACCCTTCAAGAAGACTCAGGAAGTTCCCTTTGTCACATCCCAGCTGGTACCAGCCGAAGCTAGATACTTCTGGCCCGCCTGAAGGACCCGGCTGTTTTCCTCTCCCAGCCACGCAGGCTCCAGTTGCTGGATCTGGTCCTCAATCTCGTAACTCTTCCCACCTGACACATACAGAATCTTGCCTGCAAAGGGAAGCATAGCGCCTTTGTGTGTCTCACCATCGCCGCGGTTGGCGGTGGCACAGAGTAGAATGCTCTCTGCGACATCACTCGGCTCGTTGGCGGGGAGCTGTCGTTCATACCAGCCTTTCTCAATTCCCTTGACCATACTAGTTTCTAGATAACAGCGTCAGCCATGAACAAAAAGTTGTCACTAGAAGCACTCACTAGTCATCCAAGGACAGATGACGTTGATCCTGATGTTCTCAGGAATCGACTGCAAGTGCAGTCCTCTCACGATCCCAACCACCCCATGCTTACTAGCAGTGTACGTGCCCAAACCGACACACTCCTTGAACCCGGAAATACTGCTCACAAGTACCACATCGCCACCATTACGTTGCCGGAGGTAATGCAGGCCAATGCGGGTGCTATACAATGCGCCCTTCAGGTTGACGTCAATCTCTTTCATCGACGGCTCCACGTTGATATCGCACGACGGGTCGAAGATATCCTTGTGGTTGGCGATGCCTGAATTCGCGACCACGATGTCCACACCGCCGAATGCTTGCCCTGCCTCCCGGAAGAGCTCCAGTTGATCTGTGTACGATGAGGAGTCGCAAGGAAGGAACCGAACTCCTGGCCCGAGGCGTGTCGCCAGCTCACGGCCTGCGTCTAAGGACACGTCGCCAAATACGACTCTTGCTCCATGTTCTGAGTTGTTCTAGGTTAGTATGGCTGATAACGCCAAAGGATAGGTTTGCGGACCGTGGAACTGCTCAACGGCGCATCGTCCGATGCCGGTGGACCCGCCCGTGAGGACAACAACTTTGTCCTTCAGAGTATTCAGAAGGGAAGGGCGGATCTGTACGTGTGTCATTGTTAGTGTGTCTTCAATCGGTCTAGGACAGCTCTCTGGTTATGCGGAGAATACAGACCCCAGATGGGCCAGATCTCGGGACTATTTATTCATGTCCCTAGCCTCGAAGGTCTACGGGAGTAGGCCATTGCCATTCGACCGGCTGGACTGACAAACCCCACGCTGTCTATGTGATATCAAACGGGGAGGTCCTGAGGCTCGGGGGTTTTCCGGAGTCCAGACGTTGAAGAATCGGCGCTGATTCATGGCTGAAAGAACCGGTTAGGTGGGTTGCGCCGTGGATCGAAGGCTCTGTGTCGTACTCGTTCATTATACCCGACAAATGCTACGGATTAGGAGGTTAGGAGCTGTCCGAACAAGCAACAATGCGTTGCTGAACCCCAGAGATTCCACCCCACATACCCCGTGTGGGGTAATCTTCAAGCTCGGTACTTGCGATAGTATTCCTGCGGGGCTGTCTACTATGTCCGAGCAAAAGAGGTTGCGATGAAATCTCCATTTCCCGGGTTCCATGTCTTGATTAAATTACAGAACCACGCAATTCCTTGGAGAATTCAAATGTACGGCGTGCCGGCAGGTCCGTCGTCTCCGGCGACATGCAGAGGCTGCTCGAAGCCCAGGACCCAGAGACGAGCGAGTTTGATGGAGCAGGAGATCAATTCCGAGGCGTTGCAGTACTGTAAATAGCCCGTAGATCTCATCATAAGTACGGTACCCAGGCAGCTAACGATCATGTCGTCAATATGTGGGCTGGCTCGCATTCAACAATCGGCACCCTTGTCTGTTCCTCTGGCACTTTCTGCACGACTGACCGACCAAGGAGGCAGTCCAAGAAGGACCCCTTGTTAGGGCCACCATTGGAGGATGAGACTGAATACTCGATCCGACATTAGTAGCGTTTTGCCGTATACCATGATCTGCGCCTGGAGAACTTCCATATGAACGTGATATTCACTTTCCCCTATGACGACGCGTCGGCAGCGGCAGGCGCCCAGATAGTCTCACATTCTTGATGGTGTAGGTGCACGCGCTGGGGTCATGCTTAGACGGTCGCTGAACCTTGAGTTTGGATACGAGCAGACCGACACCTGCATCTCCAATTCCGTCCTCCATCACAACTCTATACCTGGGCCCTGATCATGAGGAGTTCATTCCCGACGGGTAGCTGCGGTTGCTGATCCTGTTCAGTATTGGACATCGCATGTGCATTGACTGGAATATGGCATGTGCAGCGTGTGAAGACGGTCACCAGGTACTGGGTCATTATGTTCGTTAAGTCGCTGGGCTAGGACCTGCATCGATGGAGAAGTGTGCGGTTTTGAAGTCGGGAATAGGAGATGGTGGTGCGTTTCGGCGTAGGGTGTCGATGTGAAATACTTGGTGTCACTGGTGTTGCATTTGAAGTGAGCTGGGATTATTCAAGACGTATAAGTTGATAGAAGCGGAGATAAATAGGTCATGTGCGTGAGCAGACTGGAAGAAGTTGCCTTAGAACTGTCTGTTGATTGATATTGCAGTGCGTAGGGGCTATCAAGGGATGTGGCGGTGACTCGCCTTCGCTTCTGTAAGCAACAACAGCTGAACAACGACAATTTGTCAACCTCTAGATGAGGCTGTTATGGGCAGCTAGATTCTTTCTAGTGTCTAAGTAACAAGAGAGTGTCTGGTTGGACGTTTTATCCGAGTAGATTTGCTGCAGTTTTACATCATGTGTCTCCGTAGAGGCACTAGTATAGACCGATATATATCAGTATACAGGCAACAGAGATATATATATATGCGTACACACTTTGACGATGGAAGAGACCTACTTCTGGGATTTTACTTCTTGATATTGAAAATGGACTCGTATCCAGGACCTATCGATCACAAGTTACTTTAGATATACACTACATTAGCATCAGCTCCTGTTCATGCTTGTATAGAAGGTATACTCTAGAACCAGTCTCTGCCACCTTCTCAATACAGCTATAACTACTAAGCACTCATCTGAGTAAGCAAGAAACCACCACAGAATCGACTCCCACCTTACTAGCCACCAGCCTCTGGAGGGACATCGAATCAACCCCGAATCTCAATCCATCAGGACACACCTCAACCACAACAAACAATAAACAGCTTCCACGTGCAAATTATCTCCCTCGAGATGCACACGTAGGGCTACCCAGCATACCACCTGCCCCTATCCTCACCCACCCTGCGTTGACAATCCCACCATGGAAGCTGCCAACATACCGCCTACGCTGTACAGCAAACACGCCAGACGGATGGTATGCAGGTACCTTACTAGGCACCAGGTTAATCTCAGGAACAGGAAATGATACCTCCCTATGTCCGCGGCAATGGCAAATGAGTGAACAGGTCATGTGTGACGAGCATGCCTGCGGAAGTATGGTGTTTGGGATCTGTTAAAGGGGTGAGACACAAACGCCGTTTTCCCAGGGAGAACGCTCTGCGAACCCCGAAGCACAGGGGATCTACTCCGTAAGAATGCATGAGCTGCTTACTACAGGGCCAGTCGTTGTGGTGCTCGTCAAGATGGGAGTAGACCAGGACCGGAGCAGGAAATCCCAGTAGTCGTGCGCAATCGTGGGACAATTGGCTGGTTGGATTGGATATGATGATGATATTGATTATGTGTGTGCGATATTTGTAACGTTGGGCTGGATCGATGCGTAAGAGACGGAGTGCTACCATGGTGTTTGAGTGCCTATTCCGGACATGCTGTTAGGGTTTTCGGCTGGTGACTTTGGATGTCAACACAGGCGATGCCATAAGATTTATTGTAGTGAGATGCAGAATTGTATATATTCAGCAGATACAGATCGGTCTCATATGGTCTGTATGTATGTGCGATGAGGAAAGTCAACGTCTATACTATATATTGTTGGAGGTCTATAGAGCAGTTATGTGAAGATATATATCTCCCCATGATACACATATCTAGATGTCAAGTACCACGCTCGCTAAGCATCACAAGCTCTTCATCTACCATGGATCCGATACTCTTAAAATGAAAGCTCTGAATTGCCCGATTACAAAGTAGCATCCCAATCAGTCGTGACCTACGCGAATACTACCATAATCCACCATCATCCACCATATACTGGTTCAATCAGCCATACTACATGCTTAATAATACTCCCCGGTACAGGCACAGGAACACCTGCGAAGTCACAACCACCTCAACCGCTGACCTAACGGTAGCTGCTACTCCGTACGCCACCCAAATACCCAAGAAACCTTGTGCGTGGCACCCATCCTCGTGCCCAGCAACCGTGCATTGCATATGCGCCTTACCTACGAGCACGGGTCGCAGAAAACCGTGCAGGCAAGGTTCGACTCTGCGCGAAAACGGAAACCAGAGTCCGCTCTGTCCACACCCTGGTTCAACCATGAGGACCCTTATCCAGGGCATCCACAGTGCTGCTGAAACTGAGTGGGTAAACGGTTCTCCTGCGTGGAGGGTCCTGCATTCGGAATCCAGAAGGGAGCCTGCCCCTGCCCCTTGTTCCGCGTCTGCCCATCCCTTGGACACATGGCGATCCAACCCTCGAACAGGAGGTCAGGAATTCCTGCAGATCAAAGCATGCGCGGCAAATGCAACCCTTAGAAGCTCGTTCCAGGCGGAGAAATGCAGCCCGTGCTTGCACCTGCATGCCGCACGAAGTCTCGGCGAAATCAGGACCATACATGACGTCGAGTAAGAGACACACCCGCATCTATAGATCGGTAACTATGCTGGCAGGCAATTTCAGGTTCGAACTACGCATCTCGCCGCTGGTCTCTGACGCCAGACTAACGTCGTGAGCAAGTCGTATCCGCGAACTATGTAACCAAATTCCTCCCGAGAGCGACAAGATCCACCGCGGCATAGGGTCCTCCTCCCGGAAAGGGGCAATCCTGGAATGGAGCAGAAAACGCTCGCGCGACTAGGCGGCAGATCCAAGGGTCAAGGCAGGGCATACCGGGGGAAAGTGTGTTGAGGTCGGCCGCATTTTCCACCCGGTTGATCCATACCACGGCCAGCCAGCGGGCAGCTTCTAGCCCCAAGGCGATATCCAGGAGGCCCCGCGGAAAGCACCCAAGGATGATGAGTCCTTGCGCATAGCATTCCAGGGAAGGCCGACGAGGGCTCTTGTTTTCGGCAAACACGCAGGACGACAGAGGGTCGGGGGGCCTCCACCGACGTCTATATAAGGGTTGCTTTGGTCGGGCTCAGAGTCGTTTCTTTCTCCATCCCAATCCGCTCTCATTCTCTGCTCTCTCATTCCGAGTACAGTCTTCTTCCCCCCAGACTTCTATACATACTCCGAGTGTCTACTCTCGTTCATACCCAAACCCACCCGTCACAATGAAGTTCACTGCGACCATCCTCGCCCTCGCCGCCACGGCTGTTGCCCTTCCCCAGATCGGCCACGGTGGTGACCACGTCCAAAAGGGCGCCCAGGGTGACGGTACTGGCAACGCCAACGGTGCTACTGGCAACGGTGCCGGCAACGGCATTGGCAACCAGGGCAACAGCCAGACCCGCTTCCGCGCCCCCGAGGACATGACCGTCCAGCAGGCCAGCAAGAAGTGCGGTGACAACATGCAGCTCTCCTGCTGCAACAAGGAGACCGCTGCCGGTGACACCACCGACATCCCCGACGGCCCTCTCGCCGACGCCCTCAAGGGTGTCCTCGGCGGTGCTGGCTCCGGCTCCGAGGGTCTCGGTCTGCTCGAGCAGTGCGGCAAGCTCGATATCATCCCGATCAGTAAGTCACCGTCCTACATCGACGTGAAGCCCCTCTCTAACAGCATACAGTCAGCGACCTCATCAACAAGCACTGCGATGCCAAGGCTGCTTGCTGCCAGGACAGCGGCTCCAGCGCCGACAACTCCCTCATCGGCCTCAACCTGCCTTGCATTGCTCTCACCTCCCTCATCTAAGCGCTGTGGCGCTGGTATTCCTCGGGAGAGGTGGCCGCCGACGAACAGAAGGAAACGGGGGCTGCTGTATCTTGTTGAGCAAATGGGATTCCTGTTGACCGTTCGTGTAATATTACCTTTGTGTCGCGTGGCAGCTCGGAGCAAGAAGACTGTTATCTGATTTGATTCTGCATGGCCCACGGGGCATATATTAATGCATTAGATCTTCCTTCCAGACGAGTAGTAGTTCCTCATGGGAAGACACAAGTATAGTACACGTTCACCATCTACCGCTCCCACCGAACAAACGGGAAACCCCGGAGAACTCCCCAAATCCCCCGTGAAATAGACCAAGCACACCAGAAAACACAACGCCAGACCCCCAAACTCCACGCCTAGCAAAAAACACCCTTCTCATCTGCCCCAGCAGCCACACTGACCGGCCTCTTCTTCAGGCCCTCCGTCCACCCGCGCAGCCGCATCGCCGCCGGAAACACAATCGCCCCTACCCGCCGCTGCCTCTTCACCTCATCGTCACTATCCGTGTCATGAGTGCTCAGACTGGACGCCAGGGACGGTAGGGAGGTCGTTGGACTGCCCGCACCCGCCGCCGGGCCCCGCAGGAGAGGCCTCCCCGGTACGCCATGCGCAGCGCCCTTGATAGCCGTGGTAGTCGCCTGCAGCAGCTGGATAATCTCGACGAGCGACTTGCGGCGGCGCGGGTGCTGTGCAGGTGCAGGTGTCGCGGGCACCTCTACACGCTCATCGCCCTCGTCTTCTTCGGGGATATCCTCTATCCGCCGCTTGACCTCCGTCGTGAGGGCGTGGCTCGTCCATGACTGTGGCTGCGGCAGGGCCTGCGGTTCGTCTATGCCGTCGTCGTCGGGGTGCAGGCTCTCCTCGTCTGTATCGTCGGCGGGCTCGTCAGGCGCACAGCGACTAAGCCGCAGTCGTCGCGAGGGGCCGTCGGAGGACTCGTCGGGGTCGGACTCGACGATGCGGATGGAGGATGTTTTGGATAGGCCTTTTGATTGTGTGGGTTGTTGTGGGGTGGAGGGCTGGTGGTGCGTGCAGGGCGCTGGCGCTGGCGCAAGCCAGGAATCGTGGTACTGTGCTTTGGAGCGTTTGCGGGCTTGCATGCAGCCGCTGAAGAGGCTTTTGACGCGGTCCATGGATGCTTGCACGTTGCGAGGACTTGGCACGTCTGAGCGGGGGTGTGTGTGTATGTGGGTGGATTGTGAGGCGATGGGTGCAGGCGCGTTTTATGTGCGGTTTGATGAGCATGCGCAGTCGACAGCCGCTGCTGATGGTGATGGACGAGGTACAGGAGTGGCGTGGTGGAGATGAGGTCGTGCGGGTGATTGATATAGGCTTTGGCGCAAGGGTGCTGCAAGGGGCGTATCTTGCTTCCGCTCGGAGGATGGTCTGGTAGTTATTGGCTTGGTACGTGAGATGGAGTGAGGCTATACGACATGCCACGAGCTATGCTTGTGTTTATGCTCCGATACTCCGACAACGTGGGATGAATAGATCGTGGGAGACGGTTCTCACGAGATAGATATGCATCGTGCCGCTACGCTCAATAGTACACTCCTTGCGCATGCAAGGAACCACACTAGCACCATACTATAACTAGTCATGCATCGTCCATTGCTCAGGAAACGGATCTACCTTACATGCACCAGCATCTAGAGCTAGAACTGACCGACCAATTCTACAACAAAACAAACGAACGTCACAATACATCACAGCTTGCTCTGCGGCGCCGAGTACAGCGCGCGAGAGCGCTCCATAGCCTCGACGGCCTCCTTCTCGATGCGCGTGAGCAGCGCCGCGCAGGTGGGGATGTCGTGGATGAGGCCGATGACCTGACCGGCGGTCCAGACCTACATACATCAGCATCACATACGACGGAGGAAATGACAGGGGGAGAGCTTACACCGTAGTTAATGTCACCGTTGATAAAGACCTCGCGACCGCGCTTTCCGCTGACAAAAGGCGCGACCTCGGCGAACTCGCCGGTGGTGCTCTCCTTCTCCACCTTGACGGCCTCCTTGGTGACCTCGTTCGCGAACAGCCGCGTGGTGTTCTTCCAGCGACGCAGGACGAGCGCGGTATCGGTCTCGTCGGCGGCGACGATCGCCTCCTTCACCTTGGTATGGATGGGCGCCTCGACGGTGCACATGAACCGAGTGCCCATGTTGATACCCTCGGCACCCAGCGCAAGAGCTGCAGCCAGCCCCTGGCCGTCGGCGAACCCACCGGACGCAATAAAGGGCACGCCCAGCTCCTGACGCGCGCGGCTGAGCAGGATGAAGTTGGTGATGTCGTGCTCGCCGACGTGGCCGGCGCACTCGAAGCCGTCGATGGAGAGGAAATCGACGCCCAGCTTGACGGCGGACTTGGCGTGGCGGATGGTCGTGCACTTGTGCAGGATGATGGTGCCGGCCTTCTTGAGCTGGTTGATCACGGGGCCCGGGTTGTTACCGGCCGTCTCGACGATCTTGATGCCCTCGTCGATGATGACCTGGGCGTAGGCGCCGTAGTCCGGCGGCACCAGGGCCGGGAGGAGCGTGAGGTTGACGCCGAACGGCTTGTTGGTCATCTTGCGGCAGCGGCGGATTTCCTTGCGCAGGTCTTCCGGGGTGGGTTGCGTGAGCGCGGTGAGCTAGCGGGCTCGTTAGCTGGGGATGAGCCTCGGTCAGTTTGGGCTTCACGTACAATTCCCAGTCCACCGGCGTTGCTCACGGCAGAGGCCAGCTCGGCGTATCCAACCCATTGCATTCCACCCTGGACCACAGGGACTGCAGGAGTTAGTATGAGATGAAGACGGTGGATAGGGGAGGGAAGAGAAGGTACCGGAGATGCCCAGTTTTCTCGTCAAAGCAGTGTTGAAAGGCATGTTTGTTCGAGTATATGGAGTGGATGAAGAGTTGAGTGAGAGATCGGTCTATTATACCGACTGATGGCAGCTTACCGCGGAGCTGCTGTGGGGAGCGGAGTTGCCGAGGTTCACGCGGCCTTACTCGGATGGCGATCGGACGATTATTCTATCTGAGGGGTATCTTCAGTCTTTGGATATGTCTGAGGTATTCCCTAGAGAGTATCACGGGGGGTTAGGAGAGAGTCTCGGAGATGAGGAACGTGTTGAGAGTGTGCAGACGTGGTCAGGAGATGTTGCAGTTGTATACAAGCATGTGACTCCGATATAGAGTCGCGGTACTTATGGTACCTTACTACTTGCACAACACGGGGTTTATCTCTAAAGACTAGAGGCAATAGCACTATGATCCATGATCCATGACAGAAGAACGTGTACACCTGTATACTTCATAGAAAATCATCATCATCACCAGATAGATGCCTGACTCCTCAGGCACAAACCCTAAGCCCTATACAACTTCCCAAAACAGCCTAGCCCTCCAAATTTCAACGGATCTACATCTCTACAGACATCCATACATCCATACCTCCATCTCAACATCTTCATCTTCCTGGTCAAGGCAATGCCTTCCCCCTTCCTCCACCCCGGCTCCCACGCCGATCTCAACTCCCTCGCCCTCCTCCATCTCCGCCGCGACCACACCATCCCCGCCATCCTGCAATCCACCGACCCAACCCAAACCGGCTACAAAGAGGGCTCCGTCACCAACACCCGCTTCGGCTCCTTCCCCCACAGCACCCTCGTCCACCAGCCGTGGGGGTCGCAAATCGCCGCCTCCAAGGTCGACACTGGCTCGCGCGGCCGCAAGAAGCGCAAGGCCCCGCACGATGACGACGACAACACCAACGACCCCGACCAGACACCCCAGACCCCCGTCACCGCCGCCTCAGGCTTCCTGCACCTGCTCGCGCCGACCCCAGAGCTCTGGACCGCCTCCCTCCCGCACCGCACCCAGGTCGTCTACACCCCGGACTACAGCTACATCCTGCACCGGCTGCGCGCGCGCCCGGGCACGACGCTCATCGAGGCCGGCGCCGGCAGCGGCTCGTTCACGCACGCCGCCGTGCGCGCCGTCTTCAACGGATACCCCGAGCCTTCAGTGAATGAAACGTCCGCGCCCAGCAAGCGCCGCCGGCTGGGCAAAGTGTGCAGCTTCGAGTTCCACGCGCAGCGCGCGGCCCGCATCGCCGAGGAGGTGCAGGCGCACGGGCTCTCCGGCCTGGTGGAGGTGACGCACCGCGACGTGTACGAGGACGGGTTCTGTCTGGGCGAGCCGGGGCGCGGCACGTCGCCCAAGGCGAACGCGGTGTTTCTGGACCTGCCGGCGCCGTGGCTGGCGCTGAAGCATCTGGTGCGCGGGGGCGCGGACTCGCCGCTCGACGCCGCGGCGCCGGTGTACATCTGCACGTTTTCGCCGTGTCTGGAGCAGGCGCAGCGCACGATCAGTACGTTGCGGCAGATGGGGTGGCTGGGGATCGAGATGGTCGAGGTGAATCATCGGCGCATTGATGTGCGGCGCGAGCGGCTGGGGCTGGAGTATGAGGGGGTGCGCGGGGCGGTGGTGTTCCCGCGCACGGTGGACGAGGCGGTGGCGCGGATGCGCATGCTGGAGGAGCGGACGAGGCTGTTTCGCGAGACGATGAAGGCGCAGGATGCCGCGGACGAGGGCGAGCAGGTCAAGACGGAGACGGAGGCGGAGAAAGGCGAGAGTGAGCCGGTGGATGCGGCCGCGACGAAATCCGCCGAGTCCGATCTGCCGTCGTATGCGCAGGGCCGGCTGCTGCATCGCTCCGAGATGGACCTCAAGACGCATACGTCGTATCTGGTGTTTGCGGTGCTGCCGCGGGAATGGTCTGACGAGGATGAGCGACGGTGTCGCGAGAAGTGGCCGTCCAACCGGGTCGTCGAGCAGCCGGTCCCCAAGGGCAGGAAGCAGCGCAAGCGCGAGGAAAAGGAGCGGAGGGAGGAAGAGGAGCGCCAGGATGCCTGATCCTCTGGTTTTGTGCATTGTCCGATACATGATGCATGGACTCAAGGCTCCATACAGTGGCCATGTGGATGTAATATGAATTGGTCTAGATTGTATATGTGTAATAAACATGGATTGAAGACAGCTATTCTCATAGATTGTTCTCCTTCTTGAACTTATCCCACGCCTCATTTAATGCGCCAAATACCGCGCCCGCAATCATCCGTTGCTCCGTCGTCGCCGTCGTGGGGATCTTCCAGGTCAGTCAGCGCGGCTCTGCGATACCAGGATCATGTACATACCTTATCTGGGTGCACCTTGGAAATGCCTTTCATGTACTGCACCTTGACTTTGTTCGGCATGATCAGCTCCGACATGTTGACCTTCTTCCATCCGGCTTCCGGCCACAGCACCGTATCCAGACTGCCGAGCAACGCCCGCAGGTTATCTTGCTTCCCGCTCTTCCACGCCGCCAGTCGCGCGTCGACACTATCCGTGAGGGCGAATTTCTCCTCGTCAGCGCGCTCGGCTGCCTGGTTGGCCGCACGGAGCCGCGTCACGGCTTCGGACGATGCTCCTGCAGAGCCCGAACCACCCTGAAGGTCAGAGAGAGCCGATGTCTTCTTGGGTGCCGGGGCTGGGGGGCGTCGAGCTGGCGCGGACGGCTTGGGAGGCGGTTTGCTGATCCCAGCCGCTTTCTCGCATCGGTTGCGGCCTTGAATACTCGTGCTGCCACCGTGACCGTTCTCTACGGCCAATTTCCACGCCTGGGCGGCATCCGCCCATCGTTCCAATTGTTCGAGTGCCTCCGCCTTACGCATCAACCCTTTCCCGAAGAAATCCTTCATCGGTTTACTCGGTTCGCCGTTGCCAAGATCGATACTCTCCCCATCTCCTTTCGACGGTCCAATCAACTCCAGGAGGGTGTCAGCGTCGCTGATGGCCACCTTCGGTTCACCGATCTTCAGGGCCGTCATCGCACGGTTGCTGCGAATGATGATGGTGATCGGATGTGTGTCCGGGAGCATGTTGAGGGCTGACGTGAAGCCTTCGTGTGCGGTGCTATAATCGCCTCGTTTGTACGCCTCGGCAGCCTTTTCGCGATGGCGGTGCGTCGATGCCAGGGCCTGGGGGGATATTTGCGGTATCACCCGTGGGGAAGCCTTAGGCCGCGACGGCAGGGCCTTCGCCGGTGTCGATGATCGTGCGGGCGGTGCCGGCGATGGGGACGTTTTCCCACGGTTCTCAGCAGAAGGCGCGGGAGACTCAAAAAGATCGACATTGGTGGGTGCGGGCGACGGCGCCGTGGGTCGTTTCCTCCGTGCTGGACTTACATATGCCTGCGCCGACTGCTCCTCCGCAGCACCCTTGGTCAGCCGGGATCGGGGATCCCGCTGACTGGGCGCCTGTTGCCGCATGAACGCTGGCTGTTGCATCCGGGGATCACCGGCAGGAGAAGGCTGACTGCGGAGACTGTTATGACTGCTGGGTCGAGGAGGAAGAGCATCGTGCGGCCGCGCTGGTCTTTGAGGCCGAGGATCAGCACCTGGTTCAAGAAGGAGAGCTTCGTTGGTAAAAGAAGACTGCTCTGGGGCGTTCCGAGAGGTCTCGCTGCGACTCCTGGCCGCTTGTTCTCGAAGCGCAGCTTCTCTCAGCCACCGTGGTTGATTCGGATCCTGGTCCGCATTGAGGTCCTGCACCACCTGCTGGACTTTCTTACTCCCGGTCTTCCACAGAGAGTTGGCCGTCTTCAGCAAGTTGTTCCCGAAGGCTGCCGCCACCTGCGACGGGTCCTTCTCTGCAGATGCAGGTGAGCGATTATTGCTCCGACCCCTCGAGGGCCGTTGCATCCACGACGGAACGTCACCCTCTGGGGTTCCATTTCGATCTCTGCTGCGGCCCGGCGGGCTGGGGTACTGATCTTCAGCGGTCGGCCGATTGCGGGATCTCTGTCGAGACTCCTCATGGGCCTGCGTGAGGAGCAATCCGACAGCCGCCTGCACGTCCGAACCCGACGGAGTCATCTTCAACGCTTGGCTGGCCTTATCTGCGGGGAATCCCATGTCGACGAGCTCCGCAACGGCCCGATCAGTGCCGTTGGACGGTCTCGGGGATGGCGCATGACGTTCAGGTTCGGAGGGTACCGGTGACCGCGTCGGAGGTTCCGGCCGTGGGATTTCAGACACGGGCTTACCGAGTAATCCGAGAAAGTCGTCATCATCGGCTGGCGCAGGCTGGGGGGTGGGAGCTTGTTTCGGCTTCAACTGGTTCAACCCGAAGGGGTCGTCGTCGTCGGGGAACGCCATGGGGTCTTGCGGTGCGGAAGCATTGCCATTGGAGGTAGTCTGCGGCGATGGAGAAGGACTGGGAACGGGGAAATGAGTGGAGGCGTCTACCGGAGCGGAGGCGTTGAAGGCGGCCAGGATGTCCTCCTCATCTTCGTTGGGCTGCACATTCTGCACAGAGACGCTCCTGCCGGGACCTCCTTTCTCCAAGGTGTCCCAAAACTGCGAGTTCTGACCGCCATATTGCGACTCATACCGCGAGCGGTTCTCGGCCTCCTTCCTGGCTCTCTCCTCTTGGAGACGCTTCTGCTGTTCGAGAAGGGAGAGGTTCTTGTTGGAGTTGCTGGAGCCAAAGGAAACGAGGTTGGCGAAGCTGTCCTTGCCCGATGGGACGGTCGTGGGCGGAGGATTCGAGCCACCAGAGGCAGACAGGGGAGTCGATCGACCGGAGGAATCAGCGCGTCGGACAGTCGGAAAGAGACCGGAGCTCATGGGCGGGGGTTTCTGGGGCTCATTGGCGGAGTTGGAGGACCAACTCAGACCGTTAAGGTCATCCATGGAGATTGTGAGGGGTGTAGGTAGCGGAGGTAATAGAGGTAGTAGAGGCAGTGTGAGGCGAGTGTCTGGTAGGAGGGATTAGGATAGTTGGGGGAGGACTGCCATGATGTGATCTCACCATCAACGGCCACCGGGGCGATAAGTTGAGCGTTGTGGGGTAGAGACGAGCATAAAGGGGGAGTAGGCAGGGTCGCTAAGGATCAATGCGATCAATGAAGCAGCATCGCGAAAAGAACAGAAGTCTAGGAAATGCAATGAACAAGAAAGGAATGTTGGAGAGCTGAGTTGAATCGCGATGTTCTTCCCCTGTTGTCGCTGTGGTTTGGTGGACGCCGTCATGGTGCTGTGGCGGTACTGTGGCTGTGGCTGTGACTATGGCTGTGGCGGTATAGACACGTGTTATGCACGTGATCTTCACATGTCACGGCATCACGTGACATAGTCGTTCAATAGTCAAGATTTCCTCACATGAAGCCTTCGATGATGGACCTCTCGTCCAAATTGGCAGAGAACTACGAGACGCCACCCATAGCCCCATGCCACTACCGTATTACTCCATCCCGTCGGCAAACCTCTGGCGTTCTTCCATTCGGATGACCACACAAGAGGCAGGCAGTGGAGCTCGAGAAATTGCTTGTGTTGGCAGAAAACTCTGCTAAATCGTCTAGTCAGAGGCCATCGTTTCTATTATTATTATTATTGTTATTATTATTATTGCCATTCTTATTCGTAGTCGCATTACGAGGTTAGACGGTTGTCCGAGCAATAGCATCTCCGTCCGGCAAGTCTCGACCTGCAAGTCCCGGAGAGCTCTGTGTAAAATGATCCCAACTTCATTCCGCTCTCTCACAACCTCCGGGTGCCGTCAGTCGACGCGTTTTGCATGACCGAGAATTCTACGCCAATCGGGACAGATACTTGTAGTGGCAAGGGGCCGCGGATGGCATGTGTTAACGACAGGGTTTCTCTCCATCGTGCAGAAATCGTCGAAACGTCGGAGATTTATCGCGGGCTGGTTATTTTTGAGGCATTTCCACGACGGTGCTCGCAACCTCTTCCCGTGTTCTGGTTCTCCTGAGCTTTCCTCTTTCTCTCCTGCACCCCAAAGAGAGGGGGGCCCTCTGATCAACATGACGGCAAAACTCAATGGCCGGGCCAGGTCGATTGGGGAAATTGCCCAGGACGGGCCTCAGAGCGGATCAATCAGCGACGGCACAGTGGACGCCCCGATGGGTCCGGGTGAAGTTACATTGATGAAATGCCACGGAGACTCTGCCGAGAGGGGCAGCGGAGCGTCGGGGAAAGCGAGCCGCGCGGTAGATGGTTGAGCACAGGACAACTGGGGACCTGTTGATGCAAGCTAGGAGATCGGAACGCACGGAAAGCGCGCTGTCTGGCCTGGAAAATACACCCAGCGAGCGAGTGCCAGTCGGAAACGGCGCCCCCTAGACACGTCCCAGCACAATGGCGAGGACCGTCTCTCCCGCATTAGTGGCACGCCCGCGCGTTGGGCGAAGAGGGGTTCCCTCTATCTCCCAGCAAGGAGACAGGGTGTTCAAAAATTCGCGGCGGGTGACGGTGGTGATAAAGGTCGACCGAAGCTGTGTCTCGATTGAAGGAATGGAATAACTAGCTGGAACCAAGACCAAGACGGACCGTAGGATCGGTGCTCGCTCCGACGAATCTAGATCGATTGTTTCGATGAAAGGTGGTTCGGTGCGCGGTTCTCCTGCGTGTCCGTGCTTTGGTTTGCCTCTCTGTCAGTCTCTTTCAGAATTTCTGTCCATGTCAGATAATATATCCATGTCGGCATGGATTGCATGCAGGGGACGTCTCGTCCTGCAGCTGTATGGATCAGGTCATAAGGCAAATTGAACGCACGCAGATTGACTGCATCCTGTCAGCAGTGGACTCATCCTCGACCTCTTTTGTGCATCTCCACCGGTGGCACTGGGTCCTCTAATTCTGGACCCGCTGGATGCGCTGGAGAAGGATGGGAGGTGGCAGGTTCGGAGGAGCTGGAAAGAGGAAATGTTTTCATAATGGGATTGTCTAGATAACTAGCCCTCTCTAAGTACATAGTAAACAATACTGGGATCACTGTTATGACCAGTAGTAGCATGATATTACCAGAATTATTACCCTTACTATTATTATTACTATTATAATTATTATTCTATTATTTATAATTATTGATGACTCTTATTGTCCGCCGTAAAGTGGCAGATTCGTTGATCCATCCATTTATTATTTGGGGCTAAGCTTCCTCTTCGCTTCATTTTCTCTCTTTCTCTCTCCCTCTCCCTCTCCCTCTCCCTCTCTCTCTCTCTACTTCTCCCCTCTCTTCTTCTCACCTCTCCTCACTCCTCACTCCTCTCCTTTCTTTCCCTCTTCCCTCCCTCCCATCTTCCACAATGGGCCTCTTCAAACGCAAAGACTCCAAGAACTCCATCCAGAGTGACCGCGATGAACAGGACTCCTTCGCCTCCGCCAACAGTGCTCGCACCTCCTCGGCTTCCCTGAGATCCCCCGGCTACAAGGGCAGTGGCCTGCCGGCCTCGATCCCCGAAATCTCCATCGCAAAACCTCCTGATCCCGCCTTGGACCCCGCCGCCTACCTGCGCAGTATCCATGCCATTCGCGAAAGGACGAGCATCGTTTACGACAAGGCCAAACGCAACGAGCTCAATCATTTCGACGTTGACATGACCAAATTCCCCACCACGGCCTCCTATATCGTGTCCATGATCAAGGTGAGCCAGTCGCCCCTCTTTCTTCAGTCATTGACCAGGAAAGATGACAACTAACGGGGGCTTCCTCAGCGAGACTATGCTCCCGACTACGAGTCCATCCCGCCGCACGGTCGCTGGCAACACTTCGATGTCGGCGGTCGTCCCCGCGTCAACCAACTCCTGCAATCCTGGCCCAGCACCATCGACGCGCAAGAACGCACCCGCCGATTGATCGATCTCTTCGTCATCTCCGTCCTCCTCGACGCCGGCGCCGGCACCACCTGGTCGTACAAGTCCAAGGAGTCTGGGAAGATCTACTCCCGTAGCGAAGGCCTGGCTGTCGCCACACTCGAAATGTTCAAGACCGGTCTGTTCAGCAGCGACCCCACCGAGCCGTGTCAAGTGGACGGCGCTGGACTCAAGAAGGTCACGGTCGAAGTGCTGGCCAAGGGCATGCAGCATTCGGAAACCAACCAGTTGGCGGGTATTGAGGGTCGTGCGGGGCTGCTCATGCGTCTGTCCGAGGCCCTGAACAATCAGGAGTTCTTTGGTGTGGATGCCCGCCCGGGGAATTTGCTAGGTAAGGACCCCTGTCGACCTTCTGCACGTTCGCCGAGTCCAGGACCAATCATACTAATGTAAACACCGACTAGACTACCTCCTGTCGCATCCCTCCACCCTCGCGTCCTCCGTCCCTATCGTCCCCATCACTACGCTCTGGACCGTCCTTATGGACGGCCTGTCCTCGATCTGGCCCCCCTCCCGCACGCAAATCGACGGCCTCTCCATTGGTGACGCCTGGCCCTGCTCCGACATGCCGCAATCGCCGCCCGCGCAGCCATGGGAGTCCATCGTGCCGTTCCACAAGCTCACCCAGTGGCTCTGCTACTCGATCATGGTTCCCATGTCGCGACTGATGAAGATCCACTTTGCCGGAAGCGAACTGCTGACCGGTCTCCCCGAGTATCGCAACGGCGGTCTCCTCATCGACATGGGACTGCTGACACTCAAGGACGATGATCTGCAGCGGGGCCTCGCCGCGTACAAGGAGAATGCGCAGATCAAGGGCCAGCCGAGTGTGGAGGTGGTGCCTCTGTTCTCGGCCGACGACGATGTCATTGTCGAATGGCGCGCCGTCACCGTGGGCTTCCTGGACGACCTGCTGGACGAGGTCAACTCGCAGCTGGGGCTGCGGGGCGAAGAGGAGCTAACACTCGCGCAAATGCTAGAAGCGGGCTCCTGGAAGGTATTCTACCGTCATGTGCAAGATCTTCGACTGTCTCACTAACGATCTGCAGGGTGGCCGTGAAATCGCCGAGGTCTCCCGACCCAACACGAAAGAACCCCCGATTATGATCCGATCTGATGGTACTGTCTTTTAATGTCTACCGTCCTACATACCCTATCGTTTGTGCGCTTTTTGGATACCTGACTGTGCGTCTCGGGCCCGAATGGACGCCGGATGCGCAGTCCTTACGACTTTCACGACCGACGTTACGTGTTGATAACCCATGTCTTTTCTTTCTGGTTCCGTCGACTACATGTCATTCCAAAGATATACCTTTTAGTTTGATGTAGAGCTGTCATGTTCGTCTATGGAGTGATGCGATGTGATGATCTATTCGATTCTTGTATACTCTTTATTTACGTTCACGGACGGGGGTAAAAGTATTGAATTTTTGTGGTTGGCTTGGGGCTTTGTCAATGGAATCAAAAGCACGAAGATGGCTGCGATACCACTTAATTACTCATAACAGGGGTCTTCTCTTCCGGGGACTATCTCTGTACAGTTGCTGGGGTCTTCAATACCAAGCGAGACGTCTTTAGACAGCCCGTTTAGGGAATATGACGATATGTCTGAAACAGGTCGAGTCTCTCTAGATATGTTTCGCATAGTAGGCCCAGTCTCCACTTGAAAGAATGCTCGCCCTTTTGCACTAAGGCAGAGAGGCATCTCTAAGTCCTATTCCGAAGACTTCTGGGCAGGGGGGTGGTCGCGACCAATGTGGCCCATGGTGCCAGGCGTGCAATGAACTCGACCTCGTGAAGCCGCTGCTTACGGTATGATTGATACCCCTATTCGGATTGGGGAGCGCGTCCTGCACGGCTCTATAGACTGTCACTGACTGTGTTCTCTCCGGCATTGTTCGCTGGGAAGTGGCATGGTGGTGATAGTGGTGATATATAGCATCTTGTCCACTGAGTCGCCTTGCGTTCGGCTCGGAGATTGGGTGTCTTCCAGAAGTGCTGTTCAAATTCACTCCTATTCCATAGCGATAGCGAAGGTCGCTGGTTATAAGGTCTCTTCAAGACTTCCTGCCTTTGGATATACATACCAAAGAGAGGATGCCCCGAAAGGGATGATAATGAATACTGAACGCGACATCACGCACAAGCATAATACAAGTGTTCATCCTCTACTGAATGGTCGCCCTCTTCCGGCTGTATGTCGTCTCCGAATATGTCCTCAGAACTCCCTGGGCAGGCCATTCATCCTCCACCGAATGCCGCACAGTCCTGGCCGCGGTTCGCGACGTTCTGGTAAGAGGGCGAGGCGATACAATACTGGAACGGAGTCTCATGTTTCTTCTCTTCACCGAAGTCAAAGTCGTCTTCGACATTACCAGTAATGACCAAATTATCGCGGACAAAAAACATGGTTCTGTTAAGGTTATAGGTGAATACTACCTTGCTTTTATGGAAGGCAGTATTCTCCTCCTGTATCTTTACCTCGACCGCCTCATCAACTCCATATAATTTACCACTATCTTGAGGAATCGGAAAGATAGTTTCGAAATCATACATTTTGGACAGTCTGCCCTCGGAATAAACCCCATCAGAGAGCCTGCGGTAAAGCCCGGGTTACAGCAGCGACTTGATGAAGCAATGGAGTCGCACTTACATCTACGAGCCGAAATGGATGAGCAAGATCGGATCCATCGACGCGAAGTCTTCTAGCTGAAAAAAGACCACTAAAAGGACATTAAGACCTTTCTTGAGCAAATCGATCATCTTACTAACCGTGTCTCTGAGCTCGAAACCGAAAACAAAGAACTGAAGGAGCAAGCCGAGCGAGACAAGAGAGTGATTGATATCCTTACCCGTTACGCTTAGATCCTTTGGTCAGGTTTCTATCTTGACGAACCGATGACCTACAACATGACTTACAGTGTTTTGCCGAGCATATTCCTTTATTTAGTACATTGTTTTACAATTATAAGTACGCTGCCCCTTCCTGATGCCACCCTCCGCTCACAGGGAGACCACTGCACCGACGGCTAGTTGACCGAGACCGATTGGACTCTGAAGGACTGAATGGACATGGACGACAGGTAGTTGGAAGCGGAGGACACCTGGAAAAGGGGGAACTGGTTATGGAGGGCACTTGCACCTTCAATTGTGACTTGCTTTTCCTTGCTTCTTGTTCTTTTGTCCACAGGGAATTTTCCTATCTGGAAAATTAGGGAAGTCGGGATAGTTCCCAGGTATACTAAACGATTCCCCCGCGGCAAGGTTATTTAGTGAGCTTCGGAATGCCCTGACGCTCTTTGCATCCGCAGATTTGGTGAATACTAATAAGGACGTGATAGATCGTGCGATGGCTTTGTCGAACTCATCGTCTTCCCAGGGGACCTCGCAATGGGATCCAGGGTGTTGAGGACACTTTAGCCCACCGAGGTCAACGAGACATCCCCTAGGACTAGACGTGTTAGCAAGAACGCAGATGGGAAGTACACATGTACGCACCTTTCTGGACCGTTTTATATATCTTCGTCCGATCGGCGGCGAACCCGGGCGCAGAGCTCCGGACCTGCGCCGATATGGTACACAGGATAGCATCAATTAAACCTGTTCAGTGTAAAGCTCAGCAGGCGTGGTGGTCGTCCTCCGGTAAACGGCGCGAGGGTGTTGCCAGGGTTTTGCGAATTCATCGTATAGAAACGAACAATATCCCCAGCAGCAACAATGCTGTACATAGTTTGCATACTCCCAACGCTAGTACGGGATATCGCCATGTAGAACCGTGAGGATCCACCGCCATGCCCTTCGCGAACGCGTTCACTCAAAGGACAATTGCAGCCTCGTAATCGACGAGTCGAACAGGGAGTCCCGGTGGTCCTGCTCACAATATTAGCCTCACTACGTGACAGATAGAAAGAGACATCCACGCACCGTTCATCTCGACCAGGACCCATCAACCCATAGCAGCGATTATTCCAATGTTTCGGATGGAGGTGCAAGCATGGAGGCCTGGCATCTCCTGACCTCCAGATCGTTTCCTGGCGCCTCCAGGCAGAGTCGTGTTGGCGCTGAAGGACTGGGAGCCATTGTGTGCTCGTTTCCAGCATACATGGGGCGATCTGCTTGTCCACTGCGATCAGTTCAGAGTGTCGATCTTCGACTAGTCCTCCCGTATCATTGGGGCTGGCGTATCAGCGTCTTCTAGCCCCCTCTATATTGGCCCATGATACACGCCTGCAACATGTTGGGCGGCCTAGCAAATATAAGATCGCTACAGCGAAGGACTCTGCAGTCCACGCTATGCGTGTTGTATACCGAGTATCAATATGCTTGTCAGAGCACCTGAAAGCCCCGATTATAAGAGCAGTGCCTGTTCCAGCGTCTCCGGTCTTGACCCTTCAGGGCTGTGCGGAAGCAATGGCTCAGGGGCTGAAGGCCCGCCGAGTATATCGTGGACTGTCCTGAGACGGGAATGGACTCTCACGTAAACTAGAGTAAACCCATGAGTTAGTACGATTCTCCATGTTGGAATGTGGCATCATACCGGATGTCAGGGTCCAGACAGGCCTATATACATCGACTGCTGCTTTGGGTGTTGTATCACCCACATATATTATAGCCTTGACTGTAAGACGTGGAGATATAAGGGGGAGCGAGAGAGAAACTGTCGGGGGAAACGGCGGGTATATAAATATTTCTGCGAACAAAGAGCAATGGAGGACCGGGAGTGAACTCATACTAGTATTCACACCGACATTCCCTGCTGTAGGGAATGCAAACGCCAGAAAATGAATTCCAAGCTTGCAGAGCCTGGAATACTACCCACATTGAATGAGCAAACGATTCCAAGTCTATCCATCGTTGTCCTTAGTATTGGTGTCTTAAAGAGTATCTGCAAATGAATTACACATTAGAAGGCTCAATTAACTTGCTAATTACAAATCATTAACCTGAGTTAAACGTATAATTGGTATCATGCGGACAATAGTGCCAACATGCGGAATGAGAAGCTCTAGTTGACTCTAAATACAAAAGCTGACCATCTCGATTTCCTTTCAGACTCCATGAGCGCCATCGCCATACAGCTTCTGTCCATCGAGTTGGAGCAATTCAGAAGGGGCTAATCATAAGAATATCTGGAGCAAATTAGCCGCGTCCACAAGGCATCCCCAGAAGCAAAACGTACATTTACAGGCTGTCGCCAACGGTGGCAAGGATGGTACCGACGGAGGTACCGACGCCGGGGAGGCCGAGGCCAGAGACAAGGCCAGCAACCTCAGGAGAGAGCTGGATGGCAAGAGCACCAACACCCTGGGCAACAACGGTGACGAGGCCCTCGACCTGGGGGCCAAGAGCAGTCACGAGGTCACCGACGGAAGAGGCAGAGGCAACAACACCACCGAGAGGAACGCCGAGCTGGGGGAGACCAAGGCCGGAGACGAGACCGGCAACCTCAGGAGAGAGCTTGAGGAGGAGGGTCTTAGCGTTGGGGCCAGTGACGGTCAGAACGTCGTTGAGCTTGGGGGCGAGGTCCTGGAGGACCTTGCCGGAGCTGCCGCCCAGAGAGGCAGTGCCAGAGGGGACAGCGGCGGAGGGGGTGGCAGCGGCGCCAGAGGAGGTGCCAGTGGGCAGGTTGCCGCCCAGGTTGCCCAGGAGGCCAGTCACACCACTGAGCACGTTGCCCAGGGGCAGGCTGCTGTCACCACCGAGGTTGCCGAGGAGGCCACCGAGGACGCTGTTGAGGTCACCAAGGTTGGAGACGATGGGCAGCTTGCTGCCGAGGAGCTCGTCCAGGTTGGAGAGGACAGGGAGCTTGTTCACAACGGGGAGGTTGAGAGGGGCGGCAACGGCAGTGCCGGCCAGAGCAGAAAGGACGTAAGCGAACTTCATTGTGGATCGTGTAGGAGAGGTCTGGAAGACTCCGAAAGAATGACTGGTGGTGAGGAAGAGTCTTGTAAAGAGGGAATGAATGAATGAATGACGGATGATAAGAAGAAAGCAGCAGGAAGAGGGGCCGGGAGCGTCCTTTTATACATCGCAGGACAGGGCAGCCAGATGCAGGAACCCAACAGGGGGTGTGGTTCAGGGCCCTACCAGACCCTAGGTGCTCCATCAGCGTACTCCATACTCCGTACGGAAAGTTTTTACACCGCAGGAACAGGCAATAGAGATGGGTCGTATAGCAATAGTCGCCCCATACACCGGTGGGGGTCGACCACGTCCTCCGTACGGAGTACTCGTTACGTGCTTAATCCATCAGCCCAGGCATAGACGGGATGGATAAAGACAGCGACATAACGCCTTTGCTGGAGGTATACGCCTTCGTGCCATATCCGGAGAATTAACAGCGGCTTCATCGGAGAAAAGCAACATGGAAGCCACACTCACGCAAGGAGCGCGGTCCTCGTTGCAGCAGACAACCTGAGATAGTGATATCCACCGGCATTAACGTCAGTGGACTATTATTGAATTCGAAAGTGATCGACCTTCCAATCTTACTTCGGGATACCGTTCTGTCGTACGGAGGACTGTCAGGACCCTACTCCGGAAGTACGGAGTATGTGTCCGCTCTTGCGTGCTTGTCTCCACCGCAACACGTGTAGACAAGTTGCTTTTGATTCTTCTCCCTCATTTCCGCTTAAGATGCGAGGGTCCCGGAAACACTGGACTCTCGATCCGTCTTCGTGCTGTTTTCCGGAAGACAACCAAGCGGTGGACCGTTCATGAATCTCCTATTTCCACTAGTAACCATTTTTCGAGAGCTCTCAGCGAGTCAGCGAGGTGCTGCTAAGATCGTCGAGGTTTCCTATCCCATCTCGCCCTGTCTCCGCCGGATACTCTGGGTGGAATGGCGATGGTCCCCAGAGCACCTCTGCCAGTCAGATGAACTGCTCCAAGGGTGGGACAATGTCCGAAGAACTAGCGCGGGAAGATCCCTGGCCCACCGGGACCGTCTGCTCAGGTGCCGAGACTGATAGGATCCCTGGACGGGGCACCCAGCGGAATGGTCGATAGGGAAGATTACTTCTGCTGCTAAAACTCGGGTTTGCGCTTAATCATGAGCTAGCGCAGCTCCCAAGGTCTTGTTGTTGCTGGGGCCGCTGTCCAGCAAAGCGTTCACCCAGTATCTCTCCTGTCGATCGTGATCTTAGGCTTGGTCCACCTAGGCATCCTGATTGTCGCTATGGAGCTTCTCAGGCCTCTCCTGCGCGAATTATAATCCGTCCAGCTGACAGATATTCAGGGACAGGAGGTCCCTTTTTTTATCTGCTGCGTGATGGGCAAACCTCCACCTTTGACAAGTCAATATCACAGCTATTATGCCTCTCAACGACGTCAACGTCCCCTGGTAGATGTCTCTCAACAACGTCCCCTGGTAGGAATCCTACTTACTAATGGACACGAATTCCCTTCCGCCGAGATCCCCCGGGAGAAAGGATCTACTAGATCGATCGCAAGATCAGCATGCTTGAGAAGTCTAATTAAATTGCTGTGGAGCTTACTTCAGTGACGTCGGCATTTGTCGACGCCTCTTCGCTGACAATTCCGACGACCTTAGGGACTTTTCCAGAGAACCGGCCGAATTTTTGACTTTGCTAGGATTTTCGTGACCCGACGGTTCGATTCGTCTGGTTGATCACTCGTAGGGCATTGATAGCTCGCACTTTTAGCGTCCGATACACAATGACCGAGAAATGTCTGTTCGGCCTTGCCGATGGAACAGAATGGGCGGAAAGAGGCGGGAATTTTTGGGTGCATCAGACCAGCTCCGGGACCAGCTTCCGCGAGACCGTGGGAGGTACAAATGTCCGACCAGCACGATACCAAGCCATTCAACAGTACACGCCGAGGATGCTGCTTACATCCGCGGGAAAAGCAAAGGGAAATATCTATTCCCGCAGTCTAAGGGACAGTTGCCGAGTCTGTATACGGACAGCGCCAAAGCCCGCAAAACTTGTGGCAGATACCAAGATACCTAGAGCTGTTCCTGGCTAAATGGGCCTTTTGAAGGATTACAATCCTTGACGAGACTGATTCAGTCGAGGATAGCTCATAGGATGAGCGTGACGATCGTCTGCAGAGAGCGGCTTGGACGCGATCAGTGGATGAACGCTAAGGATCAAGATTTGTGATCGAATTCCAGCCGATCCACGGACTAGTCATCTCGTATTCATGGGTCTTTTCTGCTAGCTCCGATATATCATATGTGCGGTGGACACGGCCTGCTGGTACGAGGATGTGTAGTTTCTCAGCGCTAGTTGCCTCCCTGGATCGAGTGATAGGAATGTGATCAACTGAGATCAAGGTCCAGGCATTGTTTCGGCCTATGCGTCCGCTTGTGTCCATTCTACCTTCCAGAGGCGACTCAGAAGCCTTCAGCTATTTATCGGGGTGGATCGATCGTGTGAAGCCATGGAGAAGACAGAGCTCGGGTTATGCCGTAACTGTCACGACAATCATGAGAGTCCGAATATCCCATAGTCTGTTCAATACAAAGTCATGACATGGTACAGAGTACAATGTCATTGTTGACTGTTGCACTTTGGCATCACGATTGCGTTATATAGCGACACCGGGACCCGATTATCGCCTTGGTCCGTTGATTATCGTCTGTTGTCGGTTCCACGTGAGCATCATGATCACCCTCATCATAGCAAGACGACGCCTTTCCTCGTGAGACATACAGAATACAAAATGAATGATCCAAGGTAAGAGGAAGAAGGAACAGGACTCTTACTCCGTACTCAAACTATGTGCGGCACGTGACCAGTCGGAAGATCGTTGACCCTGAGAAATGACGAGGCTGGAGCTCCAGACGTCGACTTCTCTCCGCAACTCAATTCCACCACCACCACCACCAACCTCACTGCGAATTCCTGGTCTCGACCTGCAAACATCCGGCCTCAATGCGAACGATTGCCCAGGCCCCATGGTGAGCGTCTTGCTGAATCGCTGTCCGTCGTTCGTCCTGTGAATGCCCGCATCTGCGGGGTACCGTCCATCCGGCCCGGCTTATCAACCCACGTAACACATCACCATGGACGTCCGCAAGAAGAAGAGAAAGGTCCTCTTGATGGGGAAGAGCGGGTCGGGAAAGTCGTCCATGCGCTCCATCATCTTCAGCAACTACGTCGCCAAAGATGTCCGCCGACTGGGCGCTACGATTGATGTGGAGCACAGTCATGTCAAGTTCATGGGGAACCTGACGTTGAACCTGTGGGACTGTGGAGGGTGAGCCGGTCTTTCCTCTGACCAGACAAACACATCGCAGCTGACAGAGTTCCATCAGACAGGATGCCTTCATGGAGACCTACCTCGCCTCGCAACGAGGCAACATCTTCTCCGACGTCGCCGTCCTCATCTACGTCTTCGACATCGAGTCCCGCGAGGTCGAGCGCGACCTGGACACGTACAACCTGATCATCGGCGCGCTGAAGGAGTACAGCCCGAACGCGTACGTCTTCTGTCTCGTGCACAAGCTGGATCTCATCCAGGCGGAGCACCGCCAACGCATCTACGAGGAACGCTCCGCGCTGATCCGCAGCCGCTCCGACCACTTCGCCATCGACACCTTCGGCAGCAGCATCTGGGACCAGTCGCTGTACAAGGCGTGGGCGGGCATCGTGCACCGCCTGATCCCCAACCTGACCGTCATCGAACGCTTCCTGCAGGCCTTTGCCAAACGCATCGACGCCGAGGAAGTCATCCTCTTCGAGCGCTCCACCTTCCTGACCGTCACCTCGGTCGCCTCGGACATCGGCGACATGAACCCCATCTACGACCGCCACGAGCGCTTGTCCAACATCATGAAGGCCTTCAAGCACTGCGCCGCCCGCAACACCCACACCACCCCGGCCTCTGCCGGCTTCGTCGTCATGCACACCAAGACCCCGCAATTCAACGTCTTCCTCGGCCGCTTCACCGACAACACGTACATCTTCCTTGTCGTCCCGCCCGGCGAAGCCGCCTACAACTGTGCCGTGTTGAACACCATGCTGGCGCGCGAGGGCTTCGCCAAAGCCGCAGCCACCGGGTACGGCGACGGCTTTCCGCTCCCCGCGCCGGACACTCCCGATGGCCAAACCGCGCGGGGCTGATACGAGCCCAGGGTTGGTCTCTTTTCCCCGTCGAGTCCGGTTGGTTACCTTGTAGTGTCGGTCTATGGATTTGCGTGCGATGACGGCGTTCCGGTCGGAGAACTGCGACTTTTTCCCATCCATCTGTCTATCCTTATTTGTGAGATACCCTAGCATCGCCTATGTCAGCTGTCTTGTCGTACTGGAAATATCAGCCTGGAAACCAAGCGCAATAGGAATGCATATACTGTTTGAATCGGAGTGGTCGGAGGTGGTCCATGATGTGCCTAGATCGAGCATTACTCATGGAAACTCTCGTCTTGAATTAGATATATATACGACAGCCAAGCGACACAGCTCGTGCAGTGGCAGAATCAGCGAAAGCATGCGAAATCTATTGAACTATAAACCGCTTTACATCATTGTACATCTGGCATGCGGACGGCAATGTCACCTGACTGGGTGATGTATCGAACCCATGGGAGCGACGGGTATTGAAGCTGGCGAGGTTAGCATTTTGCTTTCAGATGGCCAAAGGAATTCGACATACTTTGGGTTCCGTGATCTTCAAATACCGGACCTGAATACCACTTGTGGTGAAGTAGGGGATTTCAAATTTGACATTAATCGGCCGTTTGGCCTTGCCCTGGCCGGCGCCGCCCATACTGCCGCCAAACCCACCGGTCATACCGCCGCCGTGCTCGTCGTCGCCCTTGACGGACGGCAGGCCGAGCTCCGCGCGCATGAGGAACTCCTTCCCACCGCCGAACTGCTTGATCTTCCAGATGATGGCCGATTTCTCGGGTGCGTAATGAACAGTACCGATATTGGTTCGGAAACGGGGCGAGTCTGCGTCTTCGGGCACGGGGACGAGGATCTCTACGTTGTTGGCGGTGCTGCGACGCTTGAACTGTGCTTTGGCCTAGGGTCGCTCTGTCAGCTATACCACCCACGCGCGATGCGCAGACACACATCGGAGAGACAGACCTTCAACATATACTCTATCCGAGACCCGGAGTGGGATTCCACCAGGCACTCGACCCAGATGAGCGGCTTGACCTGCGTGTTGAGACGGTAGCTCATGAGCTCGAACTCGCCGTCGGGGGGTATAAAGCTGATGGTGCGGTCGTTTTCAAACCGCGACAGGCGCACGCATTGGTGGAATTTGACGTCCTCCATCTCGACGGCCTTGCCGCGCGTGGCGCGGCCCGTCGTCTCGAACATGACCTTGTCATTGAGGCCGAGTCGCAGCTCGGGCATGCCGCTCAGGTAACACTTCATCTTGATCGCGCCGAGAATCTCCGACCGCAGGACATTGCCAGATGCCGACACGAGGAGATTCAGAGATTCGACCACATCCAGGAAGACTTCGTTCTTGCGATAGCGGATGCCTTCGCTTCGCCACGAGACGGCGTTGGTGACGGCGATGGGGGGCCGGGCTTGGATTTCGAGTTTGTGTGATTCCTGGGTGATGTATCTAGCCACGGTGTATTAGCATGGTCATTGGTGGTTGGGTGCGGATCGAAGGGCGGTCGTACTCTTGGAGGATCTTGCTTTCCGTTGTTTGTGGGTACCCAAAGTCCATCATTTCGTCGAGCAATTCGTAGATGATGACGAAGTTATCCCGGATACTCTCCTCCTCCAGGACCTTGAAGTATTCCGTGAAGACCTCGACGATCTTGTGGAGGAAAAGGAGAATTTCGGTGGCATTGGTGTTCTTTTTCGTCAGGGCGAGGATGTAGAGGTTGCTGTGACGGATGTAGAGGTACTATTGGAGAGTTCTCGTCAGTCAATGCTCTTCGCGATGTTTGTATTCGTCTTTATTTCCAATTGTCATGGTGGTCTCTGTAGGGTTGGACCCTGGTGATATAGGGGAGGACTCTGGGCTGCGGGGAATGCGGTGGGGGATCGGGACGAGGGTTGGGCAACATACGTTGATTCCCTCGTGGGAGAAACACGGAGGCACGGCGGAGCTCTCTTCTTCGGCATCGCTGAGGAGGATGGGAAATTTCTCAACCGCAGACATGGGAATGTCTCCGCGGTAGTTTCGGGCCAGAAGGGTCTAGAGACACGGTGAGCACCAAGGGATGCATGCGCCGGCGACCGACGACGTACCTTGCCCTTCAAATCGAGGAAGAACACGGCCGAAGCCATGTCGGAAGAAGAGAAATGGAGGAGACAGAAGAAGGGGGGCGGATGGAGGAGGAGGGTAAAAAAGGAGGCGGTTGATAGTGGTGAGGTCGCAGGAGGCAGTCGGAGTGTATACAGAGAGAGTAGGAGTATGGATCCCAAGAATGTCGTAAGGAGAGGCTCTGGCCAACTTTCCCTCCTCGAGCTGCGCCGCGCCTGAGGCTGCAACACTAGTATGTATAGGGTTAGCGCGTATGCGTCAGTTTCTTATTTAATTTCGTCGTCCGCACTTTTCTTCGTCTTCTTCTTTTCTTCTTCAGAATTTCTTTTTATTCCGCTCCCAACAGACAGTGCAATGCAGTATTAACCACTTGTGGTTGCTAGCGCTGTCGGACTTTCTGTTCGACAGTGTCTGGTTTTTAAATTACTCCTTTGCGATAAAGAGGGGCGCAGACTAGGCATCGTTACGAGGGTTCCATAAGAGCTGGCCGGGCATTGTGCACTGTTGCTCGGGCGGTGTCAGAGGAACCGTACATACTATGATATACCTATCTACTATATTGTGTACTCTGTACTGTAGACAGAATGAGCAAGTGGGAGATGCTTATCCATCTCCATTGAGAGTCATGGCTCCTACGTCTCAGCCAGCAGGATCTTCGTTCGACCTTGTCACTATCACTATCAGCTGCGGTCAGGTCGAGTGAGCATACGTTCAGAGGATTCTGGCCCAAGAACTGCAAAGCAATGCAAGCTTGATTGTGTTCATTCAACGTGATTGAAGAAACTTTCGAGAGTGGAGGATGATTCTGCCAAATTAGGTCCTGCTTCTTGTGTCCTAAATACGAAACGTGATGTGTATAGAGTTGCGTGGTCTAATGGTCATGACGTCTGATTCACATGTGGATCTTAGATCCTCAGAAGGTTCCCGGTTCGATCCCGGGCGCGACTACTCTTTTTGTTTTTGCTTCTGTCTACAGTACATAGAAGACCACCTAGCTGGTGGGTCCTTACCTGACCGATGTTCTGTATAACATGATCTCAGCTATTACGGAGTACACCGGCCAAGCAATCTTGTGCGTCCTTTTTGCGGGGATCAAGACTGCGGTGGAGGGGACTACAGGTGGAAACGAAAGATATTGTTACAGGGTCACATCAGGATGACCTCCAGTCATGTACATAGTATCACTGTACCCCCTTTTGTAGACCACGAAGTTCCTGCTGAAATGATCCCTATAGCACGATGTTGACAACCCTGTGGAAATGTTACTCAGCTGTTCATACAGCAATAGGATACTTCATTTACGGAGCGGTTAGCGTCTTTCTCCGCAAAGTGCCTCCGTCCATCAGGAAGGTTTTCTCCACCAGCCAGAAACCTGATAGACGCAGACGCCGAAAACAAACTCGATGTTTTATTGTGTGACTTTAGGAGATCAACAAATAGGGAGATAGACGGTGGGCATCTCCCGGATTCGGGGGGTTTTTAATCCTTCTAGGCCATGGGTGTCAACAGAGGCTATGGACATCTTCAGTCTCGGGTCGGTATTCTACACGATCATGACCGGCCATTGGCCCTACAAGTCTCCTGGACCGTTCAACTCCATGGAAGAGATGAATGATTACGAGGCTCGGGTAGATGAGCTCTTCGCCTCCAAAAGCTATCCATCAGTTGTTGGCCTTGTTGGCGGTGCTGTGATACAAGGATGTTGGACAGACCGGTACAGTGATGTAGGCGCATTTGTTCGAGATCTTTATAGTTCTATCCCCACATTCGTAGATCTTGGTGGAAACGTCGACGGTACACATGCTAAATGTAGACCGTGAGTACTGGAGCTCCTACCATGCCTGATGTAGCAGGAAAGCCATTACATCGGCGAAGCAATCTTGTACAGCCGAGCGGTCCAGAATATAGATCATCTCATCCTTTTTGCGGGGAAGACTGCGGGGGTAGGCCACCTTTATACTTCTTGGAGATTTCATAGATCTAGGGGGACTCAGTATGGGAACGCTGCAATGAACTGTCTGGCTCCCACCAACTGACGTAGCGCGGGAGAGCATCATGGCAGTGGCATCACATCGACAAAGAAGCACACCCAATGACCTCCTCCTCGCCCTAAAATCGGACGACTAAATAGTTGGTTCTTGGGGTTTCTTGTGTTAGACATATATATATCACAGCCTGGTTAGACTCAACCCTGCATAATGCACACCGAGAATCCACACAATCTAGCAAGTGTTCCGTAAGTTTATATACCGCAGGTCGGCCGTCTTGACTCATGAATCTTTGTTCTCAGGGTATCCCCTCCAGGATATAACACAAATCTAGATCGAAGTAAAAATACACATACAGAATATGGAGGACAAAGACAGCCCCGAATCCAAAGAACACATGCAAAAACAACACGAGATGGTAAACGCCAAGTCACAAAATCACCCGCAAAAGATGCTCAATCAGGCCGTCATCTTAAACCCCAACGGAGCCAATATCCGCTCCCGGGCCACCTCATTCGCAACATGTCCGCCCTTCTCCAGCGAAACAGCCCCAACGACAGCGTACATAGTATGCGCGAGAACGAGTTCGAAGCCCGAGCTGGCGAGGTTCTGGGGCTGCACCGATATTAGCCGCTCTGCAAGAACACAAGACAAGAATGAACCAGAGGATGGTATACCTTCCGAGGACTCCACCGCAGCACCTTCTGCAGCTCATACTTCTGCGCCAGCTCCGCAAGCTTCGCCTTACTCAGCAGCAGCTCCTTCGTGCTCGGCGACAAATTCGGCAGCCCATCCAGCGCCGGGTGTTCAAAGGGCCGCCGACCAAAGGCATCGACGGAGCTGGCGGCGCTGCCTCCGGGGCTCTGCACCAGCGCCAGCGACGCCTGGAGCTGGACGATGCGTTTTCCTGCCGTCCCATTCGCATTAGCCTTCTCACTCACCGCATCTTCAAGCCCAATCACTTGGCGGCGCCGCGGGGGATACACACCTAAAAACGCCAGGCGATCGTTAAACCCTCTCCGGCCCTGGTCGAAGCTCTTGTGCGTGACGGCCAGCCACTTGATCTCGTCGGACAGCACCTTGTCGCCGTCGGCGCCGAGCATTCGGACGTAGAACTGGTCGAGGACCTTGGGGTCCGCGTTCACGGGGTACTCGCGTCTCTTGGAGTTGAAGCGCAGGCTGAAGGGCGCCTTTGCGCGCGGCGGCGTGTACGACCATCGCGGCTTGTCGGCGTAGTCAGTCGGCGGCTGGTCGGGGGATGTGGACAGGCCTCGTCGGGGGAGCAGCATTGCGGAGCGAGTCGCCGTCGCCGTCGCTGCGCTGGGGACGGCGAGTGAGCGGCACGCGGAGCAGGCGACTGTGCTCCGGAGCGCCCGGGTCGAGAGCATCGAGGCCATTGTTGCGGGAGGAGACGTTGGAGGAGGGGGTTCGATGTCGTCTGTTCTTGCTGGTCTTCGTCGGAGAAGCGAAGAATTTCCGCATTCCGCGCTAGTCCGTGTTTGGGGATGACTAACCACATGTTGATGCCTCAGGAAGGATTAATCACGCAGTTCTACTGGATTTCTATTCTATTTACTACGACTTATGCGTGGAAATTACCGTTTTCTTCTTTGGTAATTATGGTAATTATTAAAGGTGAATTGGTTATTTGTCAAAGTTTGGATGGAGTCAGTCCATTCTGTGTTGCCCTGAAAACTACATCTTTGCAAGGTCTCATGCACCAAACCCTCACCAGACAAAACTATTCGTACCAAGTGCTGGCAGATCCGTTGTCGATGGGTGTCTGCGTCGATGGGACTGGCGGTAAGTGCTTATGCATGCAAATATTCGGCCGGTATACGCTGGGTGACACAGGCAGGCGGCCCTCTCATTTTATAGATGAAGCAGAGCCAAGGGATTTCCCCGGCCGGGAAATTACTCCTTGCACATCGGATTCTGGGGATTGGGCGAACACAGCTGCCTGAGAGGAGTAACGAAGAGATAGAAGTTAGTACGTGGAAGAGACAGACTGGTCAAGGAAAGCGCCGTGATACTGCCCCTGAGAAGCCTTCGGAAATCACTCCATTCGTTGTCGAGACTATCCGGTTGTCGGCAGTTATTTGGGTATCAAAAAGCCGGTTTGCTGGCTCTGGCCACGAGCATATTTCTTCCGCAGACAGAACCCCGGGAGGCTTCGATGACGAAGCTCATCGGACAGGTGTAGTGATGTGTGACGATATCCGTCCGGCAGCCCACGTGCTGGGATTTGTTGAATAGCGCCTTAATCCCAAGGCGAACTGTGCGAGGTTGCCCTGGTACTTCTCCATCTCGAATGTTTGCTTGTCAGACCGCATTTTCTGGAAGCCGTCGTCGACATGGATCCTAGCAGGTCAGAGCAACTCCAGGGTTGGAAGGACGTTCGACAACCTAAAAGAACCCCTGTAGAGGACATCCTCATGGTTAAATGCAGAAACGGGATGGTGCAATTGGCCGATGCTTCGAGGTCTGGCGTCCCATTCTGAGCCAATAACAGAGCCGCTGTTTGGAACCCTGGCGCTCCGCCGTTTGCTTCAAGCATAAAAGATCCCGCTGCATAGATCTTGACCTGCTCCATTCCGTCCAGCCGTGAAAGACGGCATACGCTGGGGTTCGAGCCTTGCCCGTCGCGCTTCCTTAGAACAGCATCACCACCTGGATGTTCCCGTCGACTATCCGATTTGACACTCAAGCTTAGGTGCTGGACCAACGATGTAGGGGCTTTGATTCAGTTTGCTGCAAGAAACCGGAGCTTCGCCTTCTAAAGTCCGCGGGTGTCACCAGCGATGGGTCTGTTGTCTCAGATCAGTGCTGAAGAAACTCTGCGCTCAGACAATGCAAGAACGTTGGAGTCTATCGAGATCTGTCCGTTATCCGCCACTAAGCACCTCAAAGCAAAGAAAAGGGGGGATTAAGATGGACGCCCAACAAATCTAGCGGTGACGGCCACTCACCGTGATCGACCGCACATACGCTGTCAGACCTCAATACATCCTACCTTCCGTCGGACTGTCCTGCAACGGTCCGAAGGCCTTAATGCAGCTGAAGCAGTCCTGGAGCTCGTTGCTGGAGAGCGGAAAGGCCATATCCACGCGGGTGCTTTCCGTGAAGGGACGTCAACCGGGACGGCAGTGTGCGACGATGTACGACGTGGTGGTGGAGAGTATGCCGGGAAGCTGTGCGGTCCTGAGAGTTGGTGTCTTTAAAAGACTGACAATTCCCGCCGTTGGGAAGTGCATTTCCTGTTCGCCAAGCCAAAGATAACAGCTCTTCTTCTATCAAGCAACTTTCACTTGACGCCGATCAACATACCTCACTGCTCGCGCTTGACCTTCACAAGCAACCAGTATTCCCAATACCTCTGAAAGCATGTCGTCGACTCGCAACCAGATGAACCTCAACACCGCACACTCTCTGCTCCAGGGCCGCAATGGAAACGGAGACGACATCTACAGCGCGTGTTCCGTCCAAGATCCTCCCTCGCCGGGCCCATTCCCTCCTAACCCACCTCCGAGCCCTGCTTAGGCTGGCTTCGGTTCACTGAGTTTGATCGCATACGTAAGATGATCAAATTCGATTCGAGACTGAGCGAATGCTGACTGGTATAGGCTTTCACGGAACTTTGGGGGATCCCCTGTAAACGACGATATCAACGAGCACACAGCAGAACGGAAAGGTGTATATCCGGATGAGAGTTTGGAAGAGCATGATATCCCGGAGTTAGACAAGGCCATCATAGAATGTTCCAGAGGCGATTTTGAAGGAGGCGGTGACAGACTGTATAACACCAGTTGCATATTCCTAGACGAATCAAAATATATCCATTTGTGTGTCGGTTGAAGTTGTGCAATTCCGAATGGCTTTCTTTCGCCATTTGCCACGTTCTGCTCCGAGACCACTGTTGGTGACGTGGGCTAGTGTACCGCTCACAGTTTGCTCATTTGCGAGTCGGAGCCCATCGGGCTCTTCGATTTGTCCATCGCAATACCCAAGATCACTTCTTTCCCAGTGGGCGCCCCGTTTCAGGAATCCCGGGGCCCTTTTCCCATGCTGCATTTGCGCGACGAGAAAGTCACCGGCATAGAAAACACGACTGCAGTCAGGGTTAGCCATAGTCGGCAATATCCATGTTTCAAAACTCACCTGAAACCATAGCTCCAATGCACTTCCTGTTAGTGCATCTGAATGCAAGTGTCAATTCTACAACAGAAAGGTAAATAGCGAAAGCCATGTCTGGTATAAAAATATATTGAACAATGAACCGTTTTTAAACCACAAAACTCAAAAGGTATGACACAGGAAAATTACAGAAGAGCAAGGACGACGGCGCTAAGAGCACTCAAGCCCACGACGGTCCAGCCGGACTTGATGACCTGCTGATTGGTGATTCCACGACCCATATCCCAGACCAAGTGACGGACGCCGTTCATGCAGTGGAAAGCGAAGGGGAAAGCGATGGTACCCTTGAGGAGGACCTTGGCGGCGATGGGGAGAGCGGCGAAAGCAGCCGCCAGGGAGGCGGACTCGAGGTGCCAGCCGAACAGAGGGGCAGCGAGGTAGGCAGTGGCGAAGACATACATACCACCGGAGAGGGCGACACCGGTGATACGGTTGAATGCGGAGGCGTACCAGGTGATCTGGGGACGGTAGATGGTCAAGTGGGGAGAGACGGGGCGGTTGAGACGCTGCTTCGCAAGGATCTTGGTGGGATCTTCCGTGTTGGCGGAGGTTGCGGCTTGTCTGGGGATTGTCCATAGTTAGTATGAGGATAATCTTGTGGATAGTTGGTGGAATAGTCGGTCTGTTGTCTCAATGCGTGGTCGAATCCGGTAGACCATCCTCCATGACGTATGGGTGTCTCGAGATGTCTCCGGAGCGGATTGTCGCAAGGGCCACCGAACGTGGATCTCTGGGTGTCACTAACCTCCTCTGCACGGTACGACCGAGAGCGATGGCGGCGGGGGAGGCCGCGTTCATCATGGACCAGCGCATGGCGTAGGGCTGCTGGACGGCGACTGTAGCAAATTAGCGGGTAGTCCATTGGAGAACGAACGCAGGGTGGAGGGACGTACGCCGTCGCAGCGACTGCTGAGCAACCTTCTGAGAGATCATGGCGACGGATGAGGCGGACAGACGAGAAGAGAGCGCGCAGAGAGGAGAGGGTCAACGCAATGAAGATATCCAGAAGGAACAGAGCAACTCCCGAATCCTCGTAACGCTTCGGAATCACGGGACGGACTACCTCGGGTGAGGGCCCGGTCACGTGAACCAATCAACGGCCGGCAATTTAGCATCCGGAAGATTCATCTTCCGTTCCATTTTCGCTTTTCCCTTTTCTGTTTTCTTCTTCTTCCTCTGCTTCCTCTTTTCTTCTTCTTCTCTCCAGGGACTCCCGCTCACGTCCTCCACCACCTCATGATGTTGACGTGCTCAGCTATCCTCACTGGTTTCGGCATTCTGTCGCGACCGCCGAGGTTTTATGAGACCCCCGAGAAGGAGTTGGCCCGTCGTTAATCGCCCATTTCTTTCTGTCCATGAAAGGAAAGGGTTTCATATCAGGGTTACATAGTAGCTTTAGCTCTAGGTTTTGTATTGTAAATATAGCTTTCTGAGGATATTCGTCCAGAGGGTATATCTACTCTATTTCATCGGACCGAATACTCGGGATGGGATGCTCCGTGGTAGTTCAGTCGGAACATGTCAGGCCGAATGGAGAGTGAGGGGTCTTATCTGATCCTCTTATACTCCAACTACTTCTACCTACCCTTACCCTTATCCTTACCTTCACTACCTTTCAGCTCCAACTGCAACCACCCTCAATCACCTTGGATCATACCTACACATCATTTCCATCGACACGGTCGTCAATATGGCTCCCCAAACTGGTCTACATGTTCTCCGCACCAGGACTGTCGTCGACTGTGATACTCTGGACGAGCAAGGTACTATCCGTTCAAACAACACCTAATGGAGACCTCATCCTGTAGACAAACATGTACTTATCCCTCACTGTCAACCGCAGTCGCCAAAACCATGGGTCCTTTTCACGATTGCACTTCCAACCAAGCCATTGCATACGGCGAGCTTTCAAAACCAGAACATGGAGAACTACTCTCTGCTTCCGTCTCTGAAGCCAAACAACTCTTGGCTGGGGGCAGACTTCCATCTATGCCTGTATCAGAGCTTGCTGTCGAGATTGCGGTATTCCGGACTGCCCACGCTCGCGCGGTTAAAGACTAACAGGACTTACTAGATGGTGAAACTAGCTCTTAAAATTGCCCCCCATATCTCTGGCCATGTTCACATCCAAACAAACCCGTACTACTCATACTCCACCGACCAGACGGTCATCAACGCTTTAAGTGAGTAGAATCCACCATCCACTTCGTCAATACACCAAGCCTCACATAAACCAGGAATCGTCCAGCTCTTCCAACATCTCCAACCCGGTTTCGACCGGTCCCGCATCTGCATCAAAATCCCCAGTACTTGGGAGGGAATGATGGCCTGTCGCACCCTTGAACAAGCCGGCATCCACACTCTCGCCACCACTCTCTTCACCCTGACCCAAGCCGTCCTGGCCGCTGAAGTCGGCTGTACATATGTTGCACCCTATGTCAATCAGCTGAAAGTCCACTTTGAGCCCGGGTACATTCTCTATCCACTCTTTCAGCAGCAAGAATAGACCGACTAACCACCACAGCTTCTCCGACCCGAACAAGCTCCTCCCCCTCTGTGTCCTCATTCAAAAGTACTACGAGTCGGTGAAGGCTAAGACACTGGTCCTTCCAGCAAGTCTAACCTCTACGGCGGAGATCTTTGCCCTAGCTGGTGTGAGTCATATCACAATTGCGCCGGGACTGTTGGAACAGCTCTCGCAGCCCGGTTCGGCTCCAGAGATGCAGTCACTGTTTGATTTGGGCCTACCGTCGGGGCTCCCATCTGAGCCCTTGTCGTTTGTGAATGATGAATCTGCCTATCGAATCTCATTTTCGAGGGATATGCACGGGGCGAGTGAGGGGAAGTTGACGCAGGTAGGTTGTTCGGATTGTATGCATCATGAGGGGTAATGCTAATATCAGCCAGGCAGTAAACATCTTTTGTGACATGCAGGACAAGCTTATCCAACTTGCCAAGTCTGTGGAGCATAGGGAATAAGATAATGTATCTACATATTCTCAGAGGTTCTAAGAAAGAGGCCATCCATTATACACAACATGTCAGATCAAGACCAACATCTACACTATGGTGATGAGCGCTTCCGAGAAATCCTCCAGCGCCTCAGAACATTCGGATACCTCCGAAGCTCCAACCTCCATCAGAAAACTCTCAGGGACTATCCCAATCCGCTCGTACTTGGCCGAATCGCTCGGCGACTTTCCAAGAAGGAGGTAAGTGTGCTCCACCCATTGGCAATTCTCTCTTTGCGGCAGACGACTACCACGATAGTACCCGATATAGAATAGGAAGACAGGTGTCCTGGACTCGGCTTGTTTCTTCGATGATTCTGATGGTGATCGACGAACGGACCGCTCCACAACACCATTTTCGTTGGTGAACTGGAAAGTCTCCAGTGCCAAATCAACACTGGGTCGGAGCGTTTTGGAGCCATGAACAACGATATACGACTTTCTATCAGGCAAATTCATAGGACTGGGTCCTATTTCCAGTGTCGTTTCGAGTAGAAGCCCTTGTAGCGTCACATGCGCACTGAGTGTCTGGCCCAGGAGGTTCTGACCCGCTACCTTGGAATCCGCATCGAGGACCGTGCATGAACGCGCCGAAACCCACTCCTCTGTACGAGAATATACGACCGTATGTTCGATTGATGCCCAGGAGAACGTGGGGGCGTGGTACTCAACGAGAGGAATCACCGTGTGGCTGTCCTCGATGTTATCATTCATCGCCGCACGCCAAGTCAAATCAGCTAATAGATTATCCAACCAAACGCCAGCAATATACCTAGACTTGGTAATATCTTGGACGACCCGGGCGATGCCCGATATTGCTGGAAGTCTGTCAGACGATATCGTCAGCTCTCGAGAGGTATACTCGTCGACCACCTCGTGCCAATCTTTGTAGGCCTCCTGCGGGTCCGTAATGGAGTAGAACGACCGGAAAGAGAAGATCTTGCCTCCATCGCGGACCCGGTCAAGCATCCCGCATTCGCACGCGGACCCTCCCAGGCAGGACCACCACAGTTCCTCCTGGTGGTAGGTGAGCACCCTCGTAGAGAGGTTACTCTCCTGCAGGGTCCAGCCCCGGAACCATAACGGCGGGGTGTCATCGTCCATCAGATCAAGCGTGTGGGTTGTCACGGCAGGGACCATTCGTGCACCCAAGAGCGTGCGCTGGCCGGTCTGGGTCTCCCATTCAATAATCAAGGGAGGTTTCTGCTCGGCGGCAAAGTGCTCACGTTGAAGAAATCCTTCCGTGACAGATGCAGCGGTGGCAGCTGCAATGGTAAGATAGGCGTTGTGGTAGATCGACGCCATGTTGCTCGACTCAATTTCCCAATCAGACGCCGAGTCTTGGATAATGCACAGTGCGTCGATCCAGAAGTATCGGACTTTCAGCCTGCGGGTCACGATGATGGCGTCTCGGATGGTCTGTGGGAGACCTGAGATTGGTGTACCTCGTTTCATGGCTTCGTAATTGGAAGCTGTCGTCTTGATAGTTTCGAGGCCTCCCCAGCAGTAACTGAGCGCAACATAGCGGTCTTGAGAGGAGGTCACCGTCTCGACCACTCGAACCTCGGTGTCTCCAGGTACGCCCACGTCGATCAGACGCGTTGGGACGTAAGTGGAGGTCGGTCTGCATGTTGGATGTTGCTCGCACCTTGCGAGGCATGTCTCGATAAAGTCGTATGCTTCCTGTGAATCCGGGTGGGTGCTGAGCGCGTGGCCGGTCACGATGCCTTGCCACGCAGGCGGTTGTCCTGTCAAACCTCAGCTTCGCAACGGTATGCTAAAATATCCATCGCATATCCATGGATTTTTACCTAATGGTGCGTAGACCTGGACAGTACTGTATGATAATGGGTCTAATATCGTGGTTTCATTATTCTCTTGCATGCAAAGCAGGACGAAGTCGTCGGATGCAAGTTCAAGCTCAAAATATCGGAGACATTCCAAGATAAACACACACACGCGGCATTCGCGTGAGGCCACAATGTCCTTCAGGTATCTCACGTTAACATCTCCCCTGCCAGGAGTGAAGCCCAGGTGTGGGAGTCGTTTGCCCGCCCGTTGAGCGGAATACTTCAAGTCGAGACAGACATCGCATGACTGGGACATTGTATCGCCGGGTTGGGGTGATTTCTGGCTATGATATAACATGATTAATTCGACATTCCATCCATTGCGGTCTGTCGTTGAACGGGGGCGTCCCCGCTTATCTCACTGCCGAGGCCTAGTTCCCCGGATATGCAAGGCTATCATGGCTCAAACCATGTCAGCCTTTCAGCTGTTGCCAACCCTGGCGCGAGGCTGTCATTTGCACTGGGTTACCTATTGGTGCCACGCGCTGCCCGAGTCTAGCTTCTGACGGCATTCTGATCCTGCGGCTGTATAGTTCCTGTCGGCGTAAAGCTAGCGGCCGCCGCCTCATTCTGTTTCGGGGACCACCTCGTCAGGATGGATATGCCTGCTTTTAGAAACTAGCCTCACCATCACATCTCCATTTCTACTGCTCGCAATCTGTGACGGTCGATGTTATTGGTGGCTGAGCCTCCCGTGGTCACGCAGATTGTTCTCTGGGCTCATGCTCACACGGAAGCAATAGCCATTTTCTAGGCGCCGTTATAAAATGCGGCTTTTGGACTTGCAGTATAAATACGACGGACACTATCTCCAGAAAATCGACCTCGCTCGAACGAAGACATCTCAGCGCGAAAAAAAATATCATCTAGAAGCAGCCTTATCATCAAGATGCCCAGAAAAAGCGACGCGGACGACCGGATGAACAGATTCGACGCCGAGACACAAGCCATCATCGCCGGCGCGAGGTCCAGAACACCTCCTAGACAACTGGCCGTCTCCGACGCCGTGGCTACCGGAAAGCAAGTAGCCACATTCTTCTAGGTTCTGACCTCGCTGACAGCTCGTGTGCACCGCAGTGCTTCACCGGCAGTCAAGCAGCAATACCTGCAAGATCGGAGACAGAACTTCCCGACAGCAGCGAAGAGGGCGTACCAGAGCGCTGCTACTGCCGCTCAGCCGGTTGCGAGTGCCAGTTCGAAGATAAGTCCTCCTTCTGTTGCTGCGGCGCCTCAGCCGAGCACAAAGAGTACGAGTTCGAAGACTGTGACGACGTCGACTTATAGCTCCGGTGGGAGCTCGAAGCAGGCTACCAGCTCGTCGGGCTATAGTTCTACGAAGGCTTCGAAGAAGAGCTCTTCTGGTAGCTCTAAGAAGAGTTCGACTGGTACTAGTTCCTCCAAGAGCACGAGCGGATCACGCAAACGGTATGTATCCATTAGTATGTGGCAGAGGGAGTGAGTATACTTACAGCATCAGGTAACATGCCTACTATTTGGAATCCCTAGTCGGAACGCAACGGGATTGGGGTTGCGAATTGAGTGTCTTTGTGGATGAAGGATGCCGATTTGGTCATATCATAAGATCATGGACATCGTTCGTGTCGTGGAGTCGCTTGAATGAATTCATAAATTGTCATTAGTTGCCGTTTACTTCTCCTCATGTAGTCAAAAAAGAAAGGAAATGTCAATAACAGGTGCTGTGGTCTAGTGGTAGGACGTCACGTTGTGGCCGTGCCAGCCCCGGTTCGATTCCGGGCAGCGCCACATTTTTTACATATCTTTTGGACTCTTTTTTTCACGTAGGAAAAACCGGCTCATCTCTCTCTCTCTCTTTTTTTTTTTTTTTTTTTTTTTTTTTTTTTTTTTTTTTTTTTTTTTTTGTTCGTTTAATTGTTGGTCCTTTTTTTCTTCATCTAAGTATCAGCAGAAATACATACGGGCATATATTGCATAAATGACCTAAATTATATAGAGGTTGGAATTTTATGATAAATGGGAGAGATATATTAACTGGCAGCGCACTAGACTCAGCATCACTTTTAGCTCTTCCACACGGGCAGGACTGGCAACGCACCTGGGATCGTTGTCTACAAAGTGGCTCAAGCAGTGCTCTGTCATTAATATGGCCATACCCTAGCATGTAACTCCTTTTGGCGGTCATCCTCCGCCAACTTGACAAACTCCTGCTTGAAGTGATTGCTCACTTGTCTAGCACGCTCGTAGTCTTCACGCCGTACCATGCCACCAAAGGGAATGAGGCCCGCGTCGTCTAGTTGACGCATGACGGCCGAAACACCCTCTATTAGCTCCATCTCATCCTGATGCTGCAATAATTCCTTGTCCGCAAAATGTATCGGACATGACACTCCCATGTGACCGGCGATCTCGTCCCAACGAGCAATAGCCTCAATCAGGGTATTGCGGAGGGAAAACATATTTTCATTCTCCCAACAACAAGGCACCAAGGAAAGCAGGCGTCGCTTGAGACTAGCACACGGGTCATCATCGACTCCCCATCGTAACGGATCTGCGACCTTGACAGCGCGGCAGTAATAATCCAGCAGCTCTTTCTCGCGCTGTCTGCGCTCGTCTGCCTCGCCGCGTGGAACCTCAAGCATCTGCGGGGATACTCGTTGAAACAACGTCGGAGAAACAGATGCCCGCTGCCAGTCGATGATGCCGGTGATGCGATTTGTGTCGGGATCAACGAAGATGTTCTCCAGATGCAGATCTGGATGCGCGATCCTGTTGGGTAGGTCCTGAGTCTGCGATGTGATGTATGGCGCAACGGCGACGTAGCGCTCAAGGAGGGATATGTAGTCGTCCGGTGTCTCGGGGTGGTCCAGCGATCTGTGGTAGTTCATTCGCGGCTTTGCGTGTAATCGCGACCATTCAAGTTCGTTTTTTACAATGGCAACAGCATAATCAGTGACGGTTCGCCCTGGAGCAATCAGTAACGATAAGAGGACCCATTGCACGAGAGGGTGCCGTACATGGACCGCGGTCTAACTCCATCGTCGCGCGCTCGTTTCCCCAAAAATTGGGATTAGTTATTGGCCCAAGCACAAAAGACGATAGAGGGCTGTCTGAACTTGTTGGCAAGGTACTATCGATAAAAAGACCATCCAGCGGTATGTAGTGCTGCGATCTCCGTTCCAGATCTGCGCGGTAGTAGATACAGCCGTGCCCTGGAAAGTGGACGGAGATATATTTCGTTTCAATATCCACGATCTGGTCGATGATGCGGAGTTGTGTTGTCTTCGTGATTTGATTCCAGACATGGCCCAGCGGGATGCCCGGGGCCTTTTCCTCAATGATGTATTCCGCACCTACTGGGTTCGATGTTTCGCACGACCATGCGTGGACATGAGGGATAGGCACGCCCAGAATATCGCCGAGCTTTATAAATTAGCTCGGACTAGAGAAGCTGCGGTAAGACGTCTTGCGTACGAAACGGCGCGTGGCAACCTCCGAGGCTGTGGTGAAAAAGGCTGGCCCAGCATTTGGATTCGGGAGTCGCGCCACGAGTTGCTCGCCTGTGTCCATAGACAGGACGAAGGCTTTGTTATGCTGGCCCTCGACGCATTTGACAAGCTTTACGCCTGAGTCTCGGTCAGCCGGAACACGGACTGCTCTATGATATGATGGTTGTCGTACATTTGCTGTCGTTGCCGGTGACTTGGCGAGCTGCAGCTAGAAGAGCGTTCAAATCGAACCTGCGATTGCGCCTTGCAAGCTTCTCATCTTCCCCGGCTCTGGAGACATTAGTAGGGTGCATAGGTACGGGGACAGGTGACATACAGCCACCGGTATCGATGGTATGTATAGAGGTCTGCCTCGTCAATAGGTTCTTCTGATCCATTTTCCGTGGCTCTGAAGAGAGGAACAACGGGGTTCGTATGGATTTTCCGAATGGAATGTGTCTGAAGATGACGGGCCACGCGTGCGATATTCATTGTTGCTGAACAACAAAGGCGGCTTGAGGCATGGTGACATAAGGCGGCCTGGGGACCGGACAGACAATAACCCGGAGGCGCATAGGTACGTATGCTACCTATATTTCCGGTAAGGTATAATGCGCCAGTGGCTTCTCTTGTTCAACACTTCGTCCGTCCAAGCATTGCCAGTGCGACTTGTTCTAATAATAGAGGTGATGTAGAGAGATAATTCATGTGGGTTGCTTGTGAGAAGTATAGAAGGTACAAATAGAAGTACTATAGATCTATTGCCGAGGTCTCGTGGACCCGTTCAACTGCCATTTCCCCGCTAGACCAAATCCATCCGTCGGATCCGAAAGATACGATCCATCTCCGACGGGGCCGCATACCCATATACTAGTTTGGGCTTTTGCCTGTGAAGAGGCATTTACAGAGTACATAACTTGACTCATTATACCCTTATGAATCAGGTACCTAGACAGACTTTGGGACCCACAGATTCAGTATTTATGCCACCCTTGCCCAGTCATCCAGGAAAACTTCAACATCAAAATCATCACTTCACAGCCTAGTCGATCTTACTCCGTACACCTTCGTTTGGATCTATCTATTCCCTCCTGGGCTTCAGGCAATCTCTCCTCCCCATCAGACCCATTTGTAAGTCGATATCATCAGCAAGAAGACCCATCTAACAGTTTGGCCGGACAGCATCATGATCGTGACGCGCGGAATCTCGTTAACAAACTTCTTCGTGGCGTCGTCCGCCCTCGCCTTCCAAGTGTTCGTCCTATATCCCTGGCACAAACAGCTCGACGACAGCTTCGAGGCCCTGAAGAAAGAACACGTCCGCGTCCTGAAGACCCTCGACCACATCCAGCACGGCAAGGAGAAGGCCAGTCTCGGATCGGCTTAATATGGAAGGGGTATACAGAAAAGGCGATAGAATAGACGGGTTCATTTCTACGGAGTAGGGTCTTTTGTACATACGTTCATAAATCAGATCTCTCAAAAGTGTCTTAGTCGTACGGAGTAGAGATTGTATGTACTACCACTATATTTTCGATTCGGACAGATGGCCGCGAGGGCCGGAGCGAAACCCGGTCCTACGGAGAACAGCCCCTGGGGTCTGGTTCTACTTTAGGCAATCTGACCGCCCCCGGGTTGGCCACTGTGGAGTATATGCAAAGCCGACCCGATCCGACCTACCGAGTCTAGCATTATGGCAGGTATCTCTCTCTCATGTAGTCAGCGGAAGCGGTAGAAGGATAGGAATGAGGTTATGTACTACCCAGAAGGTTCGATTGTCTAGAAATTCCATCCTTCAATCATATTGAAGAATCTCTACACAGATTTACGACAATAGCTCTCCCCAAAAACAAAACAGTCTATTCCTAGTCTATCCAACGCAATCTAGACTCAAACTAGGTCATCTGAAAATCGGTATAGTGATCCTCAAGGCGCTCCCCATCACTCCATTCCTGCTCAATCACCGCCCGGCGCTCCAGACTGCGAGGCTGGAAGACGCCCAAGAAATCACGCGGACGCAGGATCATCCCAGCATACCGAGGGGAAGTCGGGATCGGACCCGCATTCCAGACAAGATTGAACGCCCAGGCAATACGGGCAATTGCCAGCTGTAACGACCGAGTGGCCAGAAAACGCCCGGGACACTTGCGGCGGCCGAAGCCAAAGGCACCTAGCGGAAGATCCGGATCAGCCAGCCAACGCTCAGGGTGGAAGCCATACGGGTCCGGGTAGAGCGACTCGTCGTGGTCGAGACACCAGGTGTTGGGGATGATGATGGTGTTGGCGGGGATGCGGTAGCCCATGTATTCGTCGTCCTTGTCGACGGAGCGCAGGAAGCCCAGCGGGATGAGGGTGTCGAGGCGCAATATCTCCAGGATGTAGGCGTTGAGGTAGGGCAGGTGCTCGACGAGCTCTTGGCTGGGCAGGCGGTTGGGCCCGCACACGGAGTCAATTTCCTGCTGGAGCTGGAGGAATCTATCGCGGTTGAGCAGGCTCAGGCGGGTGAAGACCATCAGCATGACCGGGGTGGTCACCGACATGGCCGTCCACAGCTCGCCCAGCGCGAAACAGATCTGCTCCCAGGTAGTCTTTTGCGCGTCGCGGTGGCTCATGACGGCGCGCACCCAGGTCCATTCCCGGAGGTGGATGGCGCGGCCAAAGAGGCGGTTGTAGGTGCGCACGGCGTTCTGGTAGAAGGCGTCGCTTACCTGCTTGAACTTGATGAGCCAGCTGGGCATGTACTTGACCCCCGGGATGAGATCCAGGAGGATGTACGTCCAGTGGATATCCTTGAAGAAACCGTCAATGACGTCCTTGGCCTCGTGGAATGAGACGGCGACGGCCGATTTGACGCGCTCGCCGGTCAGGAGACACGAGGCCGTACTGAATGCGAACCGTGCGAGGGGGCCGGAGATGAACTGCGGCAGCAGGAGATCGATTAGTAGTTGTCTTGTTTCCAGATCGAGTAAGGGGAGGTACGCGTTGATGGCTACGGTGCTCAACAGAGGCATCTGCAGCTTATGAATCAGTTTCCAGGAGTTGGTGTACGATTGGAACACGGGTTGCAGACCCTTGGTCATGTATTGACTCCAGACAGACTCGGGACGTGAGCTGTAGATGGCACCGCGTCTTTCCAGTAGGTCCTTTGCGACTTGATGGTTACCCACGGAGATGACCTGGTACGGGCCGATTTTGAAGGAGATCAACGGGCCATACATTTCATGCCATTCTCTGTAGGTCTTCCAGGGCTCAGACCAAGATTGTTGATGCAGGTTTCCCAGGAGGGGAAGAGGAAGGTCATGCTTCCGACGTAGGAGGGGAAGAAGGAGAGGGAGGAAGAGGAGAAGGAGGAGGATGAAGGGGATTGGGAGGTTGACAGCCATCTTGGTAGCTTAAGACCGTGGGAGTGGTCGTACTGACTTGGATGAGTGGAAGCTGAGAGCACATCGCGAGAGGTTGCTGGATTTATATAGCTTTTGAGGTTATTGTAGGAGCTATATTCCGTGAGCTGGATGAAGCGATAACACGGGACATGCCTCTATCAGCATACAGCTTATACATTAGGACCATGGTTAGGCTATAGATATACGGGAACTCCCTTCTATATAGAGCTCGTCATTGACAGAAGTCCATTGTCTGAATGTTTCTTGAGGGTATACCCATATTGAACGAGACAAGAATTATCGAGGTATATTCCATGATCTGATATCCGGCTGATGACACGGAGGATGCCTCTAAGAAGCAAGTCCCTGCATAACATTAGGTGGTTATGTTATTGATACACGCATAATTACCGGGAACTCCCTTATCTATTAGAACTCAGTTGCTGAAACAATGTTTGTCTACATGGTGCTCGATGAAGCTAACAAGCTAATATCGAGGTGCTGAAGAGGAAGAGAAATGCCATCGGATGTCTCCATGTCCTGATAGTACGGGAGATGCCTCTACAGCATACCGGGTATATGTCACGTGGCTAATACATGTACCGGAAATCCCTTATAGCTTTTGTCTCATACTGCTGACAGAAGGCGGAAAATGCCATTGAGTACGTATACAAGTCTTGGCGCGATAAGATTATCAATCGCGGAATGATCCGTAAACTCTTAGCACTTGTAGTATTACTACTGTGACTACTAGCTTACTGCTCCGTAGGCAGTTTATTAATAGGCAAAGATAATCAAATTAACAAGAACGATATTATTATGATCCATCCTTCTGGTAGAATGCTGGCCCACCGCGTCGTAATGGCGCTTCCGTCATAGGGCATATGCAGCCCGGGTGGATCGAGGCTCGGCGTGGCATCCGGAGCCGGAGTCAGTCAGCGCATGTCGGCACTCTCTCTGCCGACTGTCTTCAAATTCAATCCTCTTCTCTCTTCGCATTCCCAGAGTGAGAGAGAGAGCGAACATCTTCTCGACGAACCGACAAAGAAGAATGGGTGATGACCGAGAGAACACAGTGTCCACTTGTCTGTTCTTTGTTGGCTAGCGAGATCCTCCTTAATTATCGAACTAGCGACCTTACGTACTCGGCCTGATGCCGCTGACGCAGCCCCTGCGGTGCAGGGTCCCTCCAGTACCATCTTCACCCTCTTCGCCCTCGACGCTTCGTCTGTCGCCCTCTCGCTGGCGTGTTTCACGCTCCTCCGTCGTTCTCCTCTCCCTCCGCCATAAGAACACCTTTCCTTCCACCTTGTCCTCCGCCAATGCCCGATTCGTCATCCCGCGTCCTTCCTCCATAACCACCACCAAGACAACGACCATCACGCATCACAGAACCACCGTCCCCCAAATGGCCAGCCAAACTAGAGGCCACGGTGGTCACGGCCACCATCACCACCACCACCACCATCACCATGGAAATGTCTACCTCACCTCCACGAACAAAGACGATGCTGGGGTCCGCATTACGCGCATTGGCCTGGTTGCCAATCTGGCCATGGCCATTGGGAAATTTATCGGAGGCTACATCTTTCATTCCCAGGCCTTGATCGCCGACGCCTACCACGCCCTCACCGATCTTGTCTCTGATTTCCTTACCCTCGGCACCGTTGCCTGGTCCCTGAAACCCCCGACCGAACGCTTCCCCAACGGATACGGAAAAATCGAGAGTATCGGCGCGTTAGGAGTGAGCAGTCTCTTACTGTGCGGCGGCGTCTTCATGGGACTCAATTCCGGTCAAGTCCTGCTGGATCAGTTCTACCCCGAGGCCGCGTCCACGCTCTCGCATGTGGCCGCCATCGGACACGGTCATTCCCATAGCCATGGGGTCGAGTCCCTCGGGCCCAGTATCCACGCCGCCTGGCTGGCGGCCGGATCGATTGTCGTGAAGGAATGGCTCTACCATGCGAGTGCGTATCCCTTGCCTATCCCATGTTAGGTACCCCCCAAAACTTCATGCTAATGCCATGCAGCGATGAAAGTGGCCAACGAGCGCAAGTCGTCCGTGCTGGCCTCCAATGCCATCCACCACCGCATCGACTCGCTCACGAGTATTGTCGCGTTGTTTACCATCGGGGGAACGTACATCTTCCAAGACGCCTCCTGGCTGGATCCTGTGGGCGGTCTGCTCATCTCGTTGATGGTCATCAAGGCCGGATGGGGCAACACGGCGACCTCGCTGCTGGAACTGGCCGACACTACCGTCGACGCCGATATCAAGGAGTCCGTGGAGAAGGCGGCGGCCAAAGCGATCGCTAATATGTCGGACGGGGGCTCTATCCACATCCGCGACGTCCAGGGCATGAAGTCGGGACAGAACTACCTGATGGACGTGGAGCTGGCGGTGCCGGGCGCATGGCCCATCCGCCGGTCGCGGGAGATCGAGGAAGCCGTCCGGGCGGCCATTGGGGGGAAAGTCCGGGGTGTGAAGCGGGTGAAGGTGCGCTTTATCCCATCGGAGCAGGAGGAGTTGACCTTTTCGGAGGAATTCATCCCCCCGGAGGTGACGTCGCGAGCGAGTCCGGAGCCGGAGAACGGAGATGCGGACAGCGCGGGACATGACTCGACCACACGCAAGAGGCGTTGAGCTGGATGATTGATGGATTTGTGCCGGTTGATTTGGTGATCTCGCTCCGCCACCCTACATATACTTGTTTGTGTATTATTTCGTTGAGCCAAGATCATGTGATACCCTGTGTCCGGCAGCATCATCCATCGCCGCGGAAGCGATGGAGGGGAGGAAGGTTTCCTGCAGCAGTGCAATTGGCGGAATTCGTCACGATTCGTAAATGAAGGCCTGAAGGGGCGAGACGACGAGTGTTCATCAGGAGATGATCATCTGAACACGCCCGCCCGTGCGGGCAGACGAATTACCAACGCATTGGAATCGCCAAGGATCGACTAGCAGACGGGGATGCATCTAGACCATATCTACTATCTATCTATAGCTGGAGGATATTATTAAATGATAGGTGTCTATCTAGTGATGTATGTACAAGATATCCAGTGTCCGTCAGACTGAATTAGGATAAACTGATTTAACCGGTAAAATCCCGGCGGTGGGGAATGTATTTTTCAACTATGGAGCAAAGGATGGCTGCAGTTGACATCACTGGCCGGTCATCCTCGTTTCTTTTTTGCCTCCAGAAAATACCCAGCACGATCGGGTAATTGTTGCTGTCATGCGGATAGAATTTGTTCATTGCGACGTATTATTATTACTACTGCTAATACTATATTATTCTCGAACGATTCTGGATGTTTCCCGACGGAAGGGTAAATGGAATGGCCGGATCGGTGTAGCTCTCGCCCTTCTCCATATATACTTCCCGCATCCACCGCTCTTCCCCATCCTTTGTTCTGTCCTCCATTCCTTTCTTCTCTTCCTCATCCCCTTCTCTCGCATCTCACGTCAATTGTCCTGCAATGGCAATCAGTGCAGCCCAGAACCCCCTCTACATCGGGTTCGACCTCTCCACCCAGCAGCTCAAGGGCCTGGTCGTCAATTCCGACCTCAAGGTCGTCTACCTCTCCAAGTTCGACTTTGACGCCGACTCGCGCGGCTTCCCCATCAAGAAGGGCGTCATCACCAATGAAGCCGAACATGAAGTCTACGCCCCCGTCGCCATGTGGCTCCAGGCCCTCGACACCGTCCTCGACGGGCTGCGCCAGCAGGGTCTCGATTTCTCCCGCGTAAAGGGCATCAGTGGCGCCGGACAACAGCATGGCAGTGTCTACTGGGGCGACCGGGCGGAGGACCTCCTCCAGAACCTGGATCCCTCCAAGTCGCTGGAAGCCCAGCTCAGCGATGCCTTCTCCCACCCCTACAGCCCCAATTGGCAGGATGCGAGCACCCAGAAAGAATGCGACGAGTTCGACGCTTACCTGGGGAGTCAGGAGGCATTGGCGCAGGCGACGGGGAGTAAGGCGCACCACGTACGTATCGAGACCCCATCGTCTACCTGATCGTCCAGGAAAATCCAACTGACCTATATAGCGTTTCACCGGCCCCCAGATTCTGCGCTTCCAGCGGAAATACCCCGACGTCTATCGCCACACCCAGCGCATCTCGCTGGTTTCCTCGTTCCTGGCCTCGCTTTTCCTGGGCCGCTTCGCTCCCTTTGATATCTCCGACGTCTGCGGCATGAACCTGTGGAATATCAAGCAAGGAGCCTATGATGAGAAGCTCTTAAAGCTCTGCGCTGGGTCGTTTGGTGTCGACGACCTCAAGCGCAAGCTTGGGCCCGTCTACGAAGACGGCGGTCTCAACCTGGGCTCCATCCACCGCTACTACGTCGACCGCTACGGCTTCAACCCGGATTGCACTATTATTCCGGCCACGGGCGATAACCCGGCTACCATCCTAGCCCTGCCGCTGCGGCCCTCCGACGCCATGGTCTCCCTCGGCACCTCCACCACCTTCCTCATGTCTACCCCGAGCTACCAGCCCCATCCGGCCACGCATTTCTTCAACCACCCCACCACGGCGGGTCTGTACATGTTCATGCTGTGCTACAAGAACGGCGGGCTGGCCCGCGAACAGATCCGCGACGCTGTCAACGACAAGCTGGGCTCGTCCGATGACGTGTGGGCGAACTTTGACCGCACCGCGCTGCAGACCCCGCCGCTGGGCCAGAAGGCCGACTCTGACCCCATGAAGATGGGTCTGTTCTTCCCGCGACCAGAGATTGTGCCGAACCTGCGCTCGGGACAGTGGCGCTTCGATTACAACCCGGCGGATGGGTCGCTGCACGAGACGACCGCCGGCTGGGATCAGCCGCTGGATGAGGCGCGGGCCATCATCGAGAGCCAGATGCTGTCGCTGCGGTTGCGCTCGCGCGGTCTGACCAGCAGTCCCGGCGACGGCAAGCCCCCGCAGCCGCGCCGCGTATACCTCGTCGGCGGCGGGTCAAAGAACAAGGCGATCGCCAAGATCGCCGGCGAGATCCTCGGTGGCAGCGAGGGCGTGTACAAGCTGGAGATTGGCGACAATGCGTGTGCGCTGGGAGCGGCGTACAAGGCAGTCTGGGCGTTGGAGCGCTCCAACGGCCAGACGTTTGAGGATCTGATCGGCCAGCGCTGGAAGGAGGAGGACTTCATCGAGAAGATTGCAGATGGATACCAGCCTGGGGTGTTTGAAAAGTACGGACAGGCCGTGGAGGGGTTCGAGAAGATGGAGCTGCAGGTGCTGCAGCAGGAGAAAAAATAATGACGAACATAATGTGTCATGATAGTTATTACCTAGTGACTTCGGATTGATAGAAAACCTGATAGTTAATATACATAGACTGGTCGTGTGTGCCTGAATCTCGTGGCAGCCACTCGGCACGTCGGGCTTTTCCCTTTTCGGACACGCACAACATTAAACTCTTTTATCCTTTCTCTCTCAACGTCCTCTTCTTTCGTCTCTCATACCTATCTTGCTATTTGGATCTCAAGACCTCCATTTATCCTTCGCTGAAGCAAACTCCCACCCTCGTCAGTGACGATTGCGGCCCACACAGTTTCATTACCGAGCGGGTCCCTAGCCTCGTCATGATACCCATGAGCCTCCGCCGCCTTTGATTTTTATCCCGTCCACCGATCGACCCTCTCCCCTACACCACCCCCCTTTGCCTGCTTTCTGAGTCCGTTTGGCTCCGAAGGCATTCTGGCTGGTCGAAGATGGAAGAGCAGGTAAGATTTCATCTTTCCGTCAGCTTCCTCCGCAGCGAGGACAGGGAATGGGGGAAAAAGAAATGAGCAAACACCCCACCATTCCCCTCGTGCCCCTCCGCTGCATCAGACAATCCCATTATCCCCCCATCCATGCTTCTCCAACGTTCCTAACAGCTGGTCCCGCTCTTCCAGGTCGTAAATGCCATCCAGATCGCCTCGAATCCTTCCGCAGACCAAGCCCTCAAGGCGCAGGCCTTCGACTATGTCAACCAACTCCGCTCCGATCCTTCGGGATGGCAGATCTGTCTAGCGCTCTTCACCAAGACCCCCCAACACTCCGAAGTCGTGCGCCATGTGGCTTTGGAGGTTGTCAATAGTGCCGCGCAGGCCGGTCTGATTGATCCCCAGGCCTTGGGGTACGTCCGCGATGGCTTGATGGCCTACCTCCGTCAGGTCTACGCCCAGGAGACTGCCACGCCCGACTCCCCCGGCATCCAGAACAAGATCGCCCAGACCATCACCTTCCTCTTCTCCGCGCTGTACGGCAATGGCTGGGAGTCCTTCTTCGACGACCTCCTCAGCCTCACCTACAAGAGTCCCTCCAGCACCGGTCGTGATAACGCCCCCGGCATCGTCTTCTACCTTCGCGTGATCAACTCCATCCACGACGAAATCGGCGACGTCCTCGTTTCCCGCTCCCGCGCCGAACAGGACAAGGCGAACTCGCTCAAGGACTTGATCCGGATGAGGGATATGCAGAAGATCGCCGGCTCGTGGCAGGAGATCCTGTCCGACTGGCGCGATGGGAACGACATCATCGTCGAGATGGCCCTGAAGGCGGTGGGCAGTTGGGTGAGCTGGATCGACATTGGGCTTGTTGTGAACCAGACCATGCTGGATCTGCTGTTTCAGCAGCTGGCCCGCGCGCAGAAGGCGGACCTCCGTGCCGGGGAGGACAAGGTGCGTGACGCCGCCGTCGACGTCTTCACGGAGATTGTCGGCAAGAAAATGAAGGCCGAGGACAAGGTCGACATGATCATCTTCTTGAACCTGGACACCATCGTCTCCCAGCTCTCCAACAGTCCCCCGCTCCACGAGAACCGCTTCACCTTCAAGTACGACACCGATCTGGCCGAGACGGTCGCCAAGCTGGTCAACATCACCGTCTGCGATATCATCCGCGCCCTCGAGAACGAGTCGACCACCCCCGAGAGCAAGGAGAAGGCTGGTGGCTTGCTGCAGGCCTTCCTTCCGCACATTCTGAGATATTTCTCCGACGAATACGACGAAGTCTGTTCGACCGTCATCCCCTGTGTCAGTGATCTGCTCCAGTACCTGCGCAAGATCGCCAAGTCGAACCCTGCTCTCGCCGCCCAGCACTCCTCCACCCTCCTCCCGATCCTGAAGGCGATCATCGCCAAGATGCGGTACGACGAGACCTCGTCCTGGGGTGATGAGGACGACCAAGCCGACGAGGCTGAGTTCCAGGAGCTCCGCAAGCGATTGGGGGTGTTGCAGCAGAGCATTGCAGCCGTCAATGAGCAGCTTTACATTGACGCCGTGTCGGAAGTCGTGGGGACTACGTTTGAAAATCTTCGCCAGTCGGGCGCGCAGGTCGACTGGCGTGACTTGGACCTCGCCCTGCACGAGATGTTCCTCTTCGGTGATATTGCCGTCAAGGCGGGTAGTCTTTACACCAAGGGTGTTCCCAACAACGCGGCAGCGGAGCGCCTCGTCGAGATGATGATGCGCATGGTCGAATCTGGTAGGTGGCTAAATTTCTTAATAGCGATGTCAAGCCTTTCTAACCCCCGAAAGATATCAGGTCGTTCACCCACCCCGCCACGCAGCTTGGATACATGGAGATCTGTGTGCGCTACAGCTCGTTCTTCCTCAACCACACCCAGCTGATCCCCGGCGTTCTGGAAAGCTTCCTCCAACTCATCCACCACCCGATCAAGAAGGTGAAGACCAGATCGTGGTACCTGTTCCAGCGTCTCGTGAAGCAGCTTCGGGCACATATCGGCAACGTCGCCGAGAATGTCGTGGGGGCGTTGGGCGACCTACTGGTGATCCGCGCGGAGCTGGCTTCCGAAGGTTCGGACGGCGACGACTCGGATGATCATGAAGGCTCCGTCGATGCGGTCTTTACCAGCCAGCTTTATCTGTTCGAGGCGGTCGGCATCATTAGCTCGACGCCGACGGTGCCAACGGACAAGCAAGCCCTGTATGCGCAGTCCGTTTTGAGCCCGGTATTTGTGGACATGGAGAAGAACCTCGCCCCTGCCAAGGCCAACGACGAGCGCGCGGTGCAGCAAATCCACCACGACATCATGGCCCTGGGGACGCTGGCCAAGGGATTTTCCGACTGGGTGCCAGGAACTCATTCGCCCGCCTCTCTTCCCGCGGCTGAAGTGTCGGAGGTCTTCCTCCAAGCGTCCGAAGCGACGCTGGTCGCCCTCGAGTCGTTGAAAGGGTCGTTCAGCGTGCGAACGGCCGCGCGGTTTGCCTTCTCCCGGCTCATCGGCGTTCTGGGCTCGCGCATTCTCCCTCAGCTGCCGCGGTGGATCGATGGTCTGATGACGCAGACGTCGTCTCGGGATGAGATGGCGCTCTTCCTGCGTCTGTTGGATCAGGTGATCTTTGGCTTCAAGGGCGAGATCTACGGCATTTTGGATGCGCTGTTGACCCCTTTCCTGCAGCGGGTGTTTTCTGGAATCGCCGATCCCACGACTGGTACCGACGACGAGATCCATCTGGCGGAGTTGAAACGGGAGTATATCAATTTCCTGTTGGCGGTGTTGAACAATGATCTGGGCGCGGTGATCATCAGTGAGAGTACGTTTGTCTATTGTTTTACGGAAGATGAGCTAACGTGTGTAGGAAACCAACCCATGTTCGACACGGTGATCACCACGATCGAACACTTTGCCAAGGACGTAGAAGACTACACCACGGCCAAGATGGCGTTCTCGCTTCTGTCGAAGATGGGCAGCTCGTGGGGCGGGCCGGACATCACCCCGGACGGCGCCAACGGGGCAACGGCGCAGCAGGTGGCGCTCCCGGGTTTCGGACAGTTCATGATCACGCGCATGTCGCCGCTGTGCTGGGCGCTGCCGGCCACGCCGAGCTTCAACTCGAAGGACGCGCAGGCCAAGCAGGTGCTCGCGGAAGCGGGTGGCCTGCAGCGCACGATCTACGGCAAGACGGGGATGGAGTATATCGAGTACCTCCGGGACCGGGAACTACCCAGCATGGGCATGGGAGCGGAGCTGGTGGAAGAGTTCGTGGGTGCTTTAAGCCGGCTGGATCTGAAGGGGTTCCGGCAGTTCTTCCCAGTACGCCTTCCCCCTTTTCCCCTTATTCGTCTGAGACCATATACTAACGGCAGCAGTCCTTTATCCAGCGATTGAGCGCATGATTTATAATTTCCTTATGTTCCCTGTGCTCTCGGTCTTCTCGCTGTTTTCACTTAGATTCCCCCACGGTTTGATTTATGACTGATGTGATGTTCTCATGTGATCCTGCACCCTGATGAGGAAGCCTAAGAAGTGAAGAGAAAAGAAATGAAAAGAGGAAAAGAAGAAAAGTATATAGTTTGCGAGGCATTGCATGATCGGGCGTTCGCATTGATTGACTGGATTGCCTTACGAAAAGCGAAGACGCATTCACTCCGCTACGATATGGAAAAGGTCTGGTCGAGGCAGGGATGTAGAGATGATGTTAGGTAGTTGGTAGTTGGAGTGATATAGAATGCAGGCATCAGAAGATCATCACTTACGGAGTAACCTGAGGTAGAACATACACTATAGAAATACTATGCTATCTATCCCCCACCACTCCCTCCTCCGCCGCCGCCGCCGCTCCCCCCGCCACACCCTCCGCCGCATCCACCCCCTCCGCTTCCGCCCCCATCACCACTCCCGCCACATCCTCCACACGCCGACGAAGAACCGCACCCCATCGAGCCGCAGTTGGCGGGCGCCGACGCCGACGTGCCCCCGGTGCCACCACCACCCCCGGCGCCATCAACCTCGCACCAGACCACTCCGATCTGCGCATCCGTCGTGACAGTCGCTAACCCTAGCCCAACACCAACTCCTATAGCGGTGGCTACAGTAGCTGTAGTGGCAGTCCTCCCAGCCCGCATATAAACATTTGCAGCATCCTCCCCGAGTACAGGCCCTATATCAACACGCCGCACCATCTGCTCCCGAAGCCGGACATACCACTCCCTCCGCAGCGCGGTGTCAAGACCCGCCCACGGCGCAAGCAACACAGGCCGACACGGCGGCCGCGCACAGTGTATTCCCCCCGTCCGCGCGTACGGCGCGATCCGCTCCAGCGTCGCAGGACGATGCTCACAGTCGACGGGGGTCGATAGCCAAGCCGTCGCGGCGCAAAAGCGCGGAGAGCGGGTCATAGCCACGGCGCCTTTTACTAGCGTTTCCGACGCAGCGAGCAGGGTGCGTCTGTTGACGGCCCAGTCTGTGCTGTTGTTTTGTGGCGGGTAGAGGAACTGTGGGCGTATGAGGTGGTGCGCGAGCGTCGACCATGCGTCCAGCGGGTATGCCCAGAGGTGCTTGGAGAGCGGGCAGCTGCCGCAGCGGGTGGTGGCGGGGTTGTGTGCTTCTGTGCAGTCCCAGGGGAAGAGGGGGGTTGTGGCTTTGGGGTCTGGGACGGGGGCCGGGGCAACCCAGTCTGTCCAGTATTCTGTTGATGCGTCGAGGAAGTCTGTGGAGCGGTGGAGCGGGGCGCGGAGGTAGGTTTCTATGAGGCCTGGGGCGATGTCGTGTTTGGTATGCGGGACGGGGCGGGGGGATGGTGGGGTGGAGAGGAAGCTGAGGAGGTACAGGGGTGGTTCTGGTTCTGTGTTTGGGATGAGAGGCGCGAAGAGGGATGCGTCGAGGAGGGAGGTGAGGGAGTCGCTGGGGGATGGGGATTCGGTGAGTCGGGTGGTGAGACTGGCAAGGTAGGTTGTCAGTCGGGGGCTGAGCAGGGCGTGCAGGCTGTCGAGGAGGGTTTGTATGGTGTCTTCTGACGGGGAGTCTGTCTCGCTGGCTGCGACGAGGAGGTTGACGATCTCAGTCTCTAGAGGGCTGTCGTCGAGACTGGTGAATGGGGCGCCGATGACCTGCTTCAGCACGGCGAGGGTGCGTTTTGGTGTCGCTAGCCGCTGCTGTTGGGACAGGGTGCTGTCCGCAGCGATGGCGAGATAGCGTCGCGCGGACGGTGGGAGTCTCTCGTGGAAGACTGCTGGCTCGCGCGGCGATATCACTATCCTGCCGTGGGCTATCTCGACGAGAATTGGACCGACGCGAAGCGCCGTGGATCTCTGCGCGGGGTATCTCTCTTCTATCTCGTTGAGCAGCTGGGCGACGTCCGCATCTGTTGGCGTGGGTTGGCGCGAGGGCTCAGGTTCACGCCTACGCCCGCGGATGGAGATGCGCTGCGATAGAGAGCGTTTGGTCTGAGTCTGCGGGGGGCGCAGTAAGGCGAGAAGTCCCTCGTATTTGGCTTGGGTGACGAGATCACCCAGCCGCAACAGCATACACCTTAGTCCGCCGGCGACGTTGAGATGGTTGTCGCCCGCGGCGATGGGGAATAGATTGCGCATGCGGCCCTGGGAGTCGACGCGGACGACGTCGCGGCAGAGGCAGAGACGCTGGCTCATGGGTGCGTCGATGGTCTCGAGGATGCAGTACTTGTGTTTCTTGGTGAAGGAGGCGTCGCCGTAGTGTTGGGCAAAGTAGCAGTCTTCGCAGATCATTGTGACGGGTGGCTTGGTGAACATGCTGCCTTGGATGATGGCGTTGCAGGAGGTGCATTCTTGGGGGGCGAATGTCGGGATGCCCTGTTTGTTGATGCTGGATATTTTGACTGAGATGGTGGTTAGATAGAGTCATAGACAGGCGCTGGGAGACGTACGTTGGGGAGTGCTGGGGGCTTTAGATGGGACATGCTCGATGAGTTTGTCGATGTCCAGGAAGCCAGCTGCTTGGAGGAGCGTCCATGCTAGGTGGTGTACTCCAGTGTATTTCGGGGTGTCTGTTCGTAGCAGTTCTCGTAGTTCAGTGCGTACTTTGATCCTGGAGCGCTCGGCCTGCGCGTCTCGGATGACATTCTCTAGAGAGGCGATATAAGGATCCTTGGAGGAGCTCGTTGATCCGCTCTGCTTTTCGTTTGCTGTGACGATTAGTGGTATCCAATCTGGTCGACGGAAAACATACCATATTCAATGGCGTATTGTCTCGCCTCCAGACTTACATGGTCGATAAAAGTATCGAACCCATGGATGTGATCGTCGTTGTCCACATGAATGCTAACGTATTCGGGCTGTCGCCAGATATGCAACGTGTGGATGATGTTTTGCACTTCGAGCTTGATCCCATCCCAGTACAGCTTTCCCAGTTCCTCTTCTAGATGAAGCCTTGCTGGTCCGATAGCCTCCCAGGCAGAGTCTGGACGAGCTGGCACAGGATTAGACTGAACAGGCGAGGGCTTGTGTCTAAAGGCTTTCAGTTTGTACATGTTGGATGACTGAGACTGGTGACGTTGAGGCAGACAAGGTTGTACGTCGTGTTATATAACGTGGTGGACGAGCTCGTGTTGGGGCACTCGTGCCCGAGACTAGATCCATACCCGGAGAAGGATGAGGCGCAGCAGCTAATGCTACCTAGTTATGTGTTGATCTATACCTATCTACTTGGCTTTTCATTAGTTGGACAAAGCGGCCGCATTACCTTCCCTTATATAGACTAAGGCCATGAAAATCAGTTTTCGGGGAGCTGGATACACTTGCTCCCCTTCCACATCCCTATTAATCCAGAGCATGTTCCGAATTGCCTTTCTACCCTCTCTCTACGTGGAAGGCGCCGTCTTCGTCCATCTGTGATGCCTATCAGGGCCGTCAAGATCCGGCCTTGAATCCTTGTTGACGCTGTCGACTTTGATCCGGTAAGGTCGCCACGAAGCACCGGGCTCCTGCACTAATCTTGGATTCAGTTACTCTTTTGACTAGCTGTGTTCCGGTCCATCCATGATGGAGATGAGCCCGACCGGATTCCCGACAGTCATGCTCATGGACTATGCCGGTGTCCGGTTGCAGGGCGAGTACGACGAGGAGTACTGGGGCGTAGAACTGAAGGCCTTGGCTATTGGGCTGAATCCCTACCTGGTCAGCGAGAATTGCGACATTCGTACGGTCAAGAACCCTCTGGCTAGGAGTACGGCGGAGAGCACCCGGACGAACGGGCTGCTGCAATCGTCAGGGAGGACATGGAATGGCATCATCTTTGCAAACGGAACTGTGCTCGATGATCCTCCTGCGAACTACCGTCCATGGAAGGAGTCTGTCCTGCGCAATGGAACCGTGTTTGCTAACGGGACGGTCCTCACTCACGACGTACGCGTGTCAGACTCGTGGTACAAGGACCATACTCCCTAGGTAAATGGCAGGGGATTTGGATCCAGGATGAAGAGCTGTTTTAGTTTTACTTTAGGGCTCCAATAGGAAGCTCGTTGAAGGATGCTACCTAGGTATCTATGTAGCTGTAATATACAAATTCCACCTATGGAAGCGCTGGAAATATAGATATGTCTACTGCAACCCCGCAGCACAGCCTCCAAAGATACTATACTACAGTACAAAGTGCAAAGTACTACATAAGTGGATAATGGAACAGAAATCCCACTCGTGGTGGCCTTGTTACCACCGCCACCATGGCACTCACAACGCCCTTTATCCCCCCTCCAGACTGCAGCATCCAAGACCTCACCACAATCACAACAACCTCGTACTCCACCGCAGAAACCGTCCCAGTCCTCCTCTCGGATCCTGCAGACCCGCGCTTCACAGAATGCCAACCCTCTAACTGGGCCTCGGCCCCCTCCTCCAGCCGCTTCTCCTACAGTCCCGCCGTATGTCCCAGGGACTGGCTGGCATGGTCGATCGCCACAACCGAGCTCCAAGCCGAGACGGTCACTACCGCGTGGTGCTGCCATACGTGCGTCTACTTACTCTTTCTCCTGTCACCCCACCAGGCTACTCCGTGATACTGATGGATACATGGATATGGATATGGATATAGCGGCTACACCCTGGAACCCTATCCAGCCTATACCCTCCTCCCCTACATGACCCAACCCTGCATCCGCACCATCCTCCCCGACTCATCCCTATCCTCGACAATAACCGCAACCCGCTCCCACGGCACCGGCCCAACCATCCCCTTCACATCCGGCATCGCCCTCCACGCGCCCTGGCATATCACCTGGAGAGAAGGCGACCGCGCGCTCCTCTCCCCACAGCCGCCTATCCTCCGCGCCTCCGAGACCATCCGGTACTGGGTCCCCGGGGAGGCGGTCGATGATGCGAATACGAATGTGGCCGGGGACCAGGGCGGGATGGACGAGAGGACGGGGTTGGGCCTCGGCTTGGGGATTGGGCTTGGTGGGGGAGTGGTTCTTGTGGCGGGGGTGGTTGGGTGTGTTTTTTGGCGGAGAGGGAGGAGGAAGTAAGGTATTGATTATAGGAGCAGGATGGAGGAGACAAGACTGGAGAAGGATCTAAGCCCCCGTGGAGAGCTAATTCCTTCTAACGCGCAAAGTGAGCTCCTAGGATCTACCTCTCCCACCGGATCATCTCGGACAATCTGATTTACAGGAAACTTGTCGTCCCTGTACCACGTAGCAGGTTACAGACTAGAAAGAGAAGTTAGTTATGAAGTCGAGGCGATGCCACAGCAAGCTAACTTTCTTCAAATTCAACCACCTCCTCTGTAGGTGTGAGAACCTCCGATCTCCCGTCCTGAATGTCAGTTTGTTGCGTCGTTCGCATATATACTTGATTTTCTAGGTGCGTTGATGGCCTACTCTTTCCATTTTAGTGCTCACCCTTCGTCGCTTTGTGCTCACTGAGTAGACCTGAGCACGCCCCGCGCACGTCCTGAGCAGCCTGAGGCAATCACTGAGCACGGGGTGAGCGAGAGACCGAGTGCCCTGAGCGAGTAACCTCAATAAACTATAGCCCATCTAATGATCACCCTCCTGCCCGCTTCTCTACTCGTAGTCCACTCTTGCCCGCCACGCTACCCTAAAGCCCAGCACTCCTATTAGGTCTCTTCCCCCAGTAGCAGCAAGCATATTGAAGACGGTGGGAAACGCAATCACCGACGGTAGATTCGGGAATTTCGTGTAACCTCATACCAGGAAGCTTGAGTGTATACGAGCCTCGACACATACATATGCAGGTTCGTCAGGATGGGATTTCATTGTACCAAAAATATTAACAAACTATGAGCATTTGATCGTTATGATGTCCTACACTGGGAATAATTGTTCTTTGATGGGTGAGATTTGGACCAGCGCCTCGGTTCATACCGGGGCAGGATTACAATATCTCGGTTCTAGTCACAGTTGGGCCCTTCGTAGCTGTGCTCTGAGCCCAACCATTCGCAATTCAGATTCTGTTGGGACAGGGTTCCTAAACATGATCGTATTAAATGAGGTCGATTGCCATTGAATACTTTGCTGGCAACCCATCTTAAAGGCAAACCCAGAGCACAACACGTTTTAGCCATCGCCCCTTTATTTTGCATTTGGGGACCCAGATTTCAGAACCCTCACACACTTGCTTCATCACTCTACTGATTCAGAACGAGAATTTCTTGGATTGGTAATAGGATGTCCGGCGCCGCTGACCTTTTCCATACACTGTGGAACAATTGTTCCTTGATGATAGTTTTAGCTCTCATCAGCTATATGTCACTGGTGAAGGTTCTTCGGTACCGGCGCATGGCAGACATAGTGGCTCCATTTTCTAATGGCAGAAGGCCGTTGTCTAGTATGACAGTCAAAGAAGCTCATGCAATTATGGCGCAATTGCAAGAACTGGAGTTTCCACACGCATTTGCCAAGGCTCGTCGAATGGCTCTACTGAAGGTACGATAAAAACATATGTGGATTTGACTGGCTTAATCTAAACAATTCTCTACCTTACTACCAAAACAGGCCGGAGGTATCCCGACAATGTCAAAGCTTTTCGCAGTTACGGGCCAGAATAACAGGCGCAATGCGGGCAAGCGCGCTGTTGACACGGAAATTCTCTTGCGGGAGTCGCAGTCCCAGCTTCGAGATTCGGATCGTTATGCGTCAGCCGTGGCGAGAATGAATTATCTGTATGTTGGACATACCTTAAGCTTCGCCTTCCTCATTGTGAAGGGAGTTGCAGTCTTCCATTCTGCTAACCACTCTGTCATCGGCTCAGCCATGCCCGCTACCGCCGCGCCAATAAAATTACCGATGATGACCTCCTCCACACATTAGGCGATGGCCTTGCCGAGATCCTTAATGTGGTTGAGAGAGAAGAGTGGCGACAACTTACGGGCGTTGAGAAATGTGCCCTTGGTGTTTTCCACAAGAACTTAGGCGAAGATATGGGAATCCCATTTGACGTGCTTCCTTCATATAGAGAAGGTTGGAAAGATGGCCTGCACTTCGCGTTAGAACTGAGAGCTTGGACAATCTCCTATGAAAAGAAAGTCGCGCGACCAACGGCAACAAACAATCAATACGTCCGCGTCTATGTTGATTCTGCGCTCCCTAGCTGCATAAAACCAGTGGTACGACAGATGCTGGGGGCCGACTTGGATGAAGTCATGAGGACGAGCCTTGGGTAAGTTCTGCGCACATTCCACCGTAACCCCTGTGCTTTACTCACGGCTCCAGTCTTGAATCACCCGGCGTTCTTCTCTCCCTTGTGTTGAGCCTCATCCGAAACTCACGAAAGGTAATTCTTCGATACCTGGCCCTTCCGCGCCCCTCCTTCCTTGCCGTCAAGCTCGTACACGATACCCCAAACCCGGCCACGCAATTGTATAACTTCGAAAGAATGGGCTTGCAACCATGGTACATCCGACCTACCATCTGGTCGAAGTGGGGACCCGCGGCGTTGTTGGTTAGAGTATTCGGAGGCAAGATGCCGGGGTCGCGCGGAGACCGGTATCAGCCACAAGGATACAACTTGCTCACAATCGGACCGGAACGACAGAAGGGAAAGGGTTTGGAAGAGATGAACCTCGATATTGAGGTAATCAAGGCGAGAGGGATTGCCACATGTCCATTTTCCCAGGCAAAGTCGGGTGGCTTCAGATGAGGGTCCAATATTCACCAAGCTGGGGATTATAGGGATGATGGTTGTTCGAGGATAGCGGCCCTGAAATGATTGTAGATATCTTTCCATGAATTTGCTGGCGCCTTTGAGAAGCCCGATGCCCTCTGATAGAATGATACCTAGGACGCTAGAGCGCTAAAGCAAGGAAAGGAATCATCCGAAAGGTTACCTTTGTAGAACTCCTGTCGCATGTGAGGTCTCAGGATTATCCAGTCAGCTTCTTATTATCAAAACAATGAGCGCAGCTCTAAGAGCAACGCTCGTGTAAGGATAGGTTTATTTAAAGCGGGACTGCTTTGCAATACTCGACTTAATTGGTGAACTCTCCAGTTGGCTCACGGAGAATGGGCGTCTGCTCTCGTAGAATAATATCTCTCTCGTCATATGTCTCCGATTACAATATCCCATCTTGGTCCTAGATTCTCAACTATATATTAAGCTCCATCGATCTTGTGCATACAGCCGTTCCATAAATCGTGGCCGCGGGTGAAGATGGGAATGCATAAGTATGGATGTTGGGAAATTGGTCCCTCCATAACAGGTATGGAGCTGCAATTTCTGCACTGTTATTAGAGTCAGCAAATCTGTGGACCCAACCTTTGTTGAATTGCCGAGGTTTAACTGATTACAATATCTGAAGATCACGATTTTGCATTTCACGCAACTTTGATTAAATCGATACAGTTCATCATGCACGGCAGTAACTATAGAGTTTAAAGCCGAGTTATACCCAAAGATGACGCCTCGCCGGTCACAACGAGTAGGACGCCCCCGCCTGGACGGCAGCAGCGAGGCCATACTCTCCGACGATCGTCGCACCCAGGTCCGTCGCGCACAGCGCACATACCGACTGAAGAAGGAGGCCATTTTTCGAAATGCGACTGCCAGGGCAGAACAGCTCGAAGCGAAAATACGCACCGCCATTGAAGAAGCAGCTGGGCTTTCCGAGGTCGCCACAGAGGCGCAGCTGCAGCTCTCTCATCCGGATCTCCATGCACGATTGAAGAGACTTCAGGAAATCCTAGCTGAGGGTAATATCATCATTGAAAGGGGTTCCCCTGCCGAGTCCTCTCCAGATTTGCCGCGACATCGTGGGCCGGTGTTTAATGCGCAAGTTCAACCGCCCAAACATCACTCTCTTCCCTCTCCCCTACCAACCAGGCAGTACACATATGCATTCCAAGAAGTGCGCTTCGCTCGTAGATTACAGCGATACAGCCTCGAGCACGCATATCGCCTCTTTGCAGAATCCAGTTCAGAGCCTGGTGAGATCTACCGCGTGTTCCGCCTCGTCCCCTGCGTGAGGGACCCGGACAAGACCCAGCCGCGATTCCGGCAACTCTTGCTGGGCGGATGCACAGACTCTCTCGAGGTACCTGGTCTGCCATTTTACAGCATCGGTGGCGCGGGCACGCATTTCCCGGATGTTGACGGGGAAGGTAATGCAGTATACCCGGCAAATAGTCGGATGCCGCGGCGGATTTTGGGGTTGCTGCCGTGGGCGGAGCTAGGGACTAAGGGAGGTGGAGATCCTCTGGAAGTCTTTGGGCTTGGAGGTGACTGGTTTGATTGTCGTGACGTGGAGGGCTACCTCAAACTGCATGGGGTGGAGGTAGATGGGGGTTTGTTTCCTGCTCTGCACATACCCAGGGGACAAACAGAGAGTGATAGTACCTGGCCTTCCTATGTCTTGGATGTTGAGGGATTCTTTTCACGTGAGTTCCCCATCTTCTCCAGCGAGAGTTCTTCTGCTGACCACTCCAGGTCTTCTCTCTGGGCTCGTCATCCTCGGCCGTGCGCCTGGGTTCAGGAAGACGGACGTTAGGCGTGCGTTGCGAGCTTCGGCAAAGAGAGTTCCACGTCATATATAACCTGGTCGGTTATTGAGGTTATGCCCAAAATGCACCTCGGGGTCTTTGGCCGATTACAATATCTTTGGGTTAGGACTTGATTACAATACTTTGTACCCTTAGGCCGATATCAAGTCCTAGGGCAGCATCCCTATCCTTTATACTGTGATACCAAACACACAGCCACCATGGCCTCGCTCAAGTTGGAAGACCAGATTGCCATCGAGCCCATCGGCACCGACTGCTACCGCTCCATTGTTCCTCCCATCTGCATGGGTGACCTGGCCGACTGGGCCTACGGCGGCAACATTTTAGCTGTCGCTGTCAACGCCGCCTACGCGACTGTCACAGAAGGCCAGCACCTGTACTCCATCAGTGGCCACTTCGTGCGACCCGCCAGCCCATTTCAGAAGCTCATCTGCCGCGTGGAGCGTATCCGCAACACACGCACGTTCCAAACAAGGCTTCTTCGCATCGTCCAGCCCGAAGGAAAAATCGAACAACTGTGTCTGATCGCAACGGCAGATTTCCACATCGATGAACCGGCTGACCTTGTGAACTATTCTACTCGTCCAAAACTCCTCGTCCCGTCAACGCCAGCGGTGGAAACCGCAACAGAAAAAACGCAGGAACGAGGACTCTACAGGATTCTCGACACGATGATGGAGGTCCACCCTCACAGTACCGACCTGGATGGCAGAGACGTCTCGGATATCGTCTCAGCTGATCGGTTCCGTATTCAGGGAGCTCTTCATACAGAGGCGAACCGAATCGCTGCCCTTGCGTTCTATATGGACCGCGGACTTGCGTACGTTCCGGCTAACCATTCCGGTTATAGCTTGTTCCAGGCCAGTGCCTGTGCAACTCTCGACTTTGCGCTTCGAATTCTGACTCATGAATTTGATTTGCAAAATTGGCATGTCAGTGAGAGACAGACCTTTTGGGCAGGGAATGCGAGGGCGCTCAGCGAAGGGAGGGTTTTCACTGAGGATGGTCGGTTCCTGGCGAGTATGACGCAGAAGACGATCCTGAGGCCGCAAAGGGGGACGGCCAAGATGTGATAGTTCTGCTCCTTTCCTAATTTGTATTTCCTGAGGGTTGTATATCCTGTCTTAAGACACCTAGAGTAATGAGTGAAAATTAAGGATGATCGAGCCTGCACTGTCTCGAATGAGCTCTTCTCTGAGGACAGGACTGGAATCAATGGGAAAAGACAATTGCCTATAAGAGTCACAGAGAAATTTGACTGTCTTGCAACATTACACCATATCTGATGTTGTCAAGCTACCTGATTTCATAACCGCAATTTCATGCCTAAACTACACTTACGCTAGTGCTCATGCATAGGGCCGGGACGACATTGTACAGGAGGAACTGCTCGATTTAGGCCAGTACGAAATTTTTCAACTGGGGACAGTATGACAGTTGCCATAGCGCTGCAATCAAGGCAGATGCAGGCAGGAAATTTCGATTGTTTCCCGCTCTTTCTTGCTCACTATCAACAGTTCGCAATGGCATACGCTCCACACCCACAATTTCTCATAACCCTCTTTCGCGAACTCTGATTCATAAGGCTCTAAAGGAGGGAGGGCTCCCTCTGGCTTCTCCAGATTTTTATTGGCCCACTCTAGCCCCATCTGCTGAGCTCCACGTACCATATCCTAGAAATGCCACACGTACCCGCGTGACCCGTTCGTCAGTCTAAATAACAACACCAGAATGAAAGCTAGCAACTTGGTTAATAAGAACCTTGCCCTAGTTCTAGACTGTTATCCACATAAGTAGCAGGGCAGCCCGACGGTGCTGGCCTGCCTCAAGAATCGGATCCGATGTACTAGGCCGCATACTGGGCCCAGTGCGTCACTTAGGTAGACGCTAATATGTGACGATACATGAAGCAGAAGATGGCCGACCAAGACTATTACAACAAAGAGTGCTTGAGGCCTTGGGTCTTGCATTCACTGGCCGAGTGGCATGCTGCATTGAAAAGCACCGATCAAGCTGCTTGCGGACATCCTTCCAGTTCAGACTTCCGTGCGTCTATTTCTTTCACGGTGTACTCTAAGGAAAAGACGATTGGTGCCAATATGCTGGAAGCTGTGGGATTCTGGAAACCGCTTCGACCACTGAAGGTTGTGGCTGGGTTACATATCCGTTTGTCGGGTCAAACACCCAGTCAAGCAGCGACTCTCATGAAGATAAATTCATGTTCTGGAAAGGAGGGCTATGTAGTCCTTGCAACTTGAGTACTTGCTGTCTCCCAATCGGGAGAGTGCTTCCTGACCAACTCCGTCCCTGCGAGACTGTCTGTGCAAGCCTCTATCTTGCTGCAGCTGGCGACTGTTGCTGCAATAACTTCATAGGCTTTTGAGCTCACGCTCCTTTTTGTATCAAGCGTCCTGTTGGGGCTGTATAAAGCGATATCTGAAAAGATAAGGTCTTAGGTCAAGTAGTCCGGAGACAAGAGGACTTTATATATGGCTGTGGATTTCATTAGAAAACGGTTGTTATTAATATCAAAGGCCGAGTTGATCACTGACTGTACTATTCCTAAGTGAAATGGTTTGTATATAGTATAGAATAATTCACCTGGCTGTCTTACACACGTATTAACTCTACAACCCTTATTTAACATCATGGTTGATTCACGCATTGTACTATGACAGCTGACTTCTTCTACTATTGAATAGTGTTCTTGCAATGCCACAGCCGAAGTCCATGAGACAGCGCGAGCATTGAAATATGGAAACCCGATGTGATCTTCCTCGAATCTATGAGAACATTCATTCTAATCCTTTGACCACCTTGCCTACGGCTCGTCACTTTGGGTTGCCATCAGTCTATTCTCAGGCAACCCACCGTACTCATACCAACATGTAGCTACTGTGAATAGGTAGCAATGTCCCAATTATGTTAAGCCTTGTCAATAATATGACAAAACGAAATGTGACAATTACTCTCGAACAACGTGATTCCATATACATGACGCAAATCCATACCAAATACATATACTAAGCCCAAGCAGGATGTGAACAGTGATAGCACGCCGAACGACAGGACTTACATTCCCACCACCAGGGGCCAGACGATGAAAGCGTCTTCTGGCACCCAGTGCAAGCCAAGGGATGCTGTCGGACAAGTTGGTCTATCTGGAGCTGATCTTGCGCTTCGAGGACTTTCTCTCGTTTCCGTTGGTCCATGGCTACACACAGCTGGCAAACCTTTACTTCAACTGGGGTATCATAGCCGCAGCCCAGCTTCCGCTTATGATACCTACTGTTGGACCCAGTGACGGCCCAGTGGCGGTCGTAGAAGCAGTTTGTGCAATATGGCGCGCAGCGTTCAAGGTGCGTGCGGACTGCGGATTTACCAACAGTCACGGACTGGCTGCAGTCCTGCTTCGAATGTTAGTGTCAGTCTGGAGGGCCTGGTGGCGCGCGGGATGTATACGTCGCATATGATCATTTTGCACACCATGCACTGTGTTTTGTTCTCATTGCAGGCATTAGTCTGGAGGTTCTCCAGTGGGATTTGTTCACTGGTATTTGTGACGAAGATCTCCGGTAAAGCCTGCTGCAGGTGGACGAGGTCCACGTAATGCAGATAGGAAGAGATGCGTCCCAAGGCTCCAGCTGGGAGTTTCTGCTTGATTCTTGACTGCTTTCCAATTGTGAATCGATGCTTCATATGAATCGAGCTTGGCAACGTCTTTGAGCGTCTTCCTCGCTGCAATATCTGCTGGATGATCCTGTAGATGGTTCGGAAGGCAAACCGAGACACTGCTATGGGGGTCCCTATTCTTGTCTTGTTGTAATTGCCACGACGCTCGTCTCTTTTCCGTAAAATGCCAATGTAGCCGAAGTAAGCGGTAAAAATACCGCAGATGGAGTACATGATTCTGTACCCCCGAGTGAGACGAGATTTAAAGATAGACGGAGATTTCACATACATCACAGCAATGGCAAATGACCAGCGCTCTACCATCCTCCTACAGGAACGTTGGAGAGACCAGTCACTGATGGTGTCAGTATCTCCCAGCCTCCAATACTCAACGCTCCTGCAGCCAGCCCTGCTGTGTGGGATAAATCTGGACTGCAGCACGACACCAACCGCGAGGGAAATGGACAAGGCGATGTCGACAAGCCCGAAAACAAGGATATACTGTCGTGGGACCGGACAGGTGAACATGGTGGCTGCGTTCCAACCGACAAGCACATATGCCTACATCCGTTGGTATTTGTCGAGTGTCTTTATCTTGGAGAAGCCATACCGTGATATCGACCGTCTTCATTCCGTGTAGGAATACCATTCCATTACTGATCTTGCGGAGATAACCCGCCTGCAAGAGCAACGGGTTCATGTCGGAATTTGTGCTCAATCGAATACCGGCAAAGATCCCGAGGGGGAGTAGACAGGCTATGCGAGGCCAGACCCACGGTGCGCTCTCCAAACCCATGTTGGGTTCTCGAAGTAGATCGCTATACAAAGACTAACGCTTGTAGCTCCATGTTTCGCATCACCAGTCCTGGCTTTGCAAGATAAATATCCATCACTACAGGAGAATTCCAGCCGCGTGGAATCAACGATGTCAGCCTGGCCTCGTATTCACAGTCATAAGGAATTGCGCCCCAGGCACTAGACATGCCAGCTAAACCGGTTGTAGCTAATACTCTCGAGCCTCGTAATCCTGCCTACTCGCCGAGGTGCTTGGTGCTCGCCTTCTCAACATCCGGGACATCACCATCATCAACTTGACCACCCACCTCCTCTCCCTTCAAGACCTTCTCCCTCCCGATAGTTGCCATATCAGCCCCATCCAGCCTCAGCTTCTCCAGCCGGTCCGCCTCCTCGGCCTCGGCTGCCCTCTCCTCGGGCGACATCTCCGGTCCCCAAAACAGGAAAAACAGAATGAACGCCCACACGCTGCCGAGGAAGATCCCCATCACCTTCCCGTAGTCGTACCGCTTCTTGCCCGCCGCGCTGGGCGGCAGGGGGAACCGCTCGCCGATGATACTCTGAATCGTGGCGGAGGCCGAGCTCCCCAGGTTCCCCAGCTGATACATCAGCCCGACGAGCAGCGCCCGCATCACCGGCGGGTTCACCTCCATGAGATGGATCGGGATGGGGCCCCAGACGCCGCCGACGCAGAACTGCTCCCAGAACACAGTAGCTACAAGACGCATGTCCCGGGGGAAGATGTATGCCGGCACGAGCGCGCCGCCAATCAAGCAGGTGCCCATCATGGTGAGCCGTCTGCCGAAGAAGGTGGAGATGTAGCCGAAGAAGTTGGCACCGATGAAGGCGCCGATCTGGCCGACGACGGTGATGATCGTGGTGTCGGAGGCGTCGAGCCCGACCTGGTCTTTCAGGAACGTGGGGTAGAGATCCTGCGAGCCGTGCGAGACGGAGTTGAACCCCGTCATCAGGACGACTAGGTAGACGAACAGGAACCAGTTTTCTTTCAGGGCGGAGCCTGACTCGCGCAGCCACGCTTTGAAGGTCGCCAGGCGGGTGGGCGGTGCTGACGAGGAGGGACCCTCGCTGCGAGCTCGTGCTTCGCGTTCGGCGACCATCACGCGGAAGTAGTTGGTCTCTGGGAGATACCAGCGGAACGCGATGAGGAGGACGGGCGGTCCAGCACCGAACCAGAACAAGCTGCGCCAGCCGTGGGAGGTGGTGGGTACGAGAGCGCGATAGAAGGCTGCGGCCAGGAGGTAGCCGACGGCGTAGCCCATCTCAAAACAGCCGGATAGAATTCCACGGGCGTCGTGTGGAAGGTCTTCAAGGGCCGTGGCGGCCGCCGGGCCAAAGAGACCTAGAAATGTCAGATATCTCGACTACAGACGTTGGTTGGTGGCATTGAAACGCACCTCCCATGGCAATGCCGTACAACGCGCGAACTCCTAGGAACTGGGATAGAGTATTGCAAAACCCCGAGGCCAGTTCCAGCACAATGAACAGCCCGAGGCACACAATCATGGGCCACTTGCGACCATACTGGTCCGCGAAGACGCCTGAAATCAGGGCCCCGACAGATCGAAGCATGAGTGTGATGGTGATGCCCTAACTTGCATGTTAGCTCCGTGCACCGCGAACACCGCAGGCACCCAACATACCCAGGTGATACTAGTGACCGACTCGTTAAAGTCAGCCGCAATCTCCGTCACCGTCATGGACACGGTGAAAAAGTCAAAGGCATCCCATGTCCAGCCCAGAAAACCGGCAAGGAACATCAGCCATTGATGGGACGTTAGGTCCCGGAGGACGGCGACAGGGTTCCGGATTTTATGCTTAAGGCACGCTTAGCATGGCTCTCGCAGGAAGATCTACCTGAAGACATACCCGAGGAGGCTTCAGACTGGTCACTCGAGTGATAATATACCGGCCGATCTGACTGGGGGAGTAGAACCACCCCAGAGCCATATGGTTCCTCATTATGATGGGTCTGTTCGCTTGAATTCTGTCTAACACAAGAGATCTGAACAGCGATGTCCCGAGGATAGACCAGTTCTTACATATATACCTCCTCAACAACCGCGGATGTTTGCTAGAATGCGGGGAGAGGACTGCACACCAACCCAGAGGAGGCAAACACCCCCATGCCAAGATCTGGGGATGCTGCTAAGCCTTTGGCGTTAATGGTAATGCTTGATTGCCGGAGTTGATGGCATGAGCGAATGTCCGTCCAGTGAAAGTCCTCATACTGCAACTACATAGTTTCGCATGGAGATAACTATCCCGCAATGACGCTGAACACCACAGTATCCAAAGGTACAGTGTATTTAAGAAGGACATGTACTTCGCAACAAGCTTAGGATAAGCATGCAGAAGAAGGGACAAGATGCGGAGAAGTGACGATCCTGGGGATATCTGGGAACAGACCTCCAGGGCACTATTGGCCGCAACCCCGCTCCATGGCTTTCGATAGCATCAAAGACACGGGATCTATAGGCTCGTTCGCTGCTTTGTACTTCTGCTGGCTTAGTTTGTCCCTAGTTGAAGCATGGAGTGAAGGTTGGTAGCGTGGGGGAGATTCTAAGCCGGGGGATTGTCGATGGACCTAGATCGACCGAATGTCCAGGGTCTTTAATCAGCTCCAAAGCGTGTAATTCTGGCCAGGTGCAGTCAATGACTCGGCTTGTGCTCTTTATTTTACCACCAGATCGTGATTTAAGTTGTCAAAACTTCATAATTTAACAACTCATCGCGGAAGAACAGGCCTCATCCAAGACCTCATGGAATGGAAGTCAAATCAAACAGTTCAGGACAATGACAGCCTAGTAACATACTGAGAATATCATATCTTACCATTACTTGTGAAAGTCTACTCTAGTACCCAATTATTTGAAAGTAAATGTAGGTACTTATGATGGACCTCTGGGCCATCACTTCTACGCGATGAACGAAATGGTGCCGATGGAGATGGCCCCTTTAGAAGATGCAATGAGTTAGATTACAGTAAAACGAAAAAGAGTAAGAAAAAACAAATGGAATGCCGTTTCCAATTATTAGCGGTAACATTGGCACCGGCACCCACCGATATTAAAACCGCCATCCATCCTGGCTTTCTCTATTATTCACTAAATGGCAGACACTATTGAAGAATTTGCTCAATTAGAGCCCCTCTGGGACAAAGCAATACAATGCCCAGAGGATATATCCCTAGAGGAAAAACATCAACTGCTGGAATGGCCGCCGCTTGATGTGATGCAGGCCACGACTCAAAAGTACCTCGGGCAATCCGTTGAAAGCCTGATCCACAAAGCCGCCACCGACCCCAATTCTCTGACTTTTTCCGAATGTCGCCTCATCAACGATGACTTTCGTATCCTCAAGATCCTAGACCGCGTTAAATATGAAAATGATCGAGGAATATGGTTGCATGAGCGGCCTGATCTAAAGGCCAAACGGGAAAAAGCCCGTGCTGCGGTCCTCTCCCTGGAGGAGTCACGCGCTTTAAAGAACCTGCGAGACGTGTCCTACTTCGTTGAAAAGGCGCATTATGAGGAGAGGCAGAGGAGACGGGGACCGCAGAGACCGAGACACCTACCCCCAGAATGGATCCAGAACGTGATTGATAGAGATGATAAGAGCTGGGGCTACATATTCTATCACCACAAGGGACAGAAAGGCTGGGAGGAGTTCCAAAAGCAATTCAATGATCTTCTTGCGACGGACTTGTTGGTTCTCGGACTGGATCAAATCGGAAATTCCAAAGTGGCCGAATTCGTTGAATTTGAGGCCAACGAGCACGGAGAACTCAATTTTCTCAGAGAGTGAGTCGCTGCAAGACGACTCATTACAGATGATGCTGATTCCAACGTAGGGACTTTCGGAGACGTCGTGACCAAGGCCATCTCAGACCTGGCGTCCTCCCCAACGTCTTTTTCCTCGTGACAGACGACGCTCGTCTATCGTACAGCCAAGCCAACCGGGACAAGTTTCTCTGGGCAATCGACTCGGATTGGACTCGTGAGGGCGCCGACGAGGACGGGTATGATGGACGAGTCAAGATCAGTGCAGTCCAGGTGTTCTTCCGGTTCTACGAATTCATGTCGACACGGAGATTTACGCTGAAGGAGATCTGGCGCGATTTCCACCAAGTCAACGAAACACAGACATATCTGCCCGAACCACTTGTTGCTTGGCAGTTCACAAACTTGGACAAGCCTGTTTGGCCTGATCTCTAGATTCTATTTGATATTTCGCTCTATGATCGTGCTTCACGTTGGCAAGATAGTGTCGTCTACCGTAGCATCGTTTGCTAGAGCGACGAACTTGCGCCGAGCTGCGGTCTTAAGGGCCTGAGAGTATGCTCCGCTGGCGTGGTCATGGCTCACGGCCCAGACCATTAGGCCCCCTAAACATTGGCTGCGGGCGAAGTCTGCCTTTAGTTGAAAGGTGTCGACATCGTCGTATGCAAGCCACTGGTTGTCCCAGGTGGCCATCTTGACTGCGGCATTACTGTCGAGAATAGGGGTGAGATTGTTCCGCGCAACGATATCGTCAATTTCGGAATTCATCAATACCCCAACCTCGTAACTGCAGCGTTGTGCCTCTCCGCCAGAAGCGAACGGGCACCCAGGCGTGTTGCAGGACGGGTCCGTGAGTTGGAATGTTCTTCCGTAGAAGGCCATCCCCAGAACGACTTGCTGGGGCGAGATATCATACTGCCACAGCAGGTCCAGGGAGTCTTGGATCTCGGTCAAATTGGTATGTGCGTTGAGAGATTCGTCATTCCACGCTTCTCCCTTGCGATATGTACCATGCAGATCGTACGTCATCACATTGAAGAAGTCCACGTGATTTCTTATCCTCTGGATATCATAGTGTTGGAGATATTGATATGAACTGGGAAGGGTAATGCTCAGACCATCTCTCCCGCCAGTCTGGCTGAGAGCGGCCTTGAGGTTCTTCAAGAACCGGGGGAAATTAGCAAAGTCCTGCGGGCGACCACCGCGGTTCTCTGCCCCTGGATATTGCCAATCAAGATCGACTCCATCGAAATCGAAGGCAGTCATGAATTTCGTGAGGGATTTGATAAATGCCGTCTGGTTTGCTTCAGAGGCCGCTAGGTCTGTGAATGTGTGTTCGGTAGGGCCTGGGGAACTGTACATCGAACCGCCCAGGGCAATGAACACTTTTAGATCAGGATCACTTCTCTTGAGATCGGTGAGTCTTGTGAAGAGATTGATGTCAGCCAGCAGGCTGGGCCTAACCTCGAAGGTGTCGGGGTCAATCACAGCGTAAGCCACATTGATGTGTGTATAAACGCCTGGGGGGATCCGCTCGGGCCAGAATACATTGCATCGGCGTCGGATAGTCCAGGTTTCATAATACCCAACAACACGCTGTAGGCTGTGTGAGGACTTGTTGCAGGACGGTCGATAGATGTCCTCGACTCTAGGGGATTCCCGCTTATGTTCGACAGCATTTTCCGAACAAAATAATGCCTTCGACCAGTCGACCGTAAGAGCTGGTTCACCCTCCGAGACTCTGGCACAGCTGACGCTATTGGAGTTGCTTGTATAGCCATGAGCTGCGGTGTGGGATATAGAAAGCAACAATAATAAAACAGAGAATATGGCGCATCTCTGGGGACGAGAGGAGTGTATGCCCATGATTAAAAGATACCTCTGAGCCCTGAAGTCGGCTCAGTCCAGTCCAAAAGTAAGCAAAATGAGCGGTCTCCTCGGAGTATTGGTACCATTTGTACACAAAGCCCCTATTGCCAATAGCCGTACCCTCACATTTGCATCATTAATATTCCGATGACAAATGCAGGCTAACTGAGCGCCACAGGGTAACATGGACCGAGATGAACATGGAGAAAGGATAGAACTGTCTGGACATCTAATATCGCTAAGCACGCTTCAGGCCCAAAAGGGCGTAGCCGATGGGCCCCGGCTTTAAGCTAGCTAGACTTGTCTCAGTCCGCCATACACTAGCAATGTGGATATCTCGGGATGTATTTGCGCAACAGTCGAGATTTGAACGTCCAGAGTATTATTATATGGGCCATGAGAAACTATGCTCAGTGGTGTTTCTCTATTCCTACAAAGTCACGACCTACTGGGTCCTTGTATGAGGTATATAAGTCCATGCCAACCGAGCAGCTCCATCTGACTATCAGCAGCCTGAAAGCATGGACCGTGGTTGATTCATCTCTAGCTTATCTTGGCAGTCAGGAGCTAGAACCAATTGCGCAACTGTCATCTAGCCTCTATTTTACTTTGTTGGCCGTCTTTTAGCGGATTATTTGGATGTACTCCTGAACGACTGAGGCAAAGAAGGGATTTATTTCACCGAATACCCTCACCATGATACGGCCGCTGGTGATATTCTCATGTATACTTGTCTTCCTCGGATTGCTAGGCGCACTTTCAACCAGGGAAACAGTACAGGGGGTCTTTCGAAACTCGTGGGGCTCTAGTGACTCTACACATCAGAGCAAGTTTCCTGGCTTCACGATATACGAGCGCGATGACCTTCCCTCGACTTTCTCGGACGCATGCGTTGCTGCACTAACTGCTACTATCGACTGTGATCTTACCGTGTTCCGATTTGGAGAGCCTGCATATCATGGCACCTTGGGAAATGAAACGTTAACAGACATGGTCTGCGAGCAAAGCTGCGGGAAGTCGCTGGCCAATTGGTTTAACACTGCCGAAAAGAACTGCGATGGATCTACACTCTTCGATCATCCGGTAACTATTCCGGGAGGAAACATGTGGACTGGTTGGAATGAAACTTGCTACAAGGACCCGCAAACTGGTCAATACTGCAATGGTATGTCTCATGCCCTAGCCATCCGCATTGGCTAATTCAACTATCAGACATTATCAGCACCTTCACCCGCGTCGCCAGGGTTGAGCTCATGCCAAAGGAGGAGATGTGTTCCTACTGCTACAAGACAAAGCTTCAAATGATGCAGTCGAGCCCATACTCCTACTACAACAAGGTCTTTCAGCACAACCTTGAGGTTGTAATGAGAAACTGCGATTTCATCACCAGCACAACCATTCCCGAAGATCTCGCCCTCACTGCGTCCGAAGACGACCCCCTGTGCGTGTCCGGTAAAACGTACACCACGAAAGAGGGCGACACTTGCACATCTATTGCTCTCGAGTACTCCGTCTCATCCGCAGCCCTCTACATGGGCAACCAAGATCTCATCCGAGACTGTCAGCAGGTCGTCGTGGGTAAGGTCTTGTGTATCCCGCTATCCTGCGAGCATACCTACGTCCTGCAGCCAGACGATACCTGCTTTAGCATCGAGCGAGCGAACGGCTTTCCTCTGTTTGACCTCAGAGTCAAGAAGATTATAACTCTGCGCCAGTTAAACCCTTGGATTAATGCGTACTGCACCAATCTGCAAAGCACCGCCTGGGCCTTTGGCAGGGTCTTGTGTCTCTCTCATCAGGCAGGGGTGCTTACCGAGACAGATGTTGTCGCCACGTCTCACAATCCATGGGGCACAGAAAGTGATGGATACGGAAAATGGATGGTTGATCCCTCCAGGGATGCCACACTCGCAGAAGGCACTACGAAAGAGTGTTGGAAGTGGCATACAGCTCTGGAGGGCGAGTCATGCGCTCAGATCTGCCTGCGACATAAAATTACTAGCACTCTTTTTCTGGCTGCGAACCCGTCGTTAGATCCTGCGAATTGCACGGCAAGCCTGACGCCGGGAGTGACTTACTGTACTGCACCTCTGCATGGGTGGAATTATACGGCGGAAGGTTGATACTAGAATCATTAGCGTAATTGAGATAGGCTTAAGGCTGCATTTGTGGCTCATTATGCTAGTTTTATTTCCCAGGTACATTGTGTAGATGTGAAGCTGACTTTCTACGATTCATCTCTTTCCTAGGGTCCTCAGCTGTTTTCTGCCATGAATGAAGATTACAAAGAAAAAGATAGTAGAACATGGCAAGATGGGTGTACTCCTTAGATATGGTCTCACAATCTCCCAAACAACCGATCATTCTCAAGACTGGGTAGCCACGGCCAACAAGGCTCATTCATTCCAGCAGCCGCATAGCAGGCAGAAATGAAGTGCCATGTTCAAAAGGATCTGAACAAAAGCTAATCTCGTATTCACGTCATGGGGCTGGTTACGCCCCGGGCACAGAATACGATGGTGGCTCGGCGGCTAGCGTGTTGATAATGATCGAAGATCATATATATGGCCTTGCAAAACTGCACTCTCGTCTGCGTAGACTTGTCTACCCCCAAAACTCCCTGACAAAGCCTCACCATGTCGTGCTTGAACATAGCACATGTAGAATCTCTCCACAAAGCCAGCAATAACCAGATCACTGCGTTACTGCAGAAAGGCACCACCCGCTACAACACAAACAGGACCTCCACGAAGAAACAACCCACCATCCCATCGCCATCGCTCTTCCAGTCACTATCTTCTGCTAGCAACGAGATCGAGAAGCCAGGAGGCTTCCCCACCCCCAGCCAATGCGCAGTGCATCTCGAACTGCTAGAAGTGTTCCACATGCTGCGCAACAGGATCATCCACTCTCGAGACCTAGATACGGCGTTCGGGGTGGAACCGAAGAAACGAACGGTTTATCGTCGAATCCGGCGGGGCGAGCGCAAACACCCTGTTGAGCTCCGAGACCCAACGTGGGACGCCCGGAGGAAGGAAAAATGGCCGTATTATCTGGAGATTGCGGCCGGACGGTTCGACTCGTGGATTCGGGTGGTTGACGGCGTGTGGAAGGGGGAGCTGGGCTCTGGCATTGAGTTTCTGCCTCCCCTTGGTATGTATGTCGTTGATGCATGCGAGATGGGTGTTAATGCTCGGCAGACGTGTTGATGGTTTGGCATGCGTTTCTGCTGAATCCCCTTGATTTTGAACAGTACTGCAAGTCGAACAGTTTAGAATGCGCCAGGAACATTCCTTTTCCCTGGAAGCAAGTCGTAAGTTGCTAGCGCAGAGGATGGACCCGGCTGACAACAAGCAGCACGAAGCAATCGATTTTCAGAACTGGTCATACAGTCTCTCCGGCACCACCGCAGACTGGCTCTTAGCGACATGCAAAATGGAGCCAGATCTTTTCAAGGCCCTGGAGAAGGTAGGGCAGTCGAAGTCCCCAGCGCGGGCTGTACTATCTCGATATGGGACGGCAAGTACGAACACTGGCTTATCCAACTACCGCTCCTCCGACACCCATATCGATACTCGTGAGCTGGAATTCATCCAAGCCGTCGAGTCCGCCACTCTACAGTCCAAGCAGAACACGCCTCTGGTCGAGAACGTCAAACGCCAGGCCTCTTTCGTTGACAAGATGCACGCGCAGCTCTGGATATGCAGTCCCGCCGTCGCAGGGACTCTGTGTCGGGCGGTGGATCGGTACGATAAATTCGTGCAACTGTTCAAGCTCTACCCGGGCACCGTTCTCGTTCCGACATTGGACGTCGATCTGGCCTGGCATACGCACCAGTGTAGCGCTGCACTGTACCAGGCGTATATGGTTGAGCATACGGGGCGATTTATTCGGCACGACGATCAGTTTGGACAGAATGTTCTGGATACAGGGTTCGACACGACGCAGAAGTTGTTCTATGCGAGGTTCGGCGAGCGGTACCATCTCTGTCTGTGTTGGAACTGTGAGGCTATCGTGGATGGGCTGGAGGAAGCCGAGAAGGACGAGAAAGAAGTTGATGTTAGGGCTTTGGCCGAGGAGATTGGAGAAGAGGTGTGTTACTATGCGGCCGTTGAGATTGCTAAGCGAAAGGGACAGGATCTTCCTGTTCGGGATTAGGCACTGTTCAACAGTATAAGACGTCTCTCGGGTTTAGTAGTCTGTGTCCATCCATGCAATCTCATACTAGAGAATGATCAGTGCATGGTCAGACAAGACCTGTCTATCTTCGATGCAAAACACCACGCAGGACTGAGTGGCAGAGCGCCTAACATGACCTTTAAAGCCGCGCCATCATCGCGGATCTCATATCGGTTGTCTCTCATAGTAACTGCTTGCGCAGCCCGACGTCATCCATGTGTGACAAGCACTGTGGAATGCCAGGAGCATGGCTCAAGGATGTTGCTCAGCTCACATGAATCCAGAGGGAGAAAGGATCAAGGGATGAACCACATACCAATGACGACGACACAGACAGGAGTTCCTACGTGAATAACCCCGTCGTTCCACCGCGGAATGTAAACCTCACGATATAAAGCGCTCTCTCCTCCACTGATTACACCTGCACTACTTCCACACCATCTCCACTACCACCAACATGAAACCCTCCACGCTCCTCCTCACAATCTTCGCCTTCGCCGCCTCCGGCCTGGCAGACAAAACCTGCACGCCCAGCTTCGACTACTGCGCCAGCGACCTGACAAAAGACAAGGGTACCATCCCGTCCTCACACTTGTGGCTGCACCACGTTGCTAATATTGTATCGGATGCAGGCTTCACGGCAGACGACCTCAAGGCCGTCCTGAAGGGAACAGACCTCGCCAATGAGGATATCAACAACGTTCTCTTCCACTGCAAGAACCCCGGGATTGTTGGGCATCCTAAGGTGTGCAAGGGGGGATGCAAGAGCTCGGGGCAGGAGGGGAGCCATGGGTGTTAATGCCGTGTTTCAGGTATTGGCCTTGGGCGTCTCGTTTCAGAAACGGGGTGCTATCCTGCGTTATAGAAGGCAATCCATACATATTCATTTCGTCACATACGCATTCACCGTCTGCTGTCTGCTTCCGTACACACCCAGCCTTGTTGGAAGTCAATCCAGGGGTTCACATGGTCAAAGACAAGGATGACCGCCACACACCATGTCCATACTTCGGTAGTTCAACCCAGTCTAATGACACCAGCACCGCGCAGATCCCCGGTTTGCGGGGAAATATCGGGTCCTCCGGCATGTGTGACCCCAAATGTTGATCCAGGATCGGATCCTGCGGTGAACTCCTCGACTGATGTAACCCGATGCACCTTACGCACGCACTAACCACATCAGTACGCTGTAGACAGTCTAGGTGGTGACAGGATATGGATAGTACCCTACTCCATAGTTCCGCTGATCCTCGGCGGCGGGCGAGTTGATCGCCAACTATCGAGCGACTACACGAAACTATGGTACCCAACGGTAGACTAGTTTGCAGGTTAGGGTCGGGTCTGGATCCTGCGAGACAGGGGCCGAGGGATTCACATGCTATACCATATAGCGCGACTCTATTCCCGCTAGTTCGTAAGACGGGTTCGCGATGGGTTCGTATTGGTTTGCTCCGTCTACCGACTCCACGTGCAGGCGTAATCAATCTGCTGCGACGGCCTGCCTAGGCATGGATTGTCGTCTTGGAACCGCGGCTCAAGTGCCGAAGACGGTTCTTGGGGATGAGTCTGGAGACGCAATGTCTGAAGTATCAGCAACTAACTACATAGTGCTTAGCGTGTCGGCCCCGAATTCTGTTCCCCGGCCAAGTTTGTGTCTCACGATGCGGGGCTCCATACTCCAGACGCATCCATGGTCTGATGTTTCCAGTGGCGCAATGGGGACGAAGGCAGAAAGGTACGAATAAAACAATACGATAAATGGGTATCAAGAAGATAACTGGTTGATTGTTCATACATTCGTCATGCGGTCGCATGGTGAATAGATTATAATATGAAATAATGTCAAAAGGAAAACACAGGGTATACAATCATGCTTCATAGATGTACAACACTTTTGGTTGGTTTTTGTTCTTTTTTTGTTGGTTGAGGGATTATCGAGACAGATTCTGTTGGTGGTGGTATTCCGGGGACTGGCCCCGCGCAAAGGTCGCCTGCGGATCCCAGTCCCGCCCCTGGCCCTGGGACGATCCCGGCGGTCGAGGGCCGGAGAAACTCATCGAGGGGCGCACGTAGCGGGCTTCGCGTCCGTAGTGGTTGTGGCCTCCCACGGGGCTCAGCGTGCCGGCCGTGCGCGCCGGACTGGGCGATCGCACAAGCGGTTCCGGGGTTTTGGAGATGCCCGAGCTCGTAAGCATTTCGTACGTGCGTGTATCAGGCAGGCGTTTGTTGCGCGCATCTACCGAGACGAATTCGTGTCGCCGGGGGCCGCCACCGCCAAAGCCGTTCTTGAAGAGGTCGACCCATCCCACGAACATCGACGGGCGGGCAAAGAGAATAAAGTTCCAAAATCCAACCAGCGAAAGAAGGATCAGCACCGCGAGCAGGGTGGCTTTGTTCGGTCGCACGGCGTCGGCCTGGTCGAGGCAGCGATTCTTCTCGCCCTTGGTCTCCATGAGGCAGGCGAGCCATGGGATGGCCTTCTCCATGTTCTCGGGGGTCAGTGCCAGCTCATTGTTCATATCGATGAAGACGACAGCGAAGAAGATCACGTTGCCGATAATAATGAGGACCAAACTGATGCCGCGCCATTGCAATTGGAGAACCCGACGGATCCGTCGGTACGCCTGGCGGGCAGTCATGGTGCGGACGCTGCCTGTGTAAGATGGCAATCCGGAGCTGTTGGTGGTGGAGTCGCTGCTATCGAACAGGGATCGGATGTAGACATGGATACAGTATCCCAGCGTGGCCACGTGGAGGAGGAGGGAGGCGGCGGAGAAGGCCATGACCGGCGCCCAGTAGTCCGAGGTACTGTTTTTGATATTGATGTGGCAGACGTTGCCAAATCGGTAGGACACACCCGTGTAGATGAGCATGAGGGTCAAGCACAGAGCGGGGATTCCCCAGCCACAGATGAAGGATCCCCACATGAATTTCTTTCCAATAATCACTTCCCAGCAAACTTGGAGGTGGAATGCGACGGTGCGGATAAAACCTGGTCTGGTCAGTCGGTCGACTCGGTTTCTCGAGGACTGTACATACTCCACACGACGACGATCCAGCCGCCAAAGAGAAGCAACGCCCCCGTAAAGGCGCACGACACGTCGGTGTACATGTCATTGGGAGTGATGGCATTGTGGCACTGTTCCGGCTTGACTCCCAGAGGAATGATAAAGGCAATCTGCAATGATCAGCCAAGTTGGCGCAGTGGACGGGGTCTGATCTCACCTCCATAAAGCAGATGCCTAGCGTGAAGCAGATACTCAGATAGTGTCGATGGGTGTATTTCACTGGAAGAACGGCATATGACACGAGGAGGAAGATACAGAGGGGAAGGACGGCGACACCCAGCCAACTCGCGACTTTGGTCTGGGAAAGCAATTCTGCGAGGGTTAGCGTTGGAAGGTTGGAGTCGTCGCCATGACTCACGATCATCGTAGGTCCATTCTGTCAGCGGACAAGGGAGACAGCATGACAGACGCTCATTTCCCAAAGGAACGGTTTGGCAATACCGTCCCCCGATGACTAGACCAGGCAATTAGCGACAGACGAGGGGACGAATGGGGAGGTCGCATACATCCACCGGTCGACGGAAAGAGGGACTCCTGGTAAAAGGGTTCGGGACAGAGGCCGTGTAATGTGGAATTCGCCATGTTGCGAAGAGACGACAGGACGATACTCTCACTGAATTGCGATCTGATGATTCTGTTGCGATTGCGATTGCGATTTCGAGGTGTGGTCGGATGCGCCGGTCATATCCCGACCCGGACGAGACGTCAGTTGGAGAGGAAAGGAAAGGAAAGGATGTCGCCGAGAGTGACAGCCCACTGCGAGGCTCACCACCGCGCAGACCGAGCGATTGATAATGAGAGACACTCCGAACTAGTCATAAAGAGGGACGAAGAGGGAAGGGAGGGAGAAGAAGAGAAAGAAAGTTGAAGGAGGGATACTGGGGGGGATAGTCAGATATACATTATTGGCGACGCGATGTGCAGGTCTAGTGGAGAGAACCCATGGGAATCATCCCAATCGACAGGAAAAGGACCCAGTCGGCTGTGAGCGAGTGGATCGTTAGTGAGAGGAGAGGCCCGTTCACCCCGGATGGCAGTCAAGGTCGCTTGGCAGGAGAGGACCGAGTACGGAGTAAGAGAGAGTGAGAAAGAGAGAGAGAGAGTAAGAGAGTGAAGGTTGACTGCCCTAAAATGGTATGCAGGGCGGGGGGTTCCCAGACTTTGATACCGTATGGATACCACTATCTCAATGGCTGATTGGTTCCACAATTACCGACGCTCCACGTGGGCCATGAAAGTGGTCCCCGCGTGGTATTGTCGTACAATTTTACGGAGTACAACCTTACAATCTTACCTTCCCACGCTCTCCTCTCTCCTCTTCTATCCATGGCACTCATGACACTCGTGGCTACCACTCCCAATTATTGAGTAGCTCAAGCTCTACCAGCCTCGCTGCAATGCAGGATAACCACGTTTCAATCTTCTCGGGCTACAGAGTACCATGAACCCCGAATCCTCAAGTATGGTTCGTCCGGAGAACATACCCAGAACGTAAAGGTGACTACCACCTGCTAATCCCCGATCAGCATCCATTCCACCCGCTAACTAACTAGTCTAGCCTCGTCGTGAGATGCCGCGCCCCAGCGGGGCCTGGTGGTGCTAACTCGAGTCGCACAATGGGAGGGGCGGCCTCCAGTGTCTGTCCAGGAGGGGGTTTTCAAGGGTTTGAGTTTGACGGTGTCCTGCACCTTGTCCAGAATCCCCCTGTCGCCGGCGTTTTGTGCATGGATCTTCGTGTGGAATAATATTGGTTGTCCATTCAGGCTGACTCCTGACTGGACCAGGAGGGAAATGGATTCGAATTTTCGCTGACCTTCGATGATATGCCAGGAACATTGGCATTGTGGCGTGGAGGAATGAAACAGTGTCTAGACTACTACAGTACCTCCATGTCGTCGCTTTTTTTATACTCCTCTCACTCCACCGAGGTCTCACTCGGCACGCTCTATCAGCGATTCCAGATCGATCCTCGATGCCCATCGAGATCGGCTCGCCAGTGCACGATATGTTTCGGGGCATTGACCACCACGGGCTCAGTTTCTTGCGTTTTTTCCCTCGACCGTGGTGGGCGATGCGGCTCTAAGACCCGCTTTAGGGTTACCACTCTCCTGTTGCCGTGTCCCATCGTCCTCCCTTTTCCTTTCCCAGTTACGTCCTCCGGCAGATATCGATCGACATGAGGCCGTCGCTTGTTGGGTGCTGCGGCCCCATCCGGCCATGAACTTCCCATCGAGAGCCGAAAGTACGAGCTCTTTCGCGATCCAGTATTGATTGACATGGAGGCCACCAGTCCAGTCTGCAAGGCTTGTCTGAAGTCAATCCGACGATCACGACGATGGTGGTCTGTTCTAACAAATCTTGTTTTCGACAATCCAAATTCCAATTCCAAATCATGCTCTCAACATGATTGTTCATTATCAAGGCATCTCCTACCTACAATACTAGTACTCGGTAAGTATCGCAGGAATAGACCGCACGTTTCATGTCAGCCCAGCACACGTGGGGCCTTTCTATATATGGCGCGGAGGCTGCACGCTTTGGGTCTCTTCCGTAGCACTGCGTAACTGTCCTTCGTCCATGGACTTATGTAGTACTCCTGCAAAGTTCGGTCGGGTCAATTGAGTTTACCTCGAGGCTGGTCCGGTGAATATCCGAACCCAGTTGTCTGTCCATCAAGAACAGCATACTCCGGTTTGGGCATCATCCGGTCCCCGATCGCCTCGTCCCAGGGAATCGTCTGAACCGCCAAAGTTTAACCGGCCGTAGAACTTTCCATGGAGTCCATAGTTTAAGAAGACGCTCACACTATGCCCATAGCGGATGTTTATTTTCCGAAGAATTCAAACTCTGATGATGACGACGACGATGATGATGAGGATGACAATACATTGTTCCAGCCACGTTACTTCGGTTGCATCAGACGCACTGGTTTACGGTAGTACCTGCATAGCCGGGTAATACAACCGACGCTCTCAACAGTTCTCCCAAGGACTAGTCGCGGCACGACTCGGTCCAACAATATCAGAGCAACGCAATTCACCCCGAGCTACGGTAGGATCAGTGCCGATCTGTCAACCAACTAGTACTGCGTGGTCGCTGGCGAACTCGCCTAGGGAGAGACCGTACCATGGCACGGCACAAACAGTACGGCGGCGTCCTCCGCGTGGTGGGCAACCAAGGCACTCGCCACTGTCGTTGGCCCCTGACCAGGGTTTAAGCGAGCTGTCATGTTGGGAACGGCTGCATGGAGACGACAGGGTATTCCTGGTTTTCTTGCCCTCGAACGGCAGTTATCGCTTGGAGTACGCCGACGCGAAAGACCAACTCGTAATGGTGGAGTGTTCTGCACTCAGCATCGGCTCCCTCTGACGTGACCCTGACCGTTTCCTGCACGAGCTAACCCTCGCCTCGACCGGTCGGAATCCTTGGCCGCTGTCGATTCTTTTCTCGACTAGATGCCATGCCAATGGGCCATGGGTTGTAATGGACGCCCAGGATCTAGGGTTGTCTAAATCCTTGGATATTGACGGACGTCCACAACGCAGAAAGGCGATTCGGTCGGTCGGGATTACTCCTTTGCGGTTGATGGAGCCGCATTGGACCTGGGATGGCCTATCCGCCGGCAGTTTGGCCACTCTATCGTGGGAGATAGATTGAATGGGTCCATGGTCTCCGATGCGGATGATCAGAGCGGGATCACGAGGATTGCTGGGGAATCCAGCCCTGATCTGACGGAGCTGAATCGTACTCCGCACATCACGACCAACAGACATCCGCAGGAAGTGATAGGTGAGGGTATTGATGGCGTTCACCGCAGCGGTGGAATTGATGCTGCTGTGTGGACCGTCTATAAGCGCGTCCTTCCAGCCGCCGCCCAATGAAGCCTCGTACCTGCAGCCGTTGACGATCACTGGCTCTTTTCCTTCTCGACTGATCACAGCGGTGCTTCAATGACGACAGAGAACGGCCCTTTGGACGTTCTGTCCAACTTAATTCGACCTCTGCTCTTGATCCGACCCGTCCCGCGATCAAATCAGCTGATCGGGGGTGTCTTTGCGTCCCTCTGCGATCCCGTCCGCATCCTCCAATCTCTCGTCCACGACTGTCACACAGAAGCCCAATAAGACGACAGCGAGGGGTATTGGACGTGACGAGTCCTACGGCGTACAATCAGCCACAGTGTGATTGTGATACTGCGATGCGAGACCCGCATTGACATTTCATTCAAACCTCCACCCTAACTCGCCGTCAGGATACAAACTTCAACCTACTATTCTTATTTATAACTACCCATCATCTCTCGTGCTGACCGCTAGCTATGCAACCATTCAGCATCGATTCGTCATCACGGTCTCCGGTCTGGACCCGCCCGGGAAACGTCCGCATTCCCCGATGAGCACCCTGCAACAGTAGATACCCGCTCCGTGACGAGCTGCAGTCCACGGAGGGCGACAGAGCACCAGTCCAGCGAGGATCGCCAACTACAATCGGCAGGGGAGGGGTGCCGCGCCCGACGCAGAAGTACCATTCCAGTGTGGTACAGAGGGCCGCCAATTCCCGTCCGTCGGGACGGCATTTCCGAGCTGAATAGCGGTGATGAGCTGTCGTATACAATAGTGACTGGACTGACCGGGTGCGTGATGTGTCTGGGGCATGATCTAGTGGTTGGAGCGGAGAGGTTGTCTTCGCTGGGCTGGAGATCAAGTACGTAGGACTCTTGCATGATGTGATTTGCGATGGGTCGACAGACAGGAAACTGCCAGAATCCTACACTACGCTCGGCGTCTACCAATCGACCAAGACGAAAATTGTAAATAATCCTTCATTATCTGTAACTATCTGGGATTGTATCGGTGGTATGTCGTCGCTAAGTCTGTAATCACCTATGATCGCAGTCAGCTACTGCGTCCCAACATGTTTGATGCAGAACATAGTGAGAGAAAGGATCAGAAGTCCATTAAGATCATCGAAGAAGACCACAAGGGCCAACTTCTGACATAAGAGGTACCAGAAAATAAATAAAAAGGTTGTGTTTCATCATTGAGTCGAGGGAATGAAAGGAGAGGCAGTACTAACCTGGAAGATACCTGCAGTCGCGGCGTCAGTATAAACCGAGCACATCAGCTCGTCGTCTCAGAGCGATGCAGAAAAAGTAGTGAGTGTTGAGTGGTGAGTGATGATCCGCCGCAGAAAAAGACAGCGAAAGAAACGGCTTAAAAGCTAAGCGAAAATCCATCACGTGACTACACGTGCCCCACCCACAACCGAACCACCACCACAAAAAAAAACCTCATCGTCAAAGTCCGCTTGATCCTTTTCATTCCGCGCAGCTCAACCACCGTCGACAACCTCTCCGTCCGACAACCACCTCAATCCTTGCAAAATGGGTCGTCTTCACTCCAAGGGAAAGGGCATTTCGTCCTCCGCCATCCCCTACTCGCGCACTCCTGCTCCCTGGGTGAAAACCACCCCCGAGCAGGTTGTTGACCAGATCTGCAAGCTCGCCAGAAAGGGGTGCGTGGGACGACTTCTTCTTGTCTGAACGAAATCTGACGGCGAACAGTGCTACCCCCTCTCAGATCGGTGTTGTCCTCCGTGACAGCCACGGTGTTGCCCAGGTCAAGACTGTCACTGGTATGTTCTCTTCGCGGCGCAAAGTCTGTCACACCGCTAACACAACGCAGGTAACAAGATCCTCCGTATTCTCAAGTCCAGCGGTACGACTCCCCTCCCCTTCACACCCCGCGCGCAATGAGGGCGAAAGAACAGGCCCAAGGAGCGATCCAGAAAATCCTTCTCGGGCCTCGTTCCGACCCCCATCCGCCGCCCCCTGGGCCCGATTGTAGAAATACAAATCTCCGCAGCCTGTGCGCGCTCCTCTGGAGAGTGCACACTGCACGCCCGCTATGCCTCTGCTTGGTCGAACAACGGCTGACAGAGTGATGTTTTTCGTATTCAGGCCTCGCCCCCGAGCTCCCCGAGGATCTGTACCACCTTATCAAGAAGGCTGTTGCCGTCCGCAAGCACCTCGAGCGTAACCGCAAGGACAAGGACAGCAAGTTCCGCCTGATTCTGATCGAGTCTCGTATCCACCGTCTGTCCCGCTACTACAAGTCCGTCGGTGTCCTCCCCCCCACCTGGAGATACGAGTCCGCCACCGCCAGCACCCTGGTCGCCTAAGCGGTCTTTCGGTCGTGTTGGTTGTTGGTTTGGCTGGTTGTCGGTTAGGGTTTGTTTGCAACTCTCTGAAATGGGTGTTGTAGTGCTTAGCCGCCATAGTCAATAAAATTACGACTCAAAAGTTTTCTGTTCGGGATAGTGCATGCGTAGATGGGTTGTGTATGTGCAGGCAGTATCTACAGGTTGCTAGAACTATGTATCTATGTATCTACTCTGCGGACTTCCTTTGCGACGGCATTGCAGAGCTCAACTCGCAACCCGGCCCCGATCAGAACGTGAATCCAGAGTCGCTGCGTGTCGCTCAGTCGGTCGTTCTCCGACTTGACCTCAACGAACATGACCTCTTTCGTGTCCATCCGCCACAGGAAGAGGTCCGGAATGCCTCCACCGCGTTGCTGGTACTCCTGCGTCAGAACCTTGCAGATAGTGGCGAGCGCCTCGCCGCGGAAACATTGGACGATTTCCACCAGGTCCTCGAGGTCGAACGACCAGTCGATTCCAATGGCGCAGGTCTGCTTCGGGGACTCGCGGGCATGCACGGCGCGGATGATGCGCTCGGCGCCGCCGTTCGTTATTTCTACAAGACGGTGGTTGATCTCGGACGCGCGCGACGGGTAAAAGGCGTCGGTGTGCAGGTCCAACGGGCAGGTCTGGAATGGCGTTTGAAAGACGTTCGGCACGTAGGTGAACAGGATGTCGTAGAACAGGTATCCGAACTATGCGATGTCAGTGCATGCGCAGTTTGCAGTGAAGGAACGGATGACGCACCAAGGTCCGCACAATGCCCCCCTCGGCATGATAGCCCTTCCACCCTTGATCTCGATACCAGCTCAAACACATACTCTCAACTCGGCATTCGGCGCCGTCCTCTCTCTCGTCCACCCACACCGTCGGACGGCCTCGGCGGGACGACTCGTCTGGGCCAAACCCATTGCGGACAGGTGTGTCCTCGCGCTCGATGCGTATTCCCTCCACGGTCCGTTCCTGCGGCTTGACAAGCATGACATGACCAAAGTCGTGCTGCTCCCGTTTCACCACCTTGAGGGCTCTTTCGAGCTTCGTAATCCGCTTCTGGAGATCGTAGTGGTAGATGAGATGGCAGTAGGGGTCTTCCAATCCCTCCTCGCAGGTCCGCAGAGCGATGCGCTTCCAGTGTTTCTTCTGCTGGTCCTCGCTGCGGCCGTCACTCGGCGTCAGCGCCCACATATAGTGTTCCTCTAACAACGCCTTTCGTTGGTACCAAGCTCCTCGGCGAGCCGCGTGGAACAGACGCTGGGCCAGCAGCGCAGACAGAATCCGGTGCTCCTCGCTGTGCTCCTTGAACCGACCCAGCGGCTGCAGACCTTTGTGGATGATCCGCGTGTAGACCCACGCGGGGGAGAAACGCCGGAGGTAGGCGCCCTCGCCGTACTCGTAGATCGAGTCTTCCTTGCTCTGTTCTTCCTCGAGCAGCGCTTTCCACCGCGGATACACCTTGTATGCGATGTCCTTGATCTGCTGGAGTAGCTCTGTAGTCGGTGTCCCGTTGAACTCGAGGAGGTTGTCGATCTGGAATTGGGTCCGCAGCGCGGTCTCAAACTCCAGGAGGAACGCCCGCGATGGGAAGATCGAGGTGGACCGGCAGACGACATACTCGGGGAAATTCCGGCGCGATATCTTCGCGAGGATGATGGTGGTGAGGGACTTTTCGGTCCATTCAGTCGAGCGGTAGAAGACGAGATGGACGCGCTCGAAGAGCGCGCGCGGGCCCGCCGCGAGGCGAATGCAATCGCCCGTATAGTCCAAAATCTTCTGTACAAAGTGGCCGTCTCTATTCGTTGGCTGGGCAGAACCTGCTGCTGTGTTCCAGTCCAGGCCAGTCTGCGACTGGCTGGTGCGCTGTAAGGCGACGAGAAGCTCCTTCTTCGTCTTTCCCTGCACCTTGGCCTCTTTGGCTAGGGTTTTTAGTTCCTCGAGCAGGAGGAGTGAAGAGGCTTCTTCCAATGTCGTGATTTCTTCCGTCTTGTCTGCGAACCGGAAACTCTCGCCGAGTACCCGTTCCTCGGGTGAATCCAGGCCAGCTGGGTTCTCCGCAGAAGACTCTGGTGGAGGAGGCAGGGTCCAGGTGCGCTGAAGCTCATCGACCACGGCAGACATATCGGAGATGTCTGAGTAGTAACCCAGTCGGTTGATGCGATGCCACGCGGACGTCTTGCGGAGGAACAGCCGTACGTATCTATCCGCGTTAGAGGGGCAAGAGGAGAAGAGGGGAAACATACAGGTACTGCGACTCGTAGGATAGTTTCCTCCACTGGTTGAACACCTCCATCTCCGCCTCGCTGAATAGATGCGCTTCCTCGTCTAGCACTGTTTCCAGCGCCAGATTGAACGCGTCCACGTAGATGGAGCTTTTCCCCTTTCGCCACTTGCCATCTCGCAAGCGCTCATGCAAGCCGGGACTGGACTCTTCTAGTTCGGATACGCGTGCATTTTCATACTCCTCGATGGCTTGTATATCCGTTAGGAATTCTGGTAGGGAGGACTCCAACTCTGTCTGGCTGCTGGGAGGTTCCGCGTCTGGAGAAACTTCGTCAGTCTGGGCTGCGATGGGCGTATCCGCATCCAGAGCCTGTTCTGATAATTCTGGTGGTGCATCTCGGCTGGTAGCATCATCTGTGGTTTTCCTGCGCTTCGTGGCGGGACGGTGAGTATCCCAGTAGTCCAGGAGGGACATGGTGCATGCATGTTATTGAGTGAAGCAGGACAAGATATATATCTCGCGACGACATCGCGACGCGCGATCAGGTGACTGTTTGGACTGTTTGCATCCGTAATTGTTATCGCCAGTTTGCTGCCGCCAAGGGCCTATAACTGGGAAACTGAGTCAATTGTGAATGTGGAAGGAGGATAAAGAAATGTTATCAGTCTTTCGAGCTGGTCAATTGGAGAGAACGCTGCGCTATGGACATGTGCACTGAAAGAGCAGACATTCACTTTATCCCAATGTGGTAAGACAGATCACATGACCAGATGGGAGAACGCGATCGAGCAGGGATACTTGCATAGACAATCAATCCGTTGCTTTCTTCGTATGTTGACATCTATCGCTTTCAATCGGCCTCTGCTTAAATACCCCATCGACCATGGCTGACCACCCGGTGAGAACTCTCCCTTCTGGCAGTATCTCCAGATCCCCACACGTGGAGCTTCCGCCTTCGTTAACTCTCTTACCTGCGCTTTGCTCCCTCCTCCTAGCTTGCCGGCTTCCCAGCTCTACCTCAATCGATCGATTGATTCCTGAATTCTTCTTCTTCTCCCACTAACGCGATCGCCATATCTTAGTCTCCCGCAGGAGTCAACCGTCCACTCGATCCAACCTCCGACAAATCCGCCTTCAACATGGGCAACGAGTCCACTCCCAACAGCGCTGGCGGCGCCGCTCACACTCCTACCGGCGAATCGAACCTCTCCTCTCGACCGGGTGGTGCGCCTGTGCGTGCGTACATGAACGAGAAGATTGTGCCGTATTTGCTGGAAGGAATGAAGACCGTCACCAAGGAGCAGTAAGTGGGCATGGGCTGTGAGGCCAGACCGGAATATTGTACTGATGGATGGTGTCAGACCTGCGAACCCCCTACGCGCTCTGGGCGAGTTTCTGATCCAGAAGAGTAACGAGGTTGAAGGTGGTGGTTCATCCGGCAAGTCGCCAGAGTAAGGTCCAGATTGGCGGATTCCACCATTGCCTACCGATAAGGGAGAATATCAAGGATATCCACATCATCGCCCGCCCTTTGAACGTGATGCTTGGACTTTGCGCGTTCTGTCATCAGTGCGGCTGTCTTGACCCAACGTGCAAGGGTGACAGCATCCATCGTTTGGCGCGCGGCAGATACGTGATCTGGATCGTCGAATGGCCGATGAACTATGATGCCCATGGACGCGAAGACGGTGCAATTGGACATATACAGAGTCCAACATGCGGCATAGGTACCTTTGATGACTGTCTGCTGCAGATCCACTCCAGCACAGAGCGAGATGGAGACCGTGGCTGTATAATACCCACTAGCTATTCAAATCCAGCAATCTAAACCCGCCTGGGATGATATTTCCGCGTTAATCCTACAAGTAAGCTTATCGAGACAGACGCTCCCAGGGACGAGCAGTCAGTCTGGATCTGTGATCGGCGAGACGATCGCCTCTCGTCTGTCGCCTACGCAGCTCGGACCTACAGCCGAGCCGAGTTCAGATGACCTGGCATTGTGTGACTTGGAGATGCATGCAACCCGCGTCAAGCGACAGTCAATGACGATCCACGGTGGCTGTCAATCAGCTCCAACATTATGCAGACGGTCGTATCTCCCAATGCGACTCCCCGCCGCGGGGCAATCACCCGCACGATAGGTTGGGTATATAACTGAAGCGCCCTCATCGACGTCAGAAACTCTTCACATATCCCAAATCAGCTTCGCAATGGATATTCTCGAGCGCAAACCCGTCAACCACGCCGTTCACACCAGTCCCGCCCACGACCTCCGGCTGGTGGAATCGGACATCCCGGAGATCCAACCCCACGAGTGTCTCGTCCACGTTCGTGCCACGGGCATCTGCGGCTCCGACGTGCATTTCTGGAAGCATGGCGCCATTGGACCTATGGTCGTCACCGGTGACAACGGTCTGGGCCACGAGAGCGCCGGTGTTGTGCTCAAGGTGGGCAGCGAAGTCACTCGGTTTAAGCCAGGTACATACATCCTCACTGTTAAAGTCGTCCCATGCTAATCAGCGATAGGCGACCGCGTCGCCCTAGAATGCGGTATCCCCTGCTCCAAGCCAACATGCTACTTCTGCCGCACCGGCCAGTACAACGCCTGTCCGGACGTGGTCTTCTACTCCACCCCTCCGCACCACGGCACCCTGCGCCGCTACCACGCCCACCCGGAGGCCTGGCTGCACAAGATTCCCGACAACATCAGCTTCGAGGAAGGCTCGCTGCTTGAGCCGCTCACCGTCGCCCTCGCTGGTATCGACCGGTCGGGTCTACGTCTCGCCGACCCTCTTGTCATCTGCGGTGCCGGGCCCATCGGGCTGGTCACGCTGTTGGCCGCTAATGCCGCGGGCGCGGAGCCCATCGTCATCACGGATCTGGACGAGACCCGGTTGGCGAAGGCGAAGGAGCTCGTGCCGCGTGTGCGGCCGCTGAAGGCGTCTCTCGGCGAGGACGCGAAGACCTTCGCGGGACGGATCGTCGAGACGCTCGGTCAGCAGGCCAAGCTGGTAATCGAGTGCACTGGCGTGGAGTCGAGTATCCACGCTGGAATCTACGTGAGTTCTCAAGTCGGGAATATAGGAACGATATAGCTGACGAGATAGTCTGCCCGCTTTGGCGGCTCCGTGTTTGTCATCGGCGTCGGAAAGGACATGCTGAACTTCCCTTTCATGCACCTCTCCGCGAACGAGATCGACCTGCGCTTCCAATACCGCTACCACGATATTTACCCCAAGTCCATCGCTCTCGTCGCGGCGGGCATGATCGACCTGAAGCCGCTGGTGTCGCACCGGTACAAGCTGGAGGAGGGGCTCAAGGCGTTTGAGACGGCGAGCAACCCAGCGTCCAAGGCGATCAAGGTGCAGATCATCGATGAGTAATGAAGATAGAAAATAGGCAATATAGACTTGTTTGAAGAGAAATTCTCGTTCACCATGCCTGCTCTAGTGCTTTCTTTGGCCGACACACTGACCTGGGCGCAGTATGATTTCTAGTACTGAAACGGGGTACTCAGCATACGTGAAACTCAGCTCGATCTATGATGCCTTGACCGACAGAGAGAGACGTAGATATCAGTCCAACAGTGACAGACTAGACCTGACCCTATGACACAATACGTCTGCCCTCAACTCCCTCCCAACAGGAACAGCTGGTAATCACCCTGACAAACCTGCATTCCACCCGCTTAACAACCCAGCTGCCACATCAACGTCCGCTCCCCAGATGTCAGCCAGCAGATCTTCATTCGCGGGGGGTGCCGCGCAAGCATAACCGCTCCATCGTCCGCATACGGGCCAACGAGGACCCCACGCGCGAAATCTCATGCACTGCAGGGCAATTGTCTCAGTGGGGGCAGATCGTGGGAAGTCACGGCGAGGACTGGGTACGGACGGTGTGGGCGAGGGGGATTGCGTGGTCTAAGGTGCCTATCTGTCAAACCACATCTACAGCCATATATTACACCTTACATACCACTAAGTGGGTTGTCCATTTTTGGTAGTGTAATGGTCATTTTGGTTGACACTATCTATTTAACTATCCATCTGTACAGGCCTGAGGAAAGATACTAAGGCGTGTCTAGACTGGAGAAAAGGATGAGTGGCTAATTCGAATCCAGCGTAGTTCGAGGCCCGGGCACTGGAGGTAGACCTATACATACATGACGTTAATGTGAGCTTACGAGGGGTGTCACATCGTAAAGTTTTTGCCAATGCGGAGGAACTCGTATTGCACAGCTTGCAGCATCCTATAGTAAGCCTCTTGCGCGTTCTGTCCGTGGACTAGTTAAAGACTTGGTTTGTGTTGCCAGACAGGATTGACATAGACCAGGGATTGCTAGAAAGGCAGATACAGACAAAGCGCACAATTTGTTCATCCTATTAAACTAGACTCTTGAATCTCTGCAACAACTCCCCTGCAACACTTTTGACCACGCAGGCTGCAAGCCTTCCTAGACCCTTTCCACACGGACTTCCTCGCGGACATGGATACCGACATCATTCCCTTCTTTGTATGCTGGAGATGCAGGCAGGAGTGGTTCTGTGCCTTTCCCTCGAGTGATATAAGCCTTGGAAGCGCTACAAGGCGGAGTAAACTGGTTGTTGACTTCGCTTCCTCCGTCCGATTTGGACCCGTTCATACGCTGATGGGCCAGCTGAACGAATCCGGTATCCTGTGCAGGATACTTATTGCTAGAGCTCTTGAAGCTTGAGCCCTTGATCAAATGGCGAAAGAGCGGCCGTATAGTTGGGATACCAACACATATCAGCGTCACTGCGAGCTCGACCGCCGACCAGACTACAAGATTGACTGTATCTTCTGCAAGGTCGAAAGCGTCTTAGTTGGTTGTTCTGCCACTTCAATCAAGCAGGGTGTTGGGAGCAACTGTACCTGTGTAGTTGGCGCTGGACAAGCCTCCTAGCTCGATGGTTCGAATGACACCGCATATTCCAGCTCTACGGGATCACTGTTAGCAGGCCCGAGACGGGTGTCTCCAGTTACTTACATGAAGCCAAGGCTCAAGCTGGACGCAATGATCATCTTTTCTTTGAACTTCATCTGTAGTTTCCAGATGAAAATCCAGGGCAGTATGGCGAAATAGAAGTCCACGGCGGCGCACCAAGCTGTTCAAGTCAGCAGCATTAGAGGTATGTAGCATTCTCAAAGGAAGGCAGGGGAGACGTACATCCGAGAAGAATCGAGAATGGGGTAACACGCACAACAGTGCGGCCCGGAACGCGCGGGTCATATATGGACGTGGACGGAATGCGTTGGGTCCAGAAAATGATAGCAGTCATGACTGACACTATGGACAGACTGACGATCGATATCCAAATCGTCACCCGGTGCCATTTGACCACCACGATGCGAAGAAGGAAGATGCCAAGGGAGACTTTGGCAATAGCCATGCCCAGCACGGCGAAAGTCTGACCGATCATCTCGGTATATATAGCCTTGACTGCCTCGTCCATTGTAAGTGTGGTAATGGGTTGCCCGAAGCCGTGCACGCCAGCGATGGTGAGAAAGAGGGTGTAGAGAAACAAACATAACTGAGAGGGCTTTATTAGCAGACACCCAACAAGATGCGAGAAGGTCTTCAGGCTTACCCAAGCTAAGTTAAACACATGGTCGTCTGATCCTAGGGCTTTCAGGACACGAATTCTGGTATAAAGCCGCAGGGGAACGAAGATAAACGCCAGCCCAGTCATCACCCACATGACAATGACTGTCCTTGAGCCTTTACCCGCAAGCATTTTGGCAGTGTGGGACTATTGTCACGCGTTAACAGGAGAGGATGAGGAGATATCTGTGCAACAGACAAGCGCTGAGAAGAACACGGGATGGATACGACGAGATCCAAGTGAGTTCTTCAGACTATATAGATGCACATTCGCCTATGGGTTCAATTTCTTCAGATCAGCAAGACATATACAATGAATGTCGTTTAAGTTACGACGTAGCTATCCACCGCAAGCCTCATTTCACTAGCTAACCACCCGGGTTGTACTGCAGATGTCCCGCGATGATATGTCAAAAGACGAGCAGAGATCGGACCTCTCGACATTCATGACATTTGGTATATGGTTTTGCATTTGTCTGTGCTCCATCGTCTGCGCTTATCTTTGACAGCTACAGGTCCGTGACAGGAAGAGGCGTCTGTGCATGTCTGTGCATTGTGCCATCTCCTAATCCGTAGACGCCAACCCGTGAAGGAGCCAAAGTTTACTGGATCCCCTCTCGGTGGCTTCCAATGGCAACCTCTGCAATAGACGCCACCCACTATACCGGCTTCCAACAATACGGGCCGGTCACATTTTGGCGTCGTTTTAACCATGTCCAGAGCAGCCACCCCTCACACGGGACGATGGCTCAACTCCGCGCTATATAGCTGAGACCTTCTCTATCATCTGGTCCTCCCTGCTTCGTATTCACTCTTCGCAGCAAAATGACACAGCAGATCTACATGGATTCAATCATGAATTGGTGCTTTCACATGGGGAGCTTGATCGCTTGGGCCTGCGTATTTGCTGTCCCAATCTGGTACCTGACAGCATATCTCATTTCCCCGCTGCGCCAGTTCCCCGGACCAGTCTTAGCAGGTAAGCTCTTCACTCAGGGGCTTTGGTGTGACTCTGGGTTGTACTGATGGCGGATTCTCACAGGATGGACGAATCTCTGGCGGATGTATCATGTGAGAAAAGGAAATATCCATGTTGTGGTCCATAATCTTCACAAGAAATATGGCCCTGTGGTCCGCATTGCACCAGGGGTGCTTGACCTGGACTTGCCGGATCTGGTCAGGACAATCTACAACGCGAAGGGGGACTTCAGAAAGGTGAGTCGGTCGATGGTCTCCTGGTCATCCTCAATTGACCACCCGCCAGACGGAGTTCTACCATGTCAGCAGCACCAAGACAAACGGCAAGATCATCTACAACTTGTTCAGCGAGCGGAGTCCTGAACAACATCTTCGGCAGAAACGGCCCATCGCTAAATACTATGCCATGACGGAAGTGCTGACTCTGGAACCTCATGTCAACGAAATGATACAGTGCCTTTGCCAACGGCTGGAGGAGGAATTCGTCGCCAAACCGAAGAGCGGTTCTGTCTGTGACCTGAGCGAGTGGATGCGATACTGTCAGTTCTGTAACTCTCCGAAGATTTGCAAGTCAGAGCTAAACCCTCGCTGATAGACACATGGGACGTGGTCGGCAAAGCCACGTTCAGCAACCCCTTCGGCTACCTACAAAAGGGGTGTGATTTCGACAACACCATCAGCATAGCAGATCAGGCAATGGACTACTTTGCTCTTGTGGCGCAGCTGCCGGTCCTCGACTATGTCTTGGACAAAAACCCCGTCTATCGAATCGGACCTCCGTCGTTCGGCAACATCACCGCCATTTCCATTCAGCAGCTCATGAGCCGTCTTCAGCGAAGAGAGGCCGGCACCTCCCAGGGTGCTAGCCAAGATTTCCTCGATAGATTTATTGACGCTGCCGCGCACGACTCTGACACGATCGACCATGGGCAGATCATCTCCTGGCTGATGATCAATATGATTGCGGGCGCGGACACAACGGCCAGCACACTCAATGCGGTGTTGTACTATTCGTTAAAGCACCCAGCTGTATGGGCCCGGTTACAGCAAGAGATCGCTATGCAGGAGGTTGAACAAGATGCCACCGCCTGCGTGCTTCCTTTCAAGTCCGCCCACGACGTGTCATATCTGGAGGCGGTCATCCGCGAAGCCATGCGCATGCTTCCTAGCGTTGCGATGACTCTGGAGAGATATGTGCCTGAAGGGGGTCTCGTCCTTCCCGACGGTCGGCGCATTCCCGGAGGATGCGCTGTTGGGATGAACCCGTACATCCTGGCGCGGAATAGCTCTGTCTGGGGCGAATGCCCTGACGAATTCCGTCCGGAAAGATGGCTACGTGACACCGCTCACGAGAGCGAAGCGGAATACCAGGAGCGCCTGCAAAGAATGAACAATACGGACCTTGTCTTTGGTGGCGGAAGTCGGGTGTGTTTGGGCAAGAACTTTGCCCTTGTGCAGATCTACAAGGTGCTAGCAACGCTGGTATCGCGCTATGATATTGAACTGGCTTCTCCTGACCGCGAATGGAGCACGTACAACAGCTTTTTCATTCGGCAGAGTGGATTGTACGTGCGAATGTCCCGCCGGTCTAAGTGAAGGTGTTTCTATCCACGTTCGCCGAGGAGCGGTCCTGGAATGGTATCAACACGGTCTGTCGTTGTGCTTAATGTTCATATATATAAATGAAATGGCTGTTTTCAACTGTATTTCGTCGCCCGTACCTGGAGCATTATCCTGGACCCAAGCAAGAAGTGACAGGGCAAATAATGCAAAACAATAGCAGCTTCAAGTCCGCGCAGGTCTCCCTGTACTGTGATGGTAATTTTTGCGTAGGTAGGAATAGAGGATATTTGCCCAGAGTTGGGAGGGACCGTTAGGCTGGACGGAGCGGAGGCATATCTATACCGTTTTCTCCTCTTTTTGTTTGTTCTGGGTATATAGATGGTAAAGAATCTAGAAGTATACCCCGGACTTAGCTCCGAGCGACGATCTCGGGCCAGCCACGCGTGGAATGCGGAGATCATGTTACACCTGTATCACTCTAATCCGTCTCCCACTCCAACCCGGACAACACCATGCAGGACACCTCACGGGCGTCCTACACCCCTCTGGGCCCGCATAGGGACGTATTCCACGTGCGTGTCAGTGAAGCTGTCACATTTCTGACGGCCTACTTGCCCCATACCTGGACAACATGGTCCCTGAAACAGACAAAACTCATCCGCCCGCCGACAGCAACAGGGGACCCTGCGCCACGACAGACAGACCCCTGGTACGTGTACAAGCTGGCGGCGTTCGTCTCGCTGGGAGCGCTGCTATTCGGCTACGATCAGGGCGTGATGGGGATGATCGTGGCTGACCAGCGGTGGAAGGACTTGATGAAGCCGCAGAACTCGTGTATGGCCACCGCCTGATTGATCGACCGTCGCTCACGGCGTATAGGGGTAACCGGAGCCGTGGTCTCCATGTATGACATCGGCTGCTTCATTGGCGCAATGTCCACGGGCATTCTGGCGGATTGGTACGGCCGCGAGCGCATGCTGGCCATAGCCAGCGCGGTCTTCATCATCGGCGCCGTCCTGCAAGCCGCATCATACACCATCGTCCAGATCGTAAGCTACCACCCCCAAGCCTAGACCTCGTGCAATCCCAACACCTCCAGATCATCGGCCGTATCGTCCTCGGCTACGGCGTCGGAGGCTGCGCCGCCGGCGTCCCCCTCTACCAGTCCGAAATCGCCCCATCCACCCTGCGCGGCCGTCTCATCGGCATCGAGCAGATGGTCCTCTGCACCGGCGAGCTCATCGCCTTCTGGCTCAACTACGCCTTCTCATACCTGCCCACTAACGACTGGTGGCGCATCCCGCTCGCCATCCAGGTCCTCCCGGCCATCGTCCTGGGCCTCGGCTGCTGGGTCTGGGTGCCCCCGAGTCCGCGGTGGCTCGTCGCGCAGAACCGGCCGGACTGCGCGCGCGAGGTTCTCACCCGCCTGCACGGCGCGGACGTCGCCGCCGCCGAGCTGGCGCAGATCCAAGACACGATGCGGCTGGAGAGACACACCGCTGCATCGTGGAGGGGTATGTTCCGCCGGCCGATCCTGCGGCTGACCCTGCTGGGCTGCGGGATCCAGGCCTTCCAGCAGATCACCGGGACGAACTCCATCCTCTACTACTCTGTGCGCTCCCTCCCCCTTCCCCCGGCTACCATTGCAACCGCCAACTGATCCCTCGCGCAGCCCTCCCTCTTCCAGAAAGGCGGCATCACAGACTCCCGCACCGCGAACCTCGCGACAGGCGGCATCGGGATCGCCCTCTTCATCAGCTCGTGGATCCCGATCTTCTTCTTCGACCGCCTCGGCCGCAAGCGCTGGCTGCAACTCGGCACGGTGGGGATGACGGGCGCGATGATCGGCATCGCCGTGCTGCAGTGGCACGCGGGCGCGCACCCCGGCGCGCGCGGCAACTACGCCATCGTCATCTTCCCGTATCTGTTCTACGTGTTCTTCAACGTCAGCTGGGGCGTCGCGGCGTGGACGTACCCGTCCGAGATCTTCCCGCTGTCGATGCGCGCCAGGGGCAATGCGCTCGCCACCGCCGCGAACTGGACCATGTGCTATGTCGTTGCGCAGGCGTCGCCGCCGCTGGCTGAGGCCATCGGATGGGGGCTGTATGTGGTGTATGCGGGGATCTGCGTGGGTGCGTTGTGGTTTGTGACGGTTGCGTTGGTGGAGACCAGGAATCGGTCATTGGAGGAGATGAATCGCGTGTTTGGGTTGGAGGGGTATTTTGCGGATTCGAGGTGTTTGATTCCGAAGGACCCTGAGGATGATGAGGGAGAGTAGATCAGGAGTGAGACATTCGTGGACTCCCTGCGGGATGCTCTTTAGCATACAAGCCTCGAAATTATCACGTCCAAGGACCTAAATACGGAGCATGTCGCAGCAATTGCAGCTAATGCTATTGGGATAGACCAGTTCATGGCATATAACTTCATTGCTATCCTCCTGCCAACATGACCTGCAACCCTCTGGCATACACTCCCATTCCACTTCCACGCATCCCCAGCCAACAGCCCATCACGCAACAACCTCCACACCAGAGACAGACGCAGCTAGAGCCGAGCAAGAGCCACCCTCTAGCACTTCCCCAGAGCAGCTAAACCACATCATCATTAGCCTAAACCATCCCCTCACAGAACTCGATCAGATACATACCAGCGGTGCACCGACTATCAGTATAATACCCATTAACATAGCAAGACTTTCCGTCCCACGAGATCCTCTGCCAAGTGCTATACCAAAATCAGTTCCTACCCACCCATCCCAGCAGGAAGATCACTCACCAGTTCCCTTCATAGCAATCCCCGGACTTGTAGCAGTTAAACACATACGACGAACCCACGTTCACAACGTAGGTCGTGGCGTAGTCGAAGCCCGGTCCAGACCGGCAGTTCACAGTCGACGAGCTGGAATTGACGATCTTGCAGGTCACGCTGCTGCGCTTCACCAGGCCGAGAGCCTCGGGGGAGACGTCGCGCGCCTCTACGGGGACGGAGACGACCTCCTCGACGGGGGCTGGGGCGGCTGCTGCCTCTGCAGTTGGGATGGCCCATGCGCCCAGGGGCAGGAGGAGGGCGGCGAGAGTGGTGAGCTGGAGCTTCATGATGGACTTGATTATTTGGACAAAGTTGTTCTTGGGATTGGATTATTGCGAAGTGAGAGCGTGAGGTTGGAATGGGGATAGCAGTGGGAGATAAGTGCCTTCTTATAGTTTCTGTTTCCGACAGTGTTTTGACTTGATCCAGACTGCGCTGCATCCTCTTTGAAATCGCTCAGTCACAAGACTCACGATGAATACGAACTGCCATATTGCACCCCTGAATGGTTCTGTCCTGTATAGACAATGTAGTTCGTGGGATATCCCGTCCAGCCACTGTGAGGTGTGATCAGGTCAATATCGGACAATGCCACGATACAGGCACCGCCCAATTGGCACATCCGGAGCTCATGTTGGCGCTGGAAGGAAGCCGGACCTCGTATCTGCAAAGGTAGTGATATTGGCTTCATACAGGATAAACACAACCATGATATACATTGAGGGTTGGGGTCAATCTCAAGGGGTGGCGTTGTATCAGGCACAATTGAGTAGGTGAGGTGCTGCTCTAATAATATCACTCGGAGAAGCCCTCAAGATAAATGTATTACACTGGCACCAAATGCGGCTGATAATGACGCGAAATGTAAGCAAATTGGAGTATAATAGTAAAGAAGGGACACCTCTATATCCCGAGAGAGGCGAATGTGACATCCTACCAGCGGGGCCATGAACACCCCGCATACGGAGGTTCCAAGCCCGACAGCCAAGAGAATCACAATATCATGAAAATGTAAAAGACGCTAGACCTTGGACTGCACTGCGCAGACACCGTATCCACGCATGGGTTGCAGAGACGCTCGAGCATGTAGAGAGAGATCTCGACGGCAGGGCCGGGCCGTCCGCCGTGAATACATGGCGTCTTCACATTCGACGCCTTTCAGGAGACTCGTATAACCCATAGAAAACATTCACGTTTAAAATGCAGACGCATATCAGAGACAATGGTCACTCTTGGAACCTGGGGTAGTCACCTGACAGTGCTAACCCTAGATCGGAGGCTCGTCCGAAAACCCTGCAGAACCCACGTAGCCTCAGCCATCTAGGAATACGAGGTAGCATTGCATTCAGTTCCTGGTTGTGGCGGAGATGGGTCTAGATGCGGAGGAAAATAGTGTTGGCAAGGGTGACTCCAGGATGAGGCTTTGGAGCGGGGAAATCGAGAGAAGTATGTATTCCACCAAACAAGAAGTTGGACTGGTTTCGACCATCAGCAACACCTAAGTCTCTGTATTGCGATTATCAGAGGCTCATGCGCTGGTCAACGTGTATTATCATTGGCTAGTGTTGATCACTCTGACCATCAGATCTACACTGCACATCATTACGCAGAGTGAGTTTGATGGAACGTCATCTCTGTCCTCGACGCTCTCCAGCCATGCGGAGTAGACTAATAAAGGCCAGTCGTCCCTCCGGTAGTTGTACGTCGTAGGTCAACTTCAATGCAAGTTGTTGACAACAGCATAAGCACTAGCTGAAAAAAGGCATAGTAACTGACTCGCGACTGGACTTTGCTGCAAGCAATCTCGGCTATTCTGTATTGTTTTGCTCGTGCCAAGAAGACCGTTTGGCTTGGGTGACTGAGCGATTGTTTACTTCATTTCATCTCGAGTGGCCTGCTTGTGGTAACACTCAGGTATCTCCGAGGAATGGTTATTGCAAGGTTGTGTGTGCAAGTATCCGGCACTTTGCCACCTGTACGCATACCAGGGTCACACTGACTTGAGGCCTTGTATGGGAGAATGCATTCGTGAAGCACTGGCATTAATTATGTTCTGATGATGATCTCTAATCAGGAGATTCTTCCGACGATTGGTCATATATCATCAAGTCTTGTTGGTCTCAACCAAGGTACCGTGGCACAATCGCTTTGCATGACGCTGCCATTGTAATAGGCATATGTAGGACCCATGGGACGGTTCCTGTATACTTGTGTACATAATGTGCCTGGCCAGTTAGCAGGAGACTTACCCATCACTAAAAAGCACAGGATCGTAGAGATGGCCGAATATCTGCCATACATGATCATCCAAGCAGCAGGCTAGCCTGCAACATAAGTCCCCAAACCCTACCTTATCAGCGACGAACGTTCATTACGTTCAATTGTCGCAAGTGTCAGCGGCAGTCCTTGGAGTCGTGTCCTGTCCGGGATTACGTTGCATGGCGTCTCGTCAACCGGGCTCTAATGGCGGCAATAACATCGCTTGTGCCCAGCGATACTACAAGCACGCAAGCAATCGTGCCATGGCGGAAGACTGGCGGGTGATGTCCGGATCCGTTCACTCGTCCCCACTCCAAGGTTGAAAGGGAGAAAAGGCCTGATGACTGGAAGACTTGGGGGTTTTAAGTGTTTGGCTTGGTTTCTTTGCTTTGATCTGGCCGAATACAATCGAGTCGTTACGTGAAAAGTGTTGTATAAGACGAAACAAGGCGAACAGCTGACTAGCGAGACCCAATTTCCGGAAGAGTTGAAAAGTGTGCTGATCCATCTGACAATCCGAGGAATTACAACGTTAATGTAGATATCTTGCTTTCTTTTCCTTGCCGCCAATTTTCTTTCCGGAGTTTCGAGCGAATTAACATAAGAAAACACCCGTCTGCGACCGCGGGTGGCTGAATCATTGAACGCGTCGCAAACCGATGGCGTGCCGATTTCGCCGAGATGACATGTAGACGCGAAGATGACTTTTGTGCACACTCGAAAGAACAACATAATGCGGTTCCCACAGAGTCGTCGAGGTGTCGACTCCAATCGAATGTGGGTATTGAATTAAAGATCATTCCAGAGGACACGGAAAGACGGGCGGATTTGTCGCAGAAAGAAATGACAAGGGTGGAAGAAACGATAAGGGGAAAGGGAGGAACGAGATAAACGAAGACCAACGTGTATGATGACGAGGTTTCAATGTCTTGTCATCACTTACCTGCTACCGTATCTTTCTTCGCGAGGCTCATAAGAGCGGCCACTGCCGCCGCCACCGCCGCCGGCATAAGGCTCGCGAGGCGGAGCACCACCGTAGCTAGGCGGGTTGGCGTCGCGGTCGTAGTAGCCGCCACCACCACCACCACGACGGTCGTCGCGGCGCTCTTCCCGGCGGTCCTCACGGCCATAGCGCTCCTCACCACGGCCAGAGGCGTAGCGGTCAATACCGCCAGCGCTGCCGCTGCCACCGCTGCCACCACCACCGCGGTAACCATAGTCGTCACGGTAGTCACGACGACGGTAGTCACCGTAATCGCGGCCGCCATAGTCACGGCGATCACTGTAGGAGTCATAGCGGCCATAGCGGTCGTACTCATTGCGGCGCCAGCTGCCACCATAGGGACCACGGCGGTCATCGTAGCGGTCACCACGGCCGCGGCCATGTCCACCACGGAATTCTGCAGATGCTGTGTAAGTCGATGGAGCGGACGTTGATTCAGATGAAGGCATACTAACCACGCTTGGGAGGACCAAAGTACTTGCCGGGAGTCGGGGTACGGGGACGGCTGCGACGAGCCTTTTCGATGCTGAGAGTGCGACCTTCGATCACCTCGCCTTGCAGACCTTCCTTGGCGGCATCGGCTTGCTCCGCCGTCACCATCTTGACGAAGCCAAACCCACGGGACTCCTTGGTGTGAGGGTCGACCATGATGGAGCAGTTCTCCACATCACCGTACTTCTCGAACAGGCGCGAGATATCGGCCTCGGTCAGGCGAGGGTGGATACCCGTGACGAAAAGGTTGGAGCCAGTGTTGATGGCGCCCTCCTCATCATCATCGATGGGCTTACGGGGGTCAATAGGAGCACTGTAATTGAAAACACGGATGGCGTTAGTCGGTCATTCAAATCCAGGTGAGGCGCGAGGCGAAGACATACCGGTCATCGGCGCGACCATTGGGAGACCGGCTACGGGTGCGATCACCCCGGGGCTCATCGCGAGGCGACGCGCTGCGATCGCGGGAGTAACGAGGTTCCTCGCGGTCTAACATCGATTGAACGGGGATAGATTAGCACGTTGATTGTGTGACCAGGAGTCGAGGTGCAGGCGCTGATGTAACCATCAAACATACCGTCGTAGCGGCCATTTTCGTGATCATATTCGGCAGACATGATGGCTGAATTGAAGAAGGAGAGCTTGAGATAAGCTTCAGAAGGGAAATTAGAAGACGAAAGTGAATTCGAGATGAAAATGATCGCGCGTATTGCACGTTCACAAGGCGCAGGCTGAAAGCTTGAAGCTCAGAAAATTCAGCGGCGCAGAAGAGGTAAGAGTGAAAAGACGCGGGTATCACACCGCGGTGAAGAAGAATCAAGGGAGAAAGGAGGAAGAAGGGCGTCGAGCAAGGAGAAGGGAAAGGAGGAGATGAAGGAGATGGGAGGAGATGAGGTTGAATGAAGGAAGGGGGAGAAATCGGGAAGAAAGAAGGCGACGGCGCATGTCCCCTTTGGGACGCGGCTCTTCTGTTGGCGGAGGCTTATTCAGCAGCTTCGCCATCTACGCGGATACTACAGTCTACATACTCTGAACTCCTCCCAACAATGTCACGACTATGCGCTGCTCCAATGCATGGATACTGATACCAGATTAATTGCTCGTCAGTATTATCCGACATATACACACATAACGCCGTCCTTGACCCAAGCTACCAACCACGCAGAAAACATCACAAAAGCATCAATCTCAACAAGTACCATTCGTAATCCTTCATTTGAATCCACGCCAGCGTCGCCGAGTCCGATGGACTTTCACATTTGGGTCACCCATGGAGGCGTCCGGTCCGTTGGACTTTGTCTCGTCGGATGTCCCCATCGGCCCAGTTTCCAGCTCATCCTCAACCAGATCTTTCAGCTCCTCTTCATCAAGTTCACTTAATTCTTCGCTCATGCCGCGCATGACATCTCGACCGGTCCACCGTTCCTCATGGATGGTGGTACCAACAGGGTCAAAGGGCTGCATGTACCACTGGATACCTCCCTGCGCCAAGGGCAGCCGTTGATCCCCTTTGAAACTGGGTGGAGGTGTGAGCGGCCCTTTGTGTGATTGAACAAGCGGGTTGGAAGGTTTCAGGCCGTCTCCTTCAGTCTTGCTAGTCTCGCCGTTGATCACTGGTTGTGCCTCAGCTGAGGGTTGTTGAGCAGAGGCGTCTGTTTCACCGGACACAGTTTCAGTCTCAGCTGTCGGAGCGGGTTGCTCAGCGTTGGAAGCCTCCGGAGGCACAGCCTCGGCAGTAGAAGTCTCCATGTTATCATCCCGATGAGGCGCATCTGTACTGGTTGCGCCGTTATCTGCCTCAGGCGCCGGGGCGACACCCTCTGTCCCATCACCAACCTCTGGTTTGGCGGCGATTTCGGCGTTCTCCTCGGTGCCATTCGGAAGTTCTGATGTCTCCGGTCCAGACAGCTCAGGGTATTCAACCTCCGAGCCTCGTCGCGACATGACGCTGTTTTCTAGCATGACATCCAACTCCTTGAGCTCCTGCTCGAAAGGCTTGCGATTCAATTCGCTTTCCTTCTTTATCGCGTCTTCAAGGGCCGGCTGAATGGACTTGATAATCCGCTTGGCCAGTTTTCTCTTCTCGCGCTGCTCGAGACTGAGCTCTGGGGCGCGGCCGCTGATTTGCATCTGGAGTTCAGCGGTATCTCCGGCAGGCTGCACGCCTATTTCCGAGGTAAACACACTGGCCAGGTCGGCGGAGAATGCCGATATCGAGGTGTAAGCACGTTCGTCCAGCTTACTCTTAATAGACAAGAGGCCCTGCCTGAAAACACCCTTGCCGTCCAACCTGTGTCTCGTTAGCATTGAATCGTAGCAAGGCATTGCAGAATTATGAGGTCCATACAATTGAGCCTTCTCAAAAATGGGCCAGAGAAGAGGGAAGATGGGGAAGTAAACGGTATCAACTATGCTTCGGAGGGTCTCCGCATCCTTCAACTTCTCCCTCTCGCGTTTCTTGACCTCGTCACAGAGCATCCTCAGTCGATCCAAGTCATAGGACAGACGTTCGCCAAACTCAATCCGTCGCTGGAGCCGCTTGCCGCCAGCAACGCCCATAGCAACGTAGTCTCTCCGTGTCATTTCCATCGACGAGAACGTTTCGAGCGAGAGCTGCAGCCGCTTCAGCAGCGCCGCCCCTCGCCTGGCCTCCCGTTTCAATGTCCAGTATTTGCATGCATCTTCGGCATACTGTTTCCTCTGCCGGACCCCAAACCGTTGGAGCGAGGCCACAACCGAGTTGAGAACCACTTGGGGGATAACAGGTGCGCCGGATGGCAATTTCCAGATCGTCTTGGGTGCTGTCGGACGCTTTCGCTTGTTCCCACCGACTGTAAGAGTGATGCGCTGCGGGTGAAGGGGACGCGCACCGTCACCGTCATAATCACCAAGCGGGTTGGACGGCTCCAACGACAGCGCAGCTGCCTGACTGTCGCCCCATCGTCGCCCTTGCATATTTTCGCGGTAATACTCGATAGCGTCTGCTGTAGCCGCGTCCGTCCCGTGTTCTCGTCGCCATTCCGGTGGGACATGCTTGTCACAGAACGCTTTGAGGAGGTGTGAGTCGATGATCGCGGGGGATCCATGTCCGGACTTCATTTTCAGGTAGAGCTGAGCCCTGCGAGCGCAAGTAACATGGAACGCGAGGTAACAATTCTTGTTGCTGCATTGGATGGAAGCGCCCATCCTCTGTCGACAGATGTAGCATTGGAGCTTCCATCTACTGCGAGGAACTTTCTCGATGTCGGTTATCGGCTCCATCAGCGACGGGTTACCGATCGACACCTCTGGAATCCAGATAGCGCACAGCAGATGCGACCACTTGGACGTGGTAGTCTGCTTGAACGCGCCCTCGGTGTTAGGACAGAATATGCAGCTCACAGACCCCCGTCCGATCAACTGGCACTTCCGACACAACCACTGACCCTCCGGGATGAAGGGAACGCCATAACACTCTTGATGGACCGCCAAGTCGCAGCCATCACAGAACACAATAGCGTTGGCATTCTCGCAGTCACCATCATCACAAATGGCGCATTTCGTGTCCTGTTCCTCGCCGGGGGCGGATGTCTCCCCATTGACCGCAGCGGCGGAACTTGACCGAGGGCGCTGCGTTTGCGGGGGTTTTGGGTTCGGCTTGGGAATGCGCTTCTCCAGGGTGTGCCATTCCTTTTCAATCTTTGTCATTGTGATCTCAAACACCGCCGGTTTAATGGGTTCCAGCTGGTCCTCCCGGCGCTTCAAGTTATAATCTTCCAGCCACTTCTCATCCTGTTCATCCATGTCGTACTCTACCCTCCCCACAGCCGCGTTCACTTCACCTTCGATGGCGACGGGGTTCACCGCATCTAGGTCGTCCTCCTGTGCACCCTCCGGCATACGGATCATCTGGCGCTCGTGGCGAACAAACAAATCGCTTTCCTGGTATCCGACACTAGCCATCGTCCGGTCAACATAGTTCTGCTGGCCGACACCCGGCTTGTCGTAGAAGATGAACGGATCGCGGATGCGAAACGACGGCTTCGGCAGGGTCAACTTCTCGCGGGGATTTGGGCCCGGAGGGGGCACGACCTTCGGTTGCGCCGTGATCCCCAGAGCGTTCAAAATAGCCTCCGGACGGCGAGGTGGACGTCCAGGACGACGCTTGATGGGCGTCGGTGATGTGCCGTTGGCATGGGCGCGGATCAGCTCCGCCAAGGGGTCCTTCTCCGCGTTCTTATCGAGCGCGCCGTTCGGCGTCAGGATATTCGCCAGCGGGCCCATAGGCGCCGGCCGGTCCACCTCCTCAGACGGGAAGATCACGAACTTTGCGTCGATGTCCAGGTCCGGGTGGAACTCCTCCCACCCGCGTTCTTCGCGGGGCTTATACCCATCGCCTTGCTGCAGGGCGATGGCCGCCGCGGTAGAGGAACCGAACCTGCCGCCGCGACTCTGGCTTTTGTCTCTCGTCACGCGCGCTGATGGAGGAGTTGTTGGGACGGGGGGAGGAGGGGGGAGTTGCGGCGCGGTTTGAGGTGCGGGCTGAGGTGCGGGTTCGGGGAGAGGACGGGTGCGAGGAGTCGCGGTCGAGTTGCGTCTCGCTGGAGAGGGCTTCGGTTTGGGCTTCGGCGGTTTCGTCTCCCTCACATCCAGCTCGATGTATCTCCCTCCCCCACCGGGTCCACCAGGAACATATTTGCGTTTCTTGAGAGGAGGTCCCTCGATGGGAGCAGGGTCTGAGTTGCGCGACCCTTTCAGGGAGGCTTTCGGGGTGTTCTTTAAGGGGCGTGCGGGGGAGGAGCGGTGTTTGGGTGAGGCGTATGGAGCCATCTCGACAGTCCACGTAGTATGAGCGAGATGAGGATGAGGGTGGAGTAGAAAAGTGCAATGTTGCGTGAGATGTCTTGTTGTTGAGCTTGCCGCTCAGCCCTTCCAGGTCGGGATCAACGTGGTCCAAGCTGCGCCGAGAAGCACAAACCAGCCAAATCGTAGTGGACAGGGCCGTCAACCATGACTCGAAATCGGAGAGCGCACGAGACGGGACCGGTCAGAGGATAAGGAGGGCCGAGAGGTGACGGGGAGAGGGGGCAACAACGCGCAGACGTGCGAGATATCAGATGAGTCGGCACTAACCGCCCTGGGCCAAAGGCGGAGAGAGGCTCCACCCGCGGCCGTGATTATTCATTCCCTTTCCACCTGTACTTATTCCGTGGTACTACAACCTGTCTTTCTTCAACTCTACGCCCTCGACGAGTTACAGGATGAGTGGCCACGGTGATGATCGGTATGAGCCTAGGACCCTGCCTCTTTAGCTTTTGCGTACTCCTTTGCTAACCCATTCGTCCAGGTGGCGCGGGGGTCGTTACGATCAAAACCGCCAGTCGTCCCAGAGACACTCTTCTTCCAGAACAATGAGCGCACACGGAGGTTCTCGCAGTGGACAGGCCGCATGGGGAGATTCGCGTGAACAGTCTTCTCCGGGTCCAGCTCAGGAACAGCATGTTCCCGTGCGCGGTTTCAACGCTGCTGAGGCGAAGATGGCTCTCAAGAGAGGTAAGCTTGTTACTTCTATTGCTATGGGTTCATGGACAGCGACTGACATTGTTCCTGCGATACAGCTCCAGGAGGTAAACTATCCCTTCCAAACTCCGGACGATCGCATTCGAGACGCGAACCGCGCAGCTAATTCTACTCCAGAGCAAAAGCCCTTCTTCTACAGACCCGGCGGCAAAGATGCCAACAACCGCGCTGGCGGACCCTGGGGCTCCAAACGTACGTTATCCGCCAACACAGCCCTATAATTCCCCATAAGGTCGACATATTGACAAAGCGCAGCCAACAACATGGCCAACGGAAAGGATTTCTTCCTCGAGCTGCGGAAGCAGGTGACTGCGCTCCGCCAGGGAGGCAATGTCGCGGGTGGTTGATCTCGCGCGGGCATGAAAATGACTCGCGGCGATTCTTGCGGAAAGCCAGCCTGCGGAAATGTTCTCCTCATCGAATTCGACGACGGTCTATCGGGGGTGGCTTTCACAATCGGTGGTGAGGAAGACCGATTTCCCTGGTCGCTGGCCGATTGGACGGCACGGCCTCTTCCTGATTTGAAACATAATCTGGTGTCAGTCGGGGCATTTTAAGCAGCCAAGGGTATAAAACCTCTAGCTTCTCGTGAATGTTCGCCGCTATGACGTAACAAGAAATGAAAATAATTGCTCCATCTGAAGTACGCGAGTACCCGTAGCAAGTAACCGAAAAGGATTTCGATCGCATTACATTAATATACAGGAGTAGTGTGTTTTTACAAATATACAAGATCATAGCTAGTAGTGTACAGAATTCGCTCATCACATTCACACCCGCTGCCACCCATTCGGTCCCAAGACTCCGCCATCGTCGGCCTGCGGGTCAAGGCTCCATTTCCTCAACGCTCGGATGCCCAGATCCGTCCGCCAGCCCGCCTCGAACATCTCGATGCCCGCCCACCCGATCATGGCGGCGTTATCGGTGCACAGGTACGGCGGTGGCGCGACAATGTCCACATGTCCGAACCCGCGGACATCCAGGAACGAGCGCAGCACGGTCATGAGGAACCGGTTCGCTGCGACACCGCCGCTGACAACGAGCGTCTTGATCTCCTGGCTCTCTGGCTGGGCGCGGAGGGCTTCCAGCGCGATGACGGTGCGGGAGGCGAGATGCTCAAAGCACACGCGCATCGACTCGCGCGCCACGTCCACCCGCTCGTCGTGGGATAGTGTCTCACCCGCCTTCTGTTTCTGGGCGACGATTTTGGTGACGGCACTGGCGATCGAGGAAAAGCTGAACTGGAGGTGGCGGGTGTTGGCGAAGGGGGTTGTTAGGGACCAGCCCCAGGGGGTTTCACGCTTGACGACCTCGTCGCCGCGCTTCTTCGGCGGCTGGTAGTCGGCGTAGTCGATGGGGCCGTTGCGAAAGGCAAACTGTTCAAGAATCTTGCCGTACATTGTGTTCTTGGCGTTGGCGAGTAAATCATCGGGGAGGATCTCCCGGGCTGATTTATCTAGGGACTCTCCTATGGCGATGTCTGCGCTCGACGCCATGACTTCATGTTCGGTGATGGATGCGGATTTGACGAGGATGGAGTGTCCGCCAGAAACGAGAATAGAGAGAAAGGGGAATTCGGGGGTTATAGGCGACGGGGTTGTAGTGGGAGTATTGTCCTGATTGTGCGACAGCGCGGACACCAGTCGGGGGGTCAACAGATGAGCCTGCATATGATGGACGCCGACGAAAGGGATCTGCCATGCGACAGACAGAGCCTTGCCGGTGTCCAAGCCGACGAAGAGGTTGGCGCGCATGCCGGGGCCTCTGGTGACGGAGATGAAGTCTGGTTTGCGACGAGGTTGCGAGCAGTTTGTTAAAGATATCGTCCCATGGGCAGTGGTGGTATCGCCCGACGCGACGGGCAAATGCGACAGCGCTTTGTTCACGAGTTTCGCGAGGCTTTCTTGATGCGATTCGAGAGCGAGGATCGGATGGACTCCGCGATACGCGTTCAGGTCGGCTGTCACATTCTCGAGGAAATGAATTTGCGCCGATGACTTCTGGGTGTTTTTTTCGACGATGGCGACCGACGTATCATCGCTTTGCACGGCGGCACAGTCAGTGATGCTGTATCGTCGCCGATCGGACTGGACCTACCATGAGGTTTCGATCGCAAGTGTCAGGAGACCACGGCGTTGGCGGAACAAGCGCCATTGTGTTGACCTATATATGGATTTGCGAAATGCCGATCCTGCGACCCTCGGAGTGAACATTGGGGAGGATGGAGATGAGAGCATTCGTGAATGTTGGAGAGGCGATCCGCAGTCTGGAAAAGCTCTGGTCTCGCACGGACCAGCCAGCCCTGAAAGGATGCCCTAAGCACGCCCCAATGCGGTAATATATTTCCCTGACTCTACGGAGTACTGGTACATCTGGATAACTGACTGCCAAGTCGATCGGTTTATTGGGTAGTAACGAGCGTGTATTGTGCTAGTCCACTATACCCGGGTCATATCATCACGTCATAAACATAATAGGTTCATATACACATTGGATCCTGATTTCCGTTCCACCATTCATCCATTCCATTCACTCCCTCTCGATGCATCCGCATGCCACTCTGGTCCTCCCCCTAAGATAGAATCGCGAGGGGCCGGTGGTCTCGGGGTGTGCTGGAGATGACCGGCTTTAGGTGATTCTGACGGTCACAGCCAGAGTCTTGTACAGATCGGGTTAATCATCGCGACTGACGACTGAATCCGACATCACTTCATTCCCGAACCATCCAGCGACGTTCTTCGCGCGAGAGCTTGACGTAGTTGCCGTAATACTCCTCGGGGTTCTCGATGGGGGTCACGCAGTGGACCGTGGGGGTGCCTTTGAACTGGATGCGCTTCTCCGGGACCGCATTGTGTCCATTGGGCTGCTTCTTGAGAATGCTCTTGGAGGTGCAAGAATTGCTGTAATTGTACGAAGGCACTTGGAGAGATGAGAAGCGCTTGGCGGTCGGGCTGGCGGCGGACGGGGAGATGGGCGTCCGCGGCAGACCCGGCGACTTGAGAGACAGCGTAGGACGGACATTCTGCGCAGCAGAAATGCTGAGGGACAGCTTGGGAGCAGCAGAACGATACATGATGACAATCGTTTTGCGTAGTGATGAAGAGAAGAAGAAGTTACGGTTTGGAAGAAAGATGTCGAGGTGGAAGAAATCAGAAGAGTCAGGACGTTGGTCAACAAAGTCCTTTGGCGCAACCAGGCGTGTAAATGATACTATTATTATTGACTTGACGTCGGGAGGTGGATCCAAGAAACAAATCAGAAGTAAGGAGGCAAAAGAATAGCTCTCGTTTGGACCAGCCAGACGAAACACTCGGAGACGAAAATAGAACGAGAAGGGAAAGAAAAAGGCGAGGAATGTCCTGGCAACGAGCAAGAATGCCGGGCAGGAGGTGCGCGGCTATATAGTCGAGAGCATCAACGGCGGCCAGTGGGGGGTGGTCCAATAGCGTGCAATAATGTGTCTAAGCGCCCGGCCACTGCACCTCCCAGCACTATCACATCCTAGCCTGGTCCAACTGACGAATCGTCGTCCGCTATCGGCAGTAGGGTGGTTGGTGTATTGTGTGATGGAGGGGACACGAGAGCCACTATGATCCATCAAGCATGATCATCGGCGATAGACCCTCCGATGGCTATCTGCAGGATGTACGGCGTACGGAGTAGAGTTTTGTCACCAAACATGGCTGGCACGATAGACTTCGACGGGAATCCTCAATGCCAATGACACTCGATCCTGCACGTGTATCACAGACCTAATGCAGCTGCACAATCGCATTCACCAGAACACTGTCACAGGTCCCATTGTGTCGCACTGGAGGATGGTTAGTGGACTTTCTTCTGGCCGTGAACTAGGTATATTAATGCTGTAGAGGGAAAGTCTTGATGATGTGACCAACAATGCATGGTGTACACTTCGTGGGGAGGGAAAATGAGGGTGGATGGCTCGTGCAGAGTTATGGAAACGCACATGCAGGCTGGTGACAAAACTGATCTAGATCAGTTACAGTTAACCTATTCGGTAAGCGAGTCAAGCCGTGGACGTACGGAGAAATTGGCAGGTAAGGAAAGCAATGAAACGATAAGACAGGATATCCCCGTGATTGTAAGATCGGTTCTAACACGAAGTACTGTTTTACCACCTCGCGTCCTCTTAGCTATAAGAGCTAAGAAAGTAGGGGCTTCGTTGAGAGTAGAGAGGAGTGTTGATTGCTAACCGGCGCCTGCCTCGTCGAGATTAGAGACAATTTAGGCCCTAGAAAGGCAACATGACTAGGGTAGAAAAGGAAAGGAACAATCTCCTGAGGTCTCCTATCGACCCCCGGCTACTGTATAGCGCAGTAATCTCCAATATCGATCACAAAAGAATAATAGGGAAACAAGGATACAGTAAACGATGGTCGTCCGTCGAAGCAACTTCTTCTATCCCAGTCTCTTGGCTTCAGTCTCCTTGGTCTCAATATTCTTTCTCCCATGCATGTACCAAAAGAAAAGGAATGTGCTGATGGTCAGTGGTATAGTCACAACAGCATATATCCACCAGGAAGTGGACAGAGATATGGTGCCCTTTCTCCCATTTTCAAAATCGAAGTTAAAGATTCCCATACTAAACAGTGTCTAAAGAACACCGAGGATTAGCTTTGCGCTGTCTTCTACGTCCTGGCGGGTAATTTTCAACTCACTGCAACAAAGCTCGCCGGCAGATAGAACATAGTCATAATGGCAATGGTTTTCATAGCCTCGCTATCCCGTTGACTAGCTTCTGCAATGTCTTTCACTTGATGATTTTCTTCGTTGCTATGTTCTGCCATCGTCGCGAGGAATTTCGTGTTTTCTTCGACGGAGCGATTATTTCTCATATTCAGTAAGAAAGAAAGCTGATGTCACGTCAGCACCATGCCCTTGGAGCTGAAGGATAAGGCTCACTGTGGATAAGCAGCTGTCGGTGACTTTCTGAGCCGACTCAAGGTTCTCTTTCGTACTCCCAAGCCAAGAGGCAAGTGTGCACAGATTCTTGTGAACCGTAAGATATGCGGTCGAACTGATGCCCAGTGTTTCGCGCATGTCACGGTGTTCCTTCACAGATTCGTTGGCAACGTTAGATAAACATTCGACATTGCGTTTCTGGCGTAGCTGATAGGAGCGAAACTCATGGAGCTCCAGCATCAGCTTTCGGGCGTTTTCAAGATTGCCTCCCTCTATCTCACGGGCTTCCTTGGATTCAGGCCTTTCACTTCGTTCAAAGGCTTGTCCAAGGGCTAGCACTTTGGCCTCCTGGCAGATATATGTATTAGCAAATCATGAAACGCCTGGAGGCAGGTGTCTCTATTTACTATATCCCGAATTTTCCTGGTATAGAATACCCCTTGCGCCACCAAACTATGAAGGAGATCGGAAATACTGCTGCACAGAAATGTGAATGGATCATACTCCTCTTCCTGGACGCCCTGCTGACAAACTTCACAGAATTTTTCAACTGCCAAGTCACCGATGTTATTGAATATTCTCGTACTTCGAGATTGGAGGTTGAATCGCATGTAGAAGCAGAGCTTTCTGTCCTGGAAGGTCAATTGAATGATAGGAAAATGGGTATAACGCATGTCGAAGGCGTTCTGTGCTTCAGGGCCCAGCGTTTCGTCTTCATTGTCTCGTAGTAACACTGAGACCGGCAGAACAAACCAAATGTCTATCTCGCTAATCAGATTCCGAATTTCCGGTGTGCTCAAAGGACCTTACGGTAGCACTCAATTTTCTTCCTAGGCTCATGCCTTTTCTTCCCCTTGATATCGCTGTTTATGGAGAGGAATCGCCTCCCAAGGCCAAAATGTCCGTTTTCGACGATCTGCCAATCCAGGCAGGGAGCTAGTCCGAGGAATGAGGCAATCTTCGAAAATTCCTTGGCTACAGCGAGAACTTCTAAGACCATACTAGAGGAACTAAAGCCGTTACAGTCAGACTAGCAGCATCCAAGTATGACAGTCAAATGGGATGCTTACTATATTTCAATACCGTTCGTCATCTCCAAGTCCTTTTGCTGGATTAACATCATGTGTATCAATCAAGAAGAAAAAGAAACTGCTACTTACTCCTTCGTCCCAATCTGAAAGATCCATGGGGAACAAGCTCCTCTCGGCAGTTTCTGTGGGCATCGATTAGCTAGTGCGTATTGTATGATGCGTGGTCAGTCACTTACTCTGTCCATCGAAAGAGTAGCAAATTTGTTGCATTAACTCTTTTTTATATCCCCCGTCAAGGAGTGAAGGGATGTAATGCCTCACAGCCTTTAGCCGCAGAAGTCTCCCCGTATCAATTTCGGGCATGTATGATCTCGGTAATTTCATTGTGAGAGCGGTGGAGGTATTTTCTTCTCCGTGTCCCATCTCCACTAGTTGTCGAAGAATTTGATGGTGGTCCACGCCGCCACCTTGGATGAGGCTAATCGGGTCCTGCACTGTGCCTTGGCTATCCTCTCCTAGCCCGGGGACCACTGGCTCCATGGTATTTAGATGTTCTTGATCGGTACAATCAGACTGCGAGCGAGGGTGTTGGGCTAAGTTCAGAATGAAAGGCTCGACTGGATTCTCGATGGTTAAAGCAAGAAAAGGCACGATGGGGGTGATGGACAGGACCAAGCGATTTTTATGTTGGATATGGAGAGCTGGTACGTCTGCGGCGCATGTGGCTAGGCGTACTCAGCATTGGCTGTGCTGCGGACACAGGGCCGTCTGTTAGGTCCGATGATGGGGCTCTAGCTTGCAATCTTCAATCCAGGTTTACCTTGTGCTTAGTTGCGAGCCTTGGTGGCGTTTGGCTATTGATCAATCAATGCCTCTGTTTCCATGTTTGATCGAAGCACACGCACAGCCACCACAATTGCCAATCGAGCTGTCCCGAGATCCTCCCTTCAGCCATATTGACCAGCAGGAGAGACACCCGATCACCACATAACACATAATGGTCTGCAATACGACCGCAGACATTGATGTTACCACCATTGTCTTCGCTTAGTCCTGGCCCGGTGAATTCCCAGTCAAGCATACGGCATGCACAGGAATACTCTTGTTGTAAGACACATATCAGTGCTACTGCCCAGAAGTGCATTGGATCCGGATCGTATTGCGCACATCGCATCTTTGAACCCGTGCTTTCACAGCTAAGCCGGGAAAAAAGGAGGGAAAAAAAAAAAAAAAAGGAAAAGAAACGGAGGGCGAGGCTGTGCGAAGACTCCTTCACGATTGGCTCAAGGCCGGTTGATTGCCAGCATTAATCGGTAGGTATTTCCTATATCTATAGTTGGTCGGTACCTCCTAGGTACGCCTAAAGGTGCCGGCCGGCCTTTCAACGAATGGATGAGGAACCGAATCCTTGAACTATCTGCAATCTCTGGCAATTTAAGTATTTCATTCGAACTCGACTGGGAATGATCATGAGCATCCTCATGTTATGATCAGGATTAGGCGCCCGAGCCGTCTATATGTCCAACTCGATAGCGAAATACGTTAATTAACCAAGGGGATACAGCTGGTTGCTAAACGGGCTCCAGGAGATACCTACAGTACTACTAGGTACGAGTGACATCGGGAGTATCCCGATTTAGGAAGTTGTGGGGTTATTACGGCATCGTCAAGCATATCAGGCGAGTGGCGACCCCTATCGCGCTTATTTGTTTGTCCTCTATCGTTCTTCTACCACGTCTCCATCTTCTACGTTTTACTACTTACTATGTACTATACTATCGACTATCTAGGTACTATCTATTTAGTAGACTTCTGACCGCTAAGTCTCGCCAGTCCTCCACCGGAAAGACTGAAGCCTCCAGTGGAGAAAGACTACGTACGTATGCCGGCATCACGCGGATGCACGGTTCTGAGCATTGACGTCAAGGTTTAACGTCCAATTTCTTGCCCTCGCCCCTTTGACACCTTAAAACACATCCTCACTAGAAGATTCTCATCCATATTGCAGTCCCATCGCCACCATAATGGGCGCCCTTCGGAATCTCCTCGAACCTGGAGGTACGTCCGTGGTTCCAGATACCACCGGCTAGAGAACCTCCACGGCATTGACTAACTTATCCAGCCATCGTTGCCACTTTCACAATCGGAACACTCATCAACCGCCGCAAGACAGCTAGACGTCCATCCGTTGAGACGCCCTTACTCAACGATGATCGCGAGATCCAGAAGCCCGACGACCACGACGAAGACAATGACGAGATCACCCAACGGAACCGGAACACCATCCTGTCTCGCATCCTAGCATACTATCCATTTCTACTAGAAATATGGTACTGGCTTCTTACCTACTGGGTATGTGTGGCCCCTCGAGCATCGCCGTATAGAGTTCTAATAGTATACAAGATCTATCAAGGGTTACGAGCTTTCTCCGCCAAAGCAATCGCCGGGAATGAAGAAGTCTTCCAACTAGCCGAACGCCATGCGCATGCGGTCCTCGCGCTAGAACACTACCTACACATAGACGTCGAACTGTCGTTACAGAAACTCGTCCTCGATAGAGCGCCGTGGCTGATGGCCCTCTTCGCCCGAGTATACTACTCTCACATCGTGCTTGGGGTTGTATTCCTGGTCTATTCCTACACATACTTCCAAGCAAATAGATACCAAGCCATTAGACGAACGCTGGCATTCGAAAATGTCATCGCCTTCGTCATCCTCACCCTCTGGCGCTGCGCACCACCGCGTCTCCTCCCAGAGGACGATGGCTTCACTGATATTCTTCACAGCAACAAGGGCGGCTCATCATGGACACAGAACTCATTCCAGCTAACAATCGCTGCGATGCCGTCCCTGCACTTTGGTAACTCGGTGTTCATTGCGTTTTGTCTGCTCAGGTTCAGCCCTCACTGGTATCTGCGTGTGATCGCACCGATCTGGCCGGTTTTGATGGGCTTTACTATTCTTGCGACGGCGAACCACTTTATCCTCGACGCTGTGGTTGGGGCCTGCGTCACTTTTACGGCGTATAGATTCAACCGTGCTATGTTGGTGTTGTTGCCGGTGGAGCGAGTTCTCTTCCGCTTGCTTCGAATTGAAAAGCCGGAGTATTATAGGTAGAGTTGGCATGTGGCCTGCAATGTTGTGTTTGTTTAGAACTTTCTGCTACCACTAGATTATAATGAATTGCCATAGAAAATATTATGTGCATCAAGAAGAAGGTCGATCATGCACTCAGTATTATCGATATAGGTCGATTGCCGAATGTAGTTAGTCGTGCGACACATCATCCCTGTCCAACTCAACTCATGTTCGTCTCTCTCCGTCTCCATTCTCATCCCTTCTTTCGGGAGATCATAGCGCTTCGCCAGTTTGCAACCAGAAGACCTTTAGCTTAAATGTATAATGTGAGGCCACTGTCCTTACAGCCCTTGATCGGACATAGAGCTCGGACCGCGCTTCGCAGGGGCCGATGCATCCCTCTGGCCTGGAGCCGGTATTTCCATACAAAGACCAGTCAGTTTACATTCTGTGCCTGTTTCTTTACACCATGTACGTCGCTAATACAACCAGAGCGCAAGATACGCCATCAAGAAGATCTGTTCAGATACACATCCGGCCGATGGCTGGTAGATGAGGAACGCCAACTCCAGCAACGCTAGGTCAAATTCAACGTTGAAAGTCTATGCGCGCAGGCTGCGTCCATCTTCAGCCCTGCAACGCAATGTACGCGTATTGTCAAACTAGAGGGTAACTATAATAAGGCTTTCCTCTTTTCTATGGACAACGGGAGTGAGGTGGTAGCCAAAATCCCTTGTCCAAATGCCAGCCCGCCGTCACTTACAACGGCATCCGAAGTAGCCACTTTACAGTTTTGTATGTGTTATCGGTGCGTCGCTAAAGACTGCGGTACTGACGCTGTGACTAAGTACGATCTCGCATGGCTTTGCCAATTCCGGGCGTATACGCTTGGAGCTCAGAGCCGAAAAACCCGGTAGGCGCGGAGTATATTCTTATGGAAAAGATACAAGGAGTTCCCCTTGCAGAACGTTGGGGGCAAATGAACATCTTGGAGAGATACAAACTCATCGATCAAATTGTGGACATCGAGAAGAAGTTGGCAGGATTGACGTTTCCAGCCTATGGAAGCCTCTATCTACGAGACTCGATGCTGCTGGATGGAACTGGTCAGCATGCACTCCCGGCAGATTTGGACCCGGACGGGCTGTTCTGTATTGGACCGTCCTGTAGTCGAAGCGTGTGGAATAGGAGATCTGCTGATGTGCGCATGCCAGATGCTGGACCCTGTGAGTCTGCTGTGTCGCTGCTATCTGCAATTGCTGACTCGTTGAAGGGCTGTACATGTTGGAATTTGCAGAATCTATGCCACGTCGTGCACTGCGTCTCATTGCTCATTCAAGAGCTGAAGTCCAGGCGGAACTCTCTCGTTTCAATGACGATCAGTCCGTCGACGAGTATGTAGACCTTTTACAAAAGGTCCTGGAGATCTTGCCAGTCCTATCGCAAGACCCACGCGTGACGCAAGCGCAGACCTCAGTTCTGTGGCATACTGACTTGCATCTTGGGAATATCTTTGTCTCCCATGAGGAGCCGACCTTAATCTCCGGCATCATTGACTGGCAGTCCGCTCAAGCCGCTCCAACGCTAATCCAAGCACGATTTCCCGAATTCCTCCAACCACCGAGAAACTATATCCCCGGTGCCACAGCCCCTAGTCTGCCTGACAACTTCGACGAATTAGACGCGGATGAAAAGGCCAAAGCTACGGAAGAGAATGAACTGGCATCGCAGTCTAAGTACTATGAGATGTCCTGTCTTGCATATAACAAGCATGTCTATGATACAATGAAGCTTGACCGACGACTATGGGAGCCCTTTACATGTTCGCAGCTTTCCTCAGATGGCAGCCTGGTCCCACTGCGTGACTCCTTGGTCCGGATCTTCCTTGGTTGGCATATTCTCGGCCTACCTGGTCATTGTCCGTTCAAGTTTACGAGGAAGAGCTAAGACGACACCACGACCAGGTTCAGCGTTATGAAGACAGGATATACTTGTGGGATATTGCCAAGTCCCAGCTCTGCACTGATGACAGTGGCTGGGTCCCGGTAGACCGATGGGAAATGACGAATAAGATGAACGAGTATCTCTTTGACATGTACATCGAGACTCTCAGTGAGGAGCTGTCACCGCAAGAAGCTGCGAAGCAATGGCCCTTTCCACCAAAGGGTGTCTGAGAGAGCAGTCTTTTGTCAGACTCAAATTATCTCCCCCTTCTCAACCAGACCGCTGTGCTGTCAACTGCTTGGCCCAAGTTCCTCACCGCTTCCCTCCCAGGGCAACAGGCTGAGCGTTACACAGCCTCGCCAGCCTTTGTTCCTCTACCGCGGATGTCAGGCCACTGTACTACAACCATATTGTCTCGAAGAACACCCAACGGAAAAATGAAACTCTCGATATCGCCCGTCCAAGCTGACGATGTGGATGTGCTCGTACGAAAGGTCGAACTCCCTGCACATCAAGGCGGCCCGCTCCATCGCCTGATGTTCCCTTTGTCAACTGGACAGCAGCTGGATGAGAGAGAAGCGGAGACAAGATGACAGCTGATGGCTTTCGTCAAGCAGTTCAACAACAGGATGAGATTCTGTACAAATCCTGCGGAGAAGATGGATTACCTGTTGGGTTGATAGGCTGGACTGTCAGTCCAGATGCCTCTACAAAGACGATCGACGGTAGCGAATCTATTCAAGATTATGCGCGAGGTAGGCTTGGGGACGAGGTAGATATGAAAAAGAAGGTCCAGATACCTCCTTCCCTGGACGTGTCTTCATGGCGCGATATCTCAAAGAGGCTGAGAGAAGAGAGGCAGAGTTTCTTTGAGGCCTACCGAGGAAATCGAATATGCCGTAAGTCACTTCTCCGTAGACCTGAACAACATCGGGCCATTCTCATATCGGCTAGGAATCACTTTCATGGCTGTAGATCCCAACTACCAACGGCAAGGTGTTGGGTCTGCTCTTATGGACATGTTTTGCCGGACTCTTGACGAGAGTGAACTCGATGCTTTTGTCATGTCCTCGCCTACTGGGGTTCGACTGTATTCCAAATTTGGATTCAAGGCAGTCGCTGCTATAGAAACAAAGCAGGGGAATTTCACTAGCATGTTGAGGTTTCACTGTGGCCTCAGGGAACAATGAAACCGACTCATAATGAATAAGCTACTGTTATATGGTGATCGAATTGGTACTATCGTGATATCCAGGCAGTACTCCGTACTCTGTATATGCTGTATTGCCTCTGCGCTGTGGAACGCCCAGGGGATAATCCGGGGCAGTAAATTTTCGGGTGCACATGCCCGAACAGGAACAGTCGTCTCCACTGCTTGTAGGGCGGTTCCGCCGCTAGAGCATACCCGCTAGTGTAGGCAACTGGGGCCGGTTTGTGTGAACAGTGTTGAGTGCGTGCACCGAGTTGTGCGCTCTAGATACAATGTGTTGTGAACATAACTGGAGAGGGAGTAGTGCGCCACACGCACGTCTTTGACGCATCGACATCTATACTACCTGGGAGACACTCCGAGAGCAACTTGTGTAATCTCCATTAATATGACGACAATCTATACTACCTTATCATACTCACACCCTCCTATTCCATACCCTCATTCCCCCGTTTCCACCTCGATTCATTCGTAAGAAGTACGGCACGAGAACCATATCGACCGTCTCGCTACTCCATTGCCACGGAGACGACCCGTACAGACTGGACCACTGCTTGTTGACGAGCACTTTGCCAGGCGTGTGAAGCGGAATGACATCTTCCACCGTGGCAATCTTCTTCGGAGGCCCCTTGCCAACCGGTCCGTCCGTCAACGCAACATAATCCACATCGACAGACTCGTTATCGACGTCTTCGATGCAGTAGACCAAGGGGCCCAGCATGATCGCCACCTCGTTCTTCCCAGTGAGAGGATTGGCGTACACCTTGCGCGGTTCGATGGGGAAGTCAAGCTCGACAGTCGAATCCTGCACCGCAGGGAGGTACAAATAACCGTCTCGCATCTCTCCTCCAGCCACGGAGCAGGTATATCCTGAAATGGCCCAGTTCGGAATACGAAGGGCCAGCTTCACGGCCTTGGGGCCCCGCACAGCGAGCTCAACCTTGCCGGACCAGGGCATATTCGTCTTCTGAGACACGACCGTCCCAGAGTTGGGGCCCGTAAACTCACTCGCGATCCACAAATGGACCGCCACAATATCGTCACTCTCCAGGTACGAGTAAATCAGCGACCCCAGCGAACCCAGTAACTTCCCCACGTTAGGCGGGCAGCACGCCACCTCGAACCACGTCGACCGCGGCTTCGGATGCCCCGTGTATGTCGTCAGCGGGTTTTCATAGTAGAACGACTTTCCGTCGAGACCAACAGCCCCGAGGAACCCGTTGTAGAGCGCCGTCTCCATCACATCGGCGTACTCACTGTGGAGCTTCAACCGCAGCATGCGCGAACACCAGTTGATCAGGCCGAAGGACGCACACGTTTCCGCATAGCAGGTGTGTCCTTCCTCCGCATCGCCCATAAAGTAACGCGGCCCGAACCCTTCCCATTGTCTCATGGCACCGAGCCCGCCAGTCACGTAGATCTTCGTGTCGACGGTATCTCTCCAAAGCCGGTCAACGGCCCCCTGCACAGCGCGGTTCCCCGTCAGCCGCGCGTAGTCCGTCGCCGCGGTCATGTAGTAGACCGCGCGCACGGAGTGGCCCATGATCTCATCCTGTTCGACGAGTGGTTTGTGCGCCTGGTGGTAGGAATAATCGCGCGGGAACCGGTACGTCGCTCTCATTTCCGTGCCCATGCCGTCATACGGGTCTGCTCCTCGCGCTTTCGCTTCGTGGTCGTAGAAGCTCTCGCCCTGCGCGTCGCGTTTGCCACGTTCCAGAATGAAATATTCGGCCAGCTTCAGCAGGAGCGCGTCCCCGGTAAGCTCGTTCAGCCGCAGCAGTCCGATCTCAATCTCCTGGTGTCCGGGGTACCCGTGCTTTTTGCCCTCCTCGGGACCGAACACGGAGTCGACGTGACGGATGGCCTTCATGACTGGCTCCAGGAGACGGCCGCTGCCCGTTAGCGTCTCGTATGCGACACACGCCTCGATGAGATGGCCGATGCAGTACAGCTCGTGCATGTCGCGGACGTTCGTCCAGCGGTTCTGAATCCCGCGTACGGTGTAGTAGGAGTTGATGTACCCGTCGGGATGCTGCGCATTGCGAATCATGTCCACAGCCGCTTCGACCTCCGCGCGTAGCTCCGCATCCTCATGTGTCATGAGGAAGTAACAGGCTGCCTCCGTCACCTTGTAGACATCCGAGTCCCAGAAAGCATGTGGTTTCACCGGGTGGCCTTCTTTCCATGTGAGGCAGTACCAGTGTCCCGTCTCTTTCTGGGCTTTGATAATGGCCGGGATGGTGTTGTTCCGGGAGCAGGCTTGCATCTGAGACCAAAACGGCGAGGTGATGGCCACGTCGCGGACGGATCCTGGGGTGAATGCCATCGTGTTGGTGGGCGCGAGGGACAGTATGGATGGTCTTGGTGTGTCTAGGAGTTGGATAATGAGCTGAATCGCGAGAGGGGAGTATCATATACTCAACGCCGTTGGAGCGGGGAAGGGTTATCATGGTCCTTTCTCCAATCCTGCAATGGGAGCCCCTCTTCGCCCGCCGGATAATTGCTCTAAAACGACAAGCATTATTGTTCACTCTTGTGTTCCGTCCATCGGTCGAGCGCCGATGAGCTTAGGTTTGACTAGTGGAGTAAATCGCATTTCCCGGCGTCATATAGCACCACTTAAGGCCACAGATGAGAAGCTTGTCTTCCCTCGGTTGTTTATAACAAGTCTCGGGTAATTAAACGGATAAAAACTTGCAGCTACCATTCGCTGGAATGTGAGCCGGGTGTCCAGTGACGGTGGTTGCTGCTGAGTTTGGACTCGCGTGGGGGTTCATACAAGCCTTCCAGGAACTCAAACAGGTGCCGATCAATAGGACCATCGGCATATCTAACGCTTTGCGGATAGACCTAGATGTTGGTCTATACAATCTGACAGATGGACGGGCCCACCCCCGCAAAAATCCCCACAGGAAGCCGGGGTAAGTGCCGGAATATTGGCCGACGATGTAGAGCATGTAAGAAACTTAGACCTCCTGGTGGTTGGTCCCTAAGCAAAGCCTTCGGTAAAATCAAGTCGAATGGCGGGGAAAGCATTTCACGCAATAGATAGACTTGTTCATATATAGATGTGTCCCGGTGGAGTCCAGCCCTGGGATAAGATCATCCATATACTAGTATTGTGATGAATGCTCAGCTCTCCTGCTTCTTGATACCTGTCATCTGAGAACTCATAATGTCGCCAGAGAAAGTCATCCCCAAAAGACGGGAGGTCGAGACCCATGTCACCATCGCAGAGTTGATCCAGCAGGCGCAGGAGAGTGACACGGCCGACCGCCAGTTGACAATCTCACAGGCCCTGAAAAAGTACAAGAAAGCGGTCTTCTGGGCCATGTTTCTCTCCACCAGTCTCATCATGGAGGGATATGATTTGAACATTGTCCGTCATCCTCTGCTGTAACTTGCCCGTGATGTCCGGCTAACGAGCCCTCCTGTGATCAGATAACCTCCTTCTACGGGCAGACGCAGTTCAAGGACCGCTTTGGAATCGCCAATCCGAAGACCGGCGAGAAGGCAATCCCCGCGGCGTGGCAATCGGGGTTATCGAATTCGTCGCTGGTCGGACAACTTGGGGGGCTCCTCGTCAACGCATACTCCCAGGACCGCTTCGGATGTCGGCCTACTTTGATGTTCTTCATGGTTTGGATGGCCGCTGCTATTTTCATACCGGTTTTTGCGCCGTCACTGTCTATCCTGGCCTGGGGTGAGTCCATGTGCGGTATCCCATGGGGTGTTTTCCAGGTCTGTCACCCTTGCCGCCCATCGAGTAACTATTCAGTTGACGAAAAGCTCGTAGACTCTTTCCACAACGTACGCATCGGAGGTTGTCCCAACAGTGATTCGCCCGTATGTCACAGCGTACGTGTGTATGTGCTGGGGCGCCGGGATTCTGCTCTCCTCCGGCGTTGTTCGCGCCGTCACCACACTCGACGGTAACCTTGGCTGGCAACTCCCGTTCATGCTCCAATGGGTCTGGCCACTTCCTCTCTTCATTGGAGCATATCTCGCTCCCGAGTCGCCCTGGAACGCGGTCAGAAGGGGGAAGATAGAGCAGGCTCGGCACAGCCTGATGCGTCTGCGTCAGGATACCCCGGAAAGACAACGGGAGGTGGAGGCCACGTTGGCGTATATCCAGCACACTACGGAGCTGGAAAAGTCGGAGACCGCCAATGCCAGCTTTCTGGATTGTTTCAAAGGAACGAATTTGCGACGCACGGAGATCGTATGTTACTCTGGCGATGTCTCATTTCAAATCAGTCCCCACTAACGCGATCCTAGAACTGCGTCGTCTGGGCCGCGCAGATCCTGTGCGGCAACGCTCTTCTTGGTTATGCAGTTGTGTTTTTGGAAGCCGCTGGATTTTCAGAGGTGCAGGCATTCGATCTGAATATCGCCCTCTCGGCATGCTATATCATCGGGGGTGTCATTTGCTGGCTTCTCTTTCCGCATGTCGGACGCGCCACGATTTACATGGGAGGGATGTCCTTCATGTTCGTTTGTCTGGTGGTGATCGGAGGGCTGGGCTGGGCGGATGGGAAACAAGCCCAGCTGGCGATTGGAATTCTACTGGTGATCTCGACGCTCTGCAATATGATCACTGTCGGGCCCGCGTGCTATCCGATTGTCGCCGAAACGCCGTCCGGTCGACTGCGATATAAGACCATCGTTATTGGAAGGTTTTGTTACAATCTCACGGGAATCTTCCAGAACTGCGTCACGCCGCGCATGCTTTCTTCCACAGGTAAGTCTATGTTGTGTGACGCGTTCATCGGCGATTTCTAGGTGAATATGCAGCTAACACGTCCGTTTCCCTTGCGGGATCAGCCTGGAACTGGGGCGCCAAAGCGGGACTTTTCTATGCGGGAACGAATCTGGCTTGTAATATCTGGTGCTGGTTTCGACTTCCGGAGACGAAGGACCGCACCTTTGGGGAGATTGACTTGTTGTTTGAGAATGGTGTCCCAGCGAGGAAGTTCAAGCATACCCGCGTTGATCGTAAGTTGTGTAGGAAGATTGCGTGACCAACGCTAACTTCATTGCAGAGTTTTCACATCAGGATATTTCCAAGGACGGTGGGGAGGAGTAGTCTGTTCTGTTGTTCTGATGGTATGATGATAGGGTCTGATGTTGTTAGCAGCGGTGTAGATATATATCATAGTAGTGCCTGCGATACTTGTCCAGGACTGGATCTCCTGCCTCGTATCTGTCTTTGAGCTCGTAACCAGAACGTTGAACACTCCGTAAATGCCGATCTAGCTGATTCGTTATATCACGGTTATTATTCGATACAATCAAGATCATGACTCGAGTCTGAACAGTGCGTGGCCAGAGGACCAGGCCGTGCTCAATAAACATCACGTGACACACCATAATACCCGGACACTTTATTTAGAAGCAGCATCATACGGGGTATGGCGGTAAGAACTCATTGTCCATCCACCTCCATAGTAGTTATGTTGTTTCGAGTCTAGCCCTACTAACTGATCACTCGCCGAGATCAATCCTCACCGATCGTCCTCTCGTTCGGAATGCTAGAAAGAAGCCTTCCGAGCCTCACTTCATCGACGGAGGAGATCGGAGGAGACCCGAGGCGTCCATCAAACATCGTGATCAACGGACGAGACATGCCCGTCTCCCCTCACCATCAGCATCCATTTTCTCCAATTCTGGACCCGCTGGACCCCCCACCGGAGACGGAGTCGCCCGTCGCAATTCGCGGGTGTACGGAGTAGTTACGAGACTTCAGCCCGCGTCCATCGGCCCGAATGGGGTCGCAGACACTTCTGGATTGGATTGGATTCGATTGCCTGGTCTGGGTTGGGTTGGGTTTTCTTTTGCGACCGTCAGATCATGTGAAGATTCGACGCCTAGCATTGGGGTTCCGATCGTTCCCACGAGACGTGGTCTCTTGGTTTCGACTGTGATGCGGTCGCATAACTACCTCTGGATCCTGTTTTTAGGACCTGTTGGTGGCAATGTGTTCGAATCTAAAAATTTCCATGTCCTTCTGGAATCTGACAGGGGTCTGGGGTTTTTTTTTGTCGCCTTCTCCTCAATCGCCAGGGGGGGATCAGAGCGGATGGCGAGGGTTCCGGAGTTTACCGCGTGGCTCGTCCAGTTGACATCGATTATGGAGTGGTCGTGCCTCGGGACATCCACTTGAGTTTCCGGAATCGGTGAGGGTTCGTATTGTCTTTTCACGATATCCAGATTCTATTCAGAGTCAACTGGAGTTACAGAGGATATCCATTCATCCGCTTCACGAGATACCCTTTAGATATGCGGAGAGCAGTCGGCATCAAGTCCGATGGCAACAAACAAGACTCACCGGGTAAGATTGAATAATCGCGCAGGATCAGGGGCGGTGAGGCTGTCCTTGGCCGGGGATTCGTGGCCCTGTGGTAATCTTGGTATTTTCCATGGTATTTTATGGGTGATTGAGTTCTTCCATTTTGCCTGTCCATGGCGGCCAAGCGTTGTGTATGGAAAAATTTGATGGAAGAACGCCATCAGACAAGAATGGATTATAATAAATAGATAAATGACATAACAAAATAAGCAAAAATCGGTAGGAAGACAAGATCAGATTCCACAATTCCATGCATTCTTCCAGTCCAAGTAACTATATACTCGACCGATCGATTCTATCAGTCACGGCCTCCCCCATTATTTTAATTTCCCTTCTCCACATATTTTTCCTTATCCCATCCAACAACCCCTTCATAAGTCCGCATCCCTCCTCTCCAGCCAGTCCCCTTCCCCTTCCCTCCTCCTTCCCTTCCCTTTGCTTTCTCGAGGCATTGGTTTGATCGCCATCTGGTACTCCCATTACACCCCACAATGACCAGCGTCAAGGATGCCGTGAAAGAGTCCTTGGTGGGAAGCTCCAGTGAGCCCCAGGCTTCGCACCAGGTCAAGGCCAACTTCCTCCGTCATGCCCGCAAAGACGATGCCACGGGGGAGTTTTTCATGAGCGAAGACGACTTCATTAACGCCGTGGCCCCTAAACATGAAGATTATGTGAGTTCTGGCGCGCATTCAATCCTTTTGTGGCACTGTTGTCTGGCTGTTGTCCGATGTGTCATCGTGGTTCATACCCCAGCTAACCAGTTCTTCTTCCGTCTCTGCAGCATAAAATTAAGCGGGAACACTACGGGATCCTCTTCCGCGTCGCAGACCGTCGCAATACCGGAAAGCTCACCCTGTCCGACTGGGCCACCTTTGAGAACCTCCTCGCCAAACCCGACGCCGAATATGAGATCGCGTTCCGGCTGTTCGACACCGAAGGCACCGGTACCGTCAAGTGGGAGACCTTCAAGAACATCTATAACCTGAACAAGAAGAAGGACAGCATCCCCTTCGACTGGAACTCAGAATGGGCGTCCCTGTACACCGGCCGCACGAAAAGCCGACACGACATGACCTACCCTCAGTTTGCGCAGATGTTGCGGGGTCTCCAGGGTGAGCGCATCCGTCAGGCCTTCCACGTCTTTGACAAGGACGGAGACGGCTACATCGAGCCCGAGGACTTCCAGCGCATCATCCTGGAGACGTCGAAACACAAGCTGTCGGATTATGTCCTCGAGCACCTGCCCAGTCTCTGCAACATCTCCACCGGCACCAAGATCTCGTATGCGACGGTTCGGGCCTTCCAGAATGTGATGCGCGAGATGGACATGATCGATCTGATCGTGCACGAGGCGACCATGAAGAGTGACGACGGCAAGATCACCCGTGCGGATTTTCTGAACGAGGCCGCTCGCGTCACTCGCTTCTCCCTGTTCACCCCCATGGAGGCGGACATCCTGTTCCACTTTGCGGGCTTGGATGCGCCGTCCGGCAGACTGTCGCAGAAGGATTTCGCCAAGGTCATTGATGCGTCGTGGCGCATGCCTCTCGCCGCTGCGGGACAGGCCATCGAGTCGGCATCGGGGACGGCGCACAAGGCGGCCGAAAAGACGAAGTCGGTCTTGTACAACGTGTTGGAGTCTGTGCACCATTTCGCCCTGGGGTCCCTTGCTGGTGCCTTTGGCGCGTTCATGGTCTACCCTATTGACCTGGTCAAGACGCGAATGCAGAACCAACGCTCCTCCCGCGTGGGTGAACGCCTGTACAACAACTCCCTCGACTGCTTCCGGAAGGTGATTCGCAACGAGGGTTTCACCGGATTGTACTCCGGCGTTGTTCCTCAGCTGATTGGTGTTGCCCCTGAGAAGGCCATCAAGCTGACGGTGAACGACCTGGTCCGTGGTCATTTCACCAACAAGGAGACCCACAAGATCTGGTACCCGCACGAGGTCTTGGCTGGTGGTGCCGCCGGTGCTTGTCAAGTTGTAAGTTGATTTTGTCCCGTCGCGAGTAATGCGGAGACATGCGGATGCTAACTGCACTTCTCTCAGATCTTCACCAACCCGCTCGAGATCGTCAAGATTCGTTTGCAGGTACAAGGTGAAATTGCAAAGACCGTCGAGGGTGCTCCTCGTCGTTCTGCTCTCTGGATTGTGAAGAACCTGGGTTTGATGGGTCTGTACAAGGGAGCGAGCGCCTGTCTGCTCCGTGATGGTAAGTTGTTACTTCCGCACTGGTGTCACCTGCCCGAAGCGATCCTTCTAACCTTCATTGACAGTTCCTTTCTCCGCCATCTACTTCCCGACCTACTCTCACCTCAAGTCCGACTTCTTCGGCGAATCACAGACCCACAAGCTCGGTGTTGTGCAGCTTCTCACCGCCGGTGCCATTGCCGGTATGCCTGCTGCTTACTTCACCACGCCCTGCGATGTCATCAAGACGCGTCTGCAGGTCGAAGCTCGCAAGGGTGAGGTCAACTACACGGGCCTCCGCCACTGCGCCGCAACTATCTGGAAGGAGGAAGGCTTCAAGGCGTTCTTCAAGGGTGGTCCTGCGCGTATTATTCGGTCGTCTCCACAGTTCGGTTTCACTCTGGCGGCCTACGAAGTTTTGCAGAAGTGGCTCCCGATGCCTGGGTCTCATGAGGACATCACTCCCAGCGGCCAGGTCGAGCCTGGCGTCGGCCTGCAGGTTGCCAAGGCCCCGCTGCCCTACCTGAGATCGAGAAACGCGCTGAAGCTGATTCTCGATCTGGACGAGAACATCGGCCGACTTCCGATCCCCCGGACTGAGCAATGGCCCAAGTTCCTCCAAAGCCAGAAGCAATAAATATGCATCTTGTGTTCCATAGCGATGAGTTGGCTTTCTTTTGATTGTTACGTTTCTTTTGTTTTGTTTGCAGGCTTGACTTGGAAATACCTTCCATTCTCATTTATCCGTCCCCTTTTCTGGTTCTCGGGGTTCTGGTTGGGTTGGGACGAAGATCACGCTTTCTCCTTTTTTCTCTGTTTCTTTTTCCCATCTCCGTACAGAACCAATCTCGCATTCTTACCCTTTTGTACCAAAATCGGATAGACTTGATGTTGTGGAGGAAGATCACCGTTGCAACTGTTTTGCATTGACGTCCTAGAGCTTGTGCTTTCTAACGGTCCTCTTAGAGGTGTACAATGTGTCGCTTCATATGTTCAATCCTGTGGTCGTGATATATCTGTACAGGTCCCATTATTTGTGTTATTATTCTGTCTATTATTATCGCTGTTCAGGAGCATTGGTGACATAGTTAATCTCTCTAGACTTTTAATGGGAAGTCGATGCAGATGTTACAAGAGGACAGGCTGTGAATGCGGCTTGTGGGTATCATATATTCAAACAAGTTATGGCCAAAGTAATGTACATTTAGACGGTTCTAGCAACTCCAATATGCATCGGAAATCTAGACGCAAGTCAGTCTGCGTCTAAAGTTATAAAAGCAACTAGCCCACCTGGATGATTGTAGTCTTTTACCAGTATTCATCTTGCCCAATGGAGGGCATGAGACCCATGGCAGACACCAACGTTCAAGGCGAGCATTCGATCAGAAGAAGTTGAGTTTGCGTTTTGTCTTGCCGTCTTTGGGAGGTTCTTCAGTTCCAGATCCAACTGCGGGAACCACCGTATCTTTCTTGAGTTCCTCCTTCGGCTCCGGCTGAGGCGCTGGATTCTCCTTGGTTTCCGACTCCTTAGACTTCTTATGCCACAACGAGTCTTCCTCTTCAATTTCCCGGAGAACTATAGATGCAAACACAGTCAGCAATCAGATCCCTAACCGCAGAACATAGAGAAAGCAACGAACCTTCCTCCCATTCTCTTTCCTTCGCCTCGTCGCCCGTCCCCAATAACCGCTCCACATCTACCTTCTCACCGGCCTTCACCTTCTCGATGATCTCCCGCAGAAGCAGGATCTTAGCATCCGTCGTCCTCGTGTACGCAGCATAATCGTTCTTGAGCGCAATCATCCGGATGGCTTGCGATCCGATCAGGACGAAGATGATAATGTAGAAGCTCGCCGGGTTCCATTCCTTGGACTTGGGAGTATCGGTCTGCGCGCCCTTGGCTCCGCGATTTCGGAGGAATTTCGGAATCATCGACGTCCATACTGAGGCCTGCGCTAATCGTGGCATAGCTCGAGAGGCTGTGGATTGGAGACGGATTTGTGGCGTGGGAAGGATTGTGCGGGGGATTGGAGCGCCCCGCGAGAGGGCGCGGACGGCGAGCCGGGCGAAGCTCATTATGCGACAGTATTAAAGGTAGGATGTGATAAGTTTTTGGGAGGATTGAGGTGCGACAGCGTGAGGAAGTACTTCTGCCCACTATCGGCGAAAAGCGCCCTGGTGCTCGGAAGTCGAAGGCTTGGCACCGCTATTCCCAATAGAGCGTAGCGGGTTGTCCGTTGCTGCGACAACGCGGAGCCGCTTCAGACCCGTGATTGAACTCCGATGCCAGATCGAACATCACCGCTTCTCTATCTGCAAAACGTCAATCCCCGCGTCACTTTTTCGAATGGAGAGACATTTCACCCCTAATATCTAATAACGACACCTCTCCACCATGACGGTTGCAGCTCTCCTCCCCGATTCCTCAGTGGAATCGGTGAAACAGGCCGTCCGCTCGACATCAACATGCTCCGATGCCACCGTGTCGTCCCTCCAAACCCTCTTTCGCAGTCCCAATGGCTCATTCTCAGACGACACAATCTCTGCAAAGAAGACCACGTGGACAACAAAGTCTTCCACTACGGCGGCGAGTCGCGCACGAGCCGCTCGCTCGACCAAAACAAAGACCTCAACACAAGCTACGACATTGACCACACTGGTAGAACAAGACGCTGCGCGCCCGTCGTACCAGGAACGCCTTGTCCTCGCGACTGAAGTTTTTAACACGACATTAAAGACCCTGTCAGACGCCGCGAAGCTGCAGTCTTCAAACCGAGACGACACCCGGGCCCGGTCAGCACCAAGCGTCTCACCGCGATCGATGTCCCCGACTAAAACGAAACCCTCCCCATGCGCGCAGACGAAATTGATGGGCCAGGATGAAGGCGTTGTTGCCGTCGCCGAGTGCGCAAGAATGGCGCTGGGGTCTTTGCGGACACTGAAGACCGAACAGACTGGTCCGGAATCCGGCGCCCCGAACATGCAACTGGAACAAGGCGCTTGCGTACTCGCAGGACGATACCTCTCTCTGGGGCTCTACGATATGGCATATAAAGAACTTAGGGGACTTAGAAGGAGGATTCAGCAGTACCTGGATAGTCGGGTTACGGCCCGTAAGAAGACGACAAAGAGCAGGACGACGCATGAAGCTGTGGATGATGCGCCTGCGAAGGAACGCATGTCGGATTTGTTGAGCTTTACAAATCTTGCGCAGGCGGAACCTTTGTTTGGCTTATTGGTTTCGTTCCAGTCCAATGCCCTACGTCTTATTGCGGCTGAGAAGAAGGCACCTACAATTCAGAAAGTCGCTCCATGCCTGCAGGTTTCCGACCCGAGTAGTCCGGCCAGTGTTATCATGGCAGCACTTGAAGCAGGGGCACTCACCAAGGACAAAGCTGCGGTTCAGCTCCAATTATTGTCGAATACAGTACTATCGCTCTCGAGTGTTCACACGTCGCCTGCCAACAGTACAGGCAAGGATCGGCTCAACCCTGTCACCTCGCTGACGCTGCAATTGCTCACCATGGAGATCCGCTGCATGAGCTGGAAAATGTCCGGCCATGTTTGTGATGACGTTAAGGAGATGTGGGATCCACTGGCGCGCTACCTGGCCAACTTTGTTCACCAAACCAAAGACATTGGGAAGACCGAGTTCGCCTCCATCTATACGACTATCCTTCGTCTCCAGTCAGCGGTCTCTAAGCTGGCAAAAAATCCAAATTCCAGCAGCAAAGACAACCCTTCGGTGGCCCGCATTGCAACTATCCTAGGCCAGGTCGCTCAAGAATCCGGCTGTTTCGACGAGGCACTTCGGCTTTATACACAATCAGTCAGCCCACTTTCTGCCACGCAAGGTCTTCCTTTGGCTACTTTGCGGTGTAGAATTGCGTCACTGCACTTTCAAGCCGCGAAACGTTCCAGCAAATTCTCGGGAACCGGTCTACTAGACGCGGTCTCTGAAGCCACTGCTGCGCTTGGCATGCCACTGAGAGGCACCGCTAGCGATCTCGATGAGCTGCTGGTTGAATCAGCCAAACTCAAGAAACTGGCTATGGGCTGGTTTGGTGAAGTGATTGGGAAAGACAGCAAAAAGACCGGCGAGTCGAAAGACGCCCCGTCTCGAATCCATGAATATCTCTGTGCATTCCTTCGATTTTTACGACGTTACATCGGAAGGGAGCCGTCGAATGAGGACGAGCAAAAGGACTACGAGTCGTTTGTTAAGCGTGTTAATGCTGCGAAGAGCATTGTACTTGCTGGAGTCGACTCCGCTATTGCCGTCGGCAAGTTATCGGTCATGTCTCAGAGACCTGCTTGGGAGGATGTTCTTTCGTGCCTGTCTGATTGCCAGCGTCTTCTAACGGTCATGAACGTCGCAGGGGAGGAAGAGGTGCTTGATTCATCCGGCGTGGAGCCTGTCGGCATGGCATTCGTCAAGTTGTCAAACCTGTTCTGGTCGCGCTATCTCAAGGAAAAGGAAACAGGGAAAAGCTCCCGTGAACTCCTACCCATTCTCAAGCAGTCTACTGACCTACTCTCCACTTGCTCTCCTGGTGAACGTATCACCGGATTTGCCGCCTTGAAGAATGAACGACTGGCGCTGGTGTGCATGGATGCAAATATGGTGACTGAGTCGGAGAAGGCTTTTCTCCAGTCGATTACCGAACATGTTGACGCCGGGGCCTTGGAAGAAGCCATTTCTCAGTGTCCCAGTCTCTTCCCTCATCGAGTCTCTCAGGACCCAAAATCTGGGGCATTCATGCTTGGGCGTGTTCTCTCTTCTTATTTGAAAATGACCCTGCGCAGCAAGTCTGCCAAGATCCAGGGCCTTTTTGACGACGAGTCTATGTCGGCTCTGCAGCGAGGCCATATTCTGGAGTGGCAGCTGGGCATTTTGACCGACATACACTACTATGCCCATAGCGATGAGGCTTTCCGGACAGCATTTAGTTCATTCTTGACTAAGCTATTCGACATTTACACGTTCGAGTCACACCCTGTCCGACGGTTGCGGGCGGTCTTGATTGGTCTACGCTTTACATTAGAACGCCCAGGCTGCCTGGACCCTGCGTTGTTGCAGGAACTGATCGAGGAAGGCGTGCTTGGCATGGACTCGGACGGGGAACTAAGCGAAGACACCGACCTTGCTGATTTTGCGCCTCATCTGAAGAACTCCATACGGCTTACCGTCGGCCTTCATCAGGGTGACCTGCAACCAGACGACCTGAACCATGTGATTTCTACCTGGAATACTATGATGCGCGAGTGCAATGACTGCAACTCTCTCGTGGCGCGTGTTGGCGATGTTGATTACTGTCTTTTGCAGATGAAGGCAGTTGTCGACTATACGGAAATCCATGGACTCTGGAATCTGCAGCTTTCCACTCTTGAGCTTATTCTTCGTACTACGGAACTCCAAGCCACTGGGGACTTTTCTGAGGCCACTATTATCCTGTCTCGCTTGGTCCTGCAGTATTGTCGCTTGGGATATTGTACCAGGGCCCGTGGCCTCCTCGACAAAGCAGACAAGTACCTCGCCACAAAAGAAGTCACCTGCCTTGCAACCTTGTCGCATCAGTTGGCTTGGGTGGGGTATTTCCTGGAGACGGCAGAGACAGACAAAGCTGCAGCCACGCTCTCAGCCGCGAGGAGCCTCTACGAAAAGAACCAGAAAAAGCAAGACTTGCAAAATTGCTCTGTCATGACCAAGATCTCGTGGGAACGACTCGTGGCTGACGCGGCCTTCATGAGCTCCCGGCTTTCGTTCGCGCAGGGCTCAATTAACGACGCCTTATTTTTCGCTAAACTCAGCGTGAGGCTCAACTGCCGGATCTGGGCTAAGGTTGAGCGCATTGCACACAGAAACCGGGACAAGGCATTGCCAGCAGCTGAGAACTCGGAGCTTGACACTGTTGTTGAGGGAATAGCCAAGCTGGATGTATCTCAAACGCACGTCATGACAACATCGAGCTCATACACTCAAGGAGCACCTTTCTGGCCTCACATTGGTTCCCACCACACGTCTCTTCTTAACCTGGCCAGTCTCTCTGCTCATCATGGTCTCTTCCAAGATGCCATCTATTATGGCGAACAAGCCCTCAAGATTAACAAGACGCTCAATGCCAACGTGAGACTGGTTGCTTCTCAGGTGGAACTCGGGTCCCACTGGATTTATGGTGGTCACATCTCTGAAGGTCAGGAGCTACTTGCCGCTGCAGAGATGGCATCCAAACAGTTGGATAATAGCATTGAGATGGTTTCATTACAGATGGGCCTCGCCTCCCTCTACAGGGCCCAAGGCCAACACAGTCAGGAGCTCCGTGCACTTCTGCAAGCGGAGAAAACGATGGGCGAGTTCCTACGCTCGGAGATGACCACAGCATCAAGCATTCCTGACCTTGAAGACAAGATGGAGAAGCTCCGCATTCGTCCCAGCAGTCGTCGTACAAGACATCAGCCAACCGCTTCGACCTCAACTATGACGACTCGAAGAACCCGTGCGACGACCATTTCTACGAAAAGTGCACCCAAAGTGCCCAGTACGACTTCCGATTCACCCTCTGAGTCCACTTCTCTGTCACACCTCAGAGGTGATATCCTACAACAGCAGGCTGCTTGTTCTCGAGCTCTGCGTCAATTTGACAAGGCCTCTGAGCTGCTTAATGACGCCCGACAGTATGCTCTTTCTCGAGACAGCAAGATCACGTTGCATATTGGCGAAAGTGAGCACTTTCTGGCGGATGCTATACGGCATTTTGCTTCTCATGCTGTATACTGCGTTCTCCCGGAATCAACCATCTCACTGCCATCTTTGCAATCTCCCAGCAAAGCTACTAGTGAGGCTAAGGTGTCTAGCAAAACATCAACTGTTAGGAAGACAAGGGCTGCTCCAAGGACGGCACGGTCGAGAAGTCAAAAGGCAAACGATGATTTCTCTGCCATGCTCTCCAAGGCCGCTGATTGTCTGGGTGATGTTTTTTCTACGGCTACAGCCTTAGGGTCTACACTCGATAGCCATGCCGCCTCGCGGCTTATGAGTCGGATATCCATGCTGTCTCATGCAACTGCCGCAGAAAGTTCTCTCTCACTCTCGCCGCCGCCTGCAAACGTTAACGGTACGTCAACCAGGATCTCCTTCCCTCCCAATAATCTAACTGTTCTAGAAATTGGACGCATTGGTGCTTTCGCTCGTGAACATATTGCTATCGGGATCGACAAGGAACTGGCCGACTTCTGTGATCCCCTATCATGGCCTGTTCCGTCCAAATCGACTGCGGAATTGAGCAATGATCTGTGCACCAACTTTACCAAGGAATACGTGGATATCCTACCGGAGAACTGGAATGTTCTTTCCCTGTCGCTGAGTGCGGATCGCAACGAGTTTATCATCTCGAGGCTGCATCGGGACCGCTCCCCGTTTCTTCTCCGTTTGCCCCTACGAAGAGGATCCGCGGAGGATGAAGAGGAGGACCAGTTTACCTTTGAGGACGGACGGAGTGAGATGCAAGAGCTCATCAAGCTGGCTAACGAGAGCGCACACGCCGCAAAAGCTCAAACGGACAGACAGTCCAAGAAGAATTGGTGGAAAAACCGCGAGGCCCTCGACCGTCAAATGGAAACCCTGCTGCAGAATATTGAGAATGTGTGGTTTGGGGGATTTCGAGGGATCTTCTCCCCCGTTCCCCACGACACCGCCTCTCTAGCACGGTTTTCAAAGGCCTTCCATGGTGTTCTGGACAAGCACCTCCCCTCTCGTCGGAAGGGGAAAAAAGCAGATGGTCCCAAGCTCACACTTCACCAGAATGTGTTAGAGCTGTTTATTGGCGTGAAAGATTTGGACAATCAAGAGGACCCGGAGGACACTTTGATGGACCTTCTCTACTTCGTGGTGGATATTTTGCAGTTCCAAGGTGAACGCAATGCGTACGACGAGATTGACTTCGACATGATGGTTGTGGAGACCTTGGATGCTTTGAGAGGCTACCATGAGTCGGTACAGAATGACGGCGGCCGGCAAACTCCCAACCACACTGTTCTGGTTCTGGATAAATCGCTCCATCTGTTCCCCTGGGAGTCTCTCCCGTGCTTGCAGGGCTTTCCGGTTTGTCGTGTACCGTCGCTAGAATGTCTCCGCGACCGTATCCTTCAGTTCCGCAGCGACAGTACAGATGGTGCTATGTCCGGCTTGGGGATAGATAAGAGGAAGGGCACCTACATCCTGAACCCTACCGGAGATTTGCAAACGACCCAGAGTACTTTCGAAAAGGACCTCTCGCAGCTACAAGGATGGAACGGTATCTCCAATCGAGTCCCGACTGAGGAAGAATTCAAAGACGGATTAGAATCGTCCAGCCTGTTCCTTTACTTCGGACACGGAAGCGGCGCGCAGTACATACGCGGCCGCACAATTAAACGTCTGGATCGGTGCGCCGTCGCATTCCTCATGGGCTGCAGCAGCGGTACATTGACCGAGGCCGGCGAGTACGAACCATACGGTACGCCGATGAACTACCTGCACGCAGGCAGTCCTGCATTGGTCGCTACACTGTGGGATGTCACGGACAAGGACATTGATCGGTTCGCCAAATCGGCGTTTGAGAAATGGGGACTCATTGGGGAGGAGCCGACGGCCGGGACGAAGAGTCTGGCCGCAGCTGTTTCGCAGTCGAGGTCTGCGTGTGTGTTGAAGTATTTGAATGGCGCGGCTCCGGTGATCTACGGTATCCCTGCGGTGTTTTTGGAGTAGACAATATTGCCATGTCGCCACTCATGGGAGTATATATATGCAGATGGCGCTCTGCATTATGAGTCTACTGGTTGTTTGGTTAGATAGGAGTTTGGTTTGCATAGCCTGGTGTTTGTTGTTTTTGGTTTGAGCTTTGATGTTGTGTAGTGGAAATGGCGCGCTGCGCAAAATGATACCATTGAGTATTCGTTTGAGATGTCTGACTAGATAAAAATTCGTACACAATGGCAACGGAGGGCTCGAGACATGCATATCCTAGTTTGAAGCAAGGTTACCTCTCTACTCCGATAGCGCGTTAACGATGTACTTCAGAAAAGGAATGTAAAACAAGAGAGAGGCATGGCATTTAGAGCCTTAGGCCAACGAAATTATCCGCTCCGCTCTCGATTGTTTCCTGGTCACCTGGACCAGCGTAGGATGGAAGGAGAAATAGTTCCATGTATGCTCATCACTAGCTCTCGAGGATATATGTCTCATGACATAGCTAGTCGGCAGGATCAGAGATGTATGCGTCATAGTAGGGTGCGAGAATTCGCCCGGAGACATTTCGGAGACATTGTGGTAGCTGCCAAGAGTGTATCCTAAACCTCGCCAAGTATACCTACCTAAGTGTCTATAGTACCTGTATTGGGATCATTCTATATCATTCTATCTGGATGTAGCTATTCCTAACGAGCAGAGAACGGTACAAGATATAAAAGTCGGCAATATCAGAGTCTGTATGTCTCCTACGATGTAAACTGATAGTATATAGTGTAGCGTCCCATTGTAAGCGCCCCATGCACGAGACTTACAGACCCATGCAACGACCAGGCATACTACCGCATCACCCCTGTCATCTTCATGATTGAGAGGTAAATACTGCCAGCTCCCGGGTTGCCCCGAGTTCTCATCCTGTTGGCTTCCCTGGTTGTTACTGTCAGATCGTGATTCATATGCATTATAAAGGGAGTGGACACCCGGCCTCTGTCCACCTTCGCTCTCCGTCTACATTCCCCTCCAACCATACTATGACTGCAGAAAATCCAACCACGGACGTTGAGAAGGACATCACACAGAATGAAGATGGCTCCCAGCAGGACAAGGTAGACGAACCACAAGCCCGGGACTGGCGCTTCTGGATCGTCTTCCCTACGCTCTGTCTCAGCGGCCTGGCCGTCACCATGGAAGGGTCTATCGTGGTGACAGCCCTACCCAGCATCTCGCGCTCGCTGCACACCACCGAGTATGTCTGGGTGATCAATGCCTACACCTTCGCCTCGACCGTCTTCCAGCCCCTCACGGCTTGGCTGGCCCAGGTGTTCGGCCGCAAGCCCCTGTTGTTGATGAACATCGTGTTGTTCGGCGTCGGCAGCGGTATATCAGGAGCAGCGCCCACGCTGGCTGTCATTCTGGTCGGCCGGCTGATCCAGGGGATTGGTGGTGGCGGAATCCCGCTGGTGGCCGAGTTGATTGTCAGCGACATGGTCCCCTTACCTGAGCGCCCGAAGATGCTAGGTATGGTGATGGCTACCTCGTGTCTGGGTCTGCTTATAGGCCCTGTCTTGGGTGGCGTCATCGTCGACCACGCGTCGTGGCGTTGGATCTTCTGGATCAACTGTCCGCTCGCTGCGGCTTCTTTGTTGTGTCTGTTTCCGGTCTTGGGTCATCGCACGCAGGAGCAGCGCGAGGCTGTCGCTCAGCTGGGCGCTACCGCTCGTCGCTTTGACTGGGTCGGTAACCTGCTTCTTCCACCGAGTACTCTTGCAATTTTGCTGCCGTTGACCATGGGCGGCAAAATGTACGCGTGGTCGTCTGTCCGGATAATCTTGCCTTTGGTGCTGGGTGTATGCGGTCTGATCGCCATGGGTGTCTATGAACGATTTTGTGTACATCCTCTCATCCCCATGCGACTCCTGCGGAACATATCAGCACTTTCTCTTCAATTGCAGAGCTTTATTCAGAGTATGATTATCATGTGGGTGAACTACTACCTGACAATCTACTTCCAAGCCGTGATGGAGATGTCCCCGCAGCGTGCCGGGTTTGAGCTGATGCCCACCATTGTCGGCATGGTCGTCTTTTCTATCTTAGGTGGGATGGCCGGGTCCATGCTCCCTGGACAGTGGTCAATTCTAGTGAATTTGCTGGCTTTTATCTTGATGGCTCTGGGATTGGGACTGTTTCAACTGTTGGACGCCAGTGCCGCCACGGCAGTCCGTGCGGTGTTGCAGATCATTGTAGCTGCCGGGAACGGATTGCTTATGGCGACCTTACTGCCCGCCCTACAGGCGCAATTTACGGCCGATGACGTCTGGTCCGTGACAGCTCTTTTCAATTATCTCCGCAGCTTTGCGCTGGTCTGGGGCGTGACCGTTCCTTCCATCATTTTCGACCAGACGGTTGACAGTCACGTTGCGCAGCTGGGGTCGTCCGTTGGCGTTCAACTCGCGCATGGCGGTGCCTATGCTCGCGCCAGCAAAACTTTCACCCAGTCATTCGACAGCCATATCCGTGAGAAGGTGGTGGGTTTGTATGTGCAGGCGTTGCGGGCGACTTGGTGGGGAGCTATGAGTTTCGTCCTTCTCGGTCTTGCCCTCGTGCTGTTGCAGTATTTGGGAGGACGGAGGGGATGAAATGTGATGATAGGGAGTGTTCTTGAAGGAGATGCTCAGCATGTATGATAGCTCGTGTAGATGAAATCACTCTGCTCTCTTTCTCCTTATCTCATACACCAAGACGCTGTTGTGATATTACTCAATCGGGAGAAAAAGTCCCGATGAGGAGAAGACCAACTGAGTCAGCGGATGCCCCTCATTTCCCCTCATGAGGAAATTCTTCCCCACCCCCACCATCCATCGTCATCCGTCAATATCTCGTCGTCTTCTTCCTCGTCTCTCCCTTCTCTCTTCCAGACCATCCTCCCGCGATTCATTGTCCTTGTCCCCGTCACCATGGCTGTCACCACAAAGGCTACCATCGCCTCCTTCGGCGGCAAATTGCTCAAGCTGAGCCATGCCGCGACTTCCACCAAATGCGAGATGTCTTTCAACCTCTACCTCCCTCCGCAGGCTGTCTCCGGCCAGAAGGTCCCCGTTCTCATCTACCTGTCCGGGCTGACCTGCACGGCCGACAACTGCTCGGAGAAGGGATTCTTCCAGCATGGCGCCAGCAAGAAGGGCATTGCCGTGCTGTACCCCGACACGAGCCCCCGTGCGTACTCACTGATAACACCAACGATCAACCTGCCGACAGACCCAACTAACCTTGCAAACAGGTGGTCTGAATATTCAGGGTGAAAACGACTCGTGGGACTTTGGTACCGGTGCCGGTTTCTACGTCGACGCTACTGAGGCTCCCTTCAACAACGGCTACAACATGTACACCTATGTCACCGAGGAACTGCCCAAGACCGTGTTTGAGGCGTTCCCGCAGCTCGACTCCAGCCGGGTCAGCATCACGGGACATAGTATGGGTGGTCACGGTGCTCTTACTCTAGTATGTCCTGTTATTTCCGGCTGAATATCTACAGCATTGGTTGACGAGATGCAGTTCCTCCGCAACCCCGGGAAATACAAGTCTGTGTCGGCGTTCGCGCCCATCTGCAACCCTATCAACTGCCCCTGGGGAAAGAAGGCTTTCGGGGGATACTTTGGTGGAGACGAGAAGAACCCCAAGTGGGCGGAGCATGACGCCACGGAGCTGGTGAAGAAGTGGAAGGGACCACTGGATGCATTGATTGATGTGGTATGTTCAGCTTCCGGGTATCGTAAGTCGATGAAAGAACTGAGGGCTAATATGTGACAGGGCTATGGAGACAACTTCTACAAGCAAGGCCAGCTGCTTCCGGAGAACTTCGAAAAGGCCGCCAAGGAGGCGGGCGTCGAGGGCGTCAAGGTCCGTTATCACGACGACTACGACCACAGCTACTACTTTATGGCGACGTTCTCGGACGACCACATCGAGCATGCGGCCAAGTATCTCTTTGCATAGTGCGTTCCTCCTATGAGTCTTGTATATTCCACCCTTATTCATGTTTAAAATATCCTCGCTACGAATATAACTTGCACTGTTCATGGTACGCGATTGCATTGTAGTGCATTTTCTGATGGTTATGTAGCCAGGAGAAGTCCAAGATTTGATATGTAATTCGATGCTATCTCTTTCTCTCCGTAGACCCTAGGGAGGCCGCGAACGGCACTATGTAACAAACGAACATATCGTCATTCCTAATCTGAACAGCTCTAGTTATCCACGACAAAGATGCAAGCTTTTTGTGGTACCTGCCATAGATATAAAGGTTTAAGTGTCTCAGGTATTTGATATTCCAGCAAAATACATCCATTAGATGTCTTCAGGATGAAACGAGAAACTGGTTCGCCCTGCACTGGGTGGCTGTTTTTACTATCTCGGGTGGTAATAATAACAATAACGACTTCTAGCACCCGAGTGCACTACGGGACATATTTTCACAAGGGTCTCGGATAACGAGATCTCCGGGGTATAACGGTGTTTGTCCCATTCGTGACAATGCTCGGTGGGCCTCTTGATTTGATGATTCATAAGCATACAGACAGAATGATGGTGAGGAAGCGGTGTTTGTGCTACGTACGATCCTCATACGTACTAGTTCTGATGCTGGAGTCGTGGGATTTTTGCCTGCTGGTTCTTTGTTTCTTTGGATGTAGATCGTGTGGTTTTTCCGACGATCCCATTGAATAACGATGTTCTATAGAACGATTAGGAGTTAATAGCATATCAATCAAGCAGTCATTGATAGGATACCTCACTACTACAAGCCGTAAATACCTTTCACAATCCTTCTATACTTCCCACGTGCATACCTCAATTGATCTTATCTACTGGACATATCTATGTCAACCCTCCCCGGCCCTCAAGAATAATGAACCCCTCTAATCCTCGCCCTCGCCCTCTGGGCTAACCCGGTGACCAGCGTCAGTATCCCCAGAGATTGGCCCATTTCAAATGATATTGACTCCATTAGACCGAGCCAGTTCCGTTACTCCCGCTGTTTCCCTCCGCGGCTGTACTAACGAGACCACGCAGTCGGCATCCCGCCTTGGCTTGTGCAGGACAAGCATGCAATCCATAACCCCGACTCCGCCAAAGAGGTCGTCAAACCAGAGCTTCGCAACGGTGTCATCGTTGGCGACCAGGAGGAGAATGATGAAAATGAGGGAAACACTAGGGCGCCTTGCTCGAGTGACGATGACTGTCGCGACCCTGCGCACTGTTACCAAGGAGTATGTCAAGCCCTGCCTCCTTTTATTAATATTAAGTCGGGCTACGATGCTGATGCTGTTGGGAAGGCTTAGGTTGGTGGCATGTATTGTGCGTCAGGTTTTTCGGCAGGCAAGACGAGTGGTGAAGTCGAAGGTTAGGGGAGTATAAGGGACGGTGTGGCAGGATGGCTTGAATGGGATGCGATAGGCCACAGTTTTAAAGCTTCGGTTGTCGCATTTTAGGGTTTCATGTTAGCCTACGGGTGGAACTGATGGCAATTGGAATTCGCTTTTTAGATAGATTTTATACAGTTTCTTCCAGACCAACTAATGCTACTAAGCAATGTATCCAATACTTTTTTTTTTCTTTTATTTGAATTCCAGGCTGTATTTTAATACCATGTACTCTGGACGAGAGGTTAACATTCAGTATACCAATCGTTAATGCATCGGATGGATGTTCTCTTCGTGGGATGCTTGTATACTTCCCAAACGGGAAAGGGGCGGCAGCGGCGGAGGGTTTCTCCGTAACAACACGTGACACCCCGGACAGCTAGCGGGTGGCCCAATCTGGCCTTTGGAGACTCCGATCTGTCCTTTTCCCAATAATCCACCTTCATCCCCGACTCTCGACTCTATACCTCAATTCCTCTCCTCTCCATATTCACATCGTCACAATGGCCGACCAGGTACAAGAGATCCTCAACATCCCCCGGGAGTTCTTCAAGGATGGCATGCAGTTCATCAACCGCAGCCAGAAGCGTGAGTCCACCGTCGCATCACTCGTGCGAAAGCCATTGTCAATTGCGGCCGCATGCTGACCATTTCATAGCCGACCGCCGGGAATTCATCAAGATCAGCCAGGCTGTCGGTGTCGGTTTCCTTGTGATGGGCGGCATTGGCTTCATCGTCAAGCTTGGTATGCGCTCCCTGTGACCTGCGAGACACGGTCGACGTACTAACTGCGCCCTAGTGCACATCCCCGTGAACAACGTGCTTGTCGGCGCTGCATAATCGATGGGTTTTTCTGGAGTTACGGATTGATACCACCTTCCCTCTCTCCCCGACTGCTTGAATGCCCCCTTCGAGATCCGACCCCGCTGTCGGCACATCGCCCAGCACGAGCTCCTTCGAACGCGCGGATGGAGAAAGGCTGGAAAAGTGGCGCGGGGAGAGTTCTTCGTTTCTTTGACTTGTCTTCTTGGTCCTTTTATTTTCTGGAAGCATAATATTCATTCCATGCATGTGCGTTCAAGCTCCGAGTGGGTGTTTCGGCAGTCGACGATAGATACCTACATCCAGTTCTTTCCTGAATAGTTTGTTCCGGATATTCTGTATATCAAGTTCATTCATGCAATCACGCTGGTTCCAAGATACCTCTTCCCGCCGATGCCAAACAATAAGGCGAATTAAGCTGATATGGTTTCTCAACACGCTCTCAGGAGATGGCCCTCCTACGTCAATAGAAGCCATCCGCCTCTTCGGTCGATACAGGTCTGCCAATCGGCATTTAAACCGGCATGTCTCTCCTGCCAGATATCCCTGAGGATCTCCCGGCGCACTGGATGTTATGGAACGGTCGTCTGTCCGCCATGAGCGCCAGTCTTGTTCGAACAGGATCTATGTAGTTCTCGTCTATTGCCTCTGCGAGCTAGGAACAAGAGGGAACAATTTGGCCGAATCAGGTCCTCCATTCTGGGGATGTTGGCGATGTGTTCCAGAGCAGAGGCGACTTTATTCTGGATCTAAAACTGAAGACTAACCTTGACTAACTATATAAAGGGACCGAAATACTTTGGTCCAGGGCACGTCCTGTCGTTGATAAAGCAAGCAAATGCAATCTAGTTCAAACTTCCACGGCGCATCCGCTACGTGAAAGCATTTTACGCCTGTACGCCCCAGTTCCTACTGCCGGTAATAATAATAAAGATGCATATGAGGGTATTATTGTCCACAAGAGCCCAGCCCAAGTCCAGAACTAGTGGAGAGTCCTCTCTACTAGCAAACAAATACTGGAAATAACAATGCACGGGTCAATAGTAATGTCAGAGATAGTAATATTCAACGATCACCATTCGCAGATATGGCAGGGAAGTGATTCGCATCTTGCGTTTGGGGCTCGTCAGAAGAGTAAGTACTTAAGCAAATGGAGACAGGACTTCCGAGAAAAAGGGTGAGACAGATGCTCGATATGCTAAACAAACGGTGTAACACATCTCTACCGGAGTAATGGAGTGATGTACTTCTTACAATGTTATAAACATGAAGGACTTGTTCGCCTTTTTCACAGCGCGTGAAACCCCTAAGGGTGGGACAAGCTTGCAGTTATTGTTAGCCTACCATGGTAATCAATTTCCATACAGATGTTGAGACTGATGACAAAATGTTACGTCTCGTTAGGAAAGGTACTTGTTGCACAATATGCACAGCGTAATTTATATCTGCCCGGGTGGTCTAGTGTGTAAGCAACATTCCTGTCCGTGTCACTCCAGAATGCCTTTACTAACATAAAATCAGTATGATTCTCGCTTAGGGTTCACCCTTAGCATATATGCGAGACGTCCCGCTTGGGCCGTCTTTTTCGTATTTTTGGTGGTGGTTATGGGCGTCCTAGTTAGGACCACAACAGGGCTTGCGAATGACTCACGTATTCCGATGCGTCCTAGATAGCTTATACGTACATATAAGTTTCTGATAGTAACCCACCTTCAGTGATTTGGTCCGAACAGATCCTTCTCTGCAAATACCGAGTTTTACGCTCTCATCTGGCGTAAGTCACTGCCCATTGGGACTGTATCATTCCAGAAGGCTTTCCAAATGTCCTCAGCATATGATGTTCTTGTCACTGGCTCAGCCGGTCATCTGGGTACGGCTTTAATGCTTTGCCTGCCTTCGATGGGCTTCAAACCTTTCGGCATCGACATTCTCTCCTCTCCAACCACGACAGCCGTGGGCTCTGTCTGCGATCGCGCTTTCATTGCATCTGTTTTCCGCAATCACCCCATTAAACACGTCCTTCATGCAGCAACATTGCATAAGCCGCACGTATGCAGCCATACCAAGGAAGACTTCATCTCCACCAACATTGCGGGCACTCTGATTCTTCTGGAAGAATCTTCCAAGGTCAAGGATAGGATCGAGAGCTTTGTCTTTTTCAGCACAACCAGCGCCTTTGGCATGGCCTTGAACCCGAAGCCGGGCTTCCCCGCCGCGTGGATCGATGAGTCGGTCGTACCCGAGCCAAAGAATATCTACGGAGTGACAAAAGTCGCAGCCGAGGATATGTGCGCGCTGGTACAGAGGGAAAGCGGAATGCCCGTTCTCGTGCTTCGGACAAGTCGCTTTTTCCCCGAGGAAGACGACGATGAAGACCGCCGTGCGGCCATGAGCGATGAGAACTTGAAGGTGCTGGAACTCGCCTACCGCAGATGCGACATTGAAGATATTGTGAGCGCGGCGGTTTGCGCAATGAGAAAGGCCAGGGATATCCAGTGGGGGAAGTATATCATAAGCGCTCCGCCGCCGTTCCACAACGATGGAAGCACGCTCGACGCCTTAAATCGGAATCCCGCTGAGGTGATTGCGAAAGCTTTCCCCGAGGTCGATGCCATTTTCAAGAAGAAAGGGTGGAAGCATCTTGCGCGGATCGATCGAGTCTACGATTCCAGCAGGGCTGTGAAAGAGCTAGGGTGGAATCCGAAATATACATTTGGGAAAACGCTGGAGAGGCTGGCGCGTGGTGAGCAGTGGAGGAGTGAGCTAACTACTAAGGTGGGCAAGAAAGGGTATCACGCTGTGAGCACTGGGGTGTATACCAAGAGATGAGGGGAGTATCCCATCTTCAAACCGTGCCCTGAGGTTTTTCCACCTGCGTAACATTTTCCACAAACGTAGCGCTATACTCTCTTATTATCTGTATTCTCTCCTCTATATTCATCGCTAAACGCATTCTTCCAAAGAGAACGGGAAGGGCGAAGGGGAAGCAGAGAGAGAGAGACTGGTACTCAGAGCTTCAACCAAAGCAAAAACGCCTTCAAACGCTTATTTGGACGACCGAGAGCCGCCTCGACTTTGTCCAGAGTCTCCATCATCGCATCATGCAGCTGCATCACCGTATCGCGCGTGTGAGCCAGACTGCCCGCCTTCTTCATCTCAGCGACAATGTACGCCTTCATATCCGGCGAGAGCTCGCGACCGTTCTCCCGATGGAATAGCAGTCCGCGAATCATGTCCGCGGAAGCACTGTTTTGGAGCGCGTGAAGGAGCGGGAAGGAGAATTTGCCCTCGGAGAGGTCCTCGCAGAAGCCTTTTGTTCCGGTGTACTACAAGCCAGGTTTCAGGTTAGTATTATTTACCAGATCCTTCCCCCCTGCTTTCCGTTTCGTCTCATCCGGGGTAAGGGCTCGGTCTGTCTTACCTCGTCTGATGTTAGGTTCAGATAATCGTCTCGAATCTGGTAGTATCGCCCCATTAGTGTGACGAGGTGCGTCAGGTCGGGGCACGGAGTGGCGCCCGATTCGAGCTCCATGATGCGCAGAGCCATCCTGAAGAAGCCTCCAGTCTTATTGTCGACCATGGTGAGGTACTCGCTTGTCGTTGGGCAGGTCTTGTGGAATTTCCAGTACAGGTCCAGGGCCTGCCCGAGCGCGAGCGTCTCCAATTCGTCTATTCACCATAAGCACTGTTTGAGACAAGGACGAGAAACATGCTCTGGGGGAGAGAGGAAAAGGGGAGAAAGCCGCAGACGTACCCAGGAATGCTGTCTTGCTCTCTGGATGCTTCAGCTGTTCGAGCTCTCGGGTTGCTCTTGCGTAGAGATATGTCGCACTGTTGACAGTCTGTGCCTTGCCGAACACAAGATACGCCGTTGGCTTCCCGCGACGGAGGGTAGAATCATCCTCAATATCGTCAATCCTACCCCGTATTAGTACGCATCGTGGGACTGGCTGATCAGAGTTGATAGTACATGAGAGTGGAGTGGAAGAGCATGCTTGCGACACGCTCAATGACGGAAGCACAATCATCTGGTAACGTAAACCAAGAGCGAAGGCACTCAATGAACTGTGCAATTGTCTTCTTTCCTGGCATTGACTTCGTGTAGTTGTACGGGGCCATACATAACTGATCTTGTCAGTGCATATACAGAAGGTCAGACGAGAGCTCTTACATCCGCCGCTGCAGCCTTCTCAAATGGCGCCAGAATGTCCGCAGGCCCGCTTGGTGGGACGCTGCCAGGCTCTCTGCAGAGTGTCGCCTGAGGATTCTGCTGCTTAAGCGACGCGGGTGGAGGATACCCATGGAGTCTCCAACTGTTCCTACTCCGGCCCACAAGCTGCGCTCTGTCTTCCGCAGTCGTACTCAGCTTGACTCCATGATACTTGGTCAATATGCTCTGCGCATAACAGCCACCCCCGGTGGCCAGGATACAGAGAGCCATGAAGCGACGCATGTCATCTGACTTGTAGGACGGGGAGGCTTTCCACGCCTCGTAGTCAGCGAGAAGCCGTCGCTCAAGGGATAGTATTTCGCTCTTTAGGATGTTGCGCGCCTCGTCTTCAGTGTACCCATAGTTAGCCATCAACACGGCCATCGCATTGTGAATCACGTCGAGGCTGCCACTGCCGGAATGCTCGTCGAACTCCTTGTTGAAACTCTCCAAGTCGTTCGTCAACCCAATTATCAGGCTACAAAGATCCCTCATTGAGGCGACCGACGCTTGGTCGCTTTTGCTAATGCGTAGGTTGTGTATGATGGGCGCAAAGGCGAACACCATGCTGTCACAGTCAGTTCTTCAGCGCCGCATTTCCGTCGCAGACCAGATAGAAATTTGAGAAACCTACTGCCAGGCAACACTGATTGTCCGTTGGTCTTTATAAGCTTCGAATGTCACCTCGTTGAGAGGGGGCACAGTTTGGGATCGCAGGCACTGCACAAACGACTGCAGAGTTGTTTCAAACTCGCCCTCCCCCGGGCCATGATCTTCCAGTAATTTGATAAGTGTGTCGAAATAGAGCTTGTTCATCTCAAACTCGCATGATATGGGGCTTTTGAGCTTCATCTTAGACACAATCGCCAGTGCATAGTCATCCACTAGTGCTTGGTGCTGTCGACGCAGTTAGCAGTCATCCCACATTGGGTGGAATTCAGAAGCACAGGAGAATGCCTTTTCAGTTTCAAGCGTGTCCGTCTCATCTGTCTCTTGCGTTAGAGAAGTAATGATGGAAAATATAATTGGACCGATTTCCAATGAGCGACATACCATCCCAGAGAGAAAGGATGGTTGCAAAACGAAGAAGCTGGGCGAACGCCGCTGGAGGACATTCCGGGCATACGAAGTACACACTCCTTGCATCCTCTCCGTCAAGTTTGAACACATTCGGCTCTTTTCCCACGGCTCGACCAAAGTCGGCCTTGGCCTGTTCGATGGCTTCCATCCCCTCCACGGCTGGTGGGATGCGGAATGGGAGAATGTGGAAATATCCTTCCGGAATGTCGCTGGACTCGGGGGCCCGCGAATACTGGAAGGAGTAGTCATCGAGCGTGTACATTGTCAGGATCGACGGTCTTACAGAAGGATGCGATGTCTGAAGGTTTGGAGCCTGCCAGCCTGGGCAGGAATGCAGGCTGTATAAGTACGAGATCGGGCGTATACGAGGTGCATGAAGCGGGGTTCCCTTCAGTGTTGGCATGCACGAATGCTCTGAGATATCACATCCTAGAAGACCTCTTCTGGTTGAGGTTCCTAGTCCTTCGCAAACAACATCGTCTGGGAGCAGCCCTGACGCCAATTGGAGGAGTCGTTATCTGAGAACGTACGCTGTCGTGGACTCTTCCATTGGTATCTCTACCTACCTAGCCAAGGAGTTTGTCGCAATGGAAAGCGTAGTACGGCGCCGATGACCGCTTGCATATCAGTCTCGTTGGGCAGATTATCGTCAGCGTTGGGTTGGTCATCTCCTCTGCGCCACTTTGCTGGACCAGATGAAATCTCTGCGAGGGACCGTTTACGCGGTTAGTTCATAGCAGTTACAGTTGCACTAGAGGAAGGCCCTGCAGGGGACCGCCATGCGGAGACCCTGCTGGTTGACAGCCATTCCAACCCACACAGCAAGAGTTGCTCGTCAGCGAGGACAACAACCAAATCCCCTCGAAGACCTTTGAGAGATGGAGAGTAAACAGACCATTCCACCCAATATTGGTGCAATGGCCAATGTCAAGAAGCTAGAAATTCTAGGATCGCCGGGTATTCTTGTCTACCCAGCCCTTGTGCTTTACCAAAAGCACATTGCAAACCGTTGTCCAATATATAGATCTAGTGTCGAACAACATTGAAGACTTCTCATAGAAGCCTTCTTTTAAACAGTTAAGAGCACTTGTTTAACCATCACCTGAATCTCAAGTCTTCAGATACCGTTCGATATCTTCAGGTCCCTTCAATTGTTCATACCCATTAACCCTTTGGTCCACCGACGCATTCACTCGCCAGCGGTCCTGGGTCCCCTTTCTCTTCTGGCAACATCTCGGCACTGCGAGGACCTTCTTCCCGATAAATTCCTCTGGATCGACAGCAAATAGAAGCCACTGGTTTGCATAGATGCCGTGATCATCTCCAATCTCAATGATGTTGATCTGCAACACCTCAGGGTTGGGATCATCCGCTGGGACGAGATGGTCAAATGTGACACCATAATAGTCAATCACCCTGCCAATTTCATGAGGATCAGATATAGTTGTCTTCACTATAAAGAATGCTATGAACTTGCCTTTCCGGATACTTCTCAGGCATACAACCCAAGTACTCATCCCGCAGCAGCAGATCACCCGAGACCTCTAGACAAACGTCACGTCCGTATATCTTCTGATACGCCAGCCGTGCTAGCTCTGGGCCCGCTGGCTGCGGGAAGGTCTGGTCAGGAAGATCCAGGCGCCAGGAGATGTCTGGCAGGAGTCTCTGTATGGCGACCAGGGGACCTTCGATTTGGATTCGGAGTGGCTTGTCCAGTGGCGGAAAGTGATGCTTGCCGGGGGGAGTGTGCATGCACAGCGGGATGTACCATGGAAGCGCCATAGTAGGGACGGCCAGCTGGTACCTCTGCTGGGTATGGGATGAGTCTCCTTTGATCTTGAAGGTTAGGGTTGCGGGGCTATGGGGCGTTGAAGTCGGTCAGACCCTTTGAGCAATGCCAATGCTAGAACAATGACCGCCAACGTGATCAAAGAAACTTTCATTATGAGCCTTGTGCACAAGAAGGCCACTGCCAGAAAGGTGCGCACAGCACCGATGAAGACTGAAATGTCAGTACATGGTATACTGTTTGCTGGCTTTCAGACAACTAGTTGTGACTATGCTGAATGTATGTAAAATGGCCGGCCTTTCTAGACCCCATTAGAATAACCCAGACTACCCAATCCTGACCCAGACAGACGTGATAATCATGATCTAGTTCGGTCCAGAGTGCCCTTCATGTAGACCACGCGGCATCACCAAAAAGACGGGCTATGCAGGCAACTAGACTCAAGTCGAATGCACAACCTCCCCCGGTTGTGGGAGACCCATCGCCTGCTCTAGCACCAAAATGATAGATAAGAATGCCTTTTACCATACCATACTAGGAATATTAGTTGAAGTCCATTTATCGCTATGATACACAAACCCAGTAACGACGACGACCCAGTCGCATGGAATCAAAAGCATCGACCGTCCGAACAAAACCAAAGCATCAGAGATAGGGAATAGATGAAGCAGGTGCCAGTTCATCCTCAATTTTTCTGTCCTGCCATTTACACGTCCTTACCACGCATTCACGTCGAAATTCTCCTGCGGCACTAGTCAGATATTGCACTGATAATCACAGGGATGTTAGGAAACTCACCTCCCCATAGTATGTCGTAACAACAGTTCGATCGGAAAACTTCCGGCCTGCAAGCGCCTTCAATGCCTTCGTGGCCGATTCTACCGTGTCGAACTTGACGAAGATCTTGCCAACACCAGGAGACTGACGGCTACCACCAGAGGGACGCGGCACCTTGAGCTCAAGGACCTGACCGTATTTCGAGCACTCTTCACGCACATCCTCGCAAATTTCTAATTAAGTTAGCCAACGACGCCCCATCAATACAGAAGCACTGTGCATACCTTCGTAATCATCATTGTCAATCAGCTCCTCCGCCGTCACCATATTCAGCAACTGCAGCACGCGGCTGGTCTCCAGATCTTGAGACGTGGTCTTTGCGAACATGGACATAGCGTTGACGCCCATGTCCAGTCCAGCGGCCTGCGTCATTCCGATACTGGCACGCACAACCTTGAGAGGACGGTCGCCGATCTCCATTCCGTTCAGACCTTCAACCGCAATGCTCGTAGCTGTAGGATCGGCGTATTCGCAGAAAGCAATTCCCTAGAAAAGTCAGACTGGCGCAGGGACAGGTAGCTGGCAATAGACGTACCCGAGACTCTTCCGTCGAAGCGTCCTTGACCAAAACGAACGACTTCAATTCACCAAAAGATTTCAACAGCATGATAACAGCCTCCTCCTGGATATACTGGGGGATGTTCGAGACGCAGATCTTGTTGGGCGAGTCAGGGACTTCGTTCAACAGAACTCCTTCCTGGTACTCCTGGTCCGCACTGCCGTTGGGGACGATGTAGTCCTTCGGACGACGTACTTCCAGGCCCTTGACTTCACCTTTACCGGCACCGTCCATAGAAGCATGTTCATCCATCGTGATTCCGTCGAATGCAAGGGCAACCGTAGCCTCGTTAGGCGACTTGAATTCCAAAAGGGCAAACGAGTGGTCATCGGAAACCTGCGCGGAAATGCAGGGATCCACACTCTGGACGACATTCAGGCCATTTAGCTGAAGGTTGAAGAACGACAACAGCGCCTCGCCTGTGACGTTCGGGGGGATATTGTAGACAAACAGTCGCTTGGCCTGGCGCGAGTGCGACGGCTTCAGCGAGGCGGCATCTGCAGACCCAGTGGTAGATTGGTTCATGAAAGCCTGCAGACGACTGGGATCCATGGGCTGCTGTCGGGGCGCACCGGGAAGGGGAAACATGCCTGTCCAATGAGCCATCTATCCTAGAACCAAAACGTAACATCAACAGCCGGATCAAGGGTCCAATCTCACCTGACAACTTGGCCTGCTCCGCCGTAACATTCTCATATCCGGGTGGCTTAATATCCCATTGCGTCAGACGGCGTTTCCGATGTAGGACAGAGACCACATCTGTCAGGTCGGGGGTGGCCTCGCGCTTGCGCGGAGGGGACATGCTCCTCCGACGCTCCCTTCTGTCGCCGCGGTCCCGGTCGCGGTCGCGCTCTCTGTCTCTGCGAGGTGGTCTCTCCTCGAGTAGGTCGCGGTCGCGGTCGCGGCGCGAAGATCGGTCATCGTACTCTCTGCGGCGGCGGTCGCCACGGTCTCGGTCCCACTCGCGGTCGTCCCTCCGGCTGGAGTAGCGGTCTTCCCGTTCGCGAGCGCGGTAGTCACGACTGGACGAGTAAGTATCATGTTCAATATCGCGACGGGAACTTCTGGAACTGTAGTGCGGAGATCTAGACCTTCTTCTGTCCCCTCTGTCTCCGCGCTCCCGTCGCTCGTCGCGCTGGGCGGTGTTAGCTGGGCCTCGGCGTGGTTCGTCGCTCAAAGAATTTTGATTACTTACGTAGTAGTCCCTCGAGCGACCCGAATCTAGGAAGCGACATGGTCAGTATAAAGGCGCTCCTGGGTTGCACGCAAGGCGTGAGCTCACCTCTGGAAGAATACGTATCGCCGTTCATTCTGGGCTCAATCGGCTTGGTGCCTCCGTCTCCCGTATCAAAAGAATAAATGGCGACTGTCAGTTCGACTTCCGCAAGTGACAGGAAGCAAGAACGCGCCCTGATCGCAATGAGGAAGATGGCGAAGGAGCTGCAGGTATGAAGGAAGCTGCGCGGAGGGAAAACTCGCAGACGATCAGGGCCTCGCGCCACCGCCTTCTCTTTCAAACGCCGCCCGGCAGAATCGGGCCTCGCCCCAAACCGCCGACATACAATTCCTAGACGACAATGATACTTCACAATTCCTTCATTTCTCTGGAGTCATGACAGTGGGCGCTTTTTCCGAGTGGCGAAAACTGCCCGTGAGCCTCAGTGAACTTTGCATCAACACCACCCTCCGCTGTGGGCAATCCTTCCGGTACAGTCTCCCCCGTGGCTGCGCAAGAAGCGCCTACTAACTTCATATCCAGATGGCAGAAAGTCCCCGACACCGATGAATGGCGATGCGTCCTCCACGGACATCTCCTCTCCCTTAAACAAGACCCATTGCATCTCTACTACCGAACCTACCGCAACACCGCACCCTCACGCCCCATCCCTACACCTCCATCCTCAGACAAACCCGCCACCGAGCCAACAACCCAAGAAGACACCACCACCCTCTCCCTCCTAGCCCACTACTTCAACCTCTCCTCAAACCTCACATCCCTCTACGAGCAATGGTCCGCTCACGACGCCAACTTCCGCAAGAAAGCCCCCCAGTTCACAGGCGTGCGCATCCTACGCCAGGACGCCTGGGAAGCGCTCGTATCCTTCATCTGCAGTAGCAACAACAACATCGCGCGGATCTCTCAGATGGTCGAGAAACTCTGCCTCCACTACGGCCCGCACATCGCCACCCTCGACGGCCGCGCGTACCACGACTTCCCTGCGCCGGAGGCCTTGACCGGCGACGATGTCGAGCCCCGTCTGCGCAGTCTTGGCTTCGGGTACCGCGCGAAGTACATCTACCAGACGGCGGTGATTGTGGCGCAGCAGCGCGAGAAGGGGTGGTTGGATTCGCTGCGGAACCCGGAGGCCCCTGCGTTTGGGGTGGGTGGTTCCGGGGAGGGCACGGAGGAGTCGGTGGAGATGCGGCCGGAGGGAAGACAGGGATATCGCGAGGCGCATGAGAAGCTACTGGAGTTGCAGGGGGTTGGACCGAAGGTCGCGGATTGTGTTTGTCTGATGGGGCTGGGATGGGGGGAAGCTGTGCCGGTGGATACGCATGGTGAGTTTGTTGACGATGCCGGGTATGTGCGCGACGTGCTGACATGGACAGTGTGGCAAATCGCTCAGAGGGATTACAAGTTTGGCAAGGGATCGCACAAGTCCTTGACCAAGGCTACATACGACGCTGTCGGGAACCATTTCCGCAAGCTTTGGGGCAAGGAGGCCGGCTGGGCGCATAGCGTGCTTTTCACGGCGGATCTCAGGACGTTCTCCGACAGGCTGGTCGCGTCGAAGGAAGTGAAGGTGAAGGTGAAGACCGAGGATGAAGAAGTTGAGACGAAGACTAGCGTTGCTGTGAAGAGGGTTGCGCCTTCGAATGGAGTGAAGACTGAGGATGAAACGAAGGACGAAGTCAAAGCTATCATCGAGACGACTGAAACGACGAGGCGATCGTCGAAGCGTCTTCGGAAGCGCTAGACTTACACTACTTTGCATAGAATAGATATGTATGTATAATATCTTCTACATTGTACAATGATACCCGTTATTATACACTACAAACGCCTTATGGCAGTATCTCGTGAATTACGGCCAGCTTAGAACAGAGAGGTGGACAGGAGCGAATGATGGTCGTCGCAGCATGATAGACAGTATTTCTTTCTAATTGCCATCTAGGATTACACCAGCTTCTAGGTCAAGTCCATACTGTAGTATCTAAGTAACGCCGGCGACGTGGGCTAGGCGACCGGCGCAGAGGCGATGAGTTTACCCCTAGGTCAATAGGCTGTCGTTGGCATCGTCACCCAGATCAATCTGGAAGACTGCCAGCCTCGCTGGAGAGTGACATATTCTGCCGCTCAAGGTCCAAATCCCGTTGTAGTAGTCGTCATTTTGCACACTAAAAGTCTCGCAGCCGTATCGCATTCTAACCGTCATCCTGATCGAGGTCATCTCTCGTTCGCTTCCGGTTCCGGGGACCGCGACCCTTGTTATCTTTATCCTGCATATCCCTCATCGTCAATGCTGCGACCCGCTGCGCATCGTTCACTCGCTCCGCAAAGATCATGACCTCGTCCTTCTCGGGCTTATACTCTTCTACTTTCTTCCCCAGCGCGTCTTCAATCCGCAACCACAGCTCCACCTCGTACTGTGTGACGAAGGAAAAGGCAATACCGCTCTTGCCTGCACGGGCCGTCCGTCCCACCCGATGAATGTAGGTCTTGCTGTCTTGCGGGAGATCGTAGTTTAGAACGTAATCGACAGCCGGGATATCCAGACCACGGGCTGCAACGTCCGTGGCGATGAGCAGGTTGCGCGACCGCGCGCGGAACTTGTTCAACGATGCCAGACGGGCGCTCTGCGACAGCTGACCGTGAATAGGGATAGCTGGGAAACCGAGATTCCGCAGCATGATAGACAGGCGCTGCGTTTCGTGGACGGTGCGGGTGAAGATGATACCCATCTGGCCGGCACGCTCGTTGAGCAGGTACACCAGGTAGAAATCCTTGAATTTGTGCGGGATGAAGAGGTAGGACTGGAGGAGCTTGGAGGCGGTCTGGTTCTTTGTCGAGACGGAGACGCGGACCGGGTCGGACAGCGAGGCGCGCTGGAGGGACTCGACTTTGCTAGACATGGTCGCGGAGAACAGATACGTCTTCCGCTTCGGCAAGAGTCGGAGGAGCTTATCGAGGATGGGTCCAAAGTCCAGGTCGAGCAGTCGGTCCGCCTCGTCGAGGACCAGGTATTTCAGCGTTCGCAGCGAGAAGCCCTTTGTGTTTTCCAGATGGTCCAGCAGTCGTCCCGGGGTCGCAACGATGACGTGCGGCTTCTTCCCCAGGGCGATCGCCTGCGAGATCATATCCATACCGCCGATGAGGAGCGTGCATCGCACGGAGATCCGGGCGCCCAGCGCTTCCACCGTGTGAGCGATCTGCTGCGCCAGTTCTCGTGTCGGCGCGAGAATGAGCGAGTGAAACTGCTGAGGTTTGTCCATGAGGGCTTGGAGCATCGGGAGCACGAACGCTGCTGTTTTTCCACTACCGGTCTCTGCGAGACCAATTAGGTCTCGCCCTTCCAAAGCGATGGGAATGCAGCGCTCTTGAATCGGTGTCGGTGCCGTGTAGCCCAGCTCCTCACAGGCTTCACATAGTGAGTCTATCACACCCAGCTCTCGAAAGGTCTTAGGGGCGGTTGTGGTTGAGGGCGTTTCGGTGTCCGGAGAGACCTCCTCTGGTGAGGAATCTCGAGAAGAGTTTTTGCTCATCTTTATGAGAGGTGGGATCGAAAATAATTCAACAGACGTAGTGCAAAAGAATACTCTGTTGTCGCGAGCACAAAAAATTTAGAGACGCGCGGAACAATCGATGATCCGGGCTTATCAGCTTATCGGTGTCCGGGGTGCTTACATATGTAGCCACGGTCTAACTATTTCCCGTGCCGAAGTATACAGATGCGCAAGAGATATTCCCTTGGAAGAGTATGCGCCGTTCCATATCTGAGCTCAAAGCTATGTCCAACCCCGAAACTGTCATATGCCTCGTAATTATGCGTCCTGATCAGTATCTGTATAATCCTGAATCAACCCATCACATCTCTCCACACAGTAACAACACCATCCACCCCCGACCGAAGCACCCCCAGCGCCTTTTCTTCCACATCACGGACGAAAAGCGAAGCAGACTCTCCATCTACTTTATGCGCATAGACTGCCGCTGCCACACCTGCCATTCCCAGACCAACCGACACAGCAACTACAGTACCAACCGCGCTCCGTCTCTCCCTTTGTTGCGACTTACCCGGCAGCCACACAGCGCTCGACTTGAACACAAAGTCCCGTGAGAACGGGAAGAAGATACTCCGCAGCCAGAACTTGAACTGCCAGTCCGGGTAGAGCATGGTATTGCGGCCGGTGCGTGCATCAATATACCAGCTCGTGCAGCCGGTGGCCCAAACCAACTTGCTCGCTTCGCTCTGGATCCACGCGTTGTCCTGCTGCTCAGCCTCAGGCGTCACCGAGACGGTGTCTGGTGGGGAGCGGCCGGCGAACGGGTTCAGGATTGACAGTGGAGACGGGTACAGCGAGCGCATAATCGGTTTGAGAACGCGCAGGGCAAAGTTAGTCTGGCATTCGACCGAGTAGATGACCGAGAGATGGCCCGTCGTCGTGTTGGGGCCCATCAGGATGAACAGATTCGGGAATCCCGACACGCAAGTGCCGTAGTATGCCTGCGCCGAGCCGGAGGAGAACTTCTCCCACTGTGTATACATGCTCTTATCAGCCTCTGTCTTCATCAGACTCATTGCGCAGTAGGGAACAACGTACGTGTTCGTTCAAGGTAACGCCCTTCTCGCCGCGAATGACGAGCGGATGCAGCAACTGCTGCGTTTTGAACCCGTTGGCGAGGATGACTGCGTCCGCGCGCACGTCTCTCCCAGACTCCGTGCGCACCCCGGTCTCGGTGAGGGTCTGCACGGGATCATCATAGACCAGCTCCATGTTCGGGCGATGCAGACACGCAAGGTAATCCGTGTCAAGCACCTTGCGCTTGCATCCGATCTCCGTCGTCGGGACGAGAGCATCACGGTATCGTGCCGGTGCCGTGCGCCGGATATACTCCGTCTGCACTCGCTTCTGCTCGTCGCGCAGGGCGGCCCCCGTCGCCGAATAGAACGCCGCGAAGTCGCGCTCCATTAGGTAGTATAAGTAAAAGCGATACGCGCGCATGGCGAGCGGCACGTACCGCATCGTCCACTTGAACAGGGCGGAGTACTCCGGGTTCGGGCGCTCGGCCAGCCAGTGCGCCTGTCGGCTGAACTGCACGACCTGTCGCGCGGCGCGCCGGCCGGCCGTCAGAATCGGCACGAACTGCGTCGCGCTGCATCCATTGCCTGTCGTCTTTAGCAGCGTGTCAAGGTGGAGTCCGTCAGGGTGGTATACTCACCCACCACGACGACGTCCTTCCCCGCCCAGTCGAAGGAGTGATCCCACCGCGCGGAATGGAATACCCGTCCCTGGTACTTTTCCACACCGGGGATCTCGCAGTCTCGCGGCACGGACAGCGCTCCAACGGCCGAGATGAGCACCCGCGCGCGGCGCTGGTACACCCGTCCACTGCGCTGGTCCAGCACGGTAACCAGCCATGTGCCGGACAACTCGTCGAAGGCGGCCTCCTGCACGGTCGACCGGAAGCGCACATTACGCGGGATGTTGTACTGGTCCGCGACGGTGCGACAGTACGCGGCGATTTCAGGCTGCAAGGCGAATTTACGGGACCAGTCCGGGTTGAGGGCGAACGAGAATGAGTAGAAATGGGATGCCACCTAGATGCATGCTACCGTGAGCATCAAGTGTACCGCCGAGCAGAATAGCCGGAAGAAAGTGAATGCAGCGAACAGACGATAGACAGGTCATACATCACATCCGCACCCGGGATACGTATTCACCCACCACGTTCCACCGACGTTGTCCGTCTTCTCGATGATCTCGAAGCTCGCCTGCGGATACTGCTTCTGCAGTTGGATGGCGAAGCCCAGGCCCGAGAACCCGGCGCCGATGATGATCACGTCGGAGTCAACAGACATTGCGATGGGGTGGGACGATGGTATGTCAGTTTGTACTTCGTAGAGACGACCGTAGCTTCCACCGAACCACTTGTCCTCCCCGCGTTTTTATACCATCATATCCCGAGGGGTAGCACGATTTGATCCTTCGGTCCAGCCCTGTTGGTAATCAACCCCTCATTGAACTCGTCTCGAGCCCATCGGGGGTCCTGCAGTGGTGTGTCGGAGAAAATCCGACTAGTCCTCGCGCGAGAGATCAATACCATGCCCAGAAGCGCTGTGTAGAACAATCCATGTAAACATGAGCGGGTGAGATGCGCATATCTTGCCGAGGATGTCACAATCACGACTTGGAAAGCCACACTCCGCCACCCACTCGGTCGGTCTGTCAATCAAGGGTGGAACTCCATACCGGGACAATTGCCGCAGAGGAAGCACGCCAGCAAGCCCTAAAAGATAAGAGAAAAGAACGGCCCAAACCCATGTCGGCCCCATTTTTCTGAAGATCTGCAACGTTTCCTGACTGGCGAGGAACGGCGACGGAGCCTGAAATTTTCGTCTGGATCTGCAGGACAGAAGATGCGCTGGTCGGAATACTTGCCCTGTGATGTCACTGGGGCCCTGCGACCGATCAAGGACGATGTTCAGCAGGTCTGATGGGGTCTGGTGGCTGCTGGAATGCTGGCAGACCCGCCATGGCGTATCGGATAGACATGATGGAGCATCGGTGGGGAGGGATGGAACCGGGATGTGCAGAACAACTGCAGAAGCGCTGGGGTGAAGCTTCCCCACGACGGGCAACTCAGCCGAGCCCTGATGAACTTCTGCACGCCTAAAATGAAGATCTCGCGCCAGTTTTCGCTCGCACTTTTCCTACGAGTTTTCCTGCAGAACGCACTTGTTCTTTTATTCTCTCTGGAGAGCTCGTTTCGCATCTATTACTCGCTGTACACCAATTCAACGCTAATGCAAACGCAATGACCGAGTGAAGGAGTGTATAAAACCATCATTAGACCGCATCATCTTCTTGCTGAGCAGGCTAAATGCAAACCAACCCAAACCGAAAACAAAACCACATGGTATCATCGGGAATCACAATAACTAATGGTGAGGCTGCAATGCCTCGGCGCAGGTTCGCCGCAGCCAGCTTCCAGAGGCAGTGGAGGGCATCCATACCCTCTCTGGATACATCCGCCAGATAGCCAGGATACATGGCCTGTCTGAACAGACGACGCAGCAGACACGGCAGTTAAGAGAGTCCTGGTCGTCCCAGAACCGGTCCCGTTGCGATGAGCTCAGATGGAGCTACCTCGGCTGACGGGGTATAAATCTTCATATCTGTGACCACTCGACCACGCAGTCGTCGAAGAATCCGTCCTAGACACGAGGTCAAGAAACACCCGCATCGGCAGGACCCTCGTTCCACCCCCATTCACGGAGCAATTGCTTGACGCGATACTCTGTCGCCCAGCCCAGCTCGTCTTCGATTCCCTGCAGCAATTGGAGAACCACCCGTCGTTCCCGGGTATCAGTGAGACACTGGCCGCTGACAAACAGCGGTTGCAGAGAGTTGATGCGGACAGATCCCTCCGGACGTGCCATGGAGATGCCCACAATTTCTCGACTGTGGAATCGGATCTCACTTTCAATAGAGCGATACGAGTTGAGCCGATTGGTGATTGTGCTGCGTCTACTGGTCGACTCATGTGGCTTATTGATGAGCAGAAGAATGCGCGCCATATGGTAGTGCTGCATCGCTGACGAACACACTGGAAGGCTGTACCAGATCTCCGATAACGCAAACCCATCATCTGCCTCCCCCTCTTTGGGGACGGGCAACCGTGCGCAGGGTCGAAACGTGTCCGGCAATCCGTTGTACCAGACGTCGAGTTCGGTCTCGAGACGATACCACCGCTCGAGTAGCACCTGCTGCGACAGACCTATGGGACCAGGATCGACAGGACCGTGCTCCAAATGGAGGTTATCGCCAGCAGTGGTGAAGTTGACTATTTTCGACATGATCCAGATTAAAGCATTGCCGATTAGGTCTTCCTTCATGACATCGTCACCTTCCGGGTACCCCGCCGCATGCGTATTACTGGGGCGTACGAAGCCCATATTATCAATCTGAAGGCCAGCTTCAGTCCACAACACCAAGTCGTCCGTATTCAACCGGGTCTGGCAATCGTTGATAAACGCTGCCAGGTAATCCTGCCGAGCAAAGTTCCAGAACGTGGCTTTCCGCGCCTTGGACAGTCCACCCTTTTTCCTTGGCGGGAAAGGAGTCGCGGCGGGGGACGGACGTTGTTCCAGCGGCATCATACCTACCTCAGCGACATCCAACAGCGACTTCACCCCGCTCAGATGACGATTCCACGCAGGACCCGTGGCATCGAGGAACTCATACACCGACAAGATCGCTGTGGCGGCAAGAATTTCATCTGAATGGACGCCGTTGGAAAGGCGACTCTCCGAATAGCGTCGTCGGCGTTTTCGAGGGTTGTCATTTTCCTCACATAGCTCCGCCGCCTGCCACTGACCAAAGGCCTCGGGTGTGCTCAACGGTGCGGGTCCTTTGTCGGGCTGCAACTCCTTCATCAAAAGTTGGATGGCCTTCTCATAATACTTGGCGGCGGAATAGGTCCAGTCCACGCTCTTCCCGTCTGGCCGAGTCTCCATCTTGCATTTCTTAAAGCCGGCCTCCGTCACAGGGGGTTGGGGAATTTTGACGCGGCCCAGCTGTTTCGCCGCATATGCACATGCAGCATGTTTCAACAAGGGATTCGACATTGCACGCACCGGAACGTACGACGCGAAATAAGTACCTAGGTCAAACAGGTCCATCCTATCCGTCGATTAGCGGGACCAGTCATTTAGTATCCATGGAGATCGTCCCAACGTACCAGAGTCCTGGGGACTGAGAGAAATGTCGCAGAAGGAACATCACCTCATGATCCGTCTCAGCCGGCATCTCGGGCTTGACCTCCGCGGCGGGACGGGAGGGGGCTGACCGAGACATTAACGACGAGCTTCTACGTTCCGTGCGTGGCTGCATGCTCGGGTCGACTGGGGGCGATAGCGACTGGGAAGGATTAAGGAGGAAGTTGATATTATTGTTGTTGTTGGATGAGGTCACGGAGATTGAGGGGGAAGGCTGAGAGGGGAGCGCAGTACGCGCCTGGTTGGGAGAAGGCCCGGATGAGATCGAGGCCGCGGGGATGCTATTAAAGGGCGTGCTATTGTCTGGGGTCCCTAAAGCCTGTTGGTCGACACCCAGAGGGGGATAGGACAGACGATCGTGAGCGGCCGCGTTGGATAAGGCGTCGAGGCCGTGCGTCCTGCCATCGGCGGGGGAAGTCCGGGACAGACTCCAGTCGCGGTTTTGGCTGGCAGCGAGAATAGCGGCTTCGGACTCTCCCAGAGCCGCCTCAAGGTCTTCCGCGTACGGATCGGAGTTATCGACGAATATTACTACACAATCGAGACACCCAAACGTTAGTCCATCGGCCCGGTTCGCCCAACCTCGGCTAGCACGCCAGTCACGCGGGCGGTTGAGTGATGCCTACCGTGCTTCGGTATGTCCAGCCAGACGCTATCCTTATCGAAGGTATTCTTGTACGAATAAAACCCCTTCAGACTCCCACGACCGTTCTCCGGATCGTCTAGATCCTTGTTCATGGAGGCATTCTGCTGGTGCCGAAAGACGATACCTTCACTCGGACGGCAGACCCGGGACCCTTTGCGACACTGGGAACATTCCGGTTTTTGCTCGTCACCTATGCGATGGCCTTAGCGATAATCCTTCGGCGAGATTCCGTGGGGTAGGCGTCGATAGACATACATTTGAGTTTGCGAGTGCGGCACGTCAGACTGTGTAGTTCAAAACGCACGGTCAGTTTTGTTCCATAATCATACTTCCCTTGTTGTCGTGGCACCAAGACAGAGGTCCAGAAGAAGAGGTGATGGCTGTCCAGAGTATTTCCGTCGTGGTGGTGGTGGTTGTGGTGAATACGTACCAGCCTGTGCGGGATCGCATACCGGATGGTAACGATGGCGGTTGAGCTGCAGCATCGAAAGGCGGGATTCGGACCAATAATATAACGAACGAAAGGAATCAAAAAGGCAGGGGAAGGAGTCGCAGACGGGACTGGGATTGCCCCAGCCGATCACCGAGAAGCGTATCACCAAGACGAAAGGGGGGATGATTAGATGCTTGGAAGGGGGGCAAACAGGCGAGGGGGTTTAATCGGGATTCAAGAAGGCGGAGGAGCGCAGAACGGGAGAACAGAAGGGCCCCGAACACCGTGTCTAAAACCAGCTGGATAAGTATTAAGAGCGATCGGAGATCAAAGCGAACAGCGTGGTGTCGTCGACCGGGATCGCATTCATGATTAGACGCCAGAAAGCGGAAAAGGAGAAACTGGATGGAGAAGTCGAAAAGTTCACCCCGAAAGAGAAAGCGGGGAAATAATGCCGTTCCGTTGGAAAGTCTGGGCAGGCTGACTCAGCCGCGCGCGCTCTGGGGAAAACAAATCCGGAGAACCTCACCCTCTTCTTCCCCCTGCAGACTTCTTTCGCTGGTGAGATTCAATCTCAGTGACTCTCTCAGATGGCTATCGAGCCCTTTCTCAATCCACGCATCCGTCGATATCCACGATACCCTCACCGCGAGCACCTCTCTCCGTAACTCCCCACCCCCCGATCCTCACTAGTCTCCTCCGGATTCGCTCTCCAGCCTGGACCACCACCAACCATCGATCCCTCCCCACGCAACATGACCTCACGATCGGCACAATCATTCCCAGGTGGATTTCCTCGACTTCATCCAGATTGCATTATTCGCTTGCGAACAGCCTGACATCTCACAGGCGCTCGGGACGAGATCCCCTCCGGCCCCAGTCTCCAGTCACGGCCAACCCAGACTAATATAGATCGGATCCACTCCGGCGCAGACGGGGCTTCGCTTGTGGTACCAGCATCCTCCCCATCTTACGATGATACCAATTCTGACAGTCAGGAATTCAACATTATTGTCATTACCGCGATCTCGCGCGGGCTATGTACATGTCTGTCCTCGCGGTAACATGTCATCGACTCAACCGCAAAATACACAATAGTACACGCATCCAACGAAGGATTTCATAAACAAAGACGGGCGATATCGACACGAAAGTACCCGTCACATACAGTAGAATGGGAATCAATGCGCAAAAACTCATGGAGCAAAAAAGATCTCCTGGGATATCAAACCGGAGTATAGAACGGTAGATGCAAACAAGAACAGAGAAGAATTAATAAAGGGTATAAGACAGATTGTTTCCCAAGAACGCCGTTCTGAGATGGAGATTCAAAGATCGAATGTTCTTCTTTTTAGATCGTAGATTGCTCTGGACCGTGTTATATCGTCGGCGCAGCGGGGTTGCGGTTCTTCAACGTGTTGAAAAGATACTCCGGAGGCAGACGCTGCATGTTCGTCGACCGGTCGGTTTGCGGACCCGGCACGTATCCCTGACGGCGACGCTGAATCTTATTGAAGATCACGCCCGCGATGACAATCAGGAACACGCATCCGAGGGCACAGCAGAACGATACCAAAACAACAATTCCGTTGGAATGGTGATCGCCTAGGGTCGAGTTAGCATAATCATTTGACGTCAGTAATCGCTATTTAAACTCACCTTCCCGGGTGTAAGGATTTTTATTCTCGTAGAACAGCTGCGACACTCGACCGTGTTGGCCACCCGACGTCGACGTGAGGATAAAAGGAGTCAATGCAGTTCCGTTGAAGAGAGCAGCAGATGCATGGCCGAAGTTCGGGATCACCAATTTACCGGTGACCAAAAGCATCTGATCGACGTTCAGGAGGTCAACATTCTCGTGATCCTTGGAGATAGGAAGGATTTCCAATCCTCGAATGTCCGTGCCGTCACCGAAGATCTTGTCGGCAAACCGGAAGCCACTGCCGTCGTAATTGACGAGAAAACTCGATCCGTCGTCAGATACTCCGGCGAGCCAGAACTTCGACACGTCCGTGCTGGCGGGAGTGAAAGCGGTGACAGTGCCAGGGATATCAGAACTCGACGCTCCGTCGAACGACTTCCAAACCTGGCCCTTGGTCGTGTAGGTCGCAACGACGGACTTGTTCCCCTCAATTTCAAGGTCGCCCACGGCAATCATGTTGTTATTGGACGTCCAACGGATCGCGAGCACATGGCCAGACAGGGCCGCACCGGGCCGAGACCATTGCTGCTCGTCCGAATCATAAAAGCAGATGCCTGGGCAAGGAAGTGCGCCAGCATTGTCAAATTGACCAGCGAAGTAGATCTCCTTGGAGTTCGGACGAGTGACGATCGACTTTACAGTCACGGTTTCGCCAGTGAAGCGCGGGGGCTGTGTTTCAGCGAATGTTCCGTTCTCCAGATCATATACGACGAAACCACCAAGCGCTGAGTCTCCCACGTGTCCCGTGACATTGCCACCAGCGTAGAGAGTGTCACCGGAAACGACAAACGTCAAGAAAGTCGAGTTGCTATCAACACCAGATCCCAGACCGCTGATTGTGCCCTCGTTGCCATCAACCATAGCAAGGTTGTGGATTTGGGAACCATTGCTGGCAGTAGTGGTGAAACGGCCACCGAGAATCGTGAGATTGCGGCCGGAACTGGTATCGTAGACACCAGTGTAGGTTGCACCGGTAGTGTTCGACTTGGGGAGCAAGGGCGTCAGCCCCAATTCGTCTTCGTGTAGCAGACTAACAGAGCTTCCGACCGAAATACCCCCCGACGCAAGGTTGCCTGCCAGGATGGTGATGTTTTCAGCTCTGGTCACGGCGGACAGATGTCCACTGAATCCAAACTGGGTGATGTTAAGATTCTGGAGCCAGTTCTTGCGGGATGGCAGCCAGACGGCAAACCCGTTGACGCTGCTCGACGGTATATCGTCAAATCCAAGTAGCTGGTCGAAATTGCCGCTCACCCCGATCGTGGTCTCATTTAGGTCGGCGGAAACGTTCAGTGATAGGGCAAAGACACGGTCAACAGGGCCGTTGACTCCTCCTCCAAGCGCCGTCCAGGTCTTGTCATTGAACGAATAGGCCGCCACATGCTTCAAGTTGCTGTTGCTACTGTCAGACGTGTCCGTGAAATTTCCGCCTACATAGAGGAGACTGTCCAACACGGCCATCGAGGCCACCTTTGAGTTGAGGCCCTGTTGGGCCATTGCAGTGGCGTTGCCATCCTCATTCAAGAACATGATGTTTTGGATGCCAGAGCCGGAGAAGTTTCCTGCAACATAGACAACGCCATCGTGGCTGACCAGACTCTCAACGGAGGCATTCTCATCCAGTTTCGTTCCAGCATTGTTGATGGCAGATGAGGAGAGGTCGGTATTGGTGTTGTTTGAGTTAGGGTTGAAGTCGTACAACCCATTCAGCTCCCCACTCAGACCTCCCGAAGCGTGGATCAAATTGAACTGGACTCGGGACGCGACGACGGTGATATCACCCTGGCCAGCCACGGGGGTCAAGGTGACCCTGGGGCGGAAGGACTCATCGCTAGCGTCCACATGGCCGGTGTAGATGACGTCAAATTTTTCATACAGGTTTGTCTGATAGATTCGCTTCTCGACGGGATCAGAGTTGCTGGACACAGTCGCAGTGACATTAACAACGCCGCGAGACTCGCAGGTGCCATCCTGACTACACCCGGGCGTCCAAAGCAAGATCGAATATCTACCGGACCGCTTAACATCTGGCATGAACACAACCGAGGTGTCAGTTGTGGTAGAGTCGGTCACATTGGCTGTCAAGTACTCGGACTGGCTTTCGTCCGTATCAGTGGTGGTCCATGAGCCAGTGTTGGAGGATTTAGACGGTTCCTCGATACCGGCACAAGTTGGCTCGTTGAAGTCGTTGATGGCATATGCGACGGTCTCATTGTCGTAGAGCTGAATTCCATTCAAGCCCGCTCCAGCCCCGTACCAGCCCAGAACTTCCAGCATGAACCCGGACATGCCGACGGTGTTTACGAACTTGAAATCGCGGTAGAGCTCGTCGGTGCTGTCGGACAAGGGGCAGGACGAGTCGCAGTAGACATCGTCACCGGTATCGGGATCGGTGTAGGTCAAGTTCATTATGCCATTGTCCGGGAGACGTCTAAAGAGAAAAGACTTGGTGCCCCTTCCCTCCAGATGGGTGTTGTATAAACGAAGCTTGGTGGGGTAGAATTCGTACCGCATATCTGCTCTCCAGTATCCAGGTGAGTAGTCGTCCAGGAGCCAGGTCTTGCCTTCGCCGTCGGCACCGCTAGTCTGGCAGAGGATGTTCCGGGGATCGGCGTAACCGCTTTTCGAGGAGATCGCATCGGAGGAGATGTTGGCGCTTGGGAGGTTGACGATCTGCAGGGTCTTGTCGGAGGAGGTTGCATTACCGATGCCATCAAACGCACCGCCGAAGATGATGTGGCCATCGTCATTCTTCAGAATCGAAGTCACGGCGCCATTGAATCCCTCAAACTCCAAGCTCGACCATCCCTGATCCACCACCCATACGGCGGCGTTGGTACTGTTCTTGTACTGGAACTGGCCACCCACATAGACGCGGTTCGTCTCCTGATCGCACAGAACAGCGGATACGGAGCCGGTGAGACCGGGGAGAGCCGTCACCTTGGTCGTGTTCGGATTGAACAATGCGGCGCCCGGAGATTCAACTCCACCCAGGCGAGTGAAATTGCCGCCAATGAAGATACCAGCGAACGAACCATCCTTCTTGGTGAAAGGGCACATCGCACGGATGGCGGCGTCGGAATCGGCAAGGGTCGTCATGATCCCGTTGGGAAGAGGCGTGAGGAGGGATTGGGTGTCATTTTCGGGGGAGGGGGTGTGTGCCTGTTCGGTATAGGCGTAGAAGGTCGCCGCATCGAAGTCACCAGCAAGGGCGACCTGGCCGAGGGGTCCGAGGTCGAGGTCCGGCTGGGATACGGAGGTGAAGGACAAGCCGTGGGCGAGATGAATAAGAGTCGACAAGCCAGCCGTCGCAGGCCCAAACAGTGAGGGGAACCTCATTGTCCAGGGGCGCGACGACAGGCGGAAAGCGACGGCGACACTCTGGGGTTAGATAACGAGGGAAGTTGATCGGAAAGAGCCGAGCGATATAAATGTGAAAAAATGCAGAGCGAAAAGTCAAAGTCTTATTGTAAGAATTCCAGCGTGGAGAGACGCGCGGGAGAGAAATCAGGAGGTGCGGAAAGAATGTAGGAAACCAAAGGACCTCCAATAGGAGACCCGGCGGAAGAATGAAGGACGGAAAAGAAAATGATCGAAAGAGAGGAAAAAAAGAGTGACTGACACTCGACGTTCCTTGGGAACGAACGGAGTGACTGGAGAACAAATCAAAAGGAACGACAACGACAACAGACAACGATGACAACGAATGGACGGGATGATGGGTCGAGAGAGGCACAACAGGGGCTGTGGGTGTTTGTACCGGCAAAGCAGAGGCCCGGACTATCGTTCCGCCGGGCTGCACGGGCTACTGACTCGCCAGCCACTCGTGCGTCCGCGGTTCCACTCTAATCTTATTATTATTATTAGCACCAGCCAGTATTCATAAATACTCAAAGTCTTCTATTCCATCTTATTCTAGATTCTACTTATTGTTCTACAATATTGTTCTCTTAATTATGATCCGATTATACCTATATTCTAATAACTAATAATGATACAATAGTCATCCACATTACCCGCCCGGGCGGACACATTCCATTCCAAGCTTAAGTATCCTCCTGGCACTTCTTACATCACCGTCGCGTTCCTGCAAATACTTCACCCGTCCGATCGCGTTGCCGCATTCCCAGTAGGTACCCATACACGCTAGTCCAGCCTCATTTCTACTAGTTACCCTTTGTACTCTCTCCTTCTTAGGACCTATGCAGTTATACATCTCAGAGGTATTTTAAGAAACCAAGTCCCAGCCACCTAGGTATTACCCCAGCCGACTATGCCGAAGATTCTCGGCTTCTAGTTTCCAGCCATGAATGGTATAGAAGATGCACACCGAAATAGGGTCGTTTAATTGCCACCTAATCGGCCCACATCTGCACCGAAATATAACCTAAGTCTTACTCTGTAACGTGGTCGCCAACCTTAGTACCTAGTCGTACCTATCAAAGCACAGCCTCCAAGGTAGGTAACCATCTAACCACCTCACGACATTATCCTAACGCAAAGTAGACAGACCTCACACAACAGAAAGCGACTCCTATTAATAGACTACCCACTCATGCATCCACCACCGCATCCACCTCAATTTCCACCAACATCTGTTCATCCACAAACCCATTCCGCACCACAATCATCGTTGCCGCCGCGCCCACGTCCGCCGCATTATCATGCTTCCCCAAGACCTCACGGAATCCCTCCCCCACCGCCGTACAGTCCGCCGGGTCGCCCACGAACATCCGCACCCGAACAATGCTCTCCTTGTTTCCTCCTAAGGCGCGCACGGCCGTGACACACTCCTCCAGCGCAACCCGAGTCTGTTGCCGTGCGTCTCCGGGATACTGAATCTGCGGTGCCGTCGGTGGGGACTGCGGATCAACCGCTGTCGTGCCCGACACGAAGATGTGCGATCCGTGTCGGACCGCTCGGTAGTAACCAATTCGTTGTTCGAATGGACTCGGTGTTGCGTAGAACTGCTTTTGTCCGCTTGGTGCGGAGTGGACTGTCCCCAACGGAGGAGTTGCGGTGGAGGACATTGTGATGGTTCGGTGTGACCTGGATGGTATGAGCTCACCGATGGTAAGTGGTAGAGGTACCTACTCCGTCGACGTATATGCGAATCTATTGCATTTGTAGAAAGGTAAAGTGTGTGTGACTCATGTGACTCATAGAGGGACGTGGAGCTATACTTCAGCCACATCTTCTATAGTTTATATCTTGGCATAATCTAACCACCTAGGTAAGGTACATTTATTATTGGAGACAACTGAGTGTCGTCATGTATTGTTGTCTGGTCAATGGAGTGCATTGGATGCATGCAAATGCAGGATAAAGCATCTCCAATGTTTAACCCTTACAGCGTGCGTGTTTACATTGGATCATCGAGCATAAACACTTGACGCATGTACAGTTGTCAGGGTATCTCGTAGATACGGATTTCTATATTTAGGGCATCATGTGCGGTGGTAATGAAAGGCCTGTCATGGTGATTTCGACGTACTCAATTTAATCCAAGTATAGCATCTTCAGAGAGGCTAACGTGTTAAGCTGTATAGCCGAAGTCATTACCGTAGGCGATATGACTGACGAGTTCTGTGTTCCATTAAGTTGTAACAACAGCCATCCTACAAAGGAGGACCACATCACTGTGCATGAGGCCAATTAGTTAATTCGCTTTTTCTCTCCATGTTTCTATACCACCCCAATCATACAACTCAGTTCTATATGGCTCGAATAAATACTAAGCGCATTAAAAACACCCTTCCAGCTCTTCAATCAGGATCGAGGCTAGCCAATGTGCTTGCAGAAGGCGCAAAAAAAGTCGTCCCAGTTTTCGCCGTTGAAAAATCCAACAGACGATCATGTAAACCCGGGGGATCACCCACGAACATCCGTTCCAGCATCTTCTCAATCACCCATAAACGTCGCGTGTAGCCGATGAAATAAGTCCCAAACTCGCCCGAGCCGGGCGATCCGAAAGGCATGTTATCCCGCAAGATACTCAGCTCGTTTCCATCGTCATCCTCGATCGTGTTGAGCGATTTATGCGACTGCTGGCCAGATTCAGCGTCCTCAAGTTCCACGTTGTCCAGCTTCGTGCGGCCGATAATGGCTTCCTGCTGTTCGGCGGGCAGCGATCTCCACCCCTTCATATCATGCAGGTACTTCTGCACGACAATATAACTACCACCTGTCGCAGAGGCGTCTTCAGTATCGATCAGAGTTGAGACCGGAAGGGCCTGGCCGACGGGGTTGGCCGTGCCATCCACAAACCCTAGCAGGTCGCGGACGTCGAAATAGCGGAAGCCGTTGGTCTCGTCGACGACTGTCACCGCGTCCCCGAGAATGTCCATCAACTGTTTCTCGAATTCAAAGCAGAGGTCTCTTCGCTCCGCGCGGATGTGGAACAGGAGGTCTCCGGGCGTGGAGACTGCCGTATGCACTTTGCCCTTGACCTCACGGAAGGGATGCAGCTCCGCGGGCCGTGGCAGACCTGTGAGGCGATCCCAGATGTCGCTGCCGATGCCAACGGTGCATGCGAACGAGGCCTTCAGGTCGCGAAATGAGACGTTCTTCGTGAGATCGTCAATGCTCGCGAGGGCGGAGCGTGTCGTCCGGATCGCTTCGGGGTCGTCCTTTACTGACAGGACCAGGAAGGTCGCCGATCCTGTGAGAGGGGCATCGATAGGCTGGGGAGTCATAGGAACACGAGCGCTCATATTTGCCCTTACTTGTCTCCTGGTGTTGAACGGGGTGTTTATCTGGTGGTGGCGTAGTGGTGTAGGGTGTGTTAATGCCGTGATTCGAGCCACCCATCCAGGTCCTCGCCCAGTACTCGAACTCCTGCCACTGGAGAACGACCGACTCAAGCAGATGTTGTGAAGTATAGATCTGGCTCTGTTGACACTCATGACACTTTTGTGTTGTCGGACCACCGCCAACGATATAGGTGTGCCTATTTGTAGTCTACCACCCGCAGTCTACTCGTCATCCATGGGTTATCCTCTGGATGTAGATGGAGAATCCAATGAATTGACTTTAATTTCACACTCCCTTCTATGAAAGACCAAATGCCCTGAAATGGTGACATCATGAACTACCATTTCCGGGTATGTCGGCAATCACGTGTTGACTGCAGCCCTGATTCTTTCCTTCACCTTACTCTTGATTCATACAGATTGTTAATTTTCAAAACTCCTCAGATGATTGTGTGGATGTTACCAAACCTGGTGAAGCCAGCCAACATTTCCCGCAGCCGACAGGCAACCACAGTCATAGCGTCAGTCTTACCCAACCAACATTACCATAACGCATAGTACACCCGTCATTGAACTATAGACAGAAGAGAATCTAGGAAATGCAGAATGCAGTCGATTTCTATTTTAAAGCCGTAGATCCCATCCGATCTGGGAACCAATCTGGGGCAACTCCTCCGCTACAGTCTGCACATCTTTGTCCCCTCGTCCACTTACGCAAAGCACCAAGTCCTTCCCATGGCCTAATCTTCTCGCCGTCTCAACAGCTCCCCACACTGCGTGGGAGGTTTCTAGTGCAGGTATTATGCCCTCGAGTTCAGTCAAAAGTCTGAACCCTTCGAATGCCTGAGCATCAGTGGCAGCGATGTACGTCGCTCTCCCATTGTCTTTCCAGCTTGCCAGTTCTGGCCCGACCCCAGGGTAACCTAGCCCAGCTGACACAGAATGCGTCTCGGAAATCTGCCCGTGTTGGTCCTGTAGGGCGTATGTCCGGCCCCCATGTAAGACTCCCACGCTGCCTCCAGACAACGCCGCCGAATGCCGTGGAGTATCCAGCCCTTTACCGGCAGCTTCCACGCCTACTAATTCAACTGATCGATCACCAGAAAAAGGAGAGAACATTCCCACTGCGTTCGAACCACCTCCGACACATGCGACTACAGCGTCTGGGAGTCGGCCGATCTTTCTCTGCAGCTGAGCCCTTGTCTCGTTCCCAATCACAGACTGGAACGTCCGGACAATAGTAGGTAATGGATGGGGGCCAATAGCGGAGCCAATCACATGGTAGGTTGTGTCAAGGTTGACGATAGTCGCGCGAAAGGCTTCATTAACCGCATCCCGGAGTGTACGGGATCCCGTCCCGACAGGAACAACAGTTGCCCCTAACAGACGAATACGGAGGACGTTGTGAGTCTGCAGGTGCACATCTTCCGCGCCCATATAGACAGTGCATTTCATACCGAACTTGGCACATAATGCCGCTGTCGCGACGCCGTGCTGGCCTGCCCCCGTCTCGGCAATAATCTCAGTCTTTCCCAGACGACGAGCTATTAACACCTGGCCGAGTGCGTTGTTAATCTTATGAGACCCGGTGTGGTTAAGATCTTCCCGCTTCAGCCAGATGTTCGCGCCGCCTGTGTGTTGCGTCAGCCGATCTGCTAGGTGTAAGCTGGATGGACGGCCCAAATACTCATAGTACGAGCGAAACTCGTTCCAGAACTCTGGGTCGTTGATAGCGGCATCGAACTCCTTCTCCAGTTGCGCTAGGCATGTAGTCAACGCCTCGGGGACATATTGGCCACCAAAGCCCCCAAATCTGCCCACCCCGGCGCTTGGGACTGCCTTCTCTGTGGAGGCGCATTCTGTAGTGTCACCGTTCAGATGAAACGGGGGCTCGGGGAGCTGCCTCGCTTTTCTGGCTTTGATTTCCATGCAGTATTCTTCCACTGCCTCTGCTGACCGACTAAAAGGCACGTCAGAAAGAGTCGTTATGATTTTGCTACCAATGACGGCGCCATCGGCCATGGAGGTGACGTTGAGGAATTGTTCGCGAGTACTAATCCCAAACCCGACCGCAATAGGCACATTTCCTGAGAGATACTTGACCTTTTTGATAAGATCGGGCAGCTCATTGTTCAATGTACCTGCGGCGCCAGTGACTCCCATCCGCGAAACAAGGTAAATGAAGGAGTCGGCCATTCCACAGAGGAGCTTCATGCGCTCTTCCGTAGTCGAGGGTGCAATCAGCGGCACATATGATAAGCTGTCCATGTCAGGAGCAGTACAGACGGAAGAATTGTTCACTACTTACCCTGTTCTCGTACACCCGTTGCGGAACCTGACTGCTTCCTCTGGCGGCAAGTCGACGATAATGAACCCGTTTACTCCCGCCTCATTGCAATCAGCTAGTATTTCCGACTCGCCATAGCGAAGTAGTGGGTTATAGTAGCCCATGAACAGTACGGGTATCGTCAAGCCTCTTCTTCTTGCGTCTTTGACCATCTCCAGCATTGACGATACCGTGACTCCATTTTCGAGCGCCTTCGAATTAGACCTTTGAATAGTTGGTCCGTCCGCAATTGGGTCCGTGAAAGGGAGTCCAAGCTCGACGATGTCTTTATATTATCGTCAGTCCTTCTGGGTTGGGGGTTTGGTTTGGTGGAATAACTCACCAGAACCTCCGGCCTGCATGCCCAGTAAGATCCCTGGGGTCTCCTCTGGAGTCGGAAAGCCAGCTGTAACATAGGTGACCAACGCAGGTCGCGATCCCTGTTTGTCCTGTGCAAAGGTTCGTTTGAGATGCTCCATTTTTTGTGGTGTTGTAGTATGTGAATCTGTTTGAAGAGTACATTGCCAGAGACTGACCCTGCTCTAACTATATATATGGTGGTACTGGCGTACGCCAGCGTGTAAAGGAAGAAGACTACTAGGTGTGATTCAGTCAATAAATTGCTGGTCGATAAGTAGGTCAAACCGGGCACGGGACGTCCGAACCAGGCTTCCATCCCACCGATGAAGCTACATACATAGTAAGAGCGGCAAGTACTCAAGCCACCTACGCCCTCAGTATTAGGTGGCTTACAAGTCATCCTGCTTTGGAACACTGGGACCGTTGTGACCATGAGACATATCTGACTCATACGACTACTTCAATGGCTAATACTGTCGGTGGCTGTATACTGAATTAGAAGACATCAGGTAGGTAGTTACCCAGGTAAGTCCTTGGAGTTGGATCGTCATATTGTCTGAAATCGGTGTGCAGTTGGACAGTAAGATTTAGCATCTGAATCTACACAGTATTGCATACATGTCGACCGTATGCTATCTTTCATCCATAGTACCAAGTATATTCAGTCCATGTCCTTCAGTCAGGAGGCTGAGTTCTATTAACATGCTGAAGAAATGCAACAAGTCACTGTCATGCCTGAGGCACATAAGGCACCATACCACACTAGTCCTAATTAGGATGGAAATGTGGCTCAAGCGGTCTTACCCGATCAGGACTAGGGGACCGCGTAGCCACGCGCAACGCGAGACTCCAGAAAATTGGCTCTATACTAGGAGAGCTCATTTCGCCGCAGACTGTCCTTCTGTCCACCAGCAATAACCGCATCCACCTTACTTATCATCCACCTGAACTCCGCAGATATCGCAATAATCCGTCTCCGCTCTTATCTCACTCTCATCTTCCGAAAATCACCCGTTAAAGCTCCTCCGCCATGTGAGCTCCTCCGTCCCTGTTCCTCCGTGTCCCCAGCTAACAATCCCGTCCAGGGAGAGCTTCGATAACATTTACCTCGACCTCTCAAAGCAGACCGGAAGATGTAAGCTCGCGGAGAGTGGTCTGGGATGGAAGCCCTCCGGAGGCGGCGACACTTTCACCCTGGATAGCAGCAATGTCGCCGCGGCCCAATGGAGTCGCGCTGCAAAGGGATATGAATTGAAGATCTTGTCGCGCACATCCGGTGTCATCCAGCTCGATGGATTTGACCAAGAGGTATGCGTTATCCCGGTTTTCGCGCAAGATGCGATCTCGATAAAGGGCAGATGGCTAATCAGAGTGGCGCGATTGTAGGATTTCGAAAGACTCAGCAAGGCGTTCAAGATTTGGTACGGCATCAACCTAGAGAACAAGGAACATGCGCTCCGAGGATGGAACTGGGGCAAGGCGGAGTTCACGAAAGCCGAGTTATCCTTCAACGTCCAGAACCGACCAGCGTTCGAGATCCCTTACTCCGAAATCTCCAACACGAACCTTGCGGGAAAGAACGAAGTCGCCGTCGAGTTTAACCTGGCCGCCGATGGGACTTCCAACGCTCAGCCAGCTGGAAGCACGAAAAACAGGGGTCGCAAGGCGGCTGCGGGGCCCGATGAGCTGGTCGAGATGCGATTTTACATCCCTGGAACCGCCGTCAAGACGGAGAAGGGCGTGAAGGAAGAGGATGGCGAGGAGCAGGAGAATGGAGAGGAGGAAGGCGAGGAACAGAATGCGGCCAATCTCTTCTATGAAACGCTCATGGACAAGGCCGAGATCGGCGACGTCGCCGGTGATACCTTTGCTACTTTCTTGGATGTTCTCCATCTTACCCCGAGGTCCGTATTCTGTACCCATTGCTCCGTCTGTGCCACGTTAACCATTGCTGCAGAGGTCGGTTCGATATCGATATGTACGAATCCTCCTTCCGGTTACGCGGTAAGACATATGACTACAAGATTCAATACGCATCGATCAAGAAGTTCTTCCTTCTGCCGAAGAATGACGACACCCACACACTCATTGTCCTGGGTCTTGAGCCTCCCCTTCGGCAGGGTCAGACTCGGTACCCCTTCCTGGTTATGCAGCTCAAGCTGGACGAGGAGATTAGTCTGGAGCTAAACATGACCGAGTGAGTCAAGTGAAATTTCGTGGTTAATTTCCCTTACTGACAATGTCCAGTGAGCTGTTGGAAACTCGCTACAAGGATAAGTTGGAACCTCGCTATGAAGAGCCTATCCACCAGGTCGTTACGAAGATCTTCCGCGGGTTGTCGGGCAAGAAGGTCATCATGCCCTCTAAAGACTTTGTCAGGTTCGTTACGCGCTGTTCCCGATCGATTGTTTGGGTGCTGACCACATAATAGCCATCATGGCCACAGCGGTGTCAAGTGCTCTATCAAGGCAAATGAAGGCCTTTTGTACTTCTTGGATAAGAGCTTGATTTTCGTCCCGAAGCCGGCCACATATATCCAGCTTGAGAACGTCGGTGTGGTCACGATGTCTCGTGTTGGCGGTGCTGTGTCGGCGAGCCGCACATTCGATATTACGGTGAGCCTGAAGGGTGGAATGGGAGAACACCAGTTCAGCAACATCAACCGGTATGTAAAAGATGTCCGGGGAGAATTATCATGTACTAACGGCCCACAGTGAGGAACAACAGCCTTTGGAAGACTTCTTCAAGGCGAAGAACATTCGGATCAAGAACGAAATGTCCGATGATGTACGTTTCTTTCACTACTGGCGGGGATTTGAATGGCAAGCTAACTTTATCAGACTTCCGCGCTTATTGCTGCGGCCCTTGACAATGAGGATATGGCCTCTAGTGACGAAGACGGCGGGCGTGCGGACCGGGGTTCGGCCGACGAAGATGAGGAGTCGGTCGACGAGGACTTCCATGCCGAATCGGACTCGGACGTCGCGGAGGAATATGACTCTGCCCATGAAAGCAGCGGCAGCGGAAGTGATGCGGAGATGGATGATGCTTCGGATGCAGGGGAGGAGGACGAGGATGTCGACATGTCGGAGGAGGAACGCCCGAAGAAGAAATCGAAGGTTGGGAAATGATTTGGCGTTGTCCCAGTTGGAGGGGACTGAATTGGTCTTTGAGATTGTACGATCATAGTTGCATAATGAACAGGGCAGTATGACGCGATCTGTATTCCTGAGGCCACACAGGTCTATATGGGGGTAAGTTCTACCTGTCTGAGGGACTGGACGTCTGATGCATCATATGTATCGGCTGGCATTATGCGAATTAACTTTGATAATGACCGCACTATCGGATCTTCCATGCAGTTGAATATCATGCTGGCGTCGTTAGCGGCTGTCGATGTTCTATGGTACGTCTGTTGGTAGATATGTGCTGTCGATCCGAATGCACGGTGCAGAGGACAATTCATGTACTTATTTCTCTCTACGGTAGTTTGGGAAGCTGTTGACTTATAAGTTGTGATGTGGACTGGGTTTGGCCATCTGTTCCTAAGTACATTCCTCGGGTGACACCCGTTTATATGTCACGACGGTATGCAGTCTACTGTAGGTTTGGGGGGACGGCATATTGTGTTCGCCAGGAGAAGGCCATGGTCACCAGTGAATAGGGTCATTGACATTCCTATCCACAATGTACTCAATAGACTCCATAGAGGCAATATACGTCTTTTATTTCGATTAATGTGAGATGGATTAATCATCTGTGTTTGTGTTGCTGGATTCATACTATTCATGCTATTAGATCGGGCAATTGGCTGGACGGATGGACTGTTTTTCTGCCCCTGACGGAACGGCGAAAAGAATCCCCTGAGAGACAGGACTGTACGACTCGGTATGGTACATACATGGATGGATGATGTGGCGTGCTCTGAATCGATGACAGGACGGTCCACCTTGATTCTAGGCGTTAGCGAAGACGAGTTGAAGAATTCTTCATGATAATTCTTGTCGAAAAAGTCTCTTTTTGAATTGATTAAAATCAGCATGATTGTCTGGTCTCTATTATGAGGCCATTTGTCCCGTGTAGATCGGTGTAAGGTACGATACACGGATACGATCGTCTCTTGATGGGTCAGGAGTTCCCTACGATCCATGGATGCATCCAGCACTGGGCTCTTCCGTGAGATTGTCAACACTGGAGATGGAATAGGAGGATACGGATAGCCGTCATGATGATTGCAGAAGGTTATGATGTTTAACCTGTTACTATGAGTCCTATAGCCATGGATTGTCTCTTACTAAGAAAGTATAGTACCTAGGTCGGTACTCTGTAGTTAGGTACCTGTAGAAAGGTACCTGTAGGTATTGGGGCATACAACTGTCACAACAACCGGACTCAATTGAGGAAATCCAAATAACACAATTGATTCTAAACAAAAGATCTCTGACAGTTCAGTTCCAGACCCGACGGATTCTGGGTCGAGTGGTGAGGAAATCCGACGAAGAAGATACCATTTGGGGTGTGGTCTGAAGAGGTTAGCCCCCCTTTCTTTCTCACCACCTTCTCTCTCGCTCTCTTCCCTCTCTCTCCCCGTCTCTCTCTCCCTCAACTCCGCAGCTCCAGTCGTTCCCCTGTCGCTTCTTCCCAATTCTTTTCTTCTCTCTTTCAACGTCCCTTTTTCTTTTCTTAGCTTCTGTTTTTTTATCCCTATTCTCCCCCTCTACCTTCTCCCGTCTCGATTGTAATCTCGTGCATACTGCTGCTCCCCCAGTCGTGCTCTGAGATTCCTCTTGACCCCCCTTTAGTGTCTCACTTGTCTCCTGCGCGGTGATCGACTCAACCTTCCACCCTTTTCGAAGGTATCCCGTACAGTCGAATTCCTAGGTATGAACCGTTGGATGCAACGGATCCTGGCATCTTTCGCATCTGTCACACCCAAATCCTCCCCTTGCACAACATGGTTCCCGTTCTGGATGGGCTTGCCTGAACCTCTCCTTAACTCCGTCCTGTAAGGGTCTCCCGGGCTAATCAAAGCAGGTTCTGCCTGTTCAGGGGATTTTTCTCGTCAACCAGACCAAACGCTCGCTACCCTCGAATTTCTCGACGCTCGCTTCCAGATCGAACCTTACGATGGGTAAGCTTGTCGCCTGTGCCACCCCGTTCCTCCCTTCTCCCAACCTTCTGCCGCAATTCTTCGTCGATTTCCCTTTCGTCTGCCTTTCTTACCCCCGAGTTCTCGCCTCTGGTCTCCTATCATGTTACGTGCTGGACGTCTGAGTCTGGACCGTCTCTCGCGGTCGGATTCCAAGGCCCGCGACGTGTCCCTCCCAGAGACGCTTACAGAATCCACCTTGCCCTCCTCCAAGTCGCTTACCCTAGGCTCCCTCGCCTTCGAAACGGACGGAGATTCCTCAACGGTTGCTGACTCTATCAACGATGTAGCCTCCCCTCCTCCCACCAATGGCACTCCTTCCGTGGAGTCGCCCGACAGCAGCAAGCCCAGTTCCCCTTTTGTCGAGCGCAGTAACCCAATGGGTTCCGGAAACGCCCAGACGGTCAGCTCGAAAGACCCCAAGGCTGTGGCTCAGGCCGCTACAGATATGAAGAACGTCGTTCGTCGCAAGCTCACCGGCTACGTCGGTTTTGCAAACCTGCCCAACCAATGGCACCGGAAGAGTGTTCGCAAGGGATTCAACTTCAACGTGATGGTTGTTGGTAAGTCAATTCTTTCGATATGAACAGAGAGTTAAGAGGACCCGGCATTGACTGACACGATTGTAGGTGAATCGGGCTTGGGAAAGTCTACCCTCGTGAACACCCTTTTCAACACCTCCCTCTACCCCCCTAAGGAACGCACCGGCCCCAGCCACGACATCATTCCCAAGACCGTGTCCATCCAGTCCATCAGCGCCGATATCGAAGAGAACGGTGTGCGTCTTCGCCTGACGGTGGTCGATACCCCTGGATTCGGTGACTTTGTGAACAACGACGACTCGTGGCGTCCGATTGTCGAGAACATCGAGCAGAGATACGATGCCTACCTGGAGGCCGAGAACAAGGTCAACCGCACCAACATTATCGATAACCGTATCCACGCCTGTGTGTACTTCATTCAGCCCACTGGCCACTCGCTCAAGCCCCTCGACATTGAGGTGATGCGCCGCCTGCACACCAAGGTCAACCTGATCCCCGTCATCGCCAAGGCCGATACCTTGACCGATGAGGAGATTTCCCTCTTCAAGCAGAGAGTACGATATGCCCTGCCTCTAGACCGGTCTGGATGATGCTAACCCTGTTCCTTCCAAGATTCTCGCCGATATCCAGCACCACAACATCCAGATCTTCGAGGGTCCCCGCTACGAGCTCGATGACGAGGAGACGATTGCCGAGAACCAGGAGATTATGTCCAAGGTTCCCTTCGCCGTGGTGGGCGCCAACAACGAGATCACCACCCCGGATGGCCGCAAGGTGCGCGGTCGTAGCTACCCCTGGGGTGTGATCGAAGTCGACAACGAGGAACACTGCGACTTCGTCAAGCTCCGCCAGATGCTGATCCGCACCCACATGGAGGAGCTCAAGGAGCACACCAACAACATGCTGTACGAGAACTACCGCTCCGACAAGCTTACCCAGATGGGCGTGGCCCAGGACCCCAGCGTGTTCAAGGAGGTCAACCCGGCGGTCAAGCAGGAGGAGGAGCGCGCCCTCCACGAGCAGAAGCTCGCCAAGATGGAGGCGGAGATGAAGATGGTCTTCCAGCAGAAGGTGGCAGAGAAGGAGAGCAAGCTGAAACAGAGCGAAGACGAGCTGTACGCTCGACATCGCGAGATGAAGGATCAGCTCGAACGTCAACGCCAGGAGCTGGAGGAAAAGAAAGCCCGCCTCGAAAGTGGCCGGCCGATCGAAGAAAAGGGAAAGAGAAAGGGATTCTCTCTCCGTTAAAGGAGCCTCCTTGGGAGGGAATGCCATGGACCCCCAGCGGGATGGACGGTCGTTGGCGGTCCGTTGGTTGTTGTACGTTTGACTCTCCACGACTGTTGACTGACCCAGCGCTCTTTTGCCATCTTTTTTTCTTTTCTATTTCTTCTTCTGTGTTTATTGGTGCCCTCACCCTACGCTCCCTCAACTTCTTTTCTTCTCGTATCTGATTTCCAGTAATGACTGCTTGTCCCTGTTCTTTTTAATGGGTGGATGGAAGAAAAAGAATGCCGCGTTTTCTTTCCTCAGCCGGATTAATACCAATTGGGGGGTTGACTAGGAGATGTGCTGGGACACAAGAGCTACATCCGGATGGGTGGCCATGGCCGGCGACCTTCTGTCCTCTTTCACTTCTTGTTATGTACTTTTGCCGAACGCTATACCTTGTTCCCGCGTGTTTCCTATTCCCCCGTGTGGTTTTTACTCTTGATTATAGTTTACTGTTTGTGTCTGAACGTCTTCTGCATCTATTCTAGTCAGAACCCCCACCCTCCGACCATCATTCATTTTCTCTTTGACTTGTTGCTGTTTTGTTTGTCAATGCCAGTTGTTAAGACGCAAACTTTGGCCTTCTTGCGGTAGTTGCTTCTGCCCGTGGCTCCAGCTCTTGTAGTGGCTATAGATTAATCTGACCCGTGTCTCCCACAGCACGACCACGCGTGTAGTCTAGACTATATTCCACTTCGACTCCAATCGCAGAACCACGGATGAGACAAGATTTCCATAGGGGAAGGCCTCTTGGCAGGATCATATTGCAGAATCCATCGAATGAGTGCCTTTACTGTGCGGGCTTCCTCATCAAGATCCGGGCCTGCCTGATCAAATAACTCTTCCACGGATGTTTGCTCCAACATAAGTGGTTCCTTCCCCGGAGCGACTCCTCCAAGCTGACAATTAAAGAGCTCCCTCTCGGGCGTGAAGTAGAGCGACGAGGTCTTCCAATGCCCATAGAGCTCGACCGGGAGGGGACCGATCTGGGCATTCAGGGCAAGAAGATGATCGTCATCTTCAAAGTCGGACCATGGCACACAGAAGAGTGGCAGTCCAGTGATAAGCTCAAAGACAAGACACCCGAAACTCCAGACATCAAGGGTATTGTTGACGGCTCCGGTGAGAATCAACTCGGGAGCTCGAAGACCGCGGGGAGTAACGGGCTTTGTTGGGGGGTCGGTAAAGAAATATGCTGTTCAGGGTAGCAGGTATGAGTTAGGTACACATATTCGTTAGAAAGAAACAGGCAAGGAAACGGGAGGGACGCACCGCCGCCCATATCGGATAATTTGACCTTGAACCCCTCGGCGTAGCAGGTAAAGGGCACCAGCGGCTGCGCAACGCAGAGATACCGCGGCGCCCATTTATCCTCTTTACCGTCGAGCCGCTGGACCGGGGGCGAGATCGACCGGGCCTGGACGTCTTCCGCCTGCCGGAGCACGTCTTCGGGCATAGAATCGATATCGTTCAGAGTAAAGAGCATGTTCCCCGGCTGGAAGTCTCCATGGGCGATGCCGTTTTCGTGGAGAAACGCAAGAGCCTGCAAGGACTGCTTCAGGATGCCCTTTGCCATGGGCGGCGGATAGCGGACCTTCATTTCCCACCTTCGAGGGTTGAACTGCGGCAGTTCCTCGACCATGGTGTTTACACTTGGACCCATGGGCTCAAAGACCAGGCACTTGTGGACGCCGTTGGGGCCGCGGTGCTCGAACTCGTCTAGTAGTTGCGTGATATGCTGGGCTGCTTCTGTTGGTGCGACTTGGGAGATGTGGCGTAGCATTTTTAGCTCGGTTGTTGATTCGGAGATCTTTGATACAAGGATCTTTAGGGCGACGTATCTACTGTTTCTGGAGGAGATGAGTAAGGATTACGTGCAGCGTATGTGGAGGAACGTACTTCAGGTCCCGGGCGAGCCACACCGTCGAGTAGGAGCCATCGCCGAGCTTCCGGATGACCTTGTACTGGCCGTTGCTGAAGACGTCGCCGAGGATGACGGGGTGATAACCACCTGGGCGGTAGTCCTCTACCCACTCACAGGGTAATGTTATCGGATTGAACCTCCGCGTTGCATCTACGCCCGTCGACGGTGGTGTGGGGGGCGAGGAACTCATTGCTGCGATGGGGATGCGTGTCCAACAGTTGTTGATATCTTCACTGCCACGAACAAGGTCTCCTTGGCCGAATGCACGTGACTGAACTGAAGTATTCATACAAAGAATCAGATTCTTAAAATAGCGACTTTGCCAAATATCCATACGTAAATCAGTTCGAGTTCCTTATACGACATATGTATATGTCGTGTCTAGGCCGCCATACGCTCGACACGAAGCTCCAGCCCCTTGACAAAATCAATTCCAGCCTTCGTAGCCTCATCCAGGCTCTCCTCCGGCAATCCCAGCAGCTCATTCTGCGCCTTGACCGAGAGATTACTAGGATTATCCGGGTAGAACGCCCTGGCATACAGCATCTTGCTGAACCCAGCCAAGTTCCCCGCTTTCACCTGCGCCAGGCCATCCTCGTATCGCTTCTTGGACGCCTCATGGGTAATCTTCCAGTCGGCGTCGGTGGTGCCAGTGACCCGCTTGACGCTCTCGAACATATCGTTCTGACTGACCACAAAGCTCTTCACATACACGCCCTGGCCGAGGAACCGCGCCAGCGTCAGGCTCTGATCATGCTCGTCCTCAGGCAGCTCAGGCAGACTGAGGACCTTGGCCACGGCGCGCCCAACCTGCGGCAGTGTCGAGGTCGAGTTCTTGGTGTTCCCGTCGTCGTAGAGAGTCAGGGACCGCGTGTTGAAGTCGAACCCGAAGCGTGTCTCCGAGCCCCCCAGGCTGTACTCGTACCAGAACCCGCAGCACACGGTGACCCACTGCATGCCGAGCCGCTCGACCTCGTCCCGGTTGGCCTTGGCCACGGGCCCCAGCATTGTCTCTTCGCCGAACTTTATGTCGTCAATGTCAATGCCGTACCCGTTCGGCATCACGTAGGGAATCCCGGCCTTGGCGGCCGCGTGGACGAGCTTGCTGTGGGAGTCGCGAGGTGCAGTAGGGGCCATGGTGATGATCAGGAACTGCTGGTCCTTGAGGGCCGCAACAAGGGTGGCCTCGTCGTCGTAGTCGACGGAGGCGACGCGCACGCCCGCGGGGAGTTTGTTGCCGCTGTCTTTGCGGGAAAGGGCCGTGACGGTGTGTCGACCGGTGTTCAGGAGAGCGTTGGTAATATGCCATCCAACGGTGCCTCCGGCCTAAGGGAGCGTTAGTTATGCTGGTTGCGTGATGTTGTTGAAGGGTGTACTTGCGCCGACGATGGCCACTCTTTCGATGGCGTTTTTGAAGCCGATGGGCTGATCTTTGGCGTACTTGGGCATTGTGGGATGGTACTATTCGCTGCGATGGTGGTTCAACGAGGTGAGAGAGGTAAGTGTCTGGCTCTCCCTCCAGAGAGGGCGATGCCCGTCTGCCTATTTATACATGTCAGACCTAGTCTCGAGTGCGGCCTCCCCCACTGCCTTGTCATATGGTCATACTTGAGAGTCTCGGGCATTAAGTCTCCCCGATCCTGGGGTATATTCGACTTCCTTGTCATATGGTCGTACTTGAGAGTCGGACATTGAGTCTCCCCGATTCTAGGGTATATCGACTGGACTCGCCCGGAGATAAAGGAGTTACGAAAGATCGCGATGGGCGGAGATTGATAAGCCCGCGCTTCTCCGCTGCTGCCGCAACATAAACCCGCAATAACCGCACAGAAAGCCGCGAGGCGCATAGCATTAATGATCTCCCTTCGGACATAAGTCAAGTGCAGTTAAACTGCCTTCCAATGTTAGGTATGATACTTTCCAACGTTAATATGTATCATATTATCATAGGTACAAGTTGCAGTTCATTGAAACGCCACAGATACCACCAGACTCCGTAGTTTGATAACCCATATATCGAGGTCAATGAACCCGCATCATTATAACTGGACGCCAGGACCGAACATGGGGTAATATGGTTCGATGAAGAACTGATTCCAGTCCAACCCCCAATCCATATCTGGCACCGCGGTGTTGGCCTCGGATGCCGGCGGTGCCGGAAAGTATTCATAGCCCGCTTCGACAGCTTCTAACTGTGCCAGTTCTCTTCGCGTCTTTGCCATACGGAGGCCGAGTAAGTGCCGCGCCATCGACAACGCATCACGCGTCAGTCCTGTATCGGCCGCCTTGACAAGGTTCTCTAAGCTTTTGAATGCGGAGCCGATGTGAGCCGAGGCCGCGGGATTGTCCATGGCTAACAGGATGCAGATATATTGGAAGACGCTGCCGATCACGTTCCAGAACAGACGACCCTGGCTGGCTTGCTGCTCGGCCGCCTCCACGGCGGCGTTGCCGCTATCAATGAGGAGCTTCATGATATCGTCCGGCATGCGGACCTTAAGCTGGTAAAGGCGTCGATAGAAGCAAAACGCAATCTCCGCCTTGGTCACTACTAGAAAAGGATGGGAAACATGGACCTCATCCAGCGCTTTGATACGCATAAATAGCTCCTCACTCGGCGTTGCCGGCTGCGGTTCGAGCTGGAACGGAGAATTGGGCGATGGAATGATCTGAATCAGTTGTACGAATCGAACAGCAACGGACCCTGGCACAGAGACGATAGGCTGGCAGGTCACAGCCCGAAGCCCTACAGGCGACCGATCGTACTCGTAGGACAGCATGTTATGTCCTGCCCAGGAGATCCAGAAAATCCTCCTCAGCCGGTCTGCATCATGCCCAAGGGCAGCGGCGCCGGCGATGGACGCCATTTTCTGGATGCTAGCTTCCTCGTGCAGCCCTATCGCTTCACAGAGGTGCATTTGCGTGCATGAAGCGACCCACACATTGATGGGCCGGGTCGTTGCCCGTAAATAGATCACTCGCATGCCCCATGCGACGATGTGGTCGATACCATGCCGACACATGGAGGCCGGATCGTCGAGGATAGCTTTGGCGTATTGCACCAGGTCCGACTCCCGTGTGTGCCTATTGGGAGATAGGAAAGATCCGAGAGCAGAAACGCCGGCAGCCACGGCAGCAAAGGCGACACCGTTGCTGCGCGAACCATGATAGTAATCTTGACATCGCTGGGCGTAGATTCTGGGGTCCATCACGTCGACGATGGGCCCCAAGACCCGAGAAGTACGCACGCGAGAAGAAGCCAAAGGTCTTCCTCCGAGATCAGGTTTCCCAGAAAGCAGTGAGCATTTGATGCCTCCTCGGGGCGGATGCCAAAGTTGTAGGCGAACGATTGGATCTTGGGAGGGCTGTCGGCACCAAGAGCCATGCCTAAGATGTGCGGAAATGCCATGGTCGCCGATGCCCCGGAGTATCGGAACATTTGCTCGTCGAAGATGCCCGTGTCAGCGTCGCCTTCGCGGCGGTCTCGCTCCATGGGGGCCCGGCTCGTCAGACGGCTTTCACCGAGGCTGCTGCGCTTGGTTGGAGGAGGGTGTTCGCCACCGTCCACAGTACCAGTGGTGCTGTCGTCGGTGTACCTGCAGTTGTATCCGTAAGTGGTGCACATGTCACAAGGATACACGGTGTCGCATTTTCGCTTGCGCTGATGGCATGGGATGCATGCCTTTCTCGCCCGCTTGCGCTTGGCGTTTGTTGTCGACATGACTGGCAGGCAGTTATGGGCTTCAGAGCTTACTGCCGTAGGAATGAACAGGAGTCGAGTTGTCCTCGGCTTCCATACACTCCCTGATGTAGACCGAGACCTAGTAATCTGACGACATATCAGAATGTTTTGAGATGCATGTGGCCCCCACTGGTTCGCCTAGTCAGATAGTCAGACGAACGCGCCGATGGAGCATGCAATCCTGGCTATGTAGCTAGGAGCTAGCTGAGGCATTGCGAGTAATTCTTAGGACCTCCAAGCTAGGAGCCTTGTAGCGACCCATACCTGTGATCTGTTAGCAATGGTATAATTAGTGCTTTCTTGAGAATGACAATGCTAGACGTCATCGGGATGGGGAGTTTGTGGGAGGTGGTCATGACGGTCAAAATCCGTCCACCGCCTCCTTCCCCGCCCAGCCTCCTTCACCTCCATCAGCTAAGCAGCGTAGCTTCACTTCTCGCATTCCATTCCACTCTCCTCTCCTCTGTTGACCTCCTGTCTCTCCCACATTACCGCTCATCCCGACATTGACCACCTCGGGGTCTTCTTCTTTTACCTCTCCTCCCGACTTCCGCCTACCCACAACACCCGAGGTCTTCCTCAGCTTGCTCCATGGCGCCCCCTCCTCCATCCAACCTGCCCTTGGCCGAAAGGCTGAAGGCTCTCGCCCAGACATTGCAGTATGTTCTATACTCCGGATGGGATCTGGTTTCTGGATAGAGTACTGACCGATCGCTCTTCATAGGTTCGCCTGGTTTGTTGGGTACGTCCCGTTTGATTCTCACAACCCAGCCCCTGTGACTTGACACCTTCACACCTTCTCTGCCATTGCGAGGTTCACACCAGAGTGATGCCACAGATATCGGGTTAACCTACAATAGGCACGTCACCCTGCTGGTGTCCGTCTTTCGCTATCTGCTCTCCTACGTCACTTTCAACTACTACTCCTCCACCGCCCAAGTATCATACCGCCTCGCCTTCTTGTCCGCCGCTGTGACATATGGTATCGTGGTGTACAAGGGCCACATTGCTCGCGGTCGTCTCCAGGGCAGCGTCCCCAGCATTGCGTTGAAGCTTGCGGGCGATGAGAATGTGCAGTACCTCGGTAAGTGGTCGTGCGACTGGATCGGGGCTCTAGTGGAGGCAGCGGACTGACCCCCCATCCTAGGCATGGCATTGGTCTGGCTCTACTCGCGCCAGATCCCTCTGGCCCTTCTCCCCTTCAGCGTGTACTCTGTTTTCCACGTTGCGACCTACTCTCGCGCTCATCTGATCCCTACCCTGCAGCCTCCCGCCCAGGCTGCTGCGTCTCCGACCTCCCCCGGTTCTCCCAAGCCGGCGCCTAAGCAGTCTGCATTGGCGGAGACCATCGGTCGCTTTGTGAAGCAGTACTACGATGCGAGCATGGACCTTGTCGCCGGTCTGGAGATGGCCCTCCTGCTCCGCTTGGCGTTGTCGATCGTCACCTTCTCCAAGGGAAGCATTGTGCTCCTGTTCATCTACCTGGCTTTCTTCCGCGCGAGATACACCCAGAGCTCCTTCGTCCAGCAGGCTGTCCGCCACTTCACTGCCCGAGTGGACGCCACGGTGTCCCACCAGAGCACTCCCCCCGCCGTGCGTCAGGGATGGGACACGTTCAAGGGTTTCGTGCGCCAGGGTTACGAGGCCACGGACATGAGCCGCTTCACGTCCGGCGCGGCTAAGAAGCCCCAGTAAGCGGGGGCGATTTCGCTAGGGATGGCGCCCCGGATCTATGGCGAACGGCTGCAAGAAAAAGCGTGATAGATTTGGATGGACTGCGGCTGTCTTTGCGGGACCTGCGCTTCGACAAGATCACAGGGCCCCTCTGGTTCATTGGCTACCACAAGCTTATAACGACCTCAGTACCATTGTTCCCGGCATTACGGGGAGATGGAAAATCATGACGAAGGGGTGTATGTTTTACGGACGGAGTTGGATGCGGGATGTATGATGGACGACGTTGGATGGGAGAAATGCGGAGGACAAGATTGGAGATGCGAGATGCATCTTCATTCACGACTATTGATTTTTGAATGACACAACGTGTACTAGTTATGAACATTTCCGTATTACCAAGCAGTCTCTTGATGATGTAGATGTAGGACCCAGTAGGCGGTGCTGTGGCGACCCGTTGCAGCCTGAGGCCACTCGGTCTCGGACGCGGAGAAAACGAAAACCGACCGAAATTTTGAGCCCGTTTGGGAATTGGCCGAATTCCTTTCCTTCTCATCGAGAGGTGCAATGTGCCCTTTTCCCTCCCGACTTTCGTTGGCGACTGTATAGATCTCTTGACCTTCTTTAATTCTATTTCCCCTTTCCTCTCACTCTCTTCTTCCCTCCCCGTCATCCTCCGGTGGCGGTCTTCCGGTAACCAGCCGTTCCGCCGCATCCCAACCCCCGTGGTTAGGCCCGCACCACGTCCTGGTGGGTTGCGGTGTTCTTGCAATGAGCTTGACCACGCGCGTGTTCAACCTGTTCTCGACGACAGACTCTTCCCCCGTGGACTCGACTGCGTCGACCGCTGCCTACTCCAAGACCGCCAGCACCGGTGACCATGTCTTTCATCCGTCTCCGATAAGGCCCGGCGCCGACTCCTCCGTTCACAATGCCCCGGTATCGATCGACGAGGAAGAGGAGCCGCGGCCTCCGTATCTCCATGTATGTTTGCCGGAACAAATGGCCGGTCCGCTGCAGACCGGGTTGTGTGGATCGTTCATTGTTGACCGAATGGGTTTCTAGGCTATGCTTGCGGGCGGTACCGGCGGGACATGCGGCGACATGCTGATGCATTCGCTAGATACCGTCAAGACGAGACAACAGGGCGACCCCCACATCCCGCCGAAATATACGTCCATGACCTCGTCATATGCGACCATATACCGCCAGGAGGGTGTTCTCCGAGGCTTATACGGAGGCGTTACTCCCGCGCTTTTCGGATCCTTCCCGGGCACAGTGATCTTCTTTGGAGTGTATGAGTTTACGAAACGTCGCATGTTGGATGCTGGGATCAATGCCAATATTGCGTACTTGTCGGGAGGTAAGATTTTTCGTAGGAGGATTTGAGTATCGGACAGGAGCTGATGGATGGTCTCTAGGATTCTTTGCGGATCTCGCTGCCTCGATCGTCTACGTCCCGTCCGAAGTTCTGAAAACGCGCCTGCAGCTGCAGGGCCGCTACAACAACCCGCATTTCAATTCGGGCTATAACTACCGCTCGACCACCGATGCACTGCGCACGATTGTCCGCCAGGAAGGATTCTCAGCTCTGTTTTACGGTTACAAGGCGACCATCTTCCGCGACCTCCCCTTCTCCGCGCTGCAATTCGCATTCTACGAACAGGAACACAAGATGGCGATCGACTGGGTGGGGTCGAGGGATATCGGACTGGGCCTGGAGATCCTGACGGCTGCCACGGCCGGTGGCATGGCGGGCGTCATTACCTGCCCCATGGATGTGGTGAAGACGCGCATCCAGACCCAGCAGAACCCGGACACTGCGGCGCCCAAGTCCTCGACGGAACCGGCCTCGATCAAGGAGAGTCCGCGCGCACACGGCGCATCGCAGACGACGTCGACTCTGCGCACGCATTCGCGACCGATCTCGACCTCTGGGGCTTCGACATCGGTGGCTCCGCCGGGGGCGCCCCGTCTGGACACATCGTCCTTCTTCACGGGCCTGAAGATGATCTACCAGACGGAAGGGATCGCGGGGTGGTTCCGCGGGGTTGGGCCTCGCGGCGTGTGGACCAGCATTCAGAGCGGCACGATGCTGGTTATGTACCAGTATTTGCTGAAGAAGCTGGAGACATGGCAGACGATGGGGGAGACGGGTCCCCTATAGGTCTTTGGATCTTGTAGATATGCATGAGCATGCGCACCCATGGATGGCTATGTGGAATGGCGTTTTGGCAGGGCTGTGTTTGTTTTCTTTACTTCTTGGTCTGTGTATACACACCCTGTTGCGGAGGATGTACGATTAGAGATAGACTAGACATGGCTAATTCTATGTATGATAGACTTGGGTCTTCCTTGGGAAGGTACGTATAAATAGACCGAAAGAGAACAATGACGATCCACCCTCGTACTAACTCATACTCGCGAAAATCATGGAAATAACGAAAATGTAAACAAAGCGGTCGAGGGGCGCCCGCTGATTGGCTCCCGCAGGGTTCCCGCGCAGCCCCCCCAACAACAACAAGACATTCATTAACACCCTCCACCCGGACTTCACCTCTCTTTCTCTCTCTTTCTCTCGATATACCATTCTGGTTCGCACGCTCCCATCTCGTATCTACCATCTACCGCTTATCTATCTATCTATTTACATCTTCTGATCGTGTTGATTATACGTCAACACTTCTCAAGTTACTTTCACCCCCTTGCTCCTGTCTCGCGCATGGTCGTCTCCCGTGGATCCTCCCGCGCATCATGTCGAACGCACTGCCGTATTTGCAGAAACTGCGCAAGTCCCAACTCGCGGACTTTGCTGAGGCCACTGATCTGCACAAGTATGTTCATCGCATCTAATCGTTCCTTGGGTCCGCCGTCTGCACTCCACTCTCCCCGCGACTAACCGCCTCCCGTCTCCAGCTATGAGGAGTACAACAAGCCCGAACTCGCCTCTGCGCTAGACGAGCATCTCCAGGCAAATCGCTCCATCTTCGCCAAACAGGACCAGCTCGCCGAATACTACAAGCGTCTCTCGGCGACCCCGCGTCGCTCGTCTCCCATCAAGCGCGAGCCCAAGACTGACACGCCCGCGAGCGATGCGCCCCGGTCGGCGCGTCGCAGACAGACCAAGGCCAAGGAGGAGGTCGAGCCGACGTATGTTGTCATATAAATTTGCCCACCGGATTGCGCGCGCAATGCGCTTCATATGCCCTCTAACACGACATAGAGATGAATCCGACGCGGATGCACTGCAGACACCGTTCCGCCCTATGGTGGCCATCCGACCAACGCTCCCGCCGTCGCCCGCCGTCGTGACTGACGCGATCGACCGCCAAACTGCCGTGTGGCGCAAGAGCGTCACCGACGCGTGGACTGGCTCCGGCGTGCAGGAGCAGTCGAACGCGCTGCGCGCGACCCTGAGTAGCGTCAAGGCCGTCGAAGTCCTCGTGCTGGCCCTCGAGGCCTACGGTCTCATCCGGCAGATCCTGCCGCTGCGCTACCTGGCCACCATCCCGCCCGTGGCCGTCCTGCACACCCCGGAGCTCGCCGTGAAGGTCCCTGACCTGTTCGTGCTCCTTGACGGCTCCTTCTGGGCGCCGTTCTCGCTGTGGCTGCTCACCAGCGTGGTTGTGCCCCTTACCGCGGCGTACTTTTTCAACCTCAGCCTGGCGCATACGGGCTCCGGACCGGCGGCGCATACCCGCCGCAGTCGCGCCGCGCAGACGACTTTTGACCCGCTCAGCTTCAACATCACCAAGGCGCTGGTCTCGTACCTGGTGTATGCGAACCGCTTCACCTTTTGGCATTTGTATAGCACGTACTCGGTGGCGAAGGTCAATGCTGCCGTGCCGGGTCACTGGGCTGGTATGTTGACCGGGTCTGCCATCGGAGTGATTGGGACTTTGTACGAGGCGATTCTCCGGAAGTAGTGGATGGGGGGTGTGTGTAGGGTGAACTGGTAGGGTTGGAATTGCGTGTTGGCTTTGTTTTGCTGGTTTCTGTTTGTAGATGGATTCCTGTGGTTGTTTCTTGGGTCGTTCGGCGGCTGGCGATGCTTGGTGTTGGCTGCAGCCATGTCTTTGATATCCTCTCTTTCGGGTCGGCGTGATGACGGATATTTTGATTTCCGATTAACGGTGATTTATTGCTTGTTTGAAATCTATGCTACTACGTACAGTAGCCGTCTAGGAGTATCTATCTACACATATACTAATCCACTGCAACTCGGGCACCGCTATCGATCCCGTTTAAACCTCGACGCCAACTCAAGCGTCAGCAATATCGCCCCCCGCGTTGTGATCTCCAGCTCATCCGCGCGGATATGGTTACTCGTGCTGATCTGCCCGCCTATCTCTGTTCGCCAGTCCTGCACATCCCACTGGAACCCGCGCGTCGAGATCCACTCCGGCCCGGACAGGGGAATGATGCCCACATTCTCTTCGAGGAGATGTCCGCCTTCACCACCAACGCCGTCGGGGGTGTCGTCCCTCGGCCGGTTCGCCCGCGGCGTGCGAATCACATTCCGCCCAGGACGCAGAATGAACGTGATACTCTCCTCAGAAACAAGGTAGAGATGTCCGCGCGACCCGCGCTGATCCTCCGCCTGTGCCATGAGATAGAGATGATGGATCTGCGAGAAAGCCTGGTCGACGCGGCCGCCGAGACCGCCCAGAATAAGGATATCTAGGCACGTCTCTGCACCGCCAGCAGCAGCAGCAGCAGCAGGAGCAGCAGGAGCAGCAGGAGCTGAGGGGACGAGATCACCAGCATGCCGCCGGATATACGTCAGACACTTGGTAAAATCCGTGCTGTACTGATCGTCATCCTGGATGACGGGTACGCCGAGGCGCTCGTAGTGCGCGCGCACGTCGGCGTGGATGGAGTCCAGGTCGCCGATTATCCGCGAGGGGAGCTAGTTCCTTTCGTCAGCTACATGCGTGACGATGGGGATGGTGGTAAAGGGGGAGCGCACTTCTGTAGACTCGGTCCCGTGCGCTTTCATCATTGCGTAGAAGCGGTTTGCGCCGCCGTCGGCGCAGACTGTTGCGCAGGCTAGTCGGTGGTTAGTGGGGATGAATGCGGGGGATACATGGGTTGGAGGGGCACACCGTGTTTCCGTAGCACGGCATATGCGCGCTCGTTGATGGGCTGGTTGAGGATGACAAGGGCGAAGGGGGTGTGCGGGGGACCGTCATTGCGGAAGAATTGCGTGGGATCCCAGTCTTGCATTTTGATGTTGGGATGTCAGGGCCGTCTTATTCAGTGGCCTTGTATAGTGGGTTGATGGGGCATAAATGGGTGTTGTCTGATGTCGTTCGCATTCGTGTAGAAGTCTGATTCCGCTGGATGTTTTAGAACACGGACTTCATGCTAGATGCTCTGGTCTATAAGGCAAATAAATGCCTTCAAGTTAATGGCACAGACAAACAGATACGGCGACGATGTCGGGAACCCAGCTGGGATGGCTGACTAAGAGCTAGCCGGTCTAGTCATCAACTCAGCTGTCTACTCTACTCGTATTCCACTGCTAACACCCTAAAAGAATCATGCACATCGTTCGCGATGCCTGCCGGTCGAAGCAGAGGCTGTCTGCTCTGTGTGAAACGCCGCGTAAAGGTACCTTCCCACGAGTGTACTAGTAACCTTGTAGCACACGCTAACGGAAGCAGTGCGATGAGCGGCTCCCCGGCTGCGCACGATGCGAGACATACGGGAAACAGTGTCCCGGGTATGAACGCGGGTTCAAGTTCGTGGCTGGAAAGCCCTATCGCACGCCGCGTCGTCCTAAGGATGCACAGTCGGGAGGCCAGGCAAGCCAGGCGGTAGTACTTTGCAGCCCGCCCACTCCCTCATCAACACCATCAAGCGGCCTAAACATGGCGCAGAGCTTACAAAACCTCATCGACGACCTCTCCTGGCCGTATTCAACAACCTCGGCGTACGCAGCCGCCCGATGGCTGCGCTTCCTGCCGGAAGTCTACGGCCGGAATCAGACGCTGGATGCCACCGTCCGCTGCTTCGTCGCGCACCATATCGGGGGCATGACGCAGAATGTGCAGGCGGTGCGGTATGCGCGGTCTGCGTATGTCGAGGCGTTGACGGCACTGCAGAGGGCGCTGGATGATCCTGTGCAGTCTGTTTGTCCGGAGGTGCTGTGTGCTGTTCTCGTGTCATGCACGTACGAGGTGAGTTCTCGCTCCGATCTGAAATAGGACTTGCTTACGCTAATGGGCGCAGCTTTTTGCAAATTCCTCCGACTCGGTCTCCTGGATGACGCATGCCAAGGGATTGGGCCAGTTGGTCAGATTCCGTAGGCCGGGTCGCTATCGCGGAGAGTTTGAGTGTAACCTGCTCAAGGCGGCCCGGGGGCTGATCGTCATGCACTCGGTTTTCTCGGGAGAAGAGTGTTTCCTCGCAACAGACGAGTGGCACGCCGTGATGCGACAGCAATTTGACGACCTCATCCCGGGCGAGGTTCAGGACCAGATCGAGGATCTCTTTGCCTCGTTCACGGCCATCCCACGGCTGATCCACGGCATGTTCGAGCTCCGCACCGCAGACCCGTCCGACCCGATCACCCGGCTCAAAATCTCCAAGCTCATCGCCGAGGCCCTCGTCATGCGCACCGACCTCGACGCCTGGTACGAGCGTTTCACCCAGCTGGTCCCGCCTCCCAGCGAGGTGCCCTCATCGTACGGCGATCCTCTCTACCCGACTGTATTCCACTTCTCCAGCGCGGATACGGCCTCCGTCTTCGCCGCATACTATGCCTATATGACCGTCGTCCACGAGCTGCTGCGTACCTGCGGGTTCGGACCCCCGGGCACCCACGAGGCGTATGTGGTGTACTTTCGCGACCAGATCTGCAAGACTGTCGAGTATAACGCGCGCGGGCTACTGGGGCCGTCGCGGATGGCGTTTCCGCTGCGCGTGGCCTATGAAGTCGGGGATGCCACGACGAAGACATGGATCGAGGGGTGGTTACAGAAGCTGTCGCAGCGGTATGGCGCTTTGGCACCGCGGAATTTCATATAACGACTGCTATTACCTCACTATCTTCTCACATATCACAACCGATGTCTGATGCTTCACTCCGGCAACACCTCACCCTCGACGCTCTTCCTAGTCCAAAACGGCTCCGCAACCGCTCGCGCGGCGAACAACAAGGCAATGATACCAAGCTCCATCAACAATCCCATCCCAACCATGACCCCAACGTTCCCAGATCCAATCTTATACTTTTCCGGGCCAAAATCTGCCAACAGCACATACGCAATGCGGACTGTGTAAAATGGAATCGCACACAAAACCAGCAGAACACAGCGCCGGCCCGCAGCCGGCAACACCTTGCGATATCCGACGGCCAACCATGCAGTCAGACATACCGCAAACGCAAAGGCGAGCACCAGCACGATTGCCCCGGCGATGGCACATGCGCGCACGCCCGTGCAAGCCGCAACGATGAAGAGTACGATACCGAAGAATACGGGGAAGCGGAAGAAATGCAACGCGAAGCGGGTAGCCTTGGGATATCGCGAGTTTCCGGGCCCCCATCGACCGGTTTGGCCACTACTTTGTTAGATGTAGTCTTGCAAGTGTTGAGGGCTGGGGAGGGGTACCTTCGCAGAAGAACGAGGCTCATTTCAAAGAGAAGCGGCGAGAGTCCGATGCTCTGGAGGGAGATCTCGGCGATGAGTTTGGACTTGTTGGGGTGCGGGTCGGACAGCACGACTGCTGCACCGGCTATGCGGACTGTGAGAGTACTATGGTTAGAGGGTGTATGGCTGTTCGGAATAGTGCCGCACCAACCTTGAGCGAGGAGCCCGATCAGTCCGAACCAGGAGTAGAAGATACAGCGAGAACGCGACTTGCGTCGGGCGTGGTGCCAGTATTTCCATTCCTGGAGGTACCGGGTGATGAACTGGATGAGTTGGATGAGGGAGAAGAGGACTATTTCAGCGATGGCTAGATTGCGTTGTTGGGGGGATATAGTGATGGACATGGTGGATGAGAGATAGTGAAATACAGAATACAGTGAGAGTACTGTGAGATGAACATGAGGACCATGAGTCTGACCCTATATATACCCTTCCTCTCCCTCATTGACTCCCTCCCTGGCAGAAATTTCGGCGACGCCGTCTCGTATTGAGGCTGATGATATACTTGGAAACTAAGGTAGAGATAGTGGAGATCGCGATGATTGACCACTTTGGGTTTAGTCTGTACCGACGCACCTTTCCTTTCTGGGACATCTATATCGAAGTACATACATCCTCACTCCTCTATTCCAAGATTATATACTCTATGAACTGCTTACTACATCATAACATTCTCCAAAAACCCTCAATACAGTCTGCAACCTCCCCCACCCTCTCTCTCACAACCCCATGTCCCACCCCCTTCACAACCACAACATCCCGCATCCCAACATCCTCCAAATCCCGCACACCACACAACCCATCCCTCTCCCCCAGCACACACAAACACGGAACCCCCATCCTGACCGCCTCCACAAACCCGCCATGCGCATCGAACACACCCCCATCCCTCACAATCCCCACCACACTCGCCAGATGGCCCGCATGCTCGCGCATCTGCCACTCCCGCACCGCCTCAGCCACGACCTCCCTGCGCGCCACCCTCTCCTCCCAATCATCCGGGACGACCAGCTCGCCGTCCTCCAGCCACTGTAGGATCCACGTGCGCGCCGCCTCCTCTTCCTCTGCGCTCCCATCGCGCAGAGCCAGGTACTTCTGGTGCACAGCATCAAACTGCGCAGCGCGAACCAGTCCCGCAGGCGCGACAAGCACCATGGACGCTACGCGCTCCGGCCGCACAGCCGCAAAGCTTGCCGTCGTCGAGCCGCCGAATGAGTACCCCACGAAATGCGCGTCGGACCACCCCAGCTCTGTGAGCAGCGCCTCGATCAGCGCGTGGAAGAGGCTCGGTTCGTGTGGGAGGACTGGCGTCTCGGAGAGTCCGTGGCCCCAGAGGTCGAGGAGGACGCACTCCGCGTGTGGGAAGCGCGATGCTAATGCTGAGGCTAGTGGGTGCAGGCCGATGGCGGGGGTTTGGACACCGTGTATGAAGAGGACGCGGGAGATCTTGCTCTTGTTGGGGTGGGATGGGCGTGGAGATGAGGGTGGGAGGGTGTAGTAGGCGGCGCGGCCGTGGGGAGTGTGCAGGTAGGATGCTCGGGGGAGAAGGGTGCCAAAGGTTGAGGTGAAGGCGGCTTCGGATGGGGCGGGGAGGGGTGGTGCGTTGGTGAGTGCGGTCCCTGGGCGAGGGAGCACAATCAATGGGGGTGTCATGGTGTACTATAGAAAGGAGCGACTGTGCTGTCTGGATGCGGAGGAAGTGAGGTTTATAGAGGTTTATCTTTTATCGTCGAGCCGCCACGTGCCAGTGGGTCTGTATAAGTACGGAGTAGTTGTCGGTGACGGCAAGAAAGACCATGGTCTTGCGTGGTCTTTCCGCGCTGCGCTATAAAAGTAGTAGTCCATGCCGGACAAGTAGGTCAACGGCTAGCCCCGAAACCCGTCAGAACGCACATACGGCCTACCTATAGTCGCAACGGCACCTCCCCCCCCTCCCCCCCCCCCCCCAGGTGCCGCCAAGGCTAACATTGAAGGTAAGGGCACCACAGTCGCGGAACAGTTTAACCCAACGTAATTAGCTGGAAAAAAAAAAAAAAAAAAGGTATGCTACTGTACTACAAAACTCGAATTTAATAATAAATTTTCTAACTAGAAACTAGCTAGTAAGCTGGTAGAATACTAGAATAGGAATAAAATAATAGAAACAATCAGAAAAGGTTTAATCGATATATTTTCGATACTTATTAAGTTATTATATCTAATATTATCTATGAAATCTATTCTATTATATGGTACATCTATATTTTTATAGTAACAGAGAGATTGGATTGAGATATAACACTATTACAGTAAAATAATAAAACATAATACTTGCCCCCCGTCGCCACCAGAGTCCGATTGTTGGGTTTTTCCTTTGCTATTTTGTTCTGAAACTTTGCCAGCCACTGATACAACCAAAATTAACGTACAAAGCCTTAGGCGCATCTTAATAAATATCACTGCACTGTGATCATCAGTATGTTTGTATTATACGGAACTCTGCCCCGTTCGCATCAGTCCCCTAGGGCGTGCGACATTCCCCAGAGACTTGGGTCTGAGGGGGACCAACGTCGACTGTCTCTGCGCCATTGAGAACCGTAACGCTATGGTCCACTCCATTGAACGTGCATCTGACATTCGCAGTGTTGGACATGATATGGGAGACGCTAAGAGGGTTGGCTAACAGAAATTAGTATAGTCCACTAGCCAGAGCCGCAATCCAGGCATACGCACAAATTGGAGTATTAGCACCGTTGACAGGGAACCATTGGTCAAATTGGGCATTAGCAGCCCCAATAAAAGTAATCAAGACCCGACCCTCTGAGGGCTGAGGTTGGATTGGTTCAGTCGGAGGAACATTTCCAGTACGGCAGGCGCCCCGGACCTGGGTCTGAGGGGGCCCAACATCCACACTTCCTACCCCGATCACAGTAGTAACACTATGATCGATACCGAAGAAGGTGCAGGCAACATTGGGTGTACTGGAAGAGATGTGCGAAACGCTCAGTGGATCAGCTGGTCATATTAGCAATCGTTCACCACGCATGAAACGGGCGGCCTAACAGATGTCCACGAAAGCCCCATTGGTAGAAATATCTCTAGTAAACTGAGCGCCACCTGCGCCAATAAAAGTAATATGAGCTGTACTTTGTGCCTGAGCAGTGCTCAGACACAGCAGAGAAGTGTAGAGAATAGTTTTAATCGATGCTGGCTTCATATTGCGATAGTCTGTCAGAGTGAGAATGGTTTAGCTAGTGTGGATTATCACGGCTGTACTCAGGGATAGCTGAAAGGTCTGAATGGCAGGCAGCAGGTGAATGCCTTATTTATATACTCAACAGGCTGACTATAACCAACAATATAACAGCAAGATAGTGTTTTCCAAACATGATGAAAAAACATCATTCTGCGTCATTGATAATCAGATCTAAGTCATAAAACCCCCCGATTCACAAGTCCGAACTTGACCGTATGGGGGAAGACACGTTCTAGACAAAAATATACTATGGTCCTGTCTCACTGCAGGTCCCGTGGTCTAGACAAATACTACGCAGTTGACGTGTGTCACGCGATGTCGGAAATAGATCCGCAGGCTCTACATAAAACTCTAATTGAATTTGTTGTGAAACTCTCGAGTGTCGCTAAAATAGAAGGATGACGTAACTACATACAGATCTGAACAACAACTGCTTTGGGTGTCCAGCAGCGGCCGTTTACGGGGAGGTGGCTTGGACGAAGGCACTCTTATTAGCCGGGTTTAAATTGCTAACGCAACCTCAGCACAGCAGAGTTACATGCCATGAATAGACCCGTCTTGCACCACCGCCTATCAGGCCACAAGAACTCAATTCGCTGTGGATATCTAGTCACTGATCAAAAGTGGTTACGGGCACTTTGCATCACAGAACGACTACAGGCCTGGGCCGATTTACTGACTAGATGCTTCGACCGAGAATCCTTTCCATGAACTTCTTCGGCTGTCTCTCAGTGTGCCGCGCTTATATCACCCATGCTCTACGCGATGGAGACACGAATAGCGATGCCATTTGCCGTAGGAATAGCTAGATCATTTACCCGATTCGACGTGTGACTTCAGTCCATATTTGCCCTTTTTCACTGCCAATTCTCATCTATGAAATCGCGTGCCGGTCTATGCGGGCTCTCTCTATATATCCTTGTACAGTATAGTACGGACACTTTTTCGCTTTAACATGGTTGCTCTGGTGCATTTCGCTATAGTTGAATGTTCATCTGGCGGATATTGTGGCTTTTTCTCGCTTGCCCTGGCACTGAGGAGAAAGGGGGTGGTGCTTCTTGCTGACAGACATGGGCAAAGTAGCGGTTACACAAGCACGTACGTACCATTCATTTTACATCATGGGAATAACAAGTGGGCTGTTTGGTGATCAGAGCATGCTTGGCCGTGGAGGATCGGGCATTACAATGACTTTTCGGAGCTTCCCACCCAGAAACAAGTTGAAGACGGCCTGGGGAAAGTACGCATGAGAATCCAAGGTTACTCCCTGTTCTCCTTTGCAGGCCACGTTGGCCAATGAATGCTTGGCATTGGTCGACGATGAGTTCCCCGAGTTCATCCAGAAGTTGTTCACACTCTTCGAAATCATCGCGCCGGTAGACTTCATCAAATCGGCGGCAATAGTCCGGGCCTACATCTTTGGATACATCGTGGTCCTTGACTGCCAGTGGTTGGCAAACGCGAATAACGAAGTCGATCCCTTGGGACTCTATAACGACATCTATTCCATCTTCGCCAGCACCAGCCACGCGCCTGGCAGCCCAAGTGGCTCGTTCGCTCGGTGTAGCGGGGCCCATTTGAGAATCTGTGACAGGAGCGACGACTTTAGATCTTTGGTATCGGGAAGAATTGAGGACGTAGCGTAAAGAAGGGCAATATTTGTATATAAATCCCCTTACGGACAAAGTATGTTCCGAGTTGAATCAAATTGCTGGCGCTTATGATTTATGTTTCCTGGTACAACTGACTGGATGGTGCCTAAGATGATCAGTGTCACTCTTGGAAAGGCCGATTTCTGATTAATTTAACTCCCTTGCCTATTTCGTCTCTCTGTTCACGATCCTAGGTATTCTTCGGATATCATGAGGCGCTTTCAGTTCACGACGCTATATATCTTTTTTAGAAGTCATAATCCAGAGCTCCGGGTGGTTTCAGGCCGAAGACCGATTAGTAGTGGTTTAGACAACTACCTATACATTAGGTCTAGAAGTACTCTGTCCGTAGGTATAAAGATCGTACTCCATGTACAGTGACTGATGACAATAACTCCATTCGCCTTGCGGTATATCAGTGAATCTGGGTCTTTATTGCTTTCCGCAGCATCTGCGCTACAGCTTCATGTCCCTCCTCCACAGCCCATGAAAGCAAACGCTGACCAAGCTCATCCTCAGCGTCCATCTGTACTGCCCCCGTCTCCAGTAGTAACGTGATTACCCTCTGATGCCCGTTCTCTGCGGCCCACGAGAGGGGCGTTTGACCCTCAGAGTCTTGGGAATCGATTTCCACATCCGCAGTGCGAAGCAGCAGTTTGACCACAGATTCATTTCCCTCTCCCGAAGCATAGAACAGGGGTGTTTGTCCGTATCGGTTCTTCAAATTCACGTCTGCCTTTCCACTCTCAATCAAGAACTTGACCAGAGATTCATCCCCGTATATCGAAGCATAGAAAAGAGCTGTCTCTCCGCGTTGATTCTTCAAGTTGACGTCTGCCTTTCCAGTCTCAATCAAGATCTTAGCCATAGATACATGCCCTTTTTGTGAAGCAAAGTGAAGAGGTGTTTCTCCACGTATATTCTTCACATTCACGTCTGCCTTTCCAGTCTCAATCAAGAGCTTAGCCACAGACACATGCCCGTTTGACGCAGCGAAGTGAAGAGGTGTATATCCGCCTAAATCCTTTGAGTCAACCTCTGCTTTTCCAGTTTCAATCAAGAGCTTAGTCACAGATATATGCCCCTTTGATGTAGCGAAGTGAAGAGGTGTTCGGTTCAACGAGTTCTTTGAGTTCAGGTCCACTTTTTCAGTCTTGAGCAAGAGATTGACTGTGGATTCAAGTCCATACTGAGAAGCCCTTGAAAGCGCCGTCCGTTCGTCTGCATCCTTGTAGTCTGCCTTCGCTGGTTCTGTCTCCAGAAGCAGGCGAGCAACCGCTTCAAGTCTCAAAGCCACTGCAACGATAAGGGGTGTCGCATTAGAGGGGAACTCTTCCCAAAAGAGTATTTCTTCTTTATATTTCTCCGACCAGAAATGGTAGATGTTGGTCTCTGTTGTGCAAAGGCGGCCACCTAGTATGGTCATCTTGTCCTGACTGTCAATCAATGCTTCTCGGAAATGAGCTGGCCAGTAGCGCGCCGAATATTCGTCGAGCGTGTACATTTCGGCCCCATCCACATGAGCAAGAAGATACCAAACACAGATTTCTGCGAGGACCTTGTCTGATTCTGTTGGTGCAAGCGCATGTTTCCAACTGTTCTGCGACAGTGTCTGTGACAGTGGCGGCTGGGGCTGGACCAGGAACTCCTTTACGGTCTGATGAAGGAGATAAATCTTGTCACCGACGATCGCCAACAGCAGACCGCAGAGGTCTCTGACGGTGTGCTTAAATCGGTGGACTGGCTCTGTCTCGTCCATGATGTCCTGCTTGGATTGGTTTTCTCCCCTCAATGCCATGCACAGCGAGAGCTCTTGCAAAGTTAACGGCCGTTTCGCGGCTGTGATGATGTGCAATAACCGTCTTGCTTTAGCTTTGTCGGGACTCCTATTCAAGATCTTGTTGTAAGCACCGTCCACAGTGTCAGGTATCTCATCATGCACTGCTCGACGGACATTGCCCTTTGTGAACCCAGGAATCCCCTCTATGAAGTTCAGGGTAAGGCTGACCCAGAGATATGTCCGATTCGGCCTGGCTGTGAGCTGTTCTTGCAGGAACTGCCCCTCCTCTAGGTCCAGGCTTTTCTTCTTGCTGATATCTTGCACTCTGCTTGCAATCACAAGGTCGATCTCGCGCGAGATGTTCTCCACCTCAGGCTCTCCTTCGCCGCTCAAATGTATAGTGGGCAGCCGGTCTTCTAGCTCCTGGAAAGCGCCGCGTATGTCCCAATATGGTCTGCTAGTCATCAGAAACTTTAATTTGCACGTTTGGTGGCTGTCTGCGTAAAATTTTGCTACAGCTTCCATGAATTGACTCCGGTCAGGATGCTGATCATTATCCTGGCACTCGTCCAACGCGTCGAATATGCAGACAACCTCTCCAGCATCGGGGTTCGCGGCGACAGATACAAAAATACTCCACAACTGGTCGAAGGACTGGGTCAGTCGCTCCCCGTCCGTATCAATTCGGTCCAGTACAGAGTCTGGCAGAAGATGTGGTTTGACCAAAAACAGTTGCCGCAGTACAGAGGCGATTGCGCTGGTCGAGCTTTTCTGATCCTCGAAATCATCTTTGAAGAAAAAGTAGCAGATGGTTCTCTCCCCGGCGGCGGTTACAAGGGCTTCATCCACCAGGTGTCGTGTTAAGACCGACTTTCCACATCCCGGATCTGCCGACACCCACAAAAGGCTCTGCTGGTCACTTTCAATCCAGGCTCGAAATCGAGGATGGCCGGTAAACCAACCGCATGTCCCCGGTACATTCTTCGCGTTTCGATCCTTCCGGTCCCGGTACGGAGAGGTATAGAGCATTTTGAACAATTTCTTTACCTTTTCGTCACGACTTGACTTGGTCTGCCACGCCTGGAAGCCATCCACCGCCGTTTGGAGCTTTCGGTGGACTTTCTCATAAGCTTCATTCAGCTCCGCTTTGTCAATTAGGGCTGTGAAATTCTGTGCTTCGCGTTCAAGATTTTTCATGTCTTGCAACAACGCCTGCCATGGATCTTGTTTTAGAATATCCCGGGAGATGCGGGAGACCGAGCGCTTTCTTAGATAGGACAACGCCCGCGCCTGAAGCTCCAGCACCTTGGAGTACAGGATAATCATTCTCTCCCTAAATTTGTTCATGAAGTTCTTGTCCAGGACGGCATTCGAATGCAAGTAGAGGGTTTCCATCGCGTGGAGACGGGGTATGAGGTTTGACGCTGTCTCTAATCCGTTCAGAAGTTGGTCATGCTGCTCAACCGCCTGGATGTAAAGCTGATTGCGAGTTAGGATGCTATGCTCGTTTGCAGCTATTCGCGAGGTAGCTTACATGTATGCTGACTGTCATACTGGCACAGACTATGGCGGCTGGGGGACTCGCAGCGGCCGCAGTCGTGACGATGTCCTTGACCACCAGAACATTCTTGAATATCCGGGTGAGCTGGTCCTGAACTCCGATGCTGTGGCCGCCCACCCGGACAATCCATTTCTTCTGCTCCAGTTCGTCGACCCTAGTGTCGAGAAACTCGCTGAGCTGTTGACGGTCCGCTGTGGCGTACGATCCGACTTTCATTCCAAACTCCTCCAGAATCTCGACGGCTTCGTCCATCACTCGGCTCATCTTTTCGTCCTGGCGCAGTCGTTTCTCCGCCTCCGACCACAGATCTGGGGGGTCCGATGTAGTCGATGTCGACTGCTGACATTTTTCTAGTGCATGGCTGCTCTGCTGATGACTGTCTTTCTGCTGGTCATGGGTGTTCTCGTGTTGGCTGATTTTCCGCTCCACAGGCGCCGCTCCATCTGACCGAGACCTTTTCCAGAACCGGGCCTTGACGCGGAAGGAAGGCATCGTGTCCGCGCACAATATTGAAGGTTAACTCCAGCGTTCCCAGGAGGTTGGAAGACCAGACTGACATACTGAGGGGCTGGCTCACTATTTCAAACCCTGGCCAAGTGACGTGGCGCTCAGCCGCCGTGAGCATCACATTATGGGCCAATCACTGTTCTATCTAGGCGCCATTACAGTCCTATGTACAGCATCTATCTTTTTCTCAGCCTTTTGTGCTTTCATTCCTTCCAAAGAGTCTTTGCAGATCACGGCATGGAGACCTAAAATGTCATACATGGATAGAAGTGGGGTGTATCGCTTGCATGCTACATACTCCACATTAAGTCTGTCCATACTTTACATCTGCATTCATCACATACTTCATTCTTCTCCTTCTAAAAGTACCTGAATCGAGATGTCAAACCCTCAAACTAAGCAAGAAAACACATCCCCGCCACCACCTCCACCCCGTGAGCTCCCATCTTCAAAGATCTCCCCCCTTGTGAGGAAGCTCCGAACAGCCCCTCCAAGCACCTTCTTCCAGACCTTTAACCCTCCTCCACGGGTTGATCTGCTCGCTGCACCGACAGGGCCGTATTTCTTCTACGGCACTCTAGCCGATCCATCTATGCTCCGTGATATCCTTGAATTAGACAGCGAACCAGAACTCCGCCCAGCCTATCTGATCGGCTACGAATGCAAGCTATGGGGACAGTATCCTGCCCTTCTCGATGCACCGGGGTTAGAGGTGAAGGGAGCAGTCTATAACGTGCGCACGGTGGAAGAGGGCGAACGACTTGCCGAATACGAAACAAACCACTACCGTGCCGAGTCTTGTCATATTCGCTATACAGATGGGGAGGAACCGGCCGAGGACTACGGGTACACGTTCAAATTTGTTGGTGATCGGCGTGATCTCAGCGAGGGCGTGTTTGATCTTGAGCTTTGGCTGAGACGCATGGGGAAGGCTTCCTCGGACGACTAGTCAAGCAGCTCAACACTAGTAAGGGGACTCTCTGAGTTTGATGCACTAGTCTCTCGGCCGACTCATACCAAAGGAAGACATGATATGAAATGTTGATGACTCGAGACAAACAAGCAAGCACGCTACATATGAGAACATCTCATGCCATACTACCCACGAATGCTTCAGGCAATTCCATCAATTTTAGTATGTTGACCTTCAGCATAGTCTACATCTACGTCAATCTCGTCCAAGGACTCTGTCCATGCTAATATCCAAGTAAGATATGCTTGCCAATCAAGGCACATGCAACATTGCAGATACGAGCAGGCCAAGGGACATAGAGTCAATTGAATCCCGTATGACTCACTGATAGCATTTCCACCCATCTTCTACATATATAAGCCCTCTCACTAACAGGTAGTAAGTACCATTAACAATATCCACACATCCAACAATCACAATGACAACCCCAACATCCCACCCCCAAACCTGGACCAAAGGAGACTACCTCATCTCAACAGACATCTCCCTCATCTCCCTCCCCAAACTCAACGCTTGGTTCGCATCCGACGATCTATACTGGGCTTCTCCGCTCCCACTCGATGCCCTACAGCAGACAATCCAGAGCTCTCTCTGTTTCGGCCTCTATCACAACCCCCCTCAGCAGGACGACTCCCTCGATTTCATCGGGATCGCCCGCTGCGTCACCGATTACACCACATTCGTCTACATAACTGATGTCTATGTCGACGCGAGCCACCGCGGCAACGGCCTGGGTAGTTGGCTGGTCGAGTGTGTGGGCGAAGTCACCGATGCCATGCCGCATTTGCGACGGAGTATGTTGTTCACTAGCGACTGGATGCGGTCGGTGCCATTTTATGAGAAGATCCTGGGGATGAGTGTGCAGGAATCGAAAATCGGAGAGGGGATGGCTATGATGATGCGGAAGGGGAGAGGGTATCCGCAGTATAGGAATTAGCATGATGATGTACTGACGACTGAATATATGCTCTTCAAGGCGGTATCACAAAAACTAGTTACAAATATGGCATCTATTTCTATCAGCGGTTTTCTTGTATAGTTTACCCAACCGGTCGTATATATCAACTCAACCGCTTCCAACTATTTACTTAAGGCGTATTGGCACTGATATCTCGGCTAAGCACTGCTCTCAGCAGCCATATCCGCCTCAGCCTTGCTCTTGACAATCTCGCGCACCTTCTCCCACGAGTTCTCCACCGTCGTTACGCGGGTCTCCATCGAAGAGAATGCCTTGAACTCATCGGGAAGAACCTGCTCCTCGAAGTTGAAGCCAGCCTCGCCCTTCAGAGCCGACTCCACGGCGTCGGAGAACTTGGCCGGGTGGGCAGTGGAGAGAGAGATGTGGTGGCTGTTCGGGCCCACGCGCGCAATCGATCTCTTGGCCGCGGTGACTCCCACCGCCGAGTGGGGATCGAGAACGTACTTGGTCTCCTGGTAGCAGGTCTTGATAGTCTCAATGGTCTCCGTGTTGCTCACACGGTCACTCTCGAAGCTTCGCCGGCCGTTCTCGAGGAGATCCTTGTTGACCGGGCCGAAGCCGCCGGTCGTCTTCAGGGACTGATACCAGCCCAGAACGTCTTCACCGGCCTGCTTCTTGCTCGATTGGTCATCCTTGCCGCCAGCAGCAGCATATTCTGGTCTTGTCAGCGAAAGAAGCGAAGTTTGCATGCATCTGATAACATACCCTTGGCAAGGAACCACATGAGTCTCTCAAAGTTGCTAGAAACCAAGATGTCCATGGCCGGGCTGGGGGTTTCCTTGCAAGCGTCAACCTTGACGTTTCCATCAGACGTCTCCGTAGCGACGGGGTTCTTCTCGTATCTGCCGGTCGTCCAGAAGCGATGAAGGATATCGTTCCTTAGTGAGAGTTAGCACAGTAGATCGGACCCGAAGATTTGACACTACGGCATTCTGTCACTTACTCATTCGTGGCCACTATCAGATATTTCATGTTAGTGGAAGTTAAAAAGAATCGAGTAAAGGATTAAACGTACCAACCAACTTGTCTACCGGGAGACCCATTTTAGAGGCAAAGTAGCCAGCAAGAATGTTGCCAAAGTTTCCAGTGGGAGTCACAAATCGGACCTTGTCCCCGAGGTTGAACGAGTCCGACTTTCTAACAAGCGAGAAGTACGCATAGAAGTAGAAGACGATCTGAGCCAGAATACGGGCAAAGTTGATCGAGTTCACAGCACCGAGCTTCAGGGTGGCGTTGGTGTCGGCATCGCCGAAGAGAGCCTTCACAATATCCTGTTCATTGTCAGCCAGTAGTCTTGCAAGCAACGTGCGCAGTACTGACCTGGCAATCATCGAACGTCCCCGTCACAGCCAAGTTGTGGACGTTGCGGTCTGTGCAGGTGGTCATTTGCTTCTCTTGGATAGGGCTGACGCGGCCCTTAGGGTGCAAGATGACGACGGAGACATCCTTCTTGCCGCGGAGACCGTAAATAGCTGCGGATCCCGTCTATAACTCGTTAGCAAGCTTCTACAAGAAAAGCTCAAGTCAACTTACATCACCGCTCGTCGCTCCGACGACCGTCAGGTGGTGTCTGTCTATGGACTCGTTAGCCCGATGACCCACTATGCGATGCCACCGGTTCGTATGAAGCTAGTAGCTAGACGTGTACACACCTTTTCCAACCTTTCCTTTGTTTTTGCGTACGAGGAAGTATTCGAAGAGGTTACCGAGGAATTGGAGAGCGCAGTCCTTGAAGGAGTAGCTGGGACCGTGGAACAGCTCCAGGAGGTACAGGTTATCCTGCAGATGCGTCAATGGCACCACGTCGTCCGCGCGGAACGTCGAGTAGCTCCGGTCGATGATGGCTTTCAGGTCCTGGGGAGGGATTTCGGAGGGCGAGATGTAGAGGCTGAGGATCTGGAAAGCAAGGTCGGGATAGGAGAGGTCTTTCCAACTCCGCTGCGATGTATGATGAGCTTAGGTCCGGCATCGGGGCTCGTGCGGCGGTCCCGCAGGCCGAAAGATCGGGCGTACGTACCCAGTCCTGTGCGCTTGGGACTTCATGAGGCAAGAATAGACCGCCGTCTGCGGCGAGTCCCTTCAAGACAACATTCTCAAAGGAGAGCTATAGAGATCAGCGGGCTGTGCGGGAGTAAGGCTCAATTGGGACCCACGCCATAGTCACCACCTCGGGTAGAGAGGTACTTCTGCGAATCCGTAGCAGTCGTAGCAGCAGCCATGGTGTTGCAATGGTAGTGTTGATTCTTGGACAGTCTAACGCCCCTCTTGTCGTGGAAGTTTTTGCCCCTCGGACAAGGAACGGCGTGAGTCACTTACTCAGCCCGGAAGATCGATCGTCCGGCCGAGCCGGGGTAAACGCCTCCGTCATCGGAGTTCGCCAGGGAGTATTGGTTTTATGATTGTATGTAGAATCAAGGGCATTTTGCTTAGGTCAACCGCTTATTTTTAACTATATACTGCTCTTGAATTACCACCCTAATAGGAATATTTGAGAGGCATCAAGTGGGAGTTGGGGACGTTGTACTCCGTTCACCGCCTGCCCAAGTTGCCCTATCTTATCAATCCAGAACCCCGCGGCGCTTACCGCTCGACTGCAGTGCGATCTGCCGGCAGAATGACATGGAAACATCCAGGTTAATGAAGGACTACGTGATCGAATTGATCCGAAATAATGATTATAGCAGTGGCTACCCTGTTTTTGTGACTCCTGTATTGAATTGAACCATTGTCCAAGACTGGTTATCTGAGAAAGTTTCGTAGTAGAGTATAGTATGCACTCGCAACGGTTATATATAATGAGCTCGACGGTCTACTCGGTAGTTCTATATCTGAGCCGAGATCATTCCAGTCCTGATATCGATCGCAGGTCTTCCCCAGTGATGACTTAAGAAAGGCTGGTAATTCTATCACTTTCGTTTTCCCCATATCCCAACGGCCGATGCAGATATCGACTTTCGTGACAATTCACTTATCACCTACAAGTGGACTACTAAAAAGCATTTAGTAGAGTCTATCCATGATCATACCATTCTAACACTCTCGCTGGGAATTATGCCGAAGGTGAATGCATCCTCAGCATCTACTGCATTTCTCCACACAGCCAAGGCCGAGATGCCGATCTCCGAGCTTCAGAATACTGCATACAACGATTCTATTCGTGCAAAAACCTTCCAAGCCTTTAAGGAGTCGGAGAAATACCCTGTCTATAGCATGAGACTCCCCTATATAACTGCTTATACTTCAGATAAAGGACTTTGTCATGACATCCACTAGCATTGCAATTATCACAATGTATCTACCTCGAGTTCTATGTCTTTTGGCTGCCACAGTCGTCGTATCTGCCAGCCCAGAGCCGAGGCATACTTGTGTCGTCCCTGCTTCCGGATCCAATGCAACGGATGATGCTCCTGCAATTATCCGCGCCTTTCAGCGGTGTGGCCGTGGAGGAAAAGTGGTATTCAAGCCAACCACGTATCATGTCAACTCTGTCATGAACATCACAGGGCTGGAAGATGTTGATATTGACATCAGAGGGGAGCTTCTGGTATATTACACCCATCCTGCGCCACTATTTCAACAGAGAAAGTAATATAGTTCTAGTGGGGAACTGACATCCAATACTGGTTGAACCATTCGCTGCCTGTTGGTTACCAGAACCAATCTACGGCATTCATTCTCGGCGGCAATAATGTCAGGATTGATGGTCATGGTGTGGGAACCTTCAACGGTAATGGTGATACCTGGTACCAATGGATCAGAAAGCAACCGAATACATCCAACTACCCCGGCCGGCCACACGCCATCACGTTCAACGGCCTCACCAATTCAGTCGTGCGAGGACTCAACTTCTTACGCAGCCAGATGTGGTAGGTATTCAACTCTCAACAATGAAATAGCTGGGAGACTGAAGACGTACCCCATAGGACTATGTCAATCATCTACTCGCACCACGTGGAATTGGACAGTATCCTTGTCAACAATACTGGAAATGTGGTCTCGAGCTGTAAGGTTATCCAAATACAGAGAACACGGCTTTAAAACTGACGAAGGAAGCAAACACGGACGGAGCTGACACGATCCGCTCCTCGCACATTACCTTCAATAACTGGACTGTGTATAACGGGGACGACAGCATTTCCCTTAAAGGGAATAGCACAGATATTACCATCACCAACTCCCATTTCTACAACGGCCTTGGTATTGCGCTGGGCAGCATCGGCCAGTACAAAGATCAATTCGAGACCATTGAGCGGTTCACTGTGAAGAACATCGACTACCATAATACCCTTCATGCGGTAAGCCTGGCAGCATTACATGTGAAATTGTTGTCTGACTTGGATCTATCACAGGTCTATTTCAAGACATGGACAGATGATCAAAACGGATATCCCCCTAACGGCGGTGGCGGAGGTCTTGGATGTAAGTCACTCGGGCGAAAGGAATACAATGCACGAACTAACCACCGTCTCTTAGATGCTTCGGACATGGTCTTCCAGAACCTCAGAGCCAGTGGCCTTCGCGGGTCTGCAATCTCGATTTCGCAGTGTACGCGATTCAGCGGCGCCCCAGGAGAGGGTAACTGCACCAACTCGCAATTCCAAATTCGGGACATCACGCTGGCCAACTTGACCGGCACAACCAAGGTCTCTAGTGTGGCCAGTTTCCAGTGTAGTGCTGTTGCTCCCTGCACCAACATTGGGCTCTTTCATACGGACCTGACGCTTTCGAATGGAACGATTGCCGGAGAGTACCTGTGTGGAAATGTGGAGGATCCCAGGGGCTTTGAATGCACTGGCGCGCCCTGTGTTGGGGGGAGTGCTACGGGGGAGTGTTAGTAAGAACTACCGAATCACTAGCACAAGGGAGAGTATGAATTGAGTGAGATGATGCTTTGACTCTTAATGGCTAGTAGATTGTGGCAATGGGGCATAATTTCTTTGAAGACAGTTTGTCGATTGTCGCTCTTCAGCCTGTGTGCGCTCTTCTCCTGCGTTCAGATGGGGAGCTGTTGCCCGCCATCGACGTGTCGGAAAGGGGGAGCAATAGCATGAGATAATATCAGCAGAGCACGGCTACCGGTAGATATATTTTCCTGTGAATGCCTTAGGCTTGAAGTACGGGAAATACAATACATCGACCTCTTTTAAGGAGTCCACGGGTGTTCAGGCAGGTACTCCGTACAGTGGAGAGACGCGATTCCTACCGAGATCTACCTCCTCCACTCCAGCGTACCGACAAAGGTCAAGAATGGCTAAGAATGGCTACCCTTGTGCCCCGTAGATATCGCTCTGCCACGGAATACCGTTTCAGCGAAGAACAGACTGACGCCATTATTCGAACCGCCGCCTACCATCGCAAAGACTACTGTCTCTCCGTGATCTGGATCTCGCAACATGAACACGTCGACATTCGCCCGACAATAGCAACGCCCTTCCAACGAGCTTCGAATGCCGGACTCGGCTCCCTGGATCGGTTGCCCCTCGAGCTCTTGCATGACATCTTGTCCTGCTTGGATATGCATTCTCTATTCAAGTTTCGACAAATAAATGTCAGGTCAAGACAGGTGGTGGACTCTCTCAAACAGTACTGGTTGGTAGTCTCCAATGGACTGAATCTTTTCTGCGCCTTGTTACGAACACGACTTGCCCTCGACATTTCTCTATTCGACTTTTACAACGCACTATGTACGGAAGCTTGTGCTCTTTGCGGCGAATTTGGCGGGTTTATATTTCTCCTAACCTGGAAACGATGCTGCTTCAAATGCCTCCAGGACTCTCCAGAAACCCAAGTCCAGACTCTTGCCGCCGTCAGAAAGCAATTCCACTTGACTAAAGTTGAGTTGGACCGATTGAGGTCATTCAAGACATTACCTGGAATATATTCAATGGAGGAATCCATACAAAAATCCCGCATTGCGATCGTTTCTCTTCATCAGGCTATTTTGGCTTGCAGGCGGCAACCGCATGCGCAGGTGCAAGCCCAGTCAGCTAGCTCAGAACGAACTAAAAAATTCAACTTTATGGGGTCGTGTGCACTTCCCTACTATGATGAACAAACTGGCATAGTCGAACACGGAATTTCGTGTGCCGGGTGTCAACTTGCTCTTGAAAAGGATATCATTGGCAGTAGGGGCGAGAAATGGGCATTCGAGGCTCGAGATAAAGTGTATGCGCGAGACAGCTTTTTGGAACATTTTCGGTGGTGTGAACAGGCACAACTCCTGTGGAGATCGAGTGGCGAAGGTAAACACCGGCCAAAGGAGCTACCTGAGGCTGCTCGGAGAGGAGGATACTTTAATAGGAGAGAATGACCATGATGTGGAATCTGTTTGCTAATGTACTGCAGCCAGAATACCTACAAGCGACTAAGCAGAACAAAGTGGACAAATTCCTAGACACCCCAACGTACAATGCAGCTCCACAGTTCACAAGCTGTGCGTCACTCCGGAGGTTCCATTTTCACCAAGGCCATATCTGATGAGTGTTGAATGACATAGCCTCAAAATCCCAAGCGCTGCTGCACACCATAGTCTTACGAGAGACAAACGCCATGGGACTAACCCCTGTCGATTATAGCTAAGAACCAAGGGCTAGCCTGATCGACCAGCAAGACAGAACGAAACCTGATGAGGTGTCGTGAGCAGGATAAATGTCTAAGCAGTCAAAGCATTTTCAAACACCTTCGCTGCACCCAAAACCTTCTCCTCCTCCAACTTCCGTGCAATAATCTGCAGTCCAAGGGGATGTCCATCCATTCTCTCCGGATCATACAGTTTCCAATTCCACTCGTCCGTAGCATTTCGGGGCTCATACCCTACATCTACCACATCCGTCTCCTTGGAAATAGTGGTCACGGGGAAAGCCATGGCTGAATAGTCCAGGAAGTTCCAGACCTTGGTGTATCCCACCCATCTAATACTTGTCAGTCGACGTCTTGCAATGGAAATTCTTGAAACAAACCGGCATGAATTATGAGGTACCGACGGATGTGGCATGACCGGGGCAAGAAGCACATCAACTTTCCGTCCAGAAGGTCCGCACGTGCTGTTCCACCTGTCCAGATACATCTTTGATGAGCTACCTTCTGACGGTTGAGTTGCCAGTACTGGTAGACGTAGATTGGGGCTCCTCTGTCCACGAGAGCCTGGACGTAGGGAAGGAAGGGCTCGTTGCAGACGGCGATGTCGCGACGGATGTCTTCGCCTCCATCAGCGGTATAGTATTGATCCTGTGGTAGTTAGTCTTCATCGGCCCAATCCATTGGGTGATAGTATGAGCGACGGGGCTGTACTTGAACGGCGATAAAGTCCGCATGACCGGTCGTATCCCAAGGAATAATCTCGTGGCCTTGCTGCTTGAGCTTCTCGACGAGGAGAGTCAGAGCTCGGCGAATCGGTGGATGGGGCCGGACGACTCCATCATCAGTGATGAGGCCGACTGTCAGTGGTCGCGAGAGCATGTCCTCGTACATTTCTTGTCTCCATGGAATAGGCACACAGCGAGGATCTAATCTCCAAGGTTCGCTGTCAATGACACACTTGGTGACCTCTGTCAAGGAGAAGAGAGACCGCGTCATGGGACCGACTACCGATGGAACGTGCTCTTGTCCTTCGGTTGAAACAGATACATTGTAATAGGGAAGACGTCCGTGCTGTTTGCCGATCAGTACATGCCTGGCCATTTCTTTCTTTTACGGCGATATCGTGACGAACACTTGGTTTGAGGCCATACAATCCCATCATGCTACTCGGGCTGCGAATAGAACCCCCAATATCAGTTCCCCAGCCAACTAGAGACCCATGCGATGCGAGGAGAGCAGATTCGCCGCCAGATGAGCCTCCCGGAGTAAAAGAAGGGTCGCGGGGGTTGACGGTGAGTCCCCAAAGCGGGTTGTCGGTTTCAGCCATCTTGAAGCCTCTCGTTAGCCAGCTCCTTGACCCGTATAAATCGAAGAGTGCATGGTATAGCCTCACCATGATACTTTGGGGCAAATTGGTCTTCGCAATAATGACAGCGCCTAGTTGGCGCATTATAGTCACAACCGCAGCATCCTCGCGGCGAGGAGAGAATGCGCGCCCGACATATCCCAGGGATGAATCAAGTCCACGCACATCAAACTGGTCTTTCAAGGAAACGGGGATGCCATGTAGTGGCCCGATAGGTTTGCCGAACTTTCGAAAGTGGTTGTCAAGTTCACGAGCTCTTTCGACTGCATCGGCGAACAATATCTCGGTCAAACAGTTTGTCTATGGGAGTCAGGCTAGACTTGCTTCACTTCCAGGGGACTGTTTACCTTTTTGTGAGACTCTATCGCTCTATGATCTGTGAGCAGAGATTGGTGACGGCGGACGGGGAGTGCACTTACTGGGTGATGTAGGCAATGGTCACCGTCTCAGCCTGAAGATCTCCCTCGGACAGCAATTCGCGTAGTTTTTCATGCGGAAGATCACAAATTGCCACGCCATCAATTTTATCAGTGCTTGCGGTGTACTTGGAAGTGAATTCATTGATCGCCTGCTGCTGCTCTCGGCGTTTTCTGGCGACGATCCCCTGCCACATGGGGACGTCGGCCTCCTCGTTTACGGTCATTATGTCAATCACTCTGGATCAGTGGTGCACTGTGAGGGCACAAACCTGTTCTCAGACAAAATATTCAGTGCAGTAGCCACATATACCAAGTTCAGCCAGCTCTTTATCGGAGTTGAAGTCCGAGGAAACTTCCGCATCTCCACAGTGTCGGCGATTTTTCGCCGAGAAAGGAACAATATGCATTTCCGCCCCTCGAAACTGAAGGGACGAAAACGTATAAACATGTGCTCATCTGTCTTAATCAGGGGGTGTGTCAACTGGAGGAAGATTCCTGTTAACAAATAACTCTAAGAAAATTGGCAAATCCATGATCTCAAAAGGTGGCCGACGAAGCTGTTGGAAACGCCGACGAAAACTCCGAACTAACAATCTAGACGTATGCTATCTTATCCATTCCTATTGATAACACCGTCATAATTTTAATTTGACGATGTATCAAGTTCCATGATCATCCCGAAATTAAACACAACACATTGAGCAACTTCCTCGAGCAGTATGGACTTCGGGTAGAGAGGGGAGTGGATGATTTCCCAACTGCGTTGGAAGCATTATATGGTCCGGAGAATGGAGCGAATATTAAGGCTTCTAGAGCCGTTGCGATTAACTAACGTGGAGTATGTTTATTCAACATGTACCTCTTGGTGCCAGCACTGACTACTTAGATATGGCACTCTTCCGGTATTGGGACATTCTTGTGGACGCAATCTGATCACGACGGCCGGTCTTACTGGCGTTCTGGGTATGCCATCAGCCATCAAGGAAGGCGAGATCCAAGGTCGAGCCGTCACGATTGGAACCCCGACGAGGAGGGCGGTGGTGGAAGATCAAATCGATCAGAGCCGGCATCTACAAGGATATCTTTTGCTGCACGATGGGCCTCAGCACATCCGATGTAAGTGCCAAATACTGCTTCGAACAGCACCTTGCTCAGATTATAAGGATTATAAGCCAGTAAGGAAAGACAGCCAATAGGACAACCCATATTCCGCCAGTATATGTGCCTCCGAGATGACCAGAACAAACCTCTACAATTTAACTCGGGTTGTTTCAAGCTTTCCACCTGGTAATCTGGTATTGTTGGAAGCCTACAGCTAGGCAATCGCGAATGGAACTAAGAAGCAGCCTAAAACGATCCGAAATCGTTAGTGCTTATATCGAACAAAGAACACAGAACAAGGTAACGTGTGTCATCCAAAAGTGGATCACTGTCATTCGCGTCTCGCGCGATGTAACATGACTGTCTAGACCGCCAGCAATATAAGAACGACCGCCACAACAACAAACATCTCTCGTTTCCAGCACAAAGTCCCTCTGTCCCGTCCACAATGCAGATCCTCTGGTGTGCTGGGTTATTTGGCGTAGCCTACGCCACCACACAGACTGTTCTACGGACAGAAGAGCCTCTAACAACATTTCGGAGCTCATATTCGCCTGCTTATTCGGTCCGCATCCGCCAACAGGATGAGACAGTCTGTGCCGCAGGTTCTGCCCAGTACACCGGATGGCTGGACATCGGACCCAAACATCTGTTCTTCTGGTATTTCGAGAGCCAGAACGATCCAGTTAATGACCCACTCACCCTCTGGATGACTGGTGGGCCGGGCGCCTCAAGCATGCTGGGTCTGTTCCAGGAGGTCGGTCCCTGCTTGATCAATGAGCACGGCAATGGCACTGTGCACAATCCCTGGGCTTGGTCCCGGAACTCCTCCTTGCTTTTTGTCGACCAGCCTGTTGATGTTGGGTTTTCCTATATTGATGAGGGTCATGCGCTTCCAGTGGACTCCGCGGAGGCCGGGATAGACATGCATCGTTTCCTGCAGCTGTTTGTGTCCGAGGTCTTCCCGCAGAAGCGTTCATCTCCTGTCCATCTTGCAGGCGAATCATATGCGGTGAGCAGGTGCTGTCTTCTTGTCGCATATTCTAGCCTAACGTACGCAGGGACAATACATCCCGTACCTTGCGGCCGAGATCCTGCGCCAGAACGAGCTATATCCCACAGAGCCCCAGGTCAACCTGCAATCGTGCCTCGTAGGCAATGGCTTCATGTCCCCTAAAGACACAATATACGGGTACTGGGAGACCCTCTGCACCACGAACCCCGGTGTTCCCACGCCAGTGTTCAACAAAACCCGATGCGACATCATGGCCGAGAACATGCCGCGGTGTATGGACGTCGCCGAGACCTGCAATCAACATCCGGATCCTGCTATCTGCCAAGCCGCGAGCTCTGTCTGCTACGAGACCGTGATGGGGTTTTTTGAAAATGAAGTGGGAAAGGGCGGCCGCAACCGCTTCGACAGTAAGACGTCGACCTGACAGCCAGAGTGCTGAATTTCTAACATGCTTCCATAATAGTCACGGCCCCATGCGAGCTTGATGAGATGTGCTATATCCAGGTAACCCGCATTGAACAGTACCTGAACACTCCAGCCGTATGGAACGCCATCGCACCGCCCAAGGAGGTTAAGAAATATAGCTTCGAGTCGGAAGCTATAGTTCAAGCCTTTGACACCACGGCCGAGGGCATGACCTCTTCATCTGATCTGATCGTGGCCCTGCTTTCCCAAGGGATAGATTATTTGGCCTATCAAGGGAACCTCGATCTCGCTTGTAACACAGCCGGAGCCCTGAGATGGGCTAACTCGCTGCCCTGGAAAGGTCAGGTGGAGTTCACGGCACAGCCTCTTCGACCTTGGACTTCAAACGTAACCGGCCACGATGAGACTGTCGGCACCACCAAAGAAGTCCGAAGCCATATGGATAGCCGCGAGAAGGCGTCGCGGTTTGCTCTTGTTACAGTGGACGGGGCCGGCCATCTGGTATGACATATCTTTAACCTCGGTTCTTGGGTAGACACTAATGTTTGATATTCACAGCTTCCTCAAGATCGGCCTGATGTTGCGTTTGATGTCATGCTACGGTGGATTACGGGGGCATCTTTTGCATAGCTGATTTCCTTGGATGAGGCAGTAAATCCAGCTAGTAACACCGGCTTGTCCATCCTCGTTAGACTCAATCTCTAGAATAGTACGCCCTCGAGGAGAATAGTGGTATACTCGCCATCCAGACAAAGTAAATAGCAGATGATACGTTACTGTGAATATCTTCCATCTTCCACCTCAGGTAATTTCGGTACACTAATACTAGCTGTCGGGTAAGGCCGCCGGACCCGCCGAAGTTCTGGATGGAGCACTACAGTAAATCGCTTTGACGCTCCTCCGTAAGCGTTACAATCGTTTAGCGCCGGATGTGGATGTCTTAAGCCGGGCCGTTCGCTTTGTGGGTTGTTGGACAGTACGTTCCATTTTTGCACCTTTCTCTCCTCCTTTCTTCTCTTTAACCTCTTCACCTCGAGAACATGGTGGATACCTCTCCCACGCCGCAGCCTCCGCTCCGGATCGGCACTCGACGATCCAATCTGGCCATGGTCCAGGCGGAGGGTATCCGGGATAGCCTGCAAAAGGTAGCCCCGGACCGATCGTATGAGATTGTCGCGCTCCGCACACTGGGCGATCGCGACAAGCAAACAGCGCTGTACAACTTTGGCGCCAAGAACCTGTGGACGACTGAGCTGGAGGAGAAGCTCACATCCGGCGAACTCGATGTCATTGTGCATTGTCTGAAAGGTGAATTCTGTCCCTCTTCCTGTCACTGCCATCACTCCGAATCGCAGACCAGCTGACAGCACCAGACATGCCGACAACTCTCCCCGACACCTGCCAGCTCGCCGCGATCCCGCCGCGGGATGACCCGCGGGACGCGCTGATCGTAAAGGCCAGTCTGCCGTACACCAGCTTGCAGAGCCTCCCCGCGGGCGCGGTGGTGGGCACCTCGTCCGTCCGCCGCTCGGCGCAGCTCCGCCGTCTGTACCCGCATCTGCGGTTTGCCAATCTCCGCGGCAATGTGGAGACGCGTCTTGCGAAGGTGGACGATCCGGAGAGCGAGTACACATGCATGATCATGTCTGCGGCGGGTCTCGAGCGCGTGGGTCTCCAGTATCGCATCAACCAGTACCTGGGTTCCAGGGACGGTGGTATTCTGCATGCTGTCGGGCAGGGTGCACTGGGGTTGGAGATTCGGAAGGGAGATGCGCAGATGCTGGAATTGCTGGGTCAGCTGGCTGATAGGAAATCTACTCTTGCGTGTCTCGCTGAGCGGTCGCTTATGAAGACGCTAGAGGGTGGGTGCAGTGTGCCCATTGGGGTGGAAACGGAGTGGCTGTCTTCTGGGGATTTGAGGATGCACAGTATTGTCGTCAGTTTGGATGGCACGCAGTGCGTCGAGGACAGTATCACTTCGAAAGTCGGGACGGATGATGAAGCGGCGGCGTTCGGAGAAGAACTCGCGGCCAGACTGGTCAAGGCTGGCGCAGGGCAGATTCTAAACGACATCAATGCCAATCGGCCTCCCAAGGACTGATTGCTGCTCTCTAGAAGTTATCAATGAGTATGCGCTGTGATTTGTTCTTCTCAGAACCTGTATACTACCAAACTCTCCTATCAGTTGAACTATGCAAGGCTAAATAAGGCAACATAAGATCAATGTTGAACGAATCCTAACAAAAGAATACCCGATAGACTCCTTGAACACCGTGTCATTCCATACAGCATTACTCAACGTCCGCTAAATCGCCAACATCCGGCGAATCATCGAGATCTGTTGAATTGTCCAGGAGCTCCCATCTCTTCCGCTTCTTGTTACATCCATGCTTGCAGTCACTGCATGTGTGTGCCACATAACAGCAACTCGCAAATGCAGTCATCCAAGGGCTTATTTCACTCGCAGGGCACTGTGCACTAGCCATTAGCATTTCTCATGAGCTATATCAAGATCTTGGCACTTGCATCATCGCCAATCATCCCGATACCGATTAGGAGACTGCAGCAGTACTGTGTTTTCTCGACGTTTGGAGTATGATCGTAGTTCATGCATTTGCAGCCACGTACAATTGCAGCGCTGTTAGATCGATCAGTAACCCCTGCCTCCACTGTATTCAATTATTTTGATGCACTTACTTGGCGGCCCAAAGAATAGTAAACATGGAGATCTTCATGGTTACACAATCTGCGGCTCTTCGATATTGGTAAATTCAATTAACTCTTGATATATAAGTTCATGAGCTAAGATTATATGGAGGAAAGAACAGCTAGTTATACTGCACTGAAAACACCCTCAACAAAGAAGCAAGAACAATATTTCCGCAATAGGCCTCCTATATTGTCTTATATCTCCAATAACTAGATATAGTAGCAGGGCTGTGTTGCAGGAGGAACAATGAACAATCATCACGCTTCCTTTATCTACTGAAGTGTGGAGGACAAAGATGGAATCATCCCTCGACTGATCAATCCCTACATGTGGACACGGTCATCGGCTTGACACTGAGAACACGCTCATGCACTTCGACATTGGTATTTTGCTTTGTTTGTAGTCTTATTAAAAGCATGAGGTTTAGCTGGTTAAGCAGCACACTCGTCGCCATCATCGTATCAAGTCCCTGCCAACAAACCATTGCTGCTCACTTCCGACCAATCTTTCTTCTTTTCTCATCAAAGAAATTGGTGTTAATGTATGCGAGTACCGGACCACTGCCGAGGGGATTGGGCAGAATGTGTTTAGCGATGAATCCGGAGATGAAGATCCAGATCGCGAGAGAGGATGGGGCTACGTTTGCTGAAGATGTCACGCAGGTGGAGGACTTCACGCACAGGAATAACAACTATCAGACCTGAAAAAGTCCATCGTCCTACTCTTCACTTCCCACTCCCTTGCGAACAATAAACAGTCCTAATGGATCTCTCATCTCTTAATCCTATACAAATCCGGATAATTGGACCCCAAAAACGACCGTTGAAAGTCCACCTCATCCGCATCCGCTTCACTTCCATACGCCCCCATCTTTCCCAGCTCGAACGATTTCAAAGCAGGCACTTCATCCTATATAATCTTGAAAATTGAGTGGGAATTGATATGAGCTAGTTTTGATCGCGACCGGAATCAATTGCTACATAGACCTGCTGGTGTCCAGGCTAAACAAAGAGACAGAAATAAATGCAGAACACTAAACGTTGGCATTCTGGATAGTTCAAGCACACAAGGCCAGGAAAAGCGCGTCCTCACTGCCCCATTTGTGCTACTAGTGAAATTGGGGTCCAGTTATAAATAATTCCATCCGTGTTTCCCCAAAGCTCAAGCTCACTAATCGAAAGCAGCAAGCCTTGAGCTAGCCTTCTTTTCACGCCCTGAAGCATCTCTCGAAGGGCCATAAGGTAGGTGTTTGTGCACAGTTGTACCAGGGCCGGTTGGAAACGGCTACACTGCAAATCAAGGACGTGTAGGTCGTCGTCTTGTCGGAGGCGGTTGGGTAGATCAGATACCCAGCTACATAAGCATATCTCAGTATTGTGGATTCTGCTACGTAGTTATCCAGACAGAGTATACTCACCTGTAGTCAAGGCTAAGACTTTTGAACAACTCATCCATGCGGCGCTCAAACTCTTCTGCCTTGACGCCTTTGACGAACTGGTGTACTACGTCCGCGTCCTCCCATTGGATATACCCACCAGGCTCTAGGAGTGCGATAGTCAGCTTTGGCAAAGAGGCCATTATGAGAAAGCCCAGCTATACTCACTCAAGAGACGCTTCACATGGAGAATCAATGACGACGCATCACTTCCAGACAGGTTACCCGCCCACATTCCCAGATGGACCACATCGTATTGACCAGCTAGCGACGTCGGAGGGTCTACTAAGGAGTCTAGCAGGCCCAGCGTCACGTTCTTGGGCCATAGCTCCTTTGGAGGAAATTGGCTGTTGGATATGTCGAAGCCATGCAGTTGGACTGTTGGAGGAAGCTGTCTTGCAACGTCAAATAGCCACATCCTCCTAGACGTTAGTGATGAAGCAGACTGGGAGAGGTTTTGATAGAGAAGGAATACATACGCTGTCCCACATCCAACTTCCGCTATTTTCATGTCGCTTGTCACCGGGATCTGCGGGTGAAGCTCATAGCCAGTATGGAGTTTCCAAAGCAGATGCTGGGCATCCAATCTGATTCTGGTAAGCTGTTTCTGAACTTGCGAAATATAGAAGAGAAAAAGGGATACAAACCCGATAGAGGCAGCCATGCCTCGTCCCAAAATGTAGTTATCTTCTTCGGCCATGTCTTTCTTTTGGTTGGAATAATCTGATAGATAACAGCGCCTTCACAAATTTGCGGTCGAGTGAGTCCCCAAGGTAGTGGAGGATTTATAACCTTGAAGGATGCGACAAATATTGCTTGGATGATTTCATCTAGGCAAAAAGTGTCTCGAGTTCGTAATATTTTCTTATTTATCGACTCATTGTGTAGCACAAATCTGCAGAAAGACAAGTGAAGAAACAATGAGGCCATATGCATATTCGATTTCGTATGTTTATAGCAGGATCGCCACCCTCCAACTACATCTTACTTCCATGGAACCAGATAATACCTGCATAGAGCCTGAAGGAGATAGCTTATTGTTTAGGCCTCTAGATTACATCACGCGGTATATTTACCATTGGTATATAGTAGCGATCAGCCTCAGAAGGCTTGTTTGAAGATCTCCTACTCCATTGGAAGTCATGGATGGCGAGAAGGAATGTAGATCAAGTCAATGTCTCCACTTGCCCAAATAGGGAGGGATGCCAACAGAAGTCAGGATTGTGAAATCAACTCAGTGTCTTATGTTGATAACTATATACAACAATATGCACTTTTCATAATCTACGGTAATGTCGGTGCAGGTATCACGTTGGGCTACATGCATTGTGAGGTAACCCCAATACAATCACTCGCTTTACGTCAAGTATTGAATGTGACTCTAACAAGAGAAGATACCATCTGCTGCTCATTTGTCCCGTCGTGCAATCTTCTCAAGCGCGCCCTGAAAGACGTCCTTCAGCCCATTCTGCTCGCTAAGTCGATCTATAGCCTTCTGTGATTCATGGACCATTTCTTCTTCGTATTCTCGGTAGAGCTTTTCGAGGCCAAGATCATGAAATATGGTTCGAACAGCAGTATCATGTACAGGGCCCTGCCTGCCATAAGAAAAATCCAGGACTTGCCGTTGCTCGGCACTGCAGAGCGTAAGAGCTCGAACAATAAGCCAGGTGCATTTATGGTCCTCTATATCGGTACCGACTTTTCCAGTCACCGATGGATCCCCAAAACAGTCTAGGTAGTCATCCTGGACCTGGAAGTATTCGCCCATTGGAAGCATGATGGTCTTGACTTGCTTCAGGTTGCTCTCGTTTGCTAGCCGGAGATAGTGCAGGGCCAGTGCAATTGGTAAATAAAAACTGTAGAAAGCGGTCTTGTTTCTGGCGATGAACGAATATGCCTCCACAGTCATTTGATCCAGACCACGGGCTTTAACTGCCATGTCTGCGTCGCTAAGTTGTCCCAATTCCGTCCGGTGACTTGCTTCATTAAGAAGCTCAAGGATGCCGACGTATTCCGCGTGATGTTGAAAATGTTTTTTAAGGAGACTAAACATCAATGACTTGAGGAAGGCCGCGTCATTGATGGCGGTCAAACCAACCTCATCCCGACGATACCAGCAAAGCTTTCCTCTTCGATACTCTGAATTATCCATAATGTCGTCTGATACCAGGTACGAGGCCTGGAACATTTCCACCATCCACCCGAGTATGCTCAGGTCTTGAAACTCTGCAGGGGTCGGAGGTCGTTGTAATAAGGTACAGCCTGTGTCAACTACGGTGAGCCCTCTGTTGAGTTTCCCATCTTTGGTATTTGCAAGCAGGCACTGTTATGCCTAAGTTAGCAACGAAAGCTGCGTAGTCTGCTTTTTTTTTTTTTTTTTTTTTTTTCAAACATACTTGTTGGAGTCGATCTCTTATTGCACTTGGTGCTTTTCGTTCGGAGAGATCCTCCTGTATCTCATTGGCCAGGACCTCCAGAACACTCTTGAAATTTTCATGGTTTGCCATAATCGCGAGTCGTTCATTGGAAACACAAATGTATAGCAGGATGGATTTGTTTCGGGTGAATGTGTCCACCTATTGCAGTATTTATATGGCTCGCTGCTCAGTGCACATAAAGATGACAAGCCTTATAACAGCCATCCCCACTTCAAAGTCTCCTTGCAACTTGTAGGAGAGTCGTAGTCTGTCGTAACTTCTGTCCATTCACAGTATAGTTACGTACATAAATGTCCCCTATTTACGGTCGAGTTTTGCACCGCCTCGACGCGTGTATGTTGGGAGATGAGGCCAGGAAAAAGCTCAACACGCATAAAGAGAGTTTGTAGCAAGTCCACAGACGGGAGATGGACACCCGGTTCCCTTTTGTTCCCGTGTGTAGAATCGTTTCCCTATTGGGAAACCCATAACGTCAATAACTCCCGTTAGAAAATTTCTGTCTATAGTAGACGATGCAGGTAAAACAGCATTGACGTAGGTAGCTCACATGCCGGCATCTAGCTTGTCTCACTGCTCCGCCCTCGACGACATCGCAGCCATTCCAGTGAAGTATTTAAAACCCCTTACTGTGCACCTAAGATCGCATGATTCTTTCGGTTCTTTTAGTCTTGGATATTACTAAGAGAAGACCACGCTTCCTCAAATATGACGCGACTACCTCAGTCCAGCCAGTTTGATTACATCGTTGTCGGTGGAGGGATCGGGGGCATGGTGGTAGCATCTCGCCTAAGCGAGGACCCTACAACAACCGTCCTCCTTATCGAGGCCGGCCCCGATCGAACAGGGGACCCTCGCATTGAGACACCGGGCCTAGTAACCACATTATTTGGTGACTCGGTCGTCGACTGGGACTTCCTAAGTGAACCACAGGCCCATGTCAAAGATCGACAAATCCCTCAGCCTCGAGGACGAGTTCTGGGAGGCTCATCCGCCCTCAACTTCTCGGTGGTTGTGTACCCATCTCGGCAAGACTGGGCGGCATGGTCTGCCCTAGGAAACGAAGGCTGGAGTGCAGAGCACATGGCGCCTTATATGCGAAAGTTTCAAACCTACAAGGAGCCAGCCACCTCTACTGTGGACCTCCTGGGCCTGGATCATGACGCCGACCCCAGCAAGTACGGTTCTCAGGGACCCGTCCCCATCGGACACCCAGCAGTCTATGGGCCCTTCAACAAAGCTTGGAATCAAGCATTTGAAGAACTTGGCTGGCAGGATAAAAATGACCCTATTTCCGGGAATAAATCGGGTTCCTTCACGTGCCAATTATCTGTTGATCCAACCACCGGTGTACGAGGATATGCGACCTCCTATCGCCCGGCAGAAAGACCCAATTTGATCGTATGGACTGAGGCACGCGCTGAGAAGATTCACCTCACGAAAAACAACAGAAACGAATTATTGGCGACTGGGGTGCAGATTTCGGATCATCTGGGAGTCCAGCGCACCGCAACCGCCAGACGTGAGATCGTTCTCTCTGCCGGCAGTATACACTCTCCACAGCTGCTGGAGCTCTCGGGGATTGGAGATGCGCAGCGGTTACGGCAATTTGATATCCCTGTCATGCTCGACCTGCCTGGGGTTGGTGAGAACCTACAAGACCACTGTATCAGTTCCATCAGCTACAAAGTTGCTAAAGGTCAGATTTCTACAGATGCCATGCGCGATCCGCATTTAGCACAGGACTTTCTGAACCTTTACGAGAAAACCAGGTCAGGTCCTCTAGCGGGACTTCCGATCAGTGTTGCATTTCTCCCACCAGTAAACGATCAAGGCAAAGTCCCGATGGATGAGATGCGTAGCCTTGTGGAGGCATATTTGCCTGATAGCCAGAATCAGCATCAGACCGGCAGACAGAAACAAACCCAAATCAATCGTCAAATGCTCCTTGACAACCAAGAATCAACTATTCAATATATCCTTCTTCCATTCCAGATGGCCACCAAGCCCGGGCTGATGACCATGGCAGATATATTTGAGCACGAAACTGAGGATAATTACATCAGCATCGTTGCGATGCTCAGCCATCCGTTTTCTCGCGGTTCAGTCCACATTAAGTCAGGGGACGTCAGGGACAAGCCGACTTTTGACCCCAACTACCTCGAACACCCGATGGATCTGGAACTGCTTGCTCGACATACACAATACATTGAGAGGATCGTTCACACGGAGCCGTTTCAGATGGTAGTGCAGCCCCAATGCTGTCTTCCCGAGTCCAGCGCAGCGGATCTCACAGACTTAGAGTCGGCCAAACAAGTAGTGCAGGATCGGTTACTCTCTTGCTTCCACCCAGTGGGAACTTGTGCTATGATGCCACTTGACATGGGAGGCGTTGTAGATGACCAACTGAGGGTGCATGGTACGCGCAATCTGCGGGTCGTCGACGCAAGTATCTTTCCACTGGAGCCGCAGGGAAACATACAAGCGACTCTGTATGCAGTCGCAGAGAGGGCCGCGGATCTCATCAAGCAGAACTGCAGCGAATGACTTGTTGTCCTGGAAGATTAGCCAATGTTCTATGTAGACTCTGCGCCGAATGAAGAAGAATCTTATTTATCCGAACCCCAATCTTAAACTCGGCAGACCTTTTGACACCTCGCCGTATGCTCTCCGCATTCCTAGGTCGTGCGTCACTGGTAAGGACGAGACCTTGCCCCTATCCCTACGATCCCTTGTAGCTGTCGTCTTCGTCGTTTGGTTCGAGGTCTGCTTGCTCCGTGACGCCTTAGCCTGCAGCCAAGCGGTTCGAAATTAGGGCAGGCGCCTCCCTTTGGTATCTCTCAACTCCCCCTTTTAGGCGCCGTGCATGAAAACAGCCTTTATCAAGCAAATGTCGCAACCACCTCATCAAGTCGATTTATACATAACTATCTGCGCACAATCTGATCAAGTTAAGTATAAAGTTTCATCATGACCACATTCGAAGATCGCATAGCTCTGTTGCAGGTCGTTGTCGCCCCGTTCGGTTGAACCACATTAGTCCATGCCACTCATTCAACTATTTCAAAAAAAAAAAAAAAAAAAAGGTTTGGTAATATGCCAAATTACCTGGACATGCGTCATCACAAAGCATTATAACTAGGATAGACGGCGCGATTTATCAATGAGGGATGACACATAGAGCCCCTTCATCGCTCTGACGCCTGCAAAAGCTAGGGTGTCCTGGTCTAGGAGCTATTGCTTGCATTTTTATGGTGATTTATGTGACCGTCTCAATTGTTTATCTTGGTATACTAGCTATCTTCTCCTCCCACTAGTACCGTCCTCATCTATTCCCGTTTGCCCGGTCTCATCATGGAACTATTCCGCCTCGTCACCACCGATGATTCAGGTCTAGACATCCGAGACAGACTTGAAGAGGCTTTGAGTGGCCTCCTCGAGCTAAAGCAGTTAGAATTGCTTACTGAGGTTCTTACCGGCAGCGCCGTGGTTGATGACAGATTTGCCGAGTTGGTCTATACTTCTTGGGAGTATATTTGTCGCTTAAACCTCTGGTCCTACAGGTTTGACTCGTTACAGCAATACCGCCAATTAATCAGTTACCGAGAAGTTATCCGGCCAATTATTGAGAGGTTCAAGAAATCAGATCGAGCGAAATTTTCGAGCATGGAGACAATACAACATCAGTGGGGATTGCCAGTAGCTGAAGTGCTGCCGCAGCATATGGCACCTAAGTCGTGGAGCAAGCACCTTCTTTTCTTACTGGCCATCCTTAGCAAGCATAAAACCAGGCAAGAGGCAATTGAACTTCTGGAAGAGAGCATTACTCAGAGACCTCGGCGATCTCGTCAGACACGCACGCTGATGCCTAGTGATGTGCGGCGTGCTCTTGAATCCTTATCTATTCCTACAAGGTCTTCCACGAGATCTTCCACGGGATCTTCTGCTTGTATGCTGCCTCCTTTTCAGAATTGCCATGTTTATTACTATATTTATACTGACGACCATAGCATTGTCCTCGAACGAAAAGAACACACGGGTAGCAGATGGGTCACCTTCTGATCACCGTTCTGATATTCTTATTAGCACCTCGTCCACCGACCCTTTGGAACCGTTAATAGGTGATGTTCAAGAGCCATACAACTATACATTTAATTCCACCTTGCTTCCTAAGCAAGCGGATGACGGCTACGACTGCGAATGTTCTGCAATTTGTCTACCGCTGAAAGTCCTGTTGGATGGGCTAGAGGGCCAAACTTTTCATAATACGGATGGGGTTATTCTGCAGCTTTTTCAATGGGCAAAAAGCGTATCGTGGACATCAGTCTGTCTTGTTCACCTACAGCGCCTGGCAGAGCTCAAATTTGGTAATATAACGACATTGTGGTCACGGGAAGAAACTATTAAGCAGCTTGAAGGTCTGCTCTTGGACTCTCTCCTTTTGGAAGCAAATATTTCCCTCCTTCCCTGTCTTAGCGAACAGGTACCCGTTCTCTGATACATACTGGGTACCGCTCCAGTATGTTACACGGCAAAGAAGACCACCTTTGAATGTGTGCTTCCACACTTGCTACTGAATATGGAATATGTTTATATCTGGTCTGCTGCTTTCCCCAGGGGCAACAATGTATGCATAATAGGAATGCCAAACAATTTTGCTTCCGACAAAGAACAATAACTACTGTGCGCTGGGTATACAATCTGTTGCTACTGGATGCAACGGGGTCCATACCAGAAAGAGCAAAGCGTAACATTTCGACTCCGTACTCGTGGCAAGTAGAGCTTAGTTTGAAAGCACTAAATATAAGGCTACAGGCTTATGGCGTCATCAGAAGGCTCTGGATTTTGATCAATCAGCTGCATTTCTAGGTTGGATGTTCAATATCGACGAGGGAATACTGTCAAGAAATTCATTTATACTGAATGTGAATGAAACAAGCTTGGCTCGGGAAGTTCTCGCAAAGAATTGGAACTTTGTAGATGCCGGGAATTCATAAACTGCTTAAAGCTACAGAACAATTAGCAAATAGATACACCAAAGCGTAATCATGTTCATCGCAATCAACATGCCAGCAATTTCTGAGGTCCCTCCCCAGCTATCAAAGAAAAACATATTTCTATGGTAAATCGTCTCTGCTCGTTTCAATCATCTATACTGGATAATATGGGAAGCCCTACCCCAGCAGGGTGGTCTGCCATTTGATATTGCCGCGGTGATCCCCTTCCTGATACCCTTTCGTGACTTACGAGTCCTCGTCGTACGGCGGCAAATATTGCTCCTCTTGGAAGAGTTCAACAAGGTGGTATCGTCGATGTGCGGTACACAACATGACCCAGCCCTGGACAAATTGCGCCACCGACTTCCGCAGGTCCTGGTGGTCCTCCAACATCCCGTAGGCACAATGCAAAACCTGGAGTATCAAATAGAATTAACCACATGTAAGAATACGCAATCATAGGAAGACCTACCTCAGGAGTGTACGCTGATAGATTTCTCAAGACGTCAGAGTGCTGCATGTGATGGGTTATAGCGAAGTTCGACACGAAATTCCCTTTCTCGTCATCAAGGACAAATTCTTTGTAATATGAGAGAATATCGTTGGTAAAGTCATGAACAGTACCAGTTCAGCGATGGCAGGGAAGTATCGCATTACAGTCTGCTCCTCGGGGAACAGCTTCTTTGGCCAGAGCATATGGATGAGGATCTCAGCACCTCCGACCTTAGTGCGTAGAAACATGGGCATCAGGCGAGAATCCGTGGGGAACCGGAACGAGGAGTATTCCATTTTGTGCTCGATAATACGGCCATTGATGTAGTCGAAGACCGACTTCAGGATAGCCGAGTGGCAGTATGGCCCATAGTAGCGAGAGAGCGCGCGGAGATGTATGTCGAAGTGATGAAGTAGAGGATGCTGGTGGCCTTTGTTCAGGACGAAGCTAGACGTTTTGGTTAGGGCATATTCTGACAGACGGCATCACAACCTACTTCTGATTAAAGATTTGCAGATCCCCTATAAAGTCCTCTGCAATATCATCCACAAGAAACATGTACAAAACTTGAGCGGAACAGGCGACTTTGATATCAAACGGGAGTGAAGTATATGCCTGGTGGATAAGGGTAACGGAGAGCTTGAGTCTTTTATGCACTTTGCTCTCGATATCCTGGCCCATGGACAAACTCAAGAAGTAGTCCCAGACTGCGGCTTCTAGACCACGGTCTTTGATGAATGGTGTGCTCCGATCGAACTGGATGTCATCGAGGAATTTCTTGATGGTGATTTTGACTTGTTCAATCTGGGCAATTTTAGCGGCATCAGGGGTCTGCGTCTCCAGGCCGTGATACCCAATAGTACTCTCTCCTTGCAAGGTAGCCATTATTAAGTCGGACACCGCTTGTTATGAGAACCGGCCGATTCCTTTCTACTTTCTGGTGCACTTATAGGTTAATAGCCTATTTGTATTGTTGCTAGATACCCCGCTGCTCCGTTCGTTCGTCATATCTGCCTGTCCAACGTAGATCACAGCCATTAGGAGCTGCTCCTGTTCGCTGGTACGTCTGGATACGATGGCAAGAAGTTACGGCGCAACGATGAACGACTGCCGGGGTCAGCTACGGCCCCGGCAGTCGACCGAAAAGTACATACATTCTTCGCACCGAATACCACTCACTGGATACGCGTCGCTCCAGTGCATTCAGTTCGCTACTCTATGATATAAACTAATTTATCCCGGACTCGTGGTTGCCAAACTAAAATTCAACATTCGTTCCACCCTGCTCCTCAGTTTTCCATGCTAAGACGTACTCCGTACATATGCGGCTGCGGGTGGCTAGATATGGTCAAGCACGCTTCTGATCTGCAGAGACCCATGGATGAGATTGTTAGATCAAGTGTCTGACGGCAGCTGATTCCGGGGCTGACTCTTGCCGCCGAATGGATGTATATAAAGTCGGCGGCCTGCCTGATAGCAATGCGGCCTGAAAGCGTAACCCTCTAGCGCTTTTTTCTTCATTATTTTACCTCCACCATTTTGTCTCATTCTTCTCACGACGCATTCAACCAGTTCGGAAGCTAGGAGTATTGCAATGGCAACCTCCGATAAGAATAGTCCATTGGACTTTACGGTAGGTTCTACAACATTTATAGTCAACTTACAGACCTCCAACCTATAGTCTAATTAGCATTCGCGCAGACATTCCACAATGTCATTAATAATGAATTGACCTCGACCGCCATGACCCGCCGCGGTGTTAACCCAGCCACTGCGGAGCCCAATCCCGCAGTCCCCGTCGCTACTCAGGAGGACCTTGACAAGGCAGTCCAAGCAGCCCGCGCCGCTTTCAAGACATGGTTTAGAAGCTCTTTCGAAGAGCGTCGAGCTGCCCTCCACGCCTATGCTGTTGCGATTGAAGCTAATATCGATGGATTCTCGAAGACTCTCACCATGGAGCAGGGCAAACCCCTGTCGCAATCTACCACTGAGGTCCGTATGGCGGGCACCTGGATACGGGGACTCAGCAGCATTGAGATTCCTACAAACACTATTGAAGAGACCGAAGACTGCAAAGTTATTCAACGTTATACCCCCATAGGAGTGGCGGCTGCTATTGTACCTTGGAATTTCCCGGTACTCTTGGCTGTCGGGAAGATCGTGTCTGCCGTATATACTGGTAACACGGTCATTGTGAAACCATCCCCTTTCACCCCATACTGCGACTTGAAGTTAGCGGAGCTAGCAACGCGGTTCTTCTCTCCGGGTGTGGTACAGTGTCTGAGTGGAGACGATAGTCTAGGCCCTATGATGACTGAGCACCCTGGTATTGATAAGATCTCGTTTACTGGATCGATTGCGACTGGTAGGAGAGTCATGGCTAGCTGCTCTAAGACCCTGAAGCGTGTGACACTTGAACTGGGTGGTAATGACCCGGCGATTATTTGTGACGATGTAGATTTGGATGCAATAATCCCTAAAGTAAGCCCTGCTCTGTCAGATTCCACGAATACAACTAACGTGATCTCTAGGTCGGAATTACCTCCTATTTATGCAGCTCCCAAATCTGCATGATTATAGAGCGACTCTATGTGCACGAGAAAATCTACGACCAGTTCTTGGAGAAGTTCGTGACATTCGTTAAGTCTCTCAAGGTTGGCGACGGCACTGAGGGCGATGTTTTCTTCGGTCCCGTCCAAAACAAGATGCAGTTTGAAAAGGCCGAGGATCTCCTCCATTCTATCTCCAGAGAGAAGCTCCATACTGTCCTTGGCGGCTCGATCAAAGAGTCAAAGGGATATTTTATCCACCCGACCATCGTCGATGACCCGCCCGACACCTCGCGTGTGGTTCAAGAGGAAGCATTTGCCCCTATCCTCCCCGTTATGAAGTGGTCTGATGAGGAGGATGTGATCGAAAAGGCTAATGCACTGGAAACGGGTTTAAGTGCCTCTGTTTGGAGCAAGGACTTTGAGCGCGCTACTCGTATTGCAGACCAATTGGAGTCTGGGGTGGTCTGGGTGAACTCACACCTTGATGCTTCGGCTACAGCGCCGTTTGGTGGGCACAAACAGAGTGGCATCGGTGTTGAATGGGGTCTGACTGGACTATTGGGATACTGCAACTCGCAGACGCAGTGGTTGAAGAAGTGCTTCTAGTGGGTTTATCTGGGGTTCAGCCCTTGGACATAGTATGGATGATGCACGTATCTGGGTACGCAGTTAGGTTCCTAGATATATATCGACACAAGAAACTTCTTTGCCCTACGTATGACTCTCCAAGAGCATGACAATATGTGCTGTTAGTCTAGAACTCATGCAAAGAGCTGCGGGAGTAGCATCCTGTGAATGATCTAGTAAGACGAGAACAGATATATAGGCTTTAAGAGCAACCTTGTTAAAGGGTTGGCAGGTACGCTTTTCAAATCATTAAGCTCTATAGCCGATATCCTTACCGTGAGCTAGCACTCAGTAGATAACTAGCTGGGTTATATAGAGTAGGCTATGCGTGGAGCAGGTTGAGTAACAAGGCTTAGAAACTATCTTGGCACTCTAAGCCCTACTGGGGTGTTTTTCCGGCGCCGCTCTGAGCCCTGTATACTAAATCCTGATACCCGTTTAGCTGTATTTCCCCCCCTGGGGCCGCATAATAAGCGGATTCTCTTCTCCTTCCGATCCCTCTTGGCGTTCTCTTTGTGTCTAACTTCATCATGAAGCGAGCCGGGCGAGCCGCTTGGACTAGTGTTCGTCTTACCGGGCCTCGCAGGTGTTTTGCTACGTCTCTACCATCCACTCCTTGCTGTCGCCGAACTTCCCTACTGTCTTCTCTGAGACCCACGGCGGTGCCGCGTCGAACAGTAATGTCGTCAGCGCAGTGGACCTGCACCCCAAGAGTGTTTCCCACCTCAGGAGTCAAGTTGCTGGACCAGTCCGCTGAACTTGACGAGGAGACACTGCCGAACTACCAACCCGAGAAATACTACCCAGTCACCCAGGGTGAAGTATTTAATGGTCGATATCAAACCCTTGCTAAGCTAGGATACGGGGTCGCCTCCACAGTTTGGCTGGCGAAAGACTTGGTGTATGTACAGTTGATTAACATGACCCTAATAATGGTGGAGATTCTAATGGTATACTTCGAACCAGTGCATCGACATATGTGGTTCTAAAGGTTTATGTTACGGGCCAAAACCGAGATCTCGAGCGAGAACTAGACATTTACAAGCATATTAATTCAGTGAAATCACAACATCCCGGGAGAAACTTTATTCGCAGACTTCTCGATCATTTTTATCTCCAGAGCCCTCATGGCTGTCATATCTGTCTTGTTCATGAGCCTCTCGGAATGACTGCAGACTTTCTAATCAGGATGGCTCCTCGGAACGACAAAACCCTTGATTTTATGAAACCTGCTATCCGACAGCTACTTGTCGCTCTAGATTTTCTGCATTCGGAGTGCCATGTCATCCATACAGGTTATATACCTACCACCTTCTTTGAAGACCTTAAGTCACAAACCTAACGTTATCACAGATCTTCAGCTGAAGAACTTACTACTTCCCGGACCGGAGACAAGCCAGCTTTCCCAATTCGAAGAGCGTGAAGTTGCAAACCCAACACCCCGAAAGAAGCTCAAAGACCGAACAATCTATAAGTCTTTAGGCTTTCTTTCTCCAGGCGGACTGCCAATTCTCGCTGATTTCGGGGAAGCTCGATTAGGCGAAAAGCATAATGGTGACATTATGTCGAACGTTCACAGAGCTCCGGAAGTGATTTTAAGGTCAAGCGGGGACTACAAGGTGGATATATGGAACATGGTTGTAAGTACCTAAGAATTGTCCTATTTTTTGCTTGTCTTGAAAATAATAATATTAGAGTATACTTAGGCTTGGGATATTGTTAGCTCTCGCACTTTGATCAATGGCAAAAACCCAGATGGCATATTTGATGATCGGGTCCATATGGCAGAGCTGATTGCTCTGCTAGGGCCCCCGCCCCCCCGAATTCCGGGAACAGAGACCCCTCAGCTCGGCCTTCTGGGATGAGTCGGGGAACTGGAAAGATGTTGCCCCTATTCCAGATATTACGCTCGAGAGCCTGGGAGAAGAGGTGGAAGGGGAAGATAAAGAAGGGTTTTTGCGGTGGCTCCGCATGGCCTTGCAGTGGAGCCCCGAGGACCGGCCCACGGCTTTGGAACTCCTATTCGATGAGTGAATGATGAGGGGGCTTTGAATGTAATGCTTATACGGACTTGAACCATGTAGACACTGTAGATCTGTTTTGGGTTCTATAGGCAATTGCACCAACCATAGGCTGCAGCTTGGTAGGATCCCTCTCTAGGCTACGGGTTTATTCTGCTGCCACACACTGCCTTTTCCTTATTGATTAAAGTTTGACTGCTGCTCAATTTCCTATTCCTTAGCTATTCCTTGTTTATACGGTACGCATAGATACCTAGAAAGTTCCATCTCTGTTTGTCTAATAACAATGGAACGCTTTAGACAGAGTCAACATCCTGTGGCCTCATTCTCCCAACAGATAGATGGCCTCACTGGGGTAACATGCTCGGCTCACACCAACAAACCTCTCTTTATTGTCTTCCTTGTTGCTTTTTAGCTTCTGGCGAATAACGGAGAGACCATAGCAGAGTGAGTTATTCTCGGTCACCGTCTTCCATTCCTGCTCAGTGAGCTCTGCCGGGGTTCTTCATCAGGATAGTATTAACGTGCATCAAACAATATTTTTCAGCTCCATCATTTCCCACACACGCTATCTTCTGACTATGAGATATACTTTCCATCATCCTTCCAGCATAAGCTCAAATACTACTGAATTCTTCGACCCCTTGAATACTCTCTTCAACTGAAGTGCTGGGTCTGCGTTGCGAAACACCTTTAACCAGCCTTTGAGGGACTTTGAGAAGCAGTTCAGGCTAGCTATCATGTGAAAGTCCAGCTCATTCAGGAATTGAGAGACATATTCTTCCTTCCCGGGATCAAGAAAATCGTGGATCAGAATTCTTGAATGATCAGCTTTCATCGCCTTGACGACGTGCTGAAGCATAGTGACACAGGCACTGTGAGCAGTGAGAAGCTGTTAGCTAGGATTATTATCAGAAGTGGCAGACATCTCCTACCTGAGCGGATGATCCATCATAACATGGCTCAGTAAATAGACATCGGCGCCCTGAAGCGGTTGCGGAGAAAAGATGTTATGTGCCTGCCATTGGATCCGTCCTGCGACGGATTTGGGTATGTCCACACTGGCCTGCGCGCTTTCCACAACGCTGCCAAGGTCTTGTACTATGAAGGACATGCGGGCATACTTCATTCCCAGTCGGATCGATTGCTGCCCTTTGCCGCCTCCGATGTCCACGATCTGTGTATCTTGTTTCAAGGTGTCGAAGGGGTAGAGACTCTCAATAGGGTCGTCCAGAGGGGTGTTGTAGTGTCCAGCCATGGCGGTCGCGAAACGATCCCCTCGTCTCATATCTACAGAGTCATAGTACTCGTACAAGGTCTTGTCAGCTGCATCACCCATTAGTATAGCACTGTAGTTATGCGAAATCCTGACGTACTACTAAAGGCCAGCTGGAATGCCGCCTGGAGATGATTGTCGGGTATCTGAAAGTTGGACTGCGCGAGACTGCGCGAAAGATAAGCTCCGGTTGTGAACCCGTCATCAGTCCTATTCCTTAGACCTTAGAAAGATTCACTTTTAGCTTTAATCTTGAGGAACTTACAAGTAATCAACAAGTGATGAGAATTCATTGTTCAAAAGCCGTATTGAGCGACTATTATGGCAGTATACATGTGGTTCGACTTCATTAAAAATGAATCGCTTCACACATTGCCGCATCACCCTTTCTGAGGGATGTTAGTATGGTACACTCCAGAACAATGCGTCGGGGACGTCAATACTGATCAGATCTATAGAGCCGCCGGTTCTCTCACTCAGCTGTAAGAGTGAAATCGCTTCCGGGGCTTGGGGGACATGATGATGGATTCTCATTTGCAGAACAAGTGAGAGCACCACACTGTCAACATATCCCCATGCAACGTTTGCAACCCATTCATGTGGCTCAGTCAACAGAGCTGTCAACTCCTGACATGCATCAATGACCTGAATCCGAGCTTGTTCTTTATCCGACAAGGTACCAGACCCCGATTGTAGAACATCCCGAGCTACGCGGGGTGTATTTTGCGCGATGAGGGTGGATAAAGCTTCCACTCTCGCAAGAAAGTTGAGGTCGATTGCCATTGGTTTCGCGGGTGGAACAGAAATATTCTAGATTCAATAATATTGAGATTGCAGATTTTAGGTGTGAAAGTTGACGTCGACGACGATATATAAGCCCCATTGGTATTTGCGTCTACCTTCGACACTCTATGCCGACACGGTTACATACGATCTATACTATGGACGTCTTGTTATCCACAGTGGCTGGATATTTACTCACCGTAGTTTCAAACGACACATCACATCACAAGCCCACATAACTCCAGGGACCCAAGAATCGGAGAGACTCCTTACTTGTGCGAACGAGACTGGATAACAAGTAGTTTGGGCCAGGCCTTGTCTATTTTCTGTTTATAAAAAGCAGAAACTATACATGCGTCAGGCTCTGTTGAAAGGAACATGATATCCTCTAGGCGTATTTTTCGATCTAGTTCGCCAACACGACATTTCCGAGACGGATAGCTCGACATGGCCTTCCCAGTCACCGTTATCACGATTGTTCTCCCATTCTCGATATGCTTGATCCTATGCGTTGTGATACACCGTCTTTTTTTTCATCCTCTGTCCACGATACCAGGACCTCGGCTGGCGGCTATTACAAGTCTCTATCACTTCTACTATAGTGTGATTCGAAGAGGAGACGTGGTCAACCACCTCAAGTTTCTACACAAGAAATACGGTGAGGGATGGGCATGAACCTACTCGTAACGTATATGCTCATCTCAATGATAGGTACTGCTGTAAGAATAGGACCAAATGAGGTTTGATATCCCACCCTTTATCTGGGTCTTGATGCACCTCTACTCTGACCCCAAAGTTTCTTTTCGTTAGGTCCATTTTTCCAGCACAGATGCATACTTCAATGTCTACCATTCCAGAGAAACACGAAAGGATCCGAACTTCTACGATGCTTTCTTTGTCCCTGGTGGAACCCTCGCTACGTTGGACCACGCAGAAGCCAGGAAACATAGGAAGCCCATGCTGCAAATGTTTTCACGCAAGGCGACTCTCAATAATGAGGGGATTCTCATCACTCAGGTGACTGATTCCTTTCCCAGTCTAGAAATAGCTTCCACTGATGACCAATAGGCTGAAAGGCTTTGCGAACTGCTGCATGCGCCAGAATCACGAGGGCAATCGATCAATATGTACATGGCGCTTCGGTGCTTTGCATCTGATATCACAACACAATACGCATTCGGATTCACCTTTGACTCGTTGGGAAGTGCAGATTTCGGATGTCCCTTCCTCAAAGCTGTAGATGCTCTGGTTGCAGGTTTCTGGATGCAGGGTCACTGCAGCTGGTTGCGGAGCCTGACCAACTACTTCAGCCCCTGGAGCCTGCGGATTCTCTATCCACGAAGCCGGGTGCTATTCGATCGGCTGGAAGTCCGTGGCCCCATATTCTGAGTTTGTGCAATGCTGACGACCTCCTGTAGGGTTTACAAGGTTTTCTGGATAAGCTTTTGGCAGACGACCCTAGCAAAGGCGATCAAGTAAACCCCATTCCATTGTTTACAGCACTAACCACTATCGAGAGAGATCGTCGGGTCCCATTGCTGAGTTACCATGCCATCATGTCCGACACCTTCACTATGCTTTTTTCTGCTGCCTATACTGTCGGAACGACGCTCACCGTTGCCACCTATTACATTATGCGGGATAAGCAGCTCCTGGCCAAACTACAGGAAGAGTTGGCCGAATGCTGGCCAGACCACACTCAGAAATGCCCACCTTGGTCTGTTTTGGAAAGGTTGCCGTATTTTGTGAGTTTCCCGGCTGCATGCAGAAGGCTATGTAAAGTGGACTGATGACATGGGTCTAGACAGCCGTGATCAAGGAGACGCTGCGCATGACAGGGGTCGTGGTCTCGCCGTAAGGACCCTTTGTCTATTCATTCAACAAGGCGGGGATATTCCTAATGCGCGAGTTTTGTACAGTATCCCACGCATTACCCCCGCAAGTGGGATGACAATCGCTGGGATCTATGTTCCTGCAGGAGTGTGTCTTCCATTTCGTTCTGCGTATCCAAGATCTGGAGGTGAATCGCAGTGCTAAACTGGACAAGATACAGGTATACAGCAGTAATTATTTTCCCAATCATGACGAGAATATATTCGAGGATGCGGATAACTTCTGTCCCGAAAGATGGATCCGAGGAGGCAAAACGATGCAGAGATGGGAGCTTGCCTTTTCCGTGGGCCCAAGGCAATGTCCTGCAATCAGGTAACAGATCTCTCTTTTTAAAACTGTCACACCGCATCATCAGCCTCTCATGCAGCGGATAGTTTTTCCATGGCCGGCCTGTATGTATGCCTGGCACATATCATTCGGCTTTTTGAGATCGAGTACCAAGACTATGGGTATGTGGTCCCCCACCCTTGCATACATGGCCCTGCTGAAAAATGGCTGGGCTGAAGGCACCTGAAATACAAGGACTATTTTGTGACATTGATTGATGGTCCTCATCTGCAAGGCAGGGTGAAGCACCGAGTGAGGGCCGATGAGTCTCTAGACATGAGCCTTGGGTAGCGGTCAAGGATGAGCTGGTCTCGGCTGGTCGAAAAGGTGTTATTAGTGCGTTGGCCTGGGTTTTGTCAAAGCAACAGAAGTTGAGCTCCCGGAGCTCCCTTATTTAAGTCTGGATCTCTTTCTATTGATCACACAATCCAATCCTCAGTTACACATTTCTTTTTCCCAAATTAATTGCGATATCAATACAATGACGGTCAGTGCGGAGGAGCTCTTCAATGGGCTTGGTCAGCAATACGAGGAGTCATACGTCGACAATGCTGGGCTTGAGGAGGTCATTGACTGTGCTCTCAAGGAACTCCCACCAAAAAGCCGAGTTCTCGATGTAGGCTGCGGAACTGGAAAGCCAGTGGCAGCCCGCGTCGCCCGTGCTGGTCATGAGATCCACGGTATCGATATCTCACAGGAGATGGTCAATATTGCCTCCCGCCAAGTCATCGGCCGGTTTGAGAAAGCAGACATGACGACCTTCCAACCCTCTAAGCAGTATGACGCTATCTTCACCATCTTCTCCATGTTCCAGCTCTCGCACAGTCAGACATACTCAATGATGTACAAGTACTCTGAGTGGCTGAAGACTGGCGGGTTGCTCGTATTGGGGACCATACCCAGCACCAGCCTGGTGGATGATGAGGGTCTGTATGATGCCTCGGGAAAGGTTGTCCGCCATGCCGATCTTCTCTTCATGGGTAGGAGATTCCTCGGAACCGTTTATACTAAGGACGGATGGCGGGAGTTGTTCCGGGCTGCGGGCTTTATAATCCAGCTCGAAAGATCCTTTACCTTCAACGCAAAACCCCCGTACGACAAGGAGATCCAAGATCACTACTTGATTATCGCTAAGAAAGTTGTCGATCACGCGCTTCTGGGGCCATATCCGTTCCCGACGTCATATCGTGGCCCCCATCCACTCAGTGAGGCTGCCTGGGCTCCTTTCGCAGAGCGTCTGGTTAGAGATGAGTTCGACGCAGTGTTGGAAGTGATCAAAGGGAGTAAGAAGGTCTTGGATGTTGGGAGTGGCTATGGGAGTGAGTATAACCTTCCGATATGTGCGCACACTCCCGGCTAACAGTTCGCGGAACTCCCAATCGCAATGGCGAAACTCGGAATTGAAGCATACTCCCTCGAGCCAAATTTAGACCGGAAAAGGGTACAGATACAACAAGCTCAGTCCCAGGGTTTTACAATTTGCAGCGGCTCAGCAGAGGAAATTCCCTTCCGCGACAGGACGTTCGACGCTGCCGTCGCCATGTGGATTCTTCACTATGTAGATGATCTCGACAAATCACTACGGGAGATAGCACGCGTCGTTGACCCCAGCAGGCCAGGTTCTCGAATTGTCATTGTTCAGGGCGCTCCGGATAATGAAGTGGTCAATTTATTGAATGACATATGTGCACCCCTTAGTGCACAGAACACCGCTATTGACCATCAGGGGTATCTGTTGAACGCCGCGGCAACAGTATTTGCTGAGTACGGCTTTAATGATGTTAAGGTCTTTCGTGTCAATGCGTACTGTGCCTTTCCTGAAGAAGATCTCACGGAGAGATGCCAGAAAGCAGCTGAGGTTTTGGCGGGTTTCTGGTTCAGGGACGATCCAAATTTTGTGCAGATGAAGGAGGCGCTAATCCCGCATTTGAAGCTGCATTTTAGGGATCGTCCGCATGCGATCAATGATGAGGTTGCTGTTTTGGTGGCTAAGCCGCTGCCAAATTGATCATCCAAGCTTGACATTGGACTTCTTTTTGGCAGGCGTCAGGATCGAGCCCTTGCACATATCCCAAGGGCCTAAAGATATAATCTTTCTATTCTCTTATCCAAGCGGCTTCCTTCTACGTAACTATTCTACATCCTACAAGAGCCACCTCGTTTACTCTCTGCTTTAGATACTGTACCGAATCATATCTGTGCCTTGGACACAGTCTCTTAAGAAAGCACTAGTCCTCGTCAGTGAATGGCCGACGTTCAACCAGCGGAAGCGCTATGATAATTCCTCGGATGAACTAAATACTGAGTGGGAGACGATTCGCCGAGATTCACTCAGGCGGCTGCATTTCAATGAGAGTGTGTTGAAGATGGACTTACGGAGAAACGTTTGATCCTATTGCAGGACAACCCTAGCAGCAGAGGTCACTGTGCCTCCGGGAACTAATAGATGTCAACTGTAGAACCCAATGTCAGGCCTGCGTTTTGCTTCAAGATGAAACCAGTATGGGTAGAACGGGAACCAACATGGTTGCCAGGTCTTGGGTTAGCTACGAAGACCTATGTTCATTCATTTAGAATTGCGGATTGCTCCATGTTTTCGGTATACAAGATGGCCGGATGCTGCAGGCGCATATTCACTTCCAAATGTGAATCCGCGGGTATTGTAGGCATCTCCACCACAAAGTTCCGCGGCTCAGAGAAGCCACGGAGCAACTCGTCCCGTGTCGGAATGTGATCCCCCGCTAGGATGGACATGACTTTATTGATCTATTAAATTCAATGTCACTCTTCAGGAAATAAGATTCTTACTCTACTATACACAATTCACCATGGCCAGCGTCAAAGTCGCACCAGCCACTCCATCAGAGACGGAAAAGAAACGCCCAGCTCGGGTATAGCAGGACCCCTTTATCCGATCGTTAACCGTCACTAACCCGGTATCCGCAAAGGCCATTCCGCCATGGGTGTCTCTAATCGCTGGAGGTACTGCCGGTGGTATTGAAGCGACGATAACCGTGCGTTCCTCTCTCAGAACCATGTCTTGCCTTACACTAACTTTTCCAGTATCCCTTTGAATTCGCCAAAACACGGGCACAGCTCTCTTCGCGCGCCGGCGCGCCGACGCCCAAAAACCCTCTGGTGCTGATTGCCCAGGTCGTGAAGAATGAGGGCCCTGGCGCTATTTATACCGGGTGCTCCACCCTTGTCGTAGTATGTATAGAACAGCTCCCCTAAAAAGGCCTGTAACTTATCCGGGCTGCAGGGTACGACCGCCAAAGCTGCCGTGAGATTCCTGTCCTTCGACACCATCAAGAATCTTCTTGCGCGCGAAGACGGCTCCTTATCTGCCGCTCGAGGCATTCTGGCCGGCATGGTGGCCGGCGCAACAGAGTCGCTTCTCGCTGTTACGCCCACTGAGCGAGTCAAGACCGCACTGTATGCTCTCTTTTATGTACAGGATTGAAAGACAGACTAATCGTACATTAGGATTGACGACGCCAACGGGCCCAAACGCTTCCGCTCTACGCTGCATGCCACGAAGCTCCTGGTCCAAGAGTCCGGCATCTCGGCCTTGTACCGGGGCGCCGTGTCCACGACTGCGAAGCAGGCTGCGACGTCGGCCGTTCGCATGGGCACCTACAACTTCCTCAAAGAGACAGTCAAGTCGCGGGAAATCTCTACCGGCCCGGTAACGACTTTTGGAATTGGCGCCATTGCCGGGACGGTCACCGTCTACGCAACGCAACCGTTTGACGTCGTCAAAACGAGGTCGCAGAGTGCTCAGGGAGCCAAACTGGGCGAGGCCATCTCCAGTGTCTTGACCGAGTTCGGAGTCAGAGGTTTCTGGAAGGGCAGTACGATGAGACTTGGTCGGCTGCTTCTGAGCGGTGGAATTGTCTTTTCGGTTTATGAACAGGTTGCGCAGGTTTTGCTTGGGAGGGCTGGTAAATAGACAGTTTCAAAGTAGAATTATGTAGAACTAGATTTAATGGCATGTAGTTAATTCAATCAGTGATACTAGACAAGCGCTATTCTGTATGGTTCTGTGCCTTTCTCTCCCAAGCAAACCGAATAGCTACTGTACCATGGATCTGAACTATGATGCTGGTTGTAAACGCCAGCTAGGCAGGTGCTCTCAGCTACAACGGGTATACCTCCTACTTCCTTTGGCAGTGTAATTGCTGTGGTGCAAGGTACTAGTTGACCTTGAATCTCCGGTTTGGGCATAAAGGAGGTATTGGTAGGAGCCAGCTTCAGTCAATGGTTATTATTCACATGCATACAGGGTATGAAGAATTCACACTACGACAGATGTGTCGTTTGTCTTGCCAAAAGCCAGTAGAGAGCATCATTAACTGCACAAAGCCTAATTCACTTCCCTCAGTAGTAATAGGTCAGGTCAAGGTATAAAGAGGTGACTTCCAGCCTTACTTCTCTCGTTTTCCTTCCTGCCTCATTCTCCAGCCTTATTTATATATGTTCTTATGAGGACACAGCATGCGCATAGTAAGTTTGGGTCAATACCAAAGTCTTACTTCTATTCATGGGAAGATAGCTAACAGACGTTCCACATAGGCAGCAAATCGCAATGCCTATATCATCGACTATAAGCAGTATACATATCGTGTCCATGTTCTTAGCGACAGTCAACCCTTCATTTTGTTTCCGCTTGAGGCGCCTGTGAGACATGGGCTGCCTCAGTATAACATTTTACGTACCACTAGGTATTTTAACTATGTGGTTGCCCTTGTTGTCTACAAACAGCTGAAGAAAGCAATGCATAAGACACAGACGCTAGAATTCCCACCTGCCGTGAAGCCTAAAGTAAAGGTAAGACAGGTGGGAAGACTGCCGCGTCGTTAATCAAGACTAAAGTAAGCTATTTCAACCTAGTTAAATTTATCTCCTGACTAATACCTACTATAGGATAAGTGTGAAGAAGCGCGGAATCTCCTGGAAGAGTTTGCCAATCTCTTGAAGATATATGATTACCAAGTCGATCCGGACAACTGTTACGAGCATCTGGAGACCTTGACAACCAACCGTTCGACCACGTATAGTAGCGATGAGGCGCCTCCTAGGAAACCCGGTTTTCTGTCACTTATGCCTAAGTCCTCAGACAAGGCTTCGGATACAGAATCAGACAATCACTCGTCCTCAACCAACCCGCCTTCCAAGGAATAAACGTTTTGCTGCACAGCATCATTGACGATATTGTCAACTGCCTACACGATATTCTGTCACATCCCAACCAGTTTGGGGTCACTCCAGCTGATGTTATTACATTAACAAGGATCCATCAGGATATCTCTCGGCTCTGGTAAGTCATCTCGTGCCGATGACGCGCCTGGCGCAGGCGTGGTATCTCCTCAGCGACTGCATGAAAGCGCGGTATCTGTTCAAGATCCTCGACGACGAGGGTGTGTTCCGGGAGTTAACGGCCGGTCGGCCGCGCCCCCACCCCCCGATTTATCATCTTCTTCCAACAGACGATGTGTCTCTTGTATGCCATCAACGCTCATTCAGCCTACAATCTGGCCGAAATCATGGAGCTCAATCAATGTCCCAGCAAGGGTTGGGTCGGCTCGGACTGCCGACTCGCGCTGGACCGCAACGAGGTCAACATCTACCAGACCAACTAACTTACCGACGTGGACGTTCAATAATCTGGAGCAATACTTCGCTCATCCCCGGGCCCGCGCTCAATTTTGGAGTTTTCTTGTTCAAATTTGCTGGGATTATAGAGGTTGTTGCCTTACTGCCTAAGACATGAGCATCTTTGCCTTTCTATCTGAAGACGAAGTGGACAGTATCGCAGGTGCAAACAAGAAGCTCAATGACTATTCCGGCGTTCAAGGGCGCTACAGGCCCGCTGAACAATGCAGTTGCCAACAGCTAGCTAACATATCACTAGGATGATGTGCAACCAAACAGCCATAATGAGCATTGACTGTTTCCAATAGTTCTCTGGAGGAATGAAAAGTACTTGAGTACCTAAGACCTGTATACTTGGTAGTTGTAAATAAATCACTCTTATTGGCTGCGGACCCCGTGACCGCGATCCCCAAACAGGAAACCTGATTCCTGACAAATCAGGCGTGCAAACTTCAACATCTCGGACGTTCGTTCGCTTCTCCGCCTCATCTTCGTTTCTCCCCCGTCCATGAGTCTCGCCTCCCTGTGACCCCCGTCCGGTCCTCAATTCCTCTTTCTCCCTCAGTCTCCCCTTCCGCCCGCCATGTTCCGTCCCGCCTCGCGAGTTCTCCTCCGCGCCCCGGCCGTCGCAGCCCGTGGCCCGGCCACCAGACGATTGATAAGCACCTCGCCCGCAGAGCACACCAAGTCGCGCAGCTGGAAGGGCAGCCTCCTGCGTCTGGGTCTGGCCGGCGGAGTCATCTATTACTACAACACGAGCCCGGTCTTTGCCGACCAGCCTTCCTGTATGTCCGCTCCGATACACTATATGATTTTTTCCGCACCGTTCTGTGCCTTGGCTGCGATCAAACAGACCAGAGGAGACGCAATGCTATACAGATCCCTCCATACTGACACACTCTACTAGTCTCCTTCCGCTCCACCCCCCAATCCGCCCCCGTCGACGACACCCCCCTCCAACCCTCGACTCCATCAAGCCAAGATCCGCCACAGAAGGAATCCGCCGCGCCGGCGCAGCCCCAGCCCCAGCCCCAGTTCGATGCGCAACAACAACCCCCCCACGAGTCCGCGGAAGCCGCCCCCGCCCCCGACAGCGCCTGACCAACGCGCAGGAGCTTGAGGACGAGGCCGGCCAGGAAGCCGCCTTCAACCCGGAAACCGGCGAGATCAACTGGGACTGTCCCTGTCTGGGCGGCATGGCGCACGGCCCGTGCGGCGAGGAGTTCAAGGCTGCGTTTAGCTGCTTTGTGTATTCGACCGAGGAGCCGAAGGGTATGGATTGCATTGAGAAGTTCAAGTATGTGTTTAGCCCTGACCCTTGACCCTTACGGTGTTGAGGTATGATGGAGTGTGGAGGGTTGATGCTAATGTTGTGTGATGTGTAGGGGCATGCAGGATTGCTTCCGCCAGTACCCGGATGTCTACGGTGCCGAGCTGGAGGATGATGATGAGGCCGCCGCTGCTCCCGCTGAGGCTGGTGAGGCTCCGGCTCCGGCTCCCGCCGCAGAGCCTGTCCCCGCGGCGCAGCCTGAGACCAAGTCCGAGAACTAGATAATGCGCCCGCGGATCCGACTGAAGCAGTCGGTTATAAAAGCAAGCTCATGAATGGGGTCGTCGGAGTCCGGGTTAGAAGAGATGGATGAGCAGGGCCGTGTACTATAGACTTATATGCCCATTTCTTGCCGCTTCTCTTTCTTTGCTTTTGGTTTTCCCGCCGGCAATGTCCTGCCCTTCTATACAGCTACAGTGTCTCATGGCATCTCCTACGCTTTCTTTTTCTTTTGTCTGATTTTGAGCAGCCATTCCCACTCTTGCCTTATGTTGCTTTGTTATCGCATGTGTAACTACCTGTACGTGTATGTCGTGTGGATTGAGACGTGATAGAAATAGATCCGTTTTCGCATCATAATATCCATGCAGTCACAGACTACGGTCGTCCATATGGATCTAGAGCATAACTGATCATTATCACTAAATCTAACGGCAATACAATTCGGCATCGGGAATCCTGGTCCAGCTGGACTACCGCATCCGTTACATCGCGCGGTTGATGCAACGGACCACGACGTAGTCGGTGAAGTAGGTCAGCTCATGCCCAGTACTGTCCGGATCACCACTTCAATTGAGCATGTCTACATCCACAGATGCGGTGCTCAACCTGTCGGTGTCTGGCGATAGCAATGCAACCGCAGGCTTTATCAGCGAGGATAATCCGCGGCCATAACAGTGGTGTCATTGACTTCGCAGATGTCGGACGCTGGTGGCTATCCGTGAGCCCGCAAGATCAGAACGAATGCCGCGGATCTCCATGGGCGAATGGTTGACCCAGGTTGGATACTGTCGGTATCATGTAACGAACACAGCCACTAAAACAGTCCTACCAGTTGACGTCGCTGAGCTGGAGTTTCCGTGAACGAAATGCGGAGCGGTTGGCGCCAGATTTGTCCAGGCGGGCATCCCGTGCCGGGCGTTTCTCGAGGCCTAAGCAGTTTAGTGATCGTCCGATATGATGGCCTCTGGAGGGGAGGGACACACCATCACTAGTTTCAGTCTCGTTGGTCATCTCGTAATTAAGGACCAGACTCTTGATGCGCTGCTGCTCTTCGCGATCCGCTTGTTGCTGGCTGCGCATCGCAACCGCAAAGCTGGAGTCAGACGGCAGATCGATGGTACGTGTCTACACAGTCAGTATCATTCCAGTGAGTTGGAAGGGGTTAAGAAAACGCACCTGCTGCTTGTTTCCTTTCTTGGTCATCAACGAAAACGCCATGGTCCTCTGAGGTGCCTCGGCTTGCTCATTTGCGGGATTCTCGGCGGCGCTACCCTCACGGGCAGAGCGCCGCATTGGCAGCGGGATATCGAAAATCCCCTTGCGCTCAAACTTGCGAGACTCCAAACTCTCGGACATCATCTTCTCAAACTCCCGATCGAACTCGGCTTCGGCTTCCGGGTCGCGCTCCTCTTCCTGGCGGGTGACGAAGATCTGTTCTTCTTCGGAATCGCTCTCGTCATTGTGCTCGGCGTTGGGGGCAGATGCCTGCAGATAAGTTTAGCATAATACTAATCCACCGGGCAGAAGAACCGACCTCAGCCTCGTCGCTGGATTCCTGCTCTTCGTCTACCTCGGGCATGGCGTCTTCCTCTAGGTCATCATCCGATGAACTGCTCTCAGCGTCGTCTTCGTCGGGTTCCACAGGTCGCTCGGAGTCTTGCGTCTTGAAGTTCTGGGCCACAGCCTCACTGAACAACGCAGTGGCTTCTTCCAAATCGGTGGCCAACTTCCACTGTGGACGAGTCATTGAGTATGTGTCCTTGACGAGGAAATCGATGTCCATAGGTAACGGGTCCTTGGTGAACATATAGTACTGGAAAAGTCAGCGTCAAGTTTCACAACTGGGCGACTGACAAATACCTGGAAGAAAGTCAAGAAGAAGTCCAACTTCTTCTTTGCAGACCCACGATCGAAGCAATGTCCGCAAGTGTCCAACAGAGTACACACCAGTCGAACACGGAAAAAGTCATCTGGCAGATCCAGCGGGTTCAGCTTCCCGGGCATCGGCGTTCCACCTTCTACAGCATTGTCAGTAAATCGAACTCATATCTGCCTGTATGCAACCCACCATGGCCGAACGTGACGATGCGGTACAGCGTATCAAAGACCACAGGAGAATCAATCATCTTGTAGTTGTAGAGCTCTCCAAGGTACTTGACTTCCGCGATACGTTTCTGGTTGAACTTGAAGTCGTTCTGCTCCAGTCCCAGCGTAATCTGTTCAAGGACATTGTCCACAACACCGATGACGAAATTCTGGTGATACCTATACAGAGCGCTCACCAGGATTGCAAGCAGGTGGATGTTGCCGTATTTCACTTTGACGGGCTTGCTGAACACGCGCTCCAGGATGCAGACAACCTTGAAACTGTTAGCTACCGTGCACTGACACAGCCTAGCTTTGGCTTACATCTTGCTCCTCCCAGTGAAGCTTCCGGATCGACTTGAGTATTTTCGTGTAATTGCGCTTGTTCATGTCCAGATAGATCAACTTCCGAATGAAGGATTCCATAGGCGTGCGCTCCTTCTGCTGGATCGCAGGCCGAGGGGGCGGATCCACATAGTAGACGGCGTTCTCGATGATCATCCGCTCTTGCTGGCTCAGATGCTGCACGGTCTTCTTACGTCCGAGCGTCTCGAGGAACGAGGCCATTCGCGGCGAGGTTTCCGGGTTGCGGAGTAAGTAGCGTCCGCAGTTCTCCAAGAGATGGCCGATGATCTCGATGTTCACCCGTGAAAAGTCGTCAAGCGAGACCTTGAAGCAGTGGAAGATGATATGCTCCGGGACGACACCAAACTTGGTCAGCTCGGCGAGGTAGCGGACGTTGCTCATGCGGACCTGGCCAAGAAATTCCTTGGACTTGCGGCGCTGCAGGCTGCGGAACTCCTCGTCGAGATACGTAGTCAACCCTTGGGGAATATCGGGAAGATACTGGCCGAGCGTTGCCACCAGACGAGAGTACAGAGGCAAAAGGTCGATACGCCCCTTGGGCACGTCCGATACCGCTTTGATGAGCCTGTTCCTCGACGCCTTCGAATTGACAAAGCAAAAGTCCAGAGCCAGCTGATCGACTTGGTCCTTGGTCTGCAGGTCGGGCAGTTTGGCCAGAAGCGCATCCACCTGCGCGCCAACGGTCCTGCTCGCAATAGCCGTAGATTGATCGTCGGCGTCTGCGGCCGCTTTCTCGTCCGACGGCTCAGTCTTCTCTGCGGCAGGCTCCGCAGCTGTCTCGCCGTCCTTCTTCTTTGCGCCTTCGTCCGCCTCGCCCTTCTTCTTCTTGCCGTCCTCCAGCAGCACCGCAGGGACTTTACCCTTAAGGTCGACCAGGTTCTCGTAGAATCGCCGCTCCTCCTCGTCCTCCCAGATCCCAGCGCCCTCGCCCTGACCTCTCAGATACTCGGACGTCTTCACCAGGCCAATCCCTCCGCTCGACGTAGCATCCGCAGACTCCTGTTCGGCGAGGGCGGGCATTTCCGCCCCCAGCGCCTCGCACAGAACCTGGGTGTTGGCGATCAGCTTCTCCAGTGATTTGGTCTGCTTCTCAAAGTTGGCTTGGCGATCCTCGAATATCTCCCCGCTCTTCACGTACGCCTCCGCGTTGCGCCGGCTCTGCGCCGCCAACGCCCTCTGGTCGCGGACCACATGCGCCTTGACATCCTCCAGGTACCGGTTGAGGATACTCTTGAACCGCAGCTGGGTCTTTTCCGGGGTGAGCGGGGGGTCGTTGTCACCAACTGCCGCCCCATCCGCAGCATCCTCTCCACCTGCGCCGTTCGCCGCGTCCGTCGACGTCGTCGCTCCATCCGCCTCGACCGTCTTCCGGCCCTCGTCCGCCGGCTTGACACCCAGAATATCCCAGCTGAAGCTCTTCACAAACAACACAGCCAGCGGCAGGTTAGCATGGTCGCGGTCATGCCCGAGCAGGTCCTTGAGCACCTCGAGCGGAAACGGCTCAGCGTCCTTGTCGTGGTCGCGGGGCGCCGACGGCGCAGCCGCTTTCACCTTGGACGGACCGTCCTTGCCGGCGATACCCAAGCCGCCGTCCTTGACGCCCTTTGCGCCCACATCCTCCGGTCGCTCGATGTCATCCAGCGTGCGCAGCACCCCGACCAGCCACAGCTCGGTGACGACGCGCAGCAGCACGCGATGCCGCGACAGGCGCTCCTTCTCTTCGCGCTCGCGCACCTCCTGGCTCAGCGCCTTCAGCTGGCCCTTGTCCGGAGTGCTGAGGCCGCGGCCCAGCAGCCAGCCGATCTGGCGGGTGAACTCGGCGGGGCCGAAGCGCTGGTGCAGCGCGCTGGTGATCTCGACGCCCGTGGCGATCTCGCCCGGGGACTTGAGCTTGCACAGCCCCTCGTAGCAGGCCGAGATGATCTCCGACAGGTATTTGTGCAGCGACAGGGTGCGGATGTCGGTTAGGAAGGTCGCTTGCGAGGCGGCGTTGATGCCCGTGCGCAGACGCTTGATGAAGGCGGTGTTCTTCTTCAGGGCCGAGTCGAGCGATTTGCTGACGGGGAAGATATCTGTTTTCTCGCCGCGGGGGAGTCGGTTAGACGCTGTTCTGTTCAGAGGGAGCCCCGTGCGTGGGGCGAGGGAAGGGTTCGTTACCGCTCTCTCCGGCCCATGCTTTCTCATTGAGATCGCGAAGGGCTCCTGTTTGAGTTAGAGATATGCTTTACTTGCTGGGGGCGAGGGAGTGAGAGCCCGGTTGAGGGATAGACGTACGCTTTCTCTGATGGTCCATCTCGTCCTCCCGATATAGAAATCAACTGTCGTGGGGTCCTTTCAAAGAGTCGGAAAGGAAAGCGCACAAGTGACTTGAACGCCACATTGGTGAAATGGCGTAGAGGGGAATGACGCGCACCGTCTTGCAAGTCAGCGTCAGCGATGTGCGTCCAGGGTGAAGTGGTGTGTGGTGGTTGCGAGGAAGCCGGAGCAAATGCGGCGAGGGTGGGAGCCGAAGGCGGCTGCTTAGTCGGACTAGCCCATTTGCCTCTACAGGTCTCGGTCTTAAGAGTATCATCATCGCATTCATCAACCATTACTTCCAAAACGAACTATTGACAACTCCTACAAAAAAACAATCGACAATCTCCCATGAACCAGCCACCCATACAATTATATTAACACACTTTTCATCCCGCTGCCTCATTGTACCTCGTGCGACACCTCCGTGAACCCCGTCTTCTTCCCCTCCTCCAGGTTGAACAGATGGGACTGGAATTGATGTCGCATCTCCTGCTCATTCCAACTCTGCCGACGATTCGGGGTCGGCTTCCACGCCTTCACAATCTCCTCGCTATCTGACTTGTCGTTCCAAGTCTGCCGTCGAGTTAGGTTCGTCTTCCACGGCTCCACAATCTCCTCGTTATCCGTCTTGGGGGGGTCGGTGGAAGACGAAGACGAGGGATAGGGCCTGTCGGTCGCGCTCCTGCGGAGGCGCGATGCGTCTCCCGGGCGCACGACGGTTTGAAACTCGGAGAAGCCGGTGGGAGGCCCTGGGAATACGTTTTGATGGTCAGAGGCGGACATAGTGTTTGTATGCGCCGAAAGGTAATGAGTATTATCAATACTCGCGATGGATGTGGTCTCTTTATGAGATGATCGTTGCTCAAGCGTGCTTGCTTTGTTTGCGCGAGATGGGTCAATGTCGGAGGATTTAGATCCCTCTGATTATGGCGAAAAGACTAATGTGCTAATCCTGCGCTGAACCTACAATCCTCCAGGGCTCGATTCCGTCTTATAGTGACCATCAGCCCACGTCTGCAGACAGTGGCGAACGACACTGACGTTTAGGTTTGATCATGACGGGTGGTACTCCCACACTCTCGTTCGCGGCCAATCTAGCGGACGAATGGAACATCACAGCTTCGGCCCGGAAGGAGCTTGGTATACCATCAAAGATTGATGCAAGTGAATGGCCTGTTAGACTGTCTTGCCAACACGACTATAGGTAACGTACCTTTGAGAGCATCCAAAAGGCACACTTGATGGCTATAGAATGACATAATCTGTCGTGGTTGTCACGTGCCATCCACGACCATATCTACAGATCTATTGAAGAGAAATAGAATCACCAGTAGAACAAAGCTTTTGGATCTGTAAACCCTAAGATACAATCATATTTTCAAGTCGGTGGCATGCATCACCCAAACCTTGACGAAACAGACGAGGACAATCCAACAAGGTCTCAACAGGTCGTGAGCATCTACATTCATAGTCAAGGTCACTCACAAGACGAACAATCAGCAGAACAAAAGGAGACTCCGCATGTGGACACAAGAAATAGATACCTCGCCGCTCCAGAGGCGGGAAAGAATAAGGCGTAAAGGATAGAAGGAAGAAAATAACCACAGCCAACCATAGATCATACAACATACAGAAGCATCAAAACGATATCAAACAGGGTATGCCCACGCCACGCTATGCGAGTCCATCAAGAGAAGAGACGAAAGGAACAAGACATGCAACTATTTACTAAGAACGGTATCCTTTTCAAATGATCGGATGAGAAAGCCGCGTGCTCCATCTATTTGGGTTTACGCCAGAAGTATTGCTGCCGAGGGTTAGCAATGATGCGTATTATCAGAAGCAAGACAGCATACCTTGTGCTGCTTTCGGCAGTTCCGAAGGCCGGGTTTTCTCAGATCATTCACGACCGCCTCGCGACGCATTTCGTCGTCATCGAAGTCGGGGATATAGTAATATTCGCTCTCCAGTGGCTTGCCTGCCGCATCCTTTCCTTCGCGCGCGACCTTGCCGATGCACTTGGTCGAGTCGAGGATCGTTCGGATTTCGTCTCGAGAAGGCCCCACTTTGGTGTGGCCATCACGCTTCCAGAGAGTCGGGGGAAGATTGCTCACAATAGTAGAGAAGGGAGTAGAAGAGAGACGGGAGAAGGCCAGCTGGTTCACCGCATGGTTTTGCACCCGTTCCCAGCTTTCGTCAAACACCAGCTTGCTGGGCTCTGGGGTCTCCGCCTCCACGGGCTTGGTGGGTTGTTTGGGGGCCTGGGCTGGTTGGAGAGGCTGATGGGCGGCCTGGTTGGGAGGGCGTGTGGGTCGTAGGGGGGACTCATCCGCAGAGAAGGAGGCCAACCGGGGAAGAAGGTTCTCGCCGTAGGGTCCGAACGAGTGGATGATCGGATCATTCTCCTCGTCGTGATCGGACAAATCATCCGGCTTACTCAAATCACTGAGATCACTGGACTGGGAGCTCTGCAGCAGATCGTCTACACTTGAGGACTTCGGGGCATCCTCCGATCCCAAGGAGTCCGACGGGAGGGTGCGACGCGTAGGGGAGGCCTCGTCCTCATAGACGACCACGGCGTTCCGAGTCCGAGTCGGGGTGAACAGAGGCGAAGAGGGCGGGATCATCGATTTCACCGCCGGCGAGGGAGAGACGGGCGACGCCAGGCGTTGACGCTCAGCACTGGGACTCTCATGCAAACTCCGGCGGACCTTGCTGTTCCGTGTGGGCGTGTTCTCCTCCCATGTCTGTTCCGAGTCTGTGGAAGCATAGTCCTTTCTTTCGTTACGCGGCCATTGGACGAGAACGCGTGCATCATGAACATCAATCATAATGTCGGCATCCTTGATGTCCGACGTAAAGGTCTTTCCTTTGGCCAGGTCGTAGGTCTTTCCCTGACAATGCAGCTTGATTCCATTCCATCCCATACACATAATCTCCACTCGATCCCGGTCAAAGGGATTCGGGGCAGGCTTGTAGGTCGCCTTGACGTGGACGCGGGAAATCATGCGGTTGGCCGCCAGCTGGTGATGGCACGACGCGCTCGATCGACCCATGAGAAGGGGCTCCCCGTTTTCTGGGAGCATCAGAGTTGGGACGGCGGACAGCGGAGTCCGTTCCGAGGCGGTGGACGCGAAGGTACGACGCGAGGCCGTTCGAGACAAGGCCATTCGAGGGGGGGAGGAGGACATGATATGAGTCGACGAAGTTGGGACGGGAGTAGGATACGTCGAGGCAATGGCATGGTCATCGCGAGCTACACGCTTCTGTGGTCGAGGAAGGGAGGGGGAGGAGCTCAATGGCTCGAAAGCCGGCAACAAGGACGCCGGACGCTTCACACCTGCCACAGGAGCAGCAGGGCCGCTCCTCGGAGGCGACGACTCCATGGTGATGACGCGAAGGACTGTCCTCTGTCAACCGCAGGCTCAGTCGAGATCACCTAGAATGATAGGGGAGGGGCAGAGATTTCAATGGAAAGGTCGCGTCAGGACCGAGGGCAGGTCCCAGAGTCTTTTCTATAGGGACTGCACCACGAGTCGAGGAGCGAAGGGGAGAAGAAAGACAAGACGAGGGTCAAGGTTAAGAGAAAAGAGTGAACATGGAGACGACCTCGCGAAGAAAGAGCAAGGAGGTTGGGAGGAAGGAACCGGGGCTACAAAAAAGCGCGAGGAAGCATTGACGAAGGGTAAAAAAAGGGTGAAAGATGGTGGTGGTGGTGTGTGGTGGAATGCCTACCGGAGCGGAGCGTCTCGTCCTTCCAGCGCGGAAATGCACGCTTGCCAACCCGAGACGCGTTCGATAGGCGCCGACGAGGCCTCCACCTTTACCTCGCGCCGTCTCTGCGTTTGCCTGCAGAAAAGGGTGGGAACTGACCGAAGAACGAGTAGATGGTGGTGAAAGCTTTTAAGGATGTTGTTATTCGTATTATATTGCTAATTTCACTTTCTTTCTGCACACTGTATGAAGTATACGTCGCGTCCCCGCGTCTCCAGTCATGTGAACCGCGTTCTTTGGTTCGAGTCCCGTGACTCGCTCCTGGTCACGTGATATTTCACGCGCCGACCGGTCTAACCCAAAATAGCAAAGCCATGTGCCCGATGCAGGGGTGTCTCGTCGCTGATTGGACCACGTCCATGCACAGTGATTGTGACAGGATGAGGCTATTTCCAAATGTGCGTTTCTCCTGATGATGTTCAATACTACTTAGGTAGGATTCACTGCTGTGTAGGGTCGTGTTGGCCGCGTCTTCTGCTAGGCAATCTCCATATCTCCCCAAGACTTGAGGACCGTCGTCAACGTCCCAGGCGCCACGATCCTCCCGCGCTGGATTCTCCACGGCAGATCCTGCATTGTAACCCGATGTCCCTACATGCCTCGTCACCAACCCTGCTTGGACGGGCCTGCACAGCCTGCAATAATACCCCGTCAAGATACCCATGTAATACTGCCTACCTAACCTGCCTAAGGTATGATTACCTATGATTACCTACCCACCCAATTAACCGCATATCCGACGGTTCTCGACGCGACCTCCCGCCATCCCACTTTCGCGTCACTGTACAGAAACTCACCGACGGTCCTCACATTCCGTGACATCAGACAACACGAAACTCTGTGGCTTTATAGTATCAGGGTCTAGATGGGTGGGTTTTGGTGTTTGGTCTCGAGCAAAGTTTACATGCTTTCATGCGGGCGCAGGTGGAGAAAACAGCACTCTTTAGTCATATCCATACGTGTTACGTCTATAGCCGCAACCAATTGTAATGAGGGGAAAAAATTTATATTGGTAACACCCGGTGGATGAGTGGGTTTACTTTTCAGACGTGGTGGCGGAGATATATACCTATGCATACCACGTATGATATGCTCTGTGCCCCAGGATCAACCTGATATACAATCTTCTGCCCTTGACAGGACAGTGATGAATAAGAATAATAAACATAAACATACACGCATAACATAGATACTAGAATGCGTATTTAAATGCGTGGCCTCGAAGGGGCGGGCAACAACCATGGGTCATCAGGTCCGTGGAAAAGATGTGCACCACTCCCCCGACATCGTAAGCACGGAGTATACTTGAACTCAGTCACAATGTGCTGGCGGGAGTAGCGGTCTACTTACGCCTTACGGGTGAAAGGTAAACCGCAATGAAAGTATAGCCCCGAGCGGCAAGTAGGTTCAATTGGACCGAACTCCTTGCATGGTTGACACGCCTGGTGCAGACGGGGATGACCGCATTGACGAAGCCACTTCTCGTGCGATGAGCGACTCGGACGGAGATGAACTCCGTGTCTGGACCACATCCGTTTCAGCCCAGATGTCTGTCTGAACCTTGCTTCGAGGATCGGACCAGCCATGGAACGCTGCACCGCAATTACATCATATCTAAGATATCGCCGAAATCCAATGCATATAAAAGACAGAAACCATGTTACTTTGTAGCAGAGAAAGTAAAATCTAACCACAACTGCCCCCACCAAAGCGGATAGAGACACTACAAATGTGACAATGTAAATCCCAAGTCACATAAGGCAATGTACTAACATACACAGAAGAAGGAAAACACACTCAACTTCGATTCATAAAGGCAAGAAAAGGTATCAAATATCTGCTAAATGGAAATCCGCCTTCACCGATCGAAAGGCCTGCACAGACACGCTCACTGCACGGGAAGCTAGGTTGGGGAGTCTCCTCAGTAGAAGACGTAGGTAGCGCTGCCAGACAGGACTTGGACCTGTGAGAAAGAAACGGTTAGTCGCCAACCATGCATGTAGGACAGTCGCAGGATACTTACAGTGCAGCCAGAGTCGTTCTCGCCAGACTCCGAGATGAACTTCTGCTTGGTGGCGTCGTACTTGCAGGATCCGCTGAGGTTGTCACCCTTGATCTCGACGCTGTAGTCGAGCTTCTGGTTGGTGGTCGGGCTGTTCTGGAAGATGGACAGCCACTTGCCGTTGTTCTGGCCAACACCAAGGTTGATGGGAGCCCAGTTGCCGATGGCCTCGCTGCCATCACCCCACTGGCAACCCTTCTCGGTCGAGACACCCTTGGGGTTGACGTAGTACTGAGCGGAAGTGGTCTTGCCCTGCCACTTGTAGTAGGTCTCACCGTCAGGGCAGGTCAGGGGCTGGAGCTCAGAGTGGCCCAGGCCAAGAGGGATGGTCTCGGATTCGGTACCTGCATCGTCTCATTAGATGATGTTCCGGGAGCAATCCTCACGAAAAACCACTTACCAGGGTAGTCAGTACGGCAGATGGCAATCGTCTCGCCAACGTTGTTCTGAGCGTTCACGCCACCGACACCCGCAATGCACAGCTTGTCAGAGAGGTCGGGGTTGGTCTTGTAGAGCTTGCCGTTCTTGCACTGGAGACCTCCAACGGACTGGCCAGTGGAGCCCTGAGTGGTAGGCCACTGGGACTTCTGGTAGCCAGGAGGGCAAGCATAGGAGCACATGGCACCATCGTGACAGCTCTCGCCGGTGACGGCGGTGACGATGTCGCTGATCAGGTCGTCCAACCAGGAGACGTACTGGATACCAGACCAGCCGCCGAGGCCCAGGTAGTCCAGAGCTACGGCACCGTAGTCGGAGGGGAAGGTACCGCAGTCGATTTCGCCATCGGGGAAGGAGGCGTCGAGGCCGGTGGCGGAGGAAGAGCTGCTGGAGCTGCTGGAAGAGCTAGCCGGCGCCGAGGTGGAGGCCGGGGTGCTGGAGGACGAGGTGCTGGGAGGGGCCACGGTGGAGGAGGACGAGGTCTCGACGAACTCGGCGGGAGCCACGGTAGGCGTGGGGGCCTGGGTAGTGGTCGAGGAGGTGGTGCTGGACAGGCTGGCGCAGGCGTCGACGGCCGGAGCAGCGTCGGCGTACTTGTAGTAACCGGCCTTGATACCCTTGCACACCTCGGCGGCGGAGAGGGACTGTCCATCCATCACGTACTTGATGACGGTGTCGTCGACGGTGGTCAGAACATCACGCTTCTGGTGGTGACGGTGGGCGTGGCCCTTGTGGCCCTGGGCGGCCACGAGGGAGCCCGCGGTGGCCAGGGTGAGAGCAACAGAGTTGAGCTTCATGGCGTTGGGAGTTCAGCTGGGAATTGGTTTCGCTTATATCCAGGTCTAGACCCGGAAATTCAGCAATTAGCATACATCTCTCAATTGATTGACGGTATTGGATGGTGTTCGCAGGGACAATGAATCGGTCTCGTTCGTCGTCGTCGTCGTCGTCGTCGGTGTGGTCGTCGATGTTGATGAATCGGTCCCCCCTGAGGCTGCAACATGCCCCGGCGGCATGTGGCCAGGTATTTAGGGTTGGGACGAGATCAACAACCACTGCCTAGCGGCGTGGTACGGGCATGACCGATGCATACCAAGGCACCACGATAACGACCACAAGGGGGGAGAGGAGAAGGAATGTGGGCATAGAACAGGGCAGAAACACGGTCGAGGGAGGAAGACGTACATCAACGGGACGGCAAACCAGTCGCGCGCGCTCGTTTTCGAAGTCTGTACAGGAATTGAATGGCAGTCGCAGCAGGGCGAGAGAGCGTGGGTGGGATAAGAAAGTGATTGAAGGAGCGGAATCACAGGATGAGGTTCCCAAAAGAGTGTGCGAGAGAGAACAGGGTCCCTCAGGTCGGATAGGAAATCTCAAAGAGCAAAGCCCAAAGAAATGAAACGCTCTGGGGGGGAGAATGTGGAGGAGAAGAAGGAGGAGGAGGAGGGAGATCGCAGGGAGTAAAAAGAGAGGGAAAGGGAGGAAAAGAGAGCGAGAGGGAGAGAGGGAGGCGACGGTCCAGGGGCTAAAGAGGGACAAGCCGTGGCGAGCGTGCAGTAGTGACTCGTTAGACCCTTCCAGCAGGAGGTGGAGTGGGGAAGGCAGCCGATGGGAATTCTGATTGACTAGTGGAGACAACAAAGAATAATAATAATAATAATAATAATCATAGTAATAATAATAATGCTCCGTAAGTGTTGCTTCATGTCAGGCACCACCGAAAGCCCTCGAGGCCCACAAGGCGCTATCGTGGACGTGTTGCCCTTCCTCCAGCCTTCTTTTCTGTCTTTCAGTATGTCTTTTGTATATAGATACCTACCCTATACTCCAGTTATCTGGAACCCTCGGTAGATTTCCAAGGTGCCCGTGGAACCCATTACCGCTGTGTTGCCCATGAATTCGCTGGAGTAGGCAGAATCACCATAATACCTTACTACTTACTCTCTACAGAATAAATACGACGCTGTACTAAGATAAAGACAAGACGACGTGTCCACCTCCGGCCAGAGCGTGGGTGGAACATCTTTTTCTTTTTGTCTGAATAACCCCCCTGTCGAGGAAAACACCGACTATGCCTTGTTTGTCTGTTTCCTGTTCCTGAACCCGAGCTTGGCGGCTGCCGAAATTACATCGGAGCCCGGTCTGGCCAATCAGCACGGGCATCTTGGCAGTCTGCTATGGGGACGAAACTTTCCCGGGCCCCCCAGGCACACCAATCACGCGTGGATCATGGGCCCACTCTTCGCCACAAGGGGAATGTCTCATCTCCCATCCCGCCGTAACTGGTCGGTGTATTATTAGCAATTTCAGACGCTTCACCCTGACTGGCGCTCACCTCGTTCTCTCTTTTCTCTCTGTCTTCCTTTTTGGAGGTCGCGTTAATTAATCGGACGGTCTCCCATCTCCTAATGCCAATGAGGTCGACCAGGATACCGCCGTTTAAGTTATTAAGTCGGATGACTGGACCAGACGCTCCATCGGTTCGTTCGGTTAAGACCGTTCGTGTTTGCAGGATTCATGGGGCTCAGCTGAATCTTCAACGGTTGATGGGGTGAGGGGCAGAACGGAATGGCCTTCCTGCGCGTTTTCTGCCCACCTAGGTACCTGTGTACGGAGTATACATATACTCTGTAGACATACACGTACAGTAGGAGTACTCCGTACAGGACAAACATTACCACTGTACTTTGATCGCACTACTAACCCAACCCGGTTACTTTCCCATAGCCCGTCGATACCTACTCCATATGTACCTCCGCGGGAGAGCGTCCACTAAGTCCTCAGAGATCTGCGCTGGAACCAGACTCTGGCTGCAAAATCTTTTTTCTTTTCCTTTTCTTCTTTTTCTCCGATTCTGCCTTGCAATTGGTACCTGCCCAGCGTTCTTCAAAGTCTAACCTGCATTGCGGAGCACCCAGCCGTTAACCATGTCTATCATGAACATCCCAACTTACAGAGGACAAGGATGATCCTCGCCCCTGGCGTAAGACGTGCATCATGTCTTCGGTTTTCGACACAGATACTCCCAGAGTCGATACAGAACAGCGGGAATCTGCGGCGTTGTCAAAATGGCCACCGACATCTCGTATCCATCTCCCGGCGGCTACAACCAAAAATCTCCGTCACATGGAAAGAAAGTTACTGACATGTCTCCATCCTACCTGGACGAATTACCGAGACCCACGATTCATCCGGCGCTGACACTGGAGTTCTGCACGGCTTCTAGGAGTACTCTGTACCTGCAAATCCCGATCCAGCCTCCTGGGGGGAAACGCGGGAAACTGGAGGGGTTGGACCGTGAAAAATGAATATCCCTTTTGTTCGTGATATTGCGCCTGACGAGGGATCCTAGACATTCATTCTTCCCAGCTTCCTCCATCTGTAACCCTGCCGATTCAGCGGTTTAAGACATGGCTGCGGCCAAGGGGTCACCGTTGAGCAAGGCAAGACAGACCGATAAGGTATCCGGCGGACGATGTGCTGGGTGTTTTAAATCTGTTGGACCAACCACCTTTCTCATCTGCGCTGTACCTACCTACATCTGTAGGTCTGAATGTTGTGTGCCTCTCGGGGATTATCTCATTGGTTCTGGCTGCGTCGTTTCATTTCCCGTGATGTCATCTCGTTTGTTTCATGTCTTTGGGCTGTACCTGTAACAAGACAGCACAATAATGGCTGGTCGACGTTGACCGCGGCCGGCGGTCAGTGCCTCAGGCTATCTGGCCAAGCTTTGGCTAAAGGTCCGTTCAAACTCTGCTTTGTTCGATTCGATTCGATTCGAAGCAGATACTTGGAGTAGACTGCACATTATCCTATCCGCTGAATAGTAATAATTGTTCTAATAAGTATAAAAGCTCGACAAATATTATAGGACACCAAAATAACAATACAGACTCATATCTCGAGTACTCCGTACAGACTATGCCCCTATTCCTCCTCCCGCCGCGTCTGGACCATGGAATCGCACGAGCTAAGCTCCCCGATCACGAATGTCGCAATAATTCAGTTCACTAGCTTCACTAGTCAGCACTCATGTTGCGACTCTATAGTACCTAACTACCTACTCCGGAGTAGTCCAGTTTATGGACCACTCCCTACCCCAACCCCTATTCCCCCTCTCTTTAATGAACGTCCCACTGCTCTTTGGAGGGCATCTGTCGCACAGCGCAGGTCGTCAGGTCGTCGCATACGGAGTATCAGCGACCCACCGTTCGACCCGAATCCACCCTCCAACTCAATAAGTGCAAAGACAATCTCGGATATCACGGCTCCATATCCATACCCCCCTCTGCGCGCTTGCGTGGCTCTATCTCGCCTAGTTGTCCCGGGACTTACACGCGGAAAGTATCAAGTAGAGCCCTTGTTCGATTGCGCCGTGCGAAATAAAGAGAAAATGCACTCGAGGGACTGAATACGGCAGCCTAGGAGTGTACAAACTATAGTGGAGATGGGATCGCAAGGTGGCTGGCTTGGTGTGCTCCCGCACTATGCCCTACCGGGTATGTTGTATAGTACCGCCAACCTTTGGTAGATACCTTTACCTACCCTCGTTAGAAGTCTTGGTTCCGCGCGTCCATTCTGGGCTGGCTTCCTTCGGTGGAGTTCCTGGCACTGCCAAGCGGTGAACGGATGCAACACCTCAGCCCTGACGTGTTCCAGGTGGGATCTGGTGCGGGTCGCGATGACACTACGGGGTGGATTGCGTATGGTACGATTTCTACTCCATATCTAGTATGAAGTGAGGGAGTGACTCCAGGCGACTCGAGGGTCAAGACGGAAGTTTTTCTTCAACAGCAGATAAACAGAGATAAACATTCTTACGGAGTATATTCTTCGGCTACTGCCGAGCCATGAGCTGACATCCATGGTTCGCCGAGGTACGGAAACGACAGCTATGCAGAAAACCAACAAACAACATCCTAACGCTTGCGACAAATCCCCTCCTCATCCCAATCCTCGCTCCCCACCCCGCGCTGGACAATAAACACCCCCGTCGGATCCCACCTCTGCTTAATTCGATACAGACGCGGATAATTGCTCCCCCAGAACGACGCCTGGAACTCCGTCTCGTACGCGTTCGCCTCGTTGAGATACGAGCCCATCGCATCCGCGCCCTCCACCGACCGCAACAGCGGCACTTCCACGTGCGTCACCTTCTCGCGGACAGACTCCTGCTCCTCAAGCGTCGCCGTCGCCTCCCATGTGGCGCTGAGCACGAGATGCACCGCCGTCCTCCGCCACGCCGGGTGCAGCGCCGACTCGACGGTGGCCCCGTTGGCGGCGACGGCACCCCCTGCGACCATGTGGCCGATCAGCGCGCGTCCCGGCTGGTACTCGAGGCGCTGCAGGGCGGTGATGAGTCTGCCGGCGCCGTCTGCGGAGGCGAGGAGGTCGCGCGAGAAGAGGCGGGAGCCGAGAAGCCCGATCGTGCCGGTGGAGTCGTGGTCGCCCAGGAGGTAGAATCTGTCGAAAACGGTACGCACGCTGGGGAGTGGGAGCGACGCGTAGTCCGTTTTGATGCCGGGAAGGCTGTTGAGTTTGTCGAGGAGGGGGCGGAAGAGCTCGTCGATTCTGGCTGGGTCGGTCTCGTTGGCGAAGGTCAGTCCGGCGGTTAGCGCTGCGGCGCTGACGTTCCCGCCTAGAGGTACGTTTGGGGTGATCCAGTAGTATCCGGAGCCGTTGGCGTCGTTCAGTCCCGGGATTGCGGCGTGGAACTGCGTCAACGCTTCCCAGAAGCTGGGATTGCCGTGGGCAGTGGTGATGTTGAAGCTGGTGAGCATGACGGGGACCTCGTCGAAGGTACGTAGAGTGACATTGACCACGACTCCGAATGTGCCTCCGCCGCCGCCGCGCAGGGCCCAGAAGAGATCGCCGTTCTGGTACTGGTTTGCAGTGATTAGATCTCCCTAGACGCAGGTCAGACGAAAAGGCACAGTAGACAAGCAGTTACAGACATACCTCGGCGGTCACGATGGTGAATTCAAGTGCATTGTCGGACGCCATGCCTTTCAATGGCCCCAGGAGCGAATGTCCGCCGCCTTGAACGTAACCTCCAGCGGCGCCAACGGTAAATGACGACCCGCCTACGACGGTCCTGTTTGCCGCTCCAACCGCAGTATACATCTCGCGCAGACTGACTCCAGCATCGATCGTCACGGCGGGGCCCTCCCGCGCATCCGCCGGGGCCCCCGCGGGGAGAAAGTCGTCGACAAGCTCAATCCCCTTGATATCGTGGGTGAGAATCTGCAGTGACTCCACAGCAGCCGAACGGCCGAGGAAACAATGCCCGGAGTTCTTGACGGCGAGCCGTATGTTTCGCTGTTTGGCGAAACGGACGGCTTTCTGGATGTGCGCCGCAGATTGGACCCGAGCGGAGTACAACGAGATGCGTCCCTGACCGCAGGAAACGTTGGGAGGGCTCTCGATGTAGCAGCTTTCGTTATGCTCCGGCCATGCCTCGAAGTTCTCCCATTGCACCGCTCCGGGCTGCGAGGCTCGCCAGGTCGAGTTGGTCCATTGCTCGGTGACAATTTTACAGGCGTCGCTGTCTGCTTCGGCGGGGTGGCAGACTGCTGCAACTGGGCGCACTGGGACGAGGTTTCCGTCAATAGAGCGGTTCAGTGCATTCCACTCCTGGGGTGAGGGCCAGCAGCGCTGATGTGGTCTACACCGACACGAGTGCGGACCCGCATATGCCAAAGTGGCAAGGAATGGTAGAAAGTGAAGCTTCATGATGAGAATAGCCTCTGCAGAGCTATGATATTTGTGTGAGGGTTAAAATTTGGTGTTAACGATATGCCTTTATATAAGCCCTCGGGCGTCAGTCAGTAACTAACTGTGCGGTTTCCTATTACGGCCATACGAGCTTGGATTCCTATTACGGCCATACGAGGTAGATCACCGGTACAGCTGATCTGATCGGTATGAAAATTCGCATAAGCTTAGTTCAATGAATCATCATCAGCTACTGGACGTGGAACTAAAACTGCTTCGGGCGATACGATAAAGTTAGCCACAGCCTGCCTCGTATCCGAAATGTACGGCCATTGTGTCTGACTAAGTTTCTGTCCTCATATTCACATCATTGCTCGTATTCACCTCTTGCCGTGCCCAATAGTGGCTCCGAATGTCACAAAGTGATTGACCGGGGGAATTTGGGCGCATGGCTGCCTATTAGGTGCTTTGCTGAGCCTCGTCGGGCAGTGCACAGGGGCTGAGGATTTCCATAGGCATGCAAAACCATGATATCAAACTCACCTGACTGACTTTCAATACCCAGGTATCCTCTGAGTTCTCCTGGTAGTTATCAGAGATTGGCGTGGTCATTGGTTGAAGACAAGGTCCGGACCGATCGTCCAGAAACAATGTGGAAGACCTGGAGAGCTATACTTCTGTCTTTGCGCCCCGTCATTGAATAGCAACTGCCTGAGGAGCAACAACTCGTCGCGGAGAAGGGCCCGCCTTTGTGTCCTCTACTACAAAGGGGTACATCCTTCAATATCCCACATACTCCCCCCGGGGTGATAGAAACCTCCAAGAAGTGGCAGTAGATACCCATAGATCTAGTTAGTTACTACATTCGGCAAGGCCGATGACTCAGCAGTCTAGGTTTGCGCCAAGACCGGACAAATTTGCCCACCGCCTTCCCGTGAATTTTTTTGATTTCCGTTATCACGACAAACTGCCAGACTCTGCAAAGACCAAGCATTCCAGCAAAAATGGTGTCTTCTACGGCAGTCACTACGAAGGTGACCTCTGGGTCCCCCTACCAACTCGACGACAACCAGGTACATCTCAATCCCGTAGTCCTTCGCGCATTGTCGTGGTCGTCAATATCATGCCGTTGAGTAGTAACTGACTTTTTTTTTTTCGCAGGTCACCAGAGCTTCTACGGCCCTCCTCCGGCACATCAAAACGAAACAGGACGAGAAGGAAAAGACAGCGACCAAGAAGACCCTCATTGGAGACAACGATGACGACTCCGACGACGATGCGCCCCTCCACAATGAAGCCGTCTGGCTCGTGCTCACCACCAAGAAGCACGTCGTGGACAAGAACCGCCTGAAGCCTGGGAAGATCAGCATCCCCCACTCGCTCAATTCCTCTCCGTCGCTCAGCATCTGCCTCATCACCGCCGACCCCCAGCGCTCGGTGAAGAACATTGTCGCCGACCCCTCCTTCCCCAAACATTTGTCCTCCCGCATCGACCGTGTGATCGGTTACTCGAAACTGAAGGCGAGATACCAGAGCTTTGAGACTCGCCGACAGCTCCTGGCCGAGCACGATGTGTTCCTGGCTGACGATCGCATCATCATGCGTTTGGTCAACACCCTGGGCAAAGTGTTCTACAAGTCGAGCAAGCGACCGATCCCGATTCGCATCGCGGAAATCGAAAAGGTGGATGGCAAGAAGGTGAAAAAGGACCCCAAGACGAAGTCCAAGGACGATGATAGCGCGTTCGCCTCCCCTGCCATCGTCGCCAAGGAGATCGAGAAGGCCTTGGGCTGTGCGCCGGTGCAGCTGGCCCCCGCAACCACCGCGGCGATCCGCGTTGGCTCGGCCAAGTTCACGCCTCAACAGCTTGCGGAGAACGTGGAGGCCGTTGTCAAGGGTCTCACAGACAAGTTCATTACGAAGGGATGGAGGAATATCAAGGCTCTCCACATCAAGGGAGCCAACACCATGGCCATGCCCATCTGGTTGGCCAGTGAATTGTGGGTGGAGGATGCTGATGTGGTCGAGGAAGACACCAAGGCCCTTGAGGATGGAAAGGGCAACAAGAAGCGCAAGCAGGTCGCCGACGAAGAGAAGCCGCTGATCGAGGGCAACAAGAAGACTAAGAAGGCCAAGGCGACTGAGGACGACGAGGATGTCGCGGCCAGAAAAGAGAAGCTGGAGAAGCAGAAGGCCAAGGCGCTGGAAGACGGAGCGGAACCCGCCAGCAAACAAGGCGCCGGCAAGAAGAAGAGAAAGTCGACTTCATAAAGCATTCGAAGACAAGCCTAACTACTAAGTCCATTTGGTGTTCTACGGGGATTGATTTGATTCATTGTATCTGTTCCATTGCAAGTCTCTGGGTTTTGCGGCGCAATCAGTCACGTGTCATTTATAGTAGTTGACCAGGGAGTGTTTCCAATACCCTTGTATAGAAGAAAAGTTAGTATCTGAAGAATCCATTCCAGAATTATAGAAACCATGCGATAGTACATAGAGATCACCAGTCATTCCGGCTGAATGCCTTCTCCGTACAGGTACTTGAAGAAGCCGCTGGCGGATTAACCGAGTTGTCCGAGGATCGGCGGGTGCTTGGCTGCTCCGACGATAACCACGGCCCGCTCGAAGCACACCGGTCTTGATGACTACTTTAGCCCCAACTGGCTCTCCCTCGGTCCCTCGTGAACGTCCGCTTCCAACCCTCCGCCTCCACGCCACGACCGGTCGGCTGAACCAGCGCTCTCGCTCTTGATCGATTGAAATTCGACTTCGCATATTTTGTCGCCGCCATGATTCCGATGCTTCGCTCCACCGCTCTGCGGGCGGTCCGCTCGCAATTTGCTCCGCGGGCTCTGAACCAGTCCGCGCTCGCCCGTCTTCTCTCCACCCTCGCCGTCCTCGAACAGCGTGATGGCAAGCTCCAAGGCTCGTCTCTCTCCGCCATTGCCGCCGCGCAGAAGCTCGGAGGCTCCGTGACTGCCTTCGTGGCCGGCAACGCCGTCAAGGGCTCCTCGGCCGCTGAGGCGGCGAAGATCAAGGGCCTCGACAAAGTGGTGGCTGTGGATAGTGAGGCCTATGAGAAGGTAGGATATCGCGGCCTCGCTGGGTGCTGGTGAGGCTGATTGGATGCTGACGTCCGCGTCTAGGGTTTGCCGGAGAACTACGCCCCTCTTCTTGTCGAGAACATCAAGCAAGGCGGTTACACCCATGTCGTCGGCGCCCACTCGGCCTTCGGAAAGAGTCTTTTGCCCCGGGTGGCTGCTCTGCTTGATGTGCAGCAGATTTCCGACATCACGGCAATTGAGAGCGAGGACAGTACGTATTGCAGCTACCGTTGAACTCGATGAGCCTGTTTCTGATGGTATCCACAGCCTTTGTCCGTCCCATCTACGCCGGAAACGCCATTCTTACCGTCCAGTCCACCGATCCCACAAAGGTCATCACCGTGAGAGGCACTGCTTTCCAGGGCGTCGAGACCGAGGGCGGTTCCGCCGAGATCGTGGATGGCGTCGACCCCAAGGCGCCCGCCCTGACCGAGTGGGTGTCCGAGGAGCTGACCAAGTCGGAACGCCCTGACCTGGGTACCGCCTCCCGTGTCGTCTCCGGTGGCCGTGGTCTGAAGTCGAAGGAAGAGTTCGACCGCGTCATTGTGCCGCTGGCTGACTCGCTGGGCGCCGCCATCGGTGCCTCCCGTGCCGCCGTCGACAGTGGCTTCGCCGACAACAGTCTGCAGGTCGGTCAGACTGGTAAGAACGTTGCGCCTCAGCTCTACCTCTGTGCGGGTATCTCCGGCGCCATCCAGCATCTTGCTGGTATGAAGGACAGCAAGGTCATTGCTGCGATCAACAAGGACCCTGATGCGCCGATCTTCCAGGTCGCCGATGTCGGCCTCGTGGGAGATCTGTTCGAGAAGGTCCCGGAGTTGACTGAGAAGCTGAAGAGCCAGGCGTAGATGTACTCTGACTGATCTTTCTTTTGTGCATTTTTGTATCATGAATTCCTTATATGATGTCATTTTCAGGGGTTAGACGAAGGTCCAATATACCACACATTCGATCTTATGAGCGTCAATTAGACGGCATCAAGCCTACAAGTACAATCTCGAGCTTTGAGCTGCAGTTCCCTCGCATTGATACTGCCGATGCTCTATCAGATCCCGTGATTTCCCCCACTAAAACCCTTATACTCCCAATCGGGACTAGCGCGCCCTCTGCAGCGCGTCTCAACGCGTCCACCGTTTGATAGAAGGACTCTGGTAGTCTGATCTCTACATGACAGACATGCACTCGAATACCTATACACCAGTTCCCTAATACCACTTCGGCAAATGCAAGCATCTTCTCAACCAATTTAATGAAGACCTCGCCCCCATCTGTTCCTCCCTCGTTCGATCCAGCCATCCACCTGCACTCCGAGGGAGTCAACGATCTACCAGAACCGCCTTCCGAGCCATTCTCGGACGAACTCGAGGTTCTGCACCTTCAGCGAGCCGAGAATCTCCGTAACAAAGTCGTCATCCAGCATCGCGCGTGGAATTTGTCCGACGTTTTTCGAAGCGACGAAGATATCAGACCAGGTACGAGGATTGGGGACGCGGAAGAGGGAGCCGCGAATGTCCTGACGCTGAAGCAGATACGCCTACAAAGCCCGGCCAGCAACTCAAGCTCGATAACATCACCTCCCCCGGTCGGTCGGTGGTCTTCCTGCCCTCTTCGCCGCCAATCGCAAGAATGCCGTTCATTTCTTCTCCAGTGGCCTTCCCGACCAGTGCGCCATCGCCAGAGTCTCAGAAGCGCAAGAATGACGCCCAACCCCAGGACTCGGAACCCAAACGCCAGAAGATAGTGGGTGGTTTCTTGGATGAAGATGACGACGATGATGAACTGGAGGCTTTCGGTGATGCTCACATACAAAGCGACTTCAACTTCTCCGAACATTTTGCCGCCCAAAGGCCAGCAGAATCGCCGCGACTCTCACAGTCCTCGCAGCTCCCGTCCCAATCTGCTGGTGCATCCAATCCAGCTCCAGATATGTCGACAACTACCCTTCCCAGCTCATCGCGGAGGCTGCCCCTATCAATCCCAATAAAGACCTGCTCGGGCAAGACACATAACGTTCAGATGAAGAAGGCTGCCGCGCCGGTTTCCTACGAGAGACTGGTCGCTAGTCGCTCTACCACCGCCCCAGGACGAGCTCAACGAAGTTACTATGGCATCGATATCCATCGACTCTTGGACGAAGCTGCTGCGGATTCCCAGCAATCAAATCCCAGACCTCATGTACCCGCTGTGCAGCCTTCGATTGAACAAACCAGCGGAGATCGCAAAAGCAAGAAACATGCCACGGCAATGTGGACCGAGAAATACCGTGCCCGCAAGTTCACCGAGCTTATTGGGGACGAACGCACGCACCGGGCTGTCTTACGCTGGTTGAAGGGCTGGGAACCCATTGTCTTCCCAAATCTAGCCAGGTCGAAGCAAAAGAAGGCTGGCAATAACCAGGAAGAGGAGGAGCGCATCCACAAAAAGGTCCTCCTGCTGTGTGGCCCACCAGGACTTGGGAAGACAACATTGGCGCACGTGTGTTCCAGGCAGGCCGGCTACGAAGTTCTCGAAATTAATGCTAGCGACGAACGGAGTAAGGATGTCGTGAAAGGGAGAATCAGGGACGCCCTTGGGACTGAGAACGTCAAGGGCATGAATGTGGAGATCGGCGATCGCAAAGTGCGAAAAGCAGGCCGGCCTGTGTGCGTGGTTGTCGACGAGGTTGACGGGGTTGTCAGCGGAACTGGAGGTGGTGGTGAGGGAGGTTTCATGAAAGCATTGATTGATCTCGTCCTCCTCGATCAGAAGAACTCGTCCCGTTCGGCTGAGCAGAACCCAACAGGCAGGAGGAAGAGGGGCGACAATTTCCGATTCCTTCGTCCGCTGGTGTTAGTCTGCAACGATGTCTATCACCCTAGTCTACGGCCGCTGCGGACTTCTGGTGTTGCTGAGATGATCCACGTCCGCCAGGCCCCATTGGAGAATGTTGTTTCGCGCATGAGGAGTATCTTCACCAAGGAAGGTATTCCAGCGGACAATGACGGAGTGAGGCGTCTATGTGAGGCCTCCTGGGGTCTTGCACGTCGGAAGCAAGGCGGCACCAGAAATAGCGGCACGGCAGAAGGCGATATTCGAAGCGTCCTAGTGGCAGCCGAGTGGGTGGCGCACAAGCTGAAATACGAAAGCGCGGAATCGTGCCGATTGACGAGAAGATGGCTAGAACAAAGCGTCCTCAGCGACACCACCGGAAGCGGTTCGTTCTTCAAGGGGCTGAACCGTGGAGGCGTCCGCGACATTGTGGAGAGGGTTTTCGCAGAAGGAGCAGGATTCAGCGACAGCTCCATTGGCACTGAAACGTTTGTTGATCCTTTCGATAACGGCAGCGGAAAGGTTCCAGTGGGTGTCGCAGATCTGAGAAAGCGTCATGCTATCAACCGTCTGCGGGAGATGGTCGACGCTAGTGGCGAACATGATCGCTGCATCACTGATTGCTTTACCTCGTATCCTCTCCAAACATTCCAAGACGATACGTTCCTTTCCAAGCCGAACGCCGCTTATGAATGGCTTCACTTTCACGACTCTGTGTCGTCGAAGGTCTATTCGAACCAGGAATGGGAGCTAACCCCATACCTCAGTCAGTCGGTTGTTGCATTCCATCATTTGTTTGCATCTGCGCACGGGAAGCGGAATCACAACGAAGTTGAGGACGAGGAAGAAGAAGAACATCCGTTCTCTGGACCAAGAGCGGAATATACAGCGAATGAGTCCCTCAAGCAGAACCGCGCCATTCTCACAGGATTCCAGTCTTCGTTCTCTGCTCCACTCCTCCGCCTCTTCCGGTCAACCGACTGCCTCGTCACGGATCTCATTCCTAACATCATGCGAATGTTGTCTCCTGATGTGAAGCCGGTGGTTGTTCGTGGGGCTGGAGAACAACGGAGCGTGGCGAGCGTGCGGAAGGAAAGCGAGCGAGCTCTCGTACTGGCCGCAGTGCGGGTCATGACAGAGCTAGGCGTCACGTTTGAGCGCGTTCGCGTTGAAAACGAGGGCGCGCACGGTGGATGGGTGTACCGGATGGAACCGTAAGTTGAACCCAGAAGATGCGAGAAGACAATCTAACGATAGCCCGCAACAGACCGTTAGACACCCTTATATCTTTCTCCAAGATGAAAGGAAGCACACAGGCCAGTAGCAGCTCCGGCCCCGTTCGGTATGCGGTCCGCCAGGTCCTGGACCAGGAGTTCCGCAAGGAGAAGGTGCGCAAGCAAGCTGAGGCCTTGGGATCGTCCAAGCTCGCGAAGACGTCGAAGGGGAAGCCGGCGGATGGCCAGGATGACGAGACTGGGAAGAAATCGGCTAAATATGGGGCTGGCGTGAAGCGCGACTTCTTTGGGAGGATCGTCCAAGAGCCGGCGCCACAGCCGGACAGCTCGCAGGAGACTCCGGTGCAGAGCGAGGCGTCGAAGGCGGGCCGGAAGGCGTGGGTGACGTATCATGATGGGTTTTCGAATGCCGTGCGCAAGCCGATCTTGATGAGCGAGTTACTGGCTGGGTTTTAGTATATAATGGTTTCTATCTAATGAGTACTATGCTAGCGCTGGAATTACGGTGAAGGAGTCAAGTTTGCATCACTTCATTTGTAAATTAATAAATATATTGTAGAGCTGCTGGCATGAATTGCAGAAGCCAATCGACAAGACAACGAGCAATAAGATGAAGCAAGATTAGATTTTATAATGAAAGATTCAAGTCACAGAACCAAAAACCAAAGAAAACCAGAACATTGATGTTTTATTATCCCAACTCCATCCCTGCAAAACAAGCAGTGCCAAAGAAAAGAACCCAAACAAATAACCAAACAACCATCTATAACGATGGGACCGTGATATCATGTCCATGGAGTATGTCGTATTAGATATGTATATGGTGCGCCGACACTATCGAGTATCCCTTGCTGCGAGCTCCCTCGCAGCGGACAAGACCCGTCATGCGATCACCGGAAGGCCAGATACGTGGCGATGGCTTCGTTATGACGCGCCGCGGCTTCGGTCTTGAGAGACGTGGGCTTCGTCGTGGTGGGTTCCTTCTTTGCGAGGAGAGACCACTTCTTCGAGGGGGCTTCGGCGCCCTTGAGGGTGGTTGCCGTCGAGGAGACGGAGTAGGTGGACTTTGCGTCGGCGGGGGTGGACTTGGAGAGCATTTTGATGGGTTTGAAGATTGGATTCTGGTGTTTGAAGAAGGGTTTCAATGTTGTTGAGGAGAGGAGGTAATTGGTTGTTTGTTTAGTTGGTTGTTTGAGTAGTTGGAAGGTTGCAAGGTTTGTATGAGTGTGAAGTATGTAGTTGGAATGAGACCACGGGATGATGGATAGAAGAGTATCAGACAATAATGAATCAGTTGATGGATCAGTTCAATTCGAGCGGACGACAGACGTCTTATATAGACGACTCCATCCAGACCTAGTCATTGCGATGACTCTGGACAGGTACCCTCGTCCATACACCGACTCCGTGCTAACGGCATTCGGAGTAAAAAAAAATACTATTCTTCACGACGACCCACGCATTCGACACAACAAATACGTCACTCGCGAGAATATGCTTAACAATCATCCCCGTCGATGTCCCAGAAGAGTATAGAGAGCGTTGGAGAGCCTGCGAAACGAGTCACCATACCGCAATAGGGGCTCGTGTCGCAGCCACAGCGGGAATACCAAGAAGCGTAGGGCGTGGGAACACGAGCCTGCTTTGCAATCATCAGGGCTGGAAGATTCGACTAGCGTCATCGGACCGCGCTCGTCCAAACGGATGGTTTCTTCGTTTTTGCTTGAATTCTGGACCTTCGAAGCTTGATCCGTGGATGAGGAATTGTCTGTCATTGTCTGTCATCTGGGGGTTCATCTGATGCCCCGACGGGGATGTCATTGGCGGCATTTCCTATACGGAATAGCACACGATTGCTAGGCAGAACACATGCCACGAAAGCTCTTCTGCCTGACAAGGCTTCTAGATGTTGTCGTAACACTGCGCCCTTAAGTGACTGTGGCTTCTGCGTCAGGCGGCTCTAAGACGGGCACTGAGTTGGGACCCCGGTGTGGAGGCGCAGGGATAGATGCCCCACGGCTGCCACGACATCTCCTGCATCTCCTTTAGCCTGTACAGCACTTGCTCCGTAGATAGCAGATAGATCCACTGTTGGAGAGTTTTGCCTGAGATCCTTCAGAGGGGGGATTTCCGGTTCAGGCAAGATTAATCTGCGCGTGTTATAGCGTGACTCACAAAGTCGGTTCCCGCAACAGAAAAGTGTGGATGGGCCAATGGCCACGACAGGCTGATTAATCCAGTCTGAAGCACGACATTCACCATCGCTAACAACGCCTGATCGGGATAAAGGCGAAGATTGCTTGGTCATTCCATCCTGTGTATCCAGAGTATTCCAGTGCATACCGAGGTTGACTCGACGGTGATTTCGAGGTGACTCCAAGGCGCACGCCGAACCCCGATGGCACTCCGAAGAACAGGGAGGAAGCTCGGCATGCCTGGTCCCGTCGAAGGGTTTATAATTCGGAATGGAGTAGACGGAGTAGATGTTATAAGGGCGGGACCTAGTCAATTGTCAGTTCACTCCATTGTACTCTGAGTACTCTGAGTACTCTGTCCAGGGAATACCTCACAGCCTCGAAGCAAGAATTTCGGTATGCTCAACTCCGATGGTAGGCGCTCTATACTTACTCTTGATATATCATAGAGATACCCGGGCCATACCCCGGCCCATGTGTCGATCATGCTGAGATATATTCCAGATCACGATCCACCTGCATGAATCATGTCGGGTCTTCAGGGCAAATTCCAAGACATCTCCAAGTTGCTTCTCGTCATTCCTGGAGTGAACCAGCTATATATCTCAGATGTGCGCAGGATATATAGTAAGCATCGGCTCTGCCCTATGTCCGACGCGGGGATACAGGGTAACCTGACTACCAATCTACCCTGTTAGAATCAGAGAACACTACAGAAATACCAACAGACAAGAGCATCTCATGACAGCATTATTCATGCAGGATCGGAGGATATTCGTGCTGAATAATATCTGACATACTTGTACAAATAATGCCCACTGACCATGTGGAGAGGATTACCAAGCAAAGCATTACCGAGCAGAACATCCGCGAAATTCCAACCCATTCGATCAACCCACAAGATCAGCAAGGTCAACTCCTTACTCAAGACACAACGGCGCCGGAGATAGCGAGGACAGCCAATTTGTCAGCGTCGGCAAGTAACTACTCCGTAGTATGGGTCTGTGGGGGAAGCTCCTCACAATGCGGAATGGTACTACTGCATTTCCGCGATATATAACATCCAGCTGTGCCCCTCTGTCGGCTTCTACTCACCCCCAACTTCCACTATCTACTTATAAGCTCAATCTTAATACCCTTTTGATACCCCGTCCACGTTTCTCTAGCAACCGCATCCATCATGTCTCTGAAGCCCATCACCCTGTACGGCCATGCCGCCGGCCCCAACCCCTGGAAGGCGGTTATGGTCTTTGAAGACCTCAACATCCCCTACGAGCACAAGTTCGTCGACTTCTCCGAGATCAAGAAGGAGCCCTTCATCTCCGTCAACCCCAATGGCCGTGTCCCCGCCATCCACGACCCCAACACCGGCATCACCCTCTGGGAATCCGGCGCCATTGTCGAATACCTAGTCGAGACCTACGACAAGGACAACAAGATCAGCTTCCAGATCGGCTCGCCCGAATACTACCAGGCGAAGCAGTGGTTGCACTTCCAGATGAGCGGCCAAGGTCCCTATTTCGGCCAGTTCGTCTGGTTCTCCAGGTACCATTCCGAACCCGTCCAGTCCGCCAAGGACCGCTATCTGAATGAGATTCGTCGTGTGTCCGGTGTGTTGGACGGCGTCCTCGCCAAGAGCGAGTACCTGGTTGGGGGCCGCTACAGCTTTGTCGACGCTGCCTTCGTGCCCTGGTACCAGATTGTCCCGAGGTTGACCGGCGATGCAATTGATCTCGAGAAGGATTTCCCCAACCTGAACGCCTGGTTGCAGCGCGTGCAGGCGCGGCCTGCGGTTGCGAAGGCTCTGAAAGATAGAGAGGAGGCCATTGCTAACCAGTCGCACTAAGGACGCAATTCGGGAGAAAGTTCGAGGGGAAACCTGTGTTAGCGATAATAGCCATGATGACAGCAATTGATGATTTCAAATCCACTGGTTAAATTGTATAATCCGACGTAAGATCTGTGGAAGGAGGTACTTCGTAGGTAGATACAGAGGAAGAGAAAGACTAGACTAGACTAACCCTATCGGGTTAGTGGCATGTGACTCTTGGCGCGAGTTTTCGTCCGTGTCGCGACTCCCGCTCCGTCTGTCTCTCTCTCCAGCCCATCATCCCATCGCCATCCCATTGCGTCCCTCCTGGTCGCGCGCGTTTCCTTTCTCCCCGCAGATATCGCCGCTGATTCTTTTTGTCGAAAGCTCCATCACTAGAGGGTTGCGTGTGCACCCCCTTCCCCAGGTTGACCTCGCCCATCAGCCCAGACCCTTGTTCGCCGTCACCTGCGACCAGCTCACATCCCTCCGCCGAAATGGAAGAGAACCAGGTGGTCTCGAGCGGCGCTGCCGATGATATTCAGGCGTCTACGACTCAGGATGCTCCCGGTGATATCGTGAATGCTCCTGGTAGGTCCTTACCTCCTTCCATCTCCCCCCTGACATGACAGACGTGGGATTTGCCAACATTTGCAATCACAAATCCAGAATCGCAGTCGCGTCAAGAAACGCCTGGAGAGAATGTTTCGGGAACTGATAATCCACTAGATGCTCCTGCGTCTCCGAAGCCTCAGAACACCGATGGCGAGCCCGAAGACGAGGAGATGGGTGGCACGGAAACCGAGACGAAGAAGGAAAATGAAGGTGAAGAGGCGACCCATGGTGCTGCTGCCTCTGCTGGTGGAGAAGGAGCTGGCGAGGACCAGCCCGCGCAAAAGTCATCTATCGAAGCCTCCGCGCGTTCACATCTCGTTTCGCAAACACATGCTATCATCCTGCCCAGTTACTCGACGTGGTTCGATATGCACACCATCCACCCCATCGAAAAGAAGGCTCTCGCAGAGTTCTTCAACGGCAGAAACCGGAGCAAAACCCCCGCGGTCTACAAAGATTACCGTGACTTCATGATCAACACCTATCGCCTCAACCCCATCGAGTATCTGACGGTAACGGCGTGCCGCCGTAACCTGGCTGGAGATGTTTGCGCGATCATGCGTGTCCACTCTTTCCTTGAGCAATGGGGTCTGATTAACTATCAGGTGGGTGACCTGACCTTCCCTGCGAGTCCAAGGCTAATCCATCTAGGTCGACCCCCAAACGCGCCCATCCAACATCGGACCTCCCTTCACTGGACATTTTCGCGTTATCGCGGACACTCCCCGCGGTCTTCAGCCTTTCCAGCCTGGCCCGAACCATTTCGTCAAGCCAGGCAAGCCTCTTGCAGCTACTGACCGTGCTGCTTCGGCTACGCCCGCGTCCAAGGCTGATCTGAACCTGGAGATCCGGCGCAACGTCTATGACGATAAGGGCAAGGAGGTCACCCCTGCCGCCGAGGACAAGGAAAAGCAGACGAACGGAGATGGTTCCCCTGCTAACGGGACCACGGGTGAATCGGCGACCAAAGCGATGGAGAGCGCGTCCAAGGAACCTAAGAGGAAGTTCAACTGTTTCTCCTGCGGGATCGACTGCACCCGCCTTCGTTTCCACTACGCCAAGTCGACGCCGGCGACCGCAAACGCGGCCTCAGATTCGAAATACGATCTTTGCCCGAACTGTTTCCTGCAGGGCCGGATGCCCTCTAGCCATAACGCGTCCGACTTCGTCAAGCTTGAAGATAGCGGCTACTCGATCGCTTCCGATAAGGAGGCCCCCTGGTCCGATTCCGAACTCGTCCTCCTGCTTGAAGGCCTGGAGAACTTTGACGATAACTGGGAGCAGATTGCCAACCACGTTGGCACCCGGACAAAGGAGGAATGTGTGATGAAGTTCCTGCAACTCGAAATCGAGGACAAGTATGTTGAAGACATTCCCGATGTGCGGGCGGGCGGCCGTGACCCCATCAGCCAAGCCGAGAACCCGGTTCTGTCGGTGGTCGCCTTCCTGGCGCAGATGGCCGAGCCCGCTGTGGCTGCGGCGGCGGCTGGCCGTTCTGTGGAAGAAATCCGCAAGGAGCTTCGAAAGCAACTCGACAAGGTCCCTGAGTCTGACAAGAGTCAGGAGAAGGGCAAGGAGAAGGAAGGCACTGCGGATGTCAAGACCGAGGACTCTATGGATGTGGACGCCTCGACCCGCGAGGAACCTGCTGGTGAGGTTGTGGAGGCCGAAAAACAGCCCAAGGCGTCTCTGCCCACCGTGGCTCTCGCCGCTTCTGCTGCACGCGCCGGTGCCCTCGCTTCCCACGAAGAGCGCGAGATGACTCGCTTGGTCTCTGCCGCTGTCAACGTCACGCTCCAGAAGTTCGAGCTCAAGCTGCAGCAGTTCAACGAGATGGAGGAGATCATCGAGGCCGAGCGCCGCGAGCTCGAGCTTGCGCGCCAGCAGCTCTTCCTCGACCGCATGGCCTTCAAGAAGCGGGTCAAGGAAGTCCAGGACACCCTCCAGAGCGTCAGCCTGAGAGGTCCGGGCGAGGAGACGAACAACATGATTGCCGACGCCGCCACTGCTGGTCTTGGAAACCGCTATAACTTCCAACCTGTCGGCGATATGAGAGCGGATGTGCAGCCGTTGAGCGCCGAGACGGGTGCCGACTACAAGACTCTTGACCTGTGAGGCCTGCAATAGACGATCACGTTCTACACTGTGCAAAAGAGAAAATGAGACATCTTACGACTTAGGTGGCGAGAGTTAGCTGGTTACTTTTATAATATCCATCATGTATTGTACACTATCTGCAGGCTCAGGCGCCGGAGATACGAGACCGAAGGAGCGGCGGTTGGATGGATGTTCAGGCTGGGGTTTGGGTTCGTCTTGTTTGAACAGCTGGAAAAGGCGTATTGTTTGGAGTTAGTTCAGTCATCTTTTTCTTATTTACGTGTCTATCTCTTTCTTAGTGCCGGGGTCGTTCTCGGGTTTCTTTCATGTTCTGATTGAGATAAATGGATCTTGTTACAGGAATCTATATAACATAGTACAGGAAAGGATGATCCAACATCCGTATAGACAGTCATATCGTCACATCATGAAACGCCAGCAATGCAGGTATCGCGCATATAATCGAAATCGACGAGGCCAGTCAACTAGCTGCCGGTTGGTCGTCGTTTTTGTCTTCGGACAACCATATTCGCTCGATTTGGGGGGAGGAGGTCATCCTGACTGGAGGAACTCAGTTCTTCATTATCGTTTCCGGTCTTTCGCACTCTGCTGAGTTGTTTGGGTTGTAAGGGTGGGTGGTTCGACTCTTCCGAGTCGACTGCAGACGCAGCACTGGCGGAGGAGTGGTGCGGCTCGTCTTCGCAGCCTGGGTGGGCGTGGGACGGTTCTGGTTCCGGCGGGTCGATATCCATGCCATCGTCGGGAGCGTCGGTCCCATCGTTCTCCTCTCTTGAGGCTGGATCAGCTTTGTTTGGATCTTGCGGCGATGGGTTGAAGTCTTCGATGGGATCAGTCGTAGCGGTCTCGGGGGCCGCGACCCGTCGCTTCTTGCGTCGATCCTGGGACATCTCCTCGTACAGATCGAACACTTCATGGCCGTACTCCTCCCATTCGCTGCGGTAGAGGGTTCTGTCGCGCCAGCTGACAAGATCCTCTTTCGTTTTGCGCTCGCCAGTCGGCCTCTGGAGCTTCGACTCGAGCTCGTCTTCATCTTTTATCTCGACGGCGACAGACGCCGGCACGGGTCTTCCCATCATCTCCCAGAGACGTCGCTCTTCGCGCCGGCTGGCCTGTTCGTCCACCTGCTCCGCGTGTTCCTCCTCAAGATCCGCGGGGAGTTCCTCCTCGTCGGATGATACAATCGGCGAAGACAGCACGGAGGCCGCCTCCGAGCCCGGCTCGGACTCATCCTCGCTGTGACGCTCGCCGGTGTCCTCGCCGTCGTTTTCATCGTCTGTCTGGCTGGGCCGCCGCTGTCTGGACGCGCTTCTCGTCCCGGCCACGGCCTCCGTATCAAACGGGATCTCCCCGGAGAGAATCCCCTCGACTTCATCGTAGCTCAGCGGCACGGGCTCCCACCCGACCCGATGCCGCAGATCCGCCACCTCCAGGCTGCACCGGCGCGCCAGGCCAACCCAGTAGTCGGCGCGGTCGCGCCGCATCTCCAGCACGTTGAGCGCGGCATGCACGTCCCGCGTCCGCACCACCTGCGCCTTGGGGTTCCCCGTCTCGCGCATGTTGCGCAGCCGCGCCATGGCAAAGAACAGCGCCGAATGCACCAGCCGCCGCGTAAGACTGACAGCCAGCGCGTAGAACTCGCCCAACGCGTCCGCCGTCAGCGACGGCGTCTCCTCCGCATACGCCACATTCACCCAGTTGTCGTCCAGCCGGTCGCCGCCGAAGTTCATGAAGCACCGCTCCGACAGCCGCACCCACATTTTCATGTTCAGCAGCCGCGCGCTCGTGTACACGCTCGACGGCGGGAGATCTCCGCCCGCCGCCACCCCGTCAGGCAGCGTGTCCAGCTGCGCCTCCACCTTCTCCGCGGTCTGATGGTCGACAATCCACAGGTGGTGGTGTCGCCGTTGGCCCGCGACGTCCTCGGCCTGCTTGTCCGCGAGCGAGAGCAGCGTCGCGTACGGATCGAGCGCGCGACAGCACCGCGCGCTAATCTCCGTCGCCGCCGGCACCTCGCCCAGGATGACGGTGCGGCTGTGCCGGTCGTGCAGGTGCTGCCGCTCCACGCCCCGGTGCAGCAGCCGCAGGTACTCCTGCACCTCGAGCTCGGATTTGGTCCCCACGGCGCGCGCGATCTCCGCGACGCCGTTGACGCCCCGCCGCTCGAGGATCTGGTGCAGGATTTCCTTCTCGCGCGACGTCCATGTCACGACGCCGTGCTGTGTGGAGTGCCAGGCTTCGCTCTCGCCCGTGGCGGGCACGGCGGCGGGTGCGGGCGGCGCATCGTCGGAGGCGGTTTGGTTCTCTGCGAAGAGGGCGGCGTACGCCTCGACGGATTGGCGCGGGAGGGATTGGTAGAGCTGTTCGATGGCTTGGTCGCGGGTGCCTCGTTTTCGTTTTCGGATGCGAAAGGATGGATGTTGCTCCGGGCCTGGCGGTGCGTGGTGTTGGTTGGGATCGATGTCGATGTCGGAGTTAGATGTAGATGCGTCGTCGTCTTCCTCGGGGTCGTAAAGACTGGAAGAGCTCATGGTCGGAGGGGAAGACACACGAGAGACATAGATTGGGGACGAGGAGTGAGGACATCCCCCTTATGAGCTCTGGTGTGGATTAGCGGGTCATGGCTGGATAAGATGAAGCTCAACTTTTTTTTTGGATGGATCAGAAATGATAAGGGTTTGCATGGTTTGCATTGGTTTTGTGGATGATAGAGCAGAATAAAGAGCCTTTCTTAACCAAGTCCTCGATGGTCTAACGGTTCATGATTTCCGCTTGTCAATCCACCGGATAACAAGCGCGGGAGACCTGGGTTCGACTCCCAGTCGGGGAGATTTTTTTTATCCTCACTTTTTTTTTTCACTTGGTCTTTTCTATATAGCAATGCCTTGTATACTCGTAGATTTTATTTTATTTTTTTTTTTTTCAAGTGTGCTCCTGTCAATGCTCATACGGTCAAATACACAGCACTTGAGCCTCAGTTCAAGGCAACTAACGGATGAGTCCATCTTTTGCCGACCAAATATACTGTCATTCACACCATGGCTTCGCTACACAAGGCGCTGTATAAGTTCAATACATCCGTTCGGTGTCCTCACAGCTTTCTGGTCAGCCGGGGACTCACATTGCATGGTTGATCAGCTTTATTTATGTCTTATATCCCCATGGATGGAGAGTAGTGGCTTCCTGGATTCTCCCATCCTCCCGTCCATCTCCGCCGAGTTCAGATCTGCCAGACCCTCCAGATTGGGAAGCTTGTTTCGATATCAACGTTCTGACCGTGATTATTTACCCCGTCATCAGCATTGTGGATGGAGCTCTGAGCCTGAGCAAGACCGTCGCCGACCATTCCTCAGTACCTGCCTCTGCCCAGTAGGATTCTGCTCTCATCGTAATGGATACAGACTCCTGTCTTTGCCCTGTCTGATCTACAGCTCTACCTAGGACGCCGCCAGCCGTTGGCGGAGCAGACTGTGGCGTATAATTGCGTGAAATTCCCTCTGGTTACTCGCAAGTTGTTTTTTCGTCTCCGGTATTGACTCCCGGGTTGGATTCTTGTGCATTCAAGCGGCTGGGTGCTCATTATTGAGTACGGTACTGCCGGTCTGATGATTCTCATCTCTTACTCATTAATATATGCCGACGGCGAATTGGTCAATTACCAGATCCTCACTATGTACCTTCTATATCGTGATGATGGAGTCAGTGGTGATCATCCTCAAGCTGATGAGAGATCCGTCCTTATTGCCGCATCCCAGGCTCCCTTTTCCCATCTCAGGGACGGGGATCACGGAGCTGAATCAGTTGGGGCCTTCGACCAGCGGGATCTTGTTTGATATATATCAGATGCTTGCAGCGCATGATACTCAGTAGTACATGGAGTCCTTAATTTCTGTTCTTCAAGTCCATAACAACCTCATTCCAGCATGAACTACTCCTTGCATAACAATATTCTACGCAGATGAGATGTTCTAATCTCATCAGAACACATCCCCTGTGCAACATGCCTCCGTACCGGAATGTCTAACGACATGTATATTGCCCAGAAACAGGCATACCTCTGGTTGCATAGGAACACCTAGACCATCTACTCGGTCTATAAAGCGGACAATAGTCCATCCCAAGTCCGATGTCCTACACCATCAACCCAATCCAACTCTTCCTTTCTTCCGTCAAAGATATAATCAAGCACGATGAAGTTCTCTGCTCTTGCTCTCCTCCCCCTTGCCTCCGCCTGGACTGTCACGACCGGCTATTGGTCCAGCTCGGAGGTTGGTGATTGCTACACCACCGCCATTCCCGAGGGCTGGAACGTCACTGTCGACAGCCTCCTGCCGGGCCAGAGGGCTTTCTTCTTCTCCGACGACGAGTGCGAGCAGCTGGAGTTCTCGACGGACACCTCCAGCAAGGTCACGGCCGAAGCCCGGGTCGAGAGTTTCCAGGTGTTGCAGTTTTAGAGACGGTTGTGAGTAGACGTGTTCTATAGGGTCGGCGTGATGCTGATGGAATGACTACCTAGTAGATGCCATGTCATCTTTAGATACAGTCTAGGGATCAGGCACCTTTTATTTGACGGGATTTATTGGTTGACGGGTCGGAATGCGAAAGACGTCCAGCCGACGGGTAGTATACAGTGAGGATTTCGGGGGTTATTCAAGGCACTACATCTACAAATATATATAGCGAAGCGTTAGTCGGACAATATACAAATTCCTGCATTACTCCGATATATTTATAGAAATCCTCACGATAAGACTACAGATACACAAGTAGATTGCCATAAATTGAGAAAAGAGATGCCGGTAATATGTTGCTGTCATGCACAATGGTCATGTATAGAGGATCATTACTAAGCAGCCTGGAGCTCTATCAACTCCGACTTCATTATTTCTTACTACTCCGTACCTACAAAACATCCGTACAGTCAACTGCACCCCTCGCTCATGGCACCTACATGACCCCGCGCGCAAAATGGGATTCTCTCCCATTTCGCGTCTCTTCCTGACCATCGCCAGGCCCCGCGTCGTCCGCATACCCTGGAGACCAACATTCTACCAGCTTCAGAACCGACTAAACACCACACTCGCTCCAATCCCAACTCACACGCCAACTTCACCACCAATTGTTCTCCGCGACTACCAGGAAGAATGCATCCAGGCTGTGCTGGACCATATCGCCCAAGGCCACCAACGCCTAGGCATATCGCTCGCCACAGGCGCCGGTAAAACGGTTCGTACAAACTTCCTATACACCAGCGCTCCCACTGATCACTGTCGGCCAGGTCATCTTCACGCAACTCATCGGACGTATCCCACCTCGCAATGGATTCGCGGACAAGACTCTGATCGTCGTCCACCGTCGCGAGCTCGTCGACCAAGCCGCGCAACACTGTCGTCGCGCCTATCCGGACCGCACCGTCGCCATCGAAATGGGGAACAGCAAGGCCGACGCCTCAGCTGATATCGTCATCGCCTCTATCCGCAGTCTCACCTCCAAGGACCGCATCGCCCGCTTCGATCCCTCACGTTACAAGCTTATCCTCGTCGACGAGGCGCACCATATCGTCGCGCCCTCCTACCGCACCATGTTGGAGTACTTCGGACTGGATGACAAGGAGAAACGCCAACGCCAACTCAAGCGCGCCGACGAGCAGATGCAGCAACAGTCGGAACTGGATTCAGAACAGGACGTGAACCAGGAGCCGGCAGAAGAACCGGAGGAGCAGCCGAAAGACCGCCCGGTCCTCGTTGGCGTCTCTGCGACCTTCTCCCGCGCCGACGGCCTCCAACTCGGCGCCGCGATCGACCACATCGTCTACCACAAAGACTACATGGACATGATCGACGACAAATGGCTCGCGAACGCCGTCTTCACCACCGTTCGCTCCGAAGCCGACCTGTCGCGCGTTCGCAAAGACCGCTTCGGCGACTTCGCCCTGGGCTCGCTCTCCCGCGCCGTCAACACCCCGCACAGCAACGAGATCACCGTCCGCGCCTGGCTGGCCAACGCGCACGATGACGACAATACCCTCCGCCGCAAGTCCACCCTCGTCTTCTGCGTCGACGTCGACCACACCCGCAAACTGACCGAGGCGTTCCGCGACGCCGGCATCGACGCTCGCTACATCACCGCCAAGACGCCGCGCGACGTCCGCGCCGCCCAGCTGCACGCCTTCCGCGCCCACCAGTTCCCCGTCCTCCTGAACTGCGGCCTCTTCACCGAGGGCACCGACATCCCCAACATCGACTGCGTGCTGCTCGCCCGCCCCACCCGCTCGCGCAACCTGCTCATCCAGATGATCGGCCGCGGCCTGCGCCTGCACCCCGGTAAGAAGGACTGCCACATCATCGACATGGTCGCCACCCTCGACACCGGCGTGCTGTCCACCCCGACGCTCTTCGGCCTGCATCCAGACGAGGTCCTCACCAACGCCAGCGGAGACGCCCTGCGCGCGCGACAGGAAGCAAACGACCAGCAGCGCCAGCTCGACACCCCCGCCGACGACCCGCCACTCGCCCCAGACGACCTCGACGGCATCAACCTCACCTTCACCAAATACGACACCATCTACGACCTCCTCCACGACCTCAAGTCCGAGAAACATATCCGCTCCCTCAGCCGCCACGCCTGGGTCCGCGTCGGCTCAGACAAATACGTCCTCTCCGACGCCACCGGCTGGCTCACCATCGAGAAAGCCGACAGCCCCGACCAGCCGCCGGACGCGACCGCCCCCGCCCCGGCCTGGTCCGTCCGCCACGTCACGAAATTCAAGTGTCCCACCACCGAGGCCGTCAAGTACACGCGCGCGCGCTCCATCGCGACAACCCCGGACTTCGAGGCCGCCGTCCACGCCGCGGACACCTTCGCCGCCGCCAAGTTCGACAACCGCTACGTCGTCGCCGACCAGTCCTGGCGCCACCAACCAGCCTCCAGATCGCAGGTCGCCTTCCTCAACCAGCAGAAGCTGCGGAAGCAGTGGATCCGCTTCGACCAGTTGACCCGGGGCCAGGCCGCCGATATGATCACCAAGTTGATCTTTGGCGGGAAGAAGCGGTTCGAGGCGATGAAGGCCCGGCGCATGCGGGACGAGAAGGCGCGCGCGGCGGGGAGTATGGCCAAGCGGGATGTGAAGGTTGGGCCGGTGAGTTGGTAGGTTGTACTATGCGTGTGGACGTGCCTGGCGGGCTGGGTGCGTCTGTAATATTATGCTGTATTATATGCTTGTAGGATATGACAACATGTATTATGTATCCGTAACTCCTCTATATCTGCGCACATGGCATGGCTGGCACAAATCTATATCCAGATCCAACCGTATATACAGACGGAACTTCAAACATGGCTCTGGTCATCGAACAGGGACAATAGCCGTCCGATGCAAGACTGGTGATCCTCAACATGAAGAAACTCAAAACACTCACAAGAAATACCCTGTACAACCGATCCATCCATCGGTAAGGAAATCAGAACACCGCCAGTACAGAACTCCGTATAGACATGTCTGATCGAGCTGAAAATGCAACAGAGAAGAAAATATAAATAGTAACAATGGAACATTAAAACGGAGATCGAGGCTATGGCTTTTTCTTCATGCTTCCCGGTTCGGAATTGCTGGTCCCTTCGTCCCCTTCTAGGACCCGCCACAGCCGTCGGACCGAGAAGCCGCTGCTGAAAAAGTAGACGCCCACTAGCCAGGCGGCGAAGATGTTGGCTAGGTGGTGGAGGAGATACGCGTACGAGACGCCGTAGACGGCCGCGTAGATGGCAATGGAGAAGAGGATGAGGGAGGTGATGTACTTGAATCTGTGGATCGTCAGCGGTGACTCTTGAAGATGGAACAGATGCATCGACATACCGTGTGGTGACCCTGGGGATCATCGTCCCCGTCGTCATGGCTTCCACGAGAAGGATGAAGGGCATTATAGACAAAACATTATGATGTGACGAGAACGGCATGAACCAGTGGACGACCAAGTTATGGGCCCAGACCAAGAGAACCAGGATGTTGATCGGAAGAATCCACAGCATCAAGATGAAAATGGAGTGTGTATAGTTGAAGAAGTTGTAATGCGTCGTGGATTTCTGCTGCAGTTAGTACCGGTTAGATGAGGCGATGTTTGTGGACGTACGGTTTCCTTTGCGTGCCATTGAGCTCGCACACACGTTGCTAAATGCACAATACAGGCCACAAGGTAGGCGAACTGATACGGAATCGTTGTCGACACCAGAAGGAGGAGGATCGCCGTGTTGATCATACGTTTCCGGGGTGTCGGGGCGGAGAAGATAGGAAGATTACTGGCTTCGTTAGTGACAGTGACACTCGTCGAATGGAAGCCAGGTACCAACCTCTTGTCATCACGCTTTATGTAGCCCGACTTGCTCTTGAAAATCCCATAAAAGAAAGCGAGGACGGACAAAAGAGCCAGAGCGATGTAATTGAGAATCACGCAGACACCCACGCAGATTAGCCCAAAGAGAGGCACTAGGAACCAGAAAAAGGCATCCTGAGAGCCCAGGAGGAGATCGTTCTTGGTAAAGTCAATTGGAGACTCGGTCGAGTTTAATGGCCAATGGAATGGATCGTCACTGGGCGGTAACCGGCTAGATGTTGCGAGAGACGAAGCCAAGAGGGACATGGCAAGCAGCAACATCGGCAAAGAGGATCGTAGCGCACTATCGAGGCCCTCTGTAAAGGTGATGAAGTAGCCCGTCTGGTCGTACACCTGGAACTGCTTACGCAGGACCAGGGCAACCACGAGGATCGGGAAGGCAGCGAAAACAGTACGATACCGCATCACCAATTCGCCTAGACTGCTAGCGATATCCACATGCAAGGAAATATCAACCGTGGAGTCACAGCTCGGGTCCGTCCAGAGCTGGAAGGAAACACCACCCACTGCAGCCTGTTCGCGAAGCGGCGGAGGCATGAACGGTGCCACTCCATGCAGATTCACATTCACATCCTTCACGTTGACGAAAAACTTGGACTCGTGGGGATCCGGAATGGATTGCCGTAAAAGGGGAGTGAAAAGCTCCTGTTGATTGCCGTGGTTCCGACGAACAATTTTGAGATTGTAATCCAACAGACTGGAGTACAAAGCGGGAATCTTCACTTCGGTCAGCATGGGACGGTTGGCCGGGAGTCTCATCTTCAATCCGGCACTGAGCAGACCACCCAAACCTAGGCGAGCCCGGATCACAGCATCTGAACTGTCGGAAAACTCGGCCAACAGCCAGCCTTTAGTGGGAGATTGAGCCTTGTCCACAACGGCCACAAACTGATGCTCCGCGAGATCTTCCAGATCATATTGGAGATAGGAGAAAGGCTCGGCTCGGTCATAGGGATGCTTAGAGAAGTGCGTAGACGCTGGCAGATGAATCGCATCTTCGGCGGCATTCTTGCACGCAAGACGAGTCGAGCCCACATTGCCCCCGGAGAAGTCCATATTCATCGTAAAGACCGTCGAAAATTTGCCATTTTGCAAAGGAAAAACGCTGCAGAACAGAACCTCAAGGGTTCCCTGTTCGCCCGATTTGTCGAACCGCTGGTTGGTCAGAAGGGTGAACTTCTTTCCCGCCACACCCTGGGGTGGCACTGGCAGTAGGTGAACATTAGGGCTTCTGCGGTGGCCCAATTCACGGAGGATGAGTCGCTGGCCTTGAGGGAGAATAGTATTCGATTGGTCCTCCAGCGTCAGGAGCGTGTTGGGCTCTGAACGAGTGATTAGGAATGGCTAGAAAAACGTCTTCAAGCAACTTACCTTTTTGAGATAGAGTTCTTTCGGCAATAGGCTCTAGTCCCGTCAAGTACCACTTCTTAAACACCCGCATCCTCTCTGCTCTTGGCTTTGTTTGGCTGGCACGCCGGACGTCCACAATTTCAAACAGGGATTTGATAATGGCTTTTCGGAATTGATCACACCAAGTAATAGAGAGATGGTCCATTCCGATCCACACGTCAGGGATCGTAGAGGTGAAAACGGTGAAGCCATGTGTCTCCGGAACGAGGGACGAAATACTGGCATAATCTGACGGCACGACGGTGTCGCGGGAACCGCCGGCGATAGAGATGAGCGTCACATGCCATAGGGGATTGTTGTTGGCCCAGGTCTGAGAGTAAGCCTCGCGCCAATAGTCATTGATTTGCTTGTAGGTGTGGACGACATCGGACTCGAAGGAAACAGGTGGTTTGGCGTGCGGTGCGGACATGGTTATGATGGTGTTGACGGAATTCGCCTGATAATTCGACATGGTTAAGGTGGTGCGCGCGACAATTCCGCCCATGGAATGACCGATGATGATGACGGAGCTGGGATCCGGGAGCTCAGGGTCCCTTCGGGACCGCTTAGGGTCATGGTAGAGCGACAGGATGTATGCGACCGCTTCATTGACATATTCGGCTTGGTCAAGGAGGGTCTGACCATGAAAGGCAGCCATATCCTCGTTGAAATCGATCATGAAAAAGTCCAAGCTCCGGGTTCCACTACGGAGACGCTCCTGATCATGGCGCACAACCTCGAAGTAATGTCTCGACGCTTCGGCGGCTAAGGATCGCACTTGTCGATAGCTACCGGCGTTCCCGGGTAAGAAAAGCACTGGCGCACCATTCAACTGCGAACGTCAGCTCCAATCAGACTATTGTATCGCATTCCAGCTTACCCCTAAGTTTTCGTGGTTGAATGGATCCACACCCTGTTCCCTGTAAAGGTAAAGGTTGTATTTACTGGCGAAGCGCGTATGCTCTGTGTCGAACCCCGCCATATGGAGGAAAGCCGGACTCATGACGGGGATCCCACAGCCGTCTCCACCCGTCTGGCGAGCTGCGAAAGACCGCAGGATGGCGCATAGAAAAAGGGAAGCGAGTAGGGAAGTGAGTGCGGTCAGGATTGAACATGGCCATGGACTGCGGAGGCGAGCGGGTCGCGATCGAGACTGAGCGTCTGGGGAGGCCTCGGCGAGGAGTCGCTGGGAGGTCAAGGGCATGGCGGCGGAAGAGGAGCGCGGATCCGGAGGGAGGAGGGTGGTCGTCGCGGACGACGGCATCCTCCACGTACTCGAATTTCGAGAACGAGGAGTCGAGGCACCGGTGTGGTCTCGACGCAGGTCAAAGCTGGTGCCAGTGCGGGCTACCTGCGGACGCGCTCTTTCGGACGGTTCGACGGCATTGGGACCGCTGGGCTCGGATGGAGTTCGAGAGATCAAAGGATCTTCAGCGTCGTCCTCGACAGGCGAGCCAGACGAGCGTCTGTGCATTGGAAGAGGCGCAGGTTGTAGTACTCATCCAGCACGTACGGAACGGGTTGATCGCGAAGTTCGGAGAAGGGAAAATCGGCGGGAGTGATCAGGGGGAGGTGACCAGGATGGCTGGACCGAGAATTGGACTGGAAGAGACTGATCCGGGAGGAGGAACCGATGAGAGGTGAGCGAAGAGACCGGGGGGTTCGGTGTGATCCCTGTCCACGTAAATTTTTTCTTTTTTCTTGTGCCCTGGATGTAATTAAACTGGCCCCTAGGAAACGAGACCGAAGAGGGACGAAAGAGCGGCAGACCGATCGGGCGACGGACGGAACGGTCGCGACGGGAAGTGGAAGCGATTGGAGAGGGAGGATGATCGACACCACGAGGGAGGATGGAGGTGGACAGGGACGGAGAGGAGAAGGGGAGAGGAGAGAGGAGGAGAGAAGAGAAGAGAAGAGAAAAGAGAAGATGTGAAGTCAACGCAAGTGTGGTTGAAGGCGGTTGAGATCCCACTTGATGATGGTCGATTGGACGCTGACAAGTCCCTGACCTCCCACCGCTCCCGGAATGGCTTGGCGTGGTGGATGTGTATCCCGAAGTATACAAAAAACAAAGCATACGACTGTAGATATTAAAACGGTCATATTATTGAGTATTACCCTTTATCCTGAGAATAACCATTATATATCGACTCATCTTCTATATCGACATAAGAATGCTACCAGGTACATCCCTTGACGCGGAAGAGTCTCAACCTGAGCGACACAACATGCGTCATCGCACGATAGGCTACATAGTTATGAAAGAACCATGAACTAGTTGGTTAATCCCGGACAATCTTGATTGAGCGGATAATAGAGAGCACGTAATCTTGAGCCCATCCTATCCCAATCAAGGAGGATGATGAGCGTCGCCCAAGGAAGAACTGCAAATAACCGCCGGATGTCATATGTAAGACAAGACGCTAGGACGCGTGTTACGGCCATAAGACTCGCCTGATTCGATCCTCAATGCGGGGTTCATTCCATCGCAGAGTATATAAAGGTGCAATAACACAAGCAAGGTTCATGTCTCAAAGCGCCCTGGAAAGTCCGTAAGTGTTGCTTTTCCTTTCTTCCTCACTCTCTCTCCTCTTGCAATGAAGATACCCTCGGTGTGAGAACCATGATCATCCATCAATCGCATATCGCGCGTACAATTAAGCAGATTCAGATGCTTTTCCCTCCTGAGATCATGATCAGTCAATATTCAACTGACGCGGAGTACTAATTCCCTCGTGCCAGGCACAACCGTTCCACGGCGTTAGTAATCAATGACACGTCACATGATTTCACCCAGACCCTTAGAGAAGGGATGAGAGCAGCCGGAATGGGGTGTGTACGGAGTATATGGCATGTGGGCAGTAGAATGAGATTGAAAAAAGGCTGATAAGTTTATTCGTCGCTGAACTGTATGCTATGGCGCTACTTGTTATGCAACAGTTATGAACCCTAAATAGACTCCTTATTCACATCTTCGGCCAAATTCAACAAACTCTACACTTCATATATGACATTCCTATTGATTATTCAACTCATATATCATATCATCATCCGTCATACTACCATCCTATTACTGTGCATGCTGGACGCTGCCCTTCTCCGGATCTTCGGACTTGCTGCCGGTACCGCGGTGGGCCGTCACCTCCGCCATGTCCGAGTCATGCGCGACATCAAACTGCCGACCCAATCGCTCGGGGCCGAAGAACGTGACAATAATCACGTACGCATACACACAGCCCATGAAGATGCAAATCACCTTGCCGTACTGGTAGCGCTTCTTGCCCTCCTCCGTTGGCGGTAGCGGGAAGCGCTCGCCAATCGTCGATTCAATCGTTGAGCTAGCCGACGAGACCAGATTTCCAAGCTGGTAGGCGGTACCCACAGCAAAGGTGCGAATCGCGCCCGGCGACAGCTCCATCAGATGGATGGGAATCACACCCCACGCGCCCTGCACACAGAACTGCTCGAAGAAAGCCGCCGCCATCACTTTCTCGGACGTCACGAAGGTGTAGGGGTAGAGGAGCGCGCCGCCGACAATGCTTATCACGATAATGGAGAACCGGCGACCGAAGATCTGGCTGGCCCAGCCGCACAGCGTACCACCGGTCAAGGCACCCAGGTTCGCCACGACTTGGGTTACCGTCACGGCGGTCTTCGAGAAGCCAAATTGATTCTCCAACATGGTCGGGTACAGGTCTTGGGATCCGTGCGACTAAAAGAAGAAGGCATGTTAGCGAGATCCACCATGGACTCGTCGCGTCGGCTTTGCTATGCTCACCATAAAGTTGAAACCCGCCATCAGCAAGACGAGGTAAATCAGCAACAGCCAGTGTCGCTTCAGCGCGACCTTACCCTCCGTCAGGAAGGTTCCTGTCACCCCACCTCTCACCTCCTCACGAGTCGCCTGGCGCTCACGGAACGCCTGGGTTTCAGGGAGACACAGACGGAAGAGGATGATGAGAACAGGAGGGCAGGCGGCGAACCAGTACAGGGGTCTCCAACCGTGAGAAGTCGTGCCCACGAGACCGCGGGCGAATGCCGTCGCCAACAGGTAGCCGAACGCATAGCCCTGTTGGAGCAGACCTGAGACGATACCACGCGCCTCCATGGGGCAATCCTCGAGCGCGGTTGCCGCAGCATTTCCATAGAGACCACCCATGGCGACACCGAAGAGCGCGCGACAGGCAAGGAATTGCTTGTATGTATTGCAGAAACCGGTTCCCAGTTCCAGCACGATGAACAAGATATTGTTTACCACGAAAGGCCATTTGCGGCCCCAGCGATCCGAGGCGATACCGAATGTGATGGCGCCCACCGATCGAAGCATGAGCACAAGGGTGATGCCCCAGGTGATGTCCGTGACGGACTTGTCGAACTGCTCGGCCAATTCGGTGGTGGTCAAGGAGACCGTGAAGAAATCAAACGCATCCCAGGTCCAGCCGAGGAAGGCGACCTACACATGGTTAGTGGGGATGTGACAGTACAGGCCGTCGCAACGTACCAGGAAGAAGAGCCATTGTTGGCGATTCAACAGGGTCAGCGCTTTGAAAGGGTTCGGAGCTGGGTTCATCGGCGGCACCAGCGTCGGGATGCGCGTCAGAAGGTATTTTCCCCACCCGAGGGGGTGAGTTTCGTCCCCATCGACGGAACGGATGGGCTCCGTCATGGCATCGTTTCCCTTGGTCGCGTCCGTCATCTTCCGGCGACTGGGAGCTGTGAAGAAAGATAGAGAAGATCCTGCGGAGGGAAGAGGGAGAGGAGACGCGGAAGGGATGGGGGGATGGGAGGAGAATAAATAAGCTTGTGAGGAGGGGAGCTCCTGGACCGAGAAAAAGCAAGCCACCAGCCCTTACCCCAGCAAGGAATCAAGACACAACCGGACACGAGATAGGAGGCCCCGCAAAGGCGAGTAGAAGTAGATGCCGATCGCGGCCGACCACGGGACGAAGCTGATATCTGACTATGAGGCTTTTTGGGCCGAAGAGAACTGAACCAGATTGCAGGAATCTCTGATATCCACAGGACGAGAAGTCGAAGTCTGTAGAGTTTTGACTTTCTCATTCTTTCATATACCTCTTTACAATGAGGAGAGGAAAGTATTTGATCTGGCTATAACCACTACAGAGATAACCCCGTGACGTGCCAAGGCCTTCTCCAGATTCCACCCAACTTTCTTTCGCTCCACTTTCTCTCCAGATCCGCGTTTCTCCTCTCGCGTGGACTCGTTCAAGCTCTCCGTGACTCCAATCCTTCCAACATTGATCCCAACTCTTCTTCATCCTTCATGTCACCTTCTTTACCTCCTCCCCGAGTCCTTTCATGCTCCGACCGCCAGCTAGTCAACAGACTAAATCCTTTAGCTGGGATCGGGCTGTCCGATGATCGCATTCCCCAGCCATGGTCCTCTCGCGGGGTAACTCGCTAATGACTTAGTGCACGGTCATTAGACTCACCAACAACCGATATCGTATCCAATTAAGGCCTAACCAGTCGGCGAATGGCGTTCAGGGGAGCTCCATCCCCTCTCGCCACAGCAATTTAAACCCTCATCGGTGTGGATGTCGGTCGGACAAAGGCCGAGCTTGACTCAGTGTTATCCCCCACAGAATCGGAGAGAACCACCCGAATGGCACTTGATCGAACAGAACAAACTTCAGGGCCCATAACTCACACTTTCATGGTCACACTTTCATAGTGGTGCCACGCGAGAAGTACGGAGATTTTCCGTCGTGAACCTTTGGGGCCGCCCGTGTTGTCAACTCTATTGTACATCTACTCCGTATGTACGGGAGGGGCGGCTTGGCTTGCCCAGAAGGCTTGAGTCTCTTGACTTCCCTTGGCTCCGGTGCCACGTCCGGCCAGAAAGCTTCTCGCTCATTTGCCGAAACCGTGTTCTCGTATTGAAATCCGACCACATGATGGGCCGGTTTTCCTCCATCGACGAGGTCAACTCCTCCGCCGCAATCTTGGCATACAACATTACAGGGGTCTTCCTCAAATCACAAACCAACCAAGGTCCAACCAGCACGAAGAATCTCAAAGAAAGTCCGGATATCCATAACCGTACGGTACTATTCTACCCGATTCTGCCCGATAGTCTGCTGGAGTAAAGAAACCAGACAACCTTGGAAACCTCTACGACTGCTCAACTCCCAATATTGAACCAGGACACGAGAGCGTCTGTGCAACAGCCCGTTCACATAACCAGAGTTGTCTTCAACCGAAAGGGTGCTCCCATCTTGGGCTTCTTTCTGATCTATAGCTCCCGTTCTCGGAATACAACATAAAGGTTGTGAACGTAAATAGAGAAAAGCTCGTCCATGTTCCTCTCCAAGGCGAACCCATCATCTCCAGGCGCTAGTTCAAGCTCATAGGTCATGACAAGTTGAGCAAGGGTGGTCCTCAGATTCATCAAGGCAAGCGGCTTGCCGATGCACCCGTAGGAACCTGGTTCTGGTTAGTGGCTTTGTGGTGCTGCAGGCTTCAAAACGTACCTGTGCTGAACGGTGCATGTGCCGACTTATCTTTGACCATGTTCGGGTATAGATACCATCGCTCGGGAATGAACTCCTGCGGCTTCTCGAAAGCGGCCTCGGCTGGACGGGTTGTCAGTTGGGACAACAATCACTCTTTCAATACGGCTTACATCTCCCGATCTCTCTGTGTGGGCTAAGAATGTTCATATCACCAGGCACATATGTCCCGTCGATGTCAAGCCCCTCCGGTGGCGTCTTTCGGGGCAATTGAGACGGCACCCCAGCGTGCATGCGCTGCACTTCGTTGATGAACCCATTGAGGTGTCGCAGACTGGCGATATTTTCGTGAGCGTATTCTCCGCCTAATTCCCGAGGGCAGCAAGCTAGTTCGTCGCGAAGCTTCTTAACCTCTTCGGGCCGACGGGCCAATTCGTATATAGCAACCGTCAATGTCATTCCGCTGGTGTCGCTGGTCTGGTGAGTATAAAGTTATAAACTCGAGACATCTGAACAGGACACTTACCCGCCGGCCCCAATAAGCAGAAGTGCATCTCCGAGAAGCCGGGGAATATCGTCAGGTGTTGGCTGCTGTCCTTTCAGGGGCGCCAGAAAATACGAATAAATATCAGGAACATCCGGCTCCGACTACCAGGGTCAGTATTACCTCGCACAAGATCGAAGAACGTTACCTTCATTCTTGCCATCAAATCCTGCCATATACGATCATTGAATTCCTTCCATTCCTGGCTTCCCATCGGAGAAGTCACTATCAATCGATAGAACCATGGAGGGTACATGTTCCGCAACCCCGTGTTCGCGTCAATGAAGCTCTGCGCTATGGGAACACGGACACCCTTCTGTAGGCCGCCGTAACTCTTCCCGAGGGCAAGATCGCTGATCACATCGTAACTGTACCATTGACAGACCTCGCTAATATCTAGAGGCTTTCCGTCATCGCTGGCCGACGCGATATGGCTCATGAACTGCTGTCGATAGGGCCGAACTCGCTTCTCGTATCCGCGGACCGCTGACTCCGTGAATCCAGGGTTCCAGATTCGCCGCCGCTGATGGTGATCTTCCTTGGAGCGCATTGTCTGCATGGATAGGACGGGGTAATTGAAGTCGTAGAGTGGGCCTTTGATGCACCGGGACTTCAACCCATAAATCGCGGTGATTGCCTTTGGGTTGGTTACCGATATGTCTGAAGGTCCTATCCGGACGAAGTCGCCGTATTTCCTGTGCAGGTCCTCGAGGATTTGATATGGAGGCTGATATCGGATCTTCATTGGCATCCAGAAGCCGGAGATTCTCGCACCAAATGGACCTGGGAATCGTCGAAGGGGATGCAAGAAAAGACGGTATACTAGAAGACTAGTGTATAGTCCGAGGAGATGGATGCAAATTAGGGAGATGCTTTGTCTGGTTGCCTCAATGACCGAGGCCTCCGCATCATAGTGAAGAAGCGCGGCTCCAGTAAGAGAAAGCCCGACATAGGTATAGAGGTAGCTGAAGGGATAGAGATGGTGTTCACCTTTTCGAAAGTAGAATATGTGAGTCACAACACCCGATATGAAGGCAATAGCCTCAATATTCTTTTGAATCCACATTGTGTGTGCATTGATTCAGACCTGGTATCTGAGCAGGGTAAGTTGTATATAGGAACAAATCCCAGTCCTCCATATGTGGGCATGTTCTACGCCGCCTATGTAAGTATGCATCTTGAGGTGGAACTCTACGTCGGTCTATTGAAATTCTGCGTAGCATCTGAGACATACATTTCTTACGGCACGTTATGCGCAAGCCGTCCTTCAGGCTCACATACAAGAGCAGGATGCAATAAGTGAGACATTGTTGCAAGTAGTCTATGATGCATGTCAGAATGTAGGCCAGATTTTACGGGCCTAGGATAAGATAGAAGCGATTCGTAAAGCCGCAATTCATTATGACTAGGAGATTGAGGGTTAGACGGCGGTGTTTTCTACTGTTGATTTCTAGATCTTGTATGCGACTGTCTCCTGAAAGATTGGTGAGTGTTCATACAGATTTATGTGCATTACTAATGAGCCCCTGTACCACGAATTTATTCCCACGCACCGATACCTCCACCACCGCCCTTTTAGCCGCCTTATCGATAACGGCAGAAAAAAATGAATTTCAAAAAATGGCGGGGTTCCTGATCGTCATCTAATCGCATCGTGAGATCTATTCCTGACTCCATCTCTTTCCAGTCTGCCTTTTAAGAGCAGCCAGTCAATTAGGATCCGACCGACGTTGCTATCACACTCATTGAGCATCCAGCATGTCCTCGTGAAGCTAACGCTGCACTGTTCTTCGCATTGGACTTCCATGTCACACGCCCTTGCATGCTTTCGAGCCTGAACCAACCTCCTGATACCCAAACTCACCGAAACGGCACGAAAGTCGGTGTGGAATAGACATATCCTTGCTTTCCTGACATCGTACCCGTCCTACGAATTCTCCGACTGGACAATCATACCTCCAACCATGGCCGAAACATCGCCCACTTACCCCGCGTCTCTGAATACTCTGTTCGAAGAGCCCTCGCTAAGAGAACAATTCGAACCGGTCCGGCTAGCCGATGCAGAAATAGTCCCAACATTGCAGCTGCCCTTAGCGCAATCGATATTTGGACACGGTGCCGACGAGACAGCTCTCGATCGCGTGTCTCGGGGCGAAATCTCCTTCACCACGTTTCTGGCTGAACAGACCAAGGCCGCTGTCTCTGGTACCAAAGATGAGCTGAAGCCCGAGCAGAAACGCTCCCAATTGCTCCATATTGGACTGGCGGCACTTTTCGGCTTCTTACAGTCGAACGTTACGGGTCCCCCGTTGGCGTATAATCCGTCGGAGGTCATCATCCCTCCTACCCTGCGGCCCGATGCGGCCAAGCTCCGCGCCCTCCGTGCCCAAATCATCCGCGAGCTCTCGGTGGACGGTGAAGCTGCTTATAAACTGACTCCGAATGTTGAGCTTTTTGCCGTTGCGAAGGCTATCCTGGTCGATGCGGGTGTTCTGGTCGAGGATGGGCCCCTCGCTGCAAGGACGGCTAGAACACGCGTCAACTTTCTCCACCAGAAGATGCTGTCCGAGACTACTGGAACTCTGCAGGACGCCATTTACAATGATCTCGAGGAGATTAGTAAGGTCATCCTCAGTGGCAAGTCCACTGCACAGGAGAAGGGCAGGTTTTTGATCGAACGGGCTACCATTCACACCCACCACGGCTTCGATGCCAAGGCGAGGGCGGATCTCGAGCAGGCCTCCATCCAAAGGAACTTTCAGTTTGCTCTTACCGGAAAACTAGGAAAGAGAACTAAGTTCCAGGAGCGTGATACCAGTCAACTCGTGGTCTTGGCCAAGAGTGCTGACAACGAATCGACCGAGAAGGTGGAGGAAGAACAAGATTCTCAGCCCTCAGGCCCGAAGAACTTGGATCTCAACGACGACACACTTTTGGAATCTATTTCATTCACTAAGGACGATGCCCAACCATCCCAAGGAAAGTCCGTCACTGTACAGGACGAATCGACACTGCCCCCCGCTCTGGCGTCTCTAGACGCTGGCGACCAACCCAAGCTTGATCCCGTCGACTCCGCTATCCTCCTATCCATCGCATCCGCCATCACAAACACCTCCCCAGATAACGGTCTGACACGTGAGGAAACCCATCCCTATGCCACGCGCGTTCTCGAGGGTGGTAGCTCCAACTGGCAAATCTACACCCAGGGTCTGCTCATTCGAAGCCGGATTGAAGGGTTCAGATCCAGAACCGTTGAGCGATCTGTCCTGCAGATGCAGGCTCTCGTCGATCAGGTTATCGCAGACACCGCCACGCTCGATACGCAGGCTAGTGCCTCCGTCGCGGAACCCACCACCTTCCTTCCCCGACCCGAGAAATCGGAGTCCGCGTCAGCCGCCGAGCGACTGGAGTATATCTGGATCCTCAACTTTTCGACCAGGTGGGACCTCGAGGCTGAATTGGCCTCTCGCTGGGTGAACTTGGGAGGTCTACGGACCGCCCTCGATATCTACGAGCGTCTGCAGATGTGGGCTGAGGCTGCGCTCTGCTACGCCGCGACAGAACGGGAAGAAAAGGCCAAATCGATTGTCCGCCGGCAACTATACGAGCCTACCAACAAAGACGTCGAAGATGAGAACGACAAGTACGAAGGACCTGAGCTATCTCCCCTTCCGGCTGACGCGCCTCGCCTGTTTTGCATTTTGGGTGATATCGACACCGATCCGGCCATGTACGAGCGTGCATGGGAGGTTTCAGGGAACAGATATGCGCGTGCCATGCGGTCTTTGGCCCGTCACTACCTGACCCTGAAGCCCCCGGCGTTGGATAAGGCCGAGGAGGCCTACAAAAAGAGCTTGCATATCAACCGCCTGAACCACGGCGCGTGGTTCGCTCTGGGTTGCGTGCAGCTTGAGCTCCAGCATTGGGACGACGCGATCGAGTCGTTTAGCCGGACCGTCCAGATGGATGACACCGACGCCGAAGCATGGAGCAACCTTGCCGCCGCCATCCTCCGCTCCCCTCAGCCCGAAAACTCCGCCCCCGAGGTCAGCGAGCCCCTTGCCGACGAGGAAGGCGACGCAGAGAAGGCCCCGGCGGACCCGTACAAGCGCAAGCGTGAGGCCCTCACGGCGGTCCACCGCGCGGCACAGCTGAAGAACACCGACGCCCGGATCTGGGACAATGTGTTGACGGTGGCGGCGTCGATCCCCCCGCCGTTCACGCCGTTCCGTGATGTCATCACAGCCCAGAGAAAGGTCATCGAGCTGCTGGGCCCCAAGAAGGGCGAAAAGGCTGTCGACCTCCCCGTCCTGGGAATGCTGGTGGATCATCTCGTGAGAGCGTACGACTACGACAAGCTTCTCATCAATGTCAATGAAGGCTCTCCCACCGCGCCGGAGTACGTCGTTCGCAAGGGTACCATCGCCGGACAGATCCTGTCGCTCATTGACGACTCCGTCGTTCCTCTGATCACTCACTCCTCTCCGCTGTGGCTTCTTGTCGCGCGCGTGGAATCGTTCCGGGGCCGGCCCTCGAAGGCCTTCGAGGCGCATGAGAAGGCCTGGCGTGCGACTGTCGCTTCGTCCACGCAGGGTGCGTTCCAGATGGGCGACGAGAAGAAATGGATGGAGGTGGTGCGCGCTACGGAACGGTTGGTTCGGGATGGATACGCAAAGTATGGCCCGATGGACAAGGAAGGGCAGGAAAACGCGGACGGTGACGCGGAGCTTGTTGCGAAGGATTGGCGGTTCAAGGCTCGCAGTGCCGTGCGTGGCATCCTGGGCAAGGGTAAGGAGTTCTGGGAGGATAGCGAAGGATGGAGTCGATTGAAGGAGTTGCAGTCGGAAGTCGGAAGTACATAGACTTGAATGTAGATAGACCTCAGTGCATTGATGTTTATGAGCCAATTGGAGTATAGCTGTATTTCCTTTGTTGATTATTCTTGAATCGCCAGCTATGATGCTTTCCACAACCAGGAGTATAATGCACGCAGCATCAAGCCAATCTTAGGAACAGCCGTTCATCCTTCCAGTAACATGACGACCAAGACGTAGACTAGAGGTGAGGTCAGGGACGAAGGAAATCCTACTAACTCCTGGCGTTAACTTGTAAAGTGGAAGTAAGAATCGAGATGAAGCATCTGTGAGAAGCGAAGAAGATGCTTACTGATGCCCCACATTCCTTGGCGACTCCGACAGCGTCACCAATTGAACCCCACGTCCAGATGTTACTGGACTTGTAATCCACCAATATAGACCTTCACCATGCCAGAATTTGCATTTCAAAAGCCGACAATCATCTCCCGCTGTCCCCTGGTACTCTCTCAGCCATACAGCCTTATACAACGTGTCTAACAGATGACCAGGACACGAAAGACGCCAAATGGAAACGACTAGTCAAAACGGTCTATCTAGACCCGCTGGGTAGACAGCGGACATGGGAGTCTGCAGAGATGCAGGTAATCGCCCCTTCCATGGCAATCCTCAGATGCCTATAGAGGATGGTTCTGACCAGGGACAGACCAGACCAGCCGACAGCCCCGTGGACGGCGTCAGTATAGTCGCAATCATCGACAAAGACACCGGCCCGGAGATTCTCCTGCAGAAGCAATATCGACCAGCCCTGGACAAAGTGACCATCGAGATTCCAGGCGGTCTGATTGACCCTGGTGAGACCATCGAGCAGTGTGCGCTTCGTGAGCTCAAGGAGGAAACGGGGTATGTCGGGGTGGTGGATCGCACGAGTGGGATTCTGTTCAATTGTGAGTGTGGAATTCCGTCTCTATCTCTATCTATTCTGTTCGAGACGTGCTGATTACTGAAGCCCCTGGGTTCTGTAATAATAACTTCAATCTTGTCTACGTGCGCGTGGATCTGACTCTGCCTGAGAATCAGAATCCCAGTCCCCAGTTGGAAGAGGACGAGCTGATCGAGTGCTTCACGATTCCTGTGAAATCGCTCTTTTCACGGTCGAAAACGCTCCAGGATGAGGGGTATGCCATTGAAACGCGGGTCGTGGCTCTTGCAGAGGGTATCGAGATGGCTAGGAAGTGGAGTCTTTTTCAATAGAACGAATAGATTAGAGCTCATAGACACACTGTCTTATTAAAACAGACTGGCAACTATCATACAAATTTTTTTTTTTAAAATTTTTCGAGGGCTTTCAAATTCCCGACAATAGTCTTGAACCTCTCATCGCAGGCTTTTAGAGCCGACGCATACCATTCCACCCTCTCTTCCAGCTCAAGAATTTGGGCTTTGAGCGCCCGTTTCTCCGCCTTAAGATTGGCTCTCTGATCTTTCACCTCCTGGAGCCGACCCAGGAGCTCATCCCGGCACAGTCTCTGTCCCGGGGTGAGCTCCTGGGCCGGCTCCGCGGCGGCAGGGGCGGGCTCATCGATTTCGATATCGAGGTCGAGTTCTTTATACACCTGCTTATACATTAGCAGCTAATATATATGTATAGTCCATAATACTTCATACTTGTTCTCGGGCCTCGCGTCGTAATCTCTCTAGTACCTCCTCAGGGAGGGCGGGCTCGGCGGGCGCGGGGGCCGGAGCAGGAGCAGGAGGAGGGGCGGGCGCGGGGGCAGCGGCGGCAGCGGGCTTCTTGTTCTTGTTCTTCTTTCGTCTCTTCTATGTTTATTGTAAGCATATTGTCAATCGTGATGATAATAACGCAAACGGGTCGTGCAAGGGTAAAATCAGAAGATTGAGATGATAAGGCCACGGGAGAGAAGATCAACTCGTAGAAGGCATTTCAGGTCACAACAAGAGACGACAACAAGAGACGACAACAAGAGACGACAACAAGGGAACAGTAGATTGCAAGAAATGTAGTAGGAATACTTACGAAGCGGCCGGGGTCACCGGCGGTGGTCTTGTTCTCACGCTTAGGAGTCATGGTGGAGAGAATGTGATGATGATGGAGAATGGAGGAGACTTGAAAGATTCTAACGAGGGGGGAGGGCCTTATTATCTAGTATCTGTCTACGCGTAGAACGCGTCATGGTGGCAAAACCTGTTGAGTACAGATAATTTGAGATGTACTTGTATTTCTATTGACAGCCATCGCGTTTCTATATAAAATGTATAGAGCTGCTATGAAGTGTTGATAGCCTGCTAGGTATCTCGCAAATCCCATACTAGAAGGATAGCCAATCATATCGCATCACTTCCGGAAGGGTGGGTGGATATGGGCTTCTATTGGTGAACATTGGCCCACATGTCCCAACGGTGTCGATCATTCCCCCGACCATCCGCGACACCGGATCGTACCTTTCCGGGTCAGCTATAGTTGGTCGCTCTGGGCGAGGGCCTGATGGGATTACGTAGTTCTTTACTACCTAGGTACCTCTATTAAGTATATCCAAATCACTTCGATTGCTCGGTCGAGTGAGCATTTGACCGTAAAGTAGTGGACTCATTCAAGGGATGGAAGTGAAAAGATGATGAGTTAAGGAGATTCCATCCTTGACTACTTAGTACTTTCCCTGCATTATCCTGATTGAATATAAGAGATCTATCTTTGCTTAGTCCTATTCGCATGCTGATGACCGCGTATATAGATGCGGTCCTGACTCCTGCCAATCTATCTCCCGTCTATACTTGTCAAACCAGATATAGACCATACAGGGGCCCCATTAGTCTGTTCACACTTTCGGTAGCCTAGCGGTCATTTTTGCATTGGCAATACCGTATACATCTATCTCATTCCTAGCCATGCTCAGTGCATTGCGATATGCGAAGAAGAAGCTTGTTGCTTCTCTATGGGAAGCGTCATTCTGAGCTTCCGTGTCCAAGGAGCCCCAGAAGGGAGTAATGTCGACATGACATCCAAGCTTAAGGACAAGACTCTTTCGCTGTAAGTACTCCACTAATCCACTGCTCCCTTGTTGTGCGACCTTTGTCGTGATCTTGCACTTCTCCTATAAGAATCCTGATTGACAATATGCCTACGATAAACCCAGAAGAAGCCAAAGATCATGCCCTTCAGCCCGCGAAAGCCCTCTACCTCCGCCGCCCGCCCAGCGGTCCCTCCTCGAGAAGGAGCGGGTGCCCCTCCTCAAAGAGGAGGTAGAGCGGATCCGCAATGAGGACCACAATCAAGTATGAAGTATTATGGATTGTACATATATATTGGCTGCTAATGTCTAAGAGTAGGTGTACCGCGAGCTGGGCCTGAACATCGACCTGGATAAAGCCCCCCAGTCTGGTCCTGCCGCTGCGGAGCAGACCCAGGAGGTAAAAGAACGGAGAAAGAACCTGAAGGCTGAAAAGCGCGCCATCAAGGAAGAAATTCAGGAGTTAGAGGAGAGAGTAGAGAGGTTCAGCTCGGCCACTAAGGGCTGTGAGGAGGACTACAAGGTCATCGTTTCTAAGTTGAGGTCAATTTAGTTGACGGAGGAAGGGATGAGCTCCAGGGTCGGCTCCAAGAATCAAAGAGCAGAAGGCGACGCTTAAGGGGAAGAAGAGGGCAATCAAGGAGCAGACTGTCGACACATCGTTTAAACATTACTGTTACCTTGGACTGTATCGCATATATGCTGATAGAGAGCTACATAGAGCTCCAAATAGATATTCTACAGCAGCCAACAGAGTGGCTATTACAGCAATTGAGGTCTGTAATGAGGAGGAAAAAAGAATGACTGCTGAAAGCAGGGCTGGAGTCGATCACGTGATATGGCAACAACCCACCCTCAATAACACAGCCTTACTCCGTAGTCCTTAAGTGTTGTTATTACCACCATTCGACTCCTGCCTTATATACTCAGTACTAACATCTATCTTACATGTTCATTGAATATACTATCACCGATGACACCATTCCTCCATGCCAATGAACATCTGCGATTCACATCGGCTGACACCAATCATTACGCCAAGAGTTGGGGAACGTATATGACGGGTGATAACTTTGTCTTTCCAAGAACGTGTCTAGTAAGTATGGTGTCCTAAAATGCATCACAACCTTTACAAGAGAGCTGTCAATGATGATTGTAGGTGAGTGAAGTGGCCAACTTTGATGCGTACTCGATTGCGATTCTGGCTATTCTCTGGGAGCGTTAGGCATTCTGATCGGGTAAGATATCCCCATCGTTTGCGTCGTTGATCTCTTACTGACTCAAATGCCACGCGGATGGGATTTTTCACAGCTAGAGACTCATAGTACAACACCCAGTTCCCGTGTCCTGATTAATGAGCGGCGTTTCCTAGGTATGAAGATTGATGCATTCTAAAGACGCCAATAAAGCGATTGAAATATCCCGGGGTTATGAGGAGGACAACAAGACGAAAGGCAGCAAGTTATTCATCTGGATACGTTCGACATCACTCTCAAGTCTCGGAAACCCGCCAATAGCCCAGCCCCTGACACAGAAACTCGAATATTATAGGCCATTGCCTCTACGGAGGAACTAGAACTGAATGATATCTGGTCTCTGAGAGAATCGTGTGAAGGATTGTGTCCGGCGAGATCTCCCACAAGAAACGGGATTTATCAATGTTGTTATGCTGGAGATCCGAAAGACGTATCCCAGCATTGTAGAGTAATTTTGCAAGCTGAAGAGGTCGAAACTTCCGTCAATGCCCCAGTATAATGTCTTTGTTCCCTTGCGTTCGCCTCATTGAGACGTGTAGATGATCCCTGACGCTGAATTCAGACGAATCCTAAGTACCACATTTTCATAGTTAGTACTGTTCCCAAGTTTCGCAATTGCAGGTGAAGATTCTTGAGGGTCTTAGCTGGCAGAATGCATGGCTGGCTGTGAGTACTGTCGCTGAAGTGTCCGTGATCGTCGGTCTCTCACGAATCGCCCAATTGCTTCAATTGGAGCTGGATCGAATGAGTTGCTTTGTACCGATAAATCGGATGTAGCTCAAAGACATGAAGAAAGTCAGAAGAGTCCCGTAAAGTGAAAGGAAGCAGAATGAAGCTGTGAGCGAAGAAAAGTGGTGGGGTGGCCCTAGGCCGAATTGGGTACCCCCGGAGAGTTGAGAGCTGTAGTATAGCATCCTCAGTCGATTCGCGTCGAGAGACTTCCCCAGACACGAAACCACGAACCTCCACCGCGCCCCCCCGTCCTTCAAAAACGTCCCTGCAAACCTCCTCTGCTGCTTCTATAGGAAGCACAAACCTCCGCGCCCGCCTCCCTCCCTCTTTCGTTTCGTGTCGCTCGAGAATGACCAAGGCTAATCTCGAGCAGGACTCTGCTGTGAAGCGCGGCAAGCGCCCACAGAGAGAACCCTCCGGCCTCAATGAAGACTCATTGAGGGACCAGGACAATGAAGAGGACATTGGTCCGATTCATTCCCTGACTTCTCGGAAACGACGTCGTCGGGTCATTGTTGACTCCGATGACGACTCCGAAGAAGAGGCCGGCCCGTCAATGCTGAAGGGTCCTTCGGTGGTTGATAAAGTTCTTCCCTCTGTAGAGGGCAACGAACTCGGGCTGGATGACTATGACGAGATTGATGCCATTCTGGACTTTCAACTCGATATTGTCGATGACATCGGTGAAGTTGGGGACGATGAATTCATCCCCGGTCCCGATGACATTGAAGAGGGTGATGACGACTCCGAGGAGGTTGTACTTCCAACGACTAGTCCCACTCCCCCCACCCAGGTGAATGACAGATTTGCACAGATATTGCGCGACGTCGTCACCCGCTTAGTGGAATGGGCAAAGGGTCACGACTTTTATAAGTTGGACCCAAAGGACAGACCCATGACCTTTGGTTATTGGACTCTGCTGTGCCGGGTGTCTGTCGACTTCCTGGTCTCCTTATATTTGCCCGCGATACCTATCCAGGTTCAAGACCTTATTGCGAAAAGCGAATGGTCACTTGAGGACTTTGCGTCCTTTCCACGGGTGGGATCAGATAAACGCCAGGGCATCTATGGTGATTTTGCCAAGGGTGCACTGCGTGGGCCTTCAGACATGGATGTCTATGTTGGTTCAGCGCGTCGTCTGAAACCTCGGACTGGCTGTCATACGAATCTGGCCGAGAACTACACGGTTCAGACTCTGCCTGATCGCCATAAGAGAAGCTTCCATTATCGGCAGATCTGTCGAGAGGGAGTGGAGGTGGATTTCCGGAGGTGTGCAGCCTTCGGGACACCAATTCCGGGGGGATATTTGTTGTTGTTGGAGGGGATCTTTATGATCCTCTTCGACACGTATCAATATCCTGGATACGTTTCGGCCTGGGCCACACGGTCGTCGTATCGACTGGTTAAGGAGATCAGAGAATCTCTGAATCTTCCATCAGTTCCTTGGCGTGGGATGAACGCGGCTTGGCCGCTGCGACAGGGTTTCTATAACGAAGTCGCAAGGTCCATGTCACAGTGCTGTAACCCGGCCTGTGATAAGATGACCTATCCCGAAGCGTTGCGTCCAGAAGGTGCGCCCAAATACGTACGCCAGAATGGAAATCCGGGCGATCCCCTTGGCCCATATCTCTGCGACTTTTGCGGTAGATACCGGGAGTGGCACAAGGGGAAACTCCCAGATGCTGAGGTGCTTGCAAAGGTTGCAGCACGCAAGGCTGCTCGGGAGGCTGCGGGAGGGGGTTCAGACGTGCCCTGTGCAGACTGTGGTCGGTTGGAGTCCCAGCTACCACTGCATCGCAGTGTTCTAAGGGATGGGCGGGTAGTCCATTACCAGCGAACATTCCGGATCCATGGAAAGCTCCCTGGAAAGCTTCTGTGTGAGGCTTGTTGGTTTTTCTTCGATAAAAATGGAAGAATGCGAACACCCAAGGAGCGAGAGCAGTTACTCGCCGTTCAAACATCTGTCGCCATTCGGGAGGCAGGTGGTGAACTTTTATGCGAGAATCAACACTGCAAGGCCCCAGAGGTAGCAGGCCAGCGTCACCATATTGCAAATAGTGCAACTGGTATGCTCCTCTGCATGGACTGTGATGCCTACTATCGCCTGAATAAGGCGGTTAGAAGTCTCGAAGTCTGCAGGGCCGCCCGTGCGCGAAAGCAGATAGCTGCTGATCGCGCAGCCAAAAGGCCAATCGTCTGTGGTAACAGCGATTGCGGGAATGTCGAAGCGCCTAATGCGAGTAATTCGACTAGACACCGAGTTAACGAGGAGCTCGGTGTCGTTCTATGCAGTAAGTGTCAAAGGCGCAGGTTGCCCAGCGCCAGGGCAGCGTCCAGTACCTAGGTCTTGTAAGATTTAGGGAACGGACAGCCAATATCCTGTCCTCGGAGCGGTAAGCGATGAGGTATGGGTAAGGTGACGAGATGTCACCACAGGCTACAGAGGTCCAACTGAGAGTTCGAAGAGCTTGACGTTGAGGATGGACAGGAGTGCATCGTACCTCGCCTCACTCTTGGTTTTGCTGTTGAAGGAGAACCAAGAGTGATGTTGTGCGATAGGTGCAACAGCCGGACGATGTGTCCTAGCTACATGCTCACACCTTCACGCGGTGTCCGGTGTTAATTGCCAAAAATGATGGTAAAACCAAGATGAGCTCCAAAAAAGCTAGGGATTCTACTTGATGCAAGATCAGTTCATGAGGTTGTCAACAAGTTGTATTTGTGGGGAGAATATGAACAGGCAGAATAAGGTAACGTGGACATGACGGCAATGCATTACAGGACAGAAGCTATAACTAATTCAGGGCTCTGCCTGTTGCCTAAGCTCTCCCTGTTCGCTAGGTTAGATAATGGTTTGTTTTGAGAGACATGGTAGTCGTACCTTGTCCTATCTACCATTGTCACGAATACGCGCTGCGTTTCTTCCTATTAACAGTGTCTAACGACCGAGACAAAAGTCTATATCAACATGTCAGTATAGAGGGTAGGAGTATTCAGAGACACATGCGCGAGGGATCGTGGAAAATTCGACATGTTGGTGGACGGAAATATGTGAAATGTGTGGAAGAGTTGAGTTGGGAGTCGAGGAAGATGGTGAGGCGGAGTCATCATAAACAGAGGGGGTCGGTCCGGAACAACAATTACCCGAGGGAACCACCCGCTCCTGTATAGCTTCATGTCGTTGGGATGTCGAACTACAATTTACTCTTCTACACCACCAATGCTCGCATGAATTGAACAAATTGAAATCCATTCGATCATTAAATCTATGAACAGCGTTAAAGCAACTGAGACATGTCTGCATAAGCGAAAACTTTTGCAACTTAGAAGTCGTCGTCGTCGGAGAAGACCTCCTCTCCGCGCTTCCTATAGACAAGTTAGCATTCAGATCATCAAACCGGCCGAAAACAGAATACTGACTTGCGAGCCATGCGTTCTTTCTTCTTCTTTCTCGCTTCGGAAGATGTAAGCTTCTTCTTCTTCTCGACTTTTTCGACCTGAAACAGCTGTTAGCATATCTCGTCAACGGAGGGGAGTTTGGCAAGTCACGCACTTTATTGCCGTATGCGTCAAATGTCTCCTCATCATCCTTCTTCTCAGTAAGACGAGGACCAGATCCTTGACCCTGGACCCAGTTGTGGCCACTAGGGGTCATGCGGCCGTCCATAACGGACCAAACTTCCTCGGTGAGGTTCTCAGTGAACTCACGAGAGTGAGTAATGATGACGACACCGCCCTCGAAGGTCTTGAGGGCCTTGGAGAGAGCACCGAGGGAGTCACGGTCAAGGTAGTTGGTGGGCTCGTCCAGGACGATGACGTGGGGGCGCTGCCACGAGCAGGCGGCGAGGACGACCTTGACACGCTGACCACCGGAGAGACCGCGCATGCGGGAGTGAGAGACAAGCTCGGCATCGAGACCGAACTGCTCGCAGTGCTGCTCGATTTCCTTGCGGACCAGGGGACGGAACTGACCGCTGGCGAGGGCCTCCTTCTGGTCGACCTCGGCGACCATCTTGGCGTGGGACTGGATGATCTCGGAACGAGGAATCCAGGCGTTGTCGTTGCTCATCATGGGAGTCCACTTCTCGCTCTTCATGCCGATGTTCTCACCCAGCAGGAAGGAGCACTCGTACTCGTAAGAGTTCTTGAACTTACGACGGGAGTGGATACCGATGACACGACGGGGAGTGCCGTCGATCTTGTAGATCTTGTCCATGGCCTTCTCGTCCTCGTCGGTGACGATCTTGTTGGCACGGTCCATGGTCTCACGGTCCTCACCGGTCTGGAAACGCCACTGGATGTATTCGGAGGGAGTCTTGTCGAGGTGGTTATCGATGTGGGCGAAGGCGTGCTGCTTAATGTAGGCGATACGGATGTTCTCGTGCTGGTAGACCTCACCAGCGGTGGGGATCAGCTCACCAGTGAGAACGTTCACCAGGGTGGACTTGCCGGCACCGTTGGGACCAATGACGGCAATACGAGAGCCAAGAGACACCTGGAAGGAGATGTCCTGGATCTGGGGCCGGGGAGTGCCGGGGTACTGGAAGGACATGTTGCTAACACGGATGATAGCCTTGGCCTTGGTCTTGACACCCTCAAGGAAACCGGGCTCGGGGAACTTGAACTCGAGCTCAGAGGCACCCAGCTCGTAGTAAGAACGAGCAGAGGGAACCTTCTTGACGAACTCACTCAGGGAGCCACGGTAACGCTTGAGCTTGAAGCGTTCGTAGTGGACGACGTGCTGGATGACGTTGTCAAGGAACTTGGAGTCGTGGGACACAATGATGGACGTGCAGGGAGAGTTGCAAAGGTAGTTCTCCAACCACTGGACATTGCGGACGTCGAGATGGTTGGTCGGCTCGTCAAGGAGAAGGATATCAGGCTCCTCGAAGACGGCACGGGCAAGGGCGAGCTTCATCTTCCAACCACCAGACAGAGAGGTGATGGGGCCCTCGAACTGCTCACGGAGGAAACCGAACTCCTCGAGCTTAGCCTCGACTTCCTCCTGCTTGGGGTCCAGACCGACTTCGCGGAGCTTCTTCATGGTCCAGCCAATGACAGTCTGCTCGGTGTCGGCAGCGTCAAGGTCGTGCTCGACGTAGACGGTCTTGACCTCATCCTTCTTGGGGAAGCCCTCAAGCTGCTCGTTGTTGATGGCACGCATGAGAGTGGTCTTACCGGTACCGTTGGGGCCGAGGAGACCGTAGCGCTGACCACGCTTCAGACGAAGGTGAGTCTGGTTAAGCAGAATCTTGGCACCATAAGCGAGGGAGAAAGTGCAGTTGCACAGATCCTCACCCTCCTCCTCGTCGGAGGGAACGTCGTCGCCAGCAGCGGCCTCAGGAGAAGCCTTCTTGCGGAGAGCCTCGGCGATAGGGCGGGCCTCCTGCTCGCCGACGATGGCGGTGATGTAGGGAAGAGCGTTCTGGGTCCAGCTGGTGACGTCGGAGTCCTTCTCATCGACGAGCTGACCACCGATAGCACCAACGTAGGTGATGATGGCCTCGCTCTGCTCAGCCTGGGCCTTGTACTTGGCGGAGAGAATCTCCTTCAGGATACCGGAAACGGTGGCAATGTCACCGGCGGTAGAGATCTCGGGGATCTTGCCATCCTTGACATCACCGACACGGGTGAGGGTATCCAAGGCCTGCTTGGTCTTGCCACGGGCCTCAGGATCGGCGAGAGTCTGGAAGTTCTTCTCGAGACGGGGCATCAACTTGGGCAAGAAGGGAGCGACGATCTGAGGGTCCTCCACGAGCTTACACATGTTGTCGACGATGACAGCGGACTTACGCTTGATGGCAGTCTCACGCTCAACGAGACCACGGTCAAGCAGGGGCACCATGATAGCCAGGGTGGGGCCAGTGACATCGGAAACGAAAGTGGTAGCACCCAGCAGGTGAACGGTCTCGGGGACGTTCTCGGGCTTGGCGATACAGCGGATAAGCTCGGGAATGAACTTCTCGATATCCTTGTTGACGATCAGACCGCAAACCTTCTCCATGGTGGAGTAGGCAGCCTTCTTGATCTCAGCCTTGGTATCCCACATGGCCTCGGAGACAACGGGAATGAGCTCAGGAACACGGAAAGAGAGCTGGGCGGGAGCAGTCTCGACCAGGCTGTTGATGCAGTCAAGAGCGCACATCTTCTCCTGCCACTTCTGGGCCTCGGTGACGGACTCGAGGATGGGGGGGAGGACAGCCTTGACGGCGTTGCCGTTGATGCCCTTGACGATGGCGATAGCAGCACCCTCGGCGGCCTGCTTCACGGGAGCCATCTTGTCACCGACAGCGGCAAGGACGGGGCGAAGGAGAGAGACAAGGTGAGGCTCAACGCCGGGGGCGATGGTGGCGTGGGAGGCGATGGCCCGGATACCCTGGCAAGCACGCTCACGGGCAGTGGCATCCTTCTTGTTGGCGAGCTGCTTCTTGAAAGCGTCGACGGCCCTGGGTTATGTTAGTTTGGCTGCAAATCGGAAAATTTCGTTGAAGCTGGGATTCACATACTTGAGAGGCAGAGTCTGCTCAGGGATGGGACCGCTGAGGTAGTGAGCCAGGTTGTCGCTGGCGGCGTGGGCCTCGTCAGCAGACGAGGAGACGCTCAGGTTCTTGAGCAGGTCCTCGAGGACGGCGACGGCCTGGGCAGTCTCCTTGCCGGAGACCGCAGGAACGGAGGAAACATCAACAGCAGGCATTTTGAACAGGGAAAAGTCGAAAAAGAGACCGTAAGAGAGAAAAGGAAGAACGTTCTAGGAGGGTATCTCAATCAAGAGGAAAAGGCCCACGAAAACTGCGTCCGAAATGATCACGCAGAAGACGCTCTAGACTGGCCAGAGAATTTCTATCCTTTTTTTGTCTAAACCGAAGACAAAAAAGAAACAAAAGGTAAGTCAAGAAAAGAAAGAGAGGACCAAACCTCTTGGGATAGAAGAGATGGGAGAGAGTATGGAGGAGGGACAAGAAAGGAGAAGGAGGGGAAGAGGTGGATGGGGGCAAAGATATTTATCAGTTTGTGGCCCTGGATTTTTTTTTGCCGCCCGACAACCAGAAGAAAATTTTTTTTTCTTCTTCAGTTGGCCCCGCGCTAGCTCCGGAATTGGCCTAGTGGCGATGGCGGTCGAAGCAACCAACCCGATGAGGCCTGTGGCTGCGTTAGATCAATCTGGAAGTGCTGATTGGCGGTTCTTCAACTGAAAATGATTTTCAACTGCTCTTAGTAAGATGTTCCTAAAGAAGTCCGTCTGTCGGGTGTAGATGGATGTGACGAAGGGACAGTAGGTACTAAGAAAATTTTAAGACACTACTACGACGGAAGAAACTTTTTGTTGTCTTGTGGTGATTGCCTCGGTGATGATGACGGACTTCTGAGATCGTTATTGGATATGAGTGACGCCTAGCACTTGTTGGCCTGAGGCGACTGCGATTACCGATGTGATGAGTGGCTATCGTTGGATATCATCAAAAACTTCCCCTGATCGCTTGGATAATTATTGTTTAGGAGTGGCTTGATTTATTTTTTATGAATAATAATTATTATCATCATCATCATGTTTTTCTGAATTCAAATCATCCCTGCCTAGTCGACCTTCATTTCGGCCGTTACAGAATCTCACCTCCTATCTATCGCCAGTCCACAGACGGACATCCCTTGATTTCACTATCGATAAGTCCTATCCCCTGACAGGCGTGAATCCGGGGATGCAACAACACGGCCAATCCGCCGTGTTTAGTCTCCGTCCCCGTGTATGCAGATTCCAGTGCTATTTCTGTCGCCACCGTCAGATCGTTCCCTCCAAGGCTGGTGGCGCAGCCCCCCGTTGGGAGGTCTAGAAAGACAAGCGACGAGTAAATAAAAATAAACCCCAATAATGACAAAGAAAACAATTTTCGTCTCCAAAATAAGAAAAACAAAAAGAACAGAAAAGAAAAGAAAAGCGAATAAAAGTTAGAGTTGCGACGTTCCATGGCCGACCATCGATCCCTTTCCGTTCTCGCCCGTCCCCCAAGATCTGCCGTCAGCAACAATGCGACTAGTTATACAGGGCATCAGGTCGCTCAGGCCGCAGGGAGTGACTCCCCGACCAGAGAGGTTCGTCCACGGAGGTGATCACAATCTCCAGGGGTCATGTTCATATACATACTCCGTAGTCTGGGTCTCGGTAGGAGGCCTCCCCGGATTCCAGACACCATATCAAGAACCGATTTGGCAATTCCGGAAGTGTCCTTGTTCGAGCGTCAAGCCCGGATGATAGCCAAATCGACCGGATGAAAACAAAAAAGGGGAGAACAGGGATGTCTGCCGGGGTTCAACCGCCAGACACCTGCGCGATTACTCGTCGCATTGCCCCGGGCTGAAACGATGGCTGTCCAGGGAGGCATGAAGGACGCATCACCGCCATTTTTGGTCTCACCGCCAAATGCGCCCTCAATCATGTCGTACTTCCATCAGACGGTGCATGAATCGGCTGTACGCGGTATGCAACGTTGCTGATCAGGGCGATATCGACCAGCCTGGTCCCCCTTATCGGGCTTATCCTCTTATCGACCATCAGATTTTGGCGTTGGGCCCTTCACAAGTTGGCTTCACTAGTCTAATTCTCCGGATTGCCCCTTATCCCCCGCGAAAAAGCCGGAGATGGTGGCAAGAGTCGAGCGAAAAGGATTTAAGCCCTTCATTGGTGGGTCAAAGTTCTAACCATGCATTCATTAACTGTATGGAGTTCGGGGCACAAGCATTCTTCAATAAATTGTTTTCTTATTTTTTCTTTTCTTTTTCTCCAAAAAAATCGGTTGCTTTTGTAGGTCCGAGAAGGATCCCTTGCTCCGTACTTTTCTCAGTTCATGGCTATCAAATTAACTTTTCTTCCTCTCCTCTCTCATGTCTCCCCCTTTTCATCTCGATAGTTCGGTGATTGTCGGCTGGACGGCATCGCTTCTGATTTAGTACTACATTCAGTTTCACGAGATTACCGCGGTTCGTCCGATGCACTTCATGTCATCTCGCCTGGATTCATTGACAACTCTCATCCCCCGAGAACAGTAGCATCGGCGATCAGTTGCTCGTTGATGCCTTACCCTTCGGGAATCCCATCGCCACCCGTGACGACACTCCATCCAATGAATCTTCCAAAACAATGTCACTAGGTTATCCATTACTCTTACAATCCGATTCAACTCGTGGATCCTAGGCACGGGTAAAGGCAACCGTGAGGCCGCCCTAAGAGGCGCAATTTGCCACCCCGACATCTGCCTATCGACCTCGGAAGCCATATTGTTCGGATAAACGTTTGTCTATCGTTCCCGGTAGTCAAGTCATAATGACTGAATCGTACTGGTGGTTTGTTTGCCCCAGTCAACGAACGATGAACAGAGTCATCGGACAGAGTCATCCCTCACAAACCATGAGGCTACGATGTCCTATGCCTAGTTCTGATTGAACGCAATCTGATCTCATATCATGATGACATACCCGGCTGAACTAAGAATACAAGAATGCAGCAATCGAAACGTCAATACCATCTCCTGCGACTGGGTATCCTGATATCGTAGTCGTGATCATTCATACCGACAAGTCGTCGACCAACCGGTGTTGAGACATCCAACTAATCGCTGTCAGAGCTCGACGAGCTGGAGCTGGAGCTGGAACCACCGCGCTTGTGGCCCTTGTGCTTTTTCTCCTTCTTGCCCTTTTTGTGCTTCTTGTGTCTGTTCCGAGTCAGTCTCCGTTAGTCACTATACCTTCCACTAGGAGAGAATCCACATACGCTTTGTTGGCCATGTTCAGGCCCACAGCGCCAGCCAGTGCGCCGCCTGCGGTCGCCATCTTGCCGTGGCCCAGCTTATTTCCCAAAAGCGCGCCTGCAGCACCGCCGATCAACGTAGAGCCGAGGCCACGTTCGCCTTCCGCGCCAGGCATGGGCTCTTGGCCGTACTGGGGGGCGTGTCCGGACGGGGCGGCACCGCCATAGTACGATGCGCTCTCGCCGCCGTGCGATTGTTGCTGGGGAGGGTAGGGGGAATGTCCGCGGTCTTGTCCGTAGTTGTGATCCTGGGGGTATCCACCGTGCTGCGGAGGTCCGCCATAGGGAGGATACCCTTGCTGTCCGTAGGGAGGGGCACCGCCGTATCCGGGGTCGGGAGACTGTTGGCCCTGGAGAACACTACATGTTAGCGGTTCGTCCGAAGACAACGACAATGCATCGAAAGGGCGGTGCGCTTGTGCGCGCTCTTCTGCAGCTATCCGCGGGTGCATGCGACTAGCTATGCATTCCAAGCAGCGCAAGAACAAGGTTTGTCAAGTCCGTACCATTGGGGGATAGTAGCCCTGCTGCTGCGGAGGCTGGCCATACTGGCCCTGTGGGGGATAACCACCAGGCTGGCCCTGGGGATGTCCATAGCCGGGCTGTCCGCCGTATTGGTTATAGTGCTGGTTTGCGTAGGGGTCAGACATGATGAGTGGGTGAGAGATAGGAATGAGTGAGATGGAGGTAAGGTCGCAAGAGAGATTGAGGGGACGACCAGGAGGGGTACGATCAGCTTTTAAGTGATTAATCCTATCAATCAGGGACGGCTGACAGATGAAGAGAAAGAACAACGACTGGCTCTGCGGGGCAGTGGACACGCCATTTCCAGGGGTTCTCGGTAATTAAAGGCTTGAAAGAACACCCTCCTCATCAAACGAAGATCAGTCTAAAGGGCCCTCTAACCCGGATGGGACGCGCTGACGACTCGTGGCTGTACTTGACGCACGCTGAGAATACCCATTCAGCTGAATGAACAAGCCTGGCCTATCCTGCAGGGACTTCCCATACGGTGGGACGAAGCAGAACATCCGGATGAGCCACATGGTGGGGTGCCCAAGCCCCTTCGGACCACCCCGGATGTGTGGTCGGAGCAATCACAGCAGAGAGACGCAGATAATACTGAGATGACATTTAGGGATTCTATTCATAACCAGATCGTGTTCCAGGTCGTCAGCCCCATCTCAGCCACAATCATCCCACATCATCTCGGGGCTGTGCAAGTCGCCAGAATTATACGAGCCTACTCCGTGTGATCACATTCAGGAGGCGTTTTATGATACAGAAGCAGCCTGTGGTATCTCTGACTCCTTAGCACGTTTCGAAAGGGAATGTCTAGGTCCTGCCCCCGCCTCATCAGGAGTACGGAGGCTCTTTGCGACAAGTCGCGATGTATAGAACTTCTCCTTCCGAGTAGCCGCTACCTGAATTCGGCCAGGAGTTCTGAATCTGGTACATTGGTTTTGACTGGATCTCCAACTGCAGTCTTGTTCCCAGAACCCCAAAATTCCCTGGATTATTGACTATGTGAACTAGCTCTCACATGGCTCAATACTTGCCAAAATATGTTAGTGACAGGTAGGAAAAGTAAGAATTCCCGGTCTTAGAACGACGGCCGGTCTCCTGATCTATACTTCTGGTTATCGAGGTCGGCGTGTCGAGACCTAGCCCATCGATGATCTCATGTCCCATAAACAATAAGAATTACTTTCTCAGTTAACGCATGGTACATACGGAATGTAAAGGTAAACAGAAACTTCATGTTATCAGCTTCTTCTTTGCCTTACTGCTACTTGTTAATATTAACATTGATATCAGTGTGATCAATCCACACCAGCTACTCATACATATGTACATACGTGATAGAGTGGGTGATATAATGCCTGCGGGCCACTTTATCAAGACCAAAATGGAGGCCACGGAAGTCGAGTTAAGGACTTCATAGCGTTGCTTTGGTTCTCTCCCTTGTAGCATTCCCTTTCAGATCGACTCCTTCAAATATGTTGGTCTTTTCATCTTTCACCTCAGCGTGAAGACTCGGGATTGGCCTCATTGTATCCCACATGAACAAGTGCTTTCGTCCCGTAGGGTCTAATACCATGCGAGGAACCAGGCACGACACGCGCTTCCAGAGCCGTGTCATGAACCTTCGCGTGATATTATGAGGCCGTCCGTTGGCATATACCCTAAAAGTGTGGTCTTTCCGTGGGCCGTCTGTTAAGAACTCAGTGTCAAGACTGAGCTGTGACGAAGAAACGACGGAGGTAGACCTCTTCTTTGGCGGCTTCCATTGCAATCTCCCGGATACTAGCCCCTCTAGGACTTCTAGTTCAGCATCAGGGAGCGGAGGAAGCAGCGAGTCCAGTACGGACATGTACCATTGTTGCCTGATATTTTTTCTGCGAGACATGTTGACGGGACGCCCCCAGGCATTGGTTTTTGGGATGGCAGGTTCCAAATGCTTCACCTGACGGTGATTGAGTTGGGATATCACCCCATTATTATGCTGAGATTTCAGCAGGTCCGTAAGAATCGCGGGAGGCTCCCAGCCGTCCTCATACATGCGAGGCTTCTGGATAAGCTCCACCACCGCAGCCGTGTTCGCCGGGACGTCCGGGGGCACCAGAGCATCCAACAGCTCTTTTCGCCGCCTTCCTTTCCGTCCATATGCTAATCGGAGTACCTTCTCCAGCTGTCGCGAATACCCCTGGTTCGCGCGCTCCAACAGCTTCAACTTCTCCAGTCCAGTTTTGTAGAGCTTGCAATGCCGCTCCAGATCGTTATTGAACGAGGGTCTGCGGTCGTCAGCATATCGTCGAAATCGGTCGACAACATATTCGCGCATATAAGGACGTGCGATAGGATCCGGCAGGTAGGAGCATTCGCGCAGTAGGGATCGGTAGAGATGTAGCCATTGCTGGGAAGGGATCCATCCGAAGTGATGCTGGCTAAGCATGGTCATAAATCACGTTGGGGAAGTAGCTGGCATGCTATCGAGTCCGATCGCAAAGGTGGTCGGACCGGAAAATGAAGGCGGCGGCCCAAAGGGGAAATACCCAGTTGGACTTTGGTTACGCGAAAGCGCTAGTCCAAAAACGCGACCTTCAGGAGCCCCGCGACTTCTTCGTGATCTCCAGTTGCATCCTCTGCATACACAGGTTAGACGACAGATCCCCTGACGAAAGACTGTCTCCATATACATCACCTCTCGATTCCATTTTCATGTCCACACCCTCAACCCCTGTGGTTGTCTGACCCGACCCGCTTACCCATCCCTTTCGCGATCGGTGCGCTAGCCACGCGCCTCTTCGCCCCCAAGCGCGACGGCAGATCCTAGAACAGGTGCCTTTCCCCACATGCTTCCGGCCTTTCGCTTTGTCTTTTTCTCCTCGCCCTTGAGGATTAGCATACCATCTACTTGCGATTTTATTGAGTGTGCTAATCTTCCATCTTCAGTTGCGTATATGGTGTCTGGGTTGGAGCCCCGGCACTAAAAGTCGAACCTCCGCTATGGCTTCCAACAACCACCAACCACCGCGTCCCAGCTTACCGATGTCATACTCCCAAAGCAGCATCGGTTCGACGAATGGAATGGCGTTTTCGCAGTCGCAAATGGGATCTTTCAATGCCTCCCAGTCCGTCGCTTCCACCCCTCGGGCTACTCCTCCTCCGAAGGGCTCTCAACAATCCGCTATGTCCTTCAATTATACCAATGGCTTGCACCATAGCTCAAGGGGTAGCTTCGGAGGATTCGAGGATATGAATGGTTATGGAACTATGGTTCCATATAAAGAAGATTTCAAACCTCAGATCTACAGAGTCCGTCATCCCTTCCTGGCCGCCTCAGCCAATCCGCTAATTCAATTCCTTCATAGGCCGTTTACTCGAACGTGTCAGTCTACGAGATGGAGGTCAATGGAGTCGCAGTCATGAAACGTCGCTCGGATTCCTGGCTGAATGCCACTCAGATATTGAAGGTCGCCGGTGTTGTCAAAGCCAGACGAACAAAAACGCTCGAGAAGGAAATCGCTGCTGGCGAACACGAGAAGGTGCAGGGAGGCTACGGCAAGTATCAAGGCACCTGGGTGAATTACCAGAGGGGAGTGGACCTATGTCGCGAATATCATGTCGAGGAATTGTTGAGGCCCCTTCTCGAATACGATATGGGTCCTAACGGCACCGCCAATTCTACGCAAGACTCTCTGGACACCCCGACGAAGGAACAGGCGATGGCAGCGCAAAGGAAACGTTTATATAGCAGCATGGACAACCGGAGCATGTCGCAGCCTCAACAAGGGACTTTTTTCCAGAACATCTCCCGCACCGCCGCTACCGCCGTTAACGCCATGAGCAAGGCCCGATTCGAGTCCCCTGCCGCGCGAAGCGTCGATGGTAGAAGACCGAGCACTATTCGAAAACCGTCCGCCCAGATGAACAGCCAAGAGTCACATATGGCCCTGAGCAGTCAACAAAGCATGTACAGTGTCACCTCCGACAGTGGGTTTGGAAGCAATGTCAACAATGGCCGATTCGGGCAAGATGGAATGGCCTTCGAGCACGAAGAGCCCGCTGAACCACCACGGAAGCGTGTCAGGTCCTCTTCAAACCATGCAAATTCATTTGGGCTTCAGTATGAAGCTTCAACACTGTCAATGCAAGAACCAACGCCTACCGAACCGAATGATTCTTTCTATCAGGATATGGACATTTCTACCTCAGCGGTGATGGACGACAGCAAACGCGGGGTGGAACCTCTCCCTCCTGCCACGACACCAGAGCGATTCCAAAAAATGAAGCTCATAATGACCCTTTTCCTTGACAAAAAGGCGAAAGACTTCTCTACACACCCTGCATTGATGCAACTTACGGGCGAAGATCTGGAGATACCACTCGATGAATACCGCAACAATGCTTTGCACTGGGCGGCGATGCTCGCCCGCATGCCTCTTGTCCACGCTCTAGTTGCCAAGGGTGTGAGCATATATCGGCTGAACGGTGCAGGCGAAACGGCACTGCAGAAGTCTGTTGGTACACGAAACAATCTTGATTATCGAAGTTTTCCGCGGCTATTGCAGGTTTTGGCCCCCACAATTGATATGGTTGACTATAGTGGGCGAACGATACTTCATCATATCGCAGTCATGGCTGCTACTGGAGGCGGTGGTCATGTTTCTGCAAAACACTACCTTGAAGCTTTGTTGGAGTTCATAGTCCGTCATGGTGGCTCTTCTGTACCCCAGGAGGCTTCGAATGGACTGGAAAATGGGGCGAATCATACTCAAGGCAAGGAAGTGATAACGCTAGGCCGGTTCATCTCAGAGATTGTAAATCTGAGGGATGATCAAGGTGACACAGCGCTAAATCTGGCTGGACGAGCACGCTCGGTGCTCGTGCCTCAACTGCTGGAAGTAGGCGCCGATCCGCACATACCGAATCATACAGGCCTTCGGCCTGCAGATTACGGAGTAGGGGTGGACATGGTTGACGGCGGCTCACAATCCCAAGGAAATAAGAGCGATTCTTTTATGGACCAGCTGGCCAAGACAAAGAAGGAAATTTTAGATGGTAAGGATCGCACGAATGATTGACGGTCTCTGTCACTAACAATGCTCTAGCAACACTGTCCCAGATTAGTTCAATTGTGCAAGAGACGATAAGCGGCATCGACAAGGAACTGGCCGCAAACCTGGCCAAGAAACAAGAAAAATTCGAACACTGGCACTCGAAGATACGCGAATCCGCAAAGGCTCGGCAGATCGAACAGAAGCAACTAGACGACTTGAAGCGCAAATCCTTCGATCGTATAGAGCTAAGCAGACGGTTTAAAAACCTCGAGAGGTCTTCAGATGATCTTCTTACGACGCTGAAGAACCTCCATGGCGGCTCATTCGATCCTGCGAAGGTAATTACAGTCGGCGAGGCCGACAAAGTATCCGGTATCGACATTGCTGCATTTGAGGCTTTATTCCCGAACAACTTTGACCCTGCGTCTGGCTTTTCTGAAAAGCAGGTTGCGTACCTAAACTCGCTTTATCCGTCCGAGACGCTCCAGCAGTTGATACAATGCTACCAAGAATTTAATGAGGAGATATTGACGGAGGTCGGTCGCCTCAAGTCCAAGAACGTGGTGTTGGGCCAGAACTATCGTCGAATGGTGATGGCTTGTACGGGCTGGACGGCAGAACAAGTCGATGAAGCTGCAGAGGGCTTGACACAGTGTGTCCAGGAGCTCAATGATAACCCAGTCCCCGAAGATGAAGCCATCGAAATCCTAATGAGGGATCGCGGACAAGACTGGTGACGACGCACGAATTGTGAAATTTAGAGGTACATACATGCATACGATTGGGCTGCTCGGCCTAACATTCTTTTCGAGTACGACATAGCGAGTTTCTTTCGTCTTTATCTGCTGTTTGGATTTGGTGCAGATGATTATTGTTTATACTGTACAATCGTTGGATCTTGGCATTTGCTTCAGTTGGGCTGTGTTAGATGTTCTGCGCATCGAGGTCTGTACTTGCAGATACCCTAATCTCATATTATGTTGTCTTTATCATGGCATAGTATCAAACATTTTCTTCAACATGTTTGCCACCTGTGAGACGTCGGTTACTCTGTAATTGAACACGTCTTGCCCCTCTTTCTCCGCCGAAGCCAAGCAAAGGATTCAACCACGCCTATATAGGCGCTTGGCTTCTAGCTGTTTCTGGTCATCCCATAACATCAGGCTAAATGTCTCCTTTATCCGATATTGTTATCCAGACTGTCTACCCCACCTGAGTTTGCTCACAAGGACCCTCAGGGCAGAAAACGTGATGTATTTTCCCGGCTGCTGCTCTGAACCCTCTAATAAGAGGGCCATCTCCCTCATCTCGGTGCTAGATCCTCGGACCAAATCTATTCCACTTCGATAAGTGGAAGTTGTACTACCAACCGCTTAGCAGTCTCGTGATAGAACTTGCTAAAATGACCGCCGGAACTGGAATTCTTCGAGTTGAAGGCAACAAAGTTGTCGACGACAATGGCACTGAAGTTCTTCTTCGGGGAGCTGCCATTGGAGGCTGGATGAAGTATGTACAATTGATTCCAGAATGGCCACAGCAGCTGATATTGATGGGGAAATTAGCATGGAGAATTTCATTACTGGATACCCTGGCCATGAGAAGCAGCACAGAGCCGCGATGCGCAAGGTGCTGGGGCCTGAGAAGTACGAGTTCTTCTTCGATAAGTGGCTGGAATATTTCTTTACGGAGGCCGACGCCAAGTTCTTTGCTGGCCTGGGGCTGAATTGTCTTCGCATTCCATTCAACTACCGCCATTTCGAAGACGACATGAACCCCCGCGTCTTGAAGGAATCTGGATTCAAGCACCTGGATCGGGTCGTGGAGCTGGTTAGTCACTCTCTTCACGTATCAGGATACTTGTCAGCCCCATGGTGCGCTAACCATCTCATAGTGTGCGAAAGAAAAGATCTACACTATCCTGGACATGCACACTGCCCCTGGGGGTCAGAACGGAGACTGGCATTCTGACAATCCGACCAGCTATGCCGCCTTCTGGGATTTTAAGGATCACCAGGACCGCACCGTTTGGCTGTGGGAACAGATTGCTGCACGGTATAAAGGAAACCCGTGGGTTGCAGGCTATAACCCTCTCAACGAACCGTGCGACCCCGAGCACATCCGGCTGCCAGCGTTCTACGACCGCGTCGAAAAGGCCATCAGGGCTGTGGATCCCGACCATATCTTGTGGCTGGATGGGAATACGTTTGCGATGGAGTGGAAGGGGTTTGATAAGGTTCTTCCAAACTGTGTCTATGCTATGCACGACTACGCGGTATGTTCATGTTCCTGCAGATGGAGAATCTGGCTAACGTGCTGCCTAGTCGATGGGCTTCCCTACTGGACAGAGATACAAGGGGACAGCGGAGCAGAATGAATATCTGGAGCGCCAGTACCTCCGGAAGGCGGAATTCATGACCCAGAACGGAACGGCGACCTGGAACGGCGAATTTGGGCCCGTATATGCTGATCCTCGAGTCGACGAAGATGCTGAGACGATCAACCAAGAGAGATACAGCCTCCTCGGCCAGCAACTGAACATCTACGACAAATACAACATCCACTGGTCCATCTGGCTATACAAGGATATTGGTCTGCAAGGAATGATTTATACCAACCCCGACAGCCCCTGGAACAAGACGATCCAACCCGTCCTAGAGAAGAAGCATCGCCTGTGGCTTGATAACTGGGGCAGACGCCCATCGAAGGAGCCTGAAGCGGTGCTGGCGCCTATGGTTCAGTGGATCGACAAGGTCTGTCCTCAGGCCAAGGAGACCTACCCTACTCCCTGGATGACTGAGCGTCACTTACTGCGCAATGTGTTCCAAACGTTCCTTGCCAACTCCTTTGTCGATGAGTTTGCTGAGTTATTCCGTGGAATGGATCATGCACAGCTGGAGGCTTTGGCGCGTAGCTTCCATTTCGATCAATGTGTTCAGCGGGAAGGACTTAACGAGATTCTCCGACAGCATGCTAAGAACTGAGTGTGAGGGTAGTTTCGTGTATTCTAGAACTTAGGCAGAAAAACACGCCAACGTCGACCTAAGTACACGTTCTCTTCTCCTATATTTCCTTCAGCCTCGATCAGGTCACACCAGCTTCTGCTACTGGGCCTTGATGACCGTCCGTCTTACTCCAATTGACCAGACTTGCTAGGCCAGCATCTCGCTCCGGGTGCCGGCTTACGGCCTCGAACCCCCTCCCCTGCGCTTCTTCTGTTTGGAGGTAAGCCCCTAGCCCAGCCCAACAGGCTCGGTTTCCATGATGTCCTGGATGTACTGTGCCGTGTGAATCGCATAGTCAAACCTAGTTAATCCTATCGCGTTCACTTGTAGAAATCAAGGATACAATTTGCTTGAATGGAATCCAATCAATTCATTGCCCTGTCGACTAGATATAGACTTGAGATTGTATCTTTTTTGCATCGACACTACGCAGGATCTTTGTGATATCCCGATACTGAAGAAGCCAATGATGTATTCTCCAACCCGGTCGTTCCCGTTGAACTTAGACAGAAGTCCTTGCCATTTTGATAGTTGGTCAGAAAGGTGGATTGGCACTATTAAAAATTTTAACATTAAAGAGAAGACAATATATATGCAGACTCGATGTTCTTATCGGTCAGCTAGGCAGAACAGAGAAGTTCAACTACTTGGATAGGGCATTCAATCATTTAAGCTCTTCTGCCAGGCGGTTACCGTTGTTTGAAGTTATACAAAACTTCCTAAAGAAAGAAGGAAGCTACACTGTACAAATTCCTTTTCCTTCGACCTGGTCTTGGAAGGTGGTGGTGTCCTACACTAAACGCCGTTGACCCCCTTCTGTCCTGCATGGCATCCGTCCTCTCCTTGATTCGGCCGTTTCTCGCCTCCAAGTCGCATAGCATCTGGTTGAGTCACTGACGGACTTACGTGCTTCATTCTCTTATTCATTGCTGGCTTCAGTATACACAGAATCACTCCAATCACTTGGTCGAGTGACCATCCCATGCGAAGGCAGAGACAATTCACCATCTAGCAGTGCACTCGCTGACGGTATGGAAGTGAAAAGATCATGAGTAAGTAAATTCCGTCAGAATTTACCTCCCTTTCATTATATGGACTTAATGCAAGATATTCATACCTGCTTAGTCCCATTCACATGCTGATGGGTGAGCTATATAGATGCGGTTCTGGCAGGCCGTCCCACCTCCCATCCATCTCCCATCCATCTTTCTCCACCACAGCCGCAGCCGCAGCAAGTTGTCTAATAGCCCATTACGCTATTGTCATATGGAGCTGTCAACCAAAATGACCATTAGCTTACTCGAGGCGAGAAGCACTGTCGTCACATAGAGACCGCGGCCGCCAACACGCAGGCCCAGGTAAGCTTCCTTTATCTCTATCTATATGACTGAATTGACCAACAAGATATAGGTCTTCAATGAGCTTGGCTCTGGAGCTCTGTTGCAGGAAGACCAGCGACCCAGAGTTAACGGGGAGCTCTGGTCATTCTATGCAGCAGGTGTCAGGCGTGTCATCCGGCCCCCGCCCAGCACATATGACATGCCACTATGTTATCGTCATACAAAACTAATAGCTATATAGCTGTCTCATGCACAAAAGCGCCGCCGCCAACTAGAGAACGTGGCTGCCGAAGCCCGCACTCTGGTAAGTCTATAGTTAACTCGGTTTAAAGCTTTATATATTAACATATTATAGGTGCCGCCTGCCGCCCCGGAGCTCACTCCAGCCCAGAGTGCGCGGCGAACAGAGCTCCGGATGGAGCTGGAACGCCGGCGCCCCGAACTCCGCCAGATAAAAGAAAACAAGAAGGAGCTGCAGCAGTGCCTCAAGGAGATTAATGCCCTCCTCGAGGCCAGAGTGAGGGAATTTCAGGCGGTAGTGCGCGAGTTGAAGTCTTTGTCGGAGTGATTGTCTGTGTTGTGTGTGTCTTTGTTTCTTTTTTTCTGCGGACGGAGCTGCGCATGGAACTCAACCGCCGGCGCCCTGAAGTTCGCGAAATAAAAGAGCAGAAGAGGGACCTGCAAGCGCGCCTCGAGGAGATTAATGCCCTCCTCGGAGCCAGAGTGCGCGGCGAACAGAACTATGGATGGAGATTGAGCAGCGCCGCCAGCAACTGCGGCAGCTAAGAGAAGGAAGTTACAGAAGTGCAAGGTCAAGAAGGCTCGTGCACCGTGCCCCCGCCGAGCCCGCCCTCCCTAAGGAGGTCCTTGAAAAAATACGACGCGAAGTCCGCGAAAAAGTATGAAGTATTATGGACTATACATATATATTGGCTGCTAATGTATAAGCAGGTCTACGGAATCTGTGGCATCTGCCCACCCATTTCCGTTGCCTTCGGTCAATCATAAACGGGTGCCTCGCCCTTCGAAGGCGGATCAAGAGCGAATCCATCAGGAGGAGCTTGTTCCCGCCTGGGCACCTTTCGGTGCTTCCAGTCGTTTGGCATCGGTCACATTCCCCGACCTCATCGGCGCTGATACATTAGACACGCATGACAAGAAGGTGGGCGCCATTGCCCGGGACTTCTCCCGGAGCATCGAATCACGAGAGCTCAATCTAGACATCGAACTGGATGAGCCCGATCCTGCCGCCGCGGAGCAGACCCAGGAAGTGAAAGACCAGAGGGCGAGCCCGAAGGCAGAAAAACGGGCCCCGAAAGCGCAAATTCTTGCTCTAGAAGAAAGGGTAGAGTGGTACGTGTCGGCTCTGAAGACCTGTAATGAGGAGGAAAAAGAACGACTGCTGAAAGCAGGCCCGTATTGACAATATGCTCACAATAAACATAGAAGAGACGGAAGACAAAGAAGAATAAGAAGCCCGCCGCCGCCGCTCCTGCTCCTCGTCCTGCCCCCGCGCCCGCCGAGCCCGCCCTCCCTAAGGAGGAATTTGAGAGGATCTACCATCTAGCTCGCGAACAAGTATGAAGTATTATGGACTATACATATATATTAGCTGCTAATGTATAAGCAGTTTTATAAAGAGCTCCACCTTGATATTGAGCTCGATGAGCTCGCCCCTGCCGCCGCGGAGCCGGCCCAGGAGCTCATCCCGGGACAGAGATTGTACCGGGATGAGCTTCTGGGTCGGCTCCAAGCCGTTAAAGGGCAGAAGGCCACTTTCAAGGCCGAAAAAAAGGCCATAAGAGAACAAATTGGCGCCCTAGAGCAGAGGATAGAGTGGATCGACTCGGCCTTCAAGGGATGATCCTTTTGAAGGAGGGCCCCCTCGGCGGTGGTCTTGTTCTCGCGCTTAGAAGTCATGGTGGAGATTTTGGCAGCGGAAGGGAGGGTGCGGTGATGATGGAGAATGGAAGAGAAAAAGTTCCTACGAGGACGGGGGAAGGACTTAGCTACCTGGTACCTGCTTACGCGCAGGTTGTGTCATGGGGACAAAATTCGTTGAGAACGGATAGTCTGAGATATACTTAGGTTTCAATCGAGAGCCATCGTGTCCCTATACAAAATGTTAAAGCTGCTATGAAGTGTTAATAGCCTGTCAGGTATCTCGCAAATCCCATAGTATAAAGCTAGCCAATCATATCGCGCCTTTGTTGGGTTGAAACAGGCTCCTATTGGCAGATGGGACCCGCATCAGTCCCAACGGTGTCGATCATTATTGCTCCGACCGTTCGCAACGCAAAAGATATCACACTCTCTAGGAGGTATGGACATATGTATGCTGACTTGGATAACCACTTGGGCAGGCTCTCGTCGCAGCTTTGTATGGATCTAAGAGACCAGGATGAATGTCCGGTAAAGGAGAAGCTCGATCGAGAAACGTGGATCCGAGTACATACGGGGATGAGATGGGGCTCTTATTCTAGGATGCTAGCTTCCCTATACATAGGAATGAAGAGGCCTCTTGATAGCCCTAGCTTGGCAGTTGGCCTAACTGACAGTTGTTCGCCTAATTCAAGAAGTACCTAGGTATCAAGTGTTAGGTATTCATCAAATCCACCACCCCCGACAACATCCCAACGTTTCTCCGTTCATAGAATACAAGCCGAATTCGAGGACTATTTGCAGGATGTTGCTACTCAACTTATTAAACTTTCAAATAGCCCCGAACCTCCAAATGTGGACCCTGCTGATGAGGCCATTGCATTGGGATAACTGGCTCTTTTACGCCAGGTCAATGTTGTATATCTTTTGTAGTGAGCATCTTTCATGTGCCTTAGTACTATGGAACTACCTCCCTTCAATCTTCCTTTTCACCATGCCACAAAAACTCTCGAATAGAACAGAATCTTCCCCCTTGAACCATCGAATTATCACTGTAGTGCCTTTCTCTTCAAGACCCCCGGTTTTCTTCACTTGCACTTTGAAACCCAAAGCGGCCTTGCTTTCATCTATTGGAATGATCATCTGTTCCGCTTGTCTCATTTTCCGACGAGCTTGACGAGACCACACATTCTCCATTGCAAAGCCAACGCCGGTACCCAAGTTTTTGCGCCACGTCCACTGAACAGGGAGAGACACGAGCTCATCGTTGAGTCTTTGACTTACTCCGTCGATGGTGTCGTCGGGGACCTCAAATGTGTATTCTGAAGGAAATGGAAGCAGGTGTTTGGGAAAGTGGGTAATGTTTCGTGCGACTCCCTGCATACATCAGAATCGTAGCTTTGGTTGTGAAATGACAGGGACATACCACGGTTGGACGCAGATCGGCCCATGACCATGCTATTGCCCACCGCTTCGTTTTAGATCCTTGGACAAATTCCGTCACCGCGTAGTTGTGATTCCCGCATTCGATCAATTTCTCGACAAGGACGGAAACGCTACTTAGTTTTCCAAGCATGGAGGTGTACCAGAGGACTTTTTCACGAAGGTTCAAGCTTTCATCGATCATTCGCGACACGAATTCCACCTCACCACCGGTAGTGACCATCTCAACTTCTGCGCCAGTACATGCCTGGACTTGTTAGTAGTAGGTTGACAAGGCTGTAGATGTGTCTTACGGAGAATGGAGGCCGCTCTTTAGCTTGCGCAGCGCCAATCATCTCCTCGCGCGAAGTATAAAATGGAGGGTTGCACATGGTGAAGTCGAGACTTATGCAGTTAGCGTATGCTGTGTCGACAGTGGTTAGGCCATCATACCTTTCAATTCCAAGTTTTGTATGCAACGGAATCAGGCCATCGCTGGGATCTGTTTTGACTACTTGGATGCGATCTTTGAGGCCATTCTCAGAGACGTTCTTTGAGGATCTTTTCACATTTTCCTCATCAATATCTGTATGTCGTGAGCACTGGCTGATCATATAGTAAAACAGATGATCTCACCAGTTGCGAAGAACTTCCACAGTGGTCGTGTGGCGCAGCCTAGAAGGGGATAGATGCTGCAACATCCAGTCCCTCTACGCGAATTAGCTCGTGTCTCGCAGATGAAGACTGGGAGGAGTACATGTCCAGGCCCACGACAGCTCTGTCAGGGTCGTAGTCATCGCGATATTCATCGCCTGTAGTATCCAAGAGATCTTGTATCCATAGGATATAATTCAACCTATGATTAGGCATTAGAGACATTTGATACAGCCGTAATGTTCACTGACCTGTTTGGGACCTATATCACGCATGCTTAGCCACATTCTAGTAACCGAGATTGTTCACATACCGGTGGGCATAGTCGGTCGTCCGGGATTTCAACTTGTAGGTTAAAATCCCGTTTTAGGAGACTCGTTGTCAGTTGCCTGTTCAGGTCAGCCACAGCGGCGAGCTAAGACAGGGATACAACCAACCTAACAGCATCGGGATCAGTAAAATCCAATTGGCCGTTCGGTTTCAAACTAGGCTCGCCGTTAGTCGGGGAATGACACCGGACTGTCTTGGACCACTCACTATTTGGCGAAATCAGGCGACTGCAGCGCTAAGGCTGTGAAATCGACGTCATCCTTGTAAATGTTGCGAGCGGCCCTCATTGTCGTAGACCTCTTAGCCTTCAGTCGGCTGGACCCGGATGGTACCTGAATAGGTATCCCGTGGGCGCAGTGGGGCAGATGGCGGAGTTCCAGCTATGAGGGGGAAAGGGAAATCAGATCTGTCAACCACGTTGGAAACAAGGCCAGGAACCGGAGGAGGGGAGAGATCAGGCTGATGTTCGTGACGGTATCGGAGGGGAACAGCAAAACCTCAGGCCATAAGGCTGAAAAATGATCGGAAAATCTAAAAAAAGCCCTCTGATGTCATTGGCCCCGAGCACACGCGTCGATCCCCCTCTTCTTCTTCTTCCGAGTCCCGGCCTTTTTGTGTTTTTTTTTTAATGTCCTCTCTCCCCGTTCTCATCACGCGGTCAGTTAGTATCCTTCCCAATTGACCGTCCCTCCGTCGCTCTTTCAACCAATATCGCCCAGCATGGACAAGTGGAAGGAGAAAATCAGTGGCCTGGAGGAGCATTTCAAAGGTATGTAGCTCCAATCCACCAGCTCTCATGAGCCGAACCTGACGCCAATTGCCACAGATACCAAACTGGAGGATGTTAGAGAGGGTGCCCACCACTTCAAGCACAAAGTTGGCAAGTTCTTCAACATCGTCAACCCCAACCATCGCCATGACGAAGAACACGAGCAGGCCACCGACCGGAAGAGGACAGAAATCGCCGAATCCCACCGCTTCCAATCCTTCGCTCCCATTCGCGAGGGTAACAAGGTGAAGTGGTATGTCGATGCTTTGGACTATCTCTGGGCCGTCTCTATTGCCCTCGAACAGGCCAAGGAGGTCATCTATATCGAGGACTGGTGGCTTTCTCCGGAATTGTTTCTGCGGAGACCTCCGTACGAGACGCAGGAATGGCGACTGGATCAGGTGCTCAAGCGTCGTGCTGAAGCGGGTGTGAAGATCTACGTGATCGTGTATAAAGAGGTGAGGGTGTTCCGCCGCTGAAATGAGCCATCCGCTGACTGTGTTAGGTCAACCAAGCATTGACTTGCAACTCGGCACATACGAAACATGCTTTGCGCAACCTCTGCCCTGAAGGTAGTCCCGGCTATGGGAACATCAAGATACTGCGTCATCCGGACCACAACATCTTCGAGAATGCAGCGGACATGACATTGTACTGGGTAAGTACGCTTGCCGAATTCGCATATCATTGCTGACAATTGTAGGCCCACCATGAGAAATTCATCGTCATCGATTACTCCCTGGCTTTTATCGGTGGAATCGACCTTTGCTTTGGCCGCTGGGATGCTAACCAGCACCCGTTGGCCGATGTCCACCCCTCGAACATGAAGAACGAGATCTTCCCCGGTCAGGATTTCAATAACAACCGCATAATGGATTTCCAGAGTGTGGGCCAGTGGCAAGCGAATGAACTCAGCAAGGCAGAGTATGGCCGGATGCCTTGGCACGATGTAGCCATGGGCTTGATGGGAGACTGTGTCTACGATATTGCGGAGCACTTCGTCCTTCGGTGGAACTTCATCAAGCGGGATAAGTACAAGCGTGATAAGGGCGTGGATTGGCTTACTCTTGAGGGCCGCCTTGGTGACGACGAAGACCTTGTCGCTGTGCAGCGTCCCAAGTACCCTTGTGGTGACTATGTCCAGCACCCCTTCCAGCCGCTGAGCACGAAGCCTCTTGGGAAACAAGGCAATGCACGAGCTCAGATCATCCGCAGCAGCGCCGACTGGAGCAGTGGAATCCTGACCGAGCATAGCATCCAGAATGCCTACAAGGAGATCATTAGCAAAGCAGAGCACTTTGTTTACATTGAGAATCAATTCTTCAGTGGGTTATGTCGTGCGTTTTCATTGCAATACACTAACAGCACTAGTCACTGCTACCGGCGATCAGCAGAGACCCATCCTCAACACTATTGGACGATCAATTGTTGATGCCTGTGTCAGAGCTGGCAAGGAGGGAAGAAAATTCCGCGTCATCATTGTCATCCCGGCCATTCCTGGATTTGCTGGTGATCTGAGACAGAATGAAGCTACCGGCACCAGAGCTATCATGGATTACCAGTATAAGTCCATCAATCGCGGCGAGCACTCGATCTTTGGTCAAATTTCCGCCCAGGGCGTGGATCCGAAACGTAAGTGTGCTTTACCATATCAATAGCCAGTACTGACTTTGCAGAACACGTCTTTGTCTTCAACCTGCGCGCGTACGACCGCATCAATAAGACTCCTGCGTTGGAGGCTTTGGAAAAAGAAGCCGGAGTCACCTACAATGACATCCAACGCGGGATTGCTGAGTCGATCATGAGCGATAGTGTTCATCCCGCCGTAGGTAAAGAGGGCGACAAGAATGAAGTTGACTACGACAACGCCCAACAGGAAAGAGAGGAACGCCTTGCCAAATTGCGCCGATATGAGGAGCAGTCTGAGCGTCACCAGGAGGACTACGGCTACAAGAGCAAAGACACTGTCGCTCACACCACTATGCTCAACGGCGGCAAGATGTCTGATGAGCCTTGGGAGGGTGACCCTGAAGCCGAGAAAGATAACTTCGTTCAAGAAGAACTCTACGTGCACGGGAAGGTGTGTATCGTGGATGACAGGATCGCCATCTGTGGTAGCGCAAATATCAACGACCGAGTAAGTTTCGTGTTCAAAACATCTTGCGCTAGCTAACTATTCTACAGTCGCAACTTGGCTACCATGATAGCGAGCTGGCTATCGTGGTCGAAGATCAGGACCTCATTGACAGCACGATGGACGGCAAACCGTTCAAGGCGGCGCGTTTGGCTGCGACGCTCCGACGCCAGCTGTGGCGAGAACACCTTGGACTGCTGCCTGCGCAAGACTACGATGCATCGCAGCATCCAAACGCGCAGCCTCCTAACGTCTGCATGAACCAGATTCTCGAGGGCCCGGAGAACGACTTCGTCACTGATCCCTTGAATGATGCATTGTGGGACACCTGGACCGGCCAGGCCACCGTGAACACCGAGATGTACCGGGTATTGTTCCGGGCAGACCCGGACGACAACATCAAGAACTTTGAAGAATACGATCACTTCCGGCCCGCAAAGGGTCGCAAGATGGGACATCTGTTCGATCCGTACCAGCCTGCCAAGGATGTTCGTGAAAAGTTGGACCAAATCAAGGGCCATCTGGTGTGGATGCCCTTGGACTTTTTGAAAGACGCCGAAATGGCGGAGCCTGGTTTACAGGTGAATCAAATTACCGAGGTGAGGCGTCCATCGTTGAAGTTGTGCGTACGCTGATGCTAATGGATCTCGCAGAGTATCTATACCTGATCTGCATGATATCATCCTTGGAGATATTAGGTTCATTTGGATTGTTTAGTGCCATGTTGGGCTAGTGTGCGGGCCTCAAAATGAAGTTACGGAGACCATGCGAGATAACCAAAACATGCAGAGCATGTTGAATATCAAGTTGTCCAATGAGACGTACAACTAACGACAGATTAGCAATGTAGGGTTCGCTCTCTAGCAAATCGCGCGTGCGTTGTCTCCCTAGTAAGACAAGATCCGCATGTTATGGAGTCAATGAGGGAAATCTTCTTATCCCTTGAAGGACGGTCCGGCAACGATCATCGCCGTTGCCCTGAGTTGCTTGTTGGAGCCATCCCTTGCTGTTTGGCACTACTCAATCGGCTGGATATGTAGATCCCGAGACAGATCTGGCAGAATACGTGTTCGTTCTGGCTGGTATGCACATCGGATGCATGGGATGCTGATACTGTAGGGCGACTACGAGGGAAGGTTCTAGTCACCAAGTGGTCTTGTACTATCGTCTCGTGCAGAAGTACGTGAAGAGGGCCAGACATACATATCAGGCGCTAAACATAGAAGTGGTCACCAGCCGGGATAATCTTCAGGCCATTATGGTTATAGTTATGCCTGAAAAAATTCCTCGTCTCAGCACGGAGCCTCCGTCCTTGCAGATGCCTCTTGACCTCATTCCGCACCGCCGATGCGTTGTTCCCATTTCCCCCATTCCTGGAAACACCCCGGTTACACCACGTCCACCTGCGATGGACGCACACATAGAGAGGGAGGTAGGGGTTGCGGTAGCGGTAATGCCGGCTCCCTCCTGGCACCTGATGCTGATGTCTGATGGAGTACCTGCCTGCCCAACAGGTACCTGGACCTACCTATCTCCCCGCCGCAAACTTTCCATGTCATGACGGTCCGGCTGCCAGACAGCCGTGTGCGAGCAAGAGTCGCCAGGTGTAACTTCTCACGCAGTCTGGTCGCTTCGTCTGTCTGCCAACGGGGATGGCTGATAATATCGCTGCGAGAGCATGTACCTAGTGGGATGCGTCCCGCCAGCTCATGATCCTGACGAGCATTCTTTGTGCCTGACTCTATGACTAAACGAGAGGGACGTCAATGGTGCGTTCTGAAGCAATGTTGATAGACGAATGTGATGACGCTTGGTCGCGCACAGACGCTCGCATACCACAAGCCCGGATCCAGTCCAATCCAATACAGGAACGATCGGTACTTCCAACAGGTACTTACGTAGCAGCGGACCGGGCCAATTCCGACACAAGGTACGTCGACACCGTCCGAGTCAATCGCATCCCGGTCAGCTGGACCTGGCAGTTTAGGCCGAAGCTTGGCATTGTACGTCTGATGCAACTTGCCCTACAGCAGAGTTCTACAATGAGGTATGGTCAGGCCAGGTCAGGTTGAACCGGGGGTCGCACAGATAATATCGCGTTGCCGCATTAGATTCTATATTCTATCCAGTCGCTGCACGGTGAACACAATGCGAGGGGGAGACCAGGAAAAAGCAAGCCAAAAATGAAGAACAATACCCGAAAGAACACGACAATGACAACTTTTGTCCCAACCTTGACACCGAGAAATGCCTGCAAAAACAACAGATCGCGGGATGATGCGGCCGTTCGGCCGGGTCGTGCGTCATTAAACAAATAGATAAAGGAAAGTAGACAGAGAGAGAGAGTCGAGGCCTGAGGATATCTACCCCGGGCGCATACCCAGCGAAGGCGTCTCAGGGCCCTTCCGGTTGGATCAGGATGTCACGAAATCCAACTCCGGATTGACCGATTCGAAGATGCATGTGAAGTGTCTAAAGAGAGAGGAAAACCAAGCGACAGGTGAAGGGGAACGAATCCTGCCAGACCGCCCCGATTGGGCTGCAGAGAGGCGTTCGGATAGAAACTCATTCCAGCGAGTTGCGCGGTCTACATGGCTCGACTCGGCCGTCAGCTTCGCTCTTGCAAGGTCACACCAATGGGCTTGTCGGTGGCACCTGGCGACTTACTTACCGGACGGTGTACAACAACCGCGGCGGACTCCCAATGTCGCCGAGCTATGCTTTGGCGTTATGGCAGGCATTGCAGCGACAATGGCCACAGATTTTGCAGCGCCAGATGGCTACAAACGGCCCCGAGTTGCAGTCCGAACACCGCCAGGTGAGGATGTTGCCATTGGTAGCCTGCACAATGGCAAAGACATGGCCGGAACACTGGTTTGCCATTCTGACGCTACTCCAGGGAGGTTAGCTGGACGGCCATGGGAGAGAAGGCTTGTTTTAAAGCCCGTCGTCTGAAGGGTGGGCTTGCCTCAATCTGTCAAGAAAAAGTTTGAGTGGGTTCACAAAGAAGCTTTGCCTATCACACTGATCCACGGATTGGCTCGGAAAGGGCGAGGGGCAACGACCGCCTTGTCTGGCGCAAGGGAGAGAAACCCGAGGGACGGTGAAGGTGGAGGCAAGACGCAGGGCGTAGGAATTGAAGGTCAAGAATGAGGACGGAAGCAGAGGTGCTGGGGGATGTAGTGTGGGAGTGGTCGAGTTGGTATAGAAGGCAGAAGCGTTGAAGATGAAGATGGGAACAAGAGGCGATGGGAGGACACTCCATAGCATATATATATATGGTATATATATAGGGAAATCTTTCGAATGGTACCAAAAACACCGGGCTCCTCAGGGAATTGGATACATAGCTTTCGGAATGATGGTCAGTCAGGGCTGATTCTGGAAGTACAGACCCAGTGTGGGTGTGCGAGGTCCAGACCAGGAAGACGAGGGCAATCGCACTGCACGTACCCGATCGATGACGATGGAGCTGGAGGTATTTTCGAGGTGATTTTATTTTTTTCTCGTCGTCTGGAGGATGAATTGCAAGTGAAGCAAAGGTAAGGTAAGGTTGAAGGGACATGGACCAGGGGAGACTGATTGCTGGGACGGAAAAAGAAAGGAGAGCCCCATATAGTTAGAGGTTGATCTAGATGATGGCCGAATCGATGGAGAGGAATAGGAATAAAAACAAGAAAAATAAATAAATAAAAGTAGGAGATACTTCTGGGGGAGCGACAATCAATTGATCCTAATTTTCAATAAAAGAAAAGAAAATAAATAAAATAGAAAATAGAAAATAATAGAAAATAAAATATTATAATAATCCTCTAATCTATAATATCCCAATAATGTAACAATAACATTCACACAATGCACCCAATAAGGGTTGTCCACTCAGGCTGGGAAAGATAGATTGGACTGCTCAACCGTACCTATCTACTTCCAAATTCCGCCGTCCTTCGCTGCGTCCACCATTATTTTAGCCCAAGCCCCGATCTCTGGATCTGGGAACGATCCAGCCCATCGTCGCCCCCCGATTGGTCATCGTGTTTTACCGACTCGGCGGTCCTGGGATCTGGCATGGAGATCGTGCAGCAGTCGCTTGTCCTTGGGTCCAAGAACAATCATCATAATAATAGACACCCGGATCTCCATCACGAGCCTTCAGCCTCTGGCGTCTGATTTTAGCCAGGGGGGGGGGCCTTCCTTGCGGCGTTCGTCCGTGACAAATTATCGGTATACCTATCCTTTGTGGACGCGGTCGGTTTCATATGACACAAATGAGGACGCCGGAAACCCTCCCGAGTTTCGTCATTCAGACACCAATCGGACGTCATGTCTGGTCCCCATGACAATCTTAGACCAAGATCGTCTGTTTGCTGCTGCCGTCGGACACTGTCCAGGGGACATCCGGACATCCCGCCCAGCAAGGAAGGCCGCAGGCCAGCGTTCTCGAAGGTTGGGGAACATAGGGTTCACCGTCGCGGCATCCCAACTGGTCTGTGCAGGACTCGGCATACAGATCATGTACTATTGTCACAGTTGCATGTCAAATCGCCATTTTCACCAGTCTAGGGGAGGTGGGTGAAGAGGGGCGGTGGGGTGATGCCCACGACTGGGAATTAGTCGCTTCAATCCCACTGAAACTCTCGCCCACTAGCGGCGAGGGCTATACGGCTTCCGTCTCTTGGTTCTGGGGCCGATCGCGGCGGGACTTTGCAGAGGATCCGCCAGCTAGGTTCGTGGCCCAAGTGGCTGTTTCTCTTTCACCCGGCTGGGTTTGCGCCTGACGGCCATCCTAGCCCACCCCCCCCCAGTCAGCCATGATGGATTTCCGAGCATGACAGCGCCCAATGAAGATATACCGGATCGGCTGGAGAAGCCGCGCAGCTTGATGGGGGCATGGCCGACCTGTCGGCTAATCATGGCGGTGCGGGTCACTATCTTTCACCAGCGCCAGCGGACTCTGGAACGGTGACTGGTTAGTGCCTCAGCGGAACAACCTCCATCCAGGCCCCGGAGGAGACGGACAGGGGGTTCTATAGCTGTCTCCGTTGACTAAATCGCAGTAGTCCAAACACTAAAGAGTAGATCGGGCATCCACCAACAAATCACATCTTCGTCGGCTCTCCTGGCTGCGGTTTCCGAGGCGATTGAACGCCGATTAGGTAAAGGATGGATGGATCCTCGCAATCCACTCAGAACGAGCACGCGGTGCATCCGGTGTCCTGAGAACGCCCCCAGTCCCAGGGAAGCTAAACAGGAGCCCGGCGCGCTGGGCCCTTTTGGCCGTATGTACCACCTCCCGCAGTCCACTCCCAGGCGCTAGGGCCAATATTATCTCCACATGGCAGCTGTCTCTGGAAGGGTATGGATTCCAATCGACGCCCCATCTCCCTTCCTCGTTCAGCTGTCATATGGGACAAGAAAAAACTCTAAGCGAGAGTCTCATCGACGGTCTCTACTGGCTGTTCGGCTCGCAGCAGTAACTTGACCCGTCGTATTCCATCCACGATCAACCCTGTGCGGTCTCCAGCAGCAGCAGCAGACCGACGACCGCTAGGGTTTCTGCTTGGATGATGCTGAGGAAGAATAGAGCCCCTGTTAGAGAGGTATGAATAGGGATCGCACCATTCGCGTGTCCATTATCTTAATTCGGAAATGACGACGCGACACAGCTGAAACTGGAACTTTTGCATCCGATCTACCGGACGACCTTCCGCGACGTATTTCTGTCCCTCGGTCACAGCCCCTTACGGTGGGTTCTGGTGGCTCGCTAGATACTAGTCTTGCCCCAAGCATCCATTTGTCTCTGCGCCGCTAAAGTTTCCACCGAGCTGGTTAACTCAACTTGGTACTTTGGCCGGTTGACAGGTCGGCTGGTGTGGGCGCATAGCCACTCCCTTTTTCTTTTCTTCCCTAGGAAGATCCTGGAAATCATTTCGTCTCCTGTCATGCCCCACAAGCCTCATCTTTATTTTCCGCAGAAGATATGCCTCCCAGTGCATGAGAAACATGGATGTATGTCGTCCACCTTCTTGGGCTCCTGGTGGCGCTCTGTAGATGAGCCCCCCGGCGGACCAGGGCTAGAACAACGATATTCTCTGCATCCAGTGCATTGTTCTGACCGGCGAATAAATGGGGTGCCTCGGACTCGACGTGCTTTCCCCGAAGGTCTCTGCGAGAGCTTCGACATGCAATTCGAGCTCCTCCGCCAGTCACTCGGCCTTGCGCTGCACACCGCCAGAGGCGATCGAACTGGCATTGATCCATGCTCCCGTATATCCAGCTTCCGCGGAACAGCAAACACCCAACGGCATCGTTTTGTCAGTCCGTTTCCGCTGTGCGACGTCAATGTGACAGTATCTGAGGTAACCCGCGAGGCAGATCACCGAGTACCTTCTGTGCAGTCCCATCGACCACGCAAGGACCCGGTCACATTGACACTACACCGATACAATCCTCGCAGGGTCTGATAGTCACCCGATGGGCTGGTCTCTTGGACCCGGCGAAGATCTCAATCAACTCCATACGTGTACATAAATAAAAGGGATACTTGCAGAGACAGACCCGCAGTCGCAAACAAAGAAACACATGTAATAATATATTTCACTACATAATGAATGTTCGAGATGTTCTCTTGCATCACTCCCACAAGCCGAAGCCGGAGGGCCAAGTCAGGAGACCTGGCCCTCAGAGAATGATGCCTTCATTCCTCGAGAACTCTGGAGCCCGCCATTCCCGCGCCAATCGGTGCTAGGAACAGAGACTGACAGAGTCCATGTATGCTCTTCCAACGCTCCGTTAAGAACACCTTGTTGAGCGAGTCCAGAGACAAGTCTCCTTTCTCCCAAGATGCTCCTGCAGTACCCAAAGTGGACTGCATCGCTGGTGTAAGGGGTGTTCATTCTTGTCTGATCTCTCACCGTTAACCCGACAGGACGGCGCAGAACGCCACTTTGTCACGTAGTGTTCTCCACTGCATTACCTGTATCGGGTAGCAGGATGCGATTGCATAAGGAAGTCCCATTTGATCGCCGGCTGGAACTAATATGGTAGGTATCATAATGCACGTACGGCCAGTATACAATTGCTGCCTGCAATGAAGCAGAAAGGTCGCCTATCAGGAAAATCGGAGTCATCAATTTTGTCGTCAGTCTTTAACCATCATCTTCTTAACGTCAAGGTCGCATATAATCACATCACACTGGTGAGCCCGGTTCAAGGGCCATCAGTCATTGAAGTGGAATAGTGTCGAAACACTGCCGTCAGTCAGTTTATATCACGATCGTTATGTCTAAGAGAACTCGGAAACGCACCTTTCACCATAATGATGACGCCGGATGCTCTCCGCAATTAGACTGGAGATGTCAATGACGACCAATTTCTTCGACTTCTGCATCATCTTCGGTGAGATGGGGAAGGTGTTGGTCACGACGATATAGTCAATACAGCGACAGGCTTCCATCTGCTCAAGAGACTCGTCGCCAAACAGTCCATGGGTGGCGATGCAATACACTGTCTTTGCCCCGCCCCTCTTAACAACGGTTTCCGCTGCAGCGATCCATGATCCGCTCTTATCAATCATGTCATCGACGATGAATACAGTGCGGTCCTTGACATCACCGACGAAGGTGATAGTCTTTTCCCGCTCGGCAATGTGCCCATGGCTGCCCTCTTCATCAGAGGATTCCGCAGCATCAAAAGAGCCGCCAAGGGCATGATCCCCAGGGAGCGAAGGGGTATTGGAGATGACCGAGTTCACCATTGAATCGGGAACACTATCGGAGTTCTCCCGATTAGAGCTATAGCCTGCATCGGCAGACGCAGGTGCCGAGGTAGGGCCAGCCGTCGGGTAATCATCATCTACGAGATGGCCCTGCACAAGCCGTCCGGTGATCACATCCTGAACCCGCACGTCGGTATATTCATGAGCAGCTTCCAGCTCGGAGGGACGGCGGGCATTGGGGACTTCAGGGAAGAGACCGTTAACCATCTTGGTAGTTTCGGCTTTGTCAGAATCGCTGGGTGTCTCGTCGGACTGGCAGCTTTTGGTGCTTTCCTGTACCCGCACAACAAAGGGGTCATGATCTTTAGGGACGGGCGTGGCCTCATCCTCGATAGAATCAAAGAAGACAGTGCTGTCTGACATAGCCATAGCCACCTTGGGACGGCGCCGGTCGGTTGTGACGATTCCAAAATTGAGCTTCAGCGTATCCGCTAACGAAGTGACCCGTTTTGTACCTCCAGCGTTCTTACTCACGACAACGGCTTCCTTCCAACCCGGGACGTGCATACGGATCCATCGGGCGATATAGGGTTCGGCGAACAGGTTATCCACGGGCTTTCCGAAGAACCCCTGCATTTGGGAAGCCTAGAATGATCCGGTTAAGAGTTGATTCAAACCATGTGTGCCATGTAACCCATCATGAGGTGACCCTTTTGACTCACATGCAAATCCAGAGTTATCACATGGTCCACCCCAGCAACTGAAAGCAGGTTCGCCAGCATACGAGCGGTGATGGCGCCACGGTGACTCTTCTTCTTGGATTGGCGAGAGTAAGGGAAGTACCTCGATCGTGTCAGTATTAATTGTGCGGCATCAAACTAGGCAGGCAGCATACGGCATGACCGCTAGAGAGATCCAGGTCAGCTATTATCCAGTATGAGGACAGAAAGGGTTGTCCAACTTACCTGTGATGGATTTCGCGGAACCACCTTTACACGCCGAGATCATAATCAACAGCTCCATAACGCTGTCGTTGATCTTCGAGCTCCCACTCTGAACAATGTAAACATCTTGGTTTCTTACAGAAACTCCAATATTCACACTAGTCTCGCCGTTGGCGAATTTCCCCAGGTCTGCCTTGGCCGGTGAAGTACCCAGTCGCTCACAGACCATCTCTGCGAGGACGGGATGGGACGTCCCAGAAAAGATCTGAATTCCACGCATGATGAGAAAGTTATGTGGTCAAAGAAGACATGGACGAGGGAGTGAAGAAGAAAAAGGAGGGGGGTTACGGGGGAGATGAGAAGATTGGGGGAATCATCTCACACGGCCAAAAAAACAGGGAAAGGAATAAGGGAAGAAAAAAAAAAGTAGTTGATGTCGGAACAGAAAAAAAGCGCAGGTCGTCTTGGGTTTTTGTGGGCCGCCGTAGTTGTGCTGCCCCTCCAGCTGATAGATAAGACCACAAGCCCCTCGTCCCGATGGTCTTCTAACAACTCCCCATACGTTTCTCAGGATGTCGCAGAAATTTCCAGAAGTTCAGGGAGGAGGCTCTTTAATTGTAGCCTGGCAGGTAAAGAATAAAAATGTTCTGGTCGTGGGCGGTGGAGAGGTAAGTCGTTACCACCACGCCAAAATATACATTCCATCTCTTGCTGAACCGTGCCAATAGGTAGCTGCAGGCCGCATTCTTCATGCGCTTAACGCAGATGCCCATGTAACGGTCGTCTGCCCGGCCTCGGGACTCAATTCTGAAGTGGCCTTTCGGGTATCAGAGGGACAGGTCACCCACATCGACCGTAATTTCGAGCCGGCGGATCTAGACACCGCCGACATGGTTCTCTGCGCCATCGATGACCCAGAGGCGTCAACGCGTGTATGGAAGCTGTGCAAAGAAAAGCGGATCCCCGCCAACATCGCCGATGTACCCCCCGAGTGTGACTTCTTTTTCGGGAGTGTGCATCGAGACGGTCCATTGCAGATCATGGTCAGCACCAATGGAAATGGGCCCAAGCTTGCCAGTATCATTCGAAAGAAGATCGCCGGGACTCTTCCCGACAACACGGGCGCGGCGATAGACAATGTGGGCAAGTTGCGGAAGAAACTTCGAGAAATTGCTCCTGATCAGCATGAAGGACCCAAGCGAATGAAGTGGTATGTCGATGCTGCCCTCTCTCCCCGATTCAACTCTAAACAGTGGTTTAGGATGTCTGGTGTATGCGAGTCATGGAGTCTGGATGACCTGGTGCGGATGAATGAGGAAGACATGACGAAACTACTCGCCCATTACGAATCTGGAAAAATCCCGGCTTTCGACGAAATCCGGTCTACTTAAGGGGTCTGCTTTGTAGTCAACGTGTGCACTGTTACTATACGACTAGTTGGTCTGCGATTTGCTAGGGCCGGTTTGAAAAGATAGGCGCTTCTCATGATTGTGCTATTTTGTACATATATAAAGACCAGCTCACGATAATCGGAATGCTAACAAAAGAAGAAGCGAAGCAGTTAACTCTACACTTGGTCACTGCCGTAAACTCTTCAAGGGCAAGGATATCCAAAACAAGTTCAGAACAAAAAGCAAAGCTAAAGTAGGCGCAGTATGTAGTCACCGACCCACACTTTGTTTGCGGGGATGAGAAACGGAGCCCCGTGGAGTGCTCGAAGCTTGCGCGGGCACTCCAAGTTTTGCCTCACCGATCCTCCGGAGCAGAGACTGAAGGGCAATACGGATCTCAGGGTTCAGATCACGACTTAACAAGTCAACAGCCAAGGGATAGAAGGTCTCGACATGCTTATCAAACCCTTCAGAGGGAAAGTTGGTATAACCTTCCAGGACATCCACGACAACGGGACGCCACGCTACAATGTTGCGATGTTGCGAGTCTTCGTCGAGACGAACAAAGCTGCGGATAATGTCGGCACAAAGACTAAGTCATTGGTTAGCGAGTTCTTTTCCAATATTGCCGAAAGGTATTCTTACGGAATGAGGGCAGCCTCTGTCTCGGAGCGGCTGTTTTTCCTTTCCTCTCGCTCATCATGATACATGCGGAAGAGGATGTGGACATAAGTCGCCGCACTTCCGCTCTCCTGCTTCAGAAGGTTCGGTGGCTGCTTCATGAATCCTTGACGCCAAAGCTGCATGCGAAGCTCCTTGTCCTCATTGAACTTCTTCGCGAACTGGTAGCTCTTCTTGAGAAGCGCCATCAATCGCAGCAGCTCGTTGCTGGGGATTTGTGCATAAACTTTATCATTCGAGAAGAGTTCGTGAACGGTCTCGATCATGAGTAGCTGAAGCACGCAATTCGTTATGATGCGGTTGAAATAACGGCGCCGAGCCACCGTGACAGCCGCTGGCTGCTGTTGCAAGTCCGCCTGCGGCCGGTAATCCTCGAGTTCTGGTGACGCAGCAGTAGGCATATCTCCTTCCTCGTGCTCCTGGGCCATACTCTGCAGGCCATTCGTCTTCGCAGAATCGGCGAAATTTTCGGCAGTTGATGAAACGTCAGGAGATTCTTCGGTGCCCTCCTCAGCAGACTCGCCGTTCGCTGTTTTCGGCGACACCTGTTTGGACATGGTGGCCGCAGCTGTGAAGAGTTCGTAGGCGGTTGTTTTGCTGAAAAGCTCAACAAACGCACCGACAACCTTGGCCCAGTGCTCTTGCTTGAACTTCATAACATTCTGCAAAATCAACTGTTGCAAGCAATTGCTACCAATGCGTGCGATAGTATCGTTTTCTTGGCAAATGCACAGTGTGAGAAGCTCCAAGATGCGTCCGAGCATGTACTCCAGCGCATCGAAGTAATGCGTAAAGAGGGTGATCATGTTTCTCAGCGCTTGGATCATTGTGGTTGAGAGCCACACGGAGAGTTCCTCATGATTAGGGACCTTGGACATTTCGGACTTGGACTGCAGCACAACGAAGATAGGATAAAGGAGCTGTCTCCAAAGAACATCCCAGAACTCTTGAGGGAAGTCGCCACCATAGCGAATTAATGTCTCGAAAAGATAGGTCAACGCCCTGATTTACCGATTAGTATGAGCTTTAAATCCCAAGTAAAGGGATCCTACCGTGATCGGACTTCAAGGTCATCACCGGTCATCAGCACATCTTGGAAGGCGATCAGAATTGGATACCAGAACTGTTCCTCCTTAGACTGTCGACTAAGTTGTTTAGCGAGATTCGTAGCCTCTTCGTACGCCTCTTCGGATGCTCCACGAGCGGAAAGGGGGCATTCAGGGGTGCGAAGCATTTTTGTGACGGTCGATTTCAATGTTTCGATCGCTTGCAGCGACTTCTTCTGGAACCTCATGTTCTTCGAGAACTCCGTGAGGCACACGACAAGATCGGGGAAAGCACCCTGCGTAATTACAACCCCGAACCGGGTGTTGTAGATCTGGGAGACATGTTCAAAAGCCATATTCACAATACCCTCTGTTGTACATTAGTATACTCTTAACAACTGGAAAATGTTGGACTGACCGTAAGGTTCGCGAGCAGCCACAGTAAATACACCGAACATAGTTTTCCATCCCGAGCGAATGTTGTCGCCACGAGCCTGGATCATCTGTATGAGGCATCGGAGAATCATGTCCTTCACTGTAACAGCATTACTGTTGGCCATGACATGCTCAAACGGCTTGAGGAAGTCTTTCTGGAACTTGAATCCTGGGAGCTCCTCAATCTCCATAAAACGCATTGAGAGCTGTCGCAGAGAGTCGAGGGCAAAAAAGACCACGGTGGTATTCGAGTGGCACCCGACATGGTTGAAATGTTGTCCAAGGACTTCCCAAATCTTCGACCACTCGATCCTGACTCGCGTCATGTTGTAATAACTGATCTCCACCAGCTTTTGCAGACTGTACGTGCGAGGGGAGTCGGTCTGTCCTGAAGATTGAATTTCTTGCCAGCTGACTTCACTCAGCGCCCGGACAAAGTCGATGATAGCTTCGTGGGAGAGATTGGCTGTATTGGTGAAGATTCTATCCACACCTCTTATCATCTCCGCCGACCGGCTTTCCATGGCCACCTCCGTGCGGAAGGCAGTAGGACCATTCACGGAGCGGGGCCGAGGACGCCTTGTACTCTGGATAGACCTGCGAGACCCATCCGAAGATGCCTGGGAGACGATGCGAGCTCGGGAAACGTCAGGTAATGATCCTTCATCGACACCGTCGCTCAAAAGCTGGAGTCGATCAAGTTGGCTGACACAAGTAAGAATTTCTCGCCAAGAGCCCTTGAGGTAGTTTCCTTCCGAAAGCGCCACATCGAGCAGTACTTTCAGAGCCTCCACGTTCTTGGCCACCATCTCTCTGACATTTCCCAGATTTGTGAATTTGGCCAAGGCTGTCACGAAGGCGACACGGGGGGTCTCCAAGTCGAAAGAGCAGCTAATACGGATGGCAAGCTTCATACCCTCCATACAAAGCTTGATGACCTCCAAGTTTTGGGTGTCTTGCATCGGGGCAGACAGGCCGGAAAGGAAAGACATCCAAGTGACGTTGAACATAGAACCGACATGTCGGACTGACGTTGCCGGAATAAATCGCGACAAAGCCTCCTTCACAGCGGTCTTCCGCTGGGCTCGAATTAGACTGCGATATAGCTGCTCTGTCTTGTTGGCCATTTCTTCAGAGGCTTGAGCATACTTCTCGCCTTGGATGTCCCTGCCTACGGTTGCGAAAACCTGACCAGCCCTGGATGCCAAGCCGACAGGGGCAGCTGTAGGGATTCCAAGGTTGGCTGCTTGCTCTCTTTCCGTGTCGAGAACGATCTCATTCGACGCAATCTCATCAAAAATAGACCCAAGATATTCATCAGGCAAATCCTGGTTGTCATTGATGCCTCGGTTGTTTTTAATGAAATCCTCCTTGGTCATGCGACGTCTGACCTTCGAGCTATGTTGATCCGTGTTCAGCATAATGACGGAGTATGCGAGGACGTATGCAGTATCAGCGTTAGCAAACGCATTGGGGTTCTGAGTGACGTAGCGCTCCGCAAACTTGAGCATGAAACGATCAATTTTCTGAGCCTCGCCAGGCAATCTGAAATGCTGCAAGAACTGGCGGAGAGCATCTACGAAGCGTCGCTTGGCAAAGTCCATCATGTCGACAAAAGCGTGCATGATGGCGATGTTTTCAGCGTCCCCTTCGCCGAGATACTCTCCAATCATTGCTTTGTCCAAGCGTTCGTTTCTGAACAAAAATGCTGCGAGGTCTTCGGGCGACTCCGAGCGTACGAAACCTTCCTTAACAAAAAGCTTGATTCCCCGTTTAGGCTTGAAATTGAATTGCTGGATAGCATTTGTCAGGGCGATCTTTCTTTGCTTGACCTTCTCCATCTGGCTTGGGTCATCTTCGGCCACGGGGGTGGAGCGCCCAGTGCTGTCAGCGCCTTCAACGCGCGGCGAGGCCAAATACATGCCTGCGTTCGTGTCGAGAGACTCTCTGGAGTTATCCATCGACTTATGCGACGGTATGTTAGGAACCGGCATTTGATCGGCTATGCGTTGCGATGCCCAGTTATCCAAAGATTGCAGAATCTCCACCAAGCACTCAACCGCTTGATTCTTCAGGACATATTCTGAAGGTACCCCCTGCAAGATTGTTTGTTGGATATTGGAAACATTCGCGGTCGTGAGGGATGGAGGGAGAGTGCCGCGCTGATGCCAATCTCTGCCCGTGCGTGAGATCTTCGTATGATGTTCTTGGTATTGTTGTTGCTGCACTGCATTCACAGAGACCGGGATGCTCGCATATCTGGAAAGTTGTTCGATGACGTTTTGGAAGATATTCTCCAAAGCCGTCCGATCGCAGTCATAGTTGAGATACATCTCCACGAGAGCGCGAGGATCGTCTGCTAGTCTTTCTAGCACTTCCATGAAATACTGCTTCTGGAATGCGGGAGCATTCCGCTTCTCCAAAATCGCTAGATAAATCTCCTTCAGGAACACTTCGAGCTCTTTCTGCATGGTGTTAAATCAAATTCAACTGGATGAAGAAGAGGGGGACTGACCTTCATCATGACTCTCATATGTTTGAGCATGAGCCAGAAAATCTCGCAGCAGACTTCAAACACACGGGGCACTGAGCTGGAACCATTCCGGCTGAGACTGAGACATAAGTGTGGGCGAACAGCTTGTAGGAAGGTCATGGATTCCGAGCTGTTGGAGCTTTGCTTGATCGTCAGGAGCGGAGACGTGAAAGTGGAGACATGGTTGTTGATGAGATTATGGATGAGATGCAACGACAAGAGTTTGGACCTCATATTTTGGGACTTCAGATCCTGCTGCTGCTCATGACTGAGAATCTTGTGGCTCAGCTTGCACAAAGCTCGGAAAACCAGAAAAGCATCCTTGACATAGACTTCATCGTCGTCGTCTTCCGCAGGATCGGTGTCCTCTCCGGAGATACCAGACGAGGGTCGTGCCGGAGTCTGGTCTAACTTGGCGCGAGTAACGGTGGTAGGGGCATTGTCATGGACAGAAGCGACGTCCTTGCTGGACTCGAAGCTCTGTAACGTGAGCTTCTCGATAGGCTCTTTCGTAACCGGTTGGTCTGACACTGCAGCAGAGGCAGCATCGGACGCGGGATCCTCCTCATTTGCCTGGGGGTTGTCACCCTGCTCGAGAGTCACATTGTCGGAAGAACCACCCTGCCCCTTTTCACCTTCGCGGAGACGCAGCTCCTTAAGATCCAGCCGTACTCGAACTCTGTCAAAGACCGTGCTGACCATCTGCGTCAGAGATCCCTGGGCAATTTGCTGGTTCTGACTCGATTTGGAGTATATGAAGATGTTATAAATTTGGCGAACGGCCTTCAGGAGACCCGCTCCATGGACCACGATCTTGTCGTTTAGCACCGCCGCGAGAAGAGATTTGATAATTTGCTGCTGAATTTCAATCGGCGTGGCTTCGTTTTCAAAACAGTCACAAATTGCATCGATGGCACGCTCGATCAAGGGGATCTGTTCCGGTGTGCCCTGGGCCTCCGGAGCCTGAGTCGACGGGAAGGCGAAGTAGGAGTAGGTAATTAGCTTTCCAATACAGTCCAGCGCAGTGACCTGAAGTGGAATGCTGAAGCTCTTTGTTGCGAGATGAAGAGGACGGAAGATGATCTCGGGATCAATGGGTTCCCGATCCGATTGTTTGACATTTGTGAGGGCATTCTTGACGGCATCATCCAGTTCCTTACTCTTCTTCGCCTCCCTAGATTGTCCGATTGTATCAAGAGCGGTCACAATGAAAACTGTCGAGCTCACAGTGACGGACCGATGCGTAGCAAATGTAGCTGTCGTGGATCTCGAATCCGAGCGCAGTCGAACATCTGGGACAGGCTCTTCTTGTGGGGGTATGGAGCTCGCATCGGTCCTGTCGCCTGCCGTGTCCTTCTCAGCTGCAGGGTCCTGTGCTTCTGGGGAGTTGTCGGCATCACCCTCCGTTTCATGCGCCTGGGATTCGGGCTCATTTCCTGACCCTGCGGGCTCGACGGCAACAGTCGGAGGACTCGGAGGTAGACCGGCAGCGTCCAATTCCTTCTGTGCTTCGGTATCGTCTGTCACTTCACTGACTTCAATTCGTTGACGTTCCGATTCATCTGGCAAGGCCGGTTTGTCCTCGGGAGCAATTTCGGGGGACTCGGGGTGCGTGGATACGTCGACACTGTTCTCCTTGTTTTCTGTTTGGGATGGCTCATGAACCGAGCCATTCTCTACTTCCGCCATCTATGCGAGACTCCCGTGCGGAGTACCGATTAAGGAAGCAACAGACGAGGAGTCCACATGGACAAAAGAAGGAGAAAGAAGTGAATGAATGAGAGGAGGGGTGAATGCAGGAGAGAGGGAGGGAGTATAGGTATCAGCCTAGTGTCAGTTCCGCAGTATGGATGGAGATTAGTCTGGCCGCCTTTGGAATGGCTGCGTGTCTTCTCCCGCGGACGGGCAGAATGCCAGAAAGGTACACACGGCTGACTCAGCCCGGTTGGCATCCCTACGGCGGGCGACACGGACCACTCCCGTCGCACGCAGCTGACGTAAGCGCGCAAATTAGGGCGACGGCGGCAGCCGGCGAGAACTGTTCCGATGGCTCACCGGGAAGCTCAACAGAAAACTTCCTAGAGCTGGTTCTCCTCAACTGTTTGATATACCGGGCCTTTCCACCTCCCAGTCCCATCTCCACGCCCTCTAACCCACCCCGATCCTTCTTCTTTTCTCCTCGATTGTGCCTCGGGCCTTTCCTTTCTATTAGAATTCACAGCATTTGGGCACCATGGTTGCCTCTGCTGTCCGCATGCGCGCTCCCAGCGCTATGTTCCTCAAAGGCGCCTCCTCTCTGAGGAGGCCGCAGGCCGTTCACAGATTCAAGGAGACCATCCAGTATGATGCACCCGATCCATGTTGCGAGCCAATCTCCGAGAATTCGATATGCTGATACGTTTTGTTCTCGTCCCAGACCTCAATTGCCTGCCTTCTCCGCCCTTTCCCGCTTCTACGCCTCCAAGTGTATGACATTTTCCCGACCTCTCCTATCCGTTTCGTCTTACACGAACACGCTGTCGCAAACCCGATTCTAACAATGCCATCTTTACAGCCTTCCCTCCTCACACCATCATCAGCATGCCTGCTCTCTCCCCCACGATGTCCGCCGGAAACATCGGAGCCTGGCAAAAGAAGGCCGGTGATACCCTTGCGCCTGGTGATGTTCTCGTGGAAATCGAGACCGATAAGGCCCAGATGGACTTTGAGTTCCAGGAGGAAGGTGTTCTGGCTAAGGTCCTGAAGGAGACCGGTGAGAAGGATGTTGCGGTCGGCTCGGTAGGTGGCCTCACGCGAAAATTTTCACCGTTGGGTTCTCTGTCCGATGCATGTTACTGACCGATCATTTCCAGCCCATCGCTGTCCTTGTGGAGGAGGGCACTGATGTCGCCCCCTTCGAGTCGTTCTCTCTGGAGGATGCTGGCGGTGATAAGCCCGCCGCTGCCCAGGAGAGCAAGGAGGAGCCCAAGGGTGAGGCTGCTCCCGCGCCCACTCCCGCCCCCGAGCCGGCCGCTGAGGAGCCCGAGTACAATGGAGAGAAGCTCCAGCCCAGTCTGGACCGTGAGCCTTCCATCAGCCCCGCTGCTAAGGCTCTCGCTCTGGAGAAGGGTGTTCCGATCAAGGCTCTGAAGGGTACCGGACGGGGTGGTCAGATCACCAAGGAGGATGTCGAGAAGTACAAGCCCACCGCTGTCGCCGCGGAGGCTCCTTACGAGGACATTCCTCTCACTTCCATGCGCAAGACTATCGCCACCCGCCTGCAGCAGTCTATGCGCGAGAACCCCCACTACTTCGTCTCGACCACTCTGTCCGTCTCCAAGCTTCTGAAGCTTCGCCAGGCCCTTAACGCCTCTTCCAACGGCCAGTACAAGCTCTCCGTCAACGACTTCCTCGTCAAGGCCTGCGCCATCGCCCTCCGTAAGGTGCCCGCTGTCAACTCCAGCTGGCGCGAGGAGAACGGCCAGGTTGTTATCCGCCAGCACAACACCGCCGACATCAGCGTTGCTGTGGCCACCCCTAACGGTCTGATCACTCCCGTGGTCAAGAACGTTGGCGGCCTTGGTCTGTCCAACATCTCGAACCAGATCAAGGACCTTGGCAAGCGTGCGCGTGACAACAAGCTCAAGCCCGAGGAGTACCAGGGCGGTACCTTCACCATCAGCAACATGGGCATGAACGCCGCCGTGGAGCGCTTCACCGCTGTTATCAACCCCCCTCAGGCCGGTATCCTGGCGGTTGGTACCACCCGCAAGGTTGCTGTCCCCGTCGAGACCGAGGAGGGCACTGCCGTTGAGTGGGACGACCAGATCGTTGTGACCGGCAGCTTCGACCACAAGGTCGTTGATGGCGCTGTTGGTGCTGAGTGGATCAAGGAGCTGAAGAAGGTCGTCGAGAACCCCCTGGAGATGCTCCTGTAAATGTAGATTTGCGCTGGCTGATGCATTAATCCGACCCATCCGGTGTATTCGCTATCTACGATTGGAGTTTCTTTGGTCTTTGTGTGATAATATGTATTAAAATCCACGCTAGTTTCTGCGATCTTTGTTGGTACAGCTTTCTATAAATCTACTGCATTTTAGACTATTCTTAAGACTGTTATATGTATATCTCTTGCATGAATCCACAGCTAGACACCGCAGGACGGACACCGTTGCGAACTGCGGACTACAGCTAGCGGATAGGCGGGTATCGTCGAAATATGGCAGATATAAGTAGGAGGTGTGTTTGCAGAATAGGCCAACAAGAGGGGGTTTCATCGCGCATCTAGGCTGGTTGCAAGCCACGTTCACTGTTGACGACGATCTCAATTGCGATGTGAAATATACAAGCACGTCAACAGGGCCATCGCTGGAAACGAACACAATGACGAGGGAAGTGGAATGATGCTCGTGCGGGTCTTGGCCAAGCAAGTCGCATGTGCCATGGCCTCCACCCTACCGGGCGACGTGATGTCATTCTTTCGAGGTCTTCCCCCAGGTTCACTCGCTATAAATACCAGCCCCATGACCATCTCTTAAAACCTTCTTCTCCTGCACCCCCGTACACAATACTATATCTACCCATTCATATCCCATCTCCGTGGTTCCTTTCCCGTAGGTGGTGCACTCATCCAATACCAGACTGGCTCTCGTCTCTTTAGTGCCGATCACTGTTTCTTGATCGCAAACTGATCTCGTCGCAGCAAGGCTCCGATCTCGATCCTACAAGATGTCTTACGCTGAAGCTGCTGCTAAGGGACCAAAGCAGTCCCCTGAAGAGGTATTAATTTTCTTTTCTACCTGCACTTTTCTGGACACCCGGAACATGCTAACCCTTGCCTAGGCGTAAGTCACGACTAAAACTTCAACGATTTACCTCACGATCATCATCTAACCATCTAATCCATACAGTCGAGCTCCTCAGGTTGAAAGAGTCTATCGCGATGAATCCGAGAGCACCGCTTCCCTAGTGGACGTGGACACCCCTCACGTCCAGTCCGTCGATTCCGGTTTCCTGAACCAAGAAGTCAAGACTACCACACAAGCCGAGCGCCTAGAGCGAGAAGCACAGGCCGAGGAAGAGAGTAAGGCACAGGAGAAGCGTAAGGCGAAGGCGAAGCGCAGGTCGTCCGCCGTGAGCCGCAACAAGGACAACCCGGTCTTCATTGGCAATGCCGTCCTCTTGGGCTTGGTCGGTGCGGGACTGGGCTTTGGCGCGTACAAGAAGCACGCCCAGGGTAGTCTGTCATGGGAGACGGTTGGGCTGTGGACTGGCGCAGTGGGCGCGTTCGGTGCTGTTGATTACTTTGTGAGCAAGTGAGTTTTTGATGCATCGCGCGTGAGGGAAATAAGCTAATGTGGGCAATGAACAGGTGGTTCCTCCAGAACAAATACCCTCCTAAGTGAACAGACCTTCAGCGATCGATCTCTTCTTGGATTTTCGATTGTTTCTTGTTTACTTTTCCTAGATTTCATGTCGGCGCTACGTGACTGTATTGTATCTTCTGGGGTTAATATTTGATATATTTACCTAATTCTGTATCAGAACCTATCCCGTCATATGAATACCTGCGGGCATTATGCAGTAAAGATGTAGTAGCTTGAAGGAAAGAAATAAGGCTCTCAGGGTGGTCATTTCCAGATCAGGAAACATGAGGCTATACGGCGGCCAGAAGCTGCTAGGCTCCACCCTAAACAAGGTTTACCTACCTGTCAAACAATACAGACCGGACAAACAACTTGGATGCTAGATCGGACATCCAGGTCAGGGTCTTGGTCGGATTTCAATCTGCTTGGCTGAGGGGGCCTTGTGTTTCGCCCAAGCAAACAGCGGCTGACGTGGATCCGGGTGACTGGTTCTTGTCGCCTTCTGTTGCCTCGTTTTACTTACGCTCGAGAGAAGAAGTAGGGCGAATATGTCTTGAGGGAGGATTTCGTCTGGGATCGGCAGCGTGCAGTGAGTCACCCCGAGAGCTCACGGGGGGTTATAAGGAAATCTGATCGCTGCGTATGCATCATGGATGCTCCTGCATGGACGCGACAGGGTTGTGAATCCTCCAATAAAGTGATGCTGGCGATGATCCGGTGAGACCGAGATCGACATGGGAAGGTCTAGACAGAAGGTGGATGAAGTCCGGTGTGAGGGATGATATAGAGGAGGATGGATCTGGCCTGCCCAGCGTGAATGGGTAGCTGAAGGAGAAGATTGTCAGAGTGAAGCAAAAGTATCTCGAGAGGCATATCGAGGCAAGTTGTCAGGCGAAGACAACCAACTCATCTCACCGCCAGAAGTCGGCGCTTCGTCGTCAGCCAATAGGTTTTCCTGTTCGGGAAGTAAGGCGAACAACCAGGCAGTCACTCGCCTGCCTGCGTCGTCCCTGCTCTTCCTGGTATTTCTTCTCTTCTCCTCTTCTCCTCCCCATCTCCGCTTCTCTTCCTCTATTCTCTGCCATGACCAATTCCCCCTTCCTCCCATCCTCCTCCCCCTCCTCCCAGAGGAACGATATTCCAACTATGGCGGATTCTACCCCAACTACAACCTCTACGCTCACCCCCGCGGCCACAGCCACGAATACGAGCTCGTCCTCAACTGACTCTAAGCTGGAGGCTGAGCCGTCCGTTGAAAATAACCACAATCCCGCCAAACCAGATTCCACACCTCCGGTTCCCGTCTCGGAGAACAAGAAGTCCCAATGTAAGAAACACCCGGGCAAAGAATCAGATCCCAGTGCTCGGAAAAAGAAGAAGAACTGCAAGGCCTCATCGATCGCCACACCCAGTAGTGATAGCTCTTCCAGCTCCAGCACCTCGGACTCCTCTGACCAGGACGAGTCCGACGACGAGGCCTCGAGTTCTGCCTCGGAGGTGGAGCGAAAGCATCACAGGAAGCGGTCCAAGGCCAAGAAGAAGGCTTCCAAACATAGTCGCAAGAAGAAGTCCAGTTCGCGATATCAGTCCGACTCCGAGCTGGAATCGGACCCCGATGCCGACGAGGATGAATCCTCCATGGATGAGAAGACCCTCAAAAAGTTGATTCAAATGCTCAAGCTTCGCAAGGCAAAGAAGAACCGCTCCAAGGAGGATTCTACCGAAGACCCCTATGGAGATGATGACGAGAGCGAAGACTCGGACGACGTGGACCTGCGCCTCGCGAAACTAAAATTGAGTCGTCAGGGTAAACACCGCCGGAAACGCCACTCCGATAGTAACAACGATGCGCAAAAGAGAAAACGAAAGAGGGCTGCGTCTAAGATGGCGTTTAAGCGCGTTGACCAATGTTTGTCTACTCTTCTCCCCATCTCAAGCGCTGATCCGACTAACTTCGGAAACAGTATGGGATAATACCATTCATAACTACAAACTCACTGAGACTGTCGATGACCCTACAGCCAATGAATGGGACCAATACCTCTTCACCGTGCGTCGCAAGTTTGACTGGGATAACAAGTATCTGGAGACGGTCGTCGACCTAAAGAGCAAGCATTTGCGCGATGCGCTTGCGAAGGTTATGGATGGCGTGAAAGGCGTCAGCTTAGTGCAGGAGACCGCCGTGGTCGACCCAAACATGCTATTCCTGTACCTGGAAGAGACCCGCCAATACATGAAGGATCTCAAACAGCAGGCGAAGACCGAGAAGAAGAAAAAGGCCCGGAAGATCGCCAACCTGAAGGCCGCCCATCTAAAGGTTCTCATCAAGTATCTGGACATCGACTATGCGGAGACAAAGAAGACCCTCTACCCGCTGCTTAACTCAAATATGATCACTTTTGATCTTCTCTGGGCACTGTTCAAACCCAACACTATCGCGTACTCCACCACCTACGGAAATCAAGATGAGCCGCGCGCTTTCAAGATTGAATACGCAACCAAGGAGTCTTCTTTCATGAAAGGTCAATGGTACAGCATCGAAGGACGCTACTTGGAGTATGACGGGAAAACTTTCGGGATGGGCAACATGGCCGCTGAAGTAGAAAGCTTCAAAGGCGCCCGCAAGATCACTAGTCTGAGTTGCTACCCGCTGAAGTATCACCGAGAGGCAGAAGAGGTCAAGAAGAAACTTGTCGAAAGGGGTAAGAAGTTTGTTTCTTTGCGCGGAATGAACTACCGCTTCCACAAGGGCATGGCATTCTACAAGAAGAAGCGCTCCGTCATTAAGGTCAACATCAATGGACGAGTCATGATTGATCCAGCTATCCATCGTCGGATCAACCCAAACTACCCTATCAGCACCGTGCGTCCAAAAGACCCTGACTTTCTAGACGCTTCAGATGATGACGACAGTGATGGTGGTTGCTGCTGTGCCGCGTCAGATTCTGACTCCGACGGGTACAGTCATCACCGTCGCGACTCAGATGTCCCTCTGGTCCGGTACAAGCTTGTCCGGGACAAGGAAGGGAAGCCTCACGTCGTGGAAGTTGAGCTGGATGAGAATGGAAATGAGATTCAGAAGGAAGATATGGAGGAGGTCGAAGATCCCTCGCAACGAGACTTCACTGAAGAGGAGTTGCTCATCGCTAGCCCAGTGGTGCTGGGTTTCGCATTCAGCGAGAAGCTATGGCTCGAATTCAGCATTTCCGGGATCAGCGAGATCGAGTGGAACGAGGATGCGTTTGATTCGCTTGTCCTCCCGGACAACCAGAAATCCATAGTCAAGGCCCTGGTCGAATCACACACATTCTGTGCCGCACAAAACATCGACGATGTCATCCAAGGTAAGGGCAAGGGCCTCGTTGCGGTGCTTCACGGTCCTCCAGGAACAGGAAAGACCCTCACCGCTGAGGGCATTGCCGAGTTACTCAAGCGTCCCTTGTACATGGTCAGCGCGGGCGAGCTTGGAACCGATTCAAGGACGCTAGAAGCAGAGCTTAACAAAATCCTGGATATCGCCCACTCCTGGGGTGCCGTACTGCTGTTGGATGAAGCCGATATTTTCCTCGAGAAGCGGACTATCCAAGACATTCACCGGAATGCTCTGGTCAGCATCTTCCTGCGTCTCCTCGAATACTTCCAGGGCATCCTCTTCCTCACTACCAACCGGGGTCGAGACCTTTTGACGATGCCTTCCAGTCCAGAATTCACGTCGCTCTTCGGGTACGGTGACCTCACCACCAAGGCGAAGCGGAGCGTCTGGAAGATGTTCCTGGAGCGTGTGCAGGCAATGGAGGGCGTGCAAACGGCCACGTTCACCGAGAAGGACTTTGACGTTCTAGCGCGGCATAACCTGAACGGTCGTCAGGTAAGTCGAGTACATAGTGGAAATAGACTCATGACTAACATGCCACAGATCAAAAACTCGGTCCGCACTGCGCAAGCCCTCGCCGTCAACGAAAAGTCGCCTCTCTCGATGGAACATATCAAACGAGTTCTCGACGTAGCTGAGACGTTCGACCATGACCTTCGCGGAGGTACTGGATATCTGGATGCAATGAGAAGCTACACATGACCTCTTCGTCTTGTTATTCTTTGAACCGCGAGTTTTGCTATACTTTTGTTTCCGTCGAATTTGCATTTGTTGCCGCCGTTTTTGGTATTTTCAAATGTGGTGCATGACCTGGGCTTTGTTTCCGCGACTTACGATACGTTTGGGGTTTATTGGCTGATGAATGACGAGGAATTACGACATCTGACGAAATAGGGACTGGATGCTTGCCAAAGACATAGTGGTCGGTGAACGGAAAGTAGACCAAGAACGGGATAGTAGTTGATGAATTACACATTTGCACACGGTGAATACGGAACCAGCATAAGGGGAATCAATGTATTAATGTTTTGGGTCAAGGAAAATACATGACATCTATCGAGACCCTCCTTCGGGGGGTTCATGCTCCAAACACTGCGGCGGCATTCCTCCGGATATAAAAGTCGATGCGGAGTGGAAGCATACAAGAAGCGGGTAACGTAGGCCAAATGACAGACGCACAAGATACACAATAGACTGTTATACAAGGAGGAAGGGCGGCCCGCAGCGGCCGGAATTTATTGGTTACATTTAAGGGTTGGCCTTGACGAAGTCAATACCCTTCTGGATGTTCTTCTTGAGGTCACCCAGGCAGGCCTCGAGGAGCTTCTGCTCGTACTCGTTGATCTCACCGACGGGGAGGATCTTCTCGGCACCGTTGGGGCCAAGCTCGACGCGGGAGGCGAAGAAGTCGACGCCCTGGTCCTTGTAGAGAGGGCTGTCGACGAAGGTGGGCTCGATGACGCCCTTCTCACCCTGAGCGGCCTTGAGGAGGGACTCAGCGAAGCGAGCACCAGCCATGGCCATGGAAAGGGTGGCGGAACCGGCACCGTCCTTGGCCTTGACGACCTCGTCACCACCGAACTGGATGCGGTTGACAAGCTCGTCGCGGGTCTTGCCGGCAATGCTGGGGTGGTTGGACTGGGAGAGGAGGGGGACGATGGTCACACCGGAGTGACCGCCAACGACGGGGACGGCCTCCTGGGCGGGGTCGGTCTTCTGGACCTGGGAGATGAAGCGGGAGGCACGGACAACGTCAAGGGTGGTGACACCGAAGAGACGCTTGGGGTTGTAGACACCCTTGGACTTGAAGACCTCCGAGACGATGGGGACGGTAGAGTTGACCTGACGGGTGGATTAGAGCGGACCCGGGAGTAAATGGATGATTACTGGTTGAACGTACAGGGTTGGAGATGACGAGGATGTTAGCCTCGGGGGAAGCCTCAGCGGCGGCCTTGGCGAGGTCACGGACGATGGAGGCGTTGGTGTTGAAGAGGTCTAGTGAGAAGATCGATCAGCGCACGGAACTTCGATGATGCTAGCTGGCAAGGGAAGCTAGCGCCGTATGGGGAGAAAATCGGGTGGTGCTGCATACCGTCACGGGTCATGCCGGGCTTGCGAGGAACACCGGCAGGGATGAGGACGATCTCGGAGCCCTTGAGGGCATCGCGAAGGCCGGAGGCGGTCGGGTCGAAGCCAGTGACAGTGCTGTTGGTGTTGATGTGGCTGAGATCAGCAGCGACACCTGGGGGAGCGAACAGTCAGTAAGGGGAGGATTCGATTGCAGCGCGACGACGGTCGCTCGGTGTGACCACATACCGGGACCACCGCGGATATCGTAGAGAGCGAGCTCGGAGACACGGGGGTTGAGCTTCAGGAGGAGAGAGAGAGGCTGGCCAATGCCACCACCAGCACCGAGGACGGCGACCTTAGAGGCCTGAGACGAACGAGAGGACAACGGTCAGCGAGGCGCACGGGGAGGAGGATGGATGGATGGAGGCTATTTTTTGCTGGAATCCAGAAAGCTCCGATGGGCCGAGAAAGTTACACACCTGGCTGGCAGAGGCGGAGAAGGCGCGCTTCTGGAGGAGGTTGAAGGACTGACGAGCGGCGAACATGGTGAAAGATGTGGAAGGGATCTGATCCGAGATGGATAAGATAAAGCAATTGGGGAGGGAGATGGAGATGGGGAGAAAAAGAGAAGAGAAGAAGAGGAGGAAGAGGGAAGAAGCGGGAGAAAAGGCGGCCGGTGAGGGAAGGAAGGAACCCGCTCGTTTCGGTCTGCGGCTAAATCGCTCCGTTTCCGATCCCCACGACGACGAGTAAGTACGTAGTTACCTTAATCTTCCAGTCCACGCAGTGCTTTGACAGTTGGCGGTTCTGCTTTGCGAGGAGACAAATTCTACAGACATTGGTATGTGCTGGACGTTATTATTTTCTATACTAGACAGCCCAATTTCTGGCGATGCATACCTCGGTCATGGAGTACATCACGGTACTTTTCCCCAGGGCAGACCCACCCCGGGCCCTAGGGTACTTCCAAGTACTCCCGAAGTAGGACTCACATGCAACAGCATACAGACGAACCTGAATGAATGAGTTCCATGTCCAAGAAACAATGATATCGTAATGCAATCCGAACGCCTCCGCTTGAAAACACCCAACCCATATCTACCAGAATCACGAAGGAAAAAGCGAACCCGGCAGGACCCAGCCATACAGAAGACTACCTCAGAAAGTGCAGCACTGCCCAGCAGAAGAGAAAGAAGATCACCACCCCGGCCCAAAAGATCACCTTATCCTGCTTCGCGCGTCGCTCCACCTTGCGGATGGTCTCGCCGCTGACCCCCAGCGTGTTGGCCACGCTGTACAGTCGGCGCTGTGTGCCCTTTAGGATCTCGCGCTGTTGTCCGAGATCCCCCAGGACGGCCCGTCCCCGTTCAATGAACTCATCCAGCTGCGTATTCGTAGAGGACAGGAACGTCTGCTCGCGCAATGCATGCGTCTCCCGATTGTAGTCGGCCGGAGAGGCGCCGAAACTCAGACCCGGCCGGGAAGACGACGGACCAAACGCGGCAGCCGCCTGGGAGGGTTGTGCGTAGGGGTTCTCTGGGGTCGCGGTGTGATGCGGACGGCGACCAAGCAGCTCGTTGCGGTTCGTGACCGATTGCTATTATCCCGTCAGCGATTCCGGGTGTCTGATCCAGCGTGCTGTGCAGGGCACTCACCGCTTCCTCTCTCTCCTTGCGGAGCTGGTCGAAATGCTGTCGATAGTCGGAGAGCTCTGATCGGAAATTCTTCACGCGCTCAAAGGCCTTTTCTTGCTTCTCGGGGATCAGTTCCTTCTTCGATAACGCGGAGTAGTCGTCGATGGTTCGGGAGAGGGAGGCGAGGGAGGCGGCGATTTGCCCTGCGCAGTTGTCAGTCTTTATTCTATAGGCTAGGGAGTTTGTATGCGTTTGGCCTACCTTGCAAAGCTGCGGAGGACGTCGCAGGGGACTGGGAGAAGGTGTCGAGGTCCCGGCGAATTGCCGAGGACTGCTTCAGGGCGGAGTTGAAAAGGGAATTCTGGAAGGTCGGCCGTCAGGTTGTGTTATGACAAGATTAGATGTGCGACAAAAACATACCATTTTGGAGGAAGCTCGCGGCTCGAGCGCAACGAGATGCGTGGATGCAGACGCGGTACGGAATGTAAGCTATTTAGGATGTAGAGGAAGAATAGAAAATATTTCTGGATCCCACACCACGCCAGGCACCTCAGTTGGGAGCACAGTTGCAACGTGTTGTCGTGGGGTTGAATGACGCCAGTCGAGGCCACATGTTGTTCTTGCCATTCTGACGTTGCTGACCGCCTCCGCCTTTCACTACCTACGTAAGTACTACTTCCTCTGGCTGCGCAGTACTTTGCTTGTTCATATTGTCTCTTATCTTAGTTCACTAGTTGGAGCCTTATATACTAAAAGTAAGGCCAGATATTCAAGGAGCTCGGAGGAGACCTCAATGCGAAGGCTGTGGGCCAAAGCCAAGCTAGAACCATGACCAGGAGACAGCCAGTCGCGACAGAGGTAACTGCAAAATAAGGTCTCTCATATAGGATCAATCCCGCATCTGGATACATGCAGTCCTACAGATGCTTTAGAAGCTATCGAGCCTACCTTAAGCGAGTCACACAACATGTGTGCGAGGACCATGACTGATACCAGAAGATGCATTTGGTCTACGCGGATGAGATGGTGCATGCAGTTCAACTTAAAAGACAATAACATCATGATCATACCTAGGTATATCTGAAAAGCATCAGGGAGAACTAATAACATATCAGGGGGCAGACATTAGGCCTCTGCGATCTCAAAATCTGATACCAAGGGAGACAGCTCCGGAGTATAGTCCAATGGAGGACTTCACATCCAGGCTATACTAGGAATTCATCTCACTCAAATGACAAGCTCCCACATGGCCTGAAGTGACAGGAGCAAGGCAAAGTCTCAGAAGGGCGTGACTGACCAGCTGGAACGAAAGATTTCCAACAACAGGGTCAGCAGCAAGCATTGGCCGAGAGTAACAGAAGCTCTCAATTCACTCGGTCACATCCAACCACTGACCGAGTGTTTCTTCCACCCTCTGCTTCTTTTAAACAAACCTCCCATCCCCTCCTCTCTTTTCCTCACTTCCTCGCTTCCACTCTCCCTCTTACCCCTCACATCTTCCATCAGAGAAGACATCCTACGTCTCCCACCATTTCATGCCTGGCTTCATTGCGATCAACAGCGCAGAAGCCATAGCAGCCATGTCCACTCCCAACAGCGAAGACACCATGGACCTCATCGTCCCTGAGACCACCGATGCGACTGTCGTCAAAGACGAGGCCGCTCAGGTAAGCCCCAACCTACACATCCCAATCCCCCACCCTATCCCTCGAGCAGAGCTAACTGCATCAAGGAGCCCGTCTCTCCTGCTGAGACTCCTGTCGAAACTCCCAAGAAGCGCGGCCGCAAGAAGGCTACTGCCACCACCGCCACCGACGAGAACACCGAGCCTGAATCCTCCCCCAAGAAGACCAAGGCTTCTCCCTCCAAGAAGAGCCTCGGTCCTATCCCCACCAGCTTCGAAGCTGCCGGCGTGACTGATCGAATGATACTGCGCATGAGGGACCAGGAGAATCGCAACTGGGGTGAAATCACCAAGGCCTATGTCGAGTACACCGGCACCCAGGTTGGCGGCTCGACCCTCCGTATGCGGTACACAACTATGAAGGCCAACTTCACTTCTGTCTCTGACGAAGATGTAAGTAGATGGCTTCTGACGTGGGGTTCCATGGCTAATGGTGTATAGGGTGCCCGTCTTCTCAAGTTCAAAAAGGACATTGAAGAGAGGTTCGAGCAGGAAAAGTGGCACCGTCTTGCTGAGGCCATTGAGGCTGACGGCGGCGACAAGTATCCCACTGCTACCCTCCAGAAGAAGTACAAGGAGCTCTCGAAGAATGGCGCTGCCTCTACTGAGGAGTGAGGGTCGATTTGTATTGGCTGCCTCGTGAATTGGTTCGTTACTCGTGGATAAGACGCGCTCATAGCGCTGGTATCAGGAAAATATCTTCCAGCAAATGTACCTAGAAATGCCATAGCACAGCTATTGAATCCATTTGATTCGAGCAACTCCATTTTCCTGACAGTCTGCTTATCACTAAGATAATCATTTCTCATTCATTCCCGAAAACCCACCTAAACATCAGACCCGCTATCCGGATATCGAAAGAACCTCCATATACACGCCAAGGTATCTATTGTACCAGACAAACAGAAAAAACAGACCAACCATCGCCTACAGAACGCTCATTTCCTGACGCCCATCACGTATACTCCAATTTGACTCCCCGTTCGGAAGATGTTTCACAGACTCATCACTGTCCGCTCGCGAGATCATCGCCGGCCGGATCTTCGCCCCCACAAACCCTCGTCGGTCACGACCCGTCCGTCCCCGGCCCAGCCAATTGTGCTTCAGCGCTTTGCTCAGTCCTTCAATCTTCTCCTGCGCCCGATCGCCGGTCTGCACGCTGGCCAGGACGCTGACACACTGGAGCATCCGCCCGACCGTTTCCGTGATGACGTGCGACGTATCCGCGGCCGACGCGGCCCGATGAAGGATGGTCGGTCGCTGCGACGGCGAGGAGAACGACTGGAAGATGAGCTGGTCCGGGTTGGAGGATGTGTTGGACGCGGCGCGGCTGCGATTGCAGCTCAGCGAGTCGGACGAATAGCTGTCCGCCGTGGTCAGCAGCGTGGAGGACTGCGAGCCGTAACTGCCAAAGCCACCGTCCAGCGAGGCTGCAGTCATCGGGCGTCCGTTGTTACTACTGCTTTTGGTCGTCACGCTCAGCGCCGCGTTGCCAAGATTGATGCTGTCCAGACTCAATCGAGAGAAGGTCGCCTTCAGCCCGTCGTAGCGGTGCAGGATGACCTTGTCGCGGAAGGCGATGAGAACCAGATTGCGCACCTCCAGTTCACAGCCGGGGTACTCCCCTTCCAACGCCGACGCCCAGAACTCGTTGGCCTCCCGCAGGTTCATCACCGACCCGCATCCGCGGAACTCCAGGTCCAGGGGCAGAAAGACGGCCTGGATAAACGGCAAGATCGTGCCAAAGACCAGCATCCAGATCTGTACCAGATGGGGCACAAGTTTCTCGTCGGGTACTCCATTCAGGGTATGATTCAAGGACATGAACCCGGTCTCCAGCAGCTCCCGCAGGTCGTCGACAATGGCCGTCGGCGTGCGTTTTTGCACGCAGCGCTGGATGTGGATCAACACCAACTTGTTGAGGTCTTCGATGGCAATGCGAACATCCTCGCCGTCAAAAATCACCAGCAATTTCGCCTTCAGAAAATCCCATGCGTCTTCTGGGGTCATGTTATTGAGGCCGAACCCTTGGAGGGTCTCTCGTAGAGCTGCCTCGGCGAGAACCCCGGTCGACCCTAGGGACGAGGGCCCTGGAAAGACAGCCGGAGTCCCTGCCGTACCTGTAGAATCAATTTGCTCTGACTCAGCCAATGCCTTCTCTTCTTTTTTCTTCTCCCGTAGGGCGCGCCCGCCGTGGAGCAGGTCCAGTCCACTGACTGACTTACCGAAGGTCGTCGCAACTGCATTGGGGGAAGCGGGGGTGAAGGAATAGAGCGATTGAGGAGCATTGGGATCCGACGGCTTCGAGTTACTCGATGCCGACGAGAGGGGAAGATTAAAGTGGTCGGCGTGATCTTTCAGCTTCAACTTCTGCCGCGAAAGAAAGTGGTGCTTGTGGGCCTTGTCCTTCTCTTTTTCCTTTTCCTTCTCGCTGGGTGCCGGCTTATCCGCCGGGACAACTGTAGTCGCCGACGCATTGGACAGGTTATACATGGACGAGTTGTTGGATGGAAAGGTCTCGGCCAAACTAGTGGTCGATGCACTGACGATGCGTGACAACCCGCTGGCGCCCGCGAACCCCATCTTACTGGGGGACGGCAACCCTCGGTCCTTCCCGAAGGGATCCTTATCCCGACTGATGCCGATGTGCTTGGGCTTGGAAAATAGTTTCATCTTGGACTTTTCACTCTTGGGCTTATGTTCACGGTCAGCGGGTGGTTCCGTCCCCGTAGGCTGCAACGTAGGCTGGCGGGGAAAGACGAGGTTGGCGGCGGTGGTCGCTACATGAGCATGCCCTCCGTTCTGATATGTTTGACCTGATGAGGCGCCCCCGGAGCCTGGCGGGGGTGGTACCGGTGGGTTGGCGGAGGGCGGAGGGGGAGGAGGCGAGATGCTGCCGCCCCTGCGTGACTTGGAACCATCGTCGGGGTTATGAATGACGGTGTGCGACCGCTTCGGGGCAGGTTGCGCGGTTGACTGCTGCTGCATAGCCGCCTGGGCAGCGATCCTCGAGGCAGACAGTGTCGTATCGGTCATGGAAGCGGTCGGCAACGACGGTTCAAAGAACCCTTGCGAGTGGTGTCGAGGGCGGTGCTTAGGCAGATCCGCCGGGTGCGCTCGACCCGACGGTCGTCTGCTGGACGGATCATTATGCGGCATGAAGGAGGCAACGGGTCGTATGGAAGAAGAAGAGGTGGCCGCAGAGGAGGAGGGATGGATGGCGTTGCTGACCGGGGCGGCGGTGCTGTTGATACTGGTCGACCGGGGGGGCCGAGGTGAGGCTGTGCCGTGGTCCGACGAAACTTTGGTGATCTGAAGCGGTGGTGGGATGGCCGAGATGGTGGTCACCGAGGCGATAGACGAGGCATCACTTCCAGAGGAGCCGGGACGGTCCAATTCGTCGTCGAAAGAGTGGCGAGGAGGAGGACCTGGAGAGGGAGAGGGATGGTCGGGCGAGACGGGGGAGCGCAACATGACGATGACGGCAGGACTGGCGAGTGGAGAACGGGGAGGAATTGATTTAAGACAGATCCGGCGTTCATGTCGTGGACTGGAGGCCCATGTCGACGGTGATGTGTCGGAGGAGAGAATTGAGGGTCCTTGGAGACGAAGAAGTCGCCGTGGTCGGTGTAAACAGGTAGGCAAACTAATACTGAAGGGATCAACTCGTCCCCATCGTCGATCCTTTTCCCACGCCGCCTTCCGATCGCCCCGCCGCATTTTAACCCACACTCTCTTTTCTCCCTTCGACCTCACCGATTGCGATCATCCTCTCCAGTCTACCGCTTCTATATCTCGACAAAAACCATGTCTACTTCTCTGCGCGCCGTCTACACCTCCCCTCAAGATCCCCCTTCCCGCTCCTTCGAGCTCCAGATCGTCTCGCCGCCTCCCGTTTCGTCCGAGGCTTCTCCAGAAAACGCCAAAGCTAAGGTCGCCTATCTGTCAGAACTGCGGAAACTCGCCTCGACCATGCAGAACGACATCAATGTCTTCCTGACGGCCCGGATGGAGGAGGATAAGAAGGCCGCAGAAGCCCAGGGTCGCAAGATCTCCGAAAAGGAAGACCAAGAGGAGGCGAACTATGGAGAAGAGGTCGTCGAGGAAGACGCATAATCTCGCCCCCGTCGCTCCTTTCTACAATGGCCCATGATATAAATGAAGTCATATATACTATTGGATCCTGGCACAATACCGCTATCCTGGGGTATCAAAGCGCAGATGCACGCACCATCTCACCGTCACCGCCATAAAACACACCGACCAGAACCACTGAGCGAAGATATCGAGAACGACAAGCCGCGAAGCAAACCAACACAAAACCGAACATGAAAAACGCAAAAATTCTATTTGCAAGATCAAAGTCATATACCCGCGGGAACGCGACTGGCACAGCCAAGATGGACCACCGTATTGCTGTATCAGTCAGTAACGGCGATCAATGCAACAGCCGAGACGGATCACTTACTCTGGAAACACATTGATCACACTGCCTCCGATCCGTTTATGACAAATGCCACAGACCCTCTCCTCGGTGATGGTGACATGGCGCGATCGCGATGATCGGCTATCGATGCCCTCGCCCACCAAGAGCTGCGCTCGTGTTTTGATATTTTCCGCATTCTGCAGGTTCGCCACGATCCGCGTCTCGTTGAGGATCGAATTGGCCGCCCGCATACGGCCTTTGAAGTAAAACTCGAGCTCTTTCACCGGAAGCGATTCGGGGATCAAGTCCAGGGCCGAGTTGGGAGGCAGACGGGAACCGTGCTTTGCCAGTACCTCGATCGCCGGCCCATACTGTGGTTTATACCCATGCGGTGGCGTCAAATAGAGAGATAGCAGTGTCAAATAGATGGTTGGCTTATCCTCGTAATTCAAAGTCGCTGTACAGTGCGATGCCATCGCCTCGATGGTGGCCGCATCCTCAGTCTTGTGAACGTAGTTACAGTACCTGCGTACGGTCAGCCCCATTGCAGCAGTAGACGGAGTGGTACACACTCTTCGGCCTTTGCATAATCCTCCAGCTTGAAAACGTAGATCTCCAGCGCCTGCCGATGCTGTCCCATCTTACTAAAGACGATGGCTCTGGCCTCGAAAAATTCCGAGTCTACAAAGTCAGAATTTAACCCATCGATTCTCATTCCAGAGTCGACTTACCATCCCGATCGAGCTGGTCAAGCAGCTTTGCCGGCGAATACTGTGAGCTCGACTTGAGCATCTCAAGGAATTTTTCTCGCCATTCAACTCGTTCTTCGTCACTGGAGAATTCCCATTCCTTGGTCTTGTCTTTCTTCAGATGTTCCAAGTAGAGGGTGAGCAGCTTCTGGTGGAGATCCGGAGTCATATCATTCAACTCCCCGATAACATGCTCCAGATAGCGAACGGCCAGGTTTGCGTCGATCTTCTGCAGGAAGCCCAAAACGGGTTGTCTCGGCAGGGTCTCCGCGTTTTCAGTGTCCGCTAGGAAGATCTCCATGCCCAGTTCTGGATCCTCGCGGACGGGCCATTCCGCAAACTCAAGAATCAGATCGATATTATCCGGCGGCAGGCTCTGCAGGTAGCCAACCGTCCGTTTCGGGCCACGGAGCTGTGAGCCGTTCTCTTCCTCTGACTCGGCCTGGCCAAATCTCCTGAGAAGCTCCAAGGCCTGGCGATGCAGTTTCTTCCCGTATAGAAAATCAATCAGGTCGTTGTGGCGGCCGGCCTTCTCCAACCATTCCATCACCACATCTGGGTCGCAGAAATTGGCGATCCGGAATAGAGAGCCAGCAAGGAACGGCTTTGCATACATATACGCTCGGAACAGGGTCGTATCGACGAGTCTTGCCTTCTCCCGTAATCTCTCGCCAAAGTCATAGTCGCCACCCTCTTTCGTGACATCTAGCAGTTTCATGACCGAGTCCGTGAACTCGTCGTTCGGCGCGTTATTCACCGGGTCAATCACCTTGAGAGACCCGTCAGGGTTCAAGAAGCGCTGGAATCTCCGCCGAACATCCGCGAGATACCGCTGCAGTTCGTGGGTGGCCTGAATAAGGTCTTTGCCATGGAGCGGTTTGTCACAATGGCCGTCTTCAGTGCGCTTCCCGCGAACGCTACCCGCATCACTCATATCGTCGGTCTTTGTTCGCAGAAAAGACCTGACAGAAGGGGCGTACTTCGATGCAGCATGCTCCTCCGAGTTTGCACCATCCAACTGAGTGTGGCTGTCTTGCGCTTTTGACTGATTATCGCTGCTGCTGTCTTCCGATTCTTCTTCCTCGTGGATAGATGAGAGGTCGCCGGCGATAGTCTTCGGGTATAGCTGAATAACCATCTCTGGCGGTGCCGAAACCTCCGTGAATAAGTCCATGGAATCTTGATACTTGCGCTGGCTAAACAGCCCCTGTGCCTTTTCGAGCTTGATATCACGCAGCCGGCCTTGCTTGTCCCTAAGAAGGGCATCTTCCAGCATACCCGCCAAGCTGATCGCTTCATCGAGATATCCCTTTTCCACAAGGGAGTCGATCTGCGTGTCGTAGCTCAGAGCTTCCATCCGCCAGATCACACGGTCACTGGCCACCAGGAAGCCCTTCCCAGCGTGCGCCAGGCTTATTGTAGGCTGCGGAATATGCAAGATATTCGCCGACGGCAATGGTATCGACTGGAGTAGCGACAGAGTCTCTGGGTTCCTCACCTCCAACACACCCTTTGATGAGTCGTGCAGCGCGAGCAGGAAAGGGTAAGTGTATCCGATATCCGCCGGAGCATGACTCCAAGGGATCTGTCTTCGTCCAAGAGGGCGGCCGTCGAGGTCGATAAACTGCGTGTTAATATCCTTCGCCAACAGCACCTGTCCCTCGCTGAGCCGAGTCGCCAACGGTTTCGGTGCCGCTCCTCCAATCCCGATATAGCTCATGCTAGCGACCCCGACGCCGGTCAGTCGACCCGTCTCGGGGCCTCCAAGACCGCCAATGCTGCCCGGTCCGGACAGCTCCGTCACCGCGCTGTTCTCAATATCCACCATCACGAAGTTCGAGCCGAGTCCGACCACTAGTTTTGTCCCAGAAACCCACGTCAGGGCCTTGATGCCGCTGACCAGGCTCATTTCCGCCGTATCGTTCTCCAGCTCCATGTCGCGCCATGACCAGAGGAGAATCTTCCGCTTGACCGCAACGGCCAGGCGGGACACAATCGACGGGACGCCGGTCTCGGGGTCGCTGACGATGTTCGAGGTCACCGCAAAGGCCGTCGCGCCTTTCGTTCGCGTCAGCTGCTCCTGCAGCTCGTAGGTCTGTAGGTCGTGGATGGAGACGTAGCCGCCCGACAGCGAGACCAGCAGCTTCGCCTCTTTGATCAGGGCGAGCTGCTCGATCTTGTAGCGCGAGAACTTCTCCAGCTCGCGGAGGAGGTCGGTCTGCTTGGGCTTTGCGTTGGCCGTCGCGGGAGTCCCGTGGTCCCGGTCCCCGTTCCGGAGTGTTCCTCCATTCTCGCCTTCGGCCGCGTGGTGGTTATTGGAGTCGGGAGGAGCGTCATTTGGATCGTGGGAGACTTCATTGACACGATAGATGCGTAGACTGCCGTTGTTCAGACCGGCGAGGAGCCGATCCCCGTACGCGAGCACGGATTCGATCCTCGATTTGTCCCGGGGCTTGAGCTCGACGAGGGGCCGAGCTGTGAAGGCAGATAACATGGCTTAGCGGCGAGCTTCCGTGGTGGTCACGCCTCTTCAGCGTCAGCGGATCAGATAGAGGCATGTCCAGGGGAGAAGATCATAGGAGCTGAAGAGCGCAACTACCCATGGTGGTTGGAGCTGCGGCCGTGATCGCCAGAGGGAGTTCCCCGGCTGCCAAGCGATGGTGCTCTTCCTATTGCGTCGTCGCCCGTTGCCGCCCTCATGTGACGCCGCCGCTTCACTTCACCTACCAACAACATGTGGGATTGCCCAGCCTCAATTGATAGAGGAAGAACATGTATACAAATCAAGAAGTAAAATGGAAGGGGATATTTAAGGGGATCTCTCTATATTTGGCCATGTGGTATAAGTAGAAGCGGTAATCTAACTATCTGTTTGCTGAGAACCAGCTTGTCCGACCAAGGGGGAAGGATCCCTAACCACGTGGTATGCACAGCCCTTCTGGTGAAGGTATTGTGGTTCTACATTACTTTTACTACGTATATATCCTACCTTTTTGGAGAGTCGTGGGGTCCAGTACATCAACTAATATGATCTAAGTTGAATTCTAGGGTCTCATACACCACCGCAGCGGTTCTTGTGCCGGGGCTGCTTAAATAAGAAGATAGAAGTAGAAACTAGCTATATACTTGGAGCGAGCGAGTCTGTGTATAGAACCAATAACCTATGCGCGGCATCATCTGAGGTCCCAAGGGTGGACTGTCTCTTCGATGTCATCGACTCTACAACAGACATGCAAAGCAGCCAGAGTGAAGATACTCTTGACTGTTTGTTGGTGAATGGAGTGCTTCCTAACCAGCAACAAACGCAACCACCGTGACTTCCATGCATGATAATAGTTTTTGATATGCAACCTGGAGGAACACCGGACACCGAAGCCACACCGAACCCGAAACTTTTTCTTGGTCACCTCTGATGCTTGGTCGTACAGGAGGTGGAGGGCGTACCGAGCCATCGGAGATCTCCAGGCGGGAAGAAAATGCACAGCGCGCTGCAGAAAAACCGAAAACCCCATCGGCCTGGATGCGAGTTCCCATCTCCGAACATATGAATACGCCGTGGTTCGTCAAGCCCGTAACTCATGCTTTTAACCCCGTGGGGTAATCCTGGTGCTTCGCCGATGTCCCCTTAGCACGCCATGTCGAGACAGCGGGTATATCGGCCTTGAATCGCTGTTCATCCGTGCCGTACGCACGGGGAGTGAGTTTAATCAGCGTATGGAGGGGCACCTCCATCCACGGACTCTGTTCTTGGGGCGTGTTGTGGAAGTAGGCGTAGATGCATCGGAGGACGGCTTGGTGGGTGACGATGATGACATTTTCACTTCGTTCAAGTTCCATGATAATCGGCTCAAGGCGAATGACGACATCGCGGTACGATTCACCGCCGCGGTAGCGGTAGTTGTACTTGTCTTCATCCCGGGCAGCAAAGTCCTCCGGATATTTCTCCGCAATTTGCTCGTAGGTGAGCCCATCGCAAACGCCGGAGTCCAGTTCATCGAGAGCTTTCCACTCCAGCTTCTCGAATCCTGTTTCTGCGGCAAGATGACGAGCGGTCTGGATCGTGCGTTTCAAGGTCGAGGTCCAGATGACAATCTTCGTATCGGGGGGCACTCCGGATTTCTTCATCAGACCGGGAAGGGCTCGCGCATAAGCCTCGCCGCGTTCCGAAATATTGGAATCGCCACCAATCTTTCCGGACAGATTGAATTCCGATTCTCCATGCTGTGACATGTTAGATTTGCGGTCTCCCCATCCACATGCTAGGATCACTCACGCGAGAAAGCCAAATCGAACGGGGCTTGATGTGGAGGTTTTGAATGTAGTAGACGAGTCGGCTGGACAGATAGTCCTTGATCTGGTTGATGATGACAGTGGATCCGACATTGATGAGTTTTACATAGGTATAGTGCTTCTCGTTATCGTCAATGGTTTCGTAGGCCTTTTCGTAATTGCGGATTCGGTTGCGGAAATCAAGAGCCGCAACCTCAGGGTCCTGCCCCTTGTAGTCGGGCGAGGTGGTCTTCACCTCGAGAATATTGTTCATGATTAAGTCCTCGTCGTCGCATATCGACTCAACGAACAGCGCTTCGATGTTGGCGTTGGCGCAACTTTCGTAGATCCAACGCCGGCGTTCTCTGGTGGAATTGGTCGCATCGAGGATGGACACGACTCCCTTTCCGGATGCGAACCATTGAAGCATATCGGCCATAGCTTCTTCGGCCGCGGCTCGTCGCATCTTCTCCCCCTCTGGGTTGTGGGGGTCGAAGAAAGCCGCCGTCGGCTGCGGCGTGTTATGGCGACGATAGCTGCCCACATTGAAGACACGAGCCGGGATACCCACCCAAGCTAGGTAGCGCATGGCTAAATAGAACTTTAGTTAACCAGTAATTATAGCTAGGGGAGGACCACGTACCCTTTCCAGCGATGAGACTCTTGCCTCTGGCTGGGAGACCGACCATGACCACACATATTTTCGTGGAATCTGACTGTAAGCCACATTGTCAGTTATTTATCGCCGAATCCATGTTTGAGTTGCATTAAAATGTGAGATGGTGAGGGAGGCCATCAACGGGTGCAATCCGCCAGTATGAACAGAGAGGCAATGACGACATCGCTTCAAGACCGGCAATCCTCAATCGCCCCAAACAAATACACAATCCTCTATGAAAGAAATGTCCATAGAGCATGACAGAGAGCATATAACTTCAGTTGAGACATAACTTCCTTTCTTCCACAGACATGAAAACCCTCAAAATCGAGCAGTCTTCAAATAGGTCATGGGCACAAAATCGAAGAACCAACAACTTACGCTGGCATAATAGTTGTAACCACCATTACTCTTCCGAATCGCACTCCCAGACGACATGATGGGCAGTTAAAAAAATGACTTTTTTCCCCTCTTGGTCAAATCGGACTTTTGCGCACGAAAGGACGGACTCAGACCTCGGCCAGGGTGGTCGGACCGGACTGAAGCCGGGCAGGCAGTCTTAGGCAGAAAGTAATAGAGTCAGTGAGGGAAAAAGGTGGGTAATAATTCTCAAGACGTGAAAATCGGCGTCTTTTCTTTTCGTTTGTTTTTCAGTTTTTTTTCTCGAGAATCAATTATCTCTGTTTTCCGTTTTTCTTTTTCTGCGTTGCGTCTTTAGTCGGGAACGAGCGAGCCAGACCCGGCGGACTCACGGGGAATTGGCCGGGGACGATAGCAGCGGTAGTAGGTAGTGGCAGTAGTAGTGACGGGATTAGCACATCGGGCGATGCGGTGAAGAAGTGGGAGTCCAGCACAGACGTCATGCCGCGGGGCAATCCAGGAGACCGAGTAGACGAAGGGTAAAACAACCGCCTTCCAGGACGACTGCCAGAACGGAATCCTCAGGCGTTGTTGGAATGACTCTCGAACGATCCAATTCCTCTGGGGAAAGTAAACGGTAGATGCTGGGCCATCGGACGCCTCCTTCCATCCTCCCACGTGATGGTTACGTTTTCGTCGGGTAAAATCGCAGCCGCGTTTTAGTTTAGGGATTTTCTTACTCAATTTTCTGCTCTGGTGACCAGAGATTCCCAATAATAATAGTAATAGTAATTTCTTTTTTCGGTCGAGCGGCGAGTACTTGCATTCCGTATTCATGGTCCTGTCTGTATTGTTTTTTTTCTATCGTCGTATACTCGTTATGTAGATATTTTACTAATCATCCTGTCGATTCATCTCCCATTGACCAGCAAATCACAAAAGGTCAACTATTATCCAACTCGAGCCGTGCTATATGGGACTCTCGGGATGGTTCCCAGGTTCGCCCGGTCGACAGGCGTCCCAAGGGATCATCTTCCCATCAGATAAAGCACAGTCACATGCGGGTAGTATCCGGAGGCATGTATGTCTCGGCTCGTTCCCAAAAAGCCCACCTGGCCAGGACAGCCGGTGGTGAGCCGTGGGGTTTGTTGTTTTTCTCCTTTTTGTTGCGTATCCGGGGTTGACGGGTGTATATCGTCAAGATTCTTGTTGACTTAGACACCCACCGCAACCTCGTTCGTAGATGGGATGCCAGTGGGACGAGCGCTACCCCAGCGGGCCTTTCTTTCTTCAGAGTTGGTGTTGGTCTCGCCGCGAGCTCTCTGCACACGCAGACTGGCACCCCAAGGACCCTCCTTGCCATTCAGAGCATCCATTGCTGTCTGTGCCTCTTCCACGCTGTTGAAGTCGACGAAGAGGTAGTAGTGGTCACCGGGCTCGAACCGCTTCGCGGGGTGGGGAGTGAACTGCTTGCTGATGTTTTCACTAAAGGTCATGGCCATCAGGATATAGTTCAACCAGTAACCGGGCAACAATGGACCTACATGTTATAGCCCTTGAAGAAGTCGGTGATGTTCTGGTTGAGCGTCTCTTGTTCGACCACCTTGGGCAGTCCGCCGACGTACAGGCGACGGCTGGGGTCACTGTTGACCTTGGGAGGCGGGGAGGACACGGGACCGTCATCGCGACGCCACCGGTCGAAGGCAAGAGGTGAGTTCTTGGTGGCGCTGCGAGGAGAGGCATCTGCCCGCGGTTGAGAGCGCTCAGCGGAGGACTTGACCACGCCAGGCCGGATCTTGACCGGACGGCCAAGAATGTCCCGGCCGTCTAGCTCGTTCATGGCCCGTTCGGCCAGTTCTTTTGTCTCCAGATCAACAAAGCAGTAGGAAGGGTTCCGGCCGGTGAAGGGATCGATCGCGATGTCGATCCGCTCGCTATGAAGCACTCAGTCTGGGCCACATCTACACGGAATCTTCTCACCCATACATAGGGAATTCGGCGGCGGAGAACAACGCTTCCACATCCTCCGACTTAGCGGTGTAGGGCATGTTGCCGACGTAGAGGCGTCGTCCTTCGGAGATGGCCTGAGGAACATGTGGGCTGGGTCGACTGAACGCGACCCGGGAGGTATTGGTCTTGGGGCCTGGGGAGCCGGCGGAGGGAGTGCTTGGGCTCTCCTCACCCTTCACGCGCCAGTTGGGAGAATGGAACGCACGGCCTGTCGTTCTGACACCATTTTGCTGGAAGGTCTTGACCGGTGCTACCAGCAGATTAGTGATTCATGAAGCTTTGAAGTTTGATATTGGATCCAGAGCCATTGAGCAGCCCCAAGGTGTACACACTCTGTTGCTGCGGGATGGGACTCTCCGGAGCGTCACCCATTGTGTCGATGTGCTTGGTGATGGCTGTATAAAATTGAGGGCAAGGATAGGTGCGGAGGGGTTGAAACTGTTCCAGAGAAAGGTCATGGTCAGTCTGGCTCGGAGAATTTACAAGTTTCCTAATTTGACAGGACTAGTAGTGGTTCATTACCTCGTGCGATTCGGCGGTAGTTAAGGGTGAGGATGGTGGTGAAAGTCGAAACTGATCACGTAGGGAGGAAATGAATAGTTGACTCCTGGCTCCAGAACCCCGATATCGCGAAATACAGCGCTCAAGTAAACTCTGGACACGAAACTGATGCTGATGCCTGCGTCGAAGAAAAAAAAGCGCGTTTACTTTTTCTGGGCGGGCTATCGCTGCAAACCGCGCAAACCATGCAAACCACAGGCCCGCTGTCTGGTTGGTCCATTAGCGAATGCGATTTTTCTCCGTCCGCTATAAAAGGCGGCTTTCTTTTTCTTTCTTTTCCCCTTTTCTCTTTTCTTCCCAGCTTCATTCTCTTCCCAGGAGAAGTCATTGCTTAATGCTGCAAGACTCTCCTGGAGTATGGTCTCCTCGATTTAGAAGAGCAGAAGGATATCCAATATTCCCCTGAGTAGCTTTCTGAATTGCGCGTTTCGCCATATTACGACACAATTGAAGCTATCGCGAGATCAAATGGCGATCTCCGAATAGCATCCCTTTGTTTCCCCTTGTCACTCTCACTTCGAATGATGAAGCAAGATTTCACACAGACCTGTTCCGAGCTTAAACCGTGCGGATCAACAATCGTTCCAACTGCTGTCTGACGAAGTGTCCCTTCCCTGTTCTTGTTATCGAATATACCCTAGCATTTGAATGAAAATTCTCATCGAACTTTGCTTTGCGCGTAATTTCTCCCACGTATGTCTTGACTTCTCACAACCTGCTGCTGTAAGTCTTGCCTTTAGGAAGGTGACATCGACATCGATCCGCTGTCATGGCTGTATGGATGGGGCTATCATTGTCCCTGGGAGCTGCAGTCTTGTCAGTTTGACGTTGCTGGTGACATCATGCCGGATTATACCTTTGGAGCTTTGGAGTAGATCCTCACTCACCTAAGTACATCTGTAGTTCCGCATGAGGATATCGATGGAACCCTTCCTGTCCAGATGACAGATGATAAATATTCTTTCCCTTCAACCGCCTGATGGATTGGTTCCATCCCCAGATCATCGCCGTCGCTTACTACTTCTTCTGTTGCGGGGTCCCTCTACCACCGTCGGATCGCGTTCCGTGCACGTCGGATACTATCCAGCACCTCTGATTACGCACCCTTGGTACCACTTGGCTGAATGCTCTTCGGCCGCGTGCAGCCTCCTTTATTATTCATCTTCCGACAGCGGCTCAGGGCGACTTCCGGTCGGATGTTGCGGCCCCGATCTGGTGAACGAGGCCGGTCTCAACATCGGTGATGTGCTTCTTCCCCGCATGCCAGAGGGACGCAACGAATGCGACAGAATGCTCCGATTGTCTGTACTACGTGCCTCTGTATAGGCTGCTGAAAAGCTGCAAGGGATATAAGTGGAATATTCCTCTTCTAAACCCCTGCGCTGCTCGTTGTTGGATAACCTGCCATGTTGGTACTCCGTTTGAGGGACTATGACACCTGCGTTCCCCACATCACCGTCGGAACTGGGGATGGTGATGGTTCCATGTTCCAACAACCGCAGTCCTGCCAGGAAGCGGATCAACGTCTCGATTCTTCGGAAGTACGGCACCAGATTCTTGGTTCACTCTCACTCAGCTGTGTATAAAGCGTGGACATCTCCCTCCTCACTCAAGATGTCTATTCCTCCCTTCCCACACCCAAGACCCCCCGCACATTGCATATCTCCCTAACCTTCACCTCCCTCATCATGCTCGGAAAGATTGCGCTCGAGGAAGCCTTTGCGCTCCCCCGCTTCGAGGAGAAGACTCGCTGGTGGGCTAGTCTCTTCTCGACCGATGCGGAGACCCATGTCCGCGAAATCACCGACATCAACAAGATCCGTATCGAGCATGCCGACAAGCATGGTGTCGGCTACCAGATCCTCTCGTACACGGCTCCCGGTGTCCAGGACATTTGGGACCCTGTTGAGGCTCAGGCGCTGGCCGTCGAGATCAACGACTATATTGCCGAGCAAGTCAAAGCCAACCCTGACCGGTTTGGCGCATTCGCGTAGGTACCTTTCAACGTCTCCCACCCACTCACCCACTGACATATTCCTCTAGCACCCTCTCCATGCACAACCCCAAGGAAGCAGCCGACGAGCTCCGTCGCTGCGTCGAGAAATACGGATTCAAGGGTGCTCTCGTCAACGACACGCAGCGCGCCGGTCCCGACGGCGACCAAATGATCTTCTACGACAACGCCGACTGGGACATCTTCTGGCAGACCTGCACCGAGCTCGACGTGCCCTTCTACCTGCACCCGCGCAACCCCACCGGCACCATCTACGACCGGCTCTGGGCCGACCGCAAGTGGCTCGTCGGCCCGCCGCTGTCCTTCGCCGCCGGCGTCTCGCTGCACGTCCTGGGCATGGTCACCAACGGCGTCTTCGACCGCAACCCCAAGCTGCAGATCATCATGGGCCATCTCGGCGAGCACGTCCCCTTTGACTTGTGGCGCATCAACCACTGGTTCGAGGACCGCAAGAAGCTCCTCGGCCTGGCGGAGACCTGCAAGAAGACTATCCGCGAGTACTTCGCCCAGAACATCTGGATCACCACCTCCGGCCACTTCTCCACCACCACTCTCAACTTCTGCATGGCCGAAGTCGGCGCCGACCGCATCCTCTTCTCCATCGACTACCCGTTCGAGACGTTCTCCGATGCGTGCGACTGGTTCGACAACGCCGAGCTGAACATCCCCGATCGGTTGAAGATCGGGCGCGAGAACGCGAAGAAGCTGTTCAAGCTGGGGCCGTACAAGGATAGCGAGGCATAGATGGGCGTTGTCATGTTACTCTTCATGTTGCTACGATTGTCACTTTACCATGTATTCTTCACGCCACGCATGTCATTTCCACTCAAAAGTAAACTCCTTATGGTCAAGTAAACATCCATAACTCCATCTTGCCTAATACATGCATGCACAGCGCACGGGTATCGATCATCTATCATTCCTTCGTGACATCGTAAAGGCAGCGCGCACATAGTTCCGTTCCTCTCGATCCATCAATAGCCAAGCATATCGCACCTCCATCAGTCAAGCCCATTCATCATCACAAACTCCTCAAGCACGACGCCGCACCTGCCGACACGCCTGGAGATAAGCCCGCTCACGCACCATCTGCGCCTGCGCCTCGCGCTCCCTCTCCGCCGCCGCCGCCGCCGCCTGCTCCATCTCGTACTCATACTGACGGACCTCCTCGTCCCAGATCTGCTGGGGGTTGAGCACCAGCGCCGCGGCAGGGCCCACGTAGCGGCGGTGGGTGTCCTCGTGGATATCGACCCAGCGCTCGTAGTCCATGACGATGCGGCCGAGGGTGCTCCAGATGCCGACGACGATGCGACACAGCTCGACGCGGAAGACGTTCATGTCGTCGTCGTGCAGGTTCTGGTGCTGGCGCACGATCAGGAAGTCGTCGTACACGAGCGCCTCGAACAGCCGCAGCGTGCACAGGAGCAGCTCGCGGTCCGGGTCGCGGCGCACCTTGGTGCTTCTGTGCGAGGTGCGGGTTAGTGGGGTGTTGTCTGTGTTTGTGTGAGCTGGGGGAGGGGGCAGCACGCACTGGATCATGATGCCGGCGATGTCTGCATAGCGCTGGTAGCTGGGGATGGCGTCCGCGTGGAAGATGCGCCGCACCTGCTCGCGGTTCTGGTCGGCTGCACAGTGCTCCTTGTAGATCGCCTGCGAGAGGTGCGTGATGTACCGGACCAGCGGCTGGGTTAGGATTTCGAGTTCCGCTAGCACGTCGGCGCCGAGGAAGTCGCGGCGGTTCAGTTCGGTGTCGGCGAAGAGCGTGCGCTCGATGGACACGAAGGCCTCGGCGTACTGGAGGAAGCGCAGTCTGATCTCGGGCTTCAGAGTTTGGTGGCAGAGCACGAGGCGCATCTCGGTCAGACGCTGGATCTTGGTGCTTTCGGGCACGGGGTTCTGGTTCGGTTCCCATTTGAAGTAGCTACGCGGGCTGTTGGCGCGCGCGGGCTGAGGGGACGTAGGGTTGGAGGAGGTTGCTGCGTTGGATGTTTCTTCGTCGTTCTCGCTGCTTGGGCTGTTTCTGGGTGCGACGAGAGGAGGCGGCGAGGTGCCTTTGCAGACTTTGTAGATGGTTTCGCCCTGGGCAATGGCCTCTGTCTCGAGAGTGGAGATGGGGACGTTGATGTCGTTGTCGCCGTGGAGGAGTTTGAGGTACTCAGGCAGGTAGATGGGACAGCAGGCGATTCTTGCGTCGATGGCCCTGAACCGGTTGACTTCCTGGGCCGTCATGAAGACCGCGTATTCATACTGTTGCTCGTAGTCTGGGTCTGGCAAGTTGGCCCCCGTTTCGCAGGACTCGTAGTAGTCAGGGAACGGCTCTGTGGTGCTGGACTCGGAGGAGCTGCCTTCGACATGTGTCTTGTCTGCGGTGGGAGCCGGGGTGGGAGTGCTACTGCGGCTGGATGAGGTGCCGATGAAGCTCGAGGGAAAGCCCTTGGCGACGTATCCATCCTCGTCTTCCGAGTCAGACTGTTCAGCACGGTTCATCTCTTCCTCCATGGCTTCTGCGACTGCGTCGACCAGTTTTCCCTGATCTGTCCGGTAGATACCAAGACCGATATCAAGATCACTGTCCCCGTGCTTGAGCTCTTTGACAGGTCGAGATTGGGCCTTGAGGCAGTTCACACTGAACGCGTAGAGGTTAGATAGATTGTGACGGATGTTTTTTAGGTTCACACGAGGGTCAATGGAGGGAAGAGGGGATCTGGGAACACCAGCAGCCAGGACTCTGCCAGCGGTGACGTAGATGTTCGCAGACATTGTGTGAGCTCGCACGTTACAAGTATCAGATCAAACATACACAAAAGGAGACAACGGCACGAAAGCAACGTAGAGCGTAGCAAGAGACAACGTAACGGAACAGAAGATAGGAAGAGGGAGAAAGAGAGAAAGAAGACAGAAAGGTCGATCATGGCAGGGTCGTTATAAAGCATTTGGAATCTTCTCACTGATCTATACGTACCTTGAGTGTGCATTCACAAGCTGGGGACTGCCTCTATACAACATATATTGGTGGCGAATTTCTTCTTCACTCACAGTGTTGGTGGCCTGGGCCTGTCTTTGTCCTGCATGATATCAACGCAGACTCTCTCCGTGAATAACAGAACGTCCTGATCACGGGTCTTTCTATAAAAAAGATTGGATCTTGCCGTGAACGAGAGATATGAGCGTGACTGGATATAGAAGCTGCGTGAATGCCACCCTATCTTTGACTGTAGGTGATGCCAGTGGTTTTGATATATTGTAAGAGGAGACGATGACAGTCAGAAGTCAGCCTGCTCGCTTATACCATAATGATGATGTATGGATGAGAGCAGCCTAAGATACTCTCGACCTCATGTAGTTTCCCATGAGGAGGGGAAAGCATTCTCTTCCTCATGATGCATAGATGCCTCAATCAGTGATCATGATCAGAAGTATATAAAACATCTCGGGTATAGCTTCAGTATAGTATAGTCAGATCAAAATGCATGTGTATGGAACAGCCAACAACATTTCAGATGCTTCGCTACCCTACGTCACTACCAAACAACCCGGAATGGAACCTATTCAACTTACACCACCGCGAAGGCCATCGCGAGGTCATTCTGAATTACCTATTCCTAATACTAAAGCTTCATGTACCGCATGCAATCCAAAACGCTCACTACTTGAAGCGCCTAAACTGATCAAACTATGCAGCACGACCCTCCCTCTGGATTCGCCTGAGAAGTAAAGCTGGTCCTGAGGACAGAACAAAACGCTCCGTCCCAAGTCCCGGCTTTTCAGACAGATCCAGAAGTTAGCAAGGGTCAAGATCATTCTTCGCACATTGACTGATTGGCACGTCATTGAAGGAGCGTGACAACTCAAAGTTGTGCGACACCCGGCCACAAATAAAGCACGAGTACAGACAACAAGATCAATCATCCTTTTTACGTTGCTGCGGATCTTCCGTCGATGAAGTAGCATCATCCTCATCTTCGTCGTCCGGCAGCGGGACATCCATGACGCGTTCCCCAGCATGTTGCAGCGTCCTCCCACTCCAGGACCGTACTCCTTTGAATACAGTCTGCGGATCATTAGACGCTGATCACCACTCGGCCACGGACATGACTTACCCAGAGGAACGTGACGACGCCAACCAAAATGACCATCCAACTGATCGAGGCGACTCGGTTCCGGCCAGTGGTCCTGCCATTGCCGAAGACGACAGAGCTTCGAGTGTTGAAAAAGTTCCAGGGAGAAAGGGCAAACATGGCCTTGATGAACGACAATACGCCTAGGGAGGCTAGTCCTTTAGCAAAATGCTCGACCCAGGAAGAGGTCTCGTCGGCCGGCAACACCGGGTCGGGTTCCAAAATGTCCGAGTAGATGGCTCCCACAGGGTCGAGGTAATAGTTTAGGATCGGGTCAGCAACAAAACCAAGCAGAAATACGGTACAAATTAAGATCACCACGGTCAGGGCGAGCTGGGCGAGAGTACTACCGATCCAGTGCGCCCATTTCAGACGATCCAGTCGATACTGAAAGCCACAGGTCGGACATTGCCAGTAGTTTCTCTTCCCATAGCCGGGATCGGCGTGGCGCCAGGCCTGAAGGCAACCCTCGTGGACATAACGCGAGGACCCTTTGCACTTGCAGGGACGAAGAAGTCGGCCGAGCTCCGGATCGGACGACTCGTACACGACTCTCAGCTTAGCTTGGAGGAAGTCTGGAAGGTTTTCGGAGGGAGGGACCACTGTGGGCAGAACCGTTTCCAGGCAGATCCGACACATGCGAGGTGGGTAATGCTTCCTGGGAGCTTCCGGTTCTTCATTCGGAGCGTGATTGGGATGCTCTGAGTCTTCTAGGCTTGGTTCAGGGTCTGGGGTAGTAGTGGGAGATTCAGATGGCCACTGCCAGAGTGGCTCACTGTGCAAGTCCATTCTGCAGGGTAATGCTATTGCCTAGGGGAGGTCATAATAGGACAAACCAGGTCTACCAGCGACCTGGAGGAATGGAGTGTGACTGAGAGGTGGGTGGGTGAGTGCTGAGCGATACCTCAAGGTAAGGTATGAGACGAGGCAGGGAGAAGGATGAGACTGAGGAAGAATAGGAAGAGAAAAAAACTCCGGATGTGTGTGGGTGGAGAGAAAAAGAAGGAGAGAGAAAGAACCGCACTAGCCGCTCGTCTAAGTGTCACCGCCTTAGCCGCGGCTTGGCGGCCGAACCGCAGCTGGCGTCAACATCTTGTCGCCTGCTACGTTGGAACTCCTCCACAGCTCCCTCCCTTCGCTTCCTCTGTTTCTATCTCGCATTGCTCTTCCTCCATCTTTCACCTCACCTGCCGTCTATCTCATAGCTACTGGAGCTGAACAGACGACTCCATGGCTGACCGTTATTCCTTCTCCCTGACGACCTTCTCCCCCAGGTAAGAGAGCTCTCCACCGGCTTTCTCCGACGTCAGCTAACATTGTATGCAGCGGGAAACTGGTCCAGATTGGTAGGACCATCTATCTCGAATGTATTTCGAGCTATTTTAGCTAATACATGTATAGAATATGCCTTGAATGCTGTCAACCAGGGTGTCACTGCCCTCGGAATCAAAGGTATGAGCTCATATCGCCCTTAGCTATCTCAGCTACACGGACGTCCAACTCACACCTTCCCCCTGATAATCAGCTACCAACGGCATTGTTCTGGCCACCGAAAAGAAGTCTTCCTCTCCCCTGATCGACCCTCCTTCCCTCTCTAAGATCTCCCTCATCACGCCGGACATTGGTATGGTCTACGCTGGCATGGGCCCCGACTACCGCGTCCTTGTCGACAAAGCCCGCAAGGTCTCTCACACCGGTTATAAGCGCATCTACAACGAGTACCCGCCTACTCGGATATTAGTGCAAGACGTTGCCCGCGTTGTGCAAGAGGCCACACAATCCGGTGGTGTTCGACCGTACGGTGTCAGTTTGCTCATTGCGGGTTGGGACGAGGGTGTCGAGCCAGAGTCCGAACAGGCGCAGCGAGGCTCTGGCGAAGATGAACCGAAAAAGGCAACCGGAAAGACTGGTGGCATTCTGAAAGGTGGTCCGAGCTTGTACCAGGTCGACCCTAGCGGCAGCTATTACCCGTGGAAGGCAACGGCCATTGGCAAGCATGCTACAAGCGCAAAGACCTTCCTTGAGAAACGTTACACTGAGGGGCTGGAGTTGGAAGACGCGATCCATATCGCTCTGCTCACGCTGAAGGAGACCATCGAGGGGGAGATGAATGGTGACACCATCGAGATCGGTAGGTTCATGTCCACGTTGCTGTCTGTGTGATCAAGGTTTACTTACCAGCTCTAGGTATTGTTGGTCCTCCTGCCGATCACCTGCTCGGTTACGAGGGCGTCGAAGGCTCCCGGGGACCCCGGTTTAGAAAGTTGACCAAAGAGGAGATTGAGGACTACCTGACCAACCTGTGATCCTGCACGGATGTGCGATATGTGTGAGCCTCGATCAGGATAGACGTTGGCGGTCTGACGAGGCTTCGCGACATGGCCGCTTTGCCTCACGGCTTGGCTCTTGTGAATGATGACTATCGAGGCGGGTTCCCTTCTCGCCAAGTAATGCTCGTGAAATAAATAAATTACCGTCTGCAATGAAAACGTCTTAGATGCAATTGAACCCTGTTATTTCGGTACTACCTAGGACACTACCGTATTGTACGGCTTTGCACTGCCCGCTCCAGGGGTTGGAACTTGACGATCTAACTACTCTGTCGGCTCAATTTTCTTTGTTCTGACTCGATCTTTGTCCAAAGATTGGGTTCCCAACGCACGCCCCCACTCTCTCACAGCTTACTCGTGGTTGATGCGAAGAGAGTCGCTGATGCAGATACCACCATCCCAGTCCAGATCCATACCGCCAGACACTTGTCCGCGGGTTTCCCCTTTTACTGCTCAATCAAAGTGAACAAGGATGGCACTGGAAAGCACTAGTTTTGTGCAACATCCCTTATTAGACTAACGGTTCCCGCTGATCATCATATTTGATAGCTGTGCAACCTGAAATCGGGCTGCAGCGCAGTGGACCTACCTCAACTTACATCCAAGTACCATGTGTGTCTCCTTCGGATCCCCTGTTCAGACAGCAAGTATGGGAGATCTGTTCGTCTAGCGGTCATTCTGTCAGCCATCATCACCCCATCAGCTACCAGGTACACCAACTTTGAACGCTCTTGTTGTGGGGTGCTCAATTTTGCTAATCGATTGGGGCGACACTTTGGGTGAATTGGCATATTAACCATCTTCCGGCTCCCCTTCCGCTGCAAGGATGCAAGTGGGTGACGCGAGCATAAAGCCTCACAGTCACACAGTTACTTCCCAGCCAGCTGTGCACGAGATCATCCTCATCCTGACTGCCATATCCTGCTATAATGCGGTCGAACTCTTAGTCCTCCTCTCATCTACCTTCCGCCAGCGGAGAGGCCTCTATTTCTGGAGTCTGCTCCTCTCGAATTGCCTAGGCGTGTTGCCCCTGGCGTTGGCTAACGCCTCGTGTCTGTTCGTCCCCAATAGCACTCTATTCAATGGCGCTATTGCACCCGCGATGTTACTCATGATCACCGGTCAGTCGCTGGTCTTGTATTCCCGGCTGCATCTGGTGCTATATGATAGATGCATCCTTTGCGGCGTGCTCTTGATGATCGTCGCCTCCTGCCTTTTGCTCGAGATCCCTGCCACAGTGGTTGCATCTGCGTATATTTACAGCAAGAACCATTCACCTTCCAACGCGGACAGACAGGCCCACTTTTTGGGCCTCTACAAGGTGATGGGGAAGATTGCGGCGACAGGCGTTACGCTACAGGAGATCGTCATTTCGAGTCTCTATATCCGGGAAACGATTAAGCTCCTTTGCCTCAACCCCAGCCGGTCGAGCTACCGCATCATGCGTCGACTGATTGCGATCAATGCTCTCATGATTCTGATGGATTTGACGACTTTATCGTTGGAATATGCAAATCTGTGGTACTTGAAAACGACCCTAATGGCGACGTTCGACAGCATCAAGCTCAAACTGGAGTTTGCCGTCTTGAGCAAGCTCGTCGAGGTCGTGCAGGCACACCGACAGCCAATGGTCGTCGAAAATGCTCTTTGTCCTCTAGAGACCGAGTCATGCATCCCGATGGCGACAGCGCGGTATTCCATTTCACGGGACCTGCAGTCTGTCAGGCCGAGAGATACCCACTGGCCATAGAGCACACGGGCGGGATTGCACTATTCATACATGTATATACATTCAGCAAGCGGAGTACAAATCACTATCCTGACTGGACAGATCGATTCCGCAGTTCACTGCACGTGGTGACCGAGTTGTAGGAAGCTCAGATGCAGCTACTCGTCTCCCTCAAGCAACCCGGCATCATCCCCCTCCGTCCACCCGAACTCCCCGTCCGAATCATCTTCATCCTGGCTATCAGCGATTTCGTCAACTTTTCGCTTCCTCTGGTTAGCCGAGGGGACATCAACCGGTTCGTCCGCCACCGCACAAGGGGCCGGCGTCTCGTCCAATGCATACAAGCCGTCCTGTTCACCATCTTGTAAGCACTACCCAAACCCACAAATCAATCACGCAAGGGGAGATAAAACGCACCGATTCAACCCGAAAGGGAACAATGTTCTCCTCCGCCCGAACAGCCAACAACCGCCCAGCTCGTTTCGTCACCTCGGCAAACCGCGTCGCACGCGGCGCTCCATCCGCGTCTTCTCCGTCTCCCGTCGAAAAATCCCAGTAGAGCACGATCCGCGTGTACACGCTCGCTTCCCAGGCTCCGCCCGCAAGAACAGGACACAGCGTCGCGCGCGGATGGCCGCGGATCTTGGTGTGCGCCTGGTTCACGGTGAGGACGGCCAGACGGCGCGTTGTCGCCAGTCGCACGAGGCTGCTGGCCAGCTCGCTCAGCACGTTCCATTTGCGGTTCGTGAGCCAGTGGATTTGCGCTTTGTCGGTGACTTTGGACTGTGCCAGGCGGGCGCGCAGCTCGGACGGGTTCGGGAAGTAGGGTGGGAATAGCGCTGAGGCGGAGTCGATGATGAGGAGTTTGGTTTCCTCTGGGGGGAAGTCTTGTGGTGGGTGGAGGATGAGAGCTAGGAGATGCGGGAGCGTCGGGGCGCGCAGGTAGACCAGGTTGTTTGCGAGGTCGTCGGGCGTTTGCTTGGATGACGTTTTGTTGGTGGATTTTAGGAGCATCTCCCGCAGTCGTGGTCGGGGCAGGGGAGAGCCCGTATCTGGCGGTGTTAGGAGGGGGTTTACATGTTGGTGTAGGCTGAGTCGTACCAATCCAGACGACCTTTCCTGGTCCTTCTTCCTGCAGTGCATTGCAGGCAAGGCTCAATCTACGGTAGGTTAGTTGATGATCTGATCTACGACGCGCCGTGCTTACGCGAGAGACGTCTTGCCCACGCCCGGAGGCCCAAAGACTTCCGTCACATGGCCGCGAGGGATGCCTTTCGTCGCAGGGACAGAGTCCGATGCTGTCTCATCTGTAGAACGAGGACAGATCGCCTCGTCCAGTCGGGGAATCCCCGTCGAGATGGCGCCCGGGGTTGACGCGGTTGACGCGTGCAGAGACTGGGACGCCGGGAAGGAGACCACGCGACCTGCACTGGTTAGCATTTCGATCCAGTAGGCGCTTGATTGTAAATTCGCAAGGTGTTCGGAGGCTCCACTTACGGGGTTCCTGGCTGGAGAGGCCGAGGAAGTCCTGTCGGATCATGATGGGGTTCACTCCCACGGGTCGCGTCAAAATGTTATGGCTGGACGGATGCACTGCGACGCGACCATGTCCTCATTTTGAGGATGGGATAGGTCAAGAATGAGAGAGGGTAGGGGGGCTTAGGAGGGTAAATAATAAATACGGCGTACTCCGTACTTGTGAGGCGAAGTTGAATTCGGAAAATCGGCGGGTCCAGAAGGCTTATCAGATCGAATTTTCCCTGCCAGATCTAAGCTTATTCTCCTGCACTACTCCATACCAGGTACCTGGTACTATCAGGATCTTCATGTTCAATTCTAGCATCCCCTTTCATCTCTCACTGCCCGTCATATCCATCCCTCATGTAAACGTCTCCTTCCCCCCAGCCATATACTGGCTGAGTATCCTGCCCGTCGCCATCCTCCTGCTCCAATTCCACCGTCCGCAGGTCCGCCCACAAGGCTGTCGCAAGCTGGGCCTCTCCCCAGCGCAATCCAATCTCCGCGATGAATACGACCCCAAATACACCCAGGGCGTCCCCTCCACACAGAGAGACGAACAAGGCCGTCCCGCCTGGCGCATCAAAGCGCTCTTCACCTTCCCCATCAAAAGCTGCGCCGAGGTTGAGCTCGACGTCGCCGACGTAGTTGCAACCGGACTCGCGCACGACCGCCAATTCTGCTTCGCCGAGTACATTACCCCGAGTCCGTCCCCATCCTCGCAGCCGTCGCAGCAGCAACAACCCTACTGGACCGCGCGCACCATGCGCGACGGCGAATTCAGCAAGCTCGCCCTCATCCGCCCGGAGATCTGGGTCCCCGATCCCACGGCACCAGACTACGCGCCGGATCTCGACGAAGTACGTTCTCACGGCGTCCTCATCGTGCACTACCCGCGCGTCCCCCGCAATACCCTACATGCCCTTCTCCTCCGCTGCGCGGCGTCATTACACCTCCTCCCCACGGAGCTATCCTTCACCGTCCCCCTCATACCCCCGTCTCCAACCCGCTACCCCTCCACCGCGGTCAAAATCTGGAAAGACATCCCACTAGCTTGGGACTACGGCGAACACCTCCCGCCGTCACTGCGCGCATTCCTCACCGCCAACAGCGGAGGCCGCACCCGCGGCCCCATCACCCTCTTCCGCGCGCACCCCGCCCACCCGCGCGAGATCTTCCGCTGCGCCCCGCGCAAGGAAGATGTCGGCTTCCAGCCCGTGACGGCCTTCGCGGATGCATACCCGCTGCATCTGCTCAACCTGGCCAGCGTGCGCGACGTCGCGCGCCGCTGCGTCGGTGATATCCCGCGGTTGAGTGTGCGGCGGTTTCGCGCGAATGTGCTTGTGCAGGGGCCGCCGGCGTTTGCGGAGGACGCGTGGAAGCGGATTCGGGTGTGTGGGCCGGCGGTGGTGGGAACGGGTGAGGGCCTCGAGATCTATGCCTCGTGTCGGACGATGCGGTGTAAGTTGCCCAATGTCGATCCCGATACCGGGGTCAGACATCCTGCGGAGCCGGACCGCACGTTGAAGAGTTACCGCCGCATTGACCCCGGGGATTATTCGAATGCGGCGCTGGGGATGCAGCTTGTGCCTGTGGCGAGGGGTAAGTAACTATCTAGGTCCCTTGTGTTGTGGTGGCGTGCTGACCTGACCTGCTTGTAGAGTTTACGCTGCGCGTGGGGGATGCGGTTGAAGTGCTGGAGACTGGGGAGCATTTTTATATCAAGATGCTTGCGCCGGGGGAGAAGGTTGAGGGGGTGTGACCTGTGTATTATATCCTGTATGCTTCTATGTACTGGTTGGTTGGTTGGTAGTACTTCTGGATAGAGTACGATGGATGGGTATCTTATTGCCTCGCAGAGGATATTAAACTAATAAACTATACAGCCCGCACCTGAGTCTCCTCCTTGTCTGTCTTGAAAGGCGTGGGGGTCTCGGTAGAGTCACCCGCATCACTCCGGGGGAGGCCCAAAAGAGCCGCCTCCTCATCCGGATCTTCCGGCAGCAGCAGGTTGAGAATCAACCCCAGAAACGCCGTCACAGCAAACCCGTTCTCCATGACCAGCTCGACTGCCTGCAGCAGACCCTCCAGGGCGTGGTTGTCGCCGTCGTACGTGAAAAAGTACGAGAACCATTCCGGCACCAGCGTGGCCGCCATCCCCACGGCAAACGAGGCGGTCAGGATGAAACGGTTCCGCCGGGTGAACGGAATGTGGGAGACGATGCGCACGCCGGAGATGGCGACAGACGAGAAGAGGAACGTGGTCATGCCGCCGAGGACGGGCTTGGGGATGGCGATGAGGGCGGCGGCGAACTTGGCGAAGATGCCCATGACGACGAGGAAGAGGCAGCAGCAGTAGCCGGCCTTGCGGTTGGCGCACTTGGTCAGCGCGATGACGCCGTTGTTCTGCGCGAACACGGACATCGGTGTGATGGTCGCCAGGCCGGCGATCAGACAGGTGACGCCGTTACCCAGGACACCGCCCTGGATGCGCGAGTCGAAGTTGGGGCCCTCGACCTCGACCTGCGAGACGTCGCAGGTGGCGGTGATGTCGCCGATGGACTCCATCATGATGACGATGTAGACGGCGAGGAGCGGTAGGATCAGCGGCGGGTAGAGGTGCAGCGGGAACGTCCGGACCCAGAGGAAGGAGGCGACGGGGGCCTCGTCGATGCCGGAGCGATCAAAGTACCCGCAGGCGGCCGCCACGATGCATCCGACCAGCAGACCGATCACGACGGCGCAGGATTTCATAATGGGCGATCCGAACCGCTCGCACAAGATGATGGACACGAATACCAGGAACCCAAGACCGATGAACTCGGCACTGCCCCATGGGAGAGCGTGCGGGGCGTCCGCGCTGGGACACAGGTTGCGCGCCGAGGGATCGTCCCCACAGCCTCCTGAGCCGCCAGCCCAGTCCATCATCCCACTCTTAATGAGCGAGACTCCGATGAGAAGCACCGTCGGGCCAGTCACCAAGGGAGGGAAGAGACGTTTGAGAATGCGAGGGCTGAGGAAGGAGAGGCCGATTTCGAGCAAGGAGCAGAGACACGAGGTGGCCAGAAGCGCACCGTAGCCTTTGGGACAAGGCAACCGCGTATCTCCATCCATGGGACAGTAGCCTGTCGAGTACATCTGCTCAAAGGTGCCTGTCGCGACTGTGATGGTGGCGAAGGAGGTGCCGACGACGGAGATAAGGCCCGTTCCAATATAGTAACGAGTTTTTGTAACGTGCAAGCGCGCCATCTGCAGGGCGGAGAGCAGTCCGGAGGCAATCAATGACGCCGAAACCAGGTACTGGTAGTCTTCTTCACCAAAGTTGACACCACCAGAACCGCCGAGGATGATGGGAGGAGCGATGACTATGTCGTTAGTCGGGACCAACGCTATGGATGGATGGAGGACACACCTCCCGCCAACATGGCCAGGGCATGTTGTAAGCCTAAGAGCAGGGCCAGGAACACCGGGACCTTGTCTTCCAGGCCGAAGAACGGGGCTGTACTCCGGGTTTTGGACAGGAAAGGAATTCGCGGGGTGAAGAGAAAGGCATAGTCGTAGTCTCCGAGTAACCCTTCTCTGTAGAGGATTAGCAATGGCCATGACGGGAGTCAATTCACTAATGATCACCTACCGAGTGGTGAAAGTCTTCTTGATTCGACGAGCCTGGTCTGCCAAGGTTCGCTTGGGACGAAAATCCGGGCCAATCTGATCTGGGCCGTCCATCGTGGTAGTGTTGCAAGTCGTGAGACGAAGTTCCAAAGACTGTATAGCCTTGAACACAATAGCTCCTCACGAGGAGGTCAGAGAGCGATTCGGTCACTCGGACAAAGTCGGCGATGGCGACCGGCTGCAAGGGATCTGAGTCGGTGTCACGACGGACGTTGCAATGGATTGGATCTGGAGATGCGGGGATATGGTCTTCGATCTGGAGGACATGAAAGTGTTTTATATGAAGAGGACGCCATGTCGGTACCAGAGACGGGAGGGTGAAGCGATAATGTGACTGGCGATGGCTATCAGCGATGCGTCAATCAATCGAATAATTCGATTATCGGCGAGTCTATCGCCATCTAAGCGGGGGTTTAGTGTGAACGCGATCCATGGCTGGTCGGATCTTGGCGGCACTCCAGTGGACCCCCTGATAAGAGAGCTTCCGCGTGTCCACGCCCCCAATTTCCACGAACTCAGCCCAAAGTCTTATCTGTGTCTGCTTGACGGGCACCGCCGAACTCCTGTATGGAGGCGGGAGAGGCTGATGGCTCAGGGCTGAGCCGCCAAGATATCGAAAAAAAAAAAAAAACGCTCGTGAACTGAAGGTTTGAACGAGAGAGCAGAGCATTCAACATGTGCTCTATCGAACCCTGTCTAAACATGAGCATCAAGAGTCTATCGTTGGAGGAAATAATGGAGACACATGGAGACAAGCCGGTCTTCCAGAAGAGCGACGGTTGCCTCTTTGGGACTAGCCCGAGACAATGTTAGTCATAGAAATCCTCCATTGGCCGAAGGATTCTTTTGACGGTTTATTGTGACTAACAGTTTCTTCTATAGTTACATACCTACTGTAGTCTGCGTTTTACCTAGGCAATGGAATAATTGCAGGTGATTCAAGTCTGTCTTTGTTGTTGACATTGATATGAATTGGAGCATGGAGTTTCATGAGGATATATCACTGGGAGTTATACGATTGTCCGGTTGTATACGTACTAGAGCTGCAGGTGCGCTGCTGGATTTTATATCTCTGCATCATGACCAAACAACTCAAATGCATGGATCCAGACTAGCGAAGATAGACCATGTATGTACAATATCGTGGAGACCCAGTAGTTTAAATCATATACACTCTGTTACAGTCCTTTAACATAGTAATATGAAAAGTGGGCACAACGATTGGACAAGAGTTGAGTGATAGGCCAACGATACCATGATCCACTACCGAGCCGGTCACAGAAATGGCCTACTTCAAGGATTGGAAATATATCAGGGGCATGGAAGTATGTACATGGTCGGAAGACAGTCAAACATGGCTGGTTTAAAGGTGCCACTATGCCCCGTTTCGATGAGTACCTATGAACATGACCTCTCATGAGACCGACTCGGAAGTGTCAAGACTCCCATTGCGATCTGAATTGAGACACTTGGCTTTCGACAACCAGAAATCAACAACAAGTACCACCCATTAACAAATGTTAGAATGGGAATTGACGCTCACCATAAGGTATCTTCCTCTACTCCATACTAACGACCAATGCGGCCACTGGTATTAGTACACTGTGGAGGTGTTGGATAAAGTTAAGGGTGTTAGATTTGCCCACGACCCACACGTCCCGTCGATGATCCGGCTTCAGTCCTTTGGCGTTTCAACGCAGTGTAGAGGCTGTTGCCAGTGGAAAGGGTCGCAGTGTTCCAATTATTGTTGCTTCTGTGTCATCACTCCTAGCCAACAGGAACGCAATACAAGATAAATATCCACGGCAACACCCATAACAGCAACCATGGTTTTTCAACTACTGCAGCGTAGCTGAGTATACGTTTCTCATCGATTTCTGTGGTTTCACCAACATCTCAGTAGAGCAGTACTCCGTAGAGACCAAGACCCGCTGAGGCATATAGCCGTCGTGCATGGCGCGTTTCATATAGCCGTCTTGCCAAATAACCGCTTACGCCCTACAAATTCCCCCTTCGTTATGGTCCCTCCTCTTTTTCTGTTTCAACATCAGAAATCACCAATATACAATGAGTCTTAACATGACGACACCTCGTGCTTGGATGGCCTTCCGCATGGGTAAGTAGTCTCATCGGCATGCCGACCGACCTACTCCGTACTCGGCCTAGACTCCACTCCCGCACCGGGAACTAGGCTCCTCCAGATAAGTCCAACTAACAGAGACAGTATCCGGACCGCGACGTCTGTTGCCTTTCCAGATAGGCCTAGCTCACCCTGGCAAGGCGCTGATGGTTGCAACCCAGATCCGGTATGACGACATCAAAATGCGATGATGACAATTGACTGACCACCGTAGCCCGCAGAGTCAATCAACGAAACCCGTCCGACTTCAGGTCCAGACGGTAGAGCAGGGCCAGCAGCATCTGGCCCGGCAGCGTCTGCGAAGGCCCGTCTCCCCCCATCTCGCCATCTACCGGTGGGAGATGAACATGATCAGCTCCGCGATGGAGCGTAACACGGGGATCATGTTGAGCGGCGCGCTGTACCTGTTCGCCACGGCGTATCTGGTTTCTCCGATGATGGGATGGGACTTGTCGTCGGCCAGTCTGGTGACGGCGTTTGGGGCGCTGCCGTGGGCCGTCAAAGCCGCGGTCAAGTTTGCGGCCGCGTGGCCGTTCACCTTTCACTTTTTCAATGGCGTGCGGTTTACGGTTGCGGCGACGGCACGGACGCTGAACAACCGGGAGCAGATGGCGAAAATTGCGTGGGCGATGATGGGGTGTTCGGTGGTGTCGGCGGCCGGGCTGGCGTGGTTTGTATAGAAGACTGTAAGTGGCTGAGAGGGCAGCCTGAGGCACCTCGGCGGATCACATGTCGGTGGATTATACGATCAGATGCAATTGTTGGGATGTAACACCACGACCAACAAGTCGCGATGGCCAGAGGTGGGATGGATTAGACATCAGTTAGATGGAGGAGGATGATGACAAGAGGAGATGATGTTGATGTCACCCACGAAAAGGAATCGGCCGGAGTGGCGACTAGTTAGACGTTGATCAATTTCAGCATAGGGCTGGAGTCGATCGGACAAAGGACTGATCGGGATATGGATGTGTATGATATACAGTGTGATATAATGAAGTACAGATCCTTTCTATTCATAGAGAGACTGATGTAATTAAAATGATCTTCTACAGTGTTCGATGTGCATGCTCCGTATGTAGGTACATAACATACTTCATTCAGGCAATGCATACCGCCAGCCAATACTTGCGGAGAAGAAAGCCGCAGCTGAGTCATCCCGCCACGAGAAATAAGGCTGACCAACGAGACACGGCGGAAGTCTGACCGCCCGCGAAAACGTTGGGGATTCAACAGATAGCCAGGACGGATGCTGATTGGCGGAGAGACATGACCAACAAGTGATGCTTCCGTTTGTGGAATTCAAGACAGTCGACTAAGGCAGGGCACAAGAAAGCACAAAGTCTCCTTTGCCTCTCATCTCCGTTGGTACCTCGGAATCAGATGATTTAGTCGGCCCTCTGCTATCGGACCACCCGCCAACCTGCCCTTCCCTTACCGGATCTCCCCCCAACCAGTGGATCCTGGGGTGAGAAAGAGTTGAATAATCCTCATTCTTCTTCTTCTTTCTTGCCTTCCTCCTCTTTCTCTCTCTGTCTCCCTCGTCCCTTTTCTACCGTCGTTTCCCTCTTGCTGTTTGTGTCTCTGTGATCTTCATAAGCCGTCCCCACCCGTCTGGGTTTTCTTCCGTTTCTTCTTCCCATTCTTCCGGATATACTCGCCCCTCGCTTCTCCCACTCCTCCTACTTCTCTTTTCTCGACGACAATCTCTGGCATTGAGTCAAGTCCATCGAGAAGGGACCGTCATCATCATGTCTGCAAAGCCGGCAGACGCCTCGCGGCCTCAGAAGGTCCATATCGCTGATACCGCCATCACCCGTCAGAACTGGTATAAGCATGTCAACTGGTTGAACGTCACCCTCATCATCGGTGTCCCCGTGTACGGCTGCATCCAGGCCCTCTGGGTCCCTCTGCAGCTCAAGACCGCCATCTGGGCCGTCATCTACTACTTCTTCACCGGTCTGGGTATCACAGCAGGTGAGCATCATCTTTCCCATCGCCCCCGGTTCAAGACTAACCACTTTTGCCACAGGATACCATCGTCTCTGGGCGCACTGTGCCTACTCCGCTCGTCTTCCCCTGCGTATTTGGCTCGCCGCTGTGGGCGGTGGTGCCGTCGAAGGTTCCATCCGTTGGTGGGCTCGTGACCACCGGGCTCACCACCGCTACACGGACACCGAGAAGGACCCGTACTCCGTCCGCAAGGGCCTCCTCTACTCCCATCTCGGCTGGATGGTCATGAAGCAGAACCCCAAGCGCATCGGCCGCACCGATATCTCCGATCTGAACGAGGACCCCGTCGTCGTGTGGCAACACCGCAACTACCTCAAGGTCGTCATCTTCATGGGCATGGTTGTGCCTATGCTGGTGGCCGGTCTTGGCTGGGGTGACTGGTGGGGTGGTTTCGTCTATGCCGGTATCCTGCGCATCTTCTTCGTCCAGCAGGCTACCTTCTGTGTCAACTCTCTGGCCCACTGGCTCGGTGACCAGCCCTTCGATGACCGCAACTCTCCCCGTGACCATGTCATTACCGCCCTGGTCACCCTTGGCGAGGGATACCACAACTTCCACCACGAATTCCCCTCTGACTACCGCAACGCCATCGAGTGGCACCAGTACGACCCCACCAAGTGGTCCATCTGGATCTGGAAGCAGCTCGGCCTGGCCTATGACCTGAAGCAGTTCCGTGCCAACGAGATCGAGAAGGGCCGTGTTCAGCAGCTCCAGAAGAAGCTGGATCAGAAGCGTGCCAAGCTCGACTGGGGTGTTCCTCTCGACCAGCTGCCTGTCATGGAATGGGACGACTATGTCGAGCAGGCCAAGAACGGCCGTGGCCTCGTGGCCATCGCCGGTGTGGTGCACGACGTGACCGACTTCATCAAGGACCACCCCGGTGGCAAGGCCATGATCAGCTCGGGTATTGGCAAGGATGCCACGGCCATGTTCAACGGTGGGGTGTACTACCACTCCAACGCGGCTCACAACCTGCTGTCCACCATGCGGGTGGGTGTGATCCGTGGTGGATGTGAGGTGGAGATCTGGAAGCGGGCCCAGAAGGAGAGCAGCGAGTACGTTCGCGATGCTCAGGGTCAGCGCGTCATTCGTGCGGGTGAACAGGTCACCAAGATCCCGACGCCCATCCCCACGGCTGATGCTGCATAAACGTGACGATGTCTTTCTTTTCCTTTTGTGTTCATGCCTTTAGGCCCTTCTGATGTACGACTCGCTTGTGATTGCCTCCCTCGTCGCATCCCCCTGTTTCTATTAGCACTATGGGCGTTTCCCACGTTGTCTTTATCACTTCTAATGGTGGAGTTTCGGGCGTTGGTTGAGAATTTTCCGATGGCGATAAATTGTTCATTGCCGATATTATCAAAAAGTGAAGGGAGATAGAGACGCCATGCACGGTAGTTGACGAAATTCAGATGATATCCAGACTGCACATTCTTTTGAGTCGATCGTGGAGAAAATTTGGAGTAGCCGAAATAGTAGGGAGTCGATTTAGCGTTGAGCCGCGGCCACCTGACCCGCCGATCTATGTATCTACGGAGTAGGCAGGATTTCTATCGTTCAAAAACCTATTGGGACTTTGCTTTCCTCTTTCTGCCATTGCCGCTTTATGAGCGTGAGCCAGATAAGTCAGGTAATCTGCTCTCCTTGCTTGCTAGAAGGATCATAGGGCATGTAGGTCGTCGACTCGGCGATATGTGCCGCTCCACGCGTAGTCACGTGGTTACTTAAGTAATAATTTCCTTCCCGGAAAATTAATACTTCCAGCTTGTGCATTTGTTTGACTGCTGAACTTAGTGAAGTCTGACGAAGATATAATGTCTACTTTCATCTTCAGTGACCGCAATCTAGACAATAATCTCGTTGGATTGGATTGATATCTTCTCTTCTGAGCGCTGCTGGCGTCCCTAATTTACTCTGGGGCAACTATCTATTGACCGTCTACAGGATCCCCACTATTGTTGATATTAGCGGTCTCCCCTAGATATATTATCGTTTGAGAGACGTCTGATCCTCTGCTAGGGTGTTACCTTTGTTGTACCTGATGCACTTCTCCAGACTGGCCTCTCTACTCTCTCCCATGCGGGCTTTCTCCCATGCACACAAGGTCCAGAATGCCCATGCCCGAACGAAATCCTGGGTTTGGCGACTGGTACACACCTGCATATCAACGACGAGCTTGTGATATCGCTGCATAAGAAGAACGACACGCTTTGGGATCTTCCTGATCTTGAGATTGATGCAAAGTGTGCAGATATCATGTCGGCAGCCGACACTCGACTTCCCCCTGCACGTCTGGGGCGCGGCCAAGGGCGCTTCCCTCCCGACCTTTCTGGTGTACAGATCCCAAGTGCCGTCCGGTATTGCGAGGCTATAATTCTTCTGCTTTGTCGAGACCGCGATAGCCCCCGTGAGCCCTATTGGATGGCCATTCTAACCTACTTGCTGGAATACGTCGATGAAACTGATATCTTCCAAGAGAATTGGTTAAGGAGGGCTATAGGCAATTCTATAGGGCTATGAAACAAGGGGATCCGAAAATGTATATGTATTTGGATATGCTTCGCGATAGTTGTATTAAAAGCAGTGTATGAAGATTCAAGCGAGCTCTTTCTTCTCGTTGACTTCTATTGCCTAGAGTCCAGTAGAGATAAGGCTCCTCCTATGGAGTTAGCCTGAGGTCGATTGCTGGCAATGCCACGGAATCGGTCGCAGGGACGTTTATAAAATATGTGATGATTGTGGAGGGTCACGACGTAACCCCGCTTATCCAGATCACACCTGCGGAGAATGTAACGGAAGAGGACAAGTCAAGGCAAGGTAGTCTGCGACTGTCGTTTTCGAAGTTGGCTCAGCCTTGGTAGATCGGTTATGAAGTATGATTGAACTGCTCAATCTCAGCAGGATCATCAATCGGGCCCAAAATGGCTCTTCTCTTTTCTTCTTCTTCTCTTTCTTTAGGCCGGGACTCCATTTGGGTTAGGAATTCTTTCGAAAACCGAGGTTTCACTTTCTTTTGCAACCATTCCATATCTCCTGGATGCTCCTTCATATATTCCAGGTCCTTGTCCATAATTTTTTGAGTTTTTCGAAGCCGCTTTCGTACTTTCTCTCCGAACAGGAGGCGGTGATCTGGGCTCGTATGGGCGGGGGGTAAAGGGGGTGGCTTTCAGCTCGTCTTGGACTTCCTTAGATTGGAGAAGCTGGGGCAGAGGGTTGCTGCAGTAAGTTGTCAGTATCTACCATTATTGTACAGCTCCAGTCACAAGTCGGGATAACGTACAAGGTTTCACCTGTCCAGTCGTAGCATAAAACCGGAACACCATCGTCGTTGGCAGAAGTCCCATAATCGACAAGAAAGAAGCACCGTCGATTGTTGTAACCGAAATTATCGCCACACGTGTACCATCGATGTACGTCTTCATCGAATTCGCAATTCCAGACATGCTGGCAGACTCGGTTGAACATTGTCATTATCCTGTTCGTGTATGGACTGCCCTGCCAGATGTCATCACATGGTACTAGGTGTGTCAATGTTTGGACCAGAATTCGGACTGGAGAGGGTTGGAGTAATGGTTGTTCGGGAGCTTGGTCTCTATTTGAGGTAGTATCCATGGTGTTCGGTGGCGTTTTGGGTACAGCCAGAAGAGATGCTTGAGATCGGCTGAAGCAATGGGGATCACGGCGCTTAAAGAACTACTCCAAGTCTAAGCGGGTTTATCGATAAGCTGTCACATCACCTCAGAGAGGCAAAAAACCACTTGATCACTCGGATATACAGCTCAAGGCAAGTATTGATACGTATTTGGCTTCTTTGGTGGGTGACAGTGGTGCGAATTCTCCCTCTGCTGCATTCGAGGGGGTTCTGGGGGCGTTGGTTCTCGCTTTAGATCACGGCGCGTACCTGTTGGTACCTGGATGTTTGACGAGTCCACCCTCCTGTTGTAGATGCTGTAGTTGGCCAGCCCAAGCTTAGAAATAGCCAAAATTCCATTAGATTGAACGAAACCTTTTATCAGATGGGCACCATGCCTCCTAACACAGGTAGTCCAAGTGTACTCCGCAGTCGAACTGTACAGTTGATGGAGCAGCTAAGACCCGTTGCGGGGGTAGGTGACTAAGCCTCGGCCAGCTCATCATCACCTGCTGCTCCTCCATCTCCCTCTACTTGTCCACACTCCAACTACCTTCACAACTGCTTCACACTCCCCAATCTCTCTCGCGAATTGACCCTCCCTTTCACTGACCTCTCCAACCTCACGATTCTTTCCCTCCGCTCCCTCCTCCTACACGCCCTCATCTTCCTCGTGGGCGTCGTCCTCATCACCGTGGCTCCTCCGCTCCGCTTCTCCTCCTCCACCTTCAGACTCTCTTCGGTCTTGGGCCATCTGCGAGGCTCCCGACTGCCGGTCAACCCCCTTTCCCCGGTCTTAACTGACCTCCGCAAGTCTCTCACCACTGCCAGCATGGCCCCCCAACACCTCCGTCGGCCCCCGCAGGCCCCGCCCGTCTTCACGGCAACCGCCCAGTCGATCGTCGACGACGCCAAGCGCCTGATCGAGACCTCCCGCAAGGTCCAGGACGATGTCGTTGCCTCCGTGAAGCCTGACACGGCCTCCTTCGCCTCTGTCCTCAAGCCCCTTGCGCAGGATGAGAACGTCATGGCTCTCGAATCCCACATCCTCGGCTTCTACCAGGCGGTGTCGACCGAACAGCAGCTGCGCGATGCCTCCTCCAAAGCCGAAGAGCTGATGGACGAGTTCTTCATTGAGTCTGCCATGCGCGAGGATGTCTTCAAGCTCGTCGACGCTGTGCTGTCCAAGAACGAGTCTCTCGATCCCGAATCCCGTCGGCTCCTCGAGAAGGAGCACAAGGACTTCATCCGCAACGGCCTCGGTCTCCCCGCTGGCCCCCAGCGGGACCGCTTCAAAGAGATCAAGAAGCGGCTCAGTCAGATCAGCATTGAGTTCCAGAAGAACCTGAACGAGGAGAACGGCGGCCTGTGGTTCACCCCGGCCGAGCTGGAGGGCGTGCCGGAGGACGTCCTGTCGGGCCTCAAGAAGGGTGAGGGCGAGCACGAGGGTAAGCTCTGGCTCACCTTCAAGTACCCGGACCTTTTCCCTACGATGAAGTACGCCAAGAACCCCGAGACGCGCAAGAAGGTCATGATCGAGAACGAGAACAAGTGCAACCAGAATGTGCCCCTCTTCCGCGAGGCCATCATCCTGCGCGACGAGGCCGCCCGTCTGCTCGGATACCCGAACCACGCAGCCTTCCGTATTGAGGACAAGATGGCCAAGACGCCGGAGACTGTCGACACTTTTCTCGGAGACCTGCGCTCGCGCCTCACGGCCGGCGGTCAGAAGGAGATCCAGAGCCTGCTGCAGCTGAAGAAGGCCGACCTCGAGGCGCGGGGTGAGAGCTTCGACGGCCACTACTACCTCTGGGACCACCGGTTCTACGATCGTCTTATGCTCGAGAAGGACTACTCGCTGGACCAGCAGCAGATCGCCGAGTACTTCCCGCTGCAGACGACCATCGAGGGCATGCTGAAGATCTTCGAGGAGCTGTTTGGACTCGTTTTCGTGGAGATCACGGGTGACGACCGGGCGCAGGTGGCACCCACCGGCAAGGGTAGCGACATCGTCTGGCACGAGGACGTGCAGATCTTCAGCGTGTGGGACGACGCCGCCGAGGGCAACGGCTTTGTCGGATACCTCTACCTGGATCTATTCCCGCGCCCCGGCAAGTACGGCCATGCGGCCAACTTCAACCTCCAGCCGGGCTTCATCGATGCTAATGGCCAGCGCCGCTACCCTGCCACGGCCCTGGTGTGCAACTTCACTAAGCCGACGCCCAAGAAGCCGAGTCTGCTGAAGCACGACGAGGTGGTGACGCTGTTCCACGAGCTGGGGCACGGCATCCACGACCTCGTCTCCAAGACGATCTACTCGCGGTTCCACGGCACCAACACGGTGCGCGACTTTGTCGAGGCGCCCAGCCAGATGCTGGAGAACTGGTGCTGGACGCCGTCGCAGCTCAAGGCGCTGAGCCACCACTACGCCAGCCTGTCGCCCGAGTACCGCGCAGCGTGGCAGGAGCAGGCAGGCGCCGATAAGCCGGTGCCGGACGCGCAGATTCCTGACGAGATCATCGCCAACCTCATCCGCACCAAACACGTCAACGATGCGCTGTTCAACCTGCGCCAGCTGCACTTTGGTATCTTCGACATGACCGTGCACGAGCCCGCCAGCCATGAGGAGATCGAGAAGCTGCCCATCTCGGCCACATACAACCAGCTGCGCAAGCAGATCACGCAGATGGAAGGGCCTGAGAGCACTGGCCTGGGAGATGAATGGGGACACGGCGAGGCCACCTTTGGCCATTTGATTGGGGGTTATGACGCGGGCTACTATGGGTATCTGAGGTATGACACGACCTTCCTGCCTGAGCTCTATGATTATCACTAACAAATTGCAGCTCGCAAGTATATTCGACCGATATGTTCTACACGGTGTTCAAGGCGGACCCGATGAACGGCAAGGAGGGCCGTCGGTATCGGTACCAGGTGCTGGAGAAGGGCGGCAGCCAGGACGAGATGACGACGCTGACGGAGTTCCTGGGCCGGCCACCCAAGACCGATGCGTTCTACAAGGACATGGGACTGGCCTAGTAGTAATATACAGCAGTAGATCGATATAGGCATTCAATAAAAGAACAAGCATGACCTTATCGATAAGCGACCGATTCTGCCACCGACTTCACCGCAACCGCCTAGCTACAGTACTGTACTTTCTCTAGCCAATCCACCCTCAACCTCTCCTCAACCGGACCAAACAAATCCCCTCCCCAGATACAGAGCAGAATGGACCGTCTCCCCGTGCGCACCCACCACTGCCGCTTCTGCAACCACCTCCTCCTAGCCACAACCCGCGACCTCGCCGCTCTACCGCGCCGAAAAGCCCCCGCGCAAGACGCCGCGATCATCCTGCCCCTCCCGACAAAAGACACAAACGAGACGGAGACCGAATCCGACCGACCGGCAAACAACACAAAAGAGGCCGAGGCCGAGGCCGAGAGCGGGACAACGCACAACGAGGCGGGAGGGGAAGGGGAAGAGGCGACCGCCGCAACACAACCACAGCTACAACCACACTACACGATTCTCCTGTCGACGACGATCCCGGAGCGCAAGCCGACGCTGATCCGGCGCGAGGACGGATTCGAGAAGAGACTGCTTCTGCGGTGTGGACGGTGTCGCGTGGTGGTGGGGTACTTTCTGGACCCGGTGCATTTCGCGGATGCGGATGCGGGTGCTGGTCGCGAGGACGAGGAGGAGGGAGCGCGGGTGGTGTATGTGCTTCCTGGGGCGGTGATGGAGACGGGGGTGATGGGGGAGGAGGACAAGATGAAGGCGATGGATGGGGCGTGGAGTGGATGGGTTCGCGATTCAATCTAGGTCTACGGAGTAGTCGCTGGGCGGTTGGTTCTACGATCATGTCGCGCATTACATGAATGGCAAAAAAGATATACATATTAACTACCTAAGCTAGGCTCACGCTCGTCGAGATCGTAGAACATCAGGGTATCGTAATCATCAGTTGGCCAGGATGGTGCGGACGAGGTCTATCTCGTTAGTCGGATGCGTATGCAACATAGGAAGTGACAAAGACATACCGGTGTAGTTGATCTCGCCGGAGCTGGTATCAACCGCCTTGAGCAGCTCATCGACCTCCTCGTCCGACATCTTCTCGCCCAGGTTCGTCAAAACTGCGACCGTCAGCATCCATCCGTACACATCACTGTTGAAATCGGGAAAAAAGCAAACGCACTGTAACGAAGCTGTCCCACCCCAATAAACCCAGTCATATCCTTGTCAAACACCTGAAATCCGCGACAATATTCCTCGGGTTCGCCCGGTTCGCGGAACCCGCCCGGACGGTTGAGGACCTTCAGGAACGACTCGAAATCGACTGCCAGCGTTAGACGGGCTGAGGCGAGGGAAAGACAGTTCACGTACAGTCTCCGCCGATGTTCTTCTCCAGATCGGAAATCTCGGCGAGGGTGGGATTCTGACCACAGGCGCGGAGGAGGTCGCCGAGGGATTCGAGGGCGACCTTGCCGGTGCCGCGCTTGTCGAAGAGGGAGAAGGCTTCCTTGTAGTTGGTCGAGGCCTGGTCATGGTTAGAGTCGGGCGAGCGAGGCATTTTGCGAGTGGTTTTGGGAGGAGTGGAAGTGAAGATATGCGGTCTAGAGAGATGGAAGATGGAGAGACGGAGAGACGGCGAAGTGGTGAGGAGAGCCAGGGATGAACCAGAGGCAAGGGATTGGAGAACCGCGGAATGCCGTCGCCTCGATAGACTTCCGCCAACCGCTTCTCCTCTCGCTCTCGGTATTATCGTGATCTTCTCTTCTCGCTCTTCTGGATCTTCCCCTCCTGACACTCTGAATAACATGACAGGCCACGTACCATGATGACGGGAAAGATGGAATTGGACGGAGAGGGAGGACGTAGTTGGCGATTGATTGATTGATTGACTGGATGCAATGGTCAAAGTGGGATCGACTTGGAATCGCGGGCGCAAGAATGCAACGGCTGAAGGGCAGAGAGATGAAATGAGGATGGAGTGAGGTTGTTGTCCGCCCAGATAAGAAACGATCGTGGTCAATGTGCCCGTTGTTGGGGTAACCACCGTCCCCGTCCGGAGTGCTTCCGTCAGGTGTAGAGTACTAGGAATATATATCCTACAACACCGTACGAATGCTATCAGTACATTATATAGACTAGACACCATACATCGTAATATATCCACAAAAGCTATATATCAGAGAAAGTACATCAGGCAACAAAAGTTACCGCCCTCGTAACTTGTCGATGCAACTCCCTAGCAGATTCGCCGCCTCGGCCAACAACTCCCATCGCGTGTTGACGAACCCATCCCGCAGGATCATCAACAGACCCAGACACTGATTCCGGCCTTTCATCGCCTCCAAGTCGTTGGGCGATCGGGCGGCCCCCATGCGCCGGAGATACTGTTCCATATCGCGTCGCTGTTCAGCCACCGTCTCCAGCGCCGCCGGCGTGCGAATCGGGCCCTCCAACGCAAACCCGTAGCACCAGACAACCAGCGCGGCCACGTAGATGACCCACGGTCGGTTGAGGAGGTAGTCGTCGCGCCCCGAATACAGCTCACCCTCGTCTGTCACCGCCGACTCGTGATTCAGCAGACACTCCGACAGGAACTGCAGCGCGTAGAACGTCGCGTCCCGCGCCGACGCCTTCGTCGCCCATCGTTCCGTCATCTTCTCGCGCGCCGCGTTGTAGTCGCGCGGAGTGATCGACCGTCCCATCAGTCGGCCGGCTCCCGCAAAGATCTGACAGTCCACCACGTCCACATGCGAGGCCATATGGGCCAGTCCGTGCAGCACATCGCGGGACTCGAACACATTGTCGTCATCCAACAGATGCCGCACCGGATAGCCATTCGGGAACGGCGGACTGGCGCTGCCGGACTGACCGCTGCCCAGGGCCTCGTCAAAGTCCCGTCGCCAGTTGTCAAATGCCCGGAGGAGAGCCGACCGCCACTTGTCTCGACCACCGAGTGTCTGCGGGACGCCCAGCGAGCTCACCTGCAGGTCACGCTGGTTCATGTGCCAGCTGACGCTCAGCAGGCCCGCCATAAGGATGGTGCGGCCGAACGCGTTGGTGCGCACGCGTTGTCCGTTCAGCGTGCGTTTGAGTCCGTCCAGGAACATCACCGGCTTCACCCCATTCGCATGTAGACTGGACTGGACTCGAGCCACCTCCGACGCGCTGGTCGCCGACCAGAGTGCCTCATCGCACGGCAACGGCAATCGCAGCTCGTGGGCCACCATCTTGGCCGAGTGTCCGAACATCGTCGCGTGCGTGGAGTCCAGCACAAAGGCTGCAAAGGCCACTCGTCGCGTCGCCTCAGCCTTAATCCAGTGCGTCCACGACTCATCGGCCGCGAAGTCGGGTGTAGATACGGACCCAGAAGCGGACCGAACGGGCCGGTCATCGCGCATACTGGCCGGCGAATCAAAAGCGGATCGACCGATGAGGGAGCTCCCGCGTCGCATCAGGGTCAGCGTGGTGTCGTGGTGGATATGGGCGCGCTCATGCATGGCACGCGTGGAGTACATCTTCTCGTACACCTCTAGCAGCAGCAGGGCTTGGAAGACCCAGAGCTTGGCGGGCGGCCGGAAGTCCGCGTCCATGAAGATCTCCCACCGTAGATGCCAGATGATGAAATTGGCCAGCTCCGACGCGGCCTCTGTGATTTCCGGTCCATGGATGCGGTCTAGGGTTGCGGCCCCGATGGCAATAACGGCTAAGAGGAGGAGATTGGGAGCCTGGTCGGCGACGAACGTCGGCCGATGGAGGATGGGAAGCTGTGCGTGAAAGTGGTACCAGTACGACCCGACGTACGTCTGCATCATGCGCAGGCTTAGCACGTGGTTGTCATCGTCGATGTCCCCTTCCATCAGGGCATCTTTCCGCTTCGCCACGGCTGAATAGGCCGCTTCGTTAAATCGCGTCGCCATCAGATGAATGAGTTCTTGTCGCTTTTCCTCCGACAAAATTGCGCGGGGGGATCCGGGGTCCAGGATACTGGTCACACTCATGGGGTGATTCGGAAGCACGCCGCTGTAGAAAGCACCATACGCGGCATCCCCCATAAAAAACTGATTTTGTAGTTGCCCGGGATCCAGGTAGTTCGGGACCATGCTGGTGGCAGACGGGTAGCCGACGGAAGCGGTCGTTCCCGGCATCGGCTCATTGAAGAGCCATGCTGTGAAATCTTCGGCCATCGCAAATGGGGATCGGTTGTAGGTGTCACTGCCGAAAACCGGGTATACGGAATTGCCCAGCGAGCTGAATCCGGGGTCGCCAACTCCAGACCCCGCAGCCATCATCCCGGACAAGGTATCGAGGGCATCGAGATTCGCGGCCTGGTCCAGGGATGTCGGGACCGATGACGTCGCCGTAGCGAGCGGAAGATTCGAATATGAGCTCACGGGGATTTGTAGGCCCGCTTGAGTCCCGTATGGTGTCGTGCTGGCTAGCGACGATGCGTTGATCTCGCCTGAAATTGAAAACGCTCTCCCATCATCTTGGGACCGGGTCGAAGCCACTTCGGAAACGGAGTGACGTGACTGGGGTTTGTGGCCCAGGTCACTGGAGGTGACTGAGCCATTTGCTGAACGGCGGTCATTGAACGGAGCAAAGGACGCATCTGGAATTCTGGGCGGACTGAAGGTCGTGGACTGACCCGGGGGAGAACTTTTGCTATGATTGCTCGAAGGGGATTGGGAGAATGGCACGCCGGAGACAGGTTGTGGGACCATGGGCTGGTAGCTAAGGGGATGGTTTAGTGTAACAGAGGTTGGAGACGTCGCGGTAGCCGTAGTCGGGGGATGGCCTATTGGCGAGACATTCTGCGGGATCTGGGGTTTTGTCGTCGTCGATGCTGCATGTGCGAACTGGTCGCGCTTCTGCAGTTGCGAACCCTGGGTGGTGTGTCGCTCGCGGTGACGAATACAGAGGTCTTGTCGCACGAAGGAGCGGTAACAATCAGGGAAGTCACACCGGTAGATTTGCTTCGGGGTGTCTGAGAAAACCGAGCAAGAGCAGAGTCAGTAACTCGGACGGGAGCCACGGGACGGATAGACATACGGTTCAATTGATGGCGGTACAGATGTTCGGCACGGGAGTAGCTCTTCCCGCAGCCCTCAAAGGTGCATTCGAACTTCCGATCAGGCTGGACCTTCCGGGAGCGCTTTCGCTTGCGCGATCCACCGTTTATTGTGGACTGGAGGGGGTCGTGGTCCATGGTGATTTCTAGGTCTTGGGTGATAAAGCCGGACTTTGGAGCTTGGCCCAGCTCCGTGACTGCACTGACCGCGGAGGTCATTGGTGAGTGATCGGGGATGTCTCGAGAACTCCCAGTCACTCTCCTGAGTTGTGTTATTCTTTCCCACGGATACTAGCCAACACCCAGCGGACGAGCAACGACCTGGGGGTTATCGCATGTGGGCATCAGACTGTGGAGATGCGGGATGTGGTTCCGCGGGGAGGTCAGGCCGCTAACTGTGGATGACTCAAAGGATGGAAAGGAGAGCAAGGAAGCAATCCATGGGCAAGTAGACAGTCTCGAGAAGTTGGCTGGTGGCGAGAAGGTTCAGGAGGGAGTCAGAGCGTCGGTGGAGGAGACCCGGAGGAACCCCGTGGGGAAGGACGTGGAGGAACCTGCGGATGGGCTGGAACGGGATGGGGATTCGTTTGGGAGTCTGGATATTGTCTCCTCGCGGAAGAGACTCAGAGAACCGAGCGACTATGAGATCTGTGAAGGAGAGGAGCGTGAAAAAGGATAGATGGGTATGGCTGATGGGCTGATCGGAGAGGTTGACCAGAAGCGGGAGGGGACCGAACACCCGTGTAGAATTCTTCCGCTCTCTCCACAGCGAAGCGAAGTCACGGCATGGGGGGAGGCGGATTAAATAGGGTGATGAGAGGGCGTCTGCGAAGAGAGAGCGAGAGAGTAGGTAAAGAGTAGAGAAGAGAAGAGAAGAGGAAAAGAGGAAGAGCGTGAGAGAATGAAGATGAAGATGCGCTTGTCCTCATTTTGCCAACCTGGTGGGGCTCTCCTCGTTTCGTTCCCCTCATTCGTTTTCTTCTTTTTCCCTGAATTTCTTCTCCCCATTCGGACTTTGTATACTTCCCATCCTCCCTCCCTCCTGTACTCCATACTCCGTATACTTCACCAACACGAGCGGCCGAAAAAAAAGCAACCATCCAGGTGGTTTGCTGCTTCGTCCACTCCGAGCATTGCAGTGACATTCCCATTCACTCCTCCGCCGCCAATCAGATCTCCCCGTGGACATGCCCCCCCTGCACCGAAGCTCGACGGAATTCAGCTAGAATGTCGATGCGTGCGACACTACCAGAATAATTAAACCAGCCATGACCACCCGAAAAGAGCTAGTACCAACTAACTACCAACTACTAACGAAGGCTGCATGGGCACGAGAATCTCAAAGTTAATCCCGAACACACGTCGGGGATAATCTGAATTTCGGAGCAAATGGCTGGTCGAGACCTTCCTGCACTGCGGCTGCGGCGGGTAAATCAATCCTCCACTGGATGCCAGCTCTCGTGGCCGAAACGCCTGGTCCTGTCCATGCGCACCATGCGGAGAAGATCGCCGCGAGGGACCATCTTGGTTGTGACTGGACCACCGCCGACTACTCCCTCAGAACTACAGAGGACACATGACGACGGTGAGGATGGGATGGTGATTGCCTCCCGCGCAGATCCTACCGCAGGCCACGAAAATGAGAGAAAAAAAGCAACGAGAAACCTCAAACCGCCACCGCCCGCCTGGTCGAACCGGCCTTCCTGTCTTCTCGATGATCATGCAGCCTCATTCTCGGCCCCGACGCTGTTCCCCAGATCATGAACCGCGGAGATGGCCTATCTTGCTTTTGCCAGGGAGAAAGAAATCCAGTGGCGGCTGAGGCATCTGATAGGAACTGTCCGGAGGTTATTCCTATGACATGATCGATTGACGGCGATATCAACGGCCACCTCCGACGTGTACCGACCTCCCGGGTCCGTCATTCTGGAGGAGCGAGCGAACCTAACATCGGGGCGGACCTTCAGCTAGAGGAAGCCACTCGCGACAACCGCTCTCCATCCCGTATGTCGTCGATCATGATTTGTTCTGCCAAGGTCCTACTATCGACGACTCTTCTCAACTACTGTCTTGTCCATTAGATGAGGCCAGAAAAACAAAGCATCCGCTCTACCGTGGAAACAGGAGGAGACGGAAAAAGCAAATCAACCTCCACCACATCTGACTTTTACCTACAAGATCTTTTCGATCCGCAGGTGGAATATCCATGTCGGTTGCGATCCTCCGCGTTCATCACGAGGTCAACTTCACCGGGTGGCATTGACTCGGCATAGAAGGTGCCCCAATATTCACTCATAACAACCAGAAATCTCAATTTCAGTCTTTCCGATATTGCCTATGTTGCCTGCAGTATAATGCCTCATGTAGGAGATGTTCCGGTTGCCTGGTTCAACGCCCAGCCAGGCAGATTCCATCAATTGAAGGCAATCTTGTCCACCCAGACATGACTCCCAAGCTAGGTAGGTAATTTTGTGCAAACACCCGCCTGACTCTGCCTATTCTAGCCTGATTGATGTCCATCGCCCGGTGGAGCATGGGAAATTAAGTCTGCCTCCCGGCGATTTGGTTTCTCGCTCTGATCGTCGATCCTCTTGTCTAAATCAACCAACGATCATGCTCAAACAGTTTGGTCAATGTGCCGGAGACTGCACGATCCACCCAAGTATAAAATCATTTGACGCACGTTGTAGCTACCGAGATGGGCGAGATTCCGATATCGGCCGTGATATCACTCGTAGACGAGCTCCTTTCTCCATAAACCTACGGCTCCTGGATCGTCGGGTCTTCAAAAGCATGACTCTAGGTTGCTAACTATAAATATTACAGTTGGGGCCGAAAAGTGATGAGCAGAAAAAGAAACCACCCCGGTCGTTGCCCTGCTTCGGTGGCGCATGTCCATCATGCACACCGGCGTGGGTTTCTGAAACGACTACTGGAGGAGCAAGACGGACGTTGCGAAGACTGGGCGGTGGTGATGACGGCCTTGGGTAATTTCATTGGCTTTCCTCCTAACACGTCGTGGCTGTCGGGCTTCCTCTCCCGGTTGGTTCGGATGTGTCGCATGATGCACTCGATGGGCCACACCCGCCACCGGAGGGCTCTACAGACAGGCGAATAATGGGCATCGTCCGGCCCCAAACCCCCCTCAGCTGAGCGGCTCCTGACTGGGTCCAGTCCATCAGTTCCCCTCAAGGTCGTGCTCTTGATCGTGCCTATCCGCTAAACCGGAACCGCGTGGCCTCGAGCCGGCCCAAACCTTCTCGCGGTGCCACGTTTCGTCGCCGGTAAGAGTTCGTAAAATCTGCGCGTGGCGTCGAGTTAGCCCAATGATATCACATCCTGCGTAGTACAAGCAATTCACTTACCCTGGAGCAGGGCGCGAACCTTCCGGATCTCGCCCGATTGTACTTTGTCCGAGATCCCCTTCAGCAGCCGCTCAGCCTCCCCAGCCTTCATTGTGCCGGCGGGGAGCATCTGAAGCGTACTCTGCAGCCAGGACCCGGCCTCGTGTGGCATTAATTCGAACATAGACATCATCACGCCTGACGCGTCAGCGAAGCATTCTCCGGGAAAGGAGAACATCATGCCGGTGAGGATCCGCTGCGTCAAGAGTTGACCCTGCGAGGCTATGAGCTGTTTAACAGCCTCGCGGATCTCGGGCGGATTCGTGTATGGATCGCCATTAGAACTAGTGAATCCTGAAACCGCAGGCTTGTCGAAAGCGAAGCTAAGGAGATCATGATAGTAATGGAGGGTGGCCATGAGGGGATCGACCTGCTGTAACGTGAGGGCGCTGAGGGCGGCAGTGAAGATTGGCACCGCCAAAGAGGAGTTGATGCATTCCTTGGGATAGTACCGCATAGCATCCGAAGAAAGGCGATAGAAATCCTCAATCACTGATAGACACAGTTAGCATGTTTCATCGAGATAATTATTGGTATTACACTCTGCATGAGTCCATCCACAATAGAAAAAGAAAAGAAGGACAGAGACAGGGATCGACCGAGAACATACCGTCGGGCAAATTCTCCGGAGGCAGGTCATTCAGCGTACGCAAGAATGCAACCGCCTGTTGCTCGTAAAACTGGAAGACGGCAAGGCTGGTGGCTGGGTCGACAAACTCGGCGCCTTCTGAAAATTCACGAACGACGGCATCCGTGGCCCACAAGAAGCAGCCCTCTCGGGACGCCTCAAACCCGCTGGCGAGACTGTGAGCTAAGGTGGGGAGGAGAGGGGTCATGGCCGTGCGGTAGGAGATGATCATATTCCTCCAGCAGCGGCAAACCCGCTCCAAGATGGGCGTGGACGAAGTGAAGTTCATGGCAATCGTCGTCATGATTGGTAGAATCTCGCCACAGTACTTGACGGCGGGGTTCTCTTGATTTGGCCCGACATAGGGATTGACCACTACGACGAATGTCGTAATCAACTGGATGTGATCTAAAGCGAGTTAGTATGCAGGCGTTCATGAATGGAAGGTGGACACGTACCGGCAACAGCCCGCTGACCCTGTTCATCCTTGGCGTTGTTCGCCAGGTTCATAATGCGGTTCATGATGGGATCACAGAACATCTTCATAGTCTCGTAGATCTTGTCCAGTGGCTGCACTGCAACAACTGCAGCCACTCCCTCGGTCACCTCTTCCTGACTTGCCGGCTTCAACTTATCAAGGACCGACTCGTAGAACGTGTGCAGCTGTGCAATGTGCCCTCCCAGAAGCTTCTGGCAATCCGTCCCCAAGAACTTGAAAGCTAGCGCCGCAGCCTGTACCACTTCCGCCGAACTGTGTTGGAAGCCCGAGATGACATAATTCAGCTGAGCCTCGAGAGTCTCGGGGTGTTGCGCCGTCCATTCCGTATACCGCGCAAGAGCCATGATAGCTTGGAAGCGAATCTTCTCTTGGTTCGGGATCTGCACAATCAACGGAATCACCTGGGGGAGAACCAAATCCTCTTCAGGGTCCACCATACGCCCCATAGCTCGCAAGCTAAAGAGAGGCGCTTCAAGTTCCTGCCAGTTCGGCACATGCTCATCGCTGGACTGCGCGGCATACTTGGAGATCCATTGCTGTATCAACTGGTAAGCCTTGTTCAGGCATTCCGCCACGCCAATGACGGAGCAACAATCCTTCAGCACGTCTCCCATCGAGTGCCGATAATGCCTGAACTTCTCTTCCTGCTCCCGATCACCACCGAACAGATCCGTCTCGCCTTCTTCGGGACGGGGATATTCGAGGTGCTTGACCATGATATCTACCAACTGGGAGAATATATCGGCCAAATTTGCCCGTGCCTCTGTGTATCGCTCCAACGTGACGTATTGTTTCAGCTCGTACCAGAAGACGAAAGTCAGAGATACTGCGTCGCGTTCCCAGTCACGGGCACAGCACTCCAGGACGGCTTCTACAAGACCCCGGAACTGTACCGGCATGCGGGCAATAAGAACCACCCAGGCCTCGCCTGCTTCCGCAAATAGTCGGGTGATCCCTCGGAATGCGTCCGTGTCTTCCGCCTCTGCAGCCTCCGCAATTTTGGGGCGCAAGGACAGTACGCGAGGGTATAACGCTTGGATGAGTGATAGGGAGTCATCCACCTCCGAAGTGTCTCTGTATAAGGCGCACATGCTATCCACGGCAGACTCGAAGGAGCGATCATCGTCCAAAGCCTTCAAAATGACGTCCATCAAGGGCGACTCGACGATCTTTGCAGAGGGGATTTCGCGCATCCACGAGGTAATGCAGTCCAGGAGACGAGGGTTGGTCGCCGCAGAAGCTAAGAGAAGGGAGTCAGCACATTGTATATCACCGAGTCAGAGACTGTACATACGTGACGACTGAGCGTATTGGATCAGGAGGTGCATCACCTGGTCCGCGTTGTCTTCCAGGAGCTCTTTCGTTTTGGTGTTGAGATCCTCTTCCTAATGAAGCCCACATATATTAGATTCCGAGGTTACTGGTAGTCCGAAGTGAAGACAGTGCCGATCGGGTTGAAACGGGTGGTGAACGGGTGGGTTGAGTCGGCCGAACGTACACTGAGATTGATTTTGCGACCTTCTGTGACTTCCTCGGGGAGAATTCGCAGGAACTCCAGGACGCAGTCGCCCGCATTACTGCCCAATGCCGCGCCCACCGTGGCCAGGACATCCTTCCACTGAAGCATCTGAATAGCCAAGCTGGCCAGACACACGCAGAGCTGCGTCTGGATTGGTCGAGGGCCGGAGGCGAAGGCGACGAGGAGGTTCATAACCGAGTCTCTCAAAGCGACAGTTGATTCAGCTGGCAATTGATCCAAGTCAAAGATAATCTAATGGGCGTCAGTATGGAGGACGGTGTCTAGCGACGTGTCTAAATGGCGTATTCACCTTCCCCTTCAGGGTGGTTGCGGCGAACAACTTGGCTTCCACGGGTACGTCAGGAGACTGCAATAAGTCATGGGTAATCGTCCAGGCTTCGACCTAAGGAACGTCATAACCGCAGTCAGTGAGTTGTGTGTCAGAGCTGGTGCGGGTGGGAAAAGCATCAATCGGCAAAAGGAGGGAGGGGTCGCGGAAGAACCGACAGATTTCTGGAACTTCTCCAGGAACTCATGAGCCTGTGTTTTCTCGCTGCGGGAAACATTTCCCTGCATGGTCGCAACGGCTGCTAGGACGGGGCCGAAGGCCTGTCCAGAAGCTCCATCTTTGGTGGCCATTGCCTGGAAGAAGGGTTGGTTTCTCGGTGTTGATATAGAAGAATCGGGCGGATGAGGGGTTAGCCAGGCCAGACGGCTTAACACCTAGGAAGACTGAGCATGAACTGTCATTCACTAGATTGATTGCAGGGGCGCAACGGAGGAAGAGGGAGAAAAGAATATGGATCACACGCGAGTAGGGAAAGAGAGGGAGCTGAGGAAATGTCGTCAGGAGCAGGAGGGGAAAGGTGGGATGTTGGCGGTGGTGACTGTGACGACCGATTCGGCAGGAAAAGTTGGTGAGGCGCTCCGGCGCGGGAGAAACCTCGCCGAAGCTCTTCTGGATCTCTCACTTTCATCCTGCAACCATCTACCACCCACACGCCCTCAGACAACACCTCCGCCGCTCGGTTTGCATCTTTCTCGACCTCAATCTCTCTAGACCGACGGTCCTCCTGATTCTTTGAGTTTCTCTTTTATCCATTTCCCGCACGTCGCGCATCCATCATGACCGGTCGAGGCGGTGGAGCTGCTCGCAAGACCCTGCTTGCGCCCATTCATTTCATCTTCAAGCTTCTTCAACAGCGATCGACGGTTTCAATCTGGCTTTATGAACAGTTGGCTTTCCGGATAGAAGGAAAAATCAGGGTGTGTTGGCTCTTCTTCGGCAGTGCGATCGCGTCTTGGCTAACCTGTCCGTCATAGGGATTCGATGAATTCATGAACCTAGTTGTCGACGACGCGGTTGAAGTGAGAATGGCGACAAAGACTGACGAAGAGAAGCGGAGGCCTCTGGGTATGCGACCGCCCTCACCCCCTAGCTACATCCGATGACCGTATGATCATGATCCTAACAAATTACCAGGCCAGATATTGCTGAAGGGCGACAACGTGTCGCTCATCCAGGCCGTGCAGTGATCGTTCCATGAAATACAAAAAAGTCCTTTTGTTACCCTTCCAGGCGCTCATCATGTTACGATATTATCGATTCCTTTTAATCAGAACTATTTACGGTCACTACTAGAGGGCATCCACACATTGGGAAACACACAGGCCGTGCAGGATAGGAAATAGCGCAATCAATCTTCTTGACGGACAAGGCACCGATTGTCGCCAACAATCAGAGCGTCTACTCGCCAGTCGTGGGTCGTAACGGGTACTTCGGCCACCAGTTGTTCTCGAAGCGAAAGGGCCACTGTCGGGTTTAGTGCTTCTGGTCTCATGGAAATAATTGAATCATTTGACAAGGGCTAGTCGTACCTAGCAAGGGCATCTTCTTCGTCGTCGTCGTCGCGGCAGCCGCCTCGGCGTATCGGCTTAGAAAATGATCATAGTATCCTTTACCATGACCGAGTCTTCGAAACCCCTCGTCGAACGCCATTCCAGGCATCACAATCATATCTAGTCCATGGATATCATCCCGAGTAGTGTTCCCTTTAGAAACTCCGACTCCTCCCAGACAATTCTTCTTGTTAGTCACCTGGGCCTCACTAAGTGACGGAATCCCCCACTTGTCTGGGACGAGGGATGTGAACTCTTCCATCGACTCCAATGCTAACATGTCCATGATGGACATCTTCTTTTGCGTAGGCGATGGTGATGGCGATTCCACGCTGTGAATATAGGGGACAAAGACTTCCTTGCCTTTTGATAAGGCGTCCTGGACGATTGCCGTGGTAGATAGTTCACCTGACGGCATGGAGAGGTAGACTCCAATGCGTTTGGCATGCTGGTACTCTGCTAAGGAGAACAACTTGTTGGTCGCAGTTTTTGCTGGTAACGTCAGTGTGAATCCGTAGATCATTCATGGCTGAGGAATGTCTGACATTGGCTGACGATGGACTCCGCGGGGATTCGTTGGAGAACATCGCGCATGTTTCGGCGAAGCTCTTTCTTCGCCGTCTGAAGGCCCGCCATCATGGTTCTCAAGAGACCTTCAGTCTAGGATTGAGATGTTTGAAGTAATCGGGAGAGGGTTTCTAACGAAGAGCGACAGTGGTGTACGAGATGTACGAGACACGAGATGTACTTTTTGGGGGAAGTTCTGATGGCCGCGGCCTTGGCGCATTATTGATCGACGCCCTTTCATTGCTCACCTTCATGGTTCAACATTCCAACCAACCCGTCAACAATGCTTCCAAGGGCTTCGACGTTGCCATTGCGCGTCGGCGCCCTCGCAAGATGCCGTATTTTCCCTTTCTGCCATCGTGTCGCTCTCTTCCTCCGTCTACCACAGTCCCACCATGGTGCACGCAGGATACTTCGTCCTCGGTCTGTTGACCACGACGGTCAGCGCCGTCAACAATGTCGCTGATCTAGTGGGCACTTGGTCAACCAAGTCTCGCAATGTCCTTACAGGTCCGGTATGTTTGGGGTCGATATCGTTGTTTACTTTCCGATGTTCGCGTTGCGATGGAGAGCTCATGCGGCGTTACAATTCTAGGGCTTCTATGATCCGATCCAGGATAAGCTACTGGAGCCAAATCTCACCGGGATTTCTTATTCATTCACAGCGGACGGCTACTACGAAGAAGCGTACTATCGTGCTCTCGCCAACCGTGAGTTCTGCCCTTCCCGTGGCGGCCTCTGGATGATGACCTGACTTCTTGATGCGAAACTCAGCGACAAACCCCGAGTGTCCACGGGGAATTATGCAATGGCAACATGGCTCCTACGTCGTCGACAGTGGTGGCGTTCTTCGATTAACTCCAATCGAAGTGGATGGTCGCCAGCTCTTGTCAGACCCATGTGCGGCGGATAAGGGCATCTATACCCGATACAACCAGACGGAAACGTTCAATGTGCGTGCAATACGTGAAGCAACCTCAAGCGGCTCGCAGACTAACTTCCCTCCAGTCTTTCAAAGTATACGTGGACTCATATCACAACGTCCAACGACTCGACCTCCAGAAATTCGACGACTCCTTCATGCACCCAATGTATTTGGTCTACCGGCCACCTCAGATGCTACCCACTGAAACCTTGAACCCTGTATCTCATAGCAAGAAGAAACGTCATGTCACACGAGAGACCCATGGGTGGTTCCGCCTGACAGACCTAGTCAAGCGAGAGGAGATCCTCAACCCCGATCGATGGCTCTGGCTGGGATTATTCATGACTGCCGTTGGTGGGTTCACCTTCATCTACTCATAGAGGGAAGAACCAGTGGGCAGCTTAGGCGCATCGAAAATTTGATTTTATGTAGGGCGTTTGATTGAACACGGATGGCTATTAAACACATGCGCATCGCTTGAAATGGGATGTCTTGCATTTGGGCTTAGATGTAACATTCCTTGACAAGGGTTTCTCATAGCTCCAGTGCAAATGTATTCATTTGCCTGCTGATACCAACATGTGCGACTTCTAATATAAAACCTGTGGAAAGCCATGTCGCGTCCTACCCTGTGGGTACCCATAAGACTGAGCGCGGAGTGTTCAGGTCGAGGCCTTTGTAGCGTCAATCTATTATACAATCGTACGTGGGAGTAATATACAGTGATCAGTTTGCAGGCTCAAGCTGCCGAAACGGCTGCTTTGGCAATCTTCGCGACCTCCGATCGCTCCGCTGGCTTGCCATCCAGGGCACCACCAGGAGCAAAGAGAGCCTTGAGCAACGATCCAATCTCAACCTTCTTGCCGGACTCCTTCATTTTGGAGATCTCCTGGGAGACAATCTGTTGGACATCATCCAGGCTCATGGTCTCCACCTGGCCCGCATATTCCTCGAGGATCGTGGCCTGCTCGTCTTCCTTCTCTTTGAGATCAGGTCGGTCGGCTTCGGCGAACTGTTGCGCGGCTTCCTTTGCGCCCGCAGCCCGTTTGCGGATCAGCGACAGGAGCTGGAGATCGGTCTGAATGGGAGACGAGGTCTTTTGGGAGTTGTTGGTTTCCGAGATCAGGGCGCGAAGGACGTTCAATCTGCATTACTCCACCGGTTTAGGGCTGCGGCTTTCCATTCACACGAATGTAGGATGCGCCTACCGAGCAGTATCCTTTGCTCTCATGGCCGTCTTAAGATCCGTTCTGATTTTGGCCATGAGCGGCGGCATAGTCGGAGAGCTGGTCGAGTTCCATCGCATGGAACGCAGGCTCCGAGGCGCGGGGAATCGCATGGGACGGAACATGATAGAGAAATATGCGAAATTATAGACCTGAAGAGCTGAAGTACAGGATAATTAGAGAAAACCGAACGAGACAATTGCGCGAAATGAATTGGAGTCGGAGTTGCGCTGAGGAAGAAAACAAGCCGCAAAGGCGGAGAGCCACGATCTGCCGGCCCGTGCACAATTTTGTTTCCCTGCCTGAGCTTCTTTCGTTCGGACTGTTCATTATTCTTCATATCCTCCCAGTGTTTCTGCCCTCCACCTCTTCCCAGGGGCCTTTTCTCTTCCCATTGATGCTCCTCCTCCTCTTTATTTGGCCTCTTTCTCTTTCTCCTCATTGATTACACCTTGCTCATCCCCACTCAGCCCCTGCGCTGACCGGTTCGCTCCTACGACACTGGCGGAGCGCGACCTTCACCTTCACGACGCCATCATGTCTTACCCGAACCTTCCAACTCTTACGCCTCAGAGACCGCTTCCAGGTGCTTTCTTTCAGACGCCGGCCCCTAACAATGTTCCCAATCAACCCGTGTTCGCCCCGAAGCCGACCACGTCTGTCGCCGCGCAGCAAGCTTCACCGGCGTCGCTCCCCAAGCTCCCCCCAGCTGCCTCGAAGTCCCAAAGTCAGACCTTGAGTACAGAAGAAAGGGCGGCGCGTACGGTAAATGATACACTTACCCAGGAAGCTCGGTATCCAGACCTCGACAACTACCTGTCTCGTAAGTCTCCCATGACGCGAATGATCCCTCTCGACTGGTGTGTGACTGACCGGTTTCTTCAGAGGGCTTTTCGTCCGACTACGATATTCCCGTTTCGCCATCATGGGCCCCTTTCCAGAAAGTGAAGATGTACAATATTCCCGACCAGATCTTTGATCAGTACAACCGAGCGCAAGTCTCCACGAGTATGGGTCTGTTTGCAGAGCTCAACCACGCCTGGGTTGCGATAGATAATGCGCTCTATATCTGGGACTACACACACCCCAACCCTCAGTTGGTGGGCTTCGAAGACCAACCGAACAGCATCAACGCCGTCAAATTGGCCAAACCGCGTCCGGGCGTATTCCTGCCGTCGATCACCCATCTGCTGGTCATATCAACTACCGCCGAGATCATTTTATTAGGAATGGGCTGTGAGACCACGGCCAATGGAGCGCGACAGGTCTCATTGTTCCAAACCGGCATGTCGGCGTCGATCCGTGGTCTAGAAGTACACGTCCTCGCTTCTTCCGACGCGACTGGCCGCATCTTCTTCGGTAGCACCGCCGACAACGACGTATACGAAATCACCTACCAACAGGAGGAACGGTGGTTCCAGGGTCGATGCGCTAAGGTCAATCATACGAGCTCGCGCTTCTCGGCATTCACGCCCTCACTGAGCTTCAGCCACAAGCCCTTCGAGAACGTCGAGCAAATGGAGATCGATGATACAAGAAGATTGATCTACACACTCTCGTCTCTGTCTACGATCCGTGTATTCCACATGAAGCCGGACGGTACTATCGCCTTGGCGATCACAAAGCATGCCATGGATATCTATGCCAACATTGGACATATCATTGCCTCGAACGAGACCCTCAACCCTAAAGTTCCGATCGTATCCATCAGCCCCATTCCTGCTGCCGAGGCATCCAGGTACCATCTGATGGCCACTACTGCCACCGGATATCGTATATACCTAAGTGCTACTGGTTCGTACAGCTGGTCTGCGACGTCGAACGGTCAAAATGCCCCGACCAGTATGCAGGCCCATCATGTGAAAACTCCTCCGTTTGATAATGCGCCTCCGAGTCCAACTGGCGCCGCATTCCCCGGTCAACCTCGTTTCCAGGCATCCCTCGCATCGAAGGTTCCCATTCACACGTTGGATCCCACGAGATTCACCGTCCGATACCCACCCGGCTACTTCTTCTGCTTTACATGCAAGGATCCCAGCCGCAAAACCGACGCTCTTTTCGTTTCCTCCCCGGACTCCGGCCGTGTCGCCCGCTCCTCCCAGGAGAATATCGTCCCTGGACAGGCTGCTGAGACTGGTATCTGGCTCTCCCTGGGCAGCAGAGCTGAGGATGTTGGCCTCTGTTCCCCATCCACCGCAGCTTCTACAACCCCCGGAGGTTTTGGCAATGAACTTGCGATCCAGTTTGACAACCCGGCTGCTGAAGTTGCCATCCTGACAAACACTGGCATTCACGTTATCCGCCGCCGCCGCCTCGTAGACATGTTCGCGGCTCTGGTTCGCGGTGGTGGTAGCGGTGAAGAAGGGCTGGAAGGCGAAGTCAAGAACTTCATCCGCACTTATGGTAGGAGTGAGACCCTTGCGACAGCTTTGGCTGTTGCATGTGGCCAAGGTGTTGAAGTTTCTTCTGACTCTCGCCTCACCCAAATCAACGACCCGGATGTGCTGGAGTTTGCTCGCAAGGTCTTCATCGACCATGGTGGCCGTCCCATGATCAATGAGAATGCAGTGGCAGATAACTCTACGCCTGCGATTGACACGGTTGTTCCTTCGCCAAGACATGCCGGCATCGCTCTTTACATCTCTAGACTGCTCCGTTCGATCTGGAAGAAAGAAATCGCATCAGTTTCGAGCTCACCCAATGGAGCCCAGACCATTTCTGCGTCTGTTCCCTCGTCCAAGTTGCAGTCGATTCAGCGAGATCTGTCTGCCCTTCAGGATTTCTTCAAGGTTAACAAGAGCTTCATCGAAGGTCTGAGTGGCCCGGAAGCGCTGGCACGCGTGTCCACCAAGCAAGAAGAAACGGCACTACAGGCAGAACATCGCGCGCTGCACTCTCTTGTACAGCTAGTGTCTCACACCATTGAAGGTATCTCGTTTGTGCTAGTGTTGTTTGACGAACGAGTCGATGAGATCGTTGCTCCCTTGCCGGATGAGTCGAAGCAGCGATTCCTGAAGCTTACATTTGAGGAGCTCTTCAGCACGAGCAAAGGCCACGACATTGCGAAGGAACTTGTCAAGGGGATTGTGAACCGGAATATTGCGAAGGGATCCAACGTGGAAACGGTGGCCGATGCTCTCAGGCGGCGCTGCGGTAGCTTCTGCAGTGCTGAAGATGTCGTCATTTTCAAGGCGCAGGAGCTGCTCAAGCGGGCTACAGAAGCTGGTTCCAGCTCCGAGCTCGGTCGCAATCTCCTTAACGAAAGTCTCCATCTTTTCCAGCAGGTTTCTGAGAATCTTCCCATGGACTACCTGGTCTCTGCAGTGGAAAGCTACATTGCCAACCAGTTTTTCGCAGGTATGCTCATACCGTCGCGCGTGATAAAATGCCGCCATCTAACTCTTTCCAGGTGCCATCCAGCTTGCTCTCAATGTTGCTGCTCGGTCGGACAAGGCCAACATGGCGCTGTCCTGGATCGTTGACGGACGTCCTGAGGCGGTGAGTCACGTCACTGTTATATTTCACGGCGCGATACTGATTAATTTCCGTAAAGGACTCTCGCAGGGACTACTTCTACTTCAGAAAGCAGTGTTATGACCTCATTTTCAAGGTTATCATCGCAGTCGACGACCTGGCCGCTCACGATCCTGGCGTTGTCGATGGGCAGCTCACCCTTGTGGCCAAGCGCAAGAACGAAGCCTATGGCGTCATTTCCGATTCCATTGACGAGGTCTTCCTGACCAGCCTGTACGATTGGTACTTGGAACAGGGTTGGAGCGACCGACTGCTGCAGACGAGCTCTGCATTCGTGGTCACCTACCTGGAACGCAAGTCGGCAGATGACCTCGCTCATGCGGACCTGTTGTGGAAGTACTACACCCAGTCACAGCAATTTTTCAAAGCGGCCAACGTCCAGTTCAGTCTGGCGCAGAGCGCTTTCGCCCTCCCGCTCAGTCGTAGGATTGAATATCTGGGTCGTGCAAGAGCCAACGCCTCGACCTTTACACCCGATGTCGGCCGTCAGCCCCGGCAACGGTTATTGCAGGAGATATCCGCCTTGATCGATATCGCTAACATCCAAGATGACCTTCTCCAGCGTCTGAAGGATGATAAGCGAATTGTCCCGGAGCGGAGAGCCCAGGTCCTTAGCGACGTCGATGGGCCGATCAAGGACGTCAGCACGGTAAGAAATCCAGACGGCTCAATCCCTGTTAATTGCTAGAGTACTGACGATGACTAGCTGTTTAATGAATATGCCGACCCGGCAAGCTACTACGATATCTGCTTACAGATCTTCTACCTGGCCGACCACCGGAATCCTGCAGATATTCGGTCGACGTGGCAGCATCTGCTGCAGGACCTGCACGACGAGACGGTCCAGAAGGGTGAGCCGCTTCCCTACGAAGCTGTGATCGACAAGGTGAGGAGCCTGGGTAGCCGATTGCGGCTGTCCGAGACCATTTTCCCGATCCCCGTCCTGTTGCCAATGCTCGAGCGCTATGCATTGGAGCACCAGCGGGGCGTGGGACCGGCGACATGGGTGGTGGACCTGTTCCTCGATCTGGGCATTGCGCACGAGACCATCTACACCATCCTCGAATCGATGTACTACACGGACGAAGCGCCCTTCCATGGCTCCAACCGGAAATACATCGCCAAGGACCTGCTTTATCTGATCGACCACTGGTTCCATGACACCGTCCGGCTCGGCGGAACTGTGTTCGGGAGTGACGTGGTTGCGGAACGTATCTCCGAGACGCTGCTTCTCCTGCAGCAGGGAGGCATCACTCCGGAACAGATGCAGCTTGCCACGGAGCTGCGGACGAGGATCCAGGATGTATTGCGGTAGGACATGCAGTGACGGTTGCAATTAAAACAACTTTGCCTTATCTTTTAGATCTTACAGCTTCTAGATCTTCAAGACCCCATATCTTGACTTGACTTGCATGTTTTGTTTGTCGTACGAGCCTTTTGGGGCGGACACTGGAGTTCTCTGAATTGTACTATTAATTAAATGATCTCCGAAAGGTAGCAATAAAATGAAGAAGCCAAACAACAAGAAATCACGTCTATGGAACCCGAACAGCCGTGCAGAAGAACAAGCAAGCAAGCAAGCAAGCAAGCAAGCAGAATTGAACCATCACGTCTAAATCCCGACAGGAAGATCATCATCGTGTCAGTCCAACAACGCGTCTATCAACCGAACCGAGGTATCAAATCAAACCAGCCAACCAATAAAACGATGCAGATAAGAAAAGCAACAAGGAAGAATACGAAATAAGCTGCAGCACATGGACGTAACAAATGCGAATCGCAGTAGAAACACCGACGCTGCAATATTAGGTAGGTCATGGGCGAGGAACCGCTGAAAAAAAGCAAGTGCACTTTTAACTTCTTTTCTCTACTCGAACTGATCGTAAACGGGGATCGGCTTCTCGCCGAGCGCAATGAGTCGGAAAATGTGGCGCAATTTCGCACCGTAATCGTCGTCCAGGTAGTCGACGATAGCGGAGTCTAGCGGGCGCATTAGTGTCAAGCTTGCAGGAATTTTTCTGAATGAGAGAGGGCTTACGGAGCGTGCTGCGGTTGTCAAACATGACAATCGTCTTGGGCTGCCATCGTACCCGGGCCTGGAAATCGTGCCCGGAGACGATGTGCTGCATGAGGAAATCCATGAGCCAGCGCTGCTCGGGCTCCTTCAGGCCGTTGATCTTCGTGATGAATTCGCCGTTGACGAAGAGGCATTTCTCACCCGTGACCGGGTGCACCCGGACCAGCGGATGCACGGTGTCGACTGGGTCCTTGCGGACGAGACTCCCCGTTAGGCGGGCGTGGTTGATCATCTTGGCGGAAGAATGGGTGACGCGGAGGGTATCGAGCCAGGAACGGAGCGTCGGTGAGAGGCGTCTGCTTGAATTAGTTCCCGTTTCAAATGGGGACGAGGTCCGGGGGGCTGGAGAGCTGGATAAAACATACTTGTACGCCATATCGGTCGCGGCGAAGACGGTGTCACCGCCCACTTCGGGGCCCTCTAGGAGTCCCAGCATGACGTAGCCGGGCGGCTGGATCTCGTAGCTGACATCCTGATGCCAGAGGGTGGTGGTGGTGCGCTGCTCCAGGAAGCGCGAGATTTCCTCGCGGTTACCATCGCGGTGGATGATGTGGAAGGCCGGGTGGTTGCGGACCGTGCCGGACACGGGCTGGTAGTTGGGCTTGCCAAAGTAGCGCATAAAGGACTCCTGGGCCTCGGGGCCCGCATCGATGAGGTCCTGGTTGGGGAAGGCGACGACTTTCCGCTCGGCGACGAGCAGGGCGAGCTCGTCTTTGGCAGCATTGGACAGCTGGCTGAGCTGGACGCCCTCGACGACGCTGCCGATTTGCGGCTGGATCTCGGTCACCTTGGCGTCCGGCGTCAACAGATTGCGCTTGGACTTGTCCTTGACGCGGAGGGCCGGGTCGTCGTATTCAAACGGAGGCAAAGGGTCAAACCACATCTTGTCCCACGTGGGCAGATACTCCGGATACCGCGTGCGGACCTTGGTGTCCGAATTGACATCCACGTAGGGGATGTTGATATCGTAGCTGATGGGAGCCTCGGCCTTGTGGGCATTGACGGGCTGGGCCTTCTTCGGCCGTAATACAGGAGCGGAGGAAGGCATGTTGACGTGGAGGATGATGGTTCAGCGGTGGGTTAGGAGGATGTATATATTTTTTGCCAGGCCAGTAGACCAGGTCGAAGCACCCGCAAAGGGATATGAAGAGGGAGGGAGTCAAGAAGGAAGTGGAATAGAAGTAGACAAGTAGATCAGAATTATTAGATGGAAGGACTATAAAAGATACGATGTGATGGGAGGACGTGAGAGGGAAAAAAAGAACGAGTCGACCAGAGGACGAGAAGTAAGTATAAATAATAACATCGTGAGTATGGGATTGGCCTCCGCTACCACATCGTCATCGCATGCTTGCTGCGATAACGGTCCTACTCGTCGATGATATGGACACCAATGATCTGGCATGCAGCCGGGTCTTCGCTTAACCCTGAACTAGACTAGGGACTATCCTTTCATCTCCGGAGCTTGCGCTGCTGGGGATACGCCAGCAGACCACTACTGATGGCGGACAAAACCCTCCCCTCGACGCCGACAGGGGTACAGGAGTCGGTGCCAGACGGCGGGTGTCGACAGATTGGCCCGGAACTGCCGTCGTCATAAGGGGCGATAGTAATGCGTGTATGAGAGGGGACAGCGGCAGATTGATGGACCAGTCACAGCAGAGCATGCTGGACAGATCTCATCCAAAAGGGTGAAAGAGAAGAGAGACACCGTTGAGTCCGGATAGACAATAATTCTGGTGGAAAAGAAAGAGAAGCGGTCAAGGTGCCCGAAATGGGGCATCAACGCGCACCCACATCAGATAGTCGGTTTGGACCCAGCCCATCATCCTGGATGGCGGCGACGATCGATGGACCATACATTGGCAACACTAAAGATCTACTTGTGCCCCTCTCCTCGCGATGGTGATGATGATGATGATGATGATGATGGTCATCGCTTGTCCCGCCGTGTTCCGGGGGATTGGCTCTCGCCATGGCGGCCTTTCATTCCATTTGTTTCTGGTGCGGTTTCACCGCTCAATCTGGCGCCAGGCCGGGACGAACGATAAGGAAGCCGAGCGGCTTACAGGAAGTGGAACCATGCACCCTGCACGTTGGCCAATATCGGTAACTTTGAGTCTGTTTGGATCCTGGGAAGAATCGCCTGCCGAGAGGGATCGCGGAAGATGATGGTGCAGTAGTCTGCAACACAGCTGCATCGTCGAGCAGCTGGTGCTATCTTGCATCCATCTACCCTGCATTCTAGGGAAAGTGTAAGGTCCCGATTTATTGGATCCTTTTTCCTTTCTCTTTTTATGATGTCTGCATGCATTGGAGGCCGGTAGACCAGGTTTGAGAAGCGACACTGCAGGTGGCCTCATTGTTTACTGGATGGAATATTGCACTGAATGCTGATAACGCCAGTGCGGCAATGTGTGACATCAGGAGCATCCAATTTGCCGCCCCCTTTGTAGCATTTTCGATTTTATTTTGATTTCTGGAACTTCGTAGTCGGATTTTCCCTTCTCAAGAACGATACCCAAACGATACCCTTTGGACTGGACACTGATAAACTTCATTCGATACGGACGGAATGTCGAACGCTGCTCTTTTCGGTTTATGCGAAACAAGGGGCGGAACAGGGGGGCGAAGGACGCCACTGCATCTTCCCCGATACACCGTTCGATTTCTGATCGAGTGAGACTTCTCCGTATTTCTTTGGTGCCTGTTCATGGCGGCGCTCGGCGGCCTCGTCTCGCGCCTATTGGAAGCTTCGGGCATCGGTGTGATTTAGTAGGGCCACGGTTGTGGCACATGGTTCCTCGGCCGGTTCTCCTGGCGGGCTCGTCGAAGCCGTTCAGCCATTCGCTCGAAATAGTTCAGCCGAGTCTAGTAAGAGCCGGAGGTTAGTTGATTGCGCTTGTTTCGAGCCAAGACCCTCCGAAGGTCTCTTCATTTCGGGAACGCGGTCCAATGCCCGTGGTCATCCACGATTCCCCACAGGAGGTACATTAGCGTCGAGAACGGTTGATGATGGATCCGACAATCCTCCTGTCGTGGAATGTTCCCAAGAGTGTTTGGAAAGCCGATCGAAGCCTCGAACGAAAGATCGGGGTGGATTCTTTTTGGCCGAACCCGCCCATACTAGCGGATCAACTAGAGCGCTGATAATGCACCTTCATGTCCACCAATGCAGCCCCCATTGAAAAGCTCCAGGGGACAGAGTCTGGAAAAGCCGAATTGCAATTCAGGCGGCTCCCTCAATTCATCCGTGCATCCGGCAATTGCCTAATTGTTGTGCGATTGTCCATTATCACCGTGAACTACGTGATAGCGAAGATCAGACGTAGCACTCTCCTGGCGTCCGAGTCGGTCAGAGAAAACCTCCGGCCATTTTCTCTCCACCACTCCCCTTGGGGAAGAAAATTTCCTCTCGCTCGGAGCTAATTATTACGAAATCATCTCCACTTCAATAAGATCGGTAAGGTTGACGCTGGCTGAGAGTAGTGAACACTATTTGGTCACCTAACAGCGGTCAAACTTTGGGTTCAGCTTCCGGGGTAGGATGACCTATCCCAAGAGGGACCCCTGGGTGGTGTTATCCGGGTTCTCTGGGGACAGCCGACTCTAGCCCTTGACTAGTGCATCTGATTCTGTACGGTGTGATGGATTGTTGCGGCTTCCGGTGGTCTGGCGCTGGAGCATGCAGCAACCTTTGCATCCTTGCCAACGGATTGAGACGGAGACTCGTCGGGCCAAATCAAGAGATAGGAAGAGATACATCACGTTGATGGGCCCCGGCGTTTAAGGTACTTCCTGGATTGGGTCCTTTGGGCTGCGTTGTGTAATTTCGTCTTGTTTAATCTATGTACTTTTTCCACTCTCGATCCTTTGTCAGCCCCCTTGAGGGATCGGGTGGTAATCTACTGCAGGTGGCAGCATCTCCATATCTGCCCGCCCCGCGCATCCTTGCAGGTGTATGTCGGAATGAGTCAGATAATCATCAGACTCCTAGGCTAGGAAGGAGGCCGAGCAATGATCAGCGGCTGTCATGAGTGCCGGCGGAGTCGTTCGGGTCTTCATTGGATTCCGACCCCCCAAACACCTCGAGGGATCAGGACAAGGGGGTTGAGGGCAGAGTTGCGGTGAGGGCCTCCTATATCGGCCTCTCGAGTTTACGACGCATATGCTGTTTGTCGTCCAGGTCTATTGCTGGCGATCCAGCCGGATTGCTTCCGGACAGCCAAAGCACCTTGGTGGTGAGACTAGTCTCGCGGGAAGTCGTATAGATCAATATGGATGACGACGATGATGATAAGATCGTAAATATGCAAGGACCGGCCGAGTCGAAAAAGCAAACAGAGCGATTAGCTTCGCGTTCCATAGTGAGGCCAGACTAACGTGAACTTACCGAGCCATCAACCGACGCGATCCACGCAGCTAAGCTTAAGCTATGTTTAGGTGACCGCGTGCGTTCGAAAAAGCAAACATCGCTCTAAGCGGGCGCATCGCCGACAGTCTTTCCAAGCCATCGGGTCGGAGGGGAGACTAAGAGGAGTTCAGTGCGTTGACGAGTTGCTTGCTTTTTCTGCTGTTGTTGGTGGCGGTCACCTGACTGCACCTGCCTGATTCAGTAACATCAACATCAACATCACATCGACAACAACAATATCAACATCAGCAAGACCGCCGACATCTCACCATGGCTTCCTCCCTCCTCACCCGCAAACGCGACCTCCTCTACTTCATCTTCTTTGTCATCCATGTCCCTATCATCTTCCGTACGACCCCCGAGACAAATATCACAGCTCAATCTGACTCTTCTATCTGATTCTAGTCGTGGATACCGTCCCTCTCTTGCCATCATGGCTCGTCACCGATTTCTCGCATACTCTCCGCGAATATTACATTGTCAATTACCATGATAAATTCTTTGAAGAGGCCGCGCCCGCCTGGTTCACCCTGTTCACCGCTATGGAGCTGGTCTACCACGCCCCGCTGAGTGTCTGGGCCATCGGCGCATTGTGGAGAGGTCCGGAGATCTACAACAGTCGCTTTAGATATGCCACCGCTAACGAGCATGCTAGACCACCCCCTCGTCCCAGCTCATCTCCTCGTGTTCGGCGTCCAGTCTTTCGTCACCTCCATCGCTTGTCTGGCCGAAGTCTGGACCTGGGACGATCGCACCACAAGTCAGAAGCAGACGCTCACGTCGTTGTACGCACCTTATGTCGCTCTCGGTAGGTCAATAATAAATTGCCATATAGCTCGATCTAATATGGCGTAGGGGGCTTCATGGCATTGGACATGTTTTTGCGGCTGCGTGGCCAGATTCTTGGGAAAACCAAGCGGGAGTGATCGCGTTCCTTGAAATATGACACAGACAACGCCACTATCACCCATGGCTGCTTTGGGTTCCAGGGCTTCTGTCCCATACCACATGGTCAATGGGGTCATACGATGAATCCCTGTTGAACTCGATACACCGTAGCACACGCCACTACACGCAAAGGATCTTCTTACAAACAGCGCAACCGGCCTAATCCCCTCGGATTCCCTCGGCCCTCATCCTCACCTCTTCTCCATCACACGCAGCCTGGTATTTACATATAGAAATCTAGAACCATGGCGTCTACTAGCCCAGGGCGGTAAACGGTCTCTATCCATCCAAGACCATGCTCGGAGCTTTTGGATAAAGATCGCGCTAGTGGAGTGGCGCTTCTTGAACTTTAACAGATTAGCTATGGCCAAGCTAGTCGTAGTACAATCTAGGGTGTGGCATCCTATGATTGAGACATAATTGCCACATTCAGAACAAGCAAAGCCCGGATCGCCTGGCACCAGACTAGCTACCTATATCTGAGTAACGTACACTGGTTACCGTCAGTATTCTTCAACATTACTCAACATTTTACCCGGACCTTTGACATCCTTCCAAACCTCTCATCCTCCGGAGCCCATCGAGGTACGTTGAGTGATGATATTACTACGCTGCAACATCGACTCATAACCGACTCTGGACGGGAATACAGAATATATCTGTTTTCAACATCTCTCTGTTAATTGTAGCACACCAGAATACCTGTCATGAATCTTACATGCCTTGAATGATTTGAGTTGCTCAACAAATCTCAAGTCGTCGAGTATCAATAGTGTCCCAGAACTAAACCTGGACACCCAGACAATAAGATACTACTCCAATCTGCTCGCGATCTAAACATATAAATATATAAACAGGGCAACAGTTCCCTCTTCGGATGCTTCATTGCTGTGGTTCTTTACTTTCCTGCGCTAGTTGTGTAGTGGTAGAAGGGTATATATATATACCTCTCTCTCCCTCATAGACGAATTTCGCCCGTTCTACGTTCGGATGGAACAGAGTACTGGTCAGCATCGGATGACCGTTCCTAATACCCCGTGAATTTCCAGAACGACGGCCAGGCGATCACAAGCATGCAGTCTCCGGCACCCAACATCGAGGTGGGCATGAGGACGCCCAGTATCAAAGTCCTGAACCAGGCAGACGCTCATATAGCGTGCAAATCCTGTGTCCGAGAGAGTATAAGAGGTGGAGCTGAAGAAGAAGAGATCTTTAGATATCAGGTGCGGGGCCTGAGGCTCCGACATCCTGCATATCCTCTTTCATAATGACTGGTCGCATAAAGTTGATTGACTACCTAGTACGCATACAAATGCGTTGGATCGCCTTTCCTCCCCCCACCCAGGGACTCTATTGCACCTCACTCTTATTCCCTGCAACCCCGCCCCCCCATCCTGCTGTGATGGCACATGGTCAATCTCTTTCCTCGGCATTAGGCAGGCTTTGATCCTTGGTCAACCGAGGATTACGAATGCAGCATGCAAACGCGATCAGCGGCACCACCAGGCAGATACCCGTGATGCATAGCAGCCGTTGCGTGTGTTTGTAGGACTCCACGACCGCGTCACGTTCGGGGGTCCCCATCGGATGCGCTGTAGCGTATGTGAAGGGATCTCCAAATGCCGTCGTAGCGGTGTCTACATCGCCCAGATTCTTAATGAGTTCCTTGAGCAACGTTTGTCGCCAGATAGCTCCAGCAATCGTGTTGCCAATTGCACTCCCGACATTGTAAGATGCGAGGAAGATTCCAGTAATGACGGCGAGATCTATGCCATGTTAAACGTTGCTGATGTGGCCATATGAGGTGTTCACTTACGCTCGTGTTTCGTTGCTGCTTGAATACTGGCTTGGGCGGGATATGGGAACATACCGCCCGCTGTTACAGTCAGTTTAGCGCTTCAATGAGGTAAAGCGACCTACCAATTCCGAGAAGAACCTGTCCACCGATAACACCTGAATGGCTCGAACTGCTTGCTCCACCGCGGAAATAGATGAGAATTCCATAGGCAACCATGAACAGGAGCGTTCCGGCCACGATGAACGGTTTCAGCCGTTTCACTTTCAGAACTATCACACCCAGGATGCATCCCGTGATGACGGAGGCGAAACTAGAGACATTAGAAAAGCATTCAGAATGGAAGATCCGGCACCGACCTGTAAAGGGAAGTGATACGAGTTGCACTGGTGATGCTTTCTCCGAAGCTGACCACAAGGACAGTATACAGATACTCGCCCTGTATCACCCATGCTAAATACCAATCAGCCGTGCACGTTGTCATCATCCAGGCAACATACCCATGTTTAGCATAATTGCAATTCCCAAAGCTCCCCACACGGCCCTATCTTTCAACAACTGCACACACTCAGTCAAGCACTCGGCAACAGATGCGAAGGAGCACCTACGTGAAACGGGACCATTGGGTGCTTGCTGTAGCGTTCCCAAAATATCCACGCCGGTACGAGCAAAAGCCCGATGACTATCGGAGCGATGACCTTGGCAGTTTTCCATTGTTCGGCAGATGCTCCGGCGATCGTAAAAGGTACGAGAATCAGGGCGAGAAGTGCAATTAACAGCAGTACACCGACCACATCAAGATACCAAAACAGCTCATTGGCAAACTGGAGTGCCCCGACCTTGGGAAGGGAGCTGAGATAGGCCTCGGGACTGTTTCTTTTTGCTTTGAAATGGCCGAAAAGGAGAGTTCCAAGGAGAGGAAGTGCACAGACTATGGCGATCAGCCGTTGGGTCTCATCATGGACGCTGTATAGGCGGCATACCTGGGAAGATGATGGCGAACATCCCGATTCCCCATTGCCATGTTGTCGTGGTAAGCACAGAAGAGGTGACGTTTCCGCTGATCCATGTATTTATCTGACGGGTTAGCATGTGTGCATTCATTGGGTGAAAAGATCCTCACAATGAATGGCGTCGCTGGGATGTATGAGAACAACAGTCGGGACCGAAGCGAGGTCACATCAGCGACCAAGACCTCCAACAGCAAGATGATTCCGGTGTAACCGATCTACCCATGTTTGAGCTACTATATTCAGCGACGGAAAACCTGATCGAATACCTGGTATAAAACTGCGCCTGCACAAAACGTTGGCATATTGGTGGATGCGGCTTCCACGATGGTGCCTAGACAAGGTCAATAAAGGGTTTAGAAAAGGCGATCAATTTATACGGACCTACGGTGTAGAACACGACCGAGAGGATGATGAGTTCTATACGACCGAAGACATCGGCAATCTTCGCAGCAGTAGGCTGGGTTGGAAAGTCAGAATCTGTGGTGATCGCTAGAAGATGAGTGAGAACCAACCTGCGCAGCTGCAGCAATCACGGATCGGAGGACATTGATTGTCGCCAAGAGACTATGTTTCTCGAAACCTGCAGTTGCCATGGACTAGGATTGCCATCCCTTGTTATCATAAGAGCCCAGTTCAGATGGTTGATGACATACCTGATAAGTGATGCGAACCTGGCCGTCCAATCCGTAAACATAGGCAATCAGAAACACGCCAAAGAATAGCACGGTACGCTCAATCCAGTGCAACTGCGCCGAAATGACCTCGATACGTTTGACACCAGGGCTGTCAGTCACGGCATTCGGTGCCTGAGGGGGAGGCCCTGCGTGCGCGATCGGCTGCTTAATCTCCGGGGAAGCCATGATCAGCTTCGTCTTCGAAGAGAGGACTGTCTAGTAAAGATTGAAATGTAACACCGAGCACAAGAGGGAAGAAGAAGGAGGAAAATTTGGCAGTTCCGAAGCAGGTCATCATGAGCTCGGAAGAAGTCGCTCCGCGCCTGATGGGCCCGTGGAACCTCATCTTATCTGATTGCAGGGGAACGGTTCCATGATTAACATTGGTCTTAAACTTGGCCGAAGTGGGAATTCCAAGACGATCCGGTGGCGCTTGGCCCGGTGGTGATTGGTAAAGCGTGTAGGACAAGTACTGGGGTGGGGGGTGGACCTCGTATTCAGCAATCAGGAGGAGAAGTCGTCTCCTGCGTCCTGTGAGGTGGTGATGCCAAGACGGTGGTGAGACATTCCTTCTGTCGTCTACTCGAGTCGTAGGGTTTAGTACCTCGAGGGTTTCCATGGATCCGGCAGACGGAGTGATTAGTGTTACATCAGATAAGCGTTACACAAAGATTCTTCACTTCGAACGCGCAGCATTCCCCAGACCTCCCATTAGATTCCAGAGTGTCTGCACCAGAGGAGGTAAGGCGTCATGGGCAGCCTCCGCCCGCAGAACACTTTGCACCACGTCCATAATCTCACCAGGATCGTCCAAAGTCGCCGGTCCCTGGAGCCCCTTCAAGGCAGGACATCCGCACCCTAAAGAGATGAACTTCTGTACATCAGTGGTCTCTTCCCCGTCGAGGAAAACAGTGGGCCAGCGGCCAACAAAGGACGTCCCCGAAGGGGGACTCCCCACGGGCATCTTGTCGTTCTTCGCTTTGAACACGACACTGTACGACCAGAAGGCCAGACTGGCATAGTAGACAGCCTCGGCGAGGGATCCCGTTAAGCAACCGGGCGAGATGGCTTTTGCGAACCGAATAACCTGTCCAGCATGCCAAATGGCTCTTCGCGAGTCGATGCTATTGATCCACTCGAGCGCGCTGTGGTAGACTCGGCGAGCTTCTCGCTTATCTTCTTTCCCTGCAAAAAGTTGCAGCTCTTCCAGTGACATGTGCAGGAACATTGAAATCATCTCGTGAACGAGAAGGACCTCCGGGCTGGGGCTAGTGGTGAACTCATGGGATACCATGCGAAACTGTTGCAAGGTCTGAGCTAGTTCTTGATGTCGGGAATTTATGACTAAAGCATTCCAATGCTTGGAACTGCCCTTGGAGATGAATTTGAGCCGGTGGTACTCATTGATCAGTGCCCAAAGGCCATGGAGGAGCACAAAGGCCGACAACTGCAAGTCGATACAACCCTGGAACACAGCCAGCTGCGGCAGATCATGCAGTGTATCAACCAGTGAGGGAAGTCTCTGGGATGTCAGCCCGGAGGACAAATAAATGTGTCTCCATTCGGTCGCGGTCTGCGCCTCCCATAGCGACCGGACAAATGGAAAGGGAAGTTCCATCTCGCCGTACGAGAAAAGAGGGTTCACATTCAGCATCATCGCTGACTGCGCGTCATGCAGAAACAGATGGTGGACCAGTCGCTTGAAAGATTCTTGCTCAACCCAATCTCGCCATTTTCTATTCAAGGTTTCTTCAGAATCCTCGGGGTTTGGCAGAATGGACGAATACCGAGAACGTCGAAAGCGAAGTCCGCGTCGCAGCATGGTGACTAGAGGTTGCTGGAAACTCTCGGCGATCTCTGTTCTGCGTCGGTCGCCGCTCCACATCCCAATATCAATGACAAGAGCATAGGTTTGAGAAGCACGTAGGTCTCGCGTCGTGGTGTTATCGCGTTCATACTTATCGGACATCCGCAGACGCACAATTTCCATCAAGGCGTAACCCAATTTTCGCAGGGTTGGGATCGTTGATCGTACGGCGCCAGCCGCAGCGACTATGGCGAGCATGTCCGGGCTCTGTTCATTTACATGGAAAGTCGGGCGGTGTATCCAAGAATCAATGTGATGGCTTTGAATCTCGAAATAATCCTGAATGAGGCTGTCGAGAAGTTCTGTACTTGGGAACGATTTCATTATCCGCGTCAAATTTCCTTTCGTGCTTGTTTGTAGCACCAGACCAAAGATGTGGTCCCGACTGCCCGGTGATAGGCGCTCAGAAAGCATCTGTCGCTCAGACCGCATACTTGTCTCCGGGCTGTCAATTGATTTCGGCACCGATAGCCCTTCCTCATCGATGAACGCATGGTCTGAGTGAGCGGGCTTCCACGCAGACAAAGATGATCGTTGGTAAGCTTCCGCACCAAGGGCAATACCACTGTCGGTTTCGAGTCCATCTGGGACGTCCGCGGCGTGGCTGTGCTGAACTCCCTGTGTGTTGAAGAAGTCGATGAGGCCGAAATCGACATCGGTGAAATCGAAGTTGAAAGTCACGTTTGGGTCTAATGTGCCCGTGTACTCTTGGGGGGCAATAAAAGGGTCGATGTCGTTTCGCGCGAGGGTAGGGATCAACGCGTCTGGAATGAAATCCGGAAAGAAGGTACCGTCCACGCTAAAAATGCCGCTGCCAGTTTCCCGGTCCATCATCGGAGAGAGTGCTGCATCTACGGAGTGCCTTGATTAGCGTACGCTTTGACAGGAACTGGTAGCGTGGCGAATCCTACCATTGAAGTCTACCGACGTTGGTTCCTGCGACGGTATGTTTGAGCGTTCCTCAGCGATGTAGCTGTGTAGCGACCCATTTAGTCGCGTATTCTCATGTGAAGATTGTGAAAACCGGGAGGCTGGTGTCTGATCGATAGGAATGGCATAAGGTGCTTGCGGTTGGGTGGACTCGAGGGGTTCGTATTGAGCTTCGTCGTCCGCCATCAATCCTGGGCGATAATTAGTGAGACTGATGACATGATACATTGAATGGGGCAATCTACCCATGCTACCTTCTGCAGGTGATTCGGGAGACACTTCATTGCCACTTAATGGCCAATCGCAGGTCAGGCCTTTCTCCCTGCAACGTCTACATGGTTTTTCCTCGTCGCACTTCAGTTTGGACTTGGCGCACATCCCACAAGCTTGGGACACTCGGCCGTTGCTGGGATGGGGCCGTTTGCGTTTCCCACTATGGGGACTGCCATGACCGGCAGCATGTCGTTTCATAAGATCTCTTTGTTTGGTGAGCGGGGATCAGGCTGAATAGAGGCGAAGGAAGACTCACGGTCGAGCAAACCCCTTATTGCAAACTTGACAGACATAAGGCTTCTCACGAGTGTCTGTGATGGTCAGCGAATTTGCCTCGTCGCCTGGATGTGAACGAAGCTCTGTACGGAGTACTAACGCGATCGGACATGGCGGATCAAATGGTCGGCACGGGCGTAGCTCTTCCGACAGTTACTACACTGATAGTAGCCCTCTCGCACCGATCTCTGCGGCGACGAGGTGGAGGAATGTGATGAAGACTCATGGAACATTTCGAGACATGGCCGGAGGGGAGAATGAAGAGGAAGATGGAATTATCGGATGGCGAGAACTGGACCCCGAAGAGAAGGCGTGCATTGTGGGGAAAATGCGGGGAATCCAATCAGCAGCTGCCGATTTACTTCGGTGGATACCATGCTTAGTGATCGTACTCATTATGCTTTTTATGTCTAGGGAGAACTGCTCTTACTGTCGCCAGTCTATGTATTGTTTCTACCGTGATATCCAGGCCTAAAGGTATATTCTCACTCATTCCAACTACCGTCACCCTAACTCCATCACCCTAGAGACATTATATACGCGAATTGTCTCCACTCCCAGAATCAGCCGAAGTCCGCATATCCTCCGCCGAGGCAGATCATCGGCATGTGGACCACATCGTATCCGAAACCTGCCTTGACGCCTCACACCAGTCCAACAAGGAGGCCAACGTTGCCGATGAGTCGGGATCGCTGCATCAATAAATGTTGAGCGTAATGGAGATCGGAAAATATCCTCCCATCTTCAATGCAACCGTCAATTGAAGCCTCCGACAAAATGGGTATGCACTTCATGTCAGCCCCAATCTACCATGGTAACCCGATCTGACAAGACGCAGGTCTCACGCCAGTCCATTTCTTCTCCCATGGGTCTACCATGATGCTCGGGGAGAAGAGCAATTCCGCCGATTACTGGAGAAAATGTGGCGACGAGGCTCTGGCGAGGAACATCAAAGGAGTGGTGATCATGGTATGCCAGATACAAGCTTGTTCTGACAAAGATGAATACTTACATCCACGCCAAAGGGAGCCCACTGGGATTGTCTCGGGGACAAAATCCAGGTTGCAACCAATCCAAAGCCCGCGAAAAGCCCTGTCGCCTATGTCGACCCCAAGAAATATGTGGACTACGAGCTGAATCCCGATCTGGAGACAGCACAGCGATGCATCGACATGCTGGCGCAGGAGGGATTCAACGTTGACGGCAATCCCAACTTTGACTGGATTCACGACGTCTATCTGATTCTGATCCACATGTTTCCCAACGGCTGTCCTCCGACTACGATCATCTCCATGAACGCCCGCTACGATCCACACTACCACATGAAAGTTGGCGCGACCCTGCGCCCCCTGCGCAAGGAGAACTATCTACTCATTGGGACGGGCGGCTCGGTTCATAATTTGTACCGTAACAAGTGGGCACCGATGCTTCGGTTCCGTGATAACTTCGCTATGGAGACGCCGCCCGAGGACTGGGCCTTGGAATTCCGCCAGGCGGTGGAAGATGTCATCTTGAAGACCTCTGGTCCGCAGCTGCGTCGCGCAATGACTCGTCTGATGAAACATCCTCGGTTCCGTGATGCACATGCCACGGATGATCATTTCATGGCTGCAATGTTTGTGGCCGGGGCAATGGGAGATTTTGAAGATAGTGGGACGGCTGCCGTCATGCCGGCGGAGGATTGGGAGTTGACAAATATGTGCAACTCACAGTTTACCCTTGGCTCGTGGAAGGCAGTGGCAGTATAGATATCAAATTATACTGTGATTTTGACCGGTACATTCTGTCTCCGATAATACTAGAAGATTTCTACCTACACGACGATACTGGCCCAGCCGGCCGGTGCGATAAGAGCTTGTAACAAATCCCTCCCCTACTTTCTTCATAATCTCCAAAGCCATTAGCCAGCTGGAAAACCCAGCCTATTCTCTCCAGGCTCCAGGCTGGCTCGCGCTTGAGGCGACATGGACCTACCTTAATGACACTCGTCCCATGGCAAAGCATTAGCATGGTACCAAGAAATGCCTCGGTTGTTAACCATTGGCACATTGATGCGAACGAACGAGGAGTGATAAACAGGGAATACGGGGTAACCCAGTGACAAACTAGCTTCTATGGAGTGTTTCCCAAAGAAAAATTGAGGGACGAAGCCAAGTTTATTCTTAACAGTAGCTGCCAACAAAAGAAGGATCAAGCTCAAGAGGTATGTGTTTTAAGGAGTCTTCCATTATGACCGGACCCTCTTCACAACCACAAATGTATAGTATCCAATGGTTGATACCGTGGCCAGTAAAGAGAAAAGAGTGATAAGACCTCCCGTGATGATGCCTTGTTCGAAGAATCCTATATGGAAACCAGCGCGCTGCTTAGTCGACGGCAATGGGGAGATTGCTTCTTTCCAGGCCGTGTCACCATTCTTTGATGTGTCTAATACTGCTTTCACAAGAGCTGTCTTGCTACTCTGTGTGATGTACTGTGGTCGAGTAACCTGCAGGAGCTCGGGGGTATATCGCGTATCACTCAGAACGCTGTTCACCGGCAGTGCAGGTCCAACTGGTTCAACGTATATTAGTCACTTCCTAACCCGATCCACAGAAAGCAGCTTACTGAGCATGTCTAGGGGCACATGGTTCACCCAGGAAATATGGGCATCGATGAACTGGGTCAGGTATTTGGCCGCCGATGGAATGGCGAATGCATATGTCGCCGTCAATGTTCCCATACTGTCATTCAATGTCAGTGCAATGTCTTCAAATTTAGCAATGCAAGACCCACCAGTTGCTAAAATCAATTGCATCATCCAAGCTGGTTGAGGGGTGAAGGATAAGGACTCTCTCGTCAACCTTTCTCTGCAGCAGTGGTGATTTCCTATTCGAGTCAGCATCTGACGCCATGAGACCGCACAAAAAGACTACATACCGGTCCTGCACTTCGATAATCCCCCATCCAGTACCAGAAACCAAGATCCGGCAACTAGGATCCTTCCGTGCGAGGTCAACAAGTGATGCGCCAGGGCTAGATCGCCCTGAGTTCACAGCTTTCTTGCGGGCTTCTCCATTCTGACCTGCGAGAAGTTTCGAGGCATGCTGAATGACTGACTCCACGAACGGCTTCATAGCAAATTCCTGCACTAGAACAACATCAGGAGCATATGGTGACCGACCACCAAAGGCAAATCGTGCGGTGACCAGGGCCTCGGCGGCCTCGTTGATATGGGCTGTGCGATCGACTACTGCCACCGTTCGCCCTGTGGACGAGACAAGACTGCGATTGGAGGCGGTTCCAGAATCATGTTGCACAACCATGAGCACGCGGTCTAAGAAGGCAGGTTCTGGTCTCTCCTCGCTAACAGCAAAGGTGTCATTGTCAAGGGCTTGCGTGAGGATTTTTCGCAAAAGACGGGGCAGAAACATCGTCGTTTGAGCCAGCTGTGAGGCGTCAGATCTCGTTAGGGAATGAATGACGTGCGAGCTACTAACCTCAAGAATCACACAGTTGCCTGCTGCAATCGCGGCGCTCAGTGCTGAGATTATGGAATAGAACATGGTATGGGAACAAGGCACGATGTACACAACACCCGCTCCACGTTTTCCATCAGCGTTGTCTTTGCCATGTGCGACACGATATTCTTGCTCAAGGTCTTTCTCCAGACTCAAGGGGAGATAATGCGTCCTGATTTCTGAAAGCGCAAGGCAAATCTCCGCCTGAATTTCCTCTGTAGAATTGTCGCTGTCCTTCTGGATAGCCTCCCTGAGGTCCTCCACATGCTGAACTAGAGCCGACTGCAGACGGTGCAGCTGATTCTGACGATAGCGAATATTCTGGCACCGGCCATCAATCTCCGCAGAGAGGATGCGCGAAAATGGTTGTGAAGAGACCATTGTTCAACTGAGATACCGATCCTGGTATGTTGGCTCCTGCGACGACTGCCTTCAACGGGGATATGGAAGCACCCGCAGCTTTTGATTAATTCATAAAATCTAGCTAACCCCTAGCTGTGTAGTGATAGCCCGCCACTCAGATACATCCCGAAGCTGGGGATGATGGTCTCGGGATGTGGAGGAACCCAGTGCACCCGATCTCGGCTGCGAGGGATGTGGAGAGGAAACACCCGGATGATCAGATGGTCTGCTGATACAGGAGGCTATCATTCTGATCACGGATGAGAAGGCCGTTAGCGGTTTATACCCGTGTTGTACTAGATTTCCAGCGCATTCATCAGAGAGACTGTACTCGTTCTACCAACCTTCAGGCCACACCATGTCGTCAACTACAACCACCACCCGATCCCAAACAAGCAGTTTGTCTGTACTGGCAGACTACGAGCTTCATCACAGCGGTAACGAACCTGATGTCCAATCCTCGGTCTCCCGCGAGCCGCCGGACGTCGCATCTTCAGCACAACCTGCCAATTGGCCAAGAGACCATCGTCGTGTGCCGCCTTACCGTCCTATAAATCACAATCTGAATTGGGATGAGAGACCAGCGGGAAGCAATACCGGCGAATTTATTTTTGTCCAGGTTATGTTGCATGGGGTGTGGTTGAATGCGGTCAGTAACGTTGCTATATGGGTGCAGGCAGGATGCTAACAGCACGTCAGACGGCCGCTCAATTATGGCGCGCAACGGGCGGAAGAATAAACGATCGGATCTTTCGATATGATGTGGGTGGAGAGTGGTGAATTTGTCACTGTATTCGGACAGAATCATAGATATATGAAGCAGTTGTCTTGTTCTTGAACGTTCTTCGCAGATAATTCAGTGAATCGATGCTTCCCTGGCTTACAATGCAATGGTAATATCATGACAAGGATTGATCCCTTTCAGACAACATACGTCTAGAATCACAGACAAAGCTCTAACACCTTCATGTACTTGGTCTCACACCCATATCGCCCAGCTCCTCACCCAGCTTCTTCCCCCCAATCTCAATCTCCTCCGCCGGCTGCAAAACATACAGCATACGTGCCCATTGTGGAACCAAGTTCCCATTTTCATCCTTCACCGGAGGCGTCACATTCCTCCAGGCATGGTTCGTGCCCCGTTGGATAGAGACGTCGCCACGCTTCATCAGACGGGTCTCCCCGGAATCCAGGATCAGCTCAACCTCTCCCTCCAAGACCACTCCATAGTCCAGCGAGGTAGTTCTGTGCATTGGACTCACGGCCGAGGGACGCATATCAACGATGCGGCACACGGTCCCGGAGTGGATCACCAGACCAGGAGGGTTGGTGAGATATTCGTTGTATTCCGGGATGTCGGTGTCGCCATTCAGCTTCGCGGGGAAGTGACTGGTTGTATATGCGAGACTGAAGTGAGCGCTGTCTGGAATTTGCTTCACGGGCATCTCCTCGGAGATGGCGTTGGAGAAGATGGCTTTGCCTTCATCGTTGTGGGTGGTGATGAAGCGGGAGAGAGGGCGGATAGTCTTGGGAGGGAACTCGGTGGATGACATCTTTGAAGGGTTCGATCTCAATCAAGAACAACGAGTTGCTTAATTCTTTATGGAAGCAATTGAGATTGCGATAATTATTATAGTGCGGGGATGGCGTCCCGTATGGGGGTACATTCCTGGCCCATGGAGTCTTCGGGACCACATCGGGAGAGGTGGAGGAGAGGATACTGTCACCAGTGGGCTCTGAAAAGATAGGTCTTGCATAATCCCTTTCCATTTGCACAAGTATCTGTCTATCTATTCATATGTGGGATTACTCCCTTGGTGGAATAATGGGCAGCGTGACATAGTTATCGCCGTGTCCAAAGTTGATATGGTTCTGGCCTTCCAGCTTCTCCGGCGACCGATCCACAGGGGAATTATGCTGGAAGACCCCACTTCCCTGAGTATCTCCCGAGGCGACCTCAAGAATGAGTTTGCCTCCTTTCTCTACCACCACGTTGGTGGGCCACACCTCCACATCGACGGGGTACACTTCGCCCGGTATCACCGGGAGGACATCGGTCGAGTAGTAGTCGCGATGCGGCAACCACTCGCGATGTCGAGCGTGTTCCTTGTTCACCTTGCGCAGGCTGACACGCTGCCAGCCCTTGCACAGAGGAACGGGGTCACCGGCTGTACCTGTGTAGTAGACTTCCTTGCCCTCGGGGGAGATGTAGCGAAGCGTGATGAAAAGATCAATATCGCGGGGCGTCGGAGAGCCGGGATACGGGCTCATGGAGACATTCAAATGGGCAACGATATGTCCTGTAATTTCAGTCTCCTTCTCGAATGGCGCGGTGGTGAATTGAACCAGCTGCGGGTTGTCCAATGTCCCCAGCGCGCGATAGGTAATCTTCACCGGGGGAACATTTTGAGGCTGTTCCGTTACCAATCCCTTATCCGGAGTCAAGTAGAAGCGCGTGTATTGGGTACGCGCAATGGGCCATTCGGTCTCCGTGCGCCGAGGAAATTGCTTCTCTGCTTCGGCGTTGTTGAAGCCCACGTCGCCTTTCCGGAGGACCAAGTCGACTTTGGGCGCCTGTCCAGTAGACCATCCGGCGCGATCTTCGCCTTTGAGAAAGGCATCGAGGAAGCTGCGCTGAACTTCGACCTCCTCCTTGTAATAGAATGGCAGATCGTGACGGCCAGTAATGAATCGCAGATACTTCAGCTGGCTGCCTGCTTGCGTGTAGCCTTCCACGTTTCCTCGCAGGTGAAGAAGGATGCCGCCCCAGTTGGCCACTGATAGCAACGGGACCTGCATAGGAATTAGTTTTGTCAGAGGAGTTAGTGGAAATTATCGCATACCTGAATATCGCTCATGGTGTATTCCTTGCTGGCGTAGTAGATATCATCCCGGAAGTGATTGTTGGCATTGTCAATGGTCTGGTCCTGGCGATTGGCAACCAATTCCTCTTCGGGGAGGTCCCCCTCGATTGTGTCAGGACCCCAGTTCCTTGCTGCGCGACCAGGTCGGCCATACTGGTTGGAGACGACCTGGCGATCCCACCAGAACTTGATAAAAGCGTTGCTCAGAATTCCACCATGGCGGCATCTATCGCGGTAGTAATCTAGAAACGTCAGCACCCCCTCGTAATCAGCAATTCAAGGGAGAACAAACCGGACATTCCCTCCCAGGGAATCATGCAAGTCAAACCCTTGGGCTGACGCGCAGCAACTCTCCACTGGCTTCCTGCGTAGTAGCTGATTCCCAGCAAGCCAACCTTTCCGGTGGACCAGGGCTGTTCAGCCGCCCATTCAACAACATCAAAGAATGCCTCGCTCGTCTCCCTGGACATAGTATCGAGCTTTCCACGCGACTGGCCGGTGCCTCTCTCGTCGGCGCGAACAATGGCGTATCCATGCTTGGTCCAAAAGCCCGGGTCGGGTGTTTCCCAGGCCGAATGCTCCGAGTGGTGCTCCGGATTGACCTCGCTGAAGGATTTCGGATGGAAACTGACTCATTGTTAGCTGGATATTACCCGCGGATCAATTCGGCCGGACCACATACTCGCGATACGGGATGTCTTTGCCATACGGTCCGTAGGTGACGAGCACTGGGGCCTTGTCGATGCCCTTAGGGCGATAGACATTGCATCGCACGAGACCAGAGTGGTCCTTCAATGCGATCGTCACATTTTGCTCGAAGATGTAGGGGAAAGATGTTTCATCACGTATGGTGATGTCTTCACGGATGGGGTTCGGCATGATGCTGTTCTGGTATAGACCACCGCGCGTACCAATTCAGTAACGGTAGATCATGGGAAGTTATTCCCTTTGACAAAATGAGCGATCATAAATAACTAACTAACCGACTTCCCCTCAGGTGGATTCGTCATGTCTCCTACCGAAAAGCGCCCTAAAATCGTTCCGACGTGGAGCCGAAATGGAGAGTTGGAGCCGAGGAGCATAGCACAACCCCAAGACGTGCCGTTATGCATCATGGGGGGAGGTCCGAAGGAGGGGCCAGAGTGTTTAAATATTTATAATTCTAGTGATATTGGAAGGGAAGCCTTGGTCTGATCTTCTCCACGTGCACAACATTCCTCTCCGCGGGCATCATTTCCAAGTTCTTTACTATGGGCAGCATCAGTCCATCCGAATCGAGACATGGCGGTCTTCGAGTCCTGATCTCGGGTGCTGGTATTGGCGGTTTGGCTACGGCCATCGCATTGCGGCAGCAAGGACATAACGTCCAGGTATGTCATTTCCCAAATACTTACCATGTACTTTGACATGAACTCACAAGCATCCAGTTGTTTGAGAGATCTCGCTTTGCAAACGAGATCGGTGCAGCCATTCACCTGTCGCCAAACACCACTGCCTGCTTACTGCGACTTGGGATCGATGCGTCCAAGTTTGGGGCCGTGGAAACGGAACAAGTATTGTCTTCTCCTATGCTATCTATTTGGACATCATTCTGACGCTCAATCTAGGTGCGCACATTCTCACCGACTGGGGAGCCCCTGCACATCATCGACGTCCGGAAGCACGCTGGGCTTTGGCGCCATGTAAGTCTACACTATAATGGCTGCTTCACGTCGGTCCAGGTCCTAATCAGTACAACAGCGTTGGCTTTTAGTCCACAGAGCCCATCTCCACGAAGCTCTGAAGGAGGAGGCGATAGCGCAAGGCTGCACACTGCACACTTCCAGCAAGGTAGTCGATGTCGATCCCATCAATGCCACTGTGACCCTCGAAAATGGCGATGTCGTGGAGGGCGATGTACTGTTGGCTGCAGACGGCGTCCACTCAATTGCGAGGGCAAAAATCCCCGGCGCCAACAAGATCGTCCCTTTCAGTTCTGGCCGCAATGCCTTCCGCTTTTTGATGTCCCGCCAACAGGCCTTGGACGACCCTGAGACGCAGGAGCTCGCTCAGGATCGCGGTGCCGTTGACATGTATGACACGCCGGATCGTCGAATTTGCATCTACCCCTGCATGAATAACGAGGCCCTGAACTTTGTGTGCATCCATCCCGATAGCATGTCTGCTATTGACAAGTACGCGGACTGGAACCAGGAAATCAGCAAGGAGTCGTTGCTTGCGGTATACAAGGACTATAGTCCGAATATTCTCAAGCTTCTGGACAAGGCGGATCCCCAAACACTAAAAGTCTGGCCTTTGCTGGATATGGACACGTTGCCCACCTGGGTCGAGGGTCGAATGGCTCTCCTGGGTGACGCTGCCCACCCGTTTCTCCCGTATCGCGGCTCGGGAGGCGGAATGGCTATCGAGGACGCCCTGTCACTGGGTGTGATGCTCTCCAAGGCGCGTCCGGAGGATGTTCCTGAGCGGTTGAAGCTGTATGAGAAGGCTCGTCACACCCGAGCCACGATCGTTCAGCAGATGACTCGCGATTCGGCTCACGGCCCCCTTCCGCCTGATCAGGGTGAGTTATATTTGGAGATTTCATAGTACTCATTATGCTAACTCGCCCAGCCCAAGCGATGACGGTCTATATCTTCGGCCACGACGAGTTCGACTATTCCACCCAGATTCTACGAAAGCATCTGTGGAGTCAGGGGCCCCCCAAGTACTGGCGCCAGCCTATTGCTTTTGGACCCATGCCTGGTCCGCGGCAGGATTACGAAGGCCATGATCGCGCGCAAAAATCACTCAAGGCCACTTTCCAGACGGCCTCGATCCGTTTCAAAACCAGCCGAACGCTCCTACAAAACCTGTTCCCCAGCGATTCCTACAGCTTCATCAGCCCCAGCACCGTCGCCTATGCAACGTTCTCACAAACGAGACTGCACAACATGGACTGGCTCGGCGGTGGAGGCTATCGCCATCTGGGGTTGTATATCGAGGGAGTGCAGTGCAAGAAAAGCAACGGCGAGGTGGTCAAGGGCACTTACATGCCGATTCTGTTTGAGAGTCTCGCCGACCCAATCGTTTCGGGTAGAGAGGAGCTCGGAATGCCCAAGTTGTACAGTGCCATCCATGGGCATGAAAGGTCCCAGTCCTACCATCTGGAGACGAGCTGGGAAGGGGCTGTATGGGGACGCTTCCATTGGGAGGATCTAGCAGACGTTGACGTGGAGAGTGAGCAAGGCAGTATTACCGGAGAACCCAGTGACGGCGTCCTCGTCCACAGATACATGCCCCAGGTCGGACGGGACTACAAGGGTCAGCCGGAGGCCGAGTACCCGGTCATCGTACCATTTGCGGAGGAGTCGAAGGTCGTGCCGTCGAAAGTCACTCGAGTGCGCAAGGCTACCAAAGCCAGCTTTCACATCGAGGAACTGAACTGGCAATTACTCCCAACGCTTCATCATGTCATTTCACGGCTCGCGGAGATCCCGGTGGATGAGATCGTATCGGCGAAGGTGGTTGATGGGGAGGGGGTACAGGACGTGTCGACGGCTCGACGCCTCGTGTAGCGATAAGGATTGTCACGACTATTACTACTGCATTTGTGTAGGTTTAGGAGGGGCGTGAAAATATCAATCATTCCTATACATTCTAACACCATCGTCGAAAGTCAGACCGGGAACAGCATGGATCATGGGACATCGGGATCTGATTTTGTATAGAGGTTCGTTCCGGGTTCCGCGCCATGACGAGGCATAGAGATTAGGGCTTGAACTCGGCATCCATCCATGTCAGATATCAGCGGCAGGAAGTGGTTTCCAGGGCCATTCACCTATCATGCATAATGTTCATGGTTGGACACGTATGGCTGCATGTGACTATCTCCAATTTTATGACAGGGCACAGCTAAGCACTAGAGCATGATTAGACCCAAGGTCAAGCCACTAAGCGGGGGGCTAGTATCCTCGCAGTCCTTCTGGGCTAGTTGCAGACGTCAATTTGAGGCGGAGTGGAGACCATTCGTGGCGACGGACCGGGATGATCATCATGGAGGCATATAGCACTGGGTAGTATAGGAAAGTTGGCGGACGGATGACGGGAACGTGGTGACACCGGATTTTCCCGCACAAGAAACGTGCATGATGACGGAAATACCCGTATTGAGGCATTCCGAAGGCCAATTGTCTGGGGGTCTTATTGGATGATGATGGTGACTTGCGATGGGGTACTTCTGGGAAGAACTAGTTGGGACACTAACGGACAGTAGTCGGATGTGCCTCACTCGATTGATCTAGTGGGGAAAGACCATGAGGGGTAGGAAGCAGACTAGGATTGAATAGTGGTCTGAGCAGTAAGACAAGAGAGGAAGTGGACTCGGTAAGAGTGTGGAAGCTGGAGAGATGACGAGGTATACCTGCTACCTGCATATACATACATGTGTTGTGATATATATCAGGCTGAGGCCATCGGACCATCCCGCTACGTCTTCGCATCTTCGTTCATACGGAGGATACACGCTGTAAATTACTGAAAATGCTGGTACTGGTTTAATCGCGGTTAAGTCTATAAGCTCATTCCTATATAGAGCTCCATAGCTCCTCTGAATAGGTATGTGACGGACGTTATTAATCGATAGTGGGAGGTTCTAGAAACGGCCAACCTCATTCCCAATCGGGACAGTAATCCTGACTAACCCACTAACTAACTAACGTTTTCCACAATCGAGCCGCGCCTACAACCGAGCCGCGCCCTTTCCACCAAAACTCCTACTTCCTAAATTCAACGCGTCTTTTCTCATCACCACAATTTAATATGCATCTTTCTAAAGAATCGCGCATTCAGATGGCTATTTCAGCTTATCAGAAAGGCCAGGTTAAATCAATTAAACGCGCTGTGGCCCTTTTTGCTGTCCCCGAAAGCACTGTACGCGACCGGCTTCATGGTGCTAAATCACGGTCGGAAACACGCGCCAATGGTCATAAACTGACCGAATTCGAAGAGGAATTACTTCTAAAGCGATTATTAGATGCAGATACGCGAGGATTTCCAATTCGACCCGAATTTCTACGTGGAATGGCCCAGGTTTTACTTCGCAGTCGTTTACAAGACCCTACCGCAGCTATCGGAACTAACTGGCCTTATAACTTTGTTAAACGCCATCCTCAGCTCCGTACGCGATATACAAGGCGTATTACCTATCAGCGCGCAAAGCAGGAAGATCCAAAGGTTATAGGCCCGTGGTTTGAGACCGTACGAGCGACTATTCAAGAACACGGCATACATGAAGACGATATCTGGAATTTCGACGAAACTGGCTTTGCAATGGGAGTCTGCTCTACTTCAAAAGTGATTACTGCAGTAGAGCGAAGCGAGCGACCGCGCAGAGTTATTCAGGGCAATCGTGAATGGGTTACAATCATCGAAACAATCGGGTCAAGAGGCGTATATCTACCGCCAGTCATTATATTAAAGGCAAGCGTTCAACAGGCTGCCTGGTTCCAAGAACCTAAGCTGCCTCGCGACTGGTGGATTTCTACTAGTCAGAATGGCTGGACGACTGATGAAATAGGCCTTCTCTGGCTGAAAAATGTCTTTGAACCGCTTTCTAAGCGCTATATGACTGGTGCAAAGCGCTTGCTTATTCTTGACGGCCATAGTAGTCATTTGACTGCTGAATTCGATGATTTCTGCAAGCAGAATGCAATAATATGTCTCTGCATGCCTGCCCATACTTCACATCTTCTTCAACCGCTTGATGTGGGCGTTTTTGGCCCGCTTAAAGAGGCGTACGGAAAGCTCCTTGAAGACCTTATGGCTGCTGGCAACAACCATATTGATAAAGAAGACTTCCTATCGCTATATCCGGACGCCCACAAGCAAATCTTTACTTCGGCCAATATCTGCAGCGGCTTTAGAGGAGCAGGGCTTAAGCCGCTTGATCCAGAGCATGTTCTTTCCAAGCTTACCTTTCAACTGCGTACGCCTACACCACCACTAGTTGAAGGCTCAGTTTCCTCTGCTTTTCAGACTCCGCAGAATACTCGCCAGCTGAATCGAAAGGTTCGAAGCCTGCAGAATAGCCTTAATAGAAAGCGGCAGCTTTCTAGCAGTCCTATTGCGCATATTCAACATCTGGAGAAAGCAGCGCAAATGGCGATGCAAACTACCCTTCTTTTGCAGCAAGAAATTAGGGCTATACGCGCTGAAAATGGACGACAACGTCAAAAAAAAGCAAGAAGACGTGCTGAGATAGGTAATGACCGCCTTCTTAATGTGCAGGAAGGTGAAAACCGCGTTCAGCAGCTTGATACGCAGCTTAATGAGCAGCCTGCGGAATCTACTCTAGCGCCTCGTCGACGAGCTCCGCAGCGCTGTAGTGGGTGTGGAACAATCGGACATACAATTCGAAATTGCCCTAGTAGATGGCTATAATTTCATGTATTTAGTTAGTTAGATTTAATGGCGTTGGTGGTTGAAAAGCCTTAGGAAATAGGAGTTTTGGTGGAAAGGGCGCGGCTCGGTTGTAGGCGCGGCTCGATTGTGGAAAACGTTAACTAACTAGGTTGACTAACTTACCATCATCGACCTTGGACGCTTGTCTTTCTCTTCTTTCTTCTCTTCTCTTCTCTTCCTCTCTCTTCTTCACTCTCCCTCCTCTCATCTTCTGCTCTCGCTGCTTTGTTCCCCTCATCCCTTCATCCAGCCTCCTCATCTCCCCATCCCCTCCACCTCCCGCACTCCCCCTGCAACGCTCGTGACGTACCCTCTCCCCCCTCGGTCTCTCTCTTCTACGCCCCCAACCTTGCTTACAACCTCTGTTCACCACCTGTTCGTTACCCAAATCACCCGTTTCTTGACCGATTGCATTCTCCAACTTCTTTTCCTGACCCCCTCGGAACCCTCCTGTACAATATCTTCGTCCCCGCTTCGCTCCGCCCGTCGACATTCCAGATCTCTGTTCCCCGCAGCAACCTAGCTCTAGGTGCTCAACCCTCACATACCACTTAATCTCAGCCTCAAATCTTCCCCGCACAAGACCATAATGTAAGTCGCGCGGAAATCTTTTCCTTGATGATCTACCTCAATTCCCGAACTCTGACCCATCTCCGGCCACCGTCTCCAGGCGTATCACCGTCAATGTCATCCGACCTGATCAGGCCGACTCCGATATCATTTCCCTGGAAGTCGGCGGGGACATGACTGTCGACCTCCTCAAGGCCATTGTTGAAAGCGAGACCTCCATTCCCCCGAACGCCCAGCGGATCCTTTACAACAACCAGCTTCTCGGCGATGACACTCGCACCCTGGAGCAGGTCGGCATCGGCGAGGGTGACATGCTGGGTGTCCAGGTTATGCTACGAACCCCTCAGCAACCCGCTCGGGCCCTCGGGGGTTCGAGTGCCGCCGCAGCGCAGCAGAATCTCCAGCGGCGACAGGCTATGGGCCCAGATCCTGAGACCATCCGACTGCATATCCTAGGAGACCCCCGAGTTCGCGAAGCTGTCCGGCGACAGAACCCAGAACTCTCCAATGCTGCAGATGACCCCCAGCGGTTCCGGGAAGTCCTGATCGCACAGCAGCGGCGCGAAGCGCAGTTGGAAGCGGAGAAGGAGGCCCGGATTGCCATGCTGAATGCGGATCCTTTCAACCCAGAGAACCAGCGGGAGATCGAGGAGATCATTCGTCAGAATGCCGTAACGGAAAATCTCCATAACGCCATGGAACATCATCCAGAATGTGGGTGGTCCCTGATCCTGGTTGCCCCTTGATCGCACTAACTAGGTTGGGTAGCTTTCGGTCGCGTAACGATGCTTTACATCCCTGTCGAGGTTAATGGCCACCGACTCAATGCCTTCGTCGATTCCGGTGCCCAAGTTACGATCATGTCCCCCGAATGTGCAACTGCCTGTAATATTATGCGACTGGTCGATCAACGATATGGTGGTATTGCAAAGGGTGTGGGAACAGCCAACATCCTTGGTCGGGTGCATTCCGCGCAGATCAAAATCGGGAGTTTGTTCCTTCCCTGCTCTTTCACTGTCATGGAAGGTAAACACATCGATTTGCTTTTAGGCCTGGACATGTTGAGGCGCCACCAGGCTTGCATCGATCTCAAACGGGGCGCCCTCATCATCCAGGATCAAGCCGTGCCGTTCCTCGGGGAGGCCGACATTCCCAAACATCTCCAAGACGAGTTCGAGGATGAACCAATGGTGAAAGGCAGTGATGGAGCGGAAGTCGGTGCTCGGACGGGCGCGGTCACCCACCAGGCTAACCAAGGTGGCGCCAGTTCTGCCGGACCATCGTCAGCCCCAGCCCCTTCCTCCAACGCCCCTCGCATTAATATTCGCCCAGCACCAACGCAGTCGTCGCGTTGGCCGCAGGACTCGATCGCGAAAATTACCGAATTAGGATTCACACGCGAGGAAGCCATGCGGGCGCTGGATGCCGCGAATGGAGACCTCGATGGCGCTATTGGATTCTTGATTTGAACAATTAGGCCCAACATTAATGAAACCCATGCCTGTACTGCTGTTCTAGTACTAGAAGGTGGTCACCGCACATCTCGTCGCGCCCCCATGGGAGGGTAGATACCCACATCTGCATTGGAAAGGCGTTCTCCGCGATTTACTGCTTGCTTTGTCCATCTGTATCGGGTCGCCTATTCTAACCCGATCCTGCGTATGCATCACGGATTAGCGAAAGATGCACTCATGCAGGGCAGCGAATCTCGACTCCATTGTCGTGTTCACATACTACAACTCAATAGATGCCTTAATGGGCCGATTTTTCCTGATAGATCAGACCATTGTGTCCTCGTAACAATAAGTGGGTTTCAGCAGCCCATTTAAAAGGCTATCGTCAGACAGCCCGTTTGTGATTGTGGCTTGGTAAGCATCGACGCCGCGCACAGTGCTGACTCAACGTTCGCACACTTCTGACATTCCAGCTGACTTCATGATTCAGGCATCACCGCGGTCTCAAAGCCATTTTAGAACGTAATGAGCGTTGGATGGCGCGTTCGGCGAGTGTGCGATAATGAGCGCAGTACTCCAGGATCCCGAACACCTCTGGATAAGGCCTGCTGATCGAGACAGTATAGTAGAACATGTCAACGCCATTCATGCGTTCAATATCGACCTTCGCCATGGCAAGAGAAGGGTTTTCCACGATCAAAGTCGAGAGTCTCATCATGGCAAAAGTCACAAATGGCGCTATAATGCCCGGATACAGCATATTCTCGGCAGGTATATGGCGGACGAGATCCAGCGTCGCGCGAGCCGCAGCAACAGAGATCTGTCTAGAGAGAAATGTCCTGGTGTTGGGCGAGCGAAGATGTTGTTGACTTCCGCTCAGGTCCATCTGCCATGTCGTGAATGGCATTGCGCGTCGGTGGATTGTCAAAAGACAGTAATAATAGCTGAAATGCAGATATGCCACTCCAAAATGAGGGTCATTCCGCAGGTTCCCGACAAGGTTGTTAGTCCCAGGACGGTAGTCCTCGGGGATGGCATTCCTCCAGCTTTCTAGTTGATCATCGAGCTGGCCCACGGTCAATATGACCTCGGTGTCGCTTTTCCCGTTGGCACATGTCGAGTACAGGTTCTGATAGACCCGGCTTTTTATGGCCGTAAGTTCGTGGAGTGAGTTGAAGATGTCGAAGGTGGTGATACTGTCCTTATCTCGTGAAGCGAGGTCGTCTTGCGCCTCTCTTCCATCCAAAGTAGTGATGTCCAACTTTTGTCCCGGTGGCGTCCCAGAAAGTAATGCGGTGCTGTTACAGTCACAACGTGAGCCATGCTCGTCATACATATGGTAACACTTACTCAATTTCCGGGGTATAGCAGATGACACGAATGCGTGTATTGAGATTCGCGGACGGCCCAAGACAACCTTTTGTGAAGTCGAGTGCCTGCAAAATGCGAGCTGCCATTGATAGCAGCGCTTCGGATGGCTTACTACTGAAATTACCGTACAGAAATAAGGCCTGATTCGCGATGAGAGATCCAGACGCGTCACGTAAGGGAATACAATATTGAAGAGCTTACCATAGCGAGAAGCGCTTGTGCTGACAGGAGCTGTGGTGGCAGCAGGAAGAAGCTATCCAGGCTGATAGTGCAATTCTTCCAATACTTCCACGCACTGGACGAGCATCCTTCCTCGGTCAGACATGCCAGAGCCAGTACAGCATTTACGCAAGTCCACCATGCAAGTGATGAGCGTAGTTGAACGGGGTACTGTTGCTCCACGCGGAACATGAAGTCATCCTCGTCGAATAATGGGCACAATGGGTTCACTGTCGTGAAGTATCTGTTGAACAGGCGCAGGGCGATGTGTTTGGGCGGCAACGGCTGGTAAGGTGCCCTTCGGAGTGCATCCGCAAGGGGTCCGAGATCGTTCCTGAGGCTTGCCTCGGCCAGGAACGTCAGCGGATTCAACTCGGCGCTGCCGATTCTCTCCCGGAGCCATTGAATTCCAGCTGGGGAGAATATATTGAGCTCGGATGGAGCTGCGATGCACATTGTGTCAGCTATGGGGGAGGGTAGAACAGGTCAGGAGCGTTACCCATATCGGACTGGCCAAGAAGACATCGCGGAAGAGAGAAAAAAGGAGAGCCAAACAGCATATCTTGGGCTTGCAATGTGCCATCGAAGGCCATTTGAGGCTCGCAAGCCCTACTGAATGGGGAGTGTGACGGAGATGTTACCCGTACCCGTGGTTCCGGGAGCACAAATGAATCTGGGCCGAAACTACCAACGTCGGATTCCAGCCCTCGGTCGAGTACGGAAGAGATCCATTGATCCCGGCTCCCGGATAGAACATCATGCTCGGAACGCTGTGTGGACCATGAGAGGCCTTGTGCAGAGTGCAATGGGGACTGTGTCCGGGGTGCACTATCACATTGCCAGGATGAGAGTTGAACAGCGACTGACATACGCCCTGTCGGAACATACCTGCTCGAAGGGTTGATTGCTTCATCGGACATGATGCACTCAGTGCGGCGCCTCTGGCAAGCCTTACACTTACTTGCGCCAATGGCTCGGTCACATTTCACTTTTCGCTGGCGACATGATAGGCATGCCTGGTGACAATCTCGCGTAAGTCAGAGCAAGCACCAAAGATTCAAACATTTCACCTTAGCCACACGCATCCGGCTATATGCTCGGAACTGATCCATGTCGTTCGGTCGTGTTCATCGCAATGATGCTCTCTTGGGACAGGAAGAACAGCTGCGGTATTTCGACATGAAAGCTGGGGAAACTAATACCCATGTCACTGCCGAATTTGCCACGCGGACCCTATCTGGTGCCGTTCCCTCCTCAGCTCAGACAATTTTACACTCGGGCAGACAGACCTCCGGGCCGTATGTTTCCTACAATTTACCGTACGGAACACCTTATCTTATCGAAGCTGGCTGGTCCAGTTCACAACGACTGCTTGGGGGTCCACCGGCCCCATCAGGGCTTATCCGAAGCCCTAAAGTCCGGGGGGCTCCTACTTCGCCGAGAGCGCCGGATTGTGTAGATGCCGTGCCGATTAAGACATCGGGATGTTCTAATGCAACAAATGATGTTGAGCAGAGTGACGGATAAGTTGCGGCTGCCCTCGGCAAGCTCCTTTATTGGGCAGGATCCTGTCCTGAGGGGACGCACACCATTCGCATGGTATATAAGATCTGAGTAGGCTAGGCCCCTGATGTTTGGAAGGAATATCTGAAAGCAATCACATCCCGAGGACCGCCAGAGAACGTCGCTCATTCATCTCTCTCTCTACTGTCTCAGCCGTTTTCACCATGTCAGTCCCGGGAGGAATCCCACACCCAAATGGAGCTGAGAAGACCCCTGGTCCGGAAACCGACAGCCAGTATGATACCGAAGCCACCCTGGAGCAAAAGGATGGGGGCGAGGAGATGGAGGAAGAGGTTGAGCAGATGTTGCGACAGCTCACCCGGCAATCTACACATTTCTCTGCCGCCAACGCGAAGAATCCCTTTTTCGAAGAGGACACGAAGTCGTCCACCATCCATCCCGATAGCCCTTCCTTTAAGATCAAAGACTGGATTCGTTCTCTAATTGCGGCTCAATCGCAAGACCCCGCTCGGTTCCGACAACCCACTGCAGGCATTGCATTCAAGAACCTCTATGTCCATGGTTTCGGCAGTCCTACGGATTATCAGAAAGATGTTTTCAATTCAGTCCTTGGAATTGGCGGTCTTGTGCGACGTGTCACCGGCACTGGCCTTCAGAAAGTGCAGATTCTCAACAATTTTAATGGTATCGTCCGCAGTGGTGAGATGCTTCTTGTACTTGGTCGCCCGGGGAGGTAGGTGAAATACTTGCCCTTTATTCCGTGCTAAGACCGTTTCTCATATTTGACCTGTGCAGTGGCTGTTCGACACTGCTCAAAACAATCTCTGGAGAAATGAACGGCATATACGTGAGTGACGATAGCTATATGAATTACCAAGGTACGTTTGATTGGATAGCTTTCTATGCCATACGTCGCACACACTCATTGTCTCTCAGGTGTATCTGCCCAAGATATGAGAAAGCGGTTTCGGGGCGAGGCAATTTACAGCGCTGAGACTGATGTGCATTTCCCGCAACTTACTGTTGGCGACACGTTAACCTTCGCAGCTCAAGCGCGAGCACCGCGTACGCGGTTCCCTGGGCTGAGCCGTAAGGAATACGCATGTCACGTTCGTGACGTGGTTATGACAATTTTGGGTCTACGACACACCTTCAATACTCGTGTGGGCAATGATTTTATTCGCGGTGTCAGCGGTGGTGAGCGTAAACGCGTCAGTATAGCGGAGGCCATTCTCAGCGGTGCACCTTTGCAGTGCTGGGATAACAGTACCCGAGGGTTGGACAGTGCAAACGCCCTGGAATTCTGCAAGAACCTCAGGCTGATGAGCAACTATGCTGGTACTACCGCCTGTGTTGCTATCTATCAAGCGTCTCAGAATGCTTATGATGTGAGCCTAAGGTCTAGGTGTCTAGCTTCCTCGACTGACGACGATTGTTATAGGTGTTTGACAAGGTTGTGGTTCTGTATGAAGGGCATCAGATTTACTTTGGCCCGACCAAAGAAGCTCGCCAATTCTTCGTGGACATGGGTTTCGAGTGCCCTTCTCGCCAAACGACCGGCGATTTCCTGACATCACTCACCAGTCCCTCCGAGCGTCGGGTGAGACCCGGCTACGAAGACAAAGTGCCGAGGACATCGACGGAATTTGCGAAGAGATGGCAAAGCAGTCCGGAATATGCGCGCTTAATGCGAGAAATTGATAACTTCGATCAGGAATATCCGATCGGAGGTTCTGCGTATGATGAGTTCAAGGAGGCCCGCCGACAGATACAATCCAAACAACAGTGAGTCTACACACGTCGAGATAGTCTGCTTATACCGACTAACTGGGACCCATCCTAGGCGTTCTGTGTCTCCATATACCATTTCTGTTGTTGAGCAGGTGAAGCTGTGTCTCGTTCGTGGATTCCAACGCTTGAAGGGTGATACCAGCTTGACTATGACAGCGCTCTTTGGTAATTTCTTTATCTCGTTGATCGTCGGCAGTGTGTTCTACAACCTCCCAGCGGACACTTCAAGTTTCTACTCCCGTGGTGTTCTCCTGTTCTATGCGGTGCTACTGGCTGCATTCAGCAGTGCCCTTGAGGTATGTTACTTCTACGCCTATCGCTCGATAGCATCTCCATAGCCATATGGCCCTTAGATACAAGCCAACTGACGACGATTCTATAGATCTTGACTCTCTATGCACAACGGCCTATCGTGGAGAAGCAGTCACGATATGCTTTCTACCATCCCTTTTCAGAAGCAATCGCGTCGATGACTTGTGATCTCCCATATAAGATCATCAACTCTTTCACTTTCAATATTCCTCTCTATTTCCTGTCCAACCTACGGCGAGAGCCTGGGGCGTTTTTTACTTTCTGGCTATTTTCGATTTCAACTACACTTACCATGTCGATGATTTTCCGATCTATTGCGGCTGCTTCGCGAACACTAGCACAGGCCCTTGTCCCAGCTGCGATTTTGATCCTAGCCCTGGTGATCTATACCGGATTCGTCATCCCGACTAGGGATATGCTGGGCTGGTCACGATGGATAAACTACATCGATCCCATTTCATACGCCTTCGAGAGCTTCATGGTCAATGAGTTCCAGGGCCGAGAGTTTGATTGTGTTTCCTATGTGCCGTCCGGACCAGGCTATGAGAATGTGGATCCGATCAACCGCATCTGCAGCACGGTTTCCTCCACACCGGGCTCTTCAACCATCAATGGCGACGCCTATCTACTCACGGCATACTCATATTCAAAAAACCACTTGTGGCGCAATTTTGGGATCCTCATTGCATTCCTCATCTTTTTCATGTTCTTGTACCTTATCGGCACTGAGTTCATCTCCGAAGCTATGTCCAAAGGAGAGGTTCTAATTTTCCGTCGTGGTCACCAACCAAACCATGCTCAAGACATGGAGTCTCCAGCACAGACAGTTTCCCGTGATGAGAAGTCTCCAGGACAAAGCACTGCCAACATCCAGCGTCAAACGGCTATTTTCCATTGGCAAGATCTATGTTATGATATCAAGATCAAAGGAGAGGAACGTCGCATCTTGGATCATGTGGACGGATGGGTGAAACCGGGAACGGCAACAGCATTGATGGTAAGTGTTTCTTTATCCTTTGGGGCGAGTATCTATACTCATTTGTGATAGGGTGTGTCTGGTGCTGGAAAAACAACGCTATTAGATGTCCTCGCCACGCGCGTGACTATGGGAGTCGTTACCGGTGAAGTTCTGGTAGATGGCCAACCGCGGGACGATTCGTTTCAACGGAAAACCGGCTATGTCCAACAACAAGATGTGCATCTGCCGACTGCGACTGTGCGAGAGGCACTGCAGTTTAGTGCCCTGCTGAGACAACCTGCCCATGTTAGCCGCCAAGAAAAGTTGGACTACGTGGAGGAAGTCCTTGACCTTCTCGATATGAAGCTTTACGCTGACGCCGTTGTTGGTGTTCCCGGGGAAGGTACTCTCTACTTCATAAAAGCTCTCTGCAGCCATTGTCATAAATTATCGACGAGTAGTGCTAACCTGATGCAGGGCTTAATGTCGAGCAACGAAAGCGATTAACCATTGGAGTGGAACTGGCGGCCAAGCCACAGTTGCTTCTTTTCCTCGATGAACCCACGTCTGGTTTAGACAGCCAGACGTCGTGGTCCATCCTTGATCTCATTGACACCCTCACAAAACATGGCCAGGCAATTCTGTGTACCATTCACCAGCCGTCTGCCATGTTATTCCAGCGCTTTGATCGACTGCTCTTCTTGGCGAAGGGCGGTAGAACAGTGTATTTTGGAGAGATTGGAGAGGACTCTTCAACGTTAGCCAACTACTTCATGTCTAATGGTGGTAAAGCTCTTACTCAAGGTGAAAACCCGGCGGAATGGATGCTTGAAGTCATCGGTGCTGCACCAGGTTCACACAGTGAAATCGATTGGCCTGAAGTATGGAATAACAGCAAAGAGAAGCAAGCAGTACGGGCCCATCTCGCCGAGCTGAAGACAACTCTCTCCCATATACCCAAGGAAAATGGGGCACAGGATGGTTACGGCGAGTTTGCGGCCCCGACTGTTGTCCAGCTCAAGGAGTGCGTATTACGAGTCTTCTCACAATATTGGCGGACGCCATCCTACATCTACTCGAAGCTTTCTCTTTCGATTTTGACCGCCCTATTCGACGGCTTTTCGTTTTTCAACGCGAAGAACAGCCAACAAGGATTGCAGAATCAGATGTTTAGCATCTTCATGCTGATGACTATATTCGGCAGCCTGGTTCAGCAGATTTTGCCCAATTTCGTCACCCAGCGCTCGATCTATGAAGTGCGCGAACGACCGTCGAAGATGTATTCCTGGCGTGTATTCATGGCAACGAACATCCTGGTCGAGCTACCCTGGAACTTTCTAGTTGCGATTTTGATGTATTTCTGCTGGTATTACCCGGTTGGACTATATCGGAACGCGGAGCCAACTGACACTGTTCATGAACGTGGCGCATTGATGTTCCTATTTTTAGTCGGGTTCATGTGGTTCACATCGACCTTTGCCCACATGGTCATTGCGGGAATTGAGAATGCGGAAACAGGAGCAAATATTGCTAACTTGCTATTTGCCCTCTTGCTACTATTCTGCGGGTAAGGTTGCATTGGGGTTTCCTGTCCTTCGGCGATACAACTAACAAGATAAATAGTGTCGTGTCCACGCCTGAGGCAATGCCCGGATTCTGGATTTTCATGTACCGTGTCTCACCGTTTACTTATCTGGTCTCTGGGATGCTGTCTACAGCCGTGAGCGGCACTGATGTTGTCTGCGATACGATCGAGAGGCTGAAACTAGATCCTCCCTCCGCCGAAACGTGCGGCCAGTACCTAGGTCCATTTGCTAACGCTACTGGCGGTACGGTCATCAACTGGAACGCCACCAGCAATTGCGAATACTGCCTGATGTCAACGACGGATGTTTTTCTAGCCGAGGTCAGCAGTTACTGGAGTGACGCGTGGCGGAATTTCGGGTTGATATGGGCGTATATTGCATTCAACATTGTTGCCGCAATTTCCATCTACTGGCTCGCTCGAGTCCCAAAGGGGAACAAGACAAAAGGGTCAGCATAGGGATGTTTCAAGGTGAGATAAGCAGGCCAGATGGAAGTTTTAATTCTTCGCTCTTTTTGATGTTTCTTATTTCTTTTCCGCAAGTCGTGGGCTTCGATTCCGGCACTGTGAACTGGGTTCGTCCTTACTTTGCCGAGACGCCCGCATTGCTCATCGCTCATTAGATAGATTACAACCGTTTAATAGAATTTTGATTGATTGATTGCTTTAAATGGGCAAAGGTGATTGTTAACCACTTATACAGTTTCCAACCACGGCATAGAGCCGTGCATATGGAATTCTTTCAGCTCGTAGTCCCATATCCTGACTCGGAGTATCGTACAGTCGATATGGATCCTTCCCATTCCATCTAGTCTGATTGGAAATGCACCTAGCAACCCGGCGCATCATGGTGGCAAGTTCCAAATAAAGTCCAGATCCAGGTAAGTCGAGTCTAAGCCCGAGTCAAACTGCCCCGTTCCATCCCAGGTTCCAAACGGCGCCATCAGAGGGTCCAGCGCAAACGAGAGCCAGTCACTGGGGTCTGGAACAATCCCGTCAGACCAGCCAAATATATGTTGATCAAGCAAGTGTTCCGGTAGAGCGTGTTCTACCTCTTGAGTAGAACGACTAGCGTCTACATCATGAGCCATCGTTGTAGTTCCATTCTCCCGTGACGTGGCGACGGGCGCACCTGTGTCAGGCTCAGAAACGTATGCATTGGTGAACGACTTCCGGAATCTCTCGAGATGGATCTTCAGCAGGGTCGCGTATCGAGAAACAAGGTGGATATCATCTAGAGCATGGGCTTGCAAGATATCCGACACTTCATCCAGCAAAGCAAGGCATTCTTGGACTTGGACTGTGCGCACACCGAAGGCAAGGGCCTTTAGGAGAAAGACCGATGTGCTGATCGCCCGATGAAAGATGCTGATCGGGAGGTACTGAATGGGATTTGGGATGTGCTTCTCTAGATTTGTGATCCATCGAAGAATGGAGCATGCATTTGTCATGATCTGCTCGACAGGCTCCGTGTCTCGCGAATTGAGCTGATGTCGTTCTTCGGGTCCACTATGCGAAAGGAGCTCCGTGACCTTTGACTGCAGTTTGATCGAGTTGATAAACACAACGACGTACTGATACTCGATGTTCAGGATATCGCTTAGTGGGTTGTCTGGGTAGATGTTAGCTACTGAATATAGTTAATCGAAGTCTCTGTGGGAACGTTACCTGAGAGCCGCGGTCGTCTATCTTGCCAGCGTGCTAACCCTGCTCTCCATTGACCCAGCGATGCTGCGTCTCCCTGTGGTTGGTCCCCAGCGGTGGACGCCAGTGGAAAATATTGATTGATTATCCCCATCGTCAGCCTGGTCAGCTCCACCCATGATGCCATGAATGCCACCCATTCCCTGTTTTCAGCTGAATTTATCAGGCGTGCCCACACTTCCGCTCCTAAATCAACCGCCATGGGTGAAGTGCAGCCTATTCTCGAAGCCAGCTGATTCACGAACACAAAGAGCAATGGCGGGAGTCTCCTCTTTCTGCGTTCCAAGTGCTCCAGGTAGAGCTCTGCGTCTGGACCGGACGCTGTCTTCGCCACTGACTCTAGATTAGAATCCCCCAATTGCAAACCATTTGTACTGGTCCTCCCCAATGAAGTATCCTTGGTCAGTGGTACATTCTCCGTTGTAGATCGAAAGATCCCAAGCTCATGGCTCAACGCCAACGCAGAGCTCAGAACCATCCACGCCATTCGATCTGCCCGTCGAGCAGGCTCAACCACATCTTCCCGCCACCTCTCCTTCAACATGACCGTCTCTTCCATCGGCAACGGCGGATCCCTCTCATCCGGAACGGCAAGGATCAGATCCGAGTCCCAGCCATCGTTCTCCGGTGGGAAATGCAATGCGCGTGGATACCACTCCGCCAGCAGCATGAGCGCCTCAATGGACCCGATATTTCGCGTTTTGGCTTTGGATAGCTTCTCCTGCCCTAGCATAATCCTAAGAATGAGATGCTGGCAATGCTGCCATAACCTGTTGTGGATGGACTGCTCGCGCGAGGAGCCGCCTGCGTTGGAGAGGACGCTGTGGCGGGATGAGATGAGGAGGATCACGCAGCAGAGAGTCGGCTCTTGGGTTATGAGCCAGTAATGGTTTGCATGGTGGGCGTAGAAATCGGTGATGATTGGGGTGTAGGGCGCCATGTTGGTGAAGAAGCTGGGGTACATGTTAGTCGTTCGTCCCGAGGGGGAGGGTGGGGTACGAACAAATCGACCAGTTTGATCGCCTCCTGCGCTGTGAACCAGCCCATCTTTACGAAGCGACAGGCCTTCCATAGCCTGAGGGCTTCTGGATGGGCAAGTACGTCTTGCGGCCAGCTGGGTGTTGCTGGAGTGTATGTATCCCTGGATCTTTGTACGGAGCGGAACAGAATGTCGAGGGCATCGTTTGTATTTGATATGATGCCATGAAGTCCCGATGTATCGAGGTTTCCCGGAACTGGATAACATATATGTGGCAACTCTATGCACTGTTAGGCAGAGCGGGCATTAGAGAAATGAGCTCACCATTCGGGGAACCTGGCTCCGATCTAGTATCCGATGTCTGCATCCTGCATGCATCTTGGTCTAGAGATGTGTTAATCATAATCAAACAACAAGACGAAATATCGATGACCTTTTCGTTCGCGAGCCCACGGCTTCTTTGCCGTGAATCGGCAATCCAGCTGTTTCTGGGCACATCGTGAACACGGGGCGCCGTGACTGTTGATCTGGCATCTGGCCTTTCGCTGACGACACGGGATGCACGCTTTGTATGCACGACGATAGCTGTAATCTGATGCGGCCCGACTTCGCGGCGGGCGAGGCATGTTGCGTTTATCCCAGCTGCGGTTTATGCGGCGTCAATGGGACGAAGTGCCGAAGATGTGGAGTTGAAGGGGAAATGCGGGGAATGTGGGGTCGAAAGAACTTTCTTATTTATACGCTACGCATCGCTTTCGGCCGACTTAGGGAATATAAGGAGTGCCTATGGCGCAAGCAATACCTATGTTGGTACAATAAATTCAATGTCTCTGATACTACATCCAACTACATACAGAATCAGGTCAAATAGCGAAACTGATTATGACGGTCTCCTTCCTCTGTCACATCCACACGCACACTCTGATCCACCTTGCCATACAGTCTGTCGCGGCGTCGGTTCTCGTGGGCCAATTTCGCATAGAGGCCCAGTGCCAACAATGCAATAACTCCACTCAAGGCACACCCAATTGCACATCCGCGAACGTAGAAAGGCCTGTCAAGGAATTAGTCTCCGTAGATCTACCTGTTTCTGAAAGTAGACGGAAACAGGACACACGCAGAGTGGGAACAGATACATACCCCTCAGCATCCGGGAACGCCGAACTACTGACAAAGCTGGAGCACTGTCCAAACACCGCCAGGATTGCCATTCCAGCTCCCTTCTTCGAGTCACCACCTTGATTGTTGAGCAACCAGGTGATGTTGATGCAAAGGGACGGGAAGATGCCGCAGGTTGCGAGCCAAATACCGAAGTATCTGACTCCCGGCTGTGTCTCAGATTGTACAGCGGCAAGAATCAAATACCCAACCATACCCATTGTCGCAAAGAAAGTGATGGTTAAACCTCGCTTGCCCCATTTATCGGATATGACTGCAGCCACCACGCACAGAAGAAACGCGGCGAAATACGGCGGTGCTGCGAGTCCCTGCGCGTTGATGGAAGTGTAGCCCATCTCCTCGATAATTGTCGGGAGGAAATTGGACAGCCCAGCGAAGGAGTAATTGCAGCAGAAATGAATGGACATGTGGATGTAGTTTTTGTAATCTGTCAGCCCCCGGAGTACTTGCTTCCATTCCATACGGTTTTTGGCGGTTCGGTCCATGGTGTGGAGGCGCTCTACAGCTTGGGTCTGCTCATGCTCAGTGAGGAATTTGGCAGATCCGGGAGAGTCAGGCAGGAAGAAAAAGACAATAGGGGCGAATAACACGGTCGGAGCTCCTTCTGTTGTGACGAATGTCTCTGGTTAGATCGTGCTCTCATCCTGGACACCAGCGGATACATACCAATGATGAACAGAAACCTCCAAGGGGCGATCGAATGTCTGATTCTGGTGATCGCGTACGCCAATGCGCTGGCGAAGCAATTGGCTACAGGCGACATCCCCAGTAGAATGGATGTACGAAACCCCAACTCCTCTCTTTGATAGAACATCGAGAGGAAGTATGGAGCACCCGCCCCGAAGGCCGCTTCAAAAATGCCCAAAAGACAGCGGCAGACCACCAGCTCTGCCATATTGTTGACGGCACCACTGCACATTGCCGCAGCTCCCCAGCTGTAGAGCCTCAGTATACGATTGGGATAGGGCTGGACTGGCTACCAACATACCAAACACACAGCGTGGCAACATAGATATGTGCTGGCAAGAGCTTCCACAGAAGTGTGGTCCATTCAAACATGATATAGCAGATGTAAAAGGAGTACAGCACCCACGACCATTGGTAGTCATTCAGGCCAAGATCGCGGTCTATCCCGGCTGTTTTGGCATTTCCGATGTTTCCTGTGGGACATGTTATGAGACACCGCATAAATAGGTAGGGTAGGAGAGGTACGAACCTCGATCGAGATAGGAGAGCGTATAGAGAATGCAGACGATGGGCAAGACACGTCGATCGAACTCGGTCTGTCAGCGGTGGGCTTGCAAGCGAAACGATGGCGACTTACTTTCCGACGAATAGAGCTCTGGTCAGCAGCGTGAACAACCATCCTCTGAGAGGTCTTCTCTTCGGGGTCGGGCTGCGCCATTTCGATATGGCATGCTTCATTTGTGTCTTTGTCCGTCATGATGATAGCAGACTGTAGTCAACGCAGACCTGTCAATGCTCAGTACGGAGCATAAGGGTGAACAGGAGGACAACCCCCTGTCTTTATAGCTTTGCAATGGTTCGTTACTCCGCATTACCCCAGATTCCCCATGGGGTGGGTGGAAAGGAGATCATGCCGACACGAGGGCTACCGGATATTTGGACGGCGGATAGTGCCAATTATCCGCACTCGCAACATCCGCACTAAATAGTTCACCACCAACGATGGCAAAGCTATATAAACAGCGACAACGCCCTGAAATTACCCGTCCAGAACATCATATTATCCACTGTTAACCGTACTTGATCTTCACTGATCACCATGACTGTTGGAAGCACCCCGTACCCCTTCCAGTTTGACACTCCCCCGATTGCCACATCGAGTGAAGATGGCACCACCACTGATGTTAGCCTGGCCTTGAAGAATGTGCGCGGGAAGATCCCATCGGCCCAAGCTTCTCGCCTGCGGACAATGATGCTTGAGGCCCACAACGATCCGGACAAGATCATCGCCCACGCCTGCACCTACGACGGATTGTCGTCACGTCTCGTTGAGGAAGCGGGTTTCCCGATTGTCTTCCTCGCAGGGTACGCTATGGCGAGCGCCCAAGGCCTCCCAGACACGGGATACATTGCCTTGGAAGATGTATGCCATAAGATCCAGGAGGCGGTGCGCGTCACGAGCATCCCCGTCATGGCGGACGGTGACACGGGGTATGGTGGTCCGATGAATGTGAGGCGGACAGTGGAATGCTATGCTGCCGCTGGAGCAGCTGGAGTGATGATTGAGGATCAGACGTGGCCGAAGAGTATGTCATCCTTCCATCTTTCTTAGAGCTAAAATCTTTGGCCCCGTACTTACTCACCTGCATAGGGTGCGGACACACCAAGGGAAAATCCGTCGTGTCACGGGGCGAAGCGTACGCGCGCATCCAAGCTGCCGTGGACGCACGTAACCAGGGTCAGGATATCTTTATCCTGGCACGGACAGATGCCTTGATTCACGGGTGGGAAGAGGCCATGACCCGCGTCAAAGAGTTCAAACGCATTGGCGTCGACGCTGTGTTTGTCGAGGCCTTGCCTGACCGCGAAGCTATGAAGAAGTGTGCCGCGGAAGTACAGCTGCCGATATTTGCCAACATCATCGAAGGGGGTAAGACGGAGAATCTCTCTGCAAAAGAACTTGCAGCCATGGGGTATGCGGCTGTTGCCTACCCCTGGACGCTGGTAGCCGCCAAATTGAAGAGCGTTCGCGAGTCTCTGGATGGATTGAAACGCAGTATGACTACGGGAGCTCCACCTATGATCCTGGGGTATTCGGAGGTGTGTGAGGGTGTTGGGTTCAATAAGTACTGGGTAAGCTGTTCCCTACGTGGATGGAGAAAATGGCATTTCTGACCGACGATTAGGATCTCGAGACAAGATACGAGTTCAATGAAAACGAACTGTTCAATATTAAAGATCAGAATGGATGCAAGTGAGTCGAAGAGTAGGAGGAAGTCGGTCTCGACTAAAATCTAGCAAGGCATTGGTATCTCTGCCTAGTTCGATAATACCGACCAGGGATTATCGTGAATGGTATTTTATCATCAAGGGTAAAAAAACCAGCCGTATCAATGCTATCAAAATCAAACATAGTAAAACTGAGTTCGTTCGTTTACTACATTTCCGTAGCAGATACCTGATGATAAGGCTTGCGCCTCCTCAGCGTTGGTGACTGATCTGAAAGGGCCCCAGTGAGGTGCCACTCGTGACAGTGGCTGGCCGCGCTTGTTCCCGTGTTGAGATGGACATAAGGGGCACCTCTGTTTGGTGGCTCATTGTCACTGGTCTGCACAAAGCTTTGGCCTATTCTATTCTTGCCCTTAAGATAGATAGACGACGGATTTGCCTGGCCTCGAAACCTGAAAGCCAAATCACCCTCAAAGTTTATCCCACGCTCAAACAGTCCCATGTACGCATGTATGTGGTCTAACACCGTGGCAAGTCGAAGATGGTCGTGGCATAAAGGTGATAGGTTGTGTGCATCCGACCTTATAGGTTTGCGAAGATGTTCCTCTACTAAAGCCCATTCTTCTAGAGCACTGTAAAGCAAAACATATTTCTGGTCTTCGGCTGGAATAGCCTGAGAGTCCGCTCCCGGCGTAGAGGATTCGTAGTTGACGGTAGACAGCTGAATAATGCGAAGACGGAAAGCCTTCATTTCGGTCTCAAGAACATCCAGCACGTCGGAAAGTAGGAGTTGATGTTTGCACATTGAGAATTTCTTACCAGCCATCGCGGCCTTAGTACACAACTGAGCCCTGAGACTCGCGACCTCGCACTCGAATGCATTTAGAAGCGGAGAGAGAGGAACCAGTCTGGGATGGCGCTGTGAGTCATCGAACCTCCAATCACTTGGCAGGCGCGCAGGCTGGGATGCCTTATTCAGATCTGTCGTGCGTTCAAGATCTCTGTCAGAGCCACGAATGCTCGGCTGATGGGACCCGCTGGCGCGCGACGAGGAGGCCATCGTTTTCTGGTGCACGATTCTCGGGGACTTGGCTTCTCGATCGGTGCGTACTTCGCGTTTGTGTCCGCTCGAGAGACAAGGTGGCGGTGGATAAACGGGTCCGGGGGGAATGAACAATAGAGTCATATTCGATCAGAATTACCTCGGTTGTATTCGCAGGAGAAGGAGAAGGAAGGTGCAGAATGCGGATGCTGTGATGGTTACAGGCGGAGTCAGAGTAGGCACAGGCAGCAAAACGCCATTGACGCATGATGAAGTCAACGAGTGGATGCTTATTTGGATGAACACCAGCTATCTATTCAGATAAGATGAAATGATGATAGTTGAACATGTTCTCTCGCCCTTTCCTTTGAGCATTCATGTTCGATGGCAGATTCAGTCTATACACGACGGGGTTTGAGAGTCGATTTACAAGAGCCTATCCTGCACATGCCCTGTGACAGACAGGTAGAGAAAGTAATTCCTCATCCACTCTCCTGCAAATGATTCATTCAAAACATGTTCACTATGACCACGCACAATCTCGGTTGCCTTGGATGCAATAACATACAGTAGAGTTCACAGAGCCCACTGCCCAGCTTGGCTCTACCCTAGACCTTATAAATAGACGTACACGAGAGCTGCACTCCCTTACCAGTGCCGCTCCGGACCAATCGCACTAGTTCCAGAGCCTTCTAAACCAGTGACAAAACATACAAGAATCTCCTGCTGAAGAGGGATACGACGCACGCAGTATTGCGAAACCCATGGTATATCATGCCCGAATACCAACCATGAACCGATTCTGCGTAACCCGCTTGAACGACAGCGGGTGGACTCTACAGACGACGCTTCTCAAGGAGCATAAATTGGGATGCTCGTCGGCTTTTGAATGAGATTGTGTTATACCAGATACAAGCTTGGCAATAATGGAATGGCCTTCTCGTCCATCACATTTCCCTCTACATGCAGCCAGAACATCACGCGCATTCCGCAATCGGCTCGGTATAGATACAGTAGTCGCTAGGGCCAGTGCTGACCTCCTCCGGCTCCTCGTCGCCGTCGGTCCCATTGTAAGTCGCGCAGATGTCATTCACATCCGTCGCACAAACAGAGGAGTCGATGGTGGCAGTGTCGCCAAAGTTCTCGTTGATCCCGACGAGCTGGGACCCCGACACGGCGACGACGTTGGAGACAGACACCTTCCGCTGGATGTCTCCGCAAGTGCCACAGGAGCGATAGAGCTTTCCGAAGTCGTAGACCTCGAATCCATCAATGATAACCTCACCTCCGGTGTTGTGCTACAGTAGTTAGCAATGAGCCTAGAGAACCTTTCACTTTCCAGAAGACACCTACCTGGATCACCTTATCCTCAGCACCCTGCGCACCACCGCCACTGATGGTGTAGATACCATCTCCCTCCTTTAGGGACAGGGCATCTAATGACTCGTTAGGGGCGACTGAGAACCGAATGGTGGGGCTGCTTACCCTCGCAGACCTTCTCCCACCAGACATTTTCAATAGTGCAGGAACCAAGGCAGTAAACACCCTCGATCTGGTCGGTGCCGATGATGGCGTTCTTGAGGGTACCTCCCTCCTGGACGATGAAGACGGTATCGTCCTCTCCGCCCTCGACTTGGCCGGTGCATTCAACGCCGCGACCGTAGGTCTTCATGCCTCCATCGAAGGTCTCGCCGGCAGCAACCTCATACGGCTCACTGAATGTCTCGCTACCTTGTGACTCAGGGAGTGGAAAGCTATAGCGCTTGGTGAGAGCCCCAAGGGCTGTAGAGGCAAGCAGGGAGAAGAGAAGGCTTTTCTGGACCATGGTGATGGGCCGTTACCGAGGAGCAAATGGAAGAGATGGAGTAGGGGACTGATTGTAACGACCAGCGACAGTCGACATCTAACGACTTATATATCTAAGCTGATGACAACACGGGGCCTCATCGACGGGTTTATCTGGTGGAAATACTCCCATCTGCTTGGCATGTTTCGGTCTTTTCTCCGTTGTGTTTAGCAAATTATACAGGATCAACATGAAACAGCCTGGGGGAGGGAGAATGATGACCCTCTCTATACAGGAACCCCCTCGACGATCCCGGGATTACTGGCAGCTAAACAAGCCACCCATCACCCTAAAACCGCCAAGACGTCCTGTTTTCCTCCGTCGTCTGCTTGGCATCTTGGCTGCGGTGTTCCAGCGTGGACAAAATGAGGTGGAACGAGGCGGTGCAAGCGTGGCTAGCCTGATTGATGGGATATATCTGCCGCAGCGTATCCTTAATTTCGTGACTGGCGGGATTGGGTGATCTTCGTGACCATCCGAAGTTTTGCCGTAACTGGGTTGTACATATACAACAGATGTTAAATAGCTTGCTCCCGTCAAATACACGAAGGGACATGTACCAGCGGTATAGAGAAGCTGTTTCTAACCCGACATGGACAGCCCCTGCATAAGCCATGTACAGGAAAGATATCTGCAGAGCTTCGAGTCCACGAATCAAGAGACGTAACTAAGCTGGCATCTATAAGCTCCCAGTTTGAACCAACGCACCAATCGCCACATTTGATCGGTACGATACTTGATTTCCGGCATTTCGGTACAGCTAGCCATGATATACGGTGGGACTGGCGTAAAGGATTCCCGTTTCATCGTACATTGCCATAAAGTCTGCCATTTCCGAGGACATGCGTAGAGACGAAACTGGTCTTAGCTCTACGGGGTGCTCTTTACATCATTGGAGCCAGGCTTTGTTGAGAGCAATGATGGAAGCGGTTGTAGCCAAGCCTATGCACATTGGAATGGATGCTACTTCCTCGCTTCCCTTTATAGTGGCAGCCATGGAATTGTCTTCTGCATGTCCACACCCCTGCAGTGACTAGTGGAAATATTTCGGAACAACACCCTTGACCCTTAACCAGGCAGCATCAAGAGCCTGCACCATATCATCCGGTAGAGGCCCTTTCTCCATGTCCGCCAGGTTGCTTTCCAACTGCGCGGCACTGCTTGCCCCAACAATGATGGCGTCTTCTTTCTCACTCGACAGTCCACTGTGATGACACAGCCAGCGGAATGCGCATTCAGCCTCGGTCAATCCATGTTTCTGCGCGACGGGCCGGATAATGTCCAGCGCCCCAAAGTAATCCTCATTCCAATATCTCCCACGCATCAGCGACCCCTGCCACCGGTTCGGATCGAAGCGTGACCCGCTCTCGCAGACATCATCGCTCGTGTCCCGATGGTAGCGGGATGTGAGGAATCCGCCAGCCAGGGGCTGGAATACGTACAACGCGATGCCGTAGTTCCGCAAACACGGTAGCAGCTCCGGCTCAATTCCGCGGTGGATGGCATTATAGATCCCCTGGTAGACAGCTGGTTTGATCCAGCCGTTCCGTTCGCAGATTTCGCACATCTGGGCTACTTCCCAGGACATGTAGTTGCTGATTCCCCAGCGGGCGAAATATCCCTCTTGATGGAGGTTGTTGATCTCGCGCAGCGTGTCCTCGAATGGTGTCTTCCGGTCTGGACCGTGCAGATACCAGAGGTCGACTGTGGTTGTTCCCAGCGCCTCCAAACTGTCCATTAACCCTCGTCGGAGGTCTGCAGGCTTATGTGTGTAATACAATGTGTCGACGGCGCCCATGGCTCGGCCGTAGGTTGGGTAGAGCTTCGTATGCATGATAAGACCCCTTTCCTGCCATTTGGCTCGGGCGAGCAGTGTCTCACACGACCCGAGACCGTATATCCGTGCTGCGTCGATCTTGTCGTGTCCATGGGCCTGGAAGACGTCGAGGATGGCCTCGGCGTCTTGGACGGTGCTGGTACGGATTCCTTCGAGACCTTCGTCGCCGAAGGTCATGGAGCCAAAGATGGCTTTTATGGCTGACTTTGACATACTGTCGTGAATGGATTGATAAGGCACTGCACCACTCATAGGTTTAGGATGGGGAAGAGGGCTTTTTTATGAAGCCGAGCAGTGTTGCTAACTGCATTCGACACGGATGGTCTCCGTATGCAAGCAGCAGGGATTGATGGCACATATTCAGTGCGGCATGTCCCTCTGGTCCATTAATCTCTAGGATGTTGACGGCTTCTTGCCTGGTTCGAGCATAGATGGATACTACATAGAAGTACCGTGTGGATCTACTTCATGTATCTCAGTATGTAATTCTCTGTATGTGGAACATCATTACCAAACGTTACCCCACTTAACTCCGGAGTCGACTGGGTTTGTCAGCAACGCAGAAGACCCTCATTTCTAGCGGATTCGCATGGTCTCATTCCATATGCTCCATCTTCATCATCCATTTCACCCTCAAACACTGCTGCTATGGATCTCTCGCCCCCTCTGGACTCTCCCACGAGGAAATCTGTGCCCGATGACTGGAAAGGGCTGACCGATCCGAAAGAGCGCCGCCGGCGCCAGAACCGCATCAACCAGCGCGCATACCGTGAGTGCGCTCATCGCAATACCGCTGGACGACACTCATCCAAGGGTATCTAGGCAACCGGAAGAGAGCCCAACTGCTAGGTATCATCCAAGCCGCCACCGACCACACCAACCCCGACCATGATACCGCCCCCTCCGACCCCAGCGAGACCGCCCTCGCTGTGCGGCACACACCGCCCACTCCAGACCTCAGAGTATGTGGCAGTCGCTGTCTTAAACAGGAAGAGCTGCATCGCCTGCTGGAACACTTCAGCTCCACCGCCTACCAGAGCTACATCCTCGGCTTCCCGACAGCAGACCACCTCCTTACCCTCTCCAAAGTCAACGTCTTCCGCGCCTTCATCGCAAACATGGCCCTCATGGGCATGACCCCCGACCCGGAATGGATGCACGACGACGCCGTCTCCCCCTGGGCCACCGCCCAGCCCGGCCCCGTCGACCCCTCCGCCCTCCCTGTCGCCCTCCGTCCAACCCGTCTCCAGCAGAGACTGCCGCACCACCCGTGGCTGGACTTCTTCCCGCACCCGCGCATGCGGGACAACCTCGTCGAGGCGGCGGATCGCTTCGACGATGAGCAGCTGTGTGTGGATATTATGGGGTTCTGGAGTATGGCACCGGAGAACTGCGGGCTGCTGGTCTGGGGGGAGCCGTCGGACCCGGCGAATTGGGAGGTTACAGAGGAGTTTCTACGCAAGTATCCGTGGACGCTACGCGGGTGTCATTCGCTGCTGCAGGCGACGAATCGATGGCGGAGGGAACGGGGAGAGAATTTGATATTTCGATATTTGTGATGCGCATGGACGAATGAATACACGAGATGATGTAGTACATGATATCAATCTGGATGAAACATGAATCTGAACGAAGAACAACCCAACTCCCTATCCTCGTAATCGTAATGAAGTCATTCTGCTTATCTCCGGCGCTAATGCAGGCTGCTTACGCTTAATTGAGCTTGCTCTTGGCATAGTGGGTCAGGAAGGTGTACTGCCGTACTGTACGGTATGAACGGTACCTGTATGTCAACCTGAAGCATCAGCATCAGTTATCACTGCCGCTCTTCTTAGCTACCAGCGCATCATACCACGGACGAACATACTCCACAAAGTTGACAATATGCTGGCGCGCACACAAACCCTGCGACTCGCGCATCAACCGCTGCGTATGGTAGTACAGCAGCGGCCAGTGCAAATCTTCGTCCTTGAAGCCGTCATATTCGAAGACGACCTTCGGGAAGCGCGCCCGCCAATACGCATCGGGGAACTGCCAGTAAAACGAGGTCATCGCGCCGCGCACCGCCTCCTCATCGTGCAGCTGGTCCACAATCAGCATCTGGATCTCCAGCGGCAGACGCACGCGCGGGAGCAGGGCAAACGGGTACGGCCCCTCGGCGCGCAGCCACTGCCGCGCGAGCCGCGCCTTGGACACGGCGATGTCGACTTCGGGGATGCGCCACGGGTCGAAGTGCATGAATGCGCCCAGCTCGCGCTGTTTTGTGAGGTAGTTGTGGTAGCGGACGATGCGCGGGCGGTTCTCGGGTGTCTGCGCGATGGGTGAGTTGATCTCGCGCTCGACGGCGTGCAGTGTCGCCATGAACTCGTCGAGATGGTGAGATAGCCCTGGGAGAGTCTGTGTCAGCACGCTCCAGCAGCGTTCGTGGAAGAGAGCGCAGAACTGTGGCCAGGGGGATGGGTTCTGCTTCCAGGTCCAGATGGACTCTGCGGGCATGGGCACTGTGGGGGGATAGTCAGCAGGCAGGGTGCCAGCGTACACGATGTCTGTGGGGAGAGGGATGTGGAGGGTACCGTCGTCAGCGGAGGTCCAGTGGACCGGTTGGAAGACGGCGGAGAGCTGGAAGTTCTCGAACTTGTTGGGGGAGTTGTTCAAGGTGAAGACTAGAGACGTGTTAGCTGGGTGCGAGTGTATGAGAGAGAGAACGTACCTGCGCGACAGGGGCTGCTCCAGAGATAGCGTTCGCGGAAGTAATGCTGCTCGAAGGTGTGGGTGCTGCACACAGCGCTTCTGTCGGTCTGGTAGGTCCAGTTGATCGGCTCTTGGACGAACTTGAGGTCTTCGTCGGTGACCATCAGGCGGTGGCAGGAGAAGCAGGTTAGCCCTGAGGGGTGCCTAGAGGAGTCCATGATGGCTGTAGCTGGTCGCTGTGGGTGATGGTATAGATGATAACGGTGAGTGTAGGCGCAAATGCGTGCTTTTATACATTGTCTGAACAGTGTCTTTGTATAGTTAACGGAGAGTATCAGCGGGATATCCCTGTTCATTCAAGACAATGTCTTTGTAGCTGAGGAAGATACCGTGCACTATTGTTCACAACAAAGAACGCATCACGGTATGTTCAGTAACCATCCTTTGTACATATCCATCACAGCCTCTGCAACGAGCGGTGTCCGACGACCTCTCGCGCGGGCAATTCCACTCCCCACGCAATGCGGCAGTCCCAGCGCAGATGCTCCTCTGTATACAATCCCCCAGACGGATGGCTCCCCTTCGTGATGAGATCTCTCCAGACCATATCCCCGACGCCGCCTTCACCCATGAGAATCCACCGCCGGGCAATCTCCATCGCGACGCCGTCGTTGTCGCGCTCCGCATCCAGCGCCAGCAGGATGCCCTCCACGATCCACGCCATCGTGAACATCGTGCGATGGCCCTCCGCCAGAAGGAACCGCGGCTGCTTCGTCGCCGTCAACCGCGCCACAAACGCCGTCCAGATCTCCTTCAGCGTGTCCGCCAGCTCAGCCGTCTTGATCATCCCAACCACCCGCTCCACCCACCCAGCAAACGTGGCCAGGTTATTCTTCCGCCCCAGCAGCAGGAACCGGATCAGCTCGCTGGCCAGCACGCCCGTCGGCCCCTCCCACGTCGCGTTGACAATCGTATTCCGCATGATGCGCGCGATGTTGAACTCCGGCTCATCCGCTTCATCCATATACCCCACGCCGCCCATGGCCTCCTGACACTCCTGGATCCCCGCGATCGCCGACTTGCTCACCACCGCCTTGCCGATGGCCGTCAGCGCGCGCAGCACCACGGCCGCCTCATCCCCCGCGCGCGGCAGATGCGGCGCCACCGGCGCCGCGCCAGGGTTCTCCGTCATCGCCATGACAGCAATGGCAAAGAAGCCGAGGTTCATCGCGCCGCGGTGCCGGATCTCCATGTCGGCCAGCAGGTTCAGATGCATGGGGATCAGCCAGAGCGGCTCGCCGACGGTGGTGCGGGCCTTGGCGAACGCCTTGGCGATGCTGATGGCGCGGCGCCACCCGGCCAGCGACCCGATGAAGGTGTGCGCGCGCGTGATGTTCAGCAGCGGCGCGATGGTCGGGATGCCGGCGTCCAGCGCGCCGACGAGGTGCGCGCGCATGTCTCGCAGCTCCAGCTCCGCCGTCGGCAGCTCCTTCGTGCCGAGCTTGTTCTTGAGCCGGTGGATGCGCACGCCGTTGGTGACTTCGCGCGGGGTGCCGTCGCTGCCGACGACGGTCTTGCGTAGCGGCGCGAGGAAGAGGCTGAGTTTGCCTGAGGCGGTCTTGGCGAGAAGCAGGGCGATGTTCGCGTCGGTGGCCGAGGAGAAGAATTTGAACCCGTTGATGAGGTAGTCGCCTTCGTCGAGGCCGTTGGATGCTTGCGAGGTGTGTGTGGCTGGGGAGTAGGTCGCCCATGTCTCGGTTTCTTGCACGTCGCTGCCCCCCGTGCGCTCGGTCATCCATTGGCCCGACGTCCAGGAGTCTTCGCCACGCGAAGTGAGTTTCTGGAAGACGGCGTGGAAGGGGTGGTCGGCGGGGAGGGCAGACAGGTGGTTTGTGAGGACGCGGGCGGCGCCGTCGGTCATGCTGATGGGGCAGGAGTAGAGCCCGGACGAGGGGGCGTAGAGGTAGTTTCTGGAGAGTTAGGGTTGCGTATGAGAGGGGAGGAGGAGAGCGTACACTGCATATTGGATCAGTCGTCGTTCCGGGCCTAGGGTCTGGTCGTATCCCAAGGAGACCACGCCATGTCGCACACCCCATCGGCCGAGCTGTTTCCAGCCCTCACTGGTGACGAGCTTGTCGTAGTCGTAGCGCTCGCCCCAGACGTTGTAGCTCTTGACGTAGGGTTGCTGTCGCTCGGCGTTGGCGCTCCATTCGCGGATCTGGTCGGAAATGGCCTCGGCGCCTAGTTGGGTGAGGTGGGATTGGATGTGCGTGAGGGTGTCGTGTGGGATGTACCCTGATATTCTATTAGCTATGGATATGCATCAGGGTCGATCAGGATGGGGCTAGAGCTACAGGACAGCTGGCGCTGCAGGCTGGCGTCGGATGTATATGTATTCTGGAGGGGTTCGGGGCGGGTGAAGTGGCCGGTGTGGGCGGTCGCTGGATTTACACGGACAGGCGACATGTCGATGTCAGTTGGGCTGTGAGAAGTGTTGTAAGGGATCAAGATGGATGATGTTGGAGGTGCCGTTATATTGTCCGAGGCGGATGAGTAGGAACAACCTCGGCTACGCTATACGAGCATGATCGACGCCACGCGGGGAAGCTTGATCGCCGATAGACAAAGTATGGAGTATTGATTGCGGTTTCATCTTGGTTCCGGGGGTCCTATAGGGTAATGGAGTGGTGTCTGTTTGGGTGTCGATGTATGTATATCCTTGGTTCCCAGTTGGTCCCTGTCTTGGTTGTTCGCACAGATAGATATTCTACGGTGCTAGGACAGAACTCGTTAGCTGCTCTATACACCACAAGTGAGGACTTCTTTAAGGCATACCGTTGGAGAATTTGTAATCTATTATTCAGATTGAGACCCGGTATCACCGCAAAGTGCCGGGGACTGCCGAGAGTCGCCGATCAATGTACACTCTACATCTATAGCCCCATATATTTATGACCGAGCAGGATTTCAAAGCCATATCGGATAGAGAGGATGATACTCACTTAATCCTAAGCTGTCTCCGAGGTAGAGGAGGTAGAGATACATTGATTGGCAATATGGATTTGTCAGACCCTGAGAATGGTTACCAACCCTAACTTCTTACTTATAGCCTATACGATACACCTACACCTACATCTACATCTACATCTACATACTGCATACTTCTCCTTTTACTTCCAATAAGCTTATCTACTGGCAATAAATACATAAAAGAGTGGACCCGGAGACATTCCACTGAATTAATAATATCTACCCGATGTTAACAAAGCCGATCCACTCGAGCTCCACGCGGATTTGAAATCAGCTTCACCATCCCTTCTACAGCCTTCGATATGGCCTCCATAAATACCATCCCTCCCTTTTCTCGCCCTCTGCTCCATCCCAATCAATCCCATCAACACCAATATGCACCTCCCTGACATCGAGATCGCCCCCGCAGAGGGCGTCCCCTACTTCACGCCCGCGCAGTCGCCGCCGGCCGGCACTGCCGCCAACCCACAGACCAGCGGCAAGCCCATCCCCAAGCTCTATCAACCGCTGACCATCCGCGGCGTCACCTTTCAGAACCGCCTGGGCCTTGCCCCCCTCTGCCAGTACTCGGCCCAGGATGGCCACATGACCGACTACCACATCGCCCATCTGGGCGGCATCGCCCAGCGCGGCCCCGGCCTGATGATGATCGAGGCCACCGCCGTGCTGCCCGAGGGCCGCATCACCCCCCAGGACGTCGGCCTCTGGAAGGACTCCCAGATCGCCCCCATGCGCCGCGTCATCGACTTCGTCCACAGCCAGGGCCAGAAGATCGGCGTCCAGATCGCCCACGCCGGCCGCAAGGCCAGCACCATCCCCCCCTGGATGGCCAGCGCCGGCACCATCGCCACCGAAAAGGTCGGCGGCTGGCCTGACAACGTCAAGGGGCCCAGCAGCGTCCCCTTTGCCGACTCGTTCCCCACCCCCAAGGCCATGACCAAGGAGGACATTGCCGAGTTCAAGGCTGCCTGGGTGGCCGCCGTTAAGCGCGCCCTCGCCGCCGGGGCGGACTTCATCGAGATCCACAACGCCCACGGATACCTGCTGTCCAGCTTCCTCTCGCCCAGCGCCAACACGCGCACCGACGAGTACGGCGGCTCCTTCGAGAACCGCATCCGCCTGTCGCTGGAGATCGCCCAGGCCACCCGCGACGCCGTCGGCCCGTCCGTCCCCGTCTTCCTGCGCATCTCCGCCACCGACTGGGTCGAGGACACCCTGCCCGAGGAGGGCTGGAGCCTCGCCGACACGGTGCGCTTCGCGCAGGAGCTCGTCAAGCAGGGCGCCGTCGATCTGATCGATCTCAGCTCCGGCGGCGGGCACCCCGCGCAGAAGGTCAAGTCCGGCCCCGCGTTCCAGGCGCCGTTCTCGATTGCCGTCAAGAAGGCCGTCGGCGACAAGCTGCTCGTCGCGGTGGTGGGCGCCATCACGAACGGCAAGCAGGCGAACCGCCTGCTCGAGGAGGAGGGGCTCGATGTCGCGCTGGTCGGCCGTGGCTTCCAGAAGGACCCGGGGCTCGCCTGGACGTTCGCGCAGCATCTGGACGTGGAGATTGCCATGGCGGCGCAGATCCGCTGGGGCTTCACGCGCCGCGGAGGCACCCCGTACATCGAGCCGTCGGCGTACAAGGACTCGCTTTTCGACTAGACTGGATGTATGTACGTGGTATGAGTTACGCTCGATAGATATTAGCCCTCTATAGAATGCATTTATGTCTTCACTTTGCTACACTATACCCGGCGTATCCCCAATGCGAAACACATACTTGACCGCACTAGCCTTCCCCTGCATCAGATCCCGCAGCGCATCCTGCACGCCCGCCAGTCCCCAGGGGCGCACCTCAAACGGATGCCCCGAGAACTCTCCCCGCTGCAGCGCGCGCGAGAACCACCGACAGAACAGATAACACAGCTCGCGACAGTCGTCCGGCCCGCCCGCCTCGTGCGCCGCGCTCACCCACGTGTTCGTAGCGACGCCCGGCGCCACATCGCGCTCCTGCGGCAGCACCGAGTTGATATTCCCGCCCGGCGCAATGACCCCCCGCAACACCCGCGTGCTCTCGTCGCTGACGATCGTGTCGAGCACGTGCTCCAGCGGCTCTGCCCCCAGCGCCGCGCGGATGCCCTTGGCCGTCGCCTCGCCGCCGGCGCGGTAGTCCACGACGACGTCGCCGCGGCTGGCGTCAAGGAGGGGCGTGATGTACGAGGCACCTTTGCCGGCGACGGCGATGATCGGGTGGATGTTGCTGCGGCGGGCGAGTTTGATGGCGAACGCGCCGACGGCCGTGCTGCCGCCGTAGATTACCAGGGGGGTCGCGGTGGTCGCGGGCCGCCAGGGGAAGGGCAGGGCGAGGTGGTGGTACAGCGCGATGACGGCGGTGAGCCCGGCGAGGGGGATTGTTGCTGCTTCTGCTTTTGTCAGCGTGTTCTTGCTCGAGTTCGATCGGGAGACGCAAGACGCAAGACGCAAGACGCACCCTCGAACGAGGTTTCCTTCGGCAGGTGGAATGTGGTATGCGCCCAGGCCAGGGCATACTCGGCGTACGAACCGCCCGGCATTAGCATCTCGTGGAATGCGCCGACGCGGTCGCCGGGCTATACGGGACATTAGCTTGTATCCAGTTGGAACTATTAGTGATAAGGCAGCGCAGGGACGCACCTTAAACTCCACCACATTCTTCCCAACCGCTTCCACCACGCCGGCAATGTCGTCGCCCTGGTTGACGCCGTCGCGCACATGCGCGTACCGGGCGAACAGCGGGCTGTCGGCGTTTTTGGCGACTTCGGGCACCTTCCAGTCTTTCGGGTTGCTGCCGCTGACGACGACCTTGATCAGGACTTGGTCGGCGTTGGGCGAGGGGATGGGGGCGTCGCGGAGGAGGGCGGTTGGGCCGGGGAGGTTGATGATCTCCTTCATTATGTCGTACATCAACCTCCTTCGATAGTATGTACAGTACGAGGGCGTCCAGGAGAATCAATTGACTCAGTTTATATCGCATACTATCCACTATGAGGTCATGATCAAGGGCAGAATTAATAATCTACTGACGTCACGATATCGACCGTATACAGTGTAGAAGTCTAGATTCTATCTCTATACCCTTTATATACTGTCCAATATACAAACAAAAGAATGAAATCAAAGCTTGCTCTTGGGCCCGTTCTTCAGCACTGCGTCGTTCCACGGATACGGATCGAACACCAGGTCGTTGACCGGGTTCATGCTGGCCCGACGGAACAGATCCGGATACACCTCGCCGTCGTAGCGACCGAGACTGCTGTCCAGCTTCCAGTCGGGGATCTTCCATGCATCAACCAGCCGCACCGCATGCGGCCGGATCTCGTCCAGCAGCTTCATCACCGCATTGTTCTGCGTCAGCCGCAGCTGGCGCGTCGTGACGGCACTCGACGCAAAGAACTCGGCACCCTCACGCTCCATCGTGTGCAGCGCGTACAGCCGGAACAGCTTGTACATCAGCGTGCGCGTCTCCGCGTCCAGCGCCGCCGACATCTGCTCCGACGTCACCGCCTCGTAGAAGTTCTTGACCACCAGATACTGCGAGTGCGCCGTCGACAGCCGCCAGAAGTCGACCAGCAGGCTGTTCCACGAGCGCTTCTCGACGTCGCGGAGCTTGAGCGCCTCAAAGGTGAGGTGCGCCGTGCGCCACGCGAACGCCGCCACAATGTCGCTGTCTTTCTCGAGGATGTCGAACGACGCTCCCTTCTCCCGGCGGGCGAGATACGCCTGCAGGATCTGCGAGGTGTCGTTGGCGGTGCCCTTGCCTTCGAGCACGGCGCGGGCGGATTTCAGAAGCTAGGATGGTCAGTACATATGAACCTATAAAGGGAGGCATCATAGTGGTAGGAACTTACGTAGCGAGCCACCTGCTGCGTGAGCATGTAGTTGTCACCCTCCCAGGTCAGCGTGGGCAGATAATCAGCATACCACGGGCCAATACCGCTGAAGCTGCTGTATCCATGGCCACCGCAGGCGCGACGACACACCTCCAGTCCCTCACCGGCCGTCGTACTGGCGAGCGCCTTGAGGCCGCACGAGGTGGCGTGCAGATCGGCCAACAGATCCGCGCCCGCGCGCAGCTGCTCCGGTCCAGGACCACGAGTATCCTGGTCCGACGCAGCCGATGCCTTCATGCGGCTCTGGTTCTCCTCGTACAGACGCATCATGCCGCGGCCGGTAAAGTGCAGCGCATACATGGACGCCAGCAGCGGCAGCAAGCGAATCTGCACCATCTTATAGTTCAGCACCTGGTTCTCGCCGACGTTGCCGGTCGCGTCGCGGTCCTGGAACTGGCGGCGCACGGCGCAGTACCGCGTGGCGATGGTGACACCGCGGGCGAGCACGCCGCCGGCGTCGAGGACGATGTTGGACCGCACCCACGTCATGGTGCCGTACACCAGCGACGGCGACGCCGGGCGCATGTACTTGTTGGTGTCCTTGTCGATGCGCGAGAAGCGCGCCAACATGTTGACGTGGGGGATTTTGACGTGGTTGAAGAGGAGGAAGCCGTTGTCCATGGTGTTGTAGCCAAACTTCGGGCCGATATCGCCCACGTAGATGTTCTCCAGCGGCTGGTGCGTCTGCAGGTCGCGGATCTGCACGACGAACGGATGCGGTCCGTAGTTCTTGCCGCCGACGTACAGCTGCGCCATGACGACGGCGTGGTTGGCGTTGCGGCCCAGCGAGCCGATCCACCACTTGGACGCGGTCAGCGTGGGCGAGTGGATGGTAAAGGTCTTGTCGTCGGGGTTCCAGGTGGCTCTGGTCTCGAGGCCGCGGACGTTGGATCCGTGGCCCAGCTCGGTCTGGGCGTAGCATCCGATGATCTGGTATTTCTCGGCGGGCTCGAGGAAGAGCTTTTTCTGCTCGGGGGTGCTTTGTTCGCGGAGGGTGACCTAGCGGGTTAGCGTTATCACCGTTGTTGTCACGACAGGACATACCAAAAACATCGAGGCATGCAGACCGTACGGCGTCGGCTCGCCGATCAGGTCATTGGCCATGATGTACTCCTTCTCGGACCAGTGGAGCTGCTCGCGCAGCTGCTGCAGGCGTTTGCCACGGGCGAGGGCGCGCTGGATGCGCTCGGTGCGGCCGGAGGTGTGGTTCTCGGACTTGTCAAAGATCGGCTCGGAGGAGAGGATCCGCACCAGGCGGTCCTGCGTCTCGAGGGCCTCCTTGGTGTGCAGCAATTCGGACAACTTGTCGACATTGACATTGGACTGGGCACGCTCCTGCTCGAGCAATTCGGAACCCTGGGGGCCCGCAGGCTTGAGCGCCTGCACCCAGGCGGGGGGAGGAGGGGGCATGATTAGTAGAGGTGATAGAATGGAGATAGATGGGGATTGAATGAATGAATATGGGGAAGGAGACAGAGCAGGGAGAAGAGTGGAATATAAGAAAGAAGTGGGTGTGCTGGACCGGGGGAAGCCGAGGATTTCCTGAAGCAGCAATTGCCTCGGCTCAAGGGATGATGCCTTGGTGCCTGATGGTAGACGAATACGGAGGACAGTGTACCAGTAAGTAGGTATGGACAGATGGACAAAATTACGACCCGCTGTTTCTCGGCCGATGAAGCAGTCGGGATCGAATAAGCCGAATCAGCAGAGATCGTCTCTTAAGCATTTACTGCAGGGTTGACTTCCACTAGTAATTAGTGTACTGCTGGTTATCAGATAATCACGGTGATGTTGAGCCGAGGTCTATGTACCTTTATTGATGGCTTCTGTATAGTATCGTGTATTGCTGTCTCCCAGACTCCCCAGTTATTGCAATTACCCCCTTATACGGCGTCTTTCCCCATGGAGAGCAGGTAAGCATCTCCACTTCCAAGTATCTGTAATTTGCCTCCTGGTGTGACTGATGTACCATTACCAGCCGATCATACAGTCATCATACAGTTATGCCCTAATCCGGCAGGGAAGTAAAGTAGGACACGATCAGGATAAGGACTACTGCTAAAGGAACTAGCATGCACTAAATGACAGAGCTATAGCTGCTCTATTATGATTGACGTGTGTCTCGACAATCACATGGGTGTCCTTCGCATGTGAAGAGATCCAGATGGCCTCATCTCCAGCGTACCAGTATTAGTATAGTACTATCAAATACCAGCTCCACTCTCACCCGGTTATCGCCTTCTCGGCCCCTTTCAAAAGCTCGCCCATTGCCGGCGCATGGCCTGTCTCCCCCGGCTTCGTCCCCGGACTCATCCCATACGTGTCCGCATAGCGTCCCTCCAGGATCTGCTGCACCGTCACAGCCGGGTATTTGGCTCCCTCGCCGCAACAACTGGGGATGCACTCCACCAGGAACGCCCCGTTGCCATCATAGAAGAACGGCACGCTGTAGCGCGTTTCGCCACTCCGGTTGATCACGCGGTGCAGGTTCGACAGATACCGGTCGTTGGTCCAGCGCATCATCATGTTGCCCAGATTCACCACCAGCGCATCCTTCACCGGCACCACGTCGGCCCATTCCGACGACTCCTGATCCCACACTTGTAGCCCGCCATGGTCGTCTTGGAGGAGGATGGTGATGGCCCCAAAATCGGTGTGTGCGCCGATGCCTGTTCGTCAGTCTGCGTTCTATCGCTGTATGGTGGAGGGTAGACGTGGCCTACCACGCTCGTAGCTGGATTCGTCACTGGTCTGTGGCGGATATCGAAGCAGTCGGAGAGTGGCCACCGGCTCCTCGTTGAACGCATCAAACCAATTCTCCTCCAGGTCCAGCATCACCGCTAACACGCGCAGAATATCCTGTGCTAGTTCCGTCATGGTCGCATGGTACGCATCGATCACCTCCCGAAACACCTGGGGATCCCGCACCTCCGACGGATACTGGTTTGGGCCTTGGAAGAAGTGTCCCGCGAGGACGGAGGGATGATCCGCGGGTAGATGCTTGCCGAAGTAGAACCCTTCCTTCAGATCGCCAGGCCCGCGTTTCTCAAAATTCTGCGATCGGAGGCGTTCGTACCCGCGGCTGGATTTTCCTGCGTCTATACTTTCTATCAGTATGATCAGATATGGTGGTTGTTCAGATGCATACCCTTGCTATACTTCTCCTTGATCTCAAGCGGGAGGCTGAAGAGCTCTTGCGCCTGCTGCAGAATACTGTCGCAGAGGCTGGAGGGCACCCGGTGGTTGATGATCTGGAAGAAGCCGTGGTCCCGACATGCGTCGCGCACTTGGTTGATCAACTCGGCTTTTCTGCTGGGGTCGGGGGTGTAGAACGCTGCAATCATTAGACTGCTCATACAGGTTCAAGGGATGGATGGATATACCTCCGAAATCGATGATGGGGGGTGCTCTGGGCATGATGCTGGTTGCAACTGATGACGACGAGCAGGAATAGCAGGCCTGTAGACGAGCTCTGCAAGGGAGCCATGAGTCGAGTATCTGTCTGTTTCTTAAGTATGTGCTGGACGAAGTTGATTGTGATATCTGGGAGAAGCGGGGTAATCAACGGCCGAGATGAGGGGATACAGGGATAGATAAGCAGTCTTGCTGCAGCAGGTGAAGGATGCAACGGACGGGACTATACGGTCCTTTGTCTAGAGCGGTAATATGTTGAGAATACTGCAATGTCTCCAGGACGACTCCCTCAAATATGGCATGTCATGATCCTTCGGCTGTGCCCCTCTTAAGTATTCTCCGTATAGTCCTCCCAGCAGTATATTTTCCACCAATCGTCGTAACCCACCTACAAACACTTCATCTATAAAGGCCCATTCACATCCGTCAGTGTAAAATGCATCGAGAACATGTACAATAATCCCGTTATCCCCGGGTTCAATCCCGATCCCTCCATCATTCGCGTGGACAAGGACTACTTCCTGGTCACCTCCTCGTTCGAATACTTCCCCGGCGCCCCCATCTACCACAGCTCCGATTTGATCCGCTGGACCCTGATCGGCCATGCACTGACCCGTCCCAGTCAGATCCAGATCCATACCCCGGAGCCGGGCGGGGGAGTCTGGGCTACGACCTTGAGATATCACGATGGGGTGTTCTATATCACTGCTGCGAGTTTTGCGCGGTATCGTCCGCAGCAGGATGATCGTGTCTGGCCGAGGGGGTTCTATGTCAAGACAACCAACATCTGGGATTCGGACTCGTGGTCCGATCCGGTGTACTTTGATGAACTTGGGTTCGATCAGGATGTAAGTAGCGTGACTGTGATTATCCATTGCGTATACTGATATAGTTGTAGCTATTCTGGGATGACGACGGCACTGTCTACCTCTCATCCACATACCGAAAACTCCATCGCACCCCCAATGCCAATCTCAAAGACTTTGCCGTCCACATCGTCACCGTCGATCTGGCTACCGGCAACTCCACCTCCGAGCCCAAGTTGATCCGCGAATCCACCTCCGGCGTAGCAGAGGGCTCCCATATCTTCAAACGAGGGAAGTACTACTATCTCTTTACCGCCGAGGGCGGCACCGAGAGCGGCCATTGCGAGTGGGTGTTTCGTAGTGAAACGAGCCCGTTTGGACCGTGGGAGACCGGTCCGAACAATCCTCTATGGAGGAATGGAGTCAACGACGAAGTGCAGAACACAGGCCATGCCGATCTGGTGGAGGATGCGCAGGGGAGATGGTGGGCGGTGTTACTAGGCGTTCGACCGGTGCGTACAGGTGCCGGTTGGGAGGAGTCTGTCTTTGGTATGTATATTCCTCAACATTGATGGATAGGGCTAACGCATGCAGGACGCGAGACTTTTCTGGTTCCTGTTGAATGGAAGGACGACTGGCCGGTGTTCAACAATGGGCAGAGAATCTCGCTCCAGGGCGACAGTCCGCATCTGTATCAGTTCGAACACCCCGTCGCCTGGAGAGACGAGTTTTCCCAGCCAACGCTCCAGCTCGGGTGGTATCGGAAGAGTAAGACGCTTAAAGCTGCGACTTGAAGTGTACTGACTGGTTAGATACCCCGGTGAAAGAGGATTACTCTCTCACAGAGCGCCCAGGCTATCTCCGTCTCCATGGGGGACCATACAACCTCTCCGTCCCTACTTGTCCGACGCTGTTCTTGCGGAAACAGACACACCGCGTCTGTACGTGGGAGACACGACTGTCATTCAGCCCGTCGTCCCCTTATACAGAGGCCGGGACCGTCGTGTGGTGGAACTACTTGACCTACAGCAGCATCGGTATCAGCCTTTCAGCATGGGGTGGTCCTCGCGTGGTGAGGTGGCGGTCCGCTGACGGCCAGTGTACCGACTTACAGCTATCCAGTGCTACATCAGAGGTCATCTTCGTTATCAAATGTGGTGATCGCTATAAGTTTGGCTATAGGGAGGTGGACGAGCCGACAGACACCGTGCGATGGATTGGAGAAGCCAAAAACACCGACTTCACCAATGCTTCTCTACCAGTGGGAGCTCCATTCACAGGAATGATGCTGGGATTGTATTCGTTTGGCGAAAGACAACGATGTCTAGTGCCCGCGGACTTCTCGTACGCCGAGTTTAAAGAGTCAGTCTAAGCTCAAAAGCCCCCCAGGACAGTCATTAAACCCCCAGTCCTTTAGATACTTGTGAAGACCTTCTGTTGCCTCCTTGCGCGCCTCCTGTAACTTCTCTGCCGGACGGATCTTTAAGATATCTGGATCAAGTAAATGCCACGGCGCAATGTCCTGAATAAACCAGTATATCTGAGCCAGAGCCTCCATGCCACTCAATAGTATCGGTCTCAGAGCACCGATCTTTTCAAGCTCCTCACCCCACGCTTTCGCCAGCCCCCGCTGGATATCCCGTCCACTGCCAAACATGGCTGGGCCCTTTGAGTCTGGAAGGGTCTGGGAACCCAGTCAGGATTGCCTGACGCAACTGCTCGGTTCCGGGGTCATAGGTTGCTCGGTATTTCAATACAACCGTGTATGTGACAGAGATTTAACAAGCAATAAGTATTTATAAAGCTCAATCAATATGTACAGATAATCTCTAATAAGCACCACCCTTAGCATCTGTTATCGGCGTAAACTCAACTTCAACAGGCTGGTTTCCAATCCCACGTCTCTTCGCCTCTTCCAGAATAGCAACAGTAGCTGTTGCGCCAATGCGAGTGACCCCCAGGGACATGACATGCAGCAAGTCGTCTAAAGTTCGGACGCCACCAGCAGCTTTGATTTGCACCTTCTCGCCGGACGCCTCTCTCATCAGCTTAAGGTCTTGCACTGTTGCACCACGGTAGTTATACGACCCATCCTGTTGTTTCACAAATCCGTACCCAGTTGAGGTCTTCACAAAAGCAACACCAATCTGCGAGCAGATCTCACACAGTCGTACAATATGTTCCGCCTGGAGGTAATCATTCTCGAAAATGACCTTCAGGATGGCGTCGTTCGCCGTGACTGCGTCATTGATTTGCCGGATCTCCTCGCTCACGTAGTCCCAGTCACCTCCCAGGGCTTTTCCGATATTGATGACCATGTCGATCTCCTTCCCCCCTGCTTTCGCGGCGTCGGTAGCTTCTGCGACTTTAATTTCTGTGGTGCTGTTCCCATGGGGAAATCCAATGACCGGACACACCAGGACGTCAGATCCAGCGAGCTCCTTCAGGGCTAGGGGGATGGTATATGGCTTCACGCATGCGGTGGCAACATTGTGTTCCTTTGCAATCTTTAGGCCTGCGATGATATCGGCGTCGGTCATGGTTGGGTGTAGTAACGAGTGATCGATCATCTTCGCGAGCTGAGGTATGGAGACGGTGATGGTATTGGCTGGCATGTTGGAGTTTCTTCGATGTGACTTCACCGACCAATATTCAGAGTGATAGCAGAATATCCAGCTCGTTACCTCTGACCTGTTTGTGATTTTATATGGCGTTTACGAGCGGATATATTTCCTTTTCGGGAGAAACAGTCTATCGGGTGGATTACCATAGTAGGGAATTCATTCCACCGGCATTGATTGCTCCTAAGAGTTGCTTACTAACTGTCCAGCACTGGCTAACCATGTTTGGCAATAAACACCATTCGGACATGCTGGGCGCGTTGGTGTAGCTCTACTGGAACATGCTATACGCATGTCCCTTGCCATTCTCTTATCAGAATAACATCCAGGAATGTGATGCGCATCCTGCCCTGGTGGAGATTGCACCAGCAGGCGATATGTGAACAATCTAGTTGCCTGCTCACCGTGGGATCCACCTGTCAAGTGAGTTGTTATATATCTCAAGCCCTCTACCACAAGGTTTGCATGAATCAGGACATCTTCCTTTGCATATGATGTATAATATCTGACCGCATACCCCAGTGGTTCCTGATGTTCCGACATCGAATTATCATCCAGGAACTAGCGGTGACCACGAAATCTACTCCAACAGACCATCCGGAACTCGCCGACTCCAGAAGCCCTGTCACACCTATCTTGCGCTTCGACGGCCGGGATAAGAGGGCGATAGCAAATATGATTTGTGCCGGTCGTCAGTCGATTGATCCGAAAACATGGGCGGAGCCATCCGGGAGTTGATCCAATAGTTTCCAGCCCGTATTTTAATCGCGAGGATCTTCATCCTGGTCACATTTGGGCGCATCCGCCTCCGCAAGCTGACAAACCACTCTCGGCTTCGGCTGTCAGCTGGAGTAGAAAAAGCTTGACTTCTAGAAATCCGACAGGGACGCTCTCTATCGTTGCAAGGGACCCCAGCTAAGAACCAAAGCATCGGACTTTTGCAATGGGTGAATCGGTAGAGTCAGCAGAGGCGCCTGCAAGAAGAGGGGACGATTTGCCCCCAGAGGAAGGCATCAGAGGGTGGCTCTGCGTTGTAGGCGCCTTTCTCTGCCTCTTTTGTTCTTTTGGTTTCCTCAACGCGTAGGTGGTTATAATACCTTCCTCCATAGCTACTTGCTGATAAAGGCCACAGGATCGGTGTTTTTCAGACTACCTACCAGGAGACATTCCTAAAGGATTACTCCCCGTCAGATATTTCATGGATCTTTTCTATCCAAGTCGCCCTGATGTGGGCCCCAGGACCACTGTATGGCAGAGTGATTGACACATACGGTCCTGCTCCCATCCTCTACCCGTGCAGCATCCTCTGCATCCTGGGTCTCTGCATGACAAGCTTAGCAGACCAGTACTACCAGATCTTTCTGGCGCAGGGACTCTGCTTCGGAATCGGCGCCGGCGGCGTATTTAGCACCGCCATGGTGTGCGTCGGGCAGTGGTTCGTCCGTCGGCGCGGCCTGGCCGCGGGGATCGCAACCAGCGGAAGCAGTCTGGGAGGCGTAATTTTTCCAATTTTCCTCAACCGCACGATGCAAGAAGTGGGCTTCTTTGGAGCTGTGCGATATGCGGCCCTGTTGATCGGGATCCTTCTGGCGGTGGCATGTGTTCTGGTCCGCGCTCGTCTGCCCCGGCGAAAGTGGAGTGGTGACGTTGCCTGGATTGATATGAGGCTGTTCAAACAGACGCCCTTTGCTATTTACACAGTAGGGTCATTCCTTACTATGTAAGTGGTCTGTATACTGTCGGAGTGGCCGTTACTGACACTAGCATCAGGTGGGGGCTGTGGGCGCCCTTCGACTATCTCAGCAGCATGGCCATCAATGCCGGGTTCTCTCCGAGTCTTGCACTTTACTTGATCTCAATTATGAAGTAAGTCGGGCTACCACAAAGTACTGCATATTCTAACTGGTGCCAGCGCGAGCTCTATTGCAGGGCGAATTCTGCCCCCTCATATCGGGGACCGGATAGGACACTTTAACGTGCTTACCATTTGCGCCATGGGCACGGGGGTATCCATGCTGTGCCTCTGGCTTCCTTTTAACTATCATCCGTCTCATGCAGGGATTATCGTCTTTGCCTTGGTCTACGGTTTCGTCAGCGGGACGGTTGTTTCTATTCTCATGCCCTGTGTGGCTAAGATCGGAGACTTGAACACTCTAGGACAGCGCTTTGGGACGTTCCAGTTGGTAATCTCCATTAGGTATGATTATTTCGAGAAGCGAATTGCAAGAAAGCAAGTGATCTAACATGCAGCCAGCTGTTTGACCGGTTTACCCATAATGGGCGCTATTCTGAACCGCCAGGGGAGCACCGATTTCTCAGGGCTACAGATTTTCGCGTCGACAATCTCTATTTTAGGATCCTTGGGCATTGGGGCCTCGACTTATTTGTTGAGTAAAATGAGGAAGACATGGAAGGTGTAACGGGTTATATATGTTTGCATCGACAAAACGATTTGGGGACAGGTATCACCGCTATCATCATCGGCTCTACGTGATCTGTATATCTCTCTTGGATCCAGTCATTCATCCTGTCCTAGATAGTGTTAATTGAATTATAATCAAACGAGAAAGGAGGCTATGAGGCAAACAGGGACGCTCAATTCTCGAGCTTCTTCATTTCGTCAAGAGCGTTTGACGATGGCATCATTCGCAGTAAAACCGCAGTACTTGCTGCATAAATCTTGATCTACCCGCACAAACAATAAACATGCACGGATTTGGGGTTGTGACTCATATATTTCCAAAACGGCCGATAATTGTCCGTCTTGGTACCCCTCTTACCGCATGCCCCGTTTCCTAGACCAAATAAAGGCCGTACCTGTGGACCCCAACGAGGGTCCAGAAAGCCAATTTGTTTGTGAATCCGTTTGTTCAATTTCTATCAAATGTTCCAAGTCCGACTCGTGCTGTGTCAGATCTTCCTCTGGGCCATGTCATTTGCTCCCACACCCCACGCAACATCCGCCGAAAGCCAGTGGAAATGGCTTAACTACAATGCGTCAGCCATCTCTCCCATCGGGGAGGTCATCACTATTCATACTCCACCAGACACCGACATTTGGAGGCCTTCGTTGGAGAAGGACAACTTCACGGCACCGTACCTGTACACTAGCATTCCAACCGCCAACTTTGAGAGCGTAAAAGTCACCGTGCAGGCAGATTGGAAGACTCTCTTCGACCAAGGCGGCCTTGTCATTACTTTTCCGGAGCGACAAGGACACAACTATTTGCAGTGGATCAAGGCAGGAGTCGAGTTTACGGACGGAGCGCCCTACCTCGGCGTTGTCGGCACCGACAGACTGTCCGACTGGAGCTTAAGCCCAATGCTGCAGGGCGCTGATACTGGAACCGCAAGTATCGAGATTGTTCGTGATGGGGCGGACGCTTGGGTGTATGCGATAGAGGGAACCACGCGCCGGGCTCTGCGGCAGGTTACATGGGCTTTTGGGGAAGGCTGCTCCGAGAAGATGCATGTTGGAATTTATGCGGCGAAACCAACTCGGGAATCTGGAGAGGGTCATGAGTTCGATACTCTTGCTGTTACATTTAAGGCGTTCAGCTTGAAAACGAAGAGCTGAATTTGGGGTGTCTTTCTTCGACTATGTTCCTGTCTTGAATGATCTTGCGACTTATATTGGCACGAGGATGATGATTGCGATTTCAATACTGAACCCTAGCCGTCAATTGGAACTCTGTGATGGTGTTTCTCCTGATATAACTACCTGGCCAGAGGAAGTCGAGCGTAGATCCACAGGCATAAGCTCAGCATCATTTTGGAGGTCTCTGGTAGTGGATAATTAGTGAACGTTGCAATTATATTGCAAAATCCGGCAGATATTCCACCATGTCAGTGTCACACCTCGATTGAATCGGGTTATCTCCCATGTGCTCCACAACCATTACAGCATCCATGCGTCACTCCATACAATGCCACTGGTTCCTGGCAATATAGTGAGTGCATTGGTCGATTTTACCTTTCCTCTAAGAGAACGGTTGACGCATACAGTTAGCTCCAATTGATTTCTGTCTTTCAATCCCTATGCCTAATTGAGGCTTTACCCCTTTTGTCAACTATATAAACGTCATGATGCAATAGAATTAGCTTACAGATATGAGTATATGACACCCTACACAGAGACAGATTAATCAGATCCGGATAATGTTAACAAAGCAATAGTCTTGCCGACAACATGTAATGACAAAGGTCGCTTACAAATATCCTGAGAGGTATGTACAGCGGTAGGGCTTGGAAGAGTAGCAGTTCTATTCTGAGCATATGCCGCCATTTGAGGTGGTACTTGGTTCTCTGAATTGATAAGGAGGCGCCATGTACGATCGTTGCCCCCCTAGGGCTTAAAGGAAAGACTTTCTTTCTGCATCAAATCCGCGAATCCGGTCAACAGAAGAGGGTTGGTGAGGGGAGAACACAATCAAAAAGAACGATAAATTGATTTTGGGAAGAGGTAGGGTAAACTATGATTAAAATCCATGCTCCTTGAATTCCTTTTCCGTCCATTCCCACAACTCCCCGATTTTTTTCTCATCCTTCGAGATATCCCGCCTATTACTCTCTTTGAAGAAAGGAATGTAGTATGCGCCACTTTTGACCTTTTCTGCATTGGAAGTACTCGCCCAAAGCTGATTTAGGGCCCCTGTGGCTACATCAACAGACCCGACTCTGTTGAGAAGGCCGAAAAGAAGGGACATAATCGAGAAGCCCTTTAGGTCACCACCGATATTAGTCTGGACGAGGCCCGGATGTAAGGCTACCGACTTGATGGCGGGATAGCGTTTGGCGTAAGATTTGGTGAAGTAAATGTTTGCAAGTTTGGACTGGCCATAGCGGGCCACGGTACTGATCTCCGTGAGCGGCGTCTTCACTCGAGCGAGGAGGAGCCCTCCTTTGGGAGCCAACGTATATATTTCGGAGCTGATGTTGATAATTCGAACGTCGCCGTCGGAAATGGTAGTGGTCTTCTCCATAATGGGTAGCAGTAATTTGGTAAATAGCGCTGGACCCATGTAATTGGTGCCAAACTGGACTTCGTACCCATCCTCTGTCAACCCTGGCGGAGTGGCGAAAACACCAGCATTGTTCACGAGGATATGGAGACGGTCATTCTCCGCCAAAAACGTGGCCGCGGCCCTTTTGATGGAAGAGAACGATGCAAGGTCGATTTCGAGATGGATGATGTTCGCGGAAGGGACTTGTTCTTTCAGCTCTGCAATTGCAGCAGAAGCCTTGGCCTTGCTGCGCGCGCCCATGTAGATTTTGGTCGGATTGTGCTTCGCCATCTGCTTGATGGTTTCTTTACCTAAACCATTGTTGCCTCCAGTTACCAAGATAACCTTTCCCCCTAGGTCTGGAATGTCCTTGTCAGGGTTATAGGTTACCTTTTGGCGAAAAATAAAAGACATCCTGAGCGCCAGTTGTCTCCTTGACCCTTATTTGTAAGAACAGGGAGTGAGTAGACCATGAGTTTAACAAGAATTGATTTGCACGGGACGGGCTGAGCTATTTAACGTTGGATTTGGATAGGCCATTAAATCGAGGCACTGGTTTAAAGGTGAATGAAGGCGTCACTTGATTAGTTAACTTCAAGCCCAGCCCAAGTGTTGGTATAAGCAGATAACCAGGTAGTGGCAAGCCGAGGCCAACACAAAACTGGCAGAATGATTACTGATATTCCCGAACATATCGACTACAGTGGCATAAAGTCAGTGGGGTCGTGACGGAATGTTTATATAACCCACCCGAAGATCATGGGCAGATCCCTGGGTCCATAACGCGGGAGGAGTCAAAGAATCGATTCCACCAGTCCTATTACGCACCAGCTCTGCGGAGCGTCCGAAATGTCGGTTTGAGGATTGGATCTCTTTAAGATAATGGTGCCAATTGGCTCTAGAATATGCTGCCAATGCTTCGAATATCTTATGTGCATAATATCTAGGGTCCACCGAACGATGGATTGTTATCCAGACCCCATATCCAAGTCTGTTCCAGCATTGGAAAACCGTCATCGGCTAGGAAGCGAGAAGAGGGAGGTTCATTGGGATCGAAATCGGATCGTGGGGCAAAATTAAGCAATGCTGACACAGTTAAGTTAGCTATGCATTGATCATTTCGAATAACCGCAACACCATACCTTGGTCGAAATCGAATAGGGCCTCGGATAGAGCAGGATCTTCGATGTATTGAAGAGAGGAATCGGGGTTCTCGCCATCTGAGATAGTGTAGGTGGGGTTGACAATTTCGGAGGATTGGGAAGTATCGGGATGCGATGTGGAATTCTCCTGATTGGGGTTCAACGAATGATGAGCTTCCTCAGTATAGGCCGGCGCTGGCATACTTTCGGAACCCGTGTGGTCATCGGGAGGATGCGCATCCTTTGACGTCTGTGATGTTTTCGGCAGGTCTAGCATGGTATTCAGCTCCTTCTCCATGACAAGCTTTGTTAGACGCTGCAGAATCTCCAGTCCTTGTGCAGCTAGAACACAGCGGTCCCGAAGCTTTTCTTGTATACCCATTAGCCGGTGAAGGCCAACCTTAGCCTCGCGAGACTCGGGACTAAGCGGAGCCATACTACTCAAGATAGCTAAGAGCACACCGGCGGCAAACGTATGGATACTGACGAAGGCAGCTGCATAGGTTGCGCCCACGAGATCCATGATGGGGCTGTCGATTAATTCCGAAATGCGTAAAGCTGATCGGCGACATGTCTCCAGCGCGTGATAAAAGGGACCAGGCCGGGTTGTTTCCGCACTAGATTCAGACCTCGAAGGTGTCGCAACTAGCTTGTATGAGAGCAGAGGACGATGAACCAAGATTCGGGCGTTTTCGTATGCCAGCTTCAAAGCCAATGCTTGTAGTTCGTAGATATGATCTTCGAAGCGTGGACCGGTCGCGCCAACATCGCGGTCGAGCTCATCCGGCGAGGAATAGGCAGTGGTTGCGTCCGGAGTCTGATTCCATTGGAGTTTAGACGGCAGTTCCATGTGCCAATCCTGTAATCGGGTATCTAAGTCAGTGGTCTTTTTGATGGTATCTTGCAGCTTGGTGGAGTGCATCGACTTTGTAGCTTCCGCTGGCCCCCCGATTCCATAGAGCTCAGTCAGGGCTTCCTTGGTGAGAACCGACAGCTTGGACATGTAATATTTGTATGACAACAGCGTCGCTTCACCCATCAGTGGTTCCTTGAACGATGTAGGTGGACGGGATCCCTGTAATTTGGCCGAGGGGTTCAGCGGTTCCACGTCGTAATCAGAATCCTTGATCGAATGAGGATATCCGTAGGTCATCGAGGAGAAAGTCTCAATCTCATAAATGGCCCACCAGCTGCGCTTTCGGGATTCGTTTTTCATTTGCCAATTGTCAGGCTGATGGCCTGACGAAAGCTGTTCCTTGGTCATCCGCCGATGGAGGTTGAGAGCCTGGGCGACTCGCAGGCCGCATCCACACACAGGCGATGCAAGCCTTGGGGTGCCGTGATATAGATAATAAGTCCCTAGCAGAATGCATGTCTGCACAACCTCCAGGCTCCCCAATGAAACGATATCGAGTAGCTTCGTCTTAATTGAGGACAGTATGCGTTGCTTAAGGGATTCTGGATCAATCCCTAGATCCGATAAGCGCTGCCAGCGGTAGCCCCCTGCATATTGCAGACCAATACCAATGACCATCAAGAATGTACTTAGGAACCCTATATCCCTGACGTCTTCCTGTGCCTGTGAACCAGAGGAACAATAAAGTCCTGGCCATCGTTGGCGAAATTCATCCTGGTGGAAGATGAGCATAAACCAATGGACTCTGTCAAAATATGTGTCGACGAGAAGAGCAGCTGCTTCATAGGGTGGGAGTAGCTCTACTAGCTCACCCACTGTAGAACGAGATGATTGAGGAAACGGCTGCATGCTGGGTGCGGTGGTGTTGCGAGGCCTTCCCATCGAGGCGCGAGTCGGAATTCTTGTGTATTCGTCCCGGACGCTATCCCACTCAGGCTTTCCACCGGGAATTGCAGTAGTCGCTGAAGCGGTTGAAGAATTGTGAAGAAGGAAGGCCTTGGAATTTTAGTTTCTGCTCTTTACGGGGGTGGGATCTCTTCATCGTACGCCGTCTACCAGTGACATGGTTGAGCTGGAGTTCCACGCCGAACCATGCAGAGGACGCTGCACTGGATCAGCATTGTCGGCCCCATTTGTCCCAGGATCAGGTCCTAAAGATGTAGCTGGCCGTATCTGATGGCCATCACCGTTTGTACGAGCGCGTTTTGACAATTGTGTGGCTGTACACAGATGTGATGGTTGGTAGACCCTCCACCGTGACTCTGGACATGACAGACAATCTACGCCTGCACGTTGACACAATGCACAAGGACGATTTATATCACACTGAAGGAGTTTAGTGGCGTCTAGAGGAATGCATGGAGCACACAAGTGACAGCTCTCACCTTGAGTTTCTGCCGACGACATCGTTGGCAGGCGTTAGGGACTTTTCGTTTCCTTGACGGGATTCTGCCAGCTATATCCACCATATTTGTATTTCTCCTCTGATCTAAGGATTCTCAAACAGAACAAGACATGTGTGTTGATTTGTGGCTGTGAACTCGTAAAGCGTGCTGGCGATTCATGCCTCAGGCGTAAAGACGGGCTGGAATATTATTTTTGCAGACCATTGCTGCCTCATAGATCAGGCTGCTAATGCCCGATCAGGCAATTACCGAGGCAGATTCGCAAGTGAGCTTTACATCGAGTCCCGGTTGTGTGTAATCTATGTACGAAGATGCATGAAGTTCCAGTGATATGTACAGGTCCCACTCATCCCACCTACTAATAACTGCGCGGCAACTGCAGCACCTTCTCGCTGACGTAGTTCAGAATCATCTCCCGACTGACAGGAGCAATGCGCGGCAACAGACACTCGCGCAGGTATCTCTCCACGTCGTACTCCATCGCATAGCCCATGCCTCCATGACTTAGGACAGCTCGCTCGCAAGCCGTGAAGGCCGCCTCGGCAGCCAGGTACTTAGCACTGTTACAGGCCACACCAACAGACTGGACGGGGATGGATCCATCGGACTTGGAGGCGTCAAACAAGCGAGCAGCATGGTACGTAGCCAGCTTGGCTGCCTCGAGCTTCATGTACGCATCGGCCAACGGATGCGCAATTCCCTGGTTCTGGCCGATGGGACGACCGAATACCACGCGCTCTTTGGCATATTGCGCAGCGCGTTCCAGCGCAGCATACCCCAGACCCAATGCCTCACCGGCAAGTAGACAGCGTTCAGCGTTCATTCCATGCAGGATGATACGGAACCCTTCGCCTTCTTGTCCGACAAGTGTTTTGGCGGGGATCTGGTAGTTGTCGAACCACACCTCATTCGCATCCACCGCGCGACCACCCATCTTCTTGATCCTGCGCATGTCGAGACCGGGCTTGTTCCGATCGAGATCGATGCAGAACACCGACAGGCCCTGTGTACTTTTCTTTACATCCTCTAACGGGGTGGTCCGAGCGAGGAGAATCATCTTCGACGCAACCTGTGCGCAAGTGATCCAGATCTTCTGTCCAGTTACTGAATACGCGTCCTGGGACGCATTCTTCCTTGCAAGCGTCTTGAGCTTCAGAGTCTCGAGTCCAGTGTTGGGTTCAGTCACGCCGAAGCATGTCCGCCACGTGCCGTTGATGATCTTGGGGATTGTCTCCTCCCGTTGCTCTTTCGTTCCAAACTTGGCGAGCGGTTGGGTGGCATACACGTTCGCGTGGATGGACTGGGCGCCAGCAATGCCGGCCCCTGATTGCGTGATAGTCTGCATCATCATGGTGGCTTCGGAGATGCCTGTATAGACGGTTAGGATGTACATATTGTGTAGGCTTGGCCATATCCGAGAAGAGCTCACCTAGTCCTGCACCTCCGAGCTCCTCTGGAAGAGCAATTCCGAGCCATCCGTCCTTCGCTAGCGCTGCATGGAATTCCTTAGGGTCTTGCTCGGTCTGGTCGTGCTCCTGCCAGTATGTGTTGGGGAATTTGGAACAAATCGCCGAAATTGCCTCGCGAACGGTCAACTGCTCCTCAGTGAAGCCGGTCAGCTCCATGAGTGGTCGCTTTGTCGTGGTGGAAAACTGTGATGCGCGAGACTTTGATACGGCGAGCCATGTTGGGCCGGATGTGGGTGCAACACGCCGGCGAACATGGGCCACTGCCGGACTCAGCCGCAGATATAGATTCCGCTTGGTATATGCAGGGGACATGTGGAGCAATTGGATTTTCTGGGATGTGCTGACGAACGCAACCAGAATAGAGGCAGATATGCGTCACTTATATCGTACGATTGTAGCGGTGGGGAGCTCTTGTTGCATATAGCCGTCCATATACCCGTCGAGTAACCGTGCAGCACCGAGGTCCATCTGATGTCCAGCTCTGCCGTCCTATGTCACCGATAAATACTCTGCACGCCGTTGCATTTTGCAACCATTCTCACAATAAACAGCAATGTCGCTCTCAAGACCCCTAGCGCGAGCGTGGGCCCAGACGCTGGCTCCCAGCACTCGCAGACACACCTCCACCCAAGCCGGCAAGACCGGGCCCCTCACTGGGATTACAGTCGTCAGTCTCGAACAAGCTATCGCTGCACCGTTCTGTACGCGGCAGTTGGCAGATCTGGGCGCTCGAGTCATCAAAGTTGAACGTCCTGGTGTTGGCGATTTCGCGCGCAACTATGATACCCGGGTCAATGGGCTAGCATCTCATTTCGTCTGGACAAACCGTTCCAAGGAGAGCCTCGCATTGGATGTCAAGAAGCCTCGCGATCACCAGGTATTGATGCGCCTTTTGAGCAAGGCCGATGTACTGGTGCAGAACTTGGCTCCCGGAGCGAGCGCTCGGTTGGGCCTGTCGCACGAGGATCTCAAAGCTACCAACCCATCACTCATCGTGTGCAATATCTCCGGCTATGGTCCTGATGGCCCCTATCGCGATAAGAAGGCCTATGATCTTTTGATCCAGAGTGAGGCGGGTATGCTTTCCGTGACAGGAACGGGGAAGGAACCCGCCAAAGTTGGCATCTCCATCGCCGATATCTCCGCCGGATGCTATGCGTATTCGAACATCCTTGCCGCGCTGATCCAACGAGACAAGGATCCCAAACGACGCGGTTGCAATATCGATATCTCCATGCTGGAGAGTATGGTGGAATGGATGGGATTTCCGATGTACTACACCTACGCCAACGCCCCTGGTCCAACACCCACAGGGGCATCCCATGCAGCGATCTACCCGTATGGGCCTTTCGAGACGGGAGATGGATCAGTGATGCTCGGGATTCAGAACGAAAGAGAGTGGACCAACTTCTGCGACAAGGTCCTTGGGAAACCTGAGCTTGCAACGGACTCGCGGTTCGCCAACAATTCCTTGCGCTCACAGAATCGCGAAGAGCTGAAAATCATCATCTGCGAGGTGTTTTCTTCCCTCACAGCCGATCAAGTGATTGCTCGCCTGGATGGAGCTTCAATTGCCAATGCTAGTGTCAACGACATGCAGGGTGTTTGGAAACACCCTCAACTCAAAGCTCGGGGTCGCTGGACGGAGATCGAGACGCCAGCTGGTACGGTCCCTGCTCTCTTCCCGCCAGGCATGGATGCGTCAGCGAATTTTGCTGCCCGTATGGATGCTGTTCCCGCTGTTGGGGAACACAATGAGTCGATTCTGGCTGAGCTGGGTATGAAGGAGTCAAAATAGGACATAAATGGTGACCTTATGTCGGTTCAGGTGATATGGGTTATAGAGATCATCTCTCGCTATTTCTGAACTTAGACCTTATAAAACAAGTATGCTTGATCATTAGATTATTGCATTAAGATAGTATCCCTATGCTTGCCACAGGCTGAAACAGCCAGCAAGAACGCTCGAAACAGATTATAGACTAGGCTCACATTAAGCCCACGAGAAGGACAAGGGGGGATAAATAGCAGCAGTATCAAGAGACCATAAACGAGCCTGTACCTCTGTCCCATGGTCACAAGATAGGACACTTGTTGACGGCATCTGCAGCGCAGTCGAGTCCAGCCTTACACTGGTATGGAGAGATACCCTGTTGGCCGCATGTGGTGAACTGGAAGCCAGGCATCATTAGTCCTATTCATCTAACAGACACAGACAGGCATACCTTTGGAAGACAGTCGTAGGCTTTGTTGGTGACCACGACGCAGAATAGCCAGCGGACGGCCTTCACTCACTCCGAACTGGATGGCTAGCCACCCCATGGCACGGAGGAAATTCTCCCAGGGCCCCGTCATGGTGACGAGGTCAGTATTGAGGTTGATTTCAACACCATCCGGACCGAAGACATTTGCTGATAACACACTTAGTGACATTCAGGTGGAAGGGGTGGGATCCAATACCTCCATTCTCGTGTGCCAATATCGTCCCCTGGTAGACTCCGCCGGTGTACAGATCAAGCTGACTCCTGTTGTCCGGGATTTCAGTGTATGACACCTCCCCATATGGAGTAGAGACCGCATTGATGGGTTCGTTGACGACTGGGCCTCTCTTGACAGGTGAAGCTGTCACCAAGGAGCAAGAAAGGGCGAGAACCCCGGTGACCCAGGAGTAGAAGGGAGCCATCCTGCCAGTATGAGGGTCAATTTTTTCAATATAAAATGCTGAAGGGCGCAAGGTACCTGCTATAACAGGGTCTGATGGCTTCAGTGATGGTTGTTGCGGATGATGTTCAGCAAGGAGTTGAAGGGGAAAAGAGGGAGATTAAATATCTGCAAAAGAGATAGGTATGACTGACGGTGATGTCTTTTGTGTATTGAATCATCTGCTATGATGCAGTGACGCTATAGTCTTAGACTTCACTGGGCGAGTCCAGAAGATGACATGGAGTCATGAATGCAAAGGGACGTCCATGGATTCACGAGGCAAAGATGTTTGGATGCAAAAGAGAAGTGTACCGCGTAAGACGTTTGAGATGAGACTACCTACCTACGTATGGATGACACTCGTTCTCTCCTTCCTAAGGATATACATACTTCGTAGTACTCCAAGTTGTCCAGAAGAGGAAATATATTTTGGGGAACAAGGGCTTGGTGGCTCTTACCCGATTGGGCCAGCGGCTATATGACCATGTGACTCGGCACAAACGCCGATCCGCCCCGCATTCAGCATATAGCCGATTTGCCGCATATACTGAAGCTCAACAACGGCTTCTTCCCTGTTTTCTGGACGATCACAACCCCCCTCGACTATCTCGCAGTTACCTCCTTAACAGTGAGATACAATGTCTTCAGAAGCCGATGCCGGTCACCGGCCCATGAGGACTCGGGCCCGTCAGGCCTGTCTCCACTGTAATCGGCGCCGCATCCGTTGTAATGTGCTCGAGATGCGTCCCTGTCAGAATTGTCGGACTATGAGTGTTCCCTGTGAAGTGGGGGTCTCTAAACGCGGAAAGTAAGTTATTCAATCGAACGGATTATGGGTCCTGTGGACTGTTGCCATAGAGTAATGCCAACGTGCCTTATCACAGGTATCCCCGCAAGAAGTCACTGCGGCAAATCACCAACGGCCCTTCGGTACATGAAGGTGCAGTGCCGTCATCGTCACCAATCTCGGGGTCATCTATAGCCCCGAGTCCCGGCATGTTCGCTCCATGTGATAGCTCGTATGCGCAATCGGAGGCATCACAGGCAGCTCAGCAGATCCTGCAACTGCGGCATCCCGGCGGCGTGCCAGCGGCCCAGCACGTTAGTCCGAGGTCCGCCTGGGGGTCTCCGCAAGAGTCTACCAGGGTTGCTCAACAGACTGTTTTTCTGGGGGAGTCTAGCCCTCTGACGTGCGTGGTCGATGAAGGTCGTCGATCTCCCGAGAAGGGGCCCGCCAGTGCCATGCAGAAGACCCGCCTGCATTACCCAATTCCTGAACGGCTGGATGCGAATAGTTCCCGCGATGAGGCTGTGCAGGCACACAAAACCAAGATGGAAATGCAGCTGAATGCAGATGGCGCCTTTTCTTATCCGCCAGCCGATACCTGTAACAAGCTTCTGAATGCTTACTTCACCTGGTTCCACCCCATGCTTTCCAATCCTTGATCGCACTTCGGTCCAGCAGTCATACGCGTCAGGAACCATATCGCCTCTTCTTCTTCAGTCCATGCTATTCATTGGTGTCAGTCTCTGCACGGACGCAGCTTTTGCACAAACAGAGTTTACCGTCCGATATCGAGCCAAGTTTCTGTTTTACAGCCGTGCCAAGGCAATATATGACGCAGATTGGGAGTCAAATAAGACCACCAAACTGCAGTCCTTATTTATGCTAAGCTTTTGGCGGGGAGGCCCTTCGGAAGAGAGGGATACAAGGTTCTGGTTAGGGGTCGCCATCAGCCTCGCCCAGAATCGCGGCATGCATGTGATGTCAGTATTATACTTAGTCTCGTCTCAGCAGCTGTTGACGCTTATAGGTCAAAATTCTCCTTTCAGTCCGTGGATGAAGAAAAGCTATGGAAGCGGATATGGTGGGCGCTTTATGTAAGAACCACACAGAGCGCTTTGTAATGAAGCATACTAACGAAGTTCTAGATCCGGGACCAGCAAAGTGCGGCGGCTCTGGGACTGCCACCTCGAATCCGAGACGAGGACTGTGATGTCGCTATGCTGGAACCTGACGATATACGCGAGAATGAAGCAACCGTCGAAACCCCAGACATATTTGGCACACAACAAATTGAGGACGTTTTCTACCCGATTGAAATGGCCAAGCTCGCAAAATTGCGTATGTCAGCTTCATGAACAATGCGAAACTTTGCACTAACGGTTTCAGTACGCACAATCGTCTCGACGCAGTATCTACCTATGCAATCTGCCGTCGATCCTTCATCCCGGGAGAAGTTGCATCGACAGCTGAGCGATTGGGAATACGCGTTGCCACATGAACTGAAGCTTGACAATGCCGAGTCCTCAAGGGGTTTATTCTTAACTGGACTACTGCATATGACCCACTGGTGTGTTGCTTGTCTCCCTCCCACGATACCACTTCTAACCTGGGTATAAAGCAATCTCTATATACTTCTTTATCGATCATTGTTTTTACGGCCTTCCAATAGTCACATGGAGAAGCTAGGCCGAATTGCACTCGAAGCCGCCACGAAAAGCACAAGAATTATCGAAGATATGCTGTCACACAACCTTGTACAGCATGGCCCTACACATCTGTAAGTCAATCCCTCATGCTTCTCGGGCCTCCCGCTAATTTATAAGGATCACGCACGCCTTCTCCACGTTATGCATACATACTATCCATTGCCGCCGAACCGCTGGCACGACACGAAAACTAGCCGAGCACCGTGCGAGATTGTGTCTCCTTGGGCTTCAGGAGCTCCAAAAATCCTGGGACCTAGAAAATTGGGTCTTGGATCTGTTCTTCCGATGTCTGGATGATGGAACTGCTCGTACCCTCCGCCTGACCGATGTACTGACATCGTCTGGCCATGCAGCACCACAGCAAGAAAATGGTGGTGGTGAAAGCCATGAGACTGACAATGATGCTGTTACACCTAATGGAACAGGGGCAGCCCAGGACCATGATGCACCTCTCAGCATGTTGACACCGACGCTCTCGAATACGTATTCTGACCTCGAGGCGCCAGGCGATTTGTTCGGACTGTTCAATTTCGCCGATGACTTATCGGATGTGGTTGGACCAACGCAAGATTCGCTCAACCTGCAGAATCTAGAATCCCTGTACCGCTTCCTCTAGCGGTTATCTGGAGCGCCTGTAACTTTCAGAATCCTACTGTCGTCAGAAAGCATTAAAGGCGTGAGGATGCTCTTGTGACAGGACAATTCTCCGAATTCACAAAAAACATGAAACTTGACTATTTAATCTTGGAACGTTTTGAAAACATCTACATAGCAATCTATACGGCATGATGCGTCATACATATGAATGATGAAATTTACTCCAAAAAAGAGATATGCAGATAAAAAAAAAAAAAAAAAAAAAAAAAAAAAAAAAACAAATCTATCTCCATAACCGCCAAACGACGAAACAGGATCAGGTATCATACGGACTTCAGATCTTCGAAGCAAAAACACTAAAAGACGACTCCTGTGTCTGTTTGGAGCCAGACTTGTTAAGAACACGGAGTCTCTTCCCACGACTCATATACTCACCATCATCCTTATCCCGGATACGATACCCCAAGTCTGCGGTTGGATCAACCTCTGTCTGGATGCGACCGTTGCCCATCCAGTTGAAGAGATTGCCCTGATACCGCACGTTCCGGTCATCCCAGCGCACCTCATCCATCGCTTCCATATAGTGCGATGTCGAGCCCGGCCATAGCGCGGTCACAGGCCCGTCCGGTGTGGGCTTGTACCAGGACCGGCATGCATCGGCCCAGACGGTGCCTTTCATGAAGTGGTCCTTGTACAAGATGGAGTCTCTGACGGCCTCGGGCTGTGGGGCGAAGGAGGAAGTACTGTGCGTTTGGTAGCGGTCAATCAGCTTCATCATGTAGTCCGCTTGACTTTCTGTTTCCTCAATGAGCTACAGGGACGAAACTGGAATCGACGGGTTAACATATAGCAACAGCAGACAACACGGGGCCGTTTCGAATCGGATTGTTCGGTCCCAGGCACATCGAATCTCATAAAGGGTCCATCGGCTGCGCTTTCGCCGCCTCTTTCAAGAAGCAGCTTGATAACTCTCATGTCCCATCTTTGCAGCGCGTGAGAGTGCGGTTCGTTCCCAATGGTCACTGTCTTCATTGCGGCGTCTCTATCAAGAAGCACTTTAGCAACGATCCAATGTCCCACTTCCGCAGCATGTGATAGTGGTGTTCGATCCCAACGATCCTTTGTCTCAATTGCAGCACCACTTTCAGGAACCAGCTGGCCAGTATTCTTATATCCCTTCATTGAGGCGCATGAAAGAGGCGTCCGGTCGTATGTGTCCTTTGTGAGCCTTAAGGCTTCTCCATTGATAATATATCATTTTAATATAAATTGATGATGTACTGTGCTGTCGTACTCGCCGTGATCTGTAATATCTGCCAAGAGCGTGACAATTTCCTGTTCAGGATCAGTGTTAGGATAGGCTAGGTATTTTCAAGGGCTCGGCAGTAGCGGAGGTGCGCTGCCATTAGGGTGCGGCGATCCAGATATGCCGGACTGCGTACCGAACGACAAGTCAAGCCTTTGGTCACCCTGGATGGTAAGCGGGTTGCGGCATGCTAGCACGAGGAATATCTCCCTGTACCTTGATCTACAGTCGAGACAAGAACCATAGAGATACTCCCTCCATGTCACTCCTTTCAGTTTACCGTGTATGGGATAACGCCGAGCGGTGGCGCTATCCCGCGTAGCATCCAAGGGCTCGACTACTTCGTAAAAGACCGAGAAGCAAGTGTCTTTACACATGCGATGGGCTTATTTGGAACATGATACATCTTGGTTGTTTGTCTTAGCTCGTCTCAATCATCATGGACCAATCGATAGCGCAGCCAGGAAGCCCCGAGAGGAATCACCCTGTGAAAACCAACCAACAACCTCAGCCTGGAAGTCAACCCCATGATCCATAATGCTATACATGACTAAGTCGGGGTCAACTTGGATTTCCCGACCATGTATTGGTCAGTATAGCCCCGCATTATGTTTCTTCCATCGCAGCTTTTCTGTAGGATGAAAGAACGCCAAATCAAAAGGGGGTTAGTGATAAGAACCGTCAGGAAGGTGAACGAGTCGCATGGGCGTGCGTGTAGCCCAGCCGGCGGGGCTAGAGTGGACTATAGGAATCTAAGGTAGTCTGAGGGAGCCTTCCCTCCTTCAAGAGCCTCTCGTTCAGCCGCAGCCTCACACGAACCCCTGCTATCGACGGTGATACCTGATTTATGCATCGCCTCCAACTTCCCCGTCTCATCCCATCTGTTCCATTTCATTCCATCCTGTCATGTCTGCCTTACACATCAATCCTCCTCTTTCGCACCCTTTTACCTGCACAGGCTCCGCCCATTTTAGCCATACCATGCAAGAAAATGTAAAAGTAAATAAATAATTCTTTACTATGTAATAGCTGTAAATCTAACTCTATATTTTATTTTTAAATAGTATATTAGAAAAAACTAATATAATTATCTTTCTTGTATTTTAATCTTCTTTTTTTATTAAGTGTTGTTGAGATAACGGGCTTTGTACAGGGGCATAGGGAGAAAAGATCTATCTTCGCCTCTTTTAGGCTTTGTTATTTTTTTTGTACGATAACGGACCCTCCCCGCTGTCTGAAGGTATTTAGGTTCTCGTAATAGTTCAGTGTATCTTGCCATCTCCTGACGTTTGATTTAAGAACACGCTCGGGGTGGCGTAGATTTTCGTCCCTAGTCCGCTCGAATAGAATGTAATGGATCAGCTTTTTTACATAGCCGGTGGTTCTGTAGTAGCAACGATATGTCTTTTATACAGCCCGCGGCTTATAGATTAAATAACAGATCTGATCATCGGTGAGGGTGGCGGTAGATAGATCCTGGATATTATAGAGTAGGCTGTTGGCACCCTCGTCGTCTTCGTCATCCTCCTCTTCATCATCGTTCTCTTCACCATCTTCGTCTTCATCATCTTCGTCTTCATCATCCTCCTCATCACCTTCCTTCTCATTATCTTCCTCCTTATCATCTGGCTGCGGTTTAGTAATAGGAGGCATTCCAATCACAGGCCATCTGGGACGAAATTCCTTAGAATTATAGCTCGGTTTAATAAGAGGAGGCAGAACAGTAAGGGGACGAAATTCCTCAGAATCGTAGTCCAGTTCAATAAGAGAAGGCAGAGCAGTAAGGAGATAAAAATCATCAGGATCGTAGGTCAATTCGCTTAATTCGCCGCTACTAAGGTCTATATTGGCTATAGAGGCAGCGCTGCGAGGCAGAAGAGATGCGGACAAAAAGAAGAATCCAATAAAAGACGAAAGAAGCGAAAAAAAAAAAAAAAGAGATTTAAGAAAGGAGAATAATAAAGCTAAGATCAGTAGCTGTCCTAAGTAAAAGAAAATAGAAGTTTAAAAAAGTGAGAGTAGTAAGGCCAACCTTAGTGTTATCTATCAAGTAAAAGGTACTATTATTGCAACCCTACATATATCCTCATATTCTATAACATATTTATTTTATATCCAATAAAGATTTAAGGATTACTAAATAACTGTTCATATAAATATAATTGTATAGCTACTACAGCTGCATTATAATAGCTAAGAAGCCAAATAGAGTCTGTCTGTCTAGAGTAGGACCATGTTTACTATTAGATAACCTATAGTTTAGTCCAGAGCACTTATAGTCTTCTACCAAGTCTCTTGCCTATCTCCCTTAAAATAATCTACTTAAAGGCATTTTTGTAACTATAGCCAGAAAGTTATCCAAGATGCCTGTACGCCGGGGAAAGAATAGTATGTATGTCTGAACTGCTCCGTGCACCCATACGCTAACCACCTCATTACTAATTATCAGGAGTACTAGAATATAGACAGAAAGCCATCACAGACTATTTCCGCGCTTCTCAGAGCTCCTCAGCTACAAATGTACAAAGCCAGTTGATGCTATCCTCTACCTCAGACGATACTTCTGCAATGCTTGATAACCCCGCCGCGGACATTATCGACCGTACCATATCCTCCAGTGAAACTGAAGCTGGCGAACACTCTAAGAACGAAGAGAATATTTCAATAGACAGCGCCTCAGAGGTAGGTACTAAACCTTACGTTCAGTATTAAGAATCATGACATTAAAGATAACTAGGACTCGGTAACCGAAGTGGGCGGTAACAAGCAACTCGACCTCTACAGCGACGATGCCGAAGATCCCCAGAGCGAAGACAAATAGCTTGCGGACTCCGACGACGAGATATATACCAGTATACAGTGGTCAATGCCCGAAATCACAATACTAACCATAATAAGGGTTTTAATGTTGATAAAGGGAACGATAGCACAACCTCCACCCAAGGGCTCAAACATAAGGCACAGTAGGATATCACAGAGGACCAAGCAGAGAAGTACTTTATTCACCTCCCACATACTTTTTTTAGAATAAACCGCTTACTTTTAGTGTATTGGATTAACAGTATGCACGTTTTTAGGAACTGCGCTATAACAATCCTTGGCCGATTATAGCTCAAATTTCTTTTCTATCATAGGATACTAAGAGTAAAACAGAGCAATACAGAATCACCTTCGCGTACCGCATCCAGAAGATCGTCGAATTAATCTGTTCGCTACTGCTTGCTCTCAGTGACACCTCAGATGGCGCCGCTGTCGCCAAGAAGCTCTTATCGTACACCCAGGGAGAACTTGTTACACTCGTGCTGGACCTGTTCGATACCAAAGTCCAGGCATTACTAGGCATGCCCAAGATCGATCCCACTTTACTAGCACGATATCTTCCACGCACAGTCACCACTAAAGGGAACTAACAAGGAATCTATGGCCTAATCGGTACTTTGGGCGCTGATATTGCATGCTATATTGGCTCATCAAGGGCACTTTACCGCAGAATCTGGACGTATTTCAATGAGATACAGCGCAAAGGAATCAGCCAATATGTTCACTGTATTCTGTCGAGTGCGAAGTACACCGTCCAAAGTGTAATTTTCGTTCGTAAGGACGCAGTTTCTCCGAAACTGCTACTTCTTAGGGAGACCGTTATGATGCTCCTTCTCAACTGCGTCGACCCTAGTCAACAGATCTATCTCCCTCCAGGAGGGCTTACAGCAATCCAAGAGCTCCTACAAACTCTAAGACTTACAACCAAATCAGTCCGGCTAAATAAGGCTATTCCTCTTTTTCACAACGGCAGTAGTACGTCGCGGGGCTTACAGCGCTTAAGGCCTAATAACTGCGAAAAGTGTGGTAAGCCATCTAAAGCCCTAATAGAGTGGGTCAAACACGGAAAATTTGTATATAGGATATGCAAGCACAATATCCCTTTAACTAAACTTCCGGATAAGAATCTATGAGTGAGCGGTAATTACTTATAATACAGTAAGGAGACTGGCCGCACTAAAAGCAAAGCCCTTAGAAAACGGAAAGATAAGTACTACTACATTAGATATATAAGAGATAACTTCGCCCAGCGACGAAAAGATTAATATCTCCCACAAACATGCTTGTGCGAGAATTACCTAATAAAACTAGAGGTAAGGGGTAATAGCCGCCGTTTTATTCGCGGTAAATAGTACTGTCCCAAGTATAGAGCATAGGCCAGACTTAATCCAGGAAAGACCTTCCACAAATACTACCGCCCACGTAGATCTGGTTCTCGTCCTAAGCGCCGCTAATCAGTAGCAAGAAGCTGTTAGCTATAGATACAATAATATAAAGACCACTGTCAATGTGTTCTAGCGTTTGTTAGACGGCGGTTTCACTGCACAACCCAGAACGTCTGGACATCAGTGCATACTGACATGGTCAATGTTGAATTTAGAAGCAATCAAGCCAATGGTTGATTGCAGCTGACCACTGAGCTCGTCCTTTGTGTGCTGCATCTCTCTCATTTCTTGTTCGCATGGTGTGTGATGGTGAGCCACGGCATTTCGAATTACCCTCGATTCCCGCATTAGACGTATAAGCTCTTTCTGTCGCGCTTTACTCAGGACGGCACTCAGTCGGTCATTCGACTTTTTAGATGCTTGCTTTACTGTCTTTTCGATCGCCGGAAGGTCGGCGGCTTGATGCCACTCGAAGCCTCGCTCATCGAGACCATGTGGATCCACAATTTCCGCAAGGATATATCCCAAGTACTCCAGCTCGTCATTCCAGTTGGACAGCAACTTGTGTGACTGAATATAATCATCAGCTTCCTGAGACATCTTTTCTTTGCATTTTAACGGTGTCGGCTCCGATTGTCTCAAAGAAACCAACATGATCTCTCTCGATTATCATTTAATTTATGCTGTAGTGGCGTTAAGCATATTGCCGGCGGCGTCATGTTGAGGTCATAACTTATACTTTGTGGATTGGGTGACGAACACGGAACCATGCGCTCTACGGTCATTGTGCGACTTCTCGGCAGTCAGAACCGAAGTCAACAATTGTTCTTGGAGAGCCTTCTATTGCTAGTATCGAACACCTTCGGATTAAATATAGAAACTGTCTGACAGCGGGACTCTTATGGTGTGTCGGTCCTGAACATGTGTGTGTCCCGGCCCAAATTATCTTCATTCTCGCCCGCCTCTGAGGTAGTAGGTTGAGGGATATCTCTATGTTCCCTTACCTTGATTGCGGCGCATCTGAAGCAGCTCGACAAAATATCCTTATGTCCCTTTGCTGCGGCCCATCGCAACAGTGTCCGACCCAACTTACCACTTGTTTTAGCTACGCGGAATTCATTGTCTATTTTCCAATTGTCAGGTTGATGGCCTGACGTGATGTTAAGTGCTTTGGTAGAATGTCCTCGTTCATAGTCTAGTGCTCTCGCAAGTACCACATTCTTGAAGGGACAGGCCATGAATCGGTCTCCCAGACCCATGATACGCAGGCTGCGCGTTATTCTATTCTCAATGTTTTGGAAAGCAACATTGCGCAACCTTGGAACACATATGTATGTACACGTGCCTGAAAAGCGGCGAAAACCAGTACAACCGCCTAGGGAATAATCTTGGCCTTTCTAAACCGGTCAAACGCGGTATACCATGCGTCCTTAATGTCTCTCTCCTCAGTAGCCTCGCCCCAGACGCGATGCATCTCTGTCAAGTCGACCTGTCGATCAAAGTCAAACTGGGACATCAGGAAGTATGAGACGTGTGGCAAGCTGGTATTGTCACCAATAACATGTCCCGTTTGAAGACCGTATTCCTTCTCCATGGCAGCCCATTCCACCTGGTGTTCATGCAGGAACTTGGCAGGGTCGGGGCCTGGTCCGTTCGTCGGCGCCACACCCTTCAAGCCAAAGTATTCACAGAGAATAGGCCACTTCACTGACCAACTGGTGGGTTTAGAGTTATCGGAACAGTTCAGGCTCTTCCCTGCGCTGACCTCTGGGTGCAGACTGGCGTAGATGGTGAAACGGGCAATTGTTTCCTGACAGCTGTCGTTGCTGAGGATGTTCCAACTCTTGGTACCGGGGAAGACGACCTCGGCCCCCTCTCCATAGAGCTTGCGACAAAAGCTCAGGTACAACGCAACCCACTGGGCCAGGTTGTGTGCACTGTTGTTGGGGACGAACCCAATGATGACGTCGGGTCTACTGTCGAAGTATGTCCACTGCTTGCCTTGTGACAGGGAGTTGAGCAGCTTCCACTGGTGCGTGTAGAACAATTGGGATCGATATGGTTCTGGAATTGGTGGGTGTGTCTCCTTCAGGGGTAGATTATCCTTGAAGGGGAATTTGTCCAGCATGTGTACTCCATACGCCTGTACGACTTGTTAGTGTCTGCTTTGTCTCCATGTCCTGGAGAATTTATTACTTTGACACCGGTGGGAAGCGCGACAACCCGAAGGCTGGGACTCAGCTTCTCGATAGCAAGAATGGTTTTCTTGAGCATGCCAATGTTCAAAGTAATCTCTTTTTCCGGGTCGATGTCCATCACATAGGCACAGAAGTACAGGGCTGTTACCCTGTCGACTTGTGGGACCTTCTGCACCAGTTCTCGTTCAAGGGCTTCCTGGTCATTCTTGATCAGGTCTAGCCCCGATACCAGGTGAAGCTTGTAGGATTGCGGCCACTGCGATGCCTCGGCCGACAGCGGACGGTTGGTAAACGCCGTTACACGGTCAAAACTGTCCGGTGTGGGATAGTCGTTGAGGATGGCGTTGACAAATGCCCAGCCATTAATTCCCGATGCACCAAAAACGAGGGCATGGCCGGGTTGTTCGATGCTCCCCATGGTGATTCCTTTCCCGATAATTCCGTGTGAAGTTGCCAAGGGTCGAGTGGTTTGGAGGACTGTCTGAGGGCCAGGGATGACACTATTATTATTTACGGAGGGGCACCTGCAGAGAGGGGTTCATGAGGGTGACATCTGCCTATAAAATTTCCCGTGTACTGAATCAGTGGAGACGACAAAAAGGACATTGATCACGGCTTCGCATTGCTATACTTGGCCTTCTCCCATGCTGCTGGTTGACCTACCTCTCATCCACTGACATTGACTTGTAGGCTACACGGAATGATGCTTCCTTATCCTGATCTTGTGTGCCCATGCCCTCCGACTAGTTGTCTTTTGTTCAGTAGTCTTGATTTCAACCCCGCTCGAATGGAACCGACCGAGATGCTAACGGACTGATATTTAGCGCCATCATGCGTGCATGAAAGTAAAACAGCATCATTGGTTAGATTATGCGATCGAGCTGTACGTGCTGGCGTTCGGATGCATCACACTTGACTGGGGTGAATCTCGTTTCTATATCCATCGCAAATCATGGTCTCGATTATTGCCGTTTGTCGGATTGCAAACCTGTCGAGCACGTGTTGCGGTTCTGGCAGGGTGACACAGTAGTCCATGGGGAATCTTTCCGGATGACATGCCTGCCAGTATGTGACCCGAGAGAATTGCACGACGCCAATCTTATATGCAGATACATTGCTGTTCGCTTTATTCGCGACTGGTCATTGTGGGAATAAAGATGGCTCCACTGAGTCGAGACCCGCCCCCGAGGAAGTATCTGGTCGATACCTGGGAACGAGTGATAAGTTCGCAGCGTATCGCTTCTCTGCTTCTTGCATGATAACGTCGCACGTAGGACTTGTCAAACGGTTGGAAATGAAGGGATTGAGAGCAACTCCGAAGGCGTCCGCCGGTCCATCGATTTGAGTTCAGTGTGTGGAGTCCACCTTATCGTGAATGTTGATACAATGGCTCTGTCGAATTGGTTCTGGACCGTGATGGACGGGTTGTTAGGTAATGGATTGACTGGAGACGGTGAGGTTGTTGTGTCTCGTCGGGAATAGATTCTGCACGATAGCTATTTCCGTTGAGTCATTCCCGATATTCCCGTTTTATATACCCACCACGGCATTTTTCCTTCTTTTCTGTACTTCTTCAGCGTGATAGTTTCCCTTCCAATTCTCTTCTACCTCTAATAAACCATCTCAATTATAGCCATTGACCATGCCCTCCTCCCTCACCGAGCCTGAGGTCATTCCTCAGTACAGTTTCATGGATGACTATAGTGAAGGCGCACATCCCCAACTACTGGAAGCTCTGTTGCACACGAATGCCACGCAACAGATCTCCTATGGAAATGACGAATACTCCAATGAAGCTCGTCAATTCATTCTATCCAAACTGTCTGCCACAAATGACGACGTCTCCATTCACTTTGTGCCCAGCGGAACGTCAGCCAATCTGATCTGCATCGCTAGCTGCCTCCGTCCATATGAGGCGGTTCTGACAGTCGACTCGGGGCATATTGTGAGCAAAGAGGCCGGAGCCATTGAGGCCACGGGACACAAAACGATCCTAGTCCCGGGAGTAAGAGGCAAAATGGTCCCTGAGAATCTGGAACGCGTCGTACGGCAGAACCAGTTCTTCCCTCACTCCGCCAAACCTCGACTGGTGTATATCTCCAACGCCACAGAGCTGGGAACGATCTACACGAAGCGTGAACTAGTCGAGCTTTCCACGACATGTCGTCGGCTGGGACTCTTGCTCCTCATGGATGGTGCCCGGATCGGCGTAGCTCTGAGCGCGCCGGGCAACGATCTGACCATGAGAGACCTGGTTGACCTCACCGACATCTTCTGGATTGGAGGGACCAAGATGGGAGCGCTGCTGGGTGAGGCGATTGTGGTTGGGAAGCATCTGGCGGAAGATTTCGTTTTTCATCTCAAACAGCACGGTGCCTTGCTGGCCAAGGGTCGTGTAATGGGAGTCCAGTTCCGAGAGCTGTTTCGAGATAATCTCTTTTTTGACTTGGCGCGACATGCCAACGAGATGGCACAGCGGATCTCTGCCACTTTTGAGAAGCTGGGATATCAACTCGCGGCTACCACAGATACCAACCAAGTCTTTGTGACGCTGCCAGAGCGGTTAATCCAACGGTTGGAGGAACGGTACCGATTCTATGTGTGGGAGCGGCTGGAGAATGGGGAATGCATTGTGCGCATTGTGACTTCATGGGCGACGGATGCGTTGCAGGTGGACAAATTCAATGCTGTTATTGAACAGTGGACGATAGAGACGACCAGCTGAGCTTTTCCTAGAAGCTACTCAGCGAGTAATAATAATAATAACACTACCAGAGAATCAAATTATCAAATCATGATAATATAAGAGACCTTCTCGGTCATATTAGCTACATAAGGAGATAGGGGATAGGAGATAGGAGAGTAAGGCAACAACGTAACGTCATCATAACACTCAATGAGTCAATGTCAGAAGGTGGCGTCGGGAAGGATGAGATGATCCGATGCAAGCAGCGTTAAGGCGGAGGAATTCACACACCGGCTGATGGCCGTTCTGTCAGTGATTCTACTAGTCTGTGAGCTCTGAAAGGCTTATCGGGGCCGGATCAGCCCGAATATACGGGCCGGACGGAAGTTGCCCCGAGTCTTGGCACATCCATCACAGCCTAAACATGTTTCTTTCTGTACACTTCGGGGGAACCTTACGGTTGGAAGGTATACGCCATAGGTTTATATGCTATACTAGTGTATATAAGAATGGAATCTCTTGGTATGTTTGTGATTTCAAGGCGGTCTTGGATTCCTCTACTGTTGAGGGCATGCGCAACGAGAAATATATACATCTATATTGCAATCTAAACTTGGATCTATAAGCAATCAACAGTACCACCATGTCAGACATGGCAGAGAATTCGGTTCCGGAGGCTGCACTGGCAAGGGATACTGCACCTGATGACTCGCGATCGTCCTCTATCAAGAATGAAAGCCCAACGGAAGAATTCAAGCTGGGGATGAGAGGCATTCTGGTGTTCGTAACACTGGCAGTCCTCACCCTCATGGCAGCACTTGATGGAACGTCGATTTCGGTGGCATTGCCGGTGAGTACGACCATGTGCACTAGCTGGTGTCATATCTGACACTATTTAGGCTATCTCAAAGGATCTCGATGGGTCAGCGATTGAGGCGTTCTGGAGCGGAACGGCCTTTCTTCTCTGCTCGACTGGTACGTTCCACGTGGATGCTACAAGTCCACCAGCTCACCATCACAGTCTTCCAACCTAGCTTTGCCTCGCTGTCCAACATCTTTGGACGACGCCCTCTGGTCATCACCGCCATAACCTTCTTCTTCGTCGGCGCCGTGGTTGCCGCAGTGGCCAAGAACTTCACCTACATGCTCGTCGGTCGTTCGATCCAAGGCGTTGGAGGCGGTGGTATTATTGCTCTAACGGAGGTAATCATCACAGACATTGTGCCCCTGAGACTCCGAGGCCAGTACTTTGGCGTTTTTAGCGCAATGTGGAGCGTTGGGAGCGTACTTGGCCCTGTCATTGGGGGCGTGTTTACACAGGACGTCACATGGGTATGTCGCTACATCTTCTAGATATGCACCACAGCTGCTAACAAGCCTCAGAGATGGATCTTCTATATCAACTTTCCCTTCATCGGGGTTGGAATCGTTCTCGTCATTCTCTTCCTGAAATTGAATATCATCCCGACATCCTGGACCCAGAAGCTGCGCCAGATCGACTACATTGGAACCATAATCTTTGTCGGCAGTCTTTCATCGTTCCTCATCCCCTTAACTTGGGGTGGTGTCCTCTACTCCTGGTCCTCGTGGCGTACGCTCGTACCACTTCTCATCGGCGTTGTGGGCCTGGGCGTCTTCGTCTTCTGGGAGAGTCGGATGGCGACGGACCCCATTATCCCTCCTACCATCTTTCAGAACCGTACGGCCACCACTTCGTTCATTGGAAGTGTCCTGCAAGGCCTTGTCCTCTGGTGTGCCTTGTACTACCTTCCGCTCTATTATCTGGCTGTCAAAGAGTATTCCCCCATCATTTCAGGTGTTGCATTGTTCCCAGAATCCTTCACGGTTGCCCCGTCAGCCATGGTCGTTGGCTTCTCGATCACGAAGCTGGGTACCTATCGCTGGGCTATCTGGTCCGGTTGGGCTCTCTCCACCTTAGGGATGGGCATCATGTGTCTGATCAAGGTCGACACCTCGATCCCCGCATGGGTTTTCCTCAACCTTATTGCAGGCCTGGGGTTAGGATTCCTCTTCCCGTCCCTTGCGTTTGCGGTGCAAGCCTCGTCAACGAATGAAAACCTGGCCATCGCCGTCGCCATGTTCAGTTTCTTCCGAGCTCTGGGGCAGGCTATCGGTGTTGCGATTGGAGGCGTCGTCTTTCAGAATCAGATGCGACAGAACCTCTTGAAATATCCGCGCCTGGCACCAATGGCAGATGCCTATAGCCAGGATGCGGCGGGACTGGTCCAGGTCATTCGAGGAATGCCTGCGGGTGTTGACAAACTGAATCTGAAGGAAGCATACACTGATAGCTTGCGCATTGTGTGGGCAGTGTGCTGCGGAGTGTGTGGTATCGCACTGTTATTGAGTTTCCTGACCGAGCATTATGACCTTGATAGAGCTTTGGAGTCCAAGCAGGGGTTGAGGACCGAAAAGGTGACCGACGAGGAGAAGGAGACGCGGTAAAAAGGCGTTGGGGAATGTTGTCTTCCTCTGCATCTGGTGAAATGATAACGACGTTTATAGACCATGATATTAGTTCTAGATTGTAATAATAATTCAGAAGACTCCTCTCCATATTCAAAGCATTTTATATCACACTTCAATAAAAGCTCCCAAATTTGCGTTTGTTTTCACTCCGCATACTCCCATACCTCTCATGCTGGTGTACATATCGCTGCATAAATGATGGATAATGAATGGCTGACTCATCTATACCCTCTTTTCCTTTCCCGACGCTCGCTCGGGAATCTATCTTTCTCCAACTACTTCATCCTTCCATACTACCTCCACTACCCACGGGAGACTATGCGACTTTCTATCTCCTGTGATGGCTGTCGGTTGGTCGACTACTCTTATCTATATTGAGTGTCTGACTAACTATTCTACTAGGCAAGCTAAGGTTAAATGCGTCCATGACGGCCACCCGCCTTGCCGTCGCTGTCAACGCCTCAACCGCCAGGCCTCATGTTTGCTTACAGACCCAAGATCATCCCCATTGAGGCCGCGGAAGCATCAATTACGCACGCCAGCTAGATCTTCGCCTTCATCACAGCCAAGAAGTAACACGCAGGCGTCTCCTAGCGGGCTGAACTTCGACCCAATCGCAACATTATCCCCAGCCACCATCATCTGTGCGTGCGACACGTATCGGAAAAAGTTTCCGGTCGCCAATTTCCTTCATTATCCGTCGCTCATTACCGATGTTTCGTCCAACTTGTCGTCCGTGGAGCCGGTGTTTTTGGCTTCGTTACTTTCGTTGTGTGCTCGATTCCTGCCCGACCATCATCTCCATCCAGGGGAGACCTATGCCGAGTATGCTCGCAATCACTTGGCTCATCGCGTTTTCGAGGGCCCGTCCCTGTACCTTGCCCAATCACTTGTCATGATTGCGCTCTATGAGTGGGGATCGGGTCGACCGTACAAGGCCTGGATGTACAGTGGTGCGTTTGACTCCCAAAAGGAGAACTCTGATGACGACTGACTGGCTAGGAATGGCAACGTACATGATCCAGTCTCTCTTGAAGACAGCTGATGATAGTATGGAGCATAACCCGGAGGAATTCTATGCCTCCCAAACCCAGTACGAACAGCTGGTCCGCACTTATTGGTGTTGCTTTGCCCAGGATTGCGAACTGAGCTCAGGTGCTCGCCAACATTTTGCGCTTTCTTTTCGCCAGATATCCGTCCCGCTACCCATCAGTGATGGAGACTTTAATTATGGCCACGTCCCCCCTAGGCGATGGATGCCTGCCGACATGAGTCGAGACTCTCCGTTATTCACAACGTTAGCTATTGACCATGGCCTCACCATTGTCACACGCGGTTTTGATATATTTGTGCGAATATTGCGTTTCGCCAATGAAAGCCGCCGCGGACAGGCCTTTTCAACTCCGACAGTGACACCATCGACACAACAGACGTGGCAGAATTTGAAAAAGGAACTCGACGAATGGAGGTCATTGCAGGACCCTACCGTGCAATATCCTGTCACCTCCGCGCAGGTGCATGTGGCCATGGGCCATGGCGAGTTGTTTGCATACATCAACCTTGTATATTTTATGAGGTTTGTGCTTTACTGTACTCCCAAAAGTTCTTCAGGTCATCCACTGACAACACCTCCAGTGTTCTCTTTTTGTATCGTGATCGAGTGTTGTCGGGTGTCAAAGTCCACTCAGAGGACCATGGGCAAGGGGCACCAAATATCCAAGAGATAACATCGGCAGAAAAAGCAATTGCCTACCTATTTGAGGCAGCTCAAAATATCGGCGGGATTCTCTCTGCGTTGGAAACATCGGGGGCGCCGGTCATCACCCCGTACGCTGGATTTAGTGTCTTTGTTGCTGCGCATATCAACATGTATGGCACAGTGTCACCTCGACTATACCCTGGAGGCCAAGAAAAAGCGGAACAAGAGAAAAGTGCCAATTTCTTCTACCTTGAACGCCTCTGTGAATTATGGCCGGTTGGAAACAACTGGGTAGGTCTCGTATCATGTTATCCCCCCATCGCCATGCTAATTGTCAATAGTGGCGGACTGTGCAAGAAGCCAACAGATTCTATGAGACAGCGAGGGGCAATCAAGAGAATGCTGGCTCATCTGACGGCGCAAATCCCCTGGCCCTAGGAGGCACTCTGGATGAATATGGAGATATTCGAGCACATCAGACTTTAACTGCGAGGCATGGAACATCTACCTCGGAGACACCAGGGCCTCAGCATCCGCGAAGAAGGAATTCTGTTCCATCCTCTACACTTCCCACCAACGAGAACATAATATTCGAACACCATGATCTGGAGACGGAAATGCTGCAATGGCCATTCATTAGCGAGGCTTGGTCGTCGGGATTCGACACCGGCTTTGACTCTGCATGGCCGAGCTTAGGTTGAATGCCCCAGTCCAACCCAGCATCTCGCTGAGTATATCCGGTGCGAGACTCGCTGAGTCAATGACTTGATGGAGAGGGAACCATTCTGTCAATATGCTGGAGGCTGACCACTCTGCATGACTGTCGATTTGTTTTAGCGATGTGAAATATGCGTGCCGGTGCTCATGTTCCCGCTAAGCGGCATCGATTGTGTTTCAGAAGGCATCCCATCACCCGTTTGAACTGGGAGTTGCTGAAAAGAGGGCCCATGACGGTGTTCTGGTCGTCAGGGTCGCCGATCGACTTGGCTCGCTCGTCCAACGCGGCCTTGTACTTCGCGATAAAGTGGTCGCAGATGCCTTCTTGCACATACACTCGCGATGCAGTAAAGCAGACCTATCGGGCGTGAAGTTCTTTTCTGATACAGCGCTACCTACTTCGACGAAGTATCCTGCGCCCGCGAGGCCAATGGCGATCCTCGCGTTATAAAACTGGGCGTGTGTCTCGGATGTCTTCATCCTATACTCCGTGAAGGCACAGATCTCGCACGGGTGATACATGACTCTATACCGGATGCTTTATAGGATCATCGACTGGGTGTAGTTCCTGCCGCGGGTCCTCGTGCAGCAGTATGGATAATGCATGATACTACCAAATCACTGGCATATCCAGCATGCATGACGCGCGTCTTCCAGTACGCAAGAGAGTATGGAATTTTGCCATAGAGACCTTCCTTCCACGCTTGCCTCCGCTGATAGGCTCCATCTGCTTCTCGCGCACAGCAGTCTCGATGGGAAGTTGTTTATGTCACCTCATATTTCGCTACCTGGTACCCATAGCACATTATGGCCTTTAATATTTACCGGTAGAATAACTCCTGTCGGACCTGCTCCAGATCTTGACGACTTAGATGCGGACATCACTGTCGCCACCTTGCTGCTGCTTCTAGTGAGGCCTGAAGCTACACCACGTATGAAGAAACCTGGTCACGCGGAAAGGACGGACCTACGGGTGCTTCATTGTCTATTTGTCAGCGAGATCATTCTTCTGAACAGAAAGCAAGCCATAGTTACGATAATTTCGTGCCTCCCACAGCCTTCGCTCCAGGTCATTGAAAGTCGAAACACCGTCTAAGTTCACACACATAGGAAGTGTGTCCATGACGACGTTGATTCCCAAGCATTGGAGACTAGAAGCAACTACCATGCTAAAAGGGCGGTGCTATACGACGTGGCCAGAATGAGTCAATCACGGTGTCTCACAACCTGGGAGTCTCTGGGTTCCACCAGAACAAACAACTCTCGCGAATTGAAGTGAGTCAGAGGTGCAAATCAAGATCGGGCCGGAATTACTGAAGTCGGACGTTTCAACCACAATTCTCTATAAGTAACTTCAGTCAGATTGTAATGAGCGAGCACCAAGGGAAAAAGTTGCCAAAATCGTCGGAACTTCGCTCCTGTCAGATCTCTACCTTCTTTGTGTATCTCTATGAGGAACGCCTGAATAACTTCTTTTCTATTTCTTGCCCCTTCCCAACCAGAAGCTTTTCTAACGTGCATATCACGAGGCCGGGGCATATTGACAACAGCAATGTGTATGGAACTCTTCTTTGTCTATTGGTACACAGTTCGGGGCTTATAAGATTGAGTACAAGCCTTGCATCACCCCTTCAGAGTTTTATCCAACAAATCATCTTGTGGACGTATCTAGAGCCCAGAAATCTGTCCCAACCGTCTTCCGTCCTCTTTGCAACAATTCTTGAAACAGGACTTGGTGGCCTTGCTATCCTTCCAGCAGTGGTAGGTATCGATGGTTGTATCATAGTTATGAAGCCCGCAGTGCTTCCCACAATCGTATGTTGGTGCGACGGATCCGACATGAGGGTAGTTTTCGCAGTAATAGCAGGTACTGGCCATGGACCCGAGCGGAAGAGCCAAGAATGCAAAGGCAGCAATATAGCTTGGGAGCTTCATGTTGGCGCTTGGATTCGAGGCTTCTAAAATCAGTACGAGCTGCTTCCTATTTGTGGGAATATTCGGGGTGACTTACAATTCTGGACAGTGACAGACGCGCAAGTTGTGTAAGTAATTGGCAGTAAGCACTCAAGGGAAGGGCATGGGCGATGTAGACCAAGTTTATATAGCTTGCTCTGGGATCTAAGACAGCAGTTGCGGCCTCGTATTTTTTTGAGATGCTTTCGTGCTCCGATTTAGTGTGAAAATTCGCGGATTAGGGACAGGGAACAACAAGACTAGCTCCATTTTCCTCGTATTTTCACGAGGGTGCTAAACCAAGATTGACAACAACATTACTGATGTTTATATACAAACCGTCGAAAGTTGGCATACCCTCAACTCTCCATTTTGCGGAGTAGATATCCACAACAAAGCGGCGTTTTACTTGATTTCTGGTATGTATGGGAACCATTCTGATGTTCCAAATGGGCGTTGAATAGACATTGGATGTCCTAGTAAAAGATTCACAACACTTGGAGGAAAGCGATGGCCCGCTCTGGTCAGCTCCGGCGTCAAAGGGGCCTGCAACAGGAATTGCCTATCTAACGTAGGTTTTGGAGGATTTCGTGGCAACTCAATAGCTCTCATGGCAACTCAATAGCTCCGTTTCATCTATCGCTATTTCCAGGCCGATCACAGGCCGAGTTACCAATAGGGGCTTCTGGATTGTATAGCTACCAGACCTCGTATTCTTTACTTGTTACCTTAAAATAAGGGGCAAGTCCCACTTTATCCTATTCGGCCAGATCAGTAGCACGCACGCGGAAATCACTCTCGGCAGCTTCAACTGACAGTGCTCTTGTGTCCTTCAATATGCTTCTCTGCACTACTTTAATGTGGACAGGTGAAGAGCCTACCGCAGGATTTTGACCGGTGCGGCTATAACCGGGTGGTCTCCGAACCCAAGATAGTGAGGCTAGTCAAGAACTTCGTGCTTGAAATGGGCCTCCTGCAAGAGTTCCGGGTGGTCCCGCTCCAAGTACAAAGAAAGCGAAATAACAGGGGGTAAAGGCATTTAAATAAGCAGAATCAGGGATCCTAACTAAGGAAATATGATCCGAGGCTTCCGAGAGGCTTAGCTTGTGGCCACAGCTGGCTAAGCATCAGGTAGACAGCTACCAACCGGTGACGCAGGTGCAGGACTACTGCTACTACTACTACTACTACTACTACTACTACTACTACTACTACTACTGATACTGATGAAAGACTGTTCCCAGAAACATGCAGGTTACTCCATTGTTAATACAAAAAGGGCAGAGGGCGATGCTGTGGGTATTGATGTTTTCAGACAGGCCGGTAGATCCACCATTTTTACGAACCTTGGTTGCGAATCAGCATGCTATATAGCTAATATTAATATTTAGCGTACTTCAATACGATGCTCACCTCCCGCCTTCATCCTCCCAACTCTCCATAACCGTTTCGAGATCTCGGGTTAGTCGGTACTCATTCCACCGACTTTACCACGATGCCCTAAGTAGAGTGGAACCATGCTTGGGACCCATCTTCCTCACAACAGTATACAAAAAGACATCTCCGACTTCGGCGAGGCATCAGCGTGTGTTCAGGTCAAGGAAACAAAGACAACGCAAGTACTGTTGATTTGTAGATTTACTCGAGTAAGATAGTCGAGCTGATTATCGAAGTAATCCTGCGAAATAAAACAACAGTTGTCGACCCTATATCCTACTGCCACGGAAGAAGACGCGTTAACCAATATACTTATACCACGCGGCAGCTGCGCGTGGTTATCAGAACATAGCCGCAAGAAATAACTGCCTTATCATGCACCTAGGTACCACATAAACAGGAAAAGCCATATTCAGACCAGAGACTGTAGCAAAAAAACCAAGCTTATCTAGAATCAGTATATCGGAAAACATATCCTCGTACCCTTCAGTTACCCGTAGGTCGAACGCGTAGAAAAACAGATAGAAGGGGAGGTCGCGACTACAAACAGCACCACTGTGCTATTTTAAATAGAGAGAGCCTCAGCCGAAATAATTAGAAGTCACGTACATAAGGCGCGGACGCCTAAAAAAGACATAATATCTATATTGTTTATTGGATAGATTGAGAGCCGTGTTGAAAGAGCCTGGGATACTATCTGCGGCTTAAACAGATCGGCGCCATAGACTCGAACAAATAATCACAATAGGCTTTGACGAGGCCTTAACCTCCCCACGCATGTCCCCGCAGGAACACATCGTCCCATATAAACCGTGGACTCCTTAGATAGGGAACTAAGGTGATAGTTACTATCGCTTTGCGCGCGCCCGCGCTTCGTCTTCTTTCGGATGTTGGCTCGTCTATTAGGGAAAATAGAGGAAAGAGTAACAACGCAAAAATACGTTTTAGAGCTTAAAATTTTGGTTCTTAATAAATAATATCTTAATGATTTCACAATATCTTTTTGCTTATTTTTATCTATTTTAGTTGAGTTTAGATTTATGTTTAAAGCTAGCAAAGAAAATAGTCTAATAATTCTAATGTATCTCCCGCGCTAGTAGCGCCTACTTCGCTTCCTCCGATATAGTATCTATCTATTATTACTTTTTAACTAGCTAACTGTGTAGTAATAGCCACCGTAGCATATTTTTCTGTGTATGTTCAGAATCCTATATTTTCCAGAGCTCGTCTCATAAGAAAGCAACCCAAGTCTAGCCTATCGTCTGAAATCGTCGTTATCTCCGTAGCCAGCCACTACCCCGCTCTCCCAGCCAGCCTTAAGTATCGTCAGAGGTCACAGCCGCACTGACTAATGGGCTGTTATAATTGATCTACGTCCTCTTCATTACATTTCTGAACAATAAGAGGAGCTCTTCCTGTTTATATCGAATATGCTACCTGGCGTACATCTTCTGGCTTTTGCCTTTGTTGGTTTGACAACAGTTTGTCCTGGTACCGCGAAGAAACTCATAGTGGACACTGATTTCTTCAGCGATGTAGAGTGAGTGTTGTGCACACCCTGTTACTCTACCATGTGTCTAAAGTACCACAGCGATGTTGGCGCATTACTGCTTGCCTGCACTTTGCCCGGGGTGGATCTTCTCGCAGTCAATATCAACTACCCATCCACGTACTCGGCACTGGCAGTATCGAGTGTCCTAGGACACTACGGCCATCCACATGTTCCTATCGGCCTTGCGGGACCATACAGTGATACAACTTACCTGGACGATTTCTATTACGAGCACGGAGAGTATGCCAGCAAGGTAGCGTACCACTGGCGAAACCAATCTACTCTTCCGTGGAAGGACGTCAGCGAGACGTGGGATCCAACTGATCTATATCGCCACGTTCTGTCGCAGCAGCCTGACAAAAGTGTGACTATCGCCAGCATTGGGTTTCTCAACAATGTAACTCGAACCTTATCTCTTGGTCCCCATGGATGTGTCGCTAACTTGCTCAGCTGTCTAACCTACTTAATTCCTCGGCCGATGAATACTCGCCTCTTTCCGGTCCAGAGCTTGTCGCTGCAAAAGTCGGTGAACTGGTGATTATGGGCGGAGGATACCCTTCCGGTCATGAGTTCAACTTTTGGGGCTACGACCCAGCGGCCACCAGGCATGTGGTCAACACATGGCCCGGGGTGATGGTGTTCTCAGGGGCTGAGCTGGGAGAGAATGTGTACTCGGGAGCGCGTTTTATGGTGGAAGCACCCTCTGATGACCCAACTGCAGCAGCTTACACGTGGTATAAGTATGTTTGCTGGCGTCTGAACCCATATAGATGCTGATGATCCGCAGTGGATACAACAACTCTCGCTACTCCTGGGACCCGCTCACTGTGCTCTATGCTGTAGAAGGAAAAGGTGGGATCTTCAAATTTGGCAATGATGGCGGATATAACTATGTCTATCCTAACGGGACCAACGTGTGGCGGAATAGCACGGGTCCATATCCCCAGCACTATCTTCGACTCGCAGTGTCCAATACCACAGCAGGCAAAAGACTCGATGAACTATATCTGCGAGGAGCTGTTATGTTTTCAGCATCCAACACCGGAAGATGCAAGAATGCTTCTCTCGGTCTTTCGGCAAAGGATGATAGCCCCGCGTTCCCCGCATGGACGTTTAGCGACGCCTGACGTTCCTCTTGGGTTACATGGTGAACTTATCTCTGAGCTATAATAGGTGGAAATGGGAACCTCGCTACGTTGTTTTGCCGAACCATTGTTATATATGGCTGCTATGCTCTGTATTCTGTGTTGCTACCTCTGAAAGATTTAAACATACAAATCACCTGCCGCGATGAGATTACCACATCTAAACTTCCTATTGCTGCTCTCCGCCTCACAGGCTTTCGCCACAACTTCTGGAAAGGCCTTAGATCGATCTAAAGAGACGAGGGTTCCTCCGCCCGAGCTCTTTTCGGAGACCGCCACAGCGAAGATCTGGCGCACTGCAGTTCGCTCTCTTGATCAGGTATGTGGCTCTAATGTTCACTATGTCTATCATCGGCCATTGCTGAGTAGTAAGCTTCCCGATCGTTTTCCAGATAACGTCCCGAGCACTGGAAAAGGAATTGGCAAATATGTGTTTAGCGACATCTCGGCCTGGACCAGTGGTTTCTTTCCCGGCTCGTTATACGCACTCCTAGAGCGCAGCATCAAATATCCCAGTCATGTTCCACTTCCCGGGCGGGAGCACGCAGGGCTATACAAGCAATTGCGAAGTCTCGGGCAGACCTGGTCCGATCCCCTGCACGGGCAGGCCTTTCGCACAGACACACACGACATGGGATTTTTGATTCTCCCGGCGCTACGAAGGAGCTGGGAGCTCACGGGGAATCTCACAACTCTTCAATCCGTGATCACTGCTGCCCACAGTCTCGCCTCGCGCTACGATTCCCGCGTGGACGCCATACGTAGTTGGGACAGTTTGGTGAACAAGCGGCACAATATTACTGATCAAGACACAAATTTCTTGATCATTATAGACAGCATGTGCAGTAGGTCTTTTTTCTGTCCTGAGCTCCGCACGCATCGTCTGATCATCTAGACTTGGATCTCTTGTACTATGCGGGATACCATACTGGCAACCAGACGTTAATCGACATCGCAACAACACATGCGCACACAGTTCTACAGGATATCGTCCGAGACGATTACTCGACGTTTCATTGTTGCAATATTGACCCAGAAACGAATCATATCAAATTCCAGGAGACTGTACAGGGGTACAAGGACTGGTCGACATGGAGCAGGTACGTCTCAGTCACCTTTTTACTTCTGTCGACTTCGCTAACTGGGCCAAGAGGACAAGCCTGGGGGATTGTCGGGTACACCCAGACATATCAATGGACTAAAGACCCTGTATTCTTGGAAACAGCACGAGGCCTAGCCGATTACTTCGTAGGACGACTCGCAAAGGCGACACACACCCATCCCTATGTTCCACTGTGGGATTTCGACGCGCCCTCGGTGGAAGGGGTTCCTCCTCCTCGAGATACCTCAGCTGGAATGGTCGCAGCTAATGGATTACTCTTACTCCATCAGGCCCTGCATGGTCAGTCTCCATACTATTCCAAGGCAATGGAGATCGTCTCGCAGACTATCGACCTTTCGTTCGCCGATTCTGCTACGGTGGAGATAGACAATGACAGCCCGGTCTTTTCGCCGGTTGGTTGGGAGACCATCCTGATGAATGCGACAATCAACAATAATGAGTATGCTTCCAGTCGGTCTAATAATACCGGACTGGTGTATGCCGATTACTACTTCTTGCAGTTCGGCAATCTGCTGCTTGAAATGGGACTTGCTTAGGACGCGGGAATTGTGTGGAATGGTGGCAGCACGGAAGCTACGGGTATATTGAATGGATCTTGCGGTGACGTGCTGTAGAGCTGCTCCCGAGTGTGATACGCTGCACATTGCATGGCTGCCCATATAGTTCGTGCAGTTGACTTCAAGGAGTATGAACACCGATAACTCGTGACTTTCTTCTTTGGAAGCTTCCGTCATGGGCAATGTACTTCTCAAAGCTTGGCTGAAACTAGACGCGGGTCTGGAGTCCCCATAATGACTTCGTTCTCCCAATAGTTCGGATTGAAAGTCAACTTGTTCAGGGGATTCAAGCGATGAGCTCTGTTGAAGAGATCTTCGTACACCCGCCCGTCGTATCGACCAAGCGCACTGTAAATCACCAAACGTTAGCATCGCGGTATTGTAGTCATATTCAGGGTCAACAGGAAACATACCTGTCCAGAAGATAGTCCGGAATCATCCAGGAGTCCACCAGCTTGACGGCATGAGGACGGATCTGGGTCATTAAATCGTGAACACTCGCGGGCAACTTGTCAAGTTGCTCGCGATTGACTACACCTGTGCTGAAGACTATACGGTAGTGAGTTGCTAGTCTCCATTTGGTGGTATCTGGGCACTTACACTCATAACTGTCGGCCTCCATGGTGAACAGCGCAAAGAGACGGAAGAGATCCCACATGATCTCCTTCGTGGATGGAGGAAGACTGCTGTCGGTAGTGAGGGCCTGGAAGAATTTCGTGACCAAGATCGATTGCGACTGGGCTGGTTCTGTCAGAGCATGCTGGTCCACTTTCAATGAAAATTATCTTACTGCGACTGAGACGGTGCAGTTGGATCAACAGAGAATTCCAAGATTTCTTGTTCACAGCTCTTTCCTGGTAGGCATCATAAGCCTAGGCATGTCAGCCTCGTACTAGATTGTGCAGACAGAGTCGATCACCTACCAAGGCAGTAGCTCTCAATTGAAAGCTTCGGACAATATCTTGATCATTGGACAAGATGCCCAATTCATATTCCTGTTTCCCCTCCTGTTTGTGTCTGATATACTCCTTAAACTGTCCATCAAGTTCATCGTTGTATCGGCTATTGGGAGACCCAACAGCTGTTGTCATTTTCTTGATGATATAAGACGCAGTCTGTTGACTGATCATCCAGTTGTCTCCCTCTACCGTTGGTTTCGATAGATAATCATTGTTGAGCTGGATCAGGCCACTTCCACCTCCGAACCCATGCCCCCCTAGAGCTCGGCGACATGTTTCAATTCCATCAGCAACCAGCGTGGTGCATAAACTCTTCAGGCCAGACGACATGCTATGCATGTGTGCCAGACTGTTGAAGTTGCCTGCTTCGATCTCCCGCCGCGTTCCCTCGTAGATGCGCTGCATCGCCAATGCAGTATAATGCAAAGCAAACGTAGTGGCTAACAAAGGCAGGATGCGAATTTGGACGGTCGGATAATCGAGCACAGCTAGCTCAGGGCCACTACCATCTCCATCGCGGTCCCGGAACTGACGACGAATCGCGGTGTATCGGACCGCTACAGTCACTGCGCGCGCGAGAACGAGTCGTGCATGCTGGACAATATTTGCGCGCACTGCTGTCAATGACCCATACACCACCGCTGCTTTCTCGGGCTTGATGTAATGCCCCGTCTCGGGATCCACGCCTGAATACCGTGAAAGAAGGGCAGAATGCGGGACGCTGTAGATATGTCAATGAGTGAATGGTCGCGCATTGTTCAACTGACGTACCGGAAATGGTCAAATAGCATGTACCCATTGTCCATCGTTGCATACCCATACTTCGGCCCAATATCACCGATCACGATTCCATCCAAGGGCTGGTGGCTCTTCATGTCGCGGACCTGCACGATGAATGGATGCGGTCCGTGGGAAGTATACTCGACATTCTTCTCGGCAGAGAAAGCGCCCGGCCGAGGCAGAAGAAGTTGCGCAACAACAATAGCATGGTTGGCAGTGCGGCCAAGTGTGCCATTCCACCATTTACTCGCAGTCAATGTAGGACTGTGCAGGATAAACTGCTTTGTCTGATGGTCCCACCGTGCCTCTAGCTCCAATCCCCGGACATTACTGCCATGTCCGAGTTCGGTCTGCGCGTACGCTCCGATTATCTGCCATTTCTCGATCCGAGGCATCCAATATGCCCGCTGGGCGTCGCTGGCCTGTTCACGAATAGTCGTGCTGAACATCTCCATATGCAACATGTATGGAGACACATCGTCCACGAGGTATTCGGCCATTTTGTAATCCGCATGATCCCATTTATGTTTATCTGCTAACCGACGGAGCAACTTGGCCCGCGCGAGGGCTTGTTTGTACAGGTCAGGTCGAGACAAGTTCTGCTGTTGCGATTTGTCCAGGAGAGGCTCATTTTGGACGATTGGAAGGATACGACTCTGCCGTTCGAGAAATCCATTGTGGTGCAAGAGATGGTGTGCTAATTCTTCAACAGAGAGGTCCGATTGCGCTCGTTCCTGGGACAGGATATCGGGCCCTGCTGGCTGGCTGGGACGAAGGTTATCTGTGAAGTCGCGCATGGTCGCTGATCCTGAGGATGGTATCATGTCTTCCAACTGTAGTACTGGAAGAGGATCCTCTTATTATCGTTCTTTTCTCGGCTGAAGCTCGTTTTGCTTAAGCTCGGCCCGTCGTCTAGTCGAGTGCTGTACAGGCGTTATGGGAGTTACCGACTGCCGGCGGGGGTTCGGTTGTCGGAATGCAGCGAGGTACATCACGAGTACCGTGCACTTTTGGCCATTCAAGCAAACTCCACGAAGGTCAGTTCATCTTAAATATTTTGGTATTGACCATGGGTATACGTGGACCATTGTTGCAAGCTTGCAAGAATAGCTAGGCCCAAGATGACCAACGGAGACCGGGCCTTCCTTGTCCCACCTCATAGGGGAGACAATATTCTTTCTCATATGCCTTGAATTGAGAAACTTATACGCTATGCGAATAGGTCTCCGCCGTGCATCGCCATTCGCGACGTCGACACCAGCGTGGAGAAGTGGGAGCTGCCGTCACCCTCAAGGATACTAAGAACAAAACTCTATCTTCATCGACTTTGCGACAGGACCTGCGAAGCAAATTGGCTGGCTACAAGATGCCCACATTGCTGCGTGTGGTTGAAGGTGAATTTCCAAAGTCGGCCACGGGAAAGGTACAGAAGAAAATATTGGGACCGAAGTATTTCCCTAACAGTTACCTAGACGACCCAGAGGTTCAGATTTGGAAGTCCAGCAATAGAGCTTCCAGTTTAGAGCTCTAATAGACGTGAAAATTGAGGTATCGCTCCGCTCAGGACAGCTATACGATTGGAGTGACTGTTGTCAGGCTGTGACAACATGACTTTGATGACCACATCTGTACTTGATTCCTGAGGCAGTCCCAAGGCCTGTCCACCCTTTAAAATCTGAAGACAAGGGTATTGGCTTCTGGGCAATGCTCAGATTGATCCGTGGTGGGTACCTCCGGAATGTAGGCATCTGTTATCCATCTCGATCGGTTATCCTCTTCTGGGATATCTAAGCCATGTGCACTTCGCTTGGCCAGTCCCTCTCCCCGTGGGAATATTCAGGAGGTTGGCAGGGGCCCCGGAAGTCTCTTTCGAGATGTTCCTGCTTCCAGCGTGATGCACTGCTCAGCCAATGGTCATTCGCCAATGTCACGTCTCAAAATAAGGGACAAGCATATGACTGCGGCATTGCCTCAATAGCTAGACCTGCAACACCGTAGCGGTTGTGGAAGACTTTATACAAGGATAAGTAGTAGTAGGGTCATCAAAGCTTGATCAGTCGCTGGTATGCGTGGCAAGAAAGTCAGACGACTACAAGAGGCAGATAACATGTTCGGAATAAGTTACGAACCACGATTGTCTCAGATTCGCTGCTCCGGTTGTTGCCCGAAGTTGGCTATATCGGCGCCGAGTGATTTTCATGCTGCCTGAGCCCGATGCATGGATCCCAAGCCGATTTATTCGGCTGGATGACCTTGGCCGAGTGGAGCGTGCACATACATTGCGTTAGGCGGGCCACGGAGACCCGATAAGCAGAACTAGAATATTTCACTCCGAAGCGAATGACCTACGAAAACCTGTCATAAGAGCCCCCTGCGTGGACTGACAATGGTCTGTAGTCAAATCCAAGGTGGTGGACGTCGATGGATCACATATAAGGCAATGTTTGGGGACAGGGCTGGAGTGTGTCAAATCCCAGATTAAGAATGCTGTTACAACCCTATTCTTACTATTCTTCCCACGTTCCTTACGTAGTGGTTTTACCATCGAGCGGGCCCATCCGGAGAGTGTACAGTTGTCGGATGGCATAACAGGAGCGGAACACCACCGCCCACAACAGTTTAATGGGATGCATTGTGACAGGTTGCCGCTATGGTGTGCCGCGTCCTGATCCGTCATATCATGAGCATAGGGCAAAATACCAGGTAACTCCCGGAGCGACCACTGTGCCCAGCCTCACAGCGTATCGAGTCCACTAAGGCTGCGGGTGGACCTGCCGAGACTATGCTGGTGCGAATGGTGACTTGTGACGGAGCGACGTGAACATGCAATTCAAGGCTCCGCTGCATCAACCACCGCAGCCAAGCCTGGGTGGGATAGTGTTGACATCAGCCATGGGCGTATCTCGGTGCAGGGCGGAAATCTGGGTTTAATGAACAGTTCCCAAGGCTTGGCGGAAGTCGGAATTACGCAAAAGAGTAATTCCTCCCCGGGGCCGCCAAGATCGGTCAGCGGAACCCCCATCGCAGTCTTGGCACAGTTGGACCAGACTCACACTCACTGTAATGCTCGAGCCCGAGGAGCATGAGAGGAAAGATGTGACATCATGCGCCATGAACTGGGCAATTCGTTCTATGTATATCGACGCCCCGACCGCTATCCGGGGTATCATCGGGCTGGGCTGTACGGGGCCTTCCAGTTATAAAAGTAGATCTACCCCAGGGAAGCCCAGTCAGATCCGATGAAAACGTTGTCCGCATACCTGTCATTGCTCTACCACTGTCAACAACATGTCGACACGGTCTAGTAACGAGAAGAATGATGATCGGGTGCTCCCTACTTCCCATCATGTTCAGGACGCCCCCAGTACGTCGCCACCGTCCATGACCAAAGAAGAACGCATGCGGCACGAGCATAAGCAATCCATGCCAGACACCAGGCTGTTGAGGTACTTTGGTTGGATGGGTGAGCTGCCGGAATGGAAAGTCCGTGGCAAACATCTGGCTGGCCGAACATTGAACTACTCCATCGGCTTCATTGCGAGCTGTGGGTTTTTGATGTTTGGGTACGACCAGGGGGTATTGAGCGCCCTACTCACCTTGGACTCTTTCCAGGAGGTTCTCTCTTTGATGACTCCTCGGGAGAGATCGAATGACCTCTGCTGGATTGACGGAGATCGCAGCCGACCTCACCCGACGAACTGTAAGGGCGATGCTAACACCCAAGCCGCCGGTGTTGCCATCTATCAGATTGGGTGTTGGCTCGGATCCCTTGTCATCCTAGCCTACGGGGAGAAATGGGGACGGAAATCCTCCACGTTCTGGGGCTCTCTTATCATGATCATCGGCACCATCATGCAGGCGGCCAGTTTCGAGTATGGCCTCTTTGTGGCTGGGCGTGTTGTGGGTGGAATCGGTAAGAGATCGTCACTTAACACACAACACCACAGTCAGGCTAATGTGTTTAGGGAATGGAATGGTCACCTCTACCATCCCAACCTGGCAGAGTGAATGCGCGCGGCCTCATCAGCGGGGTGTTCTCATCATGTTATCAGGAGCGCTGATATCCGGAGGTATCATGATCGCATACTGGGTTGACTATGGCTTCTACTTCCTGGAAGGCTCCGTCCGCTGGCGTTTCCCGGTGATGTTCCAGTCCTTTTTCACCATCATCGTCATGATTGGCCTCCTCTACCTTCCCGAGTCGCCGCGGTGGCTGATCATGAAGGGCCGGCACGCGGAAGCTCGCGATGTGACCGCTCGGCTGTTGGGCCAGGATGACAACCATCCGGAGGTTGAAGAAGAACTGCGCAACGTGAACGAGGCGTTGGAGGCCCAGAGCAAAGGGGGCCCTTTCCGCTACCGGGAGCTTCTTACCAACGGCCCACAGCAGAACCTTCGCCGTGCAACGCTGGGAATGGTTGCCCAGTTCTTCCAACAGATCTGCGGTATCAACCTTGTCACCTACTACGCTACGATGATCTTTGAAAATTCACTAGGTTTTGGCCCAGCCATGTCACGTCTGCTCGCGGCATGTAATGGGACGGAATACTTCATGGCCTCCCTGGTTGCATTGCCGCTGATCGAGCGAACTGGACGGCGTAACTTGATGTTGTTGGGAGCTTTTGGAATGATGACATCCATGGCCGTCTTGGCTGGTACCGTGTCGACCGGGGCAGAGGGGGAGAACGGAGCTCCAATATTGGAGACGCGATATGGTGTTACAGCCACTGTGTTCCTCTTCGTGTTCAACTCCTTTTTTGCCATTGGTTGGCTGGGCATGACGTGGTTGTACCCTGCTGAGATCACCAATTTGCGCATTCGCATCCAGGCCAACGCGTTGTCGACTAGTTCAAACTGGATGTCCAATTTCTTGATTGTTATGATCACGCCCCCAGCTTTCGCGAACCTGGGGTACCAAACCTATATCATATTTGCCGTGTTCAATGCGGCTCTCATTCCCTGTGTCTACTTCTTCTTCCCAGAGACGAAGGGACGGTCACTGGAGGAAATGGATGTCGTGTTTGCCAGTGCCCATGCAGAGGGCCTCAACCCGGTGAAACAAAGTCTGAAGATGCCCAGGCTGACGGGACAGGACTTGGACTCGCAGCTTGTCAAATACTTTGGCTCCCAGAGTGATACTGAAGCTCCTTCTTCGTAGGGGGGTTAACACAAACGAGCTACTGTACCTAGGTAGACATCCCATTCCTGTTCCTTCACATGGAAATGTATATTTATCACTAGATCTCAAGGAATTCTTTCATTCATTCACTACTTCCTTGGGACCATTCAATGGATAACATTTGTAACACCCAAAATTACACTTTAGCCCTCGCAGGCAACGATGTCTGACGACTGTGGACATAAGAGATACGCTGGAACTGCCGGATGGCGTCACCCCAGAGCTCGTAGCGAAGCAGACCGTATACTCTATTCTATGTGTTAGTATATTCAAGTTGTGGGTATTGTAGAAACCTACCCCATCTTGGCCTTCGGGGCCCACTTGTTGGCCAATTCGAGTGCTACGCGGAACATGTCGTCGGGCTCAGCAATTGCATCGACAATTCCATCTTGCAAGGCCTCGCGGCCTGTCCAACGATGTCCCTCGAGTAGCATCTTCCTTGCAACAGTTGGTCGAAGTTTGAGGCGCGGCAGGGATCCGATGCCGTCAAAGTGCAATCCTAGATTGACAGGGGGCATGCAGAAAAACCCCCGCTTCGAATTCATCACCCGGTAGTCGTGAGCTAGGGCAAACGGGCATGCACCACCAAACGTATGACCGGTAATCAGGGCGATGGTGGGATATGGGAAGTCAAGGATAGTGTGCAGCATCTGGTTGGTGTTATTAGTCTCGGTCCATAACTTCTGCATGCATGAGCAGCATACCGGGTAGAATCCATCAGTATTTGCGAAGGGGTTGGTATCTGCTTCGTCTAATTCTAATCCCTATCGAAAGAATCCATGTGAGTACGAGAATTGCCCCAGGATTCCTTCCGTATGTGGACCACGAACAGTACACCAGAACTTCGTATCACACCCGCGAGTGATCACAGCACCCTCTGCATCTGGTCCCAAGATCTTTTGGATAGTATGGAATGCCCGGATTATCTCCTGGCAATACCAAGAGTTCAGCCGGTTCTCTGGCGGCTTCTGCATGGTAATGATGAAGACATTGCCCTGTTTGTCCAAGGAGAGGTTGCGAAACTTGGGTAGTTCAGACATTTTGGTGAAGAGGCATAACAATACTCAAGTTCGGGGTACGAGGTGGTTCTACTATTCCTCGGCTATATAAAACTAAGCTCGATTGCAGGGTGATTTTGACCCCGCATTGTGGTATCCCCGAGTACCGAGCCGAGTATGTCTTGTTACATGATGCATAGGCAGAGGGCTGTTTATTTTATGTTTCTTATATTTGATGCACAAAATAATCACCGAGACAGCTATAAATTCCGTTTGATATATGCTCAAAAATGAATGGGCTGAACTGCAGGATGTTTTCGTGGCGTTGGGAATTCAACTTCCAGTCACTATGTACACAGCAAAATATATATTCAATAGCCCGCCACCACAGCAATCGAGAGAAGTAGAATACATTCAGGGAGGAGGACCTAAAAGACCGACATCCTCACTCATACCCATCAGACATAGAAGCAATAGTTCTCGTCCAGCCTAGCATGCGGGCAGAGGCTCCGAATACTTGCAGGCAGAGCTAGGTCCAGAGCCGGTCTCCGGCGGCTATGGATGGTGTTAGGATTGACTCGTTCCAGCTAGGCAAAAATGGATAAGACGTACCTCTTCTCCAGAGCTGTTGCCTTCATACTCCTGGCAGATGGTATCAACATCCGTGGCACAGACGTCTCCCTTGATGGTGGCGGTATCGCCGTAGTTGCTGTTAATCCCGACCAAGGTGCTGCCCTGGACGGCGGTGACGCCCGACACAGTAACGTGACGCTCGAACATCTCATCGCAGTTCCCGCAGGACCGGTACAGCTTGCCGAAGTTGTAGACGGTGAAGCCGTCAATGCTGACAGTGCCACCCGAGTTGTGCTGGATCACTTTATCCTCGGCACCCTGGGCACCGCCACCGATGACGGTGAAAGGTCCGCTGCCTTCCTTCAAGGACAGTGCGTCTGCGGAAGAAAAATATGTTAGAGTTGAAATCAAATACGTTTGTTGGGACACTACCTTCACACACGGCCTCCCACCAGACATTCTCGATCGTGCAGGCTCCCATGCAGTGGACGCCCTCGATCTGGTCGGCGCCGATGATGGCGTTCTTGAGAGTGCCTCCATTCTCAACCCAGAAGACCGCGTCGCTGTCGCCGCCTTCACCCTCGGTGCACTCCACTCCACGACCATAGGTCTTCATGCCACCATCAAAGGTGGTGTTGCCGCTGATGATTTTGGGTGCATCAAAGGTGACGCTGCCCTTGGACGAGGGAAGGGGGAAGGTGAAGCGCTTTCCCAAGTGAGAGTGGGAAGAGGAGCCGTGAAGAGCAAGTGCCGTGGAGGCAAGTGAGATAAGGAGGGCCTTGTGGTGCATGGTGATGAGTGAACCAAGTCAGTATCAGAGAAGTCGTGTGTCTGTTGCTTTCGTCTTGCTCGACACGCCGTACCGTCTGATCAACTTATATCTTCTTCCAGCCGCCGGATAGACTGTGTGGCGCTGAAACACAGGAGGAATACATGCTCTTGGCGTTTCATTCCCGGGATTCGGTGCAATAGCTTAACCTTGTTTTGATGAGAGAATGAGGAAAGATTTTCATACAAGGATAGTGGACGGAGGCGATTTGTGCGAATATCATGGACGAAGGACACCATGCCACGATCGTCGTCCAAGACGGAAGGAATTTGATGGGATCGGCGGGTTGGTCTTATCACAGCCACAACAAGGATAATCAATTCTTGACAGGAGGCTGTTCGAGGAGAAACAGTTCCGTGCTTGGCAAGGTCTGCAGCAGACTGACAGACAGTCTGGAACAACGGGGGACTGGTGGAAAATAGGATCCTTTCCAACATCGCCCACAGTGCCGGCTTCACGTCGACGAATCCCTGGGAGATCGTCGGTTCCAATTCTGCGGGTTGCAGACCGGCTAATCTTCGGCCAGCGAACCTTTGTTCCAAATAAAACGCAGGCAGATAATCCAGTAAACTACAACAGGGATGACGCTTGATAAGGTCTATGGGACTTCCTACTACATCTAGAGCATGGAATAACCACTGCACAACAGAGCAACCACCGAGCCAAGCCTCTTGCCAAGGCCGGAGCGTTTCAGAAGGATGTCTTTCACTGTTGATCGTCGAGGAATTGTGTATCAGACCATGCTCATTAGTGGGAAATTATAGCCATATAGGAGGGATATGAAACAGGTACCGCGGGTGCTGTGCCTCTTCCCACTTCGGACAAGGTCAACCGTGTGGAGTACCTGAGGTGCTTCCAAGGATGGAACGGACTTTATTCAGACAGAACCCGCGCATAGTCGATGTGCTTATCCGGCTGCAAGGGAGAATGTTGAACTTAATAGACATCATATTCAGTCGAGCCACATGGTGGGTGGTCGCACTGGCGCAGATACGTGTGCGTCTAGCCATCAAACATACGATCTATGGCTTGGCTTAGCAAAGCACACGTCGTCTGGTGAAGCAGGTACGGTTACTTGCAGGTCAATATTACTGACTCCGAAGGGGGAACATGGGCGAGGACTGTCGGGGTCGCAGTCTCCAAAGGGACAGGCTCTACTGATTAGGGGATTGACACCATCAAATTGGATTAGACGATAGCGCTTTCCTGCAGCTATATGTTGAACGTGAGAGTAAACAGACAATTCTTCTCCATGTAACGGCCGTAAATCTAACCCCATGTCCCACCCTCAAATGGTATATCGGAAAAAGCTGGCATAATCACCCTTCTCGCGCTCCAATCTTCTCTCCTCATCAGTGTAATCCTCCGGCGCCTTGGCGTACTCCCTATCACGTCGCGCGTTCTCCCGTCTCAAGTAGATGTGCATGAAGATACAAAGAATCGTAGACATGGACAGGGTCGCGATAAGCGTTCCATGTCCGGGATAGAAGTTAGGCGAGTCCTTGGTCTGGTAGATGAATCCGGAGATGGCACCGCCTAGGTTGCCGAAGCCAACGTGCATAGCAATTCCAACGCTGCGTTTCACGGATCCTCCAATGTTATTGCCGTTCCATGCGACGCCCTGTGGGACGTTTGGATAGATGCCGGCTGCGGCAAAGAATGTGCCCGCATACTTGACTGCCAGGTTGTCCGATGCAATGAGCATGACAAAGCCGATGATTCTAGAGGGACCATTAGTTTGGGGCAGACATCAGAGTTTGTGGAGGACTCACGCGACGATGTTGAAGCAGATCATGTAAATTCCACGTCTCTTTTGCCGATCTGCCATGAATCCGCCCCCAATGCAGAAGACACACGCAACCACATACGGCGGGACGGTCATCAGCTGAGCGGTCTCGTTCGTGTATCCCAGAGTCTTGACAATCGTAGGCAGGAACAGCGAGAAGGAATAGAGGGGAGTGTAGATGCCTATAGTTATAAACATGTGTACCCAGATCTTCCAATCTTTGACGGCATCCCAGAAGTATTGCATGCGGAACTCGTCCGCCAAGGATCCGCGATCTTCTTCTAATCGCTTCTGGATTACAAGCTTTTCCTCGGCTGTGAGGAACTTGGCAGTATCCGGATAGTCGTTCATCACGAAGAATGCAGCGATAGCTGAGACAGCGTCAGACATTGCTCGAGGGTATGGGTAAGTACATGATGATGACATACCAATTCCAAAAGTCACCAGACCCTCGATGATGAAAATCCACGACCATCCCGCTTTCCCTCCAATGCCGTCCATCTCGACGATGCCGCGAGCCAGCAGGCCTCCAAAGGCACCCGCAGCCGTGGCGGCAGAAAAGAAGATGGCCATGCGCAAGCCGCATTCGTGACGTTTATACCACATGGTGATGCTGTTGATGATCAGCTATGAACGATGCCTGGAAGGGGGATCCTACTAGAAGGTAACACCAGGAAACAGACCACCTTCGGCAATACCCAACGCAGCGCGAGCTGCCAGGAGCCCAGGGTAGTTGGTCACAGTCCCCATCAGCGTACAGCATATACCCCAGGCCACCATGATAATCGGGATCCAGAGCGCAGGACGGGATTTCTTCATCATCAGGTTCGATGGGATCTCGGCGGCGACGTAGAATGGGAAGAAAATGGCAAGGGCGACCTGAGCCGTCAGTACGTGTCTGAACATACGCAGTCATTAAGAGGAGATACATTATAATCGAGACCCGACATCCCTAGGTCCTCCTCCAGACCCGCCAGTCGGGCATTGCCGATGTTTGTGCGGTCCAGAAAGCTCAGCCTGTATAGTGTGTTAGGAGGGCGGTGTGTATGCAGACTGGTGGCCTCACAAATAGAGAAGGGCAAGCCATGGAATGAGCACGTAGTCTATCTTTCGAATCAACTTTCTCGTAAACTTGGGATCAGAGATTGATGCCTGCACCCCGCCACTCTCCGACGCGGTGCTGGCGCTCTCAGACGGAATCTTCTTGTCGTCCATAGTGACCATGCGATAAGAAGTAACAGTAAGCAGAAAGAAGTCCGCAACCAAGAAGACCCCAGATTCCCCGCTCTCAATCGACTGACAGCGGCAGGGGGTCTGGATTTATACGTCCCGTCAGCAGCGGTCAGCACCTGAATTGCCACGTTATGGATTCTCCCCCTGTCAGAGCACAACGCCCACTCCTTGAGATTCCCCGTTGGACCGAGTAGGATTTAGGCTCAAGGGAGCATCAAATCCCAAAGGATTCCTCCACGATCATAAAAAGTTAGACCGGGAGAGGGCTTTTCTTGGTGTCATATCCCCAGCCAGTGCTTCATGCCAGAGCCCGCCGGGAGTAACCATGTTGAGGCCGATCTCCTGGAACCAGGACGCGCACGCCGAGCTAGCATCGGTTCATGCCAATGGGACGCGGATTTTCGCCGAATTCAATGTCGCTGGCGGGACTTGGCTTGTGCCGTGTCTCTCTCAGCGGGGGGCTTGCACTACATCCGGCTGGCAGCCATTGGAGGAGCGTATCGTGGCTTGCGATATCTCCTTCGGGGTCCTACCACCGGCGTCCGCCGAGAGAGATCGCATCTCTCAACAACCTGCTGTGCCTTGGGCGGAGTGCGGGGACCCCAGGCCCAGAATCTTGGTACTCCTTGGCGAGGATAATGCTGACTGTACGGTCAGACAGATGTGATCTTGGACTTGCTTTCTTTGATTGATCAAGAGACTGGGAACCAGTGTTGCTGATGGAACCACAAAGGAATCTCCCTTAACTTGAATGTGGCGGTTGCGAACAGCGGGATCCTGCACCTCCTCTTGACGGCCAACTGACGGGGCAGATTTAGGCGAGCGCCAAAAGCACATGACACGTCGTCGGCCGTCCGCTCATCGCAGTCCGCTCTTGGCTGGGGGCTAGGGCCCTTGGCAGATCTTGGGAGTAAGCGCCTAGCTCGGTATCGTTAGCTTCGATTGCACCAGGTGTGTGTGGAATGGCGATGGACTGGGATGAGGACTTGCTGACGGTGTAGAAAAGTCCACGTGGATTGTGCATTCATATTCGCTTAGGTCTAGGTACAGATCTGTTGGACTGGAAATAGTTTCAGGGCGGAAAGTCCTTATCTCTGGGGAGACCGGGATAATTCAATCAAACAACGACCCTTGTCGATGCTAGCAGCTTGCAGGGGATCCCTGGTTATTACATGCCCCTGAAGCACCAGGGTGAGGCTAAAACACGGGGTGGCTATAATCTTGAAAGAGGAGATTCCTGCAATCTGGTATATACAGACATTCGCCTCGAGTTTCCGAATGCTCTCGATTCTTGATATACCCCGATCTTATCCAGCAATCGGATACAGGTATACCGACGGATAGCGGAGTTTGGCTTCCACTCGGACGTTGGGACCCCGAATGCTTCTTACTTAACACACAGACAGGCCGTGGGACATGAGTCCACCTGAGGCAGTATGTAGGGGCAGTGCTCTGAAGTGGGGATATGAGAATCATCCTGGGGCGTCGTGCGAGATCAGTGTCTTCGGGGGAGTGGTGTAGGATGGTGCTAGCACATGTGGGCACTCCATCGATCAGCCGCATTCACCGTTATCGTGCCGTCCCCTCTGCGGTGCAGGGTTAAGCTCTGTCACGGAGGTAATTTCCGTCGTACACGGATGGTCAGTAGACACCGGAGGGCCATCATCGCTGCGCGCACGTCTGAAGCATCCCGTTATCGAGGATACGATCCGTTTTGGGCCGTGGCCATCCAAAAAGGCCGGAAGAAGGAGCAAGCAGGCACACAGCAGGCCGATATTCGCTTCCACCGCGCTGCAATCCGTGAGCGTCCGCGATCGTCTCGCACAGTGCATAAATCGACGTACCCAAGCATACACATAATCCCCACCGTCCAGGTCAGATCCGGATCAGACCAGAGCCTTGGCGCCATCGCCGGTATGGCGATGCTTGCGGCGCATGCGCTGGGACGGTTAGTTGGATCCTTCGCTTGATTGGATATGAATTTAATATACGCACCAGATTCCGAGAAAGAAGAGCACTGCCACCTTCACCTTCTCTCGAGGCCCCAGCTGGAGTTGTCGCAGACACGGAATTGGGACCAAGAGGATGTAGATGTTAGTAGCTGTGTCCACCGCTCCATAGGCCAATGGTGCAGCGTGCGGAATCCCCTTTTCGCCGGTGCGACTGTCCGCCGGGGACAGCGAGGGCATGGCGGTCACCGCAGCTGTCGTAGTGAAGGCGGCGGCTGCAACACAGACAACGACCATCCCGACAATCACCATCCGGCGACACGGCGTATGCAGCCAGAAGTAGTGGTAGTAATAGCATAGGAAGGTCATTTTGATGGACGATAGCAGCGCGAGATGGATGAAATCGGCGACGCCCAGGTACTATCACCAGTTAGTGCTGGGCCACTGTGGAGGATGGCAAAATACGTACGGCGGCACCTTGGGAGAGGCTGGAAATTGGCACTTCCCACATATGAAGCCCGATTCCGGCAGATGGCACTGATGGACGCAGGAGTTAGTCGTGGCGTGCGAATGGATGGGAGGCCGTTCATACTTTTCAGTAAGAGGGCTATGTATGCCACAAAGAACAACTGCCACAGCGTAAGCGGACGGATCACTCTCCCAAGAACCAAATCAACACATACATATGACAGAGTGCAGAAAACTGCAGAAGAGTCAGTGGCTCTGAACGATATCGCACACTCGACGCAGGGGCTTACTCACAATCATCGGCTCCCCACGGGAATCGGCAGATGCGCAGCCGGGTATACAGACGCAGGCAAGTAGCTACCGTGGTCAGCACCAAAAAGAAGATATTCAGCCATAAACTCCACGAAGCTTGGGTGCTGGGGTTGACATGGTTGGGATGCACCCCGGGCGGCGGTGGGAGATAATGCTGGGCCATGGTTTGACCCTGGGGTTAACACTGCCCGTCGGGCACGAGTTCGGTGGCCGAAGACATGTAAAGACAACCTCCCGGCTGGGTTGGAAGAATGTGCGAGACAAAATATACCGGTCGGTCATTGCGGTGGTCTGGGGGCGGCCGTACGTAGACAAAGAAAACGAGTTGGCGGCCAGGATGGGGATAGCACAACAGATCGGCTGCTCTCTAGTTCCCGATAGAGTTCCCCCGTAGTACAAGGCTCGCGAATGTGATGGGAATGGGAGATGATTGGGCTCATGGCTGCAGCCACCAACGGACTAGTTGATGACAGGCGTTCCAACTACCCACACAGCACTCGCAATGGGCTGTGGCGCATCAGGATCGACCTGATCTGCTGGTCTTCTCGAAAACGTGTGGATGGGACAGGGAGATTCGAACGTGGCTGAAGCATTATTGCTCACCCCTTTTTGTGTTTGCGCCATTGGAAGGACTCGCAGGCTTCTAGTATACACGTAGAAAGTTTGCGGTGGAGTCGTTCCAGAAGTGTATGAAGTAAAAGCTAGCAATTCAGGAGACACAGGGGAGTGCAGCAGACCATAAGCCCTGCAGCGATAATGTTTCACTCAAGCTGAAATTGGACTGCGACATCGATATCCTCATTTTAGGCCCTTTGTGCATGCAACAATGTCATTCTATATAGCATTCATATGTACATCACTCGTCTCGATAGGGTTTTTGGGTATGAAAAAGAACACAACAGACGTGGATATCTCGAAACCGACAACAGCTAAACGCGGTGGCACTTTTTATTTGAATCGAACCGTCTGGACCGGCAATCGCGTCCATGCACATGCGGTAGTCTGCGCAGACGCATCTCAACCAACACCCAGTGACAGCGTTTGGTTCAGCTGTCTACAGAGCTTGCCTGCCCCGAGTCTCGATCGGCAGCAGGCACATCGCCACAAAGGCCGCCAGAATCAACGCGCCCGATGCATAAATCGGCGCGACCGGGTTGGTGCTCGCGTAGACGCCAATAATGGGAGCCATCAAGCCCGCAATCCGGTTCAAGCAGCTGGCAATGCCAGACCCAGTGCCGCGGTTGGGCGCCGGGAAGACCTCGGGCGTGTAGGCGTACAGGACACCGTACATGGCCATCTGGAAGAAGGACTCCAGTGCGGAACACACCAGCTGGACGTTGGGATCCTTGGAGGCGGTGAAACAGAACAGCAAAACGCCCGTGACCAGGGTGGAGATGGCCATCGTACCCTTGCGGCCGACGTACGGCAGGTTGACCGTGTACCAGGCGACCAGGGGTCCGGGAATACCGCAGACGGCCGTGATGGCGTAGTTGCGGTAGGTGATGTAGGTGGACGAGTTGGCGCTCAGGTACTGCGGCAGGAAGGCGTTGAACAGCGTGTAGCCCATTCCGATGGTGGTCCAGCAGAACCAGATCAGGACGGTGGAAATCCCCAGACGCTTGTTGGCAAACAGAGGGGCAATCTGTTGGTAGGAGAAGCGTTCCAGAGACCGCTTGATGATCTCGCCGTAAGAGAGAGCCTGCTTCGGGTTCTCCTCGGGATAACCACCGATCTCGTTCAGGATCTCCTCGGTGAGCCAGGTCTTGGTCTTGTTCTTGTGGGCGATGCCCTGCACCGCCGCGACGGCCTCATCTTGCCGTCCGCGCGACACCAGGAACTTGGGCGACTCGTACAGGGTGAACAGGAGGAACCGGCAGAGGAACATGGCAAAGGTGATGGCCCCCAACGTGAGCACGAGGTATCGCCAGCCCCAGTTGTTGGCCTTGGTGCACGTGGCGTAGCTCTCACACGAGAAGTTGGGGATGTAGGCCCAGGCCAGCATACTGGCGATCAGCGTACCAACCGACCACCAGGTGGCCAGACCGCTCAACAGACTGGCCGAATCGGGCGGCAGACATTCCAGGAAGACTGCAGCATCCACGGGAAGGTTTCCACCAACGCCCAGACCAAGGCAGGAATACAACGCACAGGTGCTGCGATGAATTAGTACTAGCGAAAGGCTTAGGGATGGGCGAGCACGTACCCGACCCAGCTAGATCCACCGCCAGCCGCCAGGCCGAACGTGCCACAAAGGAAGAGCGTCATGTTGAAGGCCGGGCGACGTCCGATGGCATCCGAGGCAATACCCCAGAAGGACGCACCGATAATCAGACCGACGAACAAGGCACATGTGGCAAAGCGAGAATTGGTTTCCGAGACACCGAATTCCATGGACAGCGGAGTGAGCGTCAGGGCCACTCCCTACTCCTGTTAGTTGATGCGACAGTGCATAGATGAGCCAAAGCCCTTACCTGCAACCAGAGGCTATTGAGTGCATGTTAGCGTCGGTGTCTGTATCCTTCTGGTTGGGGTGCTTACTTGTCGGCAATCCAGCCAAATCCGCAGAGAACAAACAGTTCCCATTGGTAGCGGCCCATTCCGATATCCTGAATGGCCTTGTTGATCACCTTGGCTTTACCTAGAGGACGGTCAGAAGTGCAATCCTTACGACAGACGCCCAGGGTCAGTCTGAATGAATAGAGCCATCCCTCAGAAGGGACAAGGCCGATCTAGATCAATGGGAGCCTCAGATGAGATAGAAACGTACGGTCATAGACGGAGTCATGACCGGAAGCAGCGACGTCGGATTCGACCTGTGCACGCAGGGCTTCCAGGGTCAGTGTAGTATACGTAGTGGGCACGGCGACGGTGCCTTGCTCTTGGGAAGAGGCTCGGTCCAGGCTGGAGCTCGAGTCATCGTCGGAAATGGCTTTCTTTTCCGCATAGGGTTCGGGAATCGGCTTTTCAGGCGCAGGGGCATTGGCGAGGGGCACGACCACCTCTGGGAATTGGCGGCGGTCTCGGTTGGTGAGGAGATCCTTCCAGTTCCAGTTGGCCATGGTGAAGACTGCAGTGGGCTCGGGCTACCGGTGCTTGGGCGGTTTAGTGTGTCGTTACTGCGATGGCATGCAAACGGATGGTTCCGGGGGGTTGGCGCAATGGAACTGCTATAGGCGCAAGTGGCTGTTGGACGGTCGTGACTGCGGATGGAAGTGTTGCGCACTGGGGCAGCGAGAGATCAATCGGGCGATGGCGCACGGGTGTGAGGACGGAAACAACGGAACTAAATGCTGCTACTTCCGCTCAAAACGTGGACGATTGGTGGTGGGTTGAGGCTGGATAAGTTTTATTGACTCTGGGGTCTATATATGACAATGGCGAGGTTAGTAGGCAGGGAGATGTTGGCGTCGAACGGAGGTATGACAAGAGGATGGTGAGTGAATCGCCTGGGCAGTTGGAAGCCTGCGACGTTGGGGCGATGTGGATGTCGAGGGGAGGGTATGAGGAGGAGTGAGGGAGGATGAGGAGTATGAGGAGGGGGGGAGAGAAGTCGTTCAAAAAGAATGGAGTCTCGTGGGACGGAGTATTAAGTAATGGGTTGGTGGTGGCCAACCATGAGGCTGCCACTGGGGATTCCGGATCGGGCAATCCACCATCACCGTCACTGTCACTGTCACCATCACCACAACGGTATTTGCCTACTCCCTACACTTACAATATGATGACTCTCTCTGCTGATGATTCCCGATTATACATATACATTCTAATAATTTCTGTCCTTTTATCTACCTGTATTCTTCCATAATGGTATACTCCCATACTCTGTACTCCGTCCCTCCAGGCACTGACTGCCCCACCGTCGGCTCGGGCTTGAGCTTCCCGGCCGGCACACGAGATGGAGGCTCCCACGGCCAATCGGAGTCGTTGTGCCGATGGGGCTCGCCAAGGAGTAATCATAATAAACGGCCCTGAATGGTCAAGATTCAGTGGACCCTGAGTCCAACCGGATTCTCTTCGGGTGGCGCATATGACATAATCACGCCTTAGTTAACTAACTATCAGGGTTGGTCCTACGTAAGTGTTCCTGTGTTCCTGTGTCTATGAAGAGACATTACTATATAGGCTGATGCAGTAGGTGAAGATGAAAACTATAAAAACTATACTAATATATCAATTTCTACAGGAGTGTTGGTGTGCACAATCGGCCGGAGCCGAAAGAAAAAAAGAAAAGAAAAAAATACCCCCACCCCGAGCTGCCGAGCGAATGCATCGGCCCACCGGCCATTTCTTGTTTGGCCAGCACGGGAAAAGTTTTCCTCCTGTCTGGTATGTTGCCGCCATCCCTTCTTTTTCCGCCGTACTCCGTACTTCTGAGATATGTTTTATGATCTTGATTTAAGCTACTTCTATGTAAATGGTATTATTATCGTCTAAGGCACTCCTTTCCGAGTAAACCATCCTCTACTCTGTCCTCTGTATATGTCACCCTCCTGGCCGGTCTCACTCGGTGGAACCCCGGTCTTGGCATTAGGACCACCCCAAGACCATCAGACCATCCATCCATTCATGACTCTGTTTCTTGTCCACTGGATAACTAGTTAGCTAGACGATATCCCGGCAAGGAGGAAAGATAGCCGAGAAATTTGAAAGTCTTTAGCGGCCGCACAAGTCTGTTGATGATGTCAATGCAAAATATATATTTCGTACCGGGGTAGTGGTCGGCTTTAAGCACAAACGGTACCATTGTCAGTCAGAATGGTCCTAAGGACTTAAGACTTCACAGAAGTTGAAAGCATATACGGAGGAAATAATAGGCCATATATGACATTACTAGGAAATTGATGAAAGCAATGATACTGGTTAAGAGGTTAAGAAGCCAGCTAGCACCAGGCCTAAAGAGGTAACTTTAGCGCCTAAAGCCCAGCAGACATGCCCACCGATTTCATCATTCTACGTCCTCTAGACGAATACGACAGTCATGACATGTGCACTAACATCTACGCATTCCTCCAGGCTACTGCGAAACCAGATCACGCAGCCGGAGTTCCATCGGCGACTTTTGCCACAGAGCATACACCTTTTCCTTTTCAAAACAACACGAGGACGACAGCTCCCATTCAAAATGCCACACCATCTTGGCAAGTACCACACCGATCTCCATATAGGCCAGACTCTTCCCAATGCAGCTATACGGCCCCGTAATAAAGGTCTGCACGACAGACAGATTGTCCGAGGCGTACGAGGGATCCCCCAACCACAGCTCCGGCCGGAACTCGTTGCGTTCTCGAAGATTCAGCGCTGAGTGATAGGCACTGTACTGAGTGATATACACGACCGTCTATAATACAACCGTATTTAATGATGAATCATGAATATGGAGAGGGAAGGATGAATGGCCTACATTGTTGGGAATGAACAGATCCTCCACAAAATCCCCTTGCTCACCACCCGTCGAGGGAGCCCAACCGGCGTCGGTGGGTAGAGACGCAGTGCCTCTCGGATCACCGCCGTGTCATGGCACATGTCACTTTCGCTCTGGAACGCGGTGGTAATCTCCTCTCGCAGCTTCTGCGCCGCGGCCTGGTTGCGACAGAGGTAGTAGCTCGCCGCAGACAACGCCGTTGCGGATGTCTGGCTGCCTGCCATGGTCAGCAGACCGAGGTTGGCCTCCAACTCCCCCGGCGATAAGGGGAGGTCGCTCTCAAGGGGAGGTCGCTCTCGTCAGGTATGAGACGTGGCTTCTCCGACCGCCACGCAATCTTGTCCCGGATCACCGTCAGATGGAAATTTCGCATCTCCAGCAGATGACGGGGCAGAAGGCCCATCACCAGCCGTTTGAAAATCGAATATCTCTCCATCAGCGCGCCATATGAGCTGAGTCGGATGTTCTGGAGCACCACCTTCAGCCCAGGGTGATATTCAGCACCCTGCAGACATCCAAATCACTCGCCATATACCAGACTGCCAATGATGTCGAACGTGGTCCAGTTGTACCACTTCACCATGTCGGCAACCCCTTCCGTCTTCTTGAGCTCGTGCTTCAACTGGGCAATCAGCAGATCGATATTGCTCATAATCACCGACCTGCTTTCGTGCAAGACCTTCTCGCCAAACGCTGGCCCGAAGATCTTGCGAAAGCGCATGTGATCCGCCTCCGAGGCGACGATGATGACTTCCTGCCCTTCGGTGAGGTTCGCATACCACTTGCCGTCTCGGATAAGGGACTTGGCCACTTTCTGCCCATACACGTCGTTCCATGCAGCGGCAGTGATGAATGACACCTCGTCCGGCGCGACTCGGACGATAGGACCGTACTTCTCGTGCAGTCGCTGCACAGAGACATGCAACCGTCTTGAAAGCCAATCTCGGATCCATGGGATGCGGAAGATAGCATAGAGCTTTGGGCCTGGTACCTTGTTCAATGGGTGAAGGTATAACGCATACACGACTGAACCAAGGTACACCGTGATTGCCTGTAGCCAGAGTAAGTATGTCGGTCATTAGGAAGTGCGAGGGGGAGGGATATTGGCCTCAATGGCAGTGAGAGAGACTCAAATACGTTGTACAAATCGCCCCTCGAGTTGGCTTCCAATAGACCCAATTTGGGCGGGTTAAAGGTCTATGGATTTGCCTTGGCCAGCGAGAAAACGCCTCTCATTGACGGCAAAAACGACAGCGTGCGTATCCAACGAGTTCCCTGTGGTCCCTCGTGTCTAATAACTTGATAGTCTCATATCGTGCTCGCCCCATTCAAGTACATCAAATCGATGCCCTCCAAAGGTGTCTGGGAGAAGCTGATCGATGCGCTCAACTAGTGGTTCAAGGTCCCTCAGCCGGAACTGGAGATCATCCAGAATGTTGATGACCTGTTGCACACGTCCTCTCTCATGTACAACCCACACGACCACCTTGGATAGTGTGTTAATGATCAATCAGGTTTGATGACATTGAAGACAACTCAGTCCGACGCATAGGGTGTTTGGGGTTGCGCAGACGATCAATTAGTCCACGTACGTGTTGATTGCGTCGATTAACGAGGCTTCCAAGCTGCAAAGTAAGCGAGCGGTGTCCATTGTTACTCGTGAATTCCCATTTCCAAATGGGGCGGCCTTTCTGACCGAGCAGAGGGTATCGGTCATGTTACAAGGACAGGGCATGGATCTCTGTTCCACGTATTTGGGCGAGTGCCCGACATTCGAGGAGTACTCTAAGATGATTGACTACAGTATTTGGCCAATTCCATATCACAAGACAAAATATCCGCTTCTTACTGTTTCCAGAGACAGGAGAGCTGTTTTGCATTGCCCATGCGTTGATTGCTGCTGAGTCGACTTCCCCATTGTCAGTTCCGCAACTGTACTCTCGCGTTTGCGCCATACTAACGGCCCGATAGCGTCCAAAGCCTTGAATCGCTCTTGATCCTCCTGGGACGATACTTCCAGGTGAGGGATGATTACATGAATCTAGTATCTGACCAGGTAATCTAGCCCCAACCTCAGCACGAAAAGAAGGTAGCTAGTGTTTTGCATTCGACTCCAATTCTAGTTACTCTTGGCCCAGCGTCCTGCACGACATGTTCTTCCTGCCGTTGGTGCGCTATCTCCCCCCCTGTCAGTAGTGTTGTTTGCCTTGTAGATGCACTAGCGGTCCTCCGTAGCTTGGCGGCTCGTCCATCGCCTACGCATGCAGACTCGAATAAGCGAATGGCGTGCATCTGCCTGTAGCACACGTGGCGATGAAGGTATCGTGAAATACAGGCTGCAGCGTACCCTTGCCAGCGCGTGCCGCATCGATTAGGCGGTTACATCCTTCGGCTTTTGATGCCTGTGCGCAAGATCCCTGCTATTTCCAATCTAGATGTTGATAACTCGTGGCAGGACGCCACCAAAGCACGGTCAACACTCGGTCAAATCTCGGGAACACCCAACAGGGGTAAACGAGCTGATTACGCACCGCATACTACCTAGTACATGCCGCCTCAGGAGGAATATTCAAGCGATGAACCATAACTCCATGTTCGTTGTTGATTGCACTAAGAACTAGAAGACATGATCCCAATTCAATACGAAAACAATCTCGTACCAAGCCGTTTGCCCCTCCTACCCCGCCTATTACCTGTGGCCCATGCCGTCACAGTTTGGCACGTCTATCTATTGCACCGTCTTGCGGACTTTCACTTGAATACCAGGCGACTCAGATCCAGGCAGCGAGATCATGCAGTATGACGCCATCACAACGTTTTTCTTGGTGGTCTGGTACAGCTCAAGCTCGTAGTTGCGGAAGAGCGTGGCGATGGTGAGAACCTGCTCGGCGATGGATAGACTGTTTGTCGTTTGTGAGCCCCCTTCCGCTGTATTCTGGCATGGGAGTGGGTTTCTTACTTCTGACCGGTACACATTCTGGATCCACTGCCAAATGGAACTAGATACTTCTCTAGCTCCCGAGTTCCTTCGCCCATCCAGCGCTCCGGCCAGAATTCGGTGGGGCCAGGGAAGAAATCCTTGTTGTAGTGCGTGTTCCAGATGTTCATACTAATCGGGGTCTGCAGGGCTCTGCGTCAGCTATGGTCTAATCAGCCGATGGGGTACTTACTCCGATAGGAACGTCCCATCCCTGGAAAACTGTTGGAGCGCTGTCATTGACCCTTGGGAAGCGGCTACTGGCCGGAGAATGGGGACAAGACCGGATTCCGCCAATACTCTGTCTTTCCCGATATGGAACGGATGAGATCATCCCCTGGTCTAGTGTAGGCAGATCGAGATGATAGCCGAGGTTACATCGCACGGCCAACACGAGGGAGGTGCATTAGTTTCAGGAACCGTTTCTCGCTTAGAAAAATCTGTCTGCAGAAGGCAAACTTGGCGTGCCATTGGACAGCATGGCGCGGAGACATGGGTCAAAAGTACCATGCAGCAATTTCCCGATGGGGAGAAATGCGTGCTATCCAGGACTGTCTGGCAAGATCCAGACGACCATTACCCACTCGCTTGAGGCCTTCGCTGGCAACATGAATTTCACGGAGCTCGCTGATCAGCTGGTCTTTGGTGCAATGGGCAGTTCACCCTCTTCCACCGCAGCGTACTTGATGTACACTCCGGGGTAGAGTGAGGATGCCAAAGAATACCTGCGTAATCTGGTCAGCTCGCGCCAGAGAGCGGGTCTCCCGGGGTTGCCGGGAATGTATCCTACGACAGGATTTGAGGTTTTGTAGGTGAGGGTCGCCTGGCCTAGCGCATTGCACTATAGCGGCTAAGACTGATCCAGATTGCCTGCACCCTTCTCGACAACGGGTTCGACGTTGATACACTCAAAGGTGTTCGATCGATGATTGACATTATTGACGAGGTCTATGGATCACTCGGGGGTTGGTCAGCGGGTCCTGTAGGTCCTGTACCATATTTCTGCCACCATAAGGTCTTACCGTTCTTCCAGCAAGAAAGAGCGTCGGCGACGCCGACGCCGCAGCAAGGAGCATTTTTATCCGTAACCTCTTGGGGGTATCAACAACGCCCGAGCGCCTTATCTCGACGTTCGAAGGCCCCAATCACTTTCTGACCCACATGTTTGAGCGACAGCCCAGTGTGACTACCATTGCAACTCATTGACTGCCATCCTCGAGGCACCAGACATGACCTCGTACGGCCCGCAAATCGAGAAATTAGTGCGATATATTACCGCTGCCTGGTGTGACCGCGATCTTGTCTTTGCCGATAAATGGGTAAGTACCTCGATACATCAATATCGAATAGATAGTCTGACGCACCGTAGAACGTGTCGGAATTCTACCCCATCATGCTGATGTGTGACTGTCTTGTCCGGCTGCTTTACCACTGGGACCAAGGTCACCTCCTGCACATATCTGAGGAGCTCATCACCGAAAAGGTGCCACTCGTCCTCTGGCAAGCATTAATGCAGACGCTCCAGAGGCAGAACCATAATGGTTCGTATGGGGAAACGCCGTGACGTGAGATCACATCGTACGCGATTATCGCGCTCTCCAATCTTGCCTCCTTGCCACTTGTTCCCCAGATAAGAGACCAAGTCGACTCTGCGATCAAGCAGGCGCGAGCATATATCCGCAGTGCAAGCGATGCGTCCGAAGTGGAGTACATATGCATTGCCAAAACGACGTATTCACCGCTACAGATCTCCAAAGCCTATGTGTTGGCTGGGCTGAAGGCCAAAAACCCCAAGTATACGATGGGCGACAGGATCAGAACAATTTACGTACCGGAGTTTGTGCTGAAGCAGTCCGTGGCTGTCTTCACGTCGTTCAAGACTCTGAAGGACTTGCCTTCATGAGAGGTTCTTGGCTTCCTCATTGAGGCGCAGTGTTTTCTTGGTGGACTCAAAAGAGCTCGCACCGCCATGTTTGATCGCAAGGGCATGAAGAAGGACAATTATCTGGCGTTCACCCCGTCGGCGGTCTGCTGTGCGAATAACCTCCAACGCGCCTTCATCAAAACAGACATTTTGCACGACTTCATGGTGTTGATCATGCGTGTGTACCAGTGGGATGAGTACATGGAGCATGACGTGGCTAAGGAGCTCGTGAGCAATTTGTCCGAAGTCAAGGAAGTGATCAGGGGGATCTTCAAGCCCGATGGGTTCAAGAGGAATGTGAAGAGAGCGGTAGCACAGGCCAAGGGATCTGTCCACACTAGCGAGGGCCACACAAACGGGCATTGGAAGGGAAACTCAGCTCAGCCCTCCAACGAGGATCCGCATCCACAGTCGAACGGACACCATAATGGAGCCGGGAACGGCCACGTCAACGGCGCTGCGGAGCCGATTCTTGTTCACAAAACCACTTTCCCAGCGGCTCTCTCGTCTCTCAAGGATCGACTGCAAAGCTTAATGTCAAGCATTGTCCATCACCCGCGGGTCCTCGTGGCAACCGCCTACGACAAGCAGCAGCTCCATTACGAGCTCCGCGAATGTCTGCTGGCCCATGTCACCCAAATCATGGACAGTCGACAGGCCACGCAGCCGGACCAAGACAGAGACTGGCTCCCACAAACCTCATACCACACCTGGTTACGTACCACCGGATCCAGCCATAGATGTGCGCTATTATCGCTGGCCTATCTCCTCTGTCTCATGTCCAGGGAGCAGAAGCAGGCACTCATGCCAGAGGAGACTTACGTGGTTCAATATATCTGCATGCATCTTGGTCACAAAGCGCGACTGGAGAATGACCGGGCTTCGTACGCCCGAGACAAGAGAGAGGGGGATTTGAACTCACTGGATTTCCCCGAGTTTCGACATGTCAGTTCGGAAGATGACCGAAAGACCCATCTGGCTCCAATTGTCGATTATGAGCGGAAGTGTTGCGTGGCCGGCATCGAGACCCTACGGGAGCTGCAGGCCGAACACAAGTCCCCTGGCTGCGAGGAGGTGTTGACGATGCTGGAATTCTATCTGTTTCTGACGGATATTTATAACGATGTTTATGTTATGAGGGATATCTCTTGTTCGGGCTGAGATGACGGCGCCAGGGGTTGGGTTGGACGGCTGAATTAGTTCGTGTCTAGCTGTGAATTATGGAGGGTATAACATAGATACGAGAGCTGAGTAAGCTGCACATTGTAATACGCCCATATGCCAATCCGGGACTGGTCCTCCAATGCCTATTCAAAGCTCTGGTGGGTTCCTATAGTGATTGATTAATTGTACAATACCTTAGGTACTTTGGGATGTTCGAGGATCAGCCATTGATCGTCCTGTGAAGTAACTACGTGGGGAATCTTAATCCCCCTCCACTCCACGCGAGAATCTCGGCCCAGGAGCTATTGTTAGCAAGTGGCCCAACTAACTAGCTGCAGGAGAATTATCGGGAGACATGCGAGTTTGAATCCGCCCCAAACCGCCCCTTGTCGGATGGCCGGCAACATGCACTCCGAGTCAATAATGAGGCCGCATCACGCATGTCGGCATCGAACGTTCGGGAAAATCACAAAGTACGATGCAGTACGACGGGACGGTACGGAGTATACTTCCGAGTTCCGTCCTCCCCCCTGGATGCCGGCTCAACTGCTGAACAAACTGCGATCATCCCTTTGCTGACTGCAGGCGTCGTCGATGTTTACAAATGGGGACGGACGGTGTGAGTAATAGCTGCAGTAGTGCGACTTGTGCAGAAATCAGCAGCCCATAAGATGGCCGGTTAAACCCAGGATCTCGTCGGGATAGACTTTCTGTATAGAGTTTCGACTTGTGGCACTATAGATGAGACCGAATGCTCAGCCCGGGGAGCAGCCGAAGCCGGCTCCAGTCGGTATCAATGAGGAAATAGGCTGCCGTATTCTTCGTGTCACATCTAATCACACAGAGACAGCCTATAGTATATACCATAGAAGGTGATCGTGGGCGTTGTCGAGACAGCAGCGTTCCGAGCTGGTGGAGAGAAGCCTCAAGATTCTCGCTTAGCAGCGCCAAAAAGGAGATCGTTTCAGACCATCCTGCCGATCACTAGTCGGACGGTCCGCCAAAGACTCGGGTGCTCCCGCCAGCATCATTACCTCGGCTTCGGCGGGCTGGCTAACTAGACTACTTAGGAGTAGTATCTGACCCTCCTCCCGTCCGAGAGTCACCACAAGCGACATGACCGATTGGTTAAGAATGGACGGCGAGTCATCCAAAGGAATTAGGTGCTGAGAACCTAGCCGTGCATGAAGAAACTCTGTTCTTATCGGCATATGGCGAGTGGATGATCTTACGGATGATCTTATCTTGCGCTGGCATACATACATACCGGTAGTTAATACACATCCATCCATAGGTATCATGGTGGCTTCGTGCTTGCTTGGCAGGAACACAGGGTCTTCAGTCATCCTCCGACATTTAGCCAGAAGTGTAGGCTGCGCATTAATGCCAAGTTGATATTATTTATCCTCAACCCTGGTCTTAATATATATCTGCAGGCGAGAGTATCCACTACTCCGAGTTGGTCCCCATAGAATCCCATCCTCGGCGAACCGTAGCTCGACAAATTGAAGGAATGCATGCACCGGTGATGCACTACCGGAGGTGATGAAAATCCAGACCCTGACGGTGGCAACTTCACCGGCCCGTGGGTGCAGCAGCGCCGATGAAGATAAAGTTGACGGATGGAGACCGGCCTCCACTTGGTAGCCTCGGTGCTTGTCCGTCCTTTCAGAATCGGCTCGCCGATCGCCTGGATGGTGCCAGTGAGGGACGGAGTAGTACAGCATTCATGAAACGACCGGTTTGAAGCCTCGTGAATGCGATGCTGTGAAGATTTTCAGTGGAGTAAGCACTAGTAATACACTAGACACTGCACGTGCTCACGTCAGATCCCTCCAGATTGACAAGACCGGCTTGACGCTCGATGATATCCACCTGTTGTCCTCTGATGCAACATCGTGTCCTGCACAGCTCTGCAAAAGACCCCATCGGAGCTAGGAGTTGAAAGACAAGGGCAGGATTAATCCATATAGGATTAAATGGCCGGTCCTCCTCGATGCAAAGAACTGTCCGTTAACCCTTTTCTCTTCCGTTGCGCGCCAGACGGCCCTTGGACTTGCTGCATTATTCCATTCCATCTTCTCCCTCGCCAAGCAGACTGCTATTGTTCAACCAGCCATGTTTGCCACCTTCAACAGCTCCATGGACAACCGGAGCAGCGCCAACTCGCCGGTCGCCCCGTCGTCGCGGCCCAAGCGGACTACGGTGGCCCGTGCCTGTGACTGGTGCCGGCTGAACCGGGTCAAATGCGACGACGGCCAACCTTGCAAGAACTGCCGGACTCGCGGAGTGCGATGCCGCAAGGGGAGCAAATCGGGCGAGCACAATAGGCCCTCCTCGTCAGCGGCGGCTTCGGAGAGGGCCCGATCGCAAGGGGCGCAAATGGAGCCGAATCAAGGGAATGCAAGGGCAGAGGAACGCGAGAAAGCAGCCACCACTTCGCGCAGGAATTCTCGTACCCCCTCGTCGTCGCCATCGTCGCCATCGCCGTCTCAGTGGCGCTGGCCCGGTGCTTGGATTGTGGACTCGGTGCATACGAACAGTGAACCGCGGTATTACGGCCCCAGCTCCTTTCTCCATTTCACCAACCGGTTGCGCATCTATCTCGACGAGTCACTCGGTCAACCACAGCTGGGAAATGCGCTGCTGTCATTTACCTGCAGTCGGGTCTCGTCCCCGTCTCCCAACGCCATGGATGATGCCGACTTGACGGAAGGCACTTTGACGCGCCAGCAAGAGGAGTACCTGCTCAGTCTGTACTGGCAGTCCTACCATACCATCATCCCCATTGTGGATGCAGACGACTTTTGCGCCCACTATCGTTCCCTCTGGGAGCCGGGTCAGGGCGCCACTCGGCGACCATCGGCCTTGGTGGATATCGTCCTGGCCCTCTGTATGCAATACAGCGCCGCCCTGATGGCGTCGGGAGATATCGAGCTCATGGATCTCGAGTCCAACGATACCAACGCCTCGGGCCATTGGCTATACCAGAGATGTCAGCGGCTGCTCTTGAAAGACCAGGATACGCTGTCCCTGGCGACGTTGCAGACTTACATTCACTCCGCGGTCTATCTGATGAACGCCTCATGCCTGAACGCCTCGCACCGTGTCCTCAGTATCGCCATCCATACCGCCACTAGTTTGGGTCTGCCACACAGCCCCGAAGGACATCCCCGGGGCCCTCAGCATGCCCTCCGACAGCGTATATGGTGGACGCTCTTCTTTCTGGACTCTAAGATGAGCTTCGAGCTGGGTCAGCCGTACCTAATGCCGGAATACCACGGCACAGTCGATCTGTCTGGGTCCCTGGAACTCCGGATTATCGAGAATTGCCGCTCCGTCTCCACCTTTGGGGATATCACCTGGCTCCGCTACCACGACGAGTGCCTCAAGCTTACGTCGAAGGTGCGCCATATCTCCAACGTGGCATTCGAAAAGAGTAGTGAGGCCATGTCTCGCCACAGCGGAACATCCATATACGAGAACCCCAGTGCCCTTGAGAAAGGCGTCTCATATCTGCACAAGTCCATGGAGGCATTGCAGGCTTGGTCCCGGGAGGTTCCAACGTCGCTCAAACTGGCACGCAAAGGAAACGTCAGTCCCTTCTCCACTGCACGCTGTCCGCTGGAGAATGATGTCTATGCCCCCCTCTGGCTGCAACGGCAGCGGGTCCTCCTGGAACTGCTCTATCACAACCTCGTGATGGGATTATATCGTCCGTATATTAGAGTCGCCGATCAATCAGCAGTGACCTCCCATGCCATCGGGCCGACCGCGTCGCATACGTCCGACAGCAGCTCACTCTGCGCCCTGAACCATGCCATGGCGACCATCAACATCGTCTACCAGGTGCTCACAGAGACAGATATCCTGAACTCGTGGAATCGAGCCTTTCAATATACATGGGATGCCACCCTGACGGTCCTCGGATTTCGCTTAGTACACCCGGGGTGCCCTCACTCGTTCTCTGCTCGACGAGCCACGGCCATTGCCAATGAATCGTTCAAGATCTTCTCTCAATATGGATATTCAGGGGCCGCGCAGGCAATGACAGTGACCAGAGAGCTCGATCGCTCGATCGATCTGTTAGTGCAGTCCCTACGCAGCAGTTTACAACCGAGTCAAGGGCCGTCTCCAGGGAGCCTGGATGACGGACAAAATCTCGCCACCCCGCCACAAGTGTCGTTCTTATCGCAACCATCTCAGAAGCAGCCGATCCTGGTATCGCAGCCCATGCAAGGATCAAATTCTCTGCAACTCTTCCAGCAGGCTCTGGACAATCTACCGCAGCCGTTCAGTCTTCCGCCGGGCAGCACGTCACCCGAAAGCACCCATAAGTCGCCTGAGATCCAGCCGCCGTTTTTCTTGAACGAACACCCGGCGATCATACCCATGACCTCGCCTACAGACCTGATGGAGGGCATGATCGACCAATCGTGGGTTCACAATGACTGGGAGACGGGAATGATGCCATGAATAGGGAGATGAAGGAAATACAGTGAGGGATACCCTGTATATGAGCCATGTTCAACATCTAGATATCTGAGTTATTCTTATACGGCAATTGAGTCTTACAGCTGAAATTACTTACATAGAGGAATGCTTCTGCATCTCAATCTTCCACCCAACTCAGTATATCTATCTGAATCGACTCATCAATCATACTTGGCAAAAACAGTCTGCGCCTGCTCCAATTCCCTGAGAATAGTCTGTCTTCTCTCCTCCCCCCGGACCGTGACGATCGCGTCGTAGTCCTTTACACAATGCATGAATCCCTGGCTGCTCCCAGTCTCCGCGCTCGCATCATTCTTCCCGGCGGGGTTGTTCTTGAACTCAAACGCCCACAGCAGCTTCGCCACGGCGATAAACAGATTCCGTTCCGCAAGGTGGATGCCGGGACAGATACGACGGCCTGCGCCATAGCCGAAGTGGTCTCGCGCCGCACCGTCTGCGAGTGCGGCATAGTGAGGCGCCAGCTCCGGAAAGTTGGCATAGCGTTCCGGAATGAAGGCGTCGGGATTTTCGAATCGGTCCGGGTCCATGTGCATGCCCCACACGTTGAGGATCACGGTAGAGTGCTTCGGGAGATGCATCCCATTGTACGAGTCGTCTGTGGCTAGCCCATGGACGACCCCCAGTGGCAGGACTGGCCGCCAGCGGTGCGCCTCTTTGATCATCATATTGATGTAAGGCAGCTTGCGGAAGTCGGACCAGGCCGGGGACCGATCCGTGCCGATCACAGAGTCGATTTCAGCGTGTGCTCTACACGGGTCTATATCAGTAACGGAAATGGGATATGGAAATTGGGGACATACTTCTTCTGAACCTCAGGGTATTGAGTCATCGCCTGCACAATGGCCAAGATCAGTGACGAAGATGTATCTGATCCTCCCTCCATCAATGTGCCTCCGAGGAATGCTAGTTGGTGCTCGTCGAATCGGTACTTGTCTTTCTTGTCCAGCACCCGGTCCATGAGGGAGTCCTTGTAGATGCCCGCCTTTCGTCGGTTCTCGATGACATGCAGCACCTCCGTGTACAGACCCGTCATCAGGTCGCCCACCTCGGTCGCCCGTCGCCGCCAGTAGCCCATGAATCTCTCAGGGATCCATTGGAGGAGTGGCCAGGAGTCAACCGGAGGCGTGGCGCCGGTCTCGAGCACCAGAGACCACTTCTCCATGAGGCTGTACAGCCGGGTCATGTATTCGTCATTGACGCTCTTGGCGCGGATTCCGAAGACTGCATATCCAGCTCAGCAGCTGCAGATGGCGAGGAGCTAGAAAAAGGGATGAACGCAACGTACCTAAAGACATGGTAATGCTGTTGCTGTACCGCTTAGGATGCTTCATATGGTTCTCTGGGTCAACCAGAAAATCATGCAGCATCTGGGCGGCCTCCGCCTCCTGGACCTTCCAGTGCTCCTTCTCGCACTGGGATTCCATGAGGTACTGGTGGATGAGCTTGCGCATTGTCCGCCATGTCTCGCCATATTGCATCATGAGGATGTGGTTGCCGCGAGTGATGAGATCGGCTACCTTGGACGGGGGGCGGTGGCTGAAGTTGGTGCTTTTCTTGTCAACCAGCTCCTTCATGATCTTCCAGTCCGTCAAAACGATGGTGGTGTTCCGGAAGCGTTTCAGAGAAAAGATACCGCCGTATTGCTTGGCCCATTTGGACATCCTGCACAAAGAGAGCATGGTTAGACGCGATTCACGCACGAAAGATGCGGTGCCTTGCATACAGGAAGTGGCTATCAGCTTTCGGAATCTCGTGTTCATTTCCCAGCACGAGTCGAGTCGGAGGGCCTGCAATTTTTTCTGCTGTTTCAGCCAGTGCGTTTGGTCTGTATTCTGGGGCCCATGAGCTAACCTGGCGGAAGACCGCGTTCCCGACGTCCCACCTGGAACAAGGACACGAGAAGTGAGACGAGCAGAAGACTTGCGCTTATGGTCAAGGATACGAGGGCCTTGTTGGTGGACCACAGGTCCAGAATGGGAAGAGTTGCCATGTCTATTGTGGCTTAATTCAGCAGCACGATCAGTCTTGCAAAGAGAAAGTACAGTATGAATGAGCAGAGAAACATGCCCAGATGTATACATGTATGCATATATATTGCCCTCAGCGATTGTAAGCACTACATAAGCATTACAATCCGAGTTGTATGGTAGCCAACTTGGGTCTCTCGGATAATATTCCGACAGAAATCCCGATATGAACGACTGGTCCAGGCTCCTAAGGATGTACACTTGCCCCTCCTTATCCTTGTTCTTGGTAAAGGTGGCCTGCGTCTTCCCCGCTCGTCCGCGGTGGTGCATTTCCCTAAGGAGACCTCCGTCTCATTTACCTCTTTAGGCGTCTCCGATGTATACGAAGTGGCCAGTTGCGTCAAACTCGTGTTGTTATGCAAGCAGAAACCGGGCATTCGGATTAAAAATCCCCCCTTCATTGGCAGAGCGACTGCAGAACTAAGGGTCTCGATAGATAGGCTACAGTGGGGTGATAGAATCTTATCGATGCCTGACTGTGGGAGGACTTGGTACCTGCGTTCTCGCGTGGGCAAGTAGTCTAGCTATGCTCTCCTAGTATATCCTGCATGTTAACTGTGGATATGGAGTGTTCAGTGGCCACAGTAGCACCATGGTAGGATACTCCAAGCAGAATTTCTGGCACTATTAACCTAGACTTAAGTACATTGAATCCACATATCCTACTCGAGGGTAGTATATTCTCGAAGGCATACACACACTCAATCCATTTGGCTATATAGAACCAGATTCGTATATCATCGCATATCACAGTAAGCAGACAAAAGGAACAAGCAGACAAGCAGCACATAAGATAATAACAGCCCTTCACCCCTTAGGAGCGCTTTCGGAGCTCCTCCCCATTCTCCTTCACCTCGACTGCCACACCGGTAGCGGTGCCATTCGCCAATTTCGCATGTCCATTCGTAGCTCCATTGGGCCTTCTTCCGTCGGTTCTCCTCGGTTATGTCAGTCACCAGCAGCTCGTAGTCCGCGTTCTGGGCCTTGGGGCGCGAGGACAGCTCCACCTGCTCGTCCCAGGACTTCTTGTTCGCGTATGAGTCGTTCACCAGCCGACGCGTCCAGGGATTAGCCTTCATCTTGGTTACGGCAAAGTCCCAGTCGGTAGTGTACTCCCGGAAAAACGGCTTGTAGCCAAGCAAGCCGCCAATCCAGCGGCCGATCACCACGCACATCCAGTACCCGATGAAGCGGCGGAATGGCAGCCAGGCGGGCCCGGGCGTGTAGTGGTCACCCGCATCGTGGATCTAAATAGATTGGTTAGCAAGCGAGAGCTGAAAGTAGAGAAAATCTGGGCTTACGCAAAGGGTCTGAATAAAATCCAAGCCGCCCTGGTACAGCAACGCGTCATGCCAATATCCATACCAGTTCTCGAAGAAGACTCTGTCCAGCTGGTAGTCCACGCCGGAATCCGAGGCGCTCAGAATCACCGTCATTCTCTCGCGAGAATCCGGATGGATGAAGAACCGGTGGATGTTGCCGGCTTTGCATGAGATCTCTTCGTCGTCGGGGGTCAGCATCGTCTGCTTGCCGTTCACTTCCACAACACAGATACCCTCTTCGACCTTGAAGTATTCTGTCTGCCACTGGTGGAAGTGCATCGGCGGACCATCCGGACGGTGGTCGCTCTCGATCAGCTTGCGTAGATTCTCCGGGATCGGACCCTCAACGCTGTGGCGGTAGGTTTGTCGCATCATGAAACTCCGCCCCGGAGGGGGAGGGAGGAATTCGCAGGTGAGCAGACCGCCGAATCTAGCGCATTGTTCATTAGTTGATCTGTTAACTAAGGAATTGCACGGTTGTCTTTCTATGCCCACTTTCTGATCACCGTCTGCCCAGCAGACACGTGAAACGGTACGAACGGCGAGAAGCTCGGCCACTTGAACAGTTCACCCATTTTGACAATGTCTTCGTGGTCAATCGTCGAAGTTGGAATACTTTGCGCGCCTTTAGGGCTTCACGGTCGAAGGTAGGTTGATGTATATACCGGTCGTCCTCTGTTCGAGAACGAACAAGGTCCCAAAGAGTCCAGAACGTGGCAGAGCTATACCATCCATGACCCATAGAGGACGAAGACATATAGTAGGCCGGATGGCACCACCCCGAAGGATGGCCTAAGCACGTAGCGTGTCCATGGGCTCAGCCACAACATCCACCTCGCGTGCATACGCCTATCTCTCCCCTTAGTGATCGGATGTCTAAAAGGAGCAGTGGATTTCGAGATCTAATCTACACGCATCGGACTACTCAAAGGAGTCATACTATGGAGCACACGTAGCGCGATAGAAACATAGATAAGATGGAGAGGGCGGGGATAAATTCTAGACCTGCAGATTCTGAGCCCCAATTACCCAAAAAGGCAAAAGACCCTGCACATTGACCTAAGCGGATGATAGTTATGCTCCGTGAATATACGGAATAGTAGAATCTGACAAGCAGATTGGCACCTCCAACTCTACCAATAACGATGGACGGAGCATACCACGGCACACGCAAGAGGCTGTCGCTAGGGGGAGCTACTGCACGGTGTCCCTTGGTCTCAAAGCGCTAGGGGAAACGGCGCGAAACAGATCCACAGTTCCCACTGTGACAGACTGTCTTCGGCTATCATTCTCTAACCGCGAATGAGGACCCATAGCGAGACCACCATTCCAAGAATACCAAGAATGCCAATTCTCACCATCGCTGACGCCGAGACTTCCACACTTGCTTGATGCGACTTTGCAACGTTTTAGCGCCAGAAGCCATCACAGATTAATCATTCCTTTTACCTAAAGGGGTTCTGTGGTGCATGGCTCCGAGAGACAGGCGCCAATTCCTGGCGCTAGTCTCCTATCTGCACGTCCCGGGATGATTCCGTGGGACTGGATGCCCGAATTGTTCGCGGGATGCAAGTGTTGACGAAGATCCACCAAGACTTGTTTGCACATGGCAGGTGCACTGGAAATTCTGATTCGAAACACTATCCACCATACCTCGCGTGGGACTGCTGAAGATGGTGATCAAGCGAATCAAGACAGAAGGAGTCAAATCCCTTGCGATATTCAGAAAACTGAAGTAATATCAGCGTGCATCATATACCGCCGAGTATAAGATGTAGAGGCGACGCCAAAGATTTTGCGGACTGGCAATCAAAGAAATTCCCTATCATACCATCTCTCCTCTTCAGGCATTATAGAATTCTCTTCTCTATCAGTTGATGCTCCATTGACAAAATCTTTTACCGGCTTCTCTCGCATAGGCAGCCAATATCAGCAAGAGCAGCCATGGAGGTACATGGAGATGAAGTGTTGTCAGTCGACTCTGGCGTCTCAACTCCCCCGTCGACAGGAAGTGGATTTCGGAGGCCACTAGAGACCCCCGGAACAGAAATCGGGAATCTCAATCTTGTGGGTCTTGCTAGCTCCCCCACCGTTCTATGCACTGTATCTGACCTTTGGGAACCATTCAGAACCCTCAGAATGAGGTTGCCGTTGTTGGAATGGCCTGCCGGCTTGCCGGGGGCAATAATTCTCCGGAAGAACTGTGGCAGTCCATTCTAAACAGGAAGGATGCCTCTGGCGAGATCCCAAGCATGCGCTGGGAGCCGTATTACCGTCGGGATATTCGCAACCCCAAGATCCTAGATCAAACGACAAAGCGCGGCTACTTCTTGGACCACGTCGAGAATTTTGATGCCGCGTTCTTTGGCGTTTCCCCCAAAGAGGCCGAGCAGATGGACCCCCAGCAGCGGTTGTCACTTGAGGTGACTTGGGAGGCCCTGGAAGACGCAGGAATCCCACCGCAGAGTTTGTCCGGCTCAGAAACAGCCGTGTTTATGGGAGTCAATTCGGATGATTATTCCAAGCTCTTACTGGAAGATATTCCGAACGTGGAGGCCTGGATGGGCATCGGCACTGCGTACTGCGGAGTCCCGAACCGCATCTCCTACCACCTGAACCTCATGGGACCCAGCACTGCCGTTGATGCCGCCTGTGCCTCCTCTCTCGTTGCCATCCATCACGGACGACAAGCCATCCTGCAAGGGGAGAGCGAAGTCGCTATTGTCGGAGGAGTCAACGCCCTCTGCGGGCCAGGACTGACTCGCGTACTCGACAAGGCAGGAGCGACCTCCACGGAAGGTCGCTGTCTCTCTTTCGACGAAGATGCGAAGGGCTACGGCCGTGGTGAAGGAGCTGCGGTGGTGATCTTGAAACGGCTGTCCACCGCCATCCGGGACGGAGACCACATTCGCGCCATCATCAAGGGCAGTGCCGTAGCACAGGATGGCAAAACCAACGGCATCATGGCTCCCAACGCCAAGGCACAAGAGCTTGTGGCGTGGAATGCGCTTCGGACAGCCGGAGTCGACCCTCTGACGGTTGGGTATGTGGAAGCTCACGCAACGTCAACCCCTCTTGGCGATCCTACCGAGGTCAGCGCCGTCTCAGCAGTCTACGGCAAAGGCAGACCGGAAGGGAATCCTTGCTTCATTGGCTCTGTCAAACCCAACGTGGGCCATTTGGAAGCGGGCGCTGGCGCCGTCGGTTTCATCAAAGCAGTCATGGCAGTTGAAAAGGCCATTTTCCCCCCACAAACCAACCTGAAGAGACTCAATTCTCGCATTGACTGGGGCCAAGCCGGAGTGAAGGTCGTCCAGGAGACACTGGAATGGCCTGGCAATGAGGATGACGTCCGCCGAGCCGGTGTTTGCTCTTACGGATATGGTGGTACGGTCTCCCATGCAATCATCGAGGAGTTTGCGCAACAGCTCCAGCGGCCGACTACCAACACAACCGATGAAGACCCTCTGCCTCGGATTCTTCTCCTGTCGGCACCTCAAGAGAGACGCCTTGCTTTGCAGGCACGGACACAGGCCTCCTGGATTGCCGCGGAGGGCAGAAATAGAACCCTGGAGTCGATTGCAACCACCTTGAGCACTCGTCGTGGGCACCATGACTACCGGGCTGCCATCATCGCAGAGAACCATGATGACGCTGTTCAGAAACTGTCTGACATTGTCAATGGTAAAGCAGCCGAATGGACGACGTCGAGTCGTGTTCTCGATGCCAGTTGCTCCAAGGACGTGGTGTGGGTTTTCTCCGGTCATGGCGCACAATGGACTGCAATGGCTACGGATCTCCTCAAAGACATTGTGTTCTATCAAACAATCAGCCGTCTGGACCCGATTGTGGAGCGCGAAATGGGCTTCTCGGCATTGCATTCCCTTGCAAGTGGCGATTTCGAATCGTCCATCAAGGTGCAAGTGCTCACCTATCTCGTACAGGTGGGACTGGCTGCCATCTTGCGCTCGAAGGGATTGGAGCCCCAGGCTGTCATCGGTCATTCAGTTGGCGAAATTGCCGCCTCAGTCGCGGCTGGCTGTCTGACTGCAGAAGAAGGCGCCCTGATTGTCACCCGCAGAGCAAACCTCTATCGGCGTGTGATGGGCGCGGGCGCAATGGTTCTCGTCAACATTCCATTTGTCGACATGGAGAAAGAGCTTCAAGGCCGGACGGACCTCGTGGCCGCCATTGACTCCTCGCCATCTTCATGTGTTGTTTCCGGTGCCACTGAGGCTGTCCTGGCACTCGTGGAAGACCTCAAGTCTCGTGGTGTCAACGCTTTCCGGGTCAAGACGGATATTCCCTTCCACCACCCGATGCTGGATCAACTGTCCGAGCCCTTGCGAGAGGCCATGGCAGGGTCCCTGTCGCCACGCAAGCCCAGAGTCCGTCTTTACTCGACGTCGGCAGAAGACCCACGCAGTATGGTTGCTCGGGATATATATTACTGGACCAGCAACATGGTCAACCCGGTCCGGTTGACGGCCGCAGTGCAGGCAGCAGTGGACGATGGCCTGCGATTGTTCCTTGAAGTCTCTTCTCATCCCATTGTGTCCCACTCTGTCCGAGAGACCATGTTGGACCTGGGTGTGGAGGACTTCACCGTGACCAACACCATGGCTCGCAATAAGCCTGCCGACAAGACCATTCTGTCCAGCATTGCGCAGCTTCACTGTCGGGGCGCCGTCGTCAATTGGAAGAAGCAGCTGCCGGGCCCTTGGGCGCTGGATGTGCCCTTGACGACCTGGGACCACAAGCCCTACTGGCGGCATATTCACACTGGCCCTATCAGTGCCTCGACTTTGCACGATGTGGACAAACACACGCTGTTGGGTCAGCGCGTTCCCGTTGCGGGAGAAACAACTATGGTGTTCACCACCCAGATGGATGACCAGACCAAGCCTTTCCCAGGAAGCCATCCACTGCACGGCTCTGAGATTGTTCCGGCTGCTGCCCTTGTCAACACTTTCCTGCATGCCACCGGGGCTACCACCCTTTCCAACATTACCCTTCGCGTGCCAGTGGCCATCAGCCAGCCGCGCGACATCCAGGTGGTGGTGTCACAGAATCAAATCAAGATCTGCTCCCGTCTCACTCAGAAGGCGGGTTCTGGGGCAGACGAAGGTTCCTGGCTGACACACACTACGGGTCAGTGGGAGGCTGGTGGAAGCAAGAACGCCCCGGCGCAACTCGATATTGCTGCTATCAAGGCTCGTCTCGCTAATAACAAATTGGCGGACAACTTCTCCATCGACTATTTGGACAAGGTTGGCGTTTCAGCAATGGGCTTTCCTTGGGCAGTTACAGAGCACTACGGCACCCTGCAGGAGATGATCGCTCGCGTTGATGTCGCGCCAGACGTCCCCGCGACCAGTCCACTCCCCTGGGATGCTGCCTCTTGGGCCCCGATCCTCGATGCGGCCACCTCAGTGGGATCCACTCTCTTTTTCGATCAGCCTCGCCTGCGCATGCCGGCTCACATTCACGGGGTTCAAGTCTACACCACGCAGCCGCCTCTCAAGGTGGGTTACCTGTACGTGGAAAAGGCTGGCGATCGGGATCTGGCGGTGCATGTCAGTGTCTGCGACGAGCTCGGAACCGTCTTAGCTCGATTCGAATCCATGCGCTTTTCCGAGATCGAAGGCACGCCGGGCAGTAACGGCAGCGAGGAGAGTCTTGTCCATCAGCTCGCATGGCCTCCCGCGATCTACAGCGAGAAGCCGCTGACAATCAACAATGTCGTCCTCGTTTCCCGGGATAAGAACGTCGCAGATCTCTACTGTGGGTCCTTGAAAGATCGTGTGTCATCTATCACGGTGCTGGATGCTGCTGCCGACCTGCTTTCCCTTTCGCAGGATTCCAGCAGTGTCTTGCAAGCAAAAGATACAGCGGTGGTGTACGTGCCCGGTCCCCTCCACAGCGCGGATTCTATCCCGACTGCGGCCCATTCTTTCCTCATGGAATTGCTCCTCCTGGTCAAAATCATTGTCAATGGCTCTTTGCCCACCAAGGTCTTTGTCCTTACGGACCGCGTCTGCGAGAGTGAGTCTGCTACGGCTCTCGCTCAGTCTCCGATCCACGGTGTCTCCCGTATCATTGCTGCGGAGCACCCAGATCAATGGGGCGGACTGATTGACGTCGAAACGCCGGGCCAGTTCCCACTCGAGACGATGAAGTATGTGCAGGAGGCGGACAACATCCGCATCTCGGATGGCATACCCAGAATTGCTCGTCTGCGCCCGCTTCCTCGCGACAAGCTCCTACCGCCTAGCAAGCAGACTTCCCTGCTCCCCCGACCCGAAAGTACCTACTTGATTACGGGTGGACTGGGCGCTCTGGGGTTGGAGGTCGCACAGTTCCTGGTGGAAAAGGGTGCTCGTCGATTGATCCTCGTTTCTCGGCGTGCCTTGCCTCCGCGCCGGGAGTGGGCAGACATCCTTGCTGATGCATCATCCTCGCTGGCGCCGGCGCTGGAGACAATCCAGGCCCTTGAAGCACAGGGAGCCACTGTCCACACTCTTGCAGTGGACATTTCCTCTCCTGACGCAGCGCCTCAACTGGCTGTCGCCATTGATTCTCTGTCGCTACCCCCAGTCCGCGGCGTGGTCCACGCAGCAGGCGTTCTGGACAGCCAGCTGGTCCTCTCCGCCACGTCAGACTCTGTCGAGCGCGTGCTGGCGCCCAAGATCACCGGAGCGCTGGTCCTTGGCACCGTCTTCCCCCCCAAGGCCCTCGATTTCTTCATGCTATTCTCCTCGTGCGGACAGCTACTAGGCTTCCCGGGTCAAGCATCCTACGCGTCCGGAAACGCGTTCCTTGATGCATTCGCAACCTCGCGCCGACACCAAGGAGACAACGCTGTCGCCGTGCAGTGGACCAGCTGGCGCTCCCTCGGCATGGCAGCCAGTACCGACTTCATCAACGCTGAGCTGGCCAGCAAGGGCATCACTGACATCACGCGCGACGAGGGATTCCGCGCATGGATGCATATTTCCAAATATGATATCGACCAGGCCGCGGTCTTGCGCAGTCTGGCCTTCGAGGCCGATGAACCCCTCCCCACCCCTATCCTTACGGATATTGCCGTCCGCAAGGCTGGCTCCGCCTCCTCCGCGGATGCTCCCTCTGCTGCACCGAAAGAGACGAACGAAATGCCGGAATCGATCCCGGAGCGTCGTACCTGGTTGGATGAGCGAATCCGTGATTGTGTGGCCCGCGTGCTTCAGCTGGGGAGCAGCGACGAGGTTGATTCCAAGGCCGCTCTGAGTGACCTGGGAGTCGACAGTGTCATGACCGTTAGCTTGAGAGGTCAGCTGCAGAAGACGTTGGGGGTCAAGGTGCCACCCACACTGACCTGGAGTTGCCCGACGGTGTCACATCTGGTGGGATGGTTTTTGGAAAAGATGGGAAATTGAGTAGAGCTGACGGTTTCTCCTTATGTGTTCTTCATTTGATATAGATTTGTTGTTTTTGTCTCTGCTTTCCCCCTTTGCGTGTTCCCCTGAATCAATTTGCCAAGACTGTTATGCCAACTGAACCTGACGAGATTGTATATGTCACTGGAATTAATTTGTATGAGACCATTAGCAATATACGAGTCATGTTTTTGGATATATATATACTCTCCTTGCGCGAAAGGAGGCAGGAATGAAGCTGGAGAAGAGGCGATGAATTGGATAGGCCTTCTGCAGACGCCTCTGGAGCAGGGGATGCGCTAGGCCTAAACGGGCAGGCTCACGGCCTGAGGCTCCTGCGTTCCCAATTGTTCCCCCATCAAGCCAAGGGTGTTGGGGACGGAGAGCTTTGTCTTGTGCAATAAAGAATAGTCGATTTAGTTTCTTGAACATGCGCATACCGCAGTATTGTAGAAATTGGCTCGTCAATTGATATAATTCGGACGTATCTCAACATCATCCGTAGAGCATCGTGTGTGTTATATATATCATACCAACGTGAATACCATCAAGAAGACATAGGTTCTAGTTACTGAGATAGTCGTATTAAACAGCTCGCATCAACTATGCGTATGCTTCGCTAAATACTGTAGCATGCAAAGATATCACACTCACTGAAAGTTAATCTGAGATGAGAACTGCAAGAGGCAGTTTTCACCGAGTCAGGCTGTCCTATCTTCTGGTGCCTGGACAACTTCCCACTGCTACGTTACATTCATCGACTAAGGCGTGGACAGTCTAGTACATTATCTGTAAGCTTCTTCAGGCAGTACATGTGACGTGTGCCAGAGATAGTCTCGGATCCAGTATAAAACATCGTGACAATGAACAAGATCATGTAAAACCGGAGCTTGCTTATAATAACCTGACAGGATAAACACTTATATTTGCACTCCCAAGCCCGGAGTGTACGCTCCAGTACAGCAGTAGCCCATCACCTCAGAAAGCCCCATAAGTTCACTTACTCAAGATATCCTCTGCAATCAATTCGGCAAATGCATCTAAATAGTGGAGTTAGCCACACTCATCGAACAGCCTTAGGGCATCTTACAGATGGAGCTCATCGGATGGCCCGGAGGGAGATACGGCAAAGCACTCGCATCCACGACTCTCAGGTTCGAAACACCGTATACCTTGGCGCGAGTATCGACGACGGCGTCCGGATTCGAAGAATTGCCCATTGCACCTAGAAATGTTTGATCAGCCCACAGCCTGCTGCGTGTAGTGGTTCGGTGGAAAGCCATACATGTTGAGCTGGCGTGATACCCATTCACGGCGTTGTTCCTCACCCACTCCAAGATCTCAGCGTCGCTTACGACTTCTGGACCAGGCAGAACCTCCTTGACGCGGACTCCAGTTGCCTCTGCAATCTGTCTCAGTCGCTTGATAGCCCCGACAGCCAGATCGGCATCCGCAGGGTGGCTTAAAGCATTGATGTTGATGATGGGTGCGTCATGGGGATCGGCGCTGCGCAGCTTCACATACCCTCGAGAGCTGGTGCTCTGGACGGCAGCGGTGACGGAGGCAAAGTGATTTGCAAGCGGATCGGATGCGGGGTTGGAGCCAGGAGCCAGGGCCACATATTCCACTTCGGGGAAATCATCTGGGAAACTGGCCAGGGTTTCATTTGTCGAGTTGGAAAAGCTGACCCGGTTGGGGAGTTTTTCCCATCCTATACATTACCATCATCCAGTTAGCAAGGCCGACACCCCTTTAAACAATGGCGTGTGGAGCAGGTAACTCACCAACAACGCCACCGCCAATGCCCGTAAGTGGACCGGTCTGCTGGTTGAGATACGATTCGACGGCTTCCGCGAGCAGTTCGGGGTCGACCAGAACCCCTGAATTGGTGGTGATATTCATCTCATGACTGGTGAAGATGAAGAGGTGATCCTAGTGGTGATTTTAGTCTAGCGCTGAGAATGAGTCTCCAAACAACTTACCCACAAGTTCTGCCCAACGCCCGCCAGATCAGAGATTACAGGAATTCCAAACTTCTCGAGGCTATCTGCTTGACCAATTCCTGAGAGGAGAAGAAGTTGAGGGGAATGGAACTGTTTGATACTCCTTTAGCTGAGAAGTCTGTCGGGGCCTCGGTTTGTTCACATACCACTCCAGCCGACAAAATGACTTCCTTCTTCGCAGAGATGGTGTACTCTGCTCCGTTAGTCTCCACAAGGACCCCATTTGCAGTCTTGTTGGTATCAAAAAGGATCTTCTTCGCTAAAGTCCGCAGATAAAGGGTCATGGCAGTGGTATCCAGAGCTTCCTGGAGGAACGCTGCCTCGGAGGAGCTTCTTGTTTGGTCCGCAGGGTTGATCACAAATGTAGTCGGTGCGAAGCCATCTAGATGCCCGCTGTTAAGGCCTTTGATAGGTTTGAGCCCTGACTTGGTGAAAGCCGTCTCCATGAAGTCATCACAGGGGGCTCGGTAATTGGGGAACGAGACTTGGAGAGGACCGCCCTCTGGGCTGTAGACGGAGGCATCATAAGGATAAGTGGCGGCATCCTTAGGCTTGGTAAAGTCCACACTCTTCTTCAGATAAGGAAGTAGTTTGTCCCACGTGTAGGTGTCGTCGTCGACAAGCTCCGCCCACCGCTGATAAGAACCCTTTGTAGCCCTAACCATCTCCGTAAGCAAAGTGACCAACCATGGATTGATGAATAGGAAGATCCTACCTGTGGAAGATCATGTCGTTCAGAGCAGAGCTTGGAAGTCAATCGGTTAGTTTCCTCCCAACGAAACATCCAGGTGTGTTGACCAACCTCCCCCCAAGGGTCTTGCCAGCGGAGTAATGAATTTGACGGTTGTTGAGGCCCTTGGAATCTGTCAGTTAAGGAATACGCACGATGAATCAGAGGTGTCCTTACGTCCTGCGGCTCTGTGATCAATCCCCAATCCACCAACACAGGGCTCGGCGTCAGGTCATTGAATGACAAGTAGTTAGCTCCATATCCAGGTACCTGGCTGATGTTTCCATTGTCGATTTCATAGAAGCTTCCAGCCTCAATCACTGCAACAGAGACATTCGGCTGTGCGGCCAGTCGGGCCGCAACGGTCAAGCCTGCAGTGCCTCCTCCAACAATGACATAGTCATACGAGGCATTCTTTGCAAGAATCCCGAAAGAGGTACCAAACAGCTTCGTCTGGCCTTTGATGTTGGTGGCGCCAAAAGCTGCAAAGGCGCCACCAAATAGGCCCGAGACAGCAATGTATGTGGGAAACACGCGCATTCTGTTCAATTGACGACTGAATGAGTCCCAGTATGGAGAACTCGTCTTTCCCTTGATTATTCGCCCATGGGCATTCTCGAGGGCGCGGGCGGCCTTTTATGCCTCAGACAAACGGCGCGGCGCGGACTTTGCACCTTTCTTTTTCTCACCTAAATCCATTCCACGAAACGGCCAAGACAGCCTTTCAGCCTAGCTCCTTCGCTTCGTCCTCTGAGGAGCCAAGAACGCAAGCCACTTTGTTAGGCCGGAATTAGCTGGTGATTGCCATAATCTTACAAAAGAGGGCACACTCCGACCACATTGCTGATGAGCTCGGCGGATCTCCGCGGTATGACCACTAAAGAGGCTACTCACATCATCATAACAATAGTATACCTAGTCCCCGGATGGCCGTGTATTCCGCAAGGTCATGTTGACGGGTTGTGTTTTTGGGATGGAGAGGGCCAACAGTGGATTCTTTACAAGAGATGGTGTTTGATGTGAGGGATTACTGCTCGTATTTGGCTAGTACTTATTTCGGAGGGAGAAATATTTCCAGAAGGAGTATCAGAGTTGTGGAGATTGCTTTTTCGCGGCTCGGAAGGAAACCAGGGTCTCCTTCTAGAAAGCTGCCGTCGGGGTGGGACCAGGAACAGCCTAGAGCCTATTCAGCGAACTATGGGGTTATAGCCTTGGATATAGATGCATGGACTTATAGACTAGTTACTTCGACAACAAAGTCGGGACTCTCTGGTCATCTATCGCAGCATGGTGATGGAAATACACCAACGACGTGGCAATGCATTGGTTATAAAATGACTATGTAACAAGCTTATGAAACATGGCTCGCGTTTCTGCTGCTAGATTGATATAATGAGATTATGCGATATTTGAAGACTTCTAATTAACCGGTTCCCTATGCGTTTTCTAACTTGAGCGTCGTAACGCTGCCCCCTCAAGCCCTCGGCCATCAACAACTCCGGCGATCCTTACTTGGCCCCGGCGTATCTACTATGTTGGCGGATCTTTGCGCCCCATCGGTAGAAAATATACCTATGCACATTAGCAACCCTATTGGAATGGGACGAATGAGGTACAACTTACGGAAATGGTGCCAGCAAAAGGGTGATCATGGCGAGCAGAAACCCGGCCCATTGGTATCCAAGGTTCCGAAACACTAGGTACTGTGTTAGTCCGGCCATCAAAATCATAACCGATGAGATCGAGGGTTCCAAAAACAGTGCACACTCACTTGCTTGCCCGAAGAGAGGAAAAGCCGCAGCGAACATGCTTCTTGAGAAGCTGTTTGCTGCAAGTGCACTAGCGGCGTAGAGCGGGTACGCATCAACAAGGAATGTAAAAACGCCGGAGAAGATCATGATCACACTGCAGGGTATCCCGTTAGCCTAAGTCGGTCAGCCAGAGGCCAGAACACCTAGCTCACCCAGCTCCAAAGATACCACTCCCGATGATCGGGACAATCCAATGGACAGAAGGATATCTATTGTCATCAGCAATCAGGTCTGTCAACCCGCACATCCCAGGGTTTCTCACGTCGTCCAAGCAAACCAAAGGAGGCCGATCGTGACTAGAGGAGCTCCTCCAACAGCAGGAGGGAGGCGGAATTCCGGTTCCGATGAGCCCACAGTACCGGTCTTGGCTTCGTGATTTTGGAGCAGTCTCATAAAGTTCCGATGCCAGCTGCATCATGAGTTAGTTATTGGTAATTGACCAGGAAGGGTGGCGCGTACAAAGGATTAGTGCTGATGCCGATGATCATGCCCACTGTAATCCCGAGGAAGCTCAAGCCCACCTGCCACAAGTTGAAGCCGTGATTGTCCTTGAATACAAGACTGAAAGCACCAAAGAAAAGGTACAGGACACCTAGCAACACCGAGCAGAAGAGGCAGAGGAGCAGACACATGGGCTCGAGGGTCAGAAGCAAAAAGGGCCTATAGCAGGAGCGTATTATGGTCTGTTGCAGTGTCAGTATGGCAATCCTAGGGCACTAATGAACCGACGACTCACCTGAGCTATCGACCGATCCATTTTTTCAATAGGAGCGTAATATCTATCATCCCCCGTCTCCTTTCGTAGCCGTTGCGCTTCTCGCCGGAGAAGAACCGGGTGATACGTCTCTGGAACCAGAAGACTGATGGAGACCCATTGAGCAAAGGCCCATATCAGAAGAATATAGAAAGACCATCGCCTAGAATATACATTAGCACTACACGACATATCACATAGCTGGAACGTTGTGGACTCACCAATCCAGGTAGGAGTTGATAAAGTTTCCTATCACAGGTCCCAATTCCGGGCCGAGGCTGCAGATTATCTATATATCAGTGTTGTTCTGCGCAGCCTGCAAGTGGTGGCTGTACTCACAAAGGACTTGCTGTATAGACCATCATCGGTGCCTGGAGCTTATTCTTCGGAAACAGATCCCCGACTGTACCACCTGCAACACTCAAGAACGCAGCCCCAGCAAACCCATTGAAGAAACGCGCCACGATCAGGGTCTCTATGTTACGGGCCACGGCACAAGGGATGATCCAGACCACGAAGAAGAACATCGACACGACGTAAACTGGCTTTCGCCCGTAGAACTGAAGAGTGTGAGCTCTCTATCGCCGCATGTCAATGACTGTGGAATCGTAGCTTACCTCACTCAGCGGGGCGAGAATCATCGGGCTCAGGCCTAGTCCTACCACGAACATACTCAGCCCCAGAGTTACGACGATTTCGCTCGCATGAAGGTCCTTCTCAACCTGTGTATAGGTCCCCGTGTAGAGCGAGCTGGTACAGGCGACACACAGACTTGTCGAGGAAACAATGGCTACAATCAGCCACTTTCTCGCGGACGACATGTGCTTAGGACTGCGCGGATCATCATCGCCCGTGAATGACACAAGAAAGTCGGTTTCGGTCTTGGGTGCTATAGATCCAACATGCGTGTCGGATCCACTCTCCAACGCGGGATCCGAGGATTGCCTGTGCGCTTGGTCGCTGGCAGAGCTCGAATGGCTGCTTCCAGCCAGCTGTGGTGCCATTACACGGTAGGTGATATTGCTCAAGATTTGCTTTCACAATGATATCGCGATCCTGGGCGTGGTGATAAACGTAAAGGCTACGAGTGAATAAAAAGGATTTAGCTTTCGGAACTCGGCCAGTGCCCTAGCTGGGGAAGATTCATCGCAGCAGCTGGCAGTTAATAATCTGTTCTTAATGGAGGTTCCAGGGTCCTTCCCCTCTCGGATTCTCCGAACAAGCGCACTGTTAGGATCTCGATCATTACCGAAAAAGGCAATCCTGAGACCATTTCCCCAAGGAGCACTCCGATATTTCCTAAAACGGTTTAGCGTGACTGGCTGGTATGTTATTGGCTAGATCAAGGACCCAACAATGACAATCTGATATGTTGACTTCGATGTTCTGGGACCCTTATCGAAACAACATGGCAATCTGTCCTTGGCATATGGCGTAAAACGCTTTCTGATGCACATGGACGGTTGAGTTTAGCCGAGAAACTCCTGGTTTTACTGGAATCGTGGGATGCGGAGGCCCCAAGGAGAAAAAGAGCAACGCCTTCGGGACCACTTTCTACTGGAGCTGCCTAGGCAAGGCACCTAGGTAGTATACATGTTGCATTGATGCAGGATTGGTCGACAGCCTTCCTAAGGAGGTGCAACTGACTCTGGGCTCATACGATACAACCTATCCCTGGTGAAAGTGCAGTGTCTTGTGTGTGACCTATAATAGAATCAGAACGCATGTCGGGCTTGCTCCCTTCAAACACTTAAGTCGACTTTTAGCAACAATGACTTTCTCTAATCGGGTTTCGGTTGCCATCATTGGAGGTGGTATCGGTGGGCTCAGCCTCGCCATCGGCCTGCTTCAGAACAAAAACCTGGATGTCGCCATCTACGAAACCGCACCCAAGTTCGCCGAAATCGGGGCCGGCGTTGCCTTGGGCCCAAATGCCCAACACGCTCTCGCCCTGATTTCCCCCGCCGCCGAGCACGCATTTCGAATCCACGCAACGACTAGTCTCTCGCCGGAATTCGAACACGTCTGGTTTGATTTCCGGAACGGCAACGCCGGGGAAAAAGACGGTGAGGTCCTCAGCAAAGTCGAGAATGAGACCGGCCAGCAAACGGTCCATCGGGCGAAATTCCTCGACGAGCTCGTTAAGCTCATTCCGCGGGAAATCGCCCACTTCGGCAAGCGACTCATCCACATCCAGAAAGATCCTGTGTCCGGGGGTGCTCAGTACAAGCTCTTCTTTGAAGATGGAACGACGGCCTCTGCCGACTGTGTCATTGGCGCTGATGGAATCCACAGTTCGGTCAGGAAGCATTTGCTCGGAGAAAGCCATCCTGCTGCCACCCCAGTGTTCACCGGAACTGTGGTTTATCGTGGCCTTATACCGATGGATGTCGCCCGCGACGCCATTGGCGAATTTGCCGATAATTCGTATATGTGGTGCGGGGACGGGGGCATGGTCATGACCTATCCCATTGATCACGGCGAGACCCTGAATGTGGTTGGAACCCGAAATGACAAGGGAAGATGGGACGGTCCCCCCTACACCAGGCCTGTGGACGAGGAAACAGTGCGGAACGATTTTATGGGCTGGGGAGAGATCCCTAGCAAAGTCATTCAGGTATAACTCAGCTGACCCTATTTACCGGCCAGACTTAGTTAACTACCATGTTGAATATATCTAGCTCCTGAAACAGCCAACGATGTGGGCCATCCTGGACCATTATCCAGCGCCCTACTACTATTCCGGCAACGTCGCGATAATGGGGGACGCCGCACATGCAACCACTCCGTTCCAGGGTGCTGGTGCGGGGCAGGCAATCGAGGATGCATTGGTCTTATCGACCCTCTTTCAGCGGGTCACCCACTCCGGACTGGTGAGGCCTGCCTTGGCCGCGTACAACAATGTCAGACTACGCCGGACTCAGAAGGTTGTCGCCACCAGTCGCGATGCACTGAGATTGTTCTGTTTCAACGACCGCTATGTGGACGGAGACGCGCAGCGCTGGAGAGAGGTGTGGAACGGCCGCATGGATTGGCTATGGGGAATGGATTTGGAGAAACAGAACAGGGATGCAGTCAACCTTTTTGCGGACATTGTTGAGAAGCAATCGTCTGCTAGGGAGACAATGCCCAAATTTGGGCCCGTCCCCTTCCCTGTGGCAACATCTACTGTTTGAATCATGTATTCGGGCGTCCACTCTCGCAAATTGTTGGCAGGGCCCATAAAGCTTCCAGAAGAGTCTTAAAGGAGCAAACAACTTCGTCTCGATACAACAAATCGGCATTTTTGTGATGCCCTTGGGGCAGTGGATCCTGAAATTTTCATTCTGTTGTATCCAATAAGGTTTCCAGAGGCCGAACTGCTAAGTTCTGTAGTCTGCCATAGCCCTCTGTAATCATTCAATCTAGATGTCCGAGCAGGCGCTCCAGTATGATATTAAGGTCTTCAAGTGCACCCCCCCAGAAATGGAGTTTATGAAGAAACACCAACACAGACAGCATATCCAATAACAAGAGCATTGCAGTCCGACCCAATCGCCGGATTCCACGTATAAAGCTGTGCGAACGTAATATCATACTCGCTCTCAATGGCCGAACATGAGTCCCCGTCGACCACCATATGGTACTTGTCGCAGTTTGCGGCCGTTCCGGTCTGCGTTGGGCCAACGCTTGTTATGCTTGTAGTTTTTGTTGTCGCTGGCCCCTTGACGCAGTACGCGTATCCAAGCCAGAGATTCGTACAGGTGGGGCCAACTAATACCATTCCGATATGTTAGTCTTTAGATTCCAGATTTCTCGATATGGAGTTGGCAAATAAGAGGGAGGGGGACGGACTGCTTGGGTTCCACTCGTATAGTTCGGTAAGAGAGACTCCGAATTCAGCCTCTATGGTCGAACAATCGTCTCCGGATTCGACGGTGAAGAACTCCTGGCATCCAGCAATTACCCCCAGTTTGAGTTGGGGCTGCGGAGGTGGTAGTGGTTGCAGAGCCAGTCGTGGCAGCGGTCGTAGTAGTAGTAGACGTTTCAGAGCCTACCCCAATGCAGACGGCGCGGCTGTCGTTATCAGTGATGTTTGCGTAAAGGGCTGCATCGCAATCGCCTGCAAGCCATGGGTTCCACGCCGTCAGTTCCGTTGCCGTGATACCGCAGTCGGACTCGATATCGTCACATTGATAGTCTAAATATGAATTAGTGTATGCTCAGCAGTATACAGTCGTGTAGTGTCCCCCCTCTTTCTTTTCTCCCCTCATTGTTCCCTGTGACATACCGCCATTCATGTAACCATAGACCTGTGTAAAACAGTTGCAGTTCGAGACTGTGGTGGACTCGGTGGCATTTATTGGCAAACACATTGGGTTGTTATCACTGCTGCTGTAGCTGCCGCTGCCGATTACTATTATTTCGGGGGTTTGCCAGATAAGTAAATGCCACACGTCAAAAGGATCATTCATATAAACAAGTGAAACTCACTGTAACTACTATTTAGGAGGGCGCAGTAGCTATAACCCGACTGCAAAGAACATGTGGTCAAATTGGTGTCGAGACTAGGGTTCCACGCTAGGAAGTCGTCGGTCGTGACATCGTACGCGTATGCGATAAATCGACAGGAATTGAGATTATATGTGGTATTATCGTAGTTCACATATGATGTGCAGCCCTTAGTGGTCCCCGGTGCAGTAGGGAGGTACCTGGGCGTGTAGATGAACCCGGGGTCGCTGGTTGCGGTGGGAATCGAAGTATCAACTGCCGGGAAACTGGCGACTGGCACGGTGATCCAGGGTGTTGTTACTGGATAGCCGGAGTAGCTGCTTATGTCGCCTACCGCGGCGATGCAATAGGCCTCGCCAAGCTCGAGGTTTGTGCAATTCGCATCGATCTCGGGGTTCAGGAAGTAGAAGTCCGTTAGAGAAATTGAATTGGCAACAGATACCAGGCTGCAGGTGTCACCTTCCACGACCTGATGGTTGTTGTATGTCACTATTGGATAGGTATGCTATAATGTTGGCGCAATGAACTTACAGTGTACCACTTTCCACACTCTGCGGTAGATCCATTGAGTGCATTTGTGGGGACTGGGGCTGCAGTAGTGATAATGCTTGGGTCAGGGGACGTAGAATTACCGGGCGTGTCTATGGTGTGGTTGAGATACCCTCCAGGTGGGCTACATATGACATCAGCACGTTTGGCTTCCAAGAGAGGTCTGGAGAAGGAAGGAACGGTCCCATACCCTATGCAAACAACATAGCCAATGTAGTTCACTGCGTTCTGACAGAGGGAATTGAAGTTCGGGTTCCATGCAAGGAATTGCGGAACAGTTACGTTGGCAAGCCCACTGACAACGCTGTCACAGGAGTCTTGCATTTGCCAAATGTAGGTTTCACACTGTGGTGGGATACACAGGGTTGAATTCAAAACGCTGGCCCAGTTCTGGCAGTAGAGATCCAGGTTGTTCATATAGAGCAGACTGTACGTGGACACATTCCAGGCTAGTGCCACTGAGTTACAGTCATCATCAGCTCCAACTGCATAGGAACCAGTGCAAGTCGGCGCAAGGGTTGCTGTCACACTTGTTGGGATGGTTGTTGCAGTCGCATTGATTGCGTACTGTGTGGGAGTGGTGTATGTGTACGCGGTGGCGTTACAGCTGGAGGTCAAGGATGCATAGTTGCTTGCAAGGACGTCATCGTAGCCAAAGGGACTAGCCAGTTCCAAGGCAAGGCCACCGAGCCAGCAGTCGGAGCACTGCTGGTCAGTGGTTAGAGTGCGGTTTGACCATGACATGATTAAAGGATCACAGTATTCGCCAGTGATACTGTCTTTTCTACAAGACAGCTGATATGTGTAAAGGTACTTGTCAACGATGAACGTAGCTGGATACGCTACCGTCTGCACCACAATGACGTCGGTGCTTAGAGTACACGCAGCCGCGATAATGGCTCTAGCGGCTTGTAGAGATGCGTAGCAACTGTCGAGACACACTGAGGTAACCTGATCTGTTGTCATCACCCCATCGCTACCAGGATAGTCAGTGATTTTTATTTTCAAGAATTCACATCTCTTTCATGCGAACCTACCTCTCAGAAACAATGCCGAGATACGGTGAGCAGGTGACATTAGTCCTCAAAGCGTCTTGACACAATATACTCAGCCCGGTATAGTTAGTAAACATATGGGTGCCGGTGAACTGCTGCGCCCATGATAGAGGCAAATGAACTGCCAAGATAGCATTCAAGACCATCCGCAATGTTGCCATTACGATTTACTGAGTCCGAAGGCTGCTGCTCAGAGGAAAGAAAACGACAGAAAAATGGAATTCAGTTGCGTGGCCAGCTGGGAGATGTGTGGTGGGCAGCACTAGTATTTAGCTAGCCTTGGTGCACCCAGGGAAATTGCACGAGACGGGAGCAAGATTGGGTTTGTTGACTCAACCGAGGGACTACCGTAACGAGGATTCCGGAGCCAGATGGAACCCCTGAGTGAACTGTCGTCTAACTGTATGGTGCGCAGTTTCGGGGTCCTCTTGAATAACACATGCCTGATGGGATCGTGATGGGGCATCGAGGTGTTTGCTCAGTCACCTTGATGTATGGATGGTGTGATGCGCTACTTCTGTGCTCAACTAGTGCCTTTAGATAGAATTTCCGGATCGTGCCGGATCCCGTAGTCAGGCACTATGGATTCGCACCCCTTCATCATTATTGACTAGGGTCCACTGGCATCAGAGAATTGGAGGAAATCAATACCGGAGTTTTCCCGAAGTATACAGAGTACAAAATGCCCGCGGACAGAACTTTCCTAAAATGTAGGCAAAGAATTCTCAAAACGCCACCAATTTAACGAGATAGACGCCATGTCTCAGATTAAAGACCAATCGCCGGCTGGGCAGAGGCTTGACCATACCAAGCCTGGCCCAACCTGCAGCTAGCAAAGCGCCAACCGAGTATACTGCCCCAAGGCTACATCCTCAGTCGGCAATGAGGGAATATAGAAGCGAGGACAACACGCCTAGGCAGACAAAACCTCATTTCCACCTTTCCTTAGGGCGATGCACTGTCGGGTGGACACGGGGGTCCTTGTATACTGAACTCTGTGTCATGCGAGTCACAGCTTGTAGATTCTCCGAATTAGTAGTACTAAGACTATGCTAGTAGGCAATTATATGAAGTTAAGTAGTAGCCGCTGTGTCCTCTTATTTCTCCTGTAGTAATTCCCGCGCTTTTCTCTGCAGTTAGTTGCGGTGAGACGGCGCTTGCATTATGGCACTGATAGATGGTTTTCCCGGACATCCGACTGGAAGGCTTTTCAGTCTGGCTCTTACAGCATTCCTGATTGTCGTTGCCTTTGCCCCCATCACCGCCGCATCCTTGCATGGACGCCTCCTGCATGACAAAAATATTGAACATCATGCTAAACATGCGAGGACTCTCCCCGAGGACAGGAGCTCCCACATTTTCGGTCGTCGAGATAGCTACTCATGCGACGCTGAGCATCCATGTACCAATGGAGCGTGCTGTGGTGCGAGCGGCTACTGTGGTTATGGCCCGACCTACTGTGGTACCGGCTGCTTGTCGAACTGTGATGCGACAGCTCAGTGTGGCCAGTATGCTGCCACACCTGGTCAAGCATGTCCCCTTAATGTCTGCTGCAGTGAGTTCGGATTTGTGAGCCTCTCTGTTCTTCTCCGCCCCTTTAAAGATGCATATTCGATTTCCGTTTAAGTATACTAACCTGCCTTAGTGTGGTACTACTAAGGACTTTTGCGGGAGTAAGTATCCCTATGTATTTACCCATTACATCTCCTGGCGACAGCTAACCTCAACCAGCCGGGTGTCAGAGCAACTGTGTCTTGGATCCCGAGCCTCCAGCTGGTGCTGCTTCAGTAGGTATTCTAGATAATAAAGTCATTGGATATTATGAATCTTGGATGGCTCGGAAAAGCTGCCATAAAGTGACTCCCACCGACCTACCGTTGGATGCGCTGACGCAGTAAGTATTGTAACACATATTGGACTCCAGCATCGATCGTACTTACCACCTTACAGTATCAACTTTGCGTTTGCGTATATCGATCCAGAATCGTACCAGATCGTGACAATGGACAGTGATACACCATCCAGCTTGTTCCAGGACACAACGAATGTAAAGTCAATCAAGTCCGATATCAAGGTCTTTGTGAGTGTGGGCGGCTGGACCTTCTCCGATAACAACACCGCGACACAGCCTGTCTACGGCGAGATTGCGGCGGATGCAACGAAGCGACAGAAATTCGCAGACAACGTTGTCCACTTTCTGCAGCAGTACGGATTTGACGGACTAGATATCGACTGGGAATACCCAGGAGCTGGTGACCGAGGCGGTAGTCCTAAAGACACAGAGAACTATGTTCTCCTTCTGAAGACCCTGCGCGAGACATTCAACGCTAGCGGAAGCAAGTTCGGTCTTACTTTCACTGCCCCTTCCTCTTACTGGTATTTGCGTTGGTTTGACCTTCCGAATATGATCAAATATGCAGACTGGATTAACTTAATGACCTATGATCTTCACGGTGTATGGGACTCGACAGATCCTATTGGAAGTATTGTCCAGGCACATACCAACCTCACGGAGATTAAGCTCGCGGCAGATCTATTCTGGAGAGTGAATATTCCACCAGAAAAGATTGTTATGGGATTTGGCTTTTACGGACGCTCGTTTACCTTGGCTGATAAATCGTGTACAAAGCCCGGATGTCCGTTCAAGGGTGCGTCGAGTCCCGGCCCTTGCTCAAATACAGGTGGTATTCTGGCTTATTACGAGATTATGGACGTTTTGAATGACGCACGCACTTCGTCTAAACGGTCGACCACCATCACATATGTCCATGACAAGACAGATGCGGTAAACTACTTCACATTTGATAATGATCAATGGGTTTCTTATGATGATGCAACGACCTTTGCACAGAAGGTCGCGTGGGCGAACGAGGTTGGCCTGGGAGGAGCCATGATCTGGGCTTCTGATCTAGGTAGGTAAATGAACTACTTGGAAGCTATACTGTGTTCAAACTAACGCTGCAACCTACATAATAGATGACGATAAATACTCAGCTCACTCTGGCCTGATCAACAAAACTATTCTAACCAACCCTACCCTGCAGACTATTGATAAGGCTTTATCCAACCCCAAATCTGTCATCGACGACCTGGCCAGCTTCAATGGTCAGAACTGTTTTAAATATGAAGGGAGTTGTGTGAACCTTAACGATAACAGCGCAATGGCCAATGCCTGTGGCAGCGGATACACCGTGGTGGGCTGGGACGATGCTGGATGTGGCAAGAAGAATTGTGTACGTTCTCTTCTTCCCTCTGACTTGTACATTTACTCCCAATCTGACATGATGGTCAGCACTGTGGAAAGCCAGTGTGCTGTCCAACAAGTAGCGCGCCCAAAAACTGCATGTGGCGGGGTGATAACACCGGTGATGCCGGCGTAAGATCTGATTGCAGTGCGCAATGTCAAGCAGGAGAGATCAACATCGCCGGCATCAAGTCATCCTGGGGCGGCGGCTTCACGAATGACGGCAGCACGGATAAGTGTGGTCGGGGATATAAAGTATTTTGCTGTCCTGATCCTGAGTATAATGAGGTTATTGACGGATGCGCTTATGCTGATTGGTATGTCAGCCCTTGTATAGAAGAACTGTAGACACTCGGTCCTAGTGTGCTGATTTGGTTATAGTGGCAGCGATTGCCCCAGTGGCAGCACGGAGATGTTCGTCAAAGTCGACACCTGCTGGTCTAAGGGCCAGAAGTACTGTTGTTCGACTCCTGCTGATCTTACTGACTGCCACTGGGTTGGTGGAAGCTCTGGAAATGACTGTGCAAACGCCAAGTGCGCCTCCACAGAACTAGCCATCGATAGGGCGACGTACGGTGACTCATTCTCGGCCTGCGACTGGGCAAGAGAGAGAGTCGCCTGTTGCACCGTGAAAAAGGCAGCTCGTGAGCCGGCGACTTGCGGGGTTGACCTGTGCGGGCTGTTTCCCGGCTGGTGTCCTGACGATAGCAGCGATGAAAGCTCTGTTTCATACCGCAAACGAAGCGATCTCAATTCGTTCGATAAAAGGGGAAATTCACACACGTATGAAGTTGCTGTGCGGAATGTGGTCGTTAAGACCATTGCAGCGGCCTACCCCAGTATCGGAAGACTTTTCACGGTCGCCAATGCCGGACAGATTGCCCGCTGGGCCTTTCGTCTTAATCAAGACTACTGCACCAGCAGCGCCATGTCGGTGACGCCTCTTCCCGTTGGGAATGTCGCCAAAGCTCTCTACTCTGGTTTGAACTCTGAGCATATTATTGATGTACGCCTGTTGTTCCCTGTCCTGGGCTCCTATCGACTTGTGTATGTGCATATATGACGGCAGCTGACCAAGGTGTAGAGACAAGTCATTAACTCCTTTATCAAGGCTGCGCTAACCGGTTATCTCGAGTCCGGAAATTCTGCCGGACTCTTGCCCGTATCGGAGACATTCTGGACAACCGTGTGGCACGCTGCAAATTCTGCTCTTGGGGCAATGCCTCCTGTCGGGGGTGCGGACGGTGCCTCGCCCAATACTCCTAACGCCCGAATAATGGAGGCCTTCGGTTCAACCAAATTTCCTGCGCCTTTCCTGGCCACCGCCGCTGCTATTAACGGTGCCAAGGGAAAAATCATGGGGCTTAATGCTCCCTTCAGCATTGCAACGATCGAAAAATTTGCCGCCGCGGCGGTAGAAGCCGATAGTGACGAGGCAGTTAACAAATTACTCACGCCCGTTCGAATCGTGAGTTTTTCTTTTCGCCACTGGGAGAGGTATAGGATGAGATGGCTGACAACATACTAGCCTTTCGCCGTTTTCGAGTACTTCCGCGACTATCGGGTCATCAGACAATGGAACAACGTGCTCCAGCAAGTTGGCCTACAATGGGCGCATGTCGAACAAGTGACTGGCGTGAACGATCTGCAAAAATGGTGGTGGGTCTGGGCGCCGGACTTCTTTCAGGTCGTCGAGAAAACGGCACAGGGCTGGACTACTGAAGCGATCAGGGCGGCAGCTGGAGCTTACACAGAGGCTCGCACGGCAGGGCGCAATCTCAAGACGAACGACGTGGTGGTTGCGGCCCTGAGCGAGTTCCAGAGCAAAGTCAGCATGATGAAAATGCCCCCTATAAACGCGGATAAGACCACAATTACGGATTGAGCCCGTATTGTGTAAAGCACATTAGACATGCGTATAGTATGTACAAACTTGAGTTATACATATAGCAGATTTCGGTCCGTGGGGACGGTTTTTTTCGTATTGTACTTCAAAATACTAAATTTATTGTTGTTTTGGCTATAAATGAACCTCTTGGAAGACGGTCGATAGTCACGTAATATGCACCGTGTACACGGCAAAGCCTACCTACTGAGGACTGTTACCGTCACTTTGGATGTCAAAGGGGTTTTCGACGCTGGATCCTCAGCGGCTTTTCTCGCATCTACACCTTTAGGGGTGGGATAAGAGCTTAATCACCCGGATCTATGACTAGCTATCTAGCCGCCCAGTCTCCGTCTAGGTTACAGATGCTACTGCTACCGCGCAGATCAGAGAAGATATACACAGCAAAGATCATTGCCTTGTAGAAGAACTACTTCCGCTACGCGGATAATCTAGGGTTTTATTTATCGGAGGTTTGTTTAAGGAGACAGCTTGGCTTCTAACTGAAGTATACGAAGCAATTAGTACATTTAGGCATTATTAGGCCTTCCATTCTCTCCGGAGAATAGACAGAGACATGATACCTCATATGGCAGCAGAAGCGGCCGACTCCCACGGTCATTTAGCCAGGGGGCAGGGCCAATTAACCAGTCTGTATATATCCGTTAGCTAGACATTCTTGTATGTACACTGTATATATAAACAAATAAGAAAAAGGGTGGGTCCGCTTAGTCAATTTTTCTATTGGACGTAAGGAATGCAATTTACGCAGGCCAGCGTAGCCTCCAGAACTCCTCCCTACGGCCTATCATACTTTGATTAACTTCCGACCTCCTGTGTTTCCTATAACAGTCTCTCTACTCATCCCAGCTAAGCTGGAAGAAAACTTATAATTCAAGAGCATGAACATGCCTCTATTCGCTCCGGGTGCCAGGAATTGCCTCAAACGGCAAACATATCAATTACAACATACCACCAACCGGACCCCAATAAAACCCCTCCTATTCTTCTCTCAACGGCTCATCCGCAATATGCACCTCCCATCACCACACAACATTACGTCACAACTCAACGTGAAGAACAAAATACTTCAATATCCTGCTAGATGGCTATCGTTATCATCATCATCATCATCATCATCATCATATGCCAGGGGTCACCAAGATTCTAAGCGTACCCCCTGGATGCCCTTCAATTACAATGAAGCCGATGTAATCGAACAGAACATGCTCGATAGCGGGTTCCGGACCTGGGGCCTCGTCACCTATCGATGCACCTACAAGAGTGATCCAGACTGGGAGGAATTTATGTCTCGTGTTCTTTATCAGGTTCGGAGCAGACTCGAACCTCTCGACGGCCTAGACATGCTTGATTCATTCGTGCCGACTGTGATGGACAACAAGACGCAGTTTGATGGGGTAACACCGTATAGTGTTCGGGATCATTTCAATGAGTGGGCATCTACGGCGTGTGAAGCTGAGCAAGGGGTTCCGTTTACTCGGGCCCGGTGGTCGCCGACGGCACGGTACGGACTCTGTATCATGGTGGATGAGGAGGCCTTGCGGTCCGTTCTGGACATTCCACGTGAGGAATTGGACGGATATAGTCACACTGGGTTTGTGATTCTGGTTAATGGCAGGCAAGTGGCCGAGCTGCAGGGTGGGGAGGAATTCGACGAACCGATAGAGGATGATGATTTTGAGCCACTTCATGGGTGCACGCTGGAGGATGTAGGCTGGATGAAGGTAGGCTATGGCCAGGCTCAGCTCGTAGGCTCCGCCCATATGGGCAATAGCTTTGACTGGTCGCGGGAATATAGACGTCCTCCTGAGATCGGTTTCTTCGGGTTTTAACTACTGATCTGATGCTTGTTCTATTTGGAGCTGTCTTCTGATATTATTATTCGACAAGTTGTATTCCTACGCTTAACGGCTTGCGTTGAGGGCCAATGAGGAGTAATGCAATAGGGGGCCAAGATGTATCCGGGTAGCTCTATACGCATACTACTTGACTACCTATCTACCTGCTTACCTGCTTACTTTACTACTTGCTTGACTAGCTACTAACTCCCAACGTAACAGATAGGTCGGGATTGACACTGCAACGACTACTAGCCCGAGCACCTCGGCAGCTCCAACTCCCAGCGACACCCTGCCAGGCTGCCAGGTATTCTGCATCGCTGTCTGGGATGATTGTCCGACTATCACGGCCAAGTTCGGAATAACCCTTGTGGAGCTCTATTGATAGAATCCGAGCAGTACGTCCACTTTCTCCCGGATGCCCCCTGAAACCCCCTCCCTATTTTTATGACAGACGAAACGAGAAAAAGACATTGTCTGATGTGAACAGTCGGCAGTGCATGCACAAACCTCTGGCTTCAGGAAGCATACTGCGTCAAGGGCCCAGCGTGCGCGACCACCATGACAAGTGCTATCCCGACACAGACGGGCATCGCGTCCAATTGCGGTAAGTGCTATACTGTTCTGGCCAGTGACTCGTGTACGAACCTCGAGAGCCTGTATAGCATTACGTTCGCAGAGCTGTACAAGTGGAACCCGGCTATTGGATCAGATTGTGAGGGTTTATGGGTAGGATACGCTGTTTGTATGGGTGTTTCTTCATAGCATACGCACTCATATGCAGCGCGATATACCTATATGACAAAATTAGTTTGGCTATCCGAGCAGGACAGGTAGCCTACGACCCGAAAATACCAAACAATGCTGTCATCTGTGAAAGGTATGGGTACCGTTAGGGGCCGTGACATTAATTATAACTATCGAAACTTTCTTTGTGCGGAGGGAATAATGCATAGAGCTACCCATAATCCTACTTACTGGGAAGCATTATGAATTTCTCAGATCTAGACGATAATCACTCATCCGCTGGACCCTGTATAATCAAAGTTATATTGGCCAGGTTGGTTAGCGTTTGTAGGTCAAGCCCCGTAGCGAGGTAGGCCGCGATTCGACCTGCTGGGGCCACAGATTCACTGGTCACGGTACAGTACCTAGTACGCCGCAGGCAAGAGTGACTTGAGATCCCTGGTGTTGTGCGCAAATGTGTTCGCGTGACCATCAACGGCCCAGAGCGGAAAAGAGAACGGGGTGATTCAATGTTTGCTGTCTATATCTTTTTAAAAAGTTTGCTCGAGGGTTACGGCAAGCAGTTGCCGCCACCCCGCAACAAAACAATTGAATGATCTTTAAACGTGTCTCTTGATTGCAGGGTGCTTATCGAGGCTTTATCCGGTCAATCAATCTCTGGTTAGGCTTTGTCGCTCTTCTAAGCCACCCCCAGATTCCGCCGATATGCCTCCGACAATCGTCCATAGCTCCGTTTGACCCCCTCGACCTTGGCCACGTACTGCTCCTGCTCCGACTTATCGCCAATCGCTGCCACAAGCTCAGCGAAGCTCAACGCCACCAGTCGCTTGCTGCGCAACTTATATTGCGGCCGCACCTGGCCCTGCGTGCCGTCCACGCTAGCCTGTCGCGCCTCTTCCCCTTCGCGGACGTTAAACACGTCGTTGAAGATATCCAGATCCCCATGGCACTCGAAGATATGGTGGGTTTCCTCATACGTATACATATAGATGAAGTTGTCGAATCCGCTCCAGAGAATTGCCGACAGGCACAAGGAACACGGCTCATGGGTGGTCAAGAAGAGGCAGTCCTGGACGGGGGGCCGTTGGTCGGCAGGAATCTCAAAGAATTGTTTCAGCGTCCAGGTCTCGCCATGCCATAGGGGTGATCCGCGTTCCTGGTTGGTGTCGGCGTAGACCACACTCAGGTCCGATTTGCGCAGAATGGCGGCTCCCAAAGAGCTTGGAACCTGCGGCCACCGCGACTGCGGAGAGTGGGTGGATATCCTCCTCGATGCAGCGGCACAGGGCGTCCAGAAGCCGAGTGGGCGGATGCAGTGTCAATGCGTCTGTCATGGTGGCTGGTGGCTTAGATTATTATTGGAAGTAGTATAGATCATGGAAGAATCATTCGGTGGGCAAACACAATCTTTAAAATCACCGATCTGGAGAGGGGGGATGACTTATCGGTCGGACATGGCCGTCCCATCGGACTCTCCCGCAATCTTATCTAGTCGGCTATACACAGGTGGTATAACTCGACTACCTAGGTAATTCTATGGTTATGCTTGATCTACAAGGACTGGCATGTATTGTATCATCTGTAGCCAAGCAGTAGGGGAAAAGTAGATTTGTGAAGTCGGAGAGCATCGAAATATAGAGGAATTAGTCATATTCTCAACTTATGAGAAACCCCCCAGTTTGTATTGCGAGGTCAACAATATATATTCCTCTTAGATCGCCAGTCTAGAGGTGCAAGGTTTTGGATCGCTGGGTCAACACATTCCTGCTCTTGGAAGCTTATATGTTTCTCTCAAACACTTACTATTAGATATATATATATATATATCACGACTCATTGACTTCAACTCGGATAGAAATTCGGCCTTACGGGTAGTGAGTATCTGCAGTGACCCCATCGTTAAATCCACCTTCACCCCTGCAGACACTGGTGGCCTGTTCTCTAATACGAGCTTGTCTCACCAGGGACTATACAAACCAAACTACGCAGGTTGACCACATGACTGGTATGGTCTCCTTCGTATGGATCAGGGGCCTAATTGTTATGCCTGATCCCCAAAAAAGCTTCCCGCACTCTATACACTGTAGTACAAGCATCCCTTGTGGCATACCCGTGGAACCGCGGGTCTGACGGCGACAATATCGTATTCGCGCGGGGAACGGACGGATGACTTCAGTAATCCCTTGGCCCCCGCCACGAGTGGAGATACCCGTCAGATCCGAGATTCTAGACTGACAGATTCCTTGATTCGGGAGACTCTCCACACCGCTGAGATCATCCTTACTTGACGTGGATCACCATCGACAGGAAGCCCATCCAATGTTGAGAAACAGGCGGCCTGAATGCAACGGTATCCTGTGCAATGCCTTTGATGCGGAGTACATGCAGAGGCTATGATGCGCATGTCTCACCTGCCACCCGTGTTGATTGGCGGGGAAACGGATACCTGAGCGGTGGCCTGACCATCCAGGGCGTTGAATGGGCCAGGACGCTGCAATGTCTTGGATGTTTCTTTTGGATGTCTTTCGACGGTAAGTCATGGGTACTGCGGTGTCTGAGAAGGAGACATATATGAAGCCCGGTCATCCCCTCCTCTCATCGGGGGTGAAACAGGTACTTTAATTGTTCCTTGCGAAGCTCTAGACAGATATTAACCATGAAGGCCTCTCTGATCGCATTCAGCGCCGTCCTCGGCCTGGCCTCTGCCCAGAACGCCATCGTCAATAACGACTGTAGCACCACTGTGTACGTGCAGTCGTTCCCCTACGATGGCAGCACCCCCGGCCCTCTCACCACCGTTCCCTCGGGGGGAACCTTTTCCGAGAAGTTCAGAACCTCTGGATCGGTATGTTTCTCCCATTGTCCGGCCGGGGTAACAAGAGAGACTGACAAAACCAAATGGACAGACCATCAAGATCGCCAAGACCAAAACGCTGACTACGCCTCTATTCTTTGGCTATTCATTCTCTTCCAACCCGGACTATGCGTACTGTGAGTATATCATGTCAGTCTGTTCTCTAGAAATTCTTCCATTAACGGCGTTCAAGATGAGTTTAGCACTGAATGGGGTAACCCCTTTGCGGCAAACCACAACACCCTGAGCCCCGGAGAAGGCTGCGAGGAATTCGACTGCGCGGCCAACGATGCCAGCTGCTACAGTACCCCGTCCCAGAAGAAGGTCTACGGCTGTCCCCAGCCGGTCACCTTGACGGCGTCCTTGTGTGTATAACCATTTCATGTACACCGTACAATGATGTAATGTCACGGCTATCAGTCTTAATTTGCTCTCATATCAATATGACATCATAGTATTTAGTCTTATAGATGAGAATAACAGAACGTAATGGTAGTTGCATATCCCGACTGAAGCTTCCGAATGGCCCCTAGCTAGACTCACTTGCAAAACTAAGCACCTCAACAGAACCACCCAGGGCCCGGGTCGCGTAGTTGAAGATTCCATAGCGGTATCCCATAAAGAAAAGATAGTCGGTGGTAAGGGTATAGGCGCCTCCCAGCTCGGTAAACGAGCTTCCATCCAAGCTGTAGGAGAAGTGCGCCTCGTGAGACCCCACAGCGGCGGCACCCAGACTCACCTTCAACCACACCTTTGTCTGGGTAATCGGAACCGTTGCTACAGTCGTGCCTGTGCTTGTCGTTCCTCCGTAGGTTCCCATAGTAAGTCCGTGGGTGACAACCACACGATACTCAGTCCCATTACGGACTATTCCGATCCAAGCACTCGCGTCCTTGAGAGCCGCTAGACCGGCATGGTCTCCATCCGCCATTTTGCTGAAGTCGATTTCCACTATTCCATACGGATTTGCACCATGAAGACGGTGCGTAAGCGTGTTTCTCGCTGCATAAAGATCATCTGTCACTGTTGCGGTGTGCAGAGTCAATCCGGGATTGTTGACGGTGAATTTGGTCGTGTCCGGGTTGTGGTTCCATTGCCAGGCAGGGCCAAGCGTCTCCCCGGCGAATTTATCCACCCCAGTCCAAGCGGGTGTTGGATGCTCCGGCAAAGGGTAAGGGTACGATTCTCCCCATGTGCCGTTGACAGTCGTTAGGATCGGAAACATGTCTTCGTCCCAGGTAATGGGAGCGAGGACCGGAACACGGCCAAGGGGATAGTTCCATGCAAACGACATGAAGTACCAATCTCCCGCTTCTGTTTCGACCAGACTCCCTTGAACAGGCGTGCCGGTGCCAGGCACTGGCGACGCAACCCCGCTGTTGAGGATCCTTCTAGTATATGGACCAAATGGGCTGGCGGCTTTCCACACTTCGGTGATTCCGTCGCTTGGACAATCGTCCAGAATATAATAGGACCCATTGATCTTATACATGCGGTTGCCCTCAATGCTGTGGCATTCAGACGGAAACGAAAATACCTGCTGAGTCCGCACCACGCTAAGACCGTCGGCAGAGAGCTGGGCCACGCTAACATTGTTGCTTCCATACGCCACATACATCGTATCGTCGTCGTCGATCAACAAGCCGCAATCATAAAAGCAGGGTTGGAAACTGGATGACTGTTTCCATGGCCCCGTGGCGGATGGAGAGGTATAGACATAGGTGGTCCAGAAGTTGGCACACCCAATCCAGTACCACTGATCATTGCTTTCACGGTATCGGAGTGTCGACGCCCATGTCCCCAGATTATATGCAGACTGGCTATCGTAATTGGAGCCAAAATCAAGGGTGGGAACTGAGTGTCCGATCAATTCCCAATTGACAAGATCCCATGATTGCAAGATGGGCGCCCCCGGCGAGTAGTGAAAACTCGATGCCGAGAAGTAGTAAGATCCATCTGGACCCCGGAAAATGTCGTTGTCGGGGAAATCCTCATAGATTATGGGGTTTGAGAAGCTCTGGCCTTGCACAGCTAACGCAGTGCTCAGCGCCACGGCCACGAACGATGCCAGCATTGTGGATTTTGGCCCGACGGTGGATGAATTTGTGACATACTGGGGTTGCGCTCCGTGTGTCCCTCTTATACCCCTCAAAATGGTTAAAATCCACTTTATCCACGGTGTATATCCGCGACGCCCTAGCAAAACCGGCTAAACGGAGAGGAGAGCTAGTATAAGGCAGAATATATTATTGATGGAGAAACGAGGCATTCTTAGACTAATCCAAGTGAAACACGGAATGCTTGACAAGACGAGAGACATGACCAGTGGAAAAGACGGAGCAAAACCTTATTATGCATAAACATCATGCAAGAGATGCCAAGAACCGAACACGAGTGCCAAGAACGGAACAAAGGTCTGCATGTCCTTAAAGTAACCAGGTCGGTCATTCAGGGGCTTTTACTTTGAGGGGAGTCACTGAGAAGAAGCCAACGACGACACCTTACAGCCGTGGGATCGAAAAGGGCTACAAAAGGCACTCGATTGCATATTGTACTCTTTTGAAATTGAGATACACTACCATGCCTCAGAAAAGGAAGTCCAGAGCTGAAGCAGGACAGGTTGGGAGAATCGGCCGGTCAAAGCGAATGGCTGTCGATGATAGCTGTTCCAGTACTCGCACCCCAAACAGTCCCAGTCTGGATCCTCTGGCGCGTATGAATAGAGATGTCGTGAATCTCATCTTACATTATCTCTCGCCTCGAGATCTTACATGGTGTGAGTGCGTGTGCAAAGGCTGGAGAGAGATCATACACTGGTGGGTAGCAGCATTTGGATTCCGGGTCCATTTTCCGCATATATTACGGGACATCTCGCAAGTGCCTACCAGCGCAATCTGGGAGGCGTTCAAAGTCCAAGGTGGGTATTTGTTTGGTCTATTACACATACATTCCGATGCGTCCTCTGATGCGTCCATACCATCTTAAAGTCAACGCGTACTAATTTCTTTTTCGCCTCTCCTCACTCATAGTCCGTCAAGAACATTGCATTCAGTCAGGGAAACCATTGTCAATACAAGAATTCAACTTCCACAGTCCCTACAACATGACAATGGTGGGGAATTTTGTAGCTGGTCTGACAAAACATGAAGAACCCACCCTATGCTGGCATAAACTTGCTACCCCCGGAGGCGCAGTTGTGGATACCAAAACAGTTCCGTTAAAGAAGATCTGGAGGGTCCCTGTCGACCTGATGCTGCTTGAGATGAACCAGGAGGGGATCCTACTACTGCGCCTCAAGGAGAAAGGGAAGGATCGTGCTAGGTATGTGGGGAAATTTGTCTAGTACAACACGGACCAGCTAATACTCTCGATGTTGATCAGAAGTGCTGTCTATTCGCCCACTGATGCCAAAACTGTTTGGCGGCAAGATCATAGGCACAGCAACCCGAGATATGGTGTTCCGGGCGAGCTCACTCCGATCCTAATAGGGAGGAGAGTACTGCATTGCGCGAGACGCGGCTCAAACCGTGAGACTTTTGATCTTGTTGGGATCGACTTCCGAGCCAGCAAACCTACTGTTATTTACGAATCATCCGCCGTTGGGCCGAGGAACTGGGCCCATAATAGGTACTGCAGAAAACTCTTACGTATAAGTGAACAGCATGAGCTTGTGATGCTAAGTGATAATGAGAGGTGGGTTGGAACGGGGACGATTTCGATTCTGAACGGTGAAAACGGCCAACTCCTCTTCCAGTTTGATGGCGGGCCAACCCATTTCTCTGATCGAAACATACTGGTCCATCGGGCTTTTAACCAGTTTTCAATCAAATCAGTGCCAGCACGCGTCCGGCTAGGTGATGCTGTACAGCCCTGGGAAGACCATGCCAAGGCAGTGAGGGACTTTATCATTATTCAGACGTTTTCGTTCACCTTTTCTGGGTCTGATAGCAGTCGCGTCAATATACTCAGGTTAGGCACAGATGTGATTCTCAGCCCATGCAAAGATTACGCGACTGGCATTCAGCCTTTTACGAAAGCCGCTGTCGCGCTACAGTCCGACGGGAACACTCTTCTGAGCCAGCGGATTCTGAGCTACCCACTTGTCGAAACAAAGGACCGCCATCTCATTCAGATGGCAGAAGCAGTGCTGAAATCATCCTCTCTTCCGGATTCAACACCTCCCGATTTGCGTCACTGTTTCATTTTCCAGCAACCCGGGGCCAAGATTAGTCTGAGGCCATCATTAAGGCAACCAGGACTACTAGGCACTCCGCCAGATATTCTCCTGCGCTCTGTCGGCGGTTTTGTTGATAGTGGGCGCCTTTTTTTGGAAGCATCTGAGGCCCAAGTTCTGCTGGAGTTTTAGGTGGATCTCTCGACTATAACTGCGTTGTAATCCACGTGTCTAGGAGCTCAAGACGGAGCAAGCGGACTCGGAACGCGAACAACGGAGTCAGGGGAAGCACAGACTGTCACCAGCTGGATATTGTGGATAAGGCGCATGTGAGCGCCTCTGCTCTTAATGACTACGGCGGAAATCATGAGTCAATGCTGGTCCTGGGTTTCTACGGGCCGTCTATGTATAGGTCGAGGAGAGATCGTTAGAATGTTACATAACGACTTCCTGATTCCAAGCAGTTGTTGTTAATAGGACGTAAAAGTCTGGGATCATGAACACCCGCATACTTGGTGGTGCTAAGATCCCTTGTTTTTGCATATCATTCATAGAGCTTAACCGGTTAATACTTATATATCCCTGGAAGACGAGATTTGAAGATGGCCACAAGATGCTTTTATACCCTGGGCCTGGTGTTGTTATCCCACTTTCTGGAATTTCACTATGAGTTTGCTATGATGCCCCCAATTATCAATGGACCGCAGTACTACTTTGGACTAGATAATAGCAAAATATTAAATAGACCCGGCAGTTTTATCATGCTCGACTGAGCAGCTGCAAATTGGTGCAGGTGACCTAATTTCACGAAAAAGTAAAATTGGATCAGATTCTGCTGTGTAAAGTTATGCGGGCATTTGTATCCTGGAACACGACACGCCATATGCTACAAGCATTATGGGGACGAGGCCGTTGAGTTGGGCTGTTCGGACGCAGTGTGCAGCCCAATAGTATAGACGGCTAAGGGGTAATCCTAGGCAGCCCGTGCACATTGGCATCGAGTCACCGACGTTCATTCCCCCACCAACCGCCCTCAAGTCTCCATCACTTTAGTCTTGATCGGATAGTCGCCGTTTCCACGCGAAGTTCACAGAAAATATTCTACAACTTCTATCTTTATACTCGCGGGTTTTTACGGCGCTCTCTGGCTCTTAGCTGTGCAGCAACTCCTCACTCGCAGCAATCTCTTGAGAGCGGGTGTACCACAAGTGCAAACGAAGAACATGAGGCTCATCAACATGTCGATTAAAGAGTTAGCTGATGGACTGCAACGTGGCGAGTTCACGAGTGTCCCTCTTGTGGAAGTAAGTCAATTTCGACTATCCGGTACAATTGAGCTGAGAAATGTTGCGTGCAGGCGTATGTTGCCGTATACAAGAGGTCAACGGGGTCGTCAGAGCAGTCAGCGAAATCAATCCCGATGCCATTGAGATCGCCCGTGAACGGGATGAAGAGCGACGCGTTGGCCAGGCCAGAGGGATATTACATGGCATTCCATTTCTCTCCAAGGATGTGTTCTTGACAACTGATCGCCTGCAAACAACCGGTATGGAAAGAGATTAAAGTATTTGGACCAGGGGATTTTGGATAAATGCTAATACATATATATAAAAAAACGCAGCGGGGTGCAAGGCGTTACAGGGAGCGAAGCCGAAATTCGAAGCGACCGTCATAAGGAAACTCCGAGAACAGGGAGCAATTCTCCTCGGAAAGAGTGCATTGACACAGTGGTCAAATGGTCGGAGTGCGCAGACTGCGCCGAATGGATGGTCTTCATCCAACGGTCAATGCATAGCAGCTTACGCCGATTACCAAGACCCTTCTGGTTCTTCCTCTGGCAGCGCTGTCTCTGTAAGGCTTGGTCTCTGCGCATTTGGGCTCGGTACGGAGGTGAGTTCTATCACCTGCTTGGTGATCCAGGCCCGGTGCTGATTACCAGGCCCGAATAGACCGAGGGAAGTATCACAAATCCCGCCCAAAAGTCAGCCGTTATAGGCTTTAAACCTACGTCAGGGCTCACTTCGCGACATGGGAGTTATACGATCAGCGAATATCAGGATTCGGTCGGTGTCCATGGTCGAACGGTCGAGGATTGCGCAATTGCCCTAACTGCTATTGCTGGTTTGTTCCCGAATACTTGTACCGTGTTTACCAACTCAGCTGATATTACTTAGGAGTGGATCCCAACGATCGTTTCACCCTTGTTGATCCTCTTGATGGTAAGAACGCAGATCGTCCGAAGGAGGGAACGGATTTTAGCTCTACCATGGGGCTTCGCGATTTGGAAGGAGTTCGAATTGCGGTATAGGCCACTAAAAGGCTACAAAAGGGCAATACTGACTGGGACCAGGTTCCCGAAGTCCTTTTGGAGGCGGATAAAGTAAGACGGAATGCCACACAACAAGCAATTGAGGTGATGCGTGGCCTTGGTGCTACCATAGTCGAAGATGCCAAGTTTCTTGAATGGGAAACTGACGAACAGAGGGGTGCGGGAACATTGCTTTTCGAGTGCAGCTAAGGGAAAGTAAGTGTCTCATATCGATATAGCCTAGCCTGAGCTAATGTGTCTTGTGCGAACTAGATATCGCCAAATTTCTAGGTTCGCTCGATTTAATCTCCAACAACATGCAAAACCTCTCCGATCTCATAAATTACACAATGACGGACCCTGAAGAACACGGTGAAGACACTATGGCGTGGAAGATTGGCTGGCGGCAGAAAAGACGGGACAAAGCTACAGTGCGGACTCACAGGAGTATGCTATATCTTTAGCACGCAGATTAGCCATGGGCGCTCAGACAAAGGAGCTCCTTGACCGATACCAATCGGATATCTTCCTGTGTTCTGCCTCAGGATGGCACCCGGGTATGGTCGGCGGCTATCCTACGGTCTCAATTCCCATCGGCACATTTCCACCAGACACCCCAGTGCAAAAGAGACCCGCTAGCGGTCTCGTTCAGAAAGCCCCTGGAGTTCCGTAAGTCTCAAAGCGTGATATGGAAAGAGTCCACACGACTGATGACAACCAGATTTAGCATTGTGATGGTGGCAAGGAGGTGGGAAGACCAGAAGCTTCTCGATATAGCACATATTTTTGAGCAGGCTATGGACATTCAAGACTCCCTGCACCTAAAAATTGAGCCGACGGTGGAAATCCAGGTCAGCGATAGGACGACTTGATGGAAGTGCGAAAATATGAAGAGGGGTCCTTGGCCGTATAGCTGGATGCTATAAACTGAAATGAACTGCGTTGTTAGCACGAGACGTGGTTTACTTAGGGAGTAATAAACAAGAAAAGAGCTATGTGATTCAACTATGTTAGACATGTCGTTATGGTGGACGTCTTACATTTAGTGAGGCTTAAAGAGCGGGATGACAGGTTGGTGTGAAGAAGGTGCAATGGTAAGACTTGTAGAATAGGAGGGCGACTGAGGTTTGCTTGCTTTCCTACCTGAGATACTAGTGTGCACTATACGGCAGTCTCGGGCTCTACAATATTGGCACATTCGGTCATACATTGGCGCCGTACTCGTATCGTGCATCCCGATGTTTCCATATCAGCGTGAGATCTGCAAAATTTCAAGAAAGACGCGGAGCCAGGCGAGACCAGGGAACGTGACCTTCCCAGCGGATAATTACCCCTCACTCCTTTGTTCCAGCCGCTGGTAAATTCGAGATCGTCAACTCTTTGCGCAACCCAATACCGACTTGAGCAATAATAACCCTTCACGAGAGCCTGGCCATGGACGAGCTCGCCGATATGAAGCTTCCTGTCGTACCTTTACCCATTAAATACAACCGCGGTCACCCACCTTCGGACGTCAACTGTGGCAGAATTGGAGGCATATCTCACGTTCTCGTGATATATAGCTGGAGAACAACAAAGCCATGTCGCAATGCTCGAGGAAAGCGGGCCTAATATACGTAAGTCCGAATACGGCGGTATTAGTGGTGGTCCAGTGTTCACCCTCGCTGGTGAGAGGCATTATTCGGAGAGAAGTAAAAGTCGGCTATCTCTGATCCAAGAGCAGGAACTAAATATACCTCGTAGCAGTGGCGGGCTAGTGCATTACCTAGATTTAGCCAATATGAGAGAGATGATCCAAACCACAGAGGAACCCAGCTACCAGTCAACATTAGGGATGGTTACTAATCAATGTCTCCCAGTAATTCATAGTGGCGTTTGGACGTGGCTAATGGCAGGGGATCCTTTCGTGCCCAACTTCGATGTGGACGATTCGGTGTCATTTCGAATTATCAGCGCTGCTCTCCACATCGACACCCACCTTCTACTTCACGAGATGTCCGCCTCCCTCAAAATAGCAAGTCATTCTCACGATGAACGCATCGCACGCATTATGTGGGCGGCCCACATCCTATTCTATCTCACCAAGACCCAAAGCCATAATAAGCAGCCCCAGGACACCAAAAACAACGCAGGATGCGACGACGGAGATACAGATGAGTCAAGTGACAATGAGACCGACTATGAGACAGAAAGAACAGTGATTCTATCCAGTCCTCGGGCGTCCATTCGTGAGAAATTTCTCGACTGTATTGCGCAGCTGCTGTCGCCGTGTAAGGGGTGGGATGGGGTTACTGCAACAGCGATACGGGAAGGAGAGGATGGGGTTGAGGTGGATGTTGCCAGTAATGATGAATTCCTTTCTCGTGAGGGTCGTTACTGTACAAGGTTGGAGCGGTATCTGGCTGGTTGCAATGAAGGTATGTACGCGACTGGTGTGTTGATGGTGGTTTGAGATTTTACAGAGTGAATGTGACTGCTAGGTACCACGGGAGTGACTGCGACTTCACCGGAAAGATTCGAGCGGAAGGCGATAAACTTCGCGGGCCGTCGGGTCGATCATTGGATTAAAGATCTACGTACGGTTCTTGAGCATCACCCTCTTCCCCAGTCTTCCCCTGGGCGGGAAGTTGCGAGTACTTGGACGATGTTTCGGGATCTTATACTACAACCCCATCCCGATCAGAGTGTCACCAAATATAGAGTCCTCATGGTCCAGCAGGCCTATGAATGTGTCAACACACCAGAGTTACGACAAACATTATCAGACATCTTCGGAGGGCAGACCGCTGCAAAGCTCTGGAACAAGTTGAACTTTCTCGCAAGACCTCTAGCTGACTGCCGATTACTGGCATTAATAGCGACGCGGGAACCACACCTTCGACAGTGCAAGATCGTGCGAATCGCTTCCCAACCGAAGACGACCCTAGATCCCAAATACGTCATAGGAATATTCACAGCGTGGGAACAACTAGGTCTGGGATCGCCGCCTAAGTGCGTGATCCAGAAGCTCGACCACTTTAACGGGAAATTCGAAAAGGCCTGTGCAGAAGCATATTCTCTGCATGCTGAGATGCAGCTAGTGCTACACTATGAAGAGAGACGTGCACCACCACCTACCCTGGATTACTTCGGGTGCAGTAAAAAAACCTGCTTGCTCTGTGAGACCGTTCTGGACGCTCTGCCAAACCAGGTTTCCACACGTGGGAGACACGGTGTTTGTTATCGTGCCTGGGGCGTGCCGGATTCGACGGCAGATACGATCCAGCTCGCAGTTCAGCGCTTAGAGAGCAGTCTCATAGGCCGCATAAAGGGGTTCCTTGACGATTTAGTGCGCCCTAGGCAGAAAGGCCAAGCTGTGAATACTGTGCAATCTGGCCTACTGTCCGACCTTTCGCGCTCGACTCTAGAGGAACTGCAAAAGAGAGAGAAGGATCTACAGTCCTTCAAGTATAAACAGGACGCTCATCGGAACGAGTTGATGATTCGGTGAGGCTGGCTTCTTGTGTCTTCTAGGCCATACTGCACGATTGACTAGCTAACTGCCTATGGTATGGCGAAAAGTGAAGGAATCGCCCCAAGGACAACACCCAGACCCCGCCCGGTGGACAATTTCGAGCCCGAAGACTGTTGCGTCATGTGCCATACTATCCCAGGACGTCTGTGTAAACGCTGTCGAAGCACATACTACTGTTCCCGAGACTGTCAGCGCAGTGACTACGCTTCCCATAAGCATCTGTGCCGACAACTCTCTACTGAACCCTCTCGACCCTCTCCCGAACACAAACGGGCTATCTTCTTCCCAGTCGACGAAGACCAGCCACGCTTGATCTGGGTCCCCTGTCGACGCCAATGCGACGACGACGACCTTAGGCCGTGGACAGAAGTCGATCACCACCCATACCTTGGCCCAGACTCACCGCGAAAAGGGACCATGCGTATCGAACACAACCCTGTTCGAAGCCGTAACCTAGGCTCGGGGTTCGCAGCCTGGGCTCCACACAAGCAAGGCCACTGCATATCCGTTCTCCACCGTGAAGCCTATCTTATAGACGGATCGCCTACGAACCGCAGCATATCTGCCTGCGTACGAGCCTCCTGCACTTCCATCCCGGCACATGAATACCGTGGGTCGATGATCGCCCTCCGGGAAATCCATCACGAAGATTACGTCGATATCACTCTCGCCGACTTACGCCACATGATGGATTACCTCGTCAGCTACCGAAACACCCATATTCGTGAAAGCGTCCCAGACCTGCACCACCATGCCAACACCACTGTGCGCGGGGTAAAGATCTGCTGCTACGGAGAGGTGAACCTCCATGGGTCGGATGCCTTCGTAGGGGTCAATGTCACCCGCTCAAATAGGATAGCCCTTGGCAAGGGATCTATCTCGCCGATATCGGTCTGTCTAGGGATGCCGATAAGGTTCTGGAAGGATTATGATGGCGAGTTTACTCGTGATCCGGCCGGATGGAAGGAGAACATGACGGCGGATAGTAACCCAAACGCTGCGTTTATGATGGTTGAGACGGATCCTTCCAGAGAATCATGGGGCTGGGCTTCTCTGGATTGGAATAGTGACATTGGGAATGTGTGGGCAGTGCGTGAGGATGGGCGAGATCTGAGCGTGGATGATGTCGCGATGATGTGTTGTTTTGCGAGGCGTAAGATGCAGCGTATGTTTGAGGACGTGATGGAATCTGGTTCGAAATTAGAGGATAGACGGCGGGTTGTGGAACTCATTACGTGGGATAATATGGCTGCGTACTGGGAGGAAGTTGGTGGTAATGCGCGGGATAACTGGGATGATATGGTTTGATTATGATGAAACCGTAGTTCCTGGTTCAGGAACGCCCCTACCCCTCAAGAGCATCACTCTAAGCATTCACCCCGGGGAAAGATCGCCATATGCGGCCGCACCGGTAGCGGCAAATCCACCCCTCGCTCTCCTGCTGAAACTGCTCGAGCCGCTGCCTTCAACCGACCGCAATTAGGACCAGGACCCTCCAGTCTTGATCGACAACATCCCGCTGCACCGCATTCACCGCGCGACCCTCCGCCAACGTCTCATCGCTGTCCCCCAGGACCCCGTCTTCTTGCCCGACGGCTCATCCTTCTGTGCGAACCTCGACCCGACCAACACGGCGACCCCAGTGGAGTGCCAGTGGGTCCTCCAAGCGGTCCGTTTGTGGGACTTTGTCCAGGAACAGGCACAGAGGCTGCATGAGCCTGTCACGGCAGGGATCTTGAGTGCCGGGCAGAGGCAGCTCTTCTCACTGGGGCGGGCGGTTCTCCGTGCAATAACCCGCCAGCGTTCCACGTCCTGCCCACCTTACGAGGGGTCTGACAATCAAGATCAGGGGGGATCCTTCTCCTGGACAAAGTCAGCTCCAGTGGGGGCCCGGAAACTGAGAGGATTATGCAAGAGATCATTCGGGCGGAGCTCAGACACTACACGATCATTGCGGTGAATCATCGGCTGGAGATGATTATGGACTTTGACCGGGTGGTGGTGATGGATCGCGGAGAGGTGGTGGAGGTTGGGAATCCGACGGCCCTGAAAGGGCTCGATGGCAGTCGGTTTAGGGAGTTGGTGGCCGCTGCTGGTGCATAGCCACTTTCTCACAACATCTGTTCAATACTATGCTAGGGTTCTAACTATTCCGGAAAGCTAAAGCCGAAAATCCTACGCGAAGCTAGGGATGTCAACCCGCGCCACAACCAGCAGCGGGCTACTGCACCGTACCGCAGCGATGCAGTATAGGTTGCAAAAGCTACAGTCTGCGTAGGCTATAGATGTGAAAATAGAATCCCATTAGCTAGACAGTCCATCAAGAACAACCATCCCTAACCGTCGCGCAATCTCACCGATGGCACCCCCTCGCCAAACCTGGGCATCATCAGGACAAACCTCTAGGTCAGGATCCAGATCCCCGGACGAATCCCAGTCCGCCATATAAAAGTAAACACCGGCCTCAGAGATAAATCTTACGCGATCAAGCACAACTGCAAAGACACGAAAAGGTGTGCAAAGTGTTCTTTGTACTGCTATCAGAGTGTCTTTGGGTTGTTGGGGGGTGACGCGGTGTGCGAGGGGAGGCTGTCCGTCGCCTGCAGAAAATATGTGCAGAGCACCGATGGTGAAGGAAACCCCTGGGGCTCTGCCCTCCGTTTGGTGGGATAGGATCTCGGTTTGGGTCTGGCGGATGGAGGACAAAGAGCCCGGGATAGCGAACTTGAGAGTAAGGGTTGTGCTGACAGGGAGATGGGAGACAATGGCCGCTGTAAAGAACCATGCTGTGCGTTCTAACAAGGAGGGCCCTGCTGTGTCGCGGATATGGCTGAGAAACAGCGCATAGACGAGGTATTGAATATCGGCACTGGTTCCCTCTGGGGCATTGGTGACTGTCACGATGTCCGCATCTCGAGAAATCTGGAATGCCCGACCGAGAGAGAACCCGCTAACGGCAATTTCATGACCTAGCTGATTATGGATCTGCTCTTCTGATGGCGGATTCAAGTCAGGAGGCTCGCCTTCGTCAACCTCCATGGCATATTGCAACCAAGGGCGCTGAGCGTTGAGGAAGACATCGTTCATGATAATCTGGCCGATGTCGATCTGGCATATGACGCGCTCAATGGATAACTCAAATATATACGGCGAGGGATCGCCAAAATCAGACAAGCGCTGCATATTGTCGACAACGCTATACGTGCTGGGAAACGAGCGGTTGAAGTAGAGGAGGTCTGGGCCTTCACCCGCCTCGGCAAGCTCATCCCAGTCCTCAACGTAGCCCAGTCGGTAACTGTACGATCGCAGCAGAACACAAAAGCCAGCAGGTATGTCGTCGCTAGGGCGGAAGAATTGAGGGATCAATGGGGGTAGATTCTGGACGCCCGAGCGGTATTGCTGCTTGCGGTAGGCGATTTCGCGGCGATTATGTTCGATACACGCGAAGGCATCGGATGGGCAGTACGAATAAATCTCAAACAAAGGCTTGGATTCTTCATGCATGAAACTGTGCATTAGGTACTGCCGGAGCTGCTGGTGGTCTTCGTCCAAGGACACTAGGCTGTAGACTTGGATAGGGAGTAGGTCGCTGGGATCCGGAGTAAAGTCAGGCTCGATGAACTGTTCAAGCACCACGGGGTGACCAAGATGGTCAGGGTAGCTGCGTACTTGTTGCCAGCCTTGCTTGGACATGATGGCTTGGGCGTAGGAAGGATGAAGTGAAGTGCGGGTGTTGGCCTCTTGGGTTAATGGTCCAGCACGGGACTCACCCAGGGTCGGTGACAATAATAGCTTTCTTTAATATATACCGCTGAGGGCCTAGTGTATAACTAGAAATAAGTGATTGAGGAAAAAACTCAGAGTACCCGCTAAAAGATCTAGTGCCGACCTACCAATCTATCTGCCTGCCTATCACCCGCGGCAGTGGAGAAGATTATGCACATCGGCGAGAAGACGACCTGCCTCCCTGCTTGTCTGCCTCAGGACTATGCAAAATTAACGCCTTAGGCAACAGGTTCCCTAGGCGTACCATAACAAAAACTACCCTAGAAAACCAGCCTTTATAAAAGCTCTCGAATTTATAGGCCGAATCTCTTCAAATTTAACTAGATAGAAATAGAAAGAATTAGAAATAACTAGCAGTTTCACCAATTAAAAAGCGCCGCGTACCCTTAACTATGGGGGGGAGTCGGCGCTGCTATACCTCGGCAAGGCATACTCGAATGCCTATCAAAGTCCATATGGAGAACTGACAACCAGGGGACAAACTAATCATATCAGAGTTTTCAATGCCACTAATAGATAGCATTCAATCAACTAGAGGAACAATATTTTGCAGTCCTCAACTATATTTACGGAACTCGACTCAAGCTCATCTAAGCCTGATGCACCAGCCCCGACTTGGGCCAGCTCCAGAGTTTGCGAGTGGCCGCAAACAGCGCATTCATCATGCCTTGGGCCTCCTCCCCGTCCATATTCATGCCGCAGTCGGCCTCCGGCTTTTCGACATCCGCAACATCCTCATCCTCCTCCTCCCCAGTGACGAGGTGCTCTGCCTCCGTCGAGGTGTGCGAGGTCGTGGGCAACTCGACCTTGACGGTGGCCGCGTGACTTGGAACGCCTTTGTCGTTCAGGACAAAGAGCATGTAGTACCCAGGGAGCGCAATGCCGGCATCATCCGGGATGTCTGCATGGAAGATAGCACGGCCATTTTCGGGCTCATTTGACCGGGTGAATGACAGCGGAATGCGGCGCTGGTCGGTGTTGACCGTATGCGAGACTGTTCCCAGGCGGATCAACGAGGCGTTTCTGATATCTTCATCCGCGTGGAAGGCCAGCTTGGCCCCGACCTGCACGTGGAAGTTGCCGACAATCTCCGGTGTGCTTGGGCGCTCGGCCGGGGTGCCATCCTCGCGGAGCAAGTACGGTGGCGTGAAGATCTGCGCATCGTAATGGTTGGCTGTGCAGTTGCCGCAGAGCCCGCTGCCACCGTTGAGCACAGTGGCGTCTGGTAACAGGATGGACAGACTGTGGTAGACACGGATAATGTTGTTCTGCTTCAGGGGCAGGAAAATGTCCCACTCGGGGTGATAGATCTCGGGCGTCAACTGGACGTCACGCTCGTCCTCGTTGAAGGGCACGCCGAAGATCTCACCACCGGTAATGAACACCGTGCCGTCCGGGAGCACGACCGACGTGTGGTAAACGCGTTGGTTGTACATGCCGCCGGCGCCTGTGATGCCCGAGGTGCCGTTCAGGCCGGCCACATCAACTCGCACCTTCCCGAAGGGCTCCTTGATGGTAATGAGATGGGCATTGCGGTGGCCAAACGAGCCGTCGTAGAGAGCCTGGCCGCCAAAGGTCAAGATCTTGCCGCGCACGGCGTCGAACATGACGGCATTCCCCGAGGTCGAGTCCTGGTCGTTGCGGCGGAGCCTGGCCCTCTTTGCGATGCCGTCACCGTGAGTGTCGAACCAGAACATCATCTTGCTCGGGCCGGCATGGAAGACGGTGCCATTCTTCCAGCCAAACAGCCAGGCGTGGTTGTCGTTGCGCAATGGGACGTCACCCGTGTGAATGACATCAGCCTTGATGTTGGACAGGATGCGCCAGCGCTTGGTCGCCGGGTCATAGACCTCGCCGTCCTTGGGCATGTTGGAGCCGCCGCTCCACGAGCCGCCGATAGTGAAGATTTTGCCGTCGGACAGCGTGGTCGACGCGTGGTACCCGCGGTGCAGGTTCATGTCGCCGCCGGGGATCCAGTCCGAGCCGTCGTAGATGCTAGTCTTCTGCGAGTCGGCACCGCCGGACACGACGATGTTGCCATCAATGTCCATCGAGATACCCGGGCAGAACATGTCGTGGTAGGTGTTGGTGACGTTGGTCTGCACAATATCCCGCAGGTACGGGTCCCATGTGGCCGTGAAGGTCTTGCCCCCGGGCGACGCAAAGAAGCGGTCATCGGTCCAGGCCGACCAGAGAATTATATTGTGGTGTCCGTTACTACCAAAGCCATGGGCGCCCGCCGCGGGCGTGATGGGCAGGTCCAGGGTCGGGCCCCAGACGCCCTTGGAGGGCTCGTGGGGGAGTACCGCGTTGGTGGTGTAGACGTTGACGTCGACGATCTTGGTGACGGCATCGGAATACTTGTGGCTAGTATTCTTGGGCGGTGGTGCCTCGCTTAAGGCCACAAGCTTGACATATCTGGCTTTGATAGCTTCGAATGCGGACAGCTTGGGGCTCTTGTTCCAACCCCAGGTGCCGTACGCAACCTTCGTCCAAGCGGACTTATCCTCGCTGACATAGACCTCGTGCTTGGCGATCTGGCCGCGGTCCTTCTCGCCCATGAGAGGACGGATGGAGATACCGTTCACGTTGCGCACTGTGTGCAGGTCCAGGGTGAGGTCGTCCTGCTTATGAACAGGGTGGGACTCGCTGACCCAGTGGGTTTCTGCGAGACCGTCGTTGGCATACTCGCACCTGCTGCCCGCGGCTATAGTAGAGCAGAGCGTCGTGAACTGGTTGCGGGGGAGCAGCTTGCCGCCATGAGGCCGGGCCTGCCAGAGGTAGGCCTCGGGGTCGATAGGCCCTTTGGTCTCGGGCTCGATGTGACTCGAATCCGTGGAAAATGGGATGTGAGACTTATGAGACTCCGCTTTGACATCCACAGAGCAGGCGGTCAGCCCCAGGAGGAGGCACGAGGCCCAATGGAGCTTCATTCTCAACAGAACTATGAAATAAAGATGGCTGTCTGGAGGGAGACAGCGCGGATGGGCCATAGAAATACCAGGCGGGCGTCTCAGCCTGGCCACCCCCAGCACCTCCCGCAGGACGTTCGCACAGGCCAGGGCATGATGCAGAAGATTTGGAATTCGTTAGCAGATATTGTGACGTAGGTAGTTCAGCTGAAGTGGTCCATTAGTCCCATTCTTGGGAGCTTGGGATGCCCTCCGGTAGCCATCCAAGATTGCGATCTGCGTAGCGTCCCCACGCAGGACCCACCGGGCCTCCTAGCATCAACAAGAACAAAGCGATTAGTATCATCCTGTCGATCATGGTTCACACTGCCGAGCTGCGGTTCCAGCGGGAGATCCGACCCGGCCGCGGGAGGGGCGTTCCTTGACGTTGACGTTTCCAGAGATATCATCCATCGAAGCGAACTGGCATGCATGAGGATGGAGACTGCGAAACTGGCACACTACAGACACTACGCAGGACAGACATGCGCTCCAACCGGGCGTCGATGGTCGCAATGTGAGGCATCTCGTCATCTACCGGCCGTGCACTCCTCTCCACCCCAGTTCTCAAGCTGAAAAGCGCTTCATGACTCCTCATCACGCTCCGTTCTGGTACTTACTCGGGGCCCGTAGCTCCTATCATCTGACGATGATCCGCCAGTGGACCCTTTCTTCCGCTCCAGGAGGGAGTGGAGCGCGAACGCTCGATCGAGATTCCTGCATGGTGATGACTCCACCGTGCTGAGATTCGCGGGAAACCATGGGCCTCTCTGCGGAGTCTGCGGAGCCACACCTCCTCTGGCGAACCACTGCAAAGCCAATAGTGCGTGCACTGGGGGCCCTCGCACCGCGATCTGCCACACCTGGCTTGAGAAATTATATCGCCTCCTGCGTCGCGTCCACTCGGGCATGCATACGGAGTACTCCGTTCCTCATGTGAGTTTCAGCTATTAGCAATGTATGGTGCTAATTGGCCTGCGCTGTGCTGGTCCATCACAGCAACGAGAGGAGACGGCCATAAGAAGTCCTCTGTCCGGCCAGGCCAGGGTCTCTGCCCGACAGATCCAACAATCTGACTCAATCTTGAACGGCATTCACCTCCAGCATGCCCTCTGAAGTCAACCCCGCCAACATCCAGGGCAGTATCTGGTCAGTTTAGCACATATGCCCTCGAGCTCTCATACAATTACATCCCATGCTCACTGGTGATCGACAGGCCCCGTCTCCCACGGTACTATGAAAGCTTCCTGTTTTTTAAGATCAAAGACCTCGAAGATGATGGCTACTACACCGCGTTCAAAGAACACTTGAAGAAGCTGGTGGATGACGGCAAGATCACCACTGGCAGCCAGTGCAAGGAGTATTTCGAGAGACATGACGGCGTTAATGAGGCCCGGGAAAGGGTGGACACTCGTCCCGAGGATCGCGAAACGTTCAATGCGATCAACATTACCTTCTCCGGCAAGGGTACGAGCAAGCTCCTTGGGGGGTATGACCACCTGAAGCTCCGGGACCTGCTGCATGAGCGCGGTATGTACCAGGATATGGTCAACGAAGGGCCCGACGAGACCGAATCCCTGGCCCCCGAATACCGGCCGCCCCCGGGCTGGCCGGCTAAAAACGACGACTGGCGGTGCGACGGGATGTTCATCATCGGCGCCCAGCGTGAAGAGGACCTGGAGGCCACGGTCAAGGACCTCAAGAGCTACTTCCACATCGCCGACGATCATACCGTTGACGCCAAGGAGGCCAGCGCGAAGATCACGCTGATCAAGAAGGGACACGTTCGCAATGCCGATGGCAAAGCGCAGCGGAGGTTGATTCCCGATGAGAAGGACCCCTCAAAGAAACGCCTGGAGAACCTCCGGGGCAAGGAACAGTGAGTCTTTCCCTGGGAAATCTTGCAGACCACCTTCTCTCTGACCTTTCGGCTTGCTTCTGCTCAGTTTTGGATTCGAAGACCACATTTCGCAGCCTGCCATCGAGGGCCTGGACCCAGCGCCCAAGGATGGCGAGCCCCAGGCTATTGCCCCCGGGTAAGTTGAAGTCTTTTCCATCCATCAAAGATAGGGTACTGACGCGTTGCCAGTGTGATATTCCTCAACCGCCGTGGGGACAACACCAGGTCGCCGGCTTGGGCCACAGATGGCAGTTTTTTAGTCTTCCGCGAGATCGAGGAGAGAGTGCACGAGTTCAACGAGTACAGTTTGCTCTGGTCCCCTGCGTGAGCGTTAGGCTGATACGGTCCCTACAGATTCGTGAAGGCGGAGTCCAAGAAGATGACCACCTTTAACGACGGCACCGGCGAGAAACTGGCCGCTCATATGATTGGACGATGGAAGAACGGTAAGAATGGTGCTATCCCCCATCTAGGAGGGCAAGTTTAACGGTGCCTGTGCAGGGTCCCCTGTGGCACTGGACACCGAGAACTCGGTGGCTCAACATCCCTTTGCCAACAACTTCGAGTTCAAGAACCAATATTCCCACCCAAGTGAGATTAAGTGTCCGATTGCCGCGCACATTCGGAAGATGCGTCCTCGCGCCGACCTCTATATCTCGAAAGATGGCGGGGAGGTCTCTGCGCAGGAAAACTACTGGAACAACACAAATGTGATCCTGCGTCGCAGCGTCACGTTTGGTCCAGAAGTCCAGTCGGGCGAAGAGAAGCTGGACCCCTCAAAGCGCCCCAAGCGAGGCATTTACTTCCTGTGCTACCAGGGCGACCTCCGGAATGGCTTCAACTTCCTAACCAGTCGTAAGTTCACCTAGCCCCACCCCCCTGGCCTGCTCGTCCGGCCCTAACAACATCAGGCTGGGCCAGCAACGAGGTCTTTTCGGGAAAGAAGGGGTGGGAGATGCGCCCTGGCCAGGACCCCATCGTCAGCCAACGCAACCGCCCCGAACATCCGGAGCCCACGTTCGGCATCTACGACGGCGACAAGCCCAGTGTGCTGAAATTGGGCTATCTGCCGTGGATCGACCAGCGCGGGGGAGAGTATTTCTTCACGCCGTCAATGGAGGCATTGCGGGGAGTGTTGGTGGAAGAGCCGGAGTAGGCCATACGGCCATACCAAGTCTTTAGGAGTACATATTCAATCAACTAAATCTCAGCATCAGAATTAGAACTAGTTACCCCCGCAGGGATCGGATATTCAAGCACTTGTCGTTTGCGTCCTTGAAGTTGAAGAGGATGTAGCCGATCGTTCCTCGATTGACTCCGAGTTGGAAGCCCCTATTATTCCTGAGAAGGTTACGCTGCTGCCGCTGCCGTCGCTGCTGTCTGGTGCCATTCTCGAGTAGGTCAGGGTTTTGTATTGGGGGGTGATAGTTGCGCTGTCGTACACGATGGACCAGACGGCTTTGTTCGATCCGCCTCCTCCTTGCTCAACTACCATGTGTTAAGCAGGTCCTGTACGCGCGCGTGTCATGTCGGTCGGTACATAATGATTTCCAAATTGACGGAGCCACGTCAGGAGGCTGTCAGTCCTGGTTGGGCATCGCCCAGGCCGTCGTAAAAAGAGCTTGGCTTGCATGCCAGGTGGTAGATAGCTACCCACCTATCATGGCCGATAGGGCGCCGCGACAAGTAGATGCGCTAAGGAGGAGCCTTTCTGGTCTGGGTCTTGAATAATAAGAGGAAATACCACGGTTACAAAACGCATGCTCGCCGATGGATACGCGCAACTTGACGCAGAAGACACCTCGGTACAACCCTCGATTTGGCGGGAGGTATATATAAGATAATGAGCTGTCCTACACCGCTCTGCTGCCATGACGGTCAATATTGCTAGGAAGATCTGGTGGGGAGGAGTCACTGTAAATTAAGAATACATCAGTCAATGAGCCTCGTTGGATATGTCGAGAAAGGCGGGTACTTGAAGCCTATGATGGTATTCCCGGCAGCCTACATAAGCAAATTTACGTTGAGGAATATATTCAAGGAAATGTTGATTAGGACAATGGTACCGTATAAGCTCAAGAATATATATTTTGTACTTTATATACCATATCAACCATAACCTCTGCTAGAATTAGATAATAAGGGCCGGAGGAGCCGAATACCGCTAAACATGATTCTATATAATTTACCTAGACTTGATACTCTATACACAGTGGTATTGCGATATTTATTCATATTGTGACTAGAACAGCAGTCAATTATAGTACACAAGCTAGATGAATCATCACTTTATTCATCCAAATTAGCAAAAACTTGGCAAGATTATGCAAATTAGGTTCCATCCGGTTTGAACCTGAGTCGAACCTGATAGAACCGCGACCCGACTTAGGTTCCTAACATCAGAACCTGAGAACCTCAGGCTTAGGTTCAAGGTTCCGATCTTTGGAACCTGAATCGGATCATTTCGAGGCCTACTTGCACTAGGAATCTAAGACCCGATGGGCAGGACCACAGTATAATATTTAGTCATTTTATCCTAAGTGCAGACTGGACGAGGGAGTTGTAAGAGGGAGTTCTTATCATGACCCTCCCCACTTCCTGAGGGACCGTTAACAGAAACTCATGGCTTCGGAGGTATCTCCCGCTGGATCTTAACAGGCCTCTCAGCAGCCGCAAACCAAATATCTTTTCCGATAAAATCCTCCTTCACATCCCTACCCAGCAGCCATATCTCAATATTATTCGAAGTGACGAACTTGCGCATAGGAGAAGGCTGAGTCACATTAAAGGCTTGTTCTTCCCCATCATGGACCCCGACTTCGACCGGATCAGGAACAAGCATTGGAATCTCCGTCTCTACTCCCCGCTTATTCAATAGGCGAACCGTGTGGAATTGCTGACCGTCGTTGGCGCAGCCGCCAGGCACAGCAGCATCGCAATAACGCCTGCGGGAGCCATCGGTATTAGATTCAGAAACTGATAAAGGAGGGATAATCACTCTTACAGCCCGACAGAATTCGTTATGAAAGTATAATACTGGCCCCCTGCCACGACTCCGTTTACAACGAAGAACCCTGACAGCTGGCCCCCCTGCGAGTAGTTGTCGGCCGCGGGGATACACCGCAGATATGCGCCGTCACCACCCTCTGTTGAGCTCGCGAAGGGGAACTCGTCGCACGATGGTCCGATAACAGGGTGTGGTGCAGTCAACGCATTGCAGATTGAGCCTGCGCAGCCAGCTCGCTTGCGTTGGGCTGTTGAGCTACCAGGTGGGCCGCGCGTCTGGATGGGGTTTGCATTGCCGCATTGCACTGCGAAACAGGCGTTAATGCACGCTTGTCGGCTGTTGGCACAGTTCCAGGCAAAGTTGGCCTGGCAGTGCACGAGGATTGCTAAGGATAGGAGTAGAAATAGTGAAACCATACTAGTAGGCGGAGTGACCTGCGAACGTAGTTGTCCGGGGCAGTGGGTGCACACACCGACTAGGTATTTATTCTAAGTTTCTTCGCCATTGGAGCTCTGTAGCTTAGACTAGAGGGGCTGGGCTGAGTGAGCAGCTGCAAAAGTACTTCGCTTAGGTTTACTCTTCTTGCGTTGTTGGCGTGAAATCCCCACGTCTGGCAGGGGAGTTAGTTGTTAAGGATGTAGCTGCGAGATGGCAACTTATGCCGATGATCATGCCTTGCTTCCATTGGTGAGTCCGACTGAAGTGGCACCCAGCTTGTTCAGCCGAGCAGAGAGATGCGCATGGTAGTTCCCAGACGATACTTCTGATATAAAATACCTGTCGCTCTAATGCAACTTTCGCCCGGACTGGAGTCTACGCCGTCATCATTCTGATTGAATAGATAGAACTTTTTTTCAGGTCAACTGCCTGGTACATTGTACAAGAATTACCGGACCAACCCACCAGCCATTATGATCCTCGATCCCCTCGTTGGCGTATTCGTGACCACTCTCCTGTTCACAGAGACGGTATGCATGTCTATGTACGTTTCGCGGAAGCAGCTCGTCGCTAATAACACCTACAACTGAACAAACAGGACATGAATCATCTCCTACAACAGGCATATCAGGACCTCCCTCGAGAGCAGCACGCCCTATACGTGATCCAATCCCTGGACCTGCCTTCGCCCGACACCCCACCAACCGAGACTGTTCCACTACTCAGATACCCCTTCGTGCCGTACAGCCCGGAGGACATCTCGCGCTTCCTGCACCTGCACTGTGGTGACGGGTGCGCCCTCTCGCCCCTGCAGTTCATCGTGATCGATCGTCGTACCAAGAGCGGCGACGGGACGGTCTTATATGCGCGGTCGGAACCGGGGAATGTAGATGGACGAGAACTGGAGATGGTGAGATTGGAGCCGCACGAAATGAATCTGATTCCTGTTGCAGTGGAAATCGGCGCGGCTGGGTTCGATGAAGTGCGTGAAGCGGCTGCGTTGGGGCTTGAGCTGTGAGTCCATAATTGCTAGGAATGATGGAGTTGCTAGTTGCCTTACGAGTAGACAGAAAGTTTGATTCACAGCCTACGAACCACAACAAGGCAAATCATTGGAAAGTGGCTGGCTCCGAGACAGAAGGAGCGCCTGTGGCTGTAGCCTCCCTGGGTTTGGTGCTGAAAAGAGCGCTTAGTAATCTGATAAAACGGTCGTCAGTAGCGATTGGATCAGTTTGATGTGAATATTCTGCACATTTGCCAGCCTGAAGAGCTGGGGGTGCTCGTATCCGATGTGGTTTGGTCCAGCCCAATTGGTGGCGTCTTATCTAAGAGTAAATACAATAGGTCGTCTATGGACTGTCGATTGAGTTTCGATGTGGAGGGCTTAAGGAAGGACATGGGGGCGAGATATTATATATAGCAAACAATCTGATTCGAATTCAATACAAACTAAGGAAGGCAACAACAACAAGCATTCTGTGCTCGTATCCTTGCTCTAGTTCCATCGCACATCAGGAACTTTAAGCGAATTCGAACTGCATCTGCTCATTGTGAACGAGAACAACGTTGTTGGTACCACGCTGGTTGAAATCAACCGCCATGGTGGAGCCTTGCTGTTCCACCTTGACGAGCTGGCCAGCATCAAATTTTGAGCCAGTGGCAACATGGTAGATCATCTGGGGCTGGATCTGGTAGGTCGAGCTGGGGTACGGGGTGAAGGTTCCCATGGCGTGGAAGATGTCGCCATCTTTCGAGTTGGCGATACCAACCATGAGATTGCCTATCATCTGTTATATCCTGATCCCTAATCTAGCTATGGACAGGTTTCTAGCTTACTGTTGACAGCATCCTGGTAGGTAAATTGGTTGGATGCGGTAGTCATCTGGAAGTTGCCGATCTTGCCGCCACCGGGGTTGCTGGGAGGACCGAGATCGCAGGTCTCCTTCTCGATAACATTGAGAGCAACGGTGGATCCCATCATGACAATGCCGGAGTTCTTAGAGCCCAGGGTGACAGGGACCGACTTGCTCACGGAGACGCGGACGCCTTGCTCGGGCTTTCCCTCATAGTTACCGCAGATGGCGTAGTAGTTTGCCCAGATGTCTAGGGACGCTCTTGCGCCATTTGGGGTATTGTTGGCTGCCTTGAGGATGTTGCTCCAGATCTCGCCCGAGGAGCCACCGGAGACGATTGGGGAAGCAGAGAAGAAGCAGTAGTTCTGGGGAGCCCCGGTGTTGTTCACGATGGTGATCTTGTATTGGTTAGGCATCTTGGAGATGAAGGGATTGCGAATTGAGAGTATTTGTTGATAGACTTGAATTCAAAGACCTGATGACTGAGGTTACTGATATGAGAGACGACAAGGTCCTTTATATAACCAAGTCGAGATCATAGCAAGAAGAGGCAGAATGGGACAGTAAAACCCCTCTGGCACACTGTAGTGGAATGGCTGGCTGATACACGATAAACTGTGGTAGTTTCAAGCGAGCTGAGCTGGCTTACATGCATCTCGGTGTGGTCTCCTCTTTTGCTTTGGAATTCATCTTCCCCCAACCTCGACTCCCACCAACGATTCATAGAAATCATGACCGTAACTCGGCAAGTCTCTCCAGCAGCATCAGCCACGACCATTTCTTCCACCGTGAACAGCACGACCCGGGAAGGTGATCCCGCCGAAACCTACTCGTTCACCATTGTGAACCAGTCCGGTGTCAGCCAGAGCTACGCGATATTCTGCAAAGAACCAGCTGTCCATCCCCCCGCACATGGACTCGTCTCGCACGCTGTTCTCGTTGCACACGGAGTTGCATCTGGGTCTGGCACAGCATTTCTCGCCCTGCCTCGCACCGAGCTCTACGCTCTCTGCGGCACGAATTACATGGATGGATCTGTACAAGTTCGTGTCTTAGATCGCCGTCAAGTTTCCCTGGGAACAGGCTCATCCGACACACTGCGCCATGGCACGACCTGTGTGACTCAAGTGACTTCAGCCACCCCTTCCTTCGACCTATGGGGGGGGGCAGCAGATGATCGTGGAGAGGTTGGCGCGTTCTGCATCGAGACCGGAGCGGATTTCACGTATGAGCAAGCTGCCGCCAGTGAGTTCAAGCACTTATCTCCTACCCTTCCAAATATAATGATGAGGCTAATTGGACATAGAAAACTTCATCCTCGGCCTCGGCCTCAGCTCCTCCGGACACGAACTTGTTGGTCTCTACGCTTCCTTCACTCCAGTTCCGCGGACAACATATCAGATCTGGCCCAGCAAAACATTCTACGTTGTGCCTGAACGAACGGAAGTCAACGCCCCAAGGACTGCTACGGATCTTCGAACTGCGTATGAAATTGACTTTACTATGCGCCTGCCACATGTTCAACTAGTACATAATGAGAGCAACGTGATCGAGATAGTGGACCGGGATCCTACCCCCGGATCTGCTAATCCTTCGAAACTCTGACATCCGGTTTAACCTTTTCGTTCGTCGTCAAATTCCAAATCTGTGCTTTCTTCATAATCCCACTGTCTCTCATTATTGCTGTCACAATCTCTTGAGTGTCGATAGCTTCTTGCAGCCACCACATCTCGCCGGACCAGGAGTTCCATTCGTAGAAACGGCCTGATCCATCTTGTAGCAGAAATATGTCTCCTTCAGTATCTCGTATGACTGGACGGAGAGAGTCAAGCCCGAAGTCGGTTGCCAAGTTCGGCTTATTTGGGTCGAAGTAAGTGGTCAATTCGAGCTCCGTGGCGTCGTTGGTCCAGGTGCAATATTTTGGAAGGTCAACAGCAACAGGAATTGGCAAAGGTGCAGGAGGATTCGATTTGTTCGTATCTCCTTCTCTCGTGACGTTGTCTGGTAGATGGTCCATTGTGCTTAACAGGTGTATGACAATGGATAGAGAATGCCATCTCAGGCGGAAAAGGCTAGCGACAGCAATGGATATGCATGATCTGTTCGGTCATCGAGATATGAGCAGTCCGTGGTGGAGGGCTCAGTATATTCAAGTGTTTGCTAGCGATCTGAGCCGTTAAGTGGGTCGCTTGGAATTGCCGTGGCCCTTGCGTGCATAAGCTCCAGACCCTCTACCCCGTATTTGGCGGAGAGTAACTCCTGAGGATCCCTGTTCTTCAGTCTTCAATCTCGTGTTATGGTCGGATTGGTTATGAGCAATATCGTATGATTTTTGCAGTAAACTTAACTTTGCAGTTAAATCGGCCCTCCGCGAAACGTCATTGAGCTGCGGCTTAGGATTACGTTCCCACAGTCTAGGCGGTGCACCTATTTCAAAAGTCTCGTAGGTCTGGCTCATCCTACCAGACCTATCACGCAGCCACTAGGTTGTGATCCGGTTCTCTTTCCTATTTAGCCAGCTTAGCTGCATCATCAGTCACCACTATCGAACCTGCTTCCAGTATCGGCCCCATTCGCAATCACAATGGCATCATGGGACTCATTTTCGGCGTTTAGTGGAAAGTTGAACCCATCTCTGCTGAAGCCTGCTCTAGACTCAGTTGGCAATGTCGATTACCCAGCCGCGGTTCGAAGATTCAGTCAGTGGATCCGCGACTTACGACAATCTCCAGCGGACTATGGCATTCCACTTGAACGGATCAACGATGTGCAGAAGGTACTGGACGTATTCTTACCAGTGCCAGCTGAAGGTCAGCCAGTTCAGCCACGCCGAATCAACTCTCGCCAAGGGTTTCCTGCGTCCCTGCGGCAGATAGTCCCCGTTGAAGTTCAGTTCGGACCCCAGAACGCAACTCTTCCCATCGTCGATGCTCCTAGTGCACTGGGCTACGTCTTCAGCTTTGCGACGCCAGCTCCAGGGGCTGAGAAATTAACATTCGATGGCTATTATCTTCCACTTAGCGTATGCTATGCGTGGTTTCTCTACTTAGCGTTTCTATGGCCTGTCTCCTCTCTTACGCCAGTTATCACGAATGTCCCGCGCGAAGCATGTCTGCTTTACTTGCCCAAGTCACTCCAGACTACGGTACCAGTGTTTTGCTTCGGCGCGGTATGGTCTGGCGCTGACCCAGCCAACGCAGAAGGCGCTGGTCTGATCTGGGATGATGAAGCTCAAATGGATCTGTGGCGACAGGAACACTTGATCATACCCTTGTTCTCTCGCAACCCTACTGTGCCCATGCCAGACTGGACACCGACAGTTAGACGTACAGCAGCGAGGCTTCTTAATGAGTACATCCTTGGAAAGAAGGGCAGCGACTCAACGGTGACCCCATTCCTTGACCCGCTCTTTACTGGCGTCCTGCCGAAGCTGCCGGGACTTGGAGCCAACGCTGGCCTCGCAGAATATCTTGAAGCTGTATCGCTACTCGTAAAGGTGGACGCTAAGCAGCCCCTGGGAGTCAGCACAGCTCCAGATTTCCTCATTGCTCATTCTAAGCTGAGTTCTCAACTGATGTGTCTTTTGTATGCTCTCGTAGACTCGTTAACCAACGTGGAAGATATACCGAAGCTCTTTCAAGACATCCAACCTCTCGTGCGCTTCTATGTCACGCCGCATGTATTCGACCCGATAACAGACCAGGAGCTACCGCTCGGGGAACAATCACGTCCAGTTGTCGAGACATTGATGACAGCCCTTCCTGCATTGGTACTTGAGCCCATGAGGAAAAAGCTGAAGAGCCTATACTGCCATTTGTACTCTCTGTATGAGAGCACCGACGACCAGATTCGCTACGTTGAAAGGTCTTATTTTATTGACCAGCGCAAGTCTTACGCACGTGCGACGGAGGCATTGCCTATCTTTGTGCTTTCGTAAGTTGCCTCCTCTACCCCTATCCTTCCTGATCCAGCTCACCCATCCAAGGCCAGAATACTTCGGTGACAAGTTACCAGCGTCTTCTATGTCTCAGGTCAGAGGTGTCAAGTTGTCCGTCCGTGTCCTTGGTCAGGCCATAATGGGCGGCGCCTTCCGGGAAACGTTTTCTGCGGATAAGCTGGACGAGATGTCCTTTCAAGCTATCCAGGCTCAGATAGTGCAGACACCGATTATTTCGCCCCCAGATACAGAGAGTCGGGTGTTACTCACGCATGCTCAGCTACGGGCTATTGATTCGTTGGCAGATTATAGTGCAGATGCTCGGGCCACCTGTCCGAAGACATTTGATTTATTTTCTTGACGTAACTTAGGCATTGTTAATCATTATCTTATTTGTTTTCTAACTAGATCTGCATCTAGAGTAGGTTAACCTAACCGTTGTACCTTATCTATAACCTAACCTTAACCGGTTAGATAGATTAAGGTATAAAGAATCTAATAACCTAATCTACCTGCCGGTTAACTGCCGGTAGCGTAGGTTAATAGGATTTTTATACTTTAACCTAACTGAGTGGTTATAGTTAGGTTATAGTTAAGGTACAGCGGTTAGGTTATGCAACTCTAATAGTAAGGTTAACTATAGTTAATCTAACTAAAAACTTAACTAAACTAAGCCTAAATAAATAAAATATATAGATCTTAGCGCTGAGAACAGTTAATCAAAGTAATCTAACTTAATCTTTTTTATATCTTAGTTAGGAAAAAAATAAAGTATTTAATCTTACCGTTAACCTGCGGTTAGATTATAAAGAAAGTCTTTAACCTGGCCTACCCTGGCCCCTGACCATTACCTACTCTATTTAAGATTAAACAGAGATAGTAAAAGTAAGAAATTTCAAAAATTGGTTCTATATCAAAGTTATTGTTTTTTCCAAATAAATATTGCTATCTCCTTGGGCTAGTAGATTTTAGTCACCCTTATGCTTGAACTACAACACTAGCAGGTCACGCTGCTTAGATGGATCCTAAGGTCTGATAGGGTCCTCTATCGCCAAAATAAGGTATATAGGCTCCCGTCAATAGTTGTCAACCTCATATCTTATACACCATTTGCCAACGTCTTATAACTTTATCACTGGCACAAGGTTCCATGTACAAGGCCCAGGTGCCAAATAATGGGATCGAAAACCAATACTGCCCTCTTGACGCTCTAGTGCCAAATGTTCTTTTTGGAAACTCCCGATTGTTATATATTGACCAGCTAAGAGACCTTAGAAATACTTCAGGGACACGAACCTAAACAGGTGAGTGTAGGGCTCTTGAGTAATGGAAAAATATGCATCTGAAGAGACATCGCGTTGATCACAACAAGCGCGGCCGCCAGATGATGAATTGCTCCCTATGTAGAGATTAGAAGTAGACTTCAAACATTAGATCAAGAAATTTTAACCTGGTGCAAGAGCCCGTCGGAGGTAGCAACCTGTAGTCACATCTTTGAAGTGATACTGATACTTAGTATCGCTCTTCACAATTTACCCACAGGACAGCTTTCATTCGGTTGTTCGAACTGCGTTCGTTAGCATTACCTGTCTAATACAAAATAGACGGTTATTTCTAACAAACAAAACTCCTGCTTCTCTGTTTTGTAGCAACATAGATTCTTTTCGTGCTTCATGTAGAAGAGTTTCCAGCAGCTGCAAACCCGTTAGGAATCTCAAATCAGACTCCTCGACCCTGATGGACGACCTACTAATTGTTCAATCGTTTTTCATCTTGGGCAGGGCTCTGAGGGGTTATCAGATTCTGATCTTGATGTGTGCATATTAGGCACATACCGGCAAAAGTTGCTTGAAGATCAGAGGGTTCAGAAACTGTCCGACTCTGTACGGATCCACGGCGACCCGTGGATCTTCCGCGACGGCATCGACCTGAGAACACAAAATTAGGAGAGGCTAAGGGATATGAGTGAGCGCTGAAAGACAACTACGTCTTGGACTATGCGAACCATCTGAAGCCGACAGTGAAGACGAGCTCTTTCCAAGCCTAAGAGGGTTGCATCATACACGCTATCCGGTATATGCGGAAAGTCATTCTTGGTCAGGTCCGGGAGATTCAGGTTGCCTTCACTGATGATTTTTGCATATTCCTCCTTCATCCTTTTTATTTCCTCCTCCGCTTGTTCAGGTTTTGGAATCAGCGTCGTTGCCGCTTCCGACATCTGTTGGGCCACTAAGCCGGGTCAGTCGCCGTCGGAACTTGCGCTTCAGTGGGATGTGTTACTGGGTTGGATCTCTCTCCAGATTGCCTTATATTCCATATAGCTCTCCAGCAAAGCGTTTGTGTACACTCCGGCGCTTTCGTAGTTTAGTGGAGTCCCTTTGTTGCTCAGCAGCTGGTACGACCGAAGAGCCGTATATTTGGTTAAAATCGCACTGGCTCGGTCCAATGTGTTAAGGTAGGAGGTTCCAGATTTTTATCTAATGGGATATGACTTACTGGGTCCTCTGTGGATAGACGCGCACTTTGTCTGCGAAGTAAAATGCTGCCTTTGCCATGGTTTTAATTGTCTGTCTAGACTTGTTGGAGTTGGTAATGACCCCAGTATTAGGGTAATTCGTCTTAGCTGGGGTAGCGTTTGTCGCATCTTCGTTGCCGGAAGCGACACTCGTGATGTCAGACTGAATATCCCCGCCACCAGTCCAGGAGACACTTCGAAGCCAGTGAGCATTTTCGCTTTAGCGAGGGTACGGTAGCTTACCTGATTGACGACTCTGTGTTTCTCAATAGCTCCTCCTTCGTCACGGATCCTGCCTTTGAAAGATTTAGGGACAGTTGTCCTTTGATGTCGCTGATCTTTGTTTTGTCCATCACCTTTACGGAGAGGAGGGCATTAAACTCGCTTCCTTTCAGAAAGCTAGAGATGAAACTATCTCTATAGACCTCGGTGAAGGGGCTTTGGGCCTTGGCCGACAAATTGGGGATTGCGTTGAACTGGGTCATATCCTCGGCTACTAGTAGCTGGTTGACAACCTTGACTTGAACGAAAAAGTTGATGTCGTTCTCTTTGATCTTTGATGAGTCGATGTATGCTGCGTGTGTTTATTAGCCAGCGATTACTGGCCCTGGAAAGCCAGACTTTTACATCCGGAGTCTTTCACCCCGATACCATTGTACTTGATTTTAAGGGACCCTGAAGCATGGAGCGTAGGTAAAATTTAGTTCTTCTATGGGAGAAAACGCAGCTGGATAGTGACGGAGGTGAGACGAACCGCTAATACTCATTGTATCTGTGATATCACTCGCATGCTCCATAAATCTGGATGTAAAGGTGACCTGCTGGCTGACCCCATTGTCGTTGTGGGGACCTGACATTTTTGGGCGCAAGTCTTTCTCACTTGCCGTAGATTTGTTATCCTTGATCACTGCATCATTGACATAAACCTGCTGGGTATAAGAATTGAATCTAGGACTTTTTATTAGCGTTTATTCTTCGAGTTTGGGTGATACTTCAAAGTACCCACCCTGAGCCAAGTCTCATGGCATCGTTATAGGGCGCTGTGCGCAAACGCATGGTGACGGTGGTTTGGATATGGAAGATACCATGGATACGTTTCTAAGGGTCGTCCTAGTCCCTAGGGCACTACTGCGAGCAGAAAAGAGAGATTCACCGAGGTGAACGCTTGTATTATACTTACTCGTCGGAAGTACAGTGGAACATGCTCATACCCCATATAACCACCAATCCGCAAGGAATCCAATTTCACCCACTACAGAAGGGGCAAAATTCCCGGCTCAAGGATGCACGGGTAGAAAGGATTGCGTAAGAATGCCCCAAGCGCATCAAAATTGCGCAATCAGTATGCCTAAATGCTTGACGCCGTAAAGATTCCGCATGCATGCATGCGGCTTCAACTAGCTGTCATGATGGGCAAAGGCAAACACATAACTTGCGATTAGCACCTGTTATTTACCCCCTTCTCTGGGGTTAATTATTCCAGATGATTAACAATTGTAGGCTTCCTGGGTAACCCTGGTCTGACACACTTGTGCTAGTCAATTGTTTTGAAAGCGGGTTACCGGAATCTCCAAGTATTGATTTTTCTGCTCTGAGTCCATCCACCCTGTGATAAACCACCTGGCTCCCATAAGTAGGATCTTTGAAGGGTGGCGGACTCATGCACTGCGGTGATACACTTTAAAAGAAAGTCCTCCTTTGGGATAACATCGCTTAGCTGTAGCAGCACCGTACAGGTGTTATTGTGTCAAACCAGGGCGTCTCGTATCGGGTGCTGAGACCTCACCGCCCATACAAATTGCCTTAGTCAGACAGTCCCTGCACCTCGCTCCTAGACCTCCAACCGGACCGCAAAGCTCCGGAAATGACCCCTAAATGGCGGTCAAGATTGATCATAAATAGAGACGCTTTTCTAGTAGATTTAGCGCAATCAGAGTCCTTGCTACAGTCCCATTCAGGTGGTAGATTACGCAGTAATTCAGACATCTGCATAATTGACATATTGACTGCTGGGAGGCTGGGAGCGGGAATGTCACGTGGTTTCCACGTGAGTACGCCGATAAGGGGTTGATAAGGGATCGCCCCACAGTGTTTTGTATGATAGAGTTGATTATCATCTTCCTCCTAGTCAAGCAAGCAATCGAGCAAGCATTCCTCCTGGTCCTTCTGACATTGAATCGTGGGGGGACTACTGCAGTCGGGCTTCCAAAACAATACTACAGCTATAATCCTCTCCCTTATTCTTAGGAGATTTGCTCTAAAAAACAAAAAGTGAGAGCCCAACGCGGGGGTCGAACCCGCAACCTTAAGATTTCAACATAGAAGTCTTACGCTCTGCCATTGAGCTAGCCGGGCCGTCGGTTAATTCGCTGCGAAGACAACTGTCTTAACATCGAAAAGTAATATCCACACCAACAGCAGCCGTCACCTGGGGCTCTTAGACCTCTCACAAGCGAGGACGCGATGTCCTAATTTAATTAATGCCCTATTTTGGACTTCCGTATCGACGATCTACAAGAAGATGGAAATAGATGTGAAGAAGAAAAAGAAAAGGAGTAGAAGACCTGGGAGATCCACAGATATATATATCCTTGTGGTTCCTGGTCGCATGTTCCATTGGGACACACTATTAGTCACCTCTAAAGTAAGGGCATAGTTGCCCTGTACAAGCGGCGACATAATATTAAAGCTCTATTCTAAGCTCAAAGGCAGCATTCTTCCGTCTTCCTATTTCTTATAGCAACTTACTAACCTAAAATACATTCTATAGACTCTACAGAATAGAGCCTTAAGAAAGTTATTACAGATAGTCTTCCAGCGGTTATTAATTTAAATGTCTTTAAGACAGCCCTAAAGTTTAATAAAACCCGCTGATCGGTGTCCGTTCCCAAGCTAAAGAATATAATAGAAAAGAGACTCGATAGAGCCTTTTATAATCTTCTGGGCATGTTGACAGATTACCCTTCTCTAGGCTAAAGAGCATTGCCCGACGCAAAGTCTCTACTATAGAAGATCTCAATTATCGCCGACAATACCTGTATAGTCTAGAGGCATATTCCAAGGTTTGTCGCTATCAAGCTGTTTAACCTAGATAGCATCTAGTATACTTTTTGTAATCTCCTTACCTTCAAGCCGACGGAGGCTAGGGTTTATCCATTAGATAAGATTATTAGTGACCTTGTTAACGCCTCCGTGGTTCTAAATAGCCTCGGGATAATTGAAATAGGGCGACAAAGACCCAGGAAGTTAACCGCGAATAATTTAGTTAATTATTTTGCTAAAAAAGGGTTTCAGGCATGGTAAGGTAAAAGATGGTTGGAGGGAAATATCCTGCTTCTATATTAGAGATATACACCGATATAGCTTAGGAAAAACTTTTGCGTACATCCCGCACATCTTGTTCAGTTGCTAGCCATTTGGCCTCGTTGTGTTCAGAGGAGTAAACAGTAACGTTCAGGTTCCGTGACGCAGAGAAGGGTTGCATTTTACGCCACTTGGCATTCAGTCTAGGCGATTCGACAGAGAAAGGTTGTATTTTACGCCTTTTGGCATTCTGTCTACGCGATTCGACAGAGGTGTTCACGTTCGGAGACTGGCCAGACGAACGGACAGGATATGTCGTGCCCTGAGAATGCGATAGTCTTGACAAATGGGTTATAGTGGAAGGACCGGGCGCTGGAGACGGAGCCCAGCCAATATCTGTAGATAGTCAATACAATTAAGATGTATCCTAATAGTATTAACGGTAGCTTGCTTTGCAATAACTTACTAGAGTTATAGACCTGAGGAGCCTTGCAGATACTCTGATGGTGGCCTTTGGCTCCACACCGTCTGCATTTGACTCTCCTACAACAGATAATACCGTGGCCTTCTCTGTTGCAGTAAATGCAGAAAGTGGCATTAGGACAGTAGTTAGTCCTATGGTTAAGCTTGCCATAATATTGATAGATCTTCTCGGGGTTGAACATCTTCCTAAAATTAAGCAGAAGCTTGTATATGGCAATAATCGGGGAGATGCGAGGTTAACAGCAGATAGGCTAAGATCTTGTGAACAGTGAGCTAGAGAAGTAGGGTATGACTCTCACGATTGAAGGGTCAGCGAAATTTAGGCACAGTCAATAATGAGTGCGTCATGGTAGTGGGTGGATTGGTAGGAAACAATGTGGCTTGGCTTGGATGACAAGATACAAACATCACCTAGGTACCTGGTAGTTAACTACGTAGGTAGTCCCCTTTAGGACTTACCTTCCTCTCAGCAAGGACTTGTGCCTGAGGCATATATAGACGCCTTAAGTGCCCAAAGCGGCCTGAATTTGCCATAGTCACGTGACCATTCCGACCCTCACACACTCCTTTTGTATTCCTAATCAATCAAGCACACAGGTATATACCTTCATTATTCTATATCAGAGTCTTCACCTAGATTTCATCAGCATATCTATCATCCTTTATTACTTCCCTTCTTTCTAACTCCAGAGTACCTGGGCGGTTATTGTGGGGACGGGCCGCAGTGAACGATGGGGTGTCTTACCCCCTCATCTCTGCATCAGATCAATGAATGCAGGATGTCTGTTCTTTCTGGCCGTGGAGCGGAAGATGTTGCGGCACAGTGTACTAACTTGAAAGCATTGAAAGTCCTCGTTTATGGTCCGAATGGCGGTCTTGTAAAAGAGCAAAAGGCCGATTACCGGTTCCTCCGAGATGCATTGCACGACATTAATTCGCATTTAGAAGGTAGCTGACCGAGGATCACCGTTCTACCTTACGATGAAATCTCGACAGCAAGAGAATTACGAAAACAGGCGAATAACCTAGATATACCTATATGTACCCTATGTTCTTTCCCTCCTAAGTATATAACTTGGGTACCAGTTAAGAAATTAGCCTAACCTGGCGCAACTTTTTATGCTCTGGTGGCTACATAAGCAGCTTTAACTAACTAACTAATGTTTTCAACAGGTGAGTGGTCCACACGGATAAGTAATCTAATTTTCCTGTATTTGTCGATCACCCATGACAAGTGAGATGTATAGCTTTAACATAGCTTTTAGAATAATTTTCTATAGAATCTCTGAATAAATACTGTTGACAGAAAAAAAAAAAAAAAAAAAAAAAAAAAAAACGCGTTGTGAATTATTGCAGAGTGGCCGCAATGGCTTGCCATAGCACGTGGGAAACTTGACATATCTACGCGCCCTGCCAACCCGACACACCCCGTTAAAGTTGGCGGAAGACGCCCACGCCCTCCGACACCCGTTGAGTCAGCGGAAGACGCCCACCCCCAACACCCGTCGAGTCAGCGGAAGACACCCACGCCCCCCGACACCCATTGGGTCAGCGGAAGACGTCCCCATCAGAGGGTGTGGGTTTAACACAAGTAGGCCAAGTAACTTTAAAAAGAATTCGAGAGGATTCGAAGGAAAATTGGCCATTTCAAATAGACAAGAGTGAGCGAGTGTTTGATGCTTTCATGTACTGTAATTATCAATCTGGCTAGTTAATAAGCCCCATTCCAAAGCTAGTGTTGGTGTGTACTTGAGTGCTTCGTCAAAAGTCCAGTCCTCGGACCTCCGCATAATATCATCTCCACATGAGTGAACTGGGGGAGTTTTTCTTGAAATGTTCTAAAGTAACGTAGATGGTGACATCCACGGTAGCCACGTACTCCCCCGTCGTTAAGCACTTTTATGGCAGATATCATAGGCCAAGTTCCACAATAATCGGAATTACAACGCTTGGCTTCGGTTTAATGGTCCCGCATGTCGATATCGGGGCAAACGTGTTTGAGAATCCGACCCATTGATAGGCTGGCAACCGAGAAGCCCGCTTGAAGATTGTCCTACCCCCAAAGATAGCAATTCCGGGCCAGGCGTAGTACTAGTGAGTATAGTGGATATAGCCTCAATACCCGTTCCCTTATGTTTGCTGGTTCTGACTTCGTGTTCTTGGCTTAATCGCTGGGTGATGTGGATTTATCGGGCTCGTCTGGGTCTCCGCTAAAGAACTACTCTGGAATTCTGAAGAATGGTCTATAAATATTGCTATCCCTCTGTTAAATGTCAATGCCTTTATTACACCGCCATTGTCTGTTGAAAAGGTATATCTTAATTGCATCGGTTACCCACAATGCGTTTCTCTTCTGCAGTTTTGTCATTTCTGGCTCTGGGTACTTCTGTTCTGGCCCACGCCGGCGGACACATCAGCCGTCGCGAGATCAGTCGTCGCTCACTCATGGGCCTTCAGTGCCGTGACAACGTTGCGAAGTTCCACGAACGACGCATCAAGCGTAACGTTGAACGTCGCTGGCATGGACACAACACCACCTGGTCTATTCACACTGAAGCCCCTTTCTACGAGACCATTCAAAATGACACCTGTGTTCTGACTCCCGAGGTCACTCAGGGACCTTATGTCTACCCTCCCTCGCAGACTCTGCGCCAGGACATGACCGAGGGCCAGGAGGGTGTTCCTCTGTGGTTGGATATTGGTGTCCTTAACATGGCCACCTGCGAGCCTCTAGAAGATGTCCTAATCAATATGTGGCACTGCAACGCTACAGGATCTTACTCCAGTTTCACAGGTCTTTCTCCCGACACCCCCTTCCCGGAGCTTCTCAAGCAGCTGCATATCAATGAGTCCGACTTCCAGGTCGGTGTTACTGATCTGCACACCGACAAGACAACTTTCTTGCGTGGCATGTGGCCCACCGACAAGAACGGTATAATGGAGATGAAGACCATCTTCCCTGGTAAGATTAATATATACCCACTCATTCATTATTGGGTGAACCGCTAACATACCCCAGGCTTCTACGTTCAACGTTCCATTCACATCCATGTCCAGGTGTACTCTGACTGGACTCTACGTGAGAACGGCACCATCATCACCGGTAACAAGGTCAGCACCGGCCAGCTCTACTTTGAGGAAGCTCTCGAGGAGAAGATCATGGCTCTGGAGCCCTATGCTTCCCACACCGCAATCAACCGCACCACGAACGCCGAGGACTCCGTTTTCCCTTACGACACCGCTGGTGGCTACAGCCCCATCGTTGATGTTGTTCCCGTTGACGGCAAGGATGTCACTAAGGGTATGATTGGATACGTTACCCTGGGTGTTGACACCACTGCTCTTGAGTATGGTGACAACTACGTCGGTGTCTCTTAAGTGGCCTGCTGTTGAGGCGGGATAGTCTTTATTATAGAATGAGCTCCTGGTGGAGTACAAAAATTGTGTATAGGCTTTGGACTGTATTCTACATGTTATGGCTTGCCTGAGTCTCTTGCCTGTGAATTGCCTATCTTGACAGAGGTGTTGGGTCCGTGATATTAACTAGACAAGTTACTGTTTATTCCTACAGCACATGCGGTAGGAGAAAGAGGATACTTAGCAGTTAATGAATCTATAATATTATGGAAAATCCGACTTTTTAGCGAGCGGGGCGACAGATATCCTAGAGAGCTCTATAATAACCAGCTATATAAATTTAGCGGAGATTAAAACTTTAACTCTATTTAATGATGTGACGGTTAGCCGGGCGCCATTTTTGGCCACACTCGGTGCCGTTTTACGCGGCCGTCTAACCAACCTCCGCCTTGGCGTCCCGTATACTAATTCCCACGGCCTCCGGAACTTCGGTGCACGCAGCGCCACAGCATCCTCTGCGCGTCGATCTGAAACAGCCTTGTCCGAAGGGTGGGAGCCAAAAATGGCTTCCCAGGAGTCATAATGTGCTCTATACTTAATCTGACTTACCAGGCCGACCGACCCCTATTCTTCCTCCAGACGTGCCATGTGTTGTTGTTTTCCTGCTTCTCGCCTCCCATACTTGCCGTTTTCGCGCACGTCAACATCCCCAATCTATTTATTTTTTCTGAACTCACTAATTCTTATATCTTTTCAGTTTCACTTGCTCTGTCAACATATGTCCTGGTGCCAGGGCCTGGATGGAAACAGACTCTGCGATTGCTCTACTAACTGATGGATTAAGCACGCCTCCCCGCTGCCTATCATTGCTTCGCCCCTCTCAGTCGTCGCGTATTCACATACTTGCTCCCATGCAGCTCCGCTTATCTTGCCACCTTCGGCGACTTCACACTGGACCGTTCGATGCTAGGGTAGCATTCAATGTCGGCAACGTGCAGACGAACATAGCTTTTCTGAGGCACGCGACGGATTCAACGGGCGAGAGCTAGTGGCGCCCGATGCCTCTTAGCGAGCGTAGTGGATTTGAACGCCGTCTCCGTGTCTCGGTCTCTCCGCTCCCCGGCCCAAGGCCCCTGTCAGATCGAACCGTCAAGGCGGTGAGACAATATCACTTATCGGCTCCGTAACCTCCGCTCCCGGTGTTGGATTGCGGAGAATTCTGGTCTGGCAATCTTACAGCCTGGACTATTTGTGCACACCTTACCGTCCACGGTGTAGTGCCTCGGCTTAATGTAAGACATCTTGCGAGCTTTAGTTATATCCACTCATTTGGCCCATATCGCCTTACCACACCCGACCCCGTCACTTATACTCTTGGAGATAGTATGAATATATTCCGCAAGCTCCGGAATAAGGTGAGTAGCCGGGCCGGTGGCAGCGAGCCTGCCGTCTCCTCCTCAACCTCAGCGCCGGCCAGGGAAGCATCCGAGGATGATGAATGCAACACCATAAACGCCTCACTGTCGTCTTCCACACCCCCACGCGCCATGCACATCAGCGAGGTGAAGCGGTCGCCGTACCGGGGATCAACCATACGCCGGGCCAATGTCGAACCCCAGTCCATCACCGTCATGGTTGCGCATGCGAAGGGAGCAACAGATTACTTAGGGCTTTATTCGGTATGTACTCGTCCATCTGTTCATCAGTGTATCCATCCCTCGGCCTAGCAGGATTAGAATCAATGTCAATAAGCTATATATATAGCTCCTCCAGCGCGAAACGAAGCACGGCAGCGAGTTCGACCCGACAGGTGACTTTGAAACGGACTACGTGTGTGATGGACACGTGTACAATGTCCGCTTCACGCCCGTTCCGAGCGCCACAGGGCCGTGGGCTCCGAATCTGGCGTTGCTTACGATAATGCAGCATGTTTGTCTTGTTTTGACATACGATGCATCATCGAGTTCGGGGACAAGCGAGTCGTGGGAGGAATTGGTCGCGGGTTGTGAGAGGTTGCGAGGACGCAGGGAAGATGCGGTGCTGGCACCTTACCCATTTACGGCAGTGATGATTGTTGCGATAGGAGGTGGGAGTGATGGTCATGCTAGAGGGGAAGGTGACGCTCCCATGGTGTCGGCAGCCGAAGCCGAGGCGTTTGCGAACCAGCGGGGCGGTCTCTTCGTCCATGTGTCGCCTAAAACGGGGCGTGGGGTGTGCGATGCGATCGGCGCATTGGTTCAGCGGGCACATGGCGCTCGTGGGGAATATCGCATGGGTCAGGACGGGGAGCTGAAGAGGTATCAGCGGGCGCAGATGCTAAAGGCAATGTTTTCACCTAGCTAGGGAAGGTCTTCCCTACTGAGCTCAGGCAACTGAGATGATCATGAAGATTTACTCTTGTGGCTTTGGTATCCTTCCAGAGGACTCTCCACCGCTTACATACAAGTAGCAGGGGTAAGAGAAGAGAAGAGACGTAAGTCATCCTATGAACGAAAGGAATCTTCGCTAATATATACATACAACGTAGAAAGGTCGTTAGCTTTGCTGGAAAGAAATAAGAAATATATATATATAGAACTTCCCATTGATCTACAAAATTGTAATTAAGGTGTTGCACATAATAATCTGACGACATAGGCCTCGGGTGTACAAAAATTAAAGTACAAACTTCATGTTATGTCGCAAATAATAGAACGACTGCCCTAATTAGTGAACATGAAGGACTTCGGGTATGCGAAGAGCTTCCGTGTCCTTCTTTATGTCAGGATGCCTGGCAATCAACCGTCTAGTCTAACGGTGAACAAGATTGGAACCCCTATTCTATAAAGTTAAATAGAGTCGATCTATCTCCGTTTTCATGCTCGCTAATTGGTAAAGATTTAATATTTCTTATGTGCTCCCACGCGCCTCCCTATAGCTATTCTCCGAATTATCCCAATAGAAAACCTATTATATTTAGTTGTTATATCTAAAAAGGGAGAGACCTTAACTAAAGCAATCTGCTTCGAACCGGTATCTAAAGGTAGCGGGAAAACAGCGGAAAGCAAAAATAGACCAATCAGCTAGCGAGAAAATCCATCCAAGGTAGGGTGGAATTAAGCCTAGGGAGTAGGCTTGGATCTCTGAAGTTTCCCGCGTTATATATTCCGAAAGAATGCTGGAAAGTCTATATTCCAGTACATTAATTACTCGCGTGAATATCCCTCTTCAGCAGGCGACCACACCGGGCGGTGACTCCCTCACCATCATATCGTGCCCGGGCGCTTAGTCGCTGGATGGTCATGGAGCTGAGACGTACGAGATTCCTATCAAGCTATCTACTCGAATGCAGGTCAGATCGTATCTCCGGGAGATTGACTTTGGTTGAACCTTGGCAGTTGGAGGCCAAGCAGGTCTGATACGGACAAGGTAGTAGGTTCGCGGCTGTCAGTGACCATTTTTGCTCAGTATGTAGAACAATCTCAAAACCATGTCACTAACAGCGCAAACAACGCGGCATCCAACAACAGTCCTCGTTATATTTCAGGCCCAATTGATCCCTCCATATCCCTCATGCTATTGAATGCCATCTGTGCCTTCTCTCTCGTATCCGCTGGAAATACATCAGAAGACTGGGAGACCGCTTCAAAACCCAACTTCCACTTCTCCCATTTCTCCCCTGAAGGATCTCCCTGCAGTGACCATCGATAGATCTCGGCACCCAAAACGTGAATCCAAGCCGCCGCGGCCGGGACATGATACACCCGTTCATCCTCGCGGTAACCCCCAGCTTGTGGGTTGAATGCCCGATCCAGGGTCCATACCCCGTAGTCCCACAGCGGTGCATGCAGTCGCGTTAGATGCGCAACAAACATGTTCAGAGAGACCCATTTTTCGATACATTCGGTTATCTTCGTTCCGAGATCGGGTTTATCGGGTCCTTTCTTCGGTCACTTCTGTACCTTTTTAAATCGCGCATGGTAAAAAGTTGACATACCATTCCATCGTTCGCGCGTATTCGACGCGATTCCCTTCTCAAGCTTCTCCTTTGAAGGCGCCGGGAGGTTATCTATTAGCAGTCGCGTGACATTTGCTAGGGCGCTAGTTCCAGCCGGGGAGGATATAGCCGCATCGAAGAGAACGTCTTGGACGTATTCCAGTCCCAGATCGGGATGTGGCAGCGACGTGATGGCGGCTATAATTGGGTTCGAGACTTTGTCGTAGATGGCGTCTGCGTTGGTCGGCCCCTCCTGAGGAAGGCGCTGCAAGTCGGAGAGGACATTTTCTGAAAAACGAAAGTAGAGCTCGGCATGAGGTTCGTCGGCGAAATCAGACTGCCAGGTTCGAAGATAGTTTTTTGCCCAGTCGTCCATTTCTCGTGAATCCCTGTTGATGCGGATGTTAGGGTGACTGACTGTTGGAGTATTTAAGGCGTGCTCTTGAGATTACGTCATTTGCTGGCGTCTGGGACACGGTCAAAGGTAGCTAGCTCACTTGCATCAGCCCAGCCTGCATGTCGTCCAGCCAGCAGGATCAATCTATAATTGCTCTGGTTCAGCGTATCCTAGCGCGTCTCTTGCCACTCGCAGCCCAGATGGCAACGAGGAACAGTTGTTCCGCCGTGTTGATGGCCGAAACTGTGCCGGACGTATGCATCCCGTTTAGTTGATTTCTGCCTACCTTGGTCGCCAACACTAATTGTGCTTAGACCAGTACTCCGAAGATGACCAAAACGCAGCCCTAAACGAGGCCGTCGCTCAGATCATCGGTGGCACAACGGTGGGAAGCCGCGAGGGCAGTAAGGCTCATCTACCCTACCTACACCAAACCCGGGCATGAACTCACTCATACCAGACCGATATCCGCATCGCTTTTTGAATCGAGACTCAAATGGAGACCCTGAAGTCAGTCTTCTGGAGACGGGTCTCTGCGCCGAACCAGATGCGATCAACTACGAGTGGCCTATTCTGCGGAGCGGCAATGTCTTTGGATCACAAGGGAACAGGAGGGCTGGCGATGATCGCATTATTGTTGCGGCTTATGACCCACCTGGCGATGCGCCGATGGTTTGGTCTTACTGTGCTATGATCACGCATGAGGGAGCGGCTAGACCAGGGGGTTTCACTGACTGCACCTGAATGCCTTCGAGCCGTCATATCTTCTGGAACAGTTATGTACTGATTTCAGTTTAGTATAGGCTGAAGAGAGGAGTAACACCTTATAGTCAGGATGCCGTTAACTCGCGTGACTCGTTAATTTGACACTTGATTTCGCGTTAGGCATGAACTCGACTTTAGAAATATCCGGGTGCCAACGACGGCGACAAGACGGGTGGCACGAAACTCGAAGGTCTCGCCTTCCTGATCAATGACATGACGCCAGGTCCATTTCGTGCAAGCCCGCGACCAATTCAGCGACCGTGAGCTTGTGGCGTCTTAAACCCCACCGCATTCATGACATGTACGCAGAACTGGTCAGCGCGGCGATTGCGCCGCCTCCTGAGCGAGCATTCCTTTGACTCTGTGGCCGCTGTTTACCTCTGCTTTCCCTCCCATCCCTCCCGCACTCAGCCAGATGAATCTGCTCCAGGCTTTCGTCCAGCGAGTTCGAGTTGGTGCGGTCATAGAAAGCTACGCGGTCCAACATATAGACATCGCAAAGTCACCGTCACTGCCTATACAAACTCCAGCTACACAGAGTGCTAGAGTCGCGCACTTTACCCGTCGCTAGCCTGATTTATCTATTCCCCGTATAGAACATTCTCTAAACTACCTTAGTATTGCTCCTATTACTTTTTATACTATATTCTAATTATATGCTTTCTTATACTGCCTATCGCTGCCTCTATACGTTATTTTTTCTGTAGGAAGTGACGGGCGCTAACTGTCTACTATTACTTCCTAATTTTAATATTTACCCTATCTAATATAATTGGAACCTCCTCCGCAGTCTATATTAATAAGTCACACACACACACACATGCCACACCACTGTCCCGACTCATGGGGGTCCATAATCATGCGGCCCATAAAGACACAGAGAATAGGGAGCCCTGACGTTCGGGGAAAAGGCAGGCCTACTGCCCCTTTCTCTCAACGGGACCGAGACTGAGAAGTACGGAATCGGCTGCCTGGTCTGTGCTGCACCGATCCTTTCTACCGTGTTACTACCGCGGCGTGGGAGATCCTTGCGCCGGAGCTTAGGCTCCTGGTTCGGTTCCCCGGTAAAATAGACCAGTCGGCGGCAGCTGTACGCGCCACTGGCAGTCACTACCGGCTCCAGCAAATGGTCCAAGTACAACCGCTCCAAGGCCGCCTCCTCCGACGTGCAGTAACCGAAGATGGTCTCGTACTTTGCCCCGTCGAGGAGAATCAGATTCCGTAGCGAGAGCTCTCTCAGCGTTGGCTGTAGCCTTTGTAGAAAGGCGAGTATATCTGCTGATCTCACCCGTAATCCGCGGAGGACGAGGCGCTTCAACGGAGGTAGCGGATCCATCTCAGCTATGGATGGGAAGAACCGTTCACGGTACCGGTTGAGTTCCGAGACGATCAGATCCTGAAGTTGATAATGATGGAGTTCGAGACTCTCGAGTCCCCGGCAACGTTTTATCAAGGCGGGAAGACCACTAAACGTTGAATCTTGATACACCTCCTGCTCTATATCCTCAGTTTCCCTCAACTTATCTTCCCAACGCTCGTCCCACTCGTCCGCTGAGTCGCCCGTCAGGCCGAAATCCTCTGTCCGTGGATTGATAATCCGATCCGAGAAGCTCACGGCGAGTGTTTTCAGCGACGCGAGGGACGTGGCTAGCGCGTTGAATTCAAAGTTCACGGAACTGGGTACATTGCACGCCAGGCTACACCGCTCTACACTGTTGTAGACGTCGAGGCGCTGCACCGCGATCCCACTCGCTGCGACCGCCGCCAGCGCCGTCCGGAACGTGTCGGCGGCCGCTTGCCAGATCAGCGTCCAGCCGCCCCCATCGGCGGGGGACTGTCTCGTCTGCGCGTCCTCGCGATAGACCACGACGGCCAGGGAAAGGGAGCGGAGACCGCGGCGCCTCCCATGGGCCATGAGGTTGCGAAAGATCTGACTCAGCAGGAGAACATCACCGCGAGACGCATGCCAGGTGTTATATTCTGTTTGCCGTCGAGTCAGGATCTCAAGGTCCTGCTGTGCCTTTGTGCGGGACCCGGTGCCCTCGGAAGCATATTTGACCTCTTGCGTGAGGAATTTGGTGTTGTTCACCACGCCGACCAGGACCAAGTCGTCAATGAAGCAGCCTAGTCGGCCTGGCTTTGCTGTCGTCTCGACTACGGCCCGGAGACTGCGTTCTGTCACGTCGACCTGTCTTTGCGCCAGGTGGGATGCGAGCGAAGGGGCTGCGGAGACTCGGAGTGCCAGGTCGCGGCTCGTGAGGCGGAGATTGCAAATATCGCGCAATTGGAGGAACGAGAGGATACTGTCAAGTCTCTCGGCAGGACACTTCTCAATTCCGCTCATCCTGTCTGGAAAGATACGGATCGGCCGACATGGGTGACTGTTGTCCTTTACTCGGGGTGGCAGGGAAGAAAAAGGATGGAGATGAAGTACAGAGGGATCGGCCCTTTTTATAGTTGGCCTTGCGCTCGCTCAGGGTGGGTATCTGATGGGAGCTAACCTTGCTTGGCTAGCTTGATCTTCATACTACTGACTTTGTATCTTCTCGCTGCGATCTGTCGCAGCCAATATGGCCGCTCCCTCGCGAAATCCTTACATAAGGCCGAATTTCCTACGCTACACGCCTCGGATGATACAAATCATATTCAGTCTTATGGTACAAAATCGCCGCCCTTAGCCCATCGGACACCAAGCCTGCATATAAAACTCCGTATCCGCCCAAGTATACCCCGGTATCCCAGGGCATGCAGCGCATCCAGCTCGAGACACGTCACCACCTGGGTGCCGCAGTGCACGTCGCCGGGCGTCAGGCCTTCAGACACATACCCGCAGTTCAAATCCTGCACCTCAAACGGACCCAGATACGTTGGATACCCGTAGTCTGAGTCCACATGTGTCTGATCGGGGAGATAATTGGTGCTTGTGACCACCTCGTACGCGTTGTTGCACACGTACGCCTCGTCGTAGTACAACGGGAGGAGGTAGCCAGACCAGGTCCAGTCGTCCAGGGAGTCGACGGGTTTGCGCAGGAAGACCACGAACTGGAGGCTGGAGAGGGAGGTGGGGAGGTCCGGGGGCGCGCTGGTCGTCGTGGTCGCGCGACTGGTGCTGGTGGGCGTGGCGGCGCCATCCCCGTATCCCGTCAGGACGGTGAGGTCTCCGTACAGGGAGGAGAGCCGGGAGTCCAGAGACCGGGCGATGCTGGTCACCTCTGCACCGGGTTCGTCAGTCGCTTCAGGCCATTGCTCCAGCGTGATGGCCACGGCGAGCGCGGGCGTGCCCACGGTGCTGTTGGCCGAGGCCGTGACGGAACAGCCCGTGGTCGTGGAGCAGTCGAATTCACACCCGGACCCGGCAACACACACCCTGGAGCAAATATCCGCCTCTCGCGTGCTGCACTCCTCGTCCTCGTTGTTGTTGTTGTTGTTGTTGTTGTTGCTGCCATCGTCAGAGCCCCCACCACTGCCGCCGCCGCCGCCGGTGCTCCAGTCGGGGGGCACCAGAGACATTGATGGCAGAATGGCACACACGGGATGCCGACGTCCGGGTCATCACTATTGGCCGTTGGAGTCGCACTGCCGGACGACCAGGTGGTAGTCGCAGTATTGAGCTTGGGGTCCTTGGTGGTCTGGGACCATGGATACCGGGGTGGGAGGACCGTGCCCGTCATGCTGGTTGCGTTGGGATCTTCGTCGAACGGGGGCAGCGACAACACCATATAAGGCAGGGTGATACTGCTCGTCATTTCCAACTCTGTGGGCTGCGCCTGGCTGGCATTGATGGTCACTCCCCACACAGGGATCTCAGTGACGACCGCTGATGATGGACTGTCAGTGAGGGTGGATTAGCGAGGAGGGACTCAACACGTAGCAGGAGGGAAGGATAGCGTAATAGTGGTGGTAGCCACCGCATAGCCATGGTATGTTTCGACGACTCCATCGTCATAGGTGGTCGTTCTGGTGGTCAAGTAACTCTGCTCGACGGGGCTCTCCCAGGGAGGGATGGATATCACAGATGGACTGTCCAGCTGCAGCGGCGGCATGATCAGCGAGCATGGAGGCTCACATTGCACGACGGGTGAGGGCATATTCCAGATCGACGGGGCTTCGTAGACCTCGCCATCGCCCGGTCCATTTCCAGACCCAGAGCCCGCATCCTCGACGACGACACAGGCGCCTTCGGGACAGTATCCGCAGGCACAAGTGTACTCGCACAGAGGACCGTAGACGGTGGCGTCCAAGCCCGGTGCAGCGGCCCCAACGGCATCGCTCGTGGGGTCCATGACATTCAGCGCCCCCCTGCCCCGTGCAGGTGCAGGCATTCATAGGACAGAAGCCATGGACACAGCCAAAGTCGCACAGCCCAGCCAGGTTGCCCTCGCCTGCGCCAGACACACAGGCCGGGGGCAGGAAGGGCGAGACGGTCGGCGTGCTCAGCGGGACCTCGACCGTACCGCAGGCATTCTCGGGGCAGTAGCCCAGGTTGCAGTCAAAGGCGCACAGCCCGCTGTAACTAGCGTCTTCGCCCGCAATCGGGTATCCGATAACGCCCGTGGCGTTAGGCGGCTCGTAGCCGATGCCCATGCGCGTGCAGGTGCAGGCACCTAGCGGACAGTATCCATATCGACAGGCAAATCCACACAGACCGGCAAAGTTATTCGCACCGGTGCCGTTCATGCAGACCTGCTCGGATAGCAGACGGGTGGGTCGTGCCGACACACTCTCCCCTGTCGACGCACTTCCGACCCAGGCATTCCAATTTTGCACGCCATATGCACAGGTCGACGAGACGGCCTTGCCCTCGATCGTCGCAATAATCACATTATCCCGCACCAGAGACACAGTCACCGGGCCCCGATGGGCGCCGATGGCGACATCGCCGTGGTACACGCCGACATCATCATCCGGCACATCGGACCAGCCCACCGTCTGGGACCAGTCACCAATCGACACGACGGCGCCTGAGAACGAGCCCAGCACCACGGAGAAGAAGATGCGATCCTGGGCCATCTCGGCCGGGGGGAACTCGACCTGCAGCTGGGAGGCCGTGTTGCTGCTGGTGCGGCCGCTGGCACAGGCCGCGCCGGGGGTGAGCCGATACCAGGCGATGATGGTCTCCTCGGTCACCTCGGCCATTCCATGCTTATACATGTCGGCCCAGAAGGGGATCGTCGCGCGCCAGCCGTCGTGGGGCATGTCCGTGGCGTAGTTGAAGGGGGCCGCGCCAATGTCAAAGGCCTCCATGGCATGGTCGTATAGCGGGCCGATGTAGTGGCTCTCCCCGTAGTCGTTCCACGAGATGATCTGGACAAACTCCGGTTGCACATACAGGACCTCCTGCCATTGATCATGCCACAGATGGTCCCCGTGCCACATCCAGATTTTTTTGTACCCGGGCAGGTTGGTGAAGAACCACAGCGAGACCGGCATCATGCACGGCCGCGACTCCAGATACTGGAGATACGAGGCGTCCACGTCCTGGGGGCCCCAGGGCCAGCCCGCCCAGCTGAATAGCCCATCCATGACCCCCGTCGCCACGGCCGGCTTGGCTCCCTGCGAGGACCAACTGGGATGAAGAAGCAGTCGGTGGCCGCCTTGATCTCGGGGCAGTCGTCGGCGCGTGCGGGGCCTTCAAACGTCGAGACAAAGGCCTGTCCCTTGTAGAAGTCGTAGGACACGTGCGCACTGTACTGCTGGATGAGGGCAAGCATGTCTGCCTTGGGCCAGGCGCCGTTGCCCGCGTAGTCAAAGGAGAAGAAGATTTTGAAGCCGAGACTGTCGGCGGCGGAAAACGCCGCCGCGAGGGCATCCGGGTTGGTCGGGTCGGCATACGCCATGTTGAGGGCGAAGGCATCGATGTGCGCATCCTGCGCTAGACGAATATCGTTTTCCCAGTCATCAGAAGTATAGTTGGTCGTGTTGGTGACCTGTCCCGTTAGCGAGGATCCGGCGACGGAACATACGGAGTGCCAACCATAAAATGCGCAAAGACGGCCGCGGCCTGTACTTGTAGCTGCACTGTATGTAAGCCGAATGTCACCGACGCCGTAGGGAATAGTAGTAGATCAAATACGTAAGGACTTCTGAATCCATATATTTGGCAAATTAATCTTGACTAAATGGACCAATACAACATGCCAGCTGCCAGCTCAAACCCAGAATGACAAACGATACAAAACGTCGGCCGATGCCGCTGGATAGCCTTTATCTCCTAGCGCAACACTAGTACCCGACTCCAGACGTCGACGATAGACCATTTACAAAGGTATGAGCAGAGAGGAACGGGTCATCACACCAAGCCCACGCGCAATTGTCAATCAAGAAATTTGATATGTATTGAGACGCGTTTAAGCCTTGGCATAGTCCTCCAGGATGGATTCAGCAATGCGCAGAGCCATGCCGTAGAAGATTGTCATGACGTGAGAAGACACTTGAGTGGGAGGGATAGAGCCGTCAATAACGCGAAGGCGCTGGGTGTCGTAAACCTTAGCAGATGCATCAACAACACCACCAAGATCCTTCGACATCATTGAGCAGGTACCCACAGCATGCCAGTTAGCGCGGAAGTTATCCTTGACGTACTCGGCCCACTGCTCCAGACTTGCTTCGTTGGGTAATTCAGAGCCAGGGATTATCTCCCCGTCAAAATAGTTGGCCATCGCTCCACTGTTCTGGAGCTTGCGAGCAAGCCTGGACGCGGCGGCCTGGCCCAGAAGATCCAGTTCATTGAAGAAGAACTTAGGATCATTGGCAAATTGCCAGAGATAAGGATCACTGCTAAGGATGTGGGTAGAACCGCGAGTAAAGGGAATAAGGTCCCATAGGTCGAAGTTGATCTGTCCTGAGGTGTCAAGGAACAGCTCGGCATATGCTACGTCCTCATTAAGTAGCCAGTCACGGTAGTTTTCGTATTGGACTTTGAGTGCAGTGACATTGTGGAAGCCACCGCGTGCGACAGTTTCCTCGGCCCATTGGTCAAGCTGCGTCTTGAGTAGCTCAGCAGCATACGGAGCGTCTTCCTCGAAGGTCTCTGTAAAGTTGGCAAAATAGACAGCCTGACCCTGGCCGAAACCAGCGGGAGTGCTACGCGCGCGGACAGTAGTTGTAGTCTGATCCTGCATATTGATTCCGACTGGCAATTCAAGAAGCTGCGGAACGTTGGCCTTCTCAAGGACGGATCTCAGGCCAATACCGGAGTACTCCAAGATCAAAGGCGAGATCGCAGAGCCGGCAGCCAACAAAACTTCATGATTGGCGTAGACATTGAAGTTAACAGCCTTGTTGGTGCCGAAGTTCACTCCAATCGCCTTCAGGCCGGGAGCATCCTGATCAAAGATGACCTTTCCCACAAGCTGTCCCGTCAAGACCTTTAGGTTTTTCCGGCGGTAGTTGGGAAGGAGCCATTCATGGGCTGCATCCGCGCGCACCTGATCCTCCAACAGGTTATTAGGGATCATGGAAACACCACGAGGGTGGCCACAGTGGAAATCCACCTGAGTTGGAACGCCAAGGGCAGAAGTAGTGTTCATAAGCGCTTTCATCAGAGGAGACCAACGCTGGCCGTTGTCACGGGGCCCAGCGTGGACGGTGCCGTTGAATCCATGACAAGCAGGGTCAAAGTGATGGCCGGCGGCGATCTGGGTAGCATTCGGGGCACGGGCACGTTCAGCCTGGTTCATATATTTGAATACGTTGTCCCAGTTCCAACCCTCGTTGCCAAAAACCGTTTCCCACGAATCGATCTGGACCTTATCAGGGCGAGTCCATGAATCGCCATTAATTAACGTAGATCCTCCGAGGCCCTTTCCGGACTTGATGTTGTCGGTGCGGTTGTTGATAAGGGGCACAGTGAGGTAGTTCTGGTCCACAGTCGTGCCGAAGATTTGACCGTACGCGTTTGGGTCCTCGATAATTGGCCCGTCGTTGGACTCATAGAAGCCCTTTTCGATAACCAGGACCTCGATGTTAGGGTTCTCTGTCAGTTTGGCGGCCACAGTTAGACCAGTCAAACCACCACCCGCGATAATGTAATCGAAGTTCTTGTCGGCGACCTCTTCCGGGTTGGTGAGTAGACTGGCTTGAACGTCAACCTGCTCGGACACCAGGTAAGCGCAGACCGTTGCCAGAGGCAAAAGAAAGTAACCAATATGTCTCATCGCGATGATAGTCTTAAGGAGGCGAGAGGCCGGTAAGGAAATGAAACGAACGAAGGGCAATGACAAATGACCACAGCGTTTTCAGCTATCGTCCCCTAATCGCCAGGGGTGAGGGAGGGACAATTTATAGCATGAATATACTGTGGTAGGTTCTACCTACATTTACAGCGATACTACTCCACTTCCAGATCTAATTACCGTCCTGGCCGTAGTGGTGCACATGTTATTGGGCTGTCTTCATACATGTAATACAAGAAGATTGTCGAGTTGGTCAAAACTACCACCGCTCTGAGTACTATTAGCTGTTCGCGACCTTGTTTGCCTTCCACAATGATAAGACCCAACATGCGAACCGGCGCAGATCCTTCGTAGACCACGGACCGGAACACACTGTAAGCTTTCTGGTTCTCGTGTTTACGTACCCCGACTATCCTTGCGCCGACAAGTAAGGATTACCCTCACCGGTCCCGGAACGGGCGTTATCTGGGAGGAGCTAACATTCTGCTCCATTATCCAAAGCACGTTCTTAATAGAACGTGCTATAAGCGAGAAGCAATCGACGTTCGAGACCCGATTATAGCAGAACCCCACGCAACAAACTCACTCGACCTAGCTCTGACCCCTTGCTAATTGCGTCTGGTATCCGGTGAAGCTGACTAGGCTTGATGCTCGGCTTAAGTGTAATGAAAGGTTACGTTTGACTGGCGCATGGGGACTGTGGACTGTCCTGTTGTCCACAGGAGCCAAGGCCGAGATTTCTGTAAGGCACATATCTCAAATGTGATGTCCTACCAGTTATCCTCACGGGACGGGATGCTGACTGGGATGGATTGCCTTGATTGCCATGTTGGCTGGGGTATGGACTACATTGTATGCGGAAGGGAAATGGCAAGTCCACATCCGACCTTGAATAACAGTTGCGGAAATGAAAACCAAAGGACATCACTACCAGTAAATGCTGATAGACCAGTTCCTAGATGACCACTCCCCTACCGTCATCTCAAACGCCGTCTTTTTACCGTCATACGCTCCGTTCCGATTGCACTCTGCAGAGCTCTTCCCACGTAGATCGTCATCAAGAGATCGAGACCGAGATGCTGAGAAATTCGGATCAACCCTCGTCAATATGGCAAAGAAACGGCTAGTACAAGTGTCGGATCAGACACAACCCTCGCCAAGCCCTGGCTCGTCTTTCTACACGCCATCATTTCTAGGGTGTTCCGCCGATATAGACATCTATTCTCGGCATGCCGAGAAGCCGCCCCACTCTAGGCGTCCCGAGGACCTATAACCTCATTTACCGTATCTAATGAGCCACCAGAAACTGAGGACCTCCTGAGCCTTCCAACGTGGACGCACGGAGTTAATTGATAGGTCAGTGTTGTATCTGTGATTAACCTTAGCCCTCGTGTTCACGGCTGAAGCATATCAATGTGGCGTGATGGTTGTCCATGCTATGTCCTAGTGACGCCTGAACCTGGCAGCTGGTCCATCAAAATTCGGAGGACCCTCTGTTCAGGGAATAATACCCATCCCAAGTGCTAGCAATTACTACATGCGAACGCACAAATTCCCGGTCGGACCTTTTATTCGGCGTATACCGAATCTGGTGATATTTTCGGCCGTATTTGCAGCCGACAGACCGCAGCCAACAGATTTTGGCCGGTCGAAAATACGAAAGAAACAAATTTCACTACATTTCTAAGCTAGTGCCATGGAAGATATGACAATATAATTCCCATCTATGTCTTTGTTCAACTCTGGGATCCACCATGATCTCTATCCTGCATGGTCTTGGCCCATTTAATCTAGTGCTTATTAGAGTTGTGAGGATCGGAGCTTCGCCCCAATAATTTCCGCTGCACCAAAGGTGCGAACTCTTTTTGTTCCCGTGGAGTGCCTGACAGGATGACCGCCAGCTATTTAATTCACTTAACGCGTCAGGCACCATTCCCCGGACGGACCGGTATCGTTTGACTTGGACAATCAGCATAACTGCGCACACTTGAGACCGCTGCAATGAAGTTTTTACTGGTAGCTGCTCTCCTATTTAAGAACGATGTCATGGCGTCGCGACTCTACGCAGCGTCATATGCGGGCAAAGTGACATCGCTAAGCCTGGCAGCGTCCGGCGAAAGCTATCAATTGACGAAGCTCTCTGAGACAACTCACTGCGGCACGAGCCCTTCGTGGTTGATGCTGGATAGGGAGAATGATTTTTTGTATTGTTTGGATGAAGGCATTGATCACCCTAATTCCACGCTGTCATCCTTCAAGCTCAACTCGGATGGCTCTTTCACAAAGGTTGAGCAACTCCAGACTTTGGTAGGATCTGTTGCGTCTGCGTTTTATACACCGGTCCAACAACCAGACCAGAGATTCTTTGCAGTCGCACACTAGTGAGTAACCTCTGATCTTCTTGCTTTCTAGCAAGTTCCTTTGCCTGGAAGGCTTTGTCACTCATCGATCATGTTACTAAAATTCATCGTTTAGCTCAGGGTCTGCAGTCACGACCTACTCTGTTGATCCTGCCAGCGGTCACTTCAACCACTCTCAATCGTTCACATTCACCATGCCCGCCCCAGGACCAGTCCCTGGGCGACAAGACGCGCCACATCCCCATGGAGTCGTAATCGACCCGTCCGGGCAGTTTGTCCTTGTTCCGGACCTAGGAGCTGACCTTGTCCGCATCTTTCGCATATGCCCAACCACAGGCCATCTAGAGGAGCAGCTGCCACTGGTTGTGTCTCCGGGTTCTGGTCCAAGACATGCTGTCTTCTGGGTTCCTAGAAAGGCAGGCCTGATTCGACCAAAGAACGTCCGATTCTATCTGGTGACAGAGCTTGACAATTCCCTGAGGGGGTACGACGTGACGTATTCAAATAATGGCACGATCGTATTCTCGAAATTCTATGAAGGGAGCACGTACGGCGGATCAACCCCTCCAGCTGGCTCAAAGGCCGCAGAGATTGCTATCTCGGTGAGTCTATCTTTGTTCATCATTGTCAATATCCCAGACGTGCTAACATCCCTTTTCCCCCATAGCCGGGCAATGATCATGTCGTGATATCGAATCGTAACGATAACACTTTTGGGCCAGGAAATGACTCTATAGCGATGTTCTCCCTCAGCAGTCAGGCACAAACCTCCGCCACCTCCTTCGTGGGATTATACCCATCTTTTGGGTCTTTCCCGCGCCAGTTCGATATTTCCGCGGAAGAAGGAATGGTGGTGATAGCACACCAGAACAGCCACAAGGTATCGGTAGTCAAGTGGAACAAGATGGATGATACTCTTGGTTCGCTACTGACGGAGAAGGAACTTGATGGAGAAATTCCTGCTGTGGTGTGGGCGTTTTGAAAGCCTAAGACTTCTAGGTCATGTCTGCTTAGGTTAATGTTTTATTAGAGACTGGGGTACACCCCACTAACCATATCTGCGGGAGAGCAAAGATAAATGGAGAAAATGCTCCAAATAAGAGAGATAAGTAGTCTAGTGAGAATGGCCAGTACATCGTCAAGACCAGTATTATTGACTAGGCACAAAAACATGAGCAACCCCGCAAAACAGACTATAAAGATAGCGGAGTGGTCACGCGATTCCACTAGATATCATCAAGATGCGTTAACGCTATTATGCAGACTTCTGACCTTTCGAACTAAACCTCCTAATATTGTGGTACACCAGAAATATATATTCTGAAGTATTATATATACGCCTGGAATGATAACAAAATAGGATACTACAATAATTTCGCTAAATTGCTAAACGCAGCGCAGGATTATAGAGAATGCCAAAAATCGAAAACTCAAGATCAATAACTCAGGTAACAAGCGAGTCGGCTGATGAGAATGATTCGTGACATGATACACACAAGGCCTATGGAATAAGCGGGCCAATAGGTAGAGATAACATGGACAGCAGAACATTCACACCACTGGCACCAAACACAGCAAGTGCCCTAGGGCTATCCAGAGAAGTAAGCACAGTCGTGTTTGTGCAGCCTGCGTGGATAGGCTTCCCTGCCATGCGGTCAATAAGCCAAAGAAATGCATCTGGAGCACCTATGACTTCTAGGCTTGCATGCTCCGATAGCCTATCTCGCTTGTACTCGACATTGGCTCCGCCTTCGCAGTACTTCGCGACTAGCTCATCACTGTCTGCAATAGGACTGACTTCATCGCTGATCGACTTGTAGATAAATAGCGGGATATTCGGAGTATTCTGGCCCATGGAGTTCGGGTCCAGTACAGCTCGGGCCGCAGAACTCGAAAACGCATTGCGGCTGTTGACATAGTTATAGATATCCTGGCCAAAGTACTCTCGCAAGGCCCCAGTAAGGCAGAGACGCTTTGCCTTGTTAAACTCAGCTGCCTTTTCTGGCAGGATTATATCACGAACGATTTCCCGTGCGGCCGGATATTCGTTTGTGAGCCCAAGGATCCCTGCGGGAACTAGTCCAGTAAAGACCCCTTTGTTGACGGTGTTTATAACGGACAAGATCTTAGGTACTGTACCACCAAGGGCTGCCCCTGCAATTGTTAATTCTGGAGCATACGTCGGCTGGAGTTCCGCGGCGAATCCAGTAGCCAAACTACCTCCAGAATACCCCCACATAGTGACTCGCGCAGTCGGCTCAATCTGTGTGAAGTTCCCAGACGCTAATGCCGCACGAATATTGTCCAGCACGGCCTTTCCTGACAAAGTATTGGCCAAGAACGCAGCACTGGGTCCCAGATGGTCTGGAATCGTGACAACCCAACCCTTGTCCAGAGCGCTTGTTATGAAAACATACTCCATCTGGGGCATAGCCAAGGCAAGAGAACCACTGACAGTGGACTGTTGCTGCAGGGCAAAGGAGGGGGAACAATCGGCGTCGGCAGCATCCTGGGCAACCTGGTATGAGTGAAGCTTATTGAAGTCCGCATTATGAGGTATCAGGATAGTAGTGACTGTTGCAATTGGGTTGCCGAAACTGTCCGTCGTTCGGTACAGGACTTGGTACGCAGACCGGAGGTTGGATCTAGCAAATCCGAACGCTGCAATTGGCGACGGCGGGGTACGATAACGTAAGATAGCTCCTGGCGCCATGCTCTCGAACCCAGATGGTGGACTGTAGAACGCGTCTTCAGTTGGCCTGAGAGGGGCATTGCTGGAAGCGGGCATGGCCCACACAAACAGCGGAGTCAAGAGGAGAAAATGGAAAAGAATGAAGGCTTCCTTCGCCATGTTGGAGAATGGGTGAAAGAATCAATATGATTGAAGGTGATTATGATTTCGAATCGTATCCAGATCTCATCTGGCGACACCCTTATATATTTATTTCGGCTACCGCAATCAGCACCTTGCTGTATGACTTATTTCAGCATTCCTGCCTCGGCTTGAGTTGTCCTTGCGCAGTAGTCAAGAACTACTATGAAAAACATGGTCTAGTACATGAAATGATGGTGTTGTTCGTCTGATTGGACACAGACAATATGCGTTCTGGGGAGGATTTCGCTGAAACTGCGGCAACAAGCTCTGTTCAGAAGATTCGGGATTCAGCCAGCTTAACCTCGGCTGGCAGATGTGACAACTAGTTAAATCACGCATGTTTTCTAGCTAGAAAGAACAACAAGTACACACGGCTACCGATTACCTACGGCTGTTCCCATAGCACGTTCCGGAAGTTTATCGGAAAGTACTAGCCACGCCTTGGTGGTTTGAAGCGGAGCTTACGGATGTTGGCGTCGTATTCGATCCTTAGCGCTCACACGCCTTCTTACCTGGAAGAGTAACTATATTCGACCAGGGATAAAAGTTTACAGATGAATTCACAGTGGAGTTTGTTTAATTGTAATGACTCATAATTGACGAAGAATATCCTACTGCACGGTCACAAGTCTGTCTTGTGTATTGACTTTTACGTATGTGGTGCTATATTCCAGGACACAGCAACTGCTTACGTTCCCCGACCTCCCGCCCTAGTTCTATACCAGTCCTTGTCTGGGTTCGGGGGCGCAAGCTTTTTGCTGTGCGGTATGTTTCGGTCAATGTTGTAACTGGAACTAAGACTTAACATTGTTTGCCCTAGCTTGGTGAATATGTTGCCGAAAAGTGCGAAAAGTTCATAATGTCCAAGGAGGTTCCAGTTGCTGACTGCCTCGCTCTTTGGCAACAAAATAGACCCACCTTCAGGTCTTGGCATTGGCTCCCACGGAGCTTACTTCTCGTCCGGTCAACATAGCAAGTACCCCACTATATATTTACTTACTGTTCCATCCATTCCTTCACGTGGCTGCTACGCTGTGCTTCGCACCGGTCCAGGGCGTAGGTTCTTCGATGGTTTCCACACCCTGCCATTACTATTTTCTCGCCTAGTCTCTGAGCAACCGAAAACTCCGTCGTCTTGCACCAACCGCGACATAGTTAAAAAGCAAGAAGTTCCGTGCGACTGGCCAATAGCTGGCACATTAGGTGATGGGAATATCTCAATACAGACTCTCTCTTACTTGCCCACGTTAAGTCAAATCGTCTTTAAACGGAGGGAGAAGCCAGTAGCTGCAGGTTAGAAACGACCTCGGCAGATAGTCAAAACGGATGATCAGCGTCGGACATACCCAGCGGGTGGTGGAGGGCACAAGCAAAACTACGTCCATGGTTGAATCAGAAGGATGTGGGAATCGGCTATCAATTTAATATGACCTGATCCCGTGGTAATTCAGTTTCACATCTACACCTGAAGGGCGTGGAACTGATGATTAAGTGGCAGAAATACCACAAGTGGACCATTGGATATTGACTGTGGGGGCTCGTGGCCATTCTTAGCTGGCCTTTCAGAGCGAGGTGGGCGGTAGATTGCAAGAGTATGCTCCGGTTACCAGCGGAATAGCGTCTCAAAGCTATCGCTTCTCTTTCGCCATCCCCGATCCTTCGTGTTGTTGTCATTATCTAGGCTGACAGGCTATCTTCTGTTGGGGGTCAATGCCTGCAGACGATGAAATCAAAGGAGGGGGAATTGATGGGCTACCGGTCAAACCTCGAGCGTCTGTCGTCAACCATACCAACGGTTCCCATAAATGGCATGTCTGCATTCTAATTATTCCTCCTCAGTTGGTTCCCAGCATTATAGAAGTAGTGCCTTCACATCACACATCTACTTGCATCAGCTCGAAGATCTGCAAAATCCATTGCTTTGGTCATAGCCATGACTGCCTACAACGTGTCCTACAGTCATTAAGAGAATGAGAACAGCCTTTCACGACCGGCGCCAACCTATGTGAAATTTCTGTTCCGCATTCAAGCATCAGCCCACCGCCTGAATCGCTCGTTCTCCCCAATCGCCCGCTCACTAAGGCTCCTGTAGAAGATGCACGGCCATCGTTTACAGTCCCGGGATCATCGGCGCAAAACGACGCTGCTCACGAAGGAGCTCTGTGAACAATGGTATGATCTGAAGGATCCATTAGAAGAGTGAGAGCAGGACTCGCCGCCGCGGGTGAGCTGGTAAAGCGAATGGTAGCCCAGGGTCTCAAGGCACACTCAATACGCGCTTTTCCTGTCGCGGTGTCTATTGCTTAAAGGCGTCATTCGCGCGCGCCGACACTACGATGGCGAGTCGTAATAAGTTTGGAATAGCGCTATGCCATCGCTTTTGACAAGCGCGTGGGGCTCTCCATGGCGGACCTGAAACCTCAACCAGCACGTCCGTGTACTTCTGCGTGCGCCACAAGATGATACATACCAAGACAAGTGGGCTGCGTGCAGCCGTCGTGGGGGTATGCATAGCGGCAAGAAAAGAAGACGGTGAACATGCAGCAAATATTGCAGTCGTCCATCGAGCCGGGCGCTTTAACGAGGCCTCACTGGTCGTGGGCGGCGTGCGGGTAACGGGGACGGTGCCACTGGTGGTGCAAAGGGGGAAGTGTGTGGACACAGCCAGAAAATCGTGCAGAAGACCTCTTGGGGGATAGTCGTATGTCGAGCCCACCCGAGGCTTGGCTGGTTTGCGATAGAGAGGAAGGTGTGGCGCATACACTAGTGTCCCTAGATCGCCCGTGTTTGCCGACCCCGCCCCCGTCATCTCCAACGCCAACGAGCCATGACACCAAGGATACTAGCACCGGTCGGCCCGCGATATCCCCCTCCGTTCTACCGCCGAGACTGGAACTAGAGCCCCGGGGGATGCAGCGCCTGGGGATGGTGCTCCCCGGGAAGGAGGCGATTACTCTGTGTGGTTGGCGCAAACCGGATGGCTCCTTTATTTAGAAAGACGTTCTCTGTAGACCCTGGTCGAGCTTCGAGGCGATCCGAACATTATCTAAAATAATTCGACGATTATAGGTGTTTAGCAGATCTAGTAGAGCAGCTATTATTTATTTAATCGTATAATAGCCTAGGCGTTAGATATATTAGATAATTAAAATAGATTAGAATAGTAAGAGAGAGATATATATAGAGTGGGCAATGGCCAGGTGAGGGGAGGTTAAGGACCTCCAGCATAACCTGACCGCAGGTTAACGGTGAGGTTAAGTACCTTATTTTTACCTGACCGCGGTATAAAAAAAAGAGGTTAGGTTAACCTGATTAACCGTTCTTGGCGCTAAAAGCAATATGCCTTGCCTAATTAGGCCTAGTCCGGTTAAGGTTCCGGTCAGGTTAACCGCATTAACCTCACCGTTTCTAACCCAACCCTTCTAAAAATCTATAATAGAAGCGTTATTTAATTTTTAAAAAAATATTAAAAAATAAATAACTATATCTCTTATTCAAATTATCTTTATAAAAATACCTAGACTCTAGTGTGGCTGGCAGAATTCTCATTTTTCTATAAAAGTTGGTGTTACCCAGAGATACGGCATGGAAATATATATTAATACATACCTTGTTTCCTATTACCAGCATTAATAGTAGATTTTAGAGATTATCTCTATTGTAGCCATTATATTAATCATTTAGAGCAATAGTATCCTTATCTACATCTTTATTATCAACAGAAATGCTATATTTCTTATAAAATATTCCTTATTTCTAGTGTTCTTATAGTAATAGACACTGATGGTAGCCAGATTATCACGGGTTCTATCCCAACCACCACTAACCTTTATTAGATCTATCATATTTTGGTAGTAACACGACGCGTTCTCTTTGTCAACCCACCAACATCATGTCTTCTAAAAATTTCTCTTTTCTATCTTCCAGTGTCCATGCCATTAATGAAGCCTTGCTATTCATTATGGCACACCAATCCTACCCCCTCGATCTATGTTCACAAGATACTATTGCACCATCCTCCTCTATCTCCCAAGTCTTTACTGATGGCGATAATCAGACAGAGGTTAATACCTGTTCTATTTTCTCTCCACCCCCTGAGCTTGATTCTCTGCGTCTCTCCAAAGGCCGCAAAATTATTCAGTATCCGACCGAGCAAGAAAAGATTCATATCTTTGAAGAATGGTGGAATACTACTACCTGGGCCGAGAAACGGAGAGAAGCCAAAAAGCCATTAGTTCGATTCAATCCTAAAAGACACTCATCTGTATGGGACAAATTCCACGAAGGCGCCCAATTCCCGGATGGGACCCCCTATGTCTTTTGTGTCTCATATTCTCATCTGCTCCAACATCCGTCAACAGAGCACACTGGGACTAGTTCAATGGCCTATCATGTCCGAAAAGGCTGCCCTAAGAAGTCGTCTTCGGTGCCTTCCAAACGAACAGTAGCTCAGATGCTAAGTGAAAAACCGGTAGGGTGTCTGTCCTTCTTCTATTTATCTTATACTAAGAGCTTCGATTTCTTAGGGCCCGACAACCATCTACACCGAACAAGAATTCCTTGACCAAGTCCTGCGATTTATCGTTGCCTGCCGTCTACCTTTTCGAACTGTCGAGCATGTCCAATTTAAACGAATGATCAATCTCGCCGCTGTCGGATCATCTCGCAGACCGCACATTCCGAATCGAAAGCAAATCCAGGAACGATTAATCGAGTTATCGGATGAAATCCACACACAGCTACTCTCACGGTTCCCGGCGACCGGCAGAATGTCAATTGCACTTGACTGTTGGACAAGCCCGGATTAGAAAGCATTTCTTGCACTTACTGGCTATTTCTTGACGGACGATCTTGATTATCATGAGATTATTCTGGGCTTCCGACCGGTATCCGGTTCGCATACAGGTGAAACCCTTGCTGCCATTATTCTGTCGGTTCTTCATAAGCATAATCTATGCCATCGTCTACTAGGGGTGACAACCGACAACGCGAGCAACAACAGTACTATGTTCTCCTCCCTTACAGAGCAACTTCGCGATGAACTTGATACGAATATCCAGATTCAGGATACTATCGCCGACCCGGAGCTTTCCAAAATCCTTCGAAATCAGCATTACATCCCATGTCTTGCTCATGTTATCCAACTCTGTGTTACCTCCTTTATGAATAAATTGCGGATCGCAGCGGAGAATAACACTGTCTCCTACATATGGGAGAACAGCGATGAAACGCTCAAAGCGTCTGGTAGTATTTCACGAGCCATTGAAAAGGTATGTACGCCAGCTGGCCGAGATTTCGGTCATAACCGAGAAGGTTGCTCAGATCTAGCTACCTAGGAGGATGCTGAGGAAGGCTTCCTCAGCTTCCTTTCGGTCATAACCGAGAAGGTTGCTTAGATCTAGCTACCTAGGAGGATGCTGAGGAAGGCTTCCTCAGCTTCCTTTCGGTCATGACCGAAAAGATTGCTTAGATCTAGCTATCTAGGGGGATGCTGAGGAAGCCTTCCTCAACCTCCTCCTAGATAGCTCAAACAAGTGTCCAGCATTTACTAATATCTATTATGTCCCTAGATTCGAAAAATCACTAAATTCGTGAACGCTAGCCCTCAACGTCGTGAAAGATTTCAACTTACTCAGCGTCTGGAATCTGGATCTGTATACTATCTTCTTCTCGACTGCAAAACCCGCTGGAACTCTTCCTACCTGATGATTCGACGCGCACTGAAGCTCCGCCAACCAATCGAGAGCTTTATCCAGCACTGGGATAGTCAGAAGCTTGACTACCTGCGGCCTACACCGGTAGAATGGAAACAGTTGGAATATCTTCTGGAGCTTCTATATCCGTTTTACATCTTCACGTCCTGCCTCTCGGAGAACACCGGCCCTACCGTCCATAGGGTATATGATATCTACAACGATCTGTTCGACCATCTGGATCTTGCCATCAATCGTCTTCGGAACAAACGAGCCTCGTGGAAACAACAGATTCTTGAAGGCTTAGAAGAAGCCCACAAGAAACTCCGGAAATACTATCGGCGAACATACCAAGCAGAGGGTTATATCTATGCTATTGCAACGATTCTTGATCCTACCTCCAAGCTTGAGAAGTTCAAAACAGCTACGTGGCTGGACGATGACACTGATTGGTATCAAAAATATCGCACTGTTTTTGAGAAGGTGTTCCACTTCTACCGCAGTCAGAATCCAAGTGTCAACACGCCATCGACTGTTTCAGACCCATTATCTGGACTGAACAAGGCATTTTACCATCTCTCGAAACGACGAAGACTTGCCACTTCATCAGAGACCTTTGAGGAGCTTAAGGGCCTATCTTGATATAGAAGGGTAAGTCGTACTTTGAATAGGCCTACACTCTGGCTTACTGTCGATAAGGGCACTACTGGGTTAAACTGATATTATTGCCTACTGGAAATCTCGTCTGCAACCAGTTCCCGATCCTCTACTCTATGGCAAGAGACTTCCTTACGGTCGCAACCAACGGTGTCAGTGTTAAACGCCTCTTCAACAGCTCCCGAGATATCTGTCACTATCGCCGGAGTCGGTTATATCCCGATACTATTGAGGCGATTATGCTGCAGATGTGTACCGATCGCTTTACCATCAATGAGGAATATCAGCAGATTCTTGATGAGGTTAACCCCGACTCCATTGTCTTTGTACACAAGGAAGAAGACGATGATACAACCGAAGCGCCTTTGTATATTAGTGACAATGAGGATATGGATGATATGGATGAGGATCCGGAGGATGGATTGTTGCCAGAACCTCCGCATACTACCCGGACTGTTAAAGAGACACGATCCCTTCGACATTATGAACGACGCCCGGGACAGTATAAAGAATAGAGAGTAGATAATAGATATTTTTTTTTAACGTGTCCTCGAAGCAGAATATTTCGATCAGTTTATTCTAAGTAGTAAATTACATCACGGGATCACAAGAGTATTAATACCGAAATAAAAAAATACAGTAAACCATGAAGGTAATCAAGATGTATTAATTACCGTTTAACCTGCGGTTAGTACCCTCACCGGATTAACCTCCCCTACCTCACCGGCCGGTTAATCCGGTGAGGTAGAACCTTTACCTTTAACCTGATTGTACCGGTCCGGTTATTGGGTTCTTTATACCTTAACCTAACCTGGCCGGTTATGGTCAGGTTATGGTGAGGTACAACGGTGAGGTTAACCCACTCTAGATATATATAGATATTGCTGGTAGTTATAGAGATATATATTTAATATAAACGGTTAGATTAGGTAGGAGAGGAAGATAGACTAATATAAAAGCCGTTGGATACACTAATCTAATTTAGATTTTTAATTTTGTAGGCTGATGTAAGCTGTAATCGAAAATTATATAATAGATAAATAGTTATAACCTTCTATTATAGCAAGTATATAAAAGAAGAGTAGTATCGTTAGATTCAGCAGAACGAGCTCTATCCAATAGTACTATTTAGAAAGTAGAGAGGGGTGGTTGGTGGGAGGTCAAGTTCCAGATACTTGCCTACTAGAATTTTTTAACATGGCCAACCCTGCTAAAGCCTGACTCATAGTGACTTTTTAAGCGCAAAGTCTATGGGACAACCTCAACCCTTTCTTTAATTATACATTCCATATTGAACATTTCTGATTAAACAATTCTGATTAAACATTACACGGACCAGGGCCGATATTCAAAGAGGATTAAATCAAAAATCAAAGACCGAACTAAAAAGCACAATCACAATGCCAACTTATCCTCCTTAACGCCCACTTCCCCTTGCTCCACAACTTTTGTCGACAATTGCAAGTAGATCCAAGATGTGCGCTCAGACCCTTTCGCATGGTCTGTTGAGTCTGCAGTGGTCTGGGTTATCGAGGAATACCCCATCCTTGTAGACCCTGTAATTAATCAACATCACCACGATTTTCCCTTCCTGTGGATTGATCAAGAAAGTATCTATGCCGTCAGGAACAGTTATTTTGGTCTTTTCGTCATTATACCTCCAACGTTCTGTCACCCAACCCTGTTCCGAAGCCACATGTGTGCCGTAAACATCATATGCAGTGGTAGGTAGCACGCAGTTTAGTAGTCTCGCGGACTCTTTAATACCGCAGTGCTTGTATAATAGTCGATCAAATGTCCCGACGAATGCCATCTTTAGCTCGTCAGAGTAGTTCCGTCGAATATCACATGGAACGTCGCCGATATAGCGAAGTAGAATATGCTCCCAGTAGATCTCGGAGACGTTCCGGTCCTTGATAGGCTTGTACCGCTTTTCATCGCCAGTAAGGAGGTAATCCAGAACATTCTTTGGAGGCTTGCTCGATTTGTCCGAGATATTGTTGGACATTTTCCAAAATTCCTTTTCCAGCCATAGTGCGCCCTTGGGGAGACGAGGGTCCGTGATAGTCATGTCCGGGTAACGACAGACGAGATATTCGGCAATATCTCTCTGTCCGGCGTCAAGGGCCAATTTGATAATTGTGTAGCCGTCGATGTCCCGAAGTTCGACATTTGCGCCGCGGTTACAGAGCTCCTCCACGGCCCGTTGCTGGCCGGAGACAGCGGCGACAATCACGGGAGTAACATTGCGACATGCCTTGCATCTATTGTCGACATCTTCTGGGTTTGCATCCAGTAGCTCCCTGATCTTCGGCACATTACCTGCTTTTGCTGCTTTGAACAGGTCACCGCAAGCGTCGACGTTCTCATTGGCATCCGCACTGTTGGAAGACTCTCCGACAATAGTTGGTTCTCCTTTTCTGAAGACGGAACGCATTTTGAAATAAGACTTTCAGAAGTTGATTGGATTTTTCCTTAATTAAATGGTATTCGAGACTTCTTTCGTGCTGATGGAATTTGCCTCTGGGGCCTAAGAGGACTCTTTATATAGTCGTCCTTCCGCCCTCTGCGCTATTAGGTAGTTCGTATCTAGACTGTGGTATCAGTGACGCTGTAGTCTCCATTCTTATTCAAATGCAACTGTATCATTGTAGTTAAAGACAGCCACAGGAGCTTAACTGCTACGGTAACAGCAAGTAATGTCCCAGCATTGGTGCAATGGAGATGGCGGACTAGATAGTACATTTAGCGTGCCTCAAGTCTGACGCACATCTAAGGTTACAGCCTTATGAAAGCCTAGGCTCCATTTCTGCCAAAGACACTGTCTCCCATGTCCAAAATCGTCAGTCGTAGATGTCACAGCATGCCAGGCTGGCTGAAGTGGATTCTATACCATCATCCTCTACCGGATCGGAGGTGCGTGGTGACCCTGCATTCGGGTCATAAGAGCCGTACTTAAGCGTTGCTGTAACCGTGAGACACGATCTGATCATCTGGTGGATACGTCCATCAGTATGGAAATATCCATCTCAAAGGTATTTGCAATATGTCATAGGAATATATGGTTACAAACACCGGGCCTGTGTTGTAGTCCAGAATCATATTTATGTAGCATCGTTGTAGAGGGTACGCAATACTGCCTTGCGACCCTCCGCTTTCGAAGTGCCCATAAAAGATGACATAAAGACCGATGCATGGAATACAGCTGAGTACAGTGTTATTTACTTTGTCGTAGCCTATATACGTAATATTGACCTTGTTGGCCGATGATGAGTTTAGCAGAACTTTGCTGCACATATCCCTAAGGTTACCAACCTCAATCTAGGGTTGTTACATCTTAAGCGGTTCTGGGCTATCTAACTAGTTATCCCATGATGGGGACTAATGCAATTAGTAGCACTCTACGCATTCTTTTACCTAATATCACGGGTTGAGCAGGAAATGTGACGAGACGTTGGACATACCTGTGTTGGTTTTTCTTGGAGTAGCTATTAAGCAAGCTCTCCCAACCAACAACAGGATCGCCTATCTGAATGGATGTGGTGGTTTAATGTCTATAGAAAAGTGGAATCTTCATAATGGCATGTTTCAGATGTAGTTCCTTAGAGTAGCCTCTGTCAAATGTATATCTATAGCTAGGTGCGACGATGTTGATGTCTGTTTATTCATGTAAAGGAGACCGCGCGTCACGTGGCCTTCTAGGTGTGGGTAAGGCGGTAGAGCCACTAGGTGGTGTGGTTGATATGCGTATAGTATGCGGAGATAGAGGGCTTTTAGATTGAGAGGAGGTTGAGATTTGCTGTTTGGGACTTGTTTATAAGAGCTTCTATTCCTGCTCTACATCTTATAGTATTTAAGTTAAGGACACGGAGATTGGGTAAGGTTACTAAGAGAACTCTAGGTTAAGAGGCTTCTAGCATCTCTGATTTTTTGTAGGATGTTCCTTGTTGCAGTCTGAGCACCGGGGTTTTACCCCCGGGAAATAGTAGTGTTGGTTATGGGGCCTAGCTTAGTGTTTGTAGCGAACTCGCTCCTTATAAGACTAGGTAAGACAGCTAAATTGTTAGCAGCGACGGCATCTCTTCTATTCAATCTAATCTAATAGTTTCTCGCTCCTAATATATCTCTATTCTACTAGAAGTCTGTTGCTGAGAACGAACTCAGCGGCTTTGATATTTCGCCGTGTTCCCGTTGCCTTGCGTACGTGCTCCGAACGGACGGCTCCGCCGGTCCCACACTCGTTTCTAACAAAGGACCTGGTGAGATTATATCTATATTTTATCTTTAGGGATAAGTAGTCGCAGATAAAATTTTTCTTTTCTTTCTTTCTCTTTTTTTTTTTTTTTTTTTTTTTTTTTTTACTTTCTTTCATTGGTAACAAAAATTTTAGGCTTTGGGAATGTATTTTATTACATTGTTACTATTACCTCTATTTTCCCATATAGAGTTTTGTGTCTTAGGCTTCTCCTGAGTCTACCCATGTTTGATGACCATATTCCTAGACGCAATGATCCCGTAGTGTAAATGTGGGTTGCTGCTGTCGCGTTCAGTCCTTGTCTCTTGCGAGTTCGCCAGACACCTGTTACAACGGGCTTCAGCGGTCTGTATCACAAGTCGTATAATTGATCTTGCTCTGTCCAAGCGAAATAGGATCATTCATTCAAATTTCAGAGGAGCGGACCTCATTCTGAAAGCTAGTATTTTGGGAAACTGTGAATAATTCCTTGCCGCATAATCGCGCATGGGATCTCTGAAATTTTCATCAAAGTTCACCTCTTCTAGTGCGTCAACAACCAATCCTGCACGGAAAAAGGGTGCCAAGAGCTCGTGTAATGGGCGGTGGAAGCAGAACTAGTTTTCGTTCATGTAAATGAATGATCTTTTACTGAGAACAAAGGAAAATGCAATTTCCATACCGGCGATTCTGATCCCAGGTCCCCAGAGAAGAGCAATTGTCTTGCCGGTGGAACTTTTAGGTAGCGCCTTAGAATGAGGGACTGATCTATATGACGTTCCCCAGTCACAGAATCTTCACGGACTACTATTTGACGATCCGCGCCAGAAGTGAAGAAGAGCGGATGAAGAAGGGTGGCAACGAAGCTAATAGTAGAGAATTCAGCCATATGAAAGATCATAACAGTATATAATGAGACAACACTTACCAACCACCTGACCGTAACACTTGTTTTATTGATACCGCTAGAGGCTCGAGATCGTGAATGTCCATTAAGGCCATGTTCATTGTTACTATGTCAAATCCATCCACCTGTGTTGCGAACAAGACCCAGACGCATAAGTGGGGTGGACTCTCAAATAGGCAAATTAATGGCATAGCTACTCACTGTTTGACAAGTCCTCGAGATGAACTGTTCCCAGGAAGATCGATCTGTCACATCCAAAACATGAAATGAGACTCTGTCCTCAGACAATCGCCCTTGTTGGCACCAAGTAAGGGTTCGGGCACGTGCTCGTTCTATCATAGCCCTTGAGCCGTCAGTTGCAAACACTAAGGCGCCCTCATGGGCTAGCCACCGAGCAACGAGACCGTTGCCCGTTGCTAGGTCCAAGGCGCGGTTCCCTGGCTGTGGAGAAATCAGCCTTTTTAGCACTGGTAGTTCAAGCGCAGAGAAATAATCGTTTCCATTGTCACCCATCTGTTCATCCCAAGAGGCAGCGTGATTTTCCCAGGGTAATATTGAAGGATTGTCCGAAAAAGGAGTCTCCATCTTTGTCCATTAGAATGCAACACAGGCACTGAAGACTTAGAGTGAGAGAGCTGCACAGGTGCAAGGTGTAGTGAAAGTAATAATGGGCACAGCTGCGTGAAGCGAGGCATTTAGAAACCCTGCTTCGTTGGCGACTTCGCTGAAATTCTATGCAGTTCTATATAATATTTGCAGTATTAGAACGATGAGTCATATTGTACTTCCAACCAATACTAGCGAGTGAGTCAACATAATCAAGTGGGAGTCGCCGCCCGCCAATATTCTGCCTATGGCTAAATACTAGAGCCCTTATCAACTGTATGAAAGTTTACGTTGGCATGATTGGTTTCAACCCCTCATTTTGCGTGACGTTATGATAACCCGCATGGATCGCCGGCTGTCAAAGTGACAACTTTTCGGTTTTTTTTTTTTTTTTTTTTTTTTTAATTTCCTCGTAGAGGACGAGCTCCGGGGACCCTTTACTTAACAACGTTCCCTTTATAAGTAGATGAATACTAAAAAACCGATAAGTCCGATAAATCTTCCTTAGATATGAGAACGTGGCTCCCCGACCTCAATCATGAAATGCAATTTGGCCATGCTATACCATATATACCTGAAGCTAGATTGCCACGTAGATAGAGAGATAAAGCAGGCTCCAAAATGGGTTGTAAGCACTTCTGGAAGCAGGGACCCAAATGAGGATGCCTCAGCCTTCTCCTAATCCACCCTATTCGGACCTTGTCTCTGCCATTCAGTCTATCCCTCATCTGATCAGTTTTCAGGCCTTCTTTTGCAGGCGTTCCTACTAGCCAAGCATACTGTAGTCGATCCCTACTACTCAGACTTGAGTGATCCAATTTGGCCCTTCCCTGTGGCGGATCTTCACTTTGTAGTAGTTGTCCACTCCACAGTCTGTTCCTACCCTGTAGTGGATTCTTCTGCAGTCGCTTCCTATTGGGCCCTCTCATCCGATATTGGCCATACAGGTGACTGCCCTACCGAGTACACTAACTTAATCTGTTATTAATTTACTCAAGCACCGTCTTTTATATGTTAGTTCCTTTAGTAAAAATATACTTGTTGGGGATATAAGCTCGGCATGAGAACCAAATTTTGGAACTGAAACAATTATGAGTTGTAAAGGGTAACTTAAGTAAGCCTTTTGTAATAGTTTAGAGTCTCTAGATTATATAAGATAATAGCACGACCGTCCGCACTGTTTTATTTTAATTTTACAGTAGGGCGGCGAGGCGCTCTTAGAGAGCTTCTGCCATATCTATAATAAAACTCTTAAGCGCTACATCGACTGTTATTACCTTACAGCTGTAAAAAATAATCAGAGATAGAGCATTGCTAAAGCGGCGGAGAATCTCTTTAGCCTAAATAATTAACACGCCGGAGAAATATACAATTAAAATTAGCCAGCAGGTTTAGCCCGTAGATAACAGCGCCGGTGCTAGATAGATATAGATTAGTATAGTTAGGGTCTTCCTTAACCCGCAGCCATTGGCAAGAATATCTCTATAAATAGGACATATCTTTTAGCGTTATATCTAAGTAATAGCCACTACCTACTAAGATTTTAATTCCACCGACTCTGTCCCCGCTACCCTAGGGATTATAGGCTTCTTTGGGTCCAGCTCTAACTTAAAGCAGCTTTTAATGTAGGAAGGCGCCTTAGCGGACACGCGTCAGATAAATTTACAAACTACTTTTATAAGATTTACCT